CCCGAGATGGTCGCCTGGGCGGCTCGAAAAGGATTCCCAGCCCAAGGGCACGCTAGATTCCGTCTAGCGGGACCCAGGGCCGTGGGTGCAATGGTTCACGCAAGTCATCGCAGGAACACCATCTTTGCACTTTCTCAATCGAGAGACATGCGTTGCTTCAAAGCTTCCACCCCACCACCTCGCTCGCAAAACAAATAAACAAAAACTGCCGCGGGGTCTTGAAATCAGCTTCAGGAATTTCCTCGCTCCAGGGTTTACTGCCAGGGGTGCTGCACACAAAAGTACAAACTATACCCATTTGGCTACCTCCGTCTCCGCTCTTTATGATCATCGTCACCCTTCGCCTCGCCACGGGCGATCCGTAGTCCACGTGAAGCTCGAATTCGAGAAAGTTTCCCAAGAGGATCAGATGTATTTTTGGTGGAAAGGAGAAATTGTGATTCTCTCATAGATTGGAAGATTTTCGAAGCCTATAGACTTTTGTTCATATTAGTGTACCCATAGCAGATCCCGGCACTGCCTCCGTTCCCCAATCGAGATATTTGCCATGGGTTCGGTCAAGAGACTTGGCAGATCACCCTTTGACCTACGTGTACTGTGATGGTCACGCATCCCGAGTCTGGGTATTAGCGTTTAGACAGGGGCTGGGGGTTGTTTCAAGCCTACCCAGTTACGAGTCAATATGTTTGAAGTCACCGTATAGTATGTCCCAGTACTGAGTAAGTTGATAAAAGTACCTCTTCCCTGCAAAATGGGGGCCACCATCAAGGACTGAGTCTTACAAACCTTCCAATTACAGGCTGAATGCGACAAATTGCTTAGGGCCCAGACCAAGTTATTTCCAGGTAGTCTGCAAGTAAAACACAATGAGTCTGGGTTGACTGCCTGGCACTTTTGGAGAGTAAATGGAATCGCTCACACACTTTGCATGGTAACTGGAGATCTCCGCAACTTCTACGAGGCTTCTTGGAGTCTTCCGAATTGGCTGCTTAATTCCCAGGTTTCGATGAGGTCAACACACCGAACATGCACCTGAGGGTGTTTGGATGCAGATTCCAAGTCTGCAAAAGATGGCAATCAAGCTAATGCATACAACTCACTCCCCCCTCTTGTTCGCTGGAAACTTGAACCAAGACGCTGCGTAACTATGCCAGTTATAATCATAATGAAGAGATCCAACAAACGCGTATTGGTGACTGTCACCCGGCGACAGGAAATCTCGATCAAAGCGTCCCACTTCATTACTCTATCCGATCTCCCACATCTGCACGCCGGCCCTTGTATCTGCAAGCCGAACATCCTCGCTCACCCACCAGAAAACCACGGCTGCAAGCGGCTCGAAGAATGCTAATGGAGGCAAACCTTATCATAGACCGCTGGTCCTCGTAAGAAAATTCCGGACAGTGGAGATTTACGAGGAGAGAAGTCACACCCGCCCAGCAAAATTCGACGAGCCCCACACACAAGCGGCCCAGGCATTTGATTTAGTGCCCATGTACGGAGTAGAACCAAAATATGAGTGCATGCAATATATAATGGGTTTATCAAGCCGCACAAATACCCTACTATGAGGCCCTGCATCGTCCCCTTTTCAGACGGACCTGGACGTCGACCGGCATAGCATCCCTCTCACGACAGAATGCCTTATGCAACACTCGGGCCTTATATCACCCCCCAAAAGGCGGGGTCCTAGCGGTGATTAGTCCCACGTCTCCGCTCCTCGCTGCACCGGCCGCGATTTGGGGGGACGGCCTCGGAGCGGCAAGTTGATGCATCACATTCCATCTAGTCTAGAAACCTGCCCCAACCACACCTGTCGCGGGATCAACTGTGACCCCTGTCGCTGACTGGCTGGCCTGCTCCCGCTGCGCGCCATGTAGCATCTAAAGCATCATTCAGATTGGCTTGCGCTGCGGTTACTCTTTTTAGCTCTCTCGCTCGTCGTGTAGAATTCTTGGAAGGCTTGATGTCATGACTGTCGGCTGGGAGGATCCGAGTTCCAGGTTTCATGGCTGAGGAGCCAGTGCTCATTGGGAGATCGGACAGCGGTTCTTCAGATGATGCATTGCACGATCGGTGCCGCTGGAAGCGATGGAACGTGTCGTCGGGTACTTTGGATCTCGGTTATTGGGGGCTAATTACGAGGTATGATTTTATAATACCGTTGTGGGCTGTCAATTACACAATTACGAGCTATAACTAGTTACAGGTACTTCTGGCAGAGGGAGTTAGAGTGAAGCGAGCCTTGTACGCATCTAAGGATATAGGACTATCAAGGTTGGAGGTGCATCGACGAGTCGATGGGGACCTCATTCTTTCCTAGGCAATGGGGGTGTATTGATGGTACGAACTCTACTAACAGTCGCCAAACCAGACCAGGGTATAAGTAAGATAAAGAGATAGATCCATGGATATCTGGGTAAACAAGCTTCATGGGTGGCGCAACCGGGAGAACGCTCCCTTCTACAAAGTCTTCGTCGTGGGCGCCCGTACCCTTATTCTTCATCTTCAATGTAAATGGACTAACAGGATAGGGTTATTGGATGGAAAAGGGCTTTGACCGTCCATTACTTCCTCATAATTCTTTTGGCCTTTGGTGTCTGTCAAGTAGCAGTAGTCGACAAACACCAACGTCACGAAAGTGAGGGAAACATGAGGCAATATCGAAAGGGTGGGAACGATTGCTCCTCTCGATCAAAGCTATTCAGCGAACATGCCTTGTTTCAAATTTCCGGAGAGCCCTAGTTAGCATAAGACTAGTAGCAGACAAGATACTCCGAGTCTTCTTTCATGCTCTGCTCTATTGTATCGTCTACGACCGACACTTGGCCCGCGAATGACCCTTTTGGTTCCATAGCCCCTGGCACAAAAGTTGCAGTTCAGCTTGCTGTATCAAACCTTTTCTCTCCCATATGTAACTTAATCATATAATTAGTGAGTCTTCATAGAGCCGTGGTGTTGATCCAAATCTCAGATATGAAATTTCCAACAATCTATATCACTAAAGCTCATTTCAGGCTCCTTCTGCACAGGTGTCCGACTCAAGATGTTGCCCTCAAAGGGTAAGAGCAGATTTGATCGTGCGGCGCCCATAAAGATTCCTTGGATGAAGATAGGTCGCTAGCTAATAGTCATCATCTCGGGCGGAATCCGGGCCCAGTCTGGACCATTGGGAAGCTACGTGATCAGTTATCACTAGCATTGTCCGGAAGGTGGCCATTCGAGTCACAAGGATTGGACTTGGAGCCGCGCCCAACGGATGCGCTGAGAGTGAGCTCAACTATTATAAAATAAAATAGAACGCTTAGTGCCCTAAAACTTGATTACGACTTGCACACTGGGGCTTGAAGTGATCTTTCATTAGTCCAAACTTCCGAGTGAACTAGCACTTATAGGTGCCTTTCCTGAACTAGTATGCAGAAATAATATTATCTCATGCTCTATTCGCTTTCTATCTAGTAACATGATTTTTGATTCCCGGTACAGAAACATTTTACAACGTCTCGGACTCGCAGACTCCATGCGGCCACACAGCGTTGTTCTATATCCCAGTAAAGTTGCAGGTCCCGGAGGATTATTTGAAGGGTGTGTTAAGGATCAAATTGTTGCTCGTTCGATGAATACTGACCGAATCATATCTGCCAGACTTCGTGCTCCAGCTTTCATACTAGAAGGGTTCGGTATCAGCCCGTTGATTACCGGGTCTAAAAGGGAAGAAAGGAGCTTGGATAAGATCCCAAGTAGTTTTTATTTGTATGTATTTGATGGGGTGGGTGAAGCGGTATGCACATGGACTTTTGCCCCCTATTGTACGACTATTCCAAGTATGCGGGTGTAGGCTGTGCCATGGAACTACTCATGTATATTCATAGTTACATAACCTACACCACCAGTCCTTATTGGATCATACTAAAATTCAATAAACTAAATATTCAGGTTTATATACAAAGTTCCCTTGGTTAATGTTTCGTATAATAACCCTGAAGTATACAATTTATCTATCCTTCTTCCCATACTCAATATTAATATATCAATCTTTGTCTGGTCTAACACATCCTATACCGTATTAATACACTCTTTAAAATAGGACAGATCTTCTTCAGATCTTCCCATCTACATAAGGCTTTAAACATACGAAAAATCTCACGTTCTAATATATTCCAAACTGGTTTGATAGGGTTAAGATCAGGCGAGTATACAGGCCAATTTTCAACGTACATCCCATACTCTTTGAACTAAGCCTATATATCTTTCGTGTATATAGATCTTTGTATTATCTTGCTGAAATATCATTCCAGGCTGATAGCGATCGATGCTATGGGGAAGGTGTAGGAGAAAAAATAAACATGTGAGTGGTTGTTAGGGTGATGGTAATGGGGCCTGGTGCACATAGACTTTTGCGCGGGTGGTGTAGTTCAAGAAAGGGAAATATACGCTGAATCAAGGATACAGGCTCGTGTATGTATACTAGTATGGATTGATAGCTAGTCTAGAACAAGACATCGCTTGATGAAGTTGCCAGAAGAAATTTGACCACAAACGGAACTTGCAATATATCTCCAAGGCTCCCGTACCCTTGACTAACTTTGGACTTACCTGTATACATCTTCTCTCCTTCCACTGGTACTCTCCCGGGCATTCTTCTTGGTTTCTGTAGTATAAGTTATGTGAAGTCCGGTTTGTAATGCGGGTCGTCCGCTCAGCGGACCACGGGCGTTTGAACGGTTATTTTGACCCCACCTAGTTAAATGAACAACTTACGCCCACGTGGGCCGAAGTATGGTTTGAGCTCAGTTCCTCAAATTGAAGCCTTGTAAACGTTGCGGGTTCTCTCCAAGTTTGCGGAAAGGATCCAGTGCACATGAGAGCGGACCTCGGCTGCCCCGCATAAGGCCATGCGGCTCCGACAATCCTGCAGATCAGGACTTCATGTCTAATAAAGCAAGTTGGACTTCAATCCCTTGTCCGGGGCTGAATTATTCGGCACTTACTAGATCAAAATGGCCTCTCAGGGAAGAAAATGGCTTTCAAGAGAGGGTAAGTTAGCGCATCACCGCTTCCTCGAACCTTTCGCTTATATCCTTTAGGCTTTACGTCTGACGTCCTTCGGCGATGGATTCATGGCACTATCCTCAGCCCGTGGAAGATGATTCCATTGCTGGCCTTGGTACAGTATTCTGGGAAAGGTCGCAAAATCTTGAAGTCGCGTCCTAATCTTCTTAAGGCGCTCCAGGCGCTCACTTCATTGGCTGTGCTCGGTCGTCTGGGGCGCTGGTTGGATCGTCGCTCTGTGAATAATGGCACCTCAGACTACTACGACTGGCATCGTGAGGTGATCGTTCTGACAGGCGGCAGTGGCGGCATTGGTCGTCACATTGCCCAGCTCTTCGGAGATCACGGCATCAAAGTCGCCATCCTAGACCTCAACCCGCCAGCAGATGCGCTGCCCAACAGTGTACGCTTTTTCCAGTGCGATATCACTTCAGTCGAAGCGATAAAAGATGCAGGAGATGCCATCCGCACATCGCTTGGTCGGCCCACCATCCTTGTCAACAACGCCGGGGTCTTGACTGGCAAGACTATACTAGGAGCTACTCCAGCCCAGACGCGGCTTATATTCGAGGTCAACACCCTTGCCCATTACTGGCTCGTGCAAGAATTCTTGCCCGATATGATTTCTAATAACCATGGAATGGTAGTTACCGTCGCTTCCCAAGCAGGATACGCGGTGGCCCCGAACATGGTGGACTATTCGGCGAGTAAGGCCGCGGCGATCGCATTTCATGAGGGGCTCGCTGCCGAACTGGTGACTCGCTACCAGGCTCCGCGGGTGCGTACGGTACTAGTCACTCAAGGCTTTACTCGTACGAGCCTCATCGACAAATTGACCCCTGAGGATTCTTTTCTTAATCCCTTGCTGTATCCCGAGACCGTTGCGGAGGGCCTAGTCAACCAGGTCCTCAAGGGTGAGAGTGGGCATGTCCTGGTACCGAGGGTGGCAGGAGCTTTAGCACAACAGTTACGAGGTCTCCCGCAATGGTTCCAGCATTCGTTACGCTGCCAGTTGGAGCGACTTATGCGTGCTGATTGATGCATGTGTGCCATTCAACTGTTAGCTACGATATTGTATGTAGTGTGTTATTCTGGAAATGCTTGCTGCTCGGATTGTTCTATTCAGATATGCGCTTTCACTGCAAGCGCTCTTTTAGAGAATTATCCTAGATGATTGATAGTCCAAGTTGCAAGGGCCCAAGTCGATTCGGATAGTTGATCTGATAAACGAACAGTCATGGTGGCGATCTTGATGCCCAAAGATATGTTTTTCATTACGGCGGGCGGCTAAAGAGATCTATACCACCACCCCCTTTGTCTTGAATCTCATGTTTATCATGATACTACATGTCATAGCCTAATAAACTTATTCCAGCTATACCCAAGAGAGATTCATTCAAAGTATTAGTACTAATCTTCCTCTCTTGACCCGCGGACTCGATTAAAGCAAACTGATCTCGATCGAAGCGCCCAGCCCCATCACGCCCAGCCCCATCATTTTGCCCGTGGCACGTGCACGCCACCTCACCGCGATTTTGATTCGTCCCACCAAAGGCGCAGAAGACACTTCATCCTGTGCCACCGAAAGATTTCCTCTTTCTATCCCTCTTTCTCCCTGCATATTGCATGCCTGACAATTCCTGAGGTCGGAGAATCGAAGTTTGTGAAGGTCTGGGGTTGAGTCCCGATCGTCTGGAGCAACGTGGGATCTGGGCTCCGCTTGGAGATCCACGGTTCAGCTCCCTTGTTTACTTCCCCCAAAACAACCATAACAAGCGCTATTTCCGAGGCCTTCCCGCCTCCCCATATCCTTCACTCTTAGAACATTCCGATTTGATTTTGATTCTCCTCTCCAACATTCCTTACTTTCCTTCACATGGTGGCTAGTCCAATTCGGGCATCCTTCTGATCTCTTGCCCATCATGTTCAAGGCCCTGATGGGCGGGGGCAGGTCCTCCTCGGATGCCCGCAGCACGACTAGCTCCGGCTTCCGTCGCAAGGCAGATTCCAAGTCTTCCAGTAGTCGCAGATCAACACGGGGTGACGACCGTGATCGCGGCTTGGATGACGATGAGTCAGTCTACTCTCGCTCCTCGAGGCGACGGGGCACCGGCAGCATTGCTGGCGACTCGGTCGCCTCATCCTACGTAACCGCCGAGCCCGAGCCCAGCGAACGGGGCAGTCGGATGATCGTTGAACGAACACCCAAACGCAGCGACAGCGACCGAGATAGCAAGACGTCACGTCGACGTGAGCGCGACCGGTCGCAAAGCCCGGATCGCGAGCGAAGGAAGACTACTGGGCGCGGTACTCGAGATGGAATTGATGATGATGAGTTGGAAGACAAGTACTCCCGCCGAGAAAGTCGACGGACACGATCCGGTGATGTTCCAATCACTTATCCCTCCATGCCATCCAGTGCGCCCGGTGCACAATTTGCGACCGACTTTGGCGGCGCTCCAGGCTTCTCAATGCCCCCCCATTCCCACAACGATGACATCTGCTCCCGATTATACATCTTCGCCAGCGCAATATGATCCTCACGTGCAGCAGCAATTCCCCGGCCAGTTTCCCGAAACAGCCACCCAACCTTACTTTCCTCCTAATAACCCTGCTGGCGCTGCTGCCGACTACTATGGTGACCAAGGCCAGTCAGTTGCTGACCAGCCCGGTGTCAGACCGCAAGGACCGAGTGTGCTCCCAAATACTCAGGCTCATCTGCAAGCAGCTTCCTCCTCGGCCAATCCCCCACCTGAACCTAGCAGCATGGGACAGACTGGCGCCGCAGCCGACTACTTCGCCGGTGATTTCGAAGTCCCTGAAGCTCCGGTCAAGCCATCAAAACCATCGAAACCTGGCAAGGTTTCGTCCAAGCCATCGAAACCTTCGAAGCCTAGCAAGCCCTCCTCATCAGGAAGTCTCCCTGCGGCCATTGCATCTGGAGCTGTTGCTTACGGCGCTGGCAACGTGATGGCCTCATCTCAAAGCCAAGTACAATCCACTAGTTCTCAATATGCTCCCTCATATTCGCAGCCTAGTGGTACAGTCAGCGGGAAACCTACAACTCCGCATAGTGTTGCCAATGGTATTGGGGCAGCAGCAGCAGGAGCTGCCGCCGGATACATCCTTGGTCACCAGCATCATTCGTCTAATCCCGAGTATGCGTCGTATGGCAATCAAAATCACAGCCAGTACGCATCTGGTGGTGTTGTGCCATATGGGAGTGATCCCACCAATCCTGGTTTAGCGTCTGAATTTGCAGGTAATGCCGAGTACGCTTCGCATCCTGCCTATAATCCCGGATTTTACCCCCACGGAACTGGTTCTCTAGCCATGCGACAGCGCCCTCGTGATCCGCTAACTCGGTTTGCTGATTTCTGGCGTGATCCCGAGGGCGTCGGCCGTTTTGAAGATTACACAGAGGCGATCGGTGTTTGTGCAGGCTGTTTCGAGCCTGGAACGAGTTCTCTCAATGCACCTCGCAAACACCACTACCGTGGCCGCCGATACTCGGCTGATCGCTTGAGCAGTAGCAGCTCATCCCGTGTGAGCAAGCTCAATCGATACCAGTCTTCCGAGGATGATACCCGATCACGTCGGAGGTCTAAGAATACATCATCATCTTGGCTTCCAGGTGTATTGGGCGCGTCGCTTTTTGCGGGCAAGGAATTTCATGACTCTTACAGCGTTCGCTCAGGGTATGTCGCAGATGACCGAGCTTCATCCTTTGACGAAAGCCAGTCAGTGTCTGATCGTCGGAGCTACACGTCCCGTGGTGTAGTCCGCCGGTCAGGCAGAGATTCATCGATCGAATACAATTCTAAGCGCTCTCGCCGGACGCGGTCTCGCTCACGTTCTTCTTCTCGGTCAGGCCATCGCTCGTACGTGAAGGAAGCCGCAATCGGTGCTGCAGTGGGCTCTGCCGCTCTAGCTGCTGCCAAATCCAGTCGCCGTAACCGCAGTCGGTCGCCCCACCGGCGCAAAGACTCCACGTCGAGCTCGTCTGTCATTGACGTTTCTCGGTCCTCCGGGCCCAAGTCTGTTGGTGGGTTCACTTCATTCTTTACCGCTTCATCCGAAAACCGCACCAAGAAGAGCACCAAGAAGAAGCGGCGCGGGTTTTTCTCCTTCAGCGGTTCATCATCTTCTTCACTTGACAACGATCTTGCCTTCGGCACCGGATTCGCCAAAAAGCCTTCAAAGACACTGAAGAAGAAGAATGGCAAGAAAACAGAAGACGTCGATGCGGCTTTGCTAGGGCTAAGCGCGACTGCTACTGCTCTCGCTGCCTCCTCCCCCCATGGCCGCAGCCGAAGTACTGGCCAAATCATGAACTCGAGGGATACTCGGTACCTCGATGGAAAGTACACCTCATCTGCCAACGAAGACGACGAGTGGGTGGACGCTGAATCTTCTGACCAGTCTCCATCCAGTGTCAGCTCCGCAATGGCGTTCGGTGGTAGCAGTGCTGAGTCTGGATCTGATTCTAGCCGCAGTGGTTTCTTCTCATCGTTCTTCGGAAGAAAAAAGTCGCGATCGAAAAAATCAAACTCTTCTGCTGGTGATGCAGCTGTTGCCGCTGGCGCTGGTGCTCTTGGAGCGGCCGCCCTGACTGCAGCTGCTCGTGACAGAGATCGAGATAGCAGAGTTTCAAGCAGCGCTGGTAGCCTTCAACAAGTATATCCCATTCCTACTTCTGATCCCTCGCGCTTCGACGTGACCAAGGTATCTTCGTCGAGTGCCAGTGATCAGCCAGCTTTTGTCCGCCCTGGCCCTATACCTCTTCAGCAACCTCAACCTGTGATGCCGGTCTCGCAATCGGTGTATTCCACACAAGGAGGTTTGCCAGGCTCGATTCCCGCGTACAGTGGCCCAGTTCCTCCAATATTCGCCAATGAGTTTGACCAATATGGCCCTCAGTCTCCTGCTCTTCGAGACGCTGCTTGGATTCCTGATGATTCAAGTTTCGTTGGCCATCCAATGCCGCGCCGATCCAACTCGTCTCCTGTCTTCCCCGCTGAGCGGAGCTCCATGGCAGGCCCGAAGCGTCGATTTACTTCTAAGGACCAGGCCTCTGTGTCATGGAACCTGACAAAAGAGCAAGAAGAGCAGGAAAATCGTGCCAACAAGCGAAACAGCAAACCCAGAGACGACTTTCAGCCCGGCGCTGTACAATTGATTGATCGCGAACAAGAGCCAATCCGCCGAGAGCCATTGCGTGAAGAGCCTCGTCGCCGAGATCTCGACCGCCAAGACCGCCGCCGTGTAGAGCAAGAGGAAGAGACTCATCGAAGTAATTCCGGAAAAGATAAAGATACACCCTCGTGGGTTGACCCGGTCACCTTTGGGGTTGTGGGTGCTGCTGCCGGCGCAGTAGCTACATCTGCTCTCTCTCGCAAACATGAGGAGGAAGCCGAACAAGCTCTTCGACGTGAAGAACGCCGTAATAAGCGCAGAGAAGAGCGTCGTCTCACCGGCTCTGACGTGACAGAGTCCCCAATTGTTGCTGCACCCGAACCACCTGTGTCTGAGCCTCCTGCTGCGATTGAAGACAAGTATGCTGCTGAGGAGTATCAGGCTACGAATTATAAAGACAAGCGCGACATATCCTCTCCCCGCCGAAGTCCTCGGCAATCCCCCGTTCATGACAGTTATGCAGACTTTTATGCTCCCGACGAAGTAAGACATAGCCCGAAGGCAGACGAACATGATGAGCATGAGCATGATTATGGTTATAAGCCCAACATTGTCGAAGTCGTTCCAGCCAGCGAACGCCAATCGCGTGACAAGTCCAGGGATCTCCCAGAAAATCTTCCTCAGTTTGGACCTGAGCCTTATGAGAATCAAGTCCTTCCTTGGCCAGTTCCGAAGCTGAATTTTATTGACCCTACACCCCCTGTTAGCATCAACGGATCTTCTCTTGGCATCTCTATTCCAGAGACTAGTGATGCCCCCGTCACTGCACCAAAGGATATTAGTCGCCAGCCAGAAAATGCCTCCGACCGAGTTGAGCCTGAAGTTGACTCAACCCCTCACTCCGAGCCTGAAACAATGCCTGAGACCGAGCAATCCAAATCCAAAGCCGAGCGACGGGCGGAAAAGAAGAAGGCTAAGCGTGAATCAAAGCGTGAGGCCGAGCGTCATGTCGAACCTGCACCAGAACCTGCACCTGCCGCACCTTCTGCTGCTCCCGAACCCCCAATCCAGCCCGACATTCAACATGACGTTCAAGGTCAAAGTGAATCTCAATGGAATGTCCAGCCTGAACCCGAACCTACTTGGCAGTCTCAGCCCGAAACCGAACCCGCTGAGAGACACCAGCCCGAGCCCCACCCTGAAGTCGAGGAATTCGTTCCCCGAGAAAAACCAACAACAGGTTCTCGCGTTTCTTGGGGTTACGATCGGACCCACGAGTATGAAGTCCCATCTTCTTCGGAGCAAGATCCAGCAGAATATGAGGTCTCACCATTTGAAGAGTCCCCCCCGAGAGCCATCCCGCGAATTCTCTCAGCCAAACTCAGACAAATCCCAAACCAGAGACTTCCATAATAAGCCCAGCGTTGGAGCAGATATCGATTTTGCTGCAACCGTTGCTGCTGCAACCGCAGCCGCCGGCTTTGACTCATCTGTTGTGACGAACGACCCAAAGTACCATACTCGCTACTCACCCCCGGGCTCAGAAGATGAAAGATCCTTCATTCCCGCTGCAAAATCTTCAGATAAAGAAAAGCCGAAGGGACTCTTTGAGGGCGACATAAATGCATACAGACCCGAGCCGTCGAGGGATTACCGACCTTCTATCGAACAGGCCAGTGAAGAGAATGTCACAACGGCCGAGCCAGAGCCTCTCGCCAAGGAAATTAAAGAAAAGGACCTCCAGTCAACCAAGAGCAGTGACCGCAGCTCAATTGCACAGGAGGTTATTGAGAAGCTGAACGACAAGTCCAAGGGGCCAAGCTCTCCCGAAAACAGTGTTTTGTCGATGCCGGGAGGATTTGACACAGTTGACGATTTCCGAGACGCTGCGGAACCTCATGACGACTCTCGCTCTGTTTTCTCAGCTCCACCCGAGAGAGAAAGCTCTTCGAAGTCTAAGAAGTCTCGCCGCAGCACCGATTTTGATATCGCTCGTGATATCGGGTCTTCTGCGGATGTTGTTTCCAGTCAACAGCCGAAGACGGAAAAGAAAAAGAGCCGTTCAAGTCGATCTGAAGAAGTCATTTTCGGCGATGAAGATGCTGAATCTGCCGTCACAGCCTTGAAGGATGGAGATACCTCAGCACGTGCCTATGATGATGACGAAAAGTCTCGACGTCGTAGTCACCGCTCTACAGACAGCCTCAGCTCTCCAGACGATGCCAAATCTATTGCCAGCGGGTATGAGGACGACGAGGAAAACCCCCGCCGCCGCAAGCATCGTCACCGCTCTCGCGATGGTGTCAACTCTCCAGCGGACGATGACGCCCGATCGATTACAAGTGCATATGACGAAGATGGCGAAAAGTCAAGGCGTCGCAGACACCGGCATCGCTCCGGAGACAGTGTCAGTTCCATCGTGGATGATGATACCAAGTCAGTGACCAGCTCTTTTGACGATGGTGAGAAGTCAAGACGCCGGAGACATCACCACCGTAGTTCTACTGGCGATAGTCTCAACTCAGCCGTTGAAGATGACGCTCGGTCAGTTGTGAGTGCGTATGATGGTGATGAGAAACACCGTCGCCGGCGTCATCACCACCGCAGCTCCACTGGTGGAAGCAACAGATCAGGCGAGGACGAGACTGCTTCTGTGACATCCTCCCCTGCTCGGATCGATGAGACACGCAAACGGGGCAAGGATGAGAAGGAAAAGAGTGGAGGTATCTTGCGCAGCCTCTTCGGTTCGAAAGCCTCTGCTGCGTCAGCTTCTGGGAATCGATCTCGGTCTCCCTCATTAGACAAGTATTCGTCAAGGAAGGCGATGTCTGAAGTCGGTGAGGACGAGAGTTCTCGTCGCAGAAAGCGATCTTCCAGGCATAGTAGCAGGGGAAGTGTCGGCGATTCAGGTTCAGACAGAGATAGCATCCGTGACGATACTTCCGAGTACAAAAAGGAAAGGAAGTCCAAGGAAGAGCGTCGTCGACACCGTTACGAGGAAATTGTTGATTCAGGATCACGCCGGGACTCTTCGAAGGTATAATATCTGTCTTTTTTTCTTTTCTTTACGTTGTATCATGTTGCCCACTTTACGTGTACACTTTTTTTGTGACCATATAGTTTCCCTTTCGCATGGTCTCGACCATGGCCCGACTTATCCAATTGCACAAAGACAAAACCCCAGATTTGCAATGCAAAGAAACAAGTACTAAGCATCTCAATGGTATTACTCCATGTACAGGACGAAAAACGATCGGACCTTAATGATGAACGCGATACGTCTTTTTTAGGGGAGCGCCCCGAAATGCCAGCCGCAGCTGAACGCGATGAGAGTGGTGCTTCGGGGCTTCAAAAATGGGTAGAGGGGACGGCCATTGCAACTGCTGGCTTAGCACTGGGTGACGATCTCTGGCAGCAGCCCACAAGGAGTCGATCTACATCCCCTCCTGCTGCAGAGAAGTCCCTTGGCTTGGCCCCAAAGTCCCGGAGTAGACCAACATCTCCCGAGGTGAAGCGCGACTCGGACTTATCTCGCTCTCGACGCATATCTGCTGCACGGCCCAACACCGACTCCCCAACAGCTGTGCCTTTGCATTTCCGTCGTCCACCGACGTCCCCAGGCCTGGCCCGTGCTGTGCCCGTTGAGCTTCCGAATCCGAGTCCCCTACTTCGCCCAGCCAGTCTCGACACCGTCGCCAGACCTCTAACTCGACGGAGTTTAGAGAGTCGAAGGAGTACCGTCCTCTTTACTTAGTCGCCCTCCATGGATCGGCGAAGGTTGAGCAGGAAGCCAATGAGGAATTGCCATCGCTGCCATCTAGCAAGACCTCTTCTCGTGCTCAATCCGTTGAAGATCTCCGCGTGCTCAACGACCAAGACGCGGTCAAGACCTGGGAACCGATTGATTTGGATTTGACAGAAAGGCGCAAGCCAACAGGTTTGACAATTTCTACTGACCGCGTACAGGATGGTGAACATGATATTCTGGACTCACAGCAGACAACTCCAACAGCCGAACACTTTGCTGCACTTCGGGAGTCTGAGAAGAAGCCAAAGCCAAAGTATGAGTTCCATTCTCCATCGGAGCTCTTACGGGACCCCGCCGGGCTTCAAGAAGTGCCTTCGTCTCCACCCATTGAAGGGCTTCCATCTGCCGAGAGTTCGGTTGTCGGATGGAAGGATGCGGTTGAAGAGAGGAGTGTCACCGAAGAGCAGGATCACGGTAGTGTTCACGACTCGACAACTGATGCTGAGATGTTCACTCCAACTCAAGAGAGGGGCGATTTCTTTGACGACCCTAGTACGCCGCAAGGCCCTGGCTTTGCCAATATCGTTGATCAAGCTGTCATTGCTGCTTACAAGGAAATCGAACAACCCTCTAGTATTGAGCCCAAGGAAATTGTTGAAACCGAATTAGCCTCGAAGGAAGCGGCCACTGAACTAGCTATTGAATCTTCTTCTCCGAGGACCAAAAATTCAGGGTTTGGAGACATTGTTGACGCTGCTGTTCTCGCGGCGGCTGCTTCTCGGGAGAAGCCATTAGACGCAGCCCCCGAGGAGCCTGTCACAGCCATTGAAGGACTTGAGCCTGCCCTCATGGACGAGACCGAGGTATCAAAAGATGTCGCCTCCGAGTCCATCGAACAGCCCACTGAGCCTTCAGAGAACGTAACTGCGGAAGAGGCTGGTTCTAAGAAAAAGAAAAACAAGAAGAAGAAAAACAAGAAGGGCCAAGCTAGTGAAAGCGTCGATTTGAGCGCCGAATCTACTCCTGTGCCCGCGGAGCAACAATCCCCTCCTGTAGAGACAACTGAAGAGGTCTCTCACTCTCCTGAACCGGCGGATGAAGCAATCGAATTACCGAAGGAGGCTGAGGCTGAGGCTGTTCCCGTACCCCAATCAGTCCTCGAATCTACAGAAGCCCCAGACGCTGCAGTGCCCCCTCTTGAGTCGACTGAAAATGCAACTGTTTCCGCAGCCGAGGTCGATACTCCTGCCAGAGTGGCCGAAGCTGATGATTCCAAGGAGTTTGCTGGTATGTCAAAGAAGGAAAAGCGTGCCGCAAAGAAGAAGAAGAAGCAACAAGAACAGAATGAGGGTATCTCTACAGCGAAAGAGCAAATCGACCCAGCAGGCGATGTTCCCGATAAGGCCAGGATGGTTGCTTCTGACAACATCGATATTCAGCAAGCAATTGTGCCCGCAGCTCCCCAAGAACAGCCGGAGGCTCAGGAGGAAACTCGCGAACTCATTGCTTCCGAAGAATCACCAGCGCCAATGGAGGAAGAGAGCAAAGAGATCGATCGGCCTTTTGGGGAATCCACAACGGAGCCCTTGGAGATTCCTCTAGATGGTACGACTCCGCCTGCTTCTGTGGTGCCAGCACCATTTGGTGAGCCAGCGCAGACAGACGACGATGCCGATTTCCACGAAGCTGTTGAAGAGTTGGACCAGCAAGCAAACCCCGAGCCAGAGAAAGATTTGGTAGTTGAGCCCCCCCAGTAAGCCTAAGGTGGAAGCCCTGTCTGCGGTCGAACCTTTGGAAAGCGAGCCAACAAAGGAGGAAGAAACACCACCATCGAAACAGAAGAATAAGAAGAACAAGAAGAAGAACCGCCAATCTGTTGCTGAGGAGACTGCTTCTTCTACTGAGTCTCAGCCCACTCCTGAGCCCGAACTAGAGCAGCATTCCAAAGATATTGCGCTTGAGCAGCCAGCATCAGGTGAAACTACCGATCCTCAAGGTCCTGTTCCCAGCGAAGATGGACAAGTTCTCGAGTCAGATCAGCCTGTGTCTGCGGAGCCAGTCGCTCTGGGTGCCGCTACATCCCCAAAGCCTGAGTTAACCCATCCCAACCCTGTTTCGCATGAGGTTCCTGCGGAAGAGACCTCGCCTGCCGGCCTCGCTGATATTACTGCACCGATCGATGATGTGCGAGACCGGTCTGAAGTGTTGCCTGAGTCAGTTGCTGAAGAAAATGCTATTCCCATCGAGCCTGAGGTTGCTCCACAGGCAGATACCTCCGAAGAGCCTTCTGCCGAAGCTGATCAACCCATTGAGTCCTCCGAGCCCGCAAAGACTGTCGAAGAGGCATCTGACCAGCCTGTTGTGGATGCCTCTCTTGAGACTGAGACTATCGATAGTAGCAAGCTATCTGCAAAAGAAAGAAAGAAGCTTGCTAAAAAGGCCAAGAAGAATGGTAACAAGGAAATTGTACCCTCCACTGCAGAGGAAGAAAAGTCCGCTGAGCCCGAGGTTGTCGCTGATGCTGAGCCTCAAGCAACTGAAGCAGTTGAGGCGGCCGCAAAATCTCAAGAGACTGCTGGTGTATCTGAAGGACCATCCTCTGTCCATGCTGAGGATACACCAGGTACGGAAGAGTTAATGGTTCCAGAGGGCGAGTCTGAAGAAGTCAAAGGACTCAAACCTGAAGAGTCTAAGGAATCCCAGGATATTATTACTCCGCCCGTGGAAGAAGTAATCAAAGAATTGGTTCCTCGGCCACGGAGCCTGTCGAGCCCGTCGAGTCCGAAAGAGAAGCCCTGAAAGAAGCCAACGAGGAAATCCAGGTGTTGCCTGCTGAGACACCACTTGTGGAGTCAAAGTCTCAGAAAAAGAAGCGAAAGAAGGCCGAAAAGGAAGCTGCTGAGATGAAGGCAGCCGAAAAAGCCTTACAAGAGCAACAACAGGAAATCCAAAACATTTCAACCGATGAGACCCTAGCCACTGAGGCTACTGCGACGACTGTGCCAGGACATGCTGCCTCCACCAGGGATTTTGAGACCGAATCCGCCGCTAAACCCAGTGTTCTGGAAGAGCCTGTCGTGACCGAGGAAGTTGCCCCACCTTCTACTGATGAGGCTCAGGTGCCTGCTGTTGAATTCCCTTCAGAGAATGTACTTGGATCTGTATATCAGCCTATCAAGCCTTCCGATGACAGCGCAGTTGTTTCCGAAGAGGCCTCCGTCCCTGCCGGCACCATTCGCGACCAGGCTGTGGAAGCTTCCCCTAAGCCTGACCTTCCCAAGCAAGGAGAATTAGGGCCACAAATCCTCGAAACGCTTCCTGTTTCAGAAGAGGTGCAAAATCCTGACGAACGGGCCAAGCTGCCTCTTGATGAGCCTGAACCTGAAAAGCCAATGACAGCATCTCAAAAGAAGAAGGAAAAGAGGAGGAAGCAAAAGGAGGAAGAGCGACGAAGGTCTTTGCTTCTTCAATCTGACGCTACTGCAGATGCTGAAACCTCTCCCCTTGGACAGCAAGATACTGAGCAGCCTGAAGCAGAGCCTATGGGAGTGGTGGAGCTTTCAAATTCTGAAAAAAATGAGCCTTCAATGGGACCCCAGACTATTGAGCCAGTAACAACAGAGGATGCTGATAAGGAACTCTCCATTAATGCTCCTAACGAAGAGCTGCCTCCTGCTCCTACCGAAGAGCTGCCCCCTGCTCCTACCGAAGAGCTGCCCCCTGCTCCTACCGAAGAGCTGCCCCCTGCTCCTACCGAAGAGCTGCCCCCTGCTCCTACCGAAGAGCTGCCTCCTGCTCCTGCTGACAATGTGCCTGTTTCCGAGCGTGTGGCTGCTGAAGAATCTACTCATATCACCCACCCGGTTGTTCAGGATCCTCACCCTGAGCTCCCAATTCAAACCAGCCAACCCGTTGGCGCTGAAGAGGCTGAGAAGCCGCGTGCGGAGCTCGAAGAATCAAATCCCGCAGAGGTACTAGCCGATGCCCCTGTGGAAAAAGGAAATATGCCGCAAGAGCCTCCTGCCGCCCAAGATCCGGAACAAGCGGAAGAAACTGGTACATCGAAGAGTAAGAAGAAAAAGAACAAGAAGAAAAAGAGCAAGTCTGTCGATGAGGAATCTCAAGTTGAGGTTGGGAAAGGTCATGAGCAGACCGATCCTCCTACCGAACACACCCAACCGCCTACTCCACCTGAAACTGGTGATTCCTTTGCCCGTCTTGAACAGCCACAAGAGCTTGAGGTTCCCGCCACAGGAGAGAGCCTAGAGGAAGCCCCTGGAGACCAAACTGTGAAGGAGCCGCCCCCAGAGCAAGTCTCTGAAAGTCAGGATGTATTTGGCCAGGAGTCAACAAACACAGCAGCCGATACTCAGGCGACTGAGACCCCTCTGGCTAAAGAGGGCCCAGATGAAGTGATCGAAGAGGTTCAGCCCGAAATACCTAGCCAAGAGCCTACTGAATCTCGCGTTGAGGACGTTGTTCCTGAAACGACCAACACCGAGGAGACCAAACTCAAGGAGGCTCCAACCGAAGAGCAGTTTACCATTGTTGAAGCATCTGCAGAGCCAGAGCCAGGGCCGGAGACTAAGCTTACAGCCAAGCAACTCAAGAAGCTCAAAAAGAAGCAACAGAAGGCATTGACGATGGATGCAACCTCAAGTTCTCCTGCCGAAACTGGAAAGGATACAGCCTCAGAAGCGACACCAGAGCTCTTTCTTACAGAGGAACCTGACACTGAAAAGTCGGTCGATGTAGCTCTCCCTGCGGAGGAAATGACAACTACCCGAGATGTTACTACAACTCAGCCGGAGACTACACACCCCGAGCCCCAGGAATCCCTGGATCAGGGAAACACTGAGCTTGAAGCTCCAGCTGACAACCAACCGACTGTAGACCTGGAAGCTGAAAAAGAGCCCAATGCATTGGACACCGCAAAGCCTGCCCCCGAACTCGAAAAGCCAATGACAGCAGCTCAACGGAGAAAGGAGAAGAAGAAGGCAAAGAAACGCGAGTCGCAAACCACGGATAAGGATTCTACCGAAATAAATGTTGAACCCCCCCGGCAATGACACCGAGAAAGCCGCAGCCAATACTACTGGACCCTCTGGACCCGTGACGGCTTCCTCGCCTGCGGAAGATTACGACGGTAAAGACCATCAGTCCCACGACACTGAAAAGCCCGACAGCACGGCAAAAGACATGACTCCGACTGATGATATCGTATTTCCGCAGGTAGAGAAGCAAGTGCTTGAGCGTTCATTTGATTCCGGCGAATTTGAGAAGGATGGTGGTGACGATTTCACAGTACCTACCATGGAAGAAGGAGATGTGTCGAATGTAGCGGAGGGAAGGATTGAGGGGCTTGATGATGCTCCGCAAAGCTCTATGGAAGCAACAGAAAAAATTGACCCGAAAATTGTGTCTACTGAGGAGACCGAGGAACCGAAGGAGAGGGAAGTGGCTGACGATAAGAAAGAGGAGGAGTTTGCCTTGCCAAAGGCAGATGAGGTGATGGAGACAAAACAATCTGAGGAAGCAACGCCTGTGGAAGTTGTTAGAGGCTCAGATGAAAAAGTTGAAAGTGCAGAAGAGATTCCTCCATCTGGACAAGAACAACTCGCTAGCGAGGAATCATCTCAACCGTTATCAAAAAAGCAAAGGAAGAAGGAGAAGGAGAAGCAGCGAAGGCAGCTGGAAGAGGAGGCAAAGGTCTTCGAACGTCGGCAACTGAGTGAGCCTGAGCCGGAAGTATCAACCGAACTGGCGCAGTCAAATGAGCCAGAGCATCAGGTGCAACCTGAACATTCGATTGAGCCTGATCAGCTAGTGGGATTTGAACAGCCGATCGAGCTAGAGCAGCCAGTTGATTCTGAACTGCCAATTGAGTTGGAAAAGCCAGTTGACTCGGAGCAGCCGGGGCATCTACCCCTTGAGTCTGAACAACCAAATCAAGATAACAAGACCGTTGAAGCTTCATCTGCCGATACCAGCGAGACCGCAAAGGAGTCAAGTGGAACTGAACAATCTACAGAAGCAAAAGCAGCGGTGACGGCCGAGCGATCCACTGACCAAGATATTGATATTCGCGACAATTCAGAGGAAAAGTCAACCGAAGCTCAGGAAAACGAAGTTCAACCCACTGATACTACCACTGATCCTATCCCCGAGGCCCCCTCTGGTAGTCTCAGCAAAAAGCAATTGAAAAAGCTTCGAAAGGCTGCACAGTCATCGGTTGACAAGGAGAAATGGGGACAACTGAGATGCACATTGGTAACGAGCCCGGCCAAGCCGAAGTCAAGCCTGCCGATCTCATTCAGGAACCACTGGCGAACCTCGGAGAGCGTAAAATCCAAGAGCAGTCGGAGTATGACGCTCCACAGGTGATAACTGGCTTCTCCGAGATTCCACCCGCCGAGTCGTCATTGGAGACAGAAGTGCAGCCTGAGCCTGAGTCTGAAGGACCGTCAGCGAACGAACGGCCTGTGAGTTCAAAGAAGAAGAGTAAAAAAGCCAAGAAAGCGGAGGTTTTCGCTGCCGCTGCCGCTGCCACTGCCACTGCGGTGTTGAATGAAGAGAAGGCGATCGAAGAGCCAGCAGCTCCAGCGGACAATTTCGATATTGCCAACGAACCACAAACAACGGAAGCAAATGTCGAACCCTCTGCGCCTATGGATGAAGAGGGGACTGACCCCTCTAAAGGCAAAGAGGTGCCGCTTGTGACATCTGGCCCTAATGAAGAAGTTCTGGAGCAGACTGTCAAAACCGCGGAGAGCCAAGCCGAGCCTGGAAGCCAAGAAACTGTTTTGGAACGAACAGGAGATTTAGATGAGACCGAGACTCCCAGTGTCGAAATGTCAGCCAAGGAGAAGCGCAAGGCTAAGAAGAAAGCTAAGAAAGCCCAAAAGGAGTCTGTTGATTTGAAAGATGTTCCACCCGAGGCGACACTGGCAGATGATGCTCTCGCCATCCAGGCGGAGCAAGTTGGCGCCCCTGAAAGCATGGCAGCTCCGCTTCCAGAGACAGCGGAGATATCGGTGATGCCAATGGAGCAAGAGCCCATCAAAGAAGAGAGTGACCAACCATCAGAAGACTTCGAGTTCATTGAGACAGCTGAGGCCCTCTCACCCCTCGAAGACCACCTTCTAAGCACGCCTGAAGAACCTAAAAATGAGGTCGCCGAGCCCAGTGGCCCAGGAATCTCTCGTGATTTAGAAGAAAACACGGTAGACATCAATGCCATGGAGCCGCTGGCTGGCGACGAAGCCAAGCGTAACGTTCCTGAGGATGCACCGAAAGAGGAGATTACAGAGCCCGAGGTAGCTGTACCCATGACAAGAAAGATGTCGAAGAAGGAGAAACGGAGAGCAAAGCAACAGGGTCTTCGAGAGGAAAGCCCCGACAAAGGGGCACCAAACTGTCGCTGACCTTGAGCCTCTGTCTACAGCAGTTGGAACTTCGGTACCCGAAACCCCTAATGAGGTCAAGTCAAACCCCTTAGAAGAGCAACCATTAGCGGCTGAGCCGAAGCCAATGCGGGAACTTCTGCCGGAATTACCAACTCAGCCTGGTCCTGCGCTCGAGTCCGAAACAATAGTCAACTCTCAACCTACCGAGGAACCTGCGTCAATTTCACGAAAGGCCTCGAAAAAAGCTGCAAAGAAGGCAAAGAGGGCCAGTCAAGCCGTCTCAGTTTCTCAAGAAGGCAACACGATCTCACTTGACAAAGAAACCCACGCTGATGCTGATATCTCGCTCCCGCTCTCGACTCAACGTGAGATAAATCAGGATGACGAAGAGTGGCCTACTATTGAGTGGGAACAAAGCAAATCAGAACAGCCTGAGCCGGTGCAAGATCACGTCACTGAGACTGATCCTGTTCTCCCCATCCCCGTTTCAGACACTATTGAAGAATATGATGAAGCGGCTATCCCGGAGGCATTGAGAGAAGCAAGACAAGAAAACAATAAGCCAATTGAAGATGAACCTTGGAGTGAGCTACCAGCTGAAACGTCTAAGGACGAGAAGAAATCGGGAATGGATGAGCCAGCTCCGGCTACAGAGAGTTCCCCCAAGAACTTCGATCTCCAGCCGGAGCCGCCAGTGGAAGCTCCTGCTCCCCAACAGGTTGAGACTGAGCCTCCTGCAAGAACTACAACCCCTGGAGGCTCCAAGCTTGCAAGCCTGTTCCCTGATTTGCCCCGTGGAGGGTTTAAACGATCTGCCGTGAAGCAGCCATCACCGTCGCCAAAAGATAGTGCTGAGGAAGAGAATGCAGTGGACTTGGAAGCTAATCGCGATATTGCGATCCCCGTCTCGGAAGCACCCCTCGAAGCGACCAGTGATATCAAAGAAATCGTTGACACCACCTATGAGCAACCAGCTGAGGCCACAAGGGGCATCAGTCCTTCACTTACGATACGTGATGCTTCAATGGGCGATATCTTTGCAGCGACGGAGGAATTTCCCCATGAGCCAGAGCTCCTGGTACAGAGCGAGAAGCTCTCGCGAGATTTATCGTCACTGCCAATGCAACCTGCATCAAAGGAACGATCTTCAGTGCTCTTTAGCTCATCCCCGTCTACTCGGACTGAAGACCCGTCCTCGCCACGGCACCCCCTGCCATCGCAATTCCATGCCGACACCGAACAGTTGAGTGGATTACGCCGATCATCATCTATCATCCATGGGCGACACCAACATACCCCCCGTACGTGGAGTCTAGATGAGTCTCCTATTCCTGCTACGCAAATCCCTTCGCCACCTCGGTCACTCTTTGGAGGTCCTGTTGCGGAACATGAATCCCTCTCCAGACCTCGAACTCCACTGGGAACAATCGCGGAGCAAGAGCCAGGGGAGGTGGAGAAATCGACCAAGCACAACAAAACTCCTCACTTGGAGATCAAACCTGAACATGTCTTACCTCGACCAATTACTCCCGTGCGAAAATTCACCGACAATGCCTTAGCTCGAGAGACTTGGCCAACGCCGGGAAATGAGCAGACTCGGCGAAGTCAAGAAAGCATGAGAGGCAACGAGTCACCAATTCTCAAAACTCCGGATCATGGGATGCCTGTGCTGAAGCCCACCAGTAGCAAGGGCAAGCTGCGTCGCACGAATCGGAGCACCAGTAGTGATCTGCGGGGGGCTAGTCGTGCGCTAGACTCCCAGCCTCCTAGTTCCGATCTCGATCAGCTCCCCTCTTCTTCCTCTTACGACCCTGTCACTGACAAGGGCAAAGGCCCGCTGCAAAACATGTCAGATGTCTATGTAAGTTAATCCTTTTATCTCCCGAAGTCTTGACGAAAGGGCCTTCTGGGTCTTGTTTGTTTGTTTACTAATGGTTTCCCAGGAGGGATGGGGTGAGACTCCCAACTCCCCGCGGTCGCCCAGCCGACCGCCTAGTGTCCGCCGCCGTCGCAGCATGCAACACCTAAATGAACTCGAATCCCGCCTTGATCAACTGATTTCCGAGAATCGATTACTCGCTGCCGCTCGCGATGAAGCTGAGGATAGATTGCGCAATGCCAGTGTCGCCCGCCGAAAGAGCGACCAGGCCCTCAACCTCAAGGGTGGCGACCTGCGGGACAAGGAAGCCGAGGTGGAACAACTCAAGACCTCGGTGGATTGGCTACAGAAGGAAATGGCGCGGTTGACCCAGGAGAATGAGAGCTTGACTGCATCTAATGCTGCCCTCGCTGCCGCCCATGCTGAAGAGGTCACCCGTGTGCGCAACTCATCAACCCGCGCATTGGAGGACCTACGGTCGCAACACGATGATCTCTCCTCCAGATGGAATCTCGCGTGCGACACGAGATTGAATCGGCGTTGGCCCAGAAAGATGCCGAACTACGTCGTCTGCGCCAAGAGCTCGAGGCCGCTCGCGACAAGGTGCAAGAACTCCAGCAACAAATTTCGGCATCCGTCAACGACAACGTTCTTGTCCTCCACGATGAAGACTACTTCGACGCCGCGTGCCAGAAACTCTGCGGCCATGTCCAACAATGGGTTTTGCGCTTTTCCAAGTACTCCGATAATCTTCGCTGCCGTTCCCTCAGTGAAGTGAATGACGAGAAAATCTCGGATCGCTACGACAATGCCCTTCTGGATGGTTCCGATTCCGAGGCATACCTGGCCGACCGCGTGCGCCGTCGTGACGTCTTCATGTCAGTAGTCATGACCATGGTATGGGAATACATCTTTACTCGATACCTCTTCGGTATGGACCGAGAGCAGCGTCAGAAATTGAAGTCCTTGGAGAAACAGCTAGCGGAGGTTGGCCCCAAACGCGCCGTCAACCGATGGCGTGCTACCACCTTGACTCTGCTGTCTCGCCGCCCAGCCTTTGCTGCTCAACGCCAAAATGACACCGAAGCCGTAGCTTTGGAAATCTTCGACACCTTATCACGTGTCCTTCCACCTCCGTCTAACAAAGAGGCGCAGCTGCTCGAATCTCTCCGCAAGGTGCTACGTATCGCTGTCAATCTCTCTCTGGAGATGCGAACTCAGTTGGCGGAGTTCATCATGCTCCCGCCCCTCCAGCCCGAATACGACACCAATGGAGACCTTGCCCGCCAAGTGTACTTCAATGCATCGCTGATGAATGAACGCAGCGGTGAAACTACCTCCAACGAGGAGTTGGAGGCGCAACAGGCTGTGGTCCGCATTGTACTCTTTCCTCTTGTTGTCAAGAAGGGCGACGATGTGGGCGAGGGCGACGAAGAGGAAGTCGTCTGCCCCGCTCAAGTCCTCGTTGCTCGCCCTGGCAAAGACAAAAAAATTTCTCGCATGATGAGCGGCGACCGTATGTCCTTTGATGCCAGCAAATCCGTTCACAGCGTGGCTCCTTCAACATTCACCATGGACATGGGTAGTAATCCGATCTGAGGCGTCACACTCCGATTGAATTGTCAGTCCATGGTTTCCCCTTCTCTTTCTTCAACGTGTTTTAATAGTGCCATGGCACTCTGGCGTTGCGTTCCTCTTCCATCTCTATTTTCTCTGGTGCGTGGTCTTGGGTCCTATGGAGTTATCTATGCTTAGTTTGTTATTGAGTTTTATTTACTTCTTTTCATGTTTTTTACTTTGCCTGTTCCAATGTTTTCCGGGATCTAAGGCTATTGAACATGTATTTACTATCTTTGATGTCTGATGAAGTGATGACTTGTACTTCTGCCACGACACTGTAATAGAATTCGTATCCTACTGTCATTACAAGAACCTCCACATTGTAGCCCTTGTCTCTATAATTTGTTGATAAGCTGAAGCTGCCCATGAGTCGCGGTTGTGACTTGCGTTCCCTTATCAAAGTACACAGTAGCATACACAGCGTCATGTCATAAATCACAAATTCAACTTGAAGTAGCTGCGTCGAAATTTTGATCTACGGGTATTTTCCTAGCATTTTCATCTCCAGGTTGATCGGCAGAACCAGAAAAGTCGAACTCATGGTTGAAGCCCTGGCTGACCTCATCCTTCCGTTTCGGGAATGAAGTCTTTGTCCCCCTGGGACTTCAGCTGAATTCTTCTGTTCATGGTGTGACGTGTGCTCTTCAGCCAGACATAAGCTTTCTCCAAGGTGGTCTCGCCTCTTGCTATCGTTGCTCCCTCGTTTCATGTGGCTATTGACCTTGTAAGCCTTCCTCCTATGTTGCACACTGTCTCGCCATATGCGTCATCCGTGGCCAGCTTGAACTTAGAGCTGGAGCTGCTGAAGATCCAGCTTACCGTCCATCATTGATCTGCGGAACATGAGAAGCTCGGGTCCAACCGATACCGAACTATTGCAAACAGAAAACGGCTAAAGCTCACGTGTGCAGCCTTCTCGCGACCTTATCAGCGTGCTGGTCCACTTCAATCAATCAGCGAGCTCAGGTGAAGTTTCTCTTCGCTGCCCAGGTGCCAACTGAATCGGGCTCAAGCTGCGCTTCACCGATCTGGCATCCATATTGCCATTCCCATAGGAGAACCCCGATCTGCGTGATCGATTACATTGAGATCCTGGCGCGGCAATGGAGAGAGCCGACATACCCGGCGCTCTGAGCGCTTCTCTCCCGCCCGCAACCCCCGCCTCATCCTCACGTCCAGCGAAAGGCACTCGACCTAACGATTACCCACTTTCCTCCGATAAGAAACCCGGGAACGGTCCAATGGACGCCTCAGCTCAAGGCCCTGCACCACCCATGTCATCCGGGTCCCGCTCGCAGATCCCTGCGCCCGAGAATGGCGCTGGGGCTCCTTCCAGAAACCAGAAGCGCAAAAAGAAGAATAAACGCAGGCCCCGCAATCGACAGCAAGCCGTTTTCACTTCCGCAGAAAACCTCACCTCGCATGAGCGGCCTGCTACTTCTTCAGGGACCGGTGATGCAAGAGACGTGATGGAAGGTGACCGGCCATTATCGAAGGACAAACCGCCGTTCTACAAATTAGGAAATAACCTGAGCAATACCAGCATTGAGAGCGATGCGCTGCTAGATCACCGGTAAGCTGTCTGCGATGCCCACTGCACGAGGATCGATTCTCTAACCCTGGTGTCGTGACAATCTAGGGACCAGCCAATGATGCGACCTCGCCGAGATAGCCGGCTCCCCTCGTCATTTCGCCCCAGCTCCCTCCTCGCCAGCGCCAGCGCCTACCGATCCACCGATTCGCGGTCTCGTACCAATGCGTCAGGGGGGAAGTCTCAAAATCAACAGGATGAAGAGAGCGATGGATCAGACGTCAATGACCGAACACCTTTGGTACGAAATACCTCGGACACCCTCGCTACGGAGCAGACATTCGTACTAGTCCGCTGTCAAGCCGTCCACGGCCACCCACCGGCCAGACACCCTCTTCCCAATCAACCCACAGCGCATCATATTTTCCCCAGGATGCAGACCGCGATTACGATGTGAATAATCCACCCTCAATGCCCGGGTCGCCAAAGCAAGGCCCGGAGATGAACTATGATGACGCGGTTGTCACCGGTGTGGAATTTGACTTTCCATCGGCATGGTCATTGGAAAATAGGAGGGAGTCCGTGGGTCGTCCGAATGATGCAGTGATTGACATGGACGGTGCATCGCCGCGCCAGAACTCGGAGCCTGCGTCACCGACTGAGCCATTATCATCACAGGAGCTCCGCCGCCGCCGCACGGTTACATTACCGGTCGAAGAGGACGTCTGCTTCCCCGCGCAGATCTCGGAGCTTGGGGATGAAGGCCCACGGATATCACGAGACGAAACTGGGGAGCGCCGGCGGCGGAGACATCGACAATGGCCAGATCTTTCGGTCCTGGAGGAATGGAGTCGCGAAGAGAAGGAGGATCGCAGCGGAGATGTGCGTGTGAAAAAGATCAGCGAGCCGGTGCTCATTGAGGGCCGATTGCGTCCTCAGTACAAAACGTGGCGTCGTGAGGAAGACGATGCGCCGTATCGGTTCACCTATTTCAACGAAGAATTTCAGAGCACCATACACGCCCAGACAATATCTGAGTTGGTGCAACCTGGTGGGAGTTTCCGGGACTTGTTCATCCCAGACCCGCCGGAGTTGGAGGATTCGTCTTCCGACGAAGAGGAGGATGATCATTTCGCCAGCGAACACCAAAATCCTCCCCCTCCTGCCAGCTTGGGCCCTCGAGGTGGATCATCACAGCCGGATCTCCATTCCTCGACAGATGGTGTAGCGTCATGGATGCCTAGCAATGGCCGGAATGCCCCCGACTCGGGTGCAGCTGTTCCAAACGGAGGCAAACAACAGGACCGACTATCTGCCATTGCCGAGAGCCGACCTCCTTCCCACCGTGAGAATTCACCTTCCGTTTCACATATTGCAACGAAACCCAAGCGATATGGGCCTCGGCCTACCTTTTGGTTAGACGTGCTGTCTCCCACGGATGCAGAGATGCGAGTTATTGCCAAAACCTTTGGAATTCATGCATTGACGGCAGAGGACATCATGATGCAAGAAGCTCGTGAGAAAGTGGAGCTTTTCCGCAGCTACTACTTCGTCAACTATCGTACCTTCGAACAAGATCGAAATAGTGAAGACTACCTCGAGCCTGTCAACATGTACGTTGTTGTCTTCCGCGAGGGTGTGATTTCTTTCCACTTCTCCCAGACACCGCACCCTGCCAATGTACGGCGGCGGATCCGGCAACTCATGGACTATCTGATTCTCAGCTCAGATTGGATTTCCTATGCTCTCATTGACGATATCACTGATGTGTTTGGTCCTCTGATCCAAGCCATCGAAGATGAAGTCGATGAAATAGATGAAATGATTATGCAGATGCATTCGTCTGCGTCTAAGGACGGAGCAACTAACGATACTCTTGTTCCCTCGTTTGGTCCTGGAGAGATGTTGCGACGAGTTGGCCAGTGCCGGAAGAAGGTGATGGGGCTCTACCGCCTGCTCAGCAACAAGGCCGACGTCGTGAAGGGGTTTGCGAAGCGTTGCAATGAGCAGTGGGAAGTTGCTCCGAAGTCTGAAATTGGTTTGTATCTGGGTGATATTCAGGACCACATTATGACCATGACTGGTAATTTAACACATTACGAAACGTATGTGAAAATCTGTCTTATCTTGCTTCTGATAGACAATGCTAATGGTTGAGAGGTGTAGGATCCTGTCTCGGGCACACTCCAACTACCTGGCCCAGATTAATATCCTTATGAATGAGCGGCAAGAGCAGACCGCCGATGTCTTGGGTAAACTGACTGTGCTTGGTACCATTGTACTTCCTATGAATATCATCTGTGGTATGTGGGGTATGAACGTCAAGGTTCCAGGTCAAGACGTTGAGAACTTGAATTGGTTCTGGTCAAGTAAGTAGTTTTGCGCCCCTGCAGTCCCACACACATGATAGTCTGACCATGGAGATAGTTACGGCCGGCTTGTTCGTCTTTGCAACGTTATCATTTGTGATCGCCAAGCGGGTCTACAAAATCGTATAGGGTCTTACTGCCTCACCCTTGTTGACCCAGTGGCGTGGACGCGGCCTTGGGCCTCCTGGAACAATTTTTTTTCTTTCTGTCCTTCTGTCTATATGCAGAATATCCTCTTCTGTCAAAATACATGGAGTGGATCAGTTGAGCATTCCCTGGCGTTTTTGAATATGGACAATATACGGGTCTGTACGTGGGATGATTTTGGGTTTGTCGTAGTTGGCTCTGTCCTTGTATATACCACCGGGCGTCGAATGCTCCCAGTTTATTCTTATCTTTAATCGGTTATTGATTTTTTGACTCTGAAATTCTTTTTATAATTTTTTTTTTTCTATCCTCGCAATGCTAGGGATGATGTCTGTACACCGACATTCACTAGCCAACCCAGGCTCCATAGTACGTGCTAGTGTGTTCCATCGTTGATCCAGCAACCCCATTATCTATGTGAGATAGAGTACGGGGGATGTCTGTTAAAGGGCCAGTGGAGATAATCAGGCGAGTCGTGCCTACCAACTTAGAAAACCATACCAGGGTTCCAGTAAAAAAATACTCCTAAGCGACAATAACCCTGTGCTGGTGCGCTAATCCGAGTTGGTCGACATCTCCAGGGCTCCATCCCGAGGTCCGTCCTGGATGAGGTCATCATGATTGTGGTATTACGGAGACGGCGTAATTTACGATCTAAGCAAATCGTCTCACCTCGTTCACGCCAGGAGAAAAGACAGCCGCCCTTTCCTACTTTTCCGGTTTCTTACCAGTCTTGATTACCCTGCGTCATCTCACAATCCCCGGATTTCCGTTTTCACGTTTCTTTGGGTTCTCTTCTGGGTGTTTTGGGTCTTTTAATCCCAAGTTGACTTTCCCCTCTTTCCCAAAGAAACCCATGGTTTCCTACCGTCCCATCTAGACCCGTTGACCGCGTGTTCCCCCTGCAGCCCCAAGACCTTTGGACCTGACGTGGGCCACCGTTATTGGCCTTCCTGCCGGTGCCGGCCCTGACCCTCTTCGTTAGCCACCGGACGAGGTTGTGGTCACCGGCTTCTCTGCAGGCCCTGCAGGCTCAACCTGGCGAGCGCCACATCTGGCTCCAGCAGGTAAAAAACAAGTCTTAGTCCTAACGTCGACCCGGATCGGCAGCCCCCATCCTCACCCACCAACCACCGCCCTCCACCTCCGAGCCACCTTGTTCTAGACGTTCTGGTTTTGCCCCGGAAACAAAACCGTGCTTGATCTTCTCGATCTATTACCTGCTTACAGTTCACGCCCCTACTTGAAGTTGATCAGCATGTGCGCTTCGGCTATTGCTCCTGCTCTCGTGTAACACCTTTCCCTCTGCGCAACATTGCCGCTAGGCACCGCGGCACGCCCTTATTCGCCCTTCATCCTGCCAACACCGCGTCTCACTTCTCCATTCCCGATCCTGCAACATTGCTTTTCCGATTCCCTTTTTGGGACCTCGTGTCTGCCCAACCTTCCCCGGCATCCTCTCGGGTCTCCTGACTTGTCTGTATCGTGTCAACCTATCCCGGCTCGATAGCGACCATGGCTGCGGAGTCCGAGAGGCCGCCTTACCTCCACGGTGCCTCTGGTCGAACCAGGGATGCCAAGGATCCGGAAGCCGCATCAGATCCCACTGAGTTGGCCAACGACAGCGACATGGGCGATTTACCTCACCTGGGTGGGAAGTCCTCCACTCTGGCCATGACACAAGTGCCCAAACTTGCACCAAGTTTCCCAGTCACCTCCGCTTCACCGTCCAGTCCCAACTCCGTTGTCTCATCCCGCGAGTCTTCGCCGGTCCGAAAATCTTCACGAACCGTCAATTCATCCGCCGTTGGCCGAGTGCGCTCTCAATCCCGCAAGAGCAGTCAAGACCGGCCCAGTCCGACTCGTTCGTCCGCCAACGGGCACTCTCCTTCTACCACCACGCCATCAGCCCCGCGAGAATCGGCACATCCCGACAGTACCCCCGTCCTCCCCCCTCCTGCCTCGACCGACTCCCCAACCAATGTCCTCAGTCCGGAGAAGACCAATATGCCACTACGGGCGGGAAATCGTCGTACAGATTCGGAATCTACACCGCCCAATACCTCTCTCAAACGGTCGTCAACTCGATCACCGCCAGACGAGCATGGACAGGTCGACCGAAGCGCTCCTCGTGCGGTCACGAGGGGAGCCAGTGGACAAGGGCCACCCCTGGAGACGGTTCAGGAACTGGCCAGCAACCCATCTACTCCTTCCGGCGAATCCATCTTCAAACCAAGCACTCCGGATGATTCACGGTTACACACAATCGACGAAGACCCGACACCTCGAGCGTTGAAGCAGAATGCCGAAAGTGGAAGTGACAGTGGCGGTAATCGAAGTTCTGGCACGAAAGATGAGGAGCCGTCGAATGCCACAGGAACTACAAAGCCCGCAAAGACTCTTATGCCTCAACGTTCTACGGCGTCTCTTAGCGCTGGCGCTCGAAATAAGCCCGCTGATGGGTCGGTTCGCAATATGGTCGTGGAGACTGAGACGGTGAATTCCATCCTTCAAGTCTCTCTGGGTGTGGGGACCGGCGAACGTGGGAACGCCAGTCGAACTGATCAAGCCCCCCCTCAGAAGCCGTGCCTCAGAAGAAACAATTCGGATGCTCCGGAAAGAGCGCAATCCCAAGAAGCGACGAATTAATCCGCCCACGGGCCCTACATCCAGCAAGGCAGATATCTTCGAGGCCAAGGTGGCTAGTGCCGTGGATGAAGCTGATGTGTCTGACTCTGATGAGACATTTGTATACGAATCCAACCCACCTGATCCATTTCCCGCTCGGCAACGGCGATATCATTCCCGAACACCCAGCGCAACTTCGATGGCGAGCCAGGCTGATCAGCGGCCCGTTCGAGTGGCAGCCATCAGCAATGGAAACCACAGTGTTACCGGGAAACGAAGCATGAAATTCACCAACAATACCTACAATGGGAGCTTGGACGGGGAGTCTATAGATGGAGACGCCGTGCGAAACACGAACGCTTCCGGCACTGTTACCCCTCGACATCTCCACCTCGGGCGTTCGCACCGCACCAACGGTGGAGGTTATCAGTCTATATTTGACAGCAACTCGCCTTTCCCGCATCAGCAACATCAACCTAAGTCCCCACGCCATGTCACTGGCAGCATTCGGCATTCACGGTCCAGCCCTCGGTCAAATCCAGGTTACAAGACCTTCGGTAGCTCCAAACAGGGTGGCGACGTGTATGATTTTGAAGCCGAAGGTGCGGATGACGAGGGCACGCCCTTGGTAACCCCTCGTCCTCCGCGCAGTCGTGCCGGTCGTCGTCCTAATAGCACAAGTCTCCGCCAAATGGAATACATGGCCCAACGACAACGGGGGTATTTTTCACGCTATGGATCATGTATCATCATCTTGTTGCTACTGCTGATTATTGCCGGTGGGGTGACTTCATTCATCATTGCCGCGACTCGAACGCTTTTGGATGTTCAGGTCGTTAATATCCAGAACGTGTTGGCCTCCGAGCAGGAGCTCATGCTTGATCTCAACGTGCAGGCCGTCAACCCGAACATTTTCCCTCTCACAATCGACGACACCGATCTCAACATCTTCGCCCGGAGTCGATATGTCGGCACAGACAAATTTTGGCGCGAGCACGGTTCTGATGAGCTGGAGAAGTTTCCTCTTCCACGTACTAAGGAAAGTCAGCGCCGCTGGCAGTTTTCTCAGATTGTCCGATGCCTCGGAAATATGGAGTGCGTGGCGGAATCGGTGGCTAGGAAAGCCGCAACCTCGACCGAGAGCAAGGGAGGAGGCGTTGATCATGGCACCGACCCTATCGATGACCCTGAAAGCGACTCCCAAACCATGTTGCTTGGCCGAGTCTTCCATTTCGACTCCCCACTCTCCTTTGAGGCTTCACCGTGGAGCAACCGCCCATCCACTTCTAAAGGACAGATCCGTCTTCCTCGGCCTGGAAACAAGACCGAGGAAGGTGGTACCGAGCGCTGGGAGCGAGTCCTTCAACACCAGTTCGACTTGATTGCACGCGGAGTGATCAAGTACCAGATCCCCCTCAGCTCTCGCTACTTCTCCGCTTCCGTCAATTCCAAGGTTAAGGTTGTCCCTAGTGATGACAGCAATGGCCCTGACGACAAGGTTCCAAGTAATGAAACCGCCACGATCTCTTTCAAGAGACCAAGCTCCCCCTTCCTCCTCGCGGATCCCGCGAGTCCCGATTCTACCTCCCAAGGATCGACTCTCTGAACGACAGTTTATGGCATAATCACTGGTTTTCTTTTCCCTTTTTCCCTTTCACTTTCCCCCTCTCAGCGATAGAACGATTGCATATTTACGACAGCCCTTCTTGCTTTACTTCCCTCTTGGGTCTGTTCTCTTGGCGTAATAGAGAAGCAAAAATTCCCACTCTGATGGGCACCCGATGGGTCCCTTTCGTCTGATTTTGCATTCAATGTATACTCATTCCTAATGTTGTTCTTGTATCGGATGGACTTATGGGTCACCATTTGAAGGTTCAGTGCACCTCGACATGACCATGACCTTAACTTGTCCGCGTTTTCTCTGTACAGGATCCATCTTTTTTCGCTTGAGGCGAGGTTTATGTTGTTACGACCAGATGGGTAGGGTGTTTGTTTTGGCCGCCTTCCATCGCTTACTTGGCCGCCTGCCATTCCATTTTCCTTCCCCTCGCCATGTACACATATTTTACGATTTCCCTATGTGTCCGTGAGAAGTATCTTATGAATATCATTTATTCTAATCGAGCGGCAGACAATCTTCGCACGACCTATCATGCGTAACATGCGTTGCTGAACAAGTAGCTACTAGCAAGACTATTAGATGTATCCGGAATGAAACTTGTACTAGCACTGGTATGTGACCTGCTCCCACCCTTCCACGGTTGTGGAATACGTCTGTTCTACGTTTGGATGATGTGCAGCGCGGAGAGCATTCTGCGGTACTATCAAGGTGTTATTTCGTCAAGAAGGAGCGTTGAAAGACTACATTAGTGGAATATTGGCAAAAGACGGCAGTTTAGCGCGAGTAGAACGTCAACCGTGAATCGTCATCGTTGAGCAGGGCGTCCAAGTCATTCATAAATCACAAACGTATTGTAGCAGGTAATAGCGAAATCATGTAGGAGCGAAGCAGGGTGACCAAGGAGATAAGAAGACATGAGAGGCATAGGCAAATACAGTCGTAAGAAACCGAATACAGATCAGAAAGCCAGCCCGGATACAAACTCAAAAAGTCAAAACTTGAGAAGCCAAATCACTAAGGGCACCCACAGTACTAGTCGAAACCGGGTCGGGTTCCAATGAAGAAATGAAGGGATAATCAAAATAGCAGTCGAGTGAGTTTCCGCAGCAGGGGATCTTCGTTTAATATTTCAGATAGATCAGGGTTGCGTGAAAGCGGACGACCATTTTTGTCGAAGCGATCGGGAAGATCTATGGTCGATTCCGAGTCGGAACTGCCAGGTGACTGGGGCCTCCGATTAGGGTCATGGGGGTGTGAATTAGAGGCAAACTGGCTTGACTGGTGTGGGTGGGACGAAGATAGAGGGCCACGGTGCCCAGAGGAGCGGTCGGAGGGTTTCCGCTGGGAGTCCAAAGAAGAGTCACTGTCGTCAGTCTCATAGCCAGAATCCTGGGGTGGTTCGAGAGCAAAAGCTACGCTCTTGCTCAATTTGGCCTTGGAGTCTGGCGTGGACGGTTCTTCGTTGGGAATGCCTAATGCTAAATCGCTGTCAGAATCGGGTGTTTCTAATCATACGTCGTCAGGTTCAAAGAACCCACTCGCTCTTCCTTGGGCTTGAGCCTTGGGATTGGATCTCACATTTTCATCGGCATGACGAGGTCGAGGGGCATAGGTCTCCGTACCTTGGCCGGGGGCTCCATAATTGTAGGGCTGCGATGGCGGCGCGGCCCCGGGGGTGGAGGGTAGTCTGCCGGGTTGTATGGGCCTGGGGGCGCGTTCAAATTGGTCGTAGAGGGAGGTGGCGGGGGGAAATTGTTGGTATTGGGGTAGTAGTTGTCGCCCTGCGGGGGTTGAGGAGGGGTGCCTCGGGGTATTGCCCTGGGTTGTAAAGGTCCCCATACGGATCAGCCCCATCATAGCCTTTAAGAAACTTGTTAGAAGTCGTTTCCATTATTGTCTTGGAAAAGTCATTGATGAACTTACGTGCCCGGTCATCGCGATCACCCTTATGACGGTGTCTATGGCGTCTTTCCCGATCAGATTCGTCGGGGCTGCTGCTGTAGCGACCTCGACTGCGGCTGCGGCGACTGCGGCTACGGCTGCGGGAAGATCGGGGCCCATCAGAGTAGTATGGAGCGCCGGGGCTGGGTGGCTGGCCGTAGTAGTGGTCAGCCGGGATACTACCGGCGACACCGCCGTTGCCGTATTCAATCAGACCGGCCGAATCGCGAGTGGGATCGGGGTATGACCCGTCTATTGGAGCTCCGCGGCTGTGAGATCGAGAACGACGTCGTTCACGGGATTTTCCCTCTTTTTCTTGCTTTTCGGCCTTCTTCTTCTCGTAGAGACCAGTGGCGGCTGCGGTCCCCAGACCAGCGACGACAACTGGAAGGGCTTGTCTCAATCGACTTTGAGACCGCTTGTGCTTACCCGAGCGCGAGCGGCTTCTGGCATATTGGGCAATGCCACCCAGAGCTGCACCAGCGGCGCCAGCCTCGATCATATGCTTTCGGCGCCGGGACAAGCTGCGATCATCACCCTTCTCAGAGCGAGTCGTGCTGAGACCACGACCGCGGGACTTGGAACGGCTCCGGGAGCGAGAGCGGCGCTCTTCTTTATCCTTGTTGTTGTTACGAAGAGCGGCCACACCAGCAGCCACCGCGGCAGCGCCCACACCCAGCTCGAGCAGGGTCTTCGCACGCGAGTGGGAGTGAGAGCGGCTGCGACTGCGGCTTCTACTGTGACGGCCACGACTGCGATGACGGCTGCGGCTCTTGCTGCGGTAGTAGTCACGGATATGGGAAGCAGCATTGACGGCAACAGCACCCAAGGCGCCGGCACCGGCGGTTTTCGCGGCATGGCTTACGCCATGGCTCACTTCCTTACCATTCCGCTTGCTGCGGCTTCGTACAAGCTCTGCGGCACCCATACCTACCAAAGCTCCCTCGGCCAGGTGGCGGCGGTGATGAGGGTGTTCGTCGTCGTAGTCACGGGTCTCTTTGCGAATATAGACCATGCTGTCATCGCTGCTGTAATCCTCCCGGTCTCGGTCACTGCGACGACGGCGGCTGGTCTGGGAGATGGAATCATCCGGGCTTATATCGCGACGGGAGCGACGATCATCATAGCGACGACGACGGTAGTAGACGTCGTCCTCGGCATCGGAACGACGTACCATCTCGTAGTCGGATTCACGGGAATTAACATAGCGAGCTTTAGGAACCATTACTAATTGTTCTCGACGACTGGGGTAGCCACCATGATGTGCACGATATTCACGACGTTCGTCATGGCAATGACTCCGCATATCCAGGGATTCCAGGGACTGGGAGATGGGTCCGATATGCTGGGCTCTGGGGGTAGACTTACGTTCGTAATCATCATCATAACGACGGGGAGGGGGTAGTAGTCCACCTCGCGCTTGTAGCGCTGGATCTCCAGGGGCTCCTCGCGATCGGTCCTGCGGCGAATCACTAGTTCATCTCGGCGGTCGTCGCGGCGGTCGTCGCGATCGTCGGATCCAACAACGTAGCGCTTGATGGTGATGGGCCGGTCGTAGTCGTCGTACTCGTCGCGCACACTCTCCCGATAGTACGACATGGTACGTGGATGTGTGCAGAGAACGAGAAGATGATAAGGTCAAAGCGATGGAAGTTTGGCAAGAGGGACAAATGAGGATTTGAGAGGGGCCCGGAAATAGAGGGGCAGAGAGGGATTTGAGGGGGGGCGCAGGTAAGTGGGGTAGCAAAGCGGTGATTTGCCTTCGACTTGACTGGATTCGGCGACTGAATGATGTCGTTCCGGTTGAACTCGGGCTTCCAGAAGGCGATCGAACAGGGCCTGCCTGAATGATTCACAATGACCGCACCGTCGGGCAGCAGGTGGCCTTACTAGCCCTTAGTCGTCGATCCGCGAGCCTCTTGTGGAGATCGGGCTCTCAGGCAGCAAGTGGGACGGGACGGTAGGTTGGGCGTGGCCAGAAAAGAAGGGGAAGAATGTAGATAGATAGGAAAGCAGGAGAGACTCCAGGATTTGAGGGTTCGAGTGCGTTGAGGTGTCGCGATTTGGTGATTTTGAGACTGGGAGGAGGGGTAACAAAGGCGAACTTTAAAGCGCATCACCTGAGGCTCTGGAGGTGCAGAAATCGCGCCCCGTCAACGCACGGCGGGCCAAAAACACTGCAGCCAAAGGGGGACAGACCTGTGGCAACAAATGGTGGCTTGGATTGTTTACTTCCCGTCCTACTTTGGGCCTACAGGGTCTGATATTCGCTTCCCCGTGGTTCCTTCCCGCTCAGCACCACGGAAACCTGGGTGGATCCTTCCCAAGGCGCTTCTTGAGGCAGACTTGAGGCAGATTTGCGGCAGACTACCTCGTATCCTCATGCACGCCCCGACAAGAGTCGAGGCGGGCAGGAGCTTCAGCGCTAGCCTCAGCCAGTGAGGCTGTGAAGCCCCGGAACATACGCCCCCCCTCACCTTCACAATGAAGCTCACGGAGTCTCAGCTTTAAGTTTCATCTTTCCTCAGTTTCTTCCGAACCACCAGTCCTATTGCCAACTTTTCGAGTTTCGGCGATTTGGGATGAGGGGCATTGCCCCATCGATGACGTCAGGGCCTCAACGGGTCTCGAGGGTCTCGAGGGTATAGAGAGTACGCAGTTCCAATCTGCGTACACATTTACTAAACTCTCGGGGTGCCACGGCTTTCGTATTGACCCCTCTAAGAATTGCGTATGCGACTGATACAGTACAAAGCATTGCGACGTCGCCAGGTCGCTGGGTAATACAAATGACGAGGTCTTCCGAGGAGACTTCCTGGCAGAGACCAGCTCTTTTCCTCCAGAATGACGTTGAGGATTGCGTTTGCTTTGCATGTGTCCCGGTGAATTATGGCAAATCGTACTACGGTGGAACAGAGGGCGGCTAGAAGGTGCTGAGGTATCGTGTGGTGGAACACAGCTCGCATACTCGGGCAGATCAGGCAGACCAATGTGCACATACTAGTGGCTGAACGCATCCTAATTTGGGCACGTGGAGTGGTCTATACCAGACTGACATTCTGGCTTTCAACCGATTCTCAACTGATAATACTCTCTGCCTGCCCATGGTCACCACCACTGTGTCAGAGTAAGACACCTGGGGGGGGGGGTCGGCAGCTTAGCAGGGGTTACCCGTACGCTGTCTGGTCAGGAGAAGATGGCTACGAGGCGGCGATCTTGGTACGAGAATAAAAAAGCCCAAAAGTTCCCACCGATAGCCTAGGGTGCGAAGAATGAACCTGGCAGAGTTACGAGACAGTCCTGGCGATCCGAGCTCGTGCCCTTCTGCTCAGCGTTGACCCTTGACGAACCAGGGAGATCCCAGAGTGGTCGGGAGGCGCCCCCAAGGCGATTAAGAGGAGATATAGTTCTGCCCGTTGGACACAGGCTCCGTGGAGGAGTAGTCATCGGGGCAGACGGCGAACATCGAATGGTACTAAGGCCAGTAGCTGCTGTACCCATGAAGTTTTGTACCATTCTTCTAGGAGGGATTTTTCGAGCGCTTTTGATAGAAATTGTGCAAGTGGCGCGAGCGAGGCAGCGCCCTTCGCCCCAACGATGCAATGCCCTGGAATCCCACGTGTTGACAGAATGCTCATTGTGTTGCAGAGCATCCAAGGAAGCTCAAGCGCTATTGCCACTTGATGGTCGGCTGAAGCTATCACCGATCTCGTTTCCGCCAAGTGAAGTTGCATCGCAGGAAACATTTGTGACCTGTGGCTTCTTCGAGAACGGCCATTGGATACATCTCGACTGTGGCCATTTTGATGCCCTTAATTACATACGTCCTGCTTACCGCGGACACGCTTCCGGCTTCAAAATTGTTGGCCTTGCCTCATGAGAAGATGTTAATTTGTAGACGTGTCGCTGACAACAATGGATAATAATTTCCTAGTACCAGTATTAAAGATTTCATCTGTCTGGTCTTGACGAGAGCTTGATCAAGTGAATAGCAATAGTCTATGTTACTCTATCGAATTCAGATCTTTTATAACAATTTAACCTGCAACTACTCCGTAGCAACTTGAACATATGAGGAGGAAATCTCAGTCATTCATCATGGTCGCATTAAAATGAAACAAAGTCCAGCCTTGTCCGCGGTTTTTTGGGTTCCTCCAAAGAAGAAAAGATGATAATTAACAACAAGTAGAACGGATTAAAAGACGCCCCTTGCTTAAGCAGCTTATGATTCCGGCGGATACGATCCCATTGACGGATTCAACGTATCCCACGGGATGGATGTGGGACCCAGCCAATTCTGCGGTTGCAGGTGGATCCCAAAACTCGAATGCATAGTCGGTTCGCTGGTTGAGGAAGAGACAGTGGGTACGGGCGAGTGGGCCAGGGGATTTGACAAAAGGAAGCTTTCCGACATTGTCCCGGTGGGCATGCTGTGTGCCAAAGGGAACACTTGGGCTTGCGCTTCGTATTGATAATGAGGCAGTGGCTGGGGTGGTGATGGTTGTGTATGCCGGATCTGCATTTTCGACTGCTGCTTGGCCTGGCTGTATTGAGTCGAAGCGACGTCACTTGATAGATGTTAGTATGAGATCAAGGGTAAGATGTCCTACGTAGGGGCACATACATGATCTGGCGAACAACGGGCACTGCCTTGCTGCAAAAGATACTTCGTACCGATAGGGCTGCGAACATTTCGAGAGCTCGACGGAGAAATGCTTTCATTTCATCGAATTCTGCGGGGTTCTCGGGGTGCAAAAGCCCGATCGCTAGAACGACAGCCGCATGGAATGCGTGGAAGCTGCCTAGGCCACTGGTGTACCATTTGTAAGGCGCGAATTGCGGTGCTTCCAGCAAGGTCTGGAAAATCGTTAACGATGTCTTCGCCGATGAGATGCATTTGGCCCGCGTGTCGCTGGTCTCCTGCGTGATTTCGCCTTGGAGGTATCGACAGAGGGTGGGACGGAGGAGAAGCAGAAGAAGTTGATGGATCTGGCTGTAAAGGATGTTCAGATTGGCTTGATGGTGGACTGCTAGAGTCTCCTCATTGGAATCCAGCGTGTAGCGCGCATCACACATGTCACGAACTGCTAAAATTTCGGCCTCGAGCTGAGAGACAGAATATCGAGACAATTGAGGATAGCTGAAGATAGTCTCACAGACTTTATTGGATATCTTGTAAAGCCTGAACGTGAGGAGAAGGTAGGTCATCTGAGTCGGCCGGCCAGCGGATGGCGAAGTCGATGGGTCTGAGGTTATCGGCATGCTAGGGCTCGTGAGGAGATCGATGTCATCCACGTCAGCTGGCACCTTCACATCTTGTGACAGCATCTGTTGATCCAAGCTACCGAAAGAGGTATTCTGGATTGTGTAAAGCAGCATAAGCCCCGCCCAGACACGGCGCCTTTCCTCCCGCTCAATTGGACCCAGCATAAATCGTTCTGGATCTATGTGGCATCCCATAGAAATGGCGACATGGTGAGTGAGTCCCAGCAAGGTCCAGAAAGCGAGCCCGCGCTGTAGTCTTGCATAGCTTATGAGAACCAAGGCTTGAAGAGAGCTAATCGAATGACGAGTCATGACACCGTCAGCCGCCAGGCAGCGAAGAGCTGCAGACCGGTAGCGGGCAGAAAGAACCTTGATGTTTCGACTGACAGTCCTCTCGCCGAGGTCAGAGAGAAGTGGGTCATCGTCATCAAGCGCACTTACAGCAATAGCCAGTATTGCGAAAAGCAGAGACAGCCATGCTATTGAAACACTTGAGGGATCGTGGCAGAACTGTTGGTATTCTGCCTCAAACGTCATATCATGGAGAATATGGAAAACCTTGTAAAGATTAGTCCCCATGCCTCGCTAGGCCGCTACAAATGAGATGGGAGTACTCACCGGAGAGAAAACGCGGAAGTATACTTCTTTCAAAGTATCGCAGTACTGCCCAGGCGGAAGCAGCCCCAGCAGTTCCGAGCGAGATATGCTCCCGTTCCGAGCCAATGGGATCTGCAAGTCGTCATCGTCCACCAGATCCGCATCTGAATCTCGCAAGCACTCCGCAGCGGAGCTCTTTGCGACAACCGACTCCCATTGCGATGCCTGTGGCACGTAGCGAACATGTCCCGAGGGCGAAGTATGAAGAGTCCCGATGTTGCCTAACATCGGGCTCTTGAAATCCCAGTCGAGTGCTGTCCCAAAATCAGACTCCGAAAAACTGCCCGTTGTACTCACGCCACCCCTGGGGAGTTTGCCACCGGTGTCCCTGCTTGTGAGTTGGCCTGTTTATGCAGCATTCCCTCTAGATTGCGGATTCGAGCAAGAAGCTCATTCTGCACCGTTAGATCTGCTGTCCCAGTTTGCTCAGTTGATAGACGGGGCTGGCCGAGATAGATGCAGTCTTCTGCCCCCAGGCCTCGTCTGACACATGTCTGGCATGGGCGTCCGTCGCGTGAGCACCGGATCTTTCGTGTTCGACAAGCCTGGCAGCTTATGGGAAGCCGTTTACCCGATGACCGGGATGAGGCAGCCATGAATACCTGGATGAGATGTGGATTGCCGAAAGACTAGCCCTCAGTCAAACTGTTGTCGACGGTGGAAGCTTTTTGACGACGTCGGTGTAGACCAAAAGAAACGGCGCACTATCTCAGAGAAAAAAACGTGAACAGGGCGTTCAAGTGTAGTGGGCCAGGTGGCGTCATCCACTAGTATCGCAGTCTCAATTGTAGTCACGGTCGTTAAAGCTTATTCTGCTCTAGATTTCAAAACGGGTCTGGAACTGGGGCGCGGGGAGATTCAGGGCTCTTTAAGGAAGGGGAATCGAAAGGCGTTCTATTGCGCTGATCAGGTGCATCTTGAGAGCCCCAGATTCTTCTATCTAAAAATGGGCTTTTCCACTGTCCAGAACAGAGAAGGCAAACGTCTCCAACTTGATTATTCTACCAGAGCCAGCTGAACAGGATTGACATATGCTTCGCCCCTGGCCTGCCAGTCGGCAGGGAGAATTCCAGAGCGCCAGAAGCCCTAAAGTCCCGGACCATTCAGACTAGCACAAATAGGTCTGAAACGGGGCAACCGAGCTTGCATATGGTGGAGCACTCAATATTCTGGAAGTCTTCTTTTTGGCATCTCACAGACCCACACTCGATCGGAAGAGCGGGTCCTGTTCCCATGTGGAAAGACGGGATGGATGGGGTGGCAGATGTCAGGCAACATAATACCTCGGATGGACGGCACATTCTGAATCATCCCTCGTCGCGCCTTCCAGCTGAAATCACACGTCGGGCTGAGTAAACGAGCCATAGGGGATCTGCCGAGGTGAAAGCTGTTGGAGAGGCAAACGCGACGTTTCTTCCACTGAAACTCCTCACTTCATCTGGCGGGACAGGGATCTGAAAACTCTGTCATAATGTGCTTCTGCACCCGATAGGACGGTTCTGGGTTTTGCGAGCCTGATTTCGGTTAGTCCGACAGCCTATAACCTTTTTAAGACTGGAAAAAATTTCAGTCACTATTGCCACTAGAAGCGGCCTAAACACCTGTGATCTTTTCAGGAGTTTGGCGAATCATAATAGCTGTAGGCGTAGGGTGCATAACTCCAATGCATCTCCCCTCTTAGCACATTTTAGCCACACTGAGGCACAAGCTGCCACAGCCACAGGCAGAAGCATTTCGATTCGTGCCACGGAGCCGCTGGGGAAGTGCAACCAAATCCTGCGTGCGGTACCTGTCCGAGGCGAGATTTGTCGGGATATTCGATTGCGATTAATAACGGGCAAACACGCCGGGTATGATGGCTTTGGTCCGGGGCAACCCAGTTCCGCGGAAATGGGGCGCTTCGGAAAACCCCCCAGATCTTGCCCATCCAAAACCAATAGATCGTGAGCAACACAATAGACTTTCTAATAGCATTACTTCAGATCCTCCTCCACGTGGCATCAACCCCGTGTTCGCGAGCTACCGAATACGCAAGGGTGCCAATTTTTAGTGGTCGGGCATTTAGTATTGGCAATGTACTTGGTTAGCCCCTGCATGGAGACGTATGAAAGACAGATCGTGCACGTAACACTGCTCACCCCCTATCCTCGAGAGGGAGCGACAATTGCCATCTGAGGTGACCTACCGAACATCCCTCGGATAGCGATTAGCGATCAATGCACTGTGAATACGAGCTTAACGGGCAGGGAAGCATGTGATGAATATATTTCCGATTACTATTGTACGAGCGGAAACCATGGACTTTTTGGGTTCGGAACTCGTGGCTGCACCAGCATCCATTGGTTGCTTTTCGATGTCATGAAAATTCGCAACAGCAGCGGCCATAAACCTTAGAAGCATCGCTGATCTTTCTTGGTAATCATTAGTCGAGGCTTAGTTACTCAATGTTAGGGGGCAGTACCCGTCTGGCTCGTTTTTGTGTCTGACCAAGCGCTTACTGTACTAGGCTGCTCCAGGGGGCTGGAAGCAGATTAATGAGTCAATCATGATATCCCATTTGCTAGTTCTTTGGATAACCCTTGGACTGACTTGAATCTGCACACAAAGCTTGGGCCAAACCCCCCCCCATTGATTTAAACCTGGCTTCTCTCGCCCAATTCCTCGATGTGGTCCACATTTCCAACAAGCGAAGCTCTCTTGCCGCCTTCATCAGCAAGAACAACTTTATCTCCAAAGGCTGCGGCGACCTCCTCGAGAGTTTTTTGTTTTGTCTCTCTATGTCGGAGGGGTTAGCGAATGCCTGCAAAATTTTAATTTTCCAGGTGCTTGTCATCACTTACGGGAAGTAGAAATAAGCTACCGCCAAGAAGAACGTGGAGCAGACCACAAACACATAGTAATAGTTCTCTTTGATGTTGGCAAAGGCGCTAGGGCCGGCCTCGGTAACTCCACACCCAATTAGCCCCGCCGTTATTGACATATATAGCACTGGACTCACCTGCGACATTGACAATAAAGTGAGATGCAGCAGCAAGACCCATGACCTTACTGCGGAGAGCGATCGGGAGAACTTCGGCCCCATATAGCCACGTTGTGCTGTTAAGCATACCATCTGCATGCAAGTCAGAGCCGATCATACCAAGGGGGGGCCTATTGCAGGAATATTTCTGAGTGATGAGTGTAGACTTGGGAGGTGACCTACAATAACAAACCACAAAAAGATAGATTCCGAGGATTGCAAACCCCTTGCCGACCCGGTTGCTGGTATTCTGGAATTCTCTCTGCATCACCGCCGCGTAGATGAGGATGAGCACGATTCCAGCCAATCCACTGATAATCATCCTATTTCGCAGTTAGCCCTTCGGTGTCATTGTCAATGAAGCCGACTGTCGACAACATACTTTCGACGACCCCATTGGTCTGTCATGTACTTCGTGGTTACAGCATTTGATAGGAACGCTACCGTTCCGTAGACTGCAGCAAGAGCAAGGATGGTGTGCGAGCCAATGCCGAGCGATTTGTACAGGCTCGCTACGCGATGTCAGTATGCAAAAGTACTACTGCGTATTGTTGAATCAAACGCACTTTGATAGTACTATGAAAATTAGCTTTTTTGAATCGCATGTTCAGTTGGTCTGTACTTACTTGAATCACATTGACACCAGTCAGACTCGTCATGGTTTGAACCGCGATAGACCTGGAGCAGCATGTTGGTTTCATTGACCTGAGGTGAGGTAGAAGAAATTCGCCCGAAAAAAAAAACTCACACTAGGACTCTGGACCGGAAGAGCCGGAAAATTTCCTTGTAAGAGGTGATCTCACGCTCCATTTCATATTCAATCTGTGCCTGCATGAGCGTGAACTCCTCTTCAACCTCGTGAGTGTTCCCGCCCCGTCGAATCCGAGAAAACTCGTGGCGCGCATCATCAACCTTGCCAATCCGGATCAACTGACGTGGCGAGTTCGGCATGAAGGTTGACAGGCCAACAAACATGATCAAACCCCACGGAATCTGAATTGCTAGGGGAAGGCGCCATTGCACAGCCCCATATGGGGCATAGCTGCAAGCATATCCGACCCAGTTGGACGCCATGGTTCCAAAGGAGATACCACATCCCGAGATACCGCCGATCAAGCCACGGGATTTGGGGTCTGAGATTTCAGACAGATATATAGGGACGGTGGCAACCATGCCACTAGTAAACGTGAGTCATTTCTTGTCTTTCTATGAGAATTCCAGGGGCGTACCCAACTGCGTATCCGGCAAGGACTCGCCCGGCCAGAAACATGCCGATATTCACGGAGGCAGTCTGGATCACTGTGCCGACGGTGACGATGATACACATCAATTGCATGAACCGGATTCGCCCCAGTTTATCGCCAATAAATGTTTGGGTTAATGCACCGCATGCCTCACCGGCAATATACACGGCGACAACCTGTTCAAGCATTAGCCACTGGACGGATTAAGAGACCTCAGGCTCAAGGTCAAGTTGTCTTACCGCTCCTGTCAACCCATTGGAGGGCTTTTTCATGTAATCAATCCAGCTTTGATGCGCAATCGCTATAGATTATTATTCATGTCAGCGGGACCTGGTAATTGAGCCTTGGCTCTTGGAACTCACTCGTCGTCGCAATGCCCGTATCGAACCCCTTGATTGGATCAGCACAGCTGCTCGCAGTATTTAGTCGCAAGGGTACGTATCAGAGCACATACAAATAGAAAAGTGCCAATCGCGGCAAAGAGCGCGATACCTAGCGAATACCACAGTCCCATGGTAACAGAACTCCCAGAAACCCCAGAGAAACAGAAAGAGCCGTGGAAGCAGTGGGAAGAACAGCTAGCAGCCTTTCTATACAAGGTAGGTTGCGGTCTAGAAAAGAGAAAAGCAGAAGCTACCGAAGCTGACCAGAGCACAATTAAGAAGGTCTGCAGCGCGGTTTTGGTCCGAGTGAGGGGGGGTCACACGGCATCTGATCCCTGCGGACCAGCCATTTTGCTCGGAGCAGGGCCGACTTGGTGATGATTTTCTGGGGTGCGGGGAGGCAAAAATGGGGGCAAGGGCACGCTGATGAGTTTCGATCCAATCACAAGGCCCAACGGGAAAAGCAGAGAGTGCGTCTCAGTGGCTGGAGCCATAGCTTGGAAGACATTCGTGACGCTCATTGGAGGTTTGCGCCTTCTAGTCTCCTCCGAATGTTCAAGTACCTGGCCTTGGCGTGGGGGTGCGGGGAAGCGGGTGGATTTCTTGGGTTCTCATCCTGGTCAAATCAGTCCGCAAAGGTACAAGATGCACGCTTGGGACGTTTTGCAGAGGTCTTTCAGCGCACTGAGCATTGACGCAGGAAAGGTAAGATCGCGAGCGTCATCACGATAGGGAAAGTCTCGCAAAGACGTGAGTTGAGCGTAATTATATGCGCTTTGAACCTAAACCAAAATTGATACACTTGATACCCTTTCTCATCGGCTAATTTGATCATCCTGGTGAACCAACCTGTTAGTCCGATGACTTGATGAGCTTCAATTACGTGTTAATCACCAGGAGTCAGTAGATCTTGACTTGAAAGTTTCTATACATATTTTACTAGTTACTGGCCTAGCTTCCCCTTGCTAAGCGTTTTAATACCAGACTAATATTTTCAATGACCCATGGCGATTAATGGCCTGATACACAACTCGATGTCCACATCGCCAAGATGGTAGGCAAGTCCCTAGTGTAGTGGGAAAACCCGATGCGGTATACAGAGGATAGAAACAGAAGACTCCGGTGCCGAGTGTGTTAGATGCTTTGACCTGCGACTGGTCCAGACTGCCATAAAGCGGCCCAGTATACTGACTAATGAAGAGCTACGAGGGAAACAAGAGGGACAAAAAATCGTTATCAGACAGTCATTTGGTTCTTTTTTGAAAGTATGAATTCCTATTTCATTTTTCCATTGCCCACGTCATAAAACCTCCGCAGCAGCGAAGCGTACTGTGCAATGCAGGAAACCCCAGAAGCCGAACAAGGAAATCGAACGCTTAGAAAACCAGAGCAGCACCCTTGGTCTTCTTGTCACCACTGTAAAGAAAAAAAAAATAGTTAGTGCAATGCTCCAGCTAGAAGCGATCTGGGTCAAAACGTACCCCAACTCGAAGTGCTTGCAGCGCTTCAGGGCGAGCTGCTTCTTGGCCTTGCAAACAGTGCACTCCAGACGCAGGACAACCTTCTTGGTGGTCTTGGCCTTCTTGTGGAAGACAGGCTTGGTCTGACCACCGTAACCACTCTGCTTTCGGTCGTAACGGCGCTTACCCTGGGCGTAGAGGGAGGCCTAAATCCGTACAAATTTTCTCGGTCAGCGAGGTTTCTATGCCATAGCGAATCGAATAGTGAAACTATCTCACCTTGCCAGCCTTGTACTGGGTGACCTTGTGCTGGGTGTGCTTGTGGCACTCCTTGCCCTTGCAGTAGGTCCGGCGGGTTTTGGGAATGTTGACCTGTGCGCAAAGAAGATTTTGTGAGCTTCTGGTTTCATTCATAGTGTGGAAATTCCTCGGTTGCGTGTGCCTTCAAATTCCGGTTCGAAAGTGTGCGATCGCGTGTTTTGGACATAGTCGGCCCGGTCAACAGTATGGGTTTCTCTGTGGAAATCCATATCCTCAACGTCGAGCTAGAGACCTCCCAGTCCGTGTAATTGCCATGGTGTGAAGATCCAAGACTCCCGTAGGTATTTCAGTTGGCCAAGCTTGAATATGCGCCTTGTCTATTCGCGATAGTCATCGATCCGATTTTGTGCGGTCAGGGCGTTTCGAATACAACAAAGCTCGATATTGACAGGATGACACGGTTTGGCGAATTTGGTCGTTCTGGAGAGGGAAGGCCACGGTCTCGAAGGTCTTGAATCCAACCACACATTCATTTCTCGAGGACAATAGATCGCGGCGAAAGATTAAATTTCGTGACGGAATTCGAAAGCACAGTAACCTGGAATACAGAGTGATGAGTCTTACCATTTTGACTGACTTGCCGGATAGCGCGGTGGGTGGTCGTTGGATAGTCGCTTGTCGGAGGAGATCGAGCGGATGGATGGGTTGTGGGATTTCGTTCGCTTAGGCCCTATTCGGGTACGCGCTAAACCACTTTTGGAACTTTCCACCACGACAGTGTGCCCAAGTGGGAAATAGGGCGCTTAGTCATTAGATCACATGATGCCAAAGCGCCCAGCCCGCGCTTGTCTAGTTGGCCTACATGATTGGTAAAAGAAGGAGTCTTAGTATAACTTGACGTACCATGTAGCCAGCTTAAGTTAGGACGTAGTCAGAACATCTGACATTCTTTCATCCTCTTCATACACTAGTAGGGTCAAGCTCCTTGACAAACGTCTGCAGGGCGCGTTTCTGAGTAATCTGATGCTCCTCCATCTCTTTCGACACTGATTTGTCTCTTAAGGTACTAAGGTTCAAGTTGTTTCTTCGCTGGTTGGAGTGCCGAATTGACGGAACTGGCAACGTAATGTTTGGAACATTCGGAGTTCTTGAAGTTCCAGAAATTCATATTATTGCATTCGACCCTCATTGGCATGACCGTAATGATCCATCGATATATATACTTCGTGACGAGCTCGCTGGGATTCGTCTTGCGATCAACTGAGTATGCTCAAAAAAGAATGACCATTCTTCTCCCAGGTCAAGAGATACCATGTGGAGTTAATCACATGATAAATTTTGATCGAATCAACGACTTTTAGCGCTCCTGAATAAATCCGTATACTTCCAGTTGACTGTTGCATCACGGCCGAGATATGGAATGGATGCACGGACCACGACCAGCGGACCCTCCAACCTGATAATTTCCCTACCTGCACGTCCACAGATCGCCTGTTACGCTCCAGATGTCTTACTGAATTTTGAGTTTGCAAGAAGGCTCTCTACAATTTGGTAATACCGGCGTTACTTGTATCAGAAGAAGCTGCGATTACTAGTTAGTGCAGAATATCGATCCCTTTGTCCGCCTCAGTCTGAACAACCATGTCGTCCTAGAGCCCGAAGTTGCTTTGTTTTGGCCTTGCTGGTCCCTTATTTACCAGTTGTCGAGCCTAATCAAATAAAAGCCTTGGTAAAGGCCCTCAAATAGCCCCAACGCACTATGACAGGTTCTGCGTAATTAGGGGACCCTTTGTCAAATAACGTGCCACTGGTAGTGGATTTCTCACTCACGTCCAAGGTATTGAAAGGGAACTCGAATAACTGCGTTATTATGGGTGGGTTACCCTGACGCTCTATACTTCCTGTATACCTTTTCAACGGATGGAACAGGCCTTGGTCGCAGCTTAGTGCAATGTGGAGTTCTAGATCATTTCTATCGAACATTCTTCTCACCAAATTTTCTTTACGGACAGGCCAACATAAGCTAAGAAGGCTTTTTGCAAGAACAGCGGGGAAGAGAAATTTATTTCACTGGGATCGGAGTATTGTTGAGGACTGAATGACCAATGGCTCCGCATGTAATGCTGCTTATGACTCGGGCAAATGTTCCCAGCGATAGTGATCGAAGCACTGCCTACTATACCAAGCCTATAAATAAAATGATGGCAAGAAAACAGAAGTGAAGTACATAAACTCCTGTCATCTTTTACACCATGAAAGGGCCCTAGAGGCGATGCAACAAGTGCGGGTTCATCGCGTGAGACATGGTAATGCCATATGAGATTTCAATGAAAATTATGTCCATCTCAACTTGATCCAGAATATGATATCTTGTCTTTGGTTCGATGCTATTTGTTTCGGTGCGTATTGATTCATGAGGTTCTCTCCAGGTTATGACTTCTTTCTCCCCCGTTTCGAAAGGATCCAGATGGCCTAAACATCCAAAGTGGTGGCTCAATCAAGTCGGTCAGTATGACATTAGCAATTTTATGGTGGGAACAAACAAGGGTGCATTCTTTTTGAACTAAAAGAGTAGCTGCTTGAGTATTAACTCGTGTTTGTGGGCGGCCTTATGACTCTATGGGTTGCCTGATCGACGTTTGGTCCTGCGGCTCAATAACCACGCGAGCTGAAAAGAAAATAGGAGTGTATTTGGGACGGCAACGATTTGGTCCCTATGAAGAGAAAACTAAGAGTGAGAAACAGAAACCAGGTAGGAGAAAGAAGAAGAAGAAGCCAGTCATTGTACTACGGCATGCTGACTATGGCTAAATCCTTATTAGATAGCCCATCTCGTATCTCTGATCTGATTATAAGCGACACGAATCCGGGACGCCTTGGTTCGAATGTTAACCGAGCTGACCATTCATAACGAAGCCTCACAAAACTCGTCGCTTACTAGAAAACATGCTGCGACTGCGAATGTATGCAAGGCCGCCCACGATCGTTCACCGAAATGTGCGAGCCAACCCCCCATTTTTCGCGGATTCAATCATGGCTGCGATGTAGGCCTGAAAATAGAGATACACGAAGTACAAATACAAGGGACTTGCCTTACATCCAGTTCTAGTCATTGCATTTCTATTGTTTGAATAGTCACACGGCTCGCAAGCTACTATTCCCATCTCTTCCATCATATACAAGCTACTTCCGCAATAAACTCTTAAATAGTCAAAGAAATCTTCAAGTCGATCAATATGAGGCTTTTCATGCTCGTCACTGTTAGCGTATTCTTCGCTATGTCTCCTGCAAATGCGCTCGGGTTTCCGGAGGCAGTGTCTTTAGAAAAGCGTTGCACACCTGGTATGTCCGAGCATATTATGTTGAGATCACGGCAGCATGTCAAGGTACTTACCTCATTTAGATAACCAGGCTTGCCAACAGGACAGCGAATGTTGCTCTGGAGAATGTTTCCTGCACTCTGCGGGTGGTGTGTGCTGCAGTGGATGTGTATAGAGGTTTCCATCCGGACATGACAATCTGGAGGGAGCGTTGGGGTTTCTTAGGTCACAATCCATTGACTCTAGATGCATAGAGTAGGAAACAATATGAGCTACAGATAAGCAGACCTTCATTGACAAATTCTGATGGCAAACGCTTCTAATAGCAACTAGATAATCTCAGAGAGGAAAACGTGGGGTTTAGGCAGTGGGTCCCCGAATTAATTTCGGATCCTTCAGGCTCAGCACGGTGCCTGTCGAGCCCATTTCTGCGAAATTCAGGACTTCTTGCATGTCTCGTAGTATGGGGATCTATTCGTGGCCGGTGGAGCAACTCGACCCGATGCTCCGACCATGGGGGTTGTGCTTCACGATAGCAGTAGAGACTAGCTCATTACTAGTGCCTGTCTAAGATAAGAACAAAGACCCGAGAGTGGTATTGAGGGAGTTAGGCCAATTAGAACGCTCAAGCGCCCGTACTTCATCACTCTTATCGTTACAGAAATTCGACGTTTGAGTCTTTCACATGTCAAAAGAATGGGAGCGCAGCAAATACCAGTGGAGCAATGGTGTGGCATCTGCAGCTGGGCCACACTGATAACCCAGAGGCCTCCTCTTGGATACCAGACCCCCTCAGGTTCAGGCTGAGCAACGTGTGCAGGGGCTCGCGGGTATGATTGGCGCCCGTTGTGGCACGAGGCTGGTGGGCAGGCCGGGGCCAATTAGCGGCCCCAAACCTCCCCACGGGCAGCAGCGATGGGCGATCGGCCTCCTGAGTGGGACGACTTCTTGCGCCATTCTCCATTTCTCCATCTAGAAATCAAAGCTGCCAGAAGCACATGCGGAGGATCGAAACGATGACTGGCCTAGCTGCCCGGTCTAATGCAGAGTGGATCCGAGCCAAACGCCTTTAAAGTTGATCTAGCAATCACGACCCTAACATCAAAATACTCCTCTCCTTAGTGGAGTAGACTGCTTTGCAATTGTAAACCAAACACATTTGGTGAACTCTCTCTGGTCTTCTCAATGGAGGACTCCGTTTCGACGGTCTCATTGCGGAACCCCATGGAGGATTTCGGGTTGATGTCGATCTGTGAGGGTACGATCGTCCCCATCTCCCCCTCCTCCCGGTGGAATCGCGTGTCCTAATCCGTTTGGGGAGAAGCTGAATTCCACGAGGGGTACTAGTGATCTAGCCGCCTGATGCGGACTTGTCTTCGGAAACGAGTTCCAAATATCCAGAGCTGCCCCGCTGCCTCCGATATTGTCGCCTCCCCACCCATGTGCTTCGGGGATAGGACACAGACTCTTCTTCCCCTTGTGCTGAGCCGTGTGCAGCTGGCAATTTCGGAGGTGCTTTGTATATAGAGGAGACCCCCAAGCTCCCCCCGCTACATCCGCGCTCCCACGCTTCTAGTTCTATGTTTCAACAATGGATCCACTGCATCTCAACATCGCTATCGTCGCTTTTGCGGTCTTCGCCCTCGTAGCGTTGGTCCTGCTTCTTTCCTCGAAGCGACTGAAGGTCGATATGGATCACGGCGTGTTCACCTACATTAAATTTATCTATGCCAACTTTCTAAAGCCCCACGACAAGAGAGCAGCGGGTCAACAAGACGCGCTTGAGAGCTTCTACAGAACCCAGGTTGGTGGTCAAAAAGATGCCCTCATGTGCGCAGGTACTTATAGGCACAATGATAGGCCAGTGTCTACGATGCGACCCGCCATCGTCTCCTCCGCGGTCGTGAGGATATGCTCGGTCTGGTGGCTGCGCAGCTCAAGAATCAGGTCGAGAGCAAGAAGATTCAGAGTGGGAAGGCAGTCTGGGTTGATGTGAGTTATCAGGTTTCCATATAGAGAATGTGGGAGCTAATCTGTGGAATCCTAGGTCGGCGGTGGCACTGGGTATGTGACACAATTGAGGTTGTCTTGAGATCTCTAACAATTCGGATGCAGGTACAATATTGAGGCCATGTCAGCTTTTGTCCCCGTGAATAAGTTCTTCGACCAAGTCTACCTTGTCGACCTCTCCCCTTCCCTTTGCGAAGTCGCACGTCAACGGTTTGAGCGCCTGGGCTGGAAAAACGTCAAGGTTCTCTGCCAGGATGCCCGTTCCTTCAGCCTTCCCGTGAGACAGATCGATCCGAAGTCAATTGGAAGTGCTACTACGGACCGGGTGGACCTGATTACCATGAGCTACAGTCTTTCTATGATTCCTGGTGGGTCTTAGAAATATTGCCTTCGCAGCTTATGGACGCTAATTCTTCCAAAGACTACTACAGTGTTGTCGACTCTCTTACATCCCGCCTCACTTCAAATGGCTTGCTTGGAGTATGCGACTTCTACGGTAAGTCTTAGCCGAGTGTGAACACAAGCTGAGAGCGGAGACTAATCTTCTCGATAGTTCAAAATATCGTTGACGTCTCCTGTCGCAACTACATTGGTGGCGCATTCAATCGCCACGTCAATTGGCTCGGCCGTATCTTCTGGCGTGCTTGGTTTGACTTTGACCGTGTCAATCTCGAGGCTGCTCGTCGGGACTACCTTGAATACAAGTTTGGAACCGTAATTTCTGCCAGTGATCGTAACTATCTTCTCGGTGGTATCCCCTTCTATATCTTCATTGGCTGCCCAAAGGAGATTGAATCGACGCCATCAAGCAGAGACACCATCGAGAAGCTTGACGCTACTTTCACTGAGTCTCCTTACTTGTCCCCAATGAACCACAAGCTTGAACGTCAACAAGCCGTCGAGCAAAGCACCCGTGAGGTTCGCTCCAAGGCGTACGAGTCTGCTGTGATCAACTTGAGCGCCAACCTACCCCTTCCATCTTCGTTCTACCAAAACCACCACTACCGTATCTACTACAATGACATGCTCCCCAAGCATACCCAGTTTCAAAATGAGTATATCTATGCTTTCACCTGGGAAGACCCTCGTGTTGATCACCGCCTCCTGAACATCAACTCCGATGATGTGATCCTAGCAATCACCAGTGCCGGCGACAACATCCTGGACTACTTGCAGAAGGGCCCCAAGCGAGTTCACGCTGTTGATTTGAACCCCAACCAGAACCATCTCCTCGAGCTCAAGGTGGCGAGTTATCTTGCCCTGGGCCACCGTGATATGTGGAAGATCTTTGGTGAAGGAAAGCACCCTGATTTCCGCAACTTGCTTATATCTAAGCTTAGCCCACATTTGTCTAGCCAGGCGTTCCAGTACTGGCTTCAGCATTCCCATGTCTTCACTAACATCAAGGGCCACGGTCTATATGAGACTGGTGGCTCTCGCCACGCCATTCGTATGATTCGCTATCTGCTCAATATCTTTGGACTTCGGAGCCAAGTGGATAAGCTTTGCGAGGCGCAGACTATTGCCGAACAGCGCGCCATTTGGCCCAAGATTCGCAGCATTCTCCTGAGCAAACCCTTGAACTGGGCTATTGTTAGCACCGAATGGTTCGCTTGGAAAGCTGCTGGTGTTCCCCGCAACCAGCGTAACATGATTGTCGACGACTACTTCCGTCGGAATGGTCTTACTTCAGATATGAAGCAGAACAAGGATGTCAGCGGCCAGTCCATTTGGGAATATGTGGTTAACACTCTGGATCCCATTGTCAAGGACACCCTTATCAGTACTGATAACTATTTCTACTACCTTTGCCTCCGAGGCCACTTCTCTCGACGGTTCGTTTTATCTTTCGATCATGCTGTTATCTAAAGTGGTCATTAACATCTTCCAGTTGTCATCCTACCTATCTCTCGCCCCAAGCCCATGTGCGCCTCTCTACCCCTGGTGCTTTCGACGGCCTTCGCATCCACACTGATGAGATCAATGAGGTTATCAACCGCATTACTCCTGGTACTTTGACCATTGCAGTGGTAAGTGATGAATGACTCCACATTTACCGCATGCCTTGCTGACGGCACTTCAGATCATGGACTCTATGGATTGGTTCGACCCCGAGGAAGATGCTGCCATCGCTCAGGCTTGCCGCCTCAATCATGCCCTCAAAAAGGGCGGCCGTGTTCTTCTCCGCTCCGCAAGTATTGAGCCATGGTATATCAAGCACTTTGAAGACAATGGTTTCAGCGCAGAGCGTGTTGGTGCCCGTTTCCCTGGTACAAGTATTGACCGGTACGTTCCCCGCTCATCTTATAATTCCACAACTGTCTGACTGGACGTAGTGTCAACATGTATGCCTCAACTTGGATCTGCACGAAAATCCAAGATGTTGACCCCACAAAGAACGGACGATCAATGTCTGCTCTCTCCCTCAGCGATAACACCACTGTCAAGCGCAGCAGCAGCGTGGAAGACCTCCAGATTTGATTTCGAAACCACTTGACTCTTTCTCTGTCTGAGTTTGTTTCTTTTTTTTGTTTTCTTTTCTTTAATGATTACCCACTTTGCGTTGTTTTCCTTATCATTCTTACTGCATGTACTTAGGCGTGGATGGAATTCGTCTCTAGGCGCCAGAAGGTGAATATGCGAAAATGTGAGTTCTTACAAAATAATATCCAAGCTTGAATTGTTTGAACATAGATCTTCGATTTGAGTGTCTGTTGTTACCCTCGTATTGGGGAACGACCCTTAATGAATGTATCTGGATTGAATAGCTTCTCGCCTTATCCTTCAGCTTGAATCCATATATAGCTGCACATCTTGCCTATCTCCCGAGAAAATTCACACCCCGAAAATGGCGCCCTGGATCGGAGCGTTCGATACTTGAGGCAGATCCTCCTGGTCCCAACAGTACACGTCTTGACGTGTACTGGTTCCCCGTTCGTGACCACAATAATAAAAGGGACAAGTCATGAGGAACAGCACTTATGGTATTCATGATTGCCATGAAGGCAGGATCCATTAAATAGCCAGCCGGTATATCAGCCGACTCTAGCCCTGGTCATATTTCACAGTGAAAGCAGCAGAAAATATTAGGATCGGCACAGAAAAGATGCGACGCCCCTCTAGACAAAACACAAGTTTACAAACAGGAATTCGTCAAAAAGTTCCCCACGACACCCGCAAGTCCCGAGTACCTTGCCGCAGTCTTTTACTCGCTTATTCATGATATCCATATTCATATCCATCCATTCCTGGGCCAAGATATACCTGCAGAGATGATTCTGGCCGTCCGCCCGATCTAACGCACCAATGTACCCATCAATCTTCCAATCTCGGACAGGAGTCCAATGCTCAGGAATGGAATGGCACAAACTTTCCTTACAACAAGAGAAAAGAAACACAACTTATGATCGTCCATACCGCGTCTTACCAAAGGAGAAAGGCAGGTAGCGGTACTTGATCATGTGCTGGATCTGGCGGCGCATAGTCAGGACGAACAAGATGATCCAGTAGACGACAAGAACGGGCCAGAAGACGGGGATGTCGAAGACCGAGAGCCAGCTGCACACGAAGCCGATCGCGATGGCGCGGGTGGCAGAGTGCCAGAACTTGAACTCGGGGAGACGGCGGATGAAGGGGCGGAACTCGTCGTCCTGCTTGGTTGGGAGGCTGTTGCTGGCATCGCCGTCTTCAAGACCTTCATCTTGGGTGAGAGAGGGGTCAAATTTCGGGGTGAGAAAGGCGAGGAACAGGTTCAGGAGGTAGATGCCGAGGGTATAAGCCACTGGATATTTTTAGAATGTATTAGCATTGGATCTTCTAGGTAATTCGCTGGGAAATAAATGGTTCTTTTGGTGGCCAGGATGTGATTCAAGCTGGCTTGCTTTCTTCTTTGGCGGGACTTGACTTTTGCGCTGGGCTTGTCGAGGGATCAATAAAAAACATACCGATGTACCATCCTTGGGCGAGGACGATTCTGAGGAAGAAGAGGAATAGTAGACCACCAGTTGCGGCCCAGCGGTAGGTGGTGTACGGAGTCGAGGCATCAAGATAGGCTTGGTATTGCTGTCATGAATGGTCAGCGACATTGGACTACATGGTCCAACCCCGCTGGAAGGACTCACTCTCGTCAGTTTTGAGGTTTGCGCGGACACCGCAGTGAAGGGCGACTGCTCTGGCTCTGGGACATCCATAATTGAGGGATGGGGGAGAAGTGAGGAAGAGAGGTCAGAGAAAGTGCAAATGCAGATCGCAGTGCTGAATGCGTATTCTGGAAAACAGGAGCAAAGTGTCCCCTGGGTCGCCGGGCCAATCATCATCCAGGTTATCCCAGCCACACTACTTTTGACGTTCCGTCTGTAGAAGTCAGGTGACTGTGGCGGTGCACATCGACAGCCATCCCAAGGCATTTCAAGGGTGCTTATCTTTTCATCCGATGGGACGCTTGAGCTGTGTATCTGTTACCTAACAGAAGATCCAGCCACCTGGGCATCTTATGACTCTTGATACCGAGCAGGTCGTAGAGCCGCTCAAGAAGGCGCCAATACTGTCAAAACTATGCACCCATGAATTATATTTCTTGCATTGCATACTTTCTTGATTCAAGTTTACTACAAAGAAAACCGAGTCAGAATAAACCTCCAAACCTCCAAGTTCAATGTAGAGTAGGCAGCACAAAGCGAACCAATATCAGCTCCGAGTCCGACGAAAGCTCCACTCCAATAGAAGGCAATAAACGAATCGCCGATTCAGTTTCTACAGCATCTTCATTGGCTTTGCCCTTGCCTGTCAAAACAAAGAGCAGCTGTACCGCATCCTGTCCGGCGAGCTTGGCAGGGGCGTTTGCTTTTACTCTGATCAGGTCTGCCCGAGTCTCCCGCTCTGTGAAAACACCCATTGTTTTCACATCAGCATTGATGCCCTCCGATCGGACCCACTGGTAGTTCTTTGGTTTCGATACAATAATCGAATGATACCGTGGCTCAGGATAGCTGAGAGACCTGCCGGAGGTATGGCGCCAGATCGCTTCGTAGCCATCGACAGGCTCTCCTCCTGCAGCGGAGTAGAATTTCCCGCCCTCAAAATGGCCATGCTTCTTCAAATCATCATGGCCCTCTTTCATCTGCGCAAAGCTGAGGTAGCCTTGGCCACTGGTACCACCAAATTGGAGTATAAGCACATTTCGCTCCCCCTCTGTGTCATTCTGGGGGCCATAGTATACTCCTTCCGGATGGTAGCACAGTTCGCCCTCGCGAAGGATAACGTCGGGGGATATAGATACATCCCCGCGGTATGCGAAGCGAAATTGGTCAAAGTTATGACGGTGGATCGGCGAGTGGAAGACTTGCTGGCGGGAGATGCTGAGGAGATAGTTTCCTGGTGTATTTTCAGGGCCCAAGAAGAGGTGTTTGAATGCGATGCCAGAGCCACGGTGCGTCAACCCCACATCTTCGTAAGATAGTTGATTTCCGTGGACGAGCTCCATGAAGGCTGCCTGCTTCGTAGATTAGATGGTAAATTACTATGGTGTGTGAGTGAGACGCAGACCCTAAAGGTAGTATACCAGCTGAGACCCAAGTTTTTGAGGGGTCTTCCTAGCCATTAAGGCGTCCAAAAGCTTAATGAATAACGCCGCGTAAGCATGTACTGATAAGCCTTGGTGCTCCCTTTGGGCTGATTGGCCCCAACTAGGGTTAAGGCCTCCAACGGTCCTGATGTGAATCAGACATCCAACTGAACATACCGCATACTGTATGTTGGTCTGGCACCCACTCAAACCATCTTCCTTTCCGACCTATTCGGCCTACTTCTAACCTTAACGTACATGAACACTTACAAGTTTTCAGATATTGTATCAGATGCCTGCAGAAACTGGACCTAGCTGGCAGCGTGCGGCGGAGACTTGTTGGTCTCAACAACTGATTCATTATTAATTCCCGTTTAGACAGCGTACCAGGGGAAACGGCTTCAAATGGACTCCATGGTCTGAGGGTAGCTAACCAAAGCGCAGGTTACTGCACCAGTGTCAGTCAATCGAGGAGGCCTCTAAACTTCTCATACGGAGTGGATTCTGAGTATTTGATGGCTTAGTTTTCGTGAAAACCCACTATGGGATCAAATACCAATTATCTTGCACAAATGTTGCAATTTTATGAAAGGGTAGCAGGGATGCACAATCAGTTAAATGACAAATGCTTGTGCATTATCTAGAGGGAAGCGGCCCTTAAAGCATCCTAAGGGATTTGTAGCACGGCCCTCCCTTCGATCTCCGCACTTTCAAGCTTGTGGAGAACGTCGCCAATGGCCTGCAGGTCATATACCTCAACGTGTGCCTTCACCTTATCGGCCACAGCCATTTCCAATAATTCATTCATCTCCTGAGCGGTGCCAGCAGAGTTACCAACAATGGTAAGACCTATGAGATGAGTTAGCTCTACCTGACACCTTCCATTCTCATAGCTTTCCATAATATCTAAGAACGGGGTGCTTGCCTCTGACGATCATATCAAATGGTGTAGCTGGTAAGCGGAATGGCAGGTTCGGAATCCCAACGCAGACCAAAGTCCCAAGAGGGCGGAGCATATGCATGCTCTGCTCGTAGGCTTTCTCACCATTTGCCGTACACACCACAGCATGTACACCGTAGCCAGAAGTACAGGATTTGGCAGCACTCACAACATCGACTGCTTTATAGTCCAAGAACTCGGTAGCCCCCAGAGAAAGGCATAGGTCCTTTTTCTTTTCTCCACTGGAATGTGTTGTTAGCGTGTATGCTCAATGGCACTTGCTTGAGCTTCGGCGCACCTATCGATTGCAAGCACTTTGATGCCCTGGGCAGAAGCAATCTGGATTCCCCTAATGAGTTTCATCAGTATAAACATAGTCAGCCGAATAGCCACGTAAATCAATGCCATACATATGACCTAGGCCGCCACCAGCGCCAATGATAGCAAGCCAGTCTCCCGAGCGAGCTTTCGTTTTCTTGATGGATGAGTACATAGCGATACCGGCTGAGTTCATCAGCAACAAACTCGCAGTAATTGGGCAATAAAACATACCGCACAAAAGAGGAGCAGTCATTGCTGGGTCCAGCCCTGTAGGAATTTTGGTAACATGAGCTGCGGGGCTGACAACGTATTCTGAAAGTCATGTTAGCCATTCACATAGCATCGTCATGATAAAATGATCATGCGCATACGTTGGAAAGTCCCAGGAACATTCTATGTCGGTCGTTGATACATATTAGCCACGGAGGATACAGAGCATAGCCTGGGGAGAAGTTGACTCACGGCGCCGGCATTTCTCTGATGAGGGCATGCCGTATGGTTGATGGCACATATCTCGCACTCGAGACACGAGCTCCAGAGCCACCTTTTTGGAACGTACTACTGTAAGACCTACATGAACAAAGAAAGCCTGCACCGCTTACCTGACGCCAACCATCTGGCCCACCCATTTATCTCTCGAGAGACCACCCCCGACTGGAGGAGTAAGACCGTGTCGACATTTCAGTTGTCAGAGATAGCAATTGCCCACCTTGAACGACCTTCCCGATACCCTCATGACCGGCAACATCCGTTGTCATGGGCGTGTCGCCACGAATACTGTGCAAATCTGAATGACAAACACCCGAGTACTCCAACTTGATAAGAACCTCCCCCTCGGCTGGCACTGGCACTGGGTGGGTGCTACTGATGCGGACATTGGAAGCGTCATGAGCACCGCTCTGACAGACCACAGCGGCAGTTTGTGTAGTAGCAACAGACATGGTGCCTCTTGAAATTCTCTGTTGACTTGCGCTTAGGTGGAATCTAGAATTGAAGGATTCTTGGAAGCTTTAGTCCCCCTGATAAAGACAGAGCACGGACTCTACTGTGTTGTGTTAAAATGCGGGGCTCAATGCATTTCTTATCAAGCGGCCCAAGCTTGCAAATGCCCCGACAGCCAGGCCCTGGATAGGCGAAGTTTACACCTGAACTCTATGCATCCTAAGCGAAAGGATCACTGGCACTTTGCACCTGTACTTCATTGCCTATCACCCTATGCTGCCCGGCATACAGATCATATACTTCGTGAACAACCCCAATTTCATTAAACTAATTATCTTTAGCCTGGCCGCAAAGACATGCCACTCCGTTCATGCAGCAAATAACACAGGAAGCTCACTGGTCTCAGTGGCACTGAAGAGAAAATAAACAGTATCGCACCCCTAAATGCAGGAACGCCCGCAATTTGGTATAGGACCCCAGGGTCTAGGATATCAGAGATCGTAATCTATTGCCATCGAATGTGTCGTTTCATGCGTTGTCGGCCTGGATTGTTTGCTGTTTACGATACCGCGTATTAGTATGACCAAGTATGACCACGGAAAATAGAAATTCATGAGGGAGGAGACATACCACTAGCCAGTCCATTCCCTCGTCAATACCCTTGCCATCGATAGCGGAACAAGCCACGATACTCCAGTTCCGGTCGCGCAGCTCTCCGAGTTTCAATGCCTCCGAGATCTCCCCTGCGCCTTTGGCTCCGGGTTGATCCTGTTTGTTGGCAAATACCAGCAGCGCCGAGTCACTGAGCTCCTCCTCGCTCAACATTGCTGCCAGTTCATCTGCCGCAGTTCCCAGCCGCTCAATATCTGTGGAGTCGATGACAAAAATAACAGCGGCTGTGTTGGCGTAGTAACACCGCCAGTAGGGACGGATGGATGTTTGGCCTCCGAGATCCTAAGAAGCTGTGAGCGCAGGTCAATTTTTAACCGCGATTAGCCAGCACATACCCAGACATTGAAATTGAGGTTTTTATAAGTCACTGATTCGACGTTGAATCCAATAGTGGGAATGGTGGTGACGACTTCGCCGATCTATATACGAGAAGATGATGGTTAGAGCAAAAGCTCGCAGAGTTTGATGGAATCTCCATTCGACCTTGCACTCACCTTAAGTCTGTAGAGAAGAGTGGTCTTTCCGGCGTTATCCTAGACGCAATCAAGCCAATTAGCAGGTTGTTCTGTACTCCGTGAGAACTGCTCCTCCGGGTGCGCCAGTGAAGCACATACAAGGCCCAAGATAAGGATTCGAATTTCCTTCTTGGTCCAAATCAACGACCAAAGTCGCGATAATGATCCCCCCATGTTTGTGTGCAGGTACTCCGGTTCTCGGCGCGGTGGATGGAGGGTAGAGTGATGGAGATGGGAGGGGAAGCGGACGCAATATGGATCGTCCGGAGGATATCAAACAGGGGGAAGGATGTCCAGAAGGTAATGCAAAAGGTAATTAAACGGCCACGCCGCAGCTGAGCCCAAGAAGACACTAAGGGAAAGTGGAGAGTTGAAAGGGGATTCGTTGGTGGCAACCGCGTTGGACGATTGGACGATCGGCCTGTGCGTGTGGGCGGTCAATCGGCGAGTTTGGGGTGGACGATGAAGCTGCCCGTCAAAGCCCCATCGCTCCCATTCACTGCTTTGTTCGCCTCGCTTTCCCCTGGGGTTGGATTTCCTTCGCATAAATCCTCCAACCCCTCGAAGCTACCGGTGCCCGCACAATCCCGATCCAACGCTGCTATTTCAGATCCCTAGATCCTCCTGCGACTTCGAACCCTAGGGCCACTGCAGAGAATCACTCACAATGGTAGGCAAGAAGTCAGGCAAGGCCCTCCGGGATGAAGGTGAGATACTATGCCGTTGGCATCATGCTCGCGACTGGTCGCGTCGCAGGGACTCATACTAACAGATATCCAGGCCTGGAGCGGACCGACAACAATATGGATCTTTCAAGCTGGCCACAGGTTCAGGCTATCAACCAGAAAAACTACTACACGTATGTCACACTTTCTAGATGAGGGAACCAGTGCTATTTTGGGCGCAATTGATAGCTGACAACAGACTGTGTTCACTAGTGACTACTTGAAGAGAGACGACCAATACCTTGCATTCCGATTACAAAACGAAGAGGCAAGGACAAAGATGACAAAAACGGCGAAAGATCGGGATCGCGCTCTTGCAATGGCTAAACCCGAAGGCGCTGAAGGTGAAGCTGAAGCAGACGGCGATGCGACTATGGAAGACGCCGAGGATACGCCTATCGAGACCGCGGGGTCCAAGGTTATAGTGATCCATGTCGGTAGCCAAAACCTCCGAATCGGCCTGTCCAGCGATGCTCTGCCTAAAACAGTTCCTATGGTTATCGCCCGAAAGGCATCAAAAAACGAAAGCGAAGATCACCCCGAACCCAAGCCCAAGAGAGTGAAACGCGATGATGGTACAGCCGAAGAGCCGGAGAACCTTTTCGGAGAAGAAGTGAGATCACTGTCCAGTACTTGGATCTGAGAAGCAGCTAACAAAGAAAAGTGGTCATCGCAGTTCAATAGGATGTCGGCAGACCTCAAGGTTCATATGCGCCAGAATAAGCGTCGAATGCTGCCCAACTCGAAGGAGATGGTGGTCAATTTCAATCGTCGAACTGTCCCCGAGACCATTTCTGAACACAATGACCCGATGCGCGTTGAATGGACTGAGTTATCGAAGCCGCCCCCTGAATATATTGTTGGTCAGCCTGCCCTGCGACTGCCAGATTCCTCGAACCCTCGTTACAAACTGTACTGGCCCATCTTGAATGGATGTTGCAACGAAACAGACTACAAGAGCAAGCGGGAGCTTTTCCTGGACATTTCCTTGATTCTCGAGGATGCCATCAAGACTCAACTCGGTCTGACCAGCAAGAAGAACTGGCCTCAATACTCTTGTGTATTTGTGATACCCGATCTTTACGAGAAATCCTATGTCAACCAAGTGCTGGAGATGCTTATGCGAGAATTTGCATTTGCGCGAGTTTGCTTCATTCAAGAAAGTCTTGCGGCAACTTTTGGTGCTGGGTTTACATCCGCTTGCGTGGTGGATATCGGAGCCCAGAAGACATCCATCTGTTGTGTGGAAGAAGGGATGTGTGTGGAGAATTCTCGAGTCAATCTCAAGATGGGTGGCCGGGATGTGACTGAAACCTTTATCCAGATGATGCTGCACGATCATTTCCCTTACACAGATATCAATTTGTGGCGGCGATACGACTTTTTGCTCGCTGAGGAGCTGAAGAAGAATCTTTGCACCATGGACGAGGCGAGTGTCTCGCCGCAGGTGTTTGACTTCCACCTTCGAGTCGCTGGACAAGATACGCAGAAACATACCTTCAAGGCCTTCGACGAGGTTCATCTGGCCCCCATGGGCTTCTTCGAACCCACTATCTTTGATAACTCGGACAAACTCCTGGGAAGACGGAAGCTGATCGAGCGATCGGTGGATATCTATGATGGCCAGTCTAACGACCCTGTCTCGACAGCGCAATCCGAGATCTTGACAGCACTCGCCCCGCCACTCCCGAAAGCGAATGGTGACTCCCAGCCAGCCTCATCCGAAGTACAAGCTACTCCTGCTCGGCCTCAACAACCTAGCGCACTCGGAAGACTCCAGGACCAGGACCAGACTCCTCGTTCATCTGTTGCAGGATCTCCAGTGCCCGAGACTAACGGAACTCCCCAGGCAGGAGGTGCTAATACCCCTGCTGCTGCCCCTACGACGCAGCCTTCACACCCAGCTGTGGAGTCTCGAGATGATATCCTTCCTGTATTCCCGCTGGACAATGCCATCTTGACCTCCATCGCCCATGCTGCGCGGTCTGATGAGAAAAAAATGAAGGATTTCATTGGGGGGTATTATGGTCGTTGGAGGGGGCACCTTGACCAATGGTTTCTTGATGTTCCTTGAGGAGCGACTTCGCAGTCTTCGTCCAGCATTCACCAAGGACATCATGATTGGGGTCCCACCCCGAGACCTTGATCCTCAGGTGGTCGTGTGGAAGGGTGCAAGTATTTTTGGAAAGCTTAATGCTACAAATGATAGCTGGATAGGCCAGCTTGAGTACGACCGATTGGGGCACAGATTAATGGCTTACAAGTGCATGTGGGCATACTGAGATCAGGCTTGACTTACACATGGTGGATCAGGAGTTGGGAAACTGGAGTACACTGGTTTTTAGTTTGATATTTGCTTTGAGGCTAGTCAAAATTACACCTTTCAATTGTTTATTGATGCACAAATTTCATATTAGGCTTTGTGTGAAAAGCAATAAGAGTGTAGGCAGCATGCATGTAATGTTGTGAAGCCCTTGACAATACTCCGCACACATTGTCGGATTGTTTAGGCCCCACGTTATGGATTCTATGCGGATAAACAAAGCTCCGATTCAGATCATCCAATCCTTTCCTCGTCAACCTGACATAGAAGGCGGTCTTCTCCGGCAGATGGAGCAGTACAGACCTATCCCGCCTGGAGTGCGTCGCCTGCTACAATCAGAGGTCACCTTGTCCCGGTTGACCCTCACTGTCTCTCTGCAGAAAGGCAAAAGGAACTTGGAGCCGGTGGAGTAAAGTTCGCCCAAGACTATCCAATTCTTGCATTGCTCCCGCAGTCAACAGGCCGACTTCGGTTTCCCTGCCACATTCCCGAAGTTTTTGGACAGACTCTGGCCGCTGCTATCCTGCCGATTCTCGATCCAGATCTCCGGGCAGATCAATTGACACAATCCCCAACGATACTCGTTTCTCCAGTGCGCCCTTGACTGCTCCTGGACACGAGCCAAAATCGCTGGGCATATCTGCAAAGGAACCTCGAAGCTCGACGCGCTCGGTCACGCACCCCGTCATGTCTTCTGGCAAGTCCAGGGAGGCGCAAGCCTCCCAGCCCTCTGGGTTTCATCAAGAATACATTGCCTCCATGCGCTACCGAAATGACCTCCCCCCGCCGGATATGCCCCCCAAGTTTCTGGACATTCCTCATGAGGGATTGAGCCGCTTCATCACCCCCGGCTTCGCGTCTAACCTTGCGCGACGTGAAGAACCGAACATTGATGTCGATGCTGAGGGTGGAATGCCCATTGATCTCGTCGGTCTCCCAGGGTTGCATCTTGGTGATGAAAGTGGTGAGTCTGGCCCTCCGCCTCATTTCATGACTGCAGGATCGTTAATATAGTTCAAAGCCATTCTGGCCCCCGAGCAGCCACCACCCATTGACCCGGCTGATTTGCCCCTCTTGATCAAGCTTGATCAACTGCGTAACCCTGTTCCCAAGAACGTCAACGTCAGTTTCCTCCGCCGGACCCAGCATATTTCCGTTGACCGTACTGCCACGACCGCCAGTGCCGGTGGAGCTCCTGCCGCCTCGCAGCGGACCAAGAAAAATAAAATCTCGCTGGATGACCCGAAGCACGTGAAGAAGTTTATCCAGAAGGGATTTGACATTGCCTATCCCGAAAGCAAGCATACAGGGGAGGATACGGAGAGCCGCATCCGTGGACTACCTGCTACCAAAGCTGAATCCGATGCGTGGGCTAATCCTGTGCATCCGGAAAACCCCAAGCTGAAGCCCGTTGCATTTTTTCCTGTGCTACCAGATCTCTCTGGGTTCCCCGACCCAGGTGGCTACGTGCAGTTTAAGTTCGACAAAGCTCCTGTTCCTGGAATTGGTGGAAAACGCGACAAGCGCATGGATGTGAGCTTGCTTCAACCAGATGCTCCTGAAGATAGGGTCTGCCAGGAGCATGCGCAGAAACTCGCACTCCACAAGGCGCACCCCGCTGACCATGCCGATCCTGGCCCTATCCCATGGGACTGTAATCTTTACCTTCCGGAGAAGCCTGAGCACGTAAAGAAGATTCAAGCTAGCATGGACCCACAAAACGCGAACCGCCAGGATGAGAGCCTTTACACTCACAGTACTGAAGACGGCGCGGGCTTCCATCGCTTCGATCGCGTCCGAACCTATGCAACCACCTCACAGACTCTCGATACTGAGAATAAGCAGAAGGATATTGCGGTGACTCTTTACAAGCCAAACGAGGGCGATGTCAAGCAGCAAGCTGCTTACTACTATCCAATCTTGAGCAAGACCCGTCTCAAGCCAGAACGGTCCCGTACTATTGCACAAGCCGGACTGGCCCCTACTGCTTCCCAAGCTGCGAAGGAAGATAAGATTGATCAATTTCAGGTGTTCGTGCGTGATCCTGACCAGGATGAGGAATACAAGCGAGCTCTTCACCGTGCTCGCATTGACCCCAAGTTCGCCGAGACTCTCCCCCGCCCCCTGAGCCTACTACTACCGACGAGAAAGAACCCGCTGCTGATGAAGGCTCCCCTGAACCTACACACGCGGAAAACCATGTGGCTGATGCAGCTGATGACGATGATACCCGAATGAGTGACGAGTAGTTGCTCGTACGCACGACTCATGAACACGCCAAGGGCTGCAAGTCGAAGCTGCATTTTGTGTTCGTCCCTTTACTACGATCGATTTCTTGCACATTTTCACTCAACTTTTTATTGAGCTTGGCGTCCGAGGAAGCACGCGAAAAGGGCGTTTTTTTTACGATGGGGCATTGAGAGTAGCTTTCTAATTTTACCAAGAATTGTTCATATCCCAAACTCAATGGCTTTTGGCCCATATCTCCAGTAGATCTTATTTCTTCAAGTGTGGATAAGATCTTGTTGTTGCGGCGAGTCCTGTTGCATCTGGTTTGATACTCATAGATTGGCGCTCACCGCTTATCACACCGCCCGCGCTGAAAAAGACCCGATTTCGCCCTACAATCTCGAGATCTTGCAAGGGTGGGTGCAGCACCTTGAATCACGTTTATAAAGGGAGTGTTTTCTTTTTCGTATACGGTTAGCTTTCCCTAAACCGCACGAGGGCAGCCTCCAGCTTTGGACCAACTCAATTGGCCTTAATTGACACCGACCCCCCCCGCATCGGCAATCACTACTCGGGATCTACGAAACCGGGACTAACCAGCTTGATCGCCTTCAGCTCGGCGCTCCTTGGCCAGTAGTGGGCCAATTCGGTACACACACATCCATACTCGTGATGGCAAGCACTTCCGCTATGATGGCCTGGCGAACCGGTCTTCGGGCCCGCCTGATGCCAGTAAGCCGATTGTCGCAACGCCCAGGTCTGTTCCCGAAGCGGGCTGGCCAATGCCCCGGTTTCACACGATATGCGTCGAACTCGACGGCCTCTGCTACTCAGGCTGCGTCGGCACCCTCAGAAGCTGTTAAGGAAGTGGCTAAGGCCGTTCCCAAGAAAACTCGTCGTTCCCGGAAGGGTCTATACAGCTCAATTGCTGCTTTGTTGTTCGTGGGCTATGTATACGGGCTTGATACTCGGGCGAGTATTCACCGATATGCCGTCGTACCTTTGATCCGACTTCTCTACCCAGATGCTGAGGATGCTCACCATTTCGGTGTCGAGAACTTGAAGTTCCTCTACCGTTTTGGGCTGCACCCGCGGGAGCGAGGCAACCCCGATAGCGATGGTGCTCTGGCTACAGAGGTATGGAATATTCCCGCATCGGACGAGCTTCCAGGTCTTTTTTTTTTTGCACAGACTCAACTGAAACAATCAGGTCTTTGGTTACACTCTGGCCAACCCCATAGGTATCTCCGCCGGTCTGGACAAGCACGCCGACATCCCCGATGCTCTATTTGCCCTGGGTCCTGCCATTGTCGAAGTCGGCGGCACCACTCCCCTCCCTCAAGATGGAAACCCTAAGCCGCGCGTATTCCGCCTTCCTTCTCAACGCGCAATGATCAACCGATACGGACTCAACTCCAAGGGTGCCGACCACATGGCTGCTGTCCTTGAGCAGCGCGTCCGCGACTTTGCCTTCGCCGCTGGTTTCGGAGACCATGACGATGCCGCGCACCGTGTACTAAACGGTGACGCTAACGTGCCGCCAGGCAGTCTGGTCCCGGGCAAGCTTCTTGCTGTGCAAGTAGCCAAGAACAAGCTGACCCCGGACGGCGACATTGAAGCCATCAAGCGCGACTACGTCTATTGCGTGGACCGGGTCGCTCCCTACGCCGATATCCTCGTCGTGAATGTCTCCAGTCCCAACACCCCCGGCCTCCGGGATCTACAGGCCGCAGCTCCCCTGACCGCCATCCTCAGCGCCGTCGTTGATTCCGCGAAGAGCATCCAGCGAAAGACCAAGCCCTTCGTCATGGTAAAGGTCAGCCCCGACGAAGACTCCGAGGAGCAACTCTCTGGCATCTGTGAGGCAGTCTGGAAGTCCGGCGTCGACGGCGTTATCGTCGGCAACACCACCAACCGCCGCCCCGCGCCGGTGCCTAGCGGCTTCGAGCTCCCCGAGGCAGAGCAGCAGATTCTCAAAGAGACCGGCGGATACTCCGGCCCGCAGCTGTTCGAGCGCGACGTAGCCCTCGTCGCCCGCTACCGACAGATGCTCGACCAAGGCCCAGCGCAGCCCGAGGCTGCTTCGGAGGGCGAGAAGGCAGAGCAGGCTGTCGCACCGGCGACGCAGCCCCGCAAGGTGCTCTTCGCATCCGGCGGTATTACTAACGGTGCCCAGGCGCGCGCGGCATTGGACGCTGGTGCTTCCGTTGCGATGATGTACACTGGGATCGTATACGGGGGTGTCGGTACGGTGACGCGGGTGAAGCAAGAGATGCGCGAGCTGCAAAAGGGAGAAAAATGAAGCAGTGGGCGTTGTACTTTGTAGTGTGCATTTAGAAGATTTGACCGTCGTACATAGCATAGGCAAGGATTGATTGCATTCCAAAAGAATTCAGTATTATTATGGGAAACAAATTGCGATACTCATTTCCCCGGTTATTCGCCGCTCTGAGGCTAAACTCCGAGTCGACCTACATTCATGGTTTTTGGAATGGTTGCTTTCAAGTGGGGTCATCTTCTCGACCGGGAGTCTGAATATGGCCAATATTGTCTGTATAGCCGCTCCTTTCACGTTCTATATGGTTCTTCTCGGTTAGTGCTAGTGGGTGGATTTTTAGTCTCGGATTACCTGAAAGGCTCGAGATGAGTACGCTCAGTGGAAATTTGGGCCTGTGATGGCCCACAAGGGAAAAGGAAAAGTGATGTCCGCCCCTTCAAGGGACTCAAGCTGACCGGTTTGGTACCAGACTTGATGCCAATCAAAAAAGCCTTTAGGTCATAGTCAATCCTCAGAGAATACCAACCACGGTGAAGAGTATCTTGCGCATTCGGCAGAGCGCATAACTGTATGCAGTGAGAAAGCAAGGGAAATTGCAATCCCTCCGCAGGATTATCATGACCCCTCCTAGTGCCCCTCAGTCCCCATAATCTCCATAGAACCACCAGCCCCGGTGGAGTCGCGAACTCCATCACCCTCGGGATCCCCCAGATAGGCTTCCCGAGAAGAGCCCGGGTGTCTGAATCGGAATCGCGTGGGTTGGAAAATCATCCATTTTGAGCCCAGGCGACCCACAGAGTCGAGCCTTGTCTTTCCTTTCTTTTCCTTTTTTTTTTTGTTTCTTTTGTTTCGCACTTAGTCTGTACCGCCGGAGGATTTCAGTCTGGTCTAGGATCTCTAGAATTGGTGTGTATTGGGCCGTATAACATTTGTCCGTATGGTGTAAGATTTGCGGAACCACCGTACACCGCCGTCAGGTGATAGGAAAAAGAACCAAGGGCCATGCTTTGAATGCGACAATTATATATGCAATTAGATAGGGTCTCCCTCTGCTTCTTGATGCCTTCGTCGTGTCGTAGCTCACATTTTCGTAATTTGGATCTTTTTCATATCTAGGCGGCAACGCCCAGACTCTCTTCCACTTCGCGGACAACCTTGCGTACCCCCTCAATCTCGTGCGCAAACCGACCGAGGAACATGCCATCAACGGCCTTGCCGAGCCCCCCGGCGCCCCAGAGTCCAGGGCCCGCGCTGCCACCGTAGAGCACGCGGGCCGCACCAGGCCGCGGCCCAATGACCCCGCGGATGCCCTCCACCACCGCGCCAACGTGGTCCACGCTCGCTGGCTTAGGCTTGCCAATTGCCCACACCGGCTCGTAGGCAAAAATGACGGGGGCCTCGGCCGGGATCGCCGCCAAAACGGCCTTGACCAAGACTGCGCACTCGGAGACCGCTTGGCCAACTGCCTGCGAAGCGACGGGACCGGGAGCAGTGATCTCGCCGACGCAGACGAGCGGCACCATGCCCTGCGCACAGGTCGCGGCAGCCTTGCGGGCAGTCTGGTCGTCCGTCTCGCCGAAGATCGCGCGGCGCTCAGCGTGACCCAGTTCAACGATGGAGCAGCCGAGGGCTTTGATGGAGGCGGGCGAGACTTCGCCGGTGTAGGCGCCGCTGTCTTCCCACATGCAGTCCTGGGCGCCGAGGAAGAAGGGCGGCGGTGACACGGAGGTCCCGGCGGCCTCAAGCTTGCGCTCATATTCTCTGAGGATTTCCGCGCATGGCCAGATGGTGAGAAAGTCGGGGATCAGGGCTAGGAGGAGCTTCTCGCGATTAGCGGGCTTGACGATCTCGTTGGCTGGGTCGAGCAGGCCGCGGATGTAGTCCAGAGTGCGATCGGGGGTAAAGTACATTTTCAGGGAGATCAGGAGGAGCTTCTCCGGTAGCACTGGGTACGTAATGGGGGCCATGGCGCACTTGGGATGTTGCTCGCGGAGAGAGTTCAAGTTGTTCGCTATACTTTCCAGGTGAATGGAATTGTGGAAGGATGGAGAATAGATTGAGCGGGGATGGGTTAGGCGGGGGAAAGAACAGAACGTCAGTGCCCATGAGCGGCCGGTCTGGCCACGCTTAAGGGGTTGCCTGGGATTGGCAAGTAACGCTGTTCCGTGCGCTGTTAAAGCAGCCTTCTATCCTGTTCCTTATTTGCTAGATATTCCGGGCACGGACTACGAGGACCTCAACCGTGATGATGTCACAAGGAAGAGACCACCCCGCGGATCGAGAAACTTGCGGTCTTTTTGTTTTCGGACGCTTTTCTATGATAGGTAGAGGGTTTCACCACGGGGTGCATTGAACCGGTTCTGGTACCAAGCGACAAAGCTGTTCGGTCCCATAATCACGGCTAGCCTGCACCCAAAACCTGTTGCGTGGTCCATTAGTTCAGGGACCAGGCTAGCCCCTCCATGATCCCCCTCCACAGGCCCCCTCTGTTGCTTTCCTATAGGATGTTGTATCCGGGCTGTGGGTTCCTCTGGCAACTCACTAGTGATGTACTCCCCTCGATTTACCTCCCACGGTACCGTGCATCTTTGCTTGATATTCCCCGGAGTACACACGGCCGGTCGTCAAGAGGTCGTCAAGACATGGTCACAGCTTGAAACACCCACTAGCAACCGACGGCACCACAAGTATGGCATTGTCGTAGGAGATAATCTACCCAGCAGAGTCTCGCTTGCCCAAATTCCAGCTGAGACGCATCAGGATAACTGAATAGAACGGGCTCACTAATGTATGTTATGGAAATAGTTTCCAGGGCCAAGGCTTCCCGAAGTGTCCACTTCCAAGGTTGAGGTCTCCATACTTATCTGATCTCCAATTAGACATGCTGATGAAGCGTTGATTTATGCTAGGCTAAAGGCTGCGGCTCCTACTCCGTCACCGAGTGGATATGTGTAGACAGGAGCCCGGTTATTGGCTGCACTTCTACTAAGTCACCGAGTCCTTTGATTGAGTTTCAACGGAAGAAATGGAGGGGCCTGCTACTCCAACTGCAGCCCGTCTCCCTATCCATAGCTGCGCCTTCCGTAGCTCGGAGTCCATTTCCATTGCCTCCATTTGCCTCGCACGGGCGTTTGGCGTGCGGCACCAACCTAGCGTCCCTGGCGACAGCCAGGATCAGACCATCCGTGTTGCACTGCAGCCCATTCAGAGTCCCTACAGTTAGTGGGCATCTAATATCAGCCACATCCGACTGTTGGTGACATCGATGGCTTTTTCGGGCCCAGAGTCGAGATTCCGAACATTCCCTTCCCTCATAGATGTACCCAGTAAGACGGTAATACAAAGTAAATGGGCATGTACCGCACGTACGGGACAATACGGGGGCCCTAAACCAGAATCCGAACCGGCAGCCAATCGAACGCGCATCCAGCCACTCACGCTGCAGCTTCCCCAATGCCATGACGCTATGGGCGGGGCAGCCCATTCCCCCGCCTACCGAGGGGGCATACGCGGCGTAACCATATCAAGGGTGCGCGAGAGGTCAATCTGACTTCTACGGCCATTGGAACAGGTGGAGCTGCTGCCCAAAAATGCATCCAAAAAGTGAGGATTGGTTCCGTCAAGCCGTGCTCCACTCAGATTGCCGCATTGCGCAGTAGGGAAGGACGAGCGAAACCTATAAGAGGGGGGGCCACCAGCCGATCCAGGAGCTCGATTTGATCCTTTTCTTTCGTGTCTAAACAGCATTTATACGCCTATACATACCCTATACATACCCTATACATACCCTATACATATACCCTCCTCCTGCACAAAGCAACAATGTCTGACGCCAAGCCCTTCCGCATTGTCATGGCCGCCGACGAGGCCGGTGTCCCTTACAAGGATGCCATCAAGGCCGTTCTGGAGAAGAGCCCCCACGTCGAGTCTGTGCAAGACGTCGGTGTCAATAGCACCTCTGACAAGACTGCCTACCCGCACCCCGCCGTGGAGGGTGCCAAGCTCATCGCCGAAGGCAAGGCGGACCGCGGTCTCTTCATCTGCGGCACTGGGCTTGGTGTTGCCATCTCCGCCAACAAGGTCCCTGGCATCCGCGCCGTCACTGCCCACGACCCCTTCTCCGTCGAACGCTCCATCCTGAGCAACAACGCCCAGGTCCTCTGCTTCGGCCAGCGTGTGATCGGTGTCGAGCTCGCCAAGAAGCTCGCCCTGGACTGGCTCAACTACCGCTGGGACCCGGCCTGTGCCTCTGCTGCTAAGGTCCAGGCCATCAGCGACTACGAGGCCAAGTTCAGCAAGGCTTAGATGTGTGGAATACTTAATTAATGGCTCCCCGGGTTGAGTATGGGGCTCTTCTGTTCTCGCGGCTAAGGACTGCCCCGCCCCCGCATTCCGTCTTTGTCGCCATCGTATTTAATGGTCGGGCTGGATGGTGGATCCTAGTAACCCTAGTATTGAGCATCCTTTGCGCCAATCGCGCAGTCCTATTTGTCTTGTCCTATACCGAGCGCACCATGATACCACGAATACAATGCTGAATATCGATGACGAATCCAGAGGTCATAATGAAACTATCATAGATACCATGTCCGAAACTTTTAGTCCTTGTGTCCTCATGAGTCTCTTCTACAGCAAGATCTCTTTTGTTCCAACCGTTCCTGCATTTCTTTTTCATCAATAGACATGGTTTCGGTCTTAATATACAGACTGCTTGAGAAGAAATATAGGAGACGACCTATAGAAGATCATCTGGCAAGGGACTATGCTCAAGTGTATTGTGTCTTACAGTGCCGAATTTACGATGCGGGGAAATGGTGACCACAGGTAGGGGACCTGGATGAATCATCTGATCGAACTTGATATTGCTATACGCGAGATTGTCTAAAAAGAGGCCCGTTTGACCCAAGGGTTGAATCTAGCCCTTCATCAAAACAAGGAGATGGAGATAAGGGAAGGGCCATGCTCGCAACACCCTCGATAACTGGCGTAATGAGCTACAAAGGGCTAAACCAAGAATATTGGCAGACCGATAGGAGACTCTCTACTACAGAGTCATGCTGGTTAGGCATCTATCTCAGGCCAATATTCCGGGCCTATCATGAGACACGAAAGGATCCAGAGTGGTATCTTAATGATCTACTACGTGATGATTGTTCATAAAGAGGAGGGTGCTGTGGGCGAGCCTGCAACTGCTGTGAAAGGCCAAGGAGTACTCGACTTCAGGGTAACGGGCATTGCACCAAGGAATGCGGATGTTGTATTGATTTTCGTGGCTTTGAACTCAACAAATATCAGCAAAAACTTTGCCAGCAGCCCCCTTTCGACCTTGGAAAGGGTCCTGGACAAGCCGATTGCTACAGCAACTATCTTTTCAGTGGCTATATTCTCGGTCTTCACAGCCATTCCGCCAATATTTGTATGGACAGGCAGTGACCTTTATGACTTTGTCTTCTCCTATACGATTTTGGCTTGTGGGGTCTTGATATAAGGAGATTTGGGAGCGATGTTAGGATTTGCTTCCATTGAGAGGCCTTGTCTCGCATACGGGAGGATCTTGCTACTATGGTATGTTCACACAAGGAATAACTCTAACTCTATACAATTGAAAAGGACATCCGGGCATCGTAAAAATCTATACACCCTGGTGTCACAAGTTAAAATTACAAACCTGAACACGAGTAACAATATATGTGGAAAACTCGAAAAGCTGATCTCAACCGGAACTAGATGATGCCCTTGTACATACGTCAAATCGAAGCACTGCAATCTTGACCATTTTCCGCCATGGACATCAAACACATAGTCACATTGGACGCATTATCTCCTCAGAGACTATTGCATAAGTTAGTACTATGGGAGCTGGGCCTACCCACTGCACCCACCTGGGCACCTGGGCAGGTAATGGCATGCTGACTCATCTGTTCTGCGGAGGTCGATGACTTTCTATAACGGGATTTCGGATAGCATCAGATCGACAACTGTACAGAAAGGTTGGCGTTGAAACAGTGGAAAGCCCCGTCCGAGTCTGTCCCCACCTCCTTTCTTGATATAATAATATATCTGCCGCTTTGATGCGTCAATCTTCATGACCGCCCATAATCCCATTCTCCATCCTTCTCCTTCCCATTCCCCTTCGATCCTCAGCGGGCCGCCCCACCTGGGGAAAACGAATTGATCGCTGCACAGCACCCTTACAAACCCACACGGTATAATTCCTGGCCTGGTACAGGCGAAATGGCGCAAGAGCTGAAAGCCAAGGGCAACGAGCTCTTCAAGCAGGGCGATTATATTGGCGCCGAAGAATACTTCTCCCAAGCGTAAGCCTCCCCAGTAACTATACGAGCCGCCCCAGCCATTACGAGTGATGTCTGCGAAAGCGCGCCCGTGGAAAAAACCCCCCCAGATGAGCTTCATGAATATCCATTAACTGACCGCGTGCCTGGTGTAGAATCCTCAAAGACCCCCGTGACCCCACCTTCTTCACCAACCGCGCCATCTCCCGGATCAAGCTCGAGAAATGGGCCGAGGTTGAACAGGATGCCCGCGCCGCGCTGGCAATCTACGGCACCAAGAATCCGGCCTCCCTCAAGAGCTCCTACTATCTTGCGACGGCGCTGTTAGGGCTTCAGCGGCCGCAGGAGGCGCACGATGTCGCCGTCGAAGCATACGAGCTAAGTCTCAGAGAGAAGAATGCGCAAACGGAGAACCTGATGCGGACGGTGCTACGTGCGAAGCAGCAGATTTGGAGGGAAAGGAAACCGCACGGCTGCGAGAATCAAATGAGACGTTGAAGAGCGTCGAGCTTCTCATCGAGGCAGACCTGGCGCGCTCGATTGCTGAGCTCCAAGCACAACTGGACCGTGGGGAGATCGGCCAAATCGGATTTAATGAGGACCAGTCTGCTCTGAGGGCCGATGCGGAGAAAAAGATTCGGACTCTGAGGGAGGCATTCGAGATCTCGTCCAAGGGGGAGATCAAGGAGCGGGTAAGTGGGATCTTTTTTTTTTCTTTTTTCCTCTCTAGAGAGGTTCCCTGGTGCTGATACGTATGTTCCCCCCTTAGGTCGTGCCGGATCATCTCGTGGACGGCATTACATTCGAGGTCATGTATGATCCTGTGATTACACCGTCGGGTACCAGCTTCGATCGCGTTGGCATTGTCAAGTATGTCGAAAAGGCCGGGGTGGACCCCATCACCCGGGTTCCCATGACCGTCAAGGACTTGCGCCCGAACTATGCGCTCAAGGCTGCATGTGCGGAGTTCCTGGAGAAGAACGGGTGGGCTGTAGATTGGTGAGTTTCGGGATATTCAAGCTGTATAGTATATTCATGTTCAGCTGCATTAGCGAGTGGTCCCTATGAGCACAGGCATCTTATTTGCATCAGTGGCGGCGTCCAAATTAGATTTTGATTGGCTTTTCGAAGATCGTCGATGCACCCTTCATCTACTGCTTCACGTGCGGCGAAATGTAATTGGCCTAATGCCAGCATCACCTCGGATGGACCAGGTACCTGTTAGGGCCCGTAGAACCAAAATCTTGGAAACCCTGGGATGCCAAACCAGCTGGACAACTGGCGGGCTGCTCTGTCAGCAAACACCCCCACCATCAACACCCGGGCCCCGCCGCCAGAGCTGTCGATCCTCAACAAATCCATCCTGCTCTCCTCAGTCCACTCTCAAAGCTCACCCAACCTCTCTACGACCGACCTAAACACCGTCCCCTCCTCTCAAAATGGCCGATATCCCCAACTTCATCTCCACCTTGGAGATCGCCCAGAAGAAGGAAAAGTTCACCCCCGAAGTCCAAGAAGCCGCCGCCGGAATCGATGTCGAGACCCTGAAGGCTGCTGTTGCTGCCGCCCTCGCCGCGGGCGAAACTGACGAGATTTCGGACCCCGCCCAGGCCGCTGCGCTGAAGGCTGGCTTCGAGTTCGCCGTCAAGGCCGTCATGATGCTCAAGAGTGCCCCCGCCCCTTCGAGAAGAAGGACCTCTATGTGTATTTCAAGGTTGCCCGGGGAGAGGTCGTTGAGAAGCCCGGCATGTTCGACATGGTGGTATGTCCCCAAAGGCGTCTCCGATGTTCTTGTGCGTGAGCATTCTTGCTAATTCGACGGTTTGTGTTCTACAGAAGAAGCAGCTCTTTGGTGAGTGGGAGAAGGTCAAGCACTTCAGCAAGCCCAAGGCCGAAGCCCTCTACATTCAGTTCGTCGACACCTACATCGGCAAGTACGGTACTCGCGACGAGTAAAAAGCCCCCTTGGGTTTGTGGATTGAATATTACGGAAGGAATACAATGGATAGTCCATATGGTGGAATAGATTCATCTTCCCCAAAACACGAAATGAAGCGATGCATCCACGAATGAAATACCTGTTATGGATAGCTTATACTCGTTGGACTCATTGTAATCAACGAGATTTGACCTTCTTAATTTGATAAGCGGGAGAACGGGTTATGAAAGTAAAGGGATCCGATATTTGGTGCTAAACCGTCCAGGTTCTCCCCTGCCAGTCTGGAATCGAATGCATGGCTGTAGCACACCATGGCTCGTCGGATCGACCGTACGGAGTCAAAGGAAGCTTGTAGGGCATGCGGAAGCCAACGACCGTAGTAACACCACTGCAACAGTGTCCCTTGGCATCTGGCTCGTCTTTCAAGAAGCAGGGTACCATGATCGAGTTTCGAGAATCTGACATATCCGCTCCAGATGAAGTCGGGGGTTCCTCAGCAAGCAGTCCTGGCCAAACCACCACGCCAATTTCATAGCTGCAGATCCTCACTTCGCCGCTTTGATTAGTCCCCGCACCCCACGCTTGAATAGAAAGATTGGCGGATGTGACCATAGCCCAGTCAATAGTATCCAGCTTGTCCGAGTCTGCAAACCGAATATACGTTTTGATATGCGGCGCAGCGCGGCCTCGCCCAGCGTCGCGTTTAGGCTTCTCATCCAACAGATCGATCACTTGGGGATCACCAGCCCATTGGCATAAGTATGGACGCAGATACCGCAACTGTTTCTGTTGCGGGCACTGCTAGTTTTCATGTGGATCGAGCCGCCTGAGACATATCCATCGAGAGATCGGCGTATCTCATCTGGGGTCGGAAAAATGATTGAGTATTTCGGCGAGGGTCTTCAGATCTCGGTGCGAGAGCTTTGAAGAACGTGTCTTTGAGCCATTTGTCAGTCGGACCCAGCGTAGCAACCGATGATATTTGTACAACAATATGGGCCTCTTCAGATCGGCTCTTTTCATCGTTTTGAGGTGAATGAGAGATAGGAATCCTGCCCATGAGGTCTTTCAGAGCCGGCCAGCCCCAGAGTGTTGCTCTATCAGAGTTCAGGTCATTGATCTTTTGCTTCGAGGGAACACTTGCAACGAGAGCCGCGCGGATTGCGCCGAAGTCATAACGAAGCAGCTCTTTTACCAGAGGGCCCGTTTTCTTTACACCATATGTCTTCAAGTAAGCCAAAAGATCTCGCTTGAAGCGGACACCGGTTCCCAGGCCTGAGTCTACTGGTGCTGGGCTGTTAGGATCTCGCAGTGGAAGAACAGGGGATCTCCAGACGGCTTGAGTCATGTTTGTCCAATCTTGACGGATCATGTTAGCTGTGTGAATAACCACTCTGAGCTAATTAGCAAGACTCGATATACGAAAAGAAAGACAAGGAAACAAAGGTTGAATTTAGTTACTGACTCTGCCGAATCATCATGCCGGATAAGAATCATCATCTTCGAATGATGTGTTCCGAATGCTTCAGGCATGAAGGCTACAATGGGCTCGACATTTGGCCAACGGGCACATGTCTCCTGCAGGCTCGATTAGACAGATCTAGTGCCAAGGTGGAATGAGGCTTACTTCCACTCGAATGCGGTTGCTGTCTTCCCTTCTCCAAGACCCATGGATGACTTTGACCTTGACAAGCTGGCGAACATCTTCGTCGAACTGGGACATGAGAAAATCAACGTCGAAAAGATAGTTGAACTGCCAGCATTCTCGAATCATTGGATCACCCAGGACGTCGCTCAGTTTTACTGTGTCCGTATTCAGACCCTTCCCATCATGTAGATCTCGTATGTGCGTCAGTTTGAATGGCGATGGGAGCAGACGGGGCCGTGAAGGCTCTTGATCCAGGCTATTGCCGTGTGCCTGGGTCTCACCAGGCTGCTTTGAATTTCCTGAAATGGGCGCCTGAGATTGCCGAGAATTTGATCTGGGCGGCGGACTGATAGATCTGTGAAGGGATGCTATGGAGGACTGTCCATTGTGTGCGATCCCGTCGAGTTTTCTCGACCCGTCGGAGACCTTTGTCCGCTTCGCAGGGCGCTCCATTGAGAGCCGGCTGCTAGAAATCACCGGGCGGAGAACGTAAGGCCGCGCAGGAACTTGTGAGTGAAGTAGACTAGGTAACTTCAATCTCCGTATTTGGGTACAGCTCTGTAAAATAGACCGAGTGGTCTTCAGAATCATGTGGATTGTGAAACGTCGTTTAGAGAGAAGTGAGAGATGGGCGAAGAACCAAGGGCCACGGCGGTGGTCGCCAGCGACCACCGCCCGCGGCCCATGCTATCCTTCTATGCACTTTGGCATTTTGTACAGGATTGAATTAATTTGGTTTGAGACTAAGACTAGAAATGAATTTAATAATCGAGGGATACCCTTCTCTGCCTTGGTAGTTATACATAACATTCTTTTCTATGCCAGGTGGGGCTTTCCTACCTTAACTGCGGCCGCTTTTACGCAAGCGTACGAGGGCGCTCAGAGTCAGCATCAGTAAGTAGATTTCAGTCCGGGATTTAGAGACTAAGCTACTCAGTGATTCTGACCAGGTGCCTATTAGATACTCATCATAGGTATCTATTTCACATCTCGTAACCACTTAGCCTATACCTAGTGTCAAGGAACAACGGGATTCGATGGCGTTTCACCCTCGATATAGTGTTGAACTGTTGTGGACCTACTTCAGTGGAAGGAACTCCTTAATTTTGGAACTCTCCAGTGAAGCAACGTGATCATCTCCATGCAGCATGATACTGGGAAAGCGATCACTACAAGTCGGCTACCCCGTCTCCCTCAGCTCCCACAATCCTCATCAACAAGTACAGCAGCTCAAATTTGCAATTCTCTGAATGCTTCTTCCAAGTCACGGGCGTGAACCACCCCATGAGCGCTCTGATGATTCTGACCACCCACCGGTGCTCCGCACTCTGGGCACCGGGATAGTTGCATGGCCATTCCACATTCTCCAATAGTGAACGGATGTCCATTCTCACAATAGTACCAGTGACCTGTTCCTCTGAATTCCCTTGCCATGGCTTTCAACACAGCCAACCGCTCTTCATTACTCACCGGCGCATAGAATTTTGCACCACGAAGCATCGCCCTCGTCCCTTCGATTTCGTCAGACAATCCAGGCGTCTGATCCGGATGCTCCTGACAGAGTGTGACTGCCATGTCAATTGCAAGATTTGCTTCACCTCGTAGACTTTCTGCCAGGGAGATATCTTTGATGTTCGTTATCTCAAGGGCATAGAGCTGAGCGAGGAAAATGGAGCTTTCTGCTTGGTGAAGAATACGTCTGGAAGCTTTTGCGTCATTAAACAAGCGGCGACAAACCTTTCTGTGTTCTTCGAAATCAACATATAATTCGCATTGGTCGATTCCGGGACGTAAGTGGTTTTTCATGGAAACAAAATCTCCCAGGAGAGCGATATCTATGCGGAGCAGCAACGAGGTAGCTTGGATTTGTCCTTTGGTTTGCAGCACAGTTTCATCGAACCTGAATTGATCAGACGTCTTTTTGCGTCGCCGGGCATCCTCAACCATATTGCGGACGCGATTGTATGGCTGCTCATCAACTTCGACTTGTTTCTGATAAGCCACAATCTTTTCACGGAGACTCAGGACTTGATGCCAGCGCGATTTATGCCTTTTATTTAACAGTCCTCTCATCAACGCCACTTGCTGCGAAGGGGATCCCTTGAGTTCAATTCGAGAGTGTCCATGAAATAGTAATTGCGCCACTGTGTCGGAATATTGCTCTTGTAGTTTGGACAAGGCCTCTGGCAGTTCTTGAGCGAGAGGGACATATCGTTGGTTCAAGTATACTATCAGCTTCTTCGTTGCTTCATCTAGCAATGCTCTTCTCACCAATCTACCATAGCGAGAAATGTTTCTCAGGGATCCACGGCATGTTGCACATGCTCGGATGTCGCCCATGGAGAATGGCTCGGAAGATGCGGCGATAGAGATGGGCCTGCTCTGGTCATCCATCTTGTAATGCTTCCGTAAGTCCATCTGGCCGTCTATGCTTTCGATAGTCAAGAAGTGCCCACATTGAGGAAAGATGCATGGGTTCTCGAATAGGTTGATTTGCTCATAGGTCTCCCCCTAGGATGAAGTCTACCGGGGTCTGCTTTACTTCATCCGATGCACATGTTTGGCAGTAGTTCGCTGGCGGACAAGTCTCCCCGCATACCGAAGGGCATTGATGGCCACATACCAAGAGCTTGCCACAGCGTAGAGAACATGGAATGTGATCGCACGGGGCGGAGCAGGGCATAGAGCAGCTACTGTGGGGACAAGAGGAGAGACATTCACTAACAGCGCAAGGAGCACAAGGCTCGGAGCATTTTTGCGGGCATCTGGAATGGGCACATTGCACTTCACAAGGTAGGGAGCATGGAGAGCATGGTTCTTCGCCATGGCAGTTGGCATTACATGAATGAGGACAGGTAGTATAAGGACGCTTGCACTTATGAGTGCATATCCCGTGATCGACATTCAAGCCTGTAGGGGTCCTCACGGTACATTGGAAGCAGGACTTTATACAACCATGTCCACACGGCAGCACCTTGTCGCAGGCTTTGAGACATCTGTATTCGTCATTGTCGACCTCGGTATGGCAGGGAACTCTAACAGGATGACCGCATGTTGGAACTTCCTTTTCGGTAAGCACAGGACACTTCACAAGGGTCAGATCCTGCGCCTGCCAGCATGGAAGGGAGGCCATTCGATGACCACACGGAAGAATCCTTTCAGAGTCATATACAGTGACTTGGCAATTTTTGGGGCATGGGTCTCCACAGGGATTTGGACATGGGTGCACGCAGTTCTTTCGAGGTCGAGGGCAGGCCTCTAAGCAATAAACCACCCTGTGCAACATTTCGGAATGACACTTCTGTTTACAAGGATGGCCACATCCAAGACGCTTCCCGCATGACAGAGTGCACCCTCCTTCTGGCGAATGGTAAACAAAGTGGTCTGGTTCTTCCACCACAATGGGCGTGTCAGGATGGCGAGGGCAAGTCAGTTCGAGTTGGGTGCCCAAATTGCCATCTTTTTCCAAGATATGAAGAACCTTGCCCCACATGTCGACTCCCCTTGATGTTTCGGAGTTTCCAATGATGTACATCCCATGCTTAGCACGAGATAAGAGAACATTGGCACGGTTTGGTGTCCGCAAGAAGCCACAGCGGCGCTGGCTGTTGCTTCTGACTAGAGAAATCACAACGACTTTTGCTTCCTCTCCCTGGAAGTTGTCAATTGTCGCCGCCCTCACAGTCTGGAGAAGCGTAGACCTGGATACACCTTTTTCCTTTTTCTCGCCGTCTTCTTCCGTGAAACCGGCGTTGCCCAGATCTTCTTGATCCCCTTCTCCCAAAGTGACAGTATACGACTCAGCGAGCTTCCGACGTATACGGTGGAGCTGGCCAAGGTATGGCGTTAACACTGCAATGTCGCCGCTCTCATAGACGCCTTGGCGGAGAAGATGATTGACCAAGGCAACAGTCATCTGAATCTCATGGTCATTCCAATGGGATGTTGCCATCGGGTCTTGATTCAGGGTGTCGCCTTCTGTATATCGGTGATCTAACCAGAATAGTCGTTTCTTGATACCCATCACCTCAGGATACTCCGACACCGAAGGAGCGTCTTCTAAGCTCGGGTAGAGTGTATCCCGTATAAGGCGAGATATCGATGGGAACATCCGTCTTTGGGTTTCAAGGGTGCAAAAGGGGATCTGAATCCCGACCTCGTCATCGGGCTCCACAAGCCTTTCAAAGAGTGATCTATCCAGAGCATACTGGCTGCCCTCATGGCTCTCCCGGGAGAGTCCATAATTCTGTATCTGGGGTCGGAGCTGTTGATGGTCTCCAATAAGGATTACATGTTGAATGGATGGCAGCAATGAAGTTAGCAAATGCGCCTCTAGAACCTCACCAGCTTCTTCGCAGACTAGGACCTTTGACTTTAGGCGCCGGAGCATGTCTAAATTACGCGCGAGTCCTGAAGTGGTTATTCCAATAACATCGGCGTCGCGTAGGCATCGTAAATCTAGCTCATCTCGAATTTTGTCCCAAGAAGCCTTGGCTTCGAGGTGCGAGGTAAATATAGCCTGAGCTTCGAGTTGTGTGCGTTCCTTCTGGTCGTCGACCCAGTATCTGTGAAGATTTCTCCGCTCAGTCGCGGTCATTTGGTCGATATGAATGTGACGCAGCTCCTCAAGACCGCGCGTCTGGCTATTGATGTCTTTTCCACCCTTCAGCCACGATTTCATTGTCTTCTCGGGATCGTCTTTGGATGCCGATGCCCTTTCATACCCGTCATGGTCCTTATCAAAAAATTGACTGTAGCGATCTGGATGAAACGTTCGAAGATAATGTTTAACGCTTATACCCGATCCAACGGAATTCAAATGGATCTTTCGAAATCGTTCCTCCAGTCCGTCCAATACGTTATGTAATTCCCATTGGCCTGTTCTCTCAAGCCTTGTCTTTTCCACTCTCACTTTTCGAAGCTGATGTTTTTCCAGACGCTCAGACTTTGATTGAGAGCCAATGCGAATGACTTGAGAGGTGATATTGCTATCCAGAAGGTCTTCCAGCAGCTGGTCCAGTGCGTGATTTGTATAGCAGACACAAATAATCGGTCCAAGTCCGGATGCAATCTGTGATTTGTTCTCCAGGAGAACTTTGATCAGCGCCACTCCGGTGAAGCTTTTCCCAGTTCCAGGTGGGCCTTGAATCAATCCGATGCATCGTTGGAGGGTCGTGACCAAGGCCCTAGCTTGCGCCTCATCGAGTGTGGAGTTTCCTCTGAGTTTCTCCATATCCACAGGCTCAGATGATGCGACCTTAAGACTAGATTTATCATTCATGAGGCATTTCAGGTCGAAGCTAAATCCAGGGGAGGTTGCATAGGCTGGTGGAGGAACGTCGACTAGCAGACTTAAGGAGTCGACCTCAAGGGGGGCAAGAAATTCAGACATTGAGACATTTGCAAGTTTCTGCATTTTCTGGAGAGCGCGCAAGGTGGGGTGGAAAGAGGGCAGCAAGATGCCAGGAAATTCCAGGAGAGAAATTTGGGAATTGTTCCTTGCAGTATTCCCAGTACGGCAATTCAAGATGTATTGCCAATTGGTTTCACTGGGCTCCACCAGCTCCAGGATGACCGAGGCATAATGAGCGCTTTGTGAAAGTGAAGCAGACATTTTCCACTGCTTGTCGTTCGCATCTTCTTTCTCATGACGTCGATCGGGGGTGGCTACCGTGCAAAATAATGCAAAACCTCGCGGATCAACGAGGCAAACGAGCGCACTTGGCTGGAGCCGTTTAGAAAGATTCCACCATTCTTCCCGCCTCTTTTTGTCGGACCCTTTGAGGCTAACGAGCTGAGCAAAGCTCACAAGAAACTGCATTCCAGAACTTCGATGGAGATCGATGCTTTGAACGTTGATGTGCCGGTAGACATAGGTTCTGGTTTGGTTCTTCCTGATGTCCCTGGAAGAACTTGGATGAAGCTCTGCATGAATTGAATCTCGGAGTTGACCAATAGTATCTTCTCTTAGTAGTCGGAAGTTCCGATCTAACAATCCAGCTATTCCGTTGACATGCCACTGCCGTGGGTCTTTCACCGGAAGATACTCCGCGCGAGGGCTGTTTATCTCGTCAAAGGTAGGCATGATGTTGATTTTCGAAATATCGGCAAAATCATTGTCGTGACGTCCACCGGGGGGGGTCCTTCCGCACGACAAATGCTGTGCTTGGTTTATCAGATATAATCTTTTTCCGTTGCTCCACTAAAGCTGGCAAAGAAAGTCCCACATCGAGACGCCGTTGCAGACGTTTTAGGTACTGGAGAGATTGCTGAATGGGCGACAGGCTATCCACGGCGTAGAGTGCCGTAATGATGTCGGTAAAGCGCTGCGCAAGCACTTTTAGATTGTCTTGCACAAAGGCGACGGAGTTGAGCTCAATGACCTGAGAAAACACGAACAGGGACATTTCGAGGTGAACTGACGCAGCTTTTGTATCACCCTCTTTTTCAATAGCCACGGCGTCAGCCAGAAATTCTAGAAAGGGGTGTGCCCGCCGACCTCCCACTCCATAGATACAATTATAAATGGTGCCAACATCCTGTTCCAAAATCAACGACTCATGGATTTCCGGGGAGCTAATGATCTCCAAGAAGGACTGTATCTCGACATGGAAGATTCGGGTCTTCTCAGTCTCTGAAATTGACGAGAACTCTCTTTGGATCAATTTCTGGATCAATTTAAGGCCATCTTCGGAGGCAAGGCAATGAATGACATTTTGTCGAGTACCCTCATCAGTAGTCATGAGCCTTCTCGCCTCTTTGAAGAACGGACCCAACTGTACTCCCGATGCACGGCCATAGTGGCCAACGGGACCACCAGAGAGCTTTGCTCTCCATCTTCCGAACGAAGCAGCTTCGCTATTATGCTCTTCATTCGAACCTCCTGGCTGACCTCTAGATTTGTCGAACACAGGAGCATGCTTCTGGCCCACATGCTCGTATCGACAGTTTCGGAATTTGCAGAACCCCGTCTGAGCAAAATACTTGCATATTCTGCATTTGTTAGCAAGACGAGCTGACTCGAGCATATCCTCTCTTACTTTTTGCCCATTTGATGTTGGCTGGTCCCTTATGGAACACTCAAATCTCCTTTCAAGTTCAATAAGCGGAGAAGAGGAATCTCGCTACTTCAAATCAGAGGTACTAACGAAACGTAGACTGCGAGAAACTTGTAAATAGAGCAGAGAACCGGATAGAAAGGGAAATAGATTTGTCCGAATCTACGAAACACGGGCACCCGGAAAATAAAGAGCCTCCCTGAGTGCACTACCGAGGCATTCTTCGCACAGTGACTAACTACAGTGCAAACAAAGATAATAGCAAGGCGTGCGCTCCTTCGGGGGCTGCTGACGCCCTGCGACGCAGTATTTCGGTTGCATATGAACTACAAATCATGTCTGCCTTGTACGACTGCGCCTCGCTAGCTTTGGGGTTTTGATTGGAGAGGATCAGGAGTACCAAATGTGACAACACATCACTGACAGGGTTTATATCGGTCCAGCGTACGACATACGCTAATGGGATCATGATCGTTTCAAACGTCTTTTACTCTGAAGATGACTGCGGAGAAGATGGATCTTCTTGATTGAGAAAGCCGGCGCAGTCTGAGAGAATCAACTTTCATGATAAAGATTCATTAACGTTTTACCCAAGGTTTTGTTCTTCGGTATTGAAGCTTCGATCTACAAGGTCGGGCGTCACCAAATGCAGATTCCAGCGCCACAGAAGCAAGCTGAAACCAGTTGTCCGTATGGGGCTATCCCCCGGCCTGTCTTATTGGTGCAAAGTCCCCAACTGTGATTCCAAAGCGACGCACAAGAATTACCGAGTGACGCACCCCCCAGCCGCTGCTCCTTTCTCCACCTTAGAGTAGCGTGTTCTTGGTCGCCGCCCACGATCAAAACCCAAGGCTAAAGTACGGGTCTCGCACTCGCAATACTAGGGGACAATGTTCTCTGCCTTTAACAAAAGCTCAACTACCCTATTTTTCCGCGGTGGGCCTTCTAGGGTTTCTCCCAGTTTAGGCCATTGTTGTTTGAACGATGTACGTAAGTTAAGGGCAAGAATCATTGCGAAAGATCTATGGCAGGATAGGCAGAGTTCCTGCCACGTAGAATGTATTTGTGGACAATTGAGAAGAGACTTAGGCTTCTTGCTTTAAACTCATGATCAAGTGTGTTTTATTAGAACGTCGAATTCGGTATAGGGGCAACGAATAGGGCAGTTAGATAAAAATTGGACCGCCAGAATATGGCGGGTAACATTTGTCCAACTCTGTGCGCAAACTGGTGAACAAGCCGAAGATCAAATCTGGACGAATTTGGGTTGAACCCAAGTCCTCTGGTGGTCCGTGCATTTCCTAGTACTCACCAACCCCCCCCCCAAGTATCCAGCATCGCTTTGTTCTTACATCGGGGCTGAAGCTAGAGAAAGCGGTATGGATTGGCCAAACCAGTCAGGATGAATATTCACCCTAGCGAAGAGTAAAGAAATGGTCTCGCTTCTCTTCTTCTACCCCAGCAGCGTTACTGTATCAACATCAGCGCTCCAAAGCATTTGGTTTGCCAATGAATCCGAGCAATTCTGAAATGTGGCGAAGGCTATAAGCCTATTTATTTGCTCGAAAACTACTCTTCCTAGCCCTCACGAGATGGATAATAAAGCATAACCCTACCCTCTTGGGGGCCCGTGCCCTGAACGGGGTTTTGTAGGGACGCCCCCCTATCCTGATATGGTAATTGTGAGGTCTGCTCGCTCTTTTCTAACATCCGAACAGAACAAGCAACAAACTAAACCCCGATGACCACCAAAATACGGCCTAAACACGCATTTTAGAAGCAAAAATAGATAGAATAATCCATCGCTTGCTATTGAAAGTCCCTAAGACTAAAGAACTAAAGGCCGACTCAGATTTAAAAAGCCCATAAACGCTGCAGCTGTCCCCAAAATCTGGAGCACATCTTATACACCGGATTACCACCTACTTCAGTCTTAGGAAGTCGATAATGCTAAGACAAGCAAGCAAATTTCTGTGCCCACTCCACAGAGGTACTTACTCGCCGCAAATCCGCAGAATAGCGGCTGCCGCCAAACCGGCCCCAGTCGCCATTGTAGGCGGCGGGCCCTGCGGACTGACATTTGCACGTCTACTCGAACGTGCCGGGGTCGATTATGTCGTATTTGAGCGCGATGCAAGCTTCACTGCGGCCCAGAAATTCCAAGGCGGCACTCTAGATCTGGGCCCAGAAGGAGGGCAGGCGGCGCTCAAGAGCGCTGGCCTTTTCACCGAGTTTCAGAAGTATGCCCGGTATGAAGGGAGTTGCCTTACCATCCAAGATTTCAAGGGCAATCACTACGAGAGGATGGGAGGAGATGACAGAGACCGGCCCGAGATCGATAGATTCCAGTTGCGACAGATGCTGCTGCAGTCAATCCCGGAGCAGCGGGTGAAGTGGAATATGAAGCTTCTAGGAGCTGAAATTCAGAAGAGAGAACAGGACTCTGGGTCTACGTCCGCAGCGGATTGTGTTCTGCGATTTGAGGATGGGACAAGTGAGCGAGGGTTCCGCCTTGTCGTGGGCTCTGATGGAGCTTGGAGTAAACTTCGCCAGGTAGTAAGTCTCCCCCCCCTCAAGGCGATCAAAGGCTTTTTCCAGTGCCTGACAAATCCTACCTTTAGATTACCCCTATGGAGCCCACATATACCGGCAGGCTGTTTATCGAAGGCGCTATCTCGCCGGGCAATCCGCAATACAACGCAGCAGTCGCACTCGCTGGCCCCGGTAACTCCCTAGCCACTGGCAATCACCAGGCTCTGTGTGTGCAGCAGATGAGTGATCGCTCATATCGCGTATATATGGCAGTGGAGGGGCCAGAAAGTATGACACGCCCCGGGGGCCAACTGGACCTGAGTAACCAAGAAGAGACTTGCGGTCGAATAAATGAGCTGTACTCCCCCTGGGCACCGCACCTGCGAGACATTGTGGCTGCTGTAGAAGGCCCTTACCGGGCTTGGCCTTTGTTCCAGCTTGACGAGAGGCTTTTCGCTCGTGCAGAGGAGAATAAGAACGACCTGCCACATGAAGAACGTTGGAAGCGCGTGCCAGGTGTCACTCTACTTGGAGATGCAGCGCACGTGGGGGTTCCAAACGGTGAGGGCGTTAATCATGCCATGACCGATGCACGTAAGCTTTTCGAGTGCCTTGAAGCCGAGTTGAAAGAAGCAGGGGAAGGGTTTGACCAGAAGGCCGATGCAGTTCGAATTGAGCGCGCTATATCGGCCTATGAGGCAGACATGTTTCCTCGGGCGCACGAGAGTATCCGGGATGGGATCGGAATGATGGGAATGATGTTTGCGAAGGATGGTGCCAAGAAGATGAAGGAAATACTCGCCCAGACGCCGCAAGATGCCCAGACATAGGGCGTAGTGCGGAAGATTTATGACAGGCACTTGATTTCGATGATAATAATATACAATTCAGCCCATGGTTCCGATGATGGAAGCTCGGCCTGGAAACTCATAGTACTGTACAGAATGCTGTTGGATTGGTTTGGATTACCACATGAACCGTTGGACCTTCCCTGGTTCCTGAGGCCACTCGAAGCCCTTGTACAGGAACACATAGCCAGTGACCGCGTTGATAAGCATGAACCATGCAGTTTCCAGGAAAACCGGGACATGCCCAGCCAAATCAGATCGTACTCTCTCCTGTTCTGTCTCAGCGGGCTGTCTTCGGAATACCCCCAAAGCAGGAACTGCTGGAAGATGCAAGCGCCACATAACCCAAGGAATAATGAAATATCTCGGCTCCACAAGCGGCGCTGTTACAAGAGACAATGCAGTAGCGGCAAGCCAGACAAGGACAAAACTAACTCGAGGGGATGAATCTGCCTGCTCTTGGCGCCGCTTCATGAGATGTTCTTGAATGCTGGCGAACGTCTCGAGAGTAACAGGATCCGGTTTCGCTGGCTCTGGCTGAGTCTTCGATGGGGATTTGCGAGTTGTTCGGGTCGATTTCCTCGTTCCCTTTGGTTGATCCCTGGTTATTTCCTTGGGCGCAGGTGAGGTTTTAGCCTCAGGCTTACGAGGGCCAGGCTTAACACCGGGGGGCAATTGGAACAATCGAGGAGCTGTCGAGATCGTAAAGCCCAAAGCCGAAATTACTGCCCACCCACAGGCAAAGTATACCACCACAGCAGCATACTTTACCGCCGGGTGAATATTCAGCAAAAGACGGAAGACATAGAAGACATAATGACGGTTGTCTGCCAATGTGAAGGGATGAACCAGAGTATTGAAGTGAACGATAACAAGCAACAACGGGATGACCAAAGCTGCAGAGATGAGTGTCGGAAGAAGCTTTCTTTGCTTCTCGGGGAGACCATAGTTCGGGTACTTTGGCAAAATAGTCTTCGGAAGGACGATGTTGACCGCAGGAAGAATAAGCAACGGCCAAGAGAAGAATACGAAATAAGGCCAGATATACAGCATCTGAGCCAAATGAATGCCCGCGGTGTGGAATTCTTTGTGACCTGGAAAATGGATCCTGTCAGCTTCCACAGGGCCTCGATCGGTTAATGAACTCTACTGGAAAACTCACCAAGGACAACACCATTGTTCCAGATGACAAATGCCCCGAATACCGCAAGAATCAGGATATGTGGAAGAATAGAGACCAAAACGGGGACTGTATTCTTCAGAGCCGCAACAGCAAGAGAAACTGCTACCTTGAAATAATCTACAGTTGAAGCTTAGCATAGTTCACACAGATGCCGAACAGGACCAACATACCTGGTAAAGATGCCGTAGAAACAGGAGGGTCGTAAACCTCATTCTTCAGTGCACCTTGAATGACCGAAGAGATTCCGGATGAGCTAGTCACTTTGGAAGACTTGCGAATCGTGCGAACAACCTGCAGTCCACCGAGGAAGACAGAAACCCAAAAGATATTTGTCTGGCGGCACACTAACGCAGCCAAACCAAAGACCAGGAATCCCAAAGTAGACAGAAATAGGCTGCCGCCTCGTGAAGCCCGTTTTAAATCCCAGTTGTAAGCCTCCACAACAGCTAACAACGCAAGAATATCGGTATAGTAGAGGGCCGAGAAGAAGAAGAGAGGCGGGAACAAGCAGATGTTCAATACGGTATGACTGAGCCAGGCGCCTAACTGGCGGTTATTTCGAACCTTTTGGATAGCATCCGAGAGGACTTGGAGTCTCCATGGGAGGAAACCCCCCGTAGTAGCGACGTTGGTTGTTCTCAGAGCCGCGGTATCGAGTTGAGTCGGGGAGCCGCGGAGAGTAAGCAGGGCGGCGCATAGAAGATATGACCACAGGTAGAGACCCGGCGGAGTCGTGATTTTGGGATCCCACTGCGTCCACTTGTGTGCCCAGTATGTCTGCGCCTGAGGGACGTGGAATACTTCGTCGAGGTACGGCTCGGGGACGTTGGTGTTGACCAGGTTCCTCCAAACAGGAATTAAAACCAAGCCAAAAGGCACAGCATACCGCGCCGCGCGACTCAGATTGGAACCCCGAGACGAGCTCATTTCGCCTCTACGATCGAGCAAGGGTGTTCTGGAGAAACGGAATTGGAGACGTGGTTTAGTATCCAAAAAAAAGTAGCTACGTGTAATGCAAACACGCCAAACACCAATAGTGACGCGCTCCGAGTCCCGCGCAACGTACGTTGTACGCGAAGACAAGGAGGTATACTATGGCACATTGACGGGCCCAACGTTGTAGCACTTTGTTTATTCTCTTTATTCTCTGTTTTTCATCGCTTGGCTGATTACCTAGCAGCGACTGTTCAGCCCTAATGGCCTTCCCCTTGCCGCGGGGCATCACGCCCTCGGAGATCGCCTTTCTTGCGGAGATGGAAATGGTGACTATCATGCCTCGCCAAAGGCTCGAGGGTCTCGAATTACTTGGGGTAAATTCCAACCCTTTGATCCGTACCCAAGCAAAACAGACCTTGAGACTGACTTGTCTAGGGTCCCATCGAGCCGATAGTCCCGCCAAGACGTGCCTCTCTTCCTCTCTGGCTTGCGCTTCTTCTCAAGCGCCAGCGCCGTGCAAATATTTTACCTCCATCGTGGCTTCACCCTGGGTCTCTCGAACTGATTCTCGATATTGAGGCCCACCATAATGACTACAGGCATGCGTTCTCCCCGCCACCCCCACTACCAGGCCAGCCGAACGTCAGAGAGCTCGCTCGTGGACATGAACCAGTGGCTCGGCCTCAATACACACCTGACGGAGAACGATACTTCGCATCTCCTCCATTCCTGCCGCAGAATGCGGCCGAGTCGAACTTCGATCCCACTCAAGTCCCTTCATTACCTTTCCATTGGGTTGAGATCAGCAGTATGTTGCTCGACGCGGCGAGCGATGACTTGACCGATCCCGACCAGATAAGACGGCTCTTGAAGGATATCCGCGAGGTGCGCATGGCAAAAATGAGAGCTGGGGTGGATGTCCTGGATGCTGCTGCTACGGGAGGCGGAGGTGTTGCATTGACCGGCGTTGGTGCGATGGAGCTGGGCGAGGAGCGCGGGTTCTTGTCTGGTGCTGTAGACAATCTCAGGTATGCTCTGCATGGGAAGTGAAATACATGGGACTTTGCTAATCATGTCATTTAGGAAAATTGGGGCATCAAAGGAACAAGCGCGACGCGAGCAAATGGCGGAACAGCGTGCGAATGGCGGGTATGACGCTACCCAGGATGAAGAGGAGGACTATATGGAGTTCTGAGGCGCCATGAAGCAGGCAGACATGGCTTGGTGATTTATTTGTTTCCGATTTGGCGTTCCAGGTGCATATACGGCCGGAAACACCCTCTACGAACGACTTGAATGTACATAGACCGATACTGATATACCCAATCTCCCTGGGCTCATGATATACCAGCGGCGAGGAACCAAAATTTGTTCCGATTGACCTAACACCAAGTGGCATGCGAACGCTCTAATGTATGAATGAAGAAAGGTATCTTTGGCTGTATCTCACGACACACTCGAACTGGAAAGATCTCCCCGCGACCAACCCTGCTATAAGGGACCATCAAAACACACAAAGACAGCCGCAGCAAGAAAGGTGAATTGACCAGCAGCTTATTCCGAGGCGCCCTGCTTCTTCTGCATCATCTTCCGACGTGCAGCTAGGATCATTTCATCGCGGCGCTTCTGAAGCAATCGTTGGCGTTCTTCTTTATTCTGCGACCACGAGCTTTTTGACGGCGTTTCGGCCTCCGGTGCCTCCTCTGCAGCCCTCGCACTGAGGTTATAGCGGGATATCAGGTCTTGTCCATCAGTCTTGGACGCGGGCGTTGTGGATCGTGGGAGAGCCGTGGTATTGCGAGGCGGTAATACCACTTGTGGTTGAAATGAGGGTGGTGGCTAGATATGATATGTCAGTTTCAAATTCAAAGAGAATCCAAGTTGATGTTTATCATCTAATAACCAGAATCCTGGAAGATGCGAAAGATGCGAGGTGGCGGCATCAGATGAAAGCATCGGGAGGATCGCACGTACCGTTTCGAGTCCACGGCCTGTTAATATACGCTCTGTGGTCGCGGCGACACTGCCACCATTGCGCTGGAGATCCCACATGATTTCGCGATTGCTCAACTGAGGGAACATTTGGGAGATCTGTTCCACCTGCGCAGGATCGACAACATTCCCTCGCCGAGGCCGACTTCCCCCGGACGAGGAGCCCTCGTCACGGGTAAAAAACCATCGGATGACAAAGAATGAGACGACAGCTAAGGTCAAGAGAGAGGGGATGTTGAGCGACGGCTCATCTTCCTGCATCATGGGCGGGCTGGTCGACAGAGCGATGTTCGGAGGATTGAGTCAGGGTCGCGGGTCAAGGCGGAGCAATTCCGGGACTGGCAAGAGGTCATGTGGGGGGGGCTAGATGATGATCACAATGCGTCTGGAGCTGTTCGGCGTCCAGAGTCGCAGAAACACACTTTATGTAACTGGGGGTTGAGTTGTGCAGCAAGTTCTTGACGTTGGTGGCGGGTTTCGATTATGCAGAAACTCGGTCGCCTCGCACGTGCCGCGATGCTCAGCTCGAAGGTACCCGAAACGCGGTGATGTCAAGGGCCCTACCAGCCTTCGTGAACCGCGAGGCATATAGGAGAAGATATATAGGATTTACGGCTTATTTTAGACTTTGGTATCTCCTCTATGTAACAGTTCTCCAGGTATTCATTCGCCTTTTGAAGTTGTTGATTGCTGCTTTATACTTCGTCATCGCAATAGCCAATTACTTCAAATAGTATAGCGCCTCTACTCGAGTTGGCCTGAAAGTATGGTGTTCTTTTATGACTTGAAAAAGAGCTGCCCCCAAGGTTCTTTCGTGGGCTGACTCAACCATGTCATAACTCTGGTACCAGCATCCTTTACTAGTAAATGGTAATAATATAACTCTGGCCCTCTAGGCAGAAGGCGAGCGGGACCTGTGATACTACAACCACCCGCGCAAACTCTGTGTGCATTCGGCCCCATTACCATCACCCTAACAATCACTCACGTTCTTATTTTCCCTCCTATACCAACCCCCTCGATCGCTATCAACCTGGAAAGATCTTTCAGCAAGATACCACAAAGATCCAGAGAGCGAAAGATACACAGGTTTCGGGTTGAAGAGCATGGGATATATGCTAAAGATTGGCCTGTATACTTGCCTGATCTTAACCCGAGTAAACTGGTCTAGAATATGAATATACTAAAGCGCTGATTTTTCCGTATGTCTATAGACCTTAGGTAGACGGGGAGGATCGGGCCTATTTGAAAGAGTGCATTAATGGTGTATGTGATATGTTAGACCAGACGAAGATTGATATGTTAATATTAAATAGGAAGAAGGATATATAAATTGTATGCGAACCAGGGCTACTATACGAAATGTTAAACAAGGGAACTCTGTATATAAATCTGATTATTCAGTGTATTGAAGTATAGTATGATCTAATAAGGATTGGTGGCGTAAGATATGGAACGATGAATATACATCAGTATTTGATGGGGTAGGTGAAGCGGTATGCACACAGACTTTTGCCCCCTATTGGTAGGCTTCACACCGTCAACGGCATGTTTTCGGCAATTGCTAGGTTCGAAAGTCAAGTAAAAAGGGTTCCGGCGGATACTTTATGGATATGAAAGGTTTGAGGATGGTTTTGGATGGTCAAGCAAAAAGAACTATAATGATTGCGAGTCCTTCTATACTCCTTCTACAGACACCACCAACCCCCCCCTTAACACATGGACCTGAAGCCATTTAAACCGTATAATTCTTCATTGGAACAGAAACTTGTACAAAAAATAGAAGGCCTTCGTCGTACACGGTCGTTAGCCAATATGCCCCCAACAAAAACAGGACTAAACAATCGTAACCGTAAACACCAGATGCCAGAGACCAAAAAAGTTGCATGAAGGCAATGCATTGCACCAAAGCAGACCAGGGGTATATCCATCGAGCGCCGATTTATTTCATGTCAGCAGGGGTAAGTGCCTGAACAACACTGGTACCCTCGCTGAACCGCGTTCGGAAGATACGGTTTGCATTTTGGAACATGCCATCCTTCAGTGATACGACTATGAACTGGGAGCCCTTGAAGCGAGTCTTGATGAGTCGACCGATATTTTGCGTGTGTGATAAATCCAGTGCAGCGTCAACCTCGTCAAGAATGTACATCGGAGCGGGTTTAAACTGCAGAAGGGCCATGATGAGCGACAAAGCAATGAGAGATCTATAACATAAGTTAGTTAGACAAGTGGCCAACAAAGGAAGCATTGGACGTCATCGTACCTTTGCCCACCACTTAATTCCGTCAAGCTCTGCTTCCACACCTTACCAAGGGAAACCTTCACCTCCAATCCGTCGGTGATGTCCTTACCCTCGGGCGGGTCTAGCTTGGCAAAACTGCCTGGCAGAAGCTCGTTAAAGATCTGTCCAAAATCGCCGTTGACCTTAACCCAGGTCTTGTGCAGGGCCTCCTTCTTGTATTCATTAAGATTAATGATGGTTTCCTCAATCTTGCTCTTGTCGCGAATGACAGTTCTCATCATATTCTTAAGGGCGGCTTCCTTCTTCTCGACACTATCGATCATGTTCATGACCTTGGGATTGATCTTCTTCTTCATGCCCTGGGAACGCTCCGTCAGATTGCGCAATGTTGATTTGCATTCGGCGATGTTCTGCCCCTGGAAATGATATGGCGTATTTGGTCGGCCAAACTGCTCCTTTTCATCCGCGATCCACTCATGCTCCTGCTCCATGTGAGCAACAGCTTGAGAGGCCGTGTGCTGATCTTTCTGTAACTTCTCAAGTTGGTGTCCAAGTTTTTGCATCTCCAGCCCTTCTTCCGTGATTTGGGAAGATTTCTTGTGAATGGCGTCCTCGAGTTCACGAAGTTCCTCATCAAATCCAGTCAACTTGGCACGCTCGTCATCCAACTGAGCTTGAGCAATATCGTGGGCATCCTGCATTGTGTTAGAATCTATTGCTTCAGAAGAATCCTCATTGTCCACTTACCTTCAGTCGCGCTTGCTCTCGCTTCAGAGACTCGATCTCCTCATCTTGGGCCTTCAAAGTGTTTTCTGACTCTGCCAGTTGTTCCTCTGCGGCAGAAAGGTCACTCCCGACTTGTTCAGAATCAAGGCGAGATGCCTGTAGCTCTTTTTGAAGTTCTTTGATAGATGCTGAATTCTTGGCAAGACTTTTCTTGAGACCATTGAGCGCAGCCTCAAGCTCAGCAAGCTTGCTATCCTTGTTGTCGTCGAACTCGCTCATATCTTTCTCGATCCGCTTGATATCTTTCAAGGCCTCGGATTGGCGATTTTTGGCATCGGTAATATCCTGTTTGAGTTGCTCAATATTTGCTTTCATTTCCTCGACTGCATGGATGATCTGTGATCGTTAGATTTGTGCCCCATTTAGCAAGTTTCAAGAACGTACCGATGAAGACGAGTTGCTGTTGATTTGCTCTTCTGTGAGCTTGATCTCGTGGGTCTTGAGATCCAACTCTTGCTTGATGGACCGCACGGAATCCATCTTCTTCTTCTCCCTCTTCATGTTCTCTTCCAAAGCAGACAGTTGGCGTTCCTTGCTTCGGAGCTCCTTCGTGATTTCATTCAACTTTTGCAGGGTTACTAGAACACCGCTTGAGTTTGGGGAGCTACCTCCGGACAGCGTTCCAGAGGGATCATAGACATCCCCCTCCAAAGTGACACTCTTCATGCGGACCGAAGGATCAAAAGTGACTTTCTTTGCTGTTTCTGCGTCATTGCAGATAAGGGTGTTGCCGAAGACATAGTTCATCGCGGAGATCACTTCGTCGTCGTGCCCGATCAGGGATAAGGCAAGATCAACTTTCCCGGGTGCGATGTTTTGAGCTGCTCCAATCTTCTCGGCGGAAGCTTTGAATGCGGAAATCTTGTTCAGGGGAATGATGGTCACGCGCTTTCGCAGTTTTCCATTTTGAAGAAGCTGAGTACCGGTTTCCGCGGAATCAACTACTACGTTGTAAAGACGACCCCCGGCACAAATCTCGAGAGCAGTCGCAGCGGGGAGCTTATCTTTGTTGAGAGTGAACAATTGTGCAACCAATCCCTTGACCTTGGAGCGATCGAAATTTGGATGAGGGTCGGTATAGTTGAAGTCGACGTTGGCTGCTTTCCTGCGCAGGCCATCGGCTCGTTGGCGAAGATCGCGAATGTCTCGCTGGAGTCCTGATTGTTCTTGGTAAATTTGTTCCTCCTTGCCTGGTTCGAAGCCAAGCCGCGCCAGCTCTTGCTCTAGCTTCTGAGCCTGTGATTTCTGACCTTCCAAGTCTTTGAGAAGCCCGGAATTCTGTTCTTTGGCTTTTTTGGCGCGGGGTTCCTCCTCCTTGATTCTCTTTTCGAGATGAGCAATCTTGAGTTTCGCTTGTTCTTGTTCCGTAGCAGCGTTGCTGGCCCTGTTACGCGCATCCTGCAATTGTCCCTGATAACCGCTCTCCTGGCCTTCCTTGGAGGCAACACCAGTCTGTAAAGTCTGAAGCAGCTCCTCTTTTTGATCCACTTCAGCATTCTGGGCATCAAGCTCGGCCTTGGCGGCGTCATACTGGGCCTGCAACTTCTCGTAGACCTTCCGCTTCTCCAGGAGGAGTTTGGTGAGCTCCTTGACGTTGGCTTGGATGGCCTTTCGCTTCTCCTTCTCTTCTTCAGCGCTAGAGATCTTGAGGTCGAAGACGGTCGTTAATCGCACAAGTTCATGCGAATGATTCTTGACATCATCTTCGAGGCCTTGGAATTTACCACCCTTTCGCAATTCCTTATCTCGCGCTGATCGAACGCGTTTCACATCCTCTTCCAAGTGCGCAATTTCGCTTTTCAACCGCGTCGCGTTCTCTTCCAGTTTTTGGACCTTATCCCTCTTGCCGTCGCATTCTTCGCCGGCGCTGCGCAATCGCTCGCCTCCGCGTACATAGTCATGGGCCACAACGAGCCGAGTCAAACGCTCGAGGTCGTTTTGGGTCTGCTGGAAGTCGAGGAATGCACGCTTCTCCGACCGAAGCTTCTCCAGCTTAGGCTCAATTTCTTCCTTCAAGAGACCCTCAATCTCCCGAAGCTTCAACTCCTTCTTCGCCATCGTCTTGTTGGCCTTCTCCCGTCGGTCCTCGAACATCCGGGTTCCGGCCGCTTCTTCGATCATGGACAAAATTTCCACCGCCTTCATGTTCAAGACCTTGGTGATTCGACCTTGCATGATGAGGAAATTAGGGTTGTTGATGTTCAGCTGAACGCTCTGGAACAAATTTTGAACGGTCTGCTGTTGCGCGCGATGGCCATTGATGAGGTATTTGCTGGTGCCGCCCAGCACGATCTGTCGGGTGACGGAGATGTTTGCGTACTCCTCGAATCCAATTGGCGATTTAGCCGTATCGCGATTGTCAAAGACAATTGTGACACTGGCCTTGGTCACACCGGCCTGGCCGCGCTTGTAGATGAGGTCTTGGAGGTTTTGCGCTCGGACGGTGCTCATGTTGGTGATGCCGAGAACGAAACAAATGGCATCGAGGATGTTGGATTTGCCACTGCCGTTTAGACCGGTGATCGAGTTGAAAGATTCGTCCCTATATTCCGATTGTCAGCGTAAGCTCGACGGTAGCTCACAGCGGTCGAGGGTAACGAGCGCACCATCCTGAGATCACCGTACGCACGGCGTACGATTTAAAGCCCTGTCATAAAGGGTTAGCAGCGCACGTATTAAGAAGGAATTTTGTTTACTCACGTCTATCACAATTTCCGTGATCCTCATGGTTGCGACTGCAAGCTCGCTAGACGAGGAGCATCTGAAGTCGGGAGCGATGGTTGAAGGAGGGGCGCGACCGGTTGTTTTGCCGCCGATCAGGTGTTTATGGTTTGCCTGTTTTGCACTAGCGCTCTTGGCTTATATAATTCGTCTTAAATCACGTGGCCTATACGTGTGTCTACAATTCCAACCCTTGGAGATGGAAATGTCGCATTGTAGGCGGTCCATACTGTCCCAATCGCTTATTTGAATGATGGTCGTGCTGCCATCTACGTTTCCCCCTGGTGGAACTTGGATCTGCCTATTTTCACGATCTGAGCCGTGGGTCATTGGGTCTTGTGCAGTACCTCCGCCGACGAGATGGGCACTCGGGTCTTCTGTAACAGCAGGAGGCTTAGGGGGGCCCCCTTTGAGTAAAGATTTTCGCCGCATCTTCTTTTGGAGGTCGATGCAAGGGGGAAGAGGGACGCATTATGCTGGCGTCTTGCGGCCCGTCGGAGTCCGAACGAAATTCCGCCCGCGCATGAGGTTTATCTCCGTGTAGTTATCAAGATTCCAGTCGCGGATTTCGAAAGACCAGGGGTTGCTAGACTCAATGATAAGTCCGCGACCATAGACCCGCAAAACGAATAGTGCTGCCAAGTGATCCCGCGCAAAACCTATCACATGTCGACCTCGCATTCCACATGTGAGATCAGGGCTGATGTGACCTCTGCGTTGGGACGCAATATACAAGTACTATCATCGCAATTAGAAAATGGTTAGTTTTTTTTTTTTTCGCATTGTTCTCCTCCCAGGTATGATTCCAGGCACGTGCGGCTACTACGAATGTCAACATGTATTCTAGTTCCAGAAAGCCGCCGATGCAGGTATCGGAGATGCAACTGCTCCAACTATCACATCTCAACCAAGCTACCGTGTGATCACCAGCAGCCGAAATTTCTCGAGAGGAGATGGAGCGTGTGCTCGGCTTCGATCTGCAATTCTGTGAGGATAGCTATATGTTTTACCGCTGGATGTTGAAGACGGTGTCTCGATTGCCGTCTAATTCGGGCATCCGACATGGCGAATGCTAAAAGTTCCGAGACGTGGGACAAGTAAGTAGGAGTAAGGCTATATTAAGATGTGACGACTGTCTAATTATATAAGAGACTCAACGAGAAGAGAGTTCGTGTCTTTGCCTAATGTCCCGGCATCGTACGGTCTAATCTATAGGGAACTTCTGAAGAAGCAGTCACAGCCCCATGACATGCCGGCGGTCTTCTTGATTTCCAGCGAAGGGCATGATAAAACTTGCTCTTGTTCACAGAGCTGACAATGCCGGAGGATTAATTAAAGCTGGAGTTATGGCTAGTAGATGTCCTTTTGTTGAGGAAACTTGTATCGTATAGACATGAGTTCTCGATGCCCTCTGATCTCAACGGAATACGGCAGAATCGGAGGATTAGAGCCACGTGGTTCTCACAGTAGACACGTTTCCAAAGGAATGCCCGGGGCTTCCTGCCGCCGATGAGAAGAGGAACGGCCCCTCATTCAGTACGATTCATGGACTATGGTAACACAGAAACCCTTCGATTAAAGCCTCCGACGCAGAGAAATAAGTCATATGACAATCTCTAGCTCGACTCCGAGGACCGTCCGCAGTCAGACAAAAGCCATGAAACTCTTCACAAGATTAAAGGAGCACTGGGACAATGCCACCCTTGCATTTGGAGCTACTAGAAGATTGAATCAAACCCGTGGGATGCGGGGTCCCCGTACCTGACCTTCGGACTCAGGCCCCGCAAGGACCCGTCATGACATTTCTTCTGGCTTGGTGACCCCCATTCCGACAGAATACCGGTGATTGGCTATGGCGACGGTCTAGATCCCTGTTCTCTTCATTGATTCTGTGGCGTCGATGTTGGTCGATCCGCGACTGCAAAGAAATCATCAGACGATTTTGATTGTTCAGGTGAGGTGCCGATCCGACGAATCACAAAGCCCTGAGCCGCGATCCAGACGAAGGCTTCTATCTGTTCTCTTCATCTAGAGTCTGTGTGGGCCAGGTAGGATTCAGCAGACTAGCGCCTGTTTCATCCTCTGATTCGCGCTCTCTCCTCTGCACCCCCTGGATCATCTTATCTACCCAGTTCCGCCTATCCGTAAGCCGCTAGTAATGTACGGTTAAGTGTGCCATGGGATCCTGTCACGTCTTGCTCGCACCTGCATCCATAGGGCTCTATCTATTTGCCGCCATGGGCCCGATAGGAACTCTCGCGATCAGTAGGGCTCCGATTGCCGTCCGGATGATTGCCGGCTGAAGCCCCATCCCGTGGAGTAGCATCTGGCTGCCTTTTAGACTCGGCAAAAGTCCCGAAAGGGGTATATGGCCGTCTTCAGAACCCCTTGGTACAAGAAGGAATGAGTGATACCTCAGGCACTGTGATGGAAGATGTGATGATCAGCATGGCCCTAGGATTCGACGCGCAAAAGCTGCCCAGCTGGATGGAACGCATCGTTACCACGCTTCCTAATTGGGCTCCTTGTGCGTAGCCTTGATTACTCTACGTCGGTGATGAGATTCTTATTGGTGTAGGTTAGATTCCTATTGGTGCAGAGGTCTCTTTATCTTGTGATTCTTCCCGTGAACAAATGACGGTAGAAGCTTCCACAAACTCTTCTGTTGGTACTGACTATCTGCTGAGGCGGCATATCACAGTGGAGTAAGACTGGCTCTAGTAAGCCGCTTGCTTCCATGAGTCTTCTAAGCAATCTGTTCCATTGAGCTGGATCAGTGGGACTAGCGCTACAAGCATTGTTAATGAAACCTAGTGGCTTTTTGGTTCGCAAACTGCGGAGCCTGGTTTAGGAACGGAGAACATGATACAAAGTAACCCCTCCTAACGAGAACAGGTCTAGCGATACTTTGGTCCTATATTGTTATCATTTCCGATTGTAAAATGCGAGCATCGCAGCCTACTGCTCATGAGGTATTACCTTGAGGGAACCAAGAGATGATTTGTAAGTGGGACGTAGTATTGTAGCCCCATGATAACTCTCTCTGTCATCGGGGCATCTTCAAGATAGATGTAACAAAGGTCTGGTAGATTGGCCTCCCTTCTCGTCTACTACGGTACTTAATTTTACGAACTCAATGTAGGAGCGAAGAGGTTGCTATACCTATTTGAGCCCCGAGCTAAACCGTAGTTCTTCCAGGTAGTGTCGTGTGCCACGCCTCAAGATATGATGATCGGCATATCATGTCGAATCTGGAAAGAGAAGCAATGATCTCCGATGGAAATCGCTGACCTGTAACCCTCCATCAATACATCGGTCCCCTCATGACACCGTCCCTTCACTAGAGAAAGTGGATATGGGGGATTTGGATAGGGTTTGATTTGTTCAGGGGAAGCTGGAAGCACTCGACGGCGAGTAATGACCGGTACCTTGGACCGCCAGGTATGAATATCTCTCTTCTGATCAATTCTTGAAGTATAAAGAGACGTGCATATCCATCCAGAAAAGTTCTTCATCACCACCGCCATCATCATCGAGGCCGAGTCTCCGAGTCTTCATTCTCCCATAGATTGATCCACTTCAAACCATAATCGGTGTTTTTATCCAAGATGCATTTCTCCAACATTATTGCAAGCTTCAGCATTTTGGCAGCTACAGTGGCAGCTGTGCCACTGAATGTACCAAGCCCCAAAGGGCATTCGACCTACTTGTCGAACCTGCGACGAACGCCCACTAGCGTGCAGACTGCCACTGGCGCCAAAACCGTGGTTTACTGGGGTCAGAACGGCGGAGGAACCATCGAAAACAATGACCTTGCCGCGTACTGCAACTCTACATCCGGGATTGATATCCTTGCTTTGGCGTTCCTGTACGAATATGGAAATGGGAATGAAATCGCATCAGGCACGATCGGCCAGTCTTGCTTCATCGCCCAGAGCGGAGAGGGGCAAGACTGCGATGCACTTGCATCTGCCATCCAAACCTGCCAGGCCAATGGAGTTGAAATTGTCCTGTCTCTGGGCGGTGCAGTAGGCGCCTACAGCCTTTCATCCCAACAAGAGGCGGAAACCATCGGCCAGAACCTCTGGAATGCATACGCCAACCCCAAAGCCTCGACCAACAGCAGTGTGCCACGCCCTTTTGGAGACACCTTTGTGAACGGCTGGGACTTTGATATTGAGGCCAGCAGCGGGAACCAGTACTACCAGTACTTGATTGCGAAGCTCCGCTCGAACTTTGCGTCGGACTCTTCCAACACCTACTATATTACCGGCGCGCCTCAATGCCCCATCCCGGAACCTAACATGCAGGCCATTATCACCACTTCAAAGTTCGACTATCTCTGGGTCCAGTTCTACAACAACCCCGGATGTTCCACCAACACGGGAACCAACTACCCAGACTGGGTTGCCAACGTTGCCGGCACTCCATCTGCCGACGCCAAAATCTTCCTTGGGGTGCCCGCCTCACCACTCGGGGCGACTGGTACCTCCAGCGGGGCTCAATATTACTTGCCGCCCAGTGGCCTCGCTTCTCTCGTTGGCAACTTCTCAAGCAACCCTGCTTTCGGCGGCGTCATGATGTGGTCAGCTGGGTTCTCTGATGCCAACGTCAACAACGGGTGCACCTATGCTCAAGAATCCCACAAGATCTTGACCACCGGCTCACCTTGCTAAGGGGGGGGGTTGAAGTCATCGGTCATTTGGCACTTCATCGAGTCGGGGCCACGGGCCAGGGTGCCGTCTCCATTCGCTTCAATTCTTTTGTACATAAAGCTCGCTTGATGCTTGAGATTTGTATCTACCGTTGATCCAACGTTTTCTTATTTTACATGAATTTATTCTTTTACCTTCTAATCTATCTTTTCTACCGATCCCAGTAGTGGTACGACTGCCCGTCTGCTGTCTGATTTCGCTCTCTCGGCTCTCCGGTTTCATTTCTGGGAAACAGCTTTCCCCGGGCCGTCACGGTAGAAAAAGAGAATAGCATGAATCGGACTAGGGCACCAGACTACATGTTGAAGTTACCATCTGTTGATCGTTTCGGATTTCAGAAATGGCGAAGAAATTGACCCCTCTGCGAGGTTACACCGCACCCTTACGCCTGGTATCATCAGACCCCTCATTCTGCCGTCTTCTCTCTCCGTCCATGTGATTTGGGCTAGAACTGACCTTCAGCCTGATTTTCATCTTCATCAAAAAGAATAATCATTCTGAGGTGCGTGGGCCTATTGGAAATCGTTGGCCTTATCGCTCAGGTTCCCATGCCCCACGAGCTCTTAGGGATGACTCTCGTATTGCGTATTCAACCTCGGGGTTTCGACCTAAAGCCACACCATCTCCTGGGATATAATGAACAGGTCATCCCGAGAGTCTCAGGAACCTAACACCTACCTTGGGATCAAGATATGTTCCTGTTATCCATCGTCAGAGATCCGGAGGTTGCAAGCGAAAGGGGCCCGGTTGATAAGCTTTGTCCAATAGTTTTGGATTGAATACTTATGCTGCTTACATTCCATAAGTTATATGTCGGAAGAGTGAAAACATTATTATTGCCTTGGATGACATCTTCCTTCAATACCCTCTTCATCCATACTATAGACACTGGCACAACTACTAGTTGGTGGTCTATGCCGGTTCTACGCGAAACCCCGCAGCGCCGGTGCATGAAGAATGGACCTGCAGGGGCACCTCAACGTTGATACGCTTGGACTTTCCTGATTGGTCAAGTCAGTTGCCGCCCATAGCATTGGCCAAAAGACGTGCCGTCGCCAGAAGTCCTTCTTATCACTACGACAGCACCGAAAACTAGATTATGCCTGGCACTCACTCCGGTGTGATGTGGTTCCAGCTTGGAGATTGTATCAGCTAAGAAAACTTGAGAAACTTGATGCCGGCTTATTCTCTTCTCTCAGACATATTTAGGTAGGCTAGCTCCGGCTCTTATCTGATGTGTTCGCCGGAGACCAGAACCGCCAAAACCAGGCCCCTTCCATTCCTGTTGGTTTCCAAGCAGTCTTCTTTCCAGAACTGCCAGAGCTATGGAAGTGTTCCTTAAGACTCAAGAGATCCATTTCTGTAGAAAGTCGCACGTTGACAGGCGATCGGCCTGCCGCAGTACCATGCGAGGAATATTAGGACAAACCCATTTTCGAGATAGAAGATAAGCGGCCCACTCTACCAACCCTTTTTTTGCTTCGTCGTTTCCTCCTCCTTGCCTTGCTTCCTCGACCAGCAGCTGTTCCTCGAAATTCAAACCGATCCGTACCGTGGAGTGTTCCAACGACCTATAACCGCCGCGAATTTAGTTGAGAGATTCCCTCGGGGACTTAACGCACCGCAGGCCATGGCTCAATCCAGGGAGGCAAGCCGAGGGAACGACCGTGTGGATACACAATATCGCCAAGTGACAATGATGTGCAGGCCTGGTGCGCAGAGAGTCTCGTGTGAGCGCTGCGATCGAAAGGTGTTGGAATGTGTTTTTGAGGATCATCAGCGTGGCTGTAGGGTCGGAGCAGGGTAAAATGCGTTGCCAAGCGTTTCCGTCAATGATACTACGAAAGCATTTCCGGGTATCCAGACCTTCGCCGGAATTTCTTCGTCAATGTTCGGGTCTTCTGGACCGAGGGTCACTATTGGAATACGACTGATTGGTCTGGGCCAGGGAACCAGACATTGAGAGCTACGAACATCACAGAAAGCGCTTATCCTGAGAATCCAGGCAGTGTTTGGCCAGAACTGCTTTCGGCTAGATATGGGGGCTTTTTCTCCCTAAATGAGTCTCGATTGTATGGCCTATTGCCATATGGGAATGGGTAGGTTATCTATATATCAGCACATGAATGATGCCCTACTAGCGAGCTTCAAAGGCGGCACCTTCAACATGCTGGTCCAAGGAGTGGTAAGCCTAACTGTTTATACTGCGCCTGCATTATTCAGTGAGACGCGCCTGTTGACCTGGCACCTATAGTGTGACACCTGGACTGACAATTACCATCCGTGCCGGACTCTGAGTCGATGAGCTATTCACTAGTCGTTATGGATTACAGTTCTTCGTCTTCGTCTTCCACATAATAATCTACCCGTACTTCCTAAGTCCCATTAATGACTTGGAGTCGATACTCATACAGGGAAGAAAGCTTACCTCTGGAGAAAGGTCAATGTATGCTGGCGAACCACATATATGCATATAAATATGCTCGAAACCAGTGTTCTCGTCTGTAGTCGAGTAGTAATATGGTTCTCTATGGTTCGCAAAGCTCAATCAGCCAATGTATTCTGCAATTCCCACGTATATAGCTCAACTATGGACCTATCCAACTGAGATATAGACAAAAGAGAGTTGCCAGGCGGAACTGGGAAACCAAGATATTCAGAAAAGAGGGAAGCACAGGAAATGTAACAGAAAGCAAGAAGCAGTCAGCGCTATCGATGGATATTGCAACTGCCCTCCTAGGAAACCAAGTACGAGATCAAACAGAACAAAATCCTCCGATGTATTCAGTATTCCCTTACCTGGTAGAAGATGAGCCTCCGAAGAGTCCACTGCCAGTTTTCCCTCTCTTTGGCGGGCCAGGTCCCGGGGAATCGGGCTCAGATATGTTCATGAAGCTGGTGGGCCTCTGAGGTTGGAATAGGTTCTCTGAGCTTCCAAATGACGATTGCGAGGGCGTTGTTCCGAATGAATTCTCCCCAAAGCTTGGGTTTGAAAAAAGCCCACTTGAAGTCGACGAGGTCGGTTGGGGCGCAAATATATTTGATTTGCTTGTTGGCGGGGTCAAATTTGCAGCAACATTGCCTGGGCTACTCAACCGCTGCGCTCCGGCGAAAGGACTTGGGGTTGGCGTTGGATATTGACTGGTCTGCCGCTCATGTACTATCTCAATAGTAGGGTTCCCTGATATTCTGAGTGATTGTTCATCGACAGGGTAATCTTAACTTACCAGACTCGGCTGGATTCAGAGATGGCTTCGGCCCCTTTGCGATATTGAACTGACCAAGGACCTGTAATCCCGCTTGGAGCTTTTCCAATTCGCGGCCCAAACGAGCGCGTTCTTCCTGGCACGAAGGGGGCTCGGCGGCGAGTGTCTTCACTTGACTATCAGGCATATCATGAATCGTCTTGCTGGTAAGAATTAGAGGCAGTGGCTCAAGAAGGCAGTTCTCTATCGCAAGAATGGCGACATTGTTGATGAAAGTGGTGATAGTAGTCTATATGATGTTAGCACCTAGGGTTTCACTTGCGGTATCATGAAGACCCACATCGTAATACGCTTGCATCTGATCGATGATCTCTGATGCGCAAAACCGACTGCTAGATGCCACGAGACGGTCCGTTGCATACCGCAGTCTTTCAGGAGTGATGTTCTGCGGACCAGAGCCAAGAGTCTCTTGCAAATTCAGAAAATGGCGATCGCTCTTGACTTTCTGCATGTTATCAAGGAATGCATTGCCCAGGGGTAGTGGATAGCCATTCTTGTTGTGCGCAGTCAACTCGTCGAGCTTGGCCAAAATGCGCGTTTTCATATTCTCCAGTTCGGGGCCGATCACAATTGCTTGGAGTAGACCGTAGGTGTGATCATCTGTGAAAGTTCGCAGCAGTTCGCCAACGAACGAGCTTACAGATGACCAGACCTGGATCAGGTGTTTGTGTGCGATCGCTTCCCATGGCTTCGACTGTTTTCGAAACAGTGCACCCACGAGAAGCTGGTTTGCATTTCCAGGGAGCTCGCGTCCTAGATATTGGGGTACCATTTGCGTAATCTCGGTTTCTAGCTCAGATCTTCGCTTAAAAATGACCAGCTCAGGGGGGCTTGGGGCGTAGAGGTTTTTGTCTCTGCCAAGCGCTTGATAGGATGATTCATCGGCACTGTCGTCGACAATAATTTCAGCAAACCCACGAGCATACATGGCCTCAGCAAAATATTCGTTATACACACGAACAATGGCACGCAGACGTGTCTCCCATCGATCATCGGAGGCATTCAATCCCCCGAAGAATGGATCATCATATTGGCCATTAACGCCGTCCCTAGTAAGACGGACAAATTGATCGCTCAGCCTGAAGAGAAATCCTCTTTGCTCGTGAATCGTTGAGCGAGATGGACCAAGTTTTTCTAGTTGAGATCTCCGGCTTCGGATCTTCTCTTCGATATCGGAAATCAGTCCAGGAAGGTTAGATCTTATGTGTTTCAGCAGTATTCTGCTCAGACTCTGCCGCAGGCTACTAATCCCAACTCGGTCTCTGGGGACAGAGCTCCAGTTCCCGGTGTTGAAGAACTCCTTCTCGATGCGATCTCTTTCGTCATCCGAGACATCTTTGGTCTTGAAAGAGCGGTTCACCAAAGCGAACCAACCGAGCTTAAGCTGGGATTTCTCGCCTCTGATAATCTCAAGCCAAGACGCCTCCGTCTCCGAGTCTTGGTACATCCTATCGGGCTGAGTGACAATGCCAACCGTTCTTTCATGAGAGGGATCACATCTTGTGGCGTTGTTTCGCACGGATTGGTTATGAAAGTCATCATTTGCAGAAATCACCATCAGGATAATGCTACGGGTGTTTTGCATATACCTCTGGGTTATACCCTCCACGATCCCGATACCCTCGACACTTTGGGTCTCACTTGAAGCAGAATAGAGACCTGGCAAATCGACGAGGGTCAGTTCCGGTTGATCTGGACCACAAATCTCGACCTTGAGGATATCTTCGCTGAACCCAAATCTGTCGAGGCCAGTCATGCACTTTTGGGCGCTTTCGATCAAGTCCGGCAGCTGGTCGATATTGTCAAATTCTGGGGAAGAAAACGATCCCAGCTTGGCTTTCTCCTCTGCAGTCTTTTCGGACGGCCCAGATTCAATAGAGACTTTGAACCGCGGCGTTGGCAGGCGTCGCAAGCTGACTTCTGTCGCAAAGCGAGTGCAGACATTGCTCTTGGTCGGGAAGCGCACACGCGATATAGCTTCGAGAACCGAGCTTTTCCCGCTCGATTGGGCGCCGCAGACAATAAGCTGGGGTAGTTCGACTAACCCGCCAACGCCGATTGTGCGCAACTCGTCGATTTTGTCAAGTAATAGGCTTTGCTGAGCCTGCAGCTCACCCAAGGCCGTCTCTTGAAGTTCTTCTTTGTCAGAAGCTGACATCTTGGTGCGGTATATGTGTACTTAAGAGGTAGCGCGATAAAAGGATCAAAAAGAAAGTGTATAAGACAAAACCGGTAGGAGACAAAAAAAAAATTGGTTAAGTGTGACTTACATGGCCGTAGCCACTATTATACCTTTGCGGGCTATCGACAAGGGTTATAAACTCGGTACCGGTATTCCACTCTAATGGTAGCAAATCTCCAACGGCGCTTATAGCTGCATTGACTGTGCCAGCACACTGCATTGCATGCCGAGGCTTGGCTAGGTCGTGGTGCGTTTCACACCCTTGTCATGGCCCCTCATGGCCCCCCCCCCCGTGGCCCCAATTTTTGGAACCACACCAAACCGTTCCACACACAGGGAATTCCTCGGTTGTTTACCATAATCAACTCACGATGCCAGCTTCGATGACAGTGGTTTGGACATGTTAGGTGTCCGCGATCACGCAACGATCGTCAGTTCAATGACAAGCCGGGGAAAACGGAGACAGCCGATCCGAGATCGTCGAATCACACAGCATGTGAGCACGTTCAAGCGCCATTTCCGTTAGTGCATAATTCTGTGCGCAGTGGGGTAGCGGAATAGGTTGCCAGGTCGATGCGGACTTTTGTCGGGGAGGGGGCGAGGCTGTTCAAAGGTGGCCGGGCGAATCAGGGGCTCTCGTGTTCAAGCAGGCACCTCCAGGGTTGGGAGGGAGGTGGGAGGTGATCTTCAATTGCCGAGGGTCGGACAAGACGCTTGATCGATTGGGGCCAACGAAGGTGACTTATCCGTGGATTGTTTTTCTGAATCTGCACATAGTCCGAAACTTGCTACTATGAGCGCTAGTTGGTTGGCCTTGGATCATCCATGACAGTCTCAGATTTTTCAAGATAATCTCAAACGTCTTGGGATCAGGTTTCTTTTTTTGGGGCTCAGAAAGGGAGCTTGACGACCAATGGGGCTCCGACAACGAAACATGAATGTGTATATGTCCAAACGAGGAGGTGAATTTCATTAGGACAAGACTATTATCAGTATCACAAAAAGTACCTAGGCGGACCCTGGGCAATTGACAGGCTGCGAAAACATGCTGGGACTTTCCGGTGTCCTGATAGCGTATTTGACTCAAGGGGTCTCGTGGATCCAGTCTATTGATAGCGCATAGTCGTGTCCGTTGATCATCATTTCTACCAAGGTGGCGTTTCGAGAAACGGCGACTCAGAGCCGGAGGGTGACCCTCAGACCGACCCTGGGTCGGAAGGCTTCGTAAATACCAAGGGAGGTAGAGGTATAGCAGAAGACAAAACTCTCGAGCGAGCCTCAAGTTGAACTTGAAGGCCTTCGGTGTTTTGTTTCGCCGGTGCATAACATGCGAACTCCTGTTCCCCTGCGATGAAACGAATAAGGCCCAGGATCATGACCCATTTACTGACTAATGTCCAACCTTGGAAATCAAATTCGTCAGCTGCAGGACTTTTGGTCTTCAGCCAAGAGGCGGCTCCGTCCAACATGATCCCCGTGGCATAAGTGGGACTTGGTCGGAGAGCCGCATTCCCTTAAGCCAACAAATACCGGTAGATACTTCAAAACTGTCCTGGCACCTACATATACAAATTGGAAGGATACCACCAGTGCAGCACAAAGAAATATCACGCCCTGCTCTAGTGTTCGAGTTCCAAGCTTATCCTAGTACGAGCAAACTACGGCTCCGGGGGCTAATCAAACGTGGGTGACTGGGTGGCAAAACCCCCAATTGGCAAGGTGCCGACAAGCTGAATTTGGGACGCTGCGGGAAGAGCGCGTGATGGAGACCCAGACGCAAATCATCGATTTCCACGAGAGCGTCAATATGGAGTCATCATAGATTGCTGGCCACGGGGTCTACGTGAAAGCAGATAATACTGAGCAGATGACACTGAGTAGATCTCGAAAGCCACAATTCACGGGCCAAAAAGCTCCACGGGACGATTCATTCATATGCCAGTAATAGCAAGTTCCCCGTGAAATGCTTCCTGGATTTGGCATGCAGTTAAGGCCAATAATAGCAAAACAAAACTTCGAATACTGGTCGGCAAATGGATCGACCCGGAATGCAACCCTCCCACCAGGAACGCGAATTGGCATCGAGCAACTTTGGGATTCCGTTGAATTCCACGGGAATGGCGTGTGTGCTTGCGCAGGCGGTTTAGCGAGTCAAAACGAGTCGCAGGCCGCCAAGGAAGGAGGTGACCTGCAGCGGTGATTCGCTGCAAAACTCATCGCGTTAGTGTCAGAAGAAAAAAAAATTTGCCCCGCAGTCGGGAGAGCTGGACTTCTTTACCCCCCTTTCCCAAGGCTTCTTCCATCTCACTCCAAACAACAGATAGCAATAAAAAACTATTGTCGTTGTCTCTCTTCTTCACGCTGTAATCAAGTAATCACCTCTTGATCAGATTCCCTTATCATCATGTCCCAAGGCGCCAAACTTTACGTTGGGTAAGCTTTTGCTTTAGGGAATCGCCTTGGAGGGACAGGGAAAATCAAAAGGTCTCATCTCTAATGCACGAGTAGTAACCTCTCCTGGAACACCAACGATGACTCTCTACGACGCGCCTTCGCCGAATTCGGTGAAGTGGTTGACTCGGTACGAGCTTTCCATCAGCTCTGCCATCCGAGGCTAATAATCTGGATAGATCGTGATGCGCGACCGTGACACCGGCCGCAGCCGTGGCTTCGGTTTCGTGACCTTCTCTGACCCCAATGCGGCCCAGGCTGCTATCGATGGCCTCAATGAACAAGAGTAAGATCACTCCTGCCGGAGGTTTAGCTCTGATTAACGTTGTTTTTTTGTTTTTGCTGCAGACTCGATGGCCGACAGATCCGTGTCAACAATGCTAACGCCCGCGCCGCTGGCGGTGGTGGTCGTGGCGGCTTCGGCGGCGGCCGCGGTGGCTACGGTGGCGGCTACGGTGGTGGCTACGGTGGCGGTGGTAATGGCTACGGCGATTACAACGGCGGTGGTGGCAGCAACTACTAAGGTACTCGCTTCGTGAAGGAAACAGAGCATGTTTTTGAGGTAGATAGTTGGAGGTTATCCCAGAATACGTACCCATAATGCAGAGTTTTCAATTATTGTTCAAAGCTGGCGTCAGTCTTGCGGGTATGCATATCAAATCTTTTTACCGTTGCATTCGGCCAAAGAGTTGGTTTGCGTAGTTCCACGTCGAAAAGGCCTGCTAGGAATGCTAGACCATATGCAGTCGTTGAAGAGCACCTCGTCGCAGATCTGTCCCTGCGAGTCCTTCCTTCCTTCTTCTTCAGGCATTCAGTATCTGAATCCAAACCAGGGCGAATGAAGAGCAAGAGAAGCAAGAGACATAGCACAAAGCTGCCAATTCTTTTTTCGTATGCAAATGCACTTCCTGCGTAGGCTTTTCAAGTATTTGTAAGTCTCGAGCAGTGGGTCAGCGGACCTGGCTGGCTCCTGCAGGTGACAGGGGGCATAGGCCACAAGTTCGGTCGGCGGCCATTAATCTTGGGCTCTGTCTTCCATCTAATCATTCGATCTCAGGGGCTAAACACTATGCTGCCAGCCAAGATCACAGAAATATCAAATTGATGCCAGAACATTGGGTTCGGTGGAGACTTCAATAGGCTGAATCCTGACCCTGCCTCTCTAAACAATAATAGATAACAGCCTTGTAAGGCACAGAGACCCCGGTGAACAATGCTGTCCTTTAGCTGCGCACCGTATCAGTGGGCCTTGTCCAGAACCAACCCCGGATAAGACGGATCCCCAGAACTAACACATTTAGGGACAGCTGACTCTTTGAATGATCTCCGATCTTAACCGGGGCTTGGCTAGATCTTTTTGACACCTCGCTAGGCCACTGACCCGTACGGAGCCCTCCACCGCGGCATTTCACCCATGATCCACCAGCAGGTGGGGAAAAAAAAAATAAGAAAAAAAAAAAAACAAAAAACAAAAAACGAAAACAAAAACAAAAAAAAAAAAATTCAAAGCCAAGCAAAGCAAAAGTCGCTTAGAGTCTTGGCTCCTTTCTTTCTACTGCTCCTGAGCGGTCGAAGCCGCCTCGCAGAACGAGCTCCACGTAGACGCACACACGCACTTGCCCGCATACGCGGGCTTCAGACTATAGCTGACATCAAGAAGTACGGACACCAACGTGCTGGCTTCTTGATCAGGCCCAGCTTGGGGGCCAGAAAAAGAGAATTGTGGGGTTGAATGGATGTTGCGGAATTTGCATCGGCCTTTGAGTTGGGGGCAAGCCACCGAACCGCCCAAAATAGGGCCACAGGGTCTCATACTGTAGAAGTGTCTCGCAGGCGAGCATGCGAGTGAGCACTACTCCGTAGGTTCTTCGTACTTTTCTCAAGGCCAAGTCCTGGGAAATTAGATCTGGAGGTCTGGATTCTTTGTCTGTACCTGAGAGGCACCGTGTGATTATGCACGTTTGTTTTTCTAATTTGCGGGAACCATGCGACTGCACTTTCCCGGGGTCTGCACTACAAGTTGGGTTGCTGTCCCCGCATTCCACCTGTTGTGTATGAGGCGCAAAGTTTGAGCAAGGAGGGAGAGCCACTCGGCTGCTCGCGTAAAGTAACTCTGGAGCAGAGAGTTTGCGACGCAGAGAGAAGGCCAGACGCCAAAATTAGGCACGATCTACATTGGGGATTATATCGCCGGTCCTTCGGCAATGGACCATAGTCATCCCCGACAGGCGAGACCCTCATGGTCATGGGCCTAACCCCGGCAGTAAGTTGGATGCATCAAGAAAGATGTTTCAGATGTTCCTGCAGTACAGAGTACAGACTCGTGGGGCTAGGCCGTGTGAGTTCAAGGCGCCCCATAGCAGGGAAATGAATAAGAATACAAATCAAAGTAAAAATACGCCTTCGTGAACAAAAAAAAAAAAACCACTGTGGGCACCGTGGGGCGCGCGGGACGAAGCATACAGCTGTATAATATGGAGAAGTTCAGACCCAGAGACTCGAGACCAGAGATAATGCCGCCACATGGGCGATGTTTAGCTGCCAGTGTGCAGAGAATGTAGCCTTTTGACAACCTCATCCAGGGATGTTATCATAATCGAACAGGTCACACAAGATATCAGGCTGCAGCAGTGCATGAACGGGGGGCATCGGGGGCCGGTCTCTGCCGTCCCAGTCCAGGATGGAAGATCATGAGTAATCGCAAAGATAACACTCTAGTTAGGCCCTCCAACAGTAAAAGTCAAAATTGGGCAAAAGTAGGGAGTACATACGGGGAGAAATATCCGAGATTGTTCGTGGTCAATGCTGACGAAGGTCCAGGATCCCATGCGGACCAAAGGACGGAAACCAGTTGTCCGTTGTATACATGGTAAACCCTGAGCCCCTGACCGACCTCGGGGTCCCAAATTAAGAGCGGTAGGTGGGTCCAGCTAGTAAAAGGCAGAGCAGCTTAAAGCGGGGCTGGAGAGCAATCAGAAGCCACACTAATGCGGCTAACACCTCGGCGTGGTCCTGGCATCGCAGATAGTGTTAAGCCTACAAGCCAGCGCTGCTAGTTCGTGGAGAGCGTAACCGAACTGGGGACAGCGCCTTACCCACGTCAGGGGTACACCAATCACAAGCCGGGCAGTGATGCAATCCGCTTGGTTCTGGTCTTGTCATCCTGTCTGTTTCCCTGTCTCTTTGCAGCGAGGCCATTATACTGATCGACTCTCCAATTCCCCGTTTGCCCCTTTTCGCCCACGAGAAGCTTGTGGAGATGGAGGCGAAAGGTCTGGGCACCTGGTTTCCCTCCTGGGCGCATGGTACATATACTCTTGGTCCTCTTCCCCCCCCTGGTGTGCTAAGTCCATCCAACTGCTTCATCCTCTCGCTTCAGGTCTTGTACCTAGTCACTCTTTTTGCTGAATATCAGCGTCCATTCTTTGTTCAATATACCCTCACCGAATTTACGCGGCCTTTTTTGATACTTTGACGTATTACCACCTTCCTTTACAAGATGAAGCAATCCATTATCTCTTCCCTCGCGGTTCTTGCCGCCGCTACCGTATGTTGATTCTCAATGCCCACATGCTATATGCCTTCATAGACTGATTATCTCATGCAAAATAGGGTGCTCACGCCTCTGAGGGCCTGGTCAGCATTCCCGTGAACCTCTGTGCCGCTGTTCTCGGCCAGGCCAAGTGTGACCAGCAGAGCAGCACCAACGGACTGGTCAGCGTCCCTGTGAACGCTTGTGCCGCCGCCTCGGCGAGGCCAAGTGCCAGCAGACCACCACTTCCCCCTCCGGCAGCGATGACACCCTCATCAACGTTCCCGTTGGTCTCTGTGCCGGTATCCTCGGCGAGGCTGAGTGCAAGCAGAAGAGCAGCTCCGGCGGTCTCGTCAGCGTCCCCGTCAACGCCTGCATTGGCGCTCTTGGCAAGGCCAAGTGTGACCAGGCCTCTACTGCCGGCAGTGATGACTCCCTGATCAGCGTTCCCGTTGGTCTCTGTGCCGGTATCCTCGGCGAGGCTGAGTGCAAGCAGAAGAGCAGCTCCGGCGGTCTCATCAGCGTCCCCGTCAATGCCTGTATTGGCGCTCTTGGCAAGGCCAAGTGTGACCAGGCCTCTGCTTCTTCCTCCAACTCCGGCAGTGGCTCCCTCATCAGCGTCCCCATCAATGTCTGCTTGGCTGTCCTGGGTGAGGCTCACTGCCAGCAGCAGAGCAGCTCCGGCGGTGGTCTGATCAACATCCCTATCAACCTCTGCCTTGCTGTCCTTGGTGAGGCCGACTGCCAGCAAGGTGGCTCCGGATCCACCACCAGTGCTGCTTCCACCACCAGTGCTGCTTCCACCACCGGTGCTGCCACTACCACCGCCGCTGTCACCACCTCTACCACCACCGCCACCGCTACTGCCACTGGTTCTGCGACCAGCACCCCCCGCCTGGTTCTACCCCTGCTGGCTCTTCCTCCACCGGTGTCCCCAGCGGCTCCTCCCCCGTCGGCCCCGTCCCTACCCCCTCAGGTGTCTCCTCCGTTGGTGGTGGCAAGCCTTCCTCCTCCGGTACTGCCTCCGGCTCTGTCACCAAGACCATCACCCGCACCAGCGCTATCTGCCCTGCTTCCGCTACTGGCTCCCAGAGCGCTTCCTGGACCCGCGTCCCCACTGCTCCTTCCACCCCTACCGGCGTTTCCCCAGTGGGCACTGCTAGCGGCTCCCCCTCCCCAGCGTCCCTGCTTTCAACGGCGCTGGCCGCTCCACCTTCTCCGGTGTTGCCGTCATCATCGGTGCTGTCGCTGCTGCCGCTCTTATCTAAGTGCCTTGAGCGCTTTGTCGCCAGGAGCAGCAGGGGTAAATTGGTGACAGCTGGTGTCATTCACTTGTCTGGAATTACTGTCTCCAATAATGTTTCATTCGTAATGGACATATGTCTTGTGCCATATATATATCTTTTTCTATTCTTGATGGGTTAAACCAGCCTAATTTCAGCAACCATAATTCTATGATACACGTCCTTGAAGTTCTGGTTCTTTTGCTCTCGGTTTTGCGATCTTACGCTCTGTGCATGAGGGAGTGTTCATGGTTGTCCCACGTTGACCGAATTTTTTTTTCCTTTTGATTCACATGTGATTTTGTCTGCTCTGTAGCGAGAAAAAAATATATATCCCTAAATGATTCTTGTTCAGGTTTTTCGGCAATTGTAAATCTGTGGGGTTCGTGGATGGGTCCTCATAAGCTTAAATTGCAATGATTTCCCCCCCTGGCTTGTGCACAGCGGGAGGGTTATACTTCGACCAAGCTGAAACAAGCCGGGCGGCCCGTAGCCCCTGGGCCCGCTTGCCCCAAGGGAGAACGCCAACCTGGAGCAGTATCACACGAAGCCTCTACGAATAAATATAAGTTATGTGAGATATACACAGCTTCTGGCTAAATCACTGACACTATCAAGCAACAGCTGACTACTTTCGAAGGAACCTGGATAGCAGCGTTTATTAGTATGTGTGCGCGCCAGTTAAGACGCCGGTCTAGGGTACGCTCTCCGAGCTATTTTAGTGATAGATTCTGGTCTGTTGGGATTGGTGCAGTTTGAACTATAGGTCCGTCGTGAACGGTCACTGTAGGGTTGGCGTCCGGAGACAAAAATCAGCTAGAGCTTTTCTGGGCGAAGAAGACTCTATTACGCAAGCTCGAGTCAGAGATATGCCGGGCATCCTCCGCCAGGTGCCTTCCGTTTTCTTCCAGGAAGTAAGAGGTTCTATACAGCAGGACAGTTCCGCTAAATAGAGCAGATAAAGAATAGGCGACAATAGGGACCCCTGCGGTATGCGGTACCTGGTTGGAGCGGGGTTGTGGCGTCTTCTTGGCCTACCCTCGCCTGGCAGTCTGTTAAGAAGCTTTCTATAAGCTGAACCAGGATTTTAGGCCAGACTTGCTGTAATAGACGCAGCAGGAGCCTACGCCTTAGCAGGGCGTCAACCGCTCCTGGTACATCTATAATCAGAATAGAGACCGATTCGCCTCTAGAGAGCGCCATTTCAATGTCGTGGGTTGGTGAGGCAACAAGGTCCATCGGCAACCTCTTTGGGAGGGCATCGGCATGCTGCGGCTGAGTACGCTGGGCCTTAAGGCCGTCCACGCTAGGCGTGGCGCGATGCTCTCTAGGTCCTTGCCTAGGCAGGACAGTAGTGCGACCGGGCGCCAGGAGCGTACCGAGGAAGTCTCCGGGTGGCGCCTATCGCTAACCAGTAAGATGCTGATTTCTACCACATTTTCCAGATCTAGCCAATTTCTCTTCATCTGACTGAGCTGAGTTACCAATAGGTCTATGGAATTCCCTGATATGGAAGGTACCTAAGCAGCTGGTGATATCCGGAGACTACACCATCCGCGCAAAAGTCTGTGTGCATTAGGCCCCATTACCGTCACCCTAACAACCACCCACATTTTTATTTTTTCTCCTACACCTCCCCCATGGCATCGATCGCTATTAAGCTAGAATGATATTTTAGCATGATAACAAAAAGACCCGTTTAGCGAAAGATATACAGGTTTCGGGTTGAAGAGCACGGGATGTACATTTAAACTTGGCCTGGATACTCATCTGATCTTAACCCTATTAACCAGTCTGGAATATACTAAAACGTTAAATTTTTTGTATATTTAAAGATCTTATGTAGATGGGAAGATCTGAAGAGGATCGGGCCTATTTTAAAGAGTGCATCCATATTGTACAGGATATGTTAGATCAGATGAAGATTGATATATATAAGAAGGATGGATAAATTGTATGCGAACCGGAGCTATTATATGAAATATTAAACAAGGGAACTCTGTAAATCAACCTGATTATTCAGTATATTGAATCTTAGTATGATCCAATAAGGATTGGTGTTGTAGGATATGTAACCATGAATATACATAAGTTATTTGATGGGGTAGGTGGAGTGGTATGTACACGGACTTTTGCCCCCATTGGATCCGGAGACTACATCGGATACTTTCTGTACGGCACCACAGCTGAGGTCACCGGGGGCCTTACGACGTATATAACGTGAGACTCGACAATATAATCTCTTCCATTATCTTCTACCAATACAACTTCCTTCAACTAGAAAATTCTTCCTACGCCGACCTCAAACACTCCACCTGAATACCTTTTCCCCATAAGCCAATCCCCAAAAAGCTTCCGAGAATGTTGCAGCCCCAACCTCAGAACTGGGACGAGATGTTCAAAGACGAGAATTTCGTCAAGACCTACAAGATTGCCGAAGGAGCTTCAGGCCCATTTGGAGAAGTCTTGATTGAGCAGAGCGGCATTGTTGCTGAGGCCAAGGCGAATCCCGAGAAACCTCTCGTGATCCTCGACGATGGGTGTGGCACTGGCATCATCTCAGAAATGCTGGTCGAGAAAGTGGACGCTCAGGCTAAGAGCAACTGGAAGTTGACTTGCTGTGATATCTCCGAAGCCATGGTTGAGTATACTAGGCGGCGGGCCCAGAGTGGCAGATGGCCCAACGTGGACTTCAAGATTGTGGATGCGCAGGAGACCGGGCTGGCGAGTGACTACTATACGCATGTTCTAGCATCTTTTGGTGAGTGTCACCCTCTAAGAAGCGGGTGCCAGTGGGCTTGACTAACATTCGGAATAGTCCTCATGGCTCTTCCCAAATCCTTGGCGGCGCTGGACGGTAAATGATCTCTAACTCTATTTGCCAGTCCCACCAGGCAAGCTAACTAATTCCACTAGAGACCAAGCGGATAATCAGACCAGGCGGCATTATCGGCTTCACCACGTGAATCCATCGTGAGTTGTCCCAAACTACCCTGGCAAACAAGACTGGGAAGCTGATCGATAAAATTCCAACAGTTCCCTGGCTTGAAGTTGCCGGCAAAGCAGTGGCGAGCCTTGACGGCAATCTTCTCTGGCCTACCGTGGAGGAATTCCTCGCGGCCATGGGCGATAAGAACTGGAGATCGTCGTCGTGGATTGAATCGCAACTCCAACAGCGAGGATTCATCGACATTAATGTGAAGCCTGTCACGAAGAGTTTAAACATGACCGTGCCGGACTTTCTACAAATGACGAGCAGGATGCTACCAATGATTACCAAGGGGTTCTGGTCAGATGAACAGCGGCAGCAGTTCCTCGGCAAGGTCTCTGCGGGTATGGAGAAGTACGTGGTTGAGACGTACGGGGCCAATGGGGACATCACGAGAGATTGGACGGCGATTGTGTCTACAGCTCGCAAGGCGTGATTTTGGTCGAGTGGTTTGGGGCAGGAACTGATGTTAGATACTGTCAGTGTTGCAGCAAGTCATTGAATCGTGCCTTCTAGAGGCTACACTGGTTCATGAGTTTTCTGAGAAAGCCCCGAGGCTATTGAATTTCAAGGTCGTGTCCCTTTTTTCTTTTGGTCACATCACCAATCTAAATCTCAGAGTAAATCCACGCGCCCTGATCCCGAACCTCATTGTGCTATCGACCGCCCACGAGCATGATCACAGGAAGAAAAAAAGAAGAAAGAAAAACCGAACGCCATTGCTGGCCAGACGAGATTGGTTGGTGGGGGTCCGCGTCCAGCCTGTTTAAACGCCATTTCATGAGTGCACGGGGGCGACAGCACGAGGGATGCCGCGGTTGGGGTCGAGGCGATTATCGAGGTCCTCGTATCGAAGAATAAACTCGCGCTGCAAGGGTTTGTTAGTACATTTACTCGCAATCCCACCGGGCTGTTGCTTGACGATCACCTACCCGAACCTTCTTCCATGTCGAGTGGTCCCACAGAAGGTAAATGCCCCGTTCGCTCACGCCCCTTTCGACATCCACAGGGCCTGGATACGACTCGTCGCGGGTCAACCAACAGCGCTCGAGCTTATGGTACCGCCATTTCCGACCCATCAACTCCTCCGCCGCGAGCTCCTGCATGATGTCACGGGCATGCTGTAGAAGATGTAGAAAAGGGTCTCATCGCTGAAACCAGGAATGCGAGACTGAAGGGGCTGGATGTTGGCGACGTTGTAGCATGAGGGGAGAGAGAAGTCCTGCTCGAGGGGAATCGCGGACATCGACGAGACGAAAGGAGACGCGAACGTAGTGTGGAGGGGCCTAGAACGCGTGATTAGCAAACACCCTGAAACAGTGAGCAGGAGGCTCGCGTACTCGGGCTGATTCAGATCCAAACCAAGAGTCATCAGGTCCTGGCCGACCGCGAGACTGGCAATATCGGGGTTTTCGTGGTGGATCATGCGCAGAAGGCCAGCCAGGCCGAAACGATCCAGCTCACTCATTTCCTCGAAGGGAGGTTGTTCGCCGCTTTGAGCCATCGCAGCAGGTGAAGCAGCCTGGCCTTCGTTGGCCGGCTGCTGTCGTGGCTGCAATTGTTGGGGGTCGCTAAAGTTGCGTTGGCCCGACATTAAGGTGTTGTTCAAGTCCTGTAGAGTCGGTGAGTGCGGGGGCCTAAAATGGGCGATCGCCGATCAACTTACTTCCTTCTCCTGACCCAGAACACCATTCGGTCCTTGATTCACGGGCGACCGTGAGGAACCAAGGCCTGAAGAAAAATTAGTTACTTATACTCAATTTACGCTCTTCTTTTTCTTTCTTTTCTTTCTGCTTGCAGGGGGATCCTGGGAACACACCGATCATACCCGAACTATAGCCTCCAAACCCAGCATTCTGCATCAAAGCGTCTCGATGCGCCTGAGGAAGTTCCGAGGCAACATTCCGGCCTAATGGAGGGAACTCATCAATATTGCCGGTCTGAGGTTGACTTCCCGCTGTTAGCTGGCTGTTGATCCCCTGTCCACCATTTCTGAAATCATCCAGCCGATTAGCAAATTGAGCTCCCGAAGGGAACATATCATCGTTGGCGGGTTGTGATGGCTGCACAGGGACTGATTGGGTTTGGGAGGCTCGAGAAGGAGGTTGCGAGGTCGGAGGATGTTGTTGTCGTTGGACCGGCGTGTGTCCTGCCGCTCGCTGGCTCGCGTTGGCCCAGACCATTTGCCCGGGGCTCTGAGCTTGCGATTGCTGCGAGGCGCCTGAAAGCGAGGGAAATTCACTGCACAAAGACCGTCCACATCAGTTCCAGGTTGCCATAGCCTCCTACGTAGGTAGGGAGCGCATGGCCGGATTGCCCACTCGGTCGGTGGCATTTCACGTACCTCAAGTCCAGTGGTGTCCCTGATTGGGAGCCGCCCAGACTTTGCGCAAAGCTTCCCATTGTCCCCATATTGCGTTGCTGCGTGTTTGGTAAAGCGGAGGTCCCAGGGAGGTTGAAGTTCCAATTTGCTGCGCCACCTACCCCTCAAATATTAGCAACGACCCAGATTCTCTCACACCTGAAAGACCATACAGTCCATCGAGGGAATAAGACCATACCCAATTTTCCATTCGGCATTCGTGCAGAGGGCAGAGCTCCGTTTCGGGTTTGTGCTTGCGGCTGTTGTGCGGGGAATCCAGACATGCCTCGTAGCGGCTGCGATCCAGGTCCTGTCAGAAGCGTCAAAGGTCAGCATCTGTTTTAATCAAGATACGGCTCCCCATGCTTCGGTCTGGCGGAGGAATGTGCCTGAACACCCTTGCAAGAATAGGGTCTCCGTCGCAAACGAGCCTTCTGTGTGCGGGGCCGGCGATTGAGATCCAAGGATCCTTCTAGCAGCTGAAGAACGTAATAAAGCTCCAGGGCAACGTTCTCCGACTGCTTGCATGATTGCGCAGACCGGGCTCCTGCACATTCCGCAACGGTGGGGGGTAGAAAGGCCGCTTGAAGACTCGGACGGATCGAAGAATTCACGTACCTGGTCGATTCATGATGCAGGTCTCTGGGAACAACTCGAGGCTGATTGGCAGATACGTTTGTGAGGTTTGGCCGGCAAAATAAACAAACCCTCAGGTAAACCTCAAGCTTAAAACTGTGGAGGGATGAGACCACTTCTTGACTTCGATGCGGCGCTGCTCCGCTTAGAGGTGGAGCGACTCGATTGGGCAGTTAGGCGCGCGGATAGTGGTGCACAGGCCAGTTTCAAGGTCTGGTGCTCAGGACTATACCGGCACAATTTGAAGGGAGAGTTGTGGAAGACCAGAGCCTCTTTGCTTCTAGTGAGTGGTGAACAGATCTAGCATAGATTGGCCAAAGTGTTCGTGAAATTCAGAAGAGCCGCACTTAGATTATTTTAGAGCAGTATTCTTGGGGAGACGGAAGTCACACGTGACCCTCCGCCCGAGAACCCAGACTACTATTTTTCGTGATCCGAAACCGAGCGACCCTGGCCCCGGAATTCCACCAACCTCGCAACAGTCATGCAACGACCAGCTGTCGCTCATGTGGCCCGGTATGGCGGCCTCGTCTTGGCTGAACTACCTCCTCCATATCTTGCACCCTCCCTCCTCTCGATGAATCAGCCCCAATCCTCAAGCTTCTCGACAACCGCCGTCGCGGCTGGCCGATCGGGGGGTCGAGGACGCGACATGAGCAAGAACCGCGGTGTATCTGCCATTCATCGCACCGGCCCCAAGTTCAAGTTGACTGCTGCCAAATACCCATTGCCTAAACCGGTGCCGCGCGACCAATTGCCAGAGCCCGCCAAGACACCCAAGCACGGCCTTTGGGGGTTTTTTCCCAAGAGCCGTGAGACATTGAGTACCCCGGAAAGCGACGGAGAGCATGGTAAGATTCAGATCTGGAGATTAAAGTATCTCTTGATAAGAAGGAACTGCTAACTTCAATGTTAGGCCGGCCGTGGGCCATCCCAGAACTCCGTGAGAAGAGCTGGGAAGATCTTCATCGCCTGTGGTGGGTTTGCGTCAAGGAGCGCAACCGCATTGCCACTTCGAATTACGAGAGGGCTCGTTTGATGGCTGGATATGGAGATCACGAGGCTGATGTTCGCGACAAAGCGGTAAGTCCTGGACCATGGTTTCTGAATGCACCTGGCAATAGTTGGACGATGTGAGCTGACAAATATGTTTCGGCTACAGGTGTTGACCACTATGCGAGCTATCAAACATGTGCTCCGCGAGCGCTGGTACGCCTGGGAAGAGGCAAAACGCCTATACGAAAAGGGTGTCCGTCCCGACGCTGAGGTTTTCGAGGAGTAGAGATCCTGAGGGAACGCCCTCACGTTCTTCCGCCAGATATTGGTTTCTTAGCGTCAAAGGGTCAATATTCGAATCAACGATTGGAACGGTCCTTTGGGCTTGGAGAATCAGATCGGGAACCAGCTGTCCAATTGGCATTTGTAGCAATACTGTTTGATATCATTGCTGCCTGCTACATTTATTTTCATGTACCATTATACAATATTTTCGACCAAGCTTGAGCAATTCCATTATGTCTACTTCGGCACATTCGAGTTTCTGCTGTTGCTGACTTGCCACTAGCAGCGTGGGAAACCATCACGACGGGGATCCTGCGTTCTTCGTCAAACGCCAGTAGACTATTTCAACCCTCGCCACCTAAGGCTGGGGTTATATTTACTGTGTTCGACAATCTTTATTAGTAGTCATGGAAACCAAAAGCAATTCCCTAAGCCCTTTTTCTGCGTTCTTAGTGGGGCATGGGCGGAATCGAACAGCTGAGCTCTTAGTTGAGCTCTCCACACCTCGTGGACGGGTGGGAACTAGGTGATCCAATATTGAGAAATATTTTTTTTTTTTTGATAAATCGGAAGAATGTAATCGATTCAGGGGCTCCCCCTGAGCCAATCAATTCTGCAAATGGTCTAGTTTTTGTCAAGCCCCTGGTATAACCAGTTACCTGGTTAAAGGGGCACAGCCGACGAAGTTTACTAGTGGCGGGCCGACTAGCTAGTCTCCCCTTCTTTACCGCTTCGTTGATCCGCGGGGACAAGATAGCAACGAGAAACTTTCTCCTCTTTTCTCCTTTTTGTATCCCCCCTTTCGTATCTATTACCCCTGCTTTCCTCCTTCATACGCCACATCATGGATGAGATTGCCCCAGAGTACGACGTTGTAGTGCTCGGCACTGGTATGTTACTACCCCGCTATCCCATTCAGCCCCCCCATTGACCAACTTCTTCAGGTTTGACCGAGTGTGTGCTGTCGGGGTAAGGAATATTCGCTATCTCTCGCAATTCTCCCTACTTACATGCGCTTTTTTCTAGTGTTCTGAGTGTCAAGGGTAACAAGGTCCTCCATATCGACCGAAATGACCACTACGGAGGGTACGTTCACCGCGCAGAGCTCCCCGCGCCATCCGCATAAACGATAGCTAACAATACCTTCAGCGAGGCCGCTTCCGTGAACATTGAAACCGTATGCCCGAACTACCTCAGCCCCAGCCGATATAGCTTTTTGCTAACTCTCTTGTTTCACAGCTCTTCAAGAAGTACGGCAACGTCCAGCCCGGCGAAGAGCCTTGGAAGAAGTATGGACGAGTGCACGACTGGAACATCGACCTCGTCCCTAAGCTTCTGATGGCCAACGGGGAGCTGACGAACATCCTTGTCTCCACCGATGTCACTCGATACCTCGAATTCAAGCAGATCGCCGGTAGCTACGTTCAGCAGGGCAAGGGCTCTAAGGCGACCGTGGCCAAGGTTCCCTCCGATGCGGGTGAAGCTTTGCGGTCGTCCCTGATGGGCCTGTTCGAGAAGCGACGGGCTAAGAAGTTCCTCGAATGGGTTGGCGAGTTTAAGGAGGACGACCCTGCCACTCACCAAGGTATGCCGTGATTACATTTGAACTGCCCATGGTAGCCGTGACTAAGAAGCGTGTAGGTATCAACGTCAAGGCCTGCACTATGAAGGACGTCTACGATAAGTTTGGTCTCGAGGAGAACACTCGTGATTTCGTTGGTCACTCCATGGCCCTTTACCCCTCAGATGAATACATTAACGCCCCTGGCGTTGCCGTTGACGCTATCAATCGTATTCGCCTCTACGTCAACTCCATGGCTCGCTACGGGAAATCGCCGTACATCTACCCCCTGTACGGTCTGGGTGAGCTTCCTCAGGGGTTTGCTCGTCTTTCGGCTATCTACGGCGGTACTTACATGCTGAACACCGATGTTGATGAGGTGCTCTACGAGGATGGGAAGGTCTCCGGCATTAAGGCCACCATGAAGGACCCTCATGAGCAATCCGAAGTCATGAAGTTCGAGACCAAGACCAAGAAGATCATCGCCGATCCCTCTTACTTTCCCAACAAGGTCAAGGTTACCGGATACCTGCTCAAGGCAATCTGTATCTTGAAGCACCCGGTTGATAAGACTGACGGCAGTGACTCTCTGCAACTCATCATCCCCCAATCCCAGGTTGGACGCAAACACGGTGAGTTGGTCTCAATGCCCAATCTACGAACGCTTCCTCATAAGGTATAGACATCTACATTGCCGTTGTCTCATCGGCCCATAACGTCTGCCCTAAAGGTTACTACATCGCCATTGTCTCGACTATCGCTGAGAACGATGCCAACCACCATATGGAGCTCGAGCCGGGCTTTGAGCGCCTCGGCGTTATTGAGGAGAAATTCATGGGAGCTCCTATTCCCCTTTACGAGCCTCTGGAGAGCGGCGCCAACGACAACATCTTCATCTCCAAGAGCTATGATGCTACTTCGCACTTCGAAACCACAACCAGTAAGTTTGCAGCCTTGGTTTTTTTTTCTTCTTTTTTTTGGGTTTGATTTGGCAACCTGCTTACCCATACTTCAGCCGATGTGCGAGATATCTACCGCCGTGCCACCGGCGAAGAGCTGGTCGTCGAGGGTCTCCGTGAAGACCAGCAGCTTGCTCAGGAGTAGAAAATCCACAACCTGGACTGTCAATGAGATACTCTACTGTGACTTAGATGCTAAATTGATCCCATTTCCTTTGCATGTGAACTATGCTCTGTCCTTTTTATTCTCTGGTATATCCATTGTTCATGTCATTGGCAGTGGTACGGAGTACATACTCGGGGGACGGTATGTAGTCGAATGTAGGGTCACTTTCATTTCATGATGATGAGACCAAAGTAAGCCAAGTAGCTCCCATATTTTTATTTCTTTATTCAGGTGCACAATCCAGGCCAGAACGTGGAGCAACTCCCAAGTCGGATGCAGCATGGGCTCTGCTTCAGGTCACTAGTACCAGTAGTGGTAGGGTCGGGGCCACTGCGGATATCTGAGAGAACATCATTATAGCGCAATCAAATAACCTGTAAGACAGTTCTTGTAATTTAGTCTATATTGCTCGCTCTTTCAGCATGAAGGTATCATCTTATATGCGCTGCTTTACTTCGGGGTCCGTATTCGCCTTCTCATGCTCGCCAACCACGCATACATCCCCATTACTAGCCTTCTGAATCTCCGCTCGCAACAGAGCTAACCGCTGCCCAGCATGAATCAATTCACAAACCAAACGCGCCTCGGTTCCCACCGGCACTGGCCTGAGATACGTAGTCCTCAAATTGCGACTAACACCACCATACGCGAACTTGCCGGGCTCCGCCATGCCCACAAGAAGAGTGCTCGAAAGGACATCGATCAAAGTGGCTGCACAGCCGCCATGCAGGTTTCCGAGATAGTTGCTCAGATCCGGGGTAATAGTAAACGTGAAGGAGACCTTGGCTGGCGGTCCGCGGGTTGCTGATTCGAAGCGGAGATTGCATTTGCGCCCGTCGATGTCCCAGTGCTATTCCAGTTCACGTCATTCAGTGCTTGTGATTCAGACCGGGTGCATGCGATCGAAGTCTGTTCGATCTTGCTGCTTGACTTACGTCGTCACTTCCCTGGCACATCCGGCGCATGTAACTGTAGACGTTCTCCTCGAACTCGGTCATTTGCCGCGCTGGCGGTTTGATGGCGTATTCAACGTCGGCCATTATGGTATCAGAAAAAAGAGTGGAATCGACTTTAAAACGCCCGGATAATGATTTGAATGGATCCCCCGGGGTTGCGATGAGGAATGATCTTATTGCATCCTGATTCCGGTCGTTCCCCACAGGCAGCTCCGCCACCCGAACCTCGGCTTTGTGGTTCAAGCTGGGGAATGTCTTCCAATCTCGGCCCACTGCTTGTCGCTTAATTGCTTGCGTCGAGAGAGTCTTGTGCTTCATGGCCTAGTAGTAAATTCTCCAAGGTTCATATCTCTTTGATTTTGGTGGAACTCGAAACCAAAGCCATTTCAAGCTCAGATGCTACGATCATCGGCCCTCTCTACCTTACATATTTGCTGGCCCAGACGTTAGTTCCGTGCACCTCAAGGCTTCCAAATGTTCCAACTTCCACGATCGAGCTATTTCTTCTCATACTGAGAAATAGAGGTATATTGTTTGGCGCTATGCCCCACAGAAGCTATATCAAAAACCTCAGACCATTGGGAGAATCGAAAATGAATACACCAGCGTCTCTCACCTGACTTCGCGTCACGCGTTTCGGCCTCAGGCGTTGAAGTCCCGGAGATGGACATTTGTTTCCGCAGGGCACGTAGTTGATTCATACAGCTTGTCTACCAGTCTGCTCCCTCCGGGCACAAACGCGCCAGACTGGAAGTCCAATTTGCCGTGTATCTTCCATACTGAAGATAACCAGTGCTTTCCAGTAGGGCCATCGCTCGTTTGATATGTGATTCTGCCAGCTGCAACTCCAACGTCCAGGGCCGAAATAGTCCCGCGAACTTAATTGAACAATAGCGAGACGGAACAGGCCTGCCGCTCATTTGTGGTATAAGGAATCTACACCGACGCCTCCCAAACACCATCTAACGCCCCATTGGTATATTCCCCCTTGATCCTACGATTTGCGAACGTCGACCCTTGAATATGCGAGACCCCCAAGCCTCAAAGCGGAGGCGAGTTTCCACGGAGCCCGAGCAGGATGACGATGGAGATGTAGCGATGGACGGCGGTGACAGCGTCTATTCTGTCCCTTCATCACCTGAGCCAGCGGACTCGGAGGACCAAGATTATCGCGGACCCAAAAGACAGCCATCCCGCCGCCAGTCCACGCGCCGCAAGTCGCAAGCCACCAGCGCAGTTGATTTGGGTGCTGCGACCGACGAAAATGCAGTTGACACCCCTTCGAGGGCCGGAACACGCTCCAGTGGACGGCAACGGAAGGCGCCTGAACGTTTCGAGGATGCTCAAACGCCAACCTCTGCCCAACGAGGCGCCGCGACCCCTCGCAGTGGGCGCCCCGCGAGAAGCGCGCAGAAGAAGAAGCCTGAGCTAGTGGAAGACGAAGACGAGGAGATGGATTTGGATGGTCAGTCACCTGAACCGGTTCTCACAAGGACCCGATCGCGGAGAACCGCAGCGAAGCCAAAGTCAAAGGCTGGGGAGGAAGAACAGCCCGACTCGCCGGACTACAACGATGGACTGGATGATCTTGTTGCATTACAACTCCAACAGGGCCTTGTGCAGAACCAACCAGCGGCAGAAGAAGAGATGGTAGAGATGGCGGAGCCTCTTCCTGGATATGCAGAGGCTTTCCAATCCGTCTGCCAGAATGGATTGCAAAATGAAACCCGCGTATTGACGAATTTTGTTCTCGAGAAGCTTTCCGGGAAGCGGCAGATCCCACTGAAGGGACTGGATAGCGAGTACACCAAGGTCAACCACTTGATTGAGCAGACGGTCACCGTTGGCGAAGGAAATTCGATGCTGTTACTCGGATCTCGAGGCGCAGGGAAAACTGCAATGGTTGAATCCATCATCTCGAATCTTTCCAAAGAGCACAGTAATGACTTCCACGTCGTTCGTTTGAATGGCTTCCTTCATACGGATGACCGTTTGGCTCTTCGAGAGATGTGGCGCCAGCTAGGTCGTGAGACCCATACTGAAGATGATGCCGCAAAAGTCAATTCCTATGCGGACACAATGGCCACACTTCTGGCCCTGCTTTCTCACCCCGAGGAACTCTTTGGCGCTTCTGGAAACAAGGACTCGATTACCGCTGCCAAATCTATTGTCATTCTTCTGGATGAATTCGACCTTTTCGTCACTCATCCCCGCCAGACTCTATTATATAACCTTTTTGACATCGCACAGGCCCGAAAGGCACCCATCGCTGTAATCGGGCTCACAACAAAGGTTGATGTGACCGAGATGTTGGAGAAGCGAGTGAAAAGTCGGTTCAGCCACCGATATGTCTACGTTCCACTTCCCCGGACATTCGAAATGTTCTCAGATATTTGCCTGGCAAGCCTCGATCTGAACGACAGCGAGATTACGCAACTTGCAGACTCTATGGAGCGTGGACGCGCCCTCATCGAGTCGGCTCCCTGGCGAACGCTCCTGGCGGGGTGGAAATCATATCTCAAGGTAGGAAGAGGCCCCTTTCATTTCTATACTTCTCAGAGCCTTGACACTAACATGCTCGATCTTGGCAGGAATTGTGGGTGGATAAGGACTTCCAATTCCACATGAAAAACATATTCTACCAAACCAAGTCCGTGAAGGACTTCCTCACAAGCGTGCTGCTGCCAATCAGTGAACTCAACATCAGCACGTTGGCACCCGATACAACCCTCCAAGTCCCAACCCCCAAAAGCTTCACCTCGCAGTCCCTCTCATGCCCCGACCCAGCACCCCTCCCATTCTCAACATCCATCGCTGCATCCGCAAGCCCTTCATCCCTCCCCCTTGCGCTCCTTCTCGCTGCCACTCGGCTCGCAGCGCTTTTCGACCCAGTGGCAGACGGCGCTCAGGCCCAGGGCCTAGCGCCGCTGGCTCTGTCCTTCCCAGCCGCTTATGCAGAATATGTCCGAATGCTTACCTCTGCTAAGACCTCCGCCTCGGTCTCCGGCGCAGCCGCCACGCCCGGCCGCGTCTGGGGCCGCGATGTGGCGCGGGAATCGTGGGAGAAACCTAATTTCCTGGGGTCTGGTGACGCCTGTGGGCGGCGGCAACGGCACGGCTGATGGCCAGATGTTCCGTGTGGAGATCAGTTTCGAGGAGGTGGTCGAGATGGCCGGATCAAGCAGTTCGCTTGGACAGTGGTGGCGTGAGGGTTGAATTACTGGTGGCGTCTTATTGCCTACCTGTGAGGGGGGGGGGGAAACTGTGCATCACAATCCTTGTCGACGTTCCAATGAATTGACCTGTCTGAACTGTTCAACCTCTCAGCTTTCCCTTTTTTCTAGGTTTTCATTGCTTTCTTTTTTTTACAGGTAGACGTCGAAAGTCGGGGGGGGTCTCGCATGTAGTCCAGCTTGACCATCCCTAGCCCCAGGTAAACGTTTCTCGGGGGTGGGCTACAAGTCGCATCCGAGAATAATTATGCACTGCCTGATGCAGTTATGCACCCACCCCTATAACTATTGAATGTTACAGAGCAAAAAGTCTAAAATCCCCTGGACACATGACATTGCATAGTTGTCAGGCCTCCTGTATCGGACCTGGGGGGAGCCGACTGGCGAGATACGTATCACAACTTCAACCTCGATTTAGTAGCAGGCCCAGAACCCGCCCCTTCGCTCCTCGGTTACGTATGTCCAGAGTCAATTTCGGGAGCCTTGGGTTGTCCCGCGGATCCCTTCTCTCCTGGACTGGCTTCCAGGGTGCCTCAGACCATCCTTGCCGTGATAACCGGGCCAAATCACCCTTGTCCCAGCTGCGGACCCTGCACGAGCTATCCCAAGCGAGTCCAGCGCCCACGGGCAAAGATGTCGGACTTTCCCTCGGACATACCCCTCCAGCCCGTCTCTTAGCTCGTGTGGGGGGCGCTACGGGTGATTTGACGTATGTAGCATCTGGGAGGAGGGGGGAGGGATGGACACTTTTAGTTTTGCGAAAGATGTGATGTAATGGGGATGCAGATCCGGCGTAAGATATTACAGCTTCCGCCGAGCCACATGGCTCAAGGGCATAAGAGCTGAGTCGACTAGCATCAAGCAAACAAACAGATATTCTGGGTGCAAATAAGGTGCAAGTCGTACTTCGTATTTTACTGGTCCGCTCTTGTGGAGACCCTGACCTTCCGAGAAAAGAATGGCAAAAATGTGCAAGGGTTGCGCTAATCCGGGTATTTGCTGCCCAGGTGCTGGGGTTACGGACGACAAAAATCCTGGGTTCAATGTAACCATCTTAATTCTTAATGCAGTTCCTTTCCCCATTTCGCCCTTACGGTCCTCACCTGTCGAAGGCCCTGTGGAGGGGAAGGGATAGCGGGAGGGTATAACGTGCTACGGTATGGCCACTTAGGGTAATATCGAAAGGGGCGCGATTGGTGCGTCAACCACGCGGTCATGCATGCGTGGTCGCCATGTGTCGGAAAATGACATGTCGCACTCGATTGCGCAGATCAACCCACACAAGTGGCGAAGGCGATGGCAACACTCCACTGCCCGTTATGTGAACAACAGAGACTGGGCCCGGATAGTCACCATTGGCACCCCGGAGGGTTGGGGTCTCGAGAGAATCTGAGGATCAGGGATAACTGACGAGGCGCATATATTACTTCTCATGCAGGGCACCGATAGTCCGGGTAGCCATGTGAAGTAATCTGCCGGCAGGCCATGGCCTATGTCCCCCTCCCGCATTCGTCTGGCTGCCGGCTCTTCTCCTGCAGCGCCATGAGCAAACATGCCGGCAGGCAGAAAAAAGATGCAGCTGCGAAGCAGTCGGACGAGAAACGAATTGTTGGAGAAGGGGAGCGGACGCAAGCGCTAGGCAGTCTTGGCCAAGGTGCAGGACTCCACAATTCTGCACGACTCGCATGGCTGGGAATCCACTGCCCAATGCCAGTCGTGTGCGCGAGTTAGCCTTTCTTAGCCCTTGATCCCGCGGTCCCCCTGTTGTCTTCTTGGGGCAAAGGGGCCGGAGACGGGGAGGGGCTAATGGCCGTTACAAATCGGTCTAGGTTACTTCTGTAGCCTGCAGATCAATATCATCGCCTCCATTCCACAGGGATGGATCGGCTTTGGAAAATGGAATACCTCCGTGCCCTCGAAGCTCGGTTGTCGGCATGGGTAGACTTATCTGGCGGTCCGGGCGCTGCGGCCACCCCTGCCGTCCAATGGTCTAGCCCTTGAAGGCAGGACAGGGCCTCGTGAACCATAGCTATTGGATTGAAAGATGGGTGATACCTGTTAGTACTTTGCGCCGAGTCACCGGGGTCATGAGTAGCCTTGGACAAAAATGACATATCCCCACAAGACTTTGGATCTGAATCTCAAAGATTAACGACGCGGAAGTAGAGAGTGGGCCAGGACGATCAGGCCATAGCCTCCGCCCTCCGCGTGGGAGAAAAAGCTCGGAGACACGTCGAATCGAGGCAGAACAAAAACCTGATTAGCGGCAAGAGTCCACTGCATCCAGAATGATGTATTGGATAATTCTGTTTGATTCCGCGTCGTTGCCCATAGAAAGATCAAGGCTCAAGGCACAGCAGCTCTGTTAGTTCCCGCTTAACAGGGATGTCGCAGATGGGCTGTGCCGCCGAGTTGCTGCCTGCTGCTCAAACTGGCCCTAACCTGTCGACACTACAGTCTGACTGCCGGGCCCATTAGAGTTCTCCCAAGACTCAGGAAGAGATTGACCCAGAAAGCAGCCACTGATGGCGGGGGCGAAGGGGTCGATTCTTTTGAGCTCAAAATGAGTGATATGATGCAGTGATCGTCGCCCCGCTGCAGCGTGGTCTCGGCGTGCATGAATGCGAACAAGCCAGCCATCGATACATTGGCACGAGGATGGTCTCGCAGACTGGATGTAAACTGTCATAGAAAATCATTCCATGATCATCTACCCAGGCTGCCATAAGAGGATGGATACGGGAGAGCGGAGCTAGGACTCGCATGATTTTAGTATCCAGTTTGAGGTTGTGTCCTGTGGATTTGAAGTGAGAAATGGAGACTATGAGTAGTGGGAGCAACACTGGGCTTGAAACCTTCGACTGGGCCAAGCGTCCTAGTGCAGCTAACCGAGAATCGGTATGGGATGGATTTCAAGGTTGGATTAGTGAGTGAACATGAGTGAACAGCCCCGTGGTGCTTTGCAGCTGTGATGGAGACAACGGCACGCGAGAAAGATTTCTCAGCAAAGATCTACATTTATGGGCATGAGGCCGGCGCTGATATCAGCATGTACCATACCTAGGTAGACTCGGAATGTAGGAGTAGGAAACAAGTGCTGGCCCCAGCCTGAGGTCACGGTTGCAGGGGTTAGGAATCCAGAGCCAGATGCTATTGCAGCATTGAAATGAGACCCTACGGCGGCTGTGAGCTTATGAGGAAGGAGAAGGCCATACCAGGGGTATATGCGCCCAGGGAATGGCAGTTGCTCAATACAAGCATGACATGTAAGGACTACGTACTCATGGGCATGTTGCCAAGCTTCCAGGGTTGAGCATGGCCCCCAAAATACCCCAGCAAGACACGACTATGCTAGATTAAGACTGTCAACCTGCATTGAGCCACAGCTGCAGCTCCGAAACACGAAGCCATGCCAGAAAGGGCCCAGCAGGAAAGCTCTGGATCAGAACTGTAAAGCGGGTCGGAGGTCGGCCGCGTGAGAAAGCCCATATCTCAAATTCGCCCACTAAAAGGGTGGAACTGGGCGGCAGGATTTTGCCCACCGCCAATTTGCCAATACCCTGCGAGCAATGTTCGTACATCCCAGTGCGCGCTAAGGTCGGAACGAAGGGTATTGCCATTCCATGTGCGCGTGGTCCCCCCGAGGCCCAACGGGCGCGCCGGTCGATCCGCCGCGTCTCCATGCAAGTCATGGGCGCTTGATGGAAATCAGGATCGTCGACAAGCAGGCCTAGTTGCATGCCAGCTTTGGTTGTATTTCCCGCAGCTCTCCACGGGAAACCGCTGTGTTGCAATTTTGGTTTGCTCTTGTGTCGATCCTCCACGTGGAGCGCGCCCAGAAGCCCGGCGTTGTTTAGGTCGTATCCTTCCAAGTACGCGGTGGAGACCTCGCCAAAACACTCGGTATGATTATGGCAACCGACGTGTACCATGCAATCCTGCGGACTCACGTCTTTAAGGGCATCGGAAGAGCTTCCCCGGAAAAGTCCTATGCATGTATGCCACTTGCCTTGGGCGCGCCTGCAGTGAAACTGGAAGGGCCGACTATTAGAAGTATAAGACCATCATGGGTCTACCGAGCCAGCCTTGTCGTTACACAGTACTGCCGTACACAGTATGTCCCAGCCCCACACAATGAAACCCCTCGCTTGGTGCATGGTACCGCTGGGATGGGCAGAGGGCGTGGAAAGTCTCGGAAGCTTCTCCTTCTTTTCCCATTACGACCTCAAAATCGTCATGGTGTCTCAGTTTTCGTTCTTTGGCGCAACTATCCGCGGAGAAGCGCGTTCCCCTGAAAGAAAAAGGAATCTTCCAATTCATCAAAAGTGGAGGCGAATGATTTGCGAACCATGGTACGAAGACTAAGGCAGAAACGGACAAATTAGTGGCTTCCAGAATCTTTCTAGAAGGGTTCTAGCGCAAGCCATTTGCCACCTGAGTCGTAAAGAAGGCCCCCCCTTGGCTTTTCGGCCATATCCTTTGCGCCGGGTGCAAGGCTCTCTGTGGGGACCCAAAGCCCCTCTCTTTGACGGAGTTGTTTCCGAAACGAAGGCTTCTGTATAAGATGTCCTGAGAGACCAGGAGAAAAGTCTATGACGTGATCCTTTGGGTACTCCGTACAATGCCCTTTTCAGGGCGTACCTGTAATATTCCATGGTTCCATACACCCGATGCTTGCTGGAAGTGGGCTCGTCCTGGCCATACGGATGTTCCCGACCGATCTGCAACCAAAACCTCCGTTTCTTTCTCTTATCCGGCCAAGTGGGCTTGCTCAAAAATTGGGCAAACAGGTAGACTTTGGTGGCCCAAGTGTTGCGCGTCTCCGGCGAGAAAGGACCGAACAAGGTCGACACTGGTTGACTGGTCCAGGGGCTGGCCAGCTATCGCAAGCAAGGGTCGCCTATCTTTGGCATGCTACGCGATATACATCCGTAACTCCGAGAAAGTTGAAATGGAAGAACAACAAGCCATTTGCCAATGGGAGGCAGATTGCCGATCAGGGCTGAGTCTCCATTGGCCAGTGGCTGGCTTTATTTGAAAATCATAGCGTCTGGCCCCCGTCGACGCCCGTGTTTGCCATTCAGCGCACCTAACGTACGCCCCCATTTTCGGGCATTTGTCTTTATCATTCAGCAAACCCCGATGAGAACCGAGTGCGGCTGAAACTAGACCGACCACATGGCAAAAGGGCAAAAAGGGCCATACGGCCCATCCTGCAATCCCGCTCCATTCAGGGGGCCTTTAGGGCGCGCTTCTGATCTCTACCCGAGTTGGTTTAGGCGGTGCGTGAACCCCAGCTTCCCACGTGGGAAGGGCTCCACAGAGGAAGCTCGAGGATCACTTTCCACGGCCGATGCACATCGAACAGATTAGCCTCCAACTCAATTCGCGCGGAATTCATTTGCTGACTTGTGATCAAGTGGGCTATCCCTAGAACGGTTGAATCAGCATCCACTGCTCGTTGCTGAATCAGAGCGCAGCGCGGTTCTCCCTAGCTTCAGCGCGTTCTGCCGCGCAATCCAGGAGCCCCATCTCTTCGCTTGGATCAGAAGACTCAAAATTGATCCCTGCTGTAGAAGCTACCTACTATGGTCCCATCCTCTGCTGCTTTTGCTGGGGAATAATGATCGGCAGGGAGCTCGCGCCAATCTCTTCCGCGGGGGTCTGTGATCCACCTAGACGGCACAAAGACACGTGAGGAGACGACATCAGCCAAAGAAACCGAAGAAACTGGATCAAACAAACAACATTGCAAAGAAGCCTGACATGTAACAGCCCCAAAAAGCAGAGAAGCTAGGTCAATCCGAATACAGTCTGAAACCCAAATCCGAGAGCCACATTCTTAGGAGAAGAAAAGCCGGCATACGGCTACGTACTGGATCACGCAACTAGGTGTATGCATCCACGCCGAGTAATGTTACTTACTCCTGGAAGACAGCCTATGCAAGGGAGCAACAACGTCGCTGTGACCTATCGGAATGATGGTTGCCTTTGTGCGACCTCGGATGCTTGGACAGCTTCCTCTGGCCCCCCCCCCCCTCCCCCCAGATATACTAGTTTATATGGTTCCACCAAGGGGTGTTCAACGTGCATGTCTACAGGGCTAGGCAGCGACGGAGGTGTATGCTACCGGTGGCTGAAATGTCCGGAGTTGCAGAGACGGGAGTGGTCCAGACTGTCGATCTTCCATGTGGGCAACCTTGCAAGGGCCCTACAGTAGCAGCAAAGCTGTACGCAGTACAAGGACAGGTTGTCCACACTGACTACGGGCTGGATGGTACCCTTTCTAGGCGTCAAGATTATGGGCTTCTACAAGCTACGAAAAGTTTGGCTGAAACCTTGCAGATTGTAGGGGAGTTGCGCAGATTGGCGCCCAGAGTTGCACCAGATGCGGGAGGTATGACTTGTAAAGTTCATGCGATCATCAACCATGCTGCACCCCGGATCAGATTGGCATTTAGTTCCCAGATGGGTGGCTAGGGCAGCATGGTGGACGAGACAAGTCTATGATTAAGCTCCGCTTTTAATTTTGACTACTTATCCGTGTTCTCCATTAGGACATGCTAGTGGGTGACCTGCATGAAGCCCGCGTGGCGGTCAAGGATTATAAGTCGTTGTAATTTTCCTTTTTTAGCTGGTACAGACTGGTACCGGGCCGGAGAAAAGAGAGGGTAACAATACCCCCGGTACCAATACTGTCCGATACAGCAATTCCCGTTGAACGATCAGCGGGTCTAACTTCAGACAAGGACAAAGCGGCCCCCAAAAGACTGCCCCTCTTTCGCCTTCTCGAAAGGGCCAGGTGCATGATGCTAATTACTGAGTCTGACAGACCCACCCTTTCGCCAACTTCCAAGATTCCCTGCTTGCTTACCCCATTCCACGTGGCTTTGCAGGGGAAGCAATACTTAGCTAGATCGCGGGAAGCCTGATGTCTTCAAGGAACCGTTCTGCTCGATCCACATGCTTTAGTCCTTCTCGAATCTCGTACAGTCCAGCCCACATGAGACTTTTGCCCCATAAGAGGTCCGAAGGATTTTCCAAGGGCCCGATCGAGAATCAATTAGGTCTCTTTGTTTTGACGCTGAGAGCGGAAGTCTTCGGACCGGCGTGATCGCACGTCCTTTCTTACGCCAGAATTTCTTATCTCAGAGCTCGCTGACGCGTCGCAAATGCGGAGAAATTGCCTAGAGTTCTCGAGTTCGTACTGCGGGTTCCCCCGTAGGGCCGTAGGGGCCGATTTGGGTCGGTGGGGAGAAAAAGCAAAACGTGGGCGATAATCATCTACGGTGAACGAAAAGACTACGTAGAGGAGCAAGAGACCCCTTCTGAGGCTCTGAAACGAGGACGCCTGGTACCGGTAGATTGGCGATCCGCAACCTTAGCCACCACTGGCCCAACAATCTGGGAAGCTTTATGGGCTCTGAATGGACAATTCACACTCTCTTCGGGCGCCAGCTAAGGGGCCCCTGTTCTGTACGGATGAGTGCGGGAAGTCAAAAAAAACCAAAAAACCATCAAGGGGTATGTTGACAGCATCGTTCTCGTACGCCAAGTCCGTGCAGAGCAAAAGCGGCATTTGAGAGAGACTAGACGCGGTCAGACCCGGGTAAGGGGAACAAACGGTTTGTTCGCAAGATAAGGAGTTACGAAGCGAGGCTCACGTTCTCTTTCGCGCGCTCAGGCGCTTTCTCCACGTGTGTCCACGTGGACCACATGGGCTGTCCAAAAAAAAAGAAAGAGCGGAAGATTTGCTCAGCCACGGTTTCGGTTCCCGCTTCGAAACACTAGTGACTCATGGAGGCCACGTTTGGCGTTTCTTTTCTCCTTGTTTCTTGATCCATCGAATACGAACAGAACAATGTGGCGGGGCCCAAAATGAAAAACGGAGAGCCGTCCAGAGAGTGGGCTTGAAACATGTGATGAATTTATCCGTTTCCGGGCGACCGGCAAGTCTGGCTTGCTCCAAGTACCGAGGCGCCAGAGGATCATCACGCCGTATCTCCAGCATAACTCCGGCTACGGAGTAAAGAGTCGCACAACAGATCGGATCGAAAGACCTTTGCCACTTCGATAAGGTTCCTGACAGTCAAGTAGGCATTCCCACGTGGGCTCAAGCTTCAGGCGGCAGGAGCAACCATTGCCTAATTGGTGTATGGGGCCGTGATAGGGGTGGTGGGGGTCCACCAGGCAGGAAAGATTAATAATGTAGGAGAGCGCTGAGCTTGAGAGACCAAGAGAGCTGCCAATCCGGGATCCTGGGCTGAAGAGTCGGATCGCTCCCCCATGTGATACATATGCCAAGCCCCGACGAGGTTTAAAGGACACTTGAGTTGAAGGTCGATAGGGGGCCACTGGCGCTGGAGCTTATCCCAGTAAGCGTCGCACCATTTCCTGTATTACTTGAAAGATACACAAACCCCGGAGGTTTGTCAGGCTCAAGTTCCAATCAATCGATGATCCCGGATCCCTGGTTCGCAGTGGGGAGATGCCTCGGGGCCACCGTGGTGAAATCATGGACTTGAGGAACAGGAATCGGGCGGACCATCTGGAAGTGGAGGAACCTGGGCATCTAAGGAACCAGATGTTGCTTTGTAGGGCTGGTCGATTCCTACAGTATACAGCCCCCGGGGTGCTGGCATCCGGTGGCTTGGTATGTAGGATACCACTGTAGCCCTAAGCTTGTATTGTTGAGGCCCTTTAGGTTTTTCGTGGAATGGGGAGAATACGGGCGGTACTGATAAAACAGGCTAAACAAAGGAGGACCTCGGAAAACGCAAATCGGGGTAATTAAATACCATACAATACCAGACCCTAGTTCTGCACGAAACAAGGAACCCACCGATCTTCACCATGAGGCAATCCCTTCCCTTGGCCCACGTTGTTTGGGTGCAGATACACCAAACTCTTTCTGGCTTCACGCGTGGGTTGTGGGTCAAGGATGACAGCCCGTTGGCTCTGATTCTTCAGGGTATTTCTCCTTAATTCCCTTTTTTCAATGCCAATTTGGATTTCCTGAAATCATTTTGTCTCGAGGGGGCTTGGATGAGAGGGGAGAAACAGGGCGATGTTGGGGCCTTTGTATGGGGTCCCCCCCTTGCCCTTGGGGTTTGGGGTGATCTGAATTGATTTGGGGCTTTTACTTTCCGCAATTATGAATTTTTTAGCCTTAGCTAGTGGGATCCGTATATCCGTACTAAAAGCGCTGAAGCTTCCAAAAAAGAAATAAAAATAAAACCACAAAAATAAAACCCAAAAGAAATTCCCATTTCTTTCTGAGAACGGAATACCACTTCCTTCACGCCCCCCCCCCTCTCCGCTACGACTCTGTATAGCAAGATCCACCCACACATCTCCCGTGTTCTGTCTTTTCCTCTTTCAGGCTTTTTTCCTGAATTTCTTGGATTTTCCTGATTTTCCTCATTTCTTCCTTTTCTTCCTTTTCTACCCACTAATTCCCCCCCCCTCCCCCTTTTTAGAGTAACAGATCGTGGGTATCAGGCCGTGGTTTGACTTACCCACTTTTCACGCTCCTCCCGAAGTCTGGTTGACCCAAAACCACCCCCCTCCCCAAAAAAACCCATTCAATGCCAACTCTACCTTCTCTGGATCACTCCCGAGACGAATCTCTCTCCCCTGTCCAGGATCTTCCACGCGCTCCCTCTTCCCTATCGCAATACCCCGAGCTGACCCTCACCTCTGCTTCTGCCGTCGGCTCTATCTCTCGCCGCAACCGTCGTTCCTTGGCCGCCTGGGCTCAGAAGACCTCAAGTGCTTTCGCCAATCTTAGCATTAGCCAACCCGCTCCTCTACGGTCCACTGGCTCCTCGGGCAGCTTGTCGAAGGCCTCGAAGCCCGCGGTTGCGTCCCTTTTGACCCCTCCATTGTTGGACGGCGACACTCCAGATCCCACTGATCTTTCACGCCCAGATTCGCCAGCATTAGCCGATCTGCATCTCAGTCATAAGCGGCGCCTGACTCTCCAGCGCATCCCCACCCCTCCGCAAGAGTCCCGTCCGCCTTCGTCGGGCGCAGAGCTAGTCTCCAAAATGCACCAGACCTCGTCCCGTCTGCTGCGTATGACGGAAGATGAGCGTCCTTTCACCAAGGTATGTCGGAAACACAAACGACGATGCGACCCCAGGTACTATGGGGGGGGAGGGACGTTCTAGCTCACCCTCCTTCTTTCCCCTCTTAGGATTTCATGGATCTCTTTTCCACGCTCATGGTCAGTCTAAAATTGGATGCGCATCGTGTTCGTTTTACTCGTTATGACCACACTTTTACGTCGGAGGAAGCCATCAACAATTTGGGCTCGCTCAAGTTCTCACAGTCCAACCGCATGCCCGACCCGAAAGATCCCTCACGAATCGTGACCACCACCACAACCACCACCTTCTCGATGGCCAAGGAAATGGCGCGTTCTGTGTGTCAGCGATTTGTCGATGCTCGGTTTATCGAAGGAGTGGATGGCAAGACCGCGGCAGTCTTCCCGCTCAAGGGGGCGCTCTTCCAGCTGACCCCCAAGGGAATTAACATTCTGCAGCGATTTTGTCAGCGCAACGGCATCACTGCCCGTCACGTGATGGATGTGCTGGAATCCCCGCGAAACACCATGCAACTGGTGAACTTGGAGCGAGACACCGAGACCGACAAGCTTTCCCACGACCGTGCCACTATCGAAGTGATTTTCCGCCGATTTGCCGGGCAGGATGGACCCAACATCAAGAGCAGCGTTTCTACCTCCGATTCCGACTCCGTCAGCGACTACTCCAACGGAATCATCGGCGTGAAGATGGCCAAGGAGCGTAGATTGCTTGATGGCAAGGTGTACAACAATACTTTCACCGGAAAGGTAGCAGTGGATTGGCTCATGGATTGTTCGACCACCATCGAGCGTCGCGAGACCTGTTTAATCGCCGAGCTGTTCCTCAAGTACGGCATGATCACCATGATCCAGGACGACAAGTCTTACCCGGACTCCAACGCCGTGTTCCAGCCTTCCAAGCATTCGATCTACACCATCACCGAGCGAGGGCAGCGGGTATGTGGATGGATTGCTCGCGACAAGCGTGACACTACCAGCATTAACACCACCTATGACAACCGTGGTATGCCGAAGGACTCGAACAACTCCCGCCTTACTCACATCCTTGGAGATCCCGCTCTTCGCCTGCTTTTCCGTGAGTTCCTCCGTTACTCGCTGTGTGAAGAGAACTTGTCCTTCTACCTGGACGTGTCGGAGTTTACCGCCAACTACCACAAGCAAGAAAAGGCTGGAATATTCAACAAGATCGACTCGGTTCGGGAAACCCTAGCAGCTGCATATGGTACGTTTAACAAGCTATATAACATGTCTTTTTCCCCTTTGGAATGAACTCGGCGCTGACATGCTTCCAGGATTATACAACGCATTCTTGGCCCCCGGATCGCCTTGCGAGTTGAACATCGACCACGCTTTGCGCAACAGCTTGGCTGCGCGTATGACCAAGGCCGTGGGTGATGATGAGTCGATGTACAAGAGCCTTCAGGAGGTTGTCCACTTGTTTGAGCTTGCGCAGACCTCTGTCTTTAAGCTGATGTCAAGCGTAAGTTGGACTCAAGCTTGTTCCCCTTGCATTTGTCTGACTATCTTCCAGGATTCCGTTCCCAAGTTCCTCCGTGATCCCAAGTATTCCGTAATCCTCCAAGAACACGATGTGGACATCTTCGGCGGCTCTGGCCGCTCATTTTCCCCGACCCCTGCTGGGCCAGAACGCAGCATGAGCCGATCCGCTCGATCATGACAACTACGGCGCACGAGCATCGATATCACCAAACCAGTCAACAGAGGCCTGCCGCATCGTGCTTCGATAGCGCTTCCCACGGCCTCTGTCGTCTAAGTAACAAGCTTCCAACGTCTTGTGTCCTGAATCATGAGCCTCGTGGGCGCATTACGTACCAGCCAATCGAGTTGTATCCGCTGCCGTGCGTGTTGTGTGACTGCAACGCGGGAATCACACCCGCGACCGGGGTTTCTTGGAGTCAAACCCAAGGAGCTCAAAGGGAGAGACTGGCTCATTCACGATTTCCCTAATATCATGATCATTTCCGACTATGAACCTTATTCTTTCACCTTGAACTTCCTTTGCCCCTGTTGTCCGGCGCTTCATGGACGTCCAGATCCTAATAGGGTCATTGGCACCCCGCTTCCCCCTTTCACTGCGATAATCGTTTAATTCTTTTTTTTTTTGTTTTTTTTTTTCTCCATGAGATCTCCTCCCGATGAGAAACGTTACGATCGATGCCTCATGTCATAGACCAGGCGGGATGATTGCACACCACATGTACTATTTGGATAGCCTTTTTCTGTTCCTCTTTTCCTTTCTCACCTTTTCTCTCCTGTTTCTTTTTCTTTTTTTTTTTTCTCAAACCCCAGGGCGCCCTTTCTTATCATGATACCTTGCACTCTGGCTCATAACGACAAGGAAGAACTCAACTTCGGAGAAAATCACAAAAGAACCTGAGAAAAAGCTACAGACCCTCCCCTCCTAAAGGACAGGTGGTTCAGTCCCGCATGCCTTTCCTCTTGAGCATCACCCGGCGTTTGTCTGCATGATTTTTCTTTCTATCTTATTTTTTTCTGAAATTTTTGCATGGTCTCTCTGAACAGTTGGCATTGCCTGTCACATCTGTTAGGAGATCGTTTCCTTTGTGACACTGCATTCTTGTTTCAGGGCACAGCGAGTGCGTTTTGGTCTATGTATGTCATACTATCTTTGTCCCCACGGGGATTGCAATGGACATGAGTTCAAAAGGAAAACAAAAAGCATAGAAACTACTATCAGAAACCAGAAGAACACCCTCGAATGGCCCCGTCTAGACCCTCGAACCTCAGACAGCCCAGTTCTATAGATTGGTATCCACATACGACCTTGGCTGCTGGCCTACTGGGCCAGCCCGCAATAAGGTTTAGAGGTGAGACTGAAGGGCTGGAGTCACTGGATTCTGGCAGATCTCATCCCAGCGCGATGTTGCACACGGCCGTACGGGCAAGAGGGGGTTTCCACCAGATAAATGTCTTCCAGAACGTGTTTCATGACGAGTTCGATGCTGTGGTTCTGGGCTTGTCATGGGATCCGGCGCAATCTTCTGCTGTACAACGTGGTTTTACTTAATCTTTGGGCTCGAGCGGGATACCAGGTTGTCTGGGGGAGTTATTCGTGCTGACTATTGGAGTTGGCCAACCGGTGGGTTTGCGCTGGAAGTGCGTTAAAGGGCTTGGTGCAAGTCCTGCTGCCTGATGCAATTTTTCTTATTTGAATATGCCTTCGGTGTAACATTTTCAAGACAGCTTGATAAGTCAATACCATTGTGTACAGGGTAATAATCGTCAATAGTCAATAGTAAATCGATGGCAACCCATATTCACGCGCAGAACAACGCCGCAACCCGCGCACCAATTGATCATGTCATGAAAGCTCGATTTTCAACGGCGAAAAGCCTGAATAGAAGGAGAAAGGAAGGAAGGGAGAAAGAAGGGGAATCAAGGTAAGGACAGAAAGGGGCAAGAACATATCGAAAAAGAGTCTACTTCGACCCCCATCCGCGCAGCCTCATGCCCTCTTCGATCGCTGACCAGATACCCTCCACAACCTCTCGATCTCTCCAGCGTCCACCGCCATTGACTCCACTCTTCTCATCCCAGCGCTCGATCCCGAAGCTCTCCACGCCTCGTCCCCATCCCTTTACGTTCGCAGGGATCTCTTCGCCGCGCCATCCAACATAGATACCCGTGGCATGTTTGAAGAGCTCTGGAGGCGATGACCATTTGTACGACTTGAATTGCCAGGTCTGACCGGTTGTGAAAACAGCCACAAGTCGGGACCAGTACTCAGGCTTGAAGTTCGTGGTGCCGTCGACGAGAATGAACTTGGTAGGCTTAACGCCACGGGCGTTACGAGAGCCGAGAGTGCTGGCATTGGGATTGCTGGGGTCGGATTTGATGCGAATTGGACGCCTGAGCTCCATGAAGTTGGCATCCGTTGAGGTGCTGAGGGTTGGGTGGTCAGGTGGCACAAAAACGCCATCTTGGAGAAATGATTTGATATTTGACATGCGGATGAGGGAAGAGGCGGAGGGGGAGAGCAGGATGATAGGGTCGGGGCGAGCGTTGGACTTCCGAGACGAGGTCACCGAGAGACCGGCTGATGGCGCTGGAATGACAGGCTTGGTCGGTTTAGCGCTGGGCTGGCCTGGTCGAGAGTTCTTGCGGTCGAGGAAGACCTCGGCGCTCTTGCGAACATGGGAGAAGTCCTATACGAGTGTGAGACCCAGCCATGACGTGTTGCGCGTAATGGTAGCTTGCCCGTGCCGTAGAAAATAACTTACTGTTTGTTTGATACCCCGGAGCACGCTGTTGCGGTCACCTGTCTTCCGTTCTCCATTGTAGATCTCTTGTAGACGAGGGTCAATAGGCTTCTGTGGACGACCACCCTGCGTGCCCGTCTGAGCCGAGCCGGCTGGCGCCGACGGAACACCTGTTGCACCAGATGCAATTCCAGCTGCCGCTTGTGCTTGAGCTGCGCCAGCAGCGGCAGCGGCGGCGGCGGCGGCGGCGGCTCCTTCGAGAGGCTTGATGTATTCACTGTCATCAGCAGCGCCTTCCAGGTAGGTAATAAGCTCCAGACGCTCGACGAAAACCAAATTTTGTACTGTTTCCTCTTTTCCCTTCTGCTTCAGAGCTTCGCTGATCTCTTGCGCGGAGGCAATGTACTCGGGGATCGCGACATCCTTCTTTTGCCAGGCAAAGAAGATGCTGCGTAGATCGACAGCCGCATTTGATACTGCTGAGACAAACCGCGTAGGCGCATTCAAAGGGAGAGCTTGAGGAGACGGTTGCGAGAAGTAGAGGTGGGTGGCTTCAGCTAGATCCTCTGTCGCATATTGGTCAGAGAGTTCGCCGGAGGTGGATGGTGTTGGCAGAGTCCCGGCAGCAATGGCTCGGCGGAGTGCAAGGAGAGGATCCTGCAGAGTTGAATCGGCGGTCGCCATGTTGAGCCAAGGACAGCTACCAGTTGCTTTGTGTGTGGGGAACTGGCGTGGTTCGTGTTGGATGGACTGAGTTGGATTGTCGCGATCGACGGTCCGGGATATTGTTTGTCCGAGTATGAATATCTTTTGCCGGGTGTGCTCGTGTCTGCCTTGATACATCTTGGAATAGTGCGACAGATGCTGTGGAAAGGAGAGAATTGTTGACAATCTTAAACCGAATTGGAAAATTCAGTAGAGAATACACTCAGCCGTGTGATGTTTACGCTCTCGTACCGGCCACACTCACTCGCTGCTCCTGCTCCCCCAGCCATACTAGTGAAGCTAACACAATCTGGCGCCCATATACCGCCACACCCAACCTCAGGCGCCGAAAAGGGCTGTCACACCAGTAAATATGATAAGCGTCCCATATCGAGTACCATAACCAGTGGCCTCATGAGCACGGGCTGCCCCGACTGAACCCAGCTGGAGAAGTACTGTACTCAAAAGGCCCGCTGACCACGTTTCCAACCCCCCGTCCACCAGCCAGGAGACCAAATACGAAGCCAGTGTCCATGGAAGAGGAAGAAGAATCCCGCTTAATATGGGTGATGACTCCAGACCATGTCGAACTAAATCCACCAGCAAAGAAACCATAGGATACAGAGAACAGGGTTAGCAATGTTAAGGCAGTGTTGGGCGATGACTGGCCTGCAGAAGCCAACCCCCAGAACAGAAAGACAGACAACGCGGACCCAACAGAGGAGAACAGGAGAACGTTGTTGATAGCAAACCGGTCACAGAGCCACCCAATAACTATGCCACCAAATATCGAAGTCCCGCTGAAAAGGGCAATGAGCATCGTACCCATTGGCTTGGGCAAACCACTGTTGTTGTGGAATAGGAGGGCAGGTATGTTGACGGCAAGAAATATCCAAACCCTTGGATGATGTTGCCAGTTTGAAGCACCCAGAAACTGCTCAGCTTGAGGAACCTGAGATCAAGTCGGCGAGGAGATGCAGAGGGCGAGACTGGGATCCGAGGCTTCATAAAGGGGAGTGACAAGACAGTCTTCACGAACTGAATCATCCTGGTTAGTTTCTAGAGTCAGTCATAGGGTATGGAAAGGCTAATCCCCACTGTGACAACAGTCCAAGCTCTTAGCGTGGTACTCGAACCGAATCGATCAAGACTAGCACTCGCGGTAAATGGCAACGCCACACCGGAGACACTTTTAGCAGCCCACATTATCCACATAGCAGACCCTTTCTCTGTGCAAACGATTGGTCTAGATACAGAGACGAAGGGCTGAAAAGAAGCCCATTTCCAAGAGCGCACATCACTCCCTGGGTTGCCATTAGCTGCCACACTGTCTGTGAGAAGGATGAAAGTAAGGACCCAAGGACAGTGATCACCAGGCCCGCTGGGGCACAGTAAGCCGAAAGTAACAGGCGACATCAGGTAAAGTATGCCCTGGGATTCTTAGTGAAACCCCCCCTTATTCACTCCTTAATATACGTACTGTGGAAGTAGTGCCGACAGTAGCCAGGTCTTCCTGGTTACCTCTCAAAATACCGCGGGTTGTGTAGTATTCCTGAAAGATACCGAACACGGTCGAAAAGCCTGCCAGTATGGAAGTTTGGACCCGCAAGCATCAACCATATGAATTACCCCAGACCGGGAGCTGAATGGGACAGCAAGACGCCAGCATCAACCAAGCTGCTTGTCCAGCATCAGTCGGAGGCAGGGAGGGCTGCTCGATCTCTCGCGGAGATCGGATGGCATTATCAGATTGGTGCGAGGTCAACTCCTCCAGTCCAAAAATTTCACGATCGGAGGAACTCATTTCGGGCTGAACACAAGAGGATTTTGCAAATAGGCAGTGTGAAACATTGAAAACTTGAAGACTAAGAAGAAGCTTTGAAATAGTGAATTGCCTTCCCCTCGCGGTCTTGACTCATCAGCCACTCGGACTGCGTGCGGTCCCTCCTGATAAGCTTTCTCAAATCACTTCTTCCAGATGCATAGCAGGTATATCATGGTCGAACATAGAATTCTCATAGCGTCTTGAGAGTAAGGAAGATCGAGAGGACATATAATACACGGACTAGGTAGGCACAGGCAACTCCTTCATTCTCTGCTAATCACTAAATTTTCTCACATGAAGCCTCATATTAAGGTCATATATCGCTCCCCTCGCCAACCATCGCGTGTTGCCGGAGACTTACAAATCCAGTACAATTATCTGGCGAATTGCTCAACACATTTGACAGAGGGGTGCAAGGGTCAGCCTCAGACACTGCGGACACCGTGCCAGAGCCCCATCATGCCCAGGACGACGGCGCTCGACCAGGCTTCCTCCTGGGAATTGCCCACGACTCCAATCTTGCCGCGGCCGTAGGGAGCCAGGACAGCGCAAGAGGCGAGGGGCTTGTGGCCCGCAGTCGGCAAGCAGTACCAAGCGTGCTCCGGCTTCGTGTTCTTTATGAAGAAGGAAGTGGTGTGCAAAGCAGATGGGAGAATAGACTGGCCCTTCTTGAAGATGTTCTCTTTATTCTGGTAGACGGTGGTTCGGTATTGTGGTCCAATTTCCCAATCGAGACCGGTGTCCTTGAAGAACCGCTTGACACGGCTGGGTTGCCCGCTGGCAAACATGCCCATGCAGATAACGACTCCGCCATTTGAGGCGTACTGCAACACTGCCTGACGAACAAGCTCGTTGACGGACAGCGTGGGGCCTTCGTCAGTTACGAAGACTGCAGCCCAGGACTCGTTCAGTGCATTGATGGCGTCGATTGGCTCATAGACGCGATAGTAGTCCGTCTGGCGGTGGATGCGCTGCATGAAGTCTGGGAAGACTACATCAAGCCAGTTCATCGAGGAAAGGTGGAGCGAAAGGACGCGGGGTTTTTGCGTTATTGTCATGGGCTTTTTAGCGCTCGACATCGTGAGAGAGCGTCGATTCATTGATGAACATCAACCTCTGTAACTCTGCAGGGGTACAACTGATACTTTCTTACTAGTGAAGATGCGTCACAAACAGGTGGTGATTTTGGTCGAGAGAAGGGGTATGGCAAGCATTTGTGAGATAACGCAATCTTCGATGCTGAACAAACTGATCAAGCAGGTTGCTCGGGCCATTGGTACCGGATCCAGAACAGATATGATGAAAGTCAGCTCCATGGTGCACTCTGCCGTACGAAAATGAAACCTATGTAGTCCCGTTTGGTGCTATTCCGATGCAAGTAGACGAGGACAATTCGGGTCGCTTCTATGGTTTATAATGATATACCAGGGTCTCTGACTGTGCTCCGACTCGCTGATCGGAGCTACAGTGGGCACACGTAGTACCAGGACGCAGAATAAGAATGCGATATCAAGATTTCATGGAAGAGGTAATTTTCGTCAACTTGATAAGCGAGAGGTTAGTGTAGCATCGGAGGTTCGGAATAGGATGATGAGAGACGTTATGATGGAATCTTTACTAGAAATCAACATTGAATAGCTCGAGGTACCTCAAATGGTGTCGATGGATTGCAAAACGTACCATATCGCCCTGCTTGATGGATTGTATCTCTAGAGTAGAATCCTTCAAGTATGAATATGAATAGCGAGAGGAGGGTATGGTCGAGGCAGGCTCCTATGGGTAAGGAGCATTCCCATACCTGGCCGGGCCTCCATAGGATTGTCCAGGTTTCAATATGATAAAAGCATGGAAAGAAGTATTGGTAGGTAATAATAATAATGTTCATACAAGCTATCCTGCACCATGGAAAACCATGAAGGAAAGAAGAAGTTCAGTAGATAATCTGACAAATCATCAAGAGATGAAGAAAACAATAGGTGAGGCTCGAGAACAAGTCTTCACAGAACAATAAAAAGGTCTCAAACCCATCCGAATCCTGGTATTCCCGAAGCGAACCTGCCTGTCCCATGAACACGCCCGTGTACGCCATCCGGAAAGAGAATGAAAAGAAAACCGTCACACAAGACACACAGCCGAACGCCTTTTGACTCCCTTAATGGGGTTCAAAACATCAAGTCACACGAGGAAATATTTTTGGAGATCGAGTCGTAAGAAACGTAATTCCGAAGGAAACCACCCCCCGACCGCTTAATCATCAAAAGAATATGTGAATACACATCAAGAAGGAATTGAAGGAATCGGTGGCTGAGTCGAGTCGGAAGGAGCATCGGTCATAGCGACATCACTGGGCCCAACATGATCACTCTTGACTTCAGGCGAATCATCGGCGCTAGGTGGTGGGACCGCAGAGAGAGGCGTCGATGGTGACTTGACCGCTGGAGACATGGTAGTGGCCTGGGCTTGGGACTTTTCTGAAGTAGGGGTAGTGAGAGAACCTTTGCGACTCAGATAGTCACCAAGACTGAGTTTCTTGCGTGTAGGAGTCGGGGTTGGGGCAACAGCCGATGGAATAGGATGAGGCGAAGCCGCATCAACAGTGGATGGAGAGGCAATGCTAGCAGTCGACGCAGGGCTAACTACCTGCGCAGCTTGCAGCGGGAAACTACTCGGCGGGGGCATTGTAACTCGCAGATTAGCGCGATTGGTAGGTGTAGTGGATCCCGGTAGAGGGGTGTTGTGGGCAACTGTTGATGGCCATGGAGGGGAAAGAGGTGGCTTGCTTGCATCCCCTGGTTTGTGTTCTGTGCTGGTGTCGGCAGCAATGGGGGAATCTTCCATTTCGACATCCGTGGCTGTTGAGGGGCGTGGGGTAGACTTTGCATCATCGGCGTCTGCCATAGCGATGTCTGCATTCGTATGGGCCGATGGCGGCGATCCAGCCAAAGGCGATGACAAGTCCACGCCAGCTACGCTATCGGAACCTGCTGAAGACAACTGCCGTCGAGTAGTATCCTCTGAGCGCATCCGATCCATGCTGAACCGTTTGAGAAGTCGCATAGTCAAGGGAACGAAACTAGGCCGGGGGCGAGAAGAGGGCAGAAATCGATTCATCTTCATCAGGGTCGGTTTGTGTGATAGCGTCAACATAGGTTGGACGCCTTAAAGGGGAGCGAGCGAATGGAGTGTTTGACCCAGAGGGCTTACGAGGTGAGCCCTGGCGACCTGCCGGGATATGGCCAGGGGACATGGCAGATATGGGGGACCTTGACTGGCCAGCTGTTGTATCAAGCTGAGACAATTTCCCCGATCCCCGCTGAGACGGAAACTGCGCCGTCTGGGTGGAGGTTGTGACGTTTGATGGAGATTGTGCAGAAGTGCCACTCGCACGCTTCTTTTTTCGCGAAGTTGTCGACCGCTGATCATGCTCCAATTGTTGGAATTGTTTCTCCGCGTCCGCAATCTTGCGACGTTCGCGAGTGGAAAGCTCTGATGCCACAACCGATGCAGCGGGGCTAATGTCGCGACTAGTTTGGCGACCGCGCGTTGAACCAGACGTTGATCGACTGTCGGCTGCCAGATCTTCTTCCGCGTGGTGCTTCGATGACTCACTCCCCGCTCGGCTGGTTGATGCACGCCCAGATTCTCGTGGGGATGCACCGGGCTTTGATTTGGTGGTCTTTTTGCGCTTTCCATTCGATTGCTTTGCACTAGCTTCGAGCAGTTTCGGATGGCGTCGGCGATCGATATTAGCCAGCAGACACGTCTGGGGGGTTATTACAAGCACAGCCTCCAAAGTTTGCAAGCGTGTTGCTGATGCAAGCAGCAGCAGCGTCAGCAGCGCTGTCACCCGATTCTTGCTTGACGAGCCCATTGGATGACTCCGAAAGTTGAGCATCAAGATACCACATAATCGTAATCTCAGAACCGGGAGCGATGTCCTCTTTGGCGACGAAACAGAAGTGATACTCGACGTCATTGGTGATGTAAATTTTCATCGTAACGTTGGGGCGGCAAGACCGACGACTGTAACGGAGAACGCTACCTTCGCCGCGGGCATCGATATACAGCGGCAGATGAGAGCTAAAGAAAACGAAAGGCTCCGGGTGTCGTAGCTCCGACCAACGATTCCTTGGGTCCAGACAATAGTCGTCGAAGATGCCGACCTTGCCATTGATTTCACCCACGATATCGTCTTTGCGTACAGCATCTTGAGTCTTCAGTATTTTCCATGTCGGGTGCAAACCGCCAAGTTCCAGACTCGAGTCCGTGATGGTATCTGTGGTAAGAGTGGGCCAATGAGAACGATCAAGGGCCGCATCAGATCGGTTGAAAATCCCTTCAGCCCTACGCCCGTTTGTCACGCGTGCTAATGCCTCAGGATCTTTGACCCACGAAGCAGCATCACCCACTAGGCTCACTTTGACGAACAGATTACTGTCCATGTCCACATAGTTCTCGTCTCGGTCATAAAGATGAAGGAATTCGGGGGAGTAGAGGGGAATGAGGGGGGCGGACGGCTTGGTAGGGCTCGGCGCGAAAGAGGTAGATGAGCGCCTTTTGCGAGAGTCAGCAGGAAGAGTGGGAACGCCAGGAATAGCGCTGATTGATGCGGAAGAGCGATGAGAGGTTTTGGTCTTCTTCACCGGGGGTTGATCACGCGCGCCCGACTCGGCTCGTTGGTGACCAAAACCATTTATATCCCCTTCCTTTTTCTTTTTCACAGCCTTCGCACTGGAGCGTTTCCTCCGGTCGCCGTCCTCACTTCGTTCTCGCATTCGTCTTTGGCGTTGGCGTTCCGTGGCGCGCCTGTTATCCAATTCCCTTGGCTCGCAGTCGACGCAGTTGTGCACGTCAGGGACCCGCTTGTCAGGGTAATAACAGATGATATGTTGCCACGTTTCGCAGCCTTCGCAAAAAACCGTACTGCCATCGTCTTCGTCAAATGCGCATATACATTTGATGGTGTAGGGCTCCTCTTCATCGGGCGCGCCCGAATCAGACAGAGTACCGTTGGCGGCGACAGGAGAACCAGGAGGAGCGGCGACCGGATACGGATCCGTGGTGGCGTGCGTGATGGCGAGGAGGAGGTATCTGTCATAGTCCGACAGATTACCCCTCTCAGGTCACGACAAACTGGGATTATTGAGCGAACAATGCCTTAGCCGTTAGAATTCAACGAGCATGTCAACGACCGCACGATGAACTGGGTTTGAAAAGCCTTTCTCTAGCCGTGTCAGACGCGAAGGGGCCGACGGGGAGGGCGATGATAAACTACACCCCCTAAGGTGGCAGCAAGCGGTCCTCTAGACTTGAGAAAGCCGGGTATCACAGTCGAGGCGTTGACGGGCTCGTGCTGGCACAGGGCGCGGATGAGGGGAGGCTCGTTCAGGTGATTGAAAACCCTGGCAGAATGCGATTATCCCCCAAATTCGGAAGGGTGGCGACGGAGTATAGCCCTATTGGAATGAGAACGATCGAGCTGGGTTCCAGCAGTGAGGCGATTCGATATGACACCCTGAAATGCCGCGACTGGAGAGATCTTTGAGAGACAGGGGTGGGGAGCTGTGTCTGGAAGAATGGATCGAGAGAGAAAAGGGTGAGGACGGTATCGCGTAGACAAGAGAGCTAGAGGAGAAGTGTCGATACGAAGACGGAAACGGAGAACCCCGAAACAAATGGAAATGGGGGACGGGATCGGGGGGGGAGGAAATAGAATACAGTGAAAAGGAGGGAAAAAGAGGGTGTGAGGGTGATTCGAGTGCTTGAAGGAGGAGAGGACCAGAAAGCCTAAGGCAGCGAATGGGCCCCCGAACCAGGAGGCTTGAAAGGGCACTAGCGTGGCAGAGTCGCGACTGGCCCAAGAAGCCCGAAAACGAACCAGCCAAAAAAAACCGGATGGCAGGTTACTTGGGACTGTCGCGGGCACGGGAGCGTATTGTCATGGTGGAACAGCCAGGACTCGAGGGTGCGCGCTGTACTGACCCCTGCGTACACCTGGGACTGGGGTGGGAGGAACGCTAGTCCAAATGAGGACTAGTGTCGGCAGGGAGTCCAGTGGGGAGTCACGGGAATGGGACACACCCAAAGAAATCCACGGAAGGGGGCTATGGTTGTAGTGTAGGGCCAACCGTTCCATATATGTAGAAGATAGGGCTTAGTTAGCATCTGGTAGGCTGTGAGTAGGATTTCTCTGTCGATTGGATCATCAAGTCATTTTGGAGATCATCGCAAGAGCCTCGGAGGAGGCATATTCAGGATGTCCATGCACCGGGCTAAAGAGGCCCGTAGACCAGGCCATGACAGCTTCGGCATCATGGACCAAGGGGATGGAAAGTGGCTTCAAATCCATCCGGGGCCCAACGGAAGAGGGGTTGAAGAGAAACCAGAAACAGAGACAAAGAATGGAAGGGAAGCATTCCGCCGGCTTTGCTGTAAAAGCCCTAAGAAGGGAACAAGTAGGGAAACCACGTGGGAAAGGTGGGTAGGAACCCAAGATGAAAATTCGGCCCAAGCTTGTGCAATCCAAAGGAAAGGGGAAGGGATCGTGGATGCAAGTGCAGAGTATATAGGACGTTGAGCGTGGAGGAAACGCTTGGGAAGAAGGGAGATCAGCCCGGGGGAGCGGGTAGATGGGGCAAGGCCCTGTGATGCGTCAGGAAGTCAGAACGGTGGGGAGGGGGGGGGGGGAAGAAAGGGAAGGAAAAGGGTATGACAAGTGAATGTGCCCGATGTGCCCAAGGGCTTGGACAAAAGGGGGGAGGATCCAGTAGGCATCCGATCATGATTATTCCAGGTGATTTGGCGTGCCCTTTTTGCCACTATAACAAGTGCGCAAGGAACAGGGCTAAATTAGAACGGGTATTGAAACTTACTGTACGGCCCGAGCGGGCGGCAAGAGCTCCCATTCACTGTTCCGCCAGAACCCCGTTTTCCTTGGGGTTGAGTAGGGCTTGCCTGCGCCATGTGGGGTGTATAAGTGATTTATCGTGCCCATCGTGGACCTCAGGCTGTAACGGTGGTTCGACCTGATAGACCCAGGGGTAATCAATGCAAAGCAAGGTGCGGGTTATTTGGGTCCCTGGTGAAAACAACAAGTTTCCCCAAATATTCTCATCTTCCGCAAGTTTGCATAAATCTGAAGGGAAGCGTGAAAAAAAAAGTCCGAATGGATAATTGTAGAGGTCAGGACTCAAAGCCTTGAGGTCGGGAACGGTTTATGCTTGGCGGGACCTATTGGCATAGTCCCACTTACTAGTACTGGTACCTTGTAAAATAGGGTACCAACATGGCATGTCTAAGGCAGTCATTCTACTCGTAGCAACGAAATAAGGATATGGATGCTCCTCATCTAGAATAATGATAATATGTAAGACTTGAAAATAATAGGCTTCCACAAGGATAGGATGCGGCAGAATTTACACAACTCTCTCCAAGTCGTGTTCATGTTTCCCCGACCACCCATTCTTGATCCACTTCCATAGCCGTGGGGCCTTCTAGAAACCTGCCATGTGGCACTCGACATCTTCCTTGGGATGCCACTGGGGCAGGTGCCCTTAAGTGAAACCTTCCAGTCGGGGCTTTCGGGGCTTTCGGTGGTCTGGGAGATCTGGGCGCGTCGTTAAGGCTGCCATCGAGGCTATGGAATCGACTGGGGGCAAGGTTCGAACACTTGTGTATTAGGTAGAATGCACAAAACGCGGGAATGCCGATGTATGCCATTATCGCTCTGCAGCCCCGAGGCCCATTGTGATTCCCAGGAACGACACTGACCAGCCCATTGGCCACAAGCATGACAGCACTGGACGCAAACCCAAAGTACGTGGCAAATGGCTGGACTGCGAACCTGTCTGCATTTGTAACCCCTTGAAGCCTCAGACGATGGCGAAAACGCCAGTAGACCCCGCAAGAAACAAGCCAAGATAAATACCCCGAGCTGTTCAGGAAGAGCATAAAATACGTCGTCACGATGGAGCTGGAGATAGCTGCGCAGAGGAAGCCGAAACTGCCGGCCATGGAGGTGAAAACAACGGCTGCCCAAGGTACACCCCATTTATTTCGAATAGCGAATATCCTAGGGGCATGGTTGACTTCTGCTAATGCACAAAGTGTATGAGAAGCAAGATGAAGGAACGATCGGGCGGATCCAATTGAGGAGAGGAGGATCGCTAACGTGGCAGTGACAGGAAGGATACGAATTCTCACGGCGTTGATTCCGATAATGAAGGGCGAGAGACCTGCCCCGGTACCCGCGTTGGTAAGAAGAGGCTCATTGAACGGAGCCATGATGCCCATAGCCAATGAGCTGAGGATGTATAGAACCATGCATTGGGCAACATCGACGTTCACTTTTCGTATGATTTTGGATTTGACGGGCTGTGTTTCGTTGTTTGCTTCTGGGAGAGCCACTGTCTCGGCCAGCTCGATTCTTTGTACAATTAGCTCCGGTGCTAAGGTGAAAGCAATCGAACTGTTCAGAAGACACTGCATTAGGCCCCAGAACTTTCCCAATAATCCTCCAGCCAGATATTCGTGAAAGGCGCCTGGCTTTCTCCAAAACCGGAATCCCCAATTTGATTCATGCCCTGATGCGCCGCCAATAGCGACGGAAAGAGAGAGGACGAGCAGACAGATTAAATTGCCAAGTTTTATCCGATAAAAGAGTACCTCCGAGGATCTAAATTTTCGATCGGACAGAAAGTTGGAACCGACAATCACGACAGTGAAGACTCCAATGAGCACCACAGTCGTGCGATCTGGGTTCCATAAACCAAGATTGACCATCGCACTCGACATCTCGTAAGGCACGAACATAGCCAGCGTGTACCAACGGAGACAGGCAGCCGCGAATCCCATACTGTTTCGCATATACAGAAACCCATGTGTGATGAGCGTCCCATGTTTCACAGGGCTATGTGCAGCTACTTCAGCAACAGCAGTGGCCATGAAGTAGGTGAGCAAGGATAGGAATATATAGGAAATAAGCAACGATCCAGGGCCACCGACGGCCAGGGCTTGGCCTGCGCCGATGAACAGCCCAGTACCAAGTGTTGGGCCAAGGAACATATTGGCGTCGGAGCAGAATGCGTCAAGCGAGAGGCGAACGCGGCGGCCTGGAGATCATTGAGAAAATCTTTCGACTGATCAATCAGGCGGAACAGCAGAGACCAAGAGCCGTGGAGCCGTGGAGCCGTGGAGTGGTAGTCGCTCTTGCCGGAATCCACTAAACATTGAGTCACTTGCGTGGTTGCCAGAACGTTGACTCGAAATCACATTGTCAAGACTAAATTAAGCGCAGGGTATCATTAAGTTTGAAATGCAAAAAATCCCCCACATATTATCCATCTTTGTCATCCATCGTCTTCAAAGATTACAAGGAGCTTACTGGGAAGCCAGGTCTGTCTCAGCAAACTCAAGCCACGTTCCTGATAAAGACTTCTTCCAAAAACGAACAGCGCCATCGTCGCCAGAGGAAATCAACGAGTCGCCTGGAAGTAAAGTTAATATGGATCTTTGAAAAGCGATTTCATGGAGAATTGCTTACCCGCAAAAGAGAATTCGACTTGCCACACGTCTAGGTGATTACTCTCTATACAAGCGACTTGTTTAAAGGAATGTCGGAATTGCGAATCCCAAGTCGCTTGCCGATTGGCCGCGGAGGGAGCAGGACGATTGGCTAACGCATTCCCAATCCCCGACTGGGATGTACCGCGCGACAAGGATGGTGGCTGCTGGCGGCGTTCAGTCTTGTGGGAGTTCTGGCTTTGGGATCCTTGGTTGGCGGGAATTGTGTAAACCTCAAAAATGCGAACCAGGCCATCCTTGCCTCCACTAGCAATGAGGTCATAGCCTCTTACAGACCCATTAGCCCATGAAATATCCCGAACAAGACCATTGTGTCCATTCAGCTCTATCGCATGATAAAACCGCCGATTCGCGTCCGTGCGATAGATCTTGACCGTGTCCATGGCGGCCACAACTAGCGAGAGGCTCTTTGGATCGGAGTCAGGTACGAGTGTATGGGTGATATCGGTGGGGTCATGGTGGAATTGAACTTTGAAGCTAGTTTCTTCGCCACGTTCTGGGGCAGCGCACACCCGGAATTGGTCAATAGGCTGCCACTCTGCTAGACTATCCGGGCTGACAGGCTCCATTACCATCAGGTAGCCGTCACGTGTGATGAGGGCCAGCCATGACTCCAGAGCAATATTGCGAAAATCGAGCGATACGAATGGATGTCGCTGCGGGGCGTTCATACGAAAGATAGATCTGAATCTTCGGCCCGAGTTAGGCGGTTGGGTAACGTCCTCTTGCCAGATTTTGAACTTCATATCCTCTCCAACACTACCAATATGCTGCCCCGTGAAAGGGCCATTCCATGAAGCCTAGAAGGAATAGAATGAGCACAGGATCACTCAGCCGTGGGAGGCTTTTGCGCGGGAGGACTTTACATCACGAATTTCAGCATCGTGAGCTCGCCAGGTATCCGTGAGCTGCCATTGGCCTTCGCTCAGGTCCCATACTTTCATACGATGGTCGGACGAGGCCGTAACGATGCGGTTGCCATAAAAGTTGAACTTGGTGACAGCTACGAGGTCCCGGTGGCCAGCATCGAAGTCGGCAAACCCACCAGCCATCTCAGGGTGCTCCACTGCCCCCCATGGCGGCCAAATCGTGACCGTGACAACTTTTGGCCGGAACGTACAGACAGTGAGCCAATGACGCGTTTCATCCACTCTCATGCATGCTGTGGCATGAAACAATGATGTCTCGGCGCACCAGCGTCCGCTTTCCACTCTGGGCTCCGAGCATGACGGACAGGGTCACCGCCCTAGAAAGCGGTGTGATATTGTTGGCAATTGGATGATAATCTTATCGCGCGTTGAAGCCACATTGCGTAAGCACATGTTTTCGTCTATAGTACGAGGTGGCACTTCACTCGTCCTCTGGATCTTCGGGGCCAAGGTCGTACCAAGATCGCTGGTTCGAGTATCAATTACTCAAAATGCCAACCCCCAGTGAGCTCTCTCGGGCAGAGACATGGCGCCTGTTACTGCTAGTAGGAGCTGGATTAAGCGTCCTCGTCAACACGTTCCAAGGTGACGGCGCGCCCTTGATAGCCTCGGCCGCATTGGCGAGCATTTCCTTTGCTGTTGCCTTCAGTATGATCCGCTGGCTTGGTCCCGTATTCATCAAGGCTGGACTGAAGGGAAAGGATATGGCCAAGCCAAGGAAACCCGAGATGTAAGCTAAGTCTTTCACCCAAATAGGCAAAGTGGACAAAACTAAAGTTGGTTTATAGACCAGAAACCATGGGTGCAGTATGCGCAGTGGTATATTTGATTTCTATGATTGTTTTCATCCCATTTGCTTTCTACAAAGACATTGTGGCAGCGACTTCTGGTGGTGGGAATCGCGATGTAGTGATCGGCGATCCTCATGTTGAGACAGGCCGCTTTTTGCATCGGTTCCCTCACGGGAAGGTATGAATTACGTCTAACTTTCCAAGGTTCTAACTTGCTTACATTTTGATAGCTCGCTCTCTACCTGTCCGGCTTATTGTCATTGCAATCAGTCGTCATTCTTGGTATTGGCGATGACTTGCTTGACATTCGCTGGCGCCACAAGGTGCTGATCCCAGCATTTGCCTCAATTCCCATGCTGATAGTTTACTTTGTCGACTTTGGAGTCACCCATGTGGTTGTCCCTGTTCCATTGCAACCATACATTGGCGCTTTTATTGACCTTGGATGGCTATACTACGTGTACATGGCAGCAGTTGCCATCTTTTGCCCCAATGCAATCAACATGTTGGCCGGCATCAACGGCATTGAGGTTGCGCAGTCATTGGTCATAGCGATCTTGCTGTTGTTCAACGATGCTCTGTACCTAGCGCCCTTCACGCCATACCCTCACCCCGCTACGGACTCGCATCTGTTCTCCATTTACTTTTTATTGCCGTTCATCGGAGTATCAGCCGCTCTCCTCTGCCATAATTGGTATCCGTCCAAAGTGTTTGTGGGTGATACCTACTGTTATTTCGCGGGTATGGTATTCGCGGTTGTGGGTATCCTCGGCCATTTCAGCAAGACTCTTTTGCTTCTGTTTGTACCGCAGATCTTCAACTTTCTATACTCGACGCCTCAACTGTTCCACATCATTCCTTGCCCGCGGCACCGGCTTCCAAGGTTCCAACCGTCCACAGGCCTCCTGGATACCTCCATGACCGAATGGACAGTCCCGCCATCTCCTTTGATCGCGACTGGGTTGGACTTATTGCACACCTTGCGGTTGATACGCATTGTGAAAAATCAAGAGGGCCAGATTGTGGAGTCCACGAACTTGACAATTCTCAATTTGTGGCTCGTATGGATGGGTCCCATGCGAGAAGACCGACTTGCGTGGCATATGGTCGGGGTCCAAATCCTATGTGGACTGTTCGGCCTTTTCGTACGACACCGACTTGCATTGCTGGTTTTTAATGTTGATAATCGGACATTCGAGTCAGTCGTTTAGAAAGAATAGAATCCGTTGTGCCGACAAGGAACAGTTGCTTTCTGGTACACACTCAATATGAGGGAGATTGAACTGGATGAATATTGATTCATATAGACTTAGACTTGGATCACTGGTTCCTATTCTAGACCTTCGCCACGAAACAGATTTTGACATGTCAGATCACTCGTGATCAGAAACGTCGCTCACACCGCGAGTTTCCCTGTCAATTTTCTTGTCGCCAAACACGGATCCGACCTGGCGAACAACCAACCATGCAGGTAAAATCGCTATGGCCCATAGACCGAAATTCAGATATACACTTCCAACGGAAGCCATGATAGCAATGCTGCTGAGACCGTACTACATGCGTGTTAGAGTGGGTGGCTGGGAATATAAGTCAGACAGTATGCGAACTCACGCTGACAGCTTGGGAAGCCGACTCAGTTCCACGCAACAGCCCCGCGATTCGAACAATCTCTTCTTCAGTATCTGCCAATGTACCTACAAGGAAGAACCTGTCTTTGGTCAGTAGAGATCTACTGGTACCGTCATCGGTCGTACTCACATGAACATATAGTTGACTTGGAAGCTTACGACCCAGAATAAGAAAAGAGCAAAAGTTCTGCCAAATCCAGGGTCAACCCAGTCATATAACGGTTTGGTCCTTTGGAACTCGGTGGTGTTGACTGTGGCCCATATTGAGCACATCCCTGCCACGTCACGACGAATATGAAGCCGCCTCGAGTGCGGGTCTTCAGGGAAATGGACTTGCTATCAAGAAACAATCCAAAGATATTGCCCGCAATCAAAGCAACCACACCAGACAAGAATGAACCAAGTGCCCTTCCGCGCACGGACAACCACAGTCCTTCATATGAAAACATCACAGCCTCAGTATACACTGCCTGCGAGATGAAAGGAACAATCAACAGGAATTTCTTGCTGACGAAGAGCTTGGCGTTTTGCTTAATCTCGAACCAAGCGCTGTTGGATATTTGAAGCCTCACGGGCAGTCCATCCTTCCGCTGCACTTTTGACGGAGAGCTCAACAGGAGTCCAGCAAAGGGACCCAAGGCTTGCAGCACAATAAAGATGATGTACACCACGTACGACAGACTTCCTGCAGTTGAGCGCTTAGAGTTGATTCCCAAGCTAATTGCGCCGCCCAGAATTTGACCCCCAACGCGGAAGCTCAGCCAGAAGCCCAAGAAACGACCTTGGTTATAAGGCTCGGGGTATGCAAGGGCAATCGCTCCCTCCGCCATCCAGAACAGGCCCGCGGAAATTCCACACAGGACAGCACCGAAGATGATCAACCACGACTCTCCATAGCGATTATTCGTGTATAGCCCTGCTGCGTATACGGCGTAGCCCATTGTTCCTGCAATCATGGTCCATTTTATCCCGATATAGCGCACAACAGTGCTTCCCAGAAAACATGACACCACCATAAGAGAGAACGTGGCACCGTTGGCCGCATTGACGACATAAGGCTTCTCTTCGCCTCCACCGCCGAGGGAGTTCATGGCACCCCAAATGCCGGGCGCCAAAAAGTTGCAGAGACCGAGGATGAGGGCATTATAGAAGGTCGATCGATACCATTTGACTGTGGGGATGTTAGTATAGTTTTGATGGGTTCGTGGGCTTTCTTACCTGGGCGGTCTTCTCGGGCTAGCGGAGCATGAGAATCATCATTGATCCCAACTTCTCCATTTTTGGACGAGATGTTTTCCTTGTTGTCTGTCATTTCAAAGGGACGATATGTGATTGACCAAAGAAGAGCGACAGGATTAAGGCCCTTTAGTTTCTTGAAGGTGGAAGGATCAGCAGGCGGGTTATCTTGACTATACTGCTATCGTCATTTTATATGAAAGATACCATTCTAACCCGACATAGCAAAAGATATATAGGGGCGTGCGCCTTGGATGCAGATAAATGCCAACTTTGTAAAATTGACGTGCAAGTGGTGATTTTCCCCATGTTGTCTTCTTCGACCAGAATTACGTGCTCGCACGTATGCTCAGCCATGCCGTTTGGGGAAGAGGCTGAGTACCAACCCATCAAACTCGACAAACATATGACTCTGAATCCTGGGCCCTGGAACAGAATCAACCCAAATAAGTGTGAAGCTTGTTAATTATGCTTGATTCTTTACGGCCGAGAAATAGTCCGCGCAAAATCCTCCGCCTCCGGATTAGCCCTACATCATGCTAACGAAGCGTTGTTTTTAGCTGAGCACTTGGCATGCGTAGAAAGAAACTTCCACCTAGGCTTTGCTTTGCCTCGGTTTGGCCATAAGTCTCTGAAAGCTAAAGGTTGAGGGCCCCAAGACATGAACCACAGAGCACTTCCACGCCGGGGTGACCGTGGTAAGCACGCATCGAAACAAGGAACATTGACTGCTTCATTAATTGTTTGGAATACCGAAAGACTATTGAGTCTATATTCCATGAATTAACGGGTTTTCGATTGGAATGACCTAGGCTCATGTTGCAAAGTACTTCGGGTACATGCCGATTCTGGGTTTGATCCAGGTGGTATAACCCCGTTCCTCTGACTCGGGTGAGTTGAGTAAATAAACGTCTCGCATTGACGTGGATGCGAACATGCTATTTGTAGTTTTCCAATGTCTCCTTGCGATCACCAAGTGGCCACTCGAAGCATAAGCTGTACAAGTCCGAACCTTGGATTTGGCTTTGGATTCGTCATCACAGCCCGCAATCACATCAACCGGCCAAGAAAGCACATTATTGTACCGAGTATCCGAGTATCTGAGAGCGGAAGATTAATCATCGTGCTTTTCATCTTATCGGTGAATGGAATATTGCTCGTCTTCCCTCCGATGTTACCATGATTTGCAAGCATTTATGATTTCGAAGCAAATCCGGGTTGTGCGTTACTGCGGTTACACATGAATCTCGACCTGGGGCCAATGGGAGATCCAATACCCTAGAAGGTCAACTCCAAGGTCTTTGCAAGGCGTGCACTATGATGTCTTCCCCTCATTCAGGGATCAATCCAAGGCCATCATCACGCCATCGGGGCCCCGCGATGAGCAATCTCCAGCATCGCGAAAACTTCAAGCTTGAGATCCTAGTAGGCTGGATGGCGTAATTAGCAGAATTTCGATGGATACGGAGCATTTAGTAAGGAATGATGATCTATTTTGAGGGAGCGATCTGCTAGCGGTGGGGGGGGGTCGGAGCCTATAAACGTGCCTTTCGTGAACATTGATATCAATAATCCCCCGCCCTTGGAGATGATAGGCGCGATTTACGTTTATGATTTCTCGCCCGAGTCATATTAATCCTGTGCTCCTGGATCCAATATAGGTAGAGTTTGGACGGCAGTCCGGATCTTCTTATCCTTTGCTTTTCCAACATGGCATTACTAGCACCAAGCATCATGTCGACCACCACTTGTCTCCAGATCAATGAGCTGCCTTCCGAGCCCACGTTTCATCGGTACATTATTTCAGAGGATAGGCCTATAACTCCGAAAGTCTCCAAAGAGGAAGAACAGCCACCTGCTCAGTTGTCAAAGGCGAGGCAGCGCGCCCTCCTTCTGAACGCAGCTCGCGAGAAATATACTTTGGTCAGCGACCATAGCATCCCTTCAATAGTCCACAAGGGAGAGATTCTTGTCAAAGTGAGTACCAAATGGCCAGAATTCCTTCTACCATGCTTGAATTACCTGCTAACGATAATTTCCCAGGTCTTAGCGATCGGCTTAAACCCCGTCGACTGGAAAGGGCCGTACGTCTTGCTCCAACTTGAAACCACTCGACCTTATCTTTCGTGTACTGACGTATAATCAATCCAGTGCGTTCAACTTTGGTCTCCCAAGCCTGCCTTGGATTAATGGCCGTGACTTGGCTGGCCTTGTGCTCCAAGTACCAGATGAATCGTCTCGAGTGCGTGTAGGAGATATTGTTCTGGTACCATCAACCGATTACCGCGATATTCGGAAAGCCGCCTTCCAAGAATACGCTATTGCGACCGACTATAATGCTGCTCGGATTCCTTCATCAGCAGATGTACACGCTTCGGCGTCGCTGGGGGTTGCCTTTGTTGCTGCTGTCTTAGCGTTAGGCGTCTCATTCGGGCTCGACTTCTCCCGTCTGTCGAATACACCCGGGCCCAACCTTGTCCAGATCATCAGGCAATTAGATCCCAAAGAAGTACCCGAAGATATCAGACCAGAATGCTTTTCTGGGTCTAATAGGGACGACAGACCAAAGCGTGGGGACTGGGTCGCTATTTGGGGAGGTGGGTGATCCTTTCTCGTGGAAATATCTCTACAGTCGCTGACCACATCCCTTTTCACAGCGTCTACCACTACTGGACTGATCGCGTTGCAGTTGGCAAAGCTGGCTGAGCTGCGAGTCATTTGCATCGCAGATGCAGCACGGCACGGCGCCAAGCTCTCCCGAGCTGGGGCAGATGTACTGGTTGACCGCTACGACACCAACCGTGCGGTAGAAGTGATCCGTGGCATCACGGATGGCAAGTTAAGATATGCAATTGACACAGTGGGCAGCGATACCGCGACGATCCTGCAACGAACATTAGATAGCACTCACACCCCCCATCTATTGGGCCTGTCGGGGCTACCCAAGGAGAGAGAGCCCGGGATTCAATATCACACTGTGCCCATTAAGCTCTTCCATACTGCCCCCGCAGTCGGGGAGAGCATGGTTTGCTGGCTGGAGAAGCTCCTTCAAGAAGGCACGCTGGCTCTCCCAGAGATTGTTCATGCTGAGGGTGGCCTCGACGGAATCAACGCCGCCTTGGATGTTCTCCGAAGTGGTTCAGTGTCGGGTAAGCGGATTGTGGTTGATCTCGGCGCTCGCACATGATTTTGCGGCCCTTCAGTGGATGAGACTTTTCGAAGGAAACGCTACGACGTGATTTGATAGGCGTCCGGGTTGCTGGGAGTACTTAGACATTGGGTCATCTAGAATTCGGACTCGATAAACCAGAAAGATGAGCCTCTGGTGAATCCAGAAACATCTAAAGGTCAGAATATAAGGAGTTGCATCATGAGTTCTAGTTAGTACTGACCAGTATAATTAACTTGTTCTACGTATCTAGAGCTGCTTTACTGTCCCAGGTAGTATGGGCTACCTCACCTGAAAACATAATAGATAAAAGCCACGAGCAGGCCTATAATAGCTTTTCAGGAAGAGTCAAGATTTCAGCTAACCCGCACCACTCGAACTTGAACTTGAAGGACTCGGACTCGGAGACTTGGATTGCGGGGCAACCCCTAATCCACGGCCCGATCTATATATTGGGTTATCTTCAGATTACAGCCCATGGCGTATCGAATTCTCTAACCTTGGAAGAATAGAGATCGCGTAATGATTACGCCTCGACCATCATGTGTTTCAGATCTCTTTCTAGGCTAGAACAATACTCACGAAGCAACGAAATATCGAGTCCTGGAGTCGCGGTTGTTTGACTCCCACGTTCCCCGGCGGAACCGGCCAATCGGCGGGAATGGATAAATGTAAATGTTAGGCCCCCGGAGTCCGCCCCATCCCACGTCATGCATTATCAGGCGAAAAAATGAACATTCGACACTCGGCAGTGGTGTAAGTCCACAAAAACACATAAGGGCTTCTTATTCCAGGAACTGTCTGCGTCACAGCAATTCCAGCAAATTCCAGCAGCTCCCGCAGGTCAAGCTCTGAGTAGCCGTGAAATTGAATGGCAGAATCGCGATCTACCGCCCGCAAGCGCCACTAGCCGTGCAGATTTGGTCGGACCGATATCGGGCCCCCCTTCATTCGCCACAACGGCCAATGAAATTTTAAGGATTGCCCGCTGACCGACCGAAGTCGGCGTTGCCCCTTGAGCTGTTCCTCAGCGACATCGCGGGGCGCTGCGAAATATAAGTCCTACATTGTCCCTATACCACTCGCCATCCAGTCCAAAATGCCTTCCGCAGAAACAGGGCCCAGAACCTTATACGACAAGGTCTTTTCCTCTCACGTCGTCAACGAGCAGGACGATGGCACTTGCTTGATCTACATCGGTATGAAGCTAGCTTTTCTGCGCCAGCTCTACTTTGTCTAACATATGCCTTTTGGAACAGACCGTCACTTGGTCCATGAAGTGACCTCCCCACAAGCCTTCGAGGGCCTCAAAAATGCGGGCCGCCCTGTCCGACGACCAGACTGCACCTTAGTCACTGTCGATCATGTATGTGGAAAGAACCCACCCCTCCGCCGCCGTTGACTTGGTCTCTAATCGCCGTGATCTCTAGAACATCCCGACCACTTCACGAAAAAATTTCAAAAATGCCGCGGATTTCATTGAGGAGACCGACTCCCGTCTCCAATGTACCACCCTCGAGGAAAACGTGAAGGACTTCGGCCTCACCTACTTTGGCATGGGCGACAAGCGCCAGGGTATTGTCCACATCATTGGACCAGAGCAGGGCTTCACCCTGCCCGGAACTACCGTCGTTTGCGGTGACAGCCACACCTCCACCCACGGAGCCTTTGGCGCCCTCGCATTCGGTATCGGAACCAGTGAAGTCGAGCACGTCCTCGCAACCCAAACCCTCCTCACCCGCCGAAGCAAGAACATGCGTGTCCAGGTCAATGGGGAGCTTGCTCCCGGTGTCACCAGTAAGGATGTTGTTCTCCACATCATTGGTGTGATCGGAACTGCCGGTGGTACTGGTGCCGTGATTGAGTTCTGTGGATCTGTCATCCGCAATCTCAGCATGGAGGCTCGTATGTCGATCTGTAACATGTCCATTGAGGGTGGTGCTCGTGCTGGTATGATTGCCCCGGATGATACCACTTTCGAATACCTCAAGGGCCGTCCTCTCGCCCCTAAGGAGGGCAGCGCCGAGTGGAACCGCGCTGTCAGCTACTGGTCCAGCCTGAAGTCTGATGCGGATGCTAAGTTCGACATCGATGTTCAACTGGATGGCAGGGACATTATTCCCACCGTCTCCTGGGGTACATCGCCCCAGGATGTTGTCCCCATCACCGGTGTCGTTCCTGGCCCTGATGATTTCGACGATGAGAACCGTAAGGTCGCTTGCAAGCGTGCCTTGGAGTACATGGGTCTCACCGCTGGGACTCCCATGAAGGAAATCCCCGTGGATAAGGTGTTCATTGGCTCTTGCACAAACGGTCGGATTGAGGATCTTCGGGCTGTCGCTAAGGTCGTCAAGGGCCGTAAGATTGCTGCCAACATCAAGCACGCCATGATTGTTCCTGGCTCCGGTCTAGTTAAGCAGAAGGCTGAGTCCGAGGGCCTCGATAAGATTTTCACCGATGCCGGCTTCGATTGGCGTGAGGCTGGGTGCTCCATGTGTCTTGGAATGAATCCTGACATTCTCTCTCCCAAGGAGCGCTGCGCCAGTACCTCCAACCGTAACTTTGAAGGCCGTCAAGGGGCTCAGGGTCGTACCCACCTGATGTCTCCTGCTATGGCTGCTACTGCCGCTATTGTCGGCAAGCTTGCTGATGTCCGTGAACACGTTTCTACCAGCCCCATTCTATCTAAGGTCCAGCCCAAGGTTGACGTTGCTGCCGAGGCGGTGGACTCTCCGGTCACTGAGGACGAGCTTGACCGCGTCCTTGACTTGCCCGCCGATAACGAGCCACACGCCAACACTAGCGCTGGCAGCGGGGCCAGCGGTGGCACCGGATTGCCTAAGTTCACTACCCTGAAGGGTATCGCGGCCCCTCTGGACCGTTCCAACGTCGACACCGACGCAATCATCCCTAAGCAGTTCTTGAAGACCATCAAGCGGACTGGTCTGGGATCAGCAGCCTTCTACGAACTGCGCTTCCACCCCGACGGTACCGAGAACCCCGACTTCATTCTGAACCAGGGTATTTACCGCAACGCAAAGATTCTCGTCGTGACCGGCCCCAACTTCGGCTGCGGTAGTTCACGTGAGCACGCTCCTTGGGCTCTTCTCGACTTTGGGATCAAGTGCATCATTGCCCCGTCTTTCGCCGATATCTTCTTCAACAACACCTTCAAGAACGGCATGCTTCCCATCGTCATTTCGGACGAGGCCGCTTTGAAGAAGATTGCCGACGAGGCTCGTGCCGGTAACGAGGTTGAAGTCGACCTCGTGAACCAGGAAGTCAAGGATGCTCAAGGCAACAAGATCGTCGGGTTCGACGTTGATGGATTCCGCAAGCACTGCCTTGTCAATGGTCTCGATGACATTGGTCTTACTCTCCAGATGGAGGACAAGATTCGTACCTTCGAGACCAAGCGCAGCCTCGAGACCCCTTGGTTAGATGGCAGCGGATATCTCCGCCGTGGAAAACGAGGTGCTACCATGGTCGAGGCTGCCCCTGTTCCCAAGACCAACCGTGGAGATGTCAAGGGCGAGCCTCTGGAGTGGTAAACTTGTCTTTGTATTGGATTCTGGCGCCGTGGAGGATTGCATATGGCATAATAAGTGGCTTCAATCAGGGCGAGCCTTGGAGTCCCGTAAAAACACACTATTCCCCGTTTATGAGTACCGGATTTGACTTATTCGAAGATTAGCTTAGCTTTGGACTATTGTTCCCGCCTCTGGGAGTCTACAGAGCCCCAATGAGAATGAATTATGAATCCCAGATGACTTTCCTGTCCTGCGAGATGTACGAAGTCGGTTCAAGTTTACACGGCTATCTGCCGCTAGTCAGGATAGTAATGGACCCATTGCAACTATCACATCAACCATGTTTCCAAGAGTAGTAAGATGCAGCGATTCACTTACATTCCAGGTGCAGCTATTGCCTGCGATGAATGTCCAATATTGTACACCATCCTTTCAGAGGTTGGTAGTGCCACAATCCTATTAAAAGGATTGCCATAACTATCCCCAAGGTACGACTCGTATGGCCCGATGCTGGGAAAGTCGGATTATCACCCAGCGAGATTCCTGTTTCATCATCATCTTTTCCCCCGTAACTTCACACTCGCGAGCATGTCGGTAACGCTCGTCTTAAAGTACTATACCCACGCCAAGCTTCCACCGAGGGGAACGGTTCACGAAAAGAAAACATCCACAAGCTCGGGCACAGCATTCTCTTTTTTTTGCCAGGCATGCAAGAGGCACTCGCATGTTCGATCCGACGGCACCTTTCATCACAGCCATGTATGTCGGTCTGCCGGGGTCCCGTATAATCTACGCAGGGTCTCTAGGGTTCTCTCGTGTTCAAGAAAGATGGCAAGCATTTTATTAGACGGTGCTAGATCTGTGAAACGAAGAAGTGAAACTGACCGTCACGAATGGCCATCCGTATCCAAAATAACAGTAGAATGAAAAAGTCCAAGCATGATGATCCACTGTGCCCAGTCAACAATGTCCGCACAAAAGAAATTATTAATAGAACTACGGCTTGGAGAGCTGCTCCCGTCTGAAAAAGAGCAAAAAGCCACCACTATATCGACATTAACATCAATATCACACTCCAATCAAGCCTGACGGGGACAGAGGTGGAACATGGAAAGCTTACCAAATCGAGAGTTGAAAAAGCAACGCAACCCAGAACCAAGCATTTGCCAAAGCGCCCGCACCAGCTGTGATGTCGGGCGAGATAGGCCCGGGGCCAATCTTATTAGGTGCAAAAGCCCGGGCGCAGATGGTCGCTATGGAGCCAAGGACCTGAGATACAAGGAGCGTGAAGCAAATATGCATACGCGTGAGCGTTTGCAGCAAGATCATTCCGAAGCCCAGGCCCTGCAACGCATCGAGGACCCCCAGCCACAGCCAGAGACTGCGCGACACCAGCGCGCCAGAGACGTAGCTGCCTGCCCATGGAAGGAACACGCCCGATCCAGAGGTGCCCCACCATATCTGGGCCCAGCGAGGCGCACCGAGCCCACAGGCTACGATCGGTAGGATCCAACTGTGTGACTTGGATATCCAGCCTAGAAGGAAGAGGACTGCGATCCAGGCGAAGCCAAAGAACACGACGCAGAGGATCAGGATCTGCCACGGTTTCGCATGATTTGACAACCAGAGAACTGGGAGATAAGCAATTAGCGAAGTTGTCCCCCCAACGACGGGATTTGCTTACAGTTCCAATTTCGACCGTAGGGGCGCTCAGGAAGAAGTTTTGAATGATGATCACAACCCAATTCCAAAGTACAATTTTTCGTCGAAACACTGACTTATAGAAAGATGGGACTTTGCCTGGGGCTTGACGGTAGTAGTTCGGCAGTCCAAAATAGACTATAAGTCCCACGCTCCAGAGGAAGATTGTTATCGGAGTACAGATGGCGCTAAAAAAAAAAGAGGTTGGGGGGTTAGTATGCGCCAGGAACTTTGTACCAGAGCATCGATATGAAGGTATACGTACGTCATTCTCCAAGTGTTCGTGATGTTGCCTTGGACGTTAGCTACGCCAGCGTTATTGGCCTTTGTCAAGGTCGAACCCCAGTACCAAAGGGCAATCACATAGACTTGCTGCGTCCCTTGGATCAGACAGGCACGGAACACCCACTTTTTGACCGGTGCGCCACTCTCATCACCGAAGTTGAGAGCGAAAAATATCGAACCGCTCGAGGAAGCAGCGGCATATATCCCACTGCCCACATTCTGAATCCACCCTCTGGTAAACGAGTTTGGCTCGAAGTGAGCGAGGCCGATGATGAGGAATGCAAGTCCGTATAGAAACCACGGCAAAGTGAGAACATGCACGGATTTGCAGAAGCGGAAGTAGAGCCACCAAAGAGCCGACGTGATCGCGTATACGGTGGCTATCCCGTACAACTTTTCCGCAGATTGGCCGACTTCACCGGTAAGCAGAGTAATCTGATACGAGTTCGCTGCAATGATTTGACCAAGACCGAGAAATAAGGAGTATACAGGCCAATCGCCTAGGCGCATCTGCATCCACTTCTTAAGTCCGGTTGGTGGAACATAATCTGCTCCAAGGAAAAATTCATCTCCTTCTTTTCGCTCGTGCCCGCCACTTTCATGGGAAGTGGCGTCGTCGTTGGTGATCGATCCCGGGGGCGAATTACCTGTCTTTCCAAACGGCACCGATGTCGCTGGAGATTGGTTGCGCCCTAGACGAGCATCGCGGAACCTGTCAAACCACTTCTTTTCACTCTTCTCGAGATACTGCTCGATACACAGCTGCGAGTCGGAGTTTGTGCCGTTCAGATCTTCGAGTTTCTTTTCAAAGGCGCGGTAGTACTCGCCATTGCTGTCGGTGAAATTGGGATCTACTTTTTGTAGCTTGTAATCCTTCTTGTCACCCACGACGGAGTCGACCGATAAGACAGATGCGCTGCTCAATTTATGCCCAGGCTCTGCCCACGGTCTGGACGGAGGGAGAAGAGTATCTTCTGTGCCAATGACGCTAGGTACGGTGGAACTTGAGGGCGAGCCTATAGATCGAGCTATAAGGGAGCTCTGGCTGGCACGACGCGCTGCAAGAAGCTCTCGGGTCAGCGGGACTCCAGAAGACGAGGCAGGGGGGGAAGGCGCATCAGCTCGGCGGATCGTCTCGGTTGACTCGGGGCCTATGGTCTCTTCGTCGTCGCCATAGCAGGTTGACATGATCTCATCGTCGCTGTCTTCGGCAATGTCTGGAGTGGCTGTGCCTGGGGTTTCGTCGGCATCACAAATACTTCCCTTGCCTGCTTCGCGCACGCGGCCGCGGCCATCTGATGGGGCGGAGACAGGTCGGACCCCAAAGGAAAGCTGTCTGCTGAGACCGGATTTGGGCCTGGCATTATCGCCTGGGCTAGGGTCGCGGCTGTAGACCACGGAACTCCGCTGCATCGACGCAACAGTGCTTGGACGACTTGGGGACTGTAACGGGGGCGTGACGGTTCCACCAGAGGCGCCAGATTTTACGGAAACTGCCACTTGGGGGGTCATCATGCCATAAATGGCGTTATAAGCAGAGTTCGCAGCGTTGGTCTGAGCCTGTGACTTCGATCGCTCCTTATTGTGAACGCGAATTGCAGTAGACTGGAGTATCTCCAGATCTTCGATCCATTGAGCAACAGGGAAACGTTGTTTGGCAGACCGTGCTCGCATTTTGGCTCGCACTTCCTGTTTAGAGGAGAGTGCGCTGTCAATTGCTAACTTGAATTGTTTGAGCAAATGCGTTGTCGTGGTGGACTCGACGGTGTACCACCATCCAGGCATTTGGCCAAGTCCCCCCAACGCGAGCACCAATCCCAAGGGCACCTTTGCGACCAAATTCTACGGCAACTAAGCCGAATGGCTCATCTCGTGATGGGATTAACGCGAATTCCGCACCGGAAAAGATATAGGGAGGCAATACGGTGAACTGAGGCTTCGAAAACACGCGGCCTGGATATAGTTTCATCATTCGGTCCAGCTTGAGCGCAGCGAACTTGCCATAGAGATCAATAACCGGCCCCACGCAAATCAGCTGGACATTTGGTCGAGCTTCTAGCACAGCGGGCATCACATCTGCGATTAGATCTATCCCCTTTTGCATTGACCATCTGCCCACGAAGACCAAAAGGTCTGCGTCGGGGATCTGATGAAGGCCTGCCCACTCTTGTGCTTGACGTTTGAGTTCTGCTCTTCCTTTTTCAAACTCGCTGTCCACATTGATCTCGTCCTCTTTGGGGACCTCCTTGTTCCACTCTCCAGTATCTGAAGGATCAGGGTTCGGCAAATTCCCCACCTTCCGTAGACCCCAGAAAATCGGATATCGTGCGTATGAGCGCTTACCATATTTCTTGGAAACGCCAACCGCTCCGAATCCTTGTTGGTGAAGCCGAAGGTAACTGGCACCTGCGTGTAACAGATTGAAGACTTCTCCAAATTGAACGTATCGTGTAACCACATCAAGATCGAGATTGAAGACGGAGGACACCTCGGCTTTCTCCTTGTGGGTTCTCATGGGCCATAGCCCTTGGAACTCTGCATTGTGAAGAGACAGACAGACTGGAATGGTTTCTGGGAGCACATATAGGGGAGCGATTGCGCCATGGTAATCATTGATATGGTACAAGTCAATCGGGAATCGCTTCATAGCTTGCGCAATACACTGATTCCAGGCTGAATAGTAGATGGCACTATCCATGTCATCCATCCGAGCTGGATATGGTTCTCCAGCTGTCTGTTGTCTGAAAACCGGGGCGTCCAAGAGGACGTATGTTATATTTCGCAGGTGGTGATACTGAGTCTTGATTTCGTAGGAGTTGCCCAGGATCGTGACAAACATCGATTCTGCAGGTTTATCCACAGGATATTGTATTCCACCAACACATGGAATGACCCATATCAGGTCTTCGTGGCTGAGCTGTTTCCCCATCAGCTGTGCCATGACGCCCAGGCCACCGATCTTGATCTTGATGCCCCAGTCGTCAACATCGTATTCCATGGTCGCGACCAAAACTTTCCGCCGTTGATGATTCCGATTGCCAAAAGCCGTGTTGCTCTGGAGAAACCTGGATTTGTTGGCCAGGCGAGCCAGAAAGCTCTTTGATCCACCCTCGGGAGTTTTCTCAGCTTTCAGTCTGTTCAAGAGATCAAGCGAGATCAAAGTCTTTTTCTCACTGACACCCACTTGGTTGAACTTGATGCGATAGAAGGACTTCATGAAAATGAAAGCAGTAGTGCAGGCGCTGAGTATGGGGATGATCCAAAGCATGAAGAAGAGGGCCATCTGAACGTATTCTGACCCCGCTGGCACAAGCTTGAATCTTAAACTTGAGTCATCCAGGTGTATCTGCCATGCCAAGTGCGGGCGGGGTGGATGCTGGGTGATATTGATCGATGTCACACTCAACGAAGATGGAGGGAGGCGGTCCAATACAGAATCACCATCGGAATCACCAAAGATGTAGCTCTGATCCGGCTGCCCATCAGGGTTTATACCCCAAACGTTGAGCTGACCTTGAGCTGGCCATTCCGCCATGAAACGGAATTTCCATATACCATCACTGTCCTGCTTGACAGTGTTCGCGATGCCCGCATCATACCCATATCCATTGAACGGTCCATTGAAGAAGAGGTGTGGGAATCGACGTGGAATGACCGGTTTGTAGTCAGAAGTGTCTCCTTCCTGGACGTAGTCACTGCTCCCTGTGAATCGACTCCAGTATTCGACTCGGACATGATCACCCTTCCACGCTTGAGCTTTTGTCCCGACCAATGCTGTCTTTCAATTGTGTGATTGCCGCCTTCATAGGTAATCCAGTCGGAGAATGAGCTGCCCCAGTTGGTAGAGTACCGATAAAGATCTGCCCCTGCTGCGTGTTGCTGGATGAAAAGACCGTCACGGCCGTGTTTGTGGAGGAGGCTTGTGGAGTAATTCGCGGTGGAGAAGACCATGGGGTTGTCAAGCTGCCCAATGCGAATCAAGAAATGATCGACTGCATTAGTTGGCCTTCCATCTGCACTTGATGCGTTGTTCACTGTCAATCGGTGAATCCCGTTGTATACCCCGATTAAAGTAGCTGACCAGGACCAGGTGCTTGGAATATGCCCTGTCAATGAGGATTCCTCAGGGTCTTCGAATTGACAGCTGACGCTATCTTGAGCGACAGATGGCACTTCGTCATTTTCGGTGCTAGATTCGAGAGATATGGACTGAGTGACAATTTTGCAATCCATTTCGGTAGAGAAGTACAAAGTGATGTTGAGGTCTTCACTCTCGCCGGGAGATGCAGTGGAAAGCACCGGAACGTCGTGCCCTGGAGTAAACTCGGTGATCATAGGCCGTGGCGGGATAAAATTGTTCTTTGGGACATAGGCTCTGAACTCATAAGGCTTCAGTGTCAAGCTGTCTAGACAGCCGTTGAATTCTTTGGATCCATTGAGATGTAGTTTGGTTGGACTGTTCACAAGGGTGAGCTCGTCGTGGGGATAGAATAGATTTTTGACCGTGGTGTTGGTGTCAAAGGGCGACACAAGAGCCGTGTCCGTGTCGGAACAGTCGAACTTGTAGTCAACTGTTTTGTTATCATTTTGATACATGAGCCAGACAGTTTGATTTCCTGATGCTCCAAGATTCTGCTTCTGGTAGTAAGGGCTCCTCATGATCGACCACATGCCTGTCTCAGTAGGAACGCCATTTGACCCTGGATAAACAATCTCACGTGTTTGGTTAGACAGTAACTGGATCCACCATCCGTCATTCAGCGCGGGGTAGTCTTCTCGCATCTGATACATATGCTTGATGGTGTTCCTGATGGGATGTGCTGGATCCCGATGATCATATGTAGCAGAATCATCGTGACAGCCTTCCCGACCTGACTTAATGGGCCAGTCAAAGTATTGGGTGGAGTTCAGATGGAAACAGCCGTGATTCTTCCATGCGGTCGCTGGTGACATCGCCTGGCGGCCATAAATGTAATTGGAAGCCAAGGCATCGAGAATGTAGAAAGCTTGCTCCTCTCCCCAAAGAAGGAGAGGAATACCAGGCATATGCAAAGTCGTGATAAAGAGCGCAAGAAGTTGTCTCTCAAGGCCTTGCTCGACGGCTGGCCATCTGAAGACATCTTGATTGGTAACCCCGTACATGTGTCTTGGATCGAATTCACCAGTATTTGCGTTGACGAGATCATTGGTGAGAATCATATCGTACCATGCCTCTGTCCAGCTGACTGGAACATCGTATCCAGCGGCGAGATTGCCGTCCATTCCAAGGAAGCGAGTCAAAGATCTGTACACCGAATAATGGAAAGCGGCTCCATCGATAGCTTGCTTGTCTACACTGCGGATGAAATAACTGGAATTGGAACTGTTGGTCAGGTGAAAAGCTTCATCGAGGGTTTCCGGAACCATGTCCGGCTGCCTACCACGTCCCAGGAAGACTGAGCCGAATGTATTCCCCGACGTGATCTCTCCAGGGATGAAGAAATTATGCTTCCCAACACTCCGAGCACACTCTCGGTAAGCGCTCGAGATTTCACCCAGCGCGTCCACAGTCACCTGCGTAGCTTTATCATAACGGAATCCATCAATATCTAGCGAATGAATGATCATGCATGAATGCCTAATTATTCGCTCGCGGACACTAGGGACCCATTCACGAAGGCGATCTTGGACGGAAGCAAATTTGGCAAGCTCACGCTTCCAGTCAGGATAGACACCAAATGCTTCAATATCTCCATACTGGTCGAAATCGCTATCGTAGCAACCTTTGAGCTCGTCATCGACATATTGATCAACAGGGAAGCCAGTCTCATTCCAGAAGCGCGGATACTCGCAAGTTTCGTTGTAGGAATTCCCAAAATGGAAGTCAGCATAATGGCGATCGGACTTCCAACTTGCCTTGTGTTCGCTCATTCGGAAGGGGGTTGTTGTGTTCAGATAGCCCTCAAAACCGATTAGATCTCCCATCCTGTAGAGTGTTATTTTTTGTACAACCTTAAACGATGCTCAACATCATTGGAAGGATACTTACGTTGCAACAGTGTTGTCAAATATGACATACATGCCCCGGCGATGGATTTCAGTGATCGCATCCCTCCATTCATGGATGTCGCCAAAGTGTTGATCCAAAAGCGTGGTATCCAGAGCGGAATAGCCATCAGAGCCCCATGGCTGGTTCATCAGAACAGTGCCAGCAAGGTAGATTCCCTTTGGTTACAATAAGATATTAGCCGGGGATAGACCTCATATTTAAAATGATAAGACTGACCTTGATGCCCATTCCTGTAAGTAGTCCAATGTGTCAACTAGTCCTGCCACGTCGCCCCCATGCCGCATTTGATTGGAGTTCAAGTCATGCTCAAACAGTGTACCATTAATATTATCATTCGTAGGATCTCCGTTCACAAATCGATCCAGGAAGAGAGTATATATCGGAAAGCGCCAGTTGTCAGGGATGGGAAGTATGTGTGATCGGGCCATTCCCCCCAGTACTCCGCAGGGCTTGTGGCTGTCTCATTCTCATTGATGTTGTAGGAGAGAAGGGACTCATCATAGGGCCAGCATGTTCCAAAAGTCGAAAGATAGGCGATTAGAGCACTGGAATATCTCCAATGCATGGTAGACAGATTCGAAGGCTAGCGGAGACTCTGTATGACCGTGATCATATGCTCTGGTGGCTTTTCTCAGGATATCTATGATGAATTATTAGTTATCAATATGGAATAGAGTGAGGGTTTATTCAAACTAAATCGGGCCTGCAAGATGTGGGGAGGCTCAAAGCCACCTTAGAAAGAATTGAAACAGGAAATAAAGATACTGACGGATAGTTTTTGAAGTCCCTCGAGATGGTATGAATCCAGACTTTCCAGAATATGAGAGTACTGAAAGCGAGGGTTAAATATGGCTCCACCTTGCGTGTACTGGAATTGATATGGCCTCGCCAAACGAGAAAGCAAAGGAACGTTTTAGATCGGAAGGAAGACAGCAGGGAGAAAATATGACAGCCTCAAGGACTCTGTAGAGACAACCCAACTTTAAATCAATCGAGAGAATAGCAGAAGGAATCGCCACGCCCAGTGCGCGCTATATCTCACAGGATACTTAGGCACAACTCCTATGTTGCTTTTCCTCACGCCACATGTCCTCTATTTGTCAATATATTTTGCATATCAGGCTATAGCAGATGTTGACTTCTTTGACACCGGAATGGACGGTGGAAGTCAAAGGAACCGCTGATAGGAGCGAAAGAGCATAGAGCACGTCTGTAATTGTACACCTGGAACTCCCGGGGCAGTGGATGGGAATCCTGGTTGGCGAATCCTATTTTGGGAGAGTGGGCTCAGACATCTAGGTTGGATCTGTCTTACTATACATCAGTTTTGGAAATTTCGCGCATAAGGCATATTGTTTGACATTGCCAACGGCGGACGCGGAATGGCCATTGCTCGATTACAGCGCTCAAGCAAGACATGCAGTGCCTGTATGACAAATATCGTGAAACATCAAGCACGATAAGGAACCACGCATTCGCGGAATTATGCTAGATGGGGTCAAGCATGGAACTCTAGGATCAATACTGGTCCAGTTTCAACGCGGACTGTCCACATTACCTGGTTAAAGAATAAGAAAGTGGAAAGATCTCGGGTCGGGGCTTACTGGTTCACCTTCCAGATAGTCATTATCATCATTACCATTTGTTCTGCAGAGTATCTCTCTTCTCCCTGGAAGTACTGAGAAGAGGGTTTCTTCCGGGAGGCTTGTTTTCCCTTCCGGGCGTGTAACACGGCCTTAGCCAAATATTGAGGTAGTTGAACTTACCAGTTGAATGCAGCGCTTAAGATTGAGATTTATTTACATTCCAACCGTTGCAACACCAGGCGCTTTGAAGCCAGGCAACACAGGAATATGTTTTCTGTGTTTCCTAGCGTTTCTGCAAGCTCTCTTGAGGGAGACTATCATAATTAACATTATTTTGACCATTCGTTCATCCTACTGAATAGGCTTTACACATGGTCAGATATCGGCTCATAGTGTAGAGCAGGAGTGGCGATTCTGCAGTCCATCGGCCCTGGAAGATTTCCTGACCTGCTTGGCGGGGTAGGTACAACTTCTATTATCGTGAGTGAGGTATGTAGCTTGGAGTGATATGCACTAGCATTCAAGCGTGGATGGTGTCTCATTTATCATTCTGTGTGTCTCGGATGTACTAGTACCTGCCAGGGTACTTTGCATGGAACTTCAACATCTTGCGAAACTTACCATCCTCATCAATGTTGCTTATCAATCAGGCCCGATGGATGAGAGTGATTGGGAATTTGCATGAAAGTTATCTTCGATATGACCCAAAGTTACTTGCTCGTAGGCCTTTTACTATGAATGGCATGTGTGGTATTCCTTAGGCCAGGCGTACTAGTAACAAGGTAGGATATGTATTGTCCTGACTTGTACCCAGTTTTAGCAGTTGCAAATAATTACTGATAACTTGTGGTAGTGTCGACTGCCCTGATGTACATTGTTCAGAAAAGAAGTTGGCAGGAGAGCTGGAAGCTGTTACACAAGATGAATGCCCACGAGTATTCAATCCTCTGTCGATCCTCTGTCATATTAGCAAGAATCGCTCTGACAGCCTCAAATATAGCAAAGAACAAACTTAGGTGGTTTCGAAAAGACCGAACCTATTTTCAGATTTGTTATTCAGATCTGCTAGTGAAAACGCTGGTAAGATTATTAATACCACTGGCAGAAGTACCACGGCTTCTTGTTCTACTAGTATAGATTAGCTTCTGCCGCACTACTAGTAGAACACGAGTAGAGTTGACTGTCAAAAGATTAGAGAGTCGCCCTCTCTGATAAGGGACTACTGTCCCCAATCTTTGAATAGTACTTATTTCTGCACCCTGGCTGCCTGCAAAGCGCTGTCCGCCACTAGGAATCGTACGGATCGGTCTAGACTTAGGGTATCAGAAATCCACCCAAGATCGACATCAACTATCATGAATTGACAACGCCATGAGTTCAAAAGTTGTCTAAATACGGAATTTATAAAGACTTCCGCGATAGTTTGCAGCTGCAAGCGTGGCCACTTTACCCTTGCCCTTATGTTTCGACTCTCTGCCACCAGGGCATGAAATAGTGCCAATTCGAACCTTCGGGGGTTCAGGGGATACCTATACACCCGAATGACACAGCACCATGCCTGGTCAGAGCGTCAGTTGACGCTCCTCATTGGCACAGTTCAAATTTCTGATAGTCAGATTCTTTCTTGTTTTGGTGGGCTTTTGCTTGCAACATCGTTGCCCCTGGTTCCTTATGTGAAACTTCGCAGCATCCCTGATAAGAATTGTCGATGAATGATTGTTGAACAACTTGATTTTTTTTCTCTCATACTGAACGAATGATTCCTCTCGATGACTTGATCGTTTTGTGAGACACATCCGTTAATATCGACGATGTGGCTGCTGTGTATCATATGGTTCTTATAGCGTAGATGGATCATGCTCATGGGGCGATTTATGTGGGGAGAGCATTATCAGACGGATCATCGCAAACTCCGCGCCTTCCCACGGAGTCTTTGGGCAGAAGATGGTAAAAAAATAAAAGTTGCAGATTTCTGACCTCCCGTTCTCAGTAATGGCGTGTTGGCTACAGAAGTAGTGTGCTAGGCTCGCCAACCTAATTCCCAGTCAATCTCATGGATAGGGAACCAACAAGGTATTCCGGAAATATTTGAATATATCGACTGATTTGACACGGTATCCAGGCAGTGTTGGTATCATTATATCCACTTTTGATTTATCTACAAGTCGTCTCAATGCATCACTTTTGACAATAACTCATATGAATTTTGTCCTTCTTACTGCGCGCCGTAACGGGCACGGTAGTCCTTCAGCCGTTGGATCTCCCCATCTCCGATCTTGTCTCCCAATTGCTCGATCAAATCATTCAGACCGATGACAGCGCGGATAGGAATGTTGCCTCCGAGGTCACGTTGAGCAACACCAATAGCGCTCTTGGACTCAGTATCGCTGACACGCTCCTCACGGTCCAGCAGAACCACAACGCCAGCGACGATGCCGCCTTCCTTCTGGATAATATCCACAGCCTCGCGCAAAGCAGTACCAGCAGTGATCACATCGTCCACAATAACGATGCGCTTCCCCTTCAATGGGGCACCAACGATGTTGCCACCCTCACCGTGGGCCTTAGCCTCTTTGCGGTTGAAGGAGTAGCTGACATTGTCCCAAGTGCCATTTGGCGAGCCAGCCAGAGAGTCACGGACTGCAAGCTCGTTGGTCACCGCAGCGCAGATAGGAATACCCTTGTAGGCGGGGCCGAAGATAATGTCGAAGTTGGGCTTGGTGGTACCGTCAGCGGCAGTCGTCACGAATGGGTCGGCAGAAAGAACGCTCGCATAGGCTGCAGAAGTGGCGCGCAAAAGGGGAGCGGTGTGTAGGAGGGAGGAAGTGAAGAAGTAAGGGGATTCACGACCAGACTTCAAGACGTAGGAACCGAAGGAGAGGACGTTGTTGGAGATTAGCAAGGGCAAGAGAGTGGCCTTGTAGTCCTGGTTGGCTGAGGGAGGAGGAATATTGGCAGACATGGTGGACAAGAGAAATGGGGTCGAAGATTAGAGACGCTAAAATCGTGTAGATGTGCAAAACCTCAAAATGGCGTCGAAGGAAAACCGGTGATCGGCGGCCGAAGGCAGAATTTCGCCCCGCGGAACTTTTTTGTTGGTCCAAAGTCTAAAATGTTTGAAACCATTGGTAGGTGGCCAGCCATGCAAAAGAGGTTTCAAACTTTTGAGCTCCGCCCTCCACTCGCGGAGGGGCAGGAGGGGCATAGGTTGAGGCATAATCTGGCCCCCGATCTTATTCTTACAGGAGGATTGGCCCCCAGGAGGTCCTCAGGATAAAAAGAGAGCGTTTCGCCCTTCCACAGGATCTACTGCAAAAAGCTCGTGAGCCGTTCAGAATCTCATAGCAACAGTTGCAAAGAGTTGGTCCATCCATAGCACGTGCCTCCGATCGCGGGCCTCCGACTAAAAGAAACAATCCCCGCTAGTTCCTCCGACATCGAGTCCCCATTCCTCTTTTCTTTGCTTATTCGTTCTCCCCTCTCTCGCTTGGGACTTTTGCATTTGACTTTGAACACTCCCAATCGCAGTGTTCCCCCTCTTGTTTTACCTTCAGCCCTTGGGTGTCACACTTGAGTCGTGTGAGACCCCGCTGGTCACCCGCAGACTAGCATCTCAGGTGCTGTAGTCCCAACCAAAATAGTTTGCTCGTTATCTACCGGTAAGCCCTCCATTCCTCGAGCTTTTTATACAGGCGTTTTTACCTGCCCAGTGACCTGGAGCTGCCAATTCCCCCAGCACAGTGCTAAAACTTTCTTACAAGGAAGCAGATCCAGACGGCATTATGCATATTCGAGAAAAGCTCGCGCAGAAGCAGGCGGCGGGGGAGCCTGGTATTTCCTTCGAATTCTTTCCTCCCAAGACCGCTCAAGGTGTACAGAACCTTTATGACCGTATGGACCGCATGCACGCCTTAGGTCCTGCTTTCATTGATGTCACATGGGGTGCTGGTGGCCGACTATCAGACTTGACCTGCGAGATGGTCAATGTCGCTCAGTCTGTGTACGGATTAGAGACGTGTATGCATTTGACTTGTACAGACATGCCGCGGGAGAAGGTGGACCAGGCCCTGGACTCGGCTTACAAGGCTGGATGCACAAACATCCTTGCCCTGCGTGGGGATCCCCCGCGTGAGAAGGAGACATGGGAAGCTACCGATGGCGGTTTCCGCTATGCGAAGGATCTTGTCAAATATATTCGGGAAATACGGGAATCATTTCGACATTGGCGTGGGTGGCTATCCGGAGGGCGCCGACGACAACCCGGATGTTGACCAATTGATTGACCATCTCAAGGAAAAAGTCGACGCGGGTAGCACCTTCGTGATCACTCAGATGTTTTATGATGCGGAAAACTTCATTGAGTGGGTTAAGAAGTGCCGCGCTAAGGGCATCACTGTTCCAATTATCCCGGGAATCATGCCAATCCAAACATATGCTGCTTTCATTCGTCGTTCTAACTGGACAAAGGTCCGTGCGCCCCCGGAATGGATGGCGGAGCTAGAGCCGGTCAAGAACGACGATGCTGCCGTGCGGGATATCGGAAAGCGGCTGATTGCTGAGATGTGTCGCAAGCTTCTCGCATCGGGCATCAACCACCTCCACTTGTCAGTCTTCCTTTCTTTTTCCCTCAACGTTTTTTTTTTTCAAGCTAACAATAATATCCAGCTATACGATGAATCTCGCCCAGGCAACCAAGTTAGTTCTGGAAGAGCTCGGTCTTGCGCCTTCAGACGGATCGCCTATCCAGAGATCTTTGCCATGGCGCCCATCTCTTGGCCTGGGCCGCAGATCAGAGGATGTACGACCAGTGTTCTGGCGTAACCGTAACTCTTCTTATGTTGCTCGCACTCAGACCTGGGATGAATACCCCAACGGACGATGGACTGATTCTCGCTCACCGGCCTTCGGTGAACTCGATGCTTACGGTGTCGGCTTGAAGGGCTCTAATGAACAGAACATCAAGCTATGGGGCGAACCCAAGTCGGTCAGGGAGCTTTCTGACATATTCGTGCGCTTCATAAACGGAAAACTTGAGCGTTTGCCCTGGAGTGATACCGGGATCACGATCGAGGCAAATGAAATTAAGCAAAACCTTGTCGATCTGAACAGGAGAGGATTCCTCACCATCAACTCTCAGCCCGCCGTGAATGGTGTCAAATCTTCGCATCCAACCTATGGATGGGGCCCTAAGAATGGGTTTGTCTACCAAAAAGCATACCTCGAACTTTTCGTTCCTTCCCACTTGATCGATGAACTGATCTCGCGCATCGAAGCCAACGAAGACCTCACTTACCATGCTGTAAACAAGAATGGAGAGCTGCGTACCAACACCCGTGACAGCCCGAATGCTCTGACTTGGGGTATCTTCGCCGGGCGAGAAATCATTCAGCCTACCATCACAGAGACCATCAGTTTCTTAGCATGGAAGGATGAAGCTTATCGTCTGGGCGAAGACTGGTCTAAATGCCATGATGCAGCCAGCCCGACTCGTCAACTGCTTCAAGATTTCGTGAATGATCGGTACCTCGTCAACATCGGTAGGTTTCAAAGTACACCTCGTCATAGTCTTATGGAGCTAACATAATCTCATAGTCGACAATGACTTCCACCGATCGAACGTAGTCTTCGAACTGTTCAACGGCCTTGAGGTCAAGGACCTTGACGTCCAAGCCGAGGGCAAATCAGATGCTAACGGTACAACTGGTGCCGTAGCTTCAAACTGAGCGCGCCTTGATTCAGCCTTAAAAAGACCTGTCACCATTACTTAAAACTACCCCTACCTAATTCAACACACCCATCTCAACGATACTCAACGAACAAACCCCCGATACCAAAACTCCAACATCTATCTCGGGACAACTTGCAATGTGTTATGGCGTCACGATTGAAGACCTCTCAACGATTTCTTCCTGAGCGTTCATTTTTTCCTATTTCAACATCCACCATCCACCATCCCCCTCCTGCACCGATACCCCGTCCATTCCAACAAAGACGCCTCATCGCTCAGAATTACTAACTTTATGTTTTCTCATTTTTAATCCTCGAAGGGCCTGGTGCTTATCTATGCAGCCTCGGTCTCAGGGCCCAGGTACTTGGAATCCTCGATTCCAAGGAGGAAGAAGCCAAATTCAACATCAGAATACTTCTTAAATCCCGGGTTTTTCTTCTCTTCTCGCCTTTTTTTTCACCTGATCATCATTCTCGTTATATTCCTGGGCATAGAAATCAAGACAAGGGCGTCGATCGTTCGCCACTTGATGCGCTTCAATGATTCAAGAAGTGATGTTCCGCATTCCGTGCGTCTTCATCCCATACTAGCGCTGGGAACTGTCTGTCCAATCAAACAAATCTTCAACACTTGGAGGAAAGGATCTTCTACTGAGAGAGGCCGGTTTCCACGATAAAAAGTCGATCCAATAAAACTCAATAAAAAGTCTTGATGCACCCGCTTTCCAAAAGGGGCCAAGTCATGCAAAATTCCTCCGGTCTCCAGCGTTGTAGATTGTGGTCAGCTGTACATGAGCCCAATTGCCCTCGCCAAATGGCTTTAGCCGTAAAGCAACTCTACTAGTAGAAAGAACCTAATTTTGTATGGGATTTTCCATGTAAGAATAGAATAATGATACACAGGGAAAACGCAGGTGACTACCTATCCAATGCAGATTACAGGCCCATTAGCCAGACACCCTACCGGCAGCAGATTCACTCTTTAAAACCCCGTCGTCCAAAATCAAAGACCCAATCAGAAGCGCTGTAACGACAAAACATTCTCGCACATGGGAATGAAACAGAAGAAACATGGACCAAGAATCACGATATGAGGGCACGAGTTAACCCGCGAAATACCCACACAACTGGTGTCGCGAACCAAAGCAGCCAGCTCCCGAAAAGAAGAAGATACCGCACCGCACGGCCTATAACCAATACCCCGAAGCCAAGAATTACCAGGTAAACGCAAGCCTGCAAGACTTCTACCATAAAGCGACTTATGGCTTGGTCATTGCGAGGTCTAGGCCAGGTTCCTGTAGCTTGATATACCGATATTGCACGGTAGATGCAATTGAAGACATCATAACAATGTGTACTCATGCTCAGTACATTGTTGATGCCGAACTTGAGATACGGATTGTTCGGTATCTGGAGGGTCAGTCGGTGAATTTTTGTGACGAAGAGGAAGACAGTTTGGAAGAATAGCGAAAGTACAACCGCGTTTGGAGCCTCTGACGAGGCAATGTCGTCTTTGTCTTTGGCATTGATGTCCCGAAGCTCTTCGACGTCGGTGATGTTGGGTTGAAGGGTTTCCTTGAGACCAGGGACTTGTTCCCCATCCAGCTCCGCAATTTCGACAGGCTTGTCGGAGATCTTGGCTTTGGCAGCGTTTGCGGCAGCCCGACGAAGACGAGCCTGTTCTTTGAATTTCTCCAGTCTCTCAGATCGACTGAGCTTTTCTGATTTGGGAGAGCTATCTCCTTTCTCCACAGGAAGAGGATCAGGTCCAACAGGGTTTTCTTTATCCTTGTCCACATTGAGTGGCTTTGCGATTGGGGTCTGTTCCTCTGTAGTGTCAGCGGGGGTTGCCTTTTCTGTTGGTGATTCCTTTCCAATGGAAAGTTTTGATGTGAGGTTGGCCTTCTTTGTGGAAGAAGTCTTGGTAGAAGACGGAGATGCGTCTGTCGCTGTCTCCTTGGCGGACTTGAACGACCGTTCTGATCTGCTGGATTCCGAGTTGTCCCTTGTCGGTAGAGAAACGGGGGATCCCTTGCGGCTTGTAAAAGATCCAGTACCGTTGCGTAAATTTTCGGCACGGTTGCGCAAAGACTCAGTGCCGTTTCGAAGAATGGTGGCGAGACTTCCGGTAGGAGACTTTCCTGTACTTGTCGATTTGGCGAGACCGGTGGTACGGATGAATCCACGGATAGAGCTGGAGGCTGAGTTTCCGTTCCTTGTTAGACTTTCTTTGACCTTTGTACTTTCTTTCGGTTTGCCTGGTTTCTCCTTTTCCAGCGTCGCTGTGCCCTTGGCGTCGGTGTCCTTTGGGACAGGAAGGCTGCTCGATGCGAGCGAAGGAGCGGTTGACTTCTTTTGGGCGAGGCCTGTCGCCGGTTGCAGCATGGAAGGTGTAGATATGACTTGAGCCTTCGCTCGAATTGCCTTCACGGCCTCTCCAGTACCGGAATAGCCGGTGCCACCAGGGCGCCTTAGTCCTTGTGGTTTGAATGTGAACCCCTTTTTCTCTGGTTTTGGTAGGTTGGCTGAGCCGGGAGTCGGTATTAATGTACGTGTGATAGTGGGAGTGATAATGAACACATCGTCCTCGTTCACTCCGTCCGGTAGTGGATGTTCGATCTGAATATCCATACTGGTTTCTGGACGACAGTTTTCCTTGCTTGAGGATTGAGACTCTGGGCTTTGGGCCTCGCGCTGAGGGGCGAAATCCTGACACATTGTTGCTGACGACTGCCTCGAGCATAGGGGATGGTTCAAACTCTGAGAAGTTCGCTGCCCCTCGTCTGGAGAGCCGGTTTTTTCTTCTGATTTGCGCGGTGCCCGAGAAGCCTTCTCTTTCAGCCTCTTCTTCGCCCCAATTGCTAAAGGCCGAGGCTGCAGGGTGGTTGAGTCCTCGCCAGAGGCGAATAGGAGAACGTCGTCTGGATTCGTCGGGGCCGGTCCATTGATCTCTTTGCACCCTAAAAAAGAACCGTCTGGGTTGTGAGACACCCTCTTCTCCTTGGAGGATCTCGTTGGGGATTCCTCCCAAATCGTGCTGATACGATTCTTCCCGATTTCGTCGGGGCTATAATAATTACCATCGTGTTGGGCCTCCAGTGGACTTGTGGTAGACAGTTGCGGCCTCTCAGGGATCTGCTGTGACTGAGCGTAGCTGCCATCGTAGCCTCCAATATTTTCTGGACCTTCACTCTTGTCTTGCATCTCACCTGGAGGCAACCTCTTGGCGTGTGTAGTCAGAGGACTTCTCCGTAATTTATCATGCCTTCGTATCTTGTCCGAGCTGAGATTGCTCTGATAATCAGCGATCTCCTCTGTCGTCATCGTAGGAGGGTTGGGATCCTTCGCAGATGGCATGTGAACCACAAATCTGTCTTCCCAATCGCAGTCTGTGACAGAACTAACATCTGAAATCGGTGAAACGGAAGGGCACCGAGAATGAGGGCTTGATTCTGACCTTGCCCCTGCACTATCAGACCTGGAAGGTAGTCCATCTTGGGATTCCAGGCTCACCCAGCCGCCGTTTTTCTTACTCCATCGTGTATTCCTGTCGAGTTGAGGTGAAGGTGCTCTGAGGATATTTGGTGTGCCGCGGCTTATTTTAGTGATGCTTGGGCTTGGAATCGTACTTTTGGGGCTAGGGATCGTGCTCCGTGGACTAGCACCGCGGCTGGATAGCTCGTCATTCATAGGTGCATCGTCTGGTTGGACCGAGGAAAGTTTTTTATCAGTAGCTCTTGTTCTGTGGTATGACGAGCGATGGGAGAGAGGCGATCCTTTTTCGTATCTGTCTCTAAGCTTTTTCCAGTATTGATCTCGTTCCGACCCTGGGGATGGTGTATTGGTGGTCGTAGACGAAAGTGTAGCGGAAGATAGAGGTTTAGGGATACCCGTTGGACTGGGGGTGTTATTCCTCTGATCTCGTGCTCTATCGGAGATCGAGGACGGAACGGGAAGCTTGGTGACGTTCTTCTGAAACGTGATTTCTGTGGACGTTCGAGGGCTTGCGTCCAGTGGTACTTGATGGCTGTGCCGCTGGACGGGCTCATCCGTGCATGGAGCTGCAGAGTAATTATAGTCTGCTCGGTATGCTTGATATTGTGTCTGTTGCTGTGGTCGTGGAGCGAGGTTGAGCAAATGTTTCTCGGGTAATTCAATATGGGTTTTGACCTCCATTTTGCGTCTGGAGATGCGCCAAATCAATACCCCCGACACTCAGGCCAGAATTGTGCTTGATCCAGGCCCATGCCGCAATTGGACCGTTTTCAAGGCTTGTACCTCTGGATGGCGTTCGCTGTTAGGGTTGTGATGCCAGCTCAAGTGGTGTAGACACGATCGAGAGGGGAGGACTTCAGGTGAATTGGCGAAACGAGGGAATGCGCGGGTCAAACAGGTCTGATTGGGGGGTCCCAAGACAGTTTGATCTCTAAATCTCAACGCGTAAGAATAAGGTGGTCTCGTTGGGTGGAATGTCATCTCACACGCGCTGAAGAATGTCGGCCTCCACCCAGGAATGCCGGCACAGACGCACCTGCCGCCGTCTGGTATGACGTCCAGCGACATCCTAATCTGGCTCATTGAATTGACTGCTAATCGAAAGTAAGTTGCGCTTGTCTTGTCGTGAGATAGGAGCAAGCCCCGGGTCTCATGGCGGGTTATGTGCATCAGTTTGAATCAGGAATACCATATCGTAGTGTATTACAGATGAGTCAAGAAAAAGACGGGGGATTACCCAATTGCTAAGGGTTCGGTTCAAGCAACATTCTTTTATGGGGCAGGTATAAGAATCTCAGAAAAGATGGGGAAGAGAGTTCACGGACCGACATCACTTCGCACGCGTGAAACCCGATTAAATTTTGTACTGAGAATGCGAGATGGGAGGCTATCCTCGGCGAGGTTCATCTTCAACTCTTGAGCATGGTATTGATTTAGAAGGTGTGGAAATTTAAGGATATCATTGCAAATTGATCAACTCCATCGGAAAAGATAGAAAAGGGTCAATACCGGCCCGTTTCACGACGCGATCCCAAATTGACCGGTCTATGAGGTCCCTGCGAAGGGCTCATCGGGGTAGCCAGGCTGCTGCGTTTCAGCGGACTAGATGGCCTCTTCAAAGGGCTGGTGGCCCGTTCTTTGTAGAAGAAGTCGCCATTGCTTTGCACTCTGCGGTCGAATCCAGTGGATGCCGATTTTCGCAAAGGCGAGTTGGCGTGGGTGTAGACGCCCAAGCTTCCACCGTCACCAGTGCCTGTTGTGGTCGGCCTAAACTGTGGCTGTCGCATGGACGTACCTGCAGTTCGTACCAGGGGAGAAACATCTTGCGACGGTGTGTGTAATGAAGGTTGTGGTTGTGGTGTTGAAATGGGATGAGCGGAGCTTGTTGGTCGGCGTGGAGTGAACCCATCAGGATCAACGTGACTCAAGTAGTTCGGGTTGGGGCTTGTCTTAAAGCCCCGGTTGATGATAAAGGTCGGTGTATAGACCTCCACTCTGTTTTGTGCATCTTTTTCTTTTGTGGGGTCTCCCTCTGAGAATTGGGTGCCGACATCTCTCATCAGTGGCTGAGTACGAGGATGTACGTATTTGGTGTCATATTCCTTCATCACCTCTTTTTGCACCAAAACTGAATCTTTCGCTTGCTGCGAGTATGATGAAGAAATAAAAGACATTTGCACTGACAGCAACACCTCCAGAATGACGGTAGTGGCGATTGTAACGCTTGGCCGAGGGTCGGAGAGTTGAGTGGGTAGAAAGAGCCAATAAACGAGCACATGGCCCGGGCTAAGCAAGCAGAAAAGTCGAACGCAAATCGGAAGCGGATCCCAAATCGCGATTTCCCACACGTCTCGATGCGCATCAGGGTGTGCGCGCGACTGGGCGGACTCCGAGGAAAGCGCATTGGCGAGGTACCTGAAGGGAGACGATGTCATAGGAGAGGAGTCCACTCTCACACGATGAGCAGAGGGCGTGGCAGGTGTTTTTTCGATGGGATTCTCGAACAGACGATAGCGGCGCTTCCGAAAGAAAGTGTAGAGAGCGTTGCCGACAGAGGCAAAGGCAAGAGTATGAACTATGAGAAGTGCCTGGCAAAGCGGAGTAAGTCATATATTCCTGGATGCGAACCAAGACGTATCTAAACTGGATATTCTGAAACCTACCAGCCAGCTTAACCATGGGATACCTTCCTCCTCTCCGAACACATCGTCGATAGCCTGGCTGCCGCTGGAGCGACTATTCGCCCGCGCCACAAGAAATATGAGGTTGAGAGCAATACCAATCACCAGGCCCCAGTCTTTCTCAAGTTGATCCCAGTCATTGCCTTCGATCTCTTCTGACAACCAAAGTAGAAAATCCCACGGATTCAAGTAGGATCTAATGCGCTCCCCCAGCGGGCGGCGGCGGACGAGTCGAGGCATGGTCTGTGAGTTGATCAAGAAGGATGAGGGAAGGGAAGGCCAAAAAGAGCCGAACAGAAGCTGTCCCTCTGCGGCCTCGTCCTAGTCTTTTGTGTGGAACAAAGGCATGGAGATCAACGTCAAAGGCGATGAAAGAATAGTAAAGCTTAACTTTTGGAAAAGTAAACAAAATGGACCCGCTTATGTCATCGTTCTCCGCCTGCCTGCGGGCGATAAGTTAAGTTAAACCACGGCCGATCGCAGTACGTCTGCGGTTTAGTGAACCTCGAGCCGGATTGGTCTGTGTCAGGTGTTTAATAGCGAGTTTGCTTATTCTGCTCGACACTCCTTGCTCGATTCGCATAATTTGTTTCATCATGGCGGTGTCATCCGCAACCTACAAGGTCGGTCGACGGACAGACGCAGCTCCCAAGCTCCCCCCACCGATAGCGTCGCTAATCCTCTCACTCGGTAGGACCGCCAATTTTTGGCTGTGATCGGTGATGAAGAGTAAATATCTCCTTCGATTAGCAGAACCTCCACGGCTGGTGTGTTTATTGACTTCGATCTCAGCTCCGTAACTGGGCTGTTGCTGGCCGGCATTGGTGTACGTTCTCCGACACTCGAGCTTCAACCTTCTCTCTATAAATCCCCAGTCGCTAGTCAGGATAGTTCACTAACAAAGAGCTATATACAGCATGTCACAGATCCCCCCCGATGCGCAACGCAATTTCCTCGTCGTCGATGCGAAGACCGAAACCGCCGAGATTGAACGAACTTTCCGAACATTCACACAAGAGAGAAAGGACATTGGCGTAGTACTCATCAATCAGCATGTTCGTTGCTCTACCATTCCCACGAGTTTCCCATACCCCTTATGCTGACATCTTCGGTTTAGGTCGCTGAACGAATTCGCCACAGCGTCGACGCTTTCACCGATCCTTTCCCTGCCGTCCTCGAAATCCCCAGCAAAGACCACCCATACGACCCAGAGAAAGACAGTGTGCTCAAGCGAGTACGCCGGCTGTTCGGAGAGTAATTTGAAGACGAACATTGTGCATTAGTTCCTAGAGCTCTTTGATCTTTTTACCTATCGCACCCTCTCGCCTATACACTCTGGTCCGGTTCTGGAAATGATACCTACCATTGCCAGGTGAATGTCTGTAGAGACCATCTACATCTACTTTTCCTGTCTTACTGCAGCATATTTGGATTCCTGGGCGTCATATCCTGAGGATATATGGCCTGGAGTCATGCATTTTCTTAAGAGGTCCTTCCATTTACTTTTAATCGGGCAATGAACCTTGACATAATATTGCCTCTAATAGTCAGCTGCAACATCATTTACTTAGGGTTGACTGCTGATAAGAAAGTCTACTAGTATCATGTCTCGCTGGCTATGGTCGGCTTGGCTCGTAGCTCTTTCTACTCATAGCTCGGCGAGGATGCGGCCAAAAGCTATATGTATAGGTAATATGTAATTAGCGACCATATGCCGCATAAAATAGGCTGATTCTTCATTCAAAAACAAGTTGATGCAAACCGAGATACCGAAATGGCGCGCAGACAAAGTCAAATAAACAGCGGAGATAAAAGGAACAAAACAGTCTGCTGACAGAACAAGCGAGAGTCATAGCGATGCATAATTAGGGCGTTGATTAGCGTTCGTTCAAAGTCTTCAAGCTGGTGCTGATCCTATCAAGTCATGGGCCCGAGGATCGTTGCATGTTGATATGCGATGCAATCAGGTAAAGGCAGGCATTATGTTCCAAAGCTATTGTCCGGGCATGTTAAGGGGGATATCCTTTCCACGGAGACATGTCACACGCTCATCGTTGAGGGTATAGACATCAGCAAGCACAGAGTATTTTCCCTGCCGAGCATGTTAGTTTAACTTGGTACGCTGTATGAATGAGGTAAGGTGTGATTTACAGGAGGAATCTGCTGCGGTAGCTTGACTTGCTTTGTTAAAGTCAACTTTCCAGCATTCAGAGGACATTTTAGGTCAACGTTGGTGACTTGGTCGCAGAGGTCGGCAGTCTGCTTGACCAAAGTGATGAGGCCATATTTGACCTCCAAATTCACGTAAGCACCCTTCTCAATCTTTTGACCAAGGGTCCCGCTGGCTGTGACAGTAAGGACTTGGCCACTGTGCACTTAAGGTTAGATCCAGGTTATGTGTATGTCTATGGGACTCTTTGGTGGCACATACGGTTTGGGAGGATTTGGTGAGATATCGACTTTCTCGATCTGGAGGATGTTTTTGGTCGGGTCTTCGCAGAAGACAAGAGGGTTCTCTCCGTTGACGGGGAGTTCGTTGGTGGGTTCAACCCCAAGCGGTGACTGAGAGTAGTCAAGGATTGAGGAGATAGCGGCAGCGGAGACAGAGAGCGGACCCGCAAGCAGAAGGGCGGTAGTAGAGAGTTTCATAGCTGCGGATCCGTGAGGTATCAGGGAGCTGGCAAAGGTGACAAAATATTGATTTCTGGCTCCCAAACCGAAGTAATAAGTTCTGGGAATTCAACACAGAGGGGAAGAGACCAGAAGCTGAAGGGCGAAGCTTGAAGGCGGGTAATGACGAGCGTGACCCACGCCGACAGTCAAATGATACCGGAACATCTGATAATCCGCTCCGGCAGATCGTCCTCACATTTGGGGGCCTGAGAGACGCTGGTTCCTGCATTTTCTGCTGCGAAGATAAAACACCTTGTCTACGACCTAAATTTGGCCTGCGTAGACCCTCTCGGTGAAATCTCCCCTTTTATCACAGGCAGGTATTTCCTGTCTCCCCATAGCCCATCCCACTTGATCCAACTCGTTATCGGATGATAGAGTAACGCTATGACCATGATAAGGAGTCCCCACACCCGATTACATATCAGGCACGGCTTGAACGCCGCGGACGTTGAACCAGACTCGGTCTTGTGGATATTGCAAGTGAACATCCAGCATCGTGGTCGAGAGCGCCTGATCTCTGATCTACTAGCCGAAGGTTTGCTGCTGCAAGTCGAGGACGGATGGCCTGAAGTTTTGAATAATTTTGAGCTGGTGAGGCAGGGCTCTGTATATGGGAAGAACCTTGTCTATCACTTATTGTTCAATTTCAGAGTTAGCTTGAATGGCAGTGTGCAAGCAAGGAGGCAGGAGAATTTCCAACCTACTAGGGAGAGTACTATTCACCTCAGACCTCCTAGGAGGTCAATGCGAGGTTGGATAGGTTGGATATGGGCTTAGTTCGTGCCATGACCGTCAGACCGCTCCTAGTACCTGGGCCAATAACAATCTTGCGCTGCAACCTGAGTAGGGTAAATCAACCGCGTCTCCAGAAGGTGATCCATGGCCGCCATTTCCAAGGCGGGTGAACCAGGCCGTGTGGGCTACCCCGCATTGCGCCTGCAGGAGAAAAGCAACTATATCCTCGTCTGACGTCAACTTCCAAGGGGGAAGGTGGTCTTATATAGCACGACCGACCCCGAAGACTCTAGGCTACACTGTGACAAAATGCCATCCAGAACTATCTCTCTGATTTCATCGCGCAAAAGTGCCTCCCAGAGATCGCAGTTCGCTATATTTGTACCAAATGCGTCAAATGCAGACGAAGGGACTCTGATTCAAGCCGCAGGGGCTCCGATGACAGGATATGCTCTGGAGTTCAAGCGGAACTACTGCCCAGAAGATGGAGAAGAAGAATTCACTGTGTTTCCTATCGGCGAAACTGACTCGGCCCATATCGTCGATTCTCCTCCAGGAGTTAAAAGCACAGATCGAAGTCCGCAGGGGGATCTGGAAACTGCTGCGGCTGAGATATCGACCCCTGGGGTCTGTGAGAACTTCCTTGCACCTGTGACAGATGTAAGTCCGCTCTCCAGGATTGTTTTCCTGATTATGGATACTGAACCCTCCCTCTTTCTACTCTGTAGTTCAACAACAAGCAGTCTCAGGAGTGGACGATGGAATATATTCGCCATCTCGTGAGCAAAAGACTGATTGACTCCGACGCAATTCGAATAGTACAATCCAAACGTGATCCACCAAGCCATGGTGTGGGGCTTCAATCTATGCTTCGTGGTGGAAGTTAATACATACAAAGCCACGGCTGGGTGAAGAATATGTATCCAATGAGGACAGTTCCTTCGACCGACCTGGCTTATCTGACGGATGGGCTGAGCTATACGAACGTATATCTGGCTTCGTATTAGTAAATTTTTCCTTCATGGAATCACCTGTAATTCTTTCGCCAAAGCCTCAGTGTCTCTGCGCCCGATGCGCCCGTGCCCACCCGTCAAGCCAATAGCCATCCTTCTACGGCCACATAGGTGGATATCAGGGATGTCAAGGAAATTAATTTTCCGGGTTGATCTGAGAATATTGAGGTCGCTTTGCGTCGAGGAAGACATAAGCCTCACGGCTGATGTTGGTCTTTCACGCCGAACGCCGTCGTCTGCAGAGCAGCTTCACGAGCGCCCTATCCACATTATGCGTCACTCCCCAGGGAACTATCGACACATATGACCTTGTATCACAGCATTCGGCTTTCAGCCACGAAAGTTTTTCAAAGCTAGGCAGAATACATGACGAAGCACCTTCACCATCCCCACGATCCGAATCCCGAGGCTAAACGGCCCCCCGAACGAACCACAGATGTGGGGAGTAGATTGAGGGGTTCCTTGCTTATGTCCAAGAGCAAACGGTCAGAAATGATGATCTCTTACCCCGGATGTCTGTTCTAATTACTGTTGCAATGCGACGGATAGTAATCTTCTAGCACAGGGTAATGTGTTGGTCATACGGCTGTCAGCTTCAGTAACAGCAGTTTTAGAACACGACGTTGACGAAGAGGTTAGACGCTGATTGGATCTATTAAAGCAAGTAAGGTTTGCAGGAAGTGGGTTTGTTCACAAGCTAATCTGACCAACTTGGGTATTGTAACATGCAACTTGGAAGCTCAGCAGGTACCCATGGCCCCTATATGTACATCTTCGTATTTCTGCCATGGAGGTAATGGAGGAGATTATTTGTTGTATTGACTCTAAAAATAAGGTGTTTAGTCCGAGATGTATGCCGTCTAGTCAACATGAGTACAAAATCACTTTTTAAGAATGACTTGCTGCCGAATTCCTCCCGGTAGCTTAATCGTTAAACGTATCTTCTCAGCCCCGCATGCCATGACCAGGAAAATTAAACTCGATTATCAGACTCAACCTCCGGCGACACAGGCGGGGGTCCTCCCCACAGCCCGACAGGCAAAGCGGTCACCGCACAGACAAGTCCAAGGACCAGCGTCATGGTGCCCCATCCCGCCTGGACACGCACCCCTCCAGCCAAGATCGGCCCAAGAAGCTGACCACCGGCGTATGCCATGTTGAACATGGCATACGCCTGGGCAACGGGGCTCTTGTCGCCGAAAATACCCGGGAACCGAGTCTCGTAGTCGTCGATGATCAGCGAAACTTCCGTCATGGAGATAATTTCAATAACCACTATCCCCAGTCCCATCAGAAGCAGCAGCGAAATCAGCAATACGACTTGAGGGATGGTGTTGTCGGTCACTAGGCGCATTAAAATCCACGCTGCGGCGCACCCCAGGAGAGCGGATACACCGGGGATGCGATTCCCTGCACGCTCTATACCTTTGCCAATGTAGACTCCTGCTAGGCTCGGGACGGAGCTTGCGATGAAGATGAGGCCAGCTCCTCCAGATGACCAATGAAAAGTTTCCATGATGAAGAGAGGCAGGGTCTGCGTGTAGTGATGTTAGTCTTAAAGCTCTAAATTCATATGCGGTGCGGAAAACCACGAGAAAATGCTTACCGTCTCTAATGCTGAGAAAACCAGGGCCATTACCAACGAGGCGACCAGGGCGACTGGCATCCGTGGAGAACGGAGGAGATGGAAAATAGTAGCCTTGGGTGCCGAGGGATTCTCAACGTGGGGATTTGATGATCCCAAGAGCGGAGATCGCTCTTCACTCTGTTCTCTGTCGCCAGAACTGGCAGCGTGAAATTCTCGCGTAGAACGGAATGTGTCATAGGTCTGCGAAGCAGAAGGGTTGTGGTTTACCTCCCCGGCCGTAGATTTCCCTGGCATCAAGCGTCAGATTTTCCACTCCATACCGGACAAAGTGTGGTTTCCAAGAGGCTTACTGGAGTGCTCAATCAAAGCAAATCGCAAAGCAACATCTAGAATAATCAAGAAAACAGGGATGGCGAATGTGGCGTAAAAGCCAAACTTCTCATAAACAATACCTCCGATCATAGGACCGAAAAGGAAGCCCCAAGTCAGTCCGATGGTAGTCTGTCCCATGACTTCACTGACACGCTCTTGCGGTACAGTGTCGGCGATAATCGCCAAGCCAACAACCCATACTGCCGCCGCCGAAAGCCCTTGTAGACTCCGAGCAATGACCAAAACCGGGAATGAGCGTGCGACAATAAAAAGGACTGTAGACACAAGTAGGGCAATGAGCCCGAGCACGAAGGGTACTCGTCTTAATTTGCACTGGTCCGCAAAATACCCGAACAGAGCTACGGTCGTCAGCGCCGAATCCATGGCACAGGGCGGGAAGGAACTCACGAGATCCAGTAAGAAGACTGGCACCATATACAGCGAGCAAGATCGAAATCAGTGACTGGGCTGTATGGAATATGGTCAGCAGAGCAACATCACCGGGGTATAATTGGAGGAGTCGTACCGTCTTCCGGGCGCGCCCCAACACGTTCCACCAGTGCGACTGGGATGACTGGAACGATCTAACTAATTGATTAGGCCGAAATTGAGGCAGAGGATCTGGGCGTCGATCGTGTCAAGCTTACCATGCCATATATGAAAGCATCCTTGGATTGGAATGTTAGTTAAGGACCATGAATGACGCATTGAAGTACCCACAGTAAAGATAGCAATGCAAACAGTGATTACGGTAAATCCCTCTGAAGACCGCAGCTTCAGTAGCCATGGGTCCTGCTGCTCGTCCCCCATTGCGACCATTAACGCTTGGGGCGATGGAGTGGAAAATTATGAAGAGGAAGGGGGTGGGGTTTGCCGCGGACTGGCGGTCCTTCCAAAGCTTCCGATTTGGTCTTTTGCGAGCGCACTCATTCAATGTCGGGTATAGTGCGCCGAGAATGATCAAGGATGCAAATTGCCCGGGCGGACGTCTTTGAAGAACGAAATTCATGGGATCTTGCTTACTTTATTCATTCAATGTCCATGAACTTGACCCTTCCTGGATCCGGTAGTTGGTGGCAAGCCGATCACGTTATCTCTCTCCTGGGCGGCCCTTGCATGGCTCTACGTTACGTCTGGCGATTCTGATGATCATCCGGCGGGAAAGGAAACGGATAGAGCGCGGAGTTTACTGAAGCTATTAAGTTCCGATCAGATCAACTCTGAATTGGGCGGATGCGTCCAAAATGAGCTGATGGACGGAGCTGGGGCCGCAGAGGCCGAGGGTATTTCCGCGGGTTGACGGGGTGGACAGAGAAGTTCCTCCATGTTGATGCAGTAATTTCACTTTCTCTATAAACTATCCACTGGTCCCAAATGATAGAAAGAGTCAAGGGGGGGGGAACAAATGTAGCAAGTGTATTCACGGAATAAGTTGACCTGAAAAATGAAAGATAGGAAAGTGAAACAACAACCCAGGGAAACCCCACTCCCAATGCGAATGCCAAGAGATAAAGAAAGAAAGAACGGGTATTTGCCTTGCGCCGTGCACCTTGTCATATGACTCGGGAGCCCTGACAGTCCGTAATCATAGTGAATAGTGAGAAAGTCCGTAATTGGTTAAGGTGTGTGGTTTATGCTTAATGAAGGTGAGGCCAACCATCAAATCATACTGGGGAATATTCGTAGCGACGCCAATTGTCGGCAATCCACCATTGACCAGCCTGAGCTGCGCTGTTTACCCATTGTACTGCATCTGCGCTATGTTCCAGGGCGATAGCAGTCTTCAGAGATTCAAGGTCAAATGACTTGATGGGGTGTTTCTCATGTGGGTCGGACTCGATGTCAGTGAATCGCCATTCAACCTCTGGGACGAGAGGGACCACGAGGCGGAAGGAATGAGAAGCAGATCGCATGGCGACCATTGAGCCTCCGGTATTCATGACGGTGAATTGATAGTATTGGGTGTGTTCGTTTTCGCTGACGATCGGTCGAATCATGGATTGGCCCTCGTAGATCGGCAGTAGCTCGCTGATGGCACGAGTGCTGATTTCGTCAAGGGAGCCGGATTCTTTGAGGAGATCAAGGATAGTGGGAAGGATCTGAATGGAGCTGACAGAGGAATTGATTTCGATGGGCGGGAGGAGTGGGTTAGACTGGAAGAATATGGTCAATACTGTGAGAGGCTACCATTGGGATTATAGGAGGGGACTCACGATCACCAGAGGAACGTGAAAGTTAGCCACATGGGGATTGTCGTATGGAGTAATGCTGTTATCTTCCAAAAGAGAAAGGCCACTGCAGGGTCGTTAGCATGGGCCTTTAGCTGAAATGCTCATGAAAAACGTACTGGTCACCGGTCATAACGACGAGAGTCTCGTTGGCAATACCAGTTTCCGCGAGGATATCCAGAACTTGACCAAACCATTTATCGTTGATGCCGATGGTATTGAGATACCGGTTGATATCGCGACTGTTTCCACCCCAAGACTGGCTCATAAGGTCTTTGTAGTGTTTGCCGGGGGTGTCCCACGGATGATGCGTGATACCAGTGAGGTGAGTGATGAAGAGTCGTTCGTGGTCACGCTCCGCTTGGTGGATGACATCTCTGAAATATCCGGCAAGGTCATGATCTGGGTAGCCCCAGAAGTTGAATTTCTCGCCGTGGAAAGATGTGTCGTTCAAGTGCTCTTTGTCGATAGCTTCCGAGGTCAAGATATTCTCAGGCTTGAATCCCAAGGCAGGCGTGAGGAGGTTTTGGTGGTCATATGTGTCGGTGATCGACTGCATGAATCTTGGTCGCCATGGCCAGTCAACAAAGTCGTCGCTCTTGCTGTTGTTTGTGTTTGCACTGAGGACGTCCAGAACATGTGGCATGCACGGTTGATAAATGTGATGCTCGTATTCGTGATTGAAATCCCTGACCAGCGGGGCGAGACCGCATGTCGTTCCCTCAATGCTCTTCAAGGTGAATGTACCTGCCGTATAGGAGTTCGTAGCATGGATACCGCCGTACGGCTTGACAGTGCCGTTCTTGTGCAGTCCGGACTCCGTTCCAGTAAGACGTTCGGCCGTGTGAGTCAAATTGGCCAGACGGGCCTGGACCTCCTTCGGGATTTTACCCTTGTAAGATTCCAAGATACGATTGTGCATATAGGATCCCTTCCGGAGAGGGAATACATCATACCGGGTGCTCTCCATCTTGAAAACCAGAACGTGCTTGATCTTGAAGTCTTCACTCTTGAGCACGTCACGAAGAGGTTCGAGAATTCCTTCGTCGAGGTTGGAGACACGAAGGGGGTCATTCGCGGGATTGTAATGCTGATGCTCGTATTCTCCGGTTGAAGAAACTTTCCAGTCCCGGAATCCTGGCCAATCCCCCTCTGGAAGCCAATCGAACGGGACAGGAGAGCCCAGAGCGGTGCGCCTCCCATTTAATTCAATATTGCCAAGCATTTCTGTGAGCCTGCTCTTCGGGTCAACACCAACAAATGGCGAAAGTGCGAGAGTGTGCGACAGGTATGTGTAGGCCGAGTCGACAGGTCGCAAGACCCGAAGCAAAAGCACAACGGAAATTGGAATAATGAAAAGGGATCTTTTGATCCACAGGCTCCAGCTAGTAGAACTCAGATGATCGTCTAGTTGTGGTAGGTCGAGTAGAGAGCTTGAGTGTGGAAGTGTCTTTTCCTGCTCATCACTGTAGTCACTTAGCGGTACAGGCTCATAGATATTGAGTCTTGAGAGCCATTTCTTCCCCCGACCTAGACGGTTGATTTGGCCCAAGGCAAATCGCGCGAGCGGCTTAAACACGGCACCTACAACAACAACCCAAACCCCAATGACTGCCTCTGCAGCATGGAATGGGTACGGTGAAGCAAATATCGAGGCGATGAAGAAGATGACTTCCACAATAACAAGCCCGGTAAGACCAGTGAGGAGAGTATTGACTGATGCAGGATCCCGATTAACGGATCCTGCTTGTCGCCAGTGAATCTCCGCGCCGGTCAGGAAAAAGAAAGAGGTATTAGCCGCAGCCATGACCGAGAGCACGAGGCTATCGAGGAGAAGCAATGTCAGTAAAGTGGCAGGCTGGGGGTTGTAGATCTGTTTACCTCATGGGGACAACGACCAGACCTGCTAGAACACAGGCCCATTTGCGGTGGTAGTGTAGAGTCAGGACATAACCTATCATTAGAAAAATAATATCTTGCAGAAAGAATGTTGAGCCCCATAACAGAAGCTGAGTGAGAGGAATCGAGTCCCAGTGGGCATAGATGTGAAGGAGTTTGGCGCAAATGGTGACGATGCAGAGGAAGGAAAACCAGAATTTCCGCGACAGCTCCCAGTTCAGAGTCGCGCGTAAGCCTCGTGCTGGAAGAGCACAGCAGACAAACTTCAGAGAGCCCAAGGCCTGACTTGCGAGCATCTTGGGGAAGCCGTTGAGGAGCAACGGGGATTAGAAAAAGGAGTGTAGATGGTTTGGGCACAGCATTAGGTCAAGGAGGGGCGTTGAGATGTAGTTGATGCTCAGCGAAGATCTCAAGGGACGATCAGCCCCGTCTAAGAGTCAGGGAAAAAAATAATCTGGTGGCCTGAGTCCCAAAAACAATAAATAGAATATGGGGAAGCCAATGGACCAATGCGAGCCGCCATCTTGCAAGCCGACCACCGGACAGGCCAAGAATTGTGACATCCGCAGCAATCAGCAGCTACCTGCGGAGCTTAAGCCCCATCCAGGGTTTCATTCAAGGCTGCTTCGCCTTTCCAACCCACGCGCACTTTTGCCCAAAAGAGAGTGTGGAGATGATCAGGGTCCATCCGCACCAGGCTTGGCTTGATTGGTCTTAGCGAACTGAATACAAACACGCTCTGGATTTCACGTAAAGCCGGGCTTCCGAGATTCGAGTGTCATTTCTGTCCTCGTCCTTCGTCGATGCCTACAGAGATTACCCCCCTCTGGACTTGATGTGAGCCATCATGGTCCTCATACTGCGAGCTTTTTCCCGATACGCAGCTAACTCTTGGGGCGTCTGGTCCGAGCCTTTGGATTGATCTAACAGACATGTATTTGGAGCTCCTTTTAGTCTCTCCGTAAGGCTCAGTAGCCCCCATTTCCAGGGGATTCTTTTTTACGAGTTCAGGGGACGGAGGATACAGCCCACACGAACTAGTGAACGGGGTCCCCTCTGCCAGACCGTTTTGGGACAAGATTTTGGCCCTGTCTCAGTCCCACGATGTTCTAGTGCTGAATCAGAGGCACCTGAGTGGATGTGGTTCAAATGAATCAAGTCAGATCGGGCATAAAGCGCACGAGAACACCTTCCCAAAAGGTTGCGGCTCGGAGAGATAGAAAAAACTTTTTGGCTGTGGGACCCGGACCCTGACTACTCCGTAGGGGGGAAAACAGTCGACTCCCAAGTCGCCCAGTGGCAAGCTTTTTAGGGCGCATGCTTGGCGCCTGATCTTGGAACGGTTGGTCTGACATTTTGGCCCCTTTTCATCTTCAGGTCCATCCTTCAGTCATATTGTTTACGTAAATGTCGTGCGCGCCCGGCCTTGTGCTCTTCTACTGCGTAAATCTTGAATGCCTTCGTGCTTTCCAGATTCCGAAGCCCCGGAACCTGCGGCAGCAAGTCAGAGTGGACCTGGTAAATGAAATTTCTTTCTTTTTCAAGTTTAGTCCCAAAGGAGTATCAATAAGGCACACTTCTATTTTCATTGCTTCGGAGACACCCCGGCCCGATCCTTTGGAGAGGCCAGTGGATCAAACATGGTGAAACGTGACCGTATGAGGGTATGCATGCCCGAATCCCATAAATAACCACACCTTCTCTGCGATAATCGCGCGTGAATAGTGGTCCCTTCCGACTTGGAGGTTCAAGTTTGCTTTTGAAGCATGCCACGCCCTTCAAGTGTTGCGACTCCAGTGTTGCATTCTTCCAAACTACTGATATCCGATATCTGATAATTCGTTCCGGAAAAATCCCTCAATATGCATGTTTGCCATCCTGCAACATTGTAGCCTAGACATCTACATTGCGTAGGGCGCCTTACTCCAGTCTGCATGATGCAAGATCTCCCAAAATGACGCCAAATTCTGGGAAATCTCTAGATTGGACCCCGGAAATAGGTTCCTCGCTCAAAGCTTATGTGTTCAGGCTGTGCATGTAGAGGCGGGCGTGGTGCCGAATAGCTTCTCGGGCAAAAACTCCCCAATTGGTTACCGCGTCCTACTAATGTTAGCATGTGACCTGGCGTGCCATTTTCTTCCCCCGGAGCCCTGCGCCGGATCCCGGAGTCTGTGGTAGAATACAAAGACAGCCTTCCAACTTTATGGTCCAGTCTACCTATCCATCCAACCTTTGGAGTCGGGGCTGTACTACTAGTAGACAGGGGCTGCCAACGGCTGCCCCGGGGGATTCCCACCCTAAAGATGGTTTTCCTCCCAGGGCACTTCATGTTCGTATGGCTGAAGTGACCTAACGGGGCTTTCATCATGAACATTGCTACCCTTCTTTCTACCTCGAAATTGGATTATTCCCCGTAGTCGCCTTGGTAGAGTGCCCAGTCAGACCTCCTGGATCGAGGTCAAGTTGCTAAGCGACTTCCTTCTCAAGAATGCCCGCAACAAGCTATTACTGGCGGTCTTGGCAGTTCTTCGCAAGTCGAAGGCCCTAGGCTCAGGCTATGTTGCTTTGGGGTCGTAGGCGGAGGTTGGATTGTGGTGACTTTCTCCGGCTAACACTGCCGATCACCGGTGGTCGGAGCCCCCTTGCAACGTTAAAGCGCCAGTCGGACACGGTGATTTGCTCCCCCGCAATTCGTCTCGGTTATCAGCTCGGACAACCCGGTGAATATTGTTCGATCGCCGGTTGCGATAAGAGCTGCTTGATAGCAAAGATTATGGCATAACTTATATCCCCATGGCCCCTCGGGTGCGAACAGATTCCAAACTGCCACTCCTTCCTCCACCATGGGTGCTCCAGAGATAACAACGACGCCGGAACTAGGCCTTGCGGAGAGCCATGGCGGTACGGAGATTATCAAGGTGCAGAATGAAGATGAATTACGTTTGGCCCAGATGGGTACGTCTCACGATTGAGCTCTTCAGGCTTGCGTTCTAAAGGTACTCTAGGCCATAAACAGGAGCTGAAGCGCCATTTCTCCGTGTGGAGCTTGATTGGACTGGCGGCCAACTGTACAATCTCATGGACAGGTACTCTACAGGGGCATATGGGAATTATCACGTTATAGCCGCGGGCGCTAACCTCCTTGAAGGTCTGGGGACTGGTCTGATTACGGCCATTGATGCCGGTGGCCCCGGTGCTTGTGAGTATGCGGCCAGCTTTTGTTGAAGTCAACTATTGACAAGGATGTAGTGATTTACGGCTTCATTCTCGTGTTTATTCTTCAGTCTTTTGTTGGCGCATCCTTGGCGGAGTTTGTGTCTGCCTACCCTGTCGAAGGAGGCATGTACCACTGGATCGCAGCCATTGCTCCTCGGAGATACAACAGTTTTCTGAGCTTCGCAACTGGCTGGTGTACGGTCTTTGGATGTATCGGCCCGAGGGAAATTTCATTTTATGGACGATATGCTAATCTGCTTGCATTATAGGGATCTTCACCACTGCCTCCACAAATCTCATTTACGCGATTACCGTCATGGCTCTGATCGCACTATACCATGACGATCTTGTGATCCAGCCTTGGATGACTTTTGTCGCCTATCAAATTCTGAATATCGTGACTTCTGGGGTTGTGATGTTCGGTAATCGCTTCATACCAGCGATTAATAAGTTTTCTTGTGTGTTCAACTGATTCGGAGAATTGCCAAGTTCAAGGAAATACTGACCGGCGTTCCAGTGGTGTATCTGCAGCTCGCCTGGTTTATCACGATGGTGACGGTCGTTGCTTCTGCCCCGGTGCATAACGATGCTAAATTCGTATTCCGAACATGGATCAACAAAACTGGCTGGGATAATAATGTGATGTGTTTTATCACTGGCCTCGTAAACCCCTTGTACTCCCTCGGGGGGTTAGATGGTATTTCGGTGAGTGTCGCGTGATGCCCCTCGTGGTTGTGCGCAGCTAATGATCTATCAGCATATCACAGAAGAGATGCCAAACGTAAGGTTCCAAAGACTTATTATATCTCAGGAGTCAGCTAACGCCATAATTCCCGTCAGCCCGGAAGAAACGCCCCACTTGGACTAGGTGTGCTACCAATTTTCCTACGGCTCTGGCAGCTTAGCTTACATGGACAGCTATTACATTATCGATTGCCTTCGTCACCGGTATCGCCTACTTGCTCAGCTTAATGTTTTCGGTTCAAAACTATGCCTCTTTGGGCGACACTCAAACCGGCTTGCCACTAGCGGAGATTTTCCACCAAGCTACCTCCTCAAGAGGGGGCGCGTTCGGACTTGTCTTCATGGTTTGGATGGCCCTGGGTCCTTGTGTCATTGGCTCTCAACTGAGTTAGTCCTAAGCGCTTATCGTCTAGGCTTGAGATTCTGACCCTCTTCTAGGTACTGGCAGAGTGCTTTGGGCTTTTGCCCGTGATGATGGCTTGCCTCTTTCCCACATGTATGAGCTCCGGACTATACTTGTCAGATGTACATTCTAACGTTTTCAAGATGGGCCCGCGTGCACCCAAGTCTTGGCTCTCCGTTCAATGCCCAGCTCTTCGTTGGGGTAATCATCGCATTGCTGGGATGTATTTATCTCGGCTCGAGCACGGCATTCAATTCGATGATGAGCTCGGCTGTGTAAGGATCCTAAATGAAGTCTCCCCAAACTTACGACCCCATTAACAGTAGCTAGGACCATCAACAACTTTGCCTTCATTGTGCCAATTCTGACCAACGTTCTTCTCCGCCGCCGAACAATGCACAAGGGACCTTTTTCGATGAACTTTGTCACCGGAATGACGGTCAATATCGTCGCTGTGCTGTGGCTTGTCTTCGCCATTATCTTTTTCTCATTCCCATATCAAATGCCAGTGACAGGTAGGCTTTGCCCTTAGGATCGGAATCAAACTTTGGAAGCTAACGGTGAGATATCTAGTATCAAACATGAATTACACCTGCGTGATCATCGGTGGCTTCCTTATAATCGAAATGGGTTGGTGGGTCATCGCGGGTAAACGATACTCGCGCACAGTCCAGCGAGCCCGGGAGGAAGAGGAGACAAGCAACACGGTGATTGTTGGCAAAGAGCAAAAGGCTTAAGCAAGAACCCTGAAAGGCCCACCTTACTTGGCACCTGAATATGACATCTACAGCCAACAAAAAGCCGCCTCATCTAGGTCGTCTTTTCCGTAGTATTATGTTGTAAATAGACAGTATCAATCCTCATGAGCGAAGTGAGATGATTGTGCGACCAGATCTCCATTCCCCGGTCTTAGGATCGCTACTGTGGGATGCTGACTTGGATCTCGAAGACCTCCCAATTGCCCCTTTTGAAGCCCACTCGATGTGAACGACCCACCTCGACAAGCAAACATTTTTCGTACCATCTCCGTAGCGCCTCACCACCCTGTTCGCCCTCTGGATCAACGGCCACCCCGGCGATAATATTCCGAACTCGCGTGCCCGAGCTGATACCTGGCCCACCCAGTTCGTCACGGCCAGCCACGGAGCAACTATGGTGTACCTGCCCCGCATCCACTAATCGAAAAGGCGCATTAAGCAAGCCGGTCCCGATTGATCGAGAATGATACTGCGGATGCACAAAGAGACTCTGCTCCACGGTCGGTGCGTAGGAGACAAGGTGCTCACGAAATGGGGACAGGTAGGCATATCCCAGGACAAGATCACTTGCATCTCCTGTCGTCGGCTTGCTATGTGATTCCATGGCTACCCAGTAGGGGAGACCCCGCGCCGTCAGATCTTGCCGCTTGGCTTCGTATGCGTCACGGCGATTTACACTGGACGATAATCCAATTTCATTATCACTTATACTGTGGTGGCTGAGCTGGATGTTCGCGATATGATGAGTTGGGAGAGTGATAGTCTGAACTTGGCAAAGCTTCTACCTGATCGGAGCGATCGAGTTTACGAGAAACTTATCATTTTGCGGATTACTCCATCACATCGGCAAGCAGTAGTCCAGACTGGTATTGGAGCAAGTCCATCGGCGTGAGATTACCATGCAGGTCCTATCTTTGCTATTTTTTATCGAGCAGGTCGAAGTATCCCGGGGCCGCTGCTTCCCCGCTTACACAGCCGGTCTTCTCATCTAACTGTGAATGGATGTTCCAAACCAAAGGCTCTTCTGACCCATTGAAAGCACCAGGCAAAGCATCAATCAAGAGGCCCTTTGAAGTTATGGCGTCGGATGTTCTTGACTTAGTCTTGCCCCTTCTACAGTGGATGTGAAGAATGTCGCGAATCCCTCATTGAGTCAGGAGACCAGCGATATGCTCCCTCTACTGTGTCAATCTGGCCTCGAGTTTGAAGAGCTTGCCAAGCAGGGCTGGATAAAGAAGCTTTGGACCAAGATCCACAATTTGACCTCCCGGTCAGGTTAAGCTCTTCGCTTTCAAGTCCGACAACACGGACCCCAGCCGAATTGTACTCCCCACCCAATTCCGGGCAAAGAATGCAATCCTAGTTTCTCGCGAGGTGCCATTTCCCTGATTGGCCGTTGTGGCTGTCTTAAAGAATCCAGCCGAAATTCTTACTCATGATTCAAGATCCCCGGTGTCGGAAGCGACAATCTTCACTCGCCGCTTTCCCGCTGAGAAATAGCTTAAAAGTATGCCGCTTGAGGCTCTATGGATCATCTGCAAGACAATTTTGCAATAGAGGATCACTACATGAACTTCTTCGTGGCTGATTCGCAGATGATCTGCTTGAACAGCTAGCGTTGAGCAGGCTGTTGTGATGACAGATTCTAGAAAAGGGGAGGAAACATGCTTGGCATTGTAGAGCAATGTATTCGGAATATTTTGCCGACGCGGTGAATTTGATCGCAGATCTCTGGTCAAATTTCTTCCTACAGTGGTATGATGTATATTCCATGGCAGGTGGGGAAGGGGGGTGAATTCCCTCTTGGCCTGCGAGTGCCATGTGGATCAGAGGGAATTGCTTGAGCACCAAGCTGACTCGACTTTCTTGGAGTCGGTTGATATCCGAGAGCGCACAACACCACACCGATGGAAAACATGCACCAAGAAAGCACCACGATTGGCGGATTGCACGGGGAGGTTTCGATGTTTAAAGATGAGCACAGGGGGGAATTGCAAGATGTGATTGGCCGAGCGAGTTGATTCCTCCCCCCGCCGACAGGCACCGCACGCGAAGCTCCACATATTGACAGGAACAGCGACGAATGCACAGCGCCTTCCTGATATCTCGTCAATCGAACATTCCATGCCGCCAGGGGGCTTTTTCCCAATTCCAACCAGTCCCAGTACCCGCTTATCTGCCGCCCCATTTTAGGATGAGGTGGTTAGATTTCTCGTGGGGTCTTTTTGGCCTATGAAAAGCCACCACGGCCACATGTGAGTATGTTCGTCAACACTCATTTGTGTTGCGCGCCAACCCCGCGGTCGATGCTCATCGGAGCTCATCCGCTATCTCACGCACGTGTAGCCTTTCTCTTCTCTGGGGACTCCGACATAAAGCCACGCGATGCGCGCAGTCTGGGAAATGATTTTCGTTCTTCCATCCCCTAGCATTCTCTTCCCCGAGGCCTAGCTTCAATATGAAGGCGAACACACTCGTTTCTGTCCTTGGCCTTTCAAGCAGCGCCATGGGCGCTGTCGCTTCTCCTCGAAGCACCCAGGAGCCCTTTGGTTACAAATCCGGCTCGAAAGAGTCCATTGCCAACCTGAAGGACAAGGTGGAGAACGTGGTCTGGATCCTTCTGGAGAATCGTGCTTTCGACAACATGCTGGGTGGTGTTCACCGCAATGGGCTAGACAACGTGGTCAACAATGGGCCTTTCTACAATCCCCAGCAGGTCAATGACCCCTCAAGCAAGAAGTGGCCTAGCCAGTACAAGGACTTTGACTCGGTCCTTCACGATCCCGATCACTCTGTGACCGGAAACAACTTCGAGTTCTACGGAACTTACACTCCCGATAACCAAGCCATCTCCAATGGCACCTTGAAGCCTAATCTGAAGGGCTTCGTGGACCGCCAGCTGTCTTCCTACCCTGGCCTCGATCCCCAGCGTGCCACCCAAGAAGTCATGGGCTACTACTCGGAGGACGAAGTCCCCACTCTGGGTTGACCTGGTTGATGAATTCACCACCTTCAACTACTGGCACTCTTGCGTGCCCGGCGTAAGTCAAGCTCTGGGTGATATCCATGGCACTGTACTGACAATTGTAAATAGCCTACCAACCCCAACCGTCTCTGCGCTCTTGCCGGAACGGCCGATGGCCACGGTAAAAATGACGAGAGCTTCTTGGACTCGACTGTGACCGTCAAGAGTATCTTCGAGGCCGCCACGGAGAAAGGAATCTCATGGAAGAACTACGACGGCACCGACGGGGCTTTCCTGCCGGATGCGCTCTTCTTCGACTGGACCGCCAAGAACGCCAACAGCAGCGTTGTACCTCTAGAGTACTTCTACCAGGATGCCTACCTGGGTCTGCTGCCCCAAATCTCCTATATCAACCCCTCCTGCTGCGGTCTGAACACCAACTCCATGCACCCCTCCGGCAACGTTTCTTTCGGCCAAGTTCTGCTGAAGCAGGTGTACGATGCTGTTCGCGCTGGCCCCCAGTGGGAGAAGACCCTTCTTCTCATTACTTACGACGAGACGGGTGGCTTCTTCGACCACGTTGCTCCTCCTGCTGCCGTCCGCCCCGACGATAAGACCTACACCGAAACTGCTCCCAATGGCGAGAGCTATACTCTCACCTTCGACCGTTTAGGGGGCCGTATGCCTACCTGGCTGGTGTCTCCTTACGCCCCCAAGGGCTATATCGAGAACTACGGTGTGGACCCAGCTACCGGCAAGGCCTCTTCCTACAGTGCTACCTCTGTTCTGAAGACCCTTGGCTACCTCTGGGATCTGGAGGACTTGACTCCTCGTGTGGCGCACTCTCCTGCTTTTGACCACTTGATTGGTCCCTGGCTTCGCCCGTCGAAGGAAACTCTCCAAACCCCCCACACCTTTCCTGATGCTCAGTAGAAAGAGAGCGTAACGAAAACTGCGCAAAAATGCTTTCATGGAGGCAATAGACCTTGGCTAACTCGCGTGATGTATTATGTCATTAGAAAGGTATTAATTACGAATCAGATAATGAGTTGAACATTACTGGTCAACACTATGTACCAATCTGTTTCTATGCCATGATTAGGCTATTGGATGATCTGCGTCTGAGAACGTCACATGAGCAATACTAGGCTCGTGTGAACCCTACATTACTATAGACTCGTCGTTGGGAATAAGATCCTGTACGACTGAAGGAGGCCAATCATAGTAAGAATTTCCTTAAGTAGTAACTCAATGGCAGCATTTGAGACCCAACTAATCACTGAGTGTTCGTGGGCTATCACATGCGCTAGCTAGTGAGGATAGTAGGAGACTCGACGGTGGTTGCAGACGCGCCCCAAGCATCCTCCGAGCGTCTCCCGATTCTCGTCCGGGACTGCGGAGGGATCGTAAGTTGTACAACGCGTGACAACTAGTATTGAATCACCGCTGTCAAGGACTTTGAGATCCCACATATTAGTACTGATATTAAAGGCACTCCTGGTGTTTGAATCCGCCCTCTGTTATCGAAATATGAGAATTCTGGAATCCTACACTCCTACCGGTTGAAATCCCTCCACGGATTCTCGGGTGTGAGATCGGAACAGCCCTATGGGGCGATATTCCTACCTTGGCGCCTGATGCGGGATTTGGTGCCTCATGTGGTATGCACTGGGGAAGAATCCATCGGAGCCAGCGCGGTCATAATTGGCGAGGCCATATGCTGCGCTTCGAAAATAGCAGCAGAAGTACTTAGGGCGTTGGTAAGCCCGATCGCCGGGGTTGCCTCATTTTGAGCACGGTAAGCTGGAATTTGATTCGCTGACTCGTCTCGGCGCGCGAGACCAAAGAGGGAAAGCGAACTATGGTAAGCTTTTCTTGCCCCAGCGGAACACCTTAGCGGCCAGAACTTTAGACCGCAACCTACCTTGCATTTTTCAGTCCGTTTTTGGAGGAAGAAGAACCGTTGCAACCTAGAGTGGGGACTGTCATTGCTTAGCCGATCCGCGGGATTCGCGGGCGCGAATTCAGGATCGATAGCCGCATCTTGGTTCGACTTACGAACCTCGTACCAGGCAGCAATCGAGGGTGCATTGATGAGGGCTTTTTCGGATGGCCCATCACATCTGCATGCTTCTGCCTTTTGAGGGGCTCCATGTTTCGCAATCCAGTGGTGCGATGGATCTATTCAACGTGGTAAAACTCGGAAGAAATTGGCTACGGCTCCGGGCCAGTCAATCGACGGGCTGGAGAGGCTTGTCTGGAAGGTTAATATCAGAACCCTGGTTGAGTTTCAAACTGGACCTGTCAGGCACCAGCATTTCCACTGCGTTCTGTGGGCTGCAGTCGGCCGAAGTCGGCTAGTTTGTACGTGCTCCAAGGGTGCTTGTAGAAGTAATTCGGATTTTTTGATTCGATGGACGGTGTCCCCACGTCTTACCAGCGCTTCCCATGCTGTAGATCAGAGTGCTCTAGCTTCGGGACCGCTGAGAATACCTATTTCGGTCCCCTGGTTCATTCAGCCCCGTAGTAGATGATAATTATGGGTGTGACCACTGTCGGCCCAGCTTGAACCAAATCTCATTGCCTAAAAGTGGTGGCGTACTACTGGGATTCCACCGGATTAGAGTGAATGGTCCAGGGTATTAGAAGGAGGACACGGACGAGTGGTACAACCTTTCATGTGGGATTTCCTGCGCGCTTTCTTCTTTTTCTCTCGTATACCCTGTTCGTCCTGATTTAGAAGGCACCATTACGCAAGTCAAGCTTCGTCTTCCAGCCTCTGGCTTCACCCTGACTTCTTCCCCATCGTCTCTCTTACGGTCTTGATCTTCCTTCGATATCCGATCAGGTTATTTGATATTTCTCCGACCATGACTGATCTACTGCCTCGGCCTCTTGAGGCGGTACCCCCCCATCTTGATCACAGCTGCGCCAGATCTTAAAGCACCATCTGTCACCGATTTCCCGCTTCCCACCGGGAAAACTGACAAGAAGAAGCGAACGCGCCGGGGTCGAAAGGGGAATACTAACGACGCCCCGAAGAACCGCAAACCGCTACTGCTGGAGGAACTCGGTCACGCATTGCTTGACCAGCTCTATGCTCCCCCGTTGGACGACCAGCTAGTCGCCTCCAATGCATCCATTATCGAGCATCTCCGAAGCAATGTTTCCAATGCTCCCACCCCTTCAAGTGCCAGCTATCGAAGTGGAAGCACTCGCACCCTCATTGACGTCGATAGCACACCAGCCACGAGTGTGGATGGCAGAGGCACGTTCGAGCTTTCTCCGGAATCGAGCTATTTTTCATACCTGAACCCAAGCAGTCGTCCTCAATCAAAAGCGAGCAGCCTTCCGCAAGACCAGAGCGAACAAGAAGACAACCAGGAGTGTGGCGTTTTCTCTCTGGAGGACTTTTCGACCATGACAGCCATCCAACGCCTGACAGCTCTATATGGCCGAGTGGCAAACATGGGGATGTTGGATCCCAGTTATCGATTCTTCGTCAACAAATCTCGCACCGCAGCCCTTTCCTTCAAAATCCAAAACCGAGTCGCCATTGTCGGGGGAGATCCTCTTTGTGAGCCCAACCCCCTCAGCATCCAAGGTGTATTGGACGAATTCGCAGAATACCGCCGACAACGTCGCTTGGGGATAGCGTTTATGGGAGTGAGCCGCTCTTTTGTCGAGAAGCACGTGAATCTAGAAGGATCGAAGACCAGGCGCACCAGCATCCGATTCGGGACCGAGCGTGTCCTGAACCCCCAAACCAACGACATCCTGTTCGAGCGCAGCGGGAAGCGCATTGCCGTCCAAAATCGCCAACTCCTTCATCCTGACAAAGGTGGGATCACTCTCGGTGTCTACGTGCCAGCTATGCATGGGTCCGACACGCAACTCCAAGAGGAGCTCGTTGCCATCTATGACGCATGGCGCGCAGAACGCAATGGCAAGTCTGGCCCACAAGCATTTATCACCGTCTACAACCCCTTCGCGCTCCCCTCCCTCATGACATTCGTTTACAGTCGTGGTCCGGATAACCAGATCAACGGCTTTGCGGCACTACGTCGTCTTGGGAATGGGGGCTATCATATCGACCCCTACATCGCCGCCCCGGGTAGTCCCAAGGGCATCAGCGATTTGCTGATTGTTGCCTCTATGGCCCTTCTGCACCGAGCAGGCGTTTCGTATCTAGGGATGGGCTTCGAGCCGCTGCACAACCTGGAATATGAGGACGTTAATGGCATGCCGAGCCCGCTGGCACACATGACGAGGGAATTTTATGGGCTTACCTTCCAACGGCTCCCAATCCAGGGCAAGAAGACGTATCATGACAAGTTCCGCCCAGACCCGGAGCAGGACTCTGACCTTTACATCGTTTTCCCGGATGGCTTCCCTGGACCTCGGCATATGCTAGCCATGATGCACATGGCGAATATCAGTCTACGCAAAGTGATGTGGGCTGATATGCAGGGTTGGATGTCACGACGCAAGTCGAAAGACACACTCTCAGAACCGTCGCCTGAGACTGCTCCGGCCAACAAAGACTAGTGTATTCAATTGTGTGATCTTGTTTATTTCAGCGGGGGGAGTACAAAACACGGATCTGTGACTTGCCGAGGCTGCTGTAACATATGCCTTAGCGAGGGGGGACTTTTTCATTCTTGTATCATAGCCTGGCGTTTGCTTTTGGGGGGAAGCTGTCCTTTCGTGGATGGCCAATTTCGTTCTTTGCACCAAATTCTCGTTTGTTAAATTGCATCCGCTTTTTGCCTACTCTCAATTTTTGCAAAGCTTTTCAGCTCCCCGACCCGGCTAGCGAAGCTCATCATTAGATTGGCCCTCGCAAACGAGCAATGAGGTGAGTACCCGACTTTCATTTTACTCTTTTGAGTGTAGAAGCGCCAGGCTTCCTACAAGTAAGATGGCCTCATATCGTAGGGAAACCACGGACTCCAGGGACTAGTACTAACAGTATAATTCTTGCCCTTGACGAGAACATATTGGAAATCTGATCTGAATATTGTCACACTTGGCTAAATCCGGTGCTGTATAACTCCGATGCAAAAATGAATGTTCCCACGGCAGAATCAAAGGAGTCTGCAAGCATGCAAATGCGTCGCCGATCCATATCCCACGTTAGGAAAGTCGACCGAAGAGAAAGTCTTTCACGACAGGGGAGCTTGAGAACTCTGGGTTCAGAAGAACACAGCTACAATGTTTAAGCTATCATTCAACACCTGAAAATCTACCAGGGACACTCACTTGAGGAAATATTCCAATCCGGCCCGTCGTTGTTCAAGGAAGTCAGGGCGGAATTTGACTACGTCCGTATTAGCATATGTCCAAGACGCTAGCAGCAGACACGCTCACATAAAACGCTTTTAGGCGGCAAAGCAGGAAGGGCATTTTTCGCATGCGGGAAAGATAAGACTAGCCGCTGTCGTAGATCATCAAATTCGGAGTATCTGGCAAGGTCAGTGTCAATTTCCGCTTGACTGGGCCAAGCTGCAAACGTAGAACACACCTCATACGAACAACCATCGGGCCACCCTGCAAGAACCATTCCAATTAGCCAACCACACGCCAATATACAACGCGCATCATGTCACCCACATCAAGCGTCTGTATATTGCAATTCCATACCACATACGCCCCAACCCCCGTCCTCCCACGCACCACCACATGATCGTCAATGGTGACGCTCCGCGCCCACAGCCCCCGACTCGTCTCCGAGTCCGGGTCAGCCGTATGGTCCTCTAGCGTGATAAGCGTGGACCGGAGCGATGCCTGCGACGCGCGCGACGAACCGCGCTCATGGCGCTGCCAATACGGTGGGACCACGCCGGAGACAGGGCGGGCTTTCGGGGAACCGGTGGGGAGCATCCTGGGCACTTACGCTTGGTTCCAACGATTGGGGCTCGGGCTGGAGGAGGGTGGAATCGGTCGTGTCGTCGGGGAGGTCTGGAGAATCGTCGGCGTGCAAGTGCGGAGAGTGCAGCTGAGGGGCCGCCGGGGCGGCGTCCTCAGACGCGTTGCCCTCCATCCATTAGCTATTCGAGCAGACTCAGTGGGGTATGCCTGGCGGGGGCTGCATTGGTGTTAGCTAGTGTACGCGATCTATGGTCCTTTTTGAGAAGGTTTCGGGGGGGGGGCGTATGCAGTGGTCGGACCGCTCATGCGGGGATGCTACCAACGGGGGGGAGGCGCTGGTTGGAGGGTTCGGGAGGAACGTTTGGATGAAGTGACGGGTGCAAGGGCTGTGGGAGGCGCACTCGGGAACTGTGAGACAAGGACCACTGACCTTGAGACCGAGCGTTCCGAGTTTAAGCGGGCAGAAAAGATTGCTGATGGCAAGATTGCAGGGCGATCTGGGTTTCTTTAAGATCTCCACTTTGTTCATGAGTTCAAGGGCGGTTGCGGGGATATGTTAGTAAGCAGCAGTTTGCTCATCTGGGCACCGGTCTTCATCTTCATCTCTTGTCCGGCTTCATATTAGTGTGGGTAAATTCCTCAGATCTGATTTTATGCTCTGTTTAGTTTCTAAATGATTCCCTTTGCTAACTTTCTCCTCAAATTTATCATGAGTCATCCACACATGGTTGATTCGGGGTCCTCAAAGAAATGCTCCTAAGACCCGCTTATCGTCGATGGCTCTGCATATTGCATTAAAGACCAGTCCTACTATGTAGCATGAGCGAATGGTCTTACACAGGATAATCGAGCGCGATACACGAGGATAAATCTGAAAGTTGGTTACCGAATCTACCTAGCTCGTGTCTCTGATCGGGACTTTCAGAACCACAAAGATGTATAAATCACCTGGAATAGCGCCTTCGTGGTAAAGACAGCAGGTAATGAAGAAATATTTGGATCGAGTCAAGTAGTGGCCAGTTCATTATAAGTTCATTCTCCGATGCCAGTGCATGTCGGATAGATGCAGCATACCGTAATTTGTCCCAGCAGGAGTTCTAATATATTAGTATAACGAAATACCGTGCTGTCTATGTGCTATTCCTCGTTGCGCAAAGCAGCTGTCGTACATGGGTAGACGAGTATCACAACAGTAACTGTCTTATCTTCTGGTCTACAATATGTGAAACGGCGCCTTTATGCCTAGGTCAAGGTTTGCGCGTGACTTGCTTGCTTTTTAGCCTGTGAGTACGACTTTGAGGTGCTTCCTTTATCCAGGGGTATATCTTCTACTTTCTTCCAAAACTGCCCTAGAAAATGGCTTTTATCTACCTTATTCTAGTGCTTCCCTTTGATTCTTAATCTTTTAATTTCAAACATACTATTATTACCAACAGGACAGGAGGGGAGCTACGAGGGATTGGCGCTTTGAGGTGAGTCTACGAATAATGTGTTCCCTTCTTAACTTCAAGGTCGCTCGTCGACAAGACTCTACTAGTAGAACCTCAAGCTTTACTAGTAATAGTCCCTAGCCTAACGTGCACTAGTCATCGGGTTTCATTCCTTAGTCCCCGCAAAGATGCCACCCACTATCCTGGTCATGTTCCTCTCGGCTGCAGCCGTCGCAAGCAGCCAGTATATGGCGAACCTTATTCCGGACTCAGTTCCACTGGCCACAAGACGTAAATCGGATCGTGAACGTATATCGAACGTGCTATACTAATATACGAGTTGTAGAGTCATGGTGCCAATCCCAAACTTCTCAATGCCCACTCATCTGTTTGCAAATACCAGGCGCAAAAGGCAGCCCGACCCAAAATACCTGCTCAGCTGTAAGCCATTGCTACTCCTCCCTGCTATATCAATGCTGATCTTTCAGGACACGCTTGCCTACCAATGTGTCTGCAGCAATGGCCTTTCTCCTAACGCATCTCAATACTCCTTGACTATGCCCTATTATATCTGTACCGAGACGGCGACTCAATGCGTCAATAAATGTTCAGACTCCGCCTGCCAGTCTGCTTGTCGCAACGATCACCCCTGTGGTGCTCAGAAGCCCAAAATTGCGAACACCACTGCGACTTCGGCCACGCCTGTCATAAGCACAAGTGTGGCGAATATCCAGGCGACAAAAGTACCTACCGCGGGTGCATCACAATCTTTCCCTCTCGGCAATGGCTATATCCTTCAGTCTTGTGTGCTTATTGGAGGCGTAATTGCTGGGCTTGCCGCTCTTCCTTAGGGCCACTCACCAATGGGATTCACCTCAAGGAGAGGTATGCTAATGGAGGGCATGTGTCTACCATGGCAATGATGACCTAAGTCTCGCAGACTATATATGCTTTTTTTTTCTTTATGCATTGATATTGTGTTTACTTTATAACGTGCTGGCCCTTGCGGTCTGCATAGCATTAAACCTAGTATAGTCTGCTCTGTCCTGCACTAATGCTGCCATGTTCATTTACTTGAATTCAAAGATCGAGTCTTGACTGGATGCTTCCTTAGAAAGCTACTACCAGGGTATCTCAATTAAATCTTAGCTCGTAGCTTAGTGCTATCCATCCTCTGACCTTCATCATCTTGCTCTGCAACTTCCAGTGTAGGAAACGCCGCAGGCATAATGCGGCGTGGCGTGGAGCCTGGAATGACCGAATACTGAGAAAAGTCGGTGACTCCGCATTTATTTCTCAAGAAATCCTCGTCCGTTTCTAACATTCCATTTACCGTTGTCACAGGGGCCTGCAGCATCTTCAATATCGCATCGGAGAAAATCGCCTACGAAAACTGTCAGCCAAACATTCGGGAATAAGGTCTTGGGCATCCCATACAGGCTTTCGGAGGTCCTTTTTGTACGAAACATCTCCTGAATTGTTTTTCTCCGTAGCTGCTGACTCAATTGCCTTATTCTATCAGCTTTGGCTCCGCCGGATCAGTAAACCTTGGATCACATACCGAGGCAGGCCAGATACTGGTGATGGCCATATCTGTACGGCCCTGGCGCTGAAAGTCCATTGCCAGTCCTTTTACCAAGACACTCATACCAACCTTGCCTATCTCATTGTCAATCCGGTATAGCTGTCAATGTGGATCCACTCATTTCTTACCCATAGCATAAGCTGTCTTTCCACGAAAGAATCGTGAATAAATAGGAGGCGAAACGACAATAATTCGCCCTTTCCAGCCGTTCTTACCAAAATGCGGCAATGCGGCCTGTATGGAAGCATACAACCCTTCTGGGTTGATTTGCTGCATCAGTCGGAACCGCTTAAGCGGCGTATTCTCCACGGAAGACCACCAAATGGCACCGGAATTGTACACAAGAGCGTCTAATTTGCCAAAGACACGGACAGTCTCGTCGACTGCATATTGAATCTGTGCAGCATCTCGCACATCAACTGCAACAGCGAAGGCTTGGCCGCCCGCTTCTCGAATCTCCCGCTCCACGGTATTGATAGTGGATTGTGAGGAGTTCGGGTTTGGTGGGAACGGAGTAGTTTTGGACGCATCTGAGGTTGTTTTGGCAGCCAATACCACTGGAGTGAAGTCAGCTTTGGTATGCTTTAGTGTACTTTACGAGCTCACACCTGCATATCCATTTCTGGATAAGTCTATGGCCACCTGGCGACCAATTCCCCGGGAAGCACCCATGACTAGGGCCACGGGCTGTTGGGACGACATTCTGGGAACCGACTCCGACTGAAAAAAAAAATACAATGAGTCTCTAGTATTCGAAGTTAATGGCAGAACCAATAGCCTTGCCTTGCAGTCAAATGGACCTTTATCCTCTTAGTCCACGGGGGTAGCTGCCTTGATATAGGTTACTCTACCCCGAGATTTGTTAATCAAGAAATTCGGAGGTCATCTATGTCAACAATGTCGTAACTGGAATCTCCACCACATGTCACATTGCTTGAGTGGAAAGAGTGCTGTGGAGTTATAATAATTTAGTGATTATTCACGCACCCGAGGCTCTCCAGTATCCCGAGGCCGTTCCATCATTTGGCGCCTCCGCGTTTGGGCGTTTGATGCAAGGCGGGTCCTTGGGCGGTCAATGTGGCGGTCAATTACTGCCCTATAGTTTCCAGTCAACAGCCCGTCACGATCCAACAGGCTTCACGCTTGCAATCCTTAGTGGTCTTGCCTTATCTCTCCCAAGTCGAGCAAGAGCAAAGATACACTTGTCTAGTTCCAACACCTGAACCCATCTCTCCCATCCTTCCTCGCTTCCAGCAAGAACCCGCCCCCGGGCTGGTGGTCTCGACGCCGCCGAGATGGACACCCTACCTCCCGCCGATGCGTTTGCTCCGGCGGCAGAGGATTCCTACTTGGCGAACAATTCGAGTGGTCGGCCAGGTACCGCATCCGTAGGGGCGGATGGCTCTCTCAAGCTCAAAGTCGATGGTGGGTTATGGCTCCTGCGGGGTTATTATCCGCGTGTTCACCGATAAGAGCCTCAAAGACAAATATACTGACATTCGGGCTAGAACCTCCTAAGTTTGACCTCGAGCCATACATATCAAATTATTCAGGTAGAACCACAGATTCATAGCGAGGCTGAGTCTCTTTACTCATCATTCTCATCGCCAGGCCGGACACGATTCAACCGACTCTATCTTATCGGCACAACTTCCACCGTACTATCTGTTGACGCACTGAAGGCTGCAATCGTCGAGGCAAAAAACGGAAAGGACATCAAAAATTACGAAAGAGCTGTCCGTGCCTTGGCCGAAGTAGCGCCAAAGGAGCCAGAGGCATCTCTGGATACTGTATGGGCCCAGAACCTTCAGCGGAATATCAGCGCCCAGACGGAGCGTTTGGAGCATGAACTTCGTGGCTACAAAAATAACCTAATCAAGGAGAGCATTCGCGTAAGTAATCACGCTTTGCTTTCCGATATTTTGACAGCAAAGCTGATTTTACTAGATGGGTAACGAGGACTTGGGGAATCACTACTATGAAACTGGTGACATGGTGGCCGCGTCAAAAGCGTATTCCCGCATGAGAGATGTATGCACAACCCCAAACCATATTACATCGATGATTTTTAAAATGATCAACGTCTTCATTGAACGCAATGACTGGTTGGGCGTTGCATCTTACGCTGGTCGACTTCGCACCACTCAGGCCAAACCTGAGGAAATGGCCAGGAACCAGCCCAAGATGGCCAGTGCGCTTGGCCTCAGTCAGATGCATTCGAACCAATTTTTTGAAGCTGCCAAGACCTTTCTCTCCGTCGATCCCAGCCTCGCGGATACCTACAATGAAGTCCTTACACCAAACGATGTTGCCGTCTACGGTGGCCTCTGCGCCCTGGCCTCGATGAACCGCAGTGAGCTCCAACGGCTAGTGCTAGACAACAGCACTTTCCGCAACTTCCTTGAACTTGAGCCCCACATCCGTCGCGCTATCGCCTTCTTTTGCAATTCCAAATTCCGCCCATGCCTTGAAATTCTAGAAGCATACCGCGCAGACTACCTTCTCGACCTCCACCTTCAGCGTCATGTAGCTACTCTCTACGGCCGCATCCGTACGAAAGCCATTCAACAATTCCTTCTTCCTTTCAGCAGCGTCACCCTCGATTCCATGGCGGCGATCTTCGCTCCCGAGGTTGTGGGTGGGCAGGCCCGCCCTACCGGTACCATGTCACCTTTTGTGCACGAGCTGATTGGTCTCATCAAAGACGATGTCCTTGACGCTCGTATTGATCTTGAGAAGGGATTGCTGGTGTCCAACCAGTCTGATCTAAGAAATGAGGTACAAGCAGAGGCGCTGGAAAGCGTGCGTTCTTTCAATGACGAGCTCCATTTGCGTACCCTCCGTGCGTCTGTACTCCACGCTGGCCTTCAGCTCTCTCCTCCGGACCCAGAAAGAAAGACAGGGCGTGGACGGATAGCAGCCAGTGCAGGAAAGGGCCCTCGAGGCCAAGGACTGGCTGGCTACTAATGAACCTTGTCTGGATCTAGACGAGGTTCATCGAGGGATGGCACTTCTATTATGAGGATGCCTTTCACTAGGTTAAATGAGGCATGAGATAATACCCATATCATTCAAGGATCGAAATGAGAAAAAAAAGAAAATCGATTGCTCAGTATCAAGGCTATTCTCTCTTGCCCTGCTCGTCCACCTTCCGTAGTTTCGCCCAGCTAGATCGCGCTGGCTGTTGCGATTTCCACACTCCCGCGGGCCAAGGATGAGATTTTTGCTTAGAAGAAAGAATGGAGTGGCCCCAGGCAAGCTCTGCGTGCTTATCTTTTGCGGTCCCATCGTCCCGTCATGGGGTGTAGATATCCGGCAGTTCATCTGTCAAAAATCCCAAGTCCACCAACAGATCCCAGGTGGAGGGTTTCTTTGACTCCAATCTGTGTTCGATGCTCACGCATCGCCAACCCCGTGGAGTCGGGTCTTCCCCTGTGATAATTTGTAAGTGATGCAGATGCCAATCCCGTCTGATGTCATTGCTTCAATTCCTGAAACCCCTGGCTGTCTTGTTCCCTTTCATGCACTGAGGGTAATGATTTCACCGGGGACGGGTTAGGGCGCCGGAGTAGGAGGAATGCTGCAAGGCTTAGCTACGCCTTAATGTCTCGAGAAAAGGATTCAGGCAATCAAGAAGATCTCCTTCGAAGAATGTCGAATCAGGACGATCCCAGAACAGCGGGACGGCCCACTCGGTCTCAATTCTTAGGGTCGGTGTCCTCGTACACTCTGTTGCCCGAGTCCCCGTACGCTCCAACGCAGCGCCACCCAATTCTTCGTCCAAAATCATTCATATATCAATTGGCAGTCCCACCCTATCTAGTCGGGGGGAAGCATCCGTCAGCAGTTCACAGTGCGACGTTGGTCTCATTTAGTATCTGATTGTTGAACGGAAGGAACTCTGTGGGTTGTACAAGATCGAGAAGCCTTCATTTCACGGATACATGCAAACAAGGCCTCGTATGTATCTTCTCATCTTATGATGTATGCTCAGAGAAATCCTTCCACGCAGGCATGATGTTCCCTACACCGATGCCTTCCGAATCTCGAATTCGTACTTCTTCTCCCAGTGAGGGTGAGAGGGCCGGGCGCCACGCCATGGAGTCAACCCGGGTGCATGAGACATATTGCTCGCAGTCTGGAGTTATGATGGATGAGAACTTTCCTACACAAAAGGCGTCCTACTCCCCGACGCCGTTCTCTCTTCAGCACTTCGGTGCTTACAAAATCGAATCACCGGTCAGAGCGGCTGAGTGTACGACCATTCCATCTTCTGAAATCTGTTCTTCTCCGGCTTCACAGTCTCCTGTCTTGGGTTCTCACGGCAGTGAAGTAGAGTTGGCTTCACAATCTCATGCGTCTGGCCGAGAATCGCAACTCGGGTCGAGCCCGCAAGAGATGTATGAACATCTATGGGTGGGATCGCCTCCACTAACGGCGATTCCTGAGGAGAGAGCTGAGGATGCAGCTAACGAGCCTCTATTGAATCCTTCAAGTGCGGATGTCTCGAAAGTATCAACCGTCAATTATGAGGCTTCAGTGCCAGGTGACTGGAGCACGCCTGCTGCGATGATACACCCAATACCGAGCGACGGCCCGCTCAGCAACCCTACAACACTCCCGATACCGCTGCCTCTGCAAGAGGCAGTAGGAGTAACATCAACAGACCCCAACGCCTCACCCTTAGAGAGCTTTCAAAACTCGCCAGGCGCGGGTGATAACGACGACAGTTCATCGGTCGTATCCGTGAACGAGGGTGCCAGCACTTTTTCCGATGGAGATTATTATTCGGACAACTCGAGCTACACTGCTTCATTGCTTTCGGATGTAAAAAACTACTCCTACGAAAATGGCCGACGCTACCATTCCTATCGTGAAGGGCACTACGTTCTGCCGAACGATGACCAAGAGCAGGATCGTCAAGATCTGCTCCATCATGTTCGCAACCTCGTGTTAAGCGGCGCGCTTTATCGAGCTCCTCTGGGCCCAGACATCCAGCGAGCCTTGGACATCGGCACCGGCACCGGTATCTGGGCCATTGATTTTGCCGACAGCCACCCCAGCGCTGAAGTCACAGGGACCGATCTAAGTCCGATCCAGCCTTCTTGGGTTCCCCCCAATCTACGATTTCTTGTCGACGACGCTGAATCGCCCTGGCTGTTCAATGCTCATCGGCCGTTTGACTTCATCCACGCCCGCGATCTGGGCGGTGCAATTGCCGATTGGCCGCATTTGCTGCAGCAGGCTTTCACACATTTGCGTGGCGGTGGCTGGATCGAGTTGCAAGAGTTTGAAGTGACTCTGAAGTCGGACGACGAGTCGCTTCGTCGGGCTCCGGTGTTGTGCGAGTTTCTCGGCCGTCTGCATCAGGCGAGCGAGGAGTTCCACCGGCCTATGAATATCGCCGAGGGCCATCGGCAGCGATTGATAGAGGCTGGTTTTGAAGAGGTTAGGGATGAGGTCTTCAAGGTATGACAGAGTTTATGAACTCGTCCTTTTTGTTTGTCTTTTTGTTTGTCTTTTTGTTTGGCCTTTTTTCCCCGCGCTTTTTCTGCCTCTGTAGTTCTTTTCGTCCCGTGTTCTCTACTTTATTGCTCCCTTGACTGTTTGGTTCAACGTGTTGTCCCGCAATCCCGGATATGTGAAATTCTTTATCCGCGTCTAATGATGCCAATAGGTTCCGTCAAGCAGTTGGCCAGATGATCCGATTCAGAAGCAGATTGGTCGATATAACCTGTGCTCCCTCCTGATGGCTGTGGAGTCGTACTCGTTGGCCCTTTTCACTCGCGTGCTCGGGTGGTCCAACACGCAGACACAAGTGTTCCTCGCTGGAGTTCGCAGAGATCTCAAGAACCCCCGAAGTCCATACTTATTGCAATCTTCATATTGTCTACGGTCGGAAGCCGAATTATGGTCGGAGCTTGGATTAAGAATTCGGCTGCCCGGGGGTTGGTTTGTCCTTACATGTAGATTTTGAATTTGGACTCTAGCTTGTTTCAGAATCAAACGCTTTCTAGGACGGGGAGAGTGTACGTATAGGTAGCGTGCCAACACGACTCAGCAATGAGTGACCATAAGAAGTGACAGGGAAATGACGGGGATCTGATGAGAAAAGGTGAAAAAGAGAAGTGAGCAAAGAAAGCCCAACCTGTACCTCACCTCCACCTTCCCTCTTGTCACCAACCACAGCCAGAGTCTGCCCAGACTTTTGTTTCAAACCTTCAGTCAGCTTCAGAAGCTGGATTTGGCTTTTGCTTGACTGTTTCTGGCCTCTTTCTCCGTCTCCCATTGTATTCTGGTGCAACCACTGCTGCTCCGGCTTCACAGCTTTTTGACGTGTCTGGAGCCCCGCGAACCTTCCTGGATCACACTCCTACTTTCTAGTACCTCTGAGGCACTCCATGGCCCCAAAGTAGTAATCAATATGGCCATTGGAATGTACAAGGCGTTGGCGATCTCCTCGCCTCAAGTGCTCACGATGCTCTTCTGCACAACCTACGAAGTCCTATTCTGGATCGAGTCTGCAGTGGCCCTGGTAAGTTGCATTCTTCGTACGCCCTCGAGTGCAGGTGTAAGACCCGATGGCTGGGACTAGCCCGATTTCCGCGTTTTGTGTCTTGGCCCTTTTCCTTTCCTTTGACCCATCTGATGCATCGTCATACGATTCTTTACGGTCTTTACTAACCCCAGTTGCCCGTGTGATTTACCAGACTCTACTTTGGCTCTTGCTGGACGCGATCTACCAACTTTATTGGTCCTCGCTCCATCAATTCCCGGGCCCAAAGCTCTGGGCCGTGTCCCGCGTTCCCTTGCAGCTGTCGGTCCTGCGCGGTTACAACCACCTCGACATGACAGCCTTACATGAGAAATATGGCCCAGTGATTCGAATCAGCCCTTATGAGCTTGCGTTTAATACTCCTGGGGCATTCCAGGACATCTATAGGGCGAGGCCTGGTGGATGCTTCCTGAAGGATCGTACTCACTATCTCCCTCCAGCCAACGGTACCGACCACCTTGTCTGCGCGGTGGACCATTCGGTGCATGCCCGCCAGAGAAAGCTTCTCGCACATGCCTTTTCAGACCGGGCGCTACGAGAACAGGAAGGGTTGGTCCAAGGATACGTTGACACTCTGGTCACCAAGTTACACGGAGAGATTGAAAAGACCGGCTCGGAGGCAAGCGTCGATATCAAACAGTGGATGAACTATACGACATTCGACATCACTGGGGACTTGATGTTCGGTGAATCATTTGATTGCCTCAAGGACAGCCAGCTTCACCCATGGATCCAATTGATCTTCAAGTCCATGAAGGCTCTCTCCTTTGCGGGCGTGGTCCACCAATTTCCCCTTCTTCGTTACTTATCAAACTTCTTGATCCCTAAAGAGGTTACTCACAAAGCGAAGCAGCATTTCGATATTACTGCCGAGAAAGTCGATCGCCGACTAGAGGCACGAGTCACTCGGCCAGACTTTATCTCCGCCTTGCTGCAGAACGGGGTGAGAGAGGGGAGTAAAGGACCATACACGGACGGGGAAAAGACGTTAAGCAGAGCAGAGATTCACTCGAATGCTTTCATGTAGGCTGAACTTTTCATCTACCACTTTATCTGGCGCTAATATATTCTGTGCTCCAGCCTCATCATCGCAGGAAGCGAGACATCCGCAACACTGTTGAGCGGCTGCATCTACTATCTCTGCACGCATTTGCAGGTGATGCACCGACTCGTCTCTGAGATCCGCCGCTCCTTCCTCAAAGAAGAAGATATCAACTTTCGCGACGTAGCAGCTCTTCCGTATCTCGCGGCAGTCATCGAGGAGTCATTGCGCATGTATCCGCCGTTTGTCACAAGCTTAGCCCGAGTTGTCCCCAGTGGAGGCTCAATGATTGATGGGCACTTTGTGCCGGGGAATGTATGTGCCCGTGCTGGGTTGCGGTCGATACGCTGCTAAATTCTATTTTAGACTATTGTCTCCTGCCACCACTATGCATCGTATCGATCTCCTACCAACTTTTCCTCGCCCAACGACTTTATCCCGGACAGATGGCTTGGTCAGAATGCTCGCTTTACCGGAGATAGGAAAGAGGTACTACAGCCCTTCAGTCTCGGGCCTCGTAACTGTCTTGGAAAAAGGTACGCTCCCAAAAGTAAATTCGAGATCTGGGATCTGAAACTAACTGTCCATGCAGGCTGGCGTACAGCGAAATTCGCCTTATACTTTGCAAACTTTTCTATCATTTTGATGTGACTCTGTCTCCGGAAAGTATCAACTGGACACAACAAAAAGTTCATTTCTTATGGGATAAACCCGCACTTATGGTCAGACTTCGCTCTCGATTTGCAGCGAATGAGAAGCAGAGAGCATGATCTGCGTAAAATCGCTGTCGAGGACCGGCCCTGACGTGATTTACTCTAGCATCCTTGAAGAGTAAAGGTGCCAATGGTTCTCTAACATCCATCGATATTGCTTTGTACCTGCACTGGGCGGCTGTTCTAGTCCCGGATGATCCTTTCTGCTTCTACTCGGATGGGCGATCTGTGTTCCCTTGCATGGCAATCATAGGTATTCATGAATAGCCACATTTTCTCATTCAAGGATTGACGTCCTGTAAATACGCATTTGCTGTAATCTTGCCTAATCCTACTCCAATAATGTACGATATTCCTATTCAAGTTCTGATTTCACGTGGATCTACTCTAGAGACTACTTCCTTGCCAACCTTGACGCTCCGTCCGCGGCAGCACTCACAACCAGTGACGGACTTCCGATGGGGTCTCCTTTGCTTCCCCGGGTCTAAACTCGGCGCCAGTGGTACTTCCAAGCGTGTAGCGGCGGAAGTTGATGCACAGGATAGCACGAATGTATTCATGGAACCCACTGAGAAGACCACAGCGCTCATCCCCAGTCGGGCAGAGGGACCCAGCAGACAACATAGCGACTATGAGCAACTGTCGTCTTCCGGTCCCCCTGTCAAGCTGGAGCTAAAAGATGGACGTAAGCTACGATGGGGACGCGACCCCATGTAGACCTCGCCATGGAACTTCCACGGGTAGGGATTTTGGTTCCAGTTCCGTGGGACGGGTAGGCAAGTCCTACCCATTACCCATCCCCGTCTACCCAGTGTAGACCATGGGGTACCCGCGGGTTACCCACGAATTACCCAAAAATGCATAATTACCCCTTTTTTGGACATGCCAAGCTGTATAAAATCGCTTACTCACCCAAGTAAATTACAGTTTTTAACAGCTGTTCTGGTTAGCCTCTAGTTTATGAAGCGATACAACCACATTGACTACGTAAATTAAGTATTGAAGTTGAAAAGCGTTATTAGTAGCTCTGGTAATAGTGGTTTGTATCTATATTTAATAGATTAAACCTTATGGTAGATGGTTGTAGGTAGTATTGTGGATTATATATTGTCAACTGTTGAAAATATATATTTACACTACAAGGGAGTAAGTGTATCTTCCTGACAACACAATCATACCCCTTTTATATACTCTTATATCAGTGAAACTGATTAGCTGTTCGACAAATCGAATTATATACGTTATTTCCATTTAAATATGAGCTTTGCTTTAACAAAATTGTATATATTAAGTGTACAACAGCCTTGAACAGTGGTATCTATCTTGAAAACAATGGCACTTGAATATGAAAAAAGGGGTTAAAGTGAGATGGGTAGCCCGTGGGTAACCCGTGGGTTACCCGCGGGTTACCCACGGGCTACCCATCTACCCACGAATAACCCATGAGTTCAACCAATTAGAATATATATCATAGATATAGTGGGTCATTTATTCGCAAGTTATCAAAAAAAGGGGGCTAAAGTCTCTAAGTCTATCAGTCGCAAAATTTACTATAGTAAGTACTTACTTCGTTATGTGATTAGGGGTAACTAGCCTGGTCTTGTTTCCCTTGCCATAATGTCTCAATTCTCCCAGTTCTCTGATGTGTATGCATCATCTTTATATAATACTGACAATCCAGATAACCTTCAGGTTATTCAACCCGACGACCTTACCTCTAACCCTTCGTTTAACCAACAAACATCACAATCAATCGCCAATTCGGATTTCATTTATCCATCCCGTGTGGCCCCTATACCTCCCTCCCTTGAACGTATCTGTCCTGACCGAACTTCGGCATACCTTGTTTATTCCAACATGACAAAAGACGATTTTGTGAATTGGTGGCTTCAGACAGACTTTGGACAAAAAAAGCCGATACGGTGGGATGCTCGACAGCAATCTGATGTGTGGAAGCACTTTGACCAGGTAGCAAAAGCGAGCGACGGAATGCCCAAGGTTATGTGTAAACGATGCAAGAAGGTGCTCGATCATCCACAACAACATGGGAATGGGACCACAGCGATGATCAAGCATTTGAAAGGGATTGGGTGTCGTGGCACAAATGGGCATAATATCAAACAATTTTTCCACGAGGTAATTTTATCTTATATTATGATATCTTTTTACTAATATCTTTCTAATATAGGCTACACCAGCTTCAGATAGTCTCAGTTTTACTCAAGAGGCTTGGGAAGCAAGTTTACTTCGTTTCATTACTGATTCCCGGCTACCATTCCAAATCCTCGAACACCCCGACTTTCATCAGTTGATTTACATGGCCTCCCGTGCCCCAATGCGTCCACAAATCCCATCTGCGAAAACAGTTCGACGTCGACTTCAAGGCACGATCACTGAGTACCAGAATACTATCCTCCAAAAGCTACCTAAAGATGGTAAGCTATCAATTGCCCTTGATTGCTGGACATCTCCATTCCAGCAAGCATTTATGGCAGTAACTGGTTATTTTCTTGATGAAGATTGGAACTATCGGGAGATACTGCTTGGCTTTGAACCACTTCATGGAACACACTCGGGTGTCAATCTAAGTGCTGTCCTTCTTGAACTTCTTCAAAAACACCAGATCACAGACAGAGTGCTTGCAATTACTACTGATAATGCATCAAATAATAGCACTATGATGTCGAGTATCCAGGATTCTATCCAGTCTCTTGAGATTAGCGATCATACTACGATCATCAAGGTTCCCTGTCTAGCCCACGTCATTCAACTTAGTCTGAAGCAGCTTCTTGGGCAAATGAAGGCAAATCCAAAGAACGATATAGCTGAAATGCAGTGGTCTGAAACCCAAGATCAATTGATCCGCTCAAGGCAACAAAAACGAGAGATTGTTGACACACTGAATAAGGTAAGTTTATCTCTTCAGATATAAAAACTATCAACTTATTTAATTATATATAGATACGAGGCTTAGCTGTTTTTATCAATGCTAGCCCTCAACGTCTCGAGCTGTTTTCTAAGCTTCAAACAACCTCAATACCTCTTGTGCCAATTCAAGATGTTCGAACACGCTGGAACTCGACCTTTCTTATGCTCCGACGTGCCAAGCGATTACAGTCTGTCTTTGACGAGTTCTGTACTAAATATGGACATTCGCATTTGAAGCTTGATCAAGAGCAATGGCGTCAGATCGACTACCTCCTTTATATCACTCAACCTTTCTTCCAATTCACGAATGCGCTTTCGAAAACAAAGGATGTTACCATACATCTGATCTTTGGTATCTATAATAAGCTTTTTGATCATCTTGAGAAGTCGATCAACCAGCTTAGATACAAAAAGGTACCTTGGAAGAAGATGATGCTAAATGCGCTTTATGTGGCGAAGACAAAGCTTTCCCAATATTATAGCAAGACAGATGGCGTTCCTGGAGACCTCTTTGCTATTGGAACAATGCTTGCACCGCAGAATAAGCTCCAGTTTTTTCTAGGAAAAGATTGGGGCGATGAGTGGCGTGATCGATATCGCCAAAGCTTTGTGGATTACTTTGAGTCTTATAAGCAACGTCTGTTACAGAACCAGACATTACTAGAGTCTCATATATCCACAACACAGACCTCGGAGTTTGATCTTGAACGGATGCTTAGAGAGTCTGAATCTCAGCAAACAAGCTTAACTGAGCGGGATGAGCTTTCAAGATATCTTGAATCTGGTCAGTATTATCTTGGTTTATTGTGTGTTTTATTAATAAATATTAGGTACTATCACTGGAGTAACCATTCGAGCGTTCTGGAAAGACCATCAACATGAATTTCCTGCTCTCGCAAGCCTTGCACGGGATATTCTTACAATTCCTGCTACAGGTGCAGGGGTTGAGCGTCTCTTTAACTCTGCTCGGGACATCTGTCATTACCGTCGAGGCTCTCTAAGATCTGAAACTATCCAGGAGCTCATGATGTATAGGTTCGCAACAAAATTTGAGCTTGAAGATGACAACCTTACTCTTAAGAAGGAGTATCTTACAAGTGGGGAGATTGAGACAGAGAGAGAAGAGAAAAGTCCTCAGTCACTACAGGATATTGATCCTATCAGTGATAATGAAGAGGAGGATATAGAGGTCATACAAGAGCCAGATACTACCCAGGGCCCTTCTCATGAAGCTTTATCTGACGATGAAGCTACAAATCCTCTCCCAGAGACTCAACAACGGATTTCAGGTAGAAGTCGGAAGCGGAGACGGGATGATGATCAGTTTATTGAGTATTAGCTATAGAATCAAATTGACCTTGTTTTAACCTCTTTAATACTGAGAAATCTCTTGAATCTTGACTGGTAGTTGTATATGAAATACTCAAAATTACAGCTCGAATATGCATAAAATATACAAGTCACGGGGTCCCACCTGTTTGTATTGTTTGACTACCCGCGGGTACCCAGAAAATACCCATGGGTATTAACCAGCTTCCCACTACCCGCACGCGGGTAGGCAAACCCTACCCATTACCCGCCAAGAAATGGGTAATGGGTACCCCGTTTGGGTAGACCCGCGGGTCGTGGCGAGGTCTAACCCCATGGCCCGCGCGGGCCCATCAAAAGCGTTTACATAATCGCACGTTCCTCGTCCAGTCCCCTAACTAGACCCAAGGCGATCCTTGCATGATATCCAAAGTATATAAATCTTATCCTCAAGGGTCCTTACGGCGGGTAATTATTGGAGAGATCGGCTTGCATCTGCAGCGATCAGAGGTGATAGATCTCCTGATCTGCTCCATTCAAACTTGAGAAGATAGGTCGTGCGCGATGTAGTACTCGTAAGCCATAATGGACTTCGAAAAGCACCGAGGTTAAGAGCACCAGGGCGCCAAGCTAATTAAAGTAATTCACGCCCGACCGGACCAGCCCCATCAAGGAATCCCACATTGGGATATCTCATCCAGCACCCAGTGAATCAACTAAATATATCGATTTTTGCATGATACGATGTTGTGCCCAATCTCCCTACATCCACTACACTTAACTGGGGCCCTAGGAGGGCATACGTCTGCCGGACCAGGCAGTCCAGCTTGCGCCTGCCATTCCATCTCGTCTCCGTCCAATAGCTGGCTTATTAGATCACTTAGCCGAGGGACCTCTTCGCCTGTTGAATCCTCGTCGCCGGTTGAATCCTCTTCGGCTGTTGAACCCTCTTGGAATGATGAGCCCTCTTGGAATGTTGAACTTTCTTGGCCTGTTGAATGGCTAGACGACCCGCTGCGCTCCTTGGCCAGCTTCTCATAATTTTCGCGTAGAGTCGAATTCTGTTGCACTAGTAGTGTGAGGTTGTGTAGCACCAGGTACTGACCATTGATGATCTGATCTAGAAACGTTTTTGATGGGCTTCGAGGGCTCTTCGACCGCGCTTCCATTAGGTCTTTAAGCATTAAAGCTTGGATTTCTAGGTGAACCGCAGTCTTTGATGTTCTCGGCAGGGGTTGACTGGGTCTGCTTTCTGACAAGCTCCTCCGTATTATGGGCGTTCGTGGATTGATATTAAGCCTTGAAAGCACGCTTTCTGTTTCTGCTGGCCGTAGGCCACTAGCTGCGAAGCTATCCGCGAAGCTATCCTGAATAACAGCTGGCTGCTGGGATGGCCCCGGCTGCGTATGCCGGTAGCTGTGTTTTTTGGAATAGTTCGTACGAAGCTTTTCGTATCGTTTCAAAAAAAACTTGTTGGCCAACTAACGCCAACAGGATTCTCGCCACGGCGAGCAAGAATGTTATTGGCCTTTTCTCGTATCATAGCCGGCTTGACCGTTGCGCCACGTACATCCACGGCAATAACCCATGCGACAAGCGATTCCTCTTCTGATTTAGTCAATTTATGGCCGTATGGGCGTATTCCACGCGTGAGGGCCGGCCTTCGGCCCGCCCACGTAGTGTATAGATGCGGGAATCTTGTATCGCTTCGCTGCTGCACCAAGAGATCGGAAACGGCCATTTTTTAAATCATCAAGAGCTGCCAGGACCTTGGCCTCTTGATCAGCAGATTCCTGCGCAGAGTCAGACTGAATTGGTGGCATGGTAGAACGACGTGGATGTTTAGATAGGAAGAGGCGATTTGGGAAGGGGGGATCCGCGGGCCCACGCAGTGAATTAGTAATTTTTTCATCCATGGATGGGCCTCCAGGGCTTGGTAAGCGTTGGGTGCCTTAGGCGCCGCGCAGCATCCCAGAACTCCTCAAAACAAACACCCTTGGCCTTAATCGAGTCTTGTATCACAGGGCCGGAACGATTGGATGGCGCATGGGAATTCCCCACGGCAAATGGGTTCATCAGGCTCATAATCTATTTTACTCCTCTTCTTAGCCAATTCCCCTGGTCTCGCCCATGGGCGGAATTGATGAAGAGCGACCAACACATTACTGGATTGGCGATAGTGAGTCCTGGGCGTGTAGTTGTTCTAAGGAAAGGTCCGGGGGGGTCAACACTACAAGCGGTTTAGCGGGCCCCACGCACGACCCCTTTTGCGTGCAAGAGAGCGCTCCAAACCCCCCTAACTGACCTCATGAACGAGCCCGAGGGGCCATGGCGACCCGCTTGTTCCTGGCGTTCCTGACAATCCCTGTTCCTGGAGCCGAGATGAAGTCCCCCGTTCCTGCTAGCGGCTCAACTAGCGCCCTGCACAATCTCCAGATTCTCCAATCATGGCAGCACTCGAGCTGCCCCGCGTCCTATCACAAGCCCCAAACTTGGGCCCATTTGCTTTAGTGCCGTTGCAGTCACTTTATGACCCTACAGCCGCCCTCCTGATCTCTTCCCTTTTTCTCTCAAGGCTTCATTATCTTGCTTGCCCAGGCGCGACGCTGCCGTCTTCCTTTCTCCAGTCTTTCGTTAAATTCCCAGTCACTCATTATACCAACGCTAGTCGCTATTGCCTGCCACTCCGCAAGCTTAACCAACTTCAAGTTCTTATATACATTCATTTCCTGAATCAGCCACAATGCGCGTTCACGCTTACATTCTCTTGTCCGGCGCCGCCGCCGCCTACGCCGGCAACACTGCCAACCTTCTGCTGCCTGGCTTCCAGGGCCACGACCTCTTGGCCAGCGCTGTCGCCTCCCAAGGTGATGCCACCACCTACTTGGTCACCTGCCCTACCACCGTCGCCTCCTCGGCCTGCGGGATTCCTGGCAGTGGCATGACCGCTATCGCGGCGCCTACCTCCGCCCAGCTGGTCAATGTCTACGACGGCAAGACTGCTTCGCTGTCCTGCAACATCGCCAGCACTACCTACGCTTCCTGCTCTGCCACGGAGGGCACCGTCACCGTCACGCAGACGCTGGGCCCTAAGGATCTCAACTGGATGGACGTGACCCTCACCAGCTCCTCCACTCCTACTCCTACTTCTACTCACACTCACCACACTCACACTTCCACTTCCACCTCCACCGTCACCCCAACCTCCACCCCCTCGTCGAGCTCTAAGTCTTCGACCCGCGTGGCCTCTTCCACTCGCCTGGTGACCTCCACCCCTCTGTCTGCTCCCACCGGTGCCGCTCTTAACCAGGTCACTGCTTCCGGTGCGGGCCCCTCTGCCACTGCCTCCGCTACTCCAAATGCCAACGGTGCCGCCTCCTTGGCTGGCAATGTCTGGGTCGTTGGTGGTGCCGCCATGGCCTTGTTCTACGCTCTCGCTTAAATGCGGTTCCCCCCTTTTTATATTCCTTTCGACGATTCAGTGAACATATAAGTCCTCCATGAGCCTTATCTGTTGATTACTTCGGGGTGTGGTCAACGTTGTTAATGGGTGTAATTCATCTAATCCCCTGTGAACATACTTGTACACATCTAATTTTTTTTTTTTATTTCCTAATGATTGATACCTTTCTCTACGACAGCATGATCCAGAGCGCCGGCCTGTCTACGTTCAATACCATTATTTCATTCTCTCGCACAGTGAATTGTAAACCTGAAGGAGTCCAGTGGTAAATATAGGTACTTTAATATCTACCTCTACGATTCGGGTATATATTATCGCAATCGGAAGTGGTCTCGGCACTACAGTAATACAATCCCCAGTTCAACTTGAATTCGACGACCTGTGAGATGAATTCGTAATACTTTGGTTTTTCCCCACTGAATTGGGTACTAGTAGCAATCTGACTTTTGTCTTAAAGAAACTGTTATAATCCCGAAACCATCGACACCCCAAACACGCATTCAGACAGACACATCTAGCACGGGGAAAAATGATTCAAAACCCCACACCAAATCCCAGTCACAAGTAATACCCCATTGAAAGAGGCCATGATATAGAATGGACTGCCGGAAGAAGCCACGTCAAAAAGCAAGCCTCCGACCTTCGTCAATATCAATATTCCTACTCCACCATACAGCGAGTAAACGCCAGCAATAGACCCCTTCAGATGGGAGAGATGTTCTAGCCGCTGATTCAGAGACCCGGCTAACAAAGGCTGCCCTTCGCCCGGTGCTCCATCCTCTCCATTCGCGCTCGTGCCTTGTCGCACACCTTGATCGTCATAGATCTTGCGTAGCGTCTCGTCGTCTAAGCTGACCCGCAGAATCCCATTGCTCAGAACAGCGAGACTGCAGACGATAGCACCGATTTGGCTGATGCCGATCAAGGCCATCAGCAGGAATACGCCAGGGTTACCGTCAGGGCCTTTAAACTGAGGGTTAGGCATGAGCCCAAAGGCTATGTATCCCACAACCCCGACGAAAGCCGCGACGAGGAGTGGCGCATTGTATCTTCGGGATTTATCAGTCAAGTACCCGAAGGCAGGCGCAGCGATCAGTGCAATCAGCTGGGATACACCTGTCAGTATGGAGGCTAGGATGTAAGCCTTTGGACAAGCACGTTTGATATCTCCTAGTCCGGATCCAGGTACCGGATCGTGGTCTTCGTGGCATAATCCGGACGTGCGGTAGTAATGATTCACGGCCAATGGGATAAAGAGCGAAATTCCCACGGAGGACGCCCGGGCTACAAATCCTCCGACGTAGCCCAGCCCGATGCTACGGTTGCGAAAACCTGGTAGCATGGCTGTAGTCAGCTGTTTCCAACATGGCAGCCTGGAGGGTTCGAAAGGTCCGGACCGTTCGTCAACATCTTGGATATCCTTTTTCCATAGAGCGTTCCAGCCTTTGTCTTCTTCGCCAGGCAGCTTGCGTAAGCCAAAGAAGCTTATTACGCTGACGATCAATGCCACGGCGGCAACGATGTAATAGCTACGTTGCAGCGCCTCTGATGGCGAGAATCCGACTGCTTCAAATCGGGCTGGAAGAGGCAGGAAGACCCCTAAAGATACCAATGCGCCGCAACCTGCAAAGAGCCCCACGAAGCCTGAGAGCCGAGCCGAAGGGGAAGCCTCAGATTCGGTAGCCACCGGGGAAGCCAAACGTCTGTTCAGCCGGTCAGGTGTAATCGTCAGTTCCGAGGAGACTGACTGCCGATAAGCTTGAGGTTGGCGGCGAAATGCTTTACCCGTCACTGTAGGCAAGACTGCCGTGACCATTGTAGATACGGCCGAACCACCAACACTGAATAGCAGTCGGCCTAGAAGAAGCTGAGGATAGACATTCGTGGCCTGCACGAATACCACCAATGCGACTGCAATTACAGCATATCCTACTGTGCATACCTGGGAATATTTGTCAATGACGTACGCACTCTCTCAAAGTAATTTGGGGCAACTCACATGGCGCACACCAATGCGGTCCGAGAGAACCCCCCCATATTGGACAAGCGGCCAGCGCCAACAATTCATCTGCGAATCCTAACGTTCCAACAGCATCACCTTCGCCTCCGTGAAGGCCGATCAAGTCCGTTACCACGAAGGAAATGGAGGAATTGATGAAGACTAAAAAAGCAATCGAGAAGGGACAGACCGCTAGCAAGTACGTCAGTGTCTGGCCCCAAGAGGCTGTGAACAATTTCGGAGATGAAGCCATCACCGAGGAGGCATTGCTTGATAATTGAGAGATGGAAGACGGAAGTGCAGCGCAGATCACCTCTGCCACAGGGTGGGGTGTACCACCAAACACCTGAGCGCCTGGAAACTCTAGGTGCTGAGTAATCACAGGGGTTGATCAGATAAGAGTCTGAGTATCGATGTTAGGTCTCCAAATATCCAGTAAGCTCTTTTTGATTCCTTCGAAGGCGTCTTTCAGCTTACATAGCTCAAAATTTCCACGGTGCCTCGGTCGTTTGAGAATAATTAGCTGTATACTAGCCCCGGAGTACGTCTGACCCCAGCGTTGAACGTGTGCGTCCGTCTGCAGTCCATGCTCGGTAGAGAATTACAATGTTCCTTTACTGATGATAGCCATTAGTTTGACAACTTTTGTCAATCAACTTGAATAGTTGATCCATTGCTTCCCAAGGTCCATATCGTCGAACGTCGAGAGTCTTGGATGTCCAAATTGACCAGAGTGGGTCATCTCAAGGTTTCCGGGATTCCGCAGTTGACCACGAGCTCAGCCAAAGGCCTGGAGAGATCATGGTCATGAAATCATGTCTATTACTAGTCCCTGACCCTAGACCACGCATATTCATTCCATCTTGTAACACAATCCTAGTTCTCCAGCTCGGTCCTAACAGAAGACGTGCTAGCCAATCCATTGCTCTACTGCCGGTTGGCCGGCTGACTAATATGCGGAGGCGGGCCACTAGTTATGTGGACAGCTTTCCAGTATACTCACCCTCATCGATGCGATCTCCTCATCTTGCACCGTTGATGACCCCTTGTCTCCTCCCTCTCGGTCAATCGCCATGAGACTAGCCGCGTATGCTGGGGTAAGTTTCAGCCTTTTCCCCTCGTCAAGATCCTCCACTGACTCCCCCTCTAGGCCTCAGTGGCCCTGGCCACCGGTGTGTTCTTGAAAGCGCTACATCAACGGGCCAACTTCTACTCTGCCTGCGTGTATCTCTCACAGAGTAGTGCCAACCTCATGGTGAGCTCTATGCGCACACATAATTCCTCATTACTGTTTAAATTGCTAACCAAACTCCCGGTCCTTCTGGAAAGATCCTCACGAACTTATGCCTTCTCATTACCGGCTTCGTCCTCTTTTGGTTACAACGACTTCTTTATGGGCCCTTACGCCCAATCGAAACGGAACAAATCTACGAGCGCGCATGGTTTGCGGTGACGGAGACATGTCTGGCCATGACCATCTTTCGTGGCGAGCTTGGTGGGTGGTTCTTGGTCATGTTCATCTCGCTCTTGGTTGGAAAGGTCTGGGGATGGATTGGTGAAGGACGGGTCGAATATCTCGAGCAGCAACCCCCTGCGAACCCGCGGCTGTTCCACCTCCGGCTGGCCTCGTCGCTGATTCTGGCGGTCACTTTCGATTTATCTATGATGCGGTACTGCGTCAAAACCGTTATCCACCAGGCGAAACCGGACATGATGGTCATGTTCGGCTTCGAATTCGCAATCCTTACCATTCTGTCATTGTCCACTCTCGCACGCTACGGACTCGCTTTGGTGGAGATCTATATCAATCATCAGCAGCTTAGGGCTAAGATCGAAGAACGCCGAGCCGAAATTCGAGCTGCGCGTGTAGAAGCTATTCAGGCTTCTGCACGTGCCGGGGAGCCATCACCACCAACCGATCTCCCGGACGAAAATGACGTGAACGAGCTGGAGATCGACATTCCTGGGTGGGAGGAGAAAGGCCGTTGGGTTTTCTACCTCGACCTCCTGACCGATTTTGTGAAGCTGATAGTCTATCTGACCTTCTTTATCATCCTTCTTTCGTTCTACGGCTTGCCGATCCATATCCTGCGCGACGTTGTCGTCACTATTCGCTCTTTCTTCCGTCGTATCATGGACTTCCTGCGTTATCGAAATGCAACCAGAGACATGAACGAGAGATATCCAGATGCCACGCCCGAAGAAGTTGGATCTGAGGATGTCTGTATCATCTGTCGCGAAGAGATGGTTTCGGCTCTACCGGCTCAGGACACAGGTGCCAATGAGCAACCTGCAATAACTGCACGCCGTGTGCCTGATCGTCTGCGCCCCAAGAAGCTCCCATGTGGCCACATTCTACACTTTGCATGCCTTCGAAGCTGGCTCGAGCGGCAGCAAAATTGCCCCACTTGCCGACGCCCTGTGCTTGTAGCTGCAGCCGCAGCTGCCCGTAGCAACAACGCGGCTGTCAATGGAGTTGGGCAACAAAATGGTCCGGATGGGAACCAGGCTCCTGGCCAACCAAACGGTGCAGACGGTCTGCCCAGAGCTCGGGTGTTCCAGTTTGGTCCATTCCGCATAGGCTTTGGTGCCGTTCGTGGCGACTTATTCCAAAATCTGCACCAGCAAATCCATCAAGGAAATGCGCCGCTACAGCCTGCTGCGAATGCGAACCCTCAAGGAGCCCGACAAATTGGTCTCGGGTTCGGCTTTGGTGGCCGCCCTGCACCGCCGGCGGGGGCGGCAGCAGCAGCAGCAGCCGCCGCCCCTACTCCTGCGCCAACTGCTCCTACTGATACTCAACCCCAACAGCCGGGGACCTCTTCGCGTCACAGTGATATCCATTCTGAGCTACGGCGGATTGAGCAGCAGATCTCGAGTGAGATGCATTCTCTGCGAATCGCTACAGAGCATTACCTTCATATTCGTTCTCTCCAAGCTGAACTAGATCGTATCCGTCTCCAACAAGAACCTTACATCGCTCAAGGAAATCCTTCAACAGAATCTACTACAGCGGCCCAGCGTCAACAACTCTTTGCGCCTCCGGGTACAACGGTTATCCCTGCAGGAGACTCGCGCCTTCCGGAGGGATTGGTGCTCCCCCCTGGGTGGAATCTAATTCCTGTTCAAACTGCTTCCGAGGGTGAAGCACAGGGTCTGGCACCAACATCCACCATCTCTGAACCCCAAACAGCTCCCCAGGCTCTTGCCACTCCATCCCCGCCACAAGTCCCAGTTGGTACAACATCTGATCATAGCCAAGGGACTGCCCATGCATCCGGCGCTTCAGCCATGCCCAATCCTACAACAGCCAATGCTGAACCGTCAATACCTAGCTGGGGCACACTAAATGTGTCATCGACGGATCAACGGGCCGAGTCGCCCTCACAAGAGTGGACAGACGTGCAGGCAGAGCAAGCTTCTGAACCGGGCCCCTCCGTCATCCCATCAACTTGGGGCAGCAGTGTACAGGGGAATAATCAAGCAGCTGGCAATGTATCCTCGGGCACGGTCGACAAGGGAAAGGGCAAGGCTCCGACGGTTGAGGAGGCTGACGAGGAAACATAAAGCATAATTTTTTCCCTCCATAATGAACCGCCTTGTACTTTTCTACCACAGTTGTGTGTATAACCATTTTGGTTTGCGTTCTTAGTCGCATCTTCTTCTATTTGGATCAGCGTTGCATGGCGTTCTCGAGCAAAATATCATACCCATTATTCAACGTTTTAGTTTGTCTCTCTTGTGTGGATAGGATATTCGACATTTCAGTCATCTAGATTGTTCGACCGAGTAACTAGATCATATGGAATAATCTTTTCCGTTAAGGCGCCGATTTTCATTGAAGGAACAATTGAAGAAAATAGACATAATCACTAATACTAGTACTCAGCTTGAGTAATAGTACCAATAAATACTAAACTGGGCTGAACTTATGTACTGGATGTCAAGAATAATTAACTAGCGAAGCTTATAATATAATATAGTACAGGTCCCAAGGGGAGATTTCTATCTTGACAAGCCCGATCAAGCCACCAACTCCCGTAAGTACATGCAGTTTTTATAGCAGCGCCCCGTTTTAGAAGTCAAACAAGGGATGATAATATACAGCGCAGAGCATCAGGTCATACGAATCGACGTTCTAATCTCATGCTTCACGACGCACCCGAAACCCGTAGGACAAACTCGTAAACTCCCAGTGTGATGATGGCCGACGGGATCGAACGTGCCATGTGCGGCATCAATCCTCCATAAAGACCAGCCATTCCTTCCTCCTTCGCAATCAGCTTGAAGCATTGCAATAAGCCGGTGTACTTGGGGCGGCCATTTTCCATCGGCGCTTGACGCAATCTCGTTCGAATAACCTAGAAAAGGGGGAGAGAGCAACTCATTAATACAAGGGGAACCGAGTCTCGCAGACCTAAGAATGACATACCTCATGCGGATATGCGATGAGAGCCGCAGCAAATTTGGCCGAGCCCGCCGCACCTGTCGTACTAATCCAGCTCGTAATCTCCTTTTGGGTAGCCGTATCCTTGCCATCCGGCGATCCGAGAGAATTCGCCAGAATGGTCTTCAGTCGCTCGTACAAGACCAGATGGAGCGCTGTCTCGGCGGAGCCGAGGTAGCTAGCACTAAGACCCCTGTACAGGCCTCTGATGCCTTCCTGGCGCAGGACCTGCTGCACACAGTCGAGGCTGTTGCGGTAGCGGCGGGTTCCGGTTGTGGACTGGGCACGGTCAAGCTGTAGCCGGGTCTTCACGAGCCAGATGGGGTTAGTTGCTGTGGCGGTTGCGAAGCCACCAATGATGGCTGCTTGAGCGTGGACGATGGTCGAGTCGTCGGGGAGGCTGAGGACGTGGGCGCCGAGACGCTTGCAGTTGCCGTAGACGTAAAATTTGATTGCGGAGGCGGGGACTACGCCTGCGAGGCTGGGGCCGAGGCCGCGGAAGAATGTCCGCCAGCCTTCGGCTTTGTAGATATTGCCAATTATTCGCAGGGTCTTGTGGTTTGTGTTTGATGGGATGGCGGTTGAGGACGAAGATCGGGAGCTGGATTGGTAGAAGTCGGATTGAAGGCGCGTTCTTAGAACATCAAGTGGTGAGGTTACAATCGCAGTGGCAAAGCCACCAATTCTGTGCCAGGTGTCAGGAATCGAATCAAGAAATATTGATGATCAGTTTCACTCACGCGCCAGCTAATAGATGTACTAGAGGATCGACGGCCTTTTTAGGGGGCGCATGAGAGACCCTCGACGGGACGCTCTGTTGGACATGTTCGCTGTGCATCTTATGACCTTGCTGCATGACTTCGGGACATTATTGGGCGTTAATGTAGATTGAGGATAAGGAGAGTCACGTCCAATAATTTTCAACGCGCCCAAAATCGGGGCCCCCGGGCGGTCACGTTGGATAAGTAATCAGTGCAGCCTGGGTGATCAGGCACAGAGTGGGTCTGTCTCCTCGAGACGGTTGGACGTTCCAGAAAAGACAATTTACCCTGGTGTTTCCTGTAAGCATGAACAGTCTCAACGGCCCCAAGGTTAGAGGCTCGGCGGAAATACTGTCAACCATTATCTCCGCCGAGTTTGAATCTCGACTTATCCTTCAACTTGAAAGGGACATGCAAGTTTTCATGATATATTCCAACCTCACAGCTTGACTGTGACATGACGGTTGGCACTCTCAAAGGGAGAACTGACATCAACTTCAAGTTGGAAACATGATTGAAGAAATAAAGAAGAACTAAATTAATAATAGGTATCCAGATAACACCAATCTCCACAACTGCCATTGACTCCATTGCAGACTTGACTAAGACCCAGAATATTTCCCACCTCATTTTCCTACCAAACCTTGCTCCTATGCCGACCTGTGAACATCCAATTCACGAAATGTCAAATGGTCACAAAGACTGACCCCATTTACTTCGATTCGCCCTCAGTATATTTGCTGTATCGATGAATCTCGATACCTTGTGTTCCGTCCTCGGTAACATGAGACATTAAGCTCGGCTTCTTCAAGTTGGCGCTCCACTGTGACCCGCTCGTGGGAGACGTGACGGTCGTGCTGGTGGTATTCGTAGTGTTGGAGTTCAGAAGAGTCTTTCCAGATTGTTGACCGGACGACCGGAGCTGAGACCAGAATCCCCTTTGGCTGAAACGGAACAAAGGTCTGAAGTTCGGAAGACAGGCACCAACAATAGCCACGGCACCTTCAAGGCAAGTCCACATGGCAACAGGGGCTTGCTGGTCTGCAGGATGTAAGGGGCTTGCACGACCGAGTCGGAGGGCGGAAATACTTACAAGTGATGTCGGGCCCGGAATGCGTGAGTCCAATCATAACCCAGAGTCTCACGATATCGAAGACCAACGTTCTGCGAGGAAAAAGTTAGTAGAGTCTAGGGGGAATTCATAAATTGACACTCACAAGCCCCCGACCAAGAACACTGCCGAGAGAAGAAATTTCTGAGACCTAGCCACGGGAAGCTGTATGACCACCTTAACTGGCATGAGAAGGATGATCAGATCGGACAAGATATTGGGGATTTGCATCCCATAGTAAAATGTTGCTGAGTCAATGCAGTAACCCTGGATCGAGGGATCCCAGAATTTGTTGACTGGGATGCAGTTCAGAGTGCCGGTCACAAAAATGGCAACGGCCCAGAGAATAACGAATGATGCCATTGCGTTGACTGCTAAGACAATGTGTTTTGCAGCAAATAAGCGCTTGTAGAGTGCCAAGATTGATAATTTGACGAAGGCAACGCAGCCAGTATACACGAAGGTATTGGACCAATTGATCTATCTGAATCAGCTGGGAGTATTTTCAAGGAACTCAAATATATCTACCTTCATGTAGACCTCGAGATTTTTCGGTGGTATCATATCTATATGTGACCCTAGCCCGTTGTATAATACTAAGGCTTTCTATCAGTGCCTTCCACAATTTCGGGTATTAACAAGCCACTCACGGATCGAGACCCCAATCGAGCATCCATATTTGAAAAGCTACACAGAAATACAGTAAGCTTCCGTTGAAGGTCCACGGGACGAGCTCTCAACCAGGTTTCTGGTCCGTACCAAAGCAACCAAAATCAGGTAGTCATCCAAGTACAATCTGCTCCCGTTGAGCTTTCTCGCCAGGACACGCAGAAATACAGCAATAGTCGGCAGCGCAAATGAAAACACGAGGGACAGTTTGACAGATCGCTGCAGGGCCTCATTAGGATGGTGGAAATCCCCCCGGAGCCCACGATCCATCCCGAGACGCTAGATCGGAAAGCATGGCTGGCTGGCAAAAAAAGAGGCTGCTGAGAAAACGGTTGCGACGAAACGCGGGGAAAGTTTGATGATTTGGAATTATGGGGCTACCGTAACATAGATATAGAGAGCTCAGGCATCTGTGCGTGTTATTTGAGTCTATGTATCCCAATATGGATCTGTCATATCGTACATTCAATGAGTCTTGCTTCTAGGGTGATAGGGCTGAAGTGAGCCAATCATACCTTCTGCTAAGCATGGGATGAAGGGTCCAGCCCATCAAGGATGGTGGTTAGACGCCAATAAAATAGCCAAAAAGACCGATAGTGTCCGTTTGTAGATGCAGGGGCGTATGATCCATATCCTTGATTCACCGTGCGGGCCATGAGCTCGGGCCTGGGACGTTGCGTACTGGCCTCTTCGGCGAAGCACAGGAGCAAGAACACAGAAGTAAAGCACAATGAAATTGAGAAAAGAAAAAACACACAAAGTGCCTTATTTTGTAATAGGCAGATGCCACCAGCTCCGCCATTGTTTGAGCAACACGTCCAAGGATCTCGAGTGCTATACTGAGTCCTAACTTCTGTTCCCAGGTAGTACCAGTATATATCGAGCGGTAGCTTTGCTCTTAGGATGCTATAGCTGGTGCCGAGAGTCCATGAAAGGGAACTTCATAAATAATCAAGTGCAAAAGTCAAAAGCGCAAGTATCATTCGGTCCAATACGTAAGGGACCTGTGGTAACTAGGTATAGTGCGGGGTATTCTGGCCTATAAGTTAACTTGATGCATCATATGCGCCCCCAGTCCGTTGCCTGGACGCCTTCGAGTGCTGGTATAGCAGCCAAGAGCAGAATAGTAACATGGGTTCTCAGTCTAATAGAGGAACTCGAGCTCGCGGGTCCAAGGAGAGAGTGCGAAGACCTGGAATGGGGGTCATGGAAGACCCCGAGGGCTCAGCTACCCTAGGAAGGAAAGAACAATCTTTGACCTAATTCATTTACTGAAGAACATGACGGATCTCATGAACTCAATCAAGAAAGGAAAAGTTACACTGTAGGGTATTTGGGAGCGACCTTAGGGCTCTGGCGCTCTTGGGTGGTTCGATCCTCTGTACAGGCCATATACATGTTGACGCTGTACTCATCCAGCCCCATCACTGCACAGCATATGCTGTGCAGTGTACAACATGAAGAACGGGAGACAGGAAAGAAGGGCCTTTCTAGGCGCGTGATGAGCCTGCGTACAGTGGCCGTGTAAGAGCCTCCGGGCCATTGTGTCGGAATGAAGAGATAGAACGCCCCGAGGAGTGTATCGTCGAACGTTTTCCAGGCATAACCACACATGGCGATGCGCAAGCTCGATCAGATCAACTGAGCCCTCCACGCGATCTCAACTCACGTAGGGCCTACAATTCCAGAGTATCATGACATGTCAATGATGCTCTAGCGTAGAGGATCTACAGGGGCCCAGCGAGAAGGAAGTGGCGGACCTTGCCTATCTTTACTTTTTATGGCGGAAGACCCACCCGATGGATCGCAAGGGCAACGGAATTCAGGGCCGCAAAGTACATGCATGACCGTCGATGAGAGTATTCTAGGATGCAAGATCCTCTTCAGAATAAGACTATAAGCAGAAACGTTCTTGTCGAATCCCATTAGACTGGCGCCATCAAGGCAAGTTGATGTGGAATCACGTTGTCGTCATCTGTGGACTACTCTTGCTCCGCCCTGCCGCGTTTCAGCCGTTTATTCGCCATGGAGTTCCGCGATGGCCGTGGATCTGCTCCAGGCCTGAGTCGGGTGGGCTACTTCTAGACCCTTTTTGCCTGGACCCTTTTGCCCCCATCCACGCATTCCAGTTCATTGAATTCGATACCTCCTCCCTGCAACCACATGGTGCTGCGATGGTGGCCCTGAATCTTGCGTATGTGCGTCCCTTGGTCTGTCGATCTGCGGAGACTAAGGGTCTTCCCCCGGTGCAACAGTGCATCTGATGAAACTAACGAGTCTCTCGTGCGACAGTCCAGTTCCCCGCGTATTATCGAAATTCCCGGCCTTCCATGATTCTCTCGCGGCGAGCGGTGCTCTTCGTCGGCCTCGCTTTCATCTCCCTTCTCCTCATCACAGCCCGCCAATTGTCACAGTCATGGTCTGGAGATATTCGCCAAGTCGTCGGCCTAGGCGAATTCACCTACTCGCTGGGTGCTAACCGATCCCATTCGTTCAACGTCACAGGCCACGGTAGCAAAACCCTCTACGCGCCGCAGCCTAATTTCACCCCGGGGATCCCTAAGCCCCCTGGCGAAAAATATACCAAGACTCTGGTCATCCCGCGCACGAGCCAAGAGGATGTGAGCTGGATCGCGGACGAGCTCCCAGACTGGGATACTGCTATCTACGTCGCCGATGATTCATCGGCACCACTCCACCCTCCCAAGAACAAAGGCCACGAAGTGATGATCTACCTGACCTATGTGATCGATTTCTACGACCAACTTCCCGACGTGGCCGTGTTCATGCACTCTCATCAGAATGCGTGGCACAATGACGAGCTCTTCGACGGCGATGCAGCGGAGATCCTCCGACGGCTGAGCATGCCCCGCGTCGTGCGAGAAGGATACATGAACACTCGTTGCCAAATGGGCCCCGGGTGTCCCGATTGGATGCACCCCGGGGCCGTGGTCCAAGACGAGGCGAAGCAAGAGGAAGTGATGTTCGCCCGCGCGTGGGGTGAACTGTTCCCGACGAGCCGGTCCCGTCGGTCCTGGCCCAGCCGTGCTGTGCCCAATTCGCTCTGTCGCGAGATCGCATCCGCACGATCCCACGATCACGCTTTATCTTCTATCGTGACTGGCTTCTCCATACTGACTTGAGCGATTATATCGCGGGGCGCATTTGGGAGTATCTGTGGCAATATGTGTTCACAGGTGAGCCTGTTGTCTGTGTTCCAGAGAATGTCTGTCTTTGTGATGGATACGGCGTCTGCTTTGGCGGACCGGAAGAGTTCCAGCAATATAAGGACCTGGTGGATGAACGAAACTATCTCCAGCAGGAACTATCGGATTGGGCGTTCTTGGCCGAGGATATCCAGGAAGCCGAGGATAACCACCAATTGGACGAGACCATGGACCTCAAAATTCCGCCGCCGGCTCGCCAGGGGAGAAGACAGACAATGTACAGCAAAAAGTGTACGAGGTTAACAAGCTGCTCGAGGCAGCTAAGAAGCGCGGTAATGACCCCAAAGCGCGTGCCCTTGAAGCCAATCGCCCATGGAAAGAGGGCGATGGCTTCTAAGATATACAGAAATTGGGTGAAGCATTTCCGAATTGCCATTTATTCCATGATATACATGAAGATTCTCTCAATCTTGCCAGACGTGGCTGATCTGGGGTTCTTTTCGATTTACCAATTATCATTGGCAGTTTTTCCTTATCATGCTGTCTCCCGCAGATGGTCAATTATGTTGTTAGACGGCAACTTATGTACAACAGGCTTCTTTTTTCCTGCGCCATTTGAGCGATATATTCAGACTTTTCATTTCTTAATTTATCAAAGCAATTTCCAGGATCACACAATCAAATACTCCAGCTAGAACTTGACAGAATGTTGACTCTTAATTGCGGCAGCAACCTTCCAGCTTGGAAGAGGCCGCAAATGGAAAGATGACTAAGCAGAAAGGTTTGCATCCGCCCCCAAGGCGCCAGTTTGCTTCTCAGTCAAACTCGTCAAACACCGTGGTCGCGATCACTATATTCGATCAGAGTGCGCAAACTCGCTTTTGCGCGCTGCTTCTCGAACACCCCTCTGGGGTGTGTTGTTCCTGGCCAAGTCCTCTAGTTCTCTCAGCGATCCTTCCCATACGATCGGGACCCTTCGCGCTCGCGCCCGCGTCCTGGCAACCGCCGACTCCTTGACTTCCTGATAAAGCTGCTCGTCCTTGTTCCACGCCAAGATAAGCTTCTAATTGAACATAAACAGCCAGCCCAGAAGTCTGCTGTGGTCTGGGCTCTGGGTGTTCCCCAGAATTTGCAAATCACCCCTAAAAAAGCGGTTCTTCGAAAAGCTACACAACTTAGTTCATTCCACCATGTCTTCTAATCCAACCGACGATAAGAAATTCCCGGCCCCCTCGAGTTCGAACGCCCATATGGATCCCAATAGCAGCTATACGCCGAATGATAGCCAACTAGCCGGCCTCGTGGAAGCTGCCACTGCTGCTGCAGGTCATGACATCCAGCAATGGACTGCGGCATCTGCACTTTCCGCCGCAAGTAACCAGCAATTGGATGGATATGGCACAGATATGCATCTTGGCGACGACGGGTTTGGCGACGCAAACTTCCATACCCCCATCGGCAATACCCGAGGCACAAGAAGTCAGAATAACCCTCAGAACTCCGGGCTCACGCGAACTGGAACGAAGAAGCGGAAGAGAAATGATGATAATCTCGACCCTGCTTTAGCTGGGGCCGGCATATCGGGATCGCAACAGCATGGGACGCAATACTCCCAACAAGGGCCCCATGGGTACGGCGGAGATAACATGGACATTCGTCCTGCACCACCTCAATCGCTGCCCGAGGCTCCTGCCGGTGTTCATAGTGCCGCTGCCTTATTCCGGGAGCCTTCTCTTAACAAGAAGCACACTCGGCCGCCGATGTCGAAACTTTTTGCCTCCTTGGAACTCTCGCCTGAGAACTTCCTACATCTTCAAGCTGCAGCCAAAGCATACATGTTGGATGATCAACACCCCGAACGACGAGACTGTGTCGGTCAACGTGGTAAGGGCGATACTGAAATGGTGAAGTTACGTCTTTGGAATTGTGTTCGCAATTTTCTCGAAAATGAGGGTAATGGGGAGCGATTCTTCGGAGAAAATGTCGTGAACGAAAACATGGGCCCGCGAACTTACATCTGGCCTCGGGACCAGCAAAAAATCATCTCATTGGTGATTCCTCTTCTTCGGAGGATGGTCACAAATGAGCGACAACGCCAATACGCCATCGTAACGCGCAAAGGTGGTGGGGATGAGCGTCGCCGAACCCAGAGCAACGAAGCTTTCCCGCAGTTACCACAGTTTGAGTCCGATCAATCCACTCAAATGAATCCTCACGATATTCGTTCGCATGATATGGCCCAGTCTATGCCACCTCCGCCACCGCCTTTGCCTCCGCATAATGGATCTATTGACCCAAATCAGCCAATGGATCTGGGCTTCGCAGACCTTCTAAGTGGTTTCAATGTGGACTGGAGCGAGATCTCTAAAACTTATGATACATTTAATCGTGACTTCGAACTCGACAATCTGTGGTCTCTCTCTGGACTCCAACAACCCGATTGGCGTGGCCTCGTGGCGGCAGTCGATCACCACTACCAAGCCGTCCACAACGGGGACTACACTGAGTGTTCCACCCCTTGCGAGAACTCTTACATCAATCGCATCGTCCAGTCAGAAGCTACATCAAATCTCCCTTGGCGGATTGGGGGAGGAGGGATAAATTCCTCAGCGCGTGACGATTTGTAAGTGCGATCATCGCTCGTGAGGTTGATTTTTCTCCCTAGGAAACCTGCTAATTCTACGAACAGTGCGCGGAGTATTACTCGCGACGTCTCTCGAATCGTTCGTGAAAATGCCACCAGCCGAAGAGACAACCAGTCCAGTAATAACGAACAAGCCGAAATTCATCACCACCACCATCACTATCACCACCACCAGCCGGTCATAGGCTCTCTTTCAAGCGCTCCTTCCATCAATACTGGCGCTTCTCCATCGACCCCCGGCACCGACAACCAAACCTATCTTCACCTCAACATTCTCCAGAAAGGAAAACGCATCCTTCCACGTATGGATATCCCAGCTGGCCAATACCCAAACATCGATCTTGTTAAACAAGCTATTCTCCGCCGCTATGCCGGCCAAATCCCCAACACAGACAAGACTGATTCGTTGGATCAGACTCGATACTGGACCATACAAGTCTGGTTGCCAGAAGGCCTTACCCATATTGGCAATAGCAAAGACTGGGCCGTTGCTCTCTTGACCGCAGACACAGTGGAATGGATGGATGGGGTGGTCAAAGTTCTGGTAGACATTGAAGGGGGCAACATCCCCCAGTAGTCATGTTTGCTATCTTTTTGATTTCTCACTTCATGACCCTTCGAAAACACCCCCGGCGCCCCCCGCCGTTGCCGGGAATTTATGTACGATTAGTCTCGTCCTCACGCCTCCCGAGTCTTATACTCGTCTGTTTTACGCTTCGTGGATCCGTTCATACCCTCTTGTGTTATGCTTGTTTTGCTGTTAATCAGATCACCAAATACGGGTCTTTCTTCACTGACAACCTGGTAGGGAGTCTATGTGCTTCTCATAATGCAAAAGGTCTTCATGTATTGTAGACAAATGTTCACCAAAGCCCTTGAGACTCGGAACAGGGAACCAAGGGACTCCATCCTATACGCCGTAGGATATCCAAAACCAGCTGGACAATAATAATAATGATAACAATGACCGACATCAAAGATAAAGGGCATCCACCTGCCAGACTAGCCCCCAACAGTCCAGCTTCGCTGGGCTCTATTTGTTGTGAAAGAACAAATTTCGCAACGAATCCCAGTGGTCCGAATCCGCGTAACTATAAAAGGTAACATCATTAGTACGAATAAACTTGACACTTATGCCCAATACGCGAAGCATAAGGACGCATAGACAAGGGCGCAGAACGTACATGTAGACCATGCTACTCCGCAAGCTGGAAACCAGAGTTTCTGGGTACCACCGGAAGATATACATGACGAGAGCCCATGATAAGCTAGCGAAGACAGGCCAGGCATTGGCGTATATCTTTGTCCGCGTCTCGGGAGTGATGAGGGGGGAGAGAGGGTGCATGTTCGGTTGGACGGCGAGATCAGCGAGAGCGAGCATCACACGCGCGAAGATATAGTAGACAATCTGCGAAGAAGTTAGTCAGGACGCCCTGGAACTCCGGAATGAATTTCTGGTAGAGTTCCATACCTGCTTGCTGATGCTCCCTCTCTGTCGGCCAAAGACCGCATATCCGCCCAGCAGCCCCGCAAAAAAGCTGTCGTAGCGACCTTCTTTGCCGCTTTCCGCCACGTTGAGGTTACGGAGTACGATCATAGACGCCTTGTATATGAATGCGAATGTGGCCAAGTTCCGCGCGTGATGGCGCGTGGCGTTGAAAACGAGCTTGATCTTTTCCCGGAATCTATACCGCGATATCCGTTAGGCCGAGGGTGGACAAGAATATGTCGAGGGGGCACAGGAGCCAGGCCCTGGTGTTCGCTATACGTACGTTCCAGACCGGAAAAGAAATATCATTCTAAAAGCAGGATTCAGCCCGTTAGCTCCGTCTCCCGTCTCCATTCGCATTTGCTTGTGATCAAGACTCCGAAACGTACACCAGCGCATGCGGAAACCGCACCTTGGACCCGTAGACCATTCCATTACGGGCGCCCTTGAGCACCGATAGTAGCGGCGCAAGCTCAGGGTTGAGAATGAGCGCATTAAGGCGAGACTGGCGGTAGAAGGGTCATCAGCATCGGCGTAGATATTTGTATGTGCTTTTTGCGGGTGTGCTCACTATCAGCGCATCCATGGCGTCGCGGTGCCTCAGTTGGAGGCTCGACACGGACGGGCTAGGCTGTTGCAAGGCCCTAGCAGGTCGGTGAATAGGGGGAGGGAGAAAGAGTGCACAGCAGGGATCATTCAGCGGAAGAAAGCTGGAGAAAAGCTGGAGAAAAGCTGGAGAAAAATGGAGGGGGGAAAGCGCTCTCGGCTACGTTTGGATGCAAAAAGGGCCGAGGCATGTGGGCTTCATCCGACGTCATCTACCATGAGTAATACATAAGATCTTAGAACGTTCACTTCTTCCTTGATTAGAAGCAGTTCTTAGCGGAGGGTGAATAAATGAAGAATACGAAATAGACTAAATAAAAGAGAATCCGCTATACTTCCACGAAATCTCAGTGAATTTCGTTTCAGTCTTGAATATACTTTTCTATGCCGATACTTCGTAATATCCTGCACGACTCGAACGAGAAGAACGAGAACATAAACCTTTAGCCCGCCCAGGTAAAACGCCATGAAGAGGAAAGAATCAAGATGCAAGGACGTCAGATCTATTCAATACGAGCCCGCTTATGGCCTTCACCCTCATCCTCCGATTGCGACATAACATCAATGTCATCAATATCCATCATATCGTCGTCCTGGTCCTCGTCTTCATCCGATTCCATACCAGCCCGACGCTTCAAACCCTTCATCTTACGGGTCTGCAGACCGGACAGATCCTGCTTGCCCAGATGCACACGACCGACCTTGTCACCGATCGCGTCCATGCTGATATTCTTCTTGGTCTTCATATCCTCGTTCGGTCGCTTAGCCTGCTTCATGGCCTGCTTCATCAAATCCGGAGCAGCGGCGCGTGTGCGCCCGATCTTGAAATCGAACTTGGGTCCAATCGGCTCCAGCTCCACTCGCGGCAGTTTGTGACCACTGCGCTTGGTGATGATTTTGTACCACCGCAGATGCACCACAGGGGAAAGACCCTCACGCGGCTCCTCCGCTCCAATCATAAGAATGTGCTGCAGACCCTCGACGTCAATCCGGTCGGTCTCCTCCCCCTTGAACAAGTCCAGGAAAAAGCTCTTCAGCATAGCGTGGGAGGACGAGGTGGGATCCTCCCATGGGGTACCGGCGAAGAGAATCATGGGCCGTAGCCCAAGACCGACGTGCATGACCAACTCGTTGATAGGTGGGATGGCATTAGGGTCGGGGGCTGGGAGGAGAAGAAGCTCGCACATGTCCAGGAGCTGCGAATTGAAGATCCGGGCAACCGTCACACAGTTGGGGCGCTTCTTGTTGCTGCTTCCGAATACCACCAGAGCGCATTCGTTCTTGTTGGCGAGAAACTCGAGGCTCTCGGTGTTTTCGAACGGGTGGATTTCGTTCTTCTTGTGGAACATCACGGAATGAGGTTTGGTCATCGAGTGGAATGTCTTGAGGACTGTGTTGAGGGGTTGGGGGCATCGTGTTCCGTGCATTAGAAGGGTCTTTTTGGGAGGCTCGATGAGCTGCGGCTCACGAGCCTTGAGGATGCGCGCAGTGCGCGGGTTCTTAGCCTTTCTGTTGAGTCTTGATTAGTATTGTGCCATAAGCCTCTACGATGCGGAATACATACACTTCACGCAACATGGTGGTGGGCGGGGGGGCTCTTTTTGTTGATTGAGATCTCGGAGTAAAAAATGCAGAAAAGTTTTGGGGCAGAAGGCTTGGCGCCCTTATCGATAAGCGCGGTGGTGGATCCACCTCGACTTCTGGAGAACAAGGTTACGCCTGCGAATCTTGCAGTAGAAATCCGGAAATAATGAAGAAAAGAATTGCATTCATGCACTATATTTTATTTGAACTTTGGGTCGTTGTTTAGCCACGACGCTAAAGGAGTTTACTCTAGGCGCAGCTTCTCGAAAGCCTTGATTTGCTCTTCCAAGAGTGCAGCCTCACTCTCCGCATCGCGGAGTCGCTTCTCCTCCTGCTCGCGCACTTCAAGCTTGACCTTCTCCTTCCAGGTAGGAGCACTCATGATAGTTTGGCACTTGCGCACAGTCTCACGGGCACGCTCGAGACTAGCCTTGGCCTTCTCTTCCTGCTCGAGGGCAACCTCCTTAGAAACACGCAGGTAGACAGCGGCCTCAGCACTGACGGTGGCCACAACACAGCCGGCGGGGGCCGCCTTGTTGTCCGGGCCAAGGTGTGAAAGCTCGCCCAGGGTCTTACCACCCAGAGACTTGATACTGTTCAGTTGCTCAGACACGGTCTTTTCGCTGGTAGCATCGTAGGTCTGGATGATGATATCGCCCTTGGTCTTGACATCGTATTGGGCAAGAATCGATCGGATGGTCTTGGATGTGTTGAGAATAAGCTCGTAGGCGGTCGCGGCGGCTGGGTCGTCAAATTCGGCGTTGTACTCGGGGAATTTGGCCTTCATGATCGAGAATGTCTTGTCGTCAGGACGACGGGGCAGACGCTGCCACAGCTCTTCACTAATGAAAGGCATGATAGGGTGAATCATAGTCAAAGCACCCTCTAGCGCAGTGTAGAGAGTTTGCTTGGCCGACTCCTTGGTTTCAGCCGAAGTATCCTCAGCCAGAAGGTACTTGGAGTTTTCGATGAAAACATCACAGAGTTGAGAGTACCAGTACTGGTAGATAGTGCTGGCGGCAGTGGAGAACTCACGGGCCTCAAGAGTCTCATTCACCTCCTTAGCGGCAGCATTGAACTTGTGGAGAATCCATCGCTCGGACAGAGACTCGCGGCCCGTCTTGCTAGGAGTGGGAAGAGGCTTGAAGTCATCACCAAGCTTACCAAGAACGAACTTAGTGGCTTGGTAGATCTTATTACAGAAGCGACGGTATCCGTAAATGACCTGGACATCGAAAGCAATGTCACCACCTACAATTGGCGAAGGTTAGTAAACTGGCCTGAAGGACTGATAGGGGCAAATTTGATCTTACCTCCAGTGGTGTACGAAACGAGGGCGAAGCGGAGAGCATCAGTACCGCACTCGGGGATACCCTTGGGGAAGGCCTTCTTCTGGTACTTGGTGGCGGCAGCGACTTCCTTGTCCGCGAGGTTACCCACAAGTAGCTTGTCGTGAAGCTCTTGAAGAGTAATGGAATCGATCACATCTAATGGATCAATGACATTACCCAGGGATTTCGACATCTTACGACCCTCCGAATCGCGGATCAAAGAGTGGCAGTACACCTCCTTGAAAGGAACCTTTCCGGTCATCTTGAGACCAAACATAATCATGCGAGCAACCCAGAAGAAAAGAATATCCCATCCGGTCTCCAGCACGGATGTGGGGTACAGGTTCTCGTAATCGTGCGTCTTTTTTGGCCAACCCAAAGTAGAGAAGGGCCATAGACCCGATGAGAACCAGGTATCGAGCACATCAGGGTCGCGGATAAGCTCGAATTTCTGTCCAGGGAATTTGGCCTCGGCCTTTTTCCTGGCCTCTTCTTCGTTACGACCAGACACCCACAAGTTGCCGTCGCTGTCGGATCCCTCTTGACCTTCAATCTTGATGAAGTATGTAGGAGTTTGGTGACCCCACCACAGCTGTCGGCTCAGACACCAATCGTTGAGGTTGCTCATCCAACGGAAATAGCTCTTCTCAGCACTTTCGGGCCGAATGATGATATCGCCGTTCTCCACAGCCTTGATGGCGGGTCCAACAAGGGATTCCATGTTCATCCACCATTGGGGCTTAAGAATGGGCTCGATCACGTCGTTTGACTTGCTACAAATGGGGATCTTCATGGGATTGTGCTCCCATTTCACGTACAGGCCCTTTTCTTTTAAAGCGGCAATGACGGCGTACCGAGCGTCGAAACGCTTCATGCCAGCGAAAGGTCCACCGTGCTTGTTGAAGGTACCATCATCGTTCATGACGGAAATAAATTCGAGGTTGTGACGCTTACCACGGTTGAAATCATTGAAATCGTGCGCAGGGGTAATCTTGACAGCACCAGTACCAAACTCAGGGTCCACATCTTCATCAGCAACAATGGGCATCAGGCGGTCCACGAATGGGTGACGGGCATTCTTGCCAATCAGGTGGCTGTACCGCTTATCAGTGGGATGAACAGCAATTCCAGTGTCACCAACCATAGTCTCCGGACGAGTAGTGGCGATCTCGATACGTTCGGTAGTACCGTCGATCTCGTAGGTGAAGTGGGTCAGGACACCAAACTCGACCTTCTTGTCGTACCCAGGCACATCCAAAAGAGTACGGCCTTCAACCTCTTTGTTATCGACCTCAAGGTTGGATAGCGATGTGTTCAACGCAACACACCAGTTCACGAGGCGATTGGCCCGGTAAATGATACCTTCCTCGTGGAGAGATACGAAAGTTTCGGTCACAGCAGCGGACAGATTAGGGTCCATTGTGAAGGCCTCACGCGACCAGTCAAACGAACCGCCCAGTCTTCGGAGAGCATTCTTGATGTTGCTATGGTATTCATGCTTCCAGTCCCAAATCAACTTGGTCAACGCAGGACGTCCGATGTCGTGGCGCGTCTTTCGCTCTTTCTTCCACAGCATTTTCTCGACAACACTCTGCGTTGAGATACCGGCATGATCCATTCCAGGGAGCCAGAGTGTAGTCTTGCCCTTCATACGCTGCCAACGGATCATGGTATCTTGGAGGGCGTTGGTAAGGGCGTGGCCCATGTGGAGGGAACCGGTGACATTGGGAGGCGGGCTGTGGACTATGAGCTTCAGCGCATCAGGTGAAAGGGAGCCAACTTACATTGGGATAACGAAGCTACCCTCAGGCTTCACCTTGCCATCAGGGCCCCATTCAGGCTTGAATAAATCATGCTTCTCCCACCAGTCGAGACGGCCAGCTTCGATCGTCTTCGGGTCGTATGCGTCGACAGCCTTTTCCTTCTCGACCTTGGGGGCCTTCTTTTCAGCCTTGGGGGCAGTAGGCTTACTGCTAGCGGCTTTAGCCTGCTTCTCCGCAAATTTCTTCGCTTTCTCGGCCTTCTTGCGCTCGCGCTCCACTAAAGACAATCAAACAGATCAGCGGGCAATTCTCTAGATTCTTTGACGCGGTTATCAGGCGATCGGTTGGGTCATCATACATTCTTTCTCGGTCTTCACCTTGGGAGCGGCGTTCTCGGTCGAGGCAGCGGGCTGGTCCCCAGCTGTTGAAACATGTTAGAGGAGTTGCCATGCTTGAGTCATTGATCAACACATACTGGGGGGGTTGAGTGGGAGATGCTTGAGCCATCCTTGTCCTCGTAAATGATCGATATTGCGGAGGGATTCTCCAAGGCGCCGATCGCGCCACGAATCGCCGGGTAAGTATCTTGAGGGAGTTGAATGCGACAAGGAGGGGTGGTTGTGGGAAATGCGGGCAGTTAAATTTCGGAACGAATGAGCGGCGGATCGGTGGGGACCGCAGATGCCGGTCTTTTTCCTCGAGATGCAATGAGTCAGTCTTCGGCATTCAGCCTTGCTTGCATCCAATCTTACCTTGGTTGGCTTGTGGCTTTTGCAATTGGCCCTGATCCTTTCGCCATCACTTTTTATCGCGTCGCGAGGCGTCCGCAAGACCTCACGTGATGGCGCTGGGGCCACCCCGGTCTCCTGGAGCAGCTATCAAGATCCAGCATTACATGGCCTTATTCCACGGTGGCAATGAGTTCCAATTCCGTAACGAGAAACAACACGTCTTTTGCCGATATTTACTTCTGGGGCTGAGGCGTAATCCGCAGAAATGAGGACAAGGACCCGTTAAGATCGATGCAAGTCAACGCCCCTGCTACAAAATAATGGGTTCTACTACTCTAAGAGCACGACATACATTTGTTGCTACAGGCTATGCGTGTACACTGACAACTCCTTGTCGGTAGTCAATCTCTAGTACCTGAATAAGCAGAAAAATCATAGTTTACTACAGAATAAATTGGAAACTGCAGATGAATGGATTTGATACTGTTGGCTCAGACTGGACGTGCGCGTTGCTAAAGGATACAGACTTCAAGCGTGCAAATATCCTAGTTAGTGGTCCGTGATGGCTCAAGCATCGATCCTGGGCGAACGCGTGGGCAATGCAGCATTAGATTACTTTGAAAGGACAAAATTATTACCAAATGCTTTTGAAGGCCATCTCCAACTTATGTGGAAGGTCTTTTCAACTCGAGAGCCATGACATTAGTACATGATCCAGCCTGAGAAACTTGAGTCCGAGTCTTATACCAGTAGATTACGGCTTCAAGTTGGATTGTTCTGGCCAGCCTTGGCAGTGCTAATCAAAAAAGCTAGTACGGCAGGTGTCACGCATTTCGTCGCACTGAAGTCTATCTACGGCGTGAAAAATGCAGGGGTACCTAATGATGACAAGTGGTAGGAACTGTATAAGTGCACTGATAGTACTGGTAATAGAACCAGCCCATCAGGCGATATATTGAAGGCAGATCTTGGACGCGTAAAAAGGACTTTGAAAGTGCGGTGTACAATTAGGTAGTAAGGGGGAAAAAATGAGTGACCCTTCGGCTCTAAAATGTGAAGAGATGTTATTGCGCTCACTAATACGCCTGCAAGACCGAGGCTGATGAAGGACTCTGGGGCCAAGGAAATTAGAACTTGAAGTCATGTCTTGTCATCATTAATATCGTCTCCTGGGTCTGTCGCCCATCAAAGCTATTCTCAAATCGGGGCGGGAACGAAGCCGAATACAGAAAGGGACGATGAGCCAGGATTTGCGTCGATCATCCCCATTCGATGGGTTGTAATTGTATACCGCCCATAGCGGAAGTTTCATAGTCAGAGAAGAGATAAGTAGCCCAGAAACCCGGTCGTTCGTCATCGTGGCAACTTGGAGAAAGAGGAGGACAGGTAGAGAACAGAAGAGGTGCAAGAGTAAGTAGAGAAGAGCCATCACTATGAATGATACGGATTGGTTCAGGACTGAGTGGTGTTGTTACGAGCATCGGCGCGAACAGGTTCGAAGTAAGGGTGGGCCATGGCCTCTTGGGCAGTCAAGCGTTCCTAAAAGAAAGAGGCGTTAGACATGAAAGAATGACGAAGACCAATTATCAAGAGCACATACAGCGTGATCGTAGCGCAGCAGCTTGTCAAGGAAATCAATGGCTTCGTCGCTGACAAAGCGCTGGTTCTCGGCAGTGACAAATGAGTGCCACGGCTTTCGAGGGAATCGCGAGAGGATCTCATCGTACTGAGGGTCCAACTCGATATCATATTTGTCCAGGTACTCGAACAGCTCTTCAGTACCAAGAACCTTGGCAATCTTGACAAGCTGGTCCGAGTTGCTGTTACCGTGGAAGAAAGGCTCTTTGCGGAAGATCATTGACGCAAACATAGCGCCCAAAGACCACATGTCAAGGGAGTAGTCATACTCTTGAAAGTCAACCAGGAGCTCGGGACCCTTGAAATAACGAGAAGCTACCCGGACATTGTATTCAGTGCCCTTGTGATAGAATTCAGCAAGACCCCAGTCGATCAAGCGGAGCTATAAAGCCGTTAGAAAATGATAGTTTCTGCATAGCTGAATGTTTCAAACAAACCTTGCGTTTTTCGTGGTCAATCATTACGTTGTGGGGCTTGACATCGCGGTGCATAATTCCCTTGCTATGGCAAAAATCAAGCGCTTTCAAGAGCTCGAAAACGTAGAACCGTACATCGTAATCGGTAAAGCGGGGGTAGAGAGTTCGGAAATCGGTGTTGTTGACGGCCTCAAACACCAGGCTTGGAGTTTTGCTTTGATTATCGCGCACAACGTCAAGCAAAGCGATAACATTAGGGCCACCAGACAGATTCTGCAGAATTTTGATCTCTCGCTTGATCTTCTTCTTCTTGACGGGCTTGAGAACTTTGATAACACATTTCTGATAGTTGACCACGTTGATGCCTTCGAATACCTCAGAGTACTTGCCGCGACCTTTGAATGAATGCAATTAGCAAGATTCCAAGTATATGAACAGCCCTTCCATCCGTACAAAGTCCTCGTTGATGGGGCTGATTTCCAGATAAATTGATCCAATCATATCAAACGTACCTATCTTGCGGACTATTTCGTAGTTTTCGAGGACACCCAAGAGATATTGACACTGTCATAGTCCCAGTACGAGCGGGGCATCTGCTCGTTGACGTCGGCGTAGACACGCGCCATGGTGATCGCAAACGTTGTCCGTGCCCGTCCACAGTGGGAATTAGGCCCAGTGGGGTTAGGACGCGGGGTCGCGGCCGAAAAGACACACGGTCGGGAAGGAAGGGTTTGAGGAGGTAGACAGCCAGCAACAGATCAGGTCGAACGTGGCCGTTCGATCGATCGGTCCTGGTAGCAATAGGGCAATAGAGGGGAGAGATAATATGAGAAGATCTGTTCCGCCTTGCTACAGGCCTGTGGGGAATAGAACACCCAAATGGCGTTAGACCTCCGGCACGGGAGATATTTGCCCCGAGAACACCTGGAGCTTTTCGATATTCTGCCCAAGGCGGTGGGCCGCGCTTTTCTGGATGTTTGACTGTAGGAATTGCTGGCAGTCCTCATTCCTAGCTCCACGGTGCTATTTATTCTGTCCAGTAAGGTACAGGACATTATGTTTTATGACCTGAATGTGCCATATGCCCCTGATGACCCTGGTGTATCCCACACCTTGAATTTCCTTGCTGAATGTAAGTTATTTTGGGCACACGAGATCAACGTGGATCTGCAAAGCCACATGAGGTACTAACCTGACCTCCCAGTGGGTTACACTACCGTTGCCCTGTCTCAAACAGTCAGCGGAAAGCTTCCGCCAAACATCGTGCCTCCAGAAGTACCTCGGAATCCACCCAAATCCCTTCAGCTTCTAACGCGCGTGAACTTAACGCTATCCGACCCCGCCCAAAACCAACGTCTCAATGCTCTTGGTCAGGCATATGATCTGGTCGCCATTCGGCCCACCAATGAGAAGTCCCTCCTCAATGCTTGTACAAACCTTGAATGTGATATCATCTCACTAGATCTCTCCGTCCGGCAGCCATACCATTTCAAATTCAAAATGCTTTCAGCTGCGGTGTCACGGGGGATTCGCATCGAGATATGCTATGGTCCTGGGGTCACCGGGAGCGGCCTTGATGCTAGAAGAAACCTCATTGGAAATGCTATGGCTTTGATCCGAGCCACACGAGGCCGCGGCATTATTGTGTCAAGCGAGGCCCGACGAGCGCTGAGCTTACGAGCCCCGTGGGATGTGATTAACTTGACATGTGTCTGGGGTCTGTCACAAGAGGTCGGGAAGGAGGCGATATGCGAAGAAGCCCGAAAAGTCACAGCTTTAGCTAAATTGAAACGTACAAGCTGGCGTGGCATTGTTGACATCGTTCATGGCGGGGAATCAACCAAATCGGAAAACCTAGCACAGAAACCGCAAACCACAAACAAAAGGGACACGAGATCTGCAGAAGACCACGGCTCCGAGGGCTTGAAGAGAAAGGCATCTACGAGCTCTGAAGTCGTACCAGAAACCCTTGAGAAGCCCATATCGAAGAGGGAGCAAAAACGCCGAGCAAAGAAAGCAAAACTAGAGGCAAATGGCCCTGATGCGAAATGAGAAGATTGGATCTCCAGTGCTCCATACCAAATCAAGGAAAGATTGCCGTTCTACATGCATCTTTATACGTCAGAGGGTCGGGCCGACTTAGGACTTGACCTTTCTCTCAGAATGTCTGTCCACCCCATGCCCAGCATGCTGGTATCCTTTCCCAGACACCCACGATGCATCTCAGAGTCAGGTCCATGCGTGTGCGCAGTCCACTGTCCTGCTTGGATTTGCATTTTCTATAATGCCCTCACACCCAGCCTTCTGGACTTCGCTCGAAAAGCATATTGAAGTTGTCAAGCCGTTGGGCCTCGGAGATGACAGCCAAATATAGTATTTGGCAACTATGTGAACGTAGATGCCAGCTGAAAGGCATATTTTATTGTACTTTACAAAATTAGGGAAACTCATCACAAAGCATAAATACAAACAAGTCAGATATCTGCAGAATTCCGGTAATAAACTACATAGAATTAGCACTTCTCATGCTTGAGCTCTTGGCGGATCTTTTCGGCAAGCTCAAGCGTCTCTCGGGGAAGCCCCGCTAGCTGAGCAACTTTGAGAGCATGCGATTCACGGTTGACACCCTTCCGAAGTCGGTGGACGAAAGAAAACCCGCCTTGGGCTGTCTCCTTGATATCTGTACAATAACATTCAAGGTGATCAAAGCTTTGGGTCATATCTGCGAGCCGGTGGAAATGAGTGGCAAAGAGTGTCCGGGCCTGATTATGGTAATGCAAGTGGTGTAGACAAGCGAGGCTGACTGCAGTGCCGTCTTCTGGCGTCGTCCCCGGCCTACTTCATCCATGATCACAAATGACCGCCCGGTAGCTTGCTTCAGTATTGCAGCAGTCTCAAGCATTTCCACCATGAAAGTCGATTGGTCGCGGAAGAGGTCATCAGCTGCGCCAATACGGCTGAATATCTGGTCTACTACGCCAATCTCAGCATAGGCCGCAGGGACGTATGAGCCGACTTGAGCAAGGATCGTGATCAAAGCGTTCTGGCGCAAGAACGTGCTTTTCCCAGCCATATTCGGACCTGTGATCAACCAAATGCGTTCCTGACCACCGAGATGACAATCATTGCTCACGAAAGATCGGCCCTGTTCCTCGAGTCCAAGTTTAACAGTGGGATGTCTCCCACCTACGATATTATGGGAAGTTCCGTTATTGAGAATAGGGCGAACCAGCTGTTGCTCCTGTGCTAGTGTCGCAAATGAACAGGCAACGTCCAATTCATCCATAACTGCGGCATTACGCCGGATTTTGACGAGGTTCATGATGACTTCTTTCCGTAACCGTTCAAAGATAGCCTGTTCCTCTTGGCGAATTCGAACTTTGACACGATCAATTCTGTTGCCCAGCTCTGTCCATGCGGGAAGGTAAAAGGATCGTGTGGATTTTGTTGATGAGACATTGCGGGTAACACCCAGGTCTTCCAGTGATTTCTGTGATATCTTAGCACCTTTCACATGGCAAATATGACCAAGTCCCGGTGTCCACTTCAAAGTTAGAGCAGTGGATCCCGCAGAGCCAACGTGGTCACGGAGTTTTTGTGTCAAGGCTGATTTTTCATCTATCAGGTGCTCCAGTTCTGAATGGAGAGAACTCAAGCCATCGCTTGCATCCCGTCGCATGATCCAAGTTTCAAGGGCCTCGGACTCAGATGCGGCCACTTTATCATTATTCCGAGTTCTTACACTCTTTGGCAGTGACTCCAGCTCACTTGAGGTGCCTTCATTGATAGCGACTTTTTGTGCCAGATTCGCAGCTTCGGCAGCCGTACTATCCTCGATCCGCTGCCGCTGGAGAAGGCCTTCCTCGTCAATAGCTGCGGTAATCTTATGAGCTAAAGCAGTGGGGCCTTCGAGATATAGCCGTGAGATCATGCGTGTAAGGCTCTCTTTTGTGGCTGAATTGGTATCCGATGACAAGCGCCGGCCATGGTCAAGAAGGACTTGCTTGATACACTGAGAAGCTTCAATGGCCCGGGACAGGCAGATAAGATCGTCTGGGTCTCCTTTACCCATGGCAAATTTCTGAACTAGCCGCTGGGAGTCATAACTCCGCTTCAAATTTTGAATGACACTATCACGAAGATCTTCATTTTCAACGAAGACTGAGACAAGATCCAATCGATCATTGATCACAGGAAGCGCTGATGACGGCGAGGCTAGATGGAAATTAGTTACGAAAAATAAACTTAATCTCGATTGCAACGTGCAGCGTACTCAACCTGTCTCGAAGAAGTCGTGCGCCACTTTTGGTGGAAGTCCTGCGGACTGCGTGAAGCAGACTTCCTTTGCCAAATCCATCTCGGGAAGTTTCGATGATTTCTAGTCCCCTCAGACTGTTGCGGTCGATGCTCATTGACTCATCTAAATGTCTTCGGCGGGGAGGCTGTAATTTGAGGTTGGAACCCTGTAATTGCACCCGAATATACTGCAACAGGCTGTATCCCGCTGTTACTTCCTCGGGAGTGAATTCTGCGTGAGTCTCATCTGAGATAGGCGCTTCGAGCATTGAGTCCCATTCTGACATTGGTTTGACTGTCTCTGGGTATTGGAAGAAAGTGACTAGTCGGTGCTCGTGTCCCACAAGCTGCTGTAATTCCTGCCCAATTACATCCCGTACCTCCTGGTCCACAAGAATTTCGCGGGCCCCAATCCTGGCAATGGCAGATGGCAACATTTGAGCAGTTGTAATTTGAGTGTAGAAGTCTCCAGTAGACAAGTCAAGCCAGGCCAAGCCTGCACGTTGAGGGACAGAGGCCAGAACGTGTTGCGATGACTGGACACCAACTTGTTGCTTCGATTGAGCTTGCATTGTAGCGCAATCTAGGTAAATAGCTAACAGGAAGTTGTTCTCCGATGGGTCAATGAACTTCTCATCAATCAAAGTTCCCGGGGTAACAACCCTGGCCACCTTGCGATCAAACATGAGGCCCGCAGAGCGTGCTTTGTCTTCAGACTCATGAGCGAATTCCTCACTAATCGCCACATGTTTGTTCAAGTCTTGGACAAGTATTTTGAGAAATCTATCCAACTGGAAGAATGGGAATCCCGCCATGGGAACTGGACCTGCACTTGTCTTTTTAGACGCGAGTTTGAGGCTGAGCAACGGCGCAAGCTCCTCGGCCTGTTCAAAATAAAGCTACAAAATTAATTAGCTATTGAGCCGGCACTATCATTAAAGGTATTTCCCTACTTCATAAAAACCCCCCACTCTTGTCAAGATAACGCAGTTGCTGAATTTCTGCATGTTGTTTCGGTGTCCTTGGACGACCGTTGGATATTGAGGGGCATCATCAGTTCTATCTTCATAAGGATCCAACCTCAGCACTCCCTGTGGGAGATCTTTCAATTTGACAGTAGTCTGCGTTTTAGCGCCCCTTCGTAATTGGAGCTGCGGTGTTGCGGAAGAGACGCGGACGCGACGGGGACGCGCATGATGGCATATAGTGCGATGAATCTGACAATGATATGAGGGACCAGGAGTGGTTCGCCCAATATACCGTAGTTTTGGTATCGCGAGGGCAAGCCTGGTCAGAGGAGGACCATCAAGGCGCATATTGTGTTGTCAGCGGCGTTCTCTGATAGCTAACTAACAAGTACTTTGGTATGTCCTTCATTTGTGGCAGAACTGTAGCTCCCACCATACTCCGCCCCCGTCACCGCCCTGACCACCGAAATTATCATGAGCTGCTGCTCTTCAACCATCAATTAATTAACCATCAGCACCCCTGCTCTTCCGCATCCCCGCTTCAAAACCACCTTTATTCTCACGGGGGCGATTCAGGATTGTGCAACCTATTGAAAATCGGCTCTCACGAGCACCCCTTTCGTGCGGCGTGGTCGACTTTGCGCTTGGCGCATCCAAGCCGACCAAAGTCGCGCGACTTTTTCCTTTCTCTGCTTATTTCATTCGTTTGATATCACTACCTTCAAGATGGCGGACAAAGATATCTCGCAATACAAGTACTCGGCGATGTCCAACCTGGTTCTCCAGGCGGACCGTCGATTCGTCAGCCGGAACGATGATGAGGCTACTGGAGACCCCGAATCTATTGCAGGTCGCATTGGTATTCGCGAAATGGGATCACGAGTGAGGAGACAGGATGATCAGAAACCAAAGAAAAAGGCTGGACCTGCAGATCTCGAGCGAGGCTCAATCCGAGAGGGTGAAGACGTTTTGGCCCGGGAACAAAAAAAGCACCAGCAGGGCGCGCCGGCGCAATCACGAGGCCAAGAATTTCTGTCCGCTGCAGATGCCAAAATCGAAGGCCTCACATATCGTCCACGAACCGCCGCCACAAGAGCCACCTATGACCTTATTCTTACGATCACCAGAAGCCACCTTGGCGACGTATCCCATCAAGTTGTTCGAAGTGCTGCCGATGCTGTGCTGGAATATCTCAAAGATCAAGAAATGAAAGATTTCGATAAGAAGAAAGAAATCGATGACCTTCTGGGAGACGTTATGGATCCTAAGGAGTTCAATGAGCTTGTGAATTTGGGAAAGAAAATTACCGATTACAATGCCCAGGACGACGATGAGGATATGGATGGTGATGCGGTTGAAGATGAAGACGAAGGAAGTGTCGATGGGCGTCCGGGCATCGCTGTCGGCTTCGCACAGGAAGCATTAGATGAAGATGAAGATCTCGAGAATGAAGTTAGCGACGAGGAGAGCGACGAGGACGAACAAGAGCAGCCAGCCGAGGATCAACCTCAAGATGAGGACGGCATGGTGATTGATGATGGTGTTGGCCATATATCGAAGGCTGACTCACAACCTGAACTAAGTGTCCCCGCACAAGCTATTGACGCTTACTGGTTACAACGTCAAATCGGTGAAATGTACCCAGATGCTCACAGCCAGCAAGAGAAAACTCAAGAAGCTCTGGACATACTCAGTGGACAAGAGGAAGATGGGTCTGCCCGTCCTCTCCGTGACGTCGAGAACGATCTGATGGAGCTTTTTGACTATGAGCATGCTGAATTAGTGTCAAAGCTGGTGACCAATCGCGATAAGATCGTTTGGGTCACCCGCTGGAGGCAAGTCGCGGAAGACGATGATGCCCGTCTCCTTGTCGAGAACCAAATGATTGAGGCAGGACACCGTGCCATCTTCGACGAACTTAAAGGCAAATCAGCTCGCGATGAACGTGCTTCTCGTCCTCAGAAAAAGTTCAAAAAATTTGACCTGATGGACCTCGATATCCCCTCTGCTGCTGCGCCAGAAGATAAACCCCCCAAAGAAGTCGGCTTGGTTGGTGGCTTGCAACCAAAGAAAACTATCAATCTTGAAAATCTCGTCTTCCACCAGGGTAACCATCTCATGACCAACCCAAATGTCAAACTTCCGCAAGGGTCGACCAAACGATCTTTCAAGGGCTACGAGGAAATTCATGTGCCCCCGCCAAAGAAAGCGTCTTCTTCTGATAAGCTGATTCCTAGTACTGAATTGCCGGACTGGGCTCAGGTGGGCTGGGGAAATTCGAAAGAGTTGAATCGTATTCAGACAAAGTGCTTCCCCTCCGCTTTCCATCAGGATGGGAACATGCTCATCTGTGCCCCTACGGGGTCTGGAAAGACAAACGTTGCTATGCTCGCCATCCTTCGAGAGATCGGTAAGAATCGCAACCCTGAAACAGGCGAAATCATGCTTGACGATTTCAAAATCATTTTCATCTCCCCATTGAAGGCGCTGGTCCAGGAACAAGTCGGAAATCTTGGCAAACGCCTAGCGCCCTATGGCATCCGTGTGTCAGAGCTGTAAGTATCTATGCTACTAAACCCATGACTATCCAAACTAACAATTACAACAGGTCAGGTGATAGATCAATGACGAAGCAGCAAATTGCGGAAACCCAGGTCATCGTTACCACCCCGGAGAAGTACGATGTCATTACTAGAAAGGCGTCTGAAACTAGTTACACCAACCTTGTCCGCTTGGTGGTTATCGATGAAATCCATCTTCTTCATGATGATCGAGGCCCTGTTCTGGAAAGCATTGTGAGCCGCACAATCCGCCGCGTTGAGCAGACTGGCCAACCTGTTCGTATCGTCGGATTATCGGCAACATTGCCCAACTACACAGATGTCGCGACCTTCCTTCGCGCTGATCCTGACACTGGTGTGTTCCACTTCGATGGTTCTTACCGTCCTTGCCCTCTCAAACAGGAATTCATCGGCGTGACCGACAAGAAGGCCATCAAGCAACTGAAGACTATGAACGACATCTGCTACAATAAGGTTTTGGAACATGTCGGCCAGCGAAACAATCAAATGTTGATCTTCGTTCATTCTCGAAAGGAGACGGCCAAGACCGCAAAGTACATTACGGACAAGGCTATAGAAAACGAGACTATCGGACAGATCTTGAAGCAGGACTCTGCTAGTCGTACCTACCTGACTGAAATGGCCGAAACTGTCGACGATCCTTCGTTGAAGAGTTTGCTGCCGTATGGAATTGGTATCCACCACGCCGGTCTGAGTCTTGGGGATCGTGATGTCGTTGCCGAGTGCTTCGAGGATAAGAAACTCCAGGTTTTGGTCTGCACTGCGACTTTGGCGTGGGGCGTCAACCTTCCAGCTCACACCGTCATCATCAAAGGCACTCAGGTCTATTCACCTGAGAAGGGTAGCTGGGTTGAATTGAGTCCGCAAGACGTTCTTCAGATGCTTGGACGTGCGGGTAGACCTCAGTTTGACACATATGGAGAGGGCATCATCATTACTTCACAGGCTGAAATTCAGTATTATCTTTCGCTTCTGAATCAGCAATTGCCGATCGAGTCTCAGCTCGTCAGCAAACTTGCCGACAGCATGAATGCTGAAATCGTTCTTGGGAATATCAGGAACCGTGATGATGGTGTGGAGTGGCTGGGATACACATATCTTTATGTGCGCATGCTGCGATCGCCAGGCCTGTATAGCGTCGGGGCGGACTACGACCATGATGAGTTGCTGGAGCAAAAAAAGAGTTGATCTCGTTCACTCCGCCGCCGTTGTTCTCGAGCGTGCCGGGCTGGTGAAGTACGAGAAGGAAACAGGGCGGCTACAATCCACCGAGCTCGGCCGTATTTCCTCCCACTATTACATTTCCCACAATTCAATGGCAACTTATGCGCAGCATCTGCAGCCCTCTATTACCACCATTGAACTGTTCCGCATCTTTGCGCTCAGCGATGAATTCAAGTACATTCCTGTTCGTCAAGATGAGAAATTGGAACTCGGCAAACTCCTTGGACGAGTGCCAGTACCTGTTAAGGAGACCATTGACGAACCCCACGCCAAAATCAATGTCTTACTTCAGGCCTACATCTCTAGACTCAAGCTGGATGGGTTAGCTTTGATGGCTGACATGGTGTATGTCACTCAATCTGCTGGTCGAATCATTCGTGCGATTTTCGAGATCTGTCTAAAGAAGGGTTGGTCCTCTGTTGCCAAGGATGCACTCGATCTTTGCAAAATGGCCGAGAGGCGTATGTGGCCAACCATGTCTCCTCTCCGCCAATTCCCTCGTTGCCCTAGGGATATTCTTCAGAAGGCCGAGCGAATCGATGTTCCCTGGCAGAGTTATTTTGATCTCGATCCCCCAAGAGCAGGAGAACTGTTGGGTATGCTCGGGCCGGTCGTGTAGTCTGTGATCTTGTGTCAAAATTTCCTCGACTCGAACTTCAGGCTCATGTGCAACCGGTTACCCGTTCCATGCTACGCATTGAGCTGACCATCACACCCAATTTTGTGTGGGATGATGAGCTTCACGGGAAATGCCCAAGATTTCTGGATCTTGGCTGAGGACTGTGATGGCGAAGAAATCTTGTTCCATGACCGCTTCTTGCTACGACGCGAATTTGCCCATGCTGAACAGGAACATCTGGTCGATTTCACTGTTCCCATCACTGAGCCCATTCCACCAAATTATTTCATCTCGATCCTGAGCGACCGCTGGATGCACTCTGAGACCAAAATTGCGGTTTCTTTCCAGCAATTGATTCTCCCCGAGCGATTCCCTCCCCACACGCCTCTGCTCGATATGCAAAGTGCCCCTGTGAAGGCTTTGAAGAACGCGGAGTACCAGAAGCTCTATCCCGATTGGCAGGAATTCAACAAGATTCAAACTCAGGTCTTCAAGTCGGTGTACGACTCAGATGAAAACGTCTTTGTAGGAGCTCCCACTGGAAGCGGCAAGACGGTTTGCGCCGAGTTAGCCTTACTTCGTCATTGGTCTTCCGAAGACAGCGGCCGCGCTGTGTACATTGCTCCCTTCCAGGAGCTGGTAGATGAGCGTTATGCTGATTGGAACAAGCGGCTGAGCGCTCTCAATGGAGGAAAGACTATTGTTAAACTCAATGGAGAGGCCATTGCCGACCTCAAGCTTCTCGAAACGGCTGATCTGGTTCTCGCTACCCCTAGTCAGTGGGATGTTATTTCACGCCAATGGCGACGCAGGAAGAACGTGCAGACAGTCCGACTTTTCATCGCAGATGAAATTCATATGGTTGGTGGCTTCGGTGGGTATGTCTACGAAATAGTCGTTTCTCGTATGCGCCACATTGCGCAGCAAACCGAAAATGAGATTCGGATCTTGGGATTGAGCGTTCCCCTCGCGAATGCTCGCTCTGTTGGCGAGTGGATCGGGGCTCACAAGCACACCATCTTCAACTTCAGTCCTAACGCTCGCCCTCGGCCGTTGGAGCTGCATATTCAAAGTTTCTCGATTCCTCATTTCCCCTCACTGATGCTCGCCATGTCCCGACCTGTCTACCACTCAATCCTGCAGCTGTCGCCAGATAAGCCGGCCTTGGTCTTTGTACCAAGCCGCAAGCAGACACGATCCACGGCTATCGATTTGCTGACAGCCTGTGGCATCGACCAAGATGAAGATCGCTTCTTAGCTGCCGACCCGGAAGAGTTGGCCCCGCTTCTCAACCGTGTCCAAGAGCAGACGCTTGCTACCTCACTTTCGCACGGCATTGGTTATTACCATGAAGCTCTAAGCCCCGCCGATAAGCGCATTGTTTTGCATCTCTACAAAATTGGCGCCATTCAAGTTCTTCTGGCATCCCGTGAAGTTTGCTGGGAACTGAACGTGACCGCTCACCTGGTCATCGTGATGAACACGCAATTCTTTGAAGGCCGTGAACATCGGTACATTGACTATCCAATTAGCGAGGTTCTTCAGATGTTCGGAAAGGCATCTCGTCCGGGCGTAGACAAAGTTGGCCGAGGTGTCCTCATGGTGCCTGCTGTCAAGAGGGACTACTACAAGAAGTTCCTGAGTGAAGCCTTGCCCGTGGAAAGTCACCTGCAATCTTATCTCCATGATGCTTTCGTCACGGAGACCAGTATTAAGACCATTGGCTCAACTCAGGATGCAATTGATTGGCTCACGTACAGTTATTTCTATCAACGTCTGACGGTCAACCCCAGTTTCTACGGCCTCACCGACACAAGCAACGATGAAGTGAACTCATTCCTGTCAGAGCTGGTCGAGAACACCCTGAATGAACTTTCTGAAGCTAAGATCATCGATCATGATGAGGAGGATGACACCGTCACTCCTCTGAACGCTGCTATGATCAGTGCCTACTACAACATCTCCTACATTACGATGCAGACGTTTTTGCTCAGTTTGTCCTCGCGAACTAAACTTAAGGGAATCCTGGAAATTATCACATCTGCGACAGAGCTTGAGTCAATTCAAATCAGAAGACATGAAGAGCACATTCTTCGTCGTGTGTACGACCGTGTACCAGTCAAGATGTCCGAGCCTGTTTTCGACTCGCCCCACTTCAAGGCATTTGTCCTGCTCCAGGCGCACTTCTCGCGGATGGAGCTTCCTTTGGATCTTGCTAAGGATCAAGTTGATATTGTCAGCAAGGTTTTGAACCTCCTCAGTGCTTGTGTTGATGTTCTTTCGTCGGAGGGCCATCTCAACGCTATGAACGCCATGGAGTTGTCGCAGATGGTGGTTCAAGCTATGTGGGACCGCGATAGTCCTCTCAAGCAGATCCCGCACTTTACCCCAGAAATTATCGAGGTGGCGAAGGAATTCAAGTAAGTCCCCTACTTCCCCTTGACGTGGAAATAGACAGCTTGACTAACATTTTATCTGCAGTATTCATGATATCTTTGAATTCATGGAAGCCATGGACCCTGATGAGAACAAAGATCACGCCACCCTGGTAAAGCGCCTGGGGCTGGACAACAAGCAGCTGGCGCAAGCGGCAGAGTTCACCAACAACAAGTACCCCAACATTGCGTTGGACTTTGAAGTTGAAGACCCAGAGAACATCACTGCCGGCGAGCCCGCTTACCTGAATGTCAAAATCGAGCGCGAGGTCGATGAGGATGAAGAGCCCGATACCACTGTGCATGCGCCCTTCTATCCTCAAGAGAAAATGGAGAGCTGGTGGCTCGTGGTTGGTGACGAGAAAACCAAGAGCTTGCTTGCAATCAAGCGTGTCACTGTCGATCGCAAGCTTGAGCAGCGTTTGGAATACGTGGTTCCTACACCTGGTGATCATGAGCTTACGCTGTATCTTATGTGTGACAGCTATTCTGGCGTGGACCAGGCTCCTACCTTCAACGTATCGGTTGCTGAAGGAATGGAGGAAGATGAGAGCGAAGAAGAAGAGTAGGGATTTCGATGACTCTGTACTAATAGGTCAATGTTTGGCTCTTTCGAGCTTTTCTTTAGTTACGAAAAGGGATTTAGTTTCACTCTATCTTTACTAGTTATGAAAAATTAGACGCCTCGTTCAATTTAATCACGCTCTTTCCGTACTAGCAGATGCCTGTAGCCTGGTGCAGTAAGCCCGTACGGGGCGACCCTCGCCTGATTCGGGGCAACAATGCAGCTCTGGTGGATCCCGCATGATCAACCCCGCATGGGATCACACCTCCAGCCTCCAGCCTGCAACTCCTCTTCCCCTGTCTCCCTCCTGAATTTTTCCAAAAAAAAAAAGTGTATCTAAGGTATCTGGGGTATCTGAGGCGCCTTAATCTTGACTTTTGACAAAGACGAAGCAGCAACTTTCAGCTCCGTTCGTCCTTCAATTCGTATATCGGGCTCGCGATTTGGAGAACCTTGACCTCCACATCTTGAGCATCGTCACAAGGTACTATGGCCATTCGCTCAGTCAAGTTCACGCCTGAGTAAGTATCTTGAGCATTCCAGAGATTTGTATTTGAGTCCAATTGTCGTGTGTTTATGGTCTTTGCGCGATCGCTAACTCACATTTGAAGGGTCCTTCTTGGGGCTCCCAGAAGGTCCTCAGCTGTTCCCAATGCTGCCGGTACCCTCGCAGTCTACACACAAACATCATACTCCTTCGAATCGCATTCCAAGACGAGTGAAGTTCGAGTACTTGATATCGCATCCGGTCGTTCTGCCCTGATCACAAATGATGCTGGTGCGAGCAACCCCCAGTGGCTGGGAAGCGGTGACGAGCTGGTCTGGCTTAAGTCCAAGGCCAATGGAAATACAAGTTTCATTATCGGCAATGCACGGGAAGCCGACGATACTTACACTGCCGGTACTGTGCCAGGCCCAGTATCAGATCTGAAAGTGACCCTCATCGAGCCGGGCAAGATCGGCTTCGCCGTCAGCGGCAAGGCAAACCCGGACGGTTCTCTGTACAACCCTCACGATGCGAAGAAGCCACCCACAACGGGCCGCCTCTACACGTCTCTCTTCGTACGACACTGGGACACTTATATTGAGCCTCAAAAGAACGCCATCTGGTATGGTTTGCTCGAGCAGGCGCCCTTGTCTCCTGCCCGCCGTTTGGCAGGAAGGTATTCTCTCTCGGGCCTTACCAACTTGATTCAAGTGTCTGGCTTGGCAGGAGTGGAGTCCCCTATCCCACCTTTTGGCGGGACCGGGGATTTTGATATTAGCCCTTCGGCGATTGTCTTTATCTCCAAGGACCCAGGTCTGAACCCTGCCTTACACACATCCTGCTCGTGCTATTATGCGCCTATGTTCTCTTGGACTAGCTTGAGTGCACCCGAGGTCAAGTCATGCAAGGTCACTTCTTTGCAGGGCGCTATGTCGTCTCCCGTCCTATCTTCAGACGGAAGCTCTATCGCACTCTTGGCTATGAAGGAAGATGGATACGAGTCTGACAAAAATCGTATCCTGTACGTCCCGAACCCATGGAGCGGCGAGATGATTGAAGTTTTCGAGTCTGCAGACGGCAAGGGTTCGTGGGATCTGAGTCCTTCATCTGTAAAATTTTCGCACGATGATAAATCGCTGTTTATTCAGGCTGAAGAAATCGGGCGTGGTGTCCTGTATCAGCTCCCCCTGCAAGACATCAAGAGTGCCAAGCCCGACTCACTGAAGAAGCTCACTCACAATGGCTACATTTCCGATTTGGCGCCTGCGGCTTTGGGATCTTCAAAGCTGCTTGTCACTGCCAGTTCCCTGGTAGATAACAGCGTGTGGTCCATCCTGGACCCCTCCAAGCCCGAAGAAATCTACCCCGTATCATCTATTGGGCGCGGAGGTGCGACTTTTGGCCTTTCTTACTCTCAGGTTGATGAAATCTGGTTCCCCGGCGCCGAGGATCACCCTGTGCATGCCTGGGTTGTGAAACCATCGAATTTCAAGCCGGGTGAAAAATATCCGCTGGCCTATTTGATCCACGGTGGTCCGCAAGGAGCGTGGAATGACCAGTGGAGCACTCGATGGAACCCGGCAGTGTTTGCAGAGCAGGGCTACGTGGTGATCACGCCCAACCCGACTGGCAGTACTGGATACGGGCAAGAATTCACCGATGCCATTCAAACCCAGTGGGGTGGCAAGCCGTATGAAGATATTGTCAAAGGGTTCGAGTATATTGAGCAGAACTTAGATTACGTGGACACTGACCGAGCTGTCGCACTGGGTGCCTCTTACGGAGGGTTCATGGTGAATTGGATTCAAGGCCACGATCTCGGCCGCAGATTCAAAGCTTTGGTTACCCACGATGGCATTTTCAGTATGACTTCGCAGCTTTCCAGCGAAGAGCTATATTTTTTCAACCATGACCTGAAAGGCCCTCTCTGGAAGGTGCCTCAGAACTGGGCTGAATGGGATCCGTCTCGCCATCTCGACAAGTGGGCCACGCCTCACCTCATCATTCATAATGAGCTGGACTACCGTCTGCCTATTTCCGAAGGTCTGGCCGCTTTCAATGTCTTGCAGATGCGTGGTATTGATAGCGCCTTTTTGACGTTCCCCGATGAGAACCACTGGGTCCTCAACCCAGAAAATTCTCTTCTGTGGCACCACACCGTGCTGAATTTCATTAACAGACATGTCGGCCTTCCTCCTACGACTGAAGAGCCTAGCCTTCCTTCAAGCATGAACAAGATGGTTCTCTAAGTGTATTGAGCGACCCTTTTTTTTTTTTGCTGAAATTTAACATGGTTTGTTACTCAATGTTATTTGTAATAATGGGAGTCTTTCATCTCCCAAGGTTATCCAGAGTTCTATTATATAACCCGGACAAAGGGTATCCGGGTTTATCTAGATACTTGAGGCTCTACCAAGCGGGTGCGAACAAAGCGTATGCTTTGCTTAAGTTGTTACGGCCCACAATGTGCTATTTTAGGACCTTTCAACCAGCGAGGCCATCCATGAGTACTACTCTTTTTTGTCCCCCTCGGGAATTATATAACTGCTTGGCGAGACGTTTGAAGCCCGCCAGAACCTAATCATCTCGTCTTCCATGCGACGCTTGTCTCTCGCTATACTAGTAGTAGTCTGTCTCCATCATGCCTATCGAGCCCCGAGATCCAAGTACGCTGCCAGGCTCGTCATCCAGGAGAATTGCCGACTCACGCTCCCAAACCCATAGCATCTCATGGCGAGCCCATCCAGAATTTCCTAAGATTCTCGCACATCTACAAGATCCAATTCTTCCACTTATCCCAATCAACTCACCCTCGCCACTACCTGAATTCCCAACAACAATCCTTGCATACCACCTCCTCACCCACTCACAACTGGACTTCCTAGCGCGGGCTTTCCATCAAGTGTGGCCCCCGGTTCCAGAGACGTTATTATATCCAGTCCGGATGCCACCATGGATAGGAACAGTGGAAGAAGGCAGGCTTGACTTGCGCACGAAACGCCGGCGCTGGGGCTATTTCATTGGCTTGGGCGACTGTCAGCTTTTCGCGGAAGAGGAGAGTTCTCTTCCTTCGAGTTCAACTACGGCACAAGGGATATCGGATAACGGTTGCGAGCCGACACCGTCCGATCTTGTGAATGAATTTTTGGAGAGCGTGTGCTCGGGCGTCGATTCTGAAATCGTGCAGCAGATGTTGCTGGGCATGGAGCGCGAGTGGGAGGACGCCATGGAGCGAGCGCGCGCGGCTCGAAATCCTTGGTCGGGGCCAAAATCACTATTTTGGGATTGAATGATACTTTCAACTGCAATTTGTCAGGAGTCTACCATTGGAAGGATGTTCTTCGTCATTTGGCCAACATTAACGGTACGAAGGAAGGCTTAAATCAGGTTCTCAGAGTAAGCAGTTACATATGTAAAATGTACAAGGTAGCGAGACTAAGGATCCAGGATCCAGGAGCTGAAGTCTATATACCCCAAATTATACTTTCTAGTTATCGTACGAAGGGTGTATTTAGTGGCCCATCCCCTTATCCCAGTTCTCTTGCACAAGTTTCCAATACGTCTCGCGACTGCGTATGCGGCACCTCTTGCCAAATTTGATCATGACCAAGAAAACAGATGCACATGCGAGACCTATAAACGCAGCGGATATAAAGCAGTTCTGATACCCCATATTGTCGACCCAAGGCGTGATACTGTTATGACCCATTAGCAAAAACTTGTAATCATACCCGGGCAGCGGAATCTCCAAGCTGAACTCACCCATATCCGATCGCGAACGACATAGTATTGCGGATCAAGATGATGGAAACAATCGCAATACCGCTTAATTCTCTGTAGCTGTCAACCATATAGTTGACACTCAAAGTGATTCCACAGGCGTTCGTGAAGGCAAGCAGGAACATGGCCACGATAAGTCCGAACCATTGCACGCCATGTGCAGCGCCTACACCCCAGAGCAGAAGTGATCCGGGCACAAACAGGAGGCAGGTAAGGAAAGGCCAGAGCCGGTGCTCTGCCTCCATGACACCGCCGTTGCGACGGGCAAGTTTGATTGTTAGCCAATCGCTGAGGCGACCGGTAACAAGGCATCTGAAAGTTGTTAATTCCCCTTTTCTGGACGCGGCTCTTGACTTTTTGAGGTCTGAATTACTTACGCAGCTATCACACCAAGGCAGCACGACACGTAGCTCAGACCGACCATAGAAGAGCTAAAATTATCAGCAATATGAAAAGAGAAGTTTCTTGCGCTGTTCTTACCCGAAATTATAAGGCGGTCCTCCTAAAATGAGAGACGCGGTACCATTCAGGATATTGAACAAAACCAAATAGGAACCATATGAGAATCTGGCGGCATGTTAGTTTCAAGATGTCATGTGGAGAGTTTCGGATGGCATACCCGGCATAAAAGACCACTGGCCACGTTAAGAAGTACAAACTCTGCCATAATCGCCGGAACATGGTGTTGTGTGTCTGCTTGGGGCCGAGCAACGACAGCTTCTGGAAATAAGTCTTTTTGGTATATACAGAACCTTCCTCTGGCGGCGAGGGCTGATCAGATACTGTGGTTGCTTTCTCCGGGTCGTGGACTCCGCTGCTGTTGGCTGAGCTTTGCGATGAGCCAATTCGTACGTTGGCGATCGTCGCAGCCCCCACCTGATTTCGAACATAATTTGTCTCCTCCATGAAGAAGAACAGGAATATCATTGCTCCTCCGCAGAAGATACTGGGCCAGTAATATACCCATCGCCATCCTTGATACTGGGCGATGAAGCCACAGATCACGGGCGCAAAGTAGTTACTGCCAGCTAGGAAAAATGCATAGAGACCCATATAGGTCCCTCTCTCATGGGTAAAGTACTGTTATTGTTAGTGGGCATTGAAATTATTTCCTCTGGTGGCTTTACTTACCACATCCGTGACTGATATCTCGGGCAAGGCTTCGATTGGAGCAGTGAAGAAACCTTGGAGGATGTTGCGCGCGATCCATTGACCTTCGGTTTTTGCATACGGCCTATGAGAAGATTAGGACCTAACAAGATATAATTCATTAGAAAAATGACGCATACCCCCACATCGATATTCCCTGTGACTGTTAGTTGTTGTGCAAGACCTCGAGCGATTTCCGAGACTGGACTTACCAGAATGCCTGCCAGCGACAGGATATACGTCAATCTTTTCCCATATTGCATCGCAAATGGTTGCCAGAACAGCAAGCCCCATCCTGCCAGGAGAAACAGATATCCCGTCCCTTGGTTAAGAGTGCTGACTGATAAACCAGTCTCTTCCGATAACTGCGTGATGACCGAGTAGACGACGGAACAGGCAATGCCAGAAAACAAGGTATATCTGAATTTACCGGAGGTCAGCAGGTGCATAAACCCTGGGGTTTCTTCGGCGAGACTAACACGCTGATACAGACGGTCGAAAGGAGCTTTCTCCTTGGACTCCAGTTCAAGGGGTCATCCGGGTCATTCGAAGGCGCCGGTATGAGAACAATGTCACCATTCCCACGCTTCAGATGTTGTGTCTGGAGAACGTGGTTGGCATCCACCAAGGTAACAGTACCTGGAATCGCCAAGCTATCTACCACCTGCATGGTGTGGCTCGCGCAAGGGGCAAGGATGAAAGCTTCAGAAGACGCACTGAAACGCGAACAAGCCTAACACATGACAATCTGCAGAGCTGCGAGTCTTCACTATCTAGCGAGTACAGGGGATATCGATTCTTTTAAAGCAGTTGCAAGAGCAAGGGGGAGTTGGCAAGTGAGAAGGTTGAGCTGCGATAAGCAGCGGCCAACCAGCAAAGATAAAGACCGCGATTTCCCCGCACAATTGGCGGATCCCTGTCCGCTAGTTCGGACGAACTCCCTGCGACCTGGCCGGCTCATTCCCGGACTCATAGGCTCGACGATCCATGATTCTGACTACTGTCTGATCTGTACAGGAATAGAAGTTGGATTCGAGGTGCTCTGCTTCAACATGCGATCCTATTACTAGTCCGAGCCGATCAATATAGCAGGGGTTATGGAAGACTGGCGTATCTTGCCGGTGGAGCACTCGCGTAGATAACACGAATGTACGTGATTGCACGCAGATATCGAGGTCTTTCACCAGTCAACAATAAAGTCTATTGGAAGATGCTTATATACCAGAACTCTTCAAAGAATATACAATTGTAATTCAGCCTTCCCTCTTCGGAAGGCTATCAGGATCAAAAGGGTCAATGCGAACTGCGGAGTCGGCGGACTCAAGGCCGCTTATTCTAACGCCACAATGCTTATCATGAAACTCAATTGGCCCGAGACTCCCACGCCGGTCGGCCTGAACCCGACGTGTCCAAGGTCATCCTGAACGCCGTTTTGAGGTCTACGCTTTGATTGTGGCGACGTATCCTTCGCTCAACTTCCACAGCGCTGCAGCGCTGCCCGCACCCGCTGGAAGGTCCATTTTGGGTAGCTCCACCACCTGGTTGTTATCGAGAAAAGCGCCAGATTGTTCTGCCGAGGGAGCCAGTTGGTGATTTGCTTCTCCGATTCAGAGGATCCGCTTACCTTCTAGATCTGGATCAAGCAGCGCTCGTAACACCCCAGCACTTCCCTGTGCGAGAGACTGGGGGGATTTCTGGAGGGCGATTGGCACTTCCTCTCCGGCTTGGAATGGTCAGCCTGGGTCAAAAATCATGTTCTGAGTCCAACCTTCTTCTTTCTGCTGTAGCCACGTAATCACGTCTTCCAACGTAACATAGCTGAGCACGTTGTGTTTGACATCTACCGGCTTTGTGAGTACGCGATAAAGAAAGACTTCGGCTTCGGGGGGGGGGTGAGAGCTTACTGCCCGGGTTCGTTGAAAAGGCTGCTATTCTGTCATGATCGAACCTCTCCGCAAGCGACTTGGTGAACATGATATTCGCGAACATCGCTTGGACGTACGCATCGAGCGGGTGATAGGTCTCACCGTTCTTGTCATCGTTCGAAGATCAGCAGATGGCATTTGGTGTTCATATGGGAAAGTATAGCTCACGGAGAAGTTGATGTCCTGCCATTTCGGCGCCGACGCTTCTTGCTTCACCATTGTGGTCATCATTATCACTCGAGACTTGGGCGACATCACACTCAGCAGCTTATTCACGAGCAGAAAATAACACAGATAGTTCTTCTGAAAATGAAGCTCGATTCCATCCGTGGTGAGCTCCCATGGCGCCGCCTTGACTGTGGGGAATCCAAGAATGCCATCGATAGGCAATCCCAGTCTTTTGATGCTTGTCGCCGCGACATATACCGAGGAGAGACAAGCTGTATCAGCGGGCACGAAAAGTATCTGCGTATTATGATGCTTGCGATGAATATGGTCGATCACTTGCTGGAGTTCTTTCTGGGATCGGCCTGTGAATATGATTGTTCCTGCACCACCGTGTGCCAGGGCATCCGCTGTCGTGGCTGCTAATTCGCCGCGAATGAGTCCGCAAAGGAGAACTGTAATAGTGTCAGTTCATCAGTCTACTCACCAGTTAACTCACGGGCACCTGGGCAAGCTGACAAGTTTTGTCTTTTACTCTGTCTGGCCACATCTCTGCTACCCTCGTCCCCAGTATACCACATTGGAAGGGTTGGCCTTGGGTCATATTCAATGAAACGAAAGATGATACCAGTATAACCAGCCTGGGATTTACTGATAAGAATGTTAGAAGGGCCACATGCTACTCCACGCATCGACAGTATATATGTGGAGTGGTGGCTGGTCATTTGTATGTGCCACCTTTCGTCATGATGAGACGAAATACTTCAAGTCGCCATCGCATCTATACCCAGCACCCCCACAATATCTGTAACCCGTGGAGGCGACTTTTACAACCTAATTTATAGAACGGATATTGAATGGAATCACATTTGAACCCGACTCGTAAACAGTTGAGATGGAATGCACATATTGTACGAAATATGCAAAGAAATTGACGCGCATCACCCAATTTAGCCTTGTGCCATATGCGCAACGAAAAACCGACTTCTACTGTACAGATCGCAAATAACAGACTTGCACAAAGTAGGTCAACCAATCCTGCTGGTGCTTCGGGAAAAAATAAAAGGAAAGACAGATGGGAAAAGGTATCATGTGCGCTAATAGGACGAGCTGGCAACGTCTCCGTCGTCTGGGAGTTCGTCAATCACCTCCTTGATGAGCTGGATCAGCTCGTCAATGTCAGGACGCTCAGAGGGTTCTACTTCGAGGCACTTGCGAACGACATTCTTGACAGGAGCGCTGATCACCCCGTCACCAGCACCCTTGTTGGCATCGTTTTCACCGGCCTTGCCTTTACCCTTGGTGGCAACGGGCTTCTCGTCAGGGAATCGCCAATCGCCACCAAGCACACACATGCTCAGACTGCCACCTGTCTCTTCACTGCGAGCTTCAAAGGGACTCTTCCCTACTAAGCAGGCATATAGTGTGCAGCCAAGCGACCAAATATCGACCTTAGTATCAATGATCGTTCCTGTCTTGACATCGAAGAGTTCTGGAGCTCGGTAGGGCATGGTGCTGTGCTCGGCAGCTGTGTCTTGTACCGCCAAGGCCAGGGAACGGGAGGTGATGGCGATGGGGCTGGGGGCGAGGGAGCCAAGATCCATGAGAATGGGAGATTGGCCATCATTATCGATCATGATGTTACCTTGATGATCCAGGAATATTAGTCCAGACTCGTTAAGCAGACATGAGCGACTGTACTCACCAGGCTTGATATCGCGGTGCGCATATGGGCGTAGATCACCGTCCTGGACGCCCTCTTGACTGCGCGTGACCTCATCCTCCATCAATGGCTCATTCTCTTCGTCTTCTTCTTCTCCCTCAGGATGTGTGGCACGCCGCTTAGGTGGCTTCATCTGCATGGTTCGCTCGTTATCTGCATCCGCGCCTTCCTTTCGCACCGCTTTCGCTTTGCGAGTAGAAGCCGCGCCACTCTTCACACGGTACTGGTGCATCGCGCGAAGCGCTTGCGCAACACCAAGCATCAGCATCATCAGCCGCTTCTCCGGGAAGCGGGTGTGATTGACCAGGTTGGCGTTGATCGCATCTTGGAGGTTTCCTCGTTGGTAGTATGGGAGAAGGATGTAGACAGTCTTGGAGCCTGGATCGCCCCCGTCCGATCGGAACTTGGAGCCTGATTCTGTTGAGACACAATGGTCGATGGAATGAATGATGTTGTCTTGCGAACTGAACAGGTTGTATGCTTCAACTTCTTTGAGAGCTTGCGAAACGGATTCCTGGCCGAAGGGACACCGGATTTTCTTGAGCGCGAATAGTTCGGAGGAGGATTTGTCTTGGACGAGATAAACGTAGGAGAAGCCACCCTGCAAGAATCGCATGTTAGATTCCTGGGCTGCAACCTGTTTTGTCATGCGCCCGTCCTGTCGCTATTGCCATACCTCGCCCAATAGTCGGAGCAGCTTGAAGCTCCGATTATTGATCTTCAGCTGCGGCGTGCTGGGAAAACAGCACATGCAGTCTGTGAAGTTATAGAGCAGATCAAAGAAGTACTGCGCCATTGTGGACGTGAGTCCAAGAAGGGAAAAGAGAATCCGAGGAAAGGTCTTCGAAGTCTCAATGCAGCGCGTAAGGAGGGAAGATTACCGGAAGATCGGGGTGTGGATTACAAGTGGATCTCGCTGTTATTTGTTGTCCCTCTCTCCGCCCCCCTTTCTTAGTACATTTTTGATTTACAGATCCTCTTGGTTTCAAGCTCGTCTATGTATATGCTTCTGCTGCCCAGTACATATACTTCCCTTTCGTCTGGTCGTTGGGTTTCTCATTCCCGGAGCCTAACGACCATAGTTGGGCTAAAAGTCTAAATTCTGGCCTCCCTGAATACTTTCGCAGTCCACCCCTCCTGATTTGACTTCTTGCACCTTCGAACTACACCCTCCCCCCGATTCGCCTAGACATACTACCTTCGATATCCCTTAACCATGGCGCCCTTGACGATGTGCAAGTGGGGGACGTGGTCAACGTGCCCGGAGGAATGTACGGCACCGTGAAATACTTGGGCGCAGTGGCAGGCAAGCCTGGAAAGTTTGCAGGCATTGAGCTGAGCAGCGAGTTTGCCCCGCGGGGAAGAATAGCGGCGACGTGGATGGCCGCAAATACTTCACGACCTCGATTCCTGGCTCGGGAATCTTTGTGCCCATGAACAACAGTAAATACGTCACCCGCCGCTCCGCGTCGTCTACATTCGCAGTCCCCACGACACCTTCCCGCAATGTGGCAGCAAATTTCAGCAAGTCCATGGGCCCCAGCCCCGCCGTGCCTCGACCGAATATACGGCGTCCTTCTCTTCCCCGCCCTGAGTCCCCGCGCGTTGCTCCTCCGAAGTTGAGCTTGGGTGGCTCTACGGACCCCTTCCGCTGCCTCTAAAGCTTCCAATGGGTTCCAGAGGAGCCCGGTCAAGGCATCCTCGCGTTTGTCTGACCGTCCACCGTCGCGGGTTAGTGTGGAAGATGACATGTCATCCTATGGACGGCCGTCAGATTTCAGTATGAGTATGCGCCCCTCGTCTACCGAGACGATGGAGTTGAGGGAGCAGGTCAAGAACTTAGAGAAACAGCTCTTGGATCGGGACAAGCAACTGGAAGAACAGTCTAAAATCCTGAACGACTTCCAAAAGACAATGGAAGAAATAGAGGGGGAAGATAACTTCAACATCCGGACTCAGCTGCGCGAAAGGAACGAAAGGATCAATCAGCTCACGGCGGAGTTTGACGGCCACCGAGCGGACTTTCGCAGCACACTGGACACTTTGGAGATTGCTGCTTCGGAAACAGAGCGAGTCTACGAGCAGCGCCTTGACGAGCTGATGCAACAAAATAAGGAATTGCAGGATCGCGGCGAGGATGTTGAGATCGTCGCTCAACAACTGAAACAACTAGAGGAGTTGGTGTCGGAGCTGGAGGAAGGGCTCGAAGACGCTCGACGAGGAGAAGCGGAAGCCCGTGCGGAGGTCGAATTCCTCCGCGGGGAGGTGGAACGAACCAAGTTGGAATTGAAAAAGGAACGTGATATTTCGGCAGCCGCACTCAAAGATGCGCAAGGTGGCGAGGGTCCCAAGGCAACCCAGGACCTGGACCAAAAGGATGACGAGATCCGAGGCCTAAAGGCTATTATCCATTCGTTGAGCCGGGGGAATCCCAATGCGGCGAGTCTGGTTGAGAAGGGATCGACAGCTGGTGAACAGGGTGAGCATGTCGTGCAACTAGAACAACGGCTTCAAGAGGCTGAGACCAACACAGAGCGGAAAGATGCCCGAATCGAGGAACTAGAGCGCGAGCTTCAAGATTTGCGGGTGGCTTCAGGCAGTGGAAACCGAGACCGCAGTTCGACTGTGACCCTGTCCCAGCCCAAGCAGCACAAGCCCTCCGGCTCCCAGGGGAACACGGTTGCTCATCAGGCCAACCACATCCATCGCCTCTCTGATCGAACAGTCGTCCCGAATGACTGGCATGATGCGCCATCAGAACCTCGTCAGCACAGCCGTGGCCTATCCAATTCATCCCAGCGACGGCTAGAGCCTATGCCTGAGTCGGAGCGCTCTTCGGACGATGACGCCCTGTGGTGTGAGATCTGTGAGACTGGTGGTCATGATATCCTGAACTGCACCAGCATGTTTGGTTCTGGTAAGCCAGCGTCGAAGCCCACCGATGCCGATAAGCCAGCCAAACAGCCAACCGCCCCAGCCGCCCCGGAAGCTGACGAGAGTCACTCGGAGAGTGGACAGAAGACGGGCCGAGATGTTGTTCTTGAGGGCCTCAAGGGAATTGGCGGCCTGGGATCCTCCATGGACCCCGTCGCTGGCAAGGCCTCCGGAGTGATTGATGATTCCAAGTGGTGCGCTCTTTGCGAGCGAGATGGCCACGAGAGCATCGACTGCCCTTTTGATGAATAATGTCAAGGTGGTGAAGACAAAAAGCATAGGTGGTTGTTTGTCCTGAGGATTTGAGCGCTGCACGAAGATGGTAACCCGTTGGGTCGATTGTTTGCATATGGACGTTTCTCGAGTATATTCTGTTTATATCTCTTTTTTTCTTCCCCTGCACTGATTTTCAATTCTCTTCTCCCTTCTGCTGACCTCCCAGAGGTATTGCGCATGATATCCGATATCTGTTTTGCAGCCATTGCGGTCCCGTCGACTCTTGTGTCTGGTTTTTCCATGTATTAACTTTTCTTTCGGATCTTGCTCTTTCATTGTAATATTCGCCCGTGCACAGTCTAATGAGGTCCATATCCATAATCATGTTACGCTGACCAATCCATTGAATACAGGCCGACAAACATGTACATACTCCGAGCTAGTCTATTTGAAAGGACCCATGTTGCCGTCCATATGCAAGGGCAAGGACATAGGCTAATGTTGAGACATGCCCCTGGGCACCTTCGTTCTTAGTGGATATGACATTCATTCATTCGTTCGTCAGACGGCCTCGCTCCCTCTAGGCCACTATTTTACAGCTTCTAACGCCCCCCCCCCCACATGCCCAACCCCCCTTTCCCCTTCACCTCCTTACTCCAATGAAACACAAAAAGGAAAGAAACCCCTAACCCCCCGACATTTACTCATTCAGGGTGTGTAGGCGGCTGTACAACCTCCCCTTCGGCGTATTTCACTGATGCTACCTCCCCACATGCCTTGCATCGGCGCTTATCCTCATCTGCCGCAAATTCTTCCACCACTTGCTTCACTTGTGTCCCCAAATCGGTACACACAAAGCGCTTCTCCCAGACTACCTCGGTACACTTCCGGCAATACCATCGCATGATATCAATTGCACCCTCTGCTCGTGGCTGCTCCATGACGACACCCACTGTATCCTTGAAGCGCACGGGCAGTGCGGGGTGTTAGCGGGGAGGAGGAAGATGGATCCCTCATTGATAGGAATATCCTGGAAAGTGGGCGGGGTAGTGGATGTATCGACAGTCTTGAGAAGCATAGATCCACGATACTGGTAGAAGAACTCAGGCGTCGTATTGATGTGGTAATCTGTTCGCGAATTTGGTCCGCCGACGATCATTACTGTGTAGCCGGCTGTCGCAGGGGAAGCAGGGTGATAGACGCAGTAATTGTTCACAGGTGGCTGCAGAAGGTGGGAGTTAGATTCGAGCCTGCAGTAGTTCTCTGTGTTAGCTATTCATGGTTTGTTGCATCGTAGTCGTGCAATTTCGTATGGGCTCATGGCCCCCGCAGTGGTCCGGTCGCTGAAATATTTTATAGATTGATAAGCCAGCCGGTACACTCACCATTTTGGGATGTTGAGTGCCGGTGGCAACATGGTGAATATGAGTATGCGTCTGTTCTTTCCCAGCTTTCTATGATCAAAAGACCCCAGAATAGAGAAGAGAAGCAGAATAGCCGGCCGAACCCGTTTTTATAGATGACGCATCGGCGATAACTGGCTCGGACTTAACCCGATGCGCCGGCCCGGATTAACTTTCCCCCTCCAATTTTTCTTTTTTGATCAAAAGCTTCAAGATCGCCATGCCAAAGTCCCACTGAATCTCACCACCACAATGGCGACCCAACAGCCTCCACTGCGGTTTACGTCGCACCATAACCTTATATACCGACTCGTCCTTGCAACTCTGACCGGTCGCACCGTCCACATCTCTCAAATCCGCTCATCCTCGCCCACCAACCCAGGACTCGCTCCCCATGAGATTTCTTTCCTCCGCCTCCTCGAAGCCGTCACCAACGGCTCCCAAATGGAAATCTCTTACACCGGTACAATCCTCATCTTCAAGCCCGGTTTGATTACCGGCACCTCCACCAGCGTCAGCATGATCACCCATGAACTGCCTTCCAACTGCTCTCGCGGTCTGAGTTACTACCTCATCCCCCTCTGCCTGCTCGCCCCCTTCTCCAAGACGCCCCTCCGCGTCCTATTCACCGGGCCCGGCGTCATCACCTCCTCCACGCCGACAGGCGACATGTCCGTCGACAGCGTCCGCACCGCCATCCTCCCGCTGTACAACCAATTCGGCATCTTCAACAACGTCGAGCTGCGCATCCTGCGCCGCTCCAACCCGGGCCCGCACGGCCGCGGTGGTGGCGGCGAGGTCCAGTTCACCTTCGGCCACCAGGTCCGCCTCCCCAAAACCCTGCACCTGATGAACCCCGGCCGCATAAAGCGCATCCGCGGCGTGGCGTATTCGGTTGGCGTGTCCGGCTCCAACAACGCCCGCATGATCGAGACGGCGCGTGGTGTGTTGAACCCACTTTGCCCGGATACGTATATCTTTGCGGACGTCGCGTCGGCGCCGCTGCTCCCGGCACCGGACAAGAGTAACCCCAACGCGAAGAAGAAGGTCGGTCTGGGTTTCGGGCTGTCGCTGGTCGCGGAGTCGTCGACGGGGTGTCTGTGGTCGGCGGATGTCGCCTCGCCGCCGTCTGGCGGGGAGCCGCCGGAGGATATCGGGAAAAAGTGTGCTTATCAGTTGCTGGAAACGGTTTCCAAGGGTGGATGTGTGGCACCTGCGGCGGCTACGACTATGCTGACACTCATGACGATGGGATCAGAGGATGTTGGTCGTTTGCAGGTTGGGCGTCAGGTTATTGCGGATCCGAATCTGATTCAGCTGGCACGCGACTTGTCGAAGTTCGGGGCGCCGGGCTGGGGTATTCGTGATGCGGCGGGTGAGAACGAGAATGGGGATGTGATCATCAGTGTAGTCGGACGTGGGATTGGTAATGTTGGCAGGAAGGTCGCATAAGGATTGCTTGACCTCGTTCTGCGCAGCCCGGATCATGATACCCGTTGTGTCTTGTGTATTGGCAAAAGTTACTTGATTTATTGCATCGCATTTGACGGCGCTGGTGGTGGGATGGACTTATGTATATACAAGAGAGCAATCTTTGACATGAACTTAAACATTTAGCCGATGTTGATGACTAGACTGGGCAGGGAACAGAACTACTAGTAAAACTTTGGCAACGGGAAGGGCCTTTGCGTGGGTACAGGAAGACCTTCAGCCTTGAAGGAACAGAACAGGAGGAGGAAGGAGTCCAAGTTGAGCAAGAAGAGTAAGCGCGGGAGTAGATGAGGTAAATGTTAGGGCTTGCTTGGCTTCACCCGCGGACAAGTCCGCGACGGCTACTGGACCCTGGCACCACGTTGAGGTGCAAGCCCGCGCCAGGGTAGATCGCGACAGAGTAAATGGCAGAAAAATTGAAAGAAGATCTTCCTTCCAGAATCCCCGGCACCTACGCGGCGCTACGAAGTACGCTCTGCAATGATGTTAGTGTCAACAGAAACAAACGAAGGAGCCTGAGAACTCACACGGTCTACGTCGGTAGGCGCGTGCGGGCAGTGTACGGCTGAGAAACTGTCAGCAAGTGCAATGTAGATGGTTATGAGGGAAAGGGAAGCATACCTTACTTCGATCTACGAAGGTACGAAGGCGTGGCTAGGCAGTTAGTGGGCGAGGGCTGTAAGTGGGTTAGTGAAGCTGGTGCGGTTAGGGAGGGCGGCTGGCAGCGTGAGTATGTCGAGTAGGAGAGTGTCGATGGCGTAAGGGTGTCGTCAGGGTGTGAAGCAAGAGCGAGAGTCGGCAGGTGCAGGCGAGAGTACAAAATGCAAGAGCAGGACGCAAGAAGAAAATGCTGGGACTAGAATATGCAAGAGAAGGATGCAAGAGAAGGGGATGAAAAGGAGAGATGCACAGGAGAGATGCAGAGGAAGGATGCAGGGGAAAGATACAGAAGGATAATGCAAGAGGGAGAAGAGGTTGGCAGCCTGGGCAAGAGATATGAAGAAGAGAAGAAAGAAAGGCGCCAGCGAGCCTCTATTTATAGCCCTCTTCTTCCGCCTTTCAAAGACCCTTGGGACACCAATTGCTATCTCCAGGATCATCGGAAAGTTAGAAATGTGACTGGATCAATCAGATGCGAGCAATTCTTGACTACAGTACAGTTTGGGAAAGAAGCCGCTGGAGTTAGGGCTACGGAAGGGGTGCTGGCGGCCGGGATAAGGCGTTATTTCGGCGAGGTGGCGCTTGGCATTGGTACAATTATCCTGACCAAGGTCATCCTTCGACGTGAGAATGACGTCTGGCATGGAAACCCCGAGGGCATTCGCTGAATGTGGCGTGTGGAGAGAGCTTGCGAAGTTGTAATGCCCTGAGACCCTGCGAAACCTCACCCGGAAGGCATGTCGTTGTATTTGGCTTCAGGCCGGCGGCAGCACTCAAACTGCGTGTTTTCAGTCAATCTTGGGTGTGCATGGCCGGCGATGGATTGTAGCAAAAGAGGCCGAGGCTCAGGTCAGCTGAGCAAGCTAAAAGCATACGAGCCAGAAGGCGTAGAGGAACAACACAGTAGTCCAAACGCCAATATCCCTTGCTCGTCCGACTACAGGCGCCATAACAAGTGCCAAAGCACCCCCATGAGGAATAGCTGTAGTATCGATGCCTCTCATGCGGAAGACATGGCCCATTAGAGTATCTTGTATGTCCTGAAACGGGTTACAGAAGGCTTAAGCCAAACTGCAGATGAAATCGGAGTTTGGGGACCACGGCTCCATACGCCTGATCCACTAAAGGCATGCTGTTCATCACGCGGACTCGAACTAGCGCCAGTATCATTTCGAAGTAGTAATGCATCGACGAAGATAAGCTCAAAGAGGACATTGCAGCTGTTCTTGGGGAATGACGTGCCTCGGTAATTCCACGTCGCGCTTCTTGAACGCCTCATGCTACTTGAGATCATAAAGTCATCCGAGACCGCTGGCTATAGCAGAATTGATACAAGCAGCGAACTCTTGCCGCCATGTCTAAGAGCTTACGAAGAAGCTTTAGCTAGTGAATTAGAAGGGGGAAGATGAACCTTTATTCATACATATGGCTGGGCAAGTCAAGTAATGTATCGTAGCATCAGAGAGAGAAACGTAGCCTTTAATCTAAACTCGCCAGGTTAAAAGGGGATATCCGAGCCCGTCTGCGGCACAGACGATATCAAGCAGAACAAGCAAATCGCTTCCCAAAAGACAGATTGATAATCTCGATGAATGAGGAAATGATGTATATAGTCTGTAGAGAATGCAAGTCGAACAATGCAGGAAATCAAAAGGAAAGCTGGGTTGTTGAGTTGTCGTCTTTGTGTAGAAAGAGAATGGTCGTATGGGCAATCACTTGGTCTATCTCACATCATGCGATATACAAGATCAGAGGCCAGCTCTGGTGTCATGTCCAGCAAGGCACGCAAACTAGTCGGAGGCTTCGCAAGCTCAGCGCGCTGCATGATGGCATCCACGGGTCGAACCGCAGGTGTAGCGGTGCCGCTCTGTCCCGGAGGATGGTAGCGAGCCAGCTCCTTAATTTTGCAAGCAGCGAAATGTACCACCAACTTTCGCAGCTCATTCTCACGCAATTGCGTTGCAGAGGTTGGAGAGATTGGCTCTAGACGGGTAGTCTTGAAATAAGCGTAACGAAGGAGATCAAGCACCATGGGAGCCTGACGTGCAGCCAAACTGTCATAAAAATTCGCGTCGGAATCCTGGTCGATGGGGTCTTCTTCTCCGAAAGAAATGTGAAGTAGGTCTTGGTGGAGTTTGCGAAGGCAGAGTTGCGCAAGGGCAGGAATGAGGTAGCGAGTTGCAAAGACGTAGACCTTCGCGTGGAAAGTGAGGTAGGGGACCTCCGTCGTGGGCGGCTCAGTTGTTGTGTGAGTTAGAGCCTGTCGATCATCGTTATATCTGAGCGATTCAAATTCATCCCATAGGCTGAGGCCAGGTGCGTGAGATGACGAGGTGGGTTGCTTGGCAAAAGACATGTCGATAATAGGCTTCGGGGGTTCAGAGGCTTGCTCTTGATCGTGGTCATTCTCAATGGAATGCTCCGATTGCTCTCCTACAGAAGTAACGGGGTCTGAAGGAGATACAGCTTCGTTTCCCCATTCTTGAGCCACTGGCTCAGGCTCGGAAGCGTCAGGCTCCTGGTCGACCCCCGAATCAGCAGGTGCATCATCTGTGGGATATTCCTCCACAGGAATAGCTTCGTCTTTCTGATTCTCCAGGGTCATCTCATCGACATTAACGTCCTCTGGTGCATCCTCGGCAGAGGACTCCATTGCTGGCTCTGGAGGAGGCGTTGAAGGTGGCGTGGGGTTGGCTGGAGGCTCCTCTACAAACAAGCTCTGCAGCTCCTGTTGTTTCTTCAAGGCGGCTCTCTTTGCTTTCTTCCTTCCTCTAGTGGAGAGAGATCGAACCGGGCTGTCGAAATCAACTGCCTCGGTCAGGTTGGTAGCTGATGCCTCGGGCTCAGGTCGAGCAGGCTCAGCATCCTGTTCCTTTTGCCTTTCAGGTTCAGGTACAAGTTCAATCGGAGTAGTCGCAGCACCTTGCGCCTCGGCCGGAACCTCTTGATCTCCACCCGGCGGACTATCTGCCATGGTATCCACCGGCTTTTCCGCCTCTGCAGCCTCCTCTGCGGTTGAATCTTCCACAATTGGTGGCTCGGGTTCAGCCTCGATTTGAGGCTTGATAGTCAAGACAGTAGAGTCCACGGATTCCGGAGGCGGCGAAGGGGCAGTTGGGAGCGCTGACGAAAATGACTCCGAGCGCTGACTTTGTCGCCAGGAGTGCCTGCAGCTTAGCGGACTCTGAGGTATCTCAATCCTCAGCTTGTCATCTTCCCGCAGACCTTGTTGGTGCGGGACCGCATAGTCACCCGTGTATGCATATTCGCAAAATGCAACGAAGGTCTCGACGTCTTCATCTTCCAAGATTGCGATTCTATGTTTTGATTCACGGGTATGCCCGTTGTTCATAAGATTGTGCAGCGGTTTGGAAACATGCTCTGCGAGCGCGGATTGGATGGTCAGCTTAGTATGCTTGGGACCGACAAGGAAGGTAAACGAAGGTGAATGAATGATGCTGTTGTCCCGAATACCTCTACCCATGTCAGCGGAGTTATATTGTAAAGAGAGAGGCTTGGGAGCCCCGGGTGTCAACACGCACCTACTAAAGTTGCGGGTGGGGTCCATGGGGAGCCGATGCTCAGATCTATACCAGGGTTGCATGAACAGGCAGAGATATTCCCTGAGTACTATAGATTCCAAGATCCCAGGGATGAATCAACTCCTTAAATAAGAGCTAATGGATCCTTTGGGTCAAATTAACCAGGGAATACACCCCATCGCAAGACCCGGGAGACGGCCCAGATAATCACAGGCGCTTGCTACGTGTGCAACGCTGATGGGCGTGGGGCGTCGAACTGAACCAACGCCAGCATGCTCGCAGACCGACTTGGATGATCCTGAATTGAGATCGCTTGGGTCGGTTAGGTACCTTTGGCGCCCCATACTTGTGATAGGCATTATTTCGTCGGCGTCGTGGCGGCTGTGGGTATATGGGTGGGAGGATGCTCGCAAACTGCTGCAAAGGAATGCTATAGAAGTTTGCGCTAAGTGCTTGTGTCTCCCTAGCTGCATAATGCAGGGTGAATGGTGCCTCGAGAATGGGTATTTCTCGCGAGACTCATTTGATTTGCGAAAGACCAATGCATCGCGATGGATGACGTTCATGGGTTTGTGCCCAATCCCAGGCCGCAGGGAACCCAACTACGGGCCTCACTGGATTGATTTGCCATCGGCGTCGGGGATACGATGCGTTCGCCCATAGCTTCACTTTTTTTATTGCCTTTATCGGAGCTAACGCACCGGTTGCGTCCTCCATGTAGGACTGCGTTGGCGGACTTTTGTTTGCTGGCTTTGATTCGCCCCGAGACCTCACCTTGAGGGAGGATGTGCGTTCTCGTCTTCAAATGAGATTATGAAGCTGGGCTGTTAATGCAGTGAGGCGTGTCACTCACCAGGGCACTTGAACCTTTTTGAGAATCATCGGCGTGAATTTCGGGATGGAGCAAAAGTGACGTTCTCGTCTTCCATGCACAAGGATCCACGTCCGGTGGGGTCTTCGCTAGGCCCATAGCGTCATTAGGCCTTATCAAGCTCGATCAACCTAATTCTAGGATTACATGAACCAATATCTCTCGAGTGATTGGGGATGGTGAGGTGAAAGGATTCGGGCCGAGTGAAGTGCTCGCTGTCTTTTTTGTATGGCGTCTGCCAGCAACTCCACACGAAATCCTGAAAACTTCCGCATCTTGTCAAAGCCCCCATACTACTTTAAGGGATACTGTCGAAAGCTTTGCGGTAACGTGTTCAAGCTCGTGTTGCTTGACTATTCTTAGAAATGATCCCCTAGCGTACCCCAGCGTACGCTAGATATGTTATAGACTAAACAGATGACCTTTTGAACTTTGGAATGCAGGAAGCCCTAACTCTTGGAATCTATGTCTGCTTAGCTTCAAGGGATAAACCTGGCGGGTCTACGACTGCGCCCGCAGATACGGGGGACCGCGAGGCATTATACAATATCATCACGAAGAATAAGTTTAATTTTAATCGATTCTTAGAATAACAGGTTTTGTCGCTGCTAAGGCCGTTCTCCCAGCCAATCTCCTCCAGTGGAAGGAAGGCGGGATGGATTGGGAGACTATCTGTCCTTTCTTAGGGTTCGCTTGTACCTGACGTGATATAAAGGCCGTAACGTCCTCGAGACATTCCAAGATCTAGCCGGAGGATTCATGGGGCTACGGAGTCGCCGCTGCGAGTCCCCGCTGCAGCAATGAAATTTGGGGCTTTCGTCGTGTGGGCACTGACGGCTGCAGACTGGGCATCGATCAACTACGGCCCTTCCAACATTTCAGTATCCATTCTCACTGCAGCCTTATTATAGTCTTACCCACTGCTGAGCTTCTTCGATTGTCTCAATACAACCAGCCAAGGTATTGTTTTCCCGGTCGATTTTCTAATTTTAGATAGGTGTGCAATTAGATAGTCGTACATTATGACCATGGATATAGTACAAGTAGAGATCTCCACCCCAGGTTAGCTGCCATGGACCAAGCGGATCTCGGTCTTCCCAGGCTCCCATTCACGCAATCCTTCGCCAACACTGTACCAGAAGCGCAGCCGAATGCATTCCTTTCGTGCAGCTTCTATATCTCCCTTGTCAAATGACTTTCCAAGAGCTTCCACACATGCCTTGATACGTGCATCATTATCCTTTTTCAGGACCTCGATTTCCGCTTCCGCCTCTGGCGCGGCGCCTACCTCTTCGATGGTCTCCTGTACTTCCATGACCTCCATCAAAGTTTCTGGATCGAGAGCATGCTTTGTTGACGCGTCTTCAGCCGTGACATCTATGCCGTGCCACTCTCGCAAAAGGTATTGAGCGCGCTGCAGAGGGTCGACGAGCGTGCGGTATGCTTCGTTGATGCGGGCGGATAGCGCTTCGGCGTGTTGCTTCTCTTCTCCGCTTGGGTATTTGTCCGGGTGAACTGTGCCTTGGAGCTGTAAAAACTCACGGCGGAGATCGCTCGAAGAGATCTCGAATGGGGAGGCTGGCGGTGGGCCTGCGGGAATTGTCCGCGGGAAGATGGAGTAGTAGGTGGTTATGTCGGGGCCTCCAGTGATCTTTGTAGATGCGTTACCAGGAGCTTCGGAAGGCGTGCCTGTAGACGCATAGCGGCAGCCTAATTCATGCGGCGCTTGGTAAATGGAGCGTGGTGTTGGTGCCAGAGCCGGTTGGATGCGAACTCCGCGCAGCACATGTAAGTGCCTTGCTGGCTTCAGCCTTGATGAAGTGGTTGGAATTGCGACGGACCGTGGAGTTGCAGACCTGCCCAGGCATCGGGCGATTCCCAGGGAATGCGGCGGCATACTTTTGGGCTGGGAGGTGGTGAAAGGAGCTCAGATATGTGAAGTTGTAAGGTTGATCTCGATAACAAAAAAGGCCGCGGGCCGGCGGCGACTTTCGGGGATTTACGTCATCTCCGACTACCTAGTCACGTGTGTATATACCAGGGGGGGAATCTGTGTATTCTTATCGGTTTGATCGTCATGAATTTTCTATCCGTTGATTACAAGTATGTGTGGCTTATACTTAAAAGTCGCAGCGTAGGAAAAAGCAAGTCAAGTAGTGAAAGCAGGCAGATTACTATATGCTCCAAAGCTTCACTGCGTGGTCGTGACCAGCGCTAGCAACCCACTTGGCGTCATCGCTAATGTCTGTAGTGAGGACATTGCCTGCATGTCCATTCATAGTTTTCACCAGCGTCCAGTCATCTGCACTGAAAATCTTCACACTTTTGTCGAACCCACCCGTTACGAAGAAAGTCCCGGATTTCTTCGGCTGCTGTTGATTCGAGTCTCCCGAGGATGGTAAAGAACAAGTAGCCTCAGCTCCCTTATACCACCGTACGTCCGAGACAGTGCTGTCGTGAGCTCCAATGTTGGCAGTGTTTTTGACTTGTCGAAGATCCCAACATTTGACGAGGCCGTCAGCAGAAGAAGACAAGATTCGGTACCCATCCACGCCCCAATCCAGTCCATAAATTCCCTGACTGTGGCCCTCAAGGATCATGACCGTACGCCCTGTGCGAAGGTCCCAGACGCGCCCAAAGCTGTCCAGTCCGCCGCTGGCGACCAGAGAGCCATCGCCGTTGAATGATAGGGCAAATACTTCTCGTGAATGACCTTCCTGTAGCAGAAGCTCCTTCTGTTTCTCAATGTCCCATAGCCGCCAAGTCGTGTCGAACGAGGCTGAACCAGCGTATCGTCCAGAGGGGTGGACATCAGTGCGGCAGACACGCGCCGAATGGCCTGATAGTGTTGCCAGAGGCTTTTCTTGATCCAGAGACCATAGATGAAGGTTTCCTTCCCCGCCGCCAGAGACAAGATTCACGGAGGATGGCGATACATTGGAGGTTGGTAGCGTGGCACCAGGAATCCACGCTAGGCCACCAACTCGATCCGTGTGACCTTTGAGATGAGCCTTCTCATCCAGTTGCGGAGCAGAGAGCAATTTGATGTCACCTGACCAACTGCCAGCAGCAATGGTCTCTCCGTCCGGCGCAAAGCGAACGATGCCCACAGGCCGATCCGAGGCGATTGTCGACGCAGAAATATCGTACTGTTGAAGGTGTGCTTTGATACCCTTTCGGTGTTGGACGTGGGTTCGGAGTAGGATCTTAGATTCTGTCTTCTGCTTCGCAAGTCGTTCTTTGGCACGCGGCACCGAATACCGCGCGATCTCGGTGCGAGCTGCCAGGAGATGGTCGGAACCCTCTGTGTAAAACTCCTCCTGCTCTTCCTCTTCAGCTCCCTCTGCCTCTTCCATCTGGACTTCGGGTACGCCATCTTGGCGGTCGGAAATATCAGTTAAGAGCTCGCGCAATCGATCACGTCGGTCACTTGGGCCCTCGCCAAAAAGTGTGATGGGTTCCCCAAGCTCTCTCAGCCTGGCGCGTACTCGTGTGTCGTCTGTAGGTACCGCCATAGCAGCCGCGCGTCGTTTGCGCTCGAATTGGGAAATAATAGCAGATGCTCGTTCGGCTGGGATGCCCGCCGCAGATGCGGGAATCTCATAGTCTTCATCGGTAGCTGTATGGATGTTGTCAGTGGAGCTGTTATCGAGGAACGGGCCTTCGAAAAACTTACGCAAATTGGCGAGGTCGACCATGTCCGCATCCTGTACGACATCACAAATGGTTAGCTCAGATTCAGGTGTGTTGTCAGCGTCCAGAGCCGGTGGGACGTTCATCATCAGAGCGCGACTCCGGAGATAGCTCTGGCGGGGCAATCGGGTGGGACTTTCCTCGGTCTCCTCGACATAAGCTTTTCGAGATGGATGCATCTTGGCGGTTAAGAAGCTTGCGCTTCTTCGAACCGGTCGAGCGTGGTGAAGAAGCGAGGCTTCAGAAAACTAGAGGTTCGACAGTCAGCGATTTTAGCATCTGCCGATCAATTAAGTCGCGTGCGGGCAATGTAGGAGTCACCGCCTTCCTGCGTAATCGGGCGGTAAGGTCGCATACTTTTAATGCCCTTCTTTTCAGGCCTACAGAAGCCCCAATTGACGAACTACTGCGTAGACGAAGTCCTATCGATGGATAACATGGGTAATGAAGTCAGATTGGTGGAATTTTGATTATAGAGCCTACAAATCTCGGTACCACGATACTAATATTCTTTGGAAACAGAAAGCAAAATATCAAGATAAGCTCCTGGTAACAAAGTGAGGCGGTCGACCGATAAGAGGCGCGGTCTGTTATCCGCCACGATTTTCAATCTTCGGGCGCCTGAAATCTTGAAGCATCCCCTCAGCTCCTTTGAACTCGAGTCTTTTGGGGTCGAGAGTCACTGCGATGATACAGCCCAGTCTCCCCAATCGAGCCTGCGGTTCGGCCTGCAGTAGCCTGCAAGCTCTTGTTCGTGGCGGGGGCTCAGCGAGCGCCAACAGCGCTTCAGTCTTGGCTGGTTCGGCCTTTTTTCACAATCGGTCGAAAAAACAGAATCCGCAATCTCGCAGGGCATTCCACTCGACCTCGATTCTTTTTTTCCCAATCTACATCCTCCTCCCGCATATCATACAGGGTAGCTGCCTCATCCTCCGGCAAAGGCCGCCGCTTCCATCCCGTGGACAATGCATACAACTTCGACCCGAGCGTGGCAGACGTGATAGGCGTATCCAAAGATAAGAACCCAGTGACCCGTCGAAAAAGCCGGCCAGACAGTGGGGAGGATGCTTTTTTTTGTTAGCAAGATTGGCAAGTCCCGGCATTCCCAGTCCGACGATGCGCAAGCGGTGGCTTTCGCCGTCGCAGATGGAGTAGGTGGCTGGGCCGAGTCCCGTGTTGATCCAGCGGACTTCTCACATGGGATTTGTGGCGCCATGGCAAAGGCAGCTCTGAGCTGGGATGAATCTGCAGAAAAGCTTCGACCCAGGCAGTTACTACAAGACGGGTACGACCAGGTGGTTGCCGACCCCAGCGTCAAGGCTGGTGGAAGTACCGCTTCTGTCGGTGTAGCACTCCCCGATGGTCGCGTTGAACTAGCCAATCTAGGAGACTCAGGATCGGTCCTGTTGCGCCTGGCTGCTGTACACCATTATTCCGTCCCGCAGACCCACGGATTTAATACTCCCTATCAACTGAGCATTATTCCTCCCCGCATGCGCGCTCAAGCTTCAGTCTTTGGCGGCTCCTACCTTGAAGATTATCCCCGTGATGCGTCGGTTACAAACGTGCAGATGCAACATGGAGACGTGCTCATGCTTGCCACAGATGGCGTCTTCGACAACCTCAACAATCAAGATATACTGAAAATCGTATCCAGCCGCATGTTATTGACAGGCGCGTGGACGGTTTCCCCTGAATCCGGTATCAATGTTTCGGACAACCTTTGTGACCTTACTCGGCCCGGCGGTCTTGCCTCTGCCTTCCCTCCTCCATCTGGCCAGTCCAGTACAAAGGAGAGTACGAAGGATCCGGGAAGTGACCTAGAGTCCACCATTACTCTACAATCACTCCTGGCGGCGTCCATTGCCGGTGAAGCGAAGATCGCGAGTCTCGATTATCGTCGCGATGGGCCATTTGCCAAAGAAGCCCAGCGTTATTACCCTGGTGACTACTACCGCGGAGGTAAGGTCGACGACATCTGTGTCTTGGTCCTTGTTGCTGTCGATGAGAGCATCGGCAAGTAGAGCAGCAGCTATGCCTGGCCGTTGGTGTTTATATTAATTTAGCATATATGGGGATTTCATTATGGTGTTCCCTGTTGGTGGCGAGTTTTCAAGGTGATCTTGTTTCTGTGCATTCGGAGGCGTACGGCTTGCTTGATCATGCTTTATGAACTGGTTTGTTTTTTCGAGGTACCCGTCTGCGTTCTTTCGCAGCTTGGTATCTTAGTTATAGATAGACATAGTCATTGCGATATGGCCCTCGGACATAATGGAATGTTAGATTTGACATCTGCATTGTGAATAGACAAATGTCGAACCTCTTTGGGCCTTCGGCTTGAGTGCGGTGATTAAAAGTGCAAAATTTCCACTAAATGGTCCAACCCAGGGGCGTTCCAAGCGTTTAACTTCTCCATTTCTCCATGATCGCTTGCTTCCCATGGCGTTGGCTCGTGGCGCCCATTCGACTCGTTCAAGTTCAATACAAGAGGCAAATAGTTCGCTATGCCATTTTCGCCACTCATATGCTGCTTATATCAAGTTTGAGCATGGGGACTGGCTGTTTTTACAAAAGGTCTGCTAGTATACATTCCCCACTAGAAAGCTTCCACGTCACTTGCGCCGTGGTTCTACCCCGGACTCGGGGCTTCGACATATTGGCTTTTGAATAGCGTCTTTGTACCGGAACATTTCCGGATGCCTTCAAATGTCGGAATATTATGCTCGATCCTTTGGAAGCGCTACGTATCCGTGCGTTGAGCGATGCCACTGGGTTTTCGGCTCTACCGGTGGTCTTGCCTAAATTCAATACTCCAGAAGTCGCAATTTTTGTAGCTTGCCTACGTAGGTACTCGCTAACTAGTACACGATAAGAAGTGTCTAGCAGGAGGGCCAGTTGTGTATCCTTACTAGTAGCGAGTACAGTACCATTATGAGAGTCGCGGCATTATTGATTGGCTTAGTGCGAGGGATCAATCAGTAATTACATCTCGTGCTAGCTATTTTGCTTTCATAAGTCTCCGAGTGTAAACTCATGGGTAGTACTATGTACGAGTTGGAACAGTGAGAAGTAGAAAAAAACAACACATTTTGTTACTAGTTGACAAACAGCCGGGGCTAAGACAGGCTAAATGTAAGAGGTTCATTCCGCCTTCCCCTGGTCTTAAAAGCGTACCGGACGAAGGTGGGTTTATCAGAAAACACAGATCAAGAAAAATCGACGAAAAAGAAAAGCATCCCGGACCCGTCCATGAGAAAAGAAACTCAAAATTGAATCACTGAAACCACCGTAGGCGTTGTGAAAGAAAGCATTTTATGCGCTGGCCTCCACGGGCGTCTCCTCGGCTTTCTCTACCTCCCGGGCAGGCTTGTCATCCGCGGTTTCAGCCTCATCAACGTCGGGCATATGGGTATCTTCGGCGCTAGCCTTGTTCTCGCCTTCCTTCTCCTCTTCAGTCTCCAGCTTCGGGGTCTCGGCGGATTCCTCCGCTGCGGGAGCGCCGTTGGGGGAAGGACCATTTTCATTGTCCGTAGATGCACCCGGGCCATCGTTATCCAGGACGTGCTTCCAGTTGGACAAAATGGCCATTGAGCGGTCGCGGAAGTTGAAGTCCTCGTCACGAGGAATAGAGTTGAGTTTAACGATCATCTTGAGAACCTTGTTGATCTTTGTTGAGCGGATGGTAGTGACATCCAAGTCCGCATGCTTCTCCAGCTTATCGAAGTAGGTAGACATGGTAGCCATCTCATCTTCTTTAGGCGGCTGATCGCGAGAAATGAAGCCCTTCTGCAGCTTGTGACGCAGGAAAAGAACTTTGAATGGTCGTTAGCTTGGGAGTCAATGCTCCATGGAAGGGGTATTCTCTGGTGGAAACCTACCCTCCTTGTGCTTTTTTTTCTTGAGCTCTTCAGGGTCAACCTTCTTCTCGGGCTGCTTGGTCTCCTTAGTCTCCTCCTCCGCAGCGGCAGCGGCCTTGCCCTTCTTGGGAGGCGCCTTCTTGGTCTTGCTGGCAGGAGTCGACTTGGCCTCAGCCGGGGGCTTGGGAGTGCTGAGCTTCAGCTTTGTAGCTGTCTTGGGAGTCTTCGCGGGCTGTAAATGTGATTTAGGGAACGTGTGTGCCTTGTTGTGATTGGGGTGTTGGAACTCACCTTGTCAGCCTCACCATCAGTCTCAGCATCCTTCTTGCGCTTCTTTGGGGCGGCCTTGGATTTTTTAGAATCGTCCGCGTCTTCCATCTCAACGTCAGTCTCGGCACCCTTGCTCTTGCGCTTGGTCTTCTTGGAAGCCGCCTTCTCAGCCTTCGCTTTCGCCTTTGCCTCTTCCTCGGCTTCGAGTTCATCATTCTCTTGCTGAACAGCAGCTTGGTGGTCGGCGAGCAGACCCTTGAAATAAGCCAAATCATGACCCTCGGATGCAACCTGGTAGGCACCGATCAATTGCTTGGATTTGTTCTTCTCCGAGACCTCCTTACACTCGGCGGGGTCAAGTTTGGTTAGAGCGGTGTTGGTGATCCAAGCGCTAACGGCAATGCACAATTAGTATCAATTGCCACGTTGTACGCGCGACAACAAAGACCTGATAAGACTTACAATTCATTGGTTCCGAAAAACATGACGGGGTAGGTACGCTCGTGAGCACGCTTGCCCCCATCGGCATAGTCGGCACGGTAGGTGCCGTCCGGCTGAGCTGCGGTCACGGGGCGGCTGTCGAGGAGAGACTGGGGCAGCATCTCTTCGTCACAAATGATGGCGGGCCATGGTGCATAGCTGCGGAGACGGGCAAGGTAGTAATCACCAGGCTTAGCATCAAGGTGGGTGATGCGGCTCTGCGACTTCTTGCGGCTGAGCTTCTTGTCGGTGACACCGCTTGAACGACGTCGGTTCTTGGAGGCAGAGGGGGTACCGTTGGCAGACCCAGCCGGGGCAGGCTCGCCATCTTTGGTGGAGGTGGTCGCGTCAGCGGGTGCTTCGGCCTTGTCAGCCTGCGCATCAGAATCCTTCGCAGCATCAGGCGCAATCGCATTCTCTGTGGGAGGAGGTGGATCAGCGGAGGTGTGTCGCACAGGGCAAACCGCAACTCAAAACATGGAAAAGCTTGCTGTACAAGCGATGGATAGGGGTTGCGACGCGGAGGCAGAAGAGTGCTTACCGGCAGACTCGGTGTTGGACGAGGTCACATTTTGGGACTCCTTGTCGGCCGCGACGGTGGGCTCCGGCTGCTCAGTGGCCGCAGCGACAGGGGTCTCATCGGCCATGATGGCAGGTTGGTAGGGAGCAACTGGATGGTGGCAGTCAAAGGAATATTCAGAACGAGAAGATGATGGAGGGGAATGGCTTGGTGGAGGAGAAGAGGGTGACGGGTGGTGAGGATGTGGAGAAGGAAGAGAGTCGCGCTGGTGCGCGGGATTAAGACGCGTTGGGCCGGAGAGCGGAAGGACCAATGACGCCACAACTTTTTTCTTCAAGCTTCCCACTCCCTGCTGAAAACAATAAACTCGCTCAATTTCACAGCCACCTGTTGCTGCTGGAGCACATGGCCTTCTCAGGCAATCTGGATGCTGGTTCGAACCTCGTTGACTGTGGTATAGACCCCACAGACGAACCACAATGAGGAGATCGGGATTTCATACCCCCCGAGCTGCAGACTAGACGTGCGAGGATAGTGACAGATTCCTGCACAGTCTTCATAAGTACCTGTAAAACGTCCTGGCTGATTTGAGCTCCATAGTGCCCTATATTCTCTGGCTCAGATCCCGCTTCCCACTGCCAACTGGATCCTGAGGTCTATTGAGCCACTCCCATATCGCCGCCAGATTCAGCTTTGGCCTGAAGTCTGGAAATCAACCATTGACTAACCATAGCCATGATCAGGCAAACCTAGGAAATGTGCATCATTTCAAGGTTGTCTTTTGTAGGCGTATTCAGAAAGTCTTGGTGATTTATTCGTTGGTATCTGCCCGTGCACTTTCCCAGGGCAGAGTAGACCATCATACTTGCTGCTCTCATTGGCTCTGGTAGTGATGCTTAAGTGTCCCAGTATCTGGACTGCTTTGGCTGTTCTGGGGTTCTGTTCTCACGGATCGATGTAGGAATGACGCAGACCGGCAATTTAATGCGACCGAGGCAGGGGAGGTTGATCTGGATGGTACTAGCCAAGGACAAAGAGGAACATCAAGTGAAATGGATACTCTGGAAACTTTGGTCGTCATGTGTCTGCTAAGAAGACTACAAAGGCGTGGAGTTCGCGGATGCGGTGTGCACGAAATAGACCAGACGGCGACGCATTGTATTACCTCATTGTTTGGCGTCGATAAATTATAAAGGGGAAAAAAAAATTAAATCTAATTACAAAGTAATAATAATAGTTATGTACCTTACAGCAGTGGTATTCAAATGCATCCATCGTCGAGAGACCTCAAAGAGCTACTGGACTGGACATTTCATTCTGGTCATCACAATAGCCTCATAGTCCTCTACCTTGCCTCACTACTCTGGCGACAAGAGTACGAATCAGCTGAGCATACCTGAGTACCCCCGGGTACTGGATTCGGGCTTATGAATCCGAAGCAGCCACAGGAAGTAGTCCTCCAAGGGAAGCAGGTTTAGCAAAGCCCCATTGAGCCACCATCCAAGACCACAGACCACCATGCCTGCTACAGCATCTAAAACGAAGTGGTTGGCTGTGGTGATGATAGCCAGCAAGATGATGAATGGATACAAGAAACCAAGCACCACGCAAAGCACACGTCGCCAATGCCAGAGAGTATACCGGCGAGGAAGCTCTTTCGAACCTCCTCGGCCATGGCTGGGGGACTCGAGGGGGATGGTCATTATACTCAGGCCAATCAAGAGCGAATACCCAAAGTGCAAGGATGGCATGGCAGCTGAAGATGGTCAGATGGTCATACATTCATACATATAGCACGTCAAGATCCACATACCGTATTGATTGCAAAATCGATTTTGAGTCCATACGCTACCGACCCCATCCGCGCCATGAACAGTATCCACAAAGCCGTACTTGCGGCCCGCCTCTCCGTCGGGTGTCTCCACGGACGCATCGCTGAGCAATCGAGGAGGCATACAAGGCCAGAGTGTGAAGACGATGAACGCGAGGAAATTGCACATGGCTAATGTCCGTCGACGATCCTGGTACAACGCCGGTCCTGCAGGCCGTTCTTGAGCATACCACGGCTTCAGCGGCCGATATCCAGTCGTCTCGTTTCGAGTGGTGGTGTAGTAGTAAAGCCCGACTAAGAATGCGATCGTCCCAGGGATGTGAATGAAGGAGTAGATCCAATTGACACAAGCCATTAGAAGGGGCCTCTTGAGTAGCCACCCCTGCAGCGAAACTTCGACAAACAAACCTAGCTTCTCTTCTAGCCAGATCACCTGCAAGGCGTGGTGACGTGCGACATCGACAGTTTCCTCCTTAAGGGTCATAGCAGTGATTGCCCGGCCGATTTGATATGTCTTTTCCAGGTATTGATGTTAGCTGCATGGGAACCCAGAAGTCTCATGTTCTGTTTGGACAGCTTACCCAATATACTAGAGCCCAATACCAACACTCGACCAAGAAAGGGAATTTCCGGAGCACGCGACTGAGTAGACGTTCTTCAAATATCTTCGTACAGGGCGTTTCCACTTTCCAAGAAAATCCAAGTATACTGATGACGCGTGACCGTCGTTGGCCAAAAAAGGAGAGCATCGGCGGAGGGTTGGCAAGGTTTTCAGGATCCGGGGACGTAGACCTGGAGCCATATGATTGCTGAGACCCCGGAGACTCGGGCTCATAGTCTTTTGAAGAAACCTGGTCAAGATGAGATGGCCGACGCGATCTGCGGTTGATCCATGTGCCCCCGAAGAGTAGAGTCACAACAACCAAGGGTTCGATGACAGCTGCCACACCCATTGTGTTTTGTTTTGAACCCGATCACGGACCGATGGCTCGGAGGTTAAAGATGAGCGTAGGGGATACACCGCAATAAGAAAAAAGAAAGAACGAAAACCAAGAAATATGGATCGAAAATGGAATACCCCCAAAGCCCCTATGCTATGAGAGAGGGAAGAATATGGACTCGTGTCCCAAAAATGCCGCTGGAGCCAAATCACATAACATTCTGGGCAAGCGCCAAGCCTGCTGCTCGTAATGAATCCTGTTTTTGGTAAGGAAGGCGCGGAAACTCGGGTTCCAGTAGAGCGAGCGGGCACTCAGCCCAGCGAGCCCCCGAAAACTTGGCATCTCCTGACCCACTTCCGACCCAAACTTTATGCACAAAATACATAAATATGCCAAGGGTTTCCTATTTGGTCCGTTTTATGCTTATTCTGTGCATAAAGTTGGGCCGAAAGGTGGGTTTTGGATCGTGATCCTCGACCCATTTGCGGAAACCTATCCGAGACCCCGATATTCTTTTAGGTATAGTCGGCCTGATCACACGACTCATACGTGTTCTGTGTATCTTATGCTATGATAAACGCCAAGTTGACCTCAGGACCCTGGGACCCTGGGTTGAACCCCTGAATTTTCCAATTTCGTACGATAACGAAAGCCAAGAAAAAAAGCGTTGTTACCTGAATCTAATGTCTCGGATTCCAGCTAGAAGGTGTACTGTATAAGGCGTGCCTGGGCATACCCGCACTCCCTCTGCGGATATGGTGGTCTTTTGGCTCAGTTGATGGAACATCAGCCCAGGGATGACTTCACAGAAATCCATTTACCGCAGAAAGACCACCCCTTACCAAACTTATCTGCTCATATCTTCCACAACAGCCATACGAAAGCTAACTCATGTTGAGATCAATAGCTGCTATATTAGCAGTTGTTCGCGTAATAGGTAGCTAGTTAGCCCTAAAGGCCGTAATGATCATGAAAGCCAAAAAGTGGCAGGGGATAAGTTGACCCCGCCATGATACGTGTGTAATAATGATAACTAGTTATTGTTTGGTACAGTACTAGAGTTGGGTGGGACCCAATATTACCCAAAGGGGCAAAAGTCTGTGTGCATACCGCTTCCACCACCCCATCAAATCTAACTATATAGCCATGGTTACAATATCCTGCACCGCCAATACTTATTAGATCATACTAAAATTAAATAATACCGAATAGTCAGGTTTAGTTACGTACAGGTTCCCCTCGCGTCATATTTTCATAAGGGCCCTGGTTCGCATAAAAGTTATCCATCCTTCTTCCCATACTCGATATTAACGTATTAATCTTGGTCTGGTCTACCTAGGTAACGTCTCCCCTACAGTGATACACTCTTTGGAATAGGCGCAATCCTCTTGAGATCTTCCCATCTGAAGTCTAGAGACACACGAAAAAGTCAGCGCTTTAGCATATCCATATTCCAGACCAGTTTACTCCGGTTAAGATCAGGCGAGTATACAGGCCAATCTTGAACATATATCCCATGCTCTTCAAACTAAACCGGCGTATCTTTCGCTATCTGGATCTTTGCGTTATCTTGCTGAAATATCTTTCCAGGTTGATAGCGATCGAGGCCATGAGGGTGGAGGGAAAATTAGAAATGTGGGTGGGTTGTTAGGGTGATGGGAGTGGGGCAGGTGTCTAATAATCAGGGCTCACAAGGGCGGTTTCCCCATTTGGGTAGGCTCAATACTACCTACAAATCTGGACGCCGCCAATCATCGGCCGCTGGGCAAGCGGGTGAACTAATCAGGGATTTTTGGTCCCCGAGCGTAAGCCCGCGGATGCCAATGTTCCTTCCAATTTGTCTCTTGAGTCCTTCTCCTGCCATGCAAGGGCGCCAATGAGCCAGCAACTCATGTTTCAGGGTTCCGGCAGCTTCCACTAGATGAGAAGGATCCGTGGTAGAATCTCCCGGTAAAACCATGTCGCGCCAAATGAAATTTTTGTCGTGTTCCAGAGGACAATCAAGAGTCAGGCCCTCCTATGTCCGTTTCGTGTTGTTACTGTGATGCGGTCCGGACGCATCCGATAGATCCTGCCACCAGAATGAGTGGTCTTCTCCGTCTTCCCCTGTACTCCATCATTGTCCCACGTGGGCGTGCAATTACTCTCCTTACCGGTAGACGTGTAAAGGGAGCTCGGAATTCGTATGCGTATCAGCCCCTTCGAGTTGGATGCGACAAGCGGCCCCACATGGGGTAAAGTTTCACGCATATCTGATCCGTTCAGGACGGGCGATAGACTATAGTACTGAAATGCATTTAGGTGATCGTGCTGCGATATATGCTAGTGGTAAGCGTAACGCAGGCGGTTGATGTCATCCCGATCAACTGATCTCGGGAGCAACCTGGAATGTTTGGCCAACCTGACAAAGATCTCCAAAGCGCCGTGCAGTGAAGTATAATTGACGTCAATTCCAAATCCAATCCTCAAATGTACACATCACCCCCCATGCTTTATTCCACTTATTTCTGACTTCAGACACACTCGTACACTAAAGTGACAACTGCGGCATTCCACTTGATTCATACAACTTCTTCATCCGCCAAAGCGTGAAACATGTCTAAGATATTATCGACGCCCATGCTAGGAGCTTCTAGTCGAGGCTTGAAGGGAGTCCTCTCCCAAAGAGCTCAGATTACTGCTCCATCGCAAGCCAGATGGCTATCAACAAAACAGACGTCTGCTGGAGCAAGCCTATTGCAGGACAAGAAAAATGGCTTCGGTTTTGCCAGATCAAACCCCCGACCGGCAAAGCCGCGTGCTAAAGGCGTTACTGAGATACGAGGCCCTTACTATTCCGTAATACCCCCCTTCTATATGATTCATTTTTTTTCCCGGTATAATCTAACCGGGTTTTCTATAGGTTATGGGCAAGCGATATCTCGCAGATGTGCTAGAAACGTGAAGCACCATCCCCCCCGCATCCAAGATGGCCGAGGCCGATCTGAAACTAACAAGATCTCCAGAATGGGCCAACATGTTGACGGACTGAAGTTTGCAGGAGGTAATCGAGCAAAATTCATAACAAATGAACCAATGTACTGACTCTTTGGAGGCTCGTTCTCCCTCTTTGAAGAGAAGCCACTCCGCGAGCTGCTGGATCTTGCCCATGAGCACGGTGTTTACGTTTCGACGGTAATAACTACTCCAGAACATCATGATAAACGTACAACTGAATTCTGACATGAATGTCTTATGTTATTTAGGGCGGCTGGGCAGAGCATCTCCTCACCCACCCGGATCCAGACCATGCCTTCGATCGATATCTCAGCAAGTGCAAGGACCTTGGGTAAGACTGTTTATGCAGAGCTTGATGGCCATGAGACTAATTCCCATGGGTAGTTTTGATGTGATTGAATTATCTTCCGGATTCTTGTCCCTGCCAGACGACGACTGGCTTCGCCTTGCCGACAAAGTCCATTCGTATAAGCTCGAGCCAAAGCCGGAACTAGGAATTCAGTTTGGCGCCGGGGGCGATACGCCTTCTCTTTCGGTGGCACCGTCGGACCCCAAGAAGCTCATCAGCATGGGACAGAAATTTATCAATGCAGGTGTGAAGCGCCTGATGATCGAGTCGGAAGGGATCACCGAGAACATGGATTCCTGGAGGACCGATGTGGTATCTCAAATCATGAACGAATTGCCTCCTGAGAAGGTCATGTTCGAGGCCGCCGATCCCAAAGTCTTCAACTGGTACATTCGAGAGTTCGGGATTGATGTGAACTTATTTGTCGACCACAGCCAGATCGTGCAGCTATCATGTCTCCGATCCGGTATTTGGGGGACTGCAGACACCTGGGGCAAGGTCGTTTCCTTCCGGCCCTAGATATTGAGAAGCACCCACTAGTAGGCTCTAAGAGTAGTTTCCAACGCTCCATAATTCCACCTTCTTTTACATTTTTACGTTACAGCAGACTTAGTCCTCTTAAGTACCAATCCGTCGCAACCTCGGTTCTGTCTTCCCAATCGGGTTAAGTGGGTATCAAACTCAACCTCCGCACTTGGTGGAACGGGGAACGTTGGGACATTCAAAGCCCTTGAAGCTCCTTCTACGATACATCGTTGATAGCACCTGGCATCCGAATGACTATCTCCGACGATTATCTGAAGTTAATACACCCTGATGCCCAAGGCTAGAAGCGGCAGTTGAATCATGCCTCGTGCGAGCCCGGCTCCGGGTGCCCGGCTGCGATGCCGAAGAGCTTGCGATAGCTGCAAACGCCGAAAACAAAAGTGCAATGGCGAGCAGCCCTGCACAATCTGCGTCCAGCGACACAAGGAGACAGAATGCCACTTCTCTGATCGACCGGCTCGTCTGCTGAAGCCTGGTCCACCAAGTTCGGTGCTGCTTAGTGAGCGTGTGCAACCCTCGTCGCCTCAGCAAGAGACGGCCATGGAGCACCTCCTAAGCTCGCTTGAAGACCGCCCTATGAATGTGGAACAAGAGGTTCGTGAGGGAAAAGGATGGGGCTGCTCCAGTCCCCAAGGTTGCTCGCTTACTCCGGGACGGCCAAGGGAAATATATGTACATTGGTGATTCAGCAAGTCTCTCCTTTTTGCAAAGCGTGCGTCGAGTTGTGTCTTCGTCCATTGGGAAGTGCGATTTTACGGAAGATAATTCGCGCCACTCGATGCTCGAGGCATTTCAGAGCAACCCAGGCAGCCAGGCGGGCCCTCTCGTTCCTCCACCTAGTAATGACGACGCCCAGAAGCTCGCTCGTCAGTATGTTCTAGCCACAAAGCCCTTGCTGGATCTCTTCGATCTTGAAGAATTCCATCCGCGCCTAGCCAATTGGGTAGATAACCCGACGGGTGATGAGGATACTGTCAGCTCCATATTCTATCTCGTGCTAGCCATTGGCGCCCAGGTATCAGACACCAACCAAACAGCCGCTGAGCAATTTTTCGGCAGTGGACGCCAGTTGGCCTTTTCGGCATTTCAAGAGACACCCAGTATCCATACAATCCAGTCATACGTTCTTGTATCCATGTACATGCTCGGAGCGTGTCGGCGCAACGGAGCATTCATGAACCTCGGCATTGCATTACGAGCTGCCTATGCTGTTGGGATTCACCGAAAAGACGCAAACGCTCTTTTCATTGGGCGTGAGCGACGGGCCAGAGAGCGAGTGTGGAAGAGCCTTCGGATGATGGATCTATTCCTGAGCGCTTCCCTGGGGCGGCCGCCGGCAACTTCAGACTTCGACTACGATATTCGAGACGATGTAACCATAAGCAAGAGCCAACACGAGCCTGAGGCGATGGGCACGGAAAAACAGCTCTCTGTTGCCGTGATTGCTTTGTGTCGAATTTTCGAGCGCATTTTGACTGATGTCTATATGAAACAGGTGATTTCCATCCATGCGGCGGAATCAATATCCAACCAGCATCGTGCTTGGGTGCGGAATCTACCAGCAGTCCTCAAAGCTCAGACAGAGAAGCTCACCGACACGAATATGGAAGAAAGCCTGGCAGCAGGGCATGTCTTTGGCGCTTACTATTGGTCGATCATCTTGCTCACGCGGCCATTCTTTGTATACCGAGTTGCTCAGTACGTGAAGTGCAAGATTGATCCATCGAGGCCCCTAGAAGCACCCAATGGGAGTTCCCGTATCTCCTTGTTTGCAGATGCCTGCGTTTATTCAGCGCTGCGTGGCCTAGACGTGATGGATGGCCTTACTCGCTTCCCCTCTCTACCACGACGTCTCCCATTTTCGATAAACACTGTTTTCAACTCTGCAGTGGTGTTGGGTGCTGCATTCTTCGCGGATTATGATAACTTGTTGCCCCTTGAAGAAGGACTGAACAAAGCAGAGCGGTTCCTTGAGTTATTCGTGCCCAATGACCCGCATGCCTGTCGCTTCTCCCAGATCATCAAATATCTCCGAGCTTCAGTGACAGAATACGTGCAGCGGCGAAACCGCCAGTGGATGGAGCGACGGAGTAAACAAGTCGATCAATTATTCGGCCAGGTCGGGGGCACTGAGACTCCTGCTTTTGCTCACCCTTCGGGCCTAGAACCCTTTACACCAACTCGGCCAGGTGGAACACAGAGGCCTTCTGCGGTGGCGTCTCCAATCTCGCTCGATAAGTTCGCCAGTGAAACTCCTGCTTTCGTGAACCCGCAGTCACAGATTCCTGCCGGGGGTTCGCAGCAACTCGGATGTGATGTCTGGGACACGCTTTACAACTTACCAGATGCTGCAGCCAATTTTCCATACGATCCTTCCCTTCCAGCGTTAACGACGTCGGGGATCCCAGTAAGTTACTCGCCTGGCAGTACCATCCCAACGCGGCAGCCGCCAGCGGCGAATGGCCCGTCGCCGCTTTCTGATATGATCTTCCCCGAAAACGGGCTGCTGTACATGGCTGAGGATCTTCCCATGTTTGGGATATGGGACGAATCGTGACCGTTCCAACAGCAGTAGCTGAGCTGGAAATCCCATGAAGAAAACCAGTCGCAGTGGAGTCCGATATCAAGCGCAACCTGATATGCACATTCTGGCGCAACAGCAAAAAGAAGATTGTTTCTTGGCAGCAAAAGATTCACCCTCGGACAAGAGTCCGGCAGGCTATAGAAACTGGCCTCCCGTGGGGGGTTCATTTCTGGGAAGGCACGCTGCCGCCCAGTTCTTAGGCTGGTGGTTTTTCCTTTCCCTCCCGGGACAAGAAGGTGCGACGCACTTCCTCGAACGGAGGAAATTCAGTTGAAAACTGGACAGACTCAGGTTCGAACCCAGGACTTGTTTTATGCAGCAATGGTCGCGCGAGCAAACCACTACGCCACTCACCCTCGAGGTGGTTGGAGTCGTTCGCTTCTCTGTTAAGTACGACACCTGGGTCGCATCAAACCCAATTTTGGAGGCGCACAGCCACGCTGTTGTCACGAAAATTAAGTAAGGATATTCTTGAGGTCCAGAGGATTAATTTGAATGGCTATATGGGAGGGTTTGAGACGATTTTGGTTATGTTGTTTTTGGTGACTTTTTTTTAACGTACTGAATTGGTAGCGGGAGGTGACGCGTGTTGACACTATTCCCGCTCCCCCACAAAATATATTAGCGGGGACTCGTATTCCCTAGCTCCTCCCCACGCCCCTGCTCTTAAAAATTTGACCAAGTAAGAGATTCCATAATTAGCAGAAAATTGAGACTGATCATTACACGATCAGTAATCAATCTGGTTCATTTTCTCGAATACTCCGCCAACTTGAAGCCCAAATTGACATGCTCGTTACGAGCAACTCCATTGGGGAAATAAACCCACACAAGTCTGTGTAAGAAACCTATCGGAGTTTTCCTGGCAAACCGTTAGTAAGAACGGCGACATCTATCTAAGCTCGGGGACTGAGTCTCACCGGAATATTGGGAGCCGGCCAAAGAGAGCGATGAATGTAAATGCGGAGATGGCCAGGATCGTCAACGCGACCGTTCGGAGGACCCCCATTCTTTCTCCATCTCCACTTCTATACGCGAGTACACTTTGTTGGATGCGACCAAGGAGAGCTTCCGAAGAACAAAAACCCCGACATACAACATCCAATGTAGAGATAGACAAATGTGTTATCAACAGTACGGTTACGAACACTTTGTGGCTATTCTAGCCACTCGGGGCTGATAGTGATACCCCAGCGACCACTTCAACCTCGCGCCAGCTCAGCCCTGTCACTGAGAAACGTGTCAATCCAGGCATAAATCACTTTCGCTATCAAATAGTTACTATGTACCCATTACTAATACTATTAGCATTGCGCGGAGCGACCGCAGCCAGGGAAAAGCAAAATGCTATGCATGGAAAAGGCCCGCCAAATTAATCCTTACATGCGACATGCGGACTACCGAGGTACAGACTCGGACACCGACTGGTGACTATGGACTTTGGAGGTAGGAAAAATAGAGGGCATTAAGAAAAAAAGAGAATGAGCATTACCATAACAGTTATATGACGAAGAAGACACAAGGAGAGGGGAATAATGTAGCAACGTAATGCGATGTTTGTGCCATGGTTGCGTGGTGAGCATAAGATGGAGCGAGAGGATGCGACGAGAAACAAATCAAGAGCACGGCTCGCTAGAAGAATTTTGCATGGAAAAGTTGTCTCCATGGCATTTCGATGCGGACTGTATGGACGGAACGAGGCCATGGTATGTACGCCGTTCAATTCCTGGGTGTAGGGATGAAATCGACAAGCCGGGCAGATTAAGAGCCTGGGCTCGGGAAGTTACAAGGTTACAAGGGTGGTTGCAGCCGAGACGTAGAGAGATTGGAGGCGACCGATGTGCATCAACAAAAGTTATATAGGCACAAGATACAGAATTATGCCTAATCAAAACCAAATGGGTTGTGCGGTGCTGGGGGAAGGTTAGTCAAGTGTTTTCTGGTCGCTTCTTGTGCGGATTGCGTGGATACTTACTGGCGTGAGCAAGGTTCGCTCGCAAACCCGTCGGCTGAGGTGCAAGTCGCTTGGGCTCATTGGGCTTCACACCAAACCTGATAGGAGGCGGAGGACCGGTTTTCTGAGGAGTCAGAGGAGCGGCAGTTGGCTGCTGAGGGATTGGCGGCACTGGAGGCGGAGGTTGATTGAAAGTTGTACCTCCAAAACCATTCATGCCTGTACGCTGGGGGTGCAATGCTGGGGGAAGGACAGAATTGATGCCGGTTTGCATAGGTTGCTGGGGTTGCGCAAATCCGCCAAAGCCTGTAGGCTGCGCAGCGATTCCCGGGAAGCCAGGTTGATTTGGCCCGGGCATGCCATTTCCAAACTGCTGCTGTTGTTGCTGGATACCGAATTGCGACTGCGGGGTGAACCCAGTTGGCTGAGGCATCATGATACCGGTCTGCTGAGGCATCATGACGCCAGTCTGCTGAGGTATTAGACCATTCTGGAACTGATTCGGTGGAATGAAACCAGTAGCCTGTGGCTGAAGGCGCTGCTGGTTGAGCTCAGCTAAGCTCTGACCAGGGGCAGCAACGGGAGGACCAGCTTGCGGGACTCCTGTCAACTGAGCTTGTAATGGCGGTGGCCCAAAGGCGCTTTGCTGCTGAGAAAAATTTTGAGGAGCCGAAAGGGGGCGCTGTGGGGGTGGTGGGAGAAGTGAGTTCTGGTTCATTGCTTGAGTGGGCTGTGGACGCTGCTGTCGAGCCGCCGCTCCCATAGATGCTATCTTATTGAAGAAGTCCGGGGTAGCACCTGTGGCCTGGGCCTGCACAGGAGGTGTCTGGACTGCAGTCTGCTGTGGCTGTAAAGCTGGTATAGGCGACGCAGACGGTGGTGCAGTGGCAGTCCTTTGAGGCTGCAGAGGTGCTTGAAGCAATGTTAGGTCTGCCATGGCCCCGGTGACTTGCTTGGGGACTGGAGCTTGGGCAGCGGGTGGGGATGTAGGAGGTGGCGTCGAAGCAGCAGGCGCAGAGGAGCTCGTAGGCTTGGGGTTCTTCACTTCCCAAGCATCATCATCGAACCCACGTGTAACAGGTTTCTCTTTCTCCACAGGAGCTGGAGGAGTCGCTGTACGTTCCTCTCCCTTCTCCTCTGCATCCTTTTGCGCAAAGGCCTTTGGATCGACCACATCACCGGCTTGGACAGCTGGGGTTGGTCTGCCCTTGCGAGTATTGTTGCGCAATGTACCACCAGGCCCAGAGAAGAGCCCCCCCTTCCTCGATAACTTCTTCTCCGCCGAAACTGACATTACGGAGTCGCGAGTTCTTGCCCACACGACCAAGGGTGTTGTCCAGATACTTCATGACACGCAAAATGTCACCTTCCTTCAAGCCGAGGGTTCGAAGGGTCTCCGGGGTAACGTCGGGAGTATAGACTCATCCATAGAATCTTTGAGGAAGTTCTGCGCATATCGTTCACATTGGTGGGGTCCTACGCCAGCTTTCAAGAAGAAATCAAACCAGTCGTACTCAGGACGCTGCACAGAAGCGCCTGCGTTACCAATTGGTTTCGCATCAGAAACTGCTCGGTTCCGGATACTGGAGAGAGGCTTGTCCTCGTCCAAAGAAACACCAGCGGCCTTCTCAACGTATTCCAGATCCTCAACGGACATCTTCGCAATAGGGACCGCAATTTTAATACCGTTCACTTTATGAAGGTGGATCTTCCCATCTTGCAGACCAATGAACTGTGCCTCGACTGTGAATGCTTTACTGCGATCGGTCCACTTCCTCACTTTAGAGAAATCTGGTTCTGCGTCCTGTTAGAATCGAAAGCTCAAAGATGACGTGGGTCAAAGGTACTCACTAGACTTGGACTTGCTGTCGCGCTTGCTGGAGTCCATCGAGTCAGTTCTTGACTTGCCAACGGCTGCCTTGGTCAGCCTCGCCTCCTCTTGGCGATTCCTTTCAACAGTATTCATCGCCAGATCATCTGGGTTTGGTAGAGTGGAGACAAATCCAGTGACTTCTACATAGCTGCTGGGAACGACACCTTCTTTGCCATTCTTCAAGCGCCGCACCATCCACCATTCTTCTGACTTGGTGTCGTCGAGGATGATGACTTCATCGTCTACTGCGACGCTCACCTCATCATCACCCTGGGCCATGAAATCGTACAGCATGATACCTTTCTTTTGGCCGCCTCCGCCCTTTGCAGCATCCAGGACCTCGCGAAACCCCTCTGCGCGGTATGCACCGGCAATCTCGCCAAGGGCCGCAACAATCTCTTGAGCGGTATCTTTAGCACCTGCATGAAAATCGATGCTCCTGCTCGGGCGAACAAGATCAACGAAAACGTGCTTTCCCTCAATGGAGTAATGGGTCAGTTTATCAGCAGTCCACTCTTGCTGACGGTCATCACCCTCCGGAGAAATGAAGATGATCCCGGTGACCATATTGACGCCTAATGTCGTTGGCATCTTCTTGCGCTTCCCCATCACCTCCACCATCTCATTGACATTGTAGATATGATAACCGGAAGGTGATCGAGGTGTCAATTCCCCTGCTCGATTGTAAGGCGGTGATTCTTTGACGTAGGGTGCATCACGGCTCATAGGGGCGCTTGCACCGTCGGGCGCGGGGGTGCGACAGGAGTTGCCTCTTCTTCGGGCGCATGGGACGGTATTGGAGAAGTGACTTGCTCGGACGGTGGTCGCCGAGGAAGAGCTGGCGCGGGCGGTTCTTCACGAGCATACTGGTCTTCAGAGGGTCGGGTCGGGAGTTGAGGAGGCGGGGACTCCTCGCGAGAGGGGCCCGCGTAGCCACTGGAAGGAGCATGCTGCTTATGTATGATGTCGGCGATGGCCGCGGCCGCAGGATTGTGCACAGAAGGAGAGGGTGCCTCTTCATGGTCGCCATTGGCAGGCCGTGTGGGTCGCTGAGGTAGAGCTGGTGCTTCGGGCTCCTCTTCCAGAGGAGGCACGGCGGCGGTAGGCGTGACATCCTCCAAGATTTCGATGTAATTCGATGGGGCAAACCCAAAATCATCATTGACTCCCACTAAGGTCCAATCGGGGTCTGAAGTGTCGTACACCAGTATCGCCGCGTCTTCCGAAAACGAAACTTCTTCGTCGGTTTGCCGCGTGTAGTCGTAGAGGGCCTTGGCGTGGTGAACCGGTTGCGCCTATAAATGATACTGCGGTTAGCATCCAACTTGCTCTAAAGAGTGTGCCAGTTCTGGTTTATCGCCAGCAAATGCGCGGCTTTCCCTAGCGACTTGTGCAATACAACCAGAAGCTCTGTCCCACACTTCGCAAGTCAGACAGAACGGCTTACCTCCTCCACATAGTTATTTGGAACTAGGCCTTCTGGCTCATCTTCGTCGTCTCTTTCCGCCTTCTTCTTGGCTTTCCACCAGTCATCTTCTGCGCTCTTCTCCAAGACGTAGAGCAGGTCGCCTCGTGGATCTCGAGTTCCCCCTCTCCCTGAGGCTGGTAATCGTACACAGCCGAGTAGACGCCCACGAAACCCATATTTGCGCGGGCCCCCGGTCGAGCGAGAGTCGATTGAGAGGTAAAATGGGATTAGAGCACCACAGTCGTCAATGCCTGTGCGGCGAGACCGCGAATTGCGGGCTTGGGGTGCTGTCCGGGACGTCGGGATGATGACGGTGGCCGGTGCCGGGCTAACCTTGGCAATAGGGCCAGAGCGTGCGCCCACGGTTGGCGTTAAAACAATATGGAATTAAGCCGCTGAAAAAAAAGAATGGGCAAAAGAAATGGGCCGAACCAGCCGTTGGCAGGGGAAGTTGGGAGATGGAGGTTGGATCAGGGAGGGAGAGGGCCAGGTGGGTACCGATCGTTCGGAGTCGACGGTCACGTTCCTTACGTAGTTCCAACGCCTGTAGGCCTTACCTGCGCACGTATACTACGAATACCATCAAATCTCGGCTTATTTGGCCTGACGATACGTCTATAATGGCTTTATATTTCCCACGTTGGCTCTTCAATGGCAGGCTCTAAACTGGTTGACAAACATGTCTTAAATGCCCCCACTCAAGCGGGCCATCTGACGTCTTCGGGCGTGAAGCTAACCAGGCGTACCTGGCATTGCCAGCCTGCCCAGGCGAACAATTGGATGATTACATGATACTCTGCACACTGAGAAGTAGTCCAATGAGGTTTGCTAGTCATGTGCTGATAAACAAAAACCAACTTATTATACATATGTTCCCTCAGAGCTCGTCTTTAAAGGTTTCTTCACTGCCTGCAGTGTTCTCCAATTCCTCATCTGAGGCGGGGGAGTTTTTGGGATGGACGGTCACCAGGTTCTGCGCTCCGATCTTCGGTTTTAGCATGCGAGCCGTCTGCTTGCCGAGGGGCAGTTTCTTCATGAGGCCTTGGATCAACGTTCCCCTCTTCCTCGTCGTCCTCGTCGGCAACGATGCCCTGGAATTTGATCACGCCGTTGCTTGCGACGACTTCAAGTGTCCAATCATTATCGCCTGCATATTCCTCCAGTTGCTTCCGCATATCTTCCACCTTCTCTGGATCAAGATCAAATTTCTTCATGGCCTGTTTAGACATGCGTCGGATCTCGCCGTTCTCACGTTTCGCAACGATCTCCACATGCTCTTCGCCCGCAGAAACCACTCGGCCCTTCTCAATCGTCTTTCCTTCCATGCCCACGAGTTTGTGCCCACCGATTTCGATTCCACCAACCATTTGAACTTCAGAATGGTCTGCTGCAGCTTCGGCAAGTTGGTGAGTTCGGAACCATTCCTTTGCAGCCTCCCATTCTGGGACATCTTCAGGTTGAAGAATCTCGCGGCATTCGATGCTGTGAACTTCATCCTGCTGGGGCGGTAAAAAGGCAACATCGTCACAAAGACGTGGGGTATAGATAACCATTAAGTAGGTACACGTGGTAAGTTCTTTAATCCAGCCTATTTGGTCGGTTGATTGTGGATGACAGTGGAATTGTACTTCGATCCGGCGTTCACGGCCCGTCAAATCACACCTGGTACCGCCCCGCAAATGCTGGACGAGGTATCGTGAGCCGCCCTTGGTGTGTAATTCTGCAACCTCATTTTTGGGGTCATGTTCTTTTGCCCTGGATTTCTCGCCACTCTGCGTATGACCCGGGAACTGTCCCAGAATGAAGGAATGAGTGTCTGGATCCTCAGTAGGGGGATATGTAGAGACCCCACGGCCTGGGGGAAGTGCATGGAACTGCTTTACTTGTTTGCGATAGCAAAAAGAGTATGACCACCACCCCGAAAAATAGTACATACACTTGCCCTCAAGCTCGCGAAGAAGTTCAAGCCCTCTCTGTCCGTGGCCCGAGCCAACTCCTTTTTCTCATCCGCCTCGCTGGTTGGAGTCACACCGGTAGCATTGAGTTCGTCCTGCGCGACTTGCGGGATCTGGCAGAGGAGCCGTCGGTCATTTAAGATCATCTCTTCGTAGGCGTATTTTGGCTTGTCTGGTTTTTCGGCCTCTACACCCTCGGTGCCGTGGGCATTTGCTCTGAGACTCGAAACTTCGTCATAAAGGGAAACCTGATTTTCAAGTAATTCCTGTGCTTGCGCATCTAGGATATATTCTTGAGGATAGAGCACTTGGTACTTGAACAAATTCTGGGTCAGTCTCATGAGCCCATGATGTCAGCGCGATTTCGGCTTACTTGTGGATAGGCCAGGACATCATCTTGAATGTTGAAAGGTCGTTTAGCTGCCCACACAGTGGAAGTAAAGCATGTGAAGAGGAGGTACAGGGTTACCCCCATCTTTCTTTGTCGCATCTTCGGGTATGGGGGGATCGCTTGGAAGCTTCGACAGGAGTTGGGATGCGACGCTAGCGACGTTGGCTCAGTCCCCAGCGGGGGAATTTTCAGGGATCTGTCAGAAGCAGAATTCAGAGAAGCTGGACGTAGGGGGAGGTGGGAGAGAAGCACATGCTTTCAAGCGTGTGTATTGGGTCTTCGGAGCGGAGAGCGAGAGCTGCTCCGTGGCCTTATCTGATAGCGCTTGATTTCAATACGATACGGAACTGATCCGCGGACTATACTGGGGAATAAGTGAAAACCGCCCAGGATCATGGGGTCAGTTGTATTAGTACTGTCACAAATTACACATCTGACCTTGTGTCACTTGACATGCTCATCCTTTTGCAGTGTGGGCAACAAGTCTTTATATAGGAAGGATGTAAAGCTGAAATAAGTCAACTGTCAACGGGAAACCTAATCGGAGTTGGGACACAGCAACAACGGCGTTTCAATTTGGAATACTAAAGCTAAGGAGGGAAGAGGAGAAGGGGAAGAAGGAGAAGCTACGACGACCGACCTAATACCCAACTCCCACCACCCTACTATCCGCTTTCGCATGTGTTCGGACGACAGTAGTTCAGATGGTGCTGGCATCAAGGGCGGTGGGGAGTGGCAGAATCGGCTAACGGCTGACATCAACTCCAAGATTATGGACATGCTCCGAGGCCTAGCTAACTCTAACTCCCTTTCATTCTAGTATGGTTCGTTGATCTCTGGCTGCAGATCCCTCTAGAATTGATGAAGTTCCGAGCAGAAAATTAGGCGATGCATTGTGCACCGACAATGATACCCTTCTTAAGGTGTCATGGTGGGATGGACTGGTGTGTGGACACCCGCGGGATTATGGAATTGGAATGATTACGGACATGAACCTGCAGCACGCGCTCTTGAAGTCCATTGGTCAATTGCTGCGGCTGTCTACCAATCAGAGCACCCCACATTACTCGATGCTGACCCGAGTCTTTGTAATGATTTGGGAGGCTCTGGATTTACGGAATTAAAGTAGCTGACTGATATTTTGCAAAGCATTGGGAAACACGGACAGCTATTTAGCATGGTTTCATACCTTGATTCAACGTTGAGGTAAGGAGATGAAATCAAAGTTCAAGTACTTAAGACGAATCTCCTGCGTGCTACTCGAAACTTCCGTTGCTTCTACCAGCAATTATAAAAGGCTCTGTTCACCTCGATGAGGCTGCTCCTGCCTTTTCTAATTTGCGTTACAGCAGTCATCGTTGCATATCGATCCTCAATCCAAGACTCGATCTCCTCACTTCTACAAAAAGCACCAGCAACCATCTCGAAGTTTTTCACGGCTGCCAATTCCAGCATAATCTCCCTGCCAGCCACTCTAAACCTGGATTTCCCCGCTCCTCAAGTAAACCCAATCACCGAAATGTCCGTTCCAAGAGCAATCCGCCAAGTATTTCTCGCTATCGAGCAATCCGAAGGCGCAGGCGCTCGGGTGCGCCGTTCCATCGGCGGCCGTCAGCTGCGCTCTCTCACTCCCTTCCTCATGCTGGACCACTTCAGCAGCAGCGGAGCAGCAGGCTTCCCCGACCACCCGCACCGTGGCCAGGAAACTATCACCTACTTGATTTCCGGCGGTTTCGACCACGAAGATTTCAACGGCAACAAGGGCACCCTCTCTCCAGGTGACCTGCAATTCATGACCGCGGGCCGCGGTATCATGCACTCCGAAATGCCGCACGCTGGCAAGCTCAACACAGGTCTCCAGCTGTGGGTCGATCTACCTCAGAGCCTCAAGATGTGCGAGCCGCGCTACCGGGACCTCCGCGCCGCTGAGATTCCTGTCGCCAAGGCTGATGACGATAAGGTTTCAGTGAAGGTCATCTCGGGCGAGTCGTATGGCGTTGAGTCGGTCCGTGATTTGGCGTATACCCCTGTTTGGCTATTAGACGTCTCGATCAAGCCTGGTGGTCGCATTCTGCAGTCTCTGCCAAAAGGATGGAACTCTTTTGCTTATATGTTGTCTGGTACTGCGACTTTTGGATCGGGCGAATCCTCTCAGGTTGTGGACCAGTTCCATAATGTTGTGTTTGAGCAGGAGGGTGACTTTGTTGAAGCTTCGGTTGCAGAAGATGCGAAGGAGGAAGCAAGATTCATCATCGTTTCAGGGCAGCCGCTGGACCAAAAAGTTGTGCAGTATGGCCCTTTCGTTATGAATACTCAGGAGGAAGTCTACCAAGCCATGCTTGATTTCCAGACAGCGTCTAATGGATTTGAAAATATGCGCGGTTGGGAGAGCGAGATCGGCAAACGAAGCCCATATTGAAAGCGTCATTGTGGATTGTATTGTTGTTTTCTATTTGTACATGATGTGATGGATTTTCTTGTTGGCGTCAAGCTAATACCCTAGATGAATGATGAGTTCTGACCCTGCAGTTTTCTGAATTCTTGCTTTTGTTTATCTCGCGTAGTATGCGTAATTGTAACTGAGGGTCCGTCTTGAAAAGTAATTTAACCGAATCTTCCGAAGCCATTCTGAGTGTAGACCCCCTATACCTGCACCGCTCCATCAACAGTCAACTTCGCTCCAACGGTACCAATAACCGCCACATCCTTCGGCACCACCAGGTCGCGAATCTTGAAGCAGCCAAAGACCACCATCTTTTTGAGAGCCGGACAGCAACGGAAAATAGACTGGGCAATGAAGTCATCTACATGTCCATCGAAAGAAATATCGAGTGATTTCAGCTGGGGGTAGCGCTTATCCGGTCCGAAGACTTCTTCGTATGCATCACGGTTAATGTGGCGGCATGAGGAGACGTTCAAAGACTTCAGCTTAGAGCCCGAGTGTTCCATCAGAGCCATGAACCCATTCGAGGCGAGTCCGATTGGTTCTTCAGGTCCATCGGGGTTAGCCATGTCCACGTCACGAAGAGAGGAAAAGTCTATATAGCTCAAGGCCGGATTGGACCAGCCGCGAAAAAGCTCCGCTAGTGCCTGGTCAGTGATAACAGAATTATGAGTAAGGCGGAACTTGTAGAGATTTCGGCATTTATTGTGAATTCCTTGCACAAGCCTGTCATCGGCAAGCTCGAAGTTTTCGAGGGACAGAGAGCGAAGGTTCGGTCCTAGTGCAGAGACCAAGTGCAAGATAGACTCCGGCTGTGTTTCTTGCATGAACTGGAGAGACAAGTGCTCCAAGGTCTCCATAGCCGAGATCGCCCGAAGGGCCTCATCACCAAGTTTCCAGAAGTACTTCAACTTCAAACGTTGCAGAGACCTACAACTTTGAGCCATTACTTGGGCTGTTTCGTCGTCGAATGCAGAGTCGAGGTTCCATAACTTCAAGCTCCTTAAACGTGGACCTATCCGAGAAAAAAGCTTCCTCCAACAAGCATCAGATACCAAATTCGGAGAGTCCAAGTGTAGATCCTCAAGTTTGATATCCTTGTCAATCATGTACTCCAAGATCTGGTCTTTCATCGGAGTGACGAAGCGGAGATTTAGTCTGGTCAGACTGGGCATTGTGGCAAGGATCTTGTGATAGTCGTTTGTATCAAGCTCTGAACGATAAGTTAGTTGGCCGCATTGCACGGTTGCGAGCTCTTCGAACTGAACTTACTAGCACAGTCATAGATATCGAGCGTCCGGTGATGCGGTCGTAAGAAGAGATCCAGGATCTTGGGGGTTATGGCGCGTCGCCTGGACAAGATATGACTAATTTTGAGCATAACAGGAGGTGGGAGATCACCGAACTCCTCCACATCATCTATATTGTCGGCAACTTTCTAGGGACAGCGTTAGCGGAAACTGAAGCTGAACAGCTAGTATAAGGTGCCTTTCGAACAGTACCTTGATGCATATTTCCAGCAAGGATCGGGGACCGTTGCGGACATGTCCATCCAAGAGAGCATTCTGATTCTGACGCCGAGAAATCCCCGAGTTACGCTTCTTAGGAGGTGCTTTTTTGTTGCCCTCCTTTTGGTTCTTTGAGCAAGAGGCACATAGTAGACCTCCCTCCGGACCAGTTTTGCTATAAGGGGTGACCGTGAACCGCTTGCCACAGATCTCACAGTTCTCCAGCTGGCCAGGGATGGGGCGCGACTTTTCACTCATCATCTGATCTGCCAGGGCTTCGTCAGCATCGGCATCATCGCCTGGATCCCCAGTCCGCCGAGCCTTCCGCCGGGCAAATTCCTTGCTCCTTTTAAGCTTCTCGATGGCCTGTTGTCGCTTGCGCTTGCGGGTCTTCTCTTCAGGTGTCTCCTCGACTTCAGAGCCGAGCTCTTCGTGGTCTGGATCCGCCTCGCGTTCAGCCTGTTCCTCTTGCTGTTCTTCTTCATCGGCCTCGGCTCTTGCGGCTTCTGCGACCCGGCGGTTGTAGTCGTCTTGGATCTGGGCGGCAGAGATATTATTCGACTAGATGATAGCTCCGTTAGCTCCGTGAATACGGAGTTCGCTTAGTTGGCAGAAACTTACTGCAAGGAAATCCGTGAGGGCCGAGTGTCTGCAATGGTCGTATTAGTTATTCTGATAAATGCAAGTGAGAAGATGAGCTCCTACGGTCCACGGATGTTGGCTCTTGGCCGTCGCCCTGCCCTGTTCAATATATCAGCATCAGAACCGAAGGGAAATAACGACCACAGACGTACATGATGACCGAATAATTACTAGGTGTTCGGGGGTTTGTGAAAGGGAGGTTTGGTTGCTGGAGTCACAAGTCACACGTTTCGCGCCAGTTTCGCGTTGCACTTAACGCGAGTTCTTATCGGAACCAGGGCGATAAGTGTACGTCAGTGGAGGTCGGTCACCGATCGCGATGAACCACGATAGGGAAAGGGGGCGGGATGGAACAAGCAATGATGCAAGTAGGAATGAGGCTACTCCGTACTGTCTTTCCATATGAGAGGGAGGCAAAAAAAAATTTCGGGACCAATGACCGGCTTTTTCTGGTTCAGGCACTTCTGGATCGATCACTTTCTCCGATCACGCTTTTTTCTTCTCTTCCCCCTTTTCCCGTCGCTCTCTCCTGTGCAGACTTCTCATTCCTTGAAGGCTCCAGGAAAGCGAGAAATAGGACTTGTCAACGCCATCGTTCCCTTCCTCTAGATTCTTTCGTTTGCCGCATACCTCGGCGTGCTCCAGGCAGATCTGCCGGATCCAAGGCAACACTCCCGCCAGTTTCCAACTTAGGAGTCTGACACTCAAACTGCAGCATTTCTCCAGGTATTTCATCATTCCTTGGGGTTTTGACTCCCTTTGAGTATCTCAGACTTGCTTACGAGACGACACCAGTTCCATAAAAGACAGCTCCGACCGTCGGTTTGATACTTTCTAACCTTTCACGCTTCCAACGACTCTATACTCCTTCCACTTCTCAAGCTTCTTACAATATGAGAACTCGAAGGTCTATTGTCCCCGATTCGGAAGATGATGTTTCTCTAGCTGCTAAGTCAGTCAAAAATTCCTCACCTGCTCCAATGTCAGGACATTCGCGCACCCGGGGATCTAAATCCAAGTCGTCGACTGCTCGTGTCATAGATAATTCTCAAGATGATATGGACTTGACGGATGCCCCCGCCCCACGGGAGAACCTGGATAATGTGAAGGTTGTTATACCCAGGCAGGTGGTTGATTCTCCTGATGGATCGTCTCGGAACTCGTTGGGAGTACAATCTGCCGATGGCAGCACTACCCCCGCGACCAGCGTGGGGATTGCAACCGAATCTGAGGGCAGCAAGCCTCGCGTCCGAGTCAATGCTACGGCTCGTGCTCAACAGTTGCGTAATACTGCAACTGCCCGGAGGTCATCCACTCGAAGCACCAAACGGTCTGCAGATGACATGGAATCCCAGGCCCACCAGCAGGAGCAATTAGATGCAGCAATTGCCCGAGCCCTCCAAGAAGCCGAATATGATATCCCCGCGCCGAAACGGGCGAAGCGTGGAGCCGAGGAAACTCAATTGCTTAGCGACGATGATAGTCTCACTCCGTCTCTACATAGCAGTGAGCTCGATTTCGAGATGGCATCAGATTATGAAGATACTTCTGACACCGACACCATGGTTGAGAACTTTGTCCTCGGAATACCTGCAGGGTCGCGACCGCGCCGTCGCCGTACTATCGGACAAGCCTCTGCTCGTGCTATCTCTCCTGCTTCCGAAGACAGCAGTCCGCCCGCTGAATGGTCCTGGGAAGGCGACAGGAAACGTAAGAGGATGGCGGCGGACCGGAAAAAACTGGAGAGTAAACACCCAGTTGTGAGCAGGATGTGGGATGATCTCAAGGCCAAGCCAACGATCAACCCTAAACAGGCGGCTCAACCACAGTCTATTACCCGTCGACTCAAGCCGTTCCAGTTGGAAGGATTGCAATGGATGAGGGATCAAGAGCAGACAGAATATAAGGGGGGTCTCCTGGGTGATGAAATGGGCATGGGGAAAACTATACAAGCGGTCTCACTCATCATGTCCGACTATCCCCAAAAAGAGCCAACCCTTGTCATTGTGCCTCCAGTTGCTCTTATGCAATGGGTCGCGGAAATCAAGGAGTATACCGATGGTAAATTAAAAGTCCTTGTTTATCACAAGTCCGACCCCAAGGTCAAGAAATTGACACCTGCCGATATTCGCAAGTACGACGTGATCATGATCTCCTACTCCAGCCTGGAATCTATTCACCGCAAGCAAGAGAAAGGCTGGTCGCGTACTGGTGGAGTGGTCAAAGAGGACAGCGTGATTCATTCAGTCCGCTACCATCGGCTAATATTAGACGAAGCACACAGCATCAAGTCGCGTACCACCGGTGTTGCCAAGGCGTGTTTCGCTCTAGAGGCTTCTTATAAGTGGTGCCTTTCTGGAACCCCGGTGCAAAACAGAATTGGCGAATTCTTCTCCTTACTTCGTTTCTTGAAAGTTCGGCCATTTGCGTACTATTTCTGCAAGCAGTGCCCCTGCGAGCAGCTTCAGTGGTCATCCAACAAGCAGGGTCGCTGTACCGAATGCGCCCATACCAGCTTCAACCACATTTCGATCTTCAATAAAGAGATCCTCAACCCTATCACCGAAGGAGATACCGCAGAGCGCAAGGAGGGACTGGCAAAGCTTCGCCTCATTACAGATCGGATCATGCTTCGACGTCTCAAGGAAGAGCACACCTCCTCCATGGAACTACCTCCCAAACGCATTACCATCCACAATGAATTCTTCGGTGAGATTGAGCATGACTTCTCGACCAGCATCATGACAAACTCCACCCGCAAATTCGATACGTATGTCAGCCAGGGTGTTATGCTTAACAACTACGCCAATATCTTCGGTTTAATTATGCAGATGCGACAAGTGGCGAATCATCCGGATCTGATCCTCAAAAAACATGTGCAGCCAGGATTCAATGTTCTTGTCTGCCGCGTCTGTGATGAGCCCGCAGAAGATGCCATTCGATCCCGCTGCCGTCACGAGTTCTGCCGGAAATGTGCCAAAGACTACATTGAATCATTCGACCAGGACTCCGTCGTCGACTGTCCACAATGTCACATCCCTCTTTCCATTGATCTGGAGCAACCCACCATTGAACAATCCGGGGAGTCCGTCAAGAAGAACTCCATCATTAATCGAATTATGATGGAAAATTGGACTTCATCCACCAAGATCGAAACCCTCCTTTATGAACTTTATAAGCAGCGAACCAAAGGCCACACGCCGAAGTCCATCATCTTCTCGCAGTTTACCTCCATGCTCCAGCTTGTCGAGTGGCGTCTCCGCCATGCAGGATTCAATACCGTCATGCTCGATGGCAGCATGACGCCCGTACAACGCCAAAAGTCTATTGAACACTTCATGACCAACGCAGATGTAGAAGTGTTTTTGGTCTCACTCAAGGCTGGAGGTGTAGCGCTTAACTTGACCGAGGCTTCCCGAGTCTTCATTATTGATCCGTAAGTTTTGTTTCCCTTGAGACCCTTCAGTTATACGCGCCCTTGCTTACATTCTATCAGGTGGTGGAATCCCGCAGCTGAATGGCAAAGCGCTGATCGGAGTCACCGAATCGGACAACAGCGCCCGTGTGTTATAACTCGTCTCTGCATCGAAGATTCGGTGGAATCCCGAATCATCCAACTGCAGGAGAAGAAGGCAAATCTTATCAAGGGCACGATTAACAAGGATCAAGGAGCGGCCTTGGAGAAATTGACACCCGAGGACATGCAATTCTTGTTCCGTGGCTCGTAGATTTTGATTGGAATTTTGATTAAAATTTGCCCGTGTTGATACGCCACCTCCGTCAACCCTTGGCGCACGAGATTGGCCCAACGTCACCGGCCACCCACTAACGTGCGTCTGCCATTCCCTTGGGGGGCCCAAGCCCCTCATGACCTCACGAAACATTACTATTATTCCCCCCCAAAATCTTCTGTTTTTGCCTTTTCTACAGCGCTTTGATAGAGAGTGGGAGTTGGTGGTATCTTATCTTTTCTCGCTCGATTGCTTTGTTTTTTTCCTACTTCTACGGGTTCCCAAAATGAGCTAGCAGATCCGGCAGACAGAAATTAATGCAGTATCGTCTTACACGACGTGGAACCAATTTCCGCGCACCACTCTCTATTCTTGGGTAAATTTAGAAGCGAATGCAGATCTGAGATCATCCTTGATATTGAATCCCCAAGACTTGCCAATATTCTGCTGCCTGGTAAGGCTGAAGCTTGGCTCTTGGTATCGTCTCCACCGAGGATGCCCTGAACCAGCGGACCATAAGGGGAACGGTCCCCGCAACTTTCCTGAACCTCTGCCCTTCTCCTTTGTTTGTATCTTGTCTTGCCCCCCACCCCATTCTGATTCTTATCCTTATCTTTGCCCCCTAAATTATGACCTCGTCATAGTCGCGGTCTTCACATCCTATGGCTACCAAACCCCTCGATCGGTATGGCCCTAAGTTGGTCGAAAAGGCCGATAATGTCCAGTCGCGCTTGACCGGTGATCATCACCAGCCTGCAGGTGGATATGATGCTACACCCTTCCCCCGCGCGCCGCCGGGGTATACTGTCAAATTTACCTTCCATCGCGGCAACGATCTCCCTGTCGCAGACTTCGGAAGTTTCTCGTCCGACCCTTATATCCGCGCGCAACTGATTGTCGACCTTCCCCGCCGCCACAAGCAAGACCCTATTATGAGTTTCCGGAGTCCAACCGTGCGCAAAAACAAAAACCCCATTTGGAACTGCGAGTGGATTGTCGCCAACGTTCCAGCATCTGGTTTTCTTCTGAAGGCCCATGTCATGGATGAGGATCCCGCGGATCACGATGACAAGCTGGGGATTGCCTTCATTGAAGTCCCGGCGCTGTCGGAAAACTGGGAAGGGTTCAAGGAGCAGACTTTCAAGATCAAGAAACGCTATGGAAGCAAGCGCGTTTACGTTTTTACCAACGTCTCCGCATTCGCGACCGGTCATCACCAAGAGTCTTTCCTCGTCATGAGCATCGAATGCCTGGGGAAGACCCCCCGGGGACAACGGGGGCCAGATGTACACTGTTGGGCCCAACGCCTGGTTCAAGCACTTTTCGCCTCTCATTGGAAGATTGGCGGGCGTTAAAGATGATACCCAGACCGACGTGAACGGCAAATCAATCACGCGTTACAAGTAGGTTTATGTGGCGCAAAGCTTTCCGGGGAATACGTACTAACACCCGAACAGCTTCCAAGCTATCGAGATGCAACTCCGAGGCCCTGTGCCCGCAGAGTTGTACCATCGTTATGTTGAATTCAAACCTTTCGTCGCTGGCATGTTCCAGGCGCAAAGCCTCCGAGGACGGATCCTGAACAAGGCGCTTCATCACCAGCACTCCCGCATCTACAACTTTGATCGCAGTACTCTTGACGGATCGTTTCCAGAACCATGCAAAGAGTTTTCCCAGAAATTCCTCGAGTTCACCAACCATGGCCAAGGTGGCCGCATCTTCACCTACGTACTTACACTGGACGGACAACTGCGGTTCACAGAAACGGGCAAGGAATTCGGAATCGATCTGTTAAGCAAGCATACGATGCATAGTGATGTTTCGATATACATTGCTTTCTCGGGCGAATTCTTTGTCCGTCGACGTGTACACCATCATCACAGCTCCCAGTCAAATGACGAAGCGGGACTGGTCGTTGAGCAGAATGAACATCTCCCTCACGACTCAACCGAGCCATCAGACTACGAACTATTCATCGATAATGACAGTGGAACATACCGTCCGAACGCTGAAAAGCTTCCACTGTTGAAGCAATTCCTCCTTTCCAATTTCCCGGGTCTTCATATTACGACACTAGACTGCCAAAAGGACGCAGAGCGAATGGGCAAGATGAAGGATGAGCAGCGCGCAGTCAAGGCACAGGGTAATGTGATCACGTATCTTCAGCAGAGCAGCGCCTCTTCCCTGTCCATCTCTAGTTCGGAGGAGGAAGAGCTCGACGAGCGTATGGGTCAGGCTCCTCAGCGGGGCGACCTGTCCAAGAAGGTGCATGAGATGCGGGATGTCAAGGGACAGATGATGAGGTGGGTTGAGCATGACGGACATGCGGATAAATCTAAACCCAAATACAACCCTAAGGAGCGCCCAGCTTCCATGGGGAACCTCTGAGTTGCTCCGCCCTCTGCCAACGCGGCTGCCTAAATAATATGCGATGATCTGGCGTCTGGCATGTACCTTTTGCCCTTCTGTCTTCACTGATTTTGATGGCCTATATCTTTCTTGTCTCAGTCTGGAACTGAGCGTCATGACTTTCACGATTCAACTAATACGACTGGAGCTCATTCGCAGTTTGGAGATGTATTTTTAATTCGTTCTATCTGCAAAATGCTTCAGAACGTGCTCTTTTTCAGTTTGGACTTCCCATATGCCTAACATTTAGTAATGCTCCACCGATCACGGGACAATCTCACTGTCGTGGCTCAGGCCTGCAGTCCTTCAAGCAGGTGCCTGGTGAGTGGGGTTATACCTGTGGCTCCTCTGGGGCTGAAACAAAAGGGTTGCGGGCCCCCTCTTTACCAAGGGGCTGAGAAATGAAACCCCGGGGGGCCTTGCAAGTGAACCAGCTCAAATGTTACCCAAGAGTAAACCAAAATTTCCCGAGGCTTAAGTGCACGTAGAGATCAAAATAAATAGAATGTGTAGGGCCAAGAAGAGGGAGGGCGGCCCCAGCTCCACTGTTCCCCGAGAATCCACCCCTCTCTCCCTCAGAAATCGACGCCATCGCTGAATCTCAAAGCTTGACTCCACCTCAGCCCCTCTTCTTTTTCCCAACCACTTTTAATCTGAATGACGGGTTCCGCCATTCGTCTTGTCTCCTGCTACGGGCTATTCAGCTTCTACGTACCCGGTCGATGGCCGATTGGCTTGGTGCTCGCCCAACTCCCTCGCGCCGTGACCTGAATCTGTCGCCAGCGCCATCATGGGCAACGTCGCCAGCCGCCTCGATGAGGCCGGGAACTTGTTCCTGAAAGACCAGAACAGATGTGCGCTCGTCCTTGCCTTTGATCTCTTCCATTCAGAGCACTAACAGAATATCGTAGTCTCCATCGCATCGGTCTCCATCAGCAACTCCCGGCGCCGCCTACTCACTCTTTCCCCGAATGCCTTCCCCGCGGTAAGGTACACGGCCAAGCGAGATGCCGGCGACGATGCCCCGATCGAATACATCCAGGTATACAAGCGTCCCAAGCTAGTTCAGAACGCAGAATAACGGATACTGACCGGCTGTTTTCCAACTTTGCACAGGATCCCGACACTCCGCCCACTGCCACGGCCCCGTCCTTTCTGCTACGTCTTAATAATGAGGACGAACTCATCTTTAACTTCACATTCGTCCTTCGCCAAACCCAAACAGGCAACACCGCATGCTCCACAGTCAACGGCGTCGCGAGCTCCCTCCCGGAGGTGATCGACACCAACTTGACCGGCCTAACATTTGCGCACGCGTCAAACTCCAAAGAACTGGATAACCTAATCACTCGCGAATTCCATGCGAACCCGAATCTACAGGACAACTCCAATGTACAGCTCATTGGTAACTTTTCGACCGAAGGCAGCCCATCTGTGTCATTTGAGTGGACTTGGAGCTGGAAGCCCCCCAAGGCAATAGAGGACAGGGGCGGCGGCTGGCGAAACAGCTGTAGCCTGCTGGACTACGACCAGAGGACAAACCGTCTCAACACCCTCGCGCACTTTTCCTTCTGGGTACATAATTCTATTCGCCCATTGCCAAGCCCCCCAGATATCCTCTCCCAACCTCGAGTTACCAGTCCCAGCGCCTCGCAGTCGCGTCCCCTCGACACAGTCTGCTACCTCTCAATATAGCGAATCCGAAACAACCCCCCCTAGCTCCCTTAGTTACTACTCCACCTGAAAGCGATTCCTTACCGGCTCCGCCTCCAATTCCTTCGCAACCTCCGCCACCGCCGCCAGTCAAAGTCGAGCTACCTGCTGCTCGAGTTGGAGACGATGTGAGCACTGGGGAAGACGGGCCATTGTTCCGCGCTACCATGAAAGCGATGGAGCAAAAGACCGGGAATATGCGCTCCAAGATCAAGAAGGTGCTAAAGAAAGCCGAAGCTGCTCAGCAAGCCCTGGTTGCTTGTAACGAGGCCATGGAAGCTTTCTTAGGGTCTTTGAATGACGCGTCGACCTCGAATGCCAATGCCGTTCAGCCTGCATTAGATCATTACTACGAGCGGATTGCCAGGCAGATCTTGACATACGAGCAGCTGAACACCCTCCAACTGCAAAAGATTGTCATTGAGCCTCTGCTCCGATTGTATCAAAATGACATTAAACAGGCCGAGGCTAAGAAGAAAGAGTTCGACGAAGAGAGTCGGGACTTCTACGCCTACGTCGGACGCTACCTTGGCCAGCGTCAAGACTCGCTTAAGGAGAAGAAACGCGCGGAGAGTGACTCGAAGTACCAAGCCAAACGACAGAAGTTCGAGCTGAAACGCTTTGATTATTCAAGTTTCATGCAAGATCTTCATGGCGGTCGCAAAGAGCAAGAGGTTTTATCTCATCTCACAAGATTTGCCGATTACCAAGCGAAGAATTTCCTGGCAGCAGCAGCGAAAATCGAGGAGATGATGCCGGAACTGGATGCACTCATCGAGGGAGTAAATCAGGCAGACAAGGAGTTCCAGTTCAAACGAACTGAGCGGGAAGAGAAACGCAGAGCCCTCGAGAAGAATAGCAACCTATACCTGGAACCCGATGCTTTGTCTGGCCCTACGAGTCTTCCATCCTCATCAGCCGGTATCTCTAACAGCGCTCCTTTCATGGAGAATGAACTAGGCCGAGCTGACAGCACTGGCTCACAACTCCGGGGCGTGATCAGCAATTCCTCCTCTGTCTCGTCCCAGCCAAACCAATCCGCTGCCACTCCCAACGCCGGAAATGGTACCCCAGCAACGACTGGCTCTGCAGCTGTACCGGGACCGAACAAATTCAAGGGAATCCGCGACCTTGAAGAGCAAAACAATGTGGGCGCTGACCTTGCGGAAACTCAACAGCGAAAGGAAGGCCTATTGTGGGCTCTCTCACGCCCTGGCTCACATATTGATCCCAAGGGAATCAATAAGCAGGCCTGGCACAAGTAAGTCTTGCCCTTTAACCCAAATCTACAATTCTCCCCCACCTCTCTAACACATGACAAACCAGGTTCTGGATTGTGTTGGACCAAGGGAAGTTGTCAGAATACAGCAACTGGAAGCAAAGACTAGACCTACACATGGATCCCATCGATCTCCGAATGGCATCGGTTCGAGAGGCTCGCAATGCGGAACGACGATTCTGTTTCGAGGTCATCACTCCACAATTCAAACGAGTGTACCAAGCGACGTCGGAAGAAGACATGGCAAATTGGATTCGGTCCATCAATAACGCACTCCAGAGCGCAGTCGAAGGGCGAGCAATGTCTCCGGGGCGAGCAAGTTCATCCAAGAGGGAGTCATCCACTGGCCGGGACATCGGCTCCGTCTTGACAGGGAAAAGCTCCTCAGTATCGGGCCATCATAATCACTCGAGTAGCTCAGGTGGCAGTGGCAATACCAGTGGTGTAGGCCGCCGCACAACAGTCGGAGCACGCCCAAGCTATGTTCGTCGTGATAGCAACAGCTACGATGAAGATCCTGCCAAGCTTCTGCAGACTGTGAGAGACGCTGACGAGGGTAACAAATGGTGTGCCGATTGCGGTTCCACTTCAAAGGTTGAATGGGTGTCAATCAATCTTGGTATCATCCTCTGCATCGAATGCAGTGGTATTCATCGATCATTGGGAACTCATATATCCAAAATCAGGTCCCTAACATTGGATATTCATTCCTTCTCAAATGACATCGTTGAGATTCTGTTGCAAATTGGAAACCGAGTCAGCAATATGGTCTGGGAAGCTACACTCGATCAATCGCTCAAGCCAGGGCCCATGTCCACACGAGAACAACGGCTGAAGTTTATAACGAGCAAGTATGTGGATAGGGCCTTTGTCGAACAATTGCCCTCCGCTCGGTCTCGCTTCGCAACCCCTGACGAGCATCTACTTGCGTCGATCAAGCAAAACAATATCCAAGATGTGCTCTACGGGATTGCTCTTGGTGCTAACGTGAACGTCACCGACCGTTCTCGCAACACGCACGCTACTTTCCTCGCGCTTGCCGCTGCAGACCCTGCAACGCCCGGATCCACTCCTACCAGTATTTCCGCCCGGTCCAACGCTAAGGCAATCCCATTCCCAATTGCCGAGCTGCTGGTTCAAAACGGCGCAGAAATCCCTCCGCAACCCCCGTCAATTCCTCTCACTCCTGCCGCGCAGCTCTATCTCAGCCAGCGCGTCGCACGGCCGTCCGGCTTCAATGCTCCTAGTCCAGCTCCTGTCGCAGGAAAACAAGCGATCAGTGATACTCTTGGCACACTTCCGACCATTCGCGGCTCGAGCCGAGAGAGCTCCGTCTCTGGTCCAAGTGGAAATAGCTCTGCGGACAAAGACAAGCTATCCAAGCGAGGAAGCGCTGGTGCCCGCTTCGCAGGGAAGGTGGCGTCCCTTGGGATCGACCGGATTGAACGGTAGTGGCTTCTCTTCTATGCAAAACCACTCGGTATTCCGATGCCTTCCGCTCTCATAATTCCTAATTATACCCAACCTAATGTGATTTGCATGAACATTCCCCCTTGATGACTTCTTCTGTGTTTGGTTTGGATCCTTGTTTCTCAAGGCCCTCATCGGGCTTCTCTCGCGTTGCGTCTTGTTTGTGGCTTCCGAAACGAAACTTTCACTGTTAACATATCTCCAGTTTTCTGCACTACTCTTGCTTGTTACGGAATTTCCTACTGAGCTCTTCATAGCGAGAGAAGACGAGACACCAGTAACTTCTCCACTTAGTTTTTTTTTTTTGCTCTGCCTCTTCTTTTTCACATTCTTGCAGGCATCTATGATCCTTTCGATCATAGGGGTAGTTTGTATCAAAAACTCCGGTCTTGTTCTGTCCCGTCATTATCTGCGATTAGGCCTTGTTCCATGTCGCGTGTAATCGGCTTGTCTAGCTGATTGGCATGCGCTGGTCTACGTTCTTCTGAACATATATGCACTCCGAGGATACAAGTTCCTCGACGAATGTAATCATTACTTGGTTTATTGTCTTTCCATCTCGTCCCCATGCTCGGGCACATACTGTATCATACATCCTACCTACCCTTGTACGTACTAGTAGATCGGCGATGCCGGTATTCGTTCATCACCATTGCACCACCCACTGTAACGCTGCCAAATTCCTTTCCAATATGTCGCTGCCTTCTGGTGGCAATTGATCACTCTGACTCACATCCTTTGCCCCATCGCCAGCGGAGTCCTGGCAGATGACCGCCGATTATATCCATGGACCATGCACTGGGGCTGTGGCGCAGATTAAACGCTTCGGCACAATGAGACCCCAATTAAACTTCTCCTTCAAGCTAATGCCAGCCCGCAGCCCCGATTATCAGATCCTCATTCGAGGCAATTCCCAAGTGGATACTCCCAAGTGAAACACAAGAGCCATGAAGAGTAGTGGGTACGTATGACTCTTCACCGTGGGCATATCGACAAGAGGGTCAAAGGTTCGGCCACTCCGCGGAGTTCCAGGCATATGGGTACAGCTGATTCCGCCATGGGGAAAGAAGTAGCTTCACTGGGATCATCGCCACCACAAAAGCCACAGGGATCAGCCACTGAGGGTATTCCACGCCAATAGATTCTCGACGGAACCCACCGCTGCTCTGTATTTGCTTATCTTTCCTGATGGAGGAAATTCGGCTGGTTTCCACCGGATTCACTTACGTGGGCATATCCATGAGGCCAGCGTGGCTTCACTCGTGCAGATACATACCCAAAGACCACCGGGTGACTGACAACGGGATACAGTACATCCTGACCCAGGAACTCTCCCAGTACTGCGTACGCAAGGCGTAAAGATAGTCCATTCATCAGCGGCGCTGCCAGGACCCAATGACGCCAACATAACGAGGCATAATTGGAGAAAGGGAAACGCCAATATCGCCGATCAACGGTCGTTCGACACGTCGGACGGTGGTTGGACGTTGTCGGCCAGGAACGTGGAGAAACGGCTGAGGTCCCTCACCACATGACGTCAGTATGCCCCAAGTGGCGCCTGAGGCCGCATATCAGTCGCCGGTATGTGCAGGGGAAGCACAGCGACGCTTCTCGAAGGAATCGATTGTCCACTTAGATACTGCGGACCACCCGGGATCTTCACCCTCTTCTAACCGTCCTTCTCCCATTTATCCACTTGAACCTGCTCGTCGTGCATGGTTACTCGAAAGGGCGCCTTCTGTTTCCGTGTTTCCGTGTTTCCGGCTCGTTCTCGTACAAAGCACTGCGGTGGCTGATGATGTTGTTGGTGCCCAAGGGGACTTCCTTGGGATCCGTAGATGCTTCGAGGAGTCTCTTGTTTACTCGAATGAGAGGGGTGCAGGTGTGGGTTCACGGAGGGCTGCGGGATCAGCGTTAGGAATGCACTGCTTTCTTTCTTGAATAGGGAGGTGCACAGCCTTTCAGTGGCGAGGGGTCAATGAGTCACCTCAGCTGGACCTCAGCTGGACCTCAGCTCGATGGGAATATGTCCCATTTGTTTTTCATTTTCTTCCTGAAGACCTGTATAGTTCGAGGTCACATGACTAGGGTAAGGATTCCGATGGGACTTTGGCATGGGGTGCGTGTGAGGCCGGGAGAACTTCGGAGTATTCCAATCCAAGAAATACAGATCTACATAGTTGACTGTACGGCACTCCGAGTCTTGTTTAACTATACCACAACACCATTCCGGTTGATTCAGTAGACATAGGAGACTTAGAGGTACTGTACGGACCGTTGCGGGTGTGCATTAGTACGCCGCCTCGGGGTGCTAGATCCGAGCAAGCCTTAGATATGTACACAACTTACCATGTCTCCAGAGAATAGCCCTACATGTGATTGCCACTCTGGTAACCGCCCAAACCAATCACTTGGAGTTCTGCATGTTGAAGCATAATCTAATACATCACCCAGGTGCCTGTCGATCCGAAAGTGAGCAGAGGATGCCGGTGATTGGCTGGGCTACCGTCCCGGTGACCAGTAAAGTGGGTTCCGCCCGAAATCTCAACTTCCACCCTCGGATTCTCCACTCTCCACACTCTCTCGCGACCTCAATCGTCGATGGTTCGTTTTCAGTTCCCCAGGCCGTGGCTGGCCCAATTGGGCCCGAGACAGAATTTCGTTTTTCCCTCCCCATGCATACCAGTCTTTGCGATGTTTGCACAGTGGAGAAGGTTACGTGCTTCAAGCTGAAGGCAGGGCCAAACATGCCCTCTACTGGACTGGGACAATTGAGGTCGAATTACAGCTCCGCTCCTGCAGCCGCTTCCCCGTCCCGACAGTATGGTCTGATCGGCTTGGAGCCTTGGGTCACTCGGGAAGTCAAATATCGCGTTGTTTTGCACAGCATGCATGTATTGTGCTGGACATGAATGTCAAGTGGCTCGAACCATATTCCACGCCCATGGTACAAACCTTGCCTGGCTGGATCAGCGCCACAGCACACCGCACGTTGAATGGAGTATCAGTAGGCGTCCGGTGCTCCTCGGCCATTGGCGGGATCATAATCGAGCCTAGTGGGAGTGGTTGTCCCGACTCCATATCTCTCCCATGCTTTTCCCCTTGCGGTCTCGGCGCCGCCCGTCGGGATGCACAATCCTTTCCCTGTGAGGCCATGATAGGCCCAATATCCGCTGGTTTAGCCTGCATGCGCTTCATCGTAATTTTTCCAGTTACCCAGTCGCCTGAACGTTTTGCTGCCGGGGGGCCCTTTTCCTTTAGGGTAATACTGGCTACCCAGTCTCTTCATTCCCGTGGGGAGGAATCCGCTTTTTCCCTTTTTCCCTTTTTTCATTTTTTTTCCATTTTTTCCCTCGCCTTTCTTCCCTAAAAGGTTCGGCTCCACGGCTTCCATTTTAAACCCTTCAAACCCACAGCTACCAAGCCCTGATAGTGGCAAGCCATGTACGCCATGCATGAGGCTTTTGAACTTGTAGTAAATCCACAGAATTGCTGCCTTGGGGACCACCCTCCCCAGTGCGGATCGCTGGGTCATTCTTCACTCCCTCTGCCTCTAATATTTTCTGCGTAAGAGGAATCCGCCTCAATCGATTCGCCACAAGGCTGAAAGGTTCATCTTGACAAATCAATGTTGGACCAGGTCATGATATAACCTGTCTCATGCCACTTGTTGATACCACCGATTGACGCCTGAGAAAAGAAAAAGGCATCCTTACGAGCCAGACCTTGATTGCATACTTTCAAGTCGCACGGCCTCTACATAGCCCTCTACAAGTGCTTTGTCTGAAGGATCTCAGCTTTGGGCCCCGTTTTCCACTGCACGACAAGCATCTCCTACCCTCAAAAGGTAATAGGATCGACGCCCGAGCAGCAGAGTGCCCAAATAGTGAGCTATCAGCTGGGGAGCTTGTGCCATAATCCGCCACCCAAACTCCCTCTTTTCTCTCTTTTTTTTTTCTTTTTTTTTCTTTTTTTTTTCCTTTCCCCCCTTTTAACCCACAACTCGCCGAGGCCCTTGCACGCTGCCAGACCCACTCAGTATACTCTTGCACCATCGAACGCTCCAGAGTCTAGCTTCTCCAATCGGTTTGCTTGCATAAACCCGTCTCAATCTTTAGCCGCCTCTGAGGCGTTGGTGCAATCTCCTGATCAGACCCAAATCTCATCAGCCACACTTTGTGCTCGGTCTTTCTGAGTGGAAGCCCAAGCCTCTAATCCGCCACTTCTCGAAGGTCCCTGGGGCTGCTCTCTTTTTTTTCTCTGTTGCCTTCTCCAACCCTCTCCACAGGCGGTGTTACTATAATATCGGGTTTGGCAGGCCGCTTTAGCATTGTGGCCACTCGACTCGCCGTTTGATTTCCTTTTAAACTCTGGGAAGCAGGCGTGTGTCTTTTGCCTTCTCTAGCCCCATATTAACCCCTCCCGGCTTTGAGATCCATTGGGCTGTTCAGGGCCAATTGTGTCACTCCTGCCCCTCCGTTCTTTCCCTGCGCAATATTGAACTAGCAGCTTAGACCTGCTTTATCAAGATTTCCCAGCGGTCTTAACGTGACCAACGATAGGTCGGGATCATTTAACCCACAGCATCAAGGTATGTACTGTTCCAGTTTATATTCGTGTTCTCCTACAATGCCCTATCCCCTTGCCCTATGAAGCCAGTGCGAGCCGGAGACCCCAGCCCTATTAAAGGGCTTAGCTTTCAGGCCCGGGAATACCGCCGGGACTAGCTGCACTCGCTTTTTGGCTTCCATTTTTCCGACCCTGAGCTTTTCCCTCAGAACGTGGTCTTTGCACTTCCAAGAGGAATTGGCAGCTCCACCCATCCTCCTGACCCCGTTCTGTTTTATCCTCCTTCCTTGTTTACATGCCTTCCTGCTTAGCTTTCTCCCCCTTCCAGTGTGATGGGGCACACGGTGGCTTCCTCAGAGGGTCGGACCTATCCTGCTCAAGCTTGGTCGATGTGCCCAATCCCACGATCCAATGTGTTTTTTCCCTTCTTTTCTCCCCTTTCCACCACTTGGCGTCCACTCCTTTCTCAGTGTGTCTTTTTTACATCCACTGGGCGTAGTATCATCGAGAATTTTCGGGCTGGCGCGTCTTGATCTACACTGGCTATGCCGTTTTGCCACACCCCACATCAGACGGTCGTTCTTATGATCTAATGAATGGTCATTGGTACTCATATAAGACTTCTAGGGTTTTCCAAGTGCCGACTTATTCGCGGTTCGATTTCAAAATTTGTCTCAACTTTGGGTGCAGCTTGATTTGACGACGCCAACTTCAATCGGGGAGACAGATCTGTGTGATCTGACCTCGACAGTGTTGGAGAAAAGGGTTTGTATTGTCCCCTCCCCATTTAACTTGTTATTGCCCACTAGAACATTTTCCAATTGACCGTTCGAATAGGAACGGTGTCATAATTTCAATTTTTCTGTCTGCGCCAACACACGACCGGCCCCCATGGGCGATGTTCCTCCAGACAAGGTCAAATCACCCCCCGCGGCTGAACAAACAACCTCGAAACCGAATCCTCCTGCCTCTGGATCACAAGGAAATGGTAAGTTGAAAGGTGCGACCCTGGCGTCGATATAGGATCGCGCAAGCAACCGATCCTCCCCCCCCCCGGACAAGTGCTTGGCTGATTTACCACTTCTCATAGGGAACGGCGGCACTATCAGTGGCCATTCGCGATCAACTCTGGTCAATCAGCCCCCGGCATCAGGACCAGGATACACCGCGCATGGAAGATACGGGCCCCCCTCGTCCTTAAATATGGGAAACATGGCCTACTCCCTACCCGGTCACCATTCTCAATCGTCGCCGTTTGAGCCGCATCTTGTACACCAATACAATTCATCCCCGCACGCGCAAGCAATGATGTACTCTATTCAGTCCATGGGTCATTATCCTGGGGCACCTGGCGGTGGCGTTCCTTACGGTATTCCCTATGCCCCAGCATATGCACATTACCCAGCACATCAACTTGGACCAGCGCAGTATAGTTCTGGCCCTTACTATGGTGGACATTCGCCAATGCATAACGTGGGGACTAACCAGGGGCATGTATATGCAGGCAGTTATTACGCACATACATATCCTGGGACTTATGGACCACCGCAAACGGGCCCCATGCCACAGAATCGAACACAATCGCGCCCGGCATCGAAAGAATACCCCAAGGCAAACTTTAATATACCAAAAAAGGAAACTGAGCGGCGAGGAGATGCGGAGTATGATGTTACGAAGACGATAGTGGACGGCTCCAATCCGTCTAGATTGACATCGGAGCCGTCTTCTGCGATTGGTATGTTGAGGCCACCTTTTTTGCTCTTTCCCCCAATTGCCCTCTGAAGTCATACTATTCATAGAAGTCTATCACTAACTTGATTACGCTCGAAGAGGTTGGATCTCTGCCACCGACTTCGGTCCCTAGCACACCGCGAGGACCTCCAAGGAAGCCGAAACAGTCCGGACACGCACTTTGGGTTGGGAACCTTCCACCGGGGGCGAATGTGCTCGACCTCAAGGATCACTTCTCCCGGGAGGCGACGGACGATATCGAAAGCGTGTTTCTGATATCTAAAAGCAATTGTGCATTTGTGAATTATAAGACTGCCGCTGCTTGTGCTGCGGCGCTGACGAGATTCCACGACTCTCGCTTCCACGGCGTTCGGCTTGTATGTCGATTACGCAAAGGGTTTACTGTCCCTGGATCTGGATCCACGATGGCTGCTACTACTGCTCGCCACCGCATGGAAGAAGCAGAACCTTCTGGAGAGGAGTCTAGGGGGGTGGATTCATCAACCACTCGACCGGAGGAAGCCAGTGGACATTCTGCGGATCGGTACTTTATTGTGAAAAGTTTAACGGTCGAGGATTTGGAACTCAGCAAACAGAGTGGCATTTGGGCCACCCAAAGTCACAACGAAGTGAATCTGAACCGTGCTTTTGAGGTGAGTTATGATGAAACCTTGCGTTTTAGCTGCTGACATCCTAGCTAATACCCGCTTCAGACAACTGACAATGTATATTTGATCTTCTCTGCAAACAAGTCTGGAGAATACTTTGGATACGCTCGTATGCTGTCCCCGATTACTGACGATGAGGATCTTACGCTTCAAGTCCCTCCACGCCCAGAACCTACCCTCGCAGGTAACGACGATCTCGAAATGACGCCGACCGCCGCAACCGCCACCGCTCCTCGAGGCCGAATCATCGACGATTCTGCGCGCGGTACCATCTTCTGGGAGGTGGAATCTTCGGAGGGAGAGAACGACGAGGTCCGCAGCGAGAAAAGTGTGGAGGCACCCGACGATTCCGAAATCGAGCCTCAGTCATTTGGCAAACCGTTCAGAATCGAATGGCAATCGACCGAGAGAGTACCTTTCCACCGCACACGGGGTCTCCGGAACCCGTGGAATGCCAATCGCGAGGTGAAGATCGCTCGCGATGGCACCGAGATCGAACCGACCGTTGGCCGAAAATTAGTACAGCTGTTCCACCAGAGTTGAATACAGGATGCCAGGCCTTAGTCCTCAACGGAACACCCTTGCTATAGTGGCTTCATATTCGTTGCTCCCTGATTTGGTCGCGTGCTTAGGCCTCAGGCGGGGAAGTGGAATTTCCCCCTCCCAGCGGGAATGCAGGGGCTCGGCCTTGTTGCACGAATCACCAAGCAGGGGACCTCGAGCATGAGCACATAAGGCGGGCCTTGGCTATTTGGAGCGAGCTGTTCCTCACGCGGAATGATTCTGGGGTGTGTCAATCATTATGGGAAACGAGTAATATTCATGTACGTACGTTCTTTCATCTTTTTTCTTCCTCTGGCGCTCTTTTACTTTACTTTTTTTTTCAAAACACACCCGCCATCATACAAGCGGGTGTGAGTTTCTTTTCTCCGAGGCAACGAATTTTTCTTTCCCCCCTTTTTCCTTATGACTTGGTTCTAGGGTTGTCTTGTCCTGGCGGGTTGGGAAGATGGCTATTCGTGGGATGTATATTGTAGGAGTTTGGCGGGGTTCAGAGGGGTCAAGATGTGTATAATTTACTGGGATGCTACAAGGCCTGGCAAATACTGGTACTCCGTACATATAGGAATATAAAACTTGGGCCACCGGCGTGGCCATGGATCTAGATGATCTTCAGTGATCTTCCATTTCGTCTCTTCTCGTTCGCTCTCCTCCACTTTCGGCTGCCAAAAACGGCCCACGGTCAAACCCTCCATTGCCAGTCCCACCAATCACCGCGGCGGACTGCATCATCAGCATCATCACTCGCTCCACTCGCACCAGAATCGCCGTATTGGGTGGCGCTACCCCAGATATTCTGAGCTTAGCTCGTAAGCTCCTATTGTGGTGCCACTTTTGTTTCCCCCTTCTGATCCCCCCCCCTCTTCCAATTCATCTTCTCCTTCACCTTGATCCTACCCTGCATCACAACCCCGCTTCTTTTCCCTTTCGCATAAGTACTACATCTTGAAACCTTCCCCCGCCTCACAAGCGAACTAGGGCTTTTCCCTCGCGGCTTATCTTTTTCTTTCATTCGGCTCCAGGGCATGAGAAGGGCGGCGAGTCCGTCCACTATCCTTCTGACCTCACCTGGAACGCTCCTGGCCTGCTAAATCCTCCATATTCTCCATTCCCATCATGTCTAACGATCGTACGACCTCCCCCCATCACTGTCCCGGCGTCCGAAACCCGCCCTCGCCCGGGTTCTATCGCATCCGGTCTCCCGTTCAACGACCTCTTCTCTAGACAGAACAGCCAAGCAGCAGCTCGGGATGTCGCCAATGCCCAAGCCTCCCAGAGACGGTTGTCAGTGACCACTCTGGGCCTATCCGGCTCCCCCACCCAAGGGGCAAGCTTCGCCAACTCCCCCTTTCCGGCGAGGCAGCCTGTCTAGTTCATGGAGTTCGAGTGCGAACCCCGAGGAGGCAATCGCCGAGGATGACGGCCCCTCCCCCCAGCTCGCCCTTTGCCCGCCGCGTGTCCTTCGGCGCGAACGCCCTTCGGGAGGCTCGCGCCAGCAGCATAGGAAATGGTAGATTCCCCCCCTGCTCAACCCGTGGGCGTGCAGCAGCGCTCTCCATCGTCCGCTGCTCCTGCCCGCTCCCCTGCAAGTACCGTCAATTCTACCCAGGATGATAAATCTAACGCTTCCCGCCGACTAGGCGAAGGCTTTAATTGGTCCGAGGCTCTACGCTCCCGCGCCGAGCGCGCCCCGTCCATCGGCGGTCCGATCTCCCCTCCGCTAATCGCGCTCCGCATCACCAACGTGCTACCTCCATTGCGTCGATGGAATCCCCGGGCCGCGAAATACCGAGACAGCCCAAGTACAATAAGCCCGACTTCTTCCAGGAGAAGATCTTGCGTGGCGACTTTATGGACTGAGAAGCTCTGGACTTCCGTCAATCTCGCATCCCCTTGACGTCACCTGGGGCTCTTTTCCACTCCTTTCTTATCTTATTTGTCTTTTTCACTAGCCCCTTACTTCATGGTGTCTTCATATTCGTGCATACTTTCGCAACATGTGTTTTTACTTTCGCCCCGAGGGAGCTGATCAGGAATCAGGAACTTCGTTTTGTGTGTGCTTGCCCCCTCGTCCCCTTTTCTTTTTGGCTTTTCATCATGCTACATGTAGTAGGAGCAAGAACGAAAGTGTGAATTGATTTCCGGCTCTGCTAGGAAAATTGGGACTGTCTAACCGGTACTTTGGGCCGCCTGCTATTTATATGATCTTTTTCTTCTCTGTTTTGGCGATATGACGGTTTTATTCTTGGATCATACTCTGGTAACATGTTTGGGATTATAGTCGGATATTGGACCCAAATTGACATATATTTTCTTTTTGCAATATTTGGCATCAATTGACCCTAACCTAACTCTCCGGCCCTCCTATCTAGCACGAGATGACAAAGAGGCGTACGTCCACATGCTGATACTCTGTTTTCTCCGTTGCTTGTGATGGGGGGGTTTTTTTGTGCCTATTCCTGCGATCTAGACAACGGACGGGCCTTCTCCAGTCGCGTTCTCCGCGTGCTCTTGCACCGGTTCCTCCGCCTGCTTCCTACCGGCCGTGGATTCTTCATCGCGGTTGTACTTCTCCGCCACTTGTCGGTCTCTCAATTGACTCGTAGACAACCGATGCTCCGGCGCCGGTGGCTTCCAATTGGCACTTTTCCATGGCTTCACTCGCATCACATACATCATATCCATCTCCTCCAGCGTCTTATCCTTACCCTCAATAACAAAGAAGAACACCACCAATACCGCCACGAGCAGACAGCCAGCAAATACATACCCATACGCAAAGTCGATATCGCCCGTGATGAACGGCGTGAAGAATCCAAGTAGGAAATTCCAGAGCCAATTCGACGCCGTCGCCATAGCCATCGCTCGCGCCCGATACCGTGACGGGTATAGCTCCGCCACGATCGCCCACACCATCGGGCCCCAGGTCATCGCAAACCCTACGATGAACAGGCACGCGAAAAACAACCATTGCGGTCCCCGCGCCGGGCGTGTTCCGTGGGTTCTTCAGGTCAAGCACGAAGTGGCCCACGGACGCAAAAATCAGGAAGCACACGAACATCCAGAGCCCACCCGCGATCAGCGAGGGCCGGCGGCCATAATGTTCGATGATATACAGTCCGCCGAACGTGGCGCCGAAGTTCACGCCACCCAGGATCATCTGCGTTACGAAGACGTTGCTGATACCGGCTCCGTTGAACACCGTGGCGCCCTATTGCCAGCCATTAGTAAATTTTTCTTTTTTTTAACCTCCTTTTCCGCCATTTGAGTAGGGCGGGTGCTGGGTCTACTTGCATAGTAGAAGAAGTAGTTGGCACCCGTCAGCTGCTGCAGGGCCTGCAGCAGCACCCCCAGCACAATCCGGTACGGCATCCGCGGCGCCTCGAACATCTCGATCCATCCGCGCCAGCCCGTTTCCGAGCCCTGCTCGGCTTCCATCTGGTCCTGGATCTCGAGCACCTCGTGGACGATCACGCGGTGGTTCTCGGGGACGCCGTAGATCCTGGCCATGGTGCTTTTCGCCTCCTCTACGCGGCCGTGTCGGTAGTTGTAGCGCGGGCTTTCGGGGGAGAGCAGGATGCCCAGCCCGAGCACAAGGGCCCAGAAGAAGGTGATCCCGAGTGGGATTCGCCAGGAGGCGGTGTTGGTCATACTCTCTGTGCCAAAGTTGATGCAGTAGGCGACGAAGATGCCCAGTGTGACGAAGAGTTGGTAGGAACTATATCTCTTTGGTTATTTCCCCGGGAAGGGGGGGGGGAGGACTAGGGTTCCCCAAAACGGGGTTTTCTGGAGCGTGAGGCTCACCATACCATGGCACCGCGAATATGGCGCGGTGCTATCTCGCCTTGATACATGGGGACGAGCAGCGATAACGAGCCCACTCCGAAGCCGGTCACGAAGCGGCCCATCATCATCTGGTACCATTTCCCCGTCGGGGAGGCGATTTGGATGAGGAGACCGATGTGCAGGATAATGCACCATGAGAAAATGGACCATTTACGTCCGATGCGATCAGAGAGGGGCCCTGCTAGGAGCGATCCTATAAGAGTCCCGATAGAAAGCTTGTGAAATGAACTTGGAGACTCGAGAATGAAGATTGGAGGGAAGAGGGAGGTTGATTGGGGAATTGGTACTCACCATGGAGACGATCAACCCCGATCGAACGTTACTGAACTTGTATTCTCCCCCGCCCTTGTACTGGGCATACCGCATTTTGTAGTTTCTCATTTCCAGAAATCCTGAGATTTGGCCGGTGTCGTAGCCGAAGATAATCCCGCCTATCGATACAAAGGCTCCCAGGGCCAGGGACCGCCATGTTACCCATGGTATACGAGACTCGTCGAGTTCGTTCTCTCGCCGCTGGGGATCCGGTTTCTCGTCAGGTGGAGGGACGAGCTCGAAGTCGTCGACCCATTCCGGGGGCAGGTCTGTCAGAGGAGGGTAGTCGGTGAATTGCCTGGAGGCACCATTCTTTACCTTAATTTTCATGCTGGGCCTATGAGCCTATGAGTCAGCGTGGTGAGTGTTGGGGCTTGATGCACGACTAGAGCGGTATTGTCACGAATATCGATCTCAGTCTACCCTTCGACCTGGGGGCCCCGGTGTTCAAACGAAGTGGCGAGCTCGGTCTATAGGGAATCGATGTGCACTAGAAAAGCTGTGTAGCAGGTATGCCTCGTAGCTTTTGCTAACGGGATAGGGGCGAGCCTGTCTTGCTCACTTTATATGGCCTCTTCAGTGGCTCTCCTTCTACGGTGGCTCTAATGATAGCTTGCCACTGCCACTGCGGTTATTTGCATGGTCAAGTCACAATATGCTATTGAAGCAAGTGATACTAATAGTATTCTTTGCTGGCACTTTATACACCATAGAGAACTTTCATGAGGTGTTGTTTATTTATTTATATTTATTTTCCTGTAGTAAACACAGCGGAACAATAGGCTTTGTTCGCGATGCTACCCTCAACAGGCACATGTATTTGCGGCCAATAAGGTTACGGCTATCGCTCGAAAGGTACCAGCAGTTGCCCCTTCATGGGCTGTGCCACAAATGGTAATTCTATCGTCATGTGTTCGATATGACGGAAAGCGTGGCGCATCACGAAGTCGTGACGTCAATTGGCGGTATACTATCTTCGCCATCGAGAATGCTGACTTTGGCAACAACAGAACAAGCAGTTGATATTGAGGAGAGGGTAGAAACTAGTCTAGAAGGGTTTCAACTTCCCATATTAGAAAAGACCCGCTGGATAGAGATATGCTAATGTGGGTTAGGTCAAAATTCTGGGCAAGGACTTGGGGTGTTACTTTCAACTGTCCCTTCGGAGACCCGACTTAAGAGCCATAGTTTAGTTATCTCTATAATATCGAAGATAGGGATAAGCCCAGAGCAACATCGGGATCTACTATAGCAGAGAAAGCTTGGAAGCTTGGAAGCTTGAATGCATATTGACAGAGTGACCGAGAGGATTAGGAGGCTCTTCTCCACTCGCTCCACTTTGAACACCTTCCGAACTGCCGGCCTTTATCCCTTCCATTATTCTACAGCAAAAGACTATTTACTACAGGTGCCGTGTGAAGCAGGCACTGTTCTGGGGCGCTGCCTTCTTGACCACGGCCACCTCAATCTGGTAAGGGTGAAGAAGAAAGAAAGAATGAAACAGTAGATAGCTGGAGAAAGTTCGATGACAGATCCTGGGGCAGCCTGCTTTAGGACAGCTATAAAGATTGAAAATACGGAGCCTGACTCCTGTGCATTCCTATATATCAGGCACATGGGTGGAAAGAGCATACGAATCCTTGTGTTGCGAGATGGGAGCCGACTGTACCCATCGACAATAATCTTGGTCGCTCGATCAAGCACGAGAGTGAAGACAACTGCAATAATATTGACAATTTTGACGATTTTACGACTGAGTCATGACTGACGTGCATTGTCCCAGAGATGGCTTGAGGCACGGTGTGAATAGCAAGTAAATCTGGATGGTCCGATGATGCTCATATAACAATCTATGGGGTATCTAACACACACATCAAAGCCTGCTAAATGCAAAAAATGCGAACTGATGAGGACACTAAAACCATTACAAGTGGATCATGCTTATATCCTTCTTGGCAGTCTGCTGATCAATAACAGTGCCTGGCAGCCTAGTAACGACCGGGAGCTGGAGGTTGAGCGTAGGGCGGCGTGTGTCCATAAGCGTACGAGGGGGCTAGCCCATTGCCCCACTGCTGTTGCTGCTGTGGAGGCCATGGTTGTTGTGGCACTTCAGTCCAGTCATGGCTGCCAGGATCCTCCATTGGCATGAGAGGGGTATCATATGCCGCCTTGGTCTTGCGGAAATACCAGAAGTTAGACACAAACATGATGACCAGCATCAGTACCACATCCAGGGCGTAGGTGGGCCATTCGTGTCTTGAAAGGTATGCGTTGGTGCCAGTGGCGTATTCAATCAGGCGGTAAACGTTCCGCACCGTGATCAACAAGCTGCAGAGATAGATGTTCCATAGTCGCTTGGTCAAGTTGACCGTTGGGTCGATAAGCTTGGCGACCCCGCGAGCATTGTATCGACGGTGGAAAACAATAGCCACAAGGGCGAAGATGGCGAAGAAGAACACCTGGAGGCCCAGGCCAGCGAGGATGATTCCCTTCGCCAGGTTCAGCTTGGACTGGGTTTTGGCTTGGAGGAGGACGACGACCCCTACAGCCTGGACAAAAAAGCAGAAGATATCGCCGGTGACGAAGATGGGCGTCACCCAGCCGATGCGAATGAAAGAGAGCTCTGGGCGACCGGACCTACGGATCAGACGGCCCAGGAACATGTAGACTGAGGCTGCGAACAGGATAGGAGCCAGGAGAATCAAGATAGTCTGGATTTCATAGGGTGTTTTCTTGTCAAGATGTTTGGTGGAATACGCACGCGCAAGCAAGCCGACGAACTCAACTAAAAAAGACGATGGCAGTGAGCTTGGGGATCTCCGATGAATGATAGACTTGCGAGGGCTAGGCACTTACATCCTGCTGCGACAAGAATCACGAGACCAAACCATTGCCGGGTGGCTATGATTCTCCATATCTGGATCACGGCGCCAATGACGAATAGAGCCGCGACGACGAGCGCTGCTGCAATGGAAGGGGAATAGTAGTTGTAATAGGGATTTGAGGGATCTACTGTCGCAGTCATTATGATGAGACAACTGGTGGGAGGACGTTAGGAATGCAAAGAATCCCAGTGCGAGAGCAAATGTGTAGACTTTAAATAACTGACAGCTTGTTTCATATTGAAGCTAATACCAGCTTGAGCCCGAGAAAGCCACGCCGTGCACAGCCCTACTCCTGTGGACGTGTGGAACACCTGATCCACCATCAAATACGGTATGTACGACCTCCCAGAGCCCCAAGCGAATGGATCAGGGTGAGCCAATTTACATTTTTGAGTGGCTGAGCCCTGTCAGTGGGGCCAGGCCGATGGACAGGAGAACTGGGATGCGAAGAATACTAAATACGGAGTACCCACGCTATAAAGAAGCATAAGCCTCAATCCCGCCATGTCAGGGGAAAGGCTAAGCTCTTCCAGGTAACCAGGGCGGCGTGATCGTGCTAATGGCACGTCCAAAGTGGAGTTTCGGTTTAGGCAGCCTGATTCGATCCCATGGGGGCCAAGTTGAAGAGGGATCATTCATGTCCCTTCCAGTAGACCCTTGTCCATTTCATCTGGATTCGCCAAGAATCTTCCTATGGGAAATGTCGTTTTTGGCCCCAACGTTCTGCTGACTTACTGTTTTATCTGTGTTGATCTGTTACTGGCCCCACTGCGAGTTGACTAGGATTTCACGTTAAAATGTTTAAGCATGAATAGAGGTCTCTTGGGGCTCATCTGCTGGATGACATGCCCACGTAAAGACGGAAAATATCATTCTCTTATCGAGCTCTCATATATCCCGATCTCGCACGGCCTCTGAAGCTGATATAGCTTTGGACATTTTGATTACCTCGATTCTCCATATCTTACGCCGAGATTCCGAGATTGCGAGCTGCCGGCATTTCTTGAGATGGGAGATTTGACCGAAAATCATAAGATATGAAGCGTTGCTGATAATCGATGATTGGTCACCTGGAACTAAGCTAATACCAACTATATTACAGGTAAGTCGGGGCCTATTCTTCGTGGCACTTGGCCAACCAGGATAACGGACGTCCTTTCGTGGTATGTGCCTCAAGATGGATCCAATAAGGCGGATGAAGCCCCGGGAGATGGGTCGCGGCCCCGGGGGCTAAACAATGGAATAGAAATCTAGCCCCCTTCAACAGTCTCACGTCGAGACTTTCAACTGTTGTGGCGATCCTTTACCTAATGATCGACGTTCTGAAGTGACTCAAATGAATTAGCTCGTTGGAGCCCTTGCCAATCACCAGCAGTCGCGTGAGCATGTCGGAGATTGGCGATACTAGGCTCTGGCCTTATAGACGTTATAAATGACCAGCTCACGGGCCTGATCAAGGTTGAGCTGAGTTGAGCTGCCTCACAGAAGAGTAGATATCTTGTTGACAACTTTTGAATGGTTGACCCGGGGACGAGAAGGCGTGGTCGCGGAGGGTCTGTCCACTCCAGCTCCACTCCAACCGATCTGCCAAACCGGAACAGTTAGAAATCTCAGCCAGCCACTGGGAGTATCCGAAACATCAAAGCATCTGGAGAGGGACTTCATTGACGTGGTTCGTGTTTGAAGCTACCAAGAGATAAAGTTTCAGGGGCCAGCGTCAGGGCGGGAGGAGCTCTGGTACTAAGAGGGACCCGCAGTGTCTCTCAGATCTGTGCAGATTTAATTTGGTCATTGTGCGATCATTCAAGGCAGGCTGAGCCAGGAAGATGCCCCGAGCACATTTTCCCTTCTACAGGAAGCGAAAATTGCAGGAGGCGCAAGATCGAAGTGAGATCCAAATATATTTCCTGGCATCGTGCCTAGAGGGATGAAAGCTGCGCATCTTGTGCCATCCAGGCACGATACCCGAAAGTGTGGCCGCCACTTCCCAGGAAAGCACTTGAGCAAGCCAAACCGAGACACATCAGTCGAGCCCCCAATCAGCGGCCACGTAACCATCGACGTTGCTACTATTATCGAAGTGCACTTGAAGTGGTATATTACTTCAAACTCTTAGTTTGAGCGGGTGGCTCACGCCCAATTCGGAGGTATATACGAGTATTTGAGTTATTTGAGCGGTTAATGGTCGTCTTGCCAACTTGGATTGTTACCTTTCAAATCCGTATATACACTTCGCAGCCCTGTATACATGCAAGCCAAACCACTATATATACTATTTCTGGAGCAGCATGATATGCAGAGCCCCCTAAGTGCCCGATTATAACCACCGCAGACGCTTCGCGAGGTAACTACCGCCACCGACCAGCCCTGATACCCCAGTGAAAACGATCAGAGTCCCATACCCACTTCCGTATCCATACGAAACAGACCCCTCCCACGGAAGGCCCTTTACAAGGGCTTCACTCAGTGGCCCCGACACGACATTCCCGACGCCCCGCCCAGCCGCAAGGCATGCAAAAACGACACTTGATTCCGCAGAGGGGCTTTTCTGGACCACGTCGCGCATGATACCAGGCCAGGTGCTCGTATACGACCCAGCGAAGAGCCCATACACAACAGAGAAAACATAAAGAGGGGCGAGAGAGAGGGAGAATCCCCAGATGAGGAAGACGCCGATCGTAGATCCAACGGTGGAGATAAGAATGCAGGTCGTCACATGGAATTTGTCGACGATGGCGCCCATCAGCACGCAGCCGCCTACGGAAGCCACGTTGAACAAGATTACGGTTAGCGCTTGCAGACTGCTTGATGCGCCGAGCATCTCGGCGTAAGTCGGGAGATAGAGGGATGGCAAGAAGAACCCTAGAGCCTCTACGATGTTGCACACCTGGAAGAGGGCGAAGGTGGACGTGAAAAGGAACCTTAGATTCGGAGGCGCAGGGCTGGGCCGGCTGTGGGTCACGGGCCCGCGAGGTTTGACGAAGTAGACCAACGGCGCGGTGAAAAGGAATAGCGCGATCGCGAAGGCTCGCAGTGCTGTCCGGAAACCGTATTTGTCAAGCAGTTGTTGCATGCAGATGGGAAGAATGACGCCGCCGAGGCCCGTGCCAGCCCACATCACGCCAAAGGCAAGACCTTTGCGTCTGTCGAACCATTCTTCCATGAGGAGGATGCATGGGGAATAGGCGATACTGCCACCGATCGCGTAGAAGATGCCCTGCGTGAGGATGAGATGGGTGACATTCTGAGAGAGAGAGCTCAGGCCGAGAGCGAGACACATCAGGAGCACACCTGCGGCGCAGCCGATGCGTTGATACTTTGGCCATTGTCGATAGGCGGCAAAGACCAGAGGCAGGTCCAGGTACATGATGCCCTGGGCAGGGGTCAGCGGCTGACTGGGAAATAAGCATGAAGCTTGCTCGTTAGTCTTACCATTGCGCAAGTTCCCACAATCGCGATATTTCCAGAATCCCTGAACTCCTCCATACGGCTGTAATATTCTTGGAAAATGCCATAGGTGAAGGCGAATCCCCAGACCAGAGCCTCCATGACAAAACAGGCGGCCAGAAACAGCCACGCATTGATCCCGCCGTCGATGGGAGGGAGATTTGCGTTGGCACCATTGGGGCTCGACGGGGTAGAATGTGGATTCGGAGTGTGCACGCCCTTTTCGCGCTCATTCGAGAAGTGCAGACTGTCAGGTTGCTCCATCAGAAGGTAGGGCAAGACACCTAGTGAGGTCAAGGCAAATTTTTCTTTGAAGAAAGATGTCGAGGAGAGCGACAAGAAGCATGATCGGCCTTGAGCGTTTTGGACCACCGTAGAAAGTGTCAGTCAAGGGCGTGCAACAGGCCCACAGGGTGCGGAGCCTCATGGGTCGAGTTACTTGGAGACGTCCTGTCTGATTGGTGATGAGGGGATGGGAGTGGGGAATCCCGTTGGGTGACGGGGAATCTTCATCCAATTGTCTGGCATAGACGAGTGTTAGTTGCAAGTAGGGCCTTCACTAGTCAAAATGCTACTAGTACGAGTGCTGGTATACCCATATGGTGGCAGCGGGAGAACCGGTGAAGGTCGTGACTAGTTGCTAACAATATATCCGATCATAAACTCTACAGTGACAGAAGGCGGGAAATTCGTATCATACCGGGCCATGCAAAGTCGGGAGTCTAAGGAGACGAGTCTGCTATCTTCTCGGTCCATGGATAGGATGTGTTGGGCATATGAGCTCTGCGACATACAACCAGGCGACCAACTCGAAATATCCTATCTATGCACCATGTCAGAACTAGAAAAGCTTCGATGACCGATATCATACCGAGCGGCCGCGTCGGGGAAAAGGCCTCCGCTTATAGTTAGCAAGCTCCATTGGCCAGATCGTCGGCAAACGGCTGAGCACGGACGAAGCGAATTACAATCGAATGATCAATTCTAGGGTTGACGGCGTCCTGGGGGTCGGGTAAGACGGAGTTACGGGAGCTTGGGGGGGCCTGCATTTGGCCAGAACCGCCTACAGATAAGCAACACATAGCTAAGCCGTAGGCTAAGGCCCGCCATCCCCACCCGCCTCCAGAGAGTCGCCTAGGGTCTCGCGAGATACGGCTAGAGTATAGGGTGCTCGGAGGGGAAGAGCGGGGTCACAGCATCCACTCTGGCCTCCCCTCCAACACCCCCCGGCGAGCGAGTGGGGACGCTGCGCCTTCAGAGACCGAAGGGAGTTGGAATTACAATTGGCTCGGAATGGACGGGTCAGGCACCCCGCAGGGAAGAGCTCCCACCCCCCCTAAATATATATATATCAGAGATATGAATGCTAGCGACCTGGGCGATCCAACATTTTTCTCATACACCTCACCATGTCGGCGCCATTGGATGCAACAAAGCTGCGCGTGACCCGAACCCAGAACCCGTCGGAGCCGGCGAATCCAGAGATTCTTGCATTTGGCAATGTCTTCACTGGTATGAAGTACCCCGTCCGAGCGGAGAGGTGGTGAGCGGAAGCTGATGACTTGCTAAATGAATAGACCATATGCTGCAGGTGGAATGGACTGCGGCGCATGGGTGGCATGAACCCGAGATTGTCCCCTATGGAAAGCTCAATATCGACCCCTCTGCGGGGGCGCTGAATTATGCCGTAGAGTGCTTCGAAGGAATGAAGGCATACAGGGATGCCCAGGGTATGGCGCGACTCTTCAGGCCGGAGGTTAACATTGCTCGGTTCAATCGATCAGCAGCTCGCGTGGCACTGCCTCGTTCGACCCCGCTGCGTTCCAGACGCTTCTGAACAAATTCGTGGAAGTGGAATCTCGACACATCCCTGCGTAAGTAGTCTGCGACTTTGGCATCCCACACGAGTGGCCCCTGTTCTCGGGTAGTATGCGTCACGGAACAGGCGATCTCACAAATGATATATCGATAGTCCGCGTGGATACGCCCTTTATCTACGCCCAGCCCTGATTGGAACGAATCCGGGACTGAGCGTCTCTCCGCCTACCTCTGCACTTCTCTAGGTCATTGCATCTCCCGTCGGCTCCTACTATAAGAAAGGCGTGAAAGCGCTTACGCTAGAAGCGACACCTAGCTCGGATTGGGTACGTGCGTGGCCGGGAGGAAGCGGAAGCTACAAGGTCGGGGCGAACTATGGACCGTGCATGATGGCGGAGGTCGAGGTTAAGAAGCGCGGGTCAGACCAAGTCCTGTGGCTGTTCGGAGATGACCAGCTCGTGACTGAAGCTGGCACAATGAATCTGTTCATTGTTCTCCGAAGGCCGGACCTGGGAGGACGTCGCGAACTTCTGACGCCGCCATTAGATGGGACCATTCTGCCCGGGGTCAACCGGGACTGTGTGCTGCAGTTGGCGCGTGAAAAGCTAGAGGGCCCAGATTTTGTCGTCCAAGAGCGGAGTATCACAATGAAAGAGCTGGCGGCTGCTGGCCAGGCTGGTAATGTAGAGGAGGTCTTTGGCGCGGGGACCGCTGCGATTGTCTGTCCGATTGGGTCCATTCGCTGGGCAGGGCAAACTATCGACTGCGGCCTATCCCCTGAACGTAAGATTGGTGAAGTGGCCGGGAAAATGAAGGATTGGATCGAAGCTCGACAGTATGGAGAAGATGAGCATGAGTGGAGTGTGGTGGTTTGTCCAGCCGCCTAAGCCTCAGCTGACATCTTCGAAGTTGGCCTTTGTTTCGATCACCCTGTTCTCGATATTAGAAACGCTTCTTTATTTGAACTACAGAACAAGAAGGTTCTGCGAGGGGCTTTGGGATCACTCTAAACAATGTTTGGCAATATCACACTGGACGTTGGTATACACCTATATTCCAGCTCTGAAGCAATGGTCTCGGGAGTCTCGTAACTGGGTATGGATTCCAATGTCTTCTTGCCGCGCACTGCTCCACCAAAGTACCGGAACGTAGGCGCAGGCTTAATCGAACTGGGTCCGTACTAGAAGTAGGGCCCCCGCGAGGCCCGCCGGGTTGGAGTGGCCTGGAGGGATCTACCAAATTGGGAGAACAAGCCAGATCACACAGCTCCAGTGGGCTTGTCCAGTGATTGCTTCTGAGACTTTGATCTTATTCGCTGGGCGGCCCCCCCCCCGCCTTGCGTATAATTATGTTGGCAAACAAAGCGTTTTGCCGTGAACTAAGTAACATGGATGCTTTCAAAACATACATAGTACGAGCACTGCTATTTGGTTCACTTTGGAACTGCTGATAGGCCCCTAACTGTCGAGCAACATGCTATAGTCCGACATAGTAACCAAAAGGGCACCGAAAATGAGTGCTCGACTTGCCGGTGGTCTTACCGCAAACTTCGGTTTTACGCTTTGTTGAACCACTCACCACTCTCCCAATTGCTCAATTTGTCCTCGCTCATAACGAGAGGGCCACGTATGCGCGATAGGAGCGTATTCAGTCGACCGAAGTTGATCGGTTTCAGAATCCAACCATCAAATCCAGCCTGCAGGTAGTTGTTTTTCTCTTGCTCGACAATGGATGCCGAGGCGGCGAGAATCGGAATTCGTTTGCGTTTGGTGGCGCCATCCGCGGGAGGCGTCGTCACGACTTTGTCTTCAAATTCGCGGATCCTTTTTGCGGCGGTCAATCCGTCCATGATGGGCATCTGTAATGGTGGTGAGCGTCGCGTAGAGCACGAAGTTGGGCGGAAGAAGAGTACGACCGACTCACCTGGATATCCATGAGGACAAGGTCAAAGATTTGTGGGTCCGAGCAAAACGCATCCACGCATGCACCACCGGTTTGAGTTAGTTGAACAGTATGACCAAGGGATTCGAGGCGCTTCTGAAGAATTGTGCTATTGATGGGGTCATCTTCCGCGACAAGGATATGAAGTTTGGCACTCCCAGCTGACTGATTTGAAGGCTCGGTAGAGCCTCCCGTGGATGGCGTGAACAGGCTTGATGCACCCTCCGATGGAGTTGTGGTGGTGTGTGGGTCAGTTGTCGCATAGGACGTGCCCCGGCTCTTGTGCAGATGTGAGGGTAGCAAAGGGTGCCTGGATTTGCTGTGAGAGCTGGACCATTGAGCAGAATTGTCGCTTCTATCCTCCTCAGATTGTGTTTGTGATCGTCCGTCTGCACTGCCGGATACCGGGTCATGAGCAGGCGGCGACTCAGATTTGGGATGTTTGGACTGGTCGGATTCGTCTCCATCACCTGGATTACCTGAAGCATCCATTGTATCAGACATATCAGGAATACTGTCTCCCGCGATAATTTTGCCTGCATCGGTCTCTTCTGTTTTCCGGAACTTCTTTCGAATCTCCGACATGTTGGTATCTTCGTGAGACGACACCTGCACGGTCGGGACAACATCTTCTGACCGGCGAAATTGGAGTAGAATCCGGAACACGCTGCCTTTGCCCTCCTCGGATTTCACAGACAATCGGCCATGCATGTTATGCGCCATTCGGGCAGCTAGAGCTAGCCCAAGGCCGAGAACGCCCTTCTCCGGCTCAACCGTGCGCTTCGCTTTCAAATCCTCTCGATTTTCGATCGAGTTTATATCATCGGATAATTGCTCGAGTTCCCCAAACATGATATCAAGTCGCTCCTCGGAAATGCCCGAACCGGTGTCAGAGACAGCCATTTCCACCGTCACATAGCCTTCAATGGCAGTGTCTGAGATGGAGGGTGAGATCTGGGCACGAACGGAGCCCGAGGATGTATTCTGAATAGCGTTGGAAACGAGGTTGAGGAAAACCTGTCGGACACGACGTTGGTCCCCAATGACAGATATTGGTAGGTCCGGATGCACAGTTGAAGAGTAGGAAAGGCCCTTTCGTTCGGCTTCTCCGGCCAGCATATCAGTAGCTTGCCGGAATGTTGATTTCAGATCAAACGGTTCGTCCTTAATAAGTCGTTTGCTGGCCTCATGGCTAAGGTTGGTGAGATCAAGGAGATCATTAATCACGTAAATAAGTGATTTGGAGGCGGAGTGCGACTTGATCAGAATTTCTCGAGTTGCATCATCGAGGGTCCCCTCTAGGGCAATCTCCAGATAATTGATGACGGCATTGAGCGGTGTCCGGGCCTCGTGTGCTGAGTTGGCCAGGAGGAGACGCGTCAAACGAGAGTCCTTTCCAACGGAATCCTTTTGGTTCCAAACTTGGATGAACTTGCCATAGATGAGACCGAAATTGGTTGCGGTCACGATATCGGCATCGCTCCAGGCACGTGACTGCGTAAGAACGGTCTCGACCCATTCCTTGAAACTTTCGCGGGGCGTCAAGGCCTTTTTGCCCCCTTGCTGCTTCGCCTTCGCATTTTCATGTGGATTGCCAGCCCAGGTGATGGTGGTGAGTTGGCCCCGCCGAAAAAAGACCAGGAACTGATCAGTGCTGGTAGAAAGCGGCACACATAGTAGTCCTGATATATTCTTGAGTTTACGGACCTGAGGAAAATCGGGGAAATCTTTGGCAACATCGTGGGAGGCAATCACCGCGGTCACTTGGCGCCGGCGGAGATAGTCTACTAGAGCTCGTGCCTCCTGCAAGCCGGAATCCATGGACCTGCCACCAAAAAAACTTGGATTCCCCTCCGATTGATAAAGCGCCATAGTCGGCTCCCACGCTTTGCAGCAACTCATCGGACGAGGCGGCGATGTAGCTTGCAGGGTTGGTGTGCTGAGGAATCGCTTCCATCAACTTTCGGGTTTGTAGACTGGTCGCATATGAGATTCTTTCGATACCCCTTGCCACAGTGTCACCAACAAGACGGCACAGCTTTCGCAATGGAAAAGATACCCGCATTCCCCGCTCTCCGTATGAGTGACAAGAGATAAGGCCCCATAGATTTCCAAACGCGTTGATACTGATTGACATCGAGGATCGCACTTTCATGTTGGCCAAATATTGAGTGTGAATGGGTGACATAGCTCGTAAATAAGCGTGGGTCATATCAACGGGAGATTCAAGATCATCCAGGGTTCGACAGACTAAACGGGCTGTTGTGTGGTCTCGATCGTAAAGTAATCGAACCTTGTTGACCTTGTATAGCTCCCGTGCTTGTGAGGGAATATCTGAGGCCGGGAAGTGAAGACCTTTGTAGAGGTCAATTGTGACATCGGGGTCAACTAGTTCCGACACCACTTTGCCGTTCCAGCTACTGTCAAACTGGTAGATGAGAACTCGATGGAAACCAACTAGCTCCTTGACCAAGCCAGCCGTCACTGCAAGCAATGTTTCCTGATCATTGGCCTGACCAAGTTGCTCTTGGATCGGTGTCAACGTGTTGAAGATTTGCATGGCCGCCGCTTCACCCTTCCGTTGTCGTGCATTGCGTATCGACCTGACTGACCTACTAGAGCTCCTCGTGCTCTCGGCAAGCTGTGTGGGCGAGGGAGTGATCCCTAAAGTATCTGTCGAAATCGGCGTTTGGCTCGAAGAGACTGGAGGGTTCTTTTCGTCCTCAACATTCAATGGGTTGATTTCATCATCCTCTAGTTCAAACTCGCAAACAATGATGTCTTTGTTCTCCTGGCTGACGTGGGCAGCACACCAAAACCGGTTGAAGTCACCGTCTGGAGAAGATATGGAAAGTAGGAAAACCTCCGGTCCATCGACATCTATGTCATATGCATCGTCCCGAACATATTCCAAATGCTCTTCGAGCTTAGAAGCTTCTGTTTCCTCTAAAATCTCCGAGAAGCTGTCCAGGTCGAATAATTCATCGGGAGAATAGCCTAATACTTGCTCTGAATTCTCACTAACCACACGCACCACAAACTGATTGGGCGACTCCTCTCTTAAAGCTATCATTACCCCAAAGCTTTGCACTGCGCCGGGCGTACGAATCGGCTCATCCTCACAGCGCTGAAGAGACTTTTTGTCTTTGCCGATCATCACACTGTGCCCTTTTTCGGTCACCAAGTGTTCATGTCGGAAGGTGACATACTTGTCAGGCTCCGCAGAGGCGACTGGGTCTCCGGATCCCTGGCTACCGCTGAATGCCGAGTCGATGGTATCAGACCTCACAGAGTTGAGGTAAGGTTTTGTGCTTTCGGACAAAGATCCAGTATCATCTGGCGAAGCAACAGATGGTAGGGCTGAGTGGGCTCGAGGATATGACCTGGAATGAGACAGGCTCTTCAAAAGGGAGGGTCGGAATGGGAAAGAATAATCGGAGCCCTTGGCGCTAGTCCCTGGCGATGACTGAGAACGATCTTCCTCTGGTGTATTTGAGCTCGGTGGAATTTCAAACCCGCTGTCGGGTGGGTTTGAAGATGTCATGACCGCGACTTCAACCAATAGGTACACGATATGTCATAAATAGGTAGTTTGGGATCGACATGGAGAGGAAAGTTGAAGGGCAGAAAATAATTAAACAAGAGCGACATACGTCTTGGCTGTCGCGAGGCAAGATAACCAAGCCACATATGCAGGAACGACGAAAAATGAACCTGCAACACCAGGAGCTCCGCAAGGGTTCCGCTCGAAATTCTCCAAAGCTGTCGTTGTGTTCAGCTTATCGTCTCGAACTGACAAAAAAACACGGTGGAGGGGGCGGGGAATTTTCCTCCAAGGTCCGGTTCAGATTCGCGGTTAGGTAAGCCATGGAACAGGCGCCCCGGTGTTCGGCCGAAGTGGATTCGTAGGTTTCTGAGGATTCCCAGTTTCCAAGCTTTCCCGACATTTCAAAGCACGTTCGATGACGTCGCCCCTCTCGCCGAAAGGGAATTGGAGGGTTTATCTGTTTAAACGGGTGGCCAGATTGCCTCTTCATGGCGCACAGTATGTGAATAACTGGGATGCTTTGGCTATGATCGTTATCACTATAGAGTAGTTCTGAAAGGATATGGTCTTCGATGCTATCTATATACGCGACAGTGGCAAACTCGATGGTACCGGCAGGGGTCAACATCCCCTTTTGCTAGCGCTAAAGAAGCTAGCGCCGCACCTCAAATTCGAGGAGCGTATATCACACTTGACTAACCAGATATGGACATGGATGTCTTGATTGCACCACCACACTAGTATCCATGCTTCGAAGTGTATTTGCAACAGGTCCATGGTGGCCATATATAGAACGCGTATTTTTCCATCATCCGCTCAACTTGTTCCAATACCCTTACATTTTCGCATCATGATTCCAGCCTGGCATATCTGCTAGATCTTTGGCAGGAGCAGCACGCCTTGATCGGAGGGCATCACCACCTGGCCTCCACATCCAAGCCTTGGTCAAATGCGGCGCCAGAGTTCCTTCGATCAATTCAACAACATGTTTCCCGATATTTGGCAAGAGTTTGAACGAATGACTGTCAGAGTGACACTAGTCAGGAAAACTAGTATAGAGGAGGAGATTTTGGGAGCTTTTTCTTCGAGTTCAACTTACCCGCTGTCGCCCGTGGCCAATATAAAGTTCTTCCAACGTGGGTGCTCACAAATCAACAAGCTGGCATCGGCGGTGTCTGTACACCAACACATAGCTCTGTTAAATAAGACTTTGTTCTCGAATTGCGGCATGAATCTTGCAATCGCCTTTCGAATGGTTTTTTCCGAGGCGTCAGGATATGTATCTTGTGGGTGTTTGGCGTGCGATCGAGGAACAGATACGAGCTTTGAGGTAGAGGCGCCAAAAGGTCGGTGGATTTTGAATCGCGTGAAGCCAGGAAACTCATCGCAGACCTTTATTACGCCATGTCTATGGATAGCTTCAGTTTCAGAGGCCCCTGGGCGCTAGTAGGAAGAACTGTACTCACTCGTTTGGCTCAAAGAAAAATCCGTACTCGCCGTCATATACGACGGGCGCATTCTTGTATTGGGCTACTTCTTGCGGCGTGAGTTGAATATGAGCAAACACCCAGGCCTGTCAGCAGTAAGTAATGACTCCAGGTAAATGGGTAGGTCTATCTCGAGGGAATGTTACTCACCTTCGAAACACATTGATCTTCTAAGTCGACCAATGTGGGACTCCATGCACCAGTGGCTAGGATGACCTTGTCAGCGTAATATTTGGTTCCATCCGCCGTTTCCACGCCAATGCAGGTGACGCCGTCAGCAGCAAATAAGGGCCTAAGAAATGTCCCTGCTCTAATATCCACTTTAGCCGACAGAACCTTCAAGCGATAATATTTGACATACTTTCCAAACCCGAACTTCACGCCTTGGTCCTTGAGATATCGACCCACAGCATTTATGGCTTTTGCTGCAGCGAGCCAACCCCCGTCTTCGCAAAGCAATGCTTTCCATCCCTTATTCGAATCGTGTCAGTTTCAGAGGCTTTAGATAAGGCTCATTGCACAGCGTCCATAAACGTACCTTTATTTGCTCTTTGTGGAAGAATGGGGCCTTAGCTATGATCTCTTCTTCGGTTTCCAGCTTCAAATTGGTCTTCTCGAAGCCGACATTCGCATCAAGAAGAGCTTGGTATTTGTCGGCCAGGCCCTTTATTCCCTCTTCGGAGGAAGAACACTCCAGCTGCACAATCTCTATCAGGAAATGTTTGGGAATGTTTGAGGGCGCAATCTCACCATGCCCACATTGTGGAAGAAGGGCTTGAACAGTGGATCATGTTTCCACATGTCCAGGGCTTCGAGAGACAGCTGCAAGTCGGCTGGGTTGCGCAGCCTGACACTCATAATCTTATTGAGATCATAGCCAGCGGATTGCGCGGATGGGATGGGATATACATCCAGCACCGTGACGTTCGAAGGGGTGTATCCGGATCGTATGAGATGCAAGGCAGTGGAAGAGCCTATCGTGCCACCTCCACCGACCACGATGACTTTTGTGCTGGTCCGGGAATGAGCCATCTTCTAGATCAGTGACTAAGGTATACTCTGTGTCGGTAGACACCAATGAAGAACAGGGTCGAGTGAGAGAACGCGAGCGAATCGCACACAAACGAGAAGAGAAAAGAAATTCTGCGCGGAAAGCAGGAGAGACGTTAGCTGCTCCCGCGGCAAGCATAGGCGACCTTTAAGTTGAACGGTTTCCTTGACCGGAACGGCTTAACCCATTTTAGAGTATAGCAGCTTCCCTTCGGAAGCATGCAGACCGTTATCTCTTCGCGTGGACCTTCCAACGATTTAGACCCCGGAGTGCCGACTGAATCATTGGCGAGCAAATGCGGGGAGAGACCCACCCGGAGATAACCATAACACTACACGCATGGCCAAAGATAAGCCATGGCTCTTTCTAACGCCGTGATTCTAGAGTATAAATAGGGGTCATGGGCCTCTCTCACCTGCTTCTCTCACAGTCATCGTCAATAGCGAAGGTCATTTTCCGCCCCTGCAAGCACAATGGCCGTACAATACGAGGAGTCCGGTGCCGCAAATATAGCCGATCCTGCCCCGGCAATTGATATGCAAGAATACAAGGCCACGGTCCCACTATGGAAGCGTGTGTGGCAGCACAGCTTGACCCAAATGATGCTCTTAAGTGTCCAGGCATTCTGCGGTCCTGCTATGGCTGATGCAATCACTGGTGAGATGCTCGTCGCATGGCCCCGAATGACAACCGGATACCGTTCCGAGGTTCAAACCGTGGTAGTGAATATGAACTAACACCTCTTAGGCCTCGGTGGAGGTGGCCTGGCAACTCCGCAGGTTTCCAATATATCCAACGCCATCAATTATGCGATGTTAGCATTGGGTACGTGTCTAAAGAACCCGAGTTTTTCGGAGAGGTTGACATTTGCTAAAACTATATTTTACTGCTGGCAGTGTGCTTTCTTGGTGGTCCCATTGTGAACAAAATTGGCGTCAAGTGGGCTTTAGTGCTCGGATCAATGTCATTTCCCATCCAAGGATCGGCCTATTACTGCAACAGCAAATTCGGAAACCAGTGGGTAAGCAATAGCAGTCCCTTCTAGGTTCTATTCTCGGCTTTTCCACCAGGACTAACAGCATGACCTCGCAGTACCTTATCTTCAGTGGTGCTATTAGTGGAATCGGGACCGCTTGTTGGTATGTGGCCGAGGCTGGGTCTATCATGACACTAGCCCCATCCGGAGCCCGTGGGAAATATCTAGCTTTATGGATTGTGTCGCGAAATTTGGGCCAGCTAGTTGGAGGTGCTATGAAGTAAGTTCTAGTACTGGTACACCCAAACTTCCTTATTACTCTATGTCGAACTAATGTTCCTTTTATAAAGCCTGGCGAAGAATCATAAGAAAGGAGCCGACGGCGGTGTCACCCCAGACACCTATCTTGCATTTGTGATCATTGAATGTATTGCGTGAGTTTATCGGGATAAGTCTCTGATTTCAATCAAGTGCTGACTCTGCCTGTAGGCTGCCATTTGCCCTCTTGATTGCTCCATTTGAGCATGTTGTCAGATCTGATGGCAGCAAGATCATTATTTCGGAAAAGCTTTCTACCAAAAAAGAGCTTAGGCAAATTGTGAAAACCATCACCTCGAAACTGATTATCCTATCGGCACTATGGGCATTGTGGTCATTCTTCTACAGGTGAGAGCCGTCATGATTTCAATTATTCCTTCTGCTGAGATACTAAACATATATGACGGGCCAGCGGTACATGGTCTACATACCTAGGGTCGTACTTCTCCGTTCGCGCGCGTGCACTGTCGTCGTTAATTTCCCCATTCTTCTGCATGTAAGTGGAAACCCCAATCAATTTGTTTGGCTTCGGACCTTAACGTTCAAGCACAGTGTCGGCTGCTTTGGTCTTGGATTCATTCTCGACATGAAAGGTGTCAGTCAGCGCCGACGCGCCCAGATCGGCCTATACACTGTCGTTGTACTCAACGTGGGTGTATACATTTGGTCCATTGTGATGCAGGTCAAGTTCAACCATCACGATCCAGGAAAGATTGACTGGGATGACGGCCTATATCCATCATCTTTCCTGCCATACTTCTTTGTACAGACAACCGGCCCATTATCACAGTCGTACATGTACTGGCTACTGTCTTCTTTCGCTACAGACGCACAAGGTTAGTCTAATCCCTACTTTCAGAATAGTGGGTTTTCCATCAAAATACTGACTCCTCGCAGAAAACGTCCGCAATGGCGCTGCCTTCAGATGCATTGAGGCCATCGGCCAAGCCATTTCTTATGCGATGAATACCCAAACAACGAGCGATCCTCTTACTGGCTTGTACGTCGTCTCGCCCTCAAAATAATCTCCTGGGGATATCGCCCATGCTAACCCCACGTGCAGCTGCGTTAGTTTCGGTCTCCTTGCTGTTGCTTTGTATCCAATGGCAAAGTTGGTGAACACAACACCCGATCGTATCCCCGCCGATGTAGTCGCCGAGCAGCAAACTATCATGCCAGCGAAGATGGAGCCTGTCTGATCACTCGGAATGGACGTGCAACCGCCGAAAATTTCATCATATACATTCATGGCGCTTGCATTGTAAGTTGGGATATACGAGTCCACAGCTTTAGTTATTTCATGCATCTTGAAACTATATCAAGTTTCGAAATTTAAAGTGACAGCTTAGCTAAAGTAGATGTGCTAGTAAGCACTATTCTAAGGCACAATCAGTGAGTGACCTATGTCCAGTTGAACGTCGCGAGAAGAATTTTCCGTCAACGGCAGTGTTGGCAGGGCTGCGATGAAATCAATTAAATGTACCGCGTGTTCTGTATATTGCAAAGTTCATTCGCAACCTGGAATTCTGACAGAATCGAAACTAATCAGAGACATCATTCCAGTAAAGGTTATGTGGAACTCTGCAGGCTTCGGTATGTTGGAAAGGGGAGGGAAGTATGTTGGGCAGTAAACCCCGAGGTTCGCGTCACATGTGCTCCCGCCGACCCCGAATTCCCCTTTTCTGCTATCAGCGATAACACTTCAAGTTGGGAGCAACATCTATCCTCTGCCTTCCAACAGATTATCTCAAATGGACGGGTAAGTAGCTGATGTCTGTCTTAGGGTAAAGCTAATCCTCTTTTCTAGCCTCTCGGTCGGTATCAGACGCACCGCGTTTGAGAAGTTGGCGGCTCTGGCCGTCAAATCCTCGGACGACTGCGCGGGCCTTGATCGCATTGCGCAACAGTCAGGAGCTCCTTGTCAGACAGATGGCGCTCTGGACGGTATCCTGAAGAACCAAGCCCCAACCTCTCGAGTCCCAATGGTGAGTGAAATGAGCCTTAGACCCCTTCCCCTCGGGGGTGACGTAAACTAAACATCCCGCAGGGAATCCGTGAACTCGATGTTCTTCTCGCTCTATGCAAAGCTGCGTCCTCCGTGACAGAACTACAATACGCCGATCGCTTGATCGTCCAACTATCACAGTACCTTCCGGAGTCCCCTACCCAGATATTCCGGCCCTCGCCATTCTTCCAAAGCGTCCAGCCATCACCATGGGAATCTCTCTCTTACAACCTTACCTCAGCACTGCTGTCCCTGGGTACGGAGTTTCCTACCCTGCGTGAACCTGTTCTATCGGCGGTGACGGGATATTTGAACAATTGCAGGGAGGCTATCAATGCTGTGACCCCATTCCAGTATTCCTCGGAGGGCGGGAGGCGCGGGGTGGTTCACGAGTCGATTGCCATCCTGTCGATAGCTGTATCTCTTGCTGGCTTTTTGGACGCTTCGGCAAAGCACACTACGGTCTGGACTCCAGGAGAGAAGCTTTGGATAATCGATCAACTGCGAAGCATGCTCTCAGAGTCGTTTCTGATCGGAGTGGAAACCGCGTCTTCAACTATTCGCAACGCCGGGGGCTCTGAAGCCAGCGTCAAGGACTGGCGCAAGTACACTCGGCGGTATGCGCACCACGGACGACCGCTTGGAGCTATGTTACTACAAGAGGGCTTTATGCACTTCGTGAAGTCCTGTGCTGCATCATTGATCGGCTCTCAGCACTTGTCGGATAGCCAGTTGTTGGATGAGTACATGGCGGGCGTCGGTATTGCCAAGAGCTATGATGACGCCGACATTGCTTTAATTGAGCGAGTTACGGATCTCATAAGTGAAGAAATTCATTTGCTAGAGGATGGAGCTGATTACTTGCAAGTTGGCTCTCCATCCCAACAGCAGCTGGCTTTTGCGGTTAAAAGAGACGCGCTTATCGGCTTCCTTAACTGCGTGGTCTTGGGCGAAGATGCAGGAAACAATGATACTCTTTTGTCCTGGCTCGAAGAGACCTTGGCCGATCCTCAGCAAATGGCTAATGCAGAACTGGCAAAGGCTGCCCTCAAATGCACTGCTATTCTCGCGCGGATGTCGCCGAACGGGGCAGGCGTTGCAAGGCGGTCCCTCTTGAAATTTATTGCTCAGGGAGGAGGTGCCCTGAATGGTTCAATTATTGCCGTTGCTTCCAAATGTTTGGCGCACGTCCTGAACATTCTCTCCGAGGACGCTGTCATTGCTACTTTGTACTCACTCGGTAATGCCTTAAGCCCCGGACCTGGTGCCGACAAGTTCAATGATCAAAGTGGAGACGTTTCAAGCCCTCTAGCAAGATATTCGCAAGGAGGTATTACCAGCCAGACATCCCTCCCGACCCCCACGGAGGATGAAAGCCTCGTGCACAGAGATGTGGTTCATGCCATTGTAATCATTGCGACTAGTTGCAACGATGACAAAATCAGTGCTCTTGCTCAATCTATGCTTCTCCAGAAGGTTGGCAAGCTTAACGTTCTCGTCGATGCCTACATCATCCAAGAGACTGCAGTTCTTGCCATTAGCGGTGGGAAGCCAGAATTTCAACTTCTATTGAAATTCTACACTCGTATCTTCCTGGATGGTGTCCGTAAAGGCTTGACCGTCATCACGGATGCTGTTGAGTGCGCGATGGCTTACCTCGCTGTAACTCTCGAACGGACATCTGTTCTGCATGGGCTGTACTTGACACACCTCCTTGAGAGTATTGTTAACAAGGGAGATGTTCCAGACGTTGAGAGTGAGCGTCACGAAATAGTCTTTGCTCCTGGGGAGATTACTCCACTTTTGAAACCCTTAGCTCTTTTGGTCTCTGCAAGTAGTTCGTCGGAAACCCCACATCCGATCCAGGGTTACGACGATGCTATCTCTGTCACTGTTCCGTGATGCTTGGTTCAATATCGCGATTCACGGAATTACACTCAATTCGAGTGTTTGCCAAGCGCATGAGAAGGAACTTCGCTTGCTCGCTAGCCACTCCCCTCCACTTGTGGCTGAAGAACGCATGGAATCCTTGGAGAGTGACGTTGAGCTGAATACAGTTCTCCGGAGAGGAATGGGCCCACAAAGAATGCTTGACCAGAAGAGGACTTTGATTAACGAGCTTCCTGGCCATGACTCGGACATTAAGCGTTTAGATTATCCACGCGCCGTCTTCTTGAACGCTTCTCTGCTTGTCGAGAGTCTTCGTTCATCTTCTGGAGACTGTACTAAGATCCTACGATACTTCCGTGACCCATCTCTGTCCACCGCGGAAATGGTCGCTTGTATGAACGCCATTGCCGAGAAAACCACCAGTTATTATCTCACTCGCACTTTGTCAGAGAAGTATGACGAATTCTCAGCCCCTTACCTCTCCAAGCAACTTGCTACATTTCTTGTGGCTTGCTGCCACCGCATTGAACGAGTTCAGAGTATTGCTATTATCTGCACAGACAAGATCATTCGCGAATGCCCCTCTGCGCTGTGCGAGAAGCATTCGCTTTTTGCCTTGCTGGAGATTCTGACAGTGATGTGGTCATCTTGTCTTCAGGGCGAACTTGATGAGTATGAGTGGCAGCCCACCCTCCTCTCGCCAATGGGGATTGTGAGGGTTGATCTACCTGACAATTATGTCCTACGAAAGGTCACACTTGACAGGTTCCTGGCCCGCGCGCGGGGTTGGGTCACCACCGTTGTGAATATTGCACCCTTGGACATAAAAGGGCTGCTTCAGACGTATCTATCCGAGTACGAGGATGACGGAGGCTATGGACACATCGCAATGGGACGTTCATTCGCTCTAGAGATGGGCTCTCTTATTCCTCAGACTGATCCCCGCCTGGGATCTATCGAAGGCTATAATTCCAATGATGTTAATGTCGCGTCCGACTTCATGGCCCTGTACACGACGCGGCAAAAGTATCGCCGGCAGGATATGTCTCTCTCTGATATTCCAGAAAATGAATTTCGCCTGACTGATAGTCCAAGGGTCGAACTTACGACCAACTCGGACTCTGCCGATAAGCTCGAGTCCTCCTTGGCTCAGCTCTATGCGCGAAGCATAGATGGGCAAGACATTACCCTACCAGAAGTTCGGAGTGTCCTTCGCCAAGCTGCGGCCCTTATTTGCAATAGCAACAAGCCTTGCTTGGCTGTTGTCCATTATCTTGTCGCTTTGCCATTCCAAATCTTTACCAAGGAGGTTATTAGGCTTGGAGTCTCATTGTGGCTCGGTGTCATTCATGAAAATCCCAATATCGAACCTCGGGTTTTAGCCGAGGTTGTTGAGGCTTGGGAGAGAAGCATTCAGCGCAAGAAGGGCCTGTTTGACCCACTCTTCAAGCAGCCCGATCCTTTCCAGACCGTCATTGAAACTCAGCCTACCGATAAAGCTTCGATGCTCCGAACACAAAACAAGGCCCAAGAAATCATATCTCCTCATTCCCGCATTCTTCAGTTTTTCGAGAGTCACTTCAATGCTATTCGACTAGGCAATTTGCAAGACCAACAGCTGTTCTACCGTTTAATCAGCAGTACTGTTGTTGCATTGACAAAGACTCAAGGGCACCCTCTGGCTCGCGAGGTTCACTTCCGGATTGTTCTCTTTGGACTTAACATCCTGAGTTACTTTAGCCCACGCCACTGCGCTGCATCCTGGAAACTGAAGGACCAAGTTCTCTCTGCAGCACTGGCCTGGTTCAAGCACCCCCCCAAGGTATGGTCCTCCATTGCCCTCAGTCACGCTATAACTTGCTAACGTCACTTTAGATGGTCATACGGAGGCAATCGCCTGCAGATTAAGGCCGAGGACAAGATTCTTGGCAATGTTCTATCAACGCTGCGGAGCGTGTCAGATATTGCTGCCCAATCCACAGGTGCATTCAAGTCTCTTCAACCTAAGCAGGAGCTCACTCAATTGCTCATCGAGAATGAGAGATCACGACTCCGTGTTTGGCTTTTCCCCTTGGATTCGGAGCGAAAGTACCATCTGCCCACACTCGGTGGCAAAAACGCAGCGGAGGTAAGATTATCAAGCAGCATGAATCCTTTGGAGAAGCTAATATACGCTCAGGGTATCACTTCGTTCCTCCGACTTGCATGGGCCGAGAGTGCCGGGCTAGCTATTCAACTTGCAGCGCGGTTCCCGTCGCCTAGGATGCAGAGCGATATTCGCCGGTTAATCATGAATTTCCCAGAGAAGGCCGTTGAAGAAGCTAGCGCTTTGGACATCATGTTTGATTCTTGTCTGCCTTCTGATGTGAACTTCCAGCTTAAAGGTGAGATCCAAATGATGGTGCGGAAACTTTCTCATGCTAATACGCGATAGTACCTGCTCTACTGGGCTCCAGTTAATCCAACGGAGGCATTGACATATTTCATGCCTGCGTACGGAAACCACCCATACATCTTGCAGTACGCTATGCGAGCATTAGAAAGTCATTCGATCGAGGTTCGGTTCTACTTTGTGCCGCAGCTGGTTCAAGCTCTCCGCTATGATGCCTTGGGCTATGTCGAGCGATACATTATGGAGACAGCGAAACAGTCACAGCTCTTTGCTCACCAGGTTATTTGGAATATGAAGGCCAACTCGTACAAAGACGAGGACTCTCAAGTCGTAAGTCAATTCATCATTTGAGGTTGCTATCTCAATCGCTTAACTGACATATCTCAGCCCGACCCCATCAAGCCTACACTCGACCGTTTCATGGAGAATCTCATCTCAACATTTTCAGTCGAAGAACTCAACTTCTACGAGCGCGAGTTCTCATTCTTCAATGAAATCACAGGCATTTCAGGAAAGCTCAAGCCATATATTAAAAAGAGCAAGCCTGAGAAGAAAGAGAAGATTGAAGAGGAGCTGCGTAAGATTAAAGTTGAGGTGGGAGTTTATCTGCCAAGTAACCCCGATGGTGTGGTGGTTGGCATTGATCGCAAGTCGGGCAAGCCCCTGCAGAGTCACGCGAAAGCGCCCTACATGGCGACTTTCCGGATTCAAAAGACTCGCCCCCGGGTAGAGTCCAAGGAGACTCGGCTTATCGGTGGAGCACACGATCATCAAGTGACCAAATCTGCCGAGCAAGAGCACGAAAAGTACGAAGTCTGGCAGTCTGCCATCTTCAAAGTTGGTGATGACTGCCGACAAGACATGCTTGCTCTGCAGATGATCGCTGCGTTCCAAAGCATCTTCTCCAACATCGGACTCGATGTTTGGGTTTTCCCTTACCGAGTGACTTCCACCGCCCCCGGCTGCGGTGTGATCGATGTGCTGCCCAACTCCATTTCCCGAGACATGCTTGGTCGTGAAGCAGTGAACGGACTGTACGATTACTTCATCTCCAAGTACGGCGGGGAAGACTCTATTCGATTCCAAGAGGCCCGTACCAACTTCGTCAAGAGTATGGCAGCCTACTCTGTCATTTCATATCTGCTGCAATTCAAGGATCGCCACAATGGTAACATCATGATCGACGATGCGGGCCACATCATCCACATTGATTTCGGTTTCTGCTTTGACATTGCGCCCGGTGGTGTGCGATTCGAGCGAGCGCCCTTCAAGCTGACCTCGGAGATGGTGGCTGTCATCAGTGGAACTCATGATCCGGCCCATCACCCCCACAACTCCAATAGCCAAGGATTGAGTCTCCCCGGTACCAACTCCTTCAACCCGACCGCTACCCAGCCATATAAATGGTTTGAGTCTCTGGTTGTCAAGGCCTTTCTGGCCTCTCGGCCCTACGCCTCGCAGCTGTCACACATTGTCTCGTTGATGCTCGACAGTGGTTTGCCGTGCTTCAAGCCTGAAACTCTGAAGAACTTCCGTGACCGGTTCGTTCTCGAAAGGAGTGAGCGGGATGCGGCTGAGTTCATGCGTGAGCTGACGCGCAAGTCCTACATGAGCCGTTCGACCAAGGGCTACGACCAATTCCAGTTGATGACCAACGGTATTCCTTACTGAATGGGGGAACTGGACATCTTCTCGTTCCTTCATTCTCATTTTCATTCTGTTCTCAGGAGTTTCGACTCCTTCCCATGGATAATACTCACTTTTTCTTTTTTGATTTAATCTATGAAAAATTCCTTACTAATATCCAACCTTGGAACCTTGGAACCCTTCTCTGAGCTTATGTTCCTCAATAGTACTTTCCAAATTGTTCCTACTCCTATTATAGAGCCGAAGGACTAGGGAACAAAGGTCACTTACTAGATATCTAAGGTATTTGAAAAATGAAACTTAAACTGTATCAAAGCCGTAAGAACTGTTCGGCTCAGGCATGTCTACTAGTGTAAGGATTATTTGTGTTTGGTGCTATCGGCCAGCTTAAGGCAGTACTTGGTGAATCGTCTAGAACTGGAATCAGTTGAACAGACAAGTGCCAGTCTTTGGAGATAGTGTTGCGTTATAAGCTGGTTGAACTCAGTGATGCTTTTACCCAGCCTACCGCCGGAGACGAGGACGAGGACGACACAAGGAGCTATTCCAGTATGATATGCAAGCAGAGATACCTTCCAAAGGGCGTTGAAGGGAGCGAAGACGGGTGGCAAGCCGATTTTCGTGAGATTAGGTTGTGGCTCTATTAGCTATTTCTCTACTATGCTATACACCAAGGAAATAATAGCTCTGGGAGCGATGAGGTATTTTCTTTTCCCCTACCAGGAAGAGATTTTGAGATAATACAGGGTTTTGTCGACTCTGGACAGAGCTGCTGCATGAAGGTTCTCCAGGTGCGATATATCCGTCATCGTCACCATGGTGTCTGGTTCGACTTGCCAACTTTAGTAACGGCCTCGATGATCTTCATCGCCATGGCATGAAGCGGGAATGTGGGACTTTCAAACCACCGCCCTGAGGTGCTGCGTAGTCATCCCAGCCTGACTCTGGAAGTTTTGATTTATTGAGAGAACGAAGCTCATGAGATCAAGAAAGCAAGAGGTGTGCTGAACAAGCATCTCGGCGACTGTGATCAATCACAGCGAAGATAATTTAGCCATGAACCCCCTGGGAGACGGAGAGACAGACAGTTACTCGGGTCACAGCTTTCGGAAAGACGCAGCTCAGTGTTGCGCAGGATAGTGCGATATTCGATGAGCAGGCTCGGATACAGGGAAGATGAGGGTCTCGGAGGTGTTCACGGTCTGCAACCGTAGCGACAGGGAGATCCCTCATGGCCAACATATTCTTGGCTTGCATGATGGCCCCAAGAAGAGAAGGAATACACAAGACTTGGGTAATAGATGCACAAGTGGGATCAGTGGACGTGAATATTCGTTTTGACGCGAATATTCCCTGGTGCCATCTCGACATCCCCATCCCTCGTTTGAACGAGCTCCAGATTATCGCTGGCGTCACTGATACTTGTCCCACCGCCATGGATCGAGGCGTAGTTCTGGCTCTGGCTCAATACATAGCCAGGAGTGAGCTTGGATAATTTGGTTTTGCTTTCAATGCTGCTCTTTCGGGGGGCCTGGAAGTGTTTCACCAGGGCAATCGCATTGGGCACAGAGATGGAGATGATGGACAGTGATCCCTCAAGAATAGCCCAGTACAGATACACGGGCAACCACCACGTCTCATCCTCATTCACTTTTGGTATGAGCTGAGTCGTAGCTATCATCCGACCAATAGAGACGACAATCACGGAATAAGTCAAGAGGAACGCCGCAAGTAAGTAGATGCGGCGGCGGAGACTGCTGTTAAGTCTCCAGATAAGCGGAATGGGAATGATCAAAATCCACATATCGATCGCACATGAGATCGTAGCTGTAGCCGTATACCAGGCATAAGTGTTGACGCATTTCCCGGGGATCGTGGGATCCCAGGCTTTCGCAACGGGGTCGCATTGCCAAATGGTGACAAAGTAGGCGGATAAGAGCCACCCGGCCACCAGTGCACCGAGGATCCATAGGTGAACACGCAGGGTCTTATTCGGGGCGTTGAAGACGCGAGCGTAGAAGAAGAGAGCGGAGATCTTTGGAAGACAAATGGACGTATCGAAGAATAGGACGGCGGCGTAGAAGTATTTCGCTCCTTGGACGAGGTAAGACGGATTTTGAATGGCGATAAATTTTTCATGGAGTCCGAAGCCCAGAGTTATCCACGCAAGAAGAAGCGAGATGACGACCACTTCTGCAGGCTACCGTAGTTGAAAAGGAAAAACCACCTCGTTAGTTCTGAGTTCTGAGGATTCGTTCCATGAGGCGAAGTCACCTACCCACGAGAGCAGTGCGAACCAGTCATCCCACCACCAACTTTGCTTGGTGATGACCTTGGAGACGACTCGAATGACGGTCATGAACGTAGTAAGGACCAAGAGTAAAATACAGAGGGCCATCATACCAGGTCCCCGATTAGGGGTGCCATCCGGGATATCCAGCCCCATGGTATTCGGCTGCAGAGTCGGATGAGTAGAGACAGGGATGATTCGAAAAGTTGGTGGGCGGAGAAAGAGTCCAACGTACATGTATGTTGGTACATTCAAGTCGCACCCTCGATGTAATATGCTGTACGCAATCCACACCTCTGCATAAAGAGGCCACTGGCGCTGCTGGTATCGCCCCCATGATCTCCTCACCAGTCAGAAGGTTCGGGTGGTTGGTGTGGATACTCGTGCGCCGTATAAGCTTCCAAGGGCCTTAAGCCAATGTAGCCTCGGGCGTACCGAGAACAGCTGGGGCCACATTGTGGGTCGTTCTTGAAGAAACAAGTCACTAAGCATGTACATGCTAGCGTTGGGGGCTGAATAGTAAAGCCGAGGTGGCCGAGCACAAAGTGGGGGCTCGCTTGAAGCTGACTCGGAGAGACTACCCCCTGGGGCACTTGGGTAAGAAACCACTAGCAAAGACTATTATGCAGATCAGCTACTAGTAACTCTTATACAGAGTGCTTTAGTTACTCTCCACGGGACACCGGTTCAGTCCGTGTAGGACCGGAGCATTTGAATGGCCGATCACTCCTCACAGGAGTTTCTATTATGGGTTAGTCGATGTGTGCATATCGGTACCAGAGTCCACCACATTGGTGTCGGTCATGCAGGAACTTTATTTGACTACTCGGGGTTTCAAGTCTCAAGGTTCAATGGGGTTGGATTATCTGCCAAAGGATCTGGTGGTCTGTGCTTAGAATAATCAACTAGAATCCTTCAATCAATAGTTACGATAGGGCCAAAAGACTATTCTGGTCAGTTGTTCCGGTTGACTATCATGATGCGCGTCGACATAGTGGAACGTGACAAATGGGGGGATCGAGTGTGGTCCCGAGGTGGGAACAGTGAAGGGTTACATGTCATCTTTATGCCACAAGCTCCTCTACTAGAATCTTTTGTACATCCTCCAAGTAGGTTTGGATGTGCGCTTCGTCCTCATAGGCTTCGTTGTAGCTAAACACCATCTGCAGCCGGTTGCGGAATGTATAGAAGAAGAACATGCTGTGCCCGAGAATGATCTCCGTGCCGAGCTTGAAGCCTTCCACAATGACGCGTCTGCTGCCATCAGAAGAGGAGTAAGACTGTTGCAGATGGCGCTCGAGAACACCTAAACTGCTCACCAAGGCATCCCGGGCGGGAGGCGCGGCCCAGAACTCCGGAGTCTTCACGATCTCACGTAGAGTATTAGTGACTGGGCCACATAGGACGAGATTCTCCGCATTGTTCTTGAATGCCGCATTATAATCAGCATCAATGGCACGCACAAGGTCCTTGAAGTTATCAGGCTTGTCGAGGACCAAGGGCCGAATAGAATAGTAGAGAGCCGCTGCCGTCTCATTGTAGGGCGCAGGAAGATAGGAACGAAGATTGTAGCTATTCACGGTGACATACTTCGATTTGTCGGTGGTTTGTGCAGGGTCGGCATGCTTGACCACCGTCAACGCGAAAGCGGCGTGGACCGCTGCGCTGACACTATACCCGTTCTTCTTACATGCCCGCACAATAGCTTCGGTTGCCTGCTCGGACAGCTCAAAGTCGCGCCTGCGCGCGGGTCCGGCTGGGACCGTACCAATTCGATTCCGAGGGCCGATTCCTGGCATTGATCCGACCGCGTCGAGAGTGACCTGAGCGCCTTTGGCTACCGTCTCCTCGGGGAGGACATCGGGGTGGCCGAACGCCTTCTCCAATGCAGGAACCAAGTGAGAGGATTCCTCGCCAAACACCAGATCTGGCTTTGGATTGGTCAAAGCCTTCAGATAGGAATCCCACACGCGGACCATGCCAATCCCATCTATGAGGGAATGGGAGACTCGAATAACGAGCTGCGAGGCTTTTGGCACATAGTAGAGAGTTGCTTGGCTGATGGGGCAGGCGTCATTCCCAATGGTTTCGCCCTCCGCGTCATCTGATACGATGAACGTTTCATCCAACCATGACTGAAGCGAAGCTTCGTCCGGGACTTCATAGATTTTATTGAATCCTTCGGTAGTTACGGCAATCTGTGGCTGCTCATAGCGCAACTGCTTCCACGCATATCGCAGGGCGTCTTCTGCATCTGGGATTTGCAGGTCAACCTTGAGGCGAGAAAATATCGTAAACTGGCGCCGCCCATCACACATGGTGCTAGAAGTGTTCTCCATGACCTCGAAGAACCCTTCCATGCCATTAGCGGGCCGCTCCCACCGGCGTTCGGAAACTTGAGACCAAGACATCTTGTTGTGAAGTGGATGATTACTGGATGGAAATGGAATGAATCGCGGTTGGGCTCAGGCTTTCACGAGTTCTTGCAACGAGGGTCGATTTATGTGCAGCGATCGGTTAGGATAGGACATGTGCTATTTCAGAACAGTAGGAGGCAGTTCTGGCCCCCGCTTGTCCAACACCAATGACATCCCGGAGAGCCATGGAAGTGCCCCAACCCCAAAGCGACAAAACCTATTTCGAATGCCGGGTAGTGTTTCGAACAAAGGGTTTCCGAACATCCCTGCACCTACCTGTCCACGTACCCCCCCTTGTCCGGGCACACCTGAGGAGGTGGAGATGTGAAGCGGAACTGCCTATTTGAAGGACCTTGGCTTGTTACAGTAAAATCCAGATACGCACGTAACAACTCTGAAGATCCCTACAGATCAGCCCTGGCAGGAGAGACACGTCCTTTCTGCATAACGTCCTCTTTCAAGTCATACCCACATTTGAATGTACATCCTAAACAAGAGGCCTTATCGGGGGCGCGCTAAGCGCAAATATGGAACTGAACCTTTAGCCGCTTGTTCCACCCTGGGTGTTTTTCGAGCCCCTGGCAATCACGCCCCGGTCTACATGGAGCGTCGGTGCTGGGCCCAGCCTTATCTTTTTGCACATGCCGCTTGATCTACCGGATCAATGAGCGGGGCTTGAACCTTGGAGACTTGGAAGCCGATCATAACCACGGTACTCTCGCTCACCCGTAACGCCCGACTCTAACCTAGGGATACCCGAAGATCGTCATCAAAGATAGACCGTTTGAGGCTAATCAGCATGAGTGGGTTGCTTGTCCATGCTTAGCCGTCATAGTCAGCATGATATCAATGGCCCTGGAGGGCTGAACATTGGCCCCCTGGGGCGCCTCGTAACCTAATCATGTATGGTTTGTATACCTAGTAGGTGTACCTTCGTCGTCTCCATGTATAGAGTAGTACTATTGATCTCCAATTCTCGAGCGTGTTGGTCCCCTTTCCCTTCAAGTCTCCGAATGGGGCGGGGCAGCCCCACGGTCGCAACAGAGGTGAGTATGGTGACCCACACCAGCTTAGAATGATGGACTTCGGCGACAAACATGAAGTACATGGGACTACATGGAAAATTTCGAGGCCCACATTTACAGTCAATAGTGCGGGTGACTGTGCCGGGCTCATTAGAATTATCTTCGCCCGCTGGCTTGGAAGGATCAAGCGGCCTTAATGCAATCCAATGCACGCTAAGCAATGGATCAGCCTTGGGGGCTAAAATGCTTGGTCCAGCTCCCCAGTCCTTGGACCAGCGGGGGAATCGAGCATGAGGGATGAGGACGGGCTATACGTAGTACAATGTGGAATTTCTTTGTGAATCGCGGAGGAAGTCCTCATCAACGAGAGGGGAAAGGAAGAGAAACCGTGGCAACTACGGCGTCTAGCCGGGTGGCTTCTGGGAAGCTGAAGGCCTCTCGTCCTGCACGAGGTGATCGACAACGGCAGGCAGATATGACGTACACCAATCCCCCTTGGCATGGGACCCTAGATCTGATGGCTTTGTCCTACTTGACGCCTTCGCATATGGCAAAATTTCAGAATGCACCCTCGGACCACCGCGGCCAAGTCCCCAAGGTTGAGGATGACACATGCCGCCCCGGTGGGTGCCAATAGGTCGCTTCGTGCAATGCGTTGGTGTTTGACTTTGCAGGATTATTTCCCATGTTCCGAGGTTACAAATAGCCCCCACGGCTATTCCAAATCGGCAAGAACGGCAGGGGTCCTTGTCAACGGCTATGCATCATGCCAATTGGATCATTAACCTTCTCAATAGCGTATGCTCTGTATATATATCAATACGCACGCGTAACCCTTCGAGTCTTGCCCCACCGATCTGCAAGATGCGTTCAGCGGTCTTCAGGACTGGATACTTCGGACTGTGCGGTGGAAAGACCAGCGTGGGCCGATTTGGGGGCCGTTGTATACGCGATTCATGATAACGTGAATGATGGCCGAGGATCGGCGACATCTGTTCCAAATGGTGATGATTTCATCATGTCCTGAGCTGCCGGTTCTTCTTAAAATGCGACGATCTTGAAGATCTCACCTGCATACAGGAAGGACTAGAAAGCGGCTCCAAAATCCACTACGAGGCCCGGTGTATCCAAATCTAGCCCCTCCGAATCATCAAAGAACCGATATCTCTAGGTACATCAGAAGGTCTCTTTCCGATCTAGATCGCTCCTTGCGGCTAAGGATTGGCCCCTCAGGTGAATTCAGATGTGTATTTCCTCCTAAAACAAGGCTCAACTACCTAGCCTACTTGCTGCATATCTATAATATTTCCACGTTGGCAATTTACCGCGCCAGCAGAAGACTAGGGGTCATAGGTACTCTGCATCCTGCACGCACTGGGTGTGGACTGTGTTATTCCTCATTTGATCTATTCAACATACATTCATTCTCGAGCCCGGCAATATGCAACTTCCGGCAGAGGTTGACAACAAGTCAAATGGGTCGTCCCTAAGTTGGGAGCCCGTACTGGCAGAAGATCAACAAGCTATTGCAATCATCGGCATGGGTGAGTGGTTCTCCACTAGCAGCTCACGGGACTATCGGTCTGCATACATTGGCGTGATGGTAGTCATATTGACATTGCGCTTTTACATTGTAGGATGTCGGCTGCCCGGCGATATCAAGTCCCCGACCCAAATGTGGGATTTTCTGGCACAAGGGAAATGCGCCGCTGGTCCAGTACCGCAGTCGCGCTTCAATAACGAGGCCTACAGGGGCGGGGGAGACGAGCCTGGTACTTCTTTGGGTCCTGGAGGGTATTTTTTGAAAGATGACATACGGCAATTTGATAATCAGTTCTTTGGGATCAACAATCGAGAAGCTGTCGACATGGACCCAGAGCAACGAAGCCTGCTGGAGGTAGTCTTTGAATGCTTTGAAAGCGCCGGATACTCTCTCGGGGACCTTTCTGGTGCCGACGTTGGATGCTATGGTATGTTGCACACTGCACCCCCAATCCTTACTTTCCGAAAAGGTTCAAAAGGTTCAACTGGGACAGAACTAGAATGCTTGCACGCAGATATGTGACCAAAGCAAGAATCAGTAGCTAATACCTTCAAGTTGCTACTTTCTTACAGGACCATGCCTCCATAATAAGCAAAGATGTTGAATATTTAACACGTTACTCAGCAACGGGAATAGGAGCCGCTATTATTGCAAATCGCATAAGTCACATTTTCAACCTCAAAGGCCCCAGCTGCTCAATCAATACGGCCTGTTCAGCTTCAATTTACGCGTTGCACCAAGCCGTTTCGGCCCTGAGGAATCAGGAATGTGATTCTGCCGTGGTAGCGGGCGTCAACCTCATTCATTCCCCGGATCTCCATGTCGCGGTATCACAAGGTGGGGTTCTTTCGCCTACCTCTGTGTGTCACACATTTGACGAATCCGCAGACGGGTAAGGCTCCTCTCGCAATATACCCCAGGGATTGATATTGACGGCAAAATTACAGTTATGGACGTGCAGAAGCGGTGAATGCTTTATACATCAAGCGACTAGGTGATGCGATACGCGATGGTGACCCGATCCGCAGCATCATTCGTGGAACCGCCGTTAACAGCAATGGTCGCACCCCTGGGATCACACAGCCAAGTATTGACGGCCAAATCGCTGTGGCTCGTAAGGCGTACGATCAGGCTGGCTTGAAGCCCTCAGACACAGCTTATGTCGAGATGCATGGTACTGGCACTGCTGTCGGTGATGTGATGGTGAGTGGTATTCGAATCAAATTCTTCGAAATGATCTGGTCACCCAGTGCTTACCCGATGACTCAACCAGGAGGCGAAATCAGTTGCCGGTGTATTCTCTGTAGAGCGTCAGGGCCGCCCGCTATTTGTGGGTGGTCTGAAGCCAAACCTTGGCCACGCAGAGGCTGCAAGTGGCTTGTCCAGCGTTATTAAAGCCACGCTGGCGCTGGAACGGAAGCAGGTGCCGCCAACCTTTGGTGTCGTGAATCTAAATCCCAAGCTTCAGTTGGAGGAGCACGGAATCCAACTGGTGCGGCAATTTACTCAACTCCCAGATCCAAGTCCCGGGTCAGGTCGCCGCATCAGCGTAAATTCTTTCGGTTTTGGTGGAGCTAACGCTCATGCCATTTTCGAGGAAGCAGGGCCATACGCCAAATTCTCCAGGAGCTGCTTGAAAGAGGAGAAATTGTGGGACGTGCCAAACACGCTCGACTGCGACCGGCCGTATCTATTGCCATTCTCCGCCCATGACGGGGTTTCTTTGGAGAGACGAGTCGATCAACTGGGACGACTGAATCTTCCAGCAGATATCATGACCGACCTGGCTTACACTTTGAGCGAGCGCCGCTCTCACCTCAAGTCACGCGGCTTTGTGATTGCGCGAGGGGATACATTAAATCAGGATTTGAATGCTGAAAACCTTCGAGTAGCCAGCCCAGCTGGACCGATCATTTCTCTCAATCAGAGATTTGTGTTGGTCTTCACCGGCCAGGGAGCTCAGTGGCAAGGTATGGCAGAAGAACTGTTGCAAACTCCCGTGTTTGCACATGCCATCTCCCAAATGGACGAGGCGTTGGCTAGCCTACCATATCCCCCATCCTGGACGATCGCCGGAATTTTGCAAGACAAAACGGATCACTGCCCAATAAACGAAGCTGCGTTCGCTCAGCCGGTCACCACAGCCGTCCAGATCGGGCTCGTCGAGCTTCTGAAGGCTTTCCGGGTTCCGATGGACGGCGTCCTAGGTCACTCCTCCGGTGAAATTGCAGCAGCATATGCCGCTAATCTGCTCGATATGCATGAAGCAATCGCCCTGGCATATTATCGAGGGTATGCAGTAACAGAATGCGCGCCGATCGGCGCTATGGCTGCAGTGGGGCTTCCATCTGACAAAGTTGAAGACTGGATCCAAAGACAAGGGACAAAAGAGCATCAAGTGCGCGTGGCCTGCATTAATTCGCCCGAAAGCGTCACCGTTAGTGGCGACGCGGATGGTATCGATGCCCTGGTCTCATGTCTGACGGCGAACGGCACCTTTGCGAGAAAGCTCAAGACTGGCGGAAAAGCATATCATTCTCACCAAATGAAACCCGTGGGTTCCACCTACGAGCGCCTACTTCGGGAGGCCAATATCTTTTCCAGTGCGCCTGCCCAAGGGGAAAAGGTCGATTCCAAGCCATGCATGTTTTCCACTGTTCTTCGCCAGCAGGTTGCGGAGTCCGACGTGCGCACCGCGGCTTATTGGCGACAAAATCTTGAATCACCAGTGCACTTTTCAGATGGTTTACTGTCTGCTTCAGCTCTGTGGGATGAGGTGTGCTGTCTCGAAGTTGGCCCACATACTGCATTGAAAATGCCCATTTTGCAGACTCTGGGTAAATCTACTCCCTACTTTGGCACCTTGCAGCGTGGAAAGGGCTCGTTAAATGCTCTGCTAGAGCTTGCAGGGAATCTTTTCCTGAGCGAGTTTCCCATACCCTTCCCCCAGTTGCAGGTTCTGTATCCAAAGTCGAGTCGGCCGCCAAAAGTAATTCACGACCTCCCGCCTTATCCGTGGCACTACGAAAAGCTTCTCTGGAATGAATCCCGCATCAGCCGCGAAGTTCGTGAACGCAAGTTCCCGCGGCACGAGCTTTTAGGTACCCCCGTTCCTGGAGGTAACTTAATCACATATGGTTGGCGAAATCGGCTTTCTCTGGACAACGTCCCTTGGCTGAAAGACCATAAGCTGGGTGATACAATAGTGTTTCCTGCAACAAGTTATCTCTCAATGGCAGCAGAGGCTCTTCTACAAGTACGTGGGGTGCAAGTAAATCAGGATCTGGCCGCAATTTCAGTCTGCTTCCAAAATGTGGACTTGCCAAATGCGCTACCTATCGGTGAAAGAGAGACCATTGAGCTTTATACTGAGCTTTCATCTCGTGAATTGTCCAATTTGACCTCTTATCAAGATTGGTATGACTTCAAGGTCGTTTCGATCGCTGACGATACTCCAACCATCCGGGCTCGTGGTACTATCAAATTACTCAGTGGGCCACCCGACATGGACGAACGCAATATACCGTATGCTGAGGGTCAGCTTGTTTCAAAAAGCCCGCGGATGTGGTACGAAAGCATGGATAAATGCGGTCTACGTTACGGGCCCAACTTTCAACACATGCAGAACATTCTCACACCTGACACGAGTGATGTTTTGTATGCTCAGGCCAAGCTGGAAAATATCAGACCCCAATTTCAAGCCGTACAGCCATCTCCCCGCTATCTGATTCATCCGGCAATTTGGGATAATGCTTTGCAAATTGGATTAGTTGCCAGCGCAGGAGGTAATTTTGGATCGATGGTAGCAAAAGTACCCAAAAGCTTCGGGCGCATTAGCGTGACAGCAGCCTCACTTACATCACATGAAGGGATGGTTTGCGCTACATCTACAGTGACTGGCTTTACAAGCAATGATGTGAATACCGCCCTGCTGGACTCAAACCATAGGGCTTTGATGTCGGTTGAAAAGATGTGCATCACCAAATATTCTGGCGGCGACGAAATGGCAGAAGTTCGGCACCCATTGTACCGATTTGTCTGGAAGCCAGATTTTGACCAAATACCAAGCGATGCAGCTTTTGCTGCTGCTTTGCAGCATGTCAGCGATAATACCGATCTAGGACTTCTCCTCAGGACTGATAAGAGAATTCTGATGGCCATGGATCTTGCTGTTCATAAGGATCCGAGCGCCGACATTCTGTTCATCACCTCGGATCTATGGCTGATTCGCCTGGCACTATCCGACATTCTCAAGGCTCATACAGGACACCAAAGATTTAACTCCTTCCATTTAGGCCGTTTCAAGCCAGATGGCCAGTTGGAAGTTGCCGAACTCCAGCGTTATGCCTTGCCCGTTGAGATGGATTCCTTTTCGCCATTCGCCGCACCGGCCCCCAATCAACGGTTTGGTCTTGTTGTCTTGAGTGAAGGGACGCCCCATCTTGACCGACTTGCTTCATATACGAACAATTTTGCCCGTATTATAGATGGTGGCTATGTTCAAGGGGAGGCCCTACCATGCGAAAAGTTCACTGTTTCGCACGCTCTACCAGGTACACTTATAACAGACCCCGGAATTCGGATTCTTCGTCCGGTGCGAAGGGATAACCAGTCGGGCTCTCATCAGTTTGAGAAGATTCTGCTTATCAGTCGTACGCCGAGCCGGGTCGAGGATGATACCTTGCGGGATTGCCTTGCTGCTGATCTCTCCCTTCCTGTCGACAAACATGAGCTGACGGAGCTCACAAATGTGGATATTGAAGACACTACCCTCGTCGTATCAACGGCAGAGCTTGAACGCGATGTCACAGCACGGGCTACCCGGGAAGAATATGCAGCCATCCAACGCGTCTTGTCGAAACCAGTTCGGATGGTATGGATTAGTGGTTCGGGGATCCATGAAGATGGTGATCCAACCCGGGCAGTTTTCCATGGCTTGGCGCGCGCGATCATGATTGAACAACCAGCGGCTGAAATTTACAGTCTGGAGCTGTATCCGAACGCGCAGCCGGCGGATATCTCCCGTTATGTGGCGGGAGTAATTACAAGGCCCGAAGGCTGTCCGCCTGATTATGAATACCTCCAGAGCGAAGCTGGCCTCCTCGTGAGTCGTGGTGTCCCAGACGAGCCAATGAACGCTTATTTCCGCCGCAAAGAACAGGGAAGAGCTATTATGGACTCGCTCGACCGCGCGGGGCCTGTGTCGCTCTCCATGGAAAAGCCGGGCCAGTTGAATTCTGTTCAGTTCGTCAAGACGCCTCAGGCGAACTTAGGACAAGACGATGTGCTGGTTCAGGTAAGTTGGATTGGCCTGAATGCAAAGGATGTATATGCTCTGGCGGGTCGAGTGCAAACGCCTGGGGCAACTTGTAGTGGAGAGTTCACGGGGACGATCCTCGCTGTGGGGTCCGCTGTCACTAATCTCACAGTCAATGATCATGTTGCTGTGCTATTCCCTGGTCATTTCAGCTCTCATGAGGTTGTGCCGGCCCATAATTGCGTGAAGCTAGATCCACAGGACGACCTACGCAGCTTCGCATCGGTTCTTGTTGTGTTTGCGACTGCTCTCTATGCTCTAGAGAATCGCGCCCGTCTGCAACCTGGCGAGTCGGTTTTGATCCACTCTGCCGCCGGTGGTGTTGGGATAGCTGCGATCCAGGTAGCGAAGATGATTGGCGCCGAGATATTTGCGACGGTTGGAACTGAGGAAAAGAAAAAGTATCTGGTCGAAACTTTTGGACTCCAGCCGGATCATATTCTGAGCTCACGCAGTCCTGGTTTCGCCGATCAAATCCGCTCAGTAACGAAAGGCCACGGCGTGGACGTTGTTCTCAACTCCCTGGTCGGCGAGTTGCTGTTGGAGAGCTGGGATTGTTTAGCTGAATTTGGACGATTTGTGGAAATCGGCAAAAAGGATATCACAGACCATGGGCGACTGCCTATGGACCCCTTCGGCCGAGGAGCTACTTTCACAGCCTTTGACCTTGCTTTACTGAGTACTTCGCACTCTCTTGGTACACGGAGATGCTTCCGTCAGCTTTTTTCTCGCGTCATAGAACTGGTGCACAGTGGAGTCATCCAGCCCGTGCCTTTGAAAAGCTTCACCGCAGGAGAGTTGCTCCCAGCATTTCGCTATTTCAATGACCCGGCTCGCATTGGCAAGGTTGTCGTCTCTTTTGAGGATCCGAATACTATGATTCCAGTGGTACCGGCGCAGTTCGCTACACAACTACATCCGGACAAGTGCTACTTCATGGTCGGGTGCCTAGGAGGGCTGGGCCGGAGTCTTTCCCAATGGATGATATCTCGTGGGGCAAGGAACTTCCTTTTCCTTGGCCGCAGCGGTACCAGAAAGCCCGCGGCACGACGTCTTGTGGAAGACCTCGAGCAACAAGGAGCACGATGCATTGTAATTGAAGGCGATGTGACTAATGCCGACGATGTCGAAAGGGCTGCATCAGCAGCCGAGCTTCCCTTGGGTGGTGTGATCCATGCTGCAATGGGGTTGCACGAGGCGATCTTTTCTGAGATGTCCCATGAGGCCTGGCGTGAGGGAACTGCCGCGAAAATCGAAGGTGCTTGGAATTTACACAATGCTCTGTCGAAATCAAACCGGGAAAGCCACTTGGATTTCTTCATTATGACCAGTTCGATCAATGGAAAGATCGGAACGGCTACGGAGAGCAACTACTGCGCCGCCAATAATTTCTTGGATGTCTTTGCACGATACCGACAGACCCTAGGTCGCCCTGCCCTCTCGCTTGGACTTGGCGCTATTGCAGAGGTGGGCTATCTCCACGAACACTCTCACATTGAAGAATTGCTACTACGAAAGGGAATCCGCTTCCTCACTGAAAGCGACGTTCTGCAGATCTTCGATCTCGCACTTTCCAAATCCCCGACCGCGGCTCATCCCTCGGATAAAATAACATCGTCTCTGTTGCTGTCCGGGGTAGAGGTGACTACCCTACAACGATATCACCAGCAAGGTTTCAAAACATTCTGGCACTCGCTCACGGATGTGCGATTTGCTATACTCATCAATGCTTTGAGGCGATCCTCTGGGAACACAGCGGGCCAAGGGGACTCGCATGAATTTGCGCTTCGCAACGCTGTCGCCGCCAAAGACCCCGCACTGGTCCTCGCAGCAGCTCAGGAGACCATCACACAAAAACTATCTTATATGGTTCTTGTTCCTGCGGACAAGATCAATGTGCACGCTTCTTTGGCTGACTTTGCCATGGATAGTATGCTGGCTTCTGAGCTGCGACAACACATCTTCAGTGTGGCCAATGTCGATATTTCCTTCCTGACGATAATGAGCCCTCAGACCAGCGTCTCTACGATGGCCAGCATGGTCGCGTCCGCTTTGCTGCAACGAGCGCAAGAGAATTCATGAGTCTAGAGTTGTCCAATGTCTTTCTGTTGCGCGTGATTAGCAGCTGGCTAGTTGGCATGATACGAAGTATACCAACGTGAATACTTCAATGTGACGATATGTTTTATGGTGGTCTTTGCCTGGAGAAATGCAGAGAAGTTGCCGGGGCGGTTTGAACGTGACCACTAGGGTCTGTCTGGACTCCCCATGGCCTAATCAGAATACCGCATCCTAGAAGTCGATCCACTAGAGAAAGAGATCTGTTCTCCTGTCAAAGCGCTGTGCCGGCGTATCACGTGCTTGAACGACCCAGTGTTCGTGCTCGGCATCTTCCGAGATGGAACCAAGATCGCAGGCTAATCCACTGGAGGTTGCAATAACCAACGATCTGCCAACATTCGAAGTCCTTTGCCCGCTATGGCCTGTCAGACAAAATCTGATCATTTGCTTTTCTCAGGAAACTTTTCGATCAACTTCAATAGAGCTTTTGCTACCGAATTTGGGATGATAGGCGCTTCATTTGCTCGAATAATTATTTTTCTATGTAATTAGGCTATACAAAATCTTAGACAATTTGATATGGAGTCCGCAGGATCCTTCCAAAATTGGAAACCTAACATCGACTTCTGTGGCCAGCAGCAGAAGCATGTGAGGCAGAAGTCGAAATAACGCCGGAAAAGCCTGTCGTAAAGCAGCCAAGGGGTATCATAAACCGAAAGAGCGTCGGTTGCAATCTCTGCAATGTATCGTGGTATCATACATGTCTTGTTCAGTTCCCTCCATTTTGCTGCTGCTTCTTTCTCTCTTTGGCTTCGGCATCGGCCTGCTTCCAAGAACCGGCATAATGGTGGGTAACCAGAGGATCGCCTTGATCGGTCGGGTTTCCATTTTGCGTCGCAGCAAAGGATACACCCGGCATGATCAGCACATTGCCCACCAACTTTGGCTTTTTGATGCCCGAGAAATCGCGATCGTCCACGGGCCGGCCGAGCACCTGCGCGAGGCTGTCCAGCACGGCAAATGTCATCATCTTCGGACCCGTGACGTTCACAACATCAATGGGGAGCATGTCCAGGGTGAGGTCTTTCATTTCGACGCCGTTCATCTGCACAATCTCCTTGAGCTTGGCGACAACCGAATCCACCACGACCTGCAGCGTGCGGGAGGACGGCTTCGCCATAAAGACCCAGTTACAGAACTGGGAGGCGACCTCCGTGTCGGGCCCGCGCCACTCGAAATCGAATTCCAGCCCGACCACCATATCGATGTCTTCATTCTTGTACTCCTCCGGCACCCACTGATCGATCGGCATTTCGCAGGTCACATCGAGATCGCTCCAGATCCCCCCTTCCGCGAGCACAATCAGGTAGCGGAGCAGATCGGCGCGCAGGATGGGGATGGGGAGAGCTTCGTAAACCTCGACGATGTCCGGTCGCTGCTGCAAGTAATGCGATCGGACAAACGCCGCGCCCGATCGGTCGGTCAATAGCTCTTCGTGAGCCGTGGGGTTGATTTTCGTCCAACTCTCAACCCAGTCGCGTTGCTCTTGCGATAGGTTTTCATCTTTGGCGGAATGCCATACCTTGGCGGGGATGCCGTGGTCCTTGATTGTCGGTACTGACTGTGTGCTGAACCCGTCCCTCGGCGACCAGGTGTAGTAAAAGCTGACGAGGAAGAGGCATACACCGAAGGCAATACCCACGCGCGCTACGCGTGGGTTCCTCAGCTGAGAAAGTAGAAGCATGGAATGGAAGAGAGGGATGGGGGCAATCCCGAGCGCAAGATTATGGGTGGACCGGGCACTTTATGTCCATATGGCCCCCAAAGGTAACGGATATAAAGAAATGGATTTACCGCCGAAGGCTCAAGGCGAGAGGAACGCCACGGATGTCTCAGTCCCGGGCTTCCTATAGGTTGGCGCCCATGCTACCCAAATGGGCACTGATGCTTGCTGTGATTGGGGAAGCCTGGCTGATAAGAATGGGTGCGGGCCGCCTGGAGTTTCTCCGAGGCGGCTTTGGAAGACAAAACATTCAGGATTGGCTCCGGATAAGCGCCGGGCTTTCTGGCGGGATCAGCCAGGGATGATTGGACGCGAACTGGACTTTGGACTTTCGGGGGCTTGGGCCGTAGGAGGTTTTCTTAGCTGTCTGGGTCTGCGGCTCTCGGCCCGCCCCACGATGCCATGAGCAAGCTTGCGGCTGAAGCCAAGATCTCTTTTGCGCGGAGAATTGGGTCGCGCATACGGTCATGAATGTCGAACAATGCTTGCGGGACCTCTTCAGCAGTGATGCATTTCGAAATGGTCCCGCGAGTCTCATGGTACGTCAGTATCCCTTGCCCATCATCGACCAGCAGATGGTACTTCTTATCTCTAACCGTTAGATTATTGTTCAGTAGTCTTTGGACTATCTCCCGATACCATTCGTCCGGGAGATACCTGGTAAATAAGGACCGCTGCCATAATGGTAACATTGGTCTTCTATCTCGGTCCTGGTCTGCCGGTCTTCTCGGACGACCCTGCATATTCTGGTCATCCCCACCGCGTGCTGGTCATCACCAGATTGACTCTGCCCTTTACCTGACTGCTGCAGATTTTGCTCAGCGTTGTTCCTTGAGCGATCTTGACTACCCTGTTCTTGTCGTCTTGAGTTAGGATCTGCCTGGGGTGATTCCCTTGAGTCCATATTGATTACGCCTTGCTCCAAGTCTCAGATCTGCTGAAAGTGGATAATCCCTCCTCTCAGACTTCATTCTCACAACTCTCTTCGAAGTGACGAACGACGGCTCTTACATCTCTCAAGTTTCCTGAACCCGGTATCCCTTCAAACCAGACAGTATGGCGGACGACCTGGACATAGGACAACCACCAAATGAGACAGAAGTGAGGGATGATTCAACTTTACCTGTCCAGGAGGATGGTGGAACTGAGGGACTAGCGAATCTGTCCTTGTCTACAACATCGGCAAGTGAGGCCTGTAAGCGCCCGAGACGCCGAAAGCTAAATATAGCCGAATTAAGCACTATTGTGGAAGAAGAAGCAGTATCGGGAAATCTGATTGCTGGGATCATCAATCCTGCAGCCGTTAGACTCACATACAAGAGAATGGCGAATGTAGGAGACGAGGCTCTGCCTCGGGCTCTGAGAGAGATGCCAGAGGACATCCGACAGACGCATGACCTGGACGAGGGAGAGCTGGTCGCAGTCATCAAGTGCAGAGTGAGAATCCGAAAACAGTTCCAGGTGGCCTTCACAAAGGAGGGCCACCTGCGTCAACGATTCGTCACCATTCTGGACCGGAAGGACGAACAAGGACAACCTATATTCGGCCAAGACGTGATCAACTCGAACTGTCCGAAGAGAGAGATAAAAAGGATCGCAAGCCAAAACCCACTCCTTTTCACGTCGTCGGGACGTCTTCTTAGTGGCTCGGCAGCCGCAAGGGTAGCAAGGTCCCGGAGTTGCAGCATGCCCAGTTAGTAGAAGAGGGCTAGTTTAATTCACCGCGTCCTGCTGTACTGGCGCAGGAGCTCGATGCACCCTCCCCCCCCCCCCACAAAAAACGCGCTGTATATGAAATGAGTTCTGGGATTGGGTATAAATAATGTCTTACGAGAAGCTAGAAGTATATATTGACGAATTTCAGACTAATATAAATATGGGTTTTCTTTCCGGTCAATACTCGATGGAGTTGTTCAAACTTCTAGATGACCAGACGTGATGATCATCAACCCGTCAATACCGGGCTTGGCATCTTTCCAAAGCCCTACATTCAGGTTCGTGTTCTGGAAAACAGACGTGCCTTGTACCCACTGATGCAGCGGTGATTGGCTTATCCCGGGTCTGTGCCTGAACAATCAAGAGACGCTAGCGGTGTTGGACTTTGCGGTAAAAGAAGCTTGATGCTAGAACCGAGTACTCCATCTAAGACTCTAGCTCCACGTAACCCATAACCCTGACGAAAAGTATCAGGAAAGTTGCAACAACTTGAGGTTCGCATACAATACAATAATGCTGAATTGACTCTCTCCGAGCGACGAGAAGTCGAGATTTAGGAATAAAAAAAATAAAATAAAAAAACAGTCAATTTAGAAAGTCAATTGATTGGGAAACAATCATCATCTGAGGGACTATGTCGGGCTGAAAGATTCTGATTGATTCGTAGGCCCGGTCAGAGAAATCCCCCTCTATTTCTCTATATGATCACTGAAATGCCGCCCAGGCCTGGAGGAGACCAGCTGCTGCTGTCAGAACTCCGCTCGCCTTTAGGCCCTTGCGGAGATACCAAGCCGAACTTCCCCAAGATATAAGGGAAACCAGAGCAGCCATGGCAGCGTTTAGTGGCTCTTTCAAAGAGTCGGGGTTCTTCGCCCAATTGAGATTAAGAAGAGCTGGAGATGCATTTGTCAGTTAGAAGTCCATTGTCGCGACGGGGTCAAATGTACCAGTCAAGACCAAGAACGCGCCGCCTTGGTACCACCCGGCTAGACTTCGGGTGTATGCAACATTTGGCAGTTCCTGAAACTGCCTCAGAGGTTGAAACTCTTTCGCAGCAGCCTGACGGACAATGAGATGGTGGCCCTTGATACGGTATAAAATTATGTGAACACCTACCGAATGTTTCAAGGCAAACACGAAGGTGCCATAGCCTAGAGCTTTCAGGAGCGCGGGGTTTGGCATTTTGACGGTGTACGAGCACAAGATTGACGATCAAAACGTCCGATGATGGGACTAACAGCAATTAGAACCCATGCTATCTGCGAGTTGAGCCTCGGCAGAAGAGTGATCGCCGGGTGCGGCAAGTGGGGAAACGAAATATTGAATTCTCATCAACCGGAAGAGCCGGCCAGCGGGACTGCTTCCTTGCCACACGATCTCTGATGGAAACGGGGTTGGGCAAAGGGAGCGGAGTTTCGGAGTCGCGTGTCTGGAGGTGTGTACCGTGCCATCTGGGAGAGGGACAGCGTACGCCACGAAACTCAGCAATCTGATCAGCGGTGATGCTCGGACCAGGGATGCTTTGATACTGCACGAGGACGAAAATAGCATTTGCAAATCCAGACCCATTGTTCCAGGATCACGCGGTCTCAGAATCGGGAGACATTCCTAGGCCTGCGAAGTGGCAATAGGTGCTGCCCAGACGAGGAATGATCGACCGGGTTGCGTGCTTTGAGTTTGGCGCTTCCTTGGAACGCGTGTCGGTTTGATCGCCCGCGTCGCATCATCAGTGAGTAAATGCTCCAGACTCGGACGAGTCTAGCACAGCTCTTGTAGCTCTCGTAATAGCCGCCTTGTACTGCTCATCCTCCACGAGTATCAGGGACCATATACGCTCCAGCAATGTCATCAAAATCACGGATTTTGATTGTCGTCACCAATGTCTCACATTTCAGCGACCCATCCGAGCCGACTGGCCTGTGGTTGTCAGAGCTCACGCACGCCTGGGATGTCTTCAAAGAGCACGGTGCCGAAATGACCATCATCAGCCCGCGGGGTGGTCGCTGTCCTCTCGACCCTCGCTCCCTGAAATTCCCCACCTACGACAAATCCGCGAAAGCATGGCATACCAATCCAGAACTGATGGGGCTGCTAGAGACTACGGCGCATGCACAGAGCATCAATCCAGACAACTACGATGCTATCTACTTCACCGGCGGACATGGCGTCATGTTTGACTTTCGCGAATCGGAAGACTTGCAGCGGATCACTCGAGAGATCTTCGAACGGGGTGGCATTGTCTCCTCGGTCTGCCATGGCTACTGTGGGCTGCTCGACACCAAGCTCCATGACGGCTCGTACCTGATCTCCGGACGCAAAGTCACGGGCTTCTCCTGGGCCGAGGAGAGACTGGCGGGTGTCAGCGGCGTTGTACCTTACAACGTCGAAGAGGACACCAAGAAGCGCGGCGCTCAATACAAGAAGCGCTGGCTGCCATTCATGTCGTACACCGTGGTGGATCGTAACTTAATCACTGGCCAGAACCCAGGGTCTGCGAGAGAGACGGCGCTGAAGGTTGTCACTGCTATTCGTGGGGTACCAAAGCGGCCGGAACAGAACCCTGGAGTGGATTCGACAGACAAGGATCTGAAGGATCTGGAGGCTAAAATATAATATCGTGGGCATGTATATGTTAATCATTGAGAAGAATTGGGTGATGTGATGGAGGAACACTTTTGTACAACAAGAAAGGAGGAAAGAAGGAAAGGAAGGAAATAAAAGGAAGGAACAGATCCTAAGCTATCACATCTGCTTTCACCCGTAAGAAAAGCTAGCTCCCTATCTACCGTGCCACGTGTTTTCGCCGAGAGACTCAGGCACTCCGTGATTGCCCTTTAAGATTCTCATTTCGGGAACTCGTGCATAAATTCATTGTCCTCATATCCGCTTTGGTCCCTTCCTCTGTACCAATATACTACTCAAAATTCCTACTTCTATGTTGAGAGCGCGTCTCCTAGTGCATACGAAAAGTGGAGACTTCGTCATTGGCAGCCACCAGGGATGGATTTCATCAACCTCGGCACGTCAATGTTCATGCGGCGTGTAGTGGGTGTCTGGATCTATTGTGGCATTATCTGGAGCTTCGAGGGTCTGGCCCACCTAACCTTGTTTCGATATTCGGAGCAACAATCTCTCCGCGAGATCGTACCAGAAAGGATTCCAATGTCGGAACGGGAAGGAACAAGAGATTCTGTGCACAAACTTCACGCCCGATAAAGACCAGTTTTCCTAATAATCGTATTACGAGAGTCCAGGTTCCCTTTTTTTTTCAGTCCGTCTTGACCGATAGGACACGTGCGAGAGGGTCCCTTCCAAAAGACTGGTTTAATGTGCGAGGCGTCTTCTCGCACAGAATTTGTCACGTATATTCTTACTATTAAAGTTGATATAGATGAAGCAAAATCCTAGGAGGCAGCCAAGTCATCTTTAAATCAGCACGATGACAGACTTTCCGAGCCCCCCTTTCCCATTGTAAACCTCCGTACAAGCATCGCGGACTGCGTTGATGTCCTTAAAATCCGCCTTCTTCCCTATAATCGATTTCAAGTTGCCCTCTTCCACCCACCCGCGAATCGAATCCAGATCGGTCGCATTTGGCTCGAGGAAGATGGATGCGTAGTTGACGCCATAGCGAGATGCACGGAATACTCGGATGCGATCCATAGCATTCAAGACCATGCGAATCGGGAACGGCACTGGCGCCTTGTCTTCCTTGTCGGGCGATCGCCGCATGAGACCAGAGTTCTGGAGACCGTCGCCAGATGGTAATATAGCAATGCTGATAATAGCGCCGCTCGGTCGCATCAACGTGAGATAATCCATGGCGCTTCCCATCGTATCGAAAATGAAGTCGACCGACTGCGATGGAATGACAGACTTGGGATCGGATTTCTGATAGTCGATGACTGATGCGAGGTGATGTGAGCTTCTTTCGCAATAGCTAGCTAACCAATATTCCGAAAAGGGCACTCACTGTCATCCACCACACCCTCCCCCAAGAGCTCTTTTACCATTGGCACCTTTGCGGTGGAAACGGTCGTGATCACTTTTCCCGCTTTGAAGATCTTCTTCGCGAGCTGGCACGCAAATGCGCCCGTGCCGCTGACTGCGCTGAAAGTAAGCATCCCAGATGCAATAGACAACCTCCTTAGAAAAAGAAAAAAAAAGGGAAAAAATAAAACTTACGGCCAGCTGGAATAAACACAGTCTTCCCTGCGAGATCCCCATCGTAGCGTCGGAGCGCCTGCAGTGCGGTCATACACGCGAGGGGAATCGCAGCCGCTTCTTCCATCGAAAGACTCGGCGGCTTGAGGGCAACAAATTCTTCCGTGGATCTTGCAAGCTCGCTCCATGCTCCTCGGTGGCACTCTGGCAATCGCGTAAAGACCTCATCGCCGGCTTTAAAGCGCGTGACCTGGGATCCAGTATCTACAACCGTTCCAGCGCAGTCATAACCGAGCTTATACGGAAAGCTTCGTCCGCGCATTAGACAACAGTTGATCATTCCGGTGCACAGAAAGCTTACCTGTCTTTGAGAATCATTTTACTGATACCCGATGCTTTCTTGACATCGATCGGGTTGATACTCGCCGCATGAACCTTGATCAAGATGTCGGTGGGGTGCTCCACGGCAAGCGACGGGAGTTCGCCCAGCTCGTATTGATCGGGCGTGGCATACTGTTTAATGTGAATCGAACGCATATTCGCGGTAGCATGAAAGATTCTGAACAAGCGCAACGAGACAGTTTTCGAGACTCTAATTCAGCTGTTCAACTGTGGAACTGGATTTGCCTCGGGACTTCAATTTGCCCGACGGAATCGCAGAAGCCGAACCCGCCGTTTCTGCTCGAATTAAGGTTTTTCGTCAACAGGGAAAAGTCTTTGAATTCACGCTGTGAATCCTATGACATTGCTAGCAGCTAACCGTTTTCTTTTCTTTTCCCCTTTCTTTCCCCAATGCCCGACTACTGTAGTTCTACGTCTTCAGTACCGCACAAAAGAAGCTTCTCCTCCGTCTATAGTTCTAATTTCAACTTATGACTCATGCATAAGCTGGGTAAGAGAAGCCTACGGTGCTTACGTAGTAGGCTCCGGCAATGTAAAGGCCGGAAGTAGGGAAGTGCATAGTAGTAGACGGGTAGCAGAAGAGGTAGCAGTATATCCCACCAAAACATATTATCTATACCTCTTACTCGGAACCCTGAAATTATCGCATTAACTCTAATACCACAGACTCAGCTGGAGAGGGCCATGGCCTTGCAAACCTTCACCCCAGGTAAATTGATGATAACAGGATCAGGATATGTCAGCTCCTATAAAGGTCGCTTTTAACAATTGGCCCAGTCTAGGAGGACTGAGCTCTTCATAGGACATCCGCTAGCAGTTATATGATTGAAATCATTGATTACAGTTCTTAGTCTTCAACAGTATCAATACACGTTGGTACGATACTTATGAAAAGCATACGTAGCTAGATTACCTGACGCGGCCAATCTTTGACACACCAAAAAGCCATATCGGACCAGCGTAGCTCGTTCGGTTCCCCCGCCAGGAATCATTTGCTGAAAAAGTCACGTCTCTGGTAGCCATCCTTGCGTGTGCTAAGCGCAATCCCACCCTAGCGGCCTCGGTATTACGGAATAGAACTGGTCATCATCTATGCTCCATCAGCACATCGGAGGCGACCTTGGGCGGCTGTGGAAGGTCCTTCTGCGGACTGTGAATTCGCCGAAGGGCTGTGGGATTAACTGGCTGCTTGACTGAGGATCACGAGCCTCTTCCGTCTGGGCGGCCTTGGGCTGGGGTGTAGAACGGTGCGCTCAGGGTGGGCTTGATATAGATGCCCGGCCAGGCAGGATGGAGAGAACAGTATAACAAATAAGAACTTAAAATGCTATGTTCGGTAGAGAATGTAAAAATTTAGGAGAATTGGAATGAACTTCGAGTCAATAGGTCGGAGTGTTCACATTCTAATGTTTCATGTAAAATGCACGTCGAGACATCAATATGGTTCGGGAGGGGAAATTTGAGTTCTAGTATGGCGTAAACTTCAAAAGCCCCACCGATGGTCCATATTTGGCGCCCCAGCTCGACGCAGGACGGGAATTTTATTCGGACGTATACCTTGTTATAACGGGGCGCTTTTATTGGTTCACGTCCACGAAATTGAGATGTAATCATGATATACCTCCAGTATGATGTTCAGATCATGCACTTGCAACTATGAAAAGGCTGGGTATCTTGTTCTTGATAGCCTTCTAGCAGCTAATTGTAATTCATTCTCCTTCGGTATCGATAAAACGCAGCCCAATATGCCCTCTGCAATTGTGACAGGCGCGACCGGTAAGCTTTACGGCACTAGCGTAGCCCACGCAGTGCCAATTTCGCATTGCTCTGGAATTTCACGCGACTTAACTCACATTTGCTGTCAGGTATTGCGGGAAGCGCCATCGTAGACCAGTTACTCAAGGATCCATCTTACGAACGGATCTACTCCTTTTCGCGCCGGGATCCAGGATATGATGATCCAAAGATCAAGCATGTCGCTCTGGATCTCCAGGGATCTGTGCAGGAGATGGTCAAGAGCTTCAAGGGAATTTCCGCCGAGTACATCTACTTCTGCGCCTACCTCGCTCCGAAGCTCCTATCGAGCTATCAAGGGTGAATGAAAAACTCCTATCCAATTTCCTCGAAGCTCTTGAATCCACCGGAGCGGCAAAGAGAATCAAGCGGTTCATCTTGACGTGTGGTTTCAAACAGTATGGTGTGCATATCGGACCGGCAGAGCAACGCCTTCTCGAAGGGGACCCGCTATTGGAACAGAGCCGACGCAAAGTTTCATGGCCTCCTATATTCTATTACGACCAGCAGCGTATACTGGCTCACGCTGCCAAGAGAGGGGGCTGGGAGTGGGTTGCGACTCTCCCCGAAAACGTTTTGGGATATGCTCCAGGGAATTTCATGAATGAAGCCATGGCACTCGGGCTCTATTGTGTGGTGAGCAAGATCCTCCCGGGGTCCGAGCTACCATTTCCGGGAAGTAAAGCGAACTACTTCACTTTCAATTGCTGGACTTCGGCCAATCTGCATGCCAAATTTTGCCTCTGGGCCGCGAAGGCACCTGGCGCGGGGAATCAGATATTCAATGTCATGAATGGCGATACGGAGTCCTTTCAAAATTTGTGGCCTCGTCTGGCTTCGCGATTTGGGTGTCGTATTCCAGACCCTATGTTTCCCCACGGCGGTACCCCTGGAACGCAGGGCTTCAAGGCCTATGATTCATCGACGATCCGGCTGCAAAATATTCCTCTCCTCAAATCGGCGGCGGCGGCGCTAGGTCTTTCAGCTGATCCCATCCTTGAGAACCCTCCAACGCTATTCCTTCAAATAGACCCGGAAAAATGGGCAAAGAGAGCGGATGTGTCGACTGCGTGGGCCATTTTGCGGAACAAGTATGGTCTGGATCAGAGGGCGTGGGAGAAGGCAACATGGAGTTTCCTGACCACCACCTTGGGGAGAGACTGGAGCTGTGTGGGAAGTATGAGTAAGGCGAGGAAGTTGGGCTGGACTGGATATGCGGATACCTGGGAGGAGCTGGAGGAAACATTCCAGGTCCTTGAGCGAGAAGGCGTCTTGCCGCCAGTAGACCAGCTGAAGGCAGACTTCTAATCAAACACAACGTATTTCTTGGTCCCAAAATAAAATAAAATTCAAACCTAAATCAACAGAGCAGAATTAAGCCTGAGGTTGAGAAGCGGGCACAATCAAAGCGGGTCGCAGAAGCACTGTGACATGGACTGTATAGAAACGTATTTGGTATTGCCATCGACAGCCATATTGGACGGTGAGGAGGGCAGAGAGATCTCCAGGAGTTGGTGCTTGAGATCTTGGTATTTTCTATTTAGCAAGTTACAACTTACATTGAAATTCCATCCTGTACGGAATCTACTTCCGTAGACCTTCCAAACGATGATGTCAAGAGCGTCGATACGTGTTAAAAAGTGATTTCCTGCTGCCATGGGTCACGGCCTAGGAGATTCTGCATCTACGTCTGGATCTCCTCTTCGTCAATCAAATTATAATATGCCACGGCACAGTAATGGCCAGCATGTTCTCTTAACAGGAGCGAATGGCTTCGTTGCTTCCCACATATTGTCTATTTTGATCGAGGTAAGGGCTTTTGACGAGCCTCCAAAACATAGTACAATGCTGACATCTCGACAGCGAGGGTATCATATCACTGCTACCGTACGATCTCATGAGAAAATCGACGCCATTCTCAAGACCCACCCGTCTTGGAAAAATAACATAGATTTCACGGTAGTAGCGGATTTCACTACGGAGGAGCCGTTTGATGATATTTTTCACAATACAACCAAGCCATTCGACTATGTCATTCATACGGCCTCACCACTAAGGTTTCAGGTCAACGATATTCGGAAAGAGATGATCGAGCCAGCTGAGATGGGGTAGGCCCACCGAAACTTGACCAGACGAAGACACGGCATCTGCTAACACATATTAGAACCACCAAGATTCTGAGAGCGGCTCAGAAGTACGGCGGCTCTTCACTGAAACGCTTTGTCCTGCTTGGCAGTGCAGTTGCTGTCTTGAATTCGTTCGAAGACATGACGAAAGAAGGGAAGCCGTACACGGAGAGAGATTGGAATCCGGTATGTCACTTGTCTCCTTCCATCACATACATGATCTGTTTTGCTAATGTTTTATAAGGTCACTACAGAGCAAGCAGTCGAACGAAAGGACCCTGTCCTCGGATACAACGTATCAAAGACCCGAGCTGAGGCTGATGCATGGGAACTCATGAAAAGCAATAAGCCAACTTTTGATCTGGCGGTTATCAATCCAGATATCATCATCGGTCCAATGATCCACCCAATTTCAGGACCACGTTCCATCAACCAGACCAATCAATTTGCTATTGCCAGCTTTATCGATGGAACACACAAGGATATCGAGGGTCTCACTTTCCCTTTCTATCATTTTGTATGTCACAAGGATTCCCACGGCGTCAGCCATCCAATGCATATGTTGGCTGACCGATTCTAGGTGGACGTTCGGGACGTTGCTCGAAGTCATGTCGATGCACTGACGAATCCTGCCGCGTCTGGCCAGCGCATTCTGCTTATAGCAGGTCTGATTTCGCCGCAGCTGGTCGTGAACATCATCAGAGAGAATTTCCCCCAGTTGAGAGAACGTGTCCCTGAAGGAAACCCTTCTCAGATCCTTCCCCCCGGAATTCATCCGACTGGATGGGACATGCGTGTCAGCATTGACATTCTGGCGAAAGGCACCAATGAGAAAAGATGGAATTATATAGATCTAAAGCAGAGCGTTATTGACACGGTGAATTCTATGCTTGAGCATCGTGTGATTTAATTGCCGTGCGTCTCCTAAACTGCATGTCATTCCAGTTTCTACGCAGAACAATTTCCGCCTAGAGTATGGTCTTTCAACTCGGAATAAGCCAATCTTGTTTGTCCGCTGAATGAGTTCAGTCACCGCCAGGCGCTAGGGGGGAAAGCTCCTTCTCCCTGGATCTCCTTCCCCTAGTGTACATAGAAGTTACCCGGTCGCTCTCGTCTCCGTCTTTGGTAGATCTACAACAGTGTGGTGCTTGCTGTACTCCTTACAGTGCCCAGCTCGCTCCTCAGATTCTGACGGCAATTCTCATTTCGCCGCAGAACTGACTACTTAGATCGGACCATTTTACTTCACAGCCATGTTTCGGGGTCCTCGCTCTTGGGAGGGTCGTCGGGCATCTCTGCGGCGATCATTGGCGTGTGTTCTCTCATTCCGGATATGGCCTTCTAAATTATCGCAACTCACACCGACAGGCTTTGAAGGGTTTTTGCTGTTATGCAAGGAATAGACAGGTCCTTTCCTACTGAGAGACTGCAATGATAATAAGATGGGGTGTATCATTCCACAAGGCCAAGAGGTGCATTCTGATGCCGCAATGGCCTTCATTTTCTACTTCGCCCTGGAGATGCCGATCTCTACACCTACTTATGATCACGAGAACTTATGGGCTAGTTGACTAGCACTCAGATAAGCACGTAGAATCCGGAATTTGAGACATCAAAAATGGATACATTGCAAATAGATACAGGTAATGGAGAATGTGGTGGAAGGGCATAACAGATTCATCATGCAGCATTTGCCGAGGCGACAGGAAAAGAGGGTGCACGCTCGCTCAAATCTCCAAAAGAAAAACAAAGGCAACCATCCAGTCTCTCTTGATTACCACATCCATGCGAAAGATGAATCCCAGAAAGAAGAAAAGAGGAGAATGTGAGAAGGCGAAACAGGATTCGAATGGGAAAAAAGAGTCAAAGCATAACTCATACACAGGCCTAGTTGAGACCCGTCAAGGTACAGGGACCAAAACGTCAACTCATCTTCATCGATTCGGAGGAACGGAGATCATTCCTCAACTTATTTGGACTTTTCCCAGCCAACCCAGCTTCGAGGCATTGGCCGCCAAACTTTACACTCGCCACTGCGCATGTCATTAAGCTTGAAGCTCTCCATCTTGACCTTCTTATTTTCACGACCTTGCTCCCACGCCCGGATCTTCTTCTTCGTGCCATCCCAGTCGACAACGATACCGACGTGGTCGGGTTTACCGACCTCAGCGCTGTATTTCTGGTGCATGGTGCCCTTGTGGCCTTGGAACCGAGCGTTCCTGAAACTTACAATGTCACCGGCGCGGATCTCGTCATTCTGCGACACAGAGGCATTCGCCAAATTGGCATACACCACAGCGCCATATGCACGGGTACCCACGGGAAGAAGGACATCGGGAAGAGGGCTTAACAGATGCTGAACCAGGCCAAACGGAGTTCCATCGCCCACAGTGGTATTCTGGACGGAATTGACAGCTTCAGAGATTCGGGTGCCAATGGAGAGATGTGCTTGCTCCAGCTGATCCTGGCGAGGCAAGTGCGGAGGTGGCTCATGACGCTGCTCAAGACTCGCATCACCAGGATTCTTGGGATCGAATTTCACGCTAATGACTGTCTGCGAGTAATCAATAAACAGGACGTAGACGTCCTTTGATATTGTGGTCTTCCCGCCTCGCTTCGTAGATGACTCCTCCTCGACCTCGAAGAGGAGATCTTTGCGATTCTGGAACACAGGGGGAGGTGTGTTTGGCTGTGCCCACCACAGTGTATTCTCGGCGAGGTCAATATCAGCAGCAATAAAGCCCAAGTCAACTGAGGGGCGGGTGACATCTACGGATCGCCGAACGTTTGAACTGCCTCGCAGCATGTCCATTGAGAGTCGTCCACTTCGTGCCACCGATGGTGATGCCATTGGAGCTTGAGCGTGGGGTGGTGGCGGTGGAGGCGCCGCTGCCGTGGGCACTTGCTTCTCATTTCCAGCAAATGGAACCTCGCTCAGTTTACCTTCCACGGGCGACTCGTCATAAAGGTCGTCAAAGTCAGCTGAAAAGTCCTTAGAAACAGGCGGTGGAGGCAAAACGGGAGGAGCCTGAGGTCGGCTACTCGGAGTGGAAATGTGAGGGAGGCCCGCCTGAGGTATGGCATGGTTGAAAGGGTCATATTCTTCATCTTCATCGCGAGAGGACTCCCTGTGAGGAGGGGGTGGGGGTGGTCCCCTAGGTGTATCGACTGAGGGTCGGGAGCTGCGAGGCTGGCTGGGAGGAGGGGGCGGTACCCCCTCGGGGGGGCTGCAGTTGGGGGAAGCGGAGGGGGTGGTCGGCTCTCAGGCGGACTACGAGGGGATTGAAGATCATCGGTGAGAAGGCCCTCATCGAGGCTAGAGTCACGCTCATGGGCCTTCAGGGCGTCCTTGTGTTTGGCCCCAGATGCGATGTCGGTGTCATAGTCTCCGTCGTACTCGGTCACCTCCCCTTCAACGTCTTCTCCCGCCTGTCGTGGTGCCGATACTCCGCTCATTCGGCTGTCGGCGGTTGACCGCCGGCGAAGGTCACCAGGGGGTGGTGGGGGCGGGGCGCGACCATGGGCTGGAGGCAACGGAGGGCTTGTTGGGATCGGAGGAGGCGGACGGCTCGCTCGCTTCTCAGCTACCGATCCTGGCGTAGGCTCATAAGTCGAAGATCGGCGAGATTCGGAGGCATCAGGAATTGCAGGATCGGGCACTGCTGGGGCAGCACCAGCTGGCTGACTCAAAGACAAATTCTTTGCATGTAGAGATAATTCATCGTCTGACTCGTCGCCATGGTCGCCCGTTGCTGGCCTGGGCGGTGGGATGACAGGGCGGCCTTGGGATCAACTAGTCAGTTCTTTGAAGGGTTCTCGGGGCCAATGAATAGATAGCAAGCATACCTCCGGGGACGGGTGGGGGGAAGCAGGTTGCTCCGCGGGAACCGGGGGTGGAGGAGCGGGTCGCGAGTCAGAAAGCGGCGGAGCTGGAGCTGTGCGTTGTCAGATTCTATACGCTCCAAGATCCAAGGATGGTGGATTGGGGAGCTTACCACGAGTGGGAGGAAGAGGAGGAGGTCTGTCGGTAGACCTGCGGGGCGGGGGGCCTTCATGAACAACCTCCTCGACATCAGGAACATCCTGTGCCCTATGTTGTTCATGGATAGGCGATGCCAAAGGTTCTTCTTCCTCCTTTTCGACTTCAGGAGGAGTAGGCTTATGAGCTAGACTCATGCCGGGAAGAGGAACCATTGGGACCGGAGGAGCAGGCGAAGTAGGCTCAGAATCAATATTCTTCTTCTCAGCCTCAGATGTAGCTTTCGACTTGCGTGGAGGAGGAGGAGCTCCCATTCCTGGCATACCACCAGGGGGCCCAAACAGTCCTACCATGCCCATACCGCCACTCATCTTGGCCATTCGAGCTCGGAGCTCCATTCGCCGTCTAGTTTCAGGATCCATTTCATCCTCTTCGTCTTCCTCCTCGTCCTGTGCCTTTACATCTGTATCCTCTCCTTCGGCTATTTCCTCGGATGTGGCAACGTCTTGCTGACGAGGGCGCTCTTCGTCTTCTTCTTTACTGGCGGAAGTCTCGCCAGCATCCTCTGAATCAGCTGCGGCGGAATAATCGGCATCATTTGCATCGCTCATGACCTCCTCCTGTGGTGAAAATGGAGCAGGCTGGGGAGGGGGGATCTTGGCTCTTAATGTGTCAACGCTTGGGTCCCGTGCCCCTGTTGAGGGTTCAACAGGCTCAGACCCTGCATCGCCAATATTTTCCGTGGACGCCGCAGCTTCAGTAGGCTGCTCGATAGGCTTCTTGGGGGGCTTGGGCTTCTCCTTCTTTTGAACTGCTTCTGCATGGCGCTGAGCTTGTTCTAATTGCTGCTTCTGGAGAAGGGCAATTCGGTCTTTCAGGCTAGTAGGCTTAGGCTGATCCTCACCAGCCTCTTCAGTATCTTGCGAGGGAGGTGGAGGAGGAGCCGGACGGCTTTCAGATAGGGGGGGCTCACGGGCGAGCTGCTCCTTCACTTCCGGATCTTCCTCGCGCCTGTAAATCTTTGGAGCAGGCTCTCTAGGTGGTGCCACGTAGGAATCTTTGCTGGGAGGCGGGGCAACGAATTGTTTCTTAATAAAGGAAGACGGCTGGGAACCTCCAGGCTTGAAGGGCTGAACTGGTGCCGCTGCTGGTTTGTTGAAAGCTGCGATTCGATCTTTAAATGAAGAACCTGAAGGCTTCTCTCCCACAGCCGGGGGTGGGGGTTTGGATGCCTTGACCGGGGGCGGGGCTGGAGCGGATGCCGCAGCCGCAGGTGCCGAAACTGGAGCCGGCGCTGGCGCAGGTTGAGGAGGTGATGAAGGGACCTCTACAGATGGGCTCGATAATTGAGGCGATTGAGGAGGAAGTTGCTGAGAAATCGGCTCCGGCTCCAGCTCCTGCTCCGCAGCTGCAACCTCGGGCTCCGGCTCCGGCAGGGTTTCGGGGACCGCCGCAGGAGACTCAGCAGGAGCAGGTCCGGAATCTTTCTTTGCTCTGCTTGGGCGGTTGGGGCGAGGCGGAGCCGGAGGGTCGTACTTCTCGACGAAGTTTTTGGGGAAGATGCCCTCGTGTTTAGCCCCCGCGCTGTCCGTGTATTCACCAGAGTACCATTCAGCATCTTCCACGTCAGTAACGGTAATTACTTGGCCGATTGGAAAGCTGAGGTCGTCATCGTGGCCCGAAGTATACTCGAAGACCGCTCGGACCGTGAAGGGCGGGTTGGACATTTGGCACGTCGACACCCGCTCTCGGAGAAACAGGAGGGCTCAATAGGACGCGGGAGGATAGGATTCACGGCAATGAGGCGAGAGCGGGAAAGCTCAGAGACAGTTTCTTTTAATCTGCCTTCCACGAGGGAATGGAAGTTGATTTTGCTTCGAATTCAGTCAGCTTGGCCGAAGCGTCGGTGCCTAGCAGGGAATGAGGGGAATCGGGTAGGAGGGGTCGGGTAGGGTTGGAATAGCTCACAGTATTCAATGAGAACCGGCCTCCTTAACTAGAGGTAGCGACTGAGAACCGACGTAAAGGATCGCCACAGACACTGTTAGTAGGATAAGGAGGGAAAGGTGGAAGGATGAGAAGTAGCGAGGTTGGTCGTCACTCGGCGGGACGAGGGAGGCTCCACTGGCGATCGGCAACTGACAGGAAACCGAAGGACTTTGGACCTGGAGGAAAGACCAATGATATAGACAAAAGCAGATAGCTCCGATGAAGAAGATGCAAAGCGGGCCTTGGTCTGTCTACTAATCTAAGTTTAATTAGGGGTGTATTCTGGAACTTCTGGAAACCTGTAGCTTGGGACCTTGACGTACCCAAGCGTCTTAGGCGAAACACGCAACTTTAGTTCCCAAACACCCCCCTAAATCAAACTAGCAGGAGATTGTGCCGGTATGACCTCTTGAAAGTCAATAGAGTGCTTAATTTTCGATCGCTGTTGCAGTCCTTTATCTTGACTTTTAAAATAAAACCCCCCCAGTACCCACGCGGTCACAAGGACTGACGACACATACGACGCATACGTCAGAAACCGAGGGGTGAAGTGTCGCAGCTCTCATTGGCGAGTATCAGAGGCGTTTTGCCTTTCCCCGTTTTCCGCGGTCACGAACCATAAAATCTGCCGACAGGAGAAACTGCACCTCCAACACAGCCACAGAACCTGCTTGTTTCACGGCACCGTCAATCTCATCAACAATGGCGACGCCCCCAGCTCCCGCAAAATCACCACTCAAGACCTCGTTGCCATCTGCGTTTGCTGCCGTGAGCGCCGAGCAACCACCCGCGCCACAGCCGTTTCCTTCACAAGATGACCAAGAGAAATACCTCCAAAACCGCCCTGGCGCAAACGCGCATCATCTCAGCATCGCAATGCAGCACGCGCACCAAATCCAAGCCCAAAAGGAATCTGAGAATATGATCCTGGATCGTACGATCGAACTCCTTGAGCTCCCCACCTCTTCCGCTGCCGACCCCGCCAACCCCGTTGCGCCAGATGTGCTCGCCTTCAAAACGGCGCTGTCTGTCTTCCGACCTAGCGACTACGACAACTTGATCTTGGAACGAAATTACGAAGATCTATGTGGCTACGGGCTCTGTCCGCGCAAGAATCGCAAGCAAGGGAACTTGAAAGGCAATACGTTTCATTTCAAATGGGGTGCTAAAGGCAGTGGACCAGGCGGTCGAGGACGCAGCATGGATATTGTCCCCCGAGAGGACTTGGAGAAGTGGTGCTCTGATGAGTGTGGAGAGCGCGCTCTCTTTATAAGAGTGCAGCTCGCCGAAGAGCCAGTATGGGCGAGACGAGCGACAGACGCGCGGGGCTCCAACATCACTCTTCTGGAAGAAGAGCGTGCGAAACTGAAGTCGAAGCGCAAGGCCAAAGGCAAAGGAAAAGCGCCCGATGCGGCAGATGTTGTCGCTGGCTTGGAGGACTTGAAAATCCAGGAACCCAGCCACTCACATCCAGATGTTGTCGCCGGCTTGGAGAACCTAAATATTCAAGACCCCGACCGCTCACGCAAACTTGCTGTCGAGCGTGGCGACTCCGCCATCGCATTCCGCGATGGACGAGTGGACATTCACATCCAAGAAAACGAGAATGCATCGCGAGCATCCGCAAGTGCGCCCCAGCTGCGTCCCGAGGATGCACTTGGAGGCTCCATTGAAGGTTATGTTCCCCAGGACGAGAAAAAGACTCGGCGACGTTGGATGGGCCAGATTTGTTTGACCAAATCTGATGGCAAAAGTCAGGGAATTTTTTTTGGAGTTTACGGGCGTTCTACAATAATACCCTAGGGCATAAACGTTTATGATAACCTACCATGATAACTACGACGAAGCAAATTATGAAGCGGCCAGGTCATCCATGTTCCGGAGAAGCAATGCATAACCAAGAGCCATGGTCCTGAGCCTCTCGAAAAAGAGTCCAAGTGCTCCTACAGTGTAAACTCAGGACTCGAAAAGCCCAACGAGCGATAACACACGTGGAAAAGTTTTGGCAATCAAGCGTCATCTCTGGAGAGAATCGGCGACACCTTTGTCATAGGGAATCATCTTTTTTCATTCCTCATCCATGGGTAACCTCCATTCTTAGACTAAAACCGTGATAGCCGGGGAAGTAAGACAGCCAGAACAAGTATCGGGGTGAACGCCGGGTGTCGACCGAAAACAGAACTTTTGCTCTTTTCGAGATCGCTAGATCTAGCGAGGACCGAAGCGGCGGGGGCGGTCAGCCTGCTGCTGCTGGGAGACAGTAACAACGTTGACCTTGAGGTTGTCGAACTAAAGAATTGCGCAAGTTAGGATATTTTCGACTTTGTATAATGAGATTCAGGCAAACATACGCCGAGGGACTTGAGCAAGTCCTTGGTGTCGGCATCAACGTCGAGCTGACCGGACTCGGTCTGGGAGACATCCAGAGCAGAGACCTCAGGGACGTACTGGTCCTTGCGCTCACGCTCCTCCTCCTGGAGCTTGAAGGAAAATACCGCGGACGGGACCACGCTGGATACGCTTCATCAGGTGGGTGGTGTAACCGGCGATCTGTGTGAAAATTACATTAGTTTGACGTTTGGGTTATGGTATATGCCTCGATTGTAGTCGAGAGTTTCGTACCTTGTTGCGAAGACGCTTGGAGGCAATGATGGCGACCTCATCGCAGATACGCTTGTTGGTCTCGAAGTCGAGGGTGAGCTTGGGGTAGTAACGCTCGATGATGACCTTAGCGGAGCGCTTGACGGTCTTAGTTCTGACGCGACCCATGTTGGCGGATTGTTGGCTGGACGGATGTTCGAAGATTCAGATTCGCAAGCCGCGAATTGATGGGGTGTTCTTCGGCTAGCTGTGTGGAACCTGAGCCCTACTGGGCCCAGGGCTGACCTGGTCACGGGATCTGGCAAGATACTTCCGTAATTGGCTGGGCCCGCTGCGATTCAGCCTGAAAACCAAGGAACCAATAGTTGGCAACTATTAACACAGCCAACAAATCAGGGAGCCTGGTGAAGATGGGTATGGCTAATTTGCAAATCATAAAATAGGTCAATAGGTCACACAGTATGAGATTGATGCATCGGGTTTATATATAACATAATCAAATCAAACAACGGTAGCTTTACATCAGCGCCGGCTCTAATAGTACATTGGTTGCCAGATTTCCCTCTAACCTTCCACAGTTTCTTCTTGCTGATGACTCAACGAGCCTTCAGATTCTTCAGAAGATTCTTGGCAATATCCTGTGTTCCCTGCATAGGCTGCGAAGACCGTTCGCGAGGGCTTGCAGACGGGCGGTTACGTCCCAGGTTGTGTACGCGAGCGTCCAGTCGAGGAACAACGGACGCCTCGCGACTGGCGACCTCAGATATAGTGGTAGTCGCAGGCTTCTTGTAGTCTTCGATTTCGTATGGCGCCTTCGCGTTGGCACTGGCTCGGTAAGAGGAAAGATTGATCTTGCCCTCCGAGTCGATGGCAGCTCGGATAGGAGTGACCCAGTACTTGGCACCACCGGGAATGGTTGCGTCAAAGAAGGTGAGACCCGGAAGGGTACCCTGGTCGGCAAAGGTCATTGCGTTCAGATCCTCTACGGCTATACCACCAATACCCGCGATGGCCTTGGATGGCCGTCCCTTGAAACGACCCTTTGGTCGCAAGATACGAGCTTCAACTGGGCGCTGGAAAGCTTGGGGCCCATACCGGGGGTGGTTGTATGTCAAGGCGTGGGACCGGGTGTAGGAGAGACCGGCAGATGGGTGCGTCTTAGGAGGTCCACTCACGGCGTATTCGGCGGATGAGAGCTGGGTGCCTGGAGACTGGAAATACTTCCGCCCAATTCGCTCGCTAGGAACCGCAGGAGACGATGGCAGGTCCAGAAGTTCGAACAATCCAGGGCCCATAGCAAGTGGGTTCTCTCTAAGAGACTTGAGGTATCGTTGGAACTCTGCATCTGTGCTCTTGGGGGGGGCCTGAAGAGCTTCCAAGTCCTCCCCCTTGTCCTGGGCTTGCTTCCTGGCCTCCGCAAAGCGCTTAGCATCGAACTGCTCCCGAAGTTTGTGCAGTAATTGTGGCTTTCGCTGCTTGACTTCCTTCAAGTATGCTTCAAACTCAGTACCAGATTGACCGCTCAGCCAAGGTCCCGCGTGTCTATATTGCCTGGCGCCAGGCTCTTCCAAAGCTTGGCTAGTGTGTGTGTTGTCGACATGAGTCTCAAATGGACTCTGGTGTCTAGGAACAATGCTAGTTGCGTAATTGACCCGAGAAGGAAGGGAAATTGGCATGTGTAATTCCTGGAACTTCTCGAGGGTCACAGTGTGATCGGCTGCAGATTCGAAGTCGGTGACATGTTCATAGGTATCTAGCGCTTGGACTCTCACAACGGGTCGTGACGATCTATCGGAGGTAGATTTCGCAGGAGTGGTCGCTTCAAACCCCAATCGCCTCGACCGAGCGATTTTGTTGGTGTAACGATGGAAGCTCGTATGGGATGAGGGAGTGTTGCCGTGTCTGACTCGTGAACCCAACGCGACGATGGCGGGTCCTGTGGAGGTTGCAAGGCCTGGGGCAATGCAAATAAGCGGGATTTCCGCAGGAGATTCGCCGTTGGCGATAGCCTAGCGGTCGTCATCTTTGCTCAATGCCAGGATGCTACGAATGGACAAGTTCGCGCGAGAAAAGTTGGCCGGAAATCACGGGCCCTTCCGCTCCGGCCGCGCACAACAACCGAAAACGCAATTTGTTCATATATTGAGACTATTATTATTGATGATATTGTGATCTTCGATGTTTTGCTAGACTTATCTCCGTCTCAGTCTGATTTTTTCTAGCGAGTAAGCTCTATATCTTCAACGCTGCTGGATAGCACTATTCACGCCCTGCGCCCAGCTCCAGCAAAGAGTTAACAGCATCAGAGACGGATTCTCTCAATGATCTGTACTTCATACCTAGAAGCTCCTTCGATCTACTGTTACTGAACTCAAGGGTACCCTCCATTGAATCATCCTCCGCATCCTTCGGTGGTAGTTTAGAATCCAGCTCGGGGTGAGTCTCGCGGATGACATCGGCGATCTTCTTATTAGAGAAGAAGCCCTCGAGGACAAAGAATCTCTTGCCTCCGGCTTCGGAGACTTCAATGGCCTTGACATGTGCCAGTGCAACATCACGAACATCGACCCAGAACATCACACCTGTCGGAGGGAGCTGTTCCTTGTATTTCCCACGAACCAAGTCCAAGATCCGCTGATTTGAAGTGTTGATGGTCTCGAGCGAGTTCAGGTAGTGAACAACAGGGCCTAGTACCAGAGGCGGGTTGATCGTAGCGAGATCGAAGTTTGGCTTCTCTTTTCTCCACAAATTCCCAAGCAGCCTTTTCGGCAAAAGTCTAACCAGCGCCAGTAAGAAAAGGCACTAATCGCGATTCGACAAGAGCGATATTTCACTTACCTTACTGCCTCTGTATACTCGAGAATGGTCCAAAGCCTCTTCCCAGGTAATCGGGTTCCACACCGTCTCGTCGTAGACCTTCGGGTGTCCACTAGGGTTTACAATCGCAGCGAAGGATGATGTAACGACCACGCGCTTTACGGAAGGAGCATAGGCCTTGATGGACTTCAAGATACCAGTGGTGCCCTTGATTGCAGGATCAAGGAAATCCTTCACGGGATCTTGGACGTTGAAGTGGAAAGGCGATGCGGTATGAAGTACATAATCAAAAGGAGGGTCCGATTTCACGGCCTATGTTCGATATAGTCAGCCCAGTCATCCACCTTGTAATCGCCGGCTTGTTTACCTCGTCAAATGCGCCATCTTGAGCAACATCCGCGACAATGACAAAAGAAAGCTTCTCTTTGGGAACATTCGCGTGAGCGTCGAGGATACGCTTGCCCTTCTCTTCAGATCGGACAGTCACTACGGTGTCGAAACTGAATTGTCTTGATTAGAGACGTGCAACTCCACTCAATAGCCAAAGAGTACTCACCCATGCTCCAAAAGGATATCAATAATGTGGGCAGCGATGAAACCACTACCACCTAGAAACCAACTGATTAGAGTGATGTGCTATTGACCAGACCTCTCGAAAATAGTTACCTGTGAGAAGAACTTTGACCATTTTGGCGAGAAGGCAAGGGTAAACCTATTGAGAAAACTGTTCGTGAAACCTGGGGTGACTGAGGTAGATTACTGCGTAGAAGAGAGGGGTGTTTCCCTCTTTTATGCTCATACCCGCCCTTAACCCCGTCCCTCAATCCCGTCATAGTTCCACCAAGGGCGGGCCGATAAGCCCCCCTCATCTTACACGCACTGCAAAACACCGCAGCGATTATGAATTCACCATCCCCATAAATGGTTCGGTCAATCCATTCAGAACTTAGCAGCATAGGAACTCAGCCCAGTCAGCTTTCGATATTACCCAAATGATTTGACATTTGATGTGTGAAGTGAAAAGGAAACCACTCCCTTACTACGCGGCCGTCGGAGATAACGGGAAAAGTAAAACTACTGGTATTTCTAAGCTAATCCGGCCAATCAGGTCTGGTTTAAAGGGATATAGTCTAGACACGATGCACCTTGGGTGGCATACTTAAACAACTTCCGAAATTTGCAAAAGATGAAAATCTAAGCCTGAATAACTTAGGGGTAACTTGAATTTTGTGCTCTACTTGCTGTGCTGTACGAACTCACTCAAAGCATTGTACTCACCCAAGCACGTATTGGGAACTCTCGGCTGCACACATCGATTCATTGATATAGCTGCTTCAAGAAAAGAATCACGTCTTCATGACTCTTCTAAGTACCTCCGAGGAAGTTTCAGTTTTGTCCTAACGTGGACAATGCGGTTTATAGAGGCCAGTCTCAACCCCACGTCCACCACTGTACAATTAGTAACGAGGCCTGAAGGAAATCTGGAGTATGCCAGAAAGTAGCTTCCCTACGCTTATAGAGCTATACAATATCCACTAGTGTGGTAGTATATCCGGTTCTTCGGGTATAAGGCTGAAAAATATTTAATAATACGGCCAATAGTTACCTTTTCTTAGCTAAACAGCTGGAAGGTATCGCTGGCTATTGTTGGTACCAGGTGGGCAGATGCACTGCCAAAGCTCCTTAATCAGCGCATTGCACGAAAACCCTATTGAAGTCCCTGCTTCTTGCTGCCTAGCACTAGTGTCAGCATTAGAGGATATGATTTACAAAAGCTTGCAGTATTCCAAGGTTCCAGTCGTGGCATCGACACTACCCGCCCTGGGCGCCCTAAATCAGCCTCGAAGAGGTACACGAGCTTGGTAGATTGGTTCATCATTGGTTCATCATCCGAAAGTTCTTCCAAGATCTGAATCTCCATGTCTCTTTATTATGCGCAAGTACTTCATCGCAACTGGTAGATCACATTAAACGGTAGATAATGTTGCTTGATGCGTTCGTGACCTTTCCGAGATGCAGGGAGCTTAATAAATATATGTTGCTCTTCCAAGCTGAACTATTCAGCTGATCTGCCCATACCAGATTATATGAATAAATTACATGAACATACCTGATTAAATAAATCCTTCTCAACGTAGAAGGAGTTCCGATCAGTAGCAGTTTCCATAAGATCAGAGGAATGTATACCCAAATCGCGCCAAGTCAGGGTGGAAGCCATCCCTGGCCCGTGCGCCCGCGGTCTTCGACGTGGAGCCTCACACTGACCCTCCCACTCCAACTGAACTTCTATGCGTCCAGCGTCTCTGCTTTTCCCTAAAGGTTGGCTTCCAATGTCCACCCTGGGGTGCAGCTTGCAATAATGGCGCAAGCAGGTCCTATGACAGACCTGACACAGCGACTTTTTGTGGACCTCAGGTCCAAGAATGAGGATGTCCGCGCTCGAGCTGCCTACGAGCTGTACGACTACGTGCTCTCTGTCTCACGAGGTATATACGTACATGTCTAGAGACCAATGCTGTACACTCACCCGACTAACTCACTTTATTTGCTTCTAGATTGGCCATCGGAGAAGTTCGTCGAGTTTTACAACGCTGTCAGCCAACGAATAGCCCAGCTAGTCGTTACCGGGAATGACGCAAATGAGAGAATCGGCGGCCTTCTAGCGCTGGACCGGCTCATCGACTTTGACGGTGTTGATGCTGCTCAGAAAACTACCAGATTCGCTAGCTACCTTCGCAGCGCCCTTCGAAGCAACGAGAATGTGGTCTTGGTATATGCGGCTCGATCGCTAGGGCGTTTGGCGAAGCCAGGCGGTGCTTTGACTGCGGAATTAGTGGAGAGCGAGATTCAGTCAGCTCTGGAATGGCTTCAGTCGGAGCGCCAGGAGAGCCGACGATTTGCGGCTGTTCTAGTGATCCGCGAGCTTGCCAAGGGCTCACCGACGCTGCTGTATGGCTTCGTACCGCAAATCTTCGAGCTGGTCTGGGTGGCATTACGAGATCCAAAGGTTTTGATTCGAGAAACTGCTGCGGAGGCCGTGGGAGAGTGTTTTGAGATTATCGTGGCACGCGATGCGCAAGTTCGTCAGTCATGGTTTGCCCGCATCTACGAAGAGGCGTTGCTAGGCCTCAAGTCTCACAATGTCGACTGGACCCATGGATCTCTTCTTATCCTGAAAGAGTTGATTCTGAAGGGCACCATGTTCATGAATGAACACTATCGAAACGCCTGCGAGATCGTACTTCGCCTTAAAGATCATCGTGATGCCAAGATTCGTACCCAAGTTGTTCTCACTATTCCTATTCTTGCATCCTACGCCCCCACCGACTTCACTGAGATCTACTTACATAGATTCATGATCTACCTACAAGCGCAACTCAAACGAGAGAGGGAACGAGATTCAGCCTTCATTGCGATCGGGAAGATCGCGAATGCTGTTGGACCGGCTATTTCTCAGTATCTGGATGGTATAATCGTCTACATACGGGAGGGACTAGCCATGAAAGCGTATGATTCTTATTTTAACTTACCTTTATCGCCATATCGTACTAACTGCGTCATCATAGGAGAAATAGAGGAGGTGTTAAAGAGGCTCCTATGTTTGAGTGTATCAGCATGCTCTCACTGGCTGTAGGACAAGCTCTCAGCAAATACATGGAGGCATTGCTCGACCCGATCTTCGCTTGCGGCCTGAGCCCAGCATTGACACAAGCTTTGGTTGATATGGCACATTACATTCCGCCCATTAAACCTACGATCCAAGAGAAACTACTCGACATGCTCAGTATAATCCTCTGTGGCACACCATTCCGGCCACTGGGCTGTCCTGAGAATCGCCTACCTCCAATACCTTCCTTTGCGAAGGACTTCGCAATTCATGAGCCACATGCAGATTCGGAGATTGCATTAGCTTTACATACTCTGGGAAGCTTCGACTTCTCTGGTCATATCCTGAATGAATTCGTTCGTGATGTCGCCATTAATTATGTGGAAAACGATAACCCGGAGATTCGAAAGGCATCAGCGCTCACCTGCTGTCAACTCTTTGTCCATGACCCAATTATCAACCAGACCAGTGGCCACTCCATCCAAGTCGTTGGCGAGGTCATTGATAAACTCCTGACAGTCGGCATTGGGGACCCTGACCCAGAGATCAGACGGACTGTGCTATGGTCATTAGATGCTAAATTTGACAAGCATCTGGCCCGGCCAGAGAACATCCGATGCCTGTTCCTTGCCGTCAACGACGAGGTTTTTGAGGTCAGAGAAGCAGCAATTTGCATGATTGGGCGTCTCTCCAGTGTGAACCCCGCTTATGTATTTCCACCCTGCGGAAGTTGCTGGTCAACCTTCTCACCGGCCTGGGATTTGCCAATACAGCTCGTCAAAAAGAGGGAGACTGCTCAGCTCATCAGTCTGTTTGTGTCAAATGCTACGAAGCTGATAAGATCATATGTGGATCCTATGGTGACGGCCCTCCTGCCCAAAGCCACAGATCCCAATCCTGGCGTGGCCGCAGTCACGCTCAAGGCAGTTGGTGAACTTGCTAACGTCGGTGGAGCTGAGATGAGGCGCTACTTGACACAGATCATGCCCATAATATTGGATTCCCTTCAGGACCTATCTTCTCACACTAAACGAGAAGCCGCATTGCGAACACTCGGTCAGTTGGCAAGTAACTCAGGCTATGTGATTGAGCCATATCTCGAATATCCTCACCTTATGGACGTTCTCATCAACATCACCAAGACGGAGCCAACGGGGACTCTCAGGAATGAGACCATCAAGCTGATTGGTGTTCTCGGTGCACTTGACCCGTACAAGTACCAACAAATTAGTGATGCGGAGCCCGATGTTCACCACATCAACGAGATACAGAATGTTTCCGATGTGGCTCTGATCATGCAAGGACTGACTCCATCAAACGAAGAATACTACCCAACGGTTGTCATTCACACTTTGTTGCAGAACATTTTGCGAGAAAATTCGTTGGTTCAGTATCACTCAGCCGTGGTCGATGCTATTGTGACTATTTTCAAGACGTTGGGGTTGAAATGTGTGCCGTTCCTTGGGCAAATCATCCCTGGTTTCATTTCTGTTATCCGAAGCTCACCCACGAGTCGGTTGGAATCGTACTTTAACCAACTGGCTATTCTGGTCAATATCGTGCGACAACACATTCGTGCTTTCTTGCCAGAAATCATTAATGTCATCCGTGATTTTTGGGATGCCTCCTATCAAGTGCAAGGGACTATCTTATCTCTTATTGAGGCCATCTCCAGATCTTTAGAAGGAAGTTCCGAAAGTATCTGGCCGGTCTAGTGCCGTTGATGCTAGACACACTCGAGAAGGATTCTACTCCTCGCCGCCAACCATCCGAGAAGATCCTCCATGCGTTTCTTATTTTCGGTGCAAGCGGAGAGGAATACATGCACCTTATCATCCCTTCAATTGTGCGCCTATTTGACGGGCCCCAGAATCCACAGAGTATCCGCAAGTCTGCTATTGATAGCTTGACGAAATTATCGCGGCAGGTGAATGTGTCGGATTTTGCCTCTCTGATGGTCCATTCCTTATCCCGAGTCGTTGCTGGAAGCGATCGACTTCTTCGCCAGGCTGCATTAGACTGTATTTGTGCCCTGATATTTCAGCTTGGCCAAGACTTCACTCACTTCACCCATCTTTTGAACAAGGTGTTGAAACAGCACCAGATCAGTCACGTCAATTACCAGATTCTGGTAACGAAGCTCCAGAAGGGAGATCCTCTTCCGCAAGATCTCAACCCGGAAGAGAATTACGCATTCCCGACTGATGAGACAAATTATGCTGAGATTGGCCAAAAGAAGATGGTCGTGAACCAACAGCACCTCAAGAATGCCTGGGATGCTTCTCAAAAATCCACCAGAGAAGATTGGCAGGAGTGGATCCGACGATTTAGCGTTGAGCTTTTGAAGGAGTCTCCTTCTCCAGCATTGCGAGCATGTGCTAGTTTAGCCGGTGTTTATCAACCGCTGGCTAGGGATTTGTTCAACGCTGCGTTCGTGTCTTGTTGGACTGAATTGTACGATCAGTACCAGGAGGAATTGGTGCGGTCAATTGAGAAAGCACTCACATCTCCAAACATTTCTCCTGAGATTCTTCAGGTTCTGCTCAATCTTGCTGAGTTCATGGAGCACGATGACAAGGCTCTTCCCATCGACATTCGCACATTGGGAAAGTACGCCTACAAGTGTCATGCCTTTGCCAAGGCCCTCCACTACAAGGAGCTTGAATTTGAGCAGGACCAAAACTCCGGTGCTGTTGAGGCTTTGATCACCATCAACAATCAGCTCCAGCAATCTGATGCTGCGATCGGTATCCTGCGTAAGGCACAGGCCTACAGAGACGTAGAGCTGAAAGAGACATGGTTTGAAAAGCTTCAGCGATGGGATGAAGCTCTTGCAGCGTACAAACGTCGCGAGAAAACCGACCCAGACTCATTCGGTATTACCATGGGTAAAATGCGCTGTCTACATGCCCTTGGCGAATGGAAGGTTCTGTCAGATCTTGCTCAAGAGAAATGGAACCAAGCATCTCTAGAACATCGCAGAGCTATTGCGCCTCTTGCTGCTGCTGCTGCTTGGGGCCGCCGCCAGTGGGAGCTGATGGATTCGTATCTCGGTGTGATGAAGGAACAGTCCCCTGACCGATCTTTCTTTGGCGCTATTCTCGCTATCCACCGGAACCAGTCCGAGGAGGCAAACATGTACATCGAAAAAGCCCGCAATGGACTCGACACAGAGCTTTCAGCTCTTCTTGGAGAGCCTTACAACCGTGCCTACAACGTTGTTGTACGTGTCCAGATGCTTGCTGAACTGGAAGAGATCATTACCTACAAGCATAATATTGGCGACCCGGAACGGCAAGAGGCTATGCGCCTGACTTGGAATAAGCGTTTACTCGGGTGTCAACAGAATGTTGAGGTATGGCAGCGCATGTTCAAGGTTCGCGCCCTCGTAACTGCCCCTCGGGAAAATCTGGATATGTCTATCAAATTCGCAAACCTATGCCGAAAGTCAAATCGCATGGGTCTTGCAGAACGGTCTCTCGCAGCCCTGGAGACAGTTGATCAAACTGGAACGCGTACAATTGTTCCACCGGAAGTCACCTATGCTCGGCTGAAGTTCAGCTGGGCGAATGGCCACCAGCAGGAATCACTCGACATGCTGAAAGAATTTACCTCCGGCCTCAGCGAGGATCTTGCTAAGTATAACAGTCTCATGGTTTCTCAGTCAGAGCACCAGCATCATGGGATGAATGGCGTCAATGGTATGGTCGAGTCCAGCCACCCCGACTTGATTGGCCTACGTGAACGAATTGGCGACGTAGCTAAATTCAAGAAACTGCTCTCCAAGAGTTACCTTCGTCTGGGCGAATGGCAGACCGCTCTCCAGCGAGGCGATTGGCGCCCAGAATACGTCCGCGAAGTGCTCAGTGCATACTCTGCAGCCACCCAATACAACCGCGACTCATACAAGGCTTGGCACTCATGGGCTCTTGCCAACTTCGAAGTGGTCACGACTATTGCCAATCAAGCAAGCCGGGAGGGCAATCCTGCTCCTGTTCCCGCTCACATTGTTACGGAACATGTTATTCCTGCCCTCCGTGGTTTCCTCCGTTCTATTGCCTTGTCGTCCACTTCCTCGCTCCAAGATACCCTTCGGCTATTGACCTTGTGGTTTACGCATGGTGCGGATCATGAAGTCAATACCGTTGTCACTGAAGGCTTCACCACTGTGAACATTGATACTTGGCTTGCGGTCACACCACAGCTGATTGCACGAATCAATCAGCCCAACGTCAGAGTTCGTGGGTCTGTTCACAGGTTACTTGCTGAGGTCGGCAGGACGCATCCACAAGCTTTGGTATACCCGTTGACGGTCGCCATGAAGTCGAATGTGACTCGACGCTCCCAATCTGCTACTAGCATCATGGAAAGCATGCGCCAACACAGTGCCAAGCTCGTAGAACAGGCTGACCTTGTGAGCCACGAATTGATTAGGGTCGCTGTGCTGTGGCATGAGCTCTGGCATGAAGGTCTCGAGGAAGCTTCTCGTCTCTACTTCGGGGACCATAACGTGGAGGGCATGTTTGCAACTCTGGCGCCTCTTCATGAAATGTTAGACCAAGGCGCGGAGACTCTTCGCGAAGTGTCATTCGCACAGGCTTTCGGCCGCGACCTTGCGGAGGCTAAGCACTACTGCATGCTTTATCGCCAGACCCAAGAGATTGGGGATCTTAACCAAGCCTGGGATCTCTACTATACTGTTTTCCGTAAGATCAGCCGCCAGCTTCCCCAGTTATCCATTCTCGACCTCAAATATGTGTCACCTCGCCTCAAGGACTGCTCTGATCTGGATCTGGCCGTTCCCGGAACTTACCAGAGTGGGCGGCCGATTATCCGCATCATCAGCTTCGATCCTATCCTACATGTCCTCCAGACCAAGAAGAGGCCACGGCGCATGACTCTGAAGGCTAGCAATGGAAGCTCCTACATGTACGCTCTCAAGGGCCATGAGGACATTCGGCAAGATGAGCGTGTCATGCAACTATTCGGGCTGGTCAATACACTGCTGGACAATGATGGTGAAAGCTTCAAGAGACATTTGTCTGTCCAACGCTTCCCGGCAATCCCACTGTCCCAGAACTCGGGTATCATTGGATGGGTGTGCAACAGTGACACATTACATGCACTTATCAAGGAATACCGAGAGAGTCGGCGCATCTTGCTCAACATCGAGCATCGGATCATGCTTCAAATGGCCCCTGATTACGACAGCCTCACTCTCATGCAGAAAGTTGAAGTCTTCGGATATGCCATGGACAACACCACCGGCAAGGATCTCTACCGTGTATTGTGGCTCAAAAGCAAGAGCTCGGAAGCCTGGCTCGAGCGACGTACAAATTACACGCGCTCTCTTGGTGTCATGTCCATGGTTGGTTACATTCTTGGATTGGGTGATCGTCATCCTTCGAACTTGTTGCTTGATCGCGTGACTGGCAGAGTCGTCCATATCGATTTTGGTGATTGTTTCGAAGTTGCCATGCACCGAGAAAAGTACCCCGAGCGCGTTCCGTTCCGACTCACTCGCATGTTGACTTTCGCTATGGAAGTAAGCAATATTGAGGGAAGCTACCGCATCACCTGTGAGGCTGTCATGCGTGTACTGAGGGAGAACAAGGACTCTCTGATGGCTGTTCTGGAAGCCGTAAGTATCTTTTGCTTCCGATTCTTAAGCACGTAATCTAACCACTTTATAGTTTATTCATGACCCTCTGATTAACTGGCGGTTGGGTACCCAAGAGTCGCCTGATCGGGTTTCCCTCACCGCTGAGCGCCGTCAATCCATCATTGAGGGCATTAACCTTGAACATGGCGTGCAGTCTAGCAACTTCTCCCGGAACCGTCGACCATCCATCTTGGAAGGTGGAACTCTGGATATCCAAGAAGGAGTTCCTCCAGAAGCTCGCGAAGCTCAAAATGCCCGTGCTCTGCAGGTTCTCGCCCGCGTTAAGGAGAAGCTCACTGGGCGGGACTTCAAGCATACCGAAGAGCTCAACACTAGCGACCAGGTTGACAAATTGCTCGCACAAGCTACCAATGTGGAGAACATCTGTCAGCACTGGATCGGATGGTGTAGCTTCTGGTGATCCAAGCCATCTCGTGACCTCTTTGCTTTCTTGATGCTAGTCTTCAGCTCCACTGGGCTCAAGATCTCGTAAGAATATCTGTATCAGTTTCAAGGAACTTAACGTGATACGCCTTGTTTACCATTTTATGCCCCTTCTTTTCCCCTTTTCTCGTGTACACAGTTACCCTTTGACGTTTTCTGATGTTTCCTGATGGCTTCGTTTCTCATATCCTCTCTTGCTTTTTTGTTCTTCGCCGGGGGTCCGAGCTACCGAAATTCCTGACTTATGAACAAACCCCCTAATGTCATCCTAGGGTCCATGCTAGCTTGCAATGGACCATCAAATACATGTTGCTGCTAGTAGAGTCCCCCTGTAGGCCGTAATTACATCTTCCCCGTAGCTTGTCACCGCGCCTTTGTTCCCTCGATGGCCACGATCAGCAGCGTCCATGTGACTTGGGAATCTAGGGTAAATCGCAATACTGCGCATCCTTGAGCAGTCGAACCCAGTTTCGAATAGAAATCCCGTCCTATAAGGGCTATTTCCCTTGTTCGGTGAAGTGTCTCGGTTATCGTAGCCTCATCTGTACGGGGACTGGATTTCCCCAGTTTGCCGCGACCTCGGCACAATTGGGTGGTCCGTGTAGAGCGGAGAACATCTCGGAATTTGGATCTCTGCCTCACCACCTCCCTAGGGTCTGTCCTCTAGGGTTCACAACGCCATGTCGAGCAAGACAGAGCCTGCAGAGCCTCCCAACCCGGGAAAGACATCAGTCCCACTGTGCATAATGCAGTCCGCCTGTGTCTCAGTGCAAAGGAATACCGCGTGCTCCAGGACTTTGCGACCAAGCGCGTCCCCGCTCTCCAGGGCAAGCTGCCGTCTTCTCTGCGCGAGGATCCCGCCGCCTTTTCGCGAAATCGTCATAACATAGCAGCCTTTCGTGCATCGCTTCGAGTCTTCGTCGGTTCTAGTGGTGTGCTGAAGCTAGCTGAGATCATATCGAACCGGGTGCAAGGCGTTACGACCAAGTATGAAGAGTTTACGCACAGAACTACTCGATTTCCATTGATCATGCTCACATTATTGCCACTACAGAAAGAAAGATCGTACTCCGTTGCTCCGTTCACCGAACTTTCGCCTATCCATCTCCCTCTCTCTCCTGCTCCTCCTTCATCGTCTCCTATACCGTTTCCTCGTCCGGCTTCGGTCGAACCTTCGTACCGATGATGCGCGCCCGTTTAGAGAAAGAAACCCGCGTGTCTCGAGAGCTTTGACATCCCGGTATGCTCCGGCGGTCGGCGCCAGTTTAGCTGGCTTTGCGCTGGGCATTGCCCGCAAGAGCAGCTTCGCCTGACTGCTACGATCTACACCGCGACCCGGAGCTTGGAGTTTCTGTTCAATACCCTAGACTCGAAGGGCTGGCTTGATCAGCGTCCATGGTGGTTTGGAAGCTGGCTGCTCATGCCTGTGTCCTGTGCGCAGCTTTTCCACGCTTTCATCTTCGATCGCGAGACAACGCCCAAGGTCGGTTCATGAAAAAACCCGAAGACGGTTAATTGTTGCTAAGTTTAGATATCAGTGGTTTGGAAATTTTATCCTCAGACTCTCACCCAGCTACATTCCTGGGCGACCTGATGCGCTTCCCGAATATGTTAATTGGCCAGAGAAGGAGGAAATTGTTTCTTCACTGGCGTCTATCGCGAATCTGCGCTGGCCGTACGTTCACACTCATGCGATATGATAATTGTTGGAATCACACTAACCGCAGCCTAAGAGCTTTTGTATCGCCCATTCTACACCCACGCGAACCTCATACCTTACCCACCTCCGTTGAATGCATTGCCCCCATCACAGGGCCAGCGCATCCCTCGATATCCAAACTCTCCTGCGCCCTGCTCCATCCAAGTCTCCCAAGCTGCAGCACCGCATTCGTGCACCACATCCTTCTCTCGGTCCCACCACTTGCTCGCTTCTTAGCTTCCATCACCCTAGCCCTGAGCATTCCGAAAATCAAGGACATTATCAAGCAGCCCGTCACGTCTATCCACGCGATATGCACAAAAATAATCCTGATGACCGCTGTTCTGTCGACAGCTATTGGATCGGCATGGGGTAGTGTCTGTCTCTTCAACAACTCTCTTCCCCGTTCCACACTTCCAACGAAGCGATTCTTCCTCAGCGGTGCGCTTGGGGGCCTGCCATTCCTTTTCATGGGACAAAGTCGTAGCTTCTTCATGTACTTCTTCCGAGCTGCTGTAGACTCGGCCTGGAAGACCGGTGTCAAGCATGGGCTCTGGAAGGGCGGCCGCGGCAGAGGGTTGGCGCTCTTTGTTGCGTCCTGGGCTTTAATTGGAACTATACTCGAGGCCAACCCGAACGCTGTCCAAGGCGGTGGTCTACGCAAGGGACTTACCTGGCTGCGGGGTGATGGCTTCGTGGACCCTATTGAGCTCGAGCAGCGCCGAGTTCGCCGTGCCCCGAAGAAGGCAGAGAATGCGTAGTGTTTCTCCTCCTTGACACCATGATCCGCGGTACTTTTTTTTTTTCATTTATGTTTGCCCTTCTCATAGCCAGTTTCCACCGTGAATGTCCTGATTTGTTCGATTCTCCATTGCACGCTCCGCCACCCACCAAATTGACGATCTGAGTAGATGTGGAGATTCCTGGAACTCACTTTCCGATACTTGTGAAACCTCCATTCCCGGACTCACAGAGTACACAAACGCACACCAGCGCCAATCAGCTTTCGGAGATTGGACTCCGTGGGCAAAATGTAGATTCCGAATTCAGTACCTTATAACTCACTCGATCTTGCGGGTTAGCAAAAGTAAATAGACAAGACATCCGAACCTCTCCATACCAAGATGTCCGCTGAAAGAATGAAGATTGGCTGCGCCGGTCTCGGTCGCATGGGCAAGCGCCACGCCCTGAACTTCCTCCAACGAACCCCCAGAGCAGAGCTCGTAGCCGCCAGCTCTCCAGACCTGACGGAACTGGAATGGGCGAAGGAGCACCTCGCACCGTACGGCGTGCGGCTGTACCAGAACTATGACGAGATGCTCCAGCAGGAGGGCTTGGAAGCTATCGTCGTCGCATCGGCGACTGCCGTGCACGCAGAGCAGGCCATCAAGGCCATCGAAGCCGACAAGCACGTTCTCTGCGAGAAACCCCTGTCAACGAACGTAGAAGTGGTAGGTCCAGTATCCAGCAGCCCCCCTCCTCCCAGCTAACACGCCGCAGTCCCAATCCGTCGTTGACGCTGCCGCAAAAAAAACCTCATTTGAAAGTCATGTGTGGGTTCTCGCGGCGCTTCGACGCCTCCTACCGCGACGCCTACCAGAAGATGCAGACCGGACAGATCGGCACGGTCTCCGTGCTGCGCAGCCAGACGTGCGACAAGCTTGATCCCAGCGGGTTCTTCGTCGCGTATGCGCAGTTCTCGGGCGGGATCTTCGTCGACTGCTCGATCCACGACATCGACCTCGCGCTGTGGTTCTTCGGCGCCTCGAGCAAGATCAGGTCCGTGAGCGCAGTGGGCAACACGGCCGTGGAGCCCGATCTCCGGAAACATAATGACCGCGATAACGCGGTTGGGCTGGTCGAGTTCCACGACGGGCGGATCGCATATTTCTATGCCTCGCGGATGATGGCGGCGGGGCAGGAGGATAGTACGGAGATTATCGGGACGAAGGGCAAGTTGGCTGTGAATACGCAGCCGCAGCAGAATCTGGTGCAGGTGTACGATGCGAGTGGGGTTCGCAAGGAGATGCCGCAGACTTATTATGATCGGTTCGAGTATGCTTTTGTCACCGAGGCGAATGAGTTTACGGCAGCTGTGCTGGACGACACGCCGCTGCCGTTGGAGTTGACGGCGGCCGTGCAGGCAGTGCGCATTGGGGCTGCGTTGCAGGAGTCGATGGTTTCGGGGAGTAAGATCTGGTTTGATGAAAATGGGAACCGACTCCAGGAGGCCCGGTTATAGACTTGCATCATGATGCCAAGGATTCCGAACAGTGAAGGTCTGCGTTATAAAGTCTGAGAGCAGGTCAATCTCATCATTACTAGAAGGGTCCGACCAAGGGTCAGCTGGTAGATTGGTGATAACTAGGGCCTGTAAATACGTATCTACTAGAAACTATGCCGAAATTAGCGTGCCTAGGTCATTGGGTGCATTCGAAATGCCGCCAGTAATAGGCGAGGCCACAGTGGGCATCAAGCTTGGTCGGGAGGCAATAACCTCGGGACAATAGCGCCGTTGGCTTTAACCTACTAAAGTCTGTTTACAGAAACTCTGTGAAGGGATACTACTATTATTAGAAGTCTATCTGACGTGGAATAGTAGACAGATGACTATGCAAAGCTTGCATGCCGGGCAATGGCCAGGCTAGGATGTATTCATTCATGTTGGAGCTCTTCCAACTCTATTTCAATCGCTTCGTGACAAAAAGGAAAGAATAAATCAAAATTGTGGGAATCTCATAAATCGGCGGCAGGAATGATAAGATGCTGAAAAGGTGCCATTTACCAGCGGACAACCTTGTTGGGGAAGTACTCGTCGATCAGCTCAAGGTAGTACGCCTTCAGCTCCTCCAGCGAGGGAATATCATCGCTCTTGCTGTACAGGTCGTAGGGGTTGAAAGCCTTGACAGCGCGCAGCATCTCCTTGTCGTGCTCGTTCATGAGCTCGTGGTAAGCACCGGCGTTGTGCCAGGGGTAGAAGGAATGGTAGCGGATCATGGCGAGAGCCTCGTCGGGGAGAGTGGACTGCTCCTTGACAATGTGGTAGAGGTACTCATCATGGCCCCAAGAGAGCATGACCTTGTCGAGACCGCAGCCGGGGCTGTAGATACCGTACTTGGTGTCGTAGATCGGGTGGTTCAGGTCCTCGTTGTCACTGAAAGAGGCACGGCCGTAGATGATACGCTCGTCGAAAGCACAGCCGACGGGGAAGGTATCGCCCACAACATCCCACTGGCCATCGGCACCGAAGAAGAATAGCAACTTGCCGAGATCATGGATGAGACCGGTCAGCTGCATCCAGCGGGGTTTGCCGTCGCGGCGAATAGCCTCCGCGGACTGCAGAAGGTGCTCGATCTGGGAGAGGCTGGTGTCGGGGTCGGACTCGTCAATCAGGGTGTTAAGCTTCTCCATGGCCTCCCATACGGTCATCTCCGCACGGGTCTTGCTGTGGAAGTCGTGGCGGGCCTTGAGGTTGTAGGCGACAGTCTGCTTGGTGTGCTGCTCCTTGTAGAAGTTCTTGACACGGTCACAGGCGTCCTCGTACTGGCGGAAGTTGGTCTTGTCCTTCTCCTTGTCGAACTCGGTCTCGTCGTACAGCCCACGCTCCTCGGCCTGCTTCTTCATGTTGGCCTTAAGGACATTGACCTCATCGATGGCATCGGAGGTGGCCTCGAGGGCCTGTCCGTCCCGTTTCATTGGGACGGGCACGACATCGGTGTCGATAGCGACGGGAGCCATTTTTGTGACTGGATGAAATGTTCACGGAAAACTTCAAGCTGGAAAGGACATTCGAATGCTTTAATAGAAAGGCCTGTGAGCTAATTTGCACAGCCTTCACTGTGGATGGAAAAGACTGAGTCGGGGCAGGTTAAAAGATCCATATATACTAGTATACCTCTCGGAGTCGCATCCAAGTTTCCGACGAAAACGGCAGACCACCGGGGAGAATTACGCAGCGGGATAGTTTAGAAACACCGGGGCCACTTGGTGCAACGTGGCGATCTTCGAGAAATTTGCAGCCATCGCATACATCAGAATCTGGAGTAGGACCTCGTGGAGCATCATCGCGGATTCCAGAATCCGTGCCGGGCCACATCGTTTGGCACGAAAACCTCGACCCACCAGCGGCGGGAAACGAATCATTTTTGTGGTCGAGGCTCGACCTCGTGGGGGTTGTGATGTCAGATGACCGGTACCTCGTAAAATTCGGCCCCAAATAGGACAGAAGTTGGGAGGATTCTGGTTTCCGATCGTGGGACTTTGCCGTTTGGGAAGTTCCACCGATATTCACCCGCACAGAGAGCCTTTGCCGCTTAAAGGCCCCCAATGCGGGGAGGGGGGCAATGCCAGGAAACGTCATGCCTCCCACGGTGAATATAGCAAGCTCATACTTGGAGGACCAGAGAAAGTCGTATTTTGCATGGCTTGGACGTTGTCAGAATGCGACGACGGTGATTGATGGAAGTTTTGCAGGGCCGAAATCATGGCGGGGCAACCAATCCCCCGATGCTCAACCCCGCGTGGGGGGTCTATTTTTTAAAGCCGCGTCTGTCCTTCTGCCGTCTGTAAATTTGATTTCTTTGGTTCTTCGTCAATCATTCCTCTTGTCACACCATAACATCCATCATGGCTGCCGCCGATATCCGCTTCAAACTGAACACTGGTGCCGAGATCCCAGCTTTGGGTCTGGGAACCTGGAAGTCCGAGCCTGGCGAGGTCACTCGCGCTGTTTCCCACGCTATTAAGTGCGGCTACCGCCACATTGACACTGCTCTGGTCTACGGCAATGAGAGCGAGGTGGGCCAGGGTATCAAGGAGGCCATTGACTCCGGTATCGTGAAGCGCGAGGACCTGTTCGTGACCACCAAGCTGTGGTGCTCTTTCCACGCCCGTGTCGAGGAGGGCCTAGACGAGAGCTTGAAGAACCTTGGTTTGGACTATGTTGACCTGTACCTGATGCATTGGCCCGTGGCAATGAACCCGAAGGGTAACCACAACATCTTTCCCAAGCTGGCCGATGGATCGCGGGACATGGACCACAACCACTCGTACATCGACACCTACAAGAGCATGGAGAAGCTTGTTGGTACTGGCAAAACTCGCGCCATTGGTGTCTCCAACTTCTCTGTTGAATACCTTGAGAAGCTCCTACCTCAGGTGTCCATTGTCCCCGCCGTCAACCAGATTGAAAACCATCCCTCTCTGCCCCAGCAGGAGATTGTGGACTTCTGTAACCAGAAGGGTATCCACATCACTGCCTACAGTCCTCTTGGTAGTACTGGTAGCCCGCTTTTCTCGGCAGAGCCCATTGTGGCTGTTGCCCAGAAGCGTGGCGTGACCCCCGCTACTGTTCTGCTGAGTTGGCACAGTAAGTTTGGTTCCCCAAGTCGACCCTGATGCGAAGGCAATACTGACGAAACTGACTAGTCGCCCGTGGCTCCTCTGTGCTCGCCAAATCTGTGACTCCAGCTCGCATCGAGGCCAACCGGAATGACCTGATCAAGCTGGATGCCGAAGACGTCGCCACCATCAAGAAATACTCCGACGACCTCGCCGCCCGCAAGTCCTTCACTCGCTACGTCTTCCCACCATTTGGCACCGACATGGGTTTCCCCGATAAGAAGTAAACGGCAATACGAATTAAGGTTTCAATCTGTTTTAGATTCTATAGAAATGATGATACCAGGGTCATAAACGACCTCCTGTACTTTTTGACTTGACTCTTCACAATCATTAAACAAGTTTACTTCGACAATTTTTCGACATTTCCCTACTGAGCCGCAGAAGAAGCCGACGCTGCAGAGGAACGCTGCCCGCCACCAGGGTTTTCCAGGGTGCCGAGGGCATGAAATGTGTAGGGACGGGGCTCAACGACCCGGAACCCGACGAACTCGCGGCTAAGAATAAGACTGACGTTTTGTCCATTGGCCCGCTCGCGGGTCTCCAACCCGACAACATACTCGCGAAACCCCATATGCTGAGAATCGATGAAGGGATCCGCGATTTCATCCTTCACGCGTTCGTGATACCTAAGAGCATGAAGGCGGAGTTTCTCGCGGACTTGCACGATACGATCCAGCAAGGTGGGGGACAGCGTGCCGTTGCTTTTCATTTCCTCGATGATGACTTGCAAACATTCGAAGGGGACGTTCAGGAGGATGACCGATTTGATCAGCGTGCTGTGGTCCGGCTGGTGCTGCTTTAAAGACAGCAGCTCTCCAAAATGCATGTGGGCCAGGCGATAGTTGGACACAGCAGAGTCTGGGAGAGTCCGAAGATCGTACGGAATGCGGGTGATCAAGTCGGCATCAAAGTAACCAGTGAACAGGGGGAAGTTCTCTGGAATCCTGGAACCGATAAATCGTAAGATCTTGGTCAAAAGATGCCGCGTATCCTCTGCCTTGAAGCTTTCGATGTGTTCAGTGGAGTAGCTTTCAATCATAGTCCCCGCGTAGTTTGCCAGGCCACATGGGAGCAATGGACTCTGGAGGAAGAAATAATCCGGATATAGAGCAAACCTCAGCATGTATTCGACATTCTCCATGTTAAGCATGTCCACCAGTAATTTAATTCCCTGTCCAGAGATATCACCGCGATCTAGGAAGACGCCCGACACAGCATAGCATATCACAAAGTCAACCATGCGAATTTCGATGTTGAAAGATTCGCCGGTAATGTCTTGGTCCTTGAAGCCCTCCAGCGTGCGCTGGCGGACATTCATCCGATCCAGGAGTGGATAGCCGTACAGTGCCTGTATAGCAAGATAGACTGCATGCGGACAGTTGAATCCCGGCGAGGACAGGACTTCGATGCGTTGGACGTGAGGGAAAAGCTGCAGAATCCTAACAAGGTAGGGGCTTTTACGCAGGAAAGATCGATGCAAGTAAAACGTGTTCTGAGATGTGGTTCCGGGCTGAGTCCGTTCGGAGCAGAGATGAAGGTTGATGTCCCATCCGTCATGTTTTCCAAGTGGCTCTTTTCCCGAGAGGAGAGTGGCGCCTCGATCAGCATGAATGGACGAGTACAGGGATGACCCCGAGCGAGGGGAGGCCGCAGGAGCACGAGAGGCTGAGGGCATGGTGGTCGATGAATTGTTGATGAATTGTTGATGGTGGGCTGAGAACGCGTGTGTTGAAAGAGCGAAGGTTGAAAGTCACCAAACAAGATCCTAGCACGAGGGAGTAGGCTTTTCAGCAGGAAAATAATAAGCGCTATGTTTTCTCTATGGATGTTATTGTTTATTTCATCTCCCAATCTAAGAGGATTTTACATTCACCCTCGTGCAAACCACGGCCGCCTTCTGGGTAACAGCTTTATGAGTCTTCAAGTGGTATATTCATCCCTGATATGACTTGCTTTTGCCAGAATAGATATTTTCACCTGCCATTATCAAATTTCATATACTCTTCAAATTATATCAATAGTACTAGCTCACTTTGTGACATCATGGAATTCCTCAAGATTCTCGCTACTAGTAGTGTTAACGTATACAAGAGCAGGACAGCTTGCTCTTGTGGACACAATGATCAACCTTCACCGAGGCTGCACAAGACAGGCAAGGCTGGAATTACCTCAAGGTCTTGGGCCATCTACTAATGGTACTCGATATCGGATGGCTGACACCTGAGCAGCATCGCTTACCGTAGATCTTGAAAGTCGAGGCTCTTCAGGATTACTCTACGGATATAGAGAAATTCCTCTTTCGCTTGGAAAGCGCCTTCATTCCAAGCTCTTAATCATACAAACTGGTATATTCAGGACATCACCCCTGAAAGACACACACCCCCCTCCCCCCTTCAGTGAAGGAACTCTATCAAGAGTGCCACTTCTCCCTTTCCCCATCCACTATCTTCCGCCACCGCCTCATCCCCCTGCTTCCTTCCCCCACGTACGGCCATGCTCACCTGCACACTAATCCCAGGAAACGTCCTCCTCATCCCGGGACGGCCCGCCGGTATAGGTCCTTCCCTTGGCAGGGGAAGGGCCGACGAAGAAGCCCGGGGACTTGGAGGAGCGCTCCACGAACCCAGACCGAAGTCCTGGGTTGGCGCCCGCGCGGTCACAGAGTCGTAGCTAAGCTCCGACTCGAATGCCGCGTCTGAGGCTGGGGCGCGGCAGTAGCATGGCATCGGGTCGCTGCATGCACGCCCGCGATGGACAGCGGTGCCCTGGGTTTGCGACGATTTGTGGCGGATCGTCGCGAGAGTAGAGACGCCGCATGCACAGTCGCGATGAACAGCGCTCTGGTCGGTCGAGAGAGGCCTACTGGATGCACAGACGCAATCAACAGCTTCCTCGAGGATACCGCTCACGTGTGACAGGCGTGAGGGTGAGGGAGAGGGGGAGCGGGAGGGAGACCTCGCGGTGGAGAGTGCGGCGATCTCGGCAGCCTTCTTCTTATCCCGCTGCTTCTTGGCCTTCTTGACTTTCTTTGACTTCTTCTTTTTTGGGATGGTCGAGGACGAGGCCAAAGTGACTGGAGCCTGGCTCACTTCGTGGGTTTCAGGCTGGGCAAGAGTGGAAGCGGACGAAGGCGAAGGGGGAGGCGAAGCAGGAGGAGAAGAAGCCGAGATGGGCAGGGCGATCTTGGAAGCCAGGCGAGCACCCTCGGGGTCGAGGAGTTTGAGCTCTTCCGCCACATCTGGGAGATACTCACGGAAGTACCCTACCATTGCAGGTGTACCTGTTCTCTCCAAATGGTTTTCAAACGGTTTTAGCACACCCTGCACTAACATCAGGCCTAGATACTCGATGATTTGTGGCCTGTGATTTGCTCGCTCCTCTGCACTCTCCATGTCAACTATCTCCCGTATCTTCTGACTGACGCTTTTCAAAATGTGTGCGCCGTACGCAGTTTCTGCTTCTGACGCATCTCGATGATGCCCGCCGGGAAGGCTATGAGCATTCTCCGCTCCAGGTCGTAAAGGTTGCCATCATCTGTGATTTATTAGTAAGTGTGGTCCAGAATCAACATCGTGCAATATGGGTCTCTACTTACCATCCTCCAAAACTTCTTCGGGCTTATAGCCGGATGCTGCGAGGAAGCTTTCGACCTCAGGTAGGAATCCTGGCCATTTCTTCACCGGCCATGTATAGGGGGCCGGCGATTTATTAAGTCGATGGATCTCCTCGTCAGGGATATGACTATCCATTGGGCTTGGTTCCTCCTTGATCCCTGCTAGGGCTCTCTCATCTGCGGAGAGATGCCAAACCCAGGCATCATTTTTCCCGTAATAGGCACCCCCCTCGATGCCAATGGCGACACGTGAGTAAGCTGCCACCATTTTGGGCGCGGGGGGTTCGGTGACCTGTAGCCTCGGCTTTTGATGGGCTTGGGGAGGGAACAGAAGTCTGTGAATCATCCATCTAGTCAGCATCTTTATGGGGTCATTCGGATTGTATAGCTGCGTGGTTGACTTACTCGGATGAGGACGAATTGGAATTTTGAACGCGTGTGAGAGACACGTGATCTTGCAATTCAGCCTGCTTGTAAATCTCAGGAATCAGGTTTCAAGCCATATATGAGGCCTGAACACGTCGCTATCTCGAAAAGTGGACTTGACTCGAGAAAGATGATCACGATCAAGTGCGCGTGCGCAAAGTAGAATGATGCGTGGAAGAAGAAAGAAAAGTGGAGGTAAAGGCAGAAGTGAAGCTAATTTAACCAGGGCGGCTTTCAAATGCACGCACATGTGATCCGTGGGGCGACGCACTATGTGGTTGGTCCATGGCTCAAGGCCTCTTTCAGTATATTCTCCTAGACGACAGACCAATCCAGTAACCCCATTTAAAGTCTCCAGCTAGTCAATTCAGCTCACTTCTATCCAGCGTAATTCATGACTGTGGTGCTATGGTTCATCAATTCTTCACGTCATAGATCTCAAATAATGCCCCTGTTCTTGTTGACTACTTCTGCCACGAAAAGCAACAGACTTGCCCCACATCTTTCGCAGTTATAAATAGTCCAGATACCCCAAATCCAGTTTATTCCTATGACCTCCTTCCATATTCTCTCAATTAGCCCTGAGTTCCCCTAGAGCTATGTGTTTTGTCCAGGGTCTTTTGAGGGTCAAGGGCTTCGTTCGATGCGCACGTGATAGCGATACGATGAATGAACCCCAAGTAGCATTCCATGATGAATACGCATAGTTCTGATCTTGGAGTAGTTACAAGTACTTGATGCCCTGTTCCTAAACTAAGAAGCGATTTCACAGAAGCATTAGGCGGCCAAGGATCAGACAGGAGGGAATATGTTCTACATGAGTGCGAGATGGCTACAGTTATCAAAGGCCTTGTGCGCAACTTCAATTCCGATGCCGAAGATTCACTACAACGATAAACCGTCACATTGCCGTAGTATCATGTTTGCCATAAGGCCTGCTTTGAAAAGCTATTCTAATGCAAGTTTACAAGTCCCGATCTATTAGGCCAGTAGAGACTGTCCTTGATTTCTGCAGTAACATTCTCCTGGCTATCTTAATCTCTTTACAGTCTTTGCAAGGTCATATAAGGGACAAAGTTTCACCTATCCTTGACCTGACTGGATATTACCGCTCAGCTTTGTCTCCACGAAGACTGTGACTACAGATAAGATAGCTATGGAGGTTTGGCTTATTTGATTTTATTTTCTCATATAGATACAAGTATCGACGAAACGAAATATGACAAGATCTTAGTACCAATCCCACCGATGAATATCTGCGCAGAAGAGACAATACAATCAAGACAAGGAAATAATCAAAGACAGATAGCGCTCAATATATGCACCAGGTGGTATATGGATCATGACGTAAGCAACAACAGAAAAGGAAACATGGAAGGCAGGGCAATGTGGTCAGTCGGTTTGAGTTGCTGGGTCGTTTGCAGCAAACAAAAGAGATGAGAGGCAATCTAGAACATGCCGCCATCCGCAGGGATAGGAGGAGGAGGATATGCGGGTGCTTCAGGGGCCGGAGGGAAGGGATGAGTAGATTGTTCTTTAATGGCTCTTGTGTTGAGATTGCTGCTCTCGCTTGAGGTCTTGCGTAGAAGACCACGGGACATGGGGCGCTTCTCATCCTCGGGAAATGCACTCGCCTCAAAGACACTCTGATCATCTGTTACGCTAGGGGCGACTGAAGAGACACGAGAGTCACGGTTGAAAGCGCTGAGTATTGTTTGAGTGCCACGGCGGCGGCGAGGGTTCATTGGGGGTAGTGGGGGGGGGCTCCTCCAGGCAAGCCCACGGTGGGAACGTTCGAGGTTGTTGACACGAAAGTTGGCTCGGATATCTGCTTCTTGTTGACAGTGCGCTTGTGAAGCAAGGCAGGCTGTCCTGGACCTCTCTGGGGCAGAGTTTGGGGGCTCTCGGCGTTGGGCGAAGAGTCTCCGCTGTTAATCTCATCGAGGGGTGGCGTCGCGTTTGCTGAATATGCAGGAGTGGCAGGGGACGGGCGCGGGGCTCCAATCACTGCAGGTGGAGTTGGAATCGCGGGAAGTTGGAATGGTGTTCCCTTTTCGTAGTGGAAGTTGTTGGGGGTCCCCGATCGGCTGGCGCTGCGGAAGCGGCCTGAAGCTGCCGATGGGGATCGATCGAAAGCTAGGGGCTCGACTTCCATGGAGGGGCGAGCGGAACCTGGAGGGGAGAAAGGAACCGGGGGCTCGTAGTTGTCGGGCATGACGAAGTTATCGTGCGCGATCACTGACCCTTCGTCCACAGTCTCCAGGTCGTCGCGTTCGCGTTCACGAAGTCGAGTGCGACTCTTCGAACGGCCAGAAGCATCGGAGCCCGTACGGCCGCGCGGGACTGGCAGGCCGGAAGGCGATGTAGCCCGACTGCGACTTGATTCATGAGACACCTCGCGGCTGAGAGTGGGCATGCGTGGTCGAGACGGACGTTCAGATAGCGCTGGGCGCTCTGAGACGACCTGTGGAGCGCTTGAGTTGCCTTGCAGGCCAAGAGCGAACGGCGGCCGGACGTCATCCTGCACTGATGATCCCCCGGGGTTCAGAGTCGGAGTGGATGCAGTGTCCAAGCCGTACATGTGATCATGTTTTGGTTCGCGTTTTGACAGGTTGTGTTTGCTAGACTTGCTCTTTAGCAAGGCAAAAGCATTCCCGGGCTTGAATTTGCGCCCAGCGTCAGGTGTGTCCCGGCCAGACATGGACATGGGACTGCTTGGCCTGCTGATGCTTTCTGCGTGGCCTCGAATTGCCTCCCGAATAAGGGTGCGAGGTGAAGGTGCTCGAGGAAGCGGATCCGGCTCACTGCCGTCTTCCTTCGGCTTTCCATAGGCAAAGTCCCAGGCCGTGCCTGGGGCTTCTTGACTGCTTGCATCCCCACTGTTCCGGTGTGCTGTCTCTTCAACAGACTCACGCAGTGGCGTATGAATGTCTAATAAATTTTGCTCATGAAATGGGTCACGAGAAGACACTGCAGCAGGCTCGGCAGCTTGCTCGGTAGTATCAGAAACTGGTTCGAAAGAAGAACCCGCAATAGATCCAGGGGTTGTGCCTTCCACACACTCTGTAAGTGGCTCAGGTTCTTGAACCGGCTCGGCGACCGCTTGGCGGGATGCGAAGGTATTGTCTTCCAGAGGCGAAATAGGCCTTGAGTCGTGAGCAAAGTACTGATCGTCCGCAATAGGGCTTGGGGTTTCGGCGACAGACGCTTCGATTGTATCATCCTTCGAATCGTCCGCTGGGGGGAAGGCAGGAGACGGGGGAGGGAAGATAGACGACCGATCACTTGCGGAACGAAGATGAGATCGGATTCCATTGAGATGGAAACCACCGGGTTGAATCGTTGGGGAATCCGGTCGCTCGGGGGTGACAGCTCCATCCATGGCCGGGGCATCTGCTGCAATCTCGTTCTCTACGATCGGCTTTAGATCTCTAAGGTCTGAGTACCGGACCTCTGGAAGCGTCTCAAGTTGATCACTATTTGATATAGGCGATTTAGAGGTGGCGCTGGTCTGCTGGAGCGAGAAGGCATAGTCCGAGGCCAGAGACGTGGCTGATGAAATGACATAGGAACGGCGAGAACGACGCTCCTGGCGGTCCTCTCTCTCGTTATCGGACTCGCTAGTAGTGGACTCCGCATAGAACGACTGCGGGTTATGCTGCTGAGCGGATACGTCTAGACTGGACTCTCTGGAATGTCCAACGTGATGGGCATCACTGCTGTAGTGCGAAGAAGCAGACTCGGCTCTTGAGCGGAAGCTAGATTTCGATAAGCCCCGGGGTCTACCGCTCATTGGCTCCTGGTTCAAAGCACGAGGAGGGGATTGCCGCGGAGGTGGAGTGTCTCGTCCTTGGTGCATTTGCATTTGGCGACGAGAGAATTGCTGTTCATCGAAACCAGTTGCCGGCCTATTGAAGAGCCCCATAGCAGTGGCTTTGCCATGATCTTCAGGGTTGAGCGCAGCAGCAAGGAGTTGGGTGCCCTCGCCCGTTTCACTGGAGGGTGGGCTGAGAGGCGGTACTCCGAAGGCAGCAGCCGTTGGAGAGACATGCTCTCTGGGGGTGATATCCGGGATTGTGGCCTGCTTCGGTGATGTTGCGGAGGAAGGCGGACTGCTTGGGCGAGATGCCGGCCCTGCCTCAGTCGTGGAAAGCTTTTGCAAACGATCACGCAAATTGGTTGCGCTGCGAGAGAAATTGCGGGTCATTGGCGGAAGTTCGGGGGTACCAGCACGTTGACGGCTCAAATTTTCTAAGCGATGTAGGGCGGAGTTTTGCTGGTTCTGCACTGCCTGGTTCAAGCCCTGGCCATACAAACGACGAGCCCTGACCGAGCTAGGCTTGATATTGTTATTTGACAGCCCTGAGGATGGTCGCAACTCGTCCAGTGCCGAGGCATTGTGCATCAAGGCCGGGGTTTGAGTAGCAGATTGGGTATCATCGGTAGAGGTTGCAGAAGAAGGCACATTCATAGGAGCAGAAGCTGTTGAGGACTGAGTTGTGCGGTTCGCAGATGACGCCGTCGACTGACTGTCATCGAACTCTGGGGTGGTAAGTTCATAGGCTGAGTCCACCGCAAGTCTGTCTTTCCTATCCTTCTCCTGGAGTCTGAAACGTTGAAAAGCAGACAGATGTAAGTCGTGATCGTACACAGGCTTCCCACTCTCTACTGGACTCTCTGCTGCAGGAGACCCGCCAGAAGATCGCACCGGAATTCGGTAAACCTTCTGGCGACCACCGAATAAATTATTTCCCTCGACTCGGCGGGCTCGACTCATTATACTGCTATGCACTGAACGGTCGTCGTCGGTTCCATATCCACCATCTCCGTGATCAACGAACGAGCCCGATCTTCCTTTGGCGAATGATGGTCGGCTGCCATCATTTGATTCGGTCTCATCAATATCTGTCAACATTGCCGGCGCGTGGCTGAATAAGTTCAATCGCGAAGCTCGTCGGGGGAACAATACACTGTCGTCACTAGCCTTCCCGATCTTTGATTCGGGATCGTCTTGTTCCCGAAGCATACTGAACCGTGCCGACAGCTTGGGCATGAGTAAACTGGTTCTGAAATCATCCGACGAGGCAGAGCGGCCGAGAGGTCCAGCTCCGGCTTGGGCTCTTCGACGTTCTTCTTTTTAGATTTGAGGCTGAAGGGCTTAGCCGAGGACGTATGCTCCGACTCCTCCGGGTCCTTCTTCTTATTCTTGCGGAAACGGTTCATGGTGGTGTCGGGATTCGATTTGGGACAAGAAAGAGCGACAATGGTTCAGGAACCGGACTGAACAAACACTAGTATAACTTCAGGGAAACAGTCAGTATCTTGCGACTACCTCGGAATAGAATTCCCGTTTTTCCACTCACGCTTAGAACCCCAACCAAACGAGTGTCATGCCGAAAGAGGAGAGTAGAGGTTAAGACGTGGAAGCGCGCAACAAAGGAGTGTCCCCGCGGTTTATCGACTCGCGTTCCAGCGTACCGTGGATTGGAAATCCTGGGGTCCACGCCACACTAAGGAGAGCGAGTACCCAATCAAGTCGTGCAGGCCGGGAGTAACGGGGTTGATTGATCACACCAAGAAAAGAAAAAAGCAATTCTAACCGCAGGAAATTACTATGCAGCCGCAGGCTGTGTAGAGAGGGAACCTGCAAGAGACCAAACGAATGACATGAGGAAAGAAGAAAAATATGACAGGGCGACCTCGAGGAATGCCGCCATTGGAGGTCGAGATGGGGGGGGGGAAGGTACGTACCCAATACCCGCATCCCCCTAGTGCGACTAACCAGACTGAGGGGACTAAGTGTACTAAGGTATGGCACTAGAAACTCTGTCCCTTTTTCAGGGTTTAAAGTAATTTCTTTTTCGTCCCCCTTTGAATGCTTTGCTACACGCTAAAATTTCCACCCATCACACCGAGCACACATCTAGCCCTGGACGGAAAAAAGGGATCTGGCTCCGGATCGTCCCCGGCAAGCCCACCGTTCGAGTCGATCACTCGAAGAAATTGGAATTGTGACCAGTTTGGCTGCCTCGCCCGATAATCTTTGCTTTTTCGCCCCTGGCACCAGCAGCTTCCACCAGGGCACATCACCATCAAGCGTCCGGAGACACCCGGTGCTTGATGAGTATGGACTGTCCATTCCTAGCCGCTCGGCCAGCATCATGATAGGGCTAGACCTCATTCAAAGTAGAGTTTGTTTTGACTTTGACTTTTATTTCCAGGGCTTTTAATCTACCAAACTAATCTACTTCGTACCCGACAAAGGCGTAACCAGATAACGGGTCCGAAAATTACGTGTGGATCAGGGGTAAGAAAGGCGGTCCCTTGCAGCCCTGGAGGGCTTCCGCAGCGTCAGCATCTCGTAAATTACCTCGCGTGTGCTGCGGCATGTGGAACCTGGGGCTGGACGCTACTGCATCCCAGTCGCGTTGAATCATGGTACTCTAGGCTCATTCGCGGGGAGAACTTCTCAACACCATGGCACATACAGGTTTCTGTTTTAACTTTGGAGGTGGAGGGAACGCATCTTTGGTTCGCGTTCTCGAGCAATGTCCAACCTTGTACAGTAAACAAAGAGGCCCCGACAAACCCACCAGACGGTCTGGACGGCCCACGTCCAAGTAACTGGGAACTCGATTAACCCCAATCGCTGAAGAGCCGATCAGATTACCTGGATTTCCCTGGTCGATGAACAGTGGAGGCCGTAGTAGGCGTTTATGGGGCTCACGATGTACTGCAAGACCCTGTTGCCTCGTATAAGTCTTCAGCCCGCTCCAAGCCGCCTCCTCCTTGCATGGCGGCAACGTCAACCGCAGCTGGTCTCGAACAATGCAATTAATATCAGCCAATTAACCCCATCATGAAGTCTGCCAGATAGATCACTGCTTGCATATCAGCCCTCCAGCCTGCAGCCTCGTCCGTGGTTATTTCTAGTTATTTCTCCGATCATGCAGGATCTCCTGCATGGCGCAGCACGCTACTTAATCAATTGGCTCATTCCGACGGCCCGGAGGCCTATGTGGACTTGCTGTATCACTCTGGATATCAAATTCCTGGGTACAACGTGCATCGGCTACGAATCAGATTCTGTAGATCTGCCTTGCGCTGAGAGGGCGCGCGAAACATCTTGCTCCCCCTTGCAATGCCACTTTGTTACGTGTTTTTTTTTTTCCGAGCAATGACGCATTCTATACTGACCGGAAATGATAGGAGGCAAGATCCCGGAATCAGGGTCTGCATCCCTTCCAGTGGGACGATGAGATCATGCGCACAGATCAAAAGGATATAATAACCAGGCCCCCAGTTTCGCGGGCCCGGGGCCTTGGTGCTTCTAGCCAAATGTTCTAGCGCGTTTCTGGGTCGCGTTTAAGACGGAAATCCTGACAGCCGTTGTTGGGGCCCATCTAGCAAGCTTTTCGCCCGCAATTTCGGGTTCTGGGATGTCAATGTCTGAGCGTAAATTAACGGAAAATAGGGAAGAAAAGAGAGAAACCCCCCCAAATGGGCAGGTGGAGAGTATCCTCGCTTGGGGAGTGCGTTGTGCTCTTGATTTTCCTCGTGGAATACGGAGTAGTTCTGGCCCTCGTCCCAGTCCAGTAGTGGGGCGGAGTAAAAATCCCCAATCAAGCTTTCAATACCACGCACCAAAAGCGCCAAGATGTGATAGCGCTAAGAATCCGCCCTGAGTTCCCCGGCGATGTCGATTGGTGCCCCTGACGGAGACGGGACGTTGTAATTTTGACAATTCTAAAATGGGCCGCTGCTCTACTGTGCTTTCTTTCATTGCCAACTGGACCGGGGAAGAGATCTATCAATACCAATCAAGACAGCTAATGGATTCAACCAAGAGAGTCTCACCCCCCCCGTAGTTCAAATCGCTGCGCTCTGTACTTTCCCACGGGTACCTGAGTGGACCAGCCGGGATCGCCTCCACCGGTAATTACGCCACCTCCAATACGCCTGCCGGATCCCTACCAGCTTGTTGGGCCTCGTGGGAAACGGCTAGATGTCGGAGAGGGTCGGGGTCCATGAATTAATTCCCCTTTGGATCTATCAACCCAGCAACGTACGGAGTACGGAGTAAGCAAAAGTCATATACCAGCATACGCCCCCGCAATAGCGCAGGTTTAATGTGGCTCCGGCAGTGATGATAGTCCAAACATCACTTCGCGAGAGCCCTGCATGGATTTAACGTCGGCTTCTGAACCGTGTTCCGGCTTCCGTTCCTGGCGATCATCGATCGGTTCATAATCGGGTCGAGAACAAGTTTGCTCCATTAACGATGGCCCCCCCGGCCCTCGAGTTTGGCTGAAACGGACAACGCATTGGTTGGGGCCGGAGAAAAGACCCTGCTTGGGTGAGCTGTAACGGCCCAGAATCCCAGGCAATTTCGCGTCCCTGGAGCGGGGAGCAGGTGGACGATGCGTTCCCAAGCCACTGTTTCAGCCTTCGATCCCAGTGGCTAAGTCTGGGCTGTGCACTGTGACTGGTCGCTGGGGTTTGCCCTGTTAGTTTCGGGTACCTGGCTTGGGGCCCTATTGCATGGCAGTCCAACGGTGTGGTCCAGTGTTTGAGAAGTCATGCCCTGGACATCTTGCAGACGCTGAGCTTGTACCTGTTTCAGACTCTTTTGACCGAAAAATTGAGGGTCTTCATCCGTCTAACGGTCGGAAACCTTGGCGGTAGCTGTATCTTCCTTACCTGTATATCTAATCCTACCTCCGAGTCAGGCTTCAATATCTCAAGTCCGTCCATAAGAAATGCGAAATATAGAGCGGCACAATCTAGACAACTTTAATAATCGGAGCTAGTTAGCGCACTCGGGACGTACAATAGTACTGGCGGTAGTAGTAGTTAACCCGACGTTTCGCCGGCAGGAATATCCTTGGAAGACTGACAGAATCAGCTGTCTACCAATTCGAATTTTTTAGAACAGGGACTTTTCCAGGAGACTAGAACCGGAACTTCAATTGGAGACAACTGGAAAACAGCGAATTATTGATGGGAAAGCGAGCGATGATTTTTGTGTGATCGCTGTTCCTCTCAGCACGTATTTTTGTTGGTCGCGACCCACTGCTTCACCGAGGACGTCTTCAAGCTGCATTAGTTCGGCGTGGGACCAAAAACCAGTCCTCCCGCTTGAATCTCAGGGTGGCGTAGATTCGACCCCCTTGGCCCCCTTTGAAGAGACGTCTAATCACGAGAAAGTTTTCACAACGCCAGTCCTGGGTCGCAGCCATTGGTGTCAGGATTGGTATCTGTCTTGGCCTAGGCGCCACTTTTGCCTGGAGCCCCAGCGCCTGAGGCGTCAAGTATGAATTCTCCTGTCGAGTTAGCAACCCCGAATACATACCAGTATCGAAGAAACTGCCATGGGATGATGATTTGTTGGTTGTCCCAGTCACTAGTCTGAATGAGCGTGAGAATGTGCCTTGGGGGCCTGCTAAGATTTTTTCTCTCTGGCCTGCTATCCTTAATCCCAGTGAGGTCAAGCTCGTACATGGAGAATCCCGGCTGGAATCCTTTTTTACTAGTGGTATAATAAGTCCATTTGTCATTGAAACCTTAAACTCTATAAAGCAGATCTGGGCTTGTTGTAAGTTCTCTCACTCTGTTTTTCTTGAATTGTGCTCCTGGTCTATTTAGTAAGAAGCCAATTGCTTGACATGGAGGGATATCAACAGTTGACTTTAGACATCGGCAGTTTCTCTCCTTAAGCCTGCAGCTGAGCCGCAAAGAAAGCATTCACGCTGCCATTGGCTCGCGGCTGAAACGCAGAGATCTTATCCGAAGATTCAACGCTGTCAACATCTTCTGCACGCCCCCAGCCACCACCACCTGGTGTGTGCACAACAAACCGGTCACCCAGCTTCATGTCGACCTGACCTCGCGGTCCAATGTTAAGCCAAGTGTATGACCCATCTTCATTCACTTGGGCCCAGTAATTTGTTCCACGCTGCCCGGGTTCACCACCTTCCATTCCATACGGCTGGTTCACTCGTCGTTCTGAGATCATGCTGAAGGTAAGAGGCGCACGGCACTCGAAGTCTCTCACGACACCGCATCCACCGTTGAACTTACCTCTTCCGCCGCTGCCGCGGCGAATGGAGAATTCGCGCACCAGAACGGGGTACCGTTTCTCGATCACCTCGGCGTCGGTGGTACGAGTGTTGGTCATATGCGTGTGCAGGCCACTGGCTCCGTGCCAGGTCGGTCCAGCGCCAGCTCCACCGGCGATTGTCTCGCCGTAGTTGTATGCAAATCCAGGGAGAGGTTTCCCATCTGGCCCGACACCGCCGCGTCCGAAGAACCCCATGCAGTTCATGCAGCCTTGGGAAGCAGCCGCAGCATGGAAGGCTTTCAACAAGAGATCTGTCACCCTCTGCGATGTGAGAGTATTACCGCAGCAGACAGCCCGACCAGCGGATGGGTTCAGAAATGTGTTTTTTGGAATTAGGACCTTTGTTGGCGCAAGACACCCTTGGTTAAGAGGGATGTCGTTCCCAATGAGAACCCGCATGGTGTAGATGAGAGCGGAGTAAGTGATCGCAGGAGGGGCATTCATATTTGATAGCATCTCCGAGGTGGTCCCATTGAAATCAAAGGTTCCAGTGCCATCTTCGTCAATCGTAATCGACACGCGCATAATGGATCCGTTATCCATGGAATCAACCGCCGCAAGAGGGGTGTTCCCGTGTTTTCGTCTTACGTCCTTGAGGTAATTCCGGACGGCAATTTCGGCGTTCTCCTGGATTTTCTTCATGTAAAAATGTACGTCCCTTTTGCCTTTCTCTGCCATGAGGGCCTGGATCAGAGACGAGCCCTTGTTATTGGCGGCTATCTGGGCTTTTAAGTCCGAGATGTTATCTTCGAGTCTCCTAGAGCCAGTGCAGCCCTCGTGTGTGCCGGGCTCAAGAAGTATATCACAGATTCCCTTCTCGTCAAATTTGCCGTCTCGGACTAAGAAGAATGAACGGATCGCCGCACCTTCGTCGTAAATCGAAGTCGAATCGGGCGGCATCGAAGTTCCTTTCAAACCACCAATGTCCATGTGATGGCCCCGGGAGGCAGTATAGAAACATACAGTCTTCCCATCGGGTTCGAAAACAGGGGTGATGACGGTAATGTCGGGAAGATGCGTACCGCCAGACTCCGGGTGATTCGACACAAGAACATCCCCAGGCCTCAGGTTACCCTTGTGTAGCTCTGCCTGGTACCTGACAGCATAACTCATGCTGCCCAGGTGAACTGGTACATGCGGAGCATTAGCAACCAGTTCGGCGTCAGGCCCAAAGATCGCACAGGAGAAGTCCAATCTCTCCTTGATATTGATTGAAAGGCTAGTCCGTTGCAAGGTACGGCCCATTTGCTCTGCAATTCCCATAAAGCGATGGCTGTATACAGAAAGTTGAATGGGATCCGCCATCTTCTCAGTAGCGTCTGCAGTGGGAGCCTCCTTAGTGTCAGACTGGTCGATGATGACATGACAGGTTAATATAGAAGCTTTTGAGCCGGGCACAATGACGATCGTTTGCGTGTGATCGATGATTAGTGCCGGGCCATCTACCACATCACCCCTTTTGAGCTGCTCTAGTAAGAAGACAGGGGTCATCTGATACCCGTCTGGGCTGAAATACACCTTTGTCTATTAGATTGTTAGTTTGGAGCTTTTTTTTTTTTGCTTTTTTGGGGGGTTTTTCTTCTCTCTTTTTTCTAAGACAGACACGAACCTTGTGAGCAGCATCTAGTGCTTTGATGGGGTTAAAATCAGCTTCTTGCATCTCCTTGATCAGACGGTCATTGTCTTGAACGACCTCCGGGCTTGCTCCCACGCCACGGATCCGAATGTCATCCACTAGGACTTTCTTGGAGGATGGAAACAGGAATGCCAGTTCTCTCAAATGCTCACGTTCGAAGGCAGCTCTGAAGTCTCTGTCTGCTGGCTGCGGGATCATCAGTTGAGTTTCCGTACCTTCATATCTCAAGTGTAAGTATATGTCGTATCTGATGGCTTCCTCTTTAATTCCTTGAGCTAGAAGCCTCTTCAAAACCCCGTCCTTAAGGTCATCGAGCCTTTGCTCAATCTTTGACATCGCGTCGTCACAGAGTGTCTCACTGCTTGGCTCTTGCATCTCCTGCACAACCTCGGCTAGTGCCATGCCATAAGCTGACAAAATGCTGGAGAATTTGTGAATGACCACTCGCTTGATATCGAGTTTCTTGGCAAGCTCGCAAGCATGCTGCCCACCGGCTCCTCCAAATACTGCCAGGTTATGAGCAGATGTATCGTGGCCTCGTGCTTCGGTGATTGCACGGATCGGGCGCCCCATAGCTTCATTAGCTACATCAATGAACCCGTTGGCCACTTCCATCGGACTCATGGTCCGATGGGTCTCGGCATTGATTTTCTGTGTCAACTCTGCGAATTTCTCGCGCACTATCTCATCGTCTAATGGTTGATCTTCATTCGGGCCGAAAATAGAGGGGAAATATTGGGGAAGCAGACGGCCGAGCATGAGGTTGGCATCTGTTACTGTGAGCGGGCCACCTTTGCGGTATGAAGCTGGACCTGGGTGTGCACCAGCACTCTTGAAACGTATTCGATCAGCTTCATCGCGAATCGAAAGAAGGCAGATGCATATCGAACTTACTTCAGGTCCGACCTTGAAGAGGCCATTCTCCCAATTAAGGATACTTCCACCGCCTGCCGCGACCGTGTTGATGTCCAACTGAGGACTCTGGATGGCAACACCAGCTGTCGTTGTCTCGAAAACATGCTCAAAATCGCCACCGAATCGTGATACGTCTGTACTGGTGCCGCCCATGTCAAAGCCAACAATAGGAGTTCTCCCATCGTACGAGGATCGTGCGTAGCCCACAACGCCTCCTATGAAGCATTAGAAAGTCTTTGTTGAAGCCATATTTCGAAGAGAACCAAATACAGTACCTGCAGGACCACTGAGAATAGCTTTCAGACCAGTGAAATATCTGTAATTCACCAGACCGCCGTCACTTTGCATAAACTCACAGCGGACGCCATCCAAATTACCACCTTCGAAGCCTCGCGCGAATGTATGCACGTATCGTTGGATTTCTGGGGTCAGGTATGCATCTGCTGATGCTGAGCTGCCTCGGGAGATCATCTTGATCATCTTTGAGCCAACTTCCGACGAGGATGAAACGTGGGCAAATCCAAGTTCTGATGCAATCTTGGCCACAGCATCCTCATGGTCAGGGTATAGATAGGAATGAGCAAAGCAAATTGCAAGAGCATCGATCCCTTTTTCTCGGATAGCAGTAAGCTTTTTCTTTACCTCATTTGCATCAAGAGGCTTGATAATGCGCAAGATATCTCCTGTGGTGCCCTTCACTAACTTCCCAGGTATTTTACTCGTTGGCAGAGCCATTTCTTTGGGGCGCTCTTCGAAGTCCTCTAGAGTTACTCTTTCAGAGATCTCCACTACCTCTTCGTACAAAGTCTCAGGCTTGCAGTGGTCGAGGGCAAATAGATTCGGGCGGGACTGGTGGCCAATGTCCAGCAGATCGCGAAACCCTTCGGTGACAAGGAGCGCATGTCTTGTTCCTTTCCGTTCGAGAAGAGCTGAATGGCTTTGTAAGCTCATGTTTTGAAAAGAGTTCGGAAAGGAGCTTGTTGTACCATTAGTAGCCACAGTAGTGCCCATCCGAATAGACTCGATGTGCTTTTTCGGCAATGGCGATGCGCGAGGAATCTGAGAAGATGTTACCATCTCCAGCACACGTCGAATACCTGCTACGGCATCAGGAGAGGTTTAGATACGGACAAATTTTGCGTAGAACCAACCTTCTGAAGGGGCGTCTGCATAGTTTTCGGGATCCACAGAGAGCAACTTCAGGACTATGTTTGGCCGCCCCTCTACACCTGCCCATACATCGGTGAAAGTGCCACCTCGATCTGTAGCGCATGAGTAAATTTGCCCAAGTCAAAGTTGGTTTTGTGGCTTCCGAAAGACCCTCATTCTTTTGGGGTGGGTCATTATTCCCTTACCTATGGCAAACCTAATGCCTCTGGGGCTGGAAGTTGATTCTGCGATCATGTTTGTTGGCGGGGTAAGATCAAGGAAGCTAGAGAATCTGATTGTTAAAATGGACAGAAGAAAAGGCCTTGATCTTCTTTTTGGGGGGGGAAGAAATTCAAGATATCTGAAAGGATTGCCGTGTCCAGATTTATAGGTGTCTCGTGTGATCTCGCCCGCTCCAATGCTTGCCGCGAGCGTCGGCGATGCTGTCAGTAGACTTGGGTGAAACGGGGCATTCTCATGCGAGATTCACATTATGCTTGTGAGTCACATCTCTTTGATAGGCAAATAATCGGCAACAGGCGTAGAGGCACAGGCGACTGAATCCCAGTCATTCTCCATTTCAGGAATTCAGACCCCGCTCGCAGATACGTCTAAGAAAGAATGCAAGTCGACGCGAGCACAAAGGTCAGACCTGGCCTCCCCAAGGATACGCAGGTGTGAGGATACCCAGATGCCGGTCAATAAGACTATACATATGCACCGATGGATGTGTTATCCACAGGCTCTTCAAGGATTCCCTCGGTATCTCCGCGAAGGCCTATGCGCGCCAAGAAAAAGCGGGCTGCTCGCGACGACCTGCCTCGCCAACCCTATCTAATCAGAATTCTAGTTTATCTCTGTCGAGGTATCTGGGACCATCGCTCAGGCCCACTTCCCCAGGATTTCACTCCAATTGGGTCAAGATGACTATCATTGCTGGTCCATGCAGACTATAGGCTGTATCCAGTACTGGCATGCCTTGTCTACAAAAGCTTGACGATGTTCCCTTTGAGTGATCTGGAAGCTCAGTCCACGGGCGACATTATTCTTTTGTCGACATATTGCAAATCCACTCAAGCCAACTCTGTTTTGCAGATTCGCCATGGCTTCGGAGACAAAGAAAATCCCAGCTGAGGGAGACGGCATCCAGCCAGTGACATCTACCCAAATTGTCATTGACGAGGACAATGTTAAGCATATTGTAACTGATGCAGGAGACGAAGCAGTACAGTTCCTTGCATCCGTCGGGCCTTTTCCTCCAATGTCACCAGACCAGGAAAAGAAGCTTGTTCGCAAGATTGATCGGTGGATGATTCCTATGGTGAGCATTCGAAAACCACGAATAGCTTGATGACTCGTCTAATGTACCGGTCAAAATTAGCTCCTATTCTTAGGCTTATTCGGCGCCGTCGACAAAGTCCAGCTTGCCACCGGGGCGCTCTATGGTTTTAAAGAAGACAATCATCTCAAAGGGCAAGAATATAGCTGGCTCGGAAGCATCCTCTCTATTGGTGTATGATTTTTTCCTTGCATGCCACTCTATGTGGAAGCCATCTAATCACTGTGCAGATGCTTGTGGGGATCTGGCCCTCGACGTATCTCGTCCATCGCCTCCCTGCCGGAAAATACATCGGTGCTTGCTCTTTCTGTTGGTCTATCATGACCTTATGCATAGCTGCCTGTCACAACTGGGCAGGCTTGATGGTTTTGCGATTCATGATGGGAGTGTTTGAGGCCATCATCACCCCTGGGCTTACACTTCTGATCTCAGTATTCTGGAAGAAGTCTGAGCAGCCCATTCGCAATGGCGGTGAGTTCATAAGCTTTTTGATTAAAGAATCTCGCGCAATCTGACACGGCACCAGTAATCATGAGTGTTTTCTCGTCGGTAGTCAACGGCTTTTTGTCTTGGGTAGTTGGCAAGATTCCATCAGATGCACCCCTTGCCCGCTGGCAGTACCTCTATCTCCTCACAGGCTCGATCAACGTCCTTTACTCGAGTTTCATGTTATTTTATTTGCCAAATTCGCCAATCAATGCCAAGTTCCTCAGTCTGGAGGAAAGATGGCATGCAGTGCAGCGCCTTGCGGATAATCGAACGGGTATCGATAACAATCAGTGGAACTGGGACCAGGCCTGGGAGGCTGTTTTCGATCTCAAAATATGGATCATGTTTCTCTTCAATATTGCCATCAACATTCCGAATGGAGGCCTTATCACATTTGGCGCTATCATCATCGACAGTCTTGGCTTTGACCCCCAGACCTCGTCACTTTTATCCATGCCAAACGGTATTATTTCCACCATATCAGGTTTCATTGCTACCTACTATGCTTCTAAATGGCAGGGACGTCGAACCTTTGTTGTTATGATCGCAACTCTGCCTCCCCTCATTGGAACAGCCTTGGTGTACGGCGTTCCTAGATCATCGACCGGAGTCCAAATGTTTGGTCTATACTTGATGTACTGCTACTGGGGTAAGAAATCCGTTGATGTATTCGGTCTGCATCCCATCACTGACAAGCCAATAGGGCCATATGTGACAGCAGTTTCACTCCCTCAGGCGAATACTGCAGGCAGCACAAAAAAGGTTGTTGCTTACGGTATTTTGCTCCTCGGTTACAGTGCTGGCAACCTTATTGGTCCTCAAACATTCCGAGATGACCAAGCCCCTGCGTATACCGGTGGGACTGTAGCAATGCTCACTTGTTACTGCGTCGCGATATTCCTCATGTGTCTTTACTTCCTGACGGCCCGGTTCCAAAATCGACGCAAGGACCAAAGATACGGAAAGCCGGTGCGAGTCGATACGGAAAATTTCAGCTCTGTCATAGAAACATACCAAAACTTGTCAGACAGGAAGCAGGAGGATTTCAGATACATTTACTGACCTGGGTTTTCACGGGCAATTGAACCATTAGGGTGGATTTATCTCACGAGCTACCTTCCTTTGATTTTGTCACTAATGTACTTCGATATTCAGAAATATTGATGGATTAACTTGGTATTCAATATAAGCTCACCCCGTAGCTCCCTGCTCGGATGATATCCTGCCACCCGCATCTAGATTCTAATCCTCCCAAGTCACGCATTCTCCATACTGCCTCGATAATCTGCCTTGCCCTCCCAACATTCCGAAGTTTCCTGGTTTGCTGTAGGCTCACCAATCTTTCCAATACCAGTTTCCTGTTGGAATCTCCACTATCAGCATTATGGGTGCCTATTCCCATAGTCCCAACGACAAAGAGGGGCCAGAGCAAAGCATGGGAACGGAGAGATATTCTGGGAACCAGCTTAATTATCTCGTCTACCAGCTTGCTGATAGGTGAAGACCCCGGTGCAGCATCATCCAGCCTCGAGTACAGATATACCAGGGCTGATAGACGACGTGTCTCCGCGATATGAAGGAGCTCCTCGATTTCAGTCTGTTCACCCTCGACACACGAAATCCCAATAGTTGCAGAAAAAGGTAAAAGTTGTTTCAAGGTATGCAATCGTCTTTCAATGCTGTGGCGCTTGGCACTGATGGAACGTCGTCTCTCCTGTAATGATTCAGCCTCGCCCAATCGGTCATGGGGGGAACACCCAAGAGGAGATCCTCCAGTTGCGAGGTCGGATATTTCTGAAATGAGCAAAATCAGCTCCGGGGAGCATCCCAAAAATGCATCGATGATAGTCATTTCCGGGACCGTTTCGGGAGAGAACCAAGAAACACAACTCATGTAGGGGTCGACGAGGTTGTAAGCCGTTCTAGCAAATGCTTCGTGCGCGGCAAAATAGGAGCTGAAGAACCGACACAACGATGCCTGCGTGGTTGACAAGCGCGTGGACACGGGCAGAAGAGCTTGTAAAGTCCGAGCACAATTCTGGTGTATAAGCCACGCTGAGGAACTGCTTTGCGATACCTTTTATTCCCCAACTCTGTGTGAGAATCCCTAACCAGAACTCAGTGTGGATCATGAAGTACGTACGTCAAAGAAAGTGAGCATCACCAGTGTGGCTGTAATGTGTTCCCAGCCCGCAGTGGCGGCGGGCTCATCACCAGACCGAAAGCGGCCGATTTCGCGTTGAAAGCCACGAAGGGCTTTAGCGCGATATTCCCAGATGTCTCTCTCAAACCGTTTGTCCTCAAGCATGGACAGCTGGTGGGACGATATGGCCATGACTGTGTAGAACAGGGGCTTTTCTGTGGCTGATAAACAAATAGGAAGAATTATACTAACAAATGGATTCTCAACAGGCCATGTAGTACACCTGGGGATCAGTTTGTGGGTGAAATAGTCGAGCAGAATCAGTTGTTTGCCATTTAATCCGAAAGGTGAGAGCTCATAGGGAATGTAAGATTCAGTCGGCGATTGGTTTATCCATCTCCCGCCAAGCATACTATCCTCATCACGGTTATAACATTGTTCGGTGGTATTTTCGAAATGCTCCTGGAGGTTTCCAGGACAATCCGAGTCAAGTAATGACATTATATCAACGAATGGATCTGGATCTTCGACTGCTTGTTCTATCCTTGGGAGATCTGGTCCGGAAAGTCCCAGCGGCTCAAGAGGAAGAACGAAGTCTGCCGGTGTCGTGTTCAAGAACATCCAATCTTCAATAAATGTGGATTGGATGCCGGAGGCTTTACAACGCGGGGTTGGAGGGACTTTCAATGTCCCCAAGACACTCGGAATCTGTCTTGTTTGAAGCACTTGTCGTTTCATTGTGGACCTCGTCCCTGAAAACCATGAGAACTTGCAGGGCTTCATCAAGGAGGCTTTGAAACTCGAGGTAAGTGGACGCACCAGATCGACCTAAAACTATCCCTCTTGATAATGCATCTTCATGCCAGAGGAGTTTAATTCCGTAATGGCAGGACAGGCCCAGTCGCTTACAAGCAAGACATGTTGGTCGGGCCTCTTGACATCTTATCAGCTGCATATTTCAATCATACCATGTAGGCCCTGGCACTTACCGTTGCATTTAACTCTTCGCTCTATGGATGGTCAGTTTTCTGGTAAAGCAGTAGGCGTTCGCTACGAACCTTTGCATCTCCAGCAGCCAGTCCGCTGGCGCCGAGCCGGCGTGGATGCACCTTTGAGGGCAGTTGCAGCCATACTTGGTGACGACCGGTTGTGGCTTCCGTTTTGTAAGAGTCGAGACTGGGCGGGGGCTCCTCCTGGTCTAATACTAGCGCGTAGTCCTATTTGGTCGGCCAGGCGGGGGTTTCATGCCAATTTACTGGGACACTCGGACGCGATAAGCCAAGCCAGAAATTGCCACGGCCCTATCGGCGAAAGCCTACAGGATCAAGAAATAGCCCACCCATATCACTGACTACTTAATTCGCATATTCATCACGCTTCCATCTTGAAGCATCGTTTCAGCTCCCGGTCCATATATGTATTGAAAAGATGATGGGAAGGGAACAAAGTCTTAAATACTTATGGTGACCGTCTTAAAAAGCTGCAATATCGTTCTCAACCTCTGAATAAGTATCATTATAGTGTAACGATTATCTAGGTTTAATCATTCTAAGAACTGGCCTGCGACTGCGTGTGGCCGTCCAACATCTTTACTCCGGGGTTTTCTGAACGATTGCCACGACTGGGTGGGATGACTGCACTTCAATCTTACTCGTGTCAAAGAAACGATGACTCAGCACGTGGATCCACCCTGGTATCTGCATCATCCCCGGTTAGGTTATAAAAGCAGTGAATACACGGTTCATCAACAAAATTACTTACGGACACAGGAGGTCAAATACTAGAGGCCCACCAGACTATAGGATTGGTATAATCAGCAATCAACAGCACTTCTCAGCTGTTTACGGTAGGCGGTGTGGTTGTTAAGCTGGGCCGTTGTGTAAATAAAAATTGGAGAATAAAGCGGGGCGCCAAACCCACCATTGAAAATCATGTAACTAGTTATCTATGTGTGCTTATGCACCAGGGCCATTCGCTTGATTGATCAATGAACCCAATAGGCGGGCCCAAGAGCATTTACTGAGGGCTATAATAAGCCGTGGGAGGGGAAGGAGAAACTGGAAGAGAGAAGATAAAAGATATCAGAATAACCAGAGGATCGACCGCGTGTACGTGTGGTCAAAATCCCATTTGTTGACTGCTTCAAACTGAAAGTGTTTATTCAAGTACGACTTTAAAAAGCCCTGGCAAGACTTCAGAAAAGATGACATCCGGATTGCCGATGAAGAACCGAAAATATCCAAGGCCAAAAATCAGTTCGGTTTCTCGCGCGGCTATACAAGTATTTGCGCATGGGGTACTAAGCACCTTTCTGTCTTCGAAAATATATTTGCTGAGATCTCACCCCCAAATCGGGCCTAGCGACACAATACAGGGAGGAAAGATTAACAATAGGTTTTACTATGATTTCTAGAGTCTGGAAACGCCAAACGTGCAGAATATTTCGTTGGTAACTAGCAGGTAAAGCGCAGAGTAAACACTGGAAATCCGATAGTTTGAATCGTCAGGGCGGGAGCAAGTTGAACCTCGGACCGGGGGGTTCAACTTTCTGTGGGGGGAGCCGGTGAAACATAAGGCCGAATTCCTGAACAAACCACTGGAAAGTGAGGTGTTCTAGCTCTTTCAAAGGCTATGCTATAAAAACAGAAGAGGCTTCATCGCAAGTCCATGAGACATACCTGATCAAATCTTATGGTATGCCCGGTTGTCGCAAACATGGGGTCTTGCATGAGGTCTTTCAATTGTCGGCCAATGCCGCCTGGCCGCTATCGTAGCCACTTTGGGTGTGGTGTGTTCATCGGCCAGCTTGCCGAGTGGTCGAATGTTTCCGACCCCTGCGGGGGTTACTGCCCCGGGACGCGCATAGCGTTTCCAAAGAAGTCCTAGACCCATGGACAGGTCCACTCAACACAGTTGTGAGCAGTTGGTTCACACCGAAAACAGTCACGGCCAAGGAGTCTTATCAGTTGAGTTTATGAAATGCCCGGTAGCTTCTGTCGCCTTATCTTGGCGATCTTCGGACGATTCCGAAAGGAGGCTTTAAAGATCTCGTGTTTCCCAAGCAATATGGCGATTTCAAGAAGGAAAAGCTCAAAATGGCACGGTATCAGTCGGTCGGAATGTTTACTCAAGCTTTGTCGCTGGTGGCATTTTCAGCTATCACAGTCTCCGGGAGGTTTGTATCCACTGGGGCTTCGGTTCAGCTCAACGACGTCCACTACTTCATCCCTCCATTCTCACAGGGGCAGATATACGACCCCCTTGAATTGAGGAAGTACTCGAATGCCAGTACATTTGTACCTGTGAGCATTGTTGCTCAGCCATGTACGGAAGACGAGTTGCACGATCTTTTCGCCAACTGGACCTCTCAGGACGATGTGTGGCAACCGGGCTTCCTCGAAACGGTATTTCTTGCTACTTCTGATGATTCAGGTAGCCCCATGCAGAAAATCTACTTGGGAGACACTGCATCCACTGTTCTGCGGTTGCAAGAACCTAGCACTCCCTCGGGTCCATACTTTCTTGCGCCGTGGACGGGGGAAATTTATCAGGCATACCGCCTGTATGAAGACTTTGCGGGTGCATTTACCCAATCTCTCCTCCAGGGGCCCGACAAAACTTTCCAAACGCTTTCAGCCCAGGTCCCTTCGTCAGGTTCTCTGACTATTGGCGTTCCGTCTAGACTATACTTCACACCAAGCAAAAAACAGCCGTTGGCAGGGATTCGGATAGGAGTCAAGGACATCTACGCCTTGGCTGGCACTAAAAGATCCAATGGAAATCGAGCTTGGTACAGCCTTTACCCACCTGCCAATGAGACAGGCACAGCGATGCAGAATCTTCTCGATGCCGGTGCAGTTATAGTGGGCTTGCAGAAGCCGTCGCAGTTTGCCAATGGCGAGACGGCAACAGCGGACTGGGTGGACTTTCATGCGCCATTCAATCCCCGGGGCGATGGCTACCAAGATCCTTCTTCGTCATCTGCCGGTGCGGGTGCATCGGTCGCCTCTTATGAGTGGTTGGACCTTGCCGTCGGGAGCGACACGGGTGGTTCTATCCGTGGCCCTGCTGGAGCTCAAGGTCTCTTTGGCAACCGCCCGACCCATGGCCTTGTGAGCCTTGACAATGTCATGCCCCTTAGTCCGAGACTGGATACGGCAGGGTTCTTGACTCGGGATCCAAAACTTTGGGATACTGCTAATGCCGCGTTGTACGCGAGCAACTACACCTCCTTTGCAGACAAGAGTCCGAAATATCCCCAGAAACTGTACCTGCTGGACTTTCCGACGACGAACGATTCTACTGCACGGATGAGACGGAAATTTGCATCTGATTTGGCGTCTTTCCTGAACACAACCACTTCAACCTTGGAATTGGAAAAGGAATGGGCCGCGTCGGGACCTGCATCGTTGAGAGCACACAACATTTCCGAGGTCCTGAATCTCACGTACACTACGCTCATTACTAAACAACAAACGAAACTCCTCCGCGATCCGTTCTACGAAGACTATTCAGGTGTGTACTCACTAGTGTGGGAGCAAACAGACTGCTAATACCAGGGTTTAGCCGTTCACGACGGTCGCCGCCCATTCATTGACCCCATCCCTCTTACCCGCTGGGGCTGGGCAGACACGCAGCCTGATTCTATTCTCGATGACGCGATAGCAAACAAGACTCGTTTCATGAACTGGTTCAACGAGAAAATCCTGCCGCCGGTCGATGATCCCCTGACCTGTTCGTCTGGTTTTCTGTTGCACACCGTCAGCACCGGGTATGCTCATAGCCGGAACGAATATTTGAGCCCGTCTGGACCGCCATTTGGGTTTTCAAACAGTGCCATTTCCGGGATGACAGAAAATCCTGACAGTGTCTTTCCCCTCGGCCAGGTCTCGTCTTTTAGTCCCATCACAAACCATACCGAGCTTCTCCCAGTCACCGTTGATGTCATTGCCGCGAGGGGGTGTGATGGATTAATTGCCAAATTGGCGCGTGATCTAGTCGATGCTGGGATCTTGGTGGCTCCGCGGACAGGTTCGGGGCTTAACGGCGGGACGATTCTACTACGGAGAGATGAAGAGGAGTGATGTTGGAAGAGTTGGAGACGGAAAATCACCATGAATCGCAGCGGAAGTCTGTCTGGAACAATATAAATAGACGAAGAAAAAATTTGCTCCTTTCATGGAATTCATATGTTTGCGCTGGGTGGCTGTGATAGGTGGTAGTCGAGAGGGCTCATCCAGAAGCATTGGAGCTGCTCAGTGATCTACTGGTTGACAACGGGCACTAATCTTCACAGTTAGGTGTATTGGCAGACTCACCTGGGCGAAGCGAATAAGGACGAAGCGATCCCACACGGGGGCGTATTTTCTTGAGCTCAGACCCTGCCCATCCATAACGGCCCCCAAAATCAGAGACGAGGATCGGCGCGTTGTGGGGATGGCCCGGGCCCCGGGGGGCATTGGCGGCACAATGAGGCTGACCAGGCTGTCTGCCCAGGCGTTATACCCGAAGCTGACGCACAGGCCCTCCCAAGCACTTTAATCTCGCTGTTTCGCAGGTTCGAGCTCACAACCTTCTGAGTGAGCCCATTCGATGAGATGCTTCGGCCAAAGCCACACTCGAAATCCGGGGAGGAGTCTCTCGAAGAGCAAAAAGAACCATTCGTCGATCAAGCACTGGACCGAGATGAGGGAAACGGGCCCAATCTCGACATTGCCAGCGGCACGAGAACTGGATGCATTGCCGCCGTGTCGATGGGCGTGATTCTTTCGCTTCTGTGCCTTATATCCGGCATTTACCTCGTCACTCAAAAGTCCATCCTCGGCGCCCCGGTCTCCATCTCTCCTGCTGGGCAAGAAGCTGTGTCCCTCGTGATCAACTTTATCCTGGCACTCTGCACCGATGGTATGATGTTCGTGCATTCCGCCTCCCTACGATGGGCGTTATATCGCGAAGAGCGCTTGGAGTACAACACCAATATTCGTCTCTTCACCAGTTCCAAGAGATTCGGCCCGAATAGTTGGTACATTAACCTGGTCGCCCTGGCCTGCTTGATTTTAACATATGCCTCGTCATCCGTCCTTTTGGTATCCAACCAGGCCTATATGGGGAATGAAAACGGAGGGGTATTCTTCGAGTTGATGATCAATGCCACAGCTCTAATTGCGCTGGGTTTAGGTCTCGCTGGTCAGGCCGCCATCGCCGTGTGGTGCCTGGTATCGTGTCAAAAGTCGATACCGACCTGGAGCTCCAATCCGCTCAACACCGCGTCGGTCGCGTTGCACAAAGGTGACCTTGTCCACCGTCCAGGGAGATGCATGTTATCCGTTCACCAGAGAACAATGCCAAGCCAAGAGGCATACCCCGGGAAAAGACAGGGAAGCATGTTTCAAGTACAGCATATAGTGCGATACATTCTTGCGTTGATATGGTCACTTGCTCTTCTGGCCATCGCTTGGCCCATTGCTATCGCCACTGTCTCCAGATCTATCGGTAATGACAGTTACTTAGGACAGGGGTTTGAAAACCCGTGCTGGAAACTTAGATTCGATTGGGAAAAGAGTGATTGGGCATGTTCGCGGAACTTCGTGACGCTTTCTATGTCACCCACTGCGAATGACCACAATCCGAGCTCCCCAGCCTTTTCGTACGGCGCAGAGGCTGTGCTATGCATCTTATTTGTCTGTCTGGTCCAAGCTCTCCAGACAATTGTCCTGCATTGCTTGGAATTGTTGGTCAACCTGTCTAGAGACGAAGGACTTTGGCGACAGGCTTACAGAGGAACAAAAGAGGCCCCAGGGACGCAGTTGTCCACAAATCCATTCCTTTCAGCCGCATCGAGCTGGGAAAACATCGTCCTGTTTATCTCCAAGGCACTCCTGCATTGGATAATTGGTGCAGAGCATGATCGCTTCCGTCGCCATTGAAGAAAGCAAAATTCTCAATTCGATTGCTGATACTACAAATCCCGGGCCCGAGTATTTCAATTCCAAATACGGATTCCAGTTTGATATGGTATATCCACGGTTGCTCATATATGCCATCATGGCTATTGTTGTGGCATCCTTGGGGACCTACCTTGCTCTCAAGCGACCGAGAGGCTGTCAGCCGGCCACACTGGGGCACCTGCAGACTATTGTGGACCTCATTGATGACTGGGCCACGGACCAAAGTGGGCGAATGTGGTGGGGGGATAAGCCCGTGGCTCAACTAGAGGATAATCAGGCGCGGCATGCTGGCACATGCTGGGATAAGGCAGTGCTTGGCCCCATACAGAATACTAAATATGCTGGCAATTGATCTGAGGCGCACCTTTTCACCATGATTCCATTTATTCGCGTACCCCAGAATAATTCACTCGTATTTTATATAGCAAATCTCATCATCTACGTCGTCGGACCTCTTGAGGCCTGCTTGCTGCATCCTTACCCGAGCATATCACCCCTAGATGTCTCTCTCCGATTATTTCCTTCCCTTCTCCAAGCCACCAGGTAAACGGGACTCCATTCCATTCTCTGCCTTCAAGGCCATCCACGCCTTTAGGAACGCCAGGTAACTCCGGAGTGGCGCCAGATAATCGTCTAGGTTGAAGTAATTTATCAAGCCCCGGTCCCTATACTTTACATGGTACATCTCCTACCCGTCGACTACATTGGGTTCGAGGCCAAGCCCGAAGAGACACCCCAGCTCCATCCACAGAACTCCGGCCAAAGCGTACCATTGTCCTACTGGTATCGTAGACGTGTCCTTTCTCACGTTTCCTCCTGTCATTGGCAATGGTAGTCTCGCAAATCGTTATGAAATCAGTATACAGCCGGTGCAACCCGTAATGACGCAATGGCCCACCCCGCATTGGGTGACAATTCAACCACCGCATCTACTGCGGATTCAACTTCTTCACCTCCGACTATCTCCAAAATGCAGGTCCTTCTTCTCGGTGGCCACGGCAAGGTTGCCCTTCATCTCACCCCTCTTCTCCTCAAGCGCGCGTGGAACGTGACCAGCGTCGTGCGCAACCCCGACCACGAAAAAGAAATCCTAGAGCTCGGCAAGGGCCTGAAGGGCAAGATCAATGTTCTGATCTCCAGCCTCGACGATATCAAGAGTGCGAACGATGCCCAGAAAGTCCTGGATGCTACAACTCCAGACTACGTAGTGTGGGCAGCTGGTACGCTCCTCCCCCCCTCACTCCCCGCGATTTCCCCTCCCCTCCCCCCACTTGACCCAAAACCCTCCCTTCCAAGCCCCGTCACCAACACGTATGAAACGATCGCTCACCCTCACACCAACAATGTAGGAGCTGGAGGGAAAGGCGGCGCAGCGCGAACAGTCGCCATCGACCAAGAGGCCGCCAAGCACTTCATAACCGCCTCCTTCGCAACCCCCAGCGTCTCCAAATTCCTCCTAATCAGCTGGCTCGGCAGCCGCCGTGTCCAGCCAAGCTGGATCGACGACGAGGGCTGGAAAAAGATCCTTGCAACCAAAAACGAGATCCTCCCCGCCTACGCCGCGGCCAAGCTGGTCGCCGACGAATACCAGACCGCGCTCGCAGCGAAGCGGAAGCGCGACCCTGCGACCGCTGACAAGCCCTTCCAGTCCATCAGCCTGCGTCCTGGCACCTTGACCGATGAGCCCGCTACCCGCAAGGTCGGCCTGGGCAAGCAGGGCCCGGGGAAGGTTACCCGCGAGGATGTGGCGATTGTCGCCGATCAGTTACTAGCACGTGCGGATACGGAGGGCTGGTATGATCTGATCAATGGGGATTTAGAGGTGGAGAAGGCGGTAGAGAAGGCGGCTACGGAGAAGCTTGACGCGGTGGAGTTTGAAGATGTCGATGCTATGATTAAGGAGTTCTTCCCGTAATTCCAAGGCCAAGTCCAAGTGACCTGTGGGTGTTTGGACAGTGTTTCATGTGGCAGTTAGTTGATTACATAGTTCCTTTCTTTCCTTCTCCCCCCCCAAGTATACTACATTATAATGGAAATAGGAAATACAAAAAAAAGGCACGATTGCTTTTGAAGCAATCGGAAGTGTATGAGTCTTTGAAGTTCCTAGTATATACAATATTTACAGCTTGGCTTTGGGACCGTTGGCCGCGTCCTTGAACTTTTCCTTCAAAACGCGTCGCAAGATCTTCCCACTCGGGTTCTTGGGAATCTGGTCAACAAAGCGCACACCACCACGTAACCGCTTATGGTGAGCCACCCGGTTCTCCAACCATTTGACAATATCGGCAGCCTCCTGCTCCTCACTTTTCTTCGAAGCCAAGCTCTTGGAGCTGCGCACGACGCAGGCCAAGGGCACTTCGGTCGCGTGCTCTTTACTGTAGACGCCAATAACAGCCACATCGTCAATAGCCTCATTGTCCACCAAGTACCCCTCCAACTCCGCAGGCGGCACCTGGAAACCCTTGTACTTGATCAACTCCTTAACGCGGTCGGTGATGAAGAAGTTCCCCTTCGCGTCTTGGTAGCCAACGTCGCCAGTGCGGAACCACCCGTCCTCGGAGAGACAGTCCTTAGTCGCAGTAGGGTTCTGGTGGTATCCGAGGAAGACGTTAGGGCCGCGCAAATACAGCTCCCCAACCTCCCCGGCAGCAACCTCTTTGGATTCTGAGCCGTCATCGGACATGCTCATGTACTTCGCTTCCATGTTAGGCAGTAGCCCGCCAACAGAGCCGACATGCGTGTGCCAGTCTTCCCAGCGCTGGGTGTGCGTGGTAGGACTGGTTTCGCTCAGGCCGTAGCCTTGCTTGATGCCAACTTTGATACGCTTATAGACGTTCTCGACGAGTTCTTGGGTCAGAGGGGCCGCGCCCGAGTTCATCATCTTGAGACTGGAGAGATCGTATTTGTCTACACAGGGGTGTTTCCCGAGCAGGAGCGCCACTGGCGGCGCGATGTAAGCGAACTTGGGGCGGAAGTTCTGGACGTGTTGGCACCATCTTTCGATCTCGAACTTCGCCATGACAACGAGGTGGTACCCCTTGTATAGCGCCTGGGTGAGCAAGCATGTCAGGCCTGTGGTAAGATTGGTCGTTAGTTGATTTGGATCTTCTCAACTCTTGGGGGTTCTACTAGGAGAAACATACCATAGATGTGGAAAAAGGGCAAGAATGCTAACACCCGATCACCTTTGCCGTCGGGGCCAGCCTTCCACGATAGTTTGTCGCTTTCAGCCACAGCCTGCTGCAAAATGTTGGAGACGATGTTCCGGTGCGACAGCATAACACCTTTGGGGGTGCCAGTTGTGCCAGACGAGTAAACCAAGAACGCCACATCCGATTCGGGGGTGACCTTCGCCTTGCGAAACCGGGTTGCACCGGAGATGTTGCGGACGGAGGTGAAGTGCTTATGCCGTGCCTGCGGGTCGCGCTCATCACCCATCAAGATGATGCGGTCAGGGCTAATGCCGGCGAGTTTGGCGGCTTCGGTGGCAACTGGGAGCACTGCAAGTTGTGTGGCCAGGACCTTGGCTCCGGAGTTCTTCAATTGGAAGGCTAGCTCCTTCGCGGTGTACGCGGGGTTGGCTGGGGAGACGATGCCGCCCGCCCACATGGTGCCCCAAGTGAGTACTGGGGTGTCAATGCTGTTGGGAGTGAACAGAGCCAAAACATCACCCTTCTTCCACTCATAGACAGAGCGGAGGCCCTTTCCAAAGTCCAAGGATGCATCCCGCAGACTCTGCCAGGTGTAGTATCGCTTAGTCTCGGCATCTTGATAGATGACTATATGACATATGAGTAAGGAGGCAGGGAAAGAGATATCTGAGGAATTCAGCATAAGAACACCTACTCTTGTCGTCTGGGTAAGGACGGTCCTTCCGTTCGAACAGGAACGTCCAGAGATCGACGCTGGGAATGTCGATCCGCGGCCAAAGTGAGGAGACCGGCATTTTGCGGGGAAATCGCTACCGATGCAATACGGGAAAAACGGCCTTGCGGAGTATAACGAGGCTGAGACTCGGGAGACTCAAAATGAACCAGTTGACCTGGGGAAGCAACCTCAAATTTAAAGAGGAGGGGTTTAACCGACTTCCGGGTTTACCAGTGTTGGAGCGCGTTGGAGCCTCGGTTGTCCGATTATTCCCCAGGTTGGGGTAAACCGAAAATGACCGAGAGTCCGATCCCCAGAATCCCGTTTGGAGTGATCCTTGGAAATATCCTGCACAGCCACTATAGCTGTCCGCTTTTCGAATAGAGACGCACTGGAAGAATCTGAGTGGGATGGACACTGTGATTACGGGATCTTCACTCGGTACGGATATATATCTTCAGAGGCCTGAAGACCGCGGCGCATCCGAGAGACCCGCAAAGGAAATTACATTTAGCTTTGACGAATCCGTGGTACCTAGGGGTCACGATGGTAGCAATCCTGCTCGAAAACGAGCCTCTGGAGATACCGCTGCTCGAAGCCAGTAGCAATTCGGTCAAGTGCTCAAGTAGCACGAGCATCCGAGTCGAGACCATCAAGGCCCGAGATGAGAGGACGTGGAGTGGTATTCTACAAGCCCTGGCAAGCCGATAGAGCCTAGTTGATGCTTAGCGTCCACGGGCACGGACTGGGTACATTTTCCAGCCACTAGTACACCGGTGGAACAAGCTTCAAGTTGATAGTCTTCGCAGCGGAATTGAACAGCCGCCAAGCTAGACTGGTCCACTACGTCAAGTCTACTTCCTACATTACGGAATTGCGTCGGTTTGGAAGTTTGTCATATCATGAATTCAACGCTCTTCCCTAGCAACACAAACGCCACCAGAGACAGAACGTCTTTTTGGTTCGTCAGTTTGACGAAGGCCGGAAGGCTAATGCCCAAATTTTTATGCCGACAAGTTAAATTGAGGAAACAACTGACCCGCACTGGAAATAAAACTGAATAAAAGGACCCAGTGGGTTGTGCTGACTTCCATATTCCTTTTCCAGTACCTTCTCCACCACACGCCACTCCAAGGGGAATCGTTTGAATTCATTTACTTCAGGGGAATGAAACGGGAAGAGTGGGTGGCACCGATACCGGGACGACCGTGCTTGACAGGCTTGTAGGAGATAGAGAACTCAGCCAGGTAGTGACCAACCATCTAAAGGGGAATGTTAGTATACTGTGCTGGCGAAGAAGCATGGATCTGATCGTACCTCGGGCTTGATCTCAACCTGGTTGAACTCCTTTCCGGAGTAGATACCGATGACGCTGCCAATCATCTCGGGGACAACGATCATGTCACGGAGGTGGGTCTTACGACGAGGTCGGGCTTCTCGTTAGGCTTGGCCTCCTGCTTAGCCTTGCGGAGCTTCTTGATGAGACCCATGGGCTTGCGCTTCAGACCGCGGTTGAAACGACGGCGGGCACGGGCGTGGACAACATCACGCAGCTGCTCCGAAGAGAGGTCGAGGAGCCTATGATTATCAGTCAGATTGAGATGTTTCGACAAAACACACAGGGAAAAAAAAAAGTCCTGCGCATTCCTCAACCAGCAGCGTAACAGTCAAGAAAAACAGGACGGCGCATTCCATATGTGCCTGAACATAATATTTCTTGTGGTGCGCTGTTGGTGGGGTTGGAAGACAGATCAAGAGAGTGGAAACGTACTGGTCGAGGTCGATACCACGGTAAGAAAACTTGCGGAATTGCCTCCTCTTCTTGATCTCTGTGATGAGGGAATTTTGTCAGCGATCTGAGTCGTGCAAATGATGTGCGAATTTCCCCCTGCGTCCAAGTGATGTCGAATTTTCCTTCCGCTCGGTCGCCATCGAGTATCGTCGTTGACATCGCAAAAGCACTCCATCCATCGTTCCGTTCGCCTGGAATCGCTCGTGGGGTTGATTGGGTTGGAACATGGGTGGTTGTGAACGTACCAGCAGCCTCCTCGGCGTTCTGGAAAAACCATTAGCGTTTGTGTTGCTGAGGCGAAGGGCGGTTTTCACGAGTAAGGGATAACTCACGTATTCAGTGTCAGCCATGTTGACGGTGGTTTCCTTAAGCTCGCTTTTCGAACGGGATCTCGAAAAGCGAAGGGGTTGTCGGATGAGTTGTCGTGTCGCTAGAACGGATCGCCTGCTACCTTAGACGCTTGGTGAGGTGGGCAGGGGCTCGGCTACGACAGGTTTGAGCCCTAACGCGCTAGTCCATTTTTAGGAAATACTAGAGTGGAGTTTAGTACCGTATTGATATCCCGAAAATTTCGATGGGTACATCAAACCACGCTAATATAGGCCTACCAGAAAGTACTCCTGGAGGTATTAACAATACACAACTTTTTTCTAAATGAACATCAGATAACTGGGCCATGGCGAATGAAAAAGTAAGGCCCGTGGCCCCAGAAGACAGACACCAAATAAGTGGATCAGATACCGTATAGCCAGAATTTAGAAGTAAGCAGGCATCTGAGCTGCTTGACCTTTAAAATGGCACCGATTCTACAAAGACACGTAGCATAAGTAGGCTTCTACGATCACTAGAGGTGGAGGACAGATAGATCTGTATTGGCTATGAGTTCACAAGAACCCAGGTATGGAAAATTCGTAACTGCGTCAAAACAGCCTGAACCATGCACACTTGAGAAGCCGGCGAGAGAGAGAGCCTCCTCGCCTGGACATTCCAAACAGATGTCTGCTCCCCCAAGTTGTTCTTTTTGAGGCCGTTATGAGGGAGGTATTTAGTCGAAGAGACCGAATCCCATGTCCTCGTCGGACTCCTCCTCCTCCTTGGCCTCCTCCTTCTTCTCCTCAGCAGCGGGAGCAGCACCGCCAGCGGCGGCGGCGGCAGCAGGGGCAGCACCACCGGCACCACCGGAGGGAACGGAAGCGAGCTTGGTGGTACCCTCAGCGATCAGCTGTAGAAAATATTTGTTAGCCATGCATCCGGTAGGTCAACAACTGGCGCTTTTCTGGTCAACATACCTCCTGGATGTTCTTGCCCTCAAGCTCGGAGAGGAGCTTGTCCAGACGGTCGGAGTCAGCATCGATACCGACGGAGGAGAGGACCTCCTTGATGTCGGAAGCAGAGGGAGACTCCTTGCCGGCGAGGTTCAGCAGAAGGTAAGCAGCGAGGTACTTCATTTTGAATGTACTATTCGCAAGTTTTTGGTCAGCAATTTATTTCAGAAAAGCGACGATCTCATCTTGCGCAGATTCGATGATTCTCGAGTCCGGAATTTTGTGTGAACATACTTTTGGAGTTAATGAACAGGAGAAACAATCGATTTAACCGCGATTTGGGCGGAGACTGCAACGTCGAGTTCGGGGTGAGGTGGTTGAAGATCAAGTTCAAAGCGACCAAATTCGGGTCGAAAAAGTGTGGTGCGGCGGCTGAGTGAGGGTCCCACCGCCCGGCAGAAAGAGACTAAGCGAGTACAGTAGCACGTGATATAAATGTGAATGGTGGCAATCTTGGACCCGCCTGCCAAGGTTGAGAACGTTCACTTGCTGCTACATTCACTACTGGCTTCCTGACATAAAAGCTCCCCCTGTGCGCTGCTGGGGGTTCTTTTCTCGCTCAAACTCCCCCAGTCTTTCCACGCCTCGGCTTTTCTCCCCCGATCACAGCGCGCATCTTCCAACTCTCCGAGCCCGAGTTCCATGTACATGGTCTCGTGTTCGGAGTCATGAAGTAGTCTGCATCGTCGAAACCACTTGCATCTTTGTTGCCTTAGTCCATCTATCGACCAAAGGGTGTCTCAACCTTTCACTCGTTGTCACCATCCCCGATATCTTGCTCGGCATGAGTGTATGTTAGTTCTTTGATGATTTGCTTGTCTGTCATGACCTGACCGAGATACAGTTCCTTGATTCTGTCCTTTCCTCGCTTGGGGGTAGCGGTTCTCCGGCCCCATCTCTGACTCAATGTCCTGCCCCTCCCGTGACGTCGGCAAAGAAGAATACTCCGCCTGTCAAGCGTGATGGCCCAGGTTTACCCACGACCTTTTCTGGCACCAAACGTAAGGCTGACGAACAACTTCCGGGCCCAACTCGCCCTACAAACCCTGCTTCGAAGGTCCCGGCCAAGCAGACGCTATCTAAGCCTGCTGCGACGCCCGGTGCTACGAAGACTCCCGCGAACTCTGCATCAAAGCGAGACTCGCCTAAGTCAGTCGCCCAAAATGGCGCCCCCACTGCCACCAGCAGCGCGAAGGCTTCAGCTATGAAGCCTGCCGCTCCATCTTCGAAGCCCGCTGCTTCCGCCTCAAAGTCTGGGACTTCTAAGAACGATGCCCCTCCCGCGAAGCCTCCTGTTAAGGGCTCTTACGCCGATCTCATGGCCCAGGCAAAGGCAAAGCAGGAGAAATGCGCCGATCTTAGTGGCGGCGTGAAGAACAAGCGTATCGAGCGTGAGAAGATCAGCTGGCGTGAGCATCAGCAACGACTCGCCGAGGCCAAAGCCAAACGGGCTGGCCGGTCTTTCAAGCCCTCAACCCCTTCTAAGCCCGCTCAAGCTATCCGAAAGTCGTCATCCCCGGAGATCTCGACCTACAAGGGCACAGCAAAGCCTGCCTCTAAGGCTCCTGAGTTGCCAGCTTACCGTGGAACGGCCGGCCTTGCTTCTACCCGCAGGCACAATGACCGTCGTGTAAATGGCCGCCGTCGTATGAACGAGTACCTGGGTACCGACGAAGAGGATGAGGGCGACTACGGAGCTTACGACGACTATTACTCCGACGCCTCTTCCGACATGGAGGCTGGATTTGATGATGTCTTGGAAGAGGATGCTGCCGCTCTGAGGTCCGCCCGCTTGGAAGATGAGAAGGAACAGCGCCTTGAGGAAGCTGCGAAGAAGGCTAAGCTGGAACGTCAGAAGAAGTTGGCTGCCCTTGCTTCACGCAAGCGCTAGTCTACATGGAGATTTCTGTGTGTTCTTTTTCAGTGATTGATCAGATCGAATTTCTACTTTGAACTTTGATTTTGCGTCGCTACCTACTTTCACAGAGAGATGAACTCATTTATCTTTGGAGTCTTTTTTTTCTTTTTTCTTCTTTCTTTTCTCTTTTGCCCTTGTTCTTTGCCCCCTTTCTTAGTTCAGGGTCGGGACCATTTTTTAAGCATTATTTTTGCGAGCGTTACAAGGAGTTATTAGATGGACGGCCTTGATTCTTTGCGATACAATCCATAGCGGGCGCACACCAATACCAACTTTCATTTTTATCTTTCGGCACTTATTTCATCATGATGGAATCCATAAACTTCTAGTAGGAAAGTCCTGATTGCAAACATACCAGCCCCACTTGGCGGTGACATCATCCGCTGGACAGCTTATCCAGCTAACTATCCATCTGCTTCTTCTGCCCGGACCCAAGAACCACCTTCCTCCTGAATCTGAGAAACAGAATAAGCCATCGTCAAAATGGAGTCGCTTCACCATGTCACGACCTCGTCGAAGATCCTCTTCGGCAAAGTCCGGAAGATCGTCCCGCCAATGCTTGAGAAATTCCACAAAGGTGGGCTTATCCGTCCAGATGCTTCATGACAACAGAGCTCGGAATGCTCTTCTCCCAGAACTGCGCCTGCCGACTCAATGCTGACTCTACAACAGGCCAACAAGGTCGCGTGGCAGTTATCGGCGGATGTGTTGAGTATGTCTCAATCCAACCACTGTTGAAAGAAAGTACAGCTGACCTGCTACAGCTATACCGGTGCTCCATACTTTTCAGCGATGGCGTCTGCGAAGCTCGGTCAGTCATGATCCACCCTAAATCTGGATACCTACTCACCATTATTCCAGGCTGTGATATGGTATTTGTTCAGATCATGAATTCTAGGACAAGAAGCTAATACAACTCAGAGCCATGTTCTGTGCGAACGCTCGGCAGCTCCGGTATCTGCAACCTCTCCATATATTAAAATCAAAACGGGGTGTATTAACGAAAACTTTTCCAGGTCATTAAAAGCTACTCGCCCAATCTGATGGTCCACCCGCTGCTACCAAGCACAGACACAGTGAAGGACCCCAACTCCATCGATGCACCAGCTCTGGCAGGGCCCATCGTCGACATGCTGTCTCGGCTTCACGCCTTAGTTATTGGACCAGGATTAGGCCGCGATGGCGTCACGCTCAAAGTCGTCGCAGAAGTGATCAAAGAAGCACGCAAGCGAGAGATCCCGTTCGTGCTCGACGCCGACGGGCTGCTAATTGTCACGGAAAATCCAGACCTAGTCAAGGGCTACAATGAATGTATCCTGACACCCAATGTTGTCGAGTTCGGACGACTTGCCAAGGCCTTGGGCGTGCAGGTATCCAGCCAAGCAGACATCGCGAAAGGCGGCGGTGATACCACTAGCAAGGAGTCGGAGGCCTGCGAGCAATTATCCAAGGCCTTGGGTGGCGTCGCAATTATCCAGAAGGGACCTCACGATGTCATCTCGAACGGTGTGACGAGCATTATCAACGATATCCCAGGTGGATTGAAACGAAGTGGTGGACAGGGAGACACGCTTACCGGATCGCTGGGCACTCTGCTTGCCTGGCGAGCGGCATACCACAGCCAGTTGTGGGACACGAAGGAAAAGGACAATGAGAAGGCGGCATCTAACCGAGAAGAGGTCCAAGCTGAACTCGAGTCCGAGGATAGACGGATGTCACCAGGGACGACATTGCTTTTGGCTGCGTGGGCTGGTAGCAGCATTACACGAGAGTGTTCGCGCAGGGCATTCGAGGCGAAGGGCCGCAGCATGCAGGCCAGTGACTTAACCGAGGAGGTGCATGGGAGCTTCCTGAGATTGATTGGGGAGCCTGAAGGATCCAAGACACATCTCTAGGCTGCATTGACTCGACTAACAGTTGCTTGTGTGCCAAAAGCCAAAGGATGCAGGGAGATTTGAATGTCTCAGTGCGCTTTAGTAAGAACAAAATCCTCTACCGACTGAAATAAATCTTCTTTCAGCATTGATTTCCTATATAAACTTGAGGTTATCCCCCAAGATACCTGTAATAACCTACGGGTGTATTCTCTGGCTATGGGTCAATTAGGGACAAAGCTTATTTGAATTACTACTCCCAGTAATAAAAACAAGTCCAATCCCTGGGCCCGAGAGCGCCTCAGGCGGTCAGGAAGTCTTGCTAATTGTGCCTTGTCAAGAAACCTGGATGCAGCCAAAGATGGCCTGAGGTCTTTAGAGCCGATAGGGTACTTCAGGCCCCCTACTGACTCTGGGGTGCCGAGTGCCGAGTCCCGAGCGCTGAGCCTGCCATGTCATTACGCGATATATTAGACGATTCTATCGTGTCGAAACGCCACGGCTGCTTAGGGGAATAAGAAGCTGCGCAGCTGCATTTAGAACAAGACCAACCATGTGGTTGGTGTGGGCCAAGTGGGAAGGGATCTCCAAGGCCATAGGCTGATGAAATTCACCCAATTCTGCCCATCATCCCCGAGGTATCTTTCCATGTGAGCAATTGAGACCGGAAAATAGGCTGGATTAAGTTTCAAGTGGCCCTACGTAGAGAGGGCTTCATGTAGAGAAGTGAAGAGCACCAAGATGTACTTTGCACTGCGCAGTAGCAATAGAAAAATCCGTTCGATTGGAAGCGCAGTGAGACGCCACTCACGTCGACCTGTTCATTCTCTCCTCATCGGTAGCGATGAATATCAGCGCACGAGAAGTTTCCCCGAGTATGTAGGTTTATGGTTCTTCAACTGAGACATATGCCTCATGTCCACCAGAAACTACCCTCGGGCCTCGTCAGGCTCCCTGTTACTACGACCGTTACCATAGGGCTGGGCTGAGACCCAGTTACTAAAATGATTTGAGTAGTGTAGGCATTTTCTTCCGGATGACAAGGGTCCATTTTGTTCACCACGCCGTCAGGCCCCAAAGTGCGGGGAAGTACTGGCGGTGTCTCGAGTCCATGTTTTAGATCTCGTATTCTTAAGGGTCTGTTCATTCCCGCGTCTGGTACCTCTTTCTGATTAACCTATCACGGGGAACCGCCAAGGCCAGAGGCTGAACTATATTGGCTGTCCGCTTCGGAAACATACGAAACCGTGTATGCTGGGATACTAAAAATATGACTGGTTTCTCTGTCATCCTACCTCGGACGAGCCGTACAAGATTCCATAGTGAGATGACCGTACCCAGAAACTTCTTAGGGCTAGTGGACCTTGGCCGGGGGCCTTGTGACTTACTCAAACAGATTGATTGGGACAGCACATCATGACCCACTAGAAAGGGACGATTGGAGTGGAAGTAAAAACCTGTCTCATAGTGTACAATGGACTCGAGAGCCATGAGCAATCCATCTATATAAAGAGTCTGTCGCTTCCAGACTGGACTTCCTCATACCTGAATCTGCCAACCACCCCCAGAAACCAAATTGGAAAATACACGAAAAACCCGCTCCTCATTTCACAATGCACCTCTCTATGCTCACTGTCGTCTTCACGGCCGCCACGCTGGCTCTCGCCAATCCTGCGCCCAAATGCGGGACTTGCAACCCTCTCTCCGGCCAGAATAGCTGTGACCAGACCACCTCGTGCATCAACACGGGCTCTACCTTCCACTGCGCTTGCCGTGCTGGCTATAAGGCTTCCCCCCACAACCACGACATCACCAAGCAGTTCCGTCTCCCGATGCCGAACTACGAGTTCCTGGTCTTTGTGCCTGAGAACACTGTTTGCGACACGTTGTGTGACGACCCCTACGGCGCCTCGGCCGATCTGTGCAGGGAGGTTCCTGAGTACTCTCACTGTGCTGTCTGAGTATGTATCCACAGACTGGCGGCGATCGGACCTTGATGTTCAAGAGCTCGGCAGTGATGTGGTCAGATGTTTCCGGAAATTGATCACACTTTATGTCCTTATCACTCTTAATTACCTAGGATAAATTGCTCTCTTGTTGAATTATTGGACATTGAGTACGAGTAAAAGTGGCTAGTAAGAGAGAAAAGAAACGAGACACCAAACAGACAGCATCCTGAAATAAATGAAACAAGATCTTTTGATTGGCCAAACAAATCATCAGAACCAGCTCCCTTGAAGACATCCACTACACCTAAACACCCGCAGCCCTAGAATCTACCGGATCCTCTGTATGCAGCACCAGACAGGCAAAGACAGATCAGTCAACTTAGAAAAGAGGAAAACGAGAGTATCATAAGATACATCCATCTTAACTTTGCATCTCATCATCAGCGTTAACAAAAATGAGGCGGGAGCCATTGCCAGTGACTTGCAAGACCTAGGGATATATTAGTAAGGAACAAAGGAGTGGGGAGAAAGGCCCATCTCAGCGGTGGACGACTTACATAGGCTTCCTCGTACTCGTGAATACAAGTGGTGAGTTGGTCTTCGGTGAAACCCCGCGCCAGCACCCGCTCGCGAATGCGGCGCATGCTCATTTCGTTGTCCTCGCCATCACCCACGGCAGCAGCACCGCTCTCGTACAAGCTCCGAATCAAAGCGTAGATCTTGCTGGTAGGAGTGCTGTCGGCGCCCGACTCGCCATCATTGTATAAGGAAGCTTTGCTGACTTCGATGAGGCGGAGGGCCTCATCCACATCCTCACGAACCACCTCATCGCTGAAACGCAGACGAGCAAGAGCCTGTGAGAGACGGACAATGCCAAGCAAGGTACGCGGGGTGACGTGGGAAAATTGCTTCTTCTTGGCCTCGTCCTTCTTCTGTCGCTTACGCATAGAGACATAGGCGCCCACCATGTAGTCGGAGACGCTGGAAGGAACCGTTGGGCGGTAAGTACGAGCCTTGGCGACGTATTGGCGGACTTCGTGAGGGGTGAACATGACACCAGCGTCCTCGTTCTCGGGGTGTTTGTTGTGCATGTGAACGTAGGTAACGTGGCTAGCCAGCTCCTCATCGGATTCCCGGGACGGAGTGTCAAGAAGCAGGAACATAACATCGAATCGGGAGAGCAGCGCCGCCGGGAGATTGATGTTCTCGACGGGGAGATGCGGGGGTTGTAACGGCCATAAAGCGGGTTGGCAGCGGCGAGGATAGAAGTACGGGCGTTGAGAGTGGTGGTAATGCCGGCCTTGGAGATGGAGATGGTCTGCTGTTCCATGACTTCGTGAATGGCAGTTCGGTCTGCGTCCTCCATCTTGTCGAATTCATCAATACAGCAGATACCGTTGTCTGCGAGTACCAATGCACCTCCCTCCAGCATCATCTCGTCGGTGACTGGATCTCTCATGACTGCTGCGGTAAGACCAACGCCACTGCTACCGCGTCCAGTGGTGTAGACACCCCGAGGGGCAACCTTGGTGATGTAACGAAGCAATTGGGATTTGGCCACACCAGGGTCACCCATAAGGCAGATATTGATATCACCACGAATGTGCATACCATCACCCATTTCCTTAGTAACACCACCGATCAAGAGCAAAAGGAGTGCCTTCTTGACATCCAAATGGCCATAAATTTCGGGAGCGATAGACCGTGAAAGATACTCATACATGTTGCCTGAGTTCTGGTATTGTTCAATCTTACGCAGCGTCCGAGCATCCATGCCCATATCCTGATACGACTTCTTGTGCTGAGTGATGTGCTGAGCCTCGAGGTAGGTGTCGGTCAGGAGACCGGCGCGAATAGCACGGAAACCAGTGTAAGGGGTGGGCAAGAAGATACCGCCGATATCCACGACATCACCGGGATTCAGTTGGCGAGTAAGAGCACCATGGCAATTCACAGTTAAAGTCCGAGGGATGTGGCCTACGGGCACTTGATCGGCCATCTCCTGGATCTTGACCTCCTGGAAGGGAACGAACTTCGAAGCGCGAGTGGACAGGAAAAGCTGACCCTTGGTGTTGTTCTTTTTGCAGTCCTCCGAAAGACATTCTGTGAGAGGCATGAATTGCTTGGTGGTAACGGGTTGAAAGATCTCGGATCCACATCGGTCGCAGGTGTAGGCGTTGATCTGAACCGCGGGCTTCACATCGGAGACGCGAGTGGTGATGCCACGAACTGTGATCAAGCTACCAAGATGCTCTCCGCGCACATCGCGCACCGCAAGAGCCTTTCCGCTTTTCTCACTGCTGGCGCCAGAGGGGGTCAGCGGCTTGAAGTTGAGGGTGTATCGGCGGGTGAGCTCGGCAGGAACATGCTCGAAATGTCGGCATTATCATCAATCTCGGCACTGGTCTCCAGGGACTCGTTGCGCTTTGAGCGCTGGGACATGATAACATCTAGCACATCGTCCTTGTATCTGGGAAGCGTTAGCTGAATCCTGCGCGGTGTGGCGGTTGTATATGCGCGATGGATTGGCGTACGTAAAATCCTTGGTCTCCTTGGGCATCACCGCGTCCACAGCCTGCGAAACAACATCAATGTAGCGCTTGGTGTTCTTCTGGATGGATTCCACGAGCTTGACCTGCTGCTCCTCAGGAATAGATCTTTCATACTAGAAGAGGACCAATTGTCAGTGGCCACCAGAGGCAAGACGTCTCGGCTGAATACTCACAATTTCCAGGTCATCCAGCTCGATCAGAATTTGATTTTTTTCGCGGTTCGCAACATCCTGCAAGATCTGCATATACTTGAGCTTCGGTTCCCGCTGCCTCCTTGGTACACTGGTCTCGTCTGCATCATCCATGAAATCGTATTCGTCGCTGGTGCGATTGCCATCGATGTGGAGGTCCTCCAGGGCCTCGGTCGCAGCGGCCTCCGAAGAAGATTGGATGGTCTTGAAGTGCTTCAAGAAATCCTTGAAGGCCTCCAGTTGGGCGGCATAGTCCACCGGCGCATGGTACTGGTTCAATGCCATGTTTAGGGATGGTATGGGTGAGGAGAGAACGCAAGGTTGAGGGAAAGTGGATTTTCCGAAAGGCAGGAAAAGCGCGCGAGGAACACGAAACAGCGCGCGACCGCGTCCCGCGTTCTGGTATGTCAAGTACGCTAAACCAGATAAGGGATAGGCCAGGCGGGTGCTGTGTCCAATCAGAGCCGATAATCAACTATGGAATTTTAGCTCAGTGCATTCTGACATGTTGGGAGGCATCGCGGAGTCCCTGCGGCCAAGTGGCAGTTGGCTCTGCACTCCGAGCTGGGGAATACTATCTAGCATAAAATACATCATCGAATTTCCCTACTGAGCATGGTTCACTCGGACTTATCAGCGGGTAACTCAACCTCCGGTCGCCAGCTTCGGGCATGGTGTCTGCATAAAATCTGCATAAAATCTTGCTCGCCTGTTCCTAGAGCTGACTTCACCTCCCACCCTAGCTATTTAGCCTATATCGTTCACCCATAGTGGGAAGCCACTACTGAGAAATATCAAATACAAGCAATGTTTAAGATTACTTACTCCCTAGCAGCAATCATGGCTTAGAGAACTTGGAAAGGACCCAGTAGGTGAAGCATTTTTGTCAATGTGAATTCCATTGTCAGGACATATGTGCATCATATAACTTCACTGAATGAGGCAGGCCTTTCATGTTTGAACATTATGTACAAAGACTACGAGTCCAAGACCCTGTTTGCTAATGGACATCCCAAGTATATCAGAACACTCCAACCAAGGAGTCTGATTTAAGCCTGAAGGGCAAATCCCGAGCTGAGGGCCACTGGCGTCGAACACGACATACTGGCTCTTCAGGAAAATGTCACCGAAAATGGAAAACCCAATACCAGAGTTGGAGGCAATACCACCAAGGCAGTTGCCAGATCCATCACCAGCATCACCATAGTTGATCAGGCGACCAGGAACGGTGGCAGTGTAGTCGCCGATGGCCACACTGAAATCCGGCAGTTCGGTGTTACAGTCAAAAACGTAGCCACCAACACTCTGGTCATTCGTGGCACCAGGAACCTGGTCGTAGTAGGCAGAGACGATCTCGTCATCAAGGAGCAGAAGGGTAGTACCGGTGTCGGCAATACCGCTGAAGCCTTGGCCAGACTGGTCACCGATCTGGTAGCTGTCAACAGAGAAACCCCAGTAACCTTGGGAGTTGTCCACTTCGGTGTAAGTAAGTTCACCAGTGTACTTGGAAGAGTCGGCGAAACCGAAGTCGTAGACACCGGGGGCGTTGTGCTTCAAGGCAACACCGAACAAGGGCTGAGCGAGGTGGGACTTGGCATTGTCGAACCAGGTCTTCTGGGGAACAGGATACACGGTATTGATGCTGCTGAAGGCGAGACCAAGGAGACCGTCGTTGTTCACGTCTTCGGTGAACTCCTGGCTGATTCTAGAGGCAGCCTCAACAGCCTGATTGGAGACAGAGATACCTCCAACGGTAACAGTATCAGTGTAAACATCACCGCTGGCACTGCTTCCATCACCGTAGGAGATAGACCAGCTGTAGCCAGGCTTCTTAGTGCCGCTGCTGGTCTGGTAGATAGCGTGGCCGGCCTGCTCCGACTTGGGAAGCTCGTTGGAGAAAACCCATCTATTTCTAATTAGTCTCTGTTGGTTCAAACTCCCAAGCATATCGAATGACGTACAGATCAGCCGAGCCGGTATCGAAGTCGAGATTCATAACAGTGTGACCCACGGTGACAGGAGTCAAGTACTCTGAATCCTGGGGCTCAGGAGTGTTGGTCGCCACACCAGTAGCAGCAGCAGCAGCTTGGACGTTGGTGGGCACTTCGGCGTGGTACTTGCGAAGGGCCTGGGCGTACTTTGCAGCGAAGTTGGTCTTGGTTGCGGGACGAGCAACCTGCTCAAGGGAGAACTTGGCCGCAGGGGCAGGAGCAGCGGCGGCCATTGTGGCCAGACCGGCGACAGCCAGTGTGAGCTTGCTGAAAACAACCATGATGACGACCCGAGGCTACCTGTGAGTATCAGAAGAGCTCGAAGGTTTGAATGGGATGAGAATCTGCAAACTGCTGGCGAGAAAAGCCATCTTTATAGGGTTGGAAGAAGTTGCGATAAAGCTCTGGGAGATGACCAGGTCGTTGCGCAATTTTGGGGGTGTGGAGATATTCCTCCTTTGGGATACGTGATGTCGATCCGGTGGTGCTAAAAGCTCGCCGGGTTCAGTTCTAGTAGACTACGCGGATTGATTGGCCCACAGAGGGTCACACCCCTCTCTCCCCCTGAGCAGGCATCAGGTGGACCGATGGCGCTATGCATTAACCGACAAAAGACCATGGAAGGTTCCTCTGGAAAGCCTGGATCTTTCTAAATGATTACCGGCACGATACCTGGGGAATTTCCCCTTAGCCCTTGGCGTTCAGGGCTTGCACTAGTGGAGAAAGCTTATCACAATCGCCGGGTCCTAGTTGGCCATTGATGGAAAAACCAGAGTCAGCTCAAACAGCTCTAGAGAAGATCTCTACCGGATTCTCGTGGACGGCCTTTGGAGTTCTGTCCAGGTAATTTCCGCGGTTACCGACCGGGAGCAACTACCGTTAGGATCATCGCACGTTATCACAGTGGGCCAGAGGGCACGAAGGTAGACTTTCCCTTTTCCAGCCAAGGTTGTATTTTGCCTGGCTCCTGAAGAAGTTCGTTGGAACACTAGTGGAGGTCTTCCGCGGGACCGGAGATGAGCTTGTCAACAGGTAAACCAGTGAATGTACATCGTCTGACACGTAGCATGACCGGGCGCGTCGTGGCTTGGACGGAGTTGCTGGAAATGACCTGCATCCTCTATTTTTGCGCCCAAGATTCTTGCGAAAAATCCCCGGGATTGGCCAGGAGTCCGTTTTGCTGAGTAGCATTTCGACGACAGCCAAAAGCTTCCATGCAAGATCGAGAGTTCCATAAGACACGCCGACCGGAGTCCGCGAATTCAATCGGCCCTGAGAACCTAATCCAGGCTAGAGCGCCTAGAGCGATACTGATCTCCGCCAAACAACAGTGCGGCGAATCAGCCTGGAAGGATCCACCGTAGATACGACTCCTGAAGAACGAGCTCCGGCCAACCCCGCTCCTTATCGTGCCCACCGCGGATCGCCCTGCGATATTCCACAAGGCCTTGTCTTCCCTTTGATGGCCATAGCGACCTGTCAGAGGTAGATGATCAACGAAACTGATCGGCCATGTTTGCAGAGAAGATCCGGCTCGCGGGCCGGAGATCGGGCACATTCCTTCGTCTTTCGTGGGAAGCGGGAATCGACGTCAGCTTGAATAGTATTGCCCCAGTATCCATTTCCCCCCATCTCTAGATCTGAGCTGCAGAAAAGTTGCGCCACCCCGATGTCATCGCGTCAGGTGGTGCTTCAGGGTCCGAAGCCACGCTGCTACATTACATCGGCTGTCCGTAGTCTTAAGTTCCCAGAGCATACTAGTACTACAGAAAGGGGATTAGATGATCGGCAAGGATCCTTCAACAATCCGGTCCTTGCGAGCAGCGAGCACGTCTTTGGTTACCGTTCTAAAGTGCCGGAACATGTATCGCTTGGCAAATTTCGGTACTCTTACCACGAGTCATTCTTCGCTAGAAGGACGAAAACCCTCATCCTGACGGTCCGGGGCATCTCGATGAACCGAAGACTTTGCTTCCCTTAAAAATATCCTTTTTTGACATCTTCGTGCTGATGCATCATCCTCCCCTCCCTGTGGGGCATCAAGCTGTGGCTGAAAGCCTTCACGGGTCTCCCGGAAGCCACTCTACTCTATGCTACTTCAATCACACTCTGGCATTCTGAGACCCGACGGAGACCGTGTGGAGACCGCCTGCAGAGAAGGTTGAAGAACATTAGGCTAAAGCTAGATAGAAGCTCGGGTAGAAAGCAGGGCCAGCAGTTCAGCTCGGTGGACACAGCTCTGGGACAATGCGGCTCACTAGGCTTCTTGCCAACCGGGGGGCTAGAGGTGGCCCCAGCCCTGACTCGGAGCCTACACTCCCATTATGTCCAAACGTGATACCTTTGCGATAGATATCAGCTCGACCCTTACAAATACGAATTACGAGGGTTTTGGTATGTGGATGAAATCAACATGCCTAGCAATTATGCAGAAAACGCTTCAAATGGACTGAATGACGGGTTCGTGACCCAAAGCCATCTCCCGATGAGATGAAAGAAATGATCAAAAAGCAAGTCATCATTTCCCCTTCCATAGGACCTTTAGATCCTTCTTCACCCCCTGACAAAGGATTTTGAATTCCACCTTGCGAATCTTCTTGTCCTCCTTGGTCCACCCCTTGGTTTGGTTCGCAGCCTTGATGTCGAGGGCTTGGAGAGTGATGAGCTTTGAGACCTTCTCGACTGTGCATTTGGTGCAATTATCTTCATTGGCAAGTTCTCCCAGTGCCACTGCTAGGGCAAGGATATGCTTTTTGGCGTTTGGGCTTTGGAGATCTCGATCAAGAGTCTTGGTTTCGCTAGGCCCGTGTGTCGAGCAGGGCTCTTTGACGCTCGACCTATCACACATTAGTCGGCATCGACTACCCAGCTTATTAATGAACTTCAAAATGCCTACTTTTCGAGCACTGGCTTGATACCTTCCTCCCAGTCCATAGAGTCGTCCGAAAGATCGGAATACGTTCCGAGATGTCCAACCTTGGAATGGGTCATGATTCTGATTTGATGTGGATGATGTTGAAGAATTGGAGCTTTGTTTTTTTCTGCAAGCGGACAGTCAATGGGCTTATATCCCGGGGTTGGCTAACTACACAGCTTTAATATATATCATATTTCCTCTCAATAGACAGTGCCGGGGCTCGGAGCCGGAACGAGATCTCCATAACAGGCAAGTCCGAACATGCGGGCTCGGGGTTACCATGGACGGGTCCACCGAAGGAAATTGTCCGAGGAGTCTTTAACGCACCCTCAAGATTGACATTTCAAGCTCGTTGGACAGCTTAAAACTTGTATCTCTACAGCGCCTAGGTGACTGGGTTTAGCCGTAACTTTTCCCGGAAAATAGATTTTCCTCACATAGTAAGAGGGGATTCCACCATTAGGGAAGCCATTTACTAATTAGTAGACTGCGGCATGATCCGCAATGTCGAAGGATATCCGCAATCCATATCCGCAAACTGCGGATTTGGATATGGCCTCATATCCGTTGGATATTTGCGGATATCCAATGGATATCAAACAAAACAAATGTGCCAAGACTCGTGACCTCGAGGGGTATGTATTATTTTTATGTTTTCTCCAGTATTTTTTATGTAACAGCCTTGTCATGCGGATATCCGCAGAATATCCATATCCCTGAAGTCCGCATTTTGAAAACTTTTATCCATGATTTCTCTTGCTTCCACGGTCGGAATACCTTCAAACTCTAATATATCGAGAGCTGGAAGAGTTAGCATTGTTTTGAATCTAGAATTGGGATGTTTTATTAAGAAATGTATATTTTTTTCCTTATTCACTCTGTTTGCTGTGAAATTGAAGGAGGTCAATAGTTGTCAAATATATATTTCTCAAGTAAGTTACCGTGAAATCCTTATTTCATAGCCATACTTAAGATTAGAGTCAAATTCTCCTAAGTCTATAGTCTCATATTTAATTATTACGCAACGAGATCTCAGATACATATTCATTTCCTAATATTTCACACTCTATAGTGTGAACTAATGATGTTGGTTCTATTATGACCAAACATGGTTTTCTTTCAGGCAGGGAGAAATATTAGTAAGTTACATTAGCATCAGGTGACAGCCTATATTCGGGAAGGTAAGCGAGAGTTATGCTAGTGCGGATAATTTGAGGATATCCGCGTTGAGGATATGGATATGCCGCAGTCTACTAATTATTTAGCATGATCAAGCCTCATTGTGTCGAATTATTTCTCTTTCTTTATTGATCTCCTGTGGTTGCATGCGCTTAAGTGATCGTGCTACAGTAGTCCCTTTCGTCAGGAATTTGGCTCAATTCGACAAGTATCTACTACGTGGAGGGATAAGCGAGAAGGGAAGACAGGGGCAGCGCTTGCCGTACAATTAGTCAACCCAAGAAAATTCGTAGTCCCTTCGGGAGTAAGTTCGATCAAGGGAATGGGCGGGCCGCCTTGGGGATCCTTCTTAAGGGGAAACTGTAGATCCCTGACTTAGAGGCTCAACAGCGCGCTTCTCTGGTGCACAGTGAAAATGTCGAGGGAGTTGAAAAGGCACACTTGGATTCGAACCCCGCATTTCCAAGTATAACGACACACATGTTTCTAAGGTTTGATAAAAAAAAGCAATTTCGGATTCACCTGGTTCGTTCGTAGCCAATAAAAGTCAGCGTGTAACCGCCACCTTCCTTTCCGATGCCCCGTTTTCGCTGTTTTCAACCACTCGATTAGCGCTATCCCAATATAGAAATACCCCGAGGCAAGCACTTAGGTGCGCCGGCAACGGATGGTTTTGCCGTTGGAAACTTATTTGTTGAACCATAGGTCGCAGCTCCCACCGTAGTAGGCCATTAGGGTCCTAGCGCCTCGACTCCAGCAAACCGACATCGAAACGTAGGGCGCCTCGGCACTAAGCTGGTTTCAGCCTCTTCAGCACTGATTGACTATTGCCAATAAACAAGCGCCCTGTTTATGTGGAAGATGGCTAGCGTTGACGGATACTAAGGTATATGAATGGCAAACTGTGGTTGAGTTCGAGAACATCTCCATCACTCAAGTTGCTTCATTTCATATCCTACAGTTCACCCTCACCACTACTATCATCCAACATCCAGAACTAATCACCAATTCCCAACATGTCCCGATCCTTCTCAACTACCATGCGGGCACTGCTCGATATTGTTTGGAAAAACACCCAAGCGAAACCCGACTACGATGCGATGATTACCCGATCAATCGAGGCACACCCGAAATTGAGTCAATCGGCCAAGAGGGTCGAAGTTGCGTGAGTAATGCAGATTGTTGCAAAACAACCATGTTGCTTATCATCTTGATAGGGGCGACGAACATGCCTCTAAGGCAGACACTGACCTGCGCGTATCCGGACAGATATATAGCAAGGAGGGAATGAGGATTACCTCAGGGCATTGGTACAAAGATGGGCGAGTGGTGTATTCGAGGAAGACATTTAATGAATGACTTGACTGGCTGTGAAGAGGGCCTCAATTTTCAAAGTATCATTCTATAGTTGGATATTTCGGCAGGGCACGTAAACAGAAGTCACATGATAAGCTGCTTGTTGGTCCGTGCACAAACCTTACGTCGCGCTCATATAAACCCGTCTCTCCTGCTTTCATTGAAAGTCAACGCTGTTTTAGGCAGCAAGTAACTTGCTCTTCTCTTTGTGGCCATGAACCTTACAAGAATCATTCGGTCCGTTCCCTGTAAACCCTCACCCCTTCCGGCAAAGATACTCCCTACGGCCGACCTGGTTGAGGAAGAGCACACGCCCCATTATAAGCCTCAGCACTTTTATCCTGTACGTCTTTATGAGGTACTCAACAACAGATACCAAATAGCCGCCAAAATAGGCTGGGGAACAAGTTCGACAGTATGGCTAGCACGTGATCTCCACCAGTATGTGAAGATTTTCTGATAATATATGCAAACCTCCTCTCACGATGTTCATAGGTGGCGATGGCTTCCGCCCCAATACGTGGCCATCAAGGTTAACGCAAACAATTATGCATCTCAAGAGTCTGCTGAGAAGGAGCTGCACATTACTGAGCATATAACCAAAGCAAACCCTCAGCACCCAGGTCGCAACTTTGTCGCCGTCCTGTTAGACTCGTTCCGTGTTGCTAGCCCGAGCGGCACTCATATTTGCATGGTCTTCGATGCGCTTTGTGAACCTCTATGGATGCTGAAGCATCGTTTTGAAGGGGAAAAAATCCCTCTTGATGTCCTAAAACCGGTGTCCAAACTCATACTAGAAGGACTACGGTATCTCCACACCGAATGCCACGTTATTCATACAGGTAACAAGTCATTCAGCTGACTTACTCCTAAGATCCAGCTAACGGACAAACAAGATCTCAAATCAGATAACATCTTACTGGCCCTACGCAACCCCTCTATCCTGGACTCAGTCGCGCAAGATGAGATGAACAATCCCTCCCCACGGAAACAACTGGACGGTCGGGACATATACTTATCCCGAAATTACTGGGGACTATCACCCAATGAACTGGGTAGATCGGTAATAACTGACTTTGGGCTCGCCGTGCGTGGGGACGGGCCCCCGAACAGCCACCCCATCCAGCCAGAGGGCTATAGGGCCCCAGAAGTTTGTCTCAGGGCCGATTGGAGCTACAGTGTTGACATTTGGAATTTAGGAGTTATGGTAAAGACCTCGTTATCATAGTAGTGATCACTACTGATCCCCTGCCAGATTTGGGACCTGTTCTATGGCCACGGGCCCTTCGACATAGCACCGAACGCGCGCGGCTCAGCCTCTGCAGATGAAGCCCATCTAGGTCAGGTCATCTCCCTCCTGGGGCCCCCTCCACCCGATCTTCTCAACCAAGGAAAAGAAGCATCTCGATATTTTGATGCTAAAGGTATGCTCGCCGCGTCCTAGCTAAACAACACTAACTAAGCTAATTGATTTGATAGGACAATTCAAATTCCCCGAGCTCATCAGAAAGAAGGACATAGTCTCTATGGCTAAGGAAATTGACAATTACGACGGAATACCCCAGTTTGTAGACTTTGTTTCTGGAATGCTGCGCTGGAGGCCCGAGGACCGGACGACGGCGGAAGACCTGCTTTCCCATCCGTGGCTTCTGCAAACGAAACCCGTGAATGGGTGAGAAGGTTATTTGTAAAGCAGATAGATGTCTCTTCGATCGAGAAATCTGAGTGTTCAGCCATTTTCTCCGTATCACGATCCGGTATATAAAACGGCCGTGCGCGAGAGCGCTCCAGCTCTTCTTCCCTAGTGCGTCCACGCGACTTCATCCCTCACATATTCTCTCATACTACACTCAGTCTGGCCCGCAAGCCTCTAACTACATTGTGCGACGTGGCAAATCCACCACTGTGAACAACAACAATCGAGAAAGGCCCTTAGTGCACCGTCACGCAACTGCGTCTTCCATCAGGGTGTTTAGCGGCTCTCACAGAGAGCATCATCTGACCTTTCACTGAAGTTTCGTACGGATCTAGTCCGTCCTGCTGCCCGTGGGGTCTTGCTTGTCAGTAATCTTGCCCCGTCCAGATACGATCTCCGGGCTCGAAAAGTGACTGGCAAGACGAGCAACGACTACGACGACGGCGGCGACGACCTAAAATCTCCTGACCCAAACGTCACAATCGAAAGAGGCCCACGTATACTGTGTTGGGATCCGCTGAACTTGCCGCAGAAGCATCTCGTTCATTCCTTAGCTGTCAACGGGCCCGGCCTTATCCAGATGTCTAAGACGAGCTCCTCCATGAAATAGTGCACAGAAAGCTTCCATGGGAAATGGTCGAGGAATTCTGTTGGGAGATATCGGGCAAAGCCTGAGACCAGGATGTGACTTGGTCTTCCAAAGTGGAAGATCCACTCCGCATGTCCGATTGATCCATTTGAGTCGGGGTTAAGCAGTCACTCGCCAAGAAATATTGATAGCACTCTAGTCTATGAGTCGAGCGCTCGGTTTTCGCCGGGCTGGACAAAGATCAGGCTTTGGATGCTGCTTAGCCGATATGGGTCGCAAAATAGTAGGGTATGGGAGAGTGGAACGAACGTACATCGTCGGCAGCCGCGATTCTATGAGCGCTAGCTAGCAAATTCAAATCCATTCAATGTGGTCCCTTTATCACTTGACAGGAATGGTGTTGAGTCATCAGAGAGCGACAAGCCATCCTTGTACTGGATCAACCTGCAAGCACAGTCGGATGAATAACCCTCCTTGATCCAAGCAGACGCACGAATCTCAGGGGCAGGTCCTTCAGGATAAGAAGTCTTCTTTTTGGTCATCTTCTAATCCCGATGCAGAGTCGATGTAACCTTGGACGCCCTTTGATTCGGCGAAGGCCAGTCGCTTGAAGCTTTATGGCTGATTAGCGAGATAGATGCGCATGCTTCAAGCTCTGCGAGATCATATATTGGGACGGCTCCTCATACCTTGGAAACTTGGCCTGGCAGAGATGACCCTGCATAGCCACGGACGAGAGAGAAATACGCGAAACACAGATCATACTCAAGTTGATGAATGCCCGAAGTCAAATCGGCGTGAGATTGGAAAGCATTTCAAAAGTAAGTCGTTGTCTCTATCCTCGTTGGCCAGGGTAGAAAACCCGTCATTTAGGTAAAGCCGTTCATGCTATAGAGACAAGGTCTCACCAAAGGTCTCACTGATGAAGGTCGTTTCCGGATGCTTACGCTTATCCGTAGAAATGAGATATACCCGACTCCGAAGAAAAGCGATCCATGGCGCCACATTCGGTTCGGACCGCATTCCATTTGAAAAAGCAGAATGCCTCGGGGGCTGTTGAGTTTTCCAGATGGTAATTCCAAGCCAGCTCAGGCTGGTTTAGGAGGTAGTGATGCTGCAATCGACTGAGATTCTGAATGATTCGATTTGTCCTTCGTTTTGCTCCTGGTGAAATCTCCACCAAAGGTTGTTGCTGACTTCTCCTTTGGTGTTGACCAGGCCGACATAGCCGAATTGAGGCTGGATGCTGCCTTTTGTATTGACAAGATCTTCTCCCGACTTGAGGATACTCCAATCCTCAGGACCCCTGATTTTGCCCTTTGGTAAGGCATATCGATTCTGTCCTCCATGATTCTTGGTGGCCGGGCAACCTCGGTTATAGCCCGACCTATAATGTGCTTCAAGTGGATCGAGTCAGAAGTTTAAAAAAGCATGAAAATGCATGCTCCACTGCGGTCGGAGTTACGGAGTGACGTTATTTGCTGCGGAAGCTGTGGAACATGATTCAGTTTCGACCAAACACCCAGTGACCCGTCAACCAGAATGAAACACTAACCACCTATTCCGTATTAGTTAACTAGTCAAGATGGGAATTTTTATGTAAAGCAATCATAGCGGCCGTTTTGGGAGGGGTGGGGCAACACCTCCCATTATATCATGCGGCACAAACCCCAGAACTCATTTTCAACCTTTTTACAGTTTCCCGATCTCAACAAAATCATGGCGATCCCTACTTCCTTTAAGGCCGCACTGGTCCGGAGCCCCATGCTCAGCATATTATCTCGAATCGCTCGGTCAAGCAGCCACTTCAGCCTAACCAAGTTGGGATCAAGATCACTGCGACAGCGGTCAACCCCGTGGACTGGAAGATCCGCGACTACAATGTCTTCCTTAAGGAATATCCCGCCGTGCTAGGCTCTGATGCCGCCGGTGAGATTGTCGCTGTCGGCTCTGACGTCTCGACTCATGCAGTCGGCGACCGCGTTTTCTTCCAGGGTATCATTGGCAACTATGATGCCGCCACTTTCCAGCAGTACGCTACCATGCCCGCGGAGCTGGTTTCCAAGACCCCGGCCAATATCACCGATGATCAGGCAGCTGGCATCAGCCTCGCCTCGATTGCCGTAGTGACTGGATTCTACGACACGACCGGCCATGGCATTGTTCCGCCATGGGCCCCGAAGGGAAGCGAAGCCGGGAAGGGCAAGGCCATCGCGATCCTCGGAGGGTCTTCGAGCGTAGGCCAGTATGCAATCCAATTCGCCCGACTGTCGGGTTTTGAACGCATTATCACTAATGCGAGCCCCGCTCACCACGAGTTCCTGAAGAGCTTGGGTGCGCATGTCGTGCTGGATCGCAATTCCTCCAGCGCGGGAGACTTCCACGCAGCTAGCGGAGATCTTCCGCTTTCCTACGTGTACGACGCGATCGCAAGCAAGGATACACAGGCTCTGGGTGTCGAGATTGCTCATTTGAGCGGAGTAGCACACCGTGTAGTTGTCGTGCAAGGTGTGGATTCCGACGCGGCCAAATTAGGCGAGTCCAAGCAGCGAAAAATTTCGGTTGCGCAGATTATGGGCTTGGGAAGTTCACCGGCACTGAGGCACCTCAGCGAGCCTTTTGTTCGTCATATTGGAGGCGAGGATGGTTATATCGCCAAGGGCCTCTTCGTTCCAAATCGCGTGCGGTTGGTGGCGGGTGGCATCGCGGCGGTAGAGGAGGCGCTGAAGCTGAACAAGAACGGCGTATCTGGAGAGAAGGTCGTCTTCCGCCCAAATGATGGAACTTAAGCAATTGCCACAATGTTGAGCTAGGTTGAAAGATAGGTTGTTCATAGGATCGCAGTATTCCACGGTAGACCGGTGGAACTTTGGTTCCCACATGATTGGCTTATGCCGCGAAGCCTGTCACTGGCCGTGAGCTGCACCCGCCGGTGTCGGATGTTGGCATGTTGGCAGGCTCGAGACCCGGTGAATATTGCCTCTATGCAGTGGAACTGGTAGGAAAACGCGTCTAAGCACGCCGGCGTTGGTTGGAACCTGCTCAAGAACTAGCGCAGTCGCTACCTTAGACGCAGATAGGCAGATAGGCAATTGGCGATGTGAGCCCCAGCTGACCCTCCCGGTAGAATGTGATTAACTGAATGGGTCCAAGTAGCGGTAAGACCAAGATGCAATATTTACCACCCACAGTAATGTAGTCGAAGGTCTTGTCTGCTTTGCCACGCGCTGTGCTTACAGGGTAACTTAAGATGAGAAAGACCACATGGGACTGTTGTTAACTCGATGGCTTTGCAGATGCCAAGTTCCTGTTTATTGCTCTTGAATGTTGGGCCTGAGGAAGTACAGCGGAAATTTTTCACCAAGTGCAAGATCTGAGGATAAGCAGAAGTTTTGGGGGTTCGTTTGCCGCAAGCGCCGCACGTGGCTGCTCTGGGACGATTTGGGTCTCAACGCTCTCGCCTGTCAGCCCGCATCCTGTGCACACCTCGATCTCAGGTCGAACATAATTTTTGGCGATATCTTCAAATATCCCTCGAAGTCCCTAGTAGTAGATCATGAAATGATAGCTGTTATTAAAAATATCTCATGGCCTTTATCTTTTTAACTGAAGTCTCGTGAGTGGACTTGAGTGCTCTCTGGCAGGCCTGGATAAACTAGGGATAGTGGCACGTTACAAGACAGTAATGAGATATCACTAAAGGGCGCTCTAGCAATAAGTGGTACTTCGAAAGAGCTGTCACTAGGTTGTTCCATTGTGTATGGAGAATGAGGCTTCCCATCCGTTTACTATGGCGGCCATATGAATATCTACGTCTATCATTCGTGCATTTTATTCTCGGTGCGGCGGCTCGTTTGTACAGGAGCTTGATGCTTCCCAAAACGGTAAATGGCCTTTCGAATTTTAGGATCAGAGAGAACGGGATCTGGTACTTTTTCAGCGGCTTGATCATTGGAGCCAGATGGTTGGTCTTGGCACAAGGCCGTTGAGTAAGAAACGCGGAAAACTTTCCGGTGGGGGCCAAGTTAAAGCGGCACTTTTCTTGACACTTTACTCTGCATTAAGTTCCAAGGTTAGTTTTGGTTTGCTATGTCAGCTATTAGGGACAGATCAGTCAGTTCTCTGAGGTCCCCAATTCCCGATTCCAGGATTGCTTCAGCTCATGGTTCGGGCTGTCGTGCATGCTGACACGATCCTTAATCACGCAATGTCAGACCCCAAACAGGCTAAGAAGGAACCCTGCAGAAATCCGTCCGTGCATTGAGATCACCCCGAGGTATTGCGGGCCGAAACTTACTAGAGAGCATGACAGACGCTCCATCGTGCACCCTCATTCAGTGAGGTCCCCAGTTAACGAGCCAAAGAGTGAAGGTAGTCATCCTGTGATGAAAATACTAGTACTATGCGCCGGTCTTCCATAATATTTCGGAATATCAAGACAGATTTCCCCAAAAATTGGGGTATGTGCATATTCTCTCTAACGTGAAATTTTTGGACACCACCACGCCCATACTCTGAGACATACTTATGAAGGACCATGCAAAGACGTGTTAGGTAACAGAAGGTTTGAAGGTTTTCTGATTTCGAGTAGTGGGTCCATGGTGGTATCTCACAAATTGCTCCTGGTGTACCTGAGGGGAAGTGCTCTACTCTGATCGCCCGACACATTATAGCAAGAGCATTGTGGCCATTTGGAAATGCGGTAGCCAATCTCTCGATTTGATCTTTACTAAAGACTGACCACCCAGTGGTAATGTACATATGGAAGCGCAGGGTCTCTAACAGTCTGTCCCGAAATCGTCCTGCCAGACCGCTGCCAGTGCGTTCGAACGCCCCCCGTGGCGTCTTGAGGGGCATCATACCGGCCTAGCCTCTGCACGCCAAGGAAAATACGGTCACTTTTGGAGTAGATTCAGAGACTTGGTGAGCACTAGGAAGATGAGTGATATGTTGGTCAACATTATGAAGGAATTGACAATAATCAGACAGGATCACGGGGCTGCGAATGCTAGACTGGAGTTCGGGTTTAAAAGCAAGTCAACCTGCACTTCGTGGTTCTCTCGATCATCAAGAAACACGCTTGAGAAACCCAAGTTTTATTAGCTGCTTCAAATCTCCCAACAGAATGTTTGTTTCAACCGCCATCAAAGCCGCCTTTCTTCTGGCCGTTTCCATGCCCGTCCAAGCTTGGAACAGACTGGACAAGGACAACGCTGCAAGTCCCGCCTGTATTGACCCGGAGAAAGAAGAAACCATCTACTAATTCGATGCTAGGCGCTGCTTGTGATCGACCACCAAGTCGGCCTTGCCCAGTTGGTTCGCGACTATGGCACCAATGATTTCCGCAATAACATGCTCGCCCATTCAGCCATCGGCAACGTCTTCAATCTACCCACCGTTCTGACCTCTTCTTCCGATGGAGGTCCGAATGGTCTCTTTGCTCAAGGAAATCATGGAAATGCACCCAAATGCCACCTTCGTCCGGCGCCAAGGCGAAGTCAATGCATGGGACAACGCTGATTTCCGTGCTGCTGTCAAGGCCACGGGCAAGAAGCAGCTGATTATTGGCGGTATTGTGACTGAAGTCTGTGAGTGGAGACCATTTCCCTTCTGTAGAGCGCAAGATTAATCTCATATAGGCACCTCGTTTCTGGCCCTTTCTCTCATTGACGAAGGCTACGAGGTATTTGCGAACACTGACGCCAGTGGAACCTTTGACCTTCGTCTCGCCGAGGATGCCAATCGTCGCATGGAGAAGGCGGGAGTTACCCTGATGGGGCTCTTCGGTATTGTTTGCGACTTGATGCGAGACTGGCGCTCTAAGCCTGGACTTAATGAATTGTTGCCGTTCCTCGACAAGTGAGTTAAAGCCGCTGTTAACACAATCGAGACTTGCTGACTTGTGACGTAGGTACCAATTTGCCTATGGCTTGGTTGCCCGTCACCATGCCGGGTCCATCCAGAATGGAACGTTGTATCCGGTTGAGTTGGAATTGATTTGAGGTTCACCATATACTTGATCACAAGTTTGCGCACCTCAGGTGCCGCAATAAGTAATACTAGTATACGTGGAAAGAACGAGGGTGTGGGGGAAGAAACTCAATATCCTTGGTTAGATACCAAAACTCCTCACTGCCTGTCCGTGGCGTATGGTTTAGTATAGTCAATGTACCGGGGATTATTGGGACCTTTCTATTATTCTAAAGAGTAAATAACTATGCCTAGTATGGATGATTAGCTGAAACCAGGCGGAGGACAGAGTAGATTGTCTCCAAGTTTGTAGTTGACTTGGATTAGTCAAAAGTTTTCTTCTGGGCGAAGCCCCGGAGACCTGCTCATTTCTCATGAAAACGCATAAGAAGGAAAGGAAAGAAAGAAGGAAAGTAGGAAGAAAAGAAATAAAAAGCGAAATTGCAAATGCGTTATTCTAGTTCTAGTTCTCGCCATTGATCTCGGTTTAGGCCAGTCGAAACTCAACACCTCAGCCAACTACCTTTACTCGTCTTTTCCCTCCATCGCCTCCTCCCTCCACATCCCCTTCGACCAGTCCAATTCATTCAACCTCAAGAATTGGACACGTCTTCAGCAGTATTCTATGAGGATTCAGTAAGTGAAAGCCTTCTACCAACTGACATCCTATGCAGCTCATTTGATCAGTTTGACTTCACTTCGTTACTGCAATTTTGAAAATTGTGCACCGCCCAAGCTGATTTGCCATTTAAAAATCCGAGAGACTACTCATCAACCGGCACCTCTGAAATCTTTACTAACTGCTTCCTTTTAAGACATATTTCGCGGCTGAGAAAATCCGTCCAGACACCTCATCGCCTTTCCATTGCAAATATCCAAAGACTAAGGAAATCTACCTGCAGCCTGCTCAAGGGTTGCTGTTCCTTCGAACACACTCTCCTTTATTCAAGGACTTAGACAGGAGTTCATCAGATCCAAGGAGATTTTGATCATGACGCAACCAAAATGTCCTACCAAAATTCCAGCATTAAGGGACGCGCTTTATGAGCCATGCACGCGGAATTATTCTGAGTGTAAGCTAGCTGCTTATCTTGGATTCAATGATACACCAGACTTGCGACATTTTGCCTTCTCATGGCCATTACTGAAGTGGATGCCCCAGATTCACGCCTCTTGGAAAAGTCTACCAAGAGTAAAGATCATCCAGACTGTCGACCGCAATATGGAAGAGCTTAAAGCAGTACATAACCCGTCTACAGAATATGCCGGTCAACCTACAGATATAGATGCGCCGAAAGCCATAAAGAAAAGATTGAGAATTATATATCATACAATAAAACTCCGAGACGATTTGCTCGAATATAACCAAAAGAATCATTGAAATAGCTTTATATAAAGTACTTTCTTAATATATTATCTATAGAGAACCTTGCCTTTGTGGGAATTATATATCTTCGGTTGCTAAAAACATATCTAGGGCCGTTCCCTAATAAGGAAAGTTAGATATAGTGATGGGCAGTGTAGTAGAGGATAAGATACTTCTAACTAATACAATGAAGCTGACAAAGCTTAATAATAACCCCAAGGTCTGCATTTGTTGATTCATGATAGGTGTGAAGGTAAAGACTGAGCCTTGCTGATTCTCCATATTGGACCGCGAGGTCTTGTGAAAATCTCCGTAATAGGATTTGGCGTAGCAAATACTTTGAAGGTTTTGCAAACCACCAGGAGATAGTAGTATCCTGGTTATTCTGAAGCTGGATAGTCCAAGAAGATATCCAACAATCTTTATATTGATGTGAGGGGACTACCTGAGATTTGGATGGCACCAGTTGACCAGGCAAGAAGATGGTATTCGACAAAGCTCTTTTCACAATAGTGTTCCGGTTAAACAGCGACTAGAGCTTATCCTTTCCGCGAAAATAAATTGACTCCTTTCATGGAGAGATTCGCCAGTGGGTCCATCCCAAGTTGGGTTCCAACCCTATGTCCAGTCGTTCACCTATAACGACATATATGGTGGCAATAATCCCACGGCAAGGGTGGGGGTGGCAGACTTCGGGCTGATATGATCCAATCATCAGTTTGGAATTAGGAAATATAGTCTAGGATGCCCTGTGAACGTCCTGTTCGTTTCATTGGCTGCCCATCATCGAATAACTCTTATCAATTCACGTACACTTTGGGGCTTGCAAAAGTGGGGTAACCAAAGCAAGCTGGTGGGACACGCCCCATCTTCTAGTACCCGTCGAAGCCCCCAACTATTCTGGCCGCACCTTCCAACATGCGAAATAGAATCAGCCGGTCGCAAGCTTCCCAATCCAAAGGTAGCAAGGCGCGATCATGCGAAGCTTGTCGACGCTTGAAAACACGATGTGAAGCTGGCCTCGGGCTTGAAAAATGCCACCGCTGCGAGGTTCTCCGGTAAACCCGTTTCATAATAGTTTTCTGGGTATATCTGACTCTTCCAAGGCTCGATTGCTCATTACGCGGTATTTCCCGAAGCCGGCCATCCCCCGAAAAGCCAAGAAGCCAGACCGGTGAAAGCCATCAATGTGACTGTCATGGCAGGTATGTTATTCAGCGGGGCTCAACTCCACCGATACTAAGTCGGGGGGTTGCTCTAGACTCGCCGCGGTGGAAGCCGCGCTCATGCAAATTCAGACTTCAAGAGCTTGTGTTCAACAGAAGGAAGAACTGGAAGTCAAGGTAGGTGCACCGCTACCATATACTCTTATTAGGCGGCTGATTATCGAGCTACAGTCGCCTTCTTTCGCCGAACAAACGGCTCGACATGCGCCGATGAATCTCATCCAGGAAATCAGAGATAATATGGCATTGTCGCATCAGCAACCAACAGCGCTAGATACTTCGGATAATAGTATAATCGGAAGGATTGTTCCCAAAGATTTGGCGTCGATGCTTCTCGATGGGTAATCAGTGATCAATTTTGACTGAAAGAGATTCCGTTCTAATACAAAGCTTATCATAGATTTTCCAAGATATCCAGTCGCTGGCTATTCATGAGTACGAAGCCGAAAGAGATTTATTCCAGATCCTCTCTTCTCCTAGGGACTTGTATGCTTGCAGGCTTTCATAGCATTCCAAGCATGCACGGATCTGAAACACATCACTCTTTGTACCAGCATATCCATGGCCTGTTAGGCCGACGAAATCTAGCATCAACCGCTTCGCTAGATACGATTCAAGCAATGCTTATCTTCTCGATGTGGGATCTAAGACCAACTCGAGAGTACGACCACGGAAATTCTTGGATGGTCAGTGGCATGGCTGCCATGCATGTTGTGATGACAACGCGTTTCGACAACCTGTTGTGCGCGAACTCAGATGATTCTCCGCAGCATAGCCAAGCACAAGAATATATGCGTACTTGGAACTTGATATGTCTATGTCAATTACAGTATGTGGCGCGAAACTGGGATCGGTGGCATTTATTCACCTACTGGGTAGTGAGACGATCTCATGAACTAACGATCTCTTAGATTCTCAGTTGGCTCTGGACGCCCACCGGTGATTGCAAAGCAATACTTTGATCAATGTGCGAATATCCTTGACTTCCCATCTTACAACTCTCGAGATCAACTCGTTTTTGCGGGTGTAGAGCTTTATCGCACACTATGGGATCTTATAAGCTCCAATGTGGTACCCCAAGAAAGTGCAACATGGCCCGAAATTGACAGGCTGCGCAAAAGCCACAGTCACATATACAGTAAGCTGACTCGAAGAGTACTATAATTTTCCTCTTGAATTGACCTAATGCACCTTCTAGAACTTGATTCATCTGAACCATTGCGCTTTGCATACTCATGCACCTATCTCATCCTTGCACGACGATCATTGCAATGTCTCAATCATCCCCCGATTGACAACAACCCCGAAGCCATCGGTCTAATCACAGCCGACCATAAGCTTCCATTTATCGAAGAAGCCATTTCCAGCTCCGAGGATCTGCTAAAGATCTTTCTCTCCATGTCCGATCTCACCACTTACATTCATCCAGCTTACGAAACCCTCCTGAGCTCCTTCGCAATGGTGACTTTGGCTGAATTCGTGTCGTACATTCCTGACGTCAGTAAAGCACTGACCCTCATGGAGAATACCATTTCCCATATACAACACGGCGGCAAAGCAGAGCCTGTCAGCCGGTGGTCGTTGAATATTGTCCGACAACATCTTCTCGGAACTAGTACTCAGGAGTCCTCTGTTCAAGTGGGCACTGATAACAATTCAGACGGTACTACTACTGGTATAACCGACGAAGCATTGAAATCGTGGGAAGAGGGATATTTGAACCTTGACCAGGAGTTTCCCTCGCTGCAGGACATGTTTTCTTTAGACGTAGTTTGACTGCGGAAGGAATCATTCGGCAATTTGACACAGATATTTCCAAACTGCTTCTTGCTCTTCATTTAGCAAAAGAATTGGTAGTATGACAACCTCAATATCTTCACCCACAGTCAGAAAGTGGGCACCATTCGAAGCTTTAAACTTTCAGACGATACCCCTCCGCTGAATCCCAGCAAAACATTCCCTTGGCTTCTTGGAAAACCCCTCGTGTGACTCCATCTTCTGCTGAAACAGACAAAAGTCATAACGGTGGAACAGTGTGCCAATTATCAGTTGAAGTTCCATTATCGCGACATTCTGGCCAACACAGGCACGCGGGCCGTACGAGAATGGGTTAAAGCAGGTCTTCTGTCGTGGCGTGAGGCTGAGCCAGCGCTCAGGGTTGAATTCGTCCACATCCGGACCCCATATCTCAGCCATGTGGTGAATTGTATATGACGGAACGGAGAGAACGGTCCCAGGGGGAAGTAGTACCCGTCAAATTCAACATCTGGGCCTTCGGCCACAAGACGAGGGAGCCCCAGTGCTGATGTTGAGTGAAGACGCATAGCTTCATCAATGCAACGCCGCAGAAAAGGCAGGTCACGGACTTGAGAGTAAGCGGCGATATCTGAGGTCGTGCCAATGGAATGGTCCAGCTCCTTCTGGAGACGCGGAATGATCTGGCCGGGGTTAGCGCGTTCGCCGGCTAGAATCCAGTAAAAACAAGCACAAGCCGTGTTGGAGATTGTGTCTGAGCCAGCAATCAACTGGGTCAGTGCCTCGGCTACGAGCTCCTCTCGACCCATAGGCTCCCCTTTGGCATCTCGCGCTTGGATCAAACGAGCGAGAATATCATTCCGCTCTGCCGCATCGTCTTTACCGACCGCATCAAGTCGAGCGGCGACCGCAGCGATTGCAATGCCGGTCAGGTTCTCTACTGCAGCAACGCCCTTGGAGAAGAAGGGGTCAGGTAGGTATCTGGCGATGGGACGGAGCGCTGGGAGAAGACCGAGGGTAGAGGAGATTTCGCCTCGTCGGTTCAACACCTCCACAGCGGGGGCTTTTCTAATAGGGCCCCCCAGGCACAAGTTGACTCTCGGCTTCATCCTTGCCCTTGTTCACCATTCCAAATGGCGATCCAAATGCCAGGTCGCCGATAATATCGAAAGCAAGATAACTGAACCAGGGCATGGCGTTGAATTTACTATACTTTTCGGCCGGAGGCGCTTTGGCAGCAATCAAGTCCAGCTGTTTCACCCATCTTTCCAGATTTGCCGTCATGTGAGGCTCGAATTCGGCAACCGATCTGGGAGAGAAGGCGTGGGCGATGATCTTGCGCTTGCGAGTGTGTTCAGCCCGGTCGCGAACGTTGAACATGCCAGGGGTTTTCGCGACGAATGCTTCATAGTAATGGCTAGATGATGTTAGAGAAGAAAATCATCCGGTGCTTCAACTCTCACTCTTTCAAGAAGCCGTTCCCATGGCCGTAGACGACATTGAGGCCACGCTCGTCAGCAATAGAGACATGATTATAACCGATGCGAACAACGTTGCCGTATTTGCGGTGAGCCTTGTCTACGATCTCGAATTTCTTGCCTCGTCGAGCACCGAAAGCGACCCATAGATTGCTGAATTTAGCGAGGAAGGGGCCTGGGACGCCCGCTAGGCTGCTGAACGTGGTAAAATATGGAACTATGTAGTACAACACTAGCCACAATGGAATCGTAGTGAGGATCCATGGGGAGACCAAATACCCGATGATAAGAGATGAGATTGCCATTTTATTGAAGAGGGACTGGCTAAAGAAGCTGCATTCAAGTTTATGGTATTTGTTCCTCTATATATGGGTTCTCATGTTGACTGTATGTTATCTCGAGTTCATTTCCCCGCATCTTGAACAACTCCGGCGGAGATCAGGCACACCACCGTCGGAGGCACCTGGCAACTCCATTCGACAATTCCACGCCTTCGTATCTCCTACCTTGATAGACGTTATCTTTTATTTGCTGGAATGGAATGTATAGCTCTTGGTAATGGTCAACCATGTCCATTCAAATATAATAATGTGTGATCCAGAGACCAGTAGCCGGCTGGGAATCACCCCGGGAGAAACCTCGAATGGAAACAATATTTAGAATATTTCACATTATATATCTCGACCATTCCAGCAGACTTTCACAGCAGAATAGTCTTCACCAGATCGGGCATAGCAAAGTCAATGTAACCTCTTCCCAACCTCTCCTTAGCCTACTTATGAATACTGGCTTGGAGCCAATCCGGCCTTTGATTATTGAAATAAACACAAATATGTCAAACGTCCTACATTCAGGATACTTTTTGTTTACATTAATTACATATCAACGGGCTGGGCCAATGACTGAGCTTAGCATTGTGGTTGTAGGCACCTTGCGGAAGAAACAAGATGCTTGGTCTTGACTCTGAAGCTAGGGAAGCTTGGGAAGCTCTGCAAGGCATCACTATTCTGTTGAAGCAGCACATTAATCAAGGCTGCATTTGAGTCCGTAAAAGGCACCTAGGTGGGCAGCTAGAGCTCCGCGCACTGCTACGTGACCAAATCTGAAGAGATAAACATAGTAGGGTTTCTAGCTCTATTGGGCTCAAAAGGATAGTATTATTGCGTAACTTCTGCTATTCAAATGCAGGTCTCAGTTTCAAACAAAGCATTCTATAATTAAGTTCAAAATCATCAAGAAGGGTTGCTCCAATATTGCTCGTAAAACCGCCGTTCAAGACAGGGCAATGACTTTGTCAGCCAACTCTGACAACCCGGCTGCGGTGACATCCATCTTCGTATTGAAAATGTCTATACAGGATTCCTTTTCATAAATCGAGCAGTATGCACCGCGGAATCTAATAACAGTGTCAGTCAAGTGGACCCGACATGTTTTGTTTAGTCTGTTAAGGCAAGAAGAGAAAGAATATCTTACCCAGCTTTTACGGCAGCGCTGACATCCCACATATGTGCCGCCGCAAACCACTTCTGATCTTCCGGAGCAAACCGAGCCAGCATCTGCTCGTATGTTTCCATAGCGGGCTTGGTAATGTGTTTCGTGCCTGACGGAGACGAGCGAGACTGCGTAAAGTCATGACAGCTGACCAGATTCTCGTCGGGCATATCAAGGCCTGCGCGCTTGAAGTATCCGCCAACCCGCTCTCTATCGCCCGTAGTCAGACACCAGACAGTGAATCCGTTGGCCCGCAGTTTTTCGATCATTTCACGGCATCCGGGGCGAAGCTCTAACTGGGAATACGCCGCCTGGCACAAGTCTCGCTCTTCGTCGGTCGCAAATGATCTCGGGTTATCGATCCCGGCCATATACAGGACGCGGTAGAACAGTGATTTGAAGGTCTCCTTGTATGGGTGGTGTCGTTTGGACATCAGGAGCATGACGTCTTCGAGCTCGGCAGCTTGCATCCATGCAAATCCAAGTAATCGGGGGGTGATGTTGTGTGCTCGCAGGCGTGGACCGAGGACTCGGTCGATGCCCTCGAAGAAGGCATCGAACGATACGCAGGTCCCGACAACGTCGAATACAATGTGTTTCTGAGAGCCAGACATGTCTATGCGAGTGGGCTAGTAAAGCTTGGAGAGGTGAGACCAGGTCCATTCAGAGGACTTCGTGGCCATATTTAATTCTCGTCTCTTATCTACCGAGCTTCTGGTTGAATATACCCTGCGGGAATGATAACAGAGGACCTTGAGTGCCTATCTATCATGGTACTCGTCTGACCGCTCATTCTAGCCGACCATCTGAGGCATGGATTGTCCGTGATCTGATAGAATCAAGTACATTAGGGCCGAAATAGACGCGAAGACGCTGTGGGAACTCCGAAATTGACTAACTACTTTGGGGTATCCCCACTCCGTAAACCCCCTGGGACGGAGTCGTATTGCCGGATGGGGTATGATTTCGCCAGGAGAACTGCCGTCTTATCAGTGCTGCGATAGCTCAGATGCATCCCATACGTCTCGTACGTCTCCCTGAAGTCATGATGCCGTTTGGTAACTATAGCCGGCACCTAAAACTTGTTTCCCGCTAGTGAAGCCAAGAGATAGGACCCCCATTGCAAGCAACACGACGATTGTCATCAAGTCGAAAGTATCCGCCAAGTCCTTGCCAATGTTAGTGAGCTAGACCGCATCTTAGGCACGCAGACCCATACTAGGAATATGCAGTATTAACAAAAATGGAACAAACTTTTGTTGCAATAAGAAGTTCGAATATAGCAGTATCATTTGATAGTATTTGAACTACCTAATTGTCACAATCGCTACCAGCATAGTATCCTTGCGTTCCAATGCGGGTAACTTGAAACTGATTCACCCATCACTGTCAGATAGGCTCTGCAATCTGTTAAAGCCGAGTGAAGCTGGTCCCCCGGGCGCTCTCAGTTTAGGAACACGCAAAATCCATTAGCTCCATAGAATATTGAGCTTGGCCAAGCCCTTCTTTGGTTTCGGTAATGGCTCCGGGTTGCGATTCGCAATGTCGATGAAAGGCTGGATGGGAATGTCTTCCAAGGACACTGTCTTGGTCTTTTTGATGAATTTGTACGCTAGGTAAAATATCAGGAACAATGGGATGTTGATATAGGAGGAAACAAATGTTTCTGTGTCCCATTTCCCGTGGATAAATGTCGAGTAGCCGCCCGTGAGAAGCAAAACGCTCAGCAGTACTAAGGAAGCCCAAGAGATATACGGCTGCAGAGGAGCGGCCCATGGCAAGGACTTTCTCGAGATGCCCTGCTTTTTGCAACCGTAATAGAAACGAAGGTAGGTAATCAAAATGGTAATCCAGTTCGTCAAGGTGGTAATGGAAACCAGGTCTTGGAGCCAGCCGAATACCGTACTGGCAGACGAAGAAAGCGACATGTAGGCCAGACACATAAAAAGGCCATAGAGGGAGACCGCGATCCATGGCGAGGAGAATCTATTGCGTCGGGTGAAGATCTGGGGAGCGCGACCGTTCACCGCTAGTCCAACTAGAGTTCTGGTACCTCCCAGGAGGTTGGAGTTCCCAGAGGACCATGCTGAAGTAATAATCACCGCATTTATAATTGAAGGCACGGCCTTGATTTTCGCTCGGGTGGCTGCGATCACAAATGGCGATTCAGATGCCGTCCCGCTGTCATTGTTGAGTTGAGGATCATTGGATGGAACGACGAGCCCGACCATGAAAATGGAGATCACTGAATCGCGCTATGACGTTAGTACATGCAAAAAGCATGGATCGCACGAAGCGGAGGAACTAAACACACCATAGAAAAGCAAGATCCGAACGAAGATACGCTTTGCAGCCTGCGGAATAGCTCGCCTGGGCGACCTGGTTTCCCCAGCCGCGACGGCAATTGTTTCAATTCCCGAATACGCATAGAGCGCATTGTTCAATGACGTCCAAACTCCCAGAAAGCGTCCAAGAGCGCCGCCGATGCCAAGATACTGAACAAGAGGGCCCGGATCGCGCCAGTATTGGAATCCAATGGATTGATGATTAGGTCCACCTCCGCAGGTGATGACAAGAGCCTAGAGAAAGAAGGAAAAAAAGGAGTCAATCTCCTGCAAACTTGCAGCTGGGGCAACGGTGGATTACCATAATATTCACGCCGACAATGAGCAGGATTTTCATCATGGAGAAAGCGAACTCAAGCTCGCCATACACTCGGATGAATAGCGAAGCAGTGGCCACCATGACCAAACCGAAAATGGTGATCCAGACGGCACTGTTCACTGCAGACCAAAACTGTACCAGAACAGCTGCTGCTACAATCTCAGCGGGGATAGACACCAGATACGAGTAGACGACGTTGTATCCATTCGCGAAGGAAAGAGCTGGGTCCACAAAGTGTTCGGCGTAGCGAACAACACCACCGCTCAAGGGCACCAGAGCACCCATCTCACCAACAGCAAGAGTCACCGCGCCAGCCACACAGCCCATCACCAGATATCCAAGGAATGCACCTAGGGGACCAGACCGAGCTATCGCGCGACCGGAGCTGAGGAAGAGACCTGTGCCAATAGTGCCCGCTAGGGCTATCATTTGTATATGTCGCTGATGAAGACCCTGCCTCACGGCCTGGACCTCTTCAAACTCCCCAGTGGTCTCATCGACCAAGTAAGCTGGCGATTCCGGATCATGAATGACAGATTTCGCGCCTTTCTCCGGGGTGTCGTCAACACCCCTTGACTTGTCGAACGCAATAGGGCTGGGTGCCGCCATGTGAGCTGATGAAAAAGGGAAAGAAAAATCCGTTGTCGAGATTGTGAGATACTAAAGTCTCTGGAACCCCTTGGCCAGTCGGTGATGAGCCTTTTTATACTGACTAGCATATGGTGGTGGTGGCTTGACTTTTGTACAATCCCTGTAGTGCTATCTCATGGTTATCTAAGTCAAAGAGAGAAGTATCGCCGCACTGTCCTCCCGAAAACGGGCCTCCATGAACGCATCTCATAGGAAGCCGACAGTATGCGCCCCTTTCGATAAACCCCATGGCAGAGATAAACTCGACGAATTGGCCCAATCAACGTGGACCTTATCTTCATTACGCAGAGAACTCTCTTGCGCGCGATAAGAGCTCTGCGGGCCGGGAACTAAGGGACTGTTCTCGGACTAGAGCCGTGGAGTCGTGGAACGTACTCCGTGCGGGGAAGACCTCCGGCAGATAAGAACATTCCAACTAAGTTTCGGAGCTATAGATATTCGAATCAGGAAAGAGGGTTGTCGGTGGCGGAGTAGTGGCGACTATGTGATCAACCACAATTATGAAAGTCGGGTCCAGAAAAAATGTAGCTGTACTCCGTTCAAGCAAGGAATAGACTCGATCGAAGCCAAGCCCGGGGATTCAAAGAAAGCGGCCAGTGCCTTTTATTGAGCTTGCGATGATGAAGAATCCGCCACTGATACTGCGGGTTCAAATCCCTACCTCTAGCGAGGCTGGAAGGTGAACGAGCAAACTTCACGAGTTATGCAAAGTTGAGTAGTTCAGAGAGGATTTCTTGATATAAAAGTAATCACGCTTGCTACGAATTATTCACTTTCGTTTCTTCAACTACCAGTAGCATACGCATACGAGTGATTGGAATTGGTCAACGCACGAATAGTTGAACACCGGACAGCATTCTCCTACTAGTACTACTCGCGCTAGTACGTTCATTTCAGGGAGGCCCTGCTATTATAAGTCACCCGTGCAAACCAGTCCACGATACTAGTAAAATTATCATGTTAGTTTGATTTCAAAATTACAGTGGCGCTAAATGTGAATATCTAACTGTCAGACCCCCGGCTGAAGCTCCATGTTCCTCCACTTCATCCGTTTGTAGTGATGATGTCTCCCCCTGGAGGGCCATTATTTATCTTTTCCAGCCTCGTGCTAGTTGTCTCGAACAACTTGGGGACTCCAGAATCTTCAAAGCTGACTCCATTCTTGATCATCCGGGCAATCCCCAGCGCCGACAGAAACACCACAGGCATCCCATGACCATTGAATCCCGCCAGGATATACGTATCCTCTTCCCCGGGTACAGCACCCACATGAGGCAAAGAGTCCCAACTGTAGCCCATAACCCCAGTCCAGATCTTGTCCACACGGGCACCACTATTCTCCCACCCATGGAAATTCCGTTGCATGAAATTATCGTAATGATGCTCCACCTCACTAATGAGCGTGGAATCGTCCACGGTATTGTACCACTGATTGGGAAAGGGCCGATATCGTGAGTTCGCCCCTCCCACAACAATACTGCCGTCCGAGCGAGGAGCAAGATAGGAAAGGGTATTGTCCTTCTCCCGCACAACGTAGGAATTGCTCAAGAGAGGAGCTCTCGTGCCCTCGAGGGTGGAGATGTGAGTGCACAGCCCTCTGCACGGTACAATTGCTTTGCAGTATTGTGGGAGTAAGCCCGCGACATACGCATTGTTCGCATATACCACCTTTCGCGCGAATGTGGTTCCACGTGCGGTCGAGATCAAGAATCCGTTGGCCTGTCGCATAACACTCGTCACTGGAGTGTTTGTCTGGAGGTTGACGCTACCGGTTGCGAGAATCAATTTAGTGAGGTGCAGGATGAACTTGTAGGGCCAGATGGTACCAGCTGTGAAAGAGGCACATGCCTTGGCACCCTTCACACCTGAAATGCCCTCTGCTTCCTTGCCAAGCACAAAAAAGACATCTTTCATGTACTCCAGATTCCGGGCGGCTAGGGTGTCATATAGCTCCTTGGCCTTGAGTGCGGCGTCTTCGTTGCACCAGACGTCAATCGATCTAGAGAGCGTGAAGTCGCAGTCTATCTTTTCCTTTTCAACGACATATTTAATGGCATGGATATGTGCTATTTCGAACTCGGTGACCTCGAGTGCGCGCTCGATACCTCCTCGTTCGATAAGCTTAGGCATGGGGCTGTACATGTCAGGTCGGACATGGCCTCCGTTTCGCCCCGTCGCACCTGAGCAGACACCGCGGGCTTCTATGATCGTGACTGAGAGATCTTCCCTGCTATCTTCATTCTTGACGAGGTGGTAGGCCGTGCTAATGCCGGCGTAGCCCGCGCCGATGATAACTACATCACTTGATGCAGGGAGGTCTTTTGTTGTACGGTGATCATGCAGCTCATCAATGTCTCGATGCCAAAATGGCAATGTTGCGTTCTCAACGGGCTGAAGATTTCTGTTCGGTAAATCCGAGACGGACATGGTGGAGAAAGTGCTGCGTGTTGTTGAGTTAGGGAACCAGAAGGCAGTCCGTAAATTTCGCTACTCGCTTTCTGAGTGTATTCCTTCCCAATATGGTCACCTGATGGCTAAAGCACTATCTGAATGCCATGATACGTAAACGAACTCTATCACAGGAATCGTTTCATGGCAACATGTGGAGATGGAGACTTCCCGTTATCTCGGAGTTGGGTTGTTTCCATTCTGGGATGGCCCACTCCGATGAGCCGCGGTGCAGCCGGGGTGCATTAGGTATTTCACTCCGAGTCATCGTTCCAGCCCCCTTCACCTGGAGAGGCTACTGTCCAATAATGTCATCGGCTTGACTTTGGTCCAACCAGCCCCCTTGGGTCCAATCAACCGTGTTCAGCCAGTCCATGTCATCGATGGTTGTCATTGCGAAATCAAGATCATCATGGCTGGCCCCTTTGGTGTACGGGCTCTCTAACCCTATTGAATCGCCATGCAATTCTCGCGGCTCCTGGGTCGGGGGCTCACTTGTGCTCTGTGAAACCGGTGCAGCATGTACTGGACTTAGGGCTTCGAAAACCGAGTCAATAATTCTTTGTAACACTTTCTTGAATTTGTCGCTGAGCTGTGCATTATTATCGGTGGGTCGGATCCAGTCCAGCAGAGCCTTAAACATGGACAGATTCTGCATCACTTCCGACCGGGAAAGCCGAACGGGAGCAAATGTGGCCTCTGTCGGTGTTGACGGTTTGGTTGTCGATACGGGCGGCGCTAAATTGCTGGCTCGGAGAAGCTCGATACATAGAATTCCTGCGCTTGGCATTCCATTTGAGACAAACTGAATTATGTTAAAAGGCCTTCTTGTGAAAGCTCTCTCGAGAAAGCGTCATGGAAGAGCTTACAATCCAGTCAAACGCGTGATGGTAGTCTTGTAACCGATCGCGATCAGACCACAAAGATAAGATGGTAATGATCGTCTCTTGTGCAATGTCGAACAGGGCCTGGCCGCCACTGAGGCCCCGTGAGACAAGTAAGCGTTGCAATAGAAAGTGGCATTGTAATACATCAAGGTGTATACGTGTGATGATATACCTGTCGGAGGCACTTCGCTTTTTCAAGTCGAGAGCTGGCTGTGAAGATAGCCCCGAATCTTGGTGGTACCGGATATGTGCCGGGTAGGAAGCCACTATTTCCCTTAACTGAGCGATGACATTGCTATGATCAGTCAGTAGTAGGAAACATTGATGGGATACTTCTTTGATAAGCTCACCCGATCTGGCACTTTGTAAACTGTGAATGGACGCCGAGAGAAAGCTCAAGGATGCTCTCGCGAATTGGACTAAGCATTGCGAGTGCTCGGATCCATGTCGTCGTAAATATTCTACCATCGGTGCCCCAGCCATTCGAGTCGAGTTTCGCACAGGCTGCAGCCAGTCTTTCTCTGCCACCGTAGATGTCTTCCTCGGAAAGGTCGAGAGGAAGGGGACATTGACAGTAGTGCCGACTGAGCATAGGAGGTCGGGCATTGTATAGACTTTCACATTTGTCAAGATAGTACATGGATGACGCTAGCGACGACCGATGCTGAGAGAGGGGTGTCACTTCTTTAAAGGCGGGTAGGCGATGCAGTCCTGCGGCAATAAAAGCACTTCTCACGGTTCCATAGTCAACTCGGGTCCGGTCGCCTGATATAAGATTAGCCGAAATCTGAAGTCAGATAGTGCAGACACCTTGGAAGTCTAGACATGTGTACTTACTCTCGTCGCTGATGATCATGCTTTGTAACTTAGTGCTGTTCTTTAGGCATATCACCATGGTGTCGCTGATCTCGAAGTAGTCCTCGCTTAACTTCACGCAAGCAGCAGCGCATTCCCTCATTTTGTCTGCAGCGGTATGTCGATTCCGTCCCTGCTGTTCAGGTAGATCAAAAACCGGATCCCATTCTTGTTTATGCTTGAAGGCCATTCCTGCCCAGCTGAACAAAATGCCGAGCATTTCCCACCTTAGGCTCGGTCCGCCAAACCAGTTCATCCAGCCAGGAGGATTAAAGATATCTTCGGATTCATGGTTGCCTGATGGAGGGCTTGATTCATCGTTGAGGAAAAGGTCCTTTGCCATTCTCATCAATGATTCTCGCGTTCGGGACTCGCCCAAGCAATCAGCGTACTCGGTCCATACTTGTTCGAGGCAACTTTGAATCATGGTTGGAGATACCCAGACATCATGAATATGATGCAGACCTGTAACCAGCATATCACACGTACGGGCCGTGGGGAAGTGAAGAAGGGTGCTGAGGGCCAGCTCCATCCGGGGCCAAGCGGTGGACTCATTGTCTCGATATGGGCTTTCATGAGAGATCGCAGTATCTGTAATCGCTGGGCCAAAACTATCTTGATTCTCTGAAAAGACGGCGGAGTACCGAGTCGTCTCATGTTGACCAGCCTTTTTCCGGAAAAGAGTATTTCGCTTGGGTCCGCCGGAAGTCGCAGATGCTGCCGAGGTCCCTGTGGAACCAGGATCCGCAAGGGGCACTGAAGGAGCCCGTGCCTGGGCTGCAGTCTCGCTCGGGCGCTCGAAATGGGCAGGGGTCACAACGATTGTAAGTAATTCTGCCATTGTTGACGTCCCCAAAGGTGTGGGTCCTCGGGTGGACAGCGCTCGACGTTTCGTCATTGGAGCCGGATGGTAAGAACAGTTCAGATTCCTTGTGATACAGCGCGAACATTTGGGGGTCGCATGGTCACAGCGCACTTTGGCTTTGCGACACGGCTCACAGGCCTGTGGCTGGCCGTTGTGGCGCCTCCGAAGTTCTTCGGGCATTTCATTTGCCAGCTGTTGAGATTATGCTAGATGAGATTGCTGGAAAGTGTACCATTTCCAGGTTTCATCCAAACCGCAATGGATAGGATATGCGGGGCCTCACAGCGCAGGGAAGGACGTCCCGAATCTCGAAAGAGATAGTAGTAGCAGAGCAGCAGCTTTCTTTCTTGGCAACAGGACTGTCAATCAATCGAGGTACTGGAGGTAGGTACTTGCTAGGGGCCGGAAAATACGTTGTAGCCGGTAAGGCTTCCCATTCAGGAGACCCCTCACGCAGCACGACGTGGAATTGTCTAGCCAAGCCTTATCAATGTCAGCATGATCAATAGAGATAGCGAGCGATACAGCGATAGCCATAAGCGCGAGCGGTGTGCGGCCGCGAATCCACCCCTGAAATGGGTCTCGTACCCCATGCGCATCTCACTGGTCGTTGCTCTCACCCATAATCCTCTAGCAGAAAATCTGTATCTATAGAAGATTATTCGAGAATTTTACGAGCTGATTTGACCCGAGTTCGGCAGTTCGACAAACCACTCACGCATTACAATGGTAGGACCTTTGCAGCATAAATATCCGATGTGGGTCCTAGTGCGGGTACTGCGTCATATCTTCGCTCAGTTGAATAGTGACACACTGGTATGGGGATTCTCAGCTACCCATGCAGGAATAAAGTAGTACTGGCATATTAGGAAAAGAACTGATTCTTGAGTTTGCACGTGACTCCGCTCAGCACTCCCAAGACTTCCAGCAATTCGATACGATATTCATTTCAGCTGAATATTGTAACCAGTACTGCATGGTGGAATATCAACCGAATAACCCGGGGGTGAGCTGCGATGCCCTGACCATGACCAGTGAGGTCCATCTATCATCACCTTTGGAGGTTGATATTTGACAATTAAACTACAATGTATTTGTTATTGACACTCTTGAGTGAAATTTATGTTCAGGAGATAAGTACTCAGGGCGAAAGGAAGCATACTTATTACATTTCAATATAGCGGCATCACGACGTGAATAAAGTGGTGTTTAAAGATCAGAGCCAGTTTAGTACATGTTCTTGGGCTCAATTTACCACGCGACTCAAGACCAGGAAATTGAGCGGCTGGCTTCATGTGTGTCGTTTGTATTACATCGATTGGAGGCTAGGTATTCCATATTCCTTCCTGCGCCCGAAGTAAATCATCAAAGACCTCGGTAATACAGTCTGGATTCGTCAACGCAGTATGAAAGTTTAGATCCTGAGGCCAGCTCAACGAATCCAGCCCCATGCCCTGATTAAATGAAAACATGCCCGGGGGAGAATCATACAGCGGATCACCCCTATATCGTTGTTGCAGTTGTTCCACAAGTCGCTTGGTCGTGATATTAGTCAAGGAATCGAATGTATCGCTAAATTCGGCGGACACTTTCCATTTCGCGGATAAGAGGGCCAGAATATTGGAACACATGCGACATGTTTCGGTAACTTCTTCCAGGCGTACGCCCTTGGCGAGGATGTCGCTGGACCATAGGGAGTAGAGCATGGTAATGCCCGCAAGAAAGCAGCCGGATAGGAACATCCAGGACTGTTCCATTTCGTTGGACCGGTGAAGGGAATAATAGGTTCGGACGGCGTTAGCGGATGCTTCGTGACATTGCCTGATGGAATCTTCCGTGGGACGGGGAAGAGCGGTGTCGCTCGGTGGAGAGAGGCGGTTGTTGTGTAGTAGAGGCGTTCATACCACTTGAATGAATGTGGCGTTTGATGTGATGAATAAATCTGACGGAGTTGAGATCGCCATTCGTCGAGCTGCTCTTGTATGCTGGCTAATATCTGTCCCCGCTGGTGCGCGGTATCTTGTGTCTTGGAGTTGCCGAGTGTATAGACCTCGTTAATTATTCGGGTTTGAATAATTCGTAGTCGAATATGGTGTAGAGCTAGAGCAATGCTGGGTTCTGGTGACTGGCTCTGGCTCTCGGCATTGGGGAATGGGGTGTCGATATGATCGTCAGAGAGGGTGACGGGCCGCCCAAGGTTGAAACATACAGTCCGGTCGATGGCGTATGTCACCCAGAACACGCGTTGTCGAATATCCCACTCGTCTGGGGAGAATTTCCAGTCGGCGTTGTGTCGGTGGAGACCCATATCAATGCAAAGCTATAATTGCACCTTGTCAGCTTTCACATCCCCTTATAATAGGGGACCTAAACGAAAAAAAAAAAAACTTACTCTTATGGCAATCCCAGCTAGATGCCACTGGCTACTTCCTGTTGGGCGATAGGAAGAGTTTATTGCCAGCAATAGGACAATTTGGAGCCCATCCATTCCATCTAGAGGCAGGACACGATCAAACCAGATCATCGCGCAGTTGAACAATTCCGCGGTTGGAGTCCCCTGAGGGCCAGGTGTGTCACTGCGATGCCGTTGGTTCCACTCGCCAATGGCCATCACCAGATAGAAAATCGTCCATTGCGCGGGAGAGAGGGTGGCTGGATCTTCGTAAACCGATGAAACAAGCGAATCCAGAGTTCTTTGATGGAATATGGGGATGTAAGATGTACCCACTGCATGTAAGTCGTCAGGTAACCTTTTGCCATCTCTAAGGCGGGGATGGCGTGGGAATTTCCAGCACTATGGGGGGATTCAACAGCATTATGTATCGCAGGCTGCCTGCTGGGAAATAGGAAGCTTAACTGAGGCTCTTTCCTGCGGTCCAAGCTGGTAGTGTCTAGATATTTCTTGACCGTAGATGCGATCAATCGAGAGAACAGCACGCCACTCGGGCCGCCCATGAAGCGCATTTCCCTGTCGCATTCAAGGATAGAACAGCCACATTGGCAGCAATGTCACCAACTTCCTTTTCTGTATCGCCCTGACGAGGCGATGGTGGTGTCTCTTGCGGATCAACAAGTGGTTGGGTATACTCGGCAACAGGTAGCGAGAAGCATTCCATTGGCGATTCGGAAATATGCGGAGCAAACGATTCCCCAGTTCTGGTCTTTCGTACTTCCTCTGGTGGCAATCCATATGCCTGGGCCAGCTCAGATTCTAGCCAGGCAACGCGTTGGCGCAGTTGACGCTCATCGTCGCTCGATAATCCAGCACGCCGAGTTCGAAAGTGAGGCTCACATTGCGTGCCCCGGCGAAGGCAATGGCTGCATATGGGAGACCGCGCATCGCACTAGCTGTCAGTTAGCGGATGCATCCCGGAGGTCCACACAGTGGATGAGCTTACCTTGATTTTGCGGAGATGACACGCCCGACACGCCGTGGTGGTGCGAGGCGCGAGTGACCGGGGGCTGTCGGAGGATTGCATGCTGTTGCTAAATGGGTGTGATGTACTCCATGGAGTGTGGCACGTTTCTAAAAGAGATCGCGTCGGAGTGGGGCGAAGGCCAGGTTTAAGCGGATTTCATTGCTAAATATGCGTTATCGCAGCTGCCCCCTCACTAACTCTGTTTTCCACAATACAGGGGAGGCTTATCTTAGCCTTGGTTCTAGTCATGGCCTGGTATTCCTACGCTAGTCATGACTCATGAGGCCTTTCAAATATCCTTTCAACGTGTTCAACCTTGCTGGACACCATGACAATGCACTACGCTTGAAGAGGGTTCGAAAACAAAAGAAAATGGGAGGTGAAATTAAAGATTTCCCCCGCTGAACTCTCCCGGCATTTCAGCGGCCGATGTCGGACTGCGCGACAATTGGTTACGCCACCCACGGATCTAACGCGATGCTCATATCTGTCTCGTCATACTCCCGCTTTACCTGCGCTGCGAAATCATCATTTACCAGCACTTCAATGCCCGTGCGTGCCATTGCCCTGCCACATTTAATTGCGCGCTCGTGGGAATCCTGCGTGGCAGCAACTTGTTCGAAAGCCTTCGTGTGAATAGAGCCATTAGGACTGTCCAGCTGTTGGGTTGTCAGCAAGTCCTGAGAGTAGCTACCGTGGCGAAGGATACCTACAGCAAAAATTGGGTGGATGCTAGGCACTTCATAGGTGACATTGCCCATGTCAGTGCTAGCACAGGTCATATTCGCCTTTTGCTCATGCATCGGCGGAAAAGGAACGCCGATTTCCTCCATGTGCTCCACATATTTGCCGGCCAATCTGTCACTGTCAATATACACCCTCCACTTGCAATGAGGATCTGAGAACATACCCGTGGTTGACACGAATATCCCAATAAGCGGGCATCCAATCGGTCTTCAGCTCGCACCCGGTTGCCAACGCCGCCGCCTCGAGACAGTTGATGAACTTCGTCTTCAAAGTCCGATAGCGCACCAGGCTGGCCGATCGGACACAGTACCGTGCCTTGGAATAGTGCGGAATGACTCCAGAACTCTCGCCCGCACTAAGCACTACGCCGCGGATCCGATCGGTAGGCATGATCTGCTGGCGTAGCAGACCGATGCTAGTGTGTAGCAAGGTCATTGCATCCAGAGCATTGATGCCGTCCCAGGGAGCGGCCATCGCGTGAGCGGGCTTGCCGATATACTCGATAGTCAACTCGGATCCACACATGCTTGTAAATATGCGTTGTCATGTTGCCTGTCGTACAATCAGCCTGGGAGTTAGATATTGTCTGCTGACCAACGATTGAGGACAAGCATACATGGCATGGACCATCAGACAGCAGAAGATGTCCTTATAGATTCCGGCCTTTATCAACTTGATCTTTCCGCCACCACCCTCTTCAGCAGGGGTTCCGATGGCGACAACACGTCCTGACAAATTGCCCTCCTTGATAGCTGCCGCCATTCCTAAAGCAGCAGCTACGCCAGCAGTTGCAATGAGGTTGTGACCGCATGCATGTCCCAGGATTGGCAGAGCATCATACCTAAGGAGATGTCAGTCAATGTTGAATCACCCATAGCATAAAGGTGGTACAAACTCGAGATTGATAGCAACGGCTCTTGTGAGCTGTCCACCAGCCCCGGTTTCGGGACCAAATGATGCCCTGAAAGCCGTAGGCAGACCTCCTGCTCCACGCTCAACTGTAAAACCTTGTTTGTCGAAGTAATCACATAGTAACTCGTGAGCATAGACTTCTTGGTATAAAGTTTCCGGGTGGCTGTGAATCTGGAATGGAAATGCGTCAGCATTGGATCTAATGTCTTTCGATGCTTCAAACACATACATCCAAATTGATTTTCCTTAAATCCGCATCGGAATTAGCGACGCAGTCATCAGCAACCTTGTGAAGGTTTTCCATGATATCTCTCGGACCAATGAACGTGAAAGAACAACCTTTCCTTATCTACCAGCCAGGAGCCAGAGATGAGCTCTATTTATCTCATTTAAATTACTTACTTCAAATCTACAAAACTACGGCGATTTTTCGCCGATCAGTATTGGCCCACTTTTAGCGGAGACTGCCCCGTCCAGCGGCGGAATAACACCGAAATGGAGCACCTGAGATAAGAGATAACATTATCGCCGCCGGATCATTATCTGTCACCACGATCCGCCTTCTTATCCTCTATGTTATTCGCGCTGAGACTGAGTCAGTGATAGACATCAAGGCAGATAGCTGAATCTTGACAATATGGGCACCATTGAGCAAATTGTCGTCAAAGCCGATTGGAAGGATATCGTTGCTCGCAAACGCAGAGACCAAGCCGAAGGAATCAAAGCTTTTTTGGAGAAGCATGGAACGAAACCTCACACCTGGAATATTGATATTTGTTCTTTGGAACATGGCGCTTTACTGGAGGCGCTCACTACAGGCGATGTCACAGCTGAACATGTAACCTTGGCCTACATCAATAGGTAAAGCCACCGAGTAAATCACGAAAACGGATTGCTGATATGAAACGTATAGGGCAATTGAATCTCATAAAAAGGTCAAGCCAGGTCTATCTAATAAGCTTTTCTGACGTCTACCTAACTTTTTACAGACCAATTGTCTAACAGAAATTCTGTTTGACCGAGCTCTTCAACGATCCCGAGAGCTCGATGAACACTTCCGTCGGGAAGGCAAACCGATCGGGCCATTACATGGATTGCCGATTTCTCTCAAAGACCAGTTCAATGTCAAAGGTATTGACTCTACCATTGGCTATGTGGGTAGAGCTTACTCTCCCGCGAGCGAGGATGCGGTCCTGGTCACCATCTTGACTCAGTTGGGTGCTGTGATTATAGCCAAGACAAACGTGCCACAAAGCATCATGGTATGTGAACAATCTCCGGTCATCTTCTCGGCAGATTGGCTCTATAGAGGCTAAATACACACAGATGGCAGAAACCGACAATCCCCTCTGGGGACTCACTGTAAACCCTAATGATCCTTCTTTCACCCCAGGTGGTTCCTCTGGAGGGGAATCAGCCTTACTCGCATGCAAGGGATCGATGATAGGATGGGGAACCGATATCGGAGGCTCTATTCGAGGACCCAGCAGCATGATGGGCTTGTATGGACTGAAGCCAAGTGTAAGGCCCGCAGCAGATACTTGTCAAGTCCGACGCTAACGTGATTCACTAGCATGGTCGTCTCCCATACTATAATGTCACTGTCTCTACTGAAGGACAGGAACATGTTCCATCCGTCATTGGGCCCATGGCTCGGTCATTGTACTCACTTACCGAAGTCACCAAAGCGGTGATTGACTCTCAGCCTGCGGTCCTGGATCCACGATGTATTGATTTGCCGTGGAGATCGCAAGTTTATGAGGATATCTTGTCCCGTCCGCTCACTGTCGGAGTTATTTGGGATGACGGTGTGGTGAGAGTTCATCCTCCTATTCGACGGGCACTTGATGATCTCGCCGAAAGGCTCAAGGCTGCTGGTCACGAGATTATAAGTTGGGATCCGGTGGGCCATGAAGAATTCATCAAGATCCAGGTGAGTTGGGTTGTCATAATTGCATGTAGTAATTGCACATCATATTTATCATTCTGACTTTTCCCAGGACCAATATTATACTGCTGATGGAGGCGAAGATATTCGGCGTGAGATTGCTGTTGGCAACGAACCATTCCTACCTGACGTGAAAGCTCTTGTCGAACGCGGAGCCCCTATTTCCGTGTATGAGTATTGGCAGCTGAATCGCCAAAAGCTCAAATGCAAGAAGATGTATCTTGATCGGTGGAATAACACTCGAGGACAGTCGGGGCGCAAGGTAGACGTTCTGCTTGCTCCAGTGATGCCTCATCCTGCGGTTCCACATAACTCTTGTCGGTAAGTTGACCGACGCTGTTCTATTCAACGTCGAAACACTAACAGATGGAAATAGATGGGTCGGTTATACGAAAGTGTGGAATTTCCTAGACTACTCGGCTCTTTCCTTCCCGGTCACGACAGTGTCAAAAGACATAGATGTTGCTGATCCTTCGTATATTCCTCGCAATCCAAATGATGAATGGAATTGGAACTTGTATGATCCGGAGAGGATGGATGGTCATCCAATCGGACTGCAGATTATCGCTGGAAACCTCCAGGAAGAGAAGGTTCTTGCGGCAGCCAAGGTTTTTGAAGAATTACTTTGTAAATAGAAAGCCAAGATAGAATAGACGATGGATATTTGAATCATATGGCATCATCGTCTGAATTTGGTTTCAAGAATCTTAATGGAAATATTAACAGTAGCTTGCATGGCCATGTGCAGATATGGTCGATACATTGGGGAAGAGTTCCAGGATTCTTGACCGTAGATGATATGTCGTCTGCACACATCGTCGTCGTGACATGATTCTAACCTTGCTTCGAATGTTTAAATTAGCTGTAGTTGGGCTTGCCAGTGGATTTCCGACCTAAAACTTTATGTTCATTCAAACTTGCATCGAAGATTCAAATTGTAATTAACACATATGCACCAAAGTACAACTAGTAAACATACACAAAGGTAGGGTTGATCTTGTCTGTCAAATCAAAGAACTCCACATTCTCAATAGCAGCCTCTGACATTGGCTGGTCGGACTGACGTCTCTTGTTCAACACATGGAGATAGATTCTCATTATCAAAACCAACACGATGAGTATAACAAATGACACGAGACAAGATCCAACTCCAAGGCCTATATTTTTCACGTCAGTAGGACCCGGATAGCGCGGGAAAATTCAGGTGCTTACCGTATCGAGGTGCTTGTTCGGTTTTCCAGAATTGAGGCCCAGCGATACTGTTGAATCTTGAATTAGTCGGTGTTCTCAATAAAATGGCCAGGGAAAAGCTCACTTTCCGACACAATATCCGATCATGATGATAGAATTGACAGTAACCTTTTTCGTGTGACCCGCGATATTGGCAGAAGCCATTGATAGAAGAAGGATATAACCAGTTGGGAAGGCATAAATCTACCCGAGTCAGCCTTGATACGTTGAATGATGTCAGAAGAAGGGAATAACCTACCAAGTAGTAGCCTGCAAGGAGAGCAGCTTTGTTATGGTACGGTGCTGCATAGACTAGGATGGATCCTACCAAGGCAAGAACCAAGGCCGCTGTCATGCAGTACACACGAGTATTGGCAAATGAGATACACACGTAGGTAATAATCAGCATAAGAATGAATTCAAAAGCTCCCGCCGGCATTCCGAGCTGAGATGTCGGGTACGAATTAGCAAGAGGTAGACCATCTCGGGGTAGCTTCAGCTTACCAAGGTTGTTTCAAGAGTAGAGTATCCAAAGTCTTTCACGAGGAGGTTTCCAAACTGACGGTTGTAAGTGGCATGAGTTGAATTCAGGTCTTTTCGAAACTTACCGTCGCGATGGAATTTGGAATGTTCCAGACGAGGGCCATGAAGAACAACATCCAGGTCATGGGGTCCAACAGTGCTTCCACCAGCTGCTCTTTCTTGAACTTCCTACTGTGGATTCCAGTGTTATTCTCGCGAATCATCTCAATAGCCGCATGTTTCTCGGCATTGTCCTTCAAGAACCACGCTGTCAACTGAGAATCAGGCAACATCAAAAAAAGCACGATCGACCAGATGATCGACAGCGCGGCTGTCACGATGAACATCCATTTCCAGGGCGCGATATTGTTCACATGAATATGCCCCAGTCCGTAGGAGAGCAAACCACCGACGATTTGGGCCAGACCGTTGAAGGAGAACCAGACACCCATTCGAAGTGGCTGGTCTCGACGAGCGTACCAGCCGGTGCTGATCAGCATGAATGCGGGGGTGACACTATTTAGGACCGGGGTGAGTACTAAAATGGCTACTTTGATCCGAGTAACTCACATTCCCTCAGCCATTCCGAGGAAAAATCGAACAGCCATCAGGCCAGACCAGTTCTTGCATACAACATGCATAAATAGAATGACGCCCCAGAGAAACCTATCAACAGTTAGATTGTCTCTTTGCAGGACTTGGGGTTGAGTCACATACACAGTAGCGGACAGGCACTTGGCCGGTGTGAACTTCTGCAGCAAGAAGCTTCCAAGTGGCTGCACTGCGAAATAACCTGGCAGGCACTAAAGTCAACGGCCATCCCTTGCTAATCAATGCAACGGCTAAGACTAACCAAAGTAAAAGATACTCGCCAACCAAGAGTACTCGTCCCCTTTCAGGTCCTGGGTTCAAGAGGCGCATCAGCTTTCGATTCAATCGAAAGGAGAACGAAGTATAGGTCGGAGTGCTTACCAAGTCATCGATGATACCGAAGATTCCCGCATAACTCAGGGTTGACTTATCCAGGAATTGCAACAGCGTTGTGAGACTGTTCATTAGCTAACGCTCACAACCAAGAAGCATCTTTAGCACTCACGCAAGCAATGGCAAGATACAAAGATCAATCTTCCATCGAACCCGATTGATGAGGTCGGCGCTCACATCGGTTACCTCTCTAGTAAATTGTAGCGCGATGTCTCCCTCCGCCGTAAGGATCGTCTTTATGGGAATAGGGTCCTCTATACTTGCCTGAATAACTGATAATTCCGCCATGTCTGCGATAATAGGACAGTTTTCTGGCCCAGTTTGAGGCGATCAGCACGGTGACATCCATACATCATAAATACTATCGATTTCGGCTGGGTCTCCCTTATCGCATGTCTGGGGTGCAGCGGCGATTTTATGCCGAAAGGCTCCACTCACGGAGGGGAATCGCCGAGCCAAACCACCCGAAGTCCAGGTACGTGTGGACCACCGAGATTTCGAAGGCTTCCATCAATTGATAAGAGTGAGCCCTGCGAGTCAATCTGCATCATGAGTAATTTTCGCATATACTGGCCTATCTTGTCAGCATGGACGCATCTCAACCAGTCATTACCGCCTCCGCGGCTAAGCTTCACTTATCTCCGACATTGCAGATCAATGAACATGTTCATCGTGTTCGCGCGTCGGGCAAGAAGGTGGTTCACTTGGGCTTTGGAGAAGCCACTTTTCCAATTCAGGTGGCAGTTTTGAAAGCTCATCGCGATGCGTCAAATTCGACTTCATATATGCCAGTAGCCGGGATTTTGGAGCTCCGAGAGGTTGGTACAAGACAATTCATACATCGTTCGAGCTTCCGAGGCTAACATATATGACTGTAGAGAATTGCTGCATACCAATCGGGTCGCCTTGGTATTCCGGTTCACGCTGACCAAGTGATTGTTGCCCCGGGATCAAAGCCTCTTCTCTTTGCTCTCTTCGATTTCTTGGATGGGGATGTACTTCTTCCTCGCCCCTCCTGGGTTAGTTATGAGCCCCAAGTTGCGAATGCAGGCAAGAGGTTGTTTTGGATCGAAACGGACAAGCATGATCGCCACACCTTGACAGAGGCAGCGCTCGATCGTGCCTACAGCTCTGCGGTCGATGCCGGCGCTCGCCCGCGTATCATGTTGATCAACAGTCCTTCCAACCCGACGGGACAAGTATTTAGTAAAGAGCAGATCTCCCTGATTGTCGAGTTTTGCCGCAAACATTACATCATTTTGATTAGTGATGAAATATACTCTGACATCTGCTTCGATGCCGATGATGTGAAAGTCAGCGCATTCGGATCTGCATACGGCAATGATGGCACCGTGATTATGACCGGCGGCCTCTCCAAGGTACGTTGGTTATCATTCCAACCAAGTCGTTTTGATACTTATTCGTTCCATAGACATATTCTGCTGGTGGCTGGAGAATTGGTTATGCAATCTTCCCCAGCTCCTCTGTCGGCAAGAGCATCCGGCAAACTACTCTCGCCTACGCGTCGGAATGCTGGTCTGCCGCATCCGCACCGGCTCAAATGGCCTCGATCAAGGCATTTTCAAGCATCCACACAACAGCAGAACCCATTGGACTTGCCATGGACGAGTATCGCGAGGCAGTCACTTGTCTCCACCGAATGTGCACAATGCGACTGTACCATGCCCTGAAGAATTGTGGCCTTGCAGTCGCCGAGCCAAAAGGATCCTTCTACCTGTATCCGTCATTCCACCCGTACGAATCGCAGCTAAAGAGTATTGGTGTTGCTACCAGTTCTGAGCTGTCGACATGGCTGATTGAAGAGTGTGGTCTCGCGGCTTTGCCTGGGTCTGCATTTGGGGAGAAGGATGAGTGTGAACACTCGGGAGGTGGAAACCTCCGACTGAGGATGGCGACAAGCTCTCTTTATTTCTCGTCTGAGGAGGAGAGATATAGCATGGGGTATGCTTTGTTGAAGTCAGCCGTCGCGGGTGAAGAGGTGCCTCTGCCACTGTTGGATGAAGCGATTGCAGCAATTCAGGCCGCGGTGAAGATGCTCAAAGCCGTGTAAAGTACAAGGAATGCTGGTCCTTAAGTAAACGTGACATAGAAAGACCAAACTGACAAGAATGCTTTTTCGACTCCAGATCAAGTTTCGAAGTTCATGCTGGTCATTTTCAGTGAAATCGATATAATTCATCTATGCCCATCTATGGTTCTGGAATAGCTGTAAGAAAACTGCGTAACAATACCGTAACATGTGTAATTCGGCCCCTTTACCCCACACAAATTGAAGCGGGGAATCTCCTTCTATTAAGGGCTGCTGCTATCACTCTGCAAGGTTTTCCACGAGTGTTGATCCAGCTCCTCTCAAAACAGCTGAAAAAATCATGGATGTCATGTTGATGGGTCTGAGTAAGCCCTTCCCTTCTCGGAAGATGGTACGCTAACCAAAGAACACAACAGGCTGGAGGTTTATTCGGCTCGGAGATTCTAGCAGCATTCGATGAAGAGGCATTCAATTTATCAATTCGATAACGCAATTTCTCAAAATCCTGCTTTCGATTTGGTATCAACGTCCATAAGGTGGACGACAATTACCCTATCGATCAACTCGTCGCTGCCTTCTGGACCAAGACGCCGTCGTCTCAGCACTACCGGAAGACCGTACACGGTCAGTTCATGTGCGCATGATCGACGCCGCCATCCCGGCAGGCCTGAAGCGCGTCATTCCCACGGAGTACGGCAACAATACCTACCCTGCAGCTTCCAAGCTCGACGTTAGGTATGAAGTTTCAAGATGGAAATTAGGTATTTGAGCGGTTACATGATATTCAGGCACCATTAAGCATCAATATCACCCAATTAAGGATGGGGGGTGTCGGAGTATGAGCACCCTAAAAACATTATTCTTGTGTACTAAAGCTAACTCCGGGGTGGAGGGCGGAGGGGGAAACAGTCCAAGGGTAAAAATGTATGGTATTCTCGGTCGCCACAGGATCAACGATACGGCTTTCGGGATGAGGAAGTAGGTGGTATGTTCTCCACTTTCGTGTGGCGCAAGTCGCTTTCAGTCCTGTGAACTAGACTCGGCCCAATAATGACCCCAATATAATCGAGATCGAGGTGATGGCTGAGACGCGCCCACACCTCCAGACTCATCCTCGCAAGAACAAGGGCGGATGCATCTGTTTCATAGGCGTCCACAAGCGTGACGCCTAGATGGCCAGGCAGATTTTGAATGATCCGCTGGAACTCCTTCGTCGCTTCCTTGTGTTGACCGCTGAGTGTTAGACTGACAAGGACATTCTTGTCACGGTCGGTCACTCTGGTCGCGACAGGGATTCTGCTTGCCGTTGACGTTCTTTTCTTCACGAACGCCAGGGCGATGGGGTGTGAGCCACCCAGGACTGATAAATGGCATGACGGGACTAGCCCGCTTGGCTTCTGCCGTTCAATTTCCGAGAAAATTGCGGCAGGTGTAACGATCGGTATCCCCTGCGAGCGTAGTGATCGTACGGCCACGCCAAGCCGGACTGTAAAGGAGGCACCTCCAGTCCGGGATCTCGCCTGTTGGTTCGGGCCGCACGCAGCTAAGACCTGCATCGATCTCGTCGAACCGGCTCTTGCCGAGCCGGCATAACAGCAGTCGAGAATACCGAGGGCGTCAATATGGTCAATTGAACTGTCGTTTAGAAACACCGAATTTCGGACAGTATCCCATGGTATTTCCTTCGAGTTTGCTGCTCCTGACGCGAAGAGGAGACCTCTAGACCGGTCCACATATCCATGTCCGACGTAATAGAAGATGAAAAGAGATTTTTTATCTCCAGAGGTTGGGGTAAGTTTCCCGGTGGCATTTGCAAGTGCGGCCCTGAGCGTCCAACCTGGCGTCCGGTCTGATTCTGGTACCATGCACAGTTTGGAGGTGATACCGAATTCGTCTTGCAATAGCGCTGACATAGACCGGATATCGCTAGCTGCATCTGTATTATCTTTCTCCCATGAAAGGAGGAATGCTGATACCGCAGCGTACTGGGTACCTCGGGCGTCCACCACCTTTTGAAGGTGGGCCTTGAGGTCTGGGAGTGGATATCTTTTCCCCCCTAGGAACAGGGAGCAGTGACCCGCTTGTCGTCGTGTTGGAGGCGTGGGATACTGGCTGCGACATCCTGGCTGAGAAAAACTCTGTTAATGAGAGACGCTTTCAAGTATATCAATGTCAGAACCATACGAGATGAAGATTTTAGATGGAAGAATGGTGATGAATAAGAGTTTGTTGGGGAGGGTGTGTCGTGAAAGGAAAGATGTTAATGTGAAAAGATGTTAATGTGAAAAAAAGATGTTAATGTGGAAGAAAAGATGTTAAAGTGAAAGACAAGATGTTAAAGTGGAAGGGGCAGAGTTCCGATACTTTTTTAGGCATTGATAACTCAACTCAACCTCGGACACCAACGCGTCCATAGTTACCATGCTACTTTTGCCAAGTCAAGAGCGGCAAGAGAACGCTTGACCTTATATTCCGAACAACCACTACCATACTTGGGGGAATGCACTCTGGCATTTCATTTCTGCTCTGATGCATCCATATGGAGATCCCCAAGTACGTTCAGAGCAAGGATATCAAGTACATTCAGTATAAGGATATCAAGTACATTCAGAATAAGGACATCAGGTACATTCAGAGTAGGGATAATGGTATTAAAGCACATAAGCATAGTAACACCGTAATGCGGTGCTCTCATCTTCGGACCCCTCTAAAAAGCAGAGCTCTTAACCCCGGGACGCTTGACGCCCTTTCGGCGAGTGCTCTAATTGTTTGTTATTACTGGGACTGGCTTTGCCAAAGTGTCTGTCCAAAGTCAGTCGAGTGGGCGTTAAGAAATCCTGTCACAAAAACCATCCAGTCTCCATTTCTTTCACCAGATTTCAAGAATCGACACCAAGTTCCAGTTAAATCAACCTGGTTTGACCTCCTCCGTGAGATACTACCAAAATTGCCCCCCAGCTTTCTTTTCCTTCCTCCAAGTATCTGACCCACAACCCACAATCGCATGGCCTATGTTATGCTGTGCCTTTTATCCTGTAGCATCATCCGTGATAAAATCAATTGAATTATTTAAACTGACCTACTTTGCCTGGGTTCTTCTTATCGATAATCCGACTGGACTCCTTCTATCACAAGGCCCTTCGCCTTCGGGGAAGATAGCAAGCGATCAAAAACTTTCCCCAGCCGATCTATGGCACCGTCAACAATCTGAAGATGAACGACGAGTCTCCCACCCATCAACTTGAGACCCTCCTCCTTACCCACTCGGATCAGCTCATCTACTGAGATTCCACTGGTAGGTAGATCCAGCACGACCATGTTCGTCTGCACCGGTTGCAGAGTCGTGCCTCCGCGATCCAGCCACATCTTCTCAATGATCTTCGCCTTCTTATGTGTTTCGCGCAGTCGCCCTCCTTCCCCATTCGGCCCTCGACCAAAATTCTCTTCCACCGCCACACGCGCTGCGGCAGAGATGACTCCAGCCTGTCGAATACCTCCGCCAAGGCTCTTCCGCACCCATCTGCAATGTTGCAGCACGTCCTTCGGGCCCACGATAGCGCTTCCTATGGGCGCGGCAAGACCCTTCGAAAAGCACAGCTGCGCGGTGTCGAAGCAGGCAAGATAATCCGTCAACGAACCCGCCCCCGCCGCCACAGCCTCCCACAGCCGTGCCCCGTCGAGGTGCATCTTGATGCCGTTTGCGCGCGCGAATTCGGAGATCCGCCGTACTTCCTCTAGCGGCGTGATGACTCCCGCTAGGGTATTCTCGAGCGAGATGACGCGGGTCGGGGCAACATGGATATTATTGCTGATCACGACCGTCTGCTTAATGTCTTCGAGGGTCAAATACTGACCGTTGGCTGGAATGCAGGGCTGCATGTGTGCCTGCGATAGGGACGAGCAGCCGCCGGCTTCGGAGATGAATATATGCGAGCGGCTGTGGCACAGGATGGCGTGCGGAGGCTGGGTGAGGAGTGAGCGGAGAGCGATCTGGTTGCCCATTGTCCCGGACATGACGAGCAGGCTGGCTTCCTTGCCTGCGAGGTTAGCGATGAATTTCTCGAAGTCCGTTGTAGTGGTGTCTTCTTGATATACATCGTCCATCAGGGAGGATTGGGCGATGGCTTGCAGCATGGATAGGGTTGGCGTGGTGATTGTGTCGGTTCGGAAATCGTAGGCGGCCGGGCCGGGGCTGCACCAGGAGCTGGAGACTTCGATATGCTTCACGGATGCATCTTGGACATGATAGACAGCTTTTTGACTGGGGTCATCCATGGCGAGATAGCCTCTTGGCTGGCTTCGTTATGGTTCAAGCGATTCCTTGGATGAGGCTGTGCTTCAAAAGAATAGTGATACGTAACCAAAAAAAAGGCAAGAAACTTCCACTTTCTTCACTGAAAGTCTACAGGGTTGTCTCATAGGCTAAACGAATCCAAAGCTAACCCCAGCTAGATGTGATGAAGAAGCCATCGGATTCACAGGATCTAGCCGCGCGTGGTTCCAGAGTCGGCGTTTACTCCGGAGAAACCGGTGCTCAACCGGACTGAACTGGTCGATAAGCAACGCAGAAGTACTTGTAATTACCACACTGCTCTCCACTTTCCCCTCGTTCAACCCCCCCGCCGATAACACACGGAGTTGCCCCGGAATAGCGGGACGCCGCGATAAGGACTACTAAGCCTGGTCGGAATGTTAAACCACCTTAGAGGGGCAATCTCTGGGCCACAGAAAGTCGTAGTCCAGAGCACGAGATCGAGGATCGTGCATTCTATTCATACGGTGGCGCTGAAGCAACAGAATTTGCATGCAGCATGGCGACACTCCCTTTAAAAATGCCCCATCCATCAACCCTGTGGCACGAGCCTCTGTCCTTCCCGATCCTGGTCCTGGGCCTGATTGTAGGGTTCTGTTGTTGGGCATATCGATGGAATCAACGAAGTTTGCCTCGATTGGCAGCAAGATACAACGTGTCGAAACATACGACCAATTACGAAGGTCCGACTATTATACCATTGGAAGATTTCGAATGGAAGACCACCGCGCCGTTACAATTCCGTCCTTTCAAAGGGAAAGATCGGTATAACCTGACGATGGGTAAATTGCGACCGGTCTGATGTTCTCGTTTCTGTACATGAGCTGACAGGCCCACAGCACTGGAGACGCTGGATCCGTCAGAGCTCATACCGATGGACAGCACATACAAGGAAAGACTCAGATTACGCGAAGAGCTCATCAAACAGCACCACGATATCGTCGTTGCCGTCAACGATTCTCCGACAGCAGATCCACGTACTCGCCCCGCGGTCAGCGAGCTTTATTCTTTCATACTGGGCAACTATCTGCCAACCCGTTATCCGAACATGTTCAAGGTCTCCCAAGACACCAAAACCCATTGCGAGATGTTTGAGAGTGTCGTCACGGGGAAGAAGTGGCCGACGACTCTCTCAACTTCAACCCCAACCATTAGGGGGCTGGAAATCCTAGCCGAAACAGTCGACGAAGATTTCTTGATTCTCTTACCAGAAGCGGAAACAGAAGCTATGGGACCTTCGGACCAGCCAAAGTATATTCTACAAGCGTATGCGAATTGCTACCCCGCGGGGTTCAACTCCCGCGAGAAACTCGGCCTTCGTCTCGCGGATATCCATAGCCCTGTTCCTGGATACCCCGAGAAGCTTGAACGCAGCATGGACAGGTTCTTTGCTCGAATAGAGGTTGGGCGATTCGTGAAGCGAGTCAACTGGAGCATCACCACTGAGGCGGAGCTATTCGCTGCCTTCGGTTCCATTCATGGACCAGCATATGCTGAAGATGGTACTCAGCAGGCTATGAAGCCTGAGGATTTGAAACTGGATCAGGTATGTCGGACATTTTTAAATATGGTGACCGAATAAGAACATTTGAAAGCTGATAGATCAAAAGACTTTCTTGCGCTGTGAGCGGCAGACCTTATATCGTCTTCCAAGCTCCAAGGCCCTTGTCTTCGGGTTCCATACCTACACCTATCCCGTCCAGCAGATCAAAGATGAGGGACTGGGAGAGGATCTCGCGATTGCCATTGACGGGTTGAAAAAAGGGAACTCGCCGGCGATGTACAAATATAAGAACGGGAATATGTGGGGAGAGGCCTTGAAGGCTTTCCTGCGATCATGATGGATGTGTGAAAATTTCCTCACAACCAAGGAATTTGAAGAGCGTACGAACCTAGCTCTATTAGAGAGAGACCTAGTAGTTTTCATTTTGCCCTTTCTGAAATTTCCGGTAGGCCAAATCGTGCATCTCCGCATTCTTGACGGCCTGCCGAGCGGACCAGCGAGAAGGAATAATCAACTGCAAAGTCTAAGCAAATAAGGATAGAATTGGTATGTGTAGGAAGACTGAATTAAATTTTTGAATAAAAAACATAGGATATTCAAGAATGACTGCCCCGGGTACTGCTCTTTTCGTGTTTTACCACTACAGCCTCCTCGTATCCTTCCAGTGTATCAGTCGGAGTCTCCCCGAAGGCGTTGTCTGCGAGTAAACCAAACCACGACAGGTAGCCACGCAAAGAGTGCACAGGAGGCGGCCAAACCAGCACGGTATCCACGATAAAACCGGGGCGCCTCAACAGTTGGGATGAACACCTTGAAAAGTATTAGGGAGTTCGTTTTTTGGGATCAGAACCTTCTAACTCACTTGATTCCACCACGTTCCATGAGCAAGTCCGATGGCATTAAGGCTGCCGATCACAATGGCCCGCTCTTCAGCATCTCCAGAGCAAACCACGTGCGTCCAGCTGACAATAATCGGGAATAGTGACTGGATTGTTCCGGCAATATAATAAGCAAAGAATTTGGCAGGTTTCGAAATTAACCACGCCGTCAGCATCGACTCGCTCACGATCTGCGTGATGCAAATCAATATGACGGACTCTATCTGGGAGCCGCGCCAGTCATTATAAACCCCGGATAGGAGCATGAAGACGATGGAGACAGCGGAGTATACGGTAGGTAGGTTGTTGATGTCTGGTACCGAGTACTTTTCTGCTTTCAGCCAGAGAGACATAGTTGTTGTCGTGGGGGCTTGGTAGACAAAGTACATTAACGAGAACCAGGTGCACTAAGGGAACATTAGCGAGTTTTCGAGACTGGCATACGTTTCGTGATTTACTTGCCAGAATCCAGAAGTGCCATCTTCCTAGGACCCGCTTGAAAAGCGACCGATCAAAGTGACCAAGTGGCTGGCGATGATCCGACTCGAGGCGTGCCATGCACATCTGCCGCTCCTTCTCTGTCATCCACCAGGTCTTCTTTTCATAAAGCGGATTGGGGATAATGGACAGACCCAGAATCACCATGGGGAAGGTGATAAGAAAATCTGATTCAAGGTTAGTTGAGTAATTCTATTCATCTATAAGGATAAGCTTTACCGATGATAAACAGCCATCTCCACCCTCGAAGGCCTAAACGGCCGTCCATGGTCTCGTAGATGCCTGCTTGGATGTATCCCGAAAACATGGTCGCGGCAATGCCGGATGCTGTAAAGATACCACTCCGCTTGTTGATCTCATGGTTACGATACCAAGTGCCTATCATGAAATGGAGCCCGGGCCAACTGGCTGCTTCGAAAAAGCCCACAAAAAATCTCAGCGCATAGATCTGCTCCACCGTGTTACATTTGAATATGAACAGCACGAACAGACTCCAAAGAAACTCGACGGCGGGGAGATACCATCGTGGCGATATCTTGGTCAGCAGTATTTGAGATGGAATCTGGCCCACAATATAGCCGATTTGGAACCAAGTGGTCATCCAGTTGAGCTGATTGCTATAAAGACCTAAATCCTCCTTCATGCCGGACACATAAGCGTTATTGATGTTGTTTCGATCCAGGTCTTTGGTAAAGAATGTCAAGCAACAGAATGTAAGAATTGCGAAGTCCAGCTTCTGCACGAGCTTTCTCTCCTCTTTGGAAGTTCCAGGTCGGGTCCAGAGGTAGAATCTACCCTTTGTCGCTTCACATGGAGCACGATCACTAGCACTAGGCTTATCCAAATCTTTTGTCGACGCGGGTATCATCTTGTCAAATTTTGCAGATTACCCCTTTGGAATAGTGGCTAGTTGACTTTGGGGTGTTAAAGTCACAGGGTCCACTGCAGGTTCTGTGGGGCGATATTTACATTGCCGGACCACAGCGACTACCTGGCGTCCACTAAGTTATTGAAGGATTTTCCTATATACAGGGCCTTGTGAGTTCTGTAAGACCCCGCAGGTGTTATCTTGCGCACTGCTAACCGACAACGAAGATTAGATTGCGGGGGTATCACGGCTTTTCTCCGATACTAGTCGGACTTTTCCTACGATATGGGAAGAACATCCAACGCGCTAGCCTTACGCTGATATTGGAATGCCTGGATTGCTACTCTCTCTGGGTATTAATGACGGAGTTGACGGAGCCTTATGCTTGAAACTAAGACCATTACTACTAATGATGGCGTGTTAATTGAGGACACAGATATCTGGATAGTAGAGCCATTGATCAACTTTAATGCTCAAATGCTCATCTAGCCGTCTTTGACTGCCGAATTGCCGCGGTCTTGTCAATTTCAGCTTGACCCGTCAAGCTCTCCTTCAAACTTGTCTCGTCCAGCACCCCAGCCCCCACCCCCGGGGGTTTTGATAATAAACTGATCCCCTGCCTCCAGTTTGACCAGTCCACGCGGTCCAAGGCTCATGATTCGCCTCTTCCCATTCGGAAGTTTCTTGGAAATGAGATTCTCCCCTGAAGCTCCCTTCTGCCCCCCCTTCATTCCGTATGGCTGCGTGGCTCGTCTTTCAGAAATCATAGAAAATGTCAAAGGGTCCCTACATTCTATCACACGCACCAGCCCATCCCCACCGGCAAATTGTCCTTTGCCGCCAGAGCCATATCGAAGAGAGAATTCTCGCAGAAGAACAGGATATCTTTTCTCTAGAATCTCTACATCGGAGATCCGAGTGTTGGTCATATGGCAATGAACCCCACTGCAGCAAGTCAGCGTATACACCAGTATGAATGCACCACTGTAACTCTTACCTAGCACCATGCCAGCTGGGGCCAGCGCCAGATCCACCACCAATTGTCTCACCGTATGCAAATGCATACCCATCGCCAGGTTTCCTATCCCGACCGCCGAAGAATCCCACACTGCTCATACAACCATTGCTAGCAGCACATGCCTGTTTCAACAATTAGACCCAATATTCGTACGCATAGTGTGGCCGAATTTACCTCAAAGCACTTTAGTATAACGTCCACTATTCGCTGACTTGTCTGAGTGTTACCCGCGTAGACAGCAGCATGCTCGCTGGGATTCAGAATAGAGCCCTCGGGATTGATAACTTCAATAGAAGACAAACAGCCTTGGTTCAACGGGATATCCTCATTTATCAAACATCGGAGAGAGTAGATAATTGCCGATAGACAGATGCTTTTTGGTGCATTATTGTTGCCGATGACTTCCGGTCCAGTTCCTGTGAAGTCGAAAGTCGCGCTCCCATCTGCATTGATCCGGATTTCCAAGTGAATGCGACTGCCATTGTCGAGCGAATCCACTGCTTTGAGCTGTTTATTCCCAATACGCAATGCAGTCTTTTGAAGAAACTTTCTCACTGCTATTTCTGCATTGGCTTGGATGCGATCCATGTAAAACTATATCGGGTCAGATCACAGGTAAAGGTGCATGAAAGCTGTAGTGGTAATTTACTTGTACGACTTCCCGAGGATGCTCTTCGAAGAGCGCTCGAATCAGTGCTGCACCTTTCGCGTTCGCTGCCACCTGGGCCCGAAGGTCCGAAAGATTGTCATTAATACTTGATGTCCCAACACAGTCCGCATACTGGGCGGGCTCATCGATCAGAATCTTCCGAACCCCTTCTTCGTCGAAAATACTGTTTGAGACAAGTTTGAAACTGATGATACTGGCACCCTCTTGCCATATGTCAGTGGCATTAGCATTGCCCGATATGCCTTCAAACCCTCCGATATCCCTGTGATGGCCGCGAGAGGCAGTGTAAAAGATGATCTCTCCGCCATCTGGAGCAAATACAGGTGTAATCACAGTGATATCTGGCAAGTGAGTCCCTCCAGCGATTGGATGATTGGACACAAGCACGTCTCCTGGCTGAAGAGACTTGCCAAAGTTTTCATGCTGATATTTGACGGCGTAAGCCATGCTTCCCAGATGAACGGGCACATCTATTTGCGTCATATACTTTAGTGTCTGGGGTACGTTGGGGTTTTGCGATTGGCATATAAAAGACTTACGAGGTGCATTAGCCACAAGGTCGCCGTTCGGCCCAAAAATAGCACAAGAAAAGTCTAGTCTGGAATTTCTTAGCAAAGCTGTCATCTCTGTTTGTTTCGGCTTTTGTGCTTTCATTACCTTTCCTTGATGTTAATGCTCACGGCTGTCTTTTGCAGCGTCTTTCCCATGTGCTCAGCGATCGACATGAACCCTAGCCATGACACATTAGCTCACGTTTGTTACTGGGCGATAATATGGTACGTACTGTGTCCGAAAACAGAAAGCTTGACGGGGTCTGCTTCTCGGATGCCTGCTTCATTTGCCGTAGAAGGACTGCCTTCGGTGGAAACATCTAAGATGATGTGATCCTCCAAAACTGTCATAGACGCGAAAGGTGTCACGACAATCGTCTGCGTATTGTCGATGATGATAGCGGGTCCTTCGACATAATGACCGGGGTTGAGATCCTTCAGGAGATAAATTGGCGTATCGGTCCATCCTGTGGACGCGAAGTAAACTTGTTGGGGCTTCTCGACCACCGTAGGCGAATATATCTTGGTAGGTCGAACTCCCTGCTCTAGGTTTGTCGAGGGTCGCTGGTATTCTTCAGCAACCGCTCTGATGCGGATATCATCAACAATAATATTCTTGAAGGGCAACAAGAATGTGAATTCGCGCAAATGCATCTGTTCGAAGGCGTGCTTGAAATCACCGTCTTTGGGCAAAGCAACCATCATCTGAGTATCTGTCCCTTCGTATCGGAGGTTGAGGAAGGGCTGCATCATAATCTTGTTTTTAGATGTTACTCCCTGTCGTCGAAGACCTTCGTGAGCACTATGTTTCAGCGCTTCAAATCTTTTCAATATCTCTACCATAGAAGATGAGCTCAGAGTCATCGACGATGGCTCTTGTACTTCTTGGACGATGCTGGCAAGCGCCATCCCATACGCTGACAGGATGCTTGAATATTTGTGAATCACAACGGTTTGTATTCCAAGATTCCGGCCGATTGAACATGCATGTTGGCCACCGGCTCCCCCAAAAACCGCAAGCTTGTGAGCTGAGGCCTGATACCCTTTTCCTTCCACTATCGCGCGGATCGGCCGACACATCGTTTCATTGGCGACTTCTAAAAACCCCAAAGCCACTTCTTCTGGAGTCTTTTCGCCTTCAATTTCAGCATTGATGGCTTCGGTAAGCTGAATGAATTTCCGTTGTGTGATCTCGTAGTCCAACGGGAGGTCTTCTGTTGGTCCAAATATCGAGGGGAAATAATCTGGGAGGATGCGGCCGAGAAACAAATTGGCATCGGTGACAGTCAGTGGCCCCCCTTTGCGATAACACGCCGGGCCAGGATGGGCTGAGGCACTCTCTGGGCCCACTGTGAACAAGCCGTTTCTCCATGCTAGGATGCTGCCACCACCTGCAGCTACCGTACTGATATCAAGCTGAGGAGATTGGATCGTGACCCCGGCTGTTGTGGTTTCGAAGACATGGGTCAGCTCGCCATCGTATCGACTCACATCAGTCGATGTGCCCCCCCATATCAAACCCAATCACAGGGATTCGTTCATCCGGATGCCACATCGTGCTGGCATATCCCACGACACCTCCTGCTGGGCCGGACAAAATAGCTCGGAGACCAGAAAACTGGGTTATATCGGATAACCCCCCGTCGCTCTGCATGAATTGGCAACGGGTACTTGCCAGGTTGCCCTGAAAGCCTTGTTTGAAATTATGGATGTAACGATTGATTTCCGGCGTAAGGTACGCATCTGCCGTTGCACTCATACCACGCGAGATCAGCTTGACCATAGGAATGAGATTCGACGAAGTGGAGACATTAGAGAATCCCATCTTCTTGGCCATATCACGGATGGCATTTTCATGGTCGGGAAAACTGTAGCTGTGTGCCAAGCATATACAAATGCTTTTGAAATCCCTCTGGCGTAAGGTTTCCAGTGACCTCCTCGTACTTTCAAGGTCCAAGTCCTCCAGAACACGAATTATATCCCCACTTTGGCCAACTCGTAGCGCCGGATCAGCTATGATGTCAATTGACCCAGCCGGAAATGGGTCCTTGGCTGCGTCCTCCATAGTAACACGTTCATCCACTTCGATAACCTCCGAGTAAAGAACATCGGGCTTTTTCACTGCGAGGTCGAATAGTTTGGGCCGCGCCTGATACCCGATCTCTAATGCATCGCGGAAGCCTTTCGTGATTAGAAGCGCGGACTTTTCTCCCTTTCTTTCCAGCAAAGCATTGGTTGCGACCGTCCTGAGATTCTTGTCAGACTCTGAAATGGTAGTCGAAAGGTAATTCACTCACGTTCCCATCCGAATTATCCCAATGTGCTCCGTACTTAGTGGAAGATCTCGAGCATGTTTCTCGCCTGTGAAGAGCTCCAGTATTCGACGAATCCCTTCTGTTGGCGCGTCTGCATAGTTGACTGGATCCACAGATAAAAGCTTTATCACGATATCAGCCTGGCCATCCGCTTGGGGAATGCCAATGCAATCTGTGAAGGTACCTCCTCGCTACTCAGTTCTGATTAGCGTCTTCTAGTCTAGGTATCGCGGTTCTGCGTTGGGCCACTTCTCTTTGCCAGCTTGATCGGAACGTACATCAATGAAAATATCAACCTTCGAGACTTTCGTCTTGTGCGTCATGTTGGCAATCAGAAGGAGATTGGATGGAAATTAGCAAAGCCAGAACACCGCTATCCATGTTCCCTTGGTTTTCGGGGCTATATGTACTACAGCTGGATTCACAAGCCTCGCTTCCACGGAACCTACACCTTCGCCCGGTTGCAGCCCGAAGGATTTTCAATTCGCGATCTATTTAGCAACCATTTAGTAGGCCTGGATCTCAGAGCGGGAAAATCCGTCGCAAAAGAGACCGATGCATTAGCTTTGTCTCGCCTATCTCCGAAACGCTATCTTGATCGTGCGGGGTTCCAAAGCCGTCGGGATATGCCGTCGATTGATAAGAATCTGCTAGTCAACTCAAGTCCCATTTAACGGAGTAATCCTAAACATCCAGTGCTGCATAGGCCTTCTCGATTAAAAGAGCTGAGCTGCTTGTGGGCCTGGATCGCGACACAGATAGCAAGTCAAAGCCGCAGAAAAAAAAAATAATGGACAACTTCACTCGGCCCCACAAGTCATCAGGATCAACAAGGACAACCAGACTTCGCAGAAGCGCTCGTGAGTTTGTGCAGGGTATCAACTGGGGAGTTTCCACTAAACGGGTGATCAGAGGCATGCCAAAGATGCCGCAAGAGAAAGCAGAAGGTGAGCTCTCCATCAAAATATGGCTACTATTGGTCTGACCTTTATTCCTCAGTGTGATCTCTTATTTCCCAAATGCTCCACCTGTGAAGCCGCTCGTGCGCCCTGTCTGAAATTTGACAATGAGAAACAAGCTGAGATACCTCGAGGCTATGTCCTGACTCTTGAATCGCAAGTAAAACAGCTCAAGCTAGAAATTGCGGAGCTGAAGGCTGAGAAGCATAATGAAGCCGGTCAACCAGGCTTTGTCTGCGAAAGAACTGACACCGGCTACAGCTGCAGTCCAAGTAGCCGAACGACTGCTACCGCTACGACAGAGTCAGTCACATCTGACCCTCAGGAGATGGTGAAATCGATGGGGCTCGTGCTCCTAGAGAGCAGCAATCATACGCAATTTATGGGAACAAGTAGCGGTGTTTCCTTTGCAAAATTGGTACTCGCCTCAATCAAGCATGATATTCCCCTGGCTGGGGCAGAGTCACCAGAGCGGCAACGACAACATCGACCAACGCCAACTGAACCATCGACAATTGTGACATCGCTTCCGCCACGACATGCCGCAGACCACATAGCAAGGGCGTATTTCTCATATCGGACCCCACATCTTCCTATTCTTGAGCAAAAGTCGGTTGAAATTATCTTCAACAGAGTTTACGATCAGCCACTGAATTGCTCAAGAAGGGTTGCAGAGCATGACATGTTCATCACATACATGGTCTTAGCGATCGGCCTATTCAGTATGTCAACCCGTGGAGGGTCTCGACCTCAACAGAGTGAAGGCTGCTTCAATGCAGCTTTGCAGCGGGTTGATACGCTGCTATCTTATTCCTCCGGTGACCTGGACACGCTGACAACATTGATACTTATCGCACAATACCTTGTCCTCAATCCATCCAGAGGTAACCTGTGGCAACTAACCGGTGTCATTCTCCGCCTATGTGTCGATACTGGGTTACACTGGGAAACAGAGACAATCCTCGCCTTCCCTGAAGCTCTTCTAAACAAAAGAAGAAGATTATACTGGGCAGCCTACGGACTTGACCGATTCCTTTGCATTAACCTCGGTCGTCCGTTCGGAATTGCTGAGCAGAGCATGAGCACACGCCTTCCGGATCCATATATTTCAGAAGCTGCCGATGGTTATGAATCCGGGAAATTGGAAGTCCTCCATCAAAGGCTTGCAAACCATATCATCAAGCTTTACAGGCTCCAGTCAGAAATCAAGCACGTGCTTTATCACCAGATACAAGGGGCCACTGTCGCTTATCCGCGCCCAAACTACAATTTATGGTTCCGGGATATTCAAAGTAGACTTCGCGCATGGCATGATGAAATACCGGCAGCAAAGCAGTGTGACTCAGAGTGTATATATGCTCAGCAAGCATGGTGGGAAGCTAGCTTTAGCGGGACAGTCCTGCTTCTTCATCGACCAAACCCTCTTGTCGCCAATCCGTCTTCGGAATCCTTGAAAACTTGTTATGATACGGCTTGTCGCTGCATCAGGGCGATAAAAACACTCCAGCGAGAAGGACATATCACCATCGTTTGGGAATCTGTGCACCAGCTATTCATGGCTGGTCTGACAATTATATATTGCATGTGGCAGTCCCCTCAAATCCGAGAAAGCACCTCAGTTGTCGACTTCGCGACGGTGTCTCAGGATTGTGCTGTCGCCTTGACTGCATTGGTGGAGTATTTTCCTGAGGCCAAGGGGTGCCGGGACGCCTTTGAACTTGTTACTTCTGCCACGCTGAGATGGCTGGGCACAAAAGCAGAAGACAATGGCTTGGACTGCCATGGCTCAATTTTGAACCACGAGATTGATCTCGTACGAGAGCTTATGCCTTTCTCTACAGCTAGATGGCAAATACACGACCCCGGTAGCATCTTCCCGGACGAACCATTTGAGCTCGCAAACTTCCTGAGCGAGGCTGCTCAATACCATCGACCCTGGGATTTAACAAGTGACTTCAGTTTAGATGACCTCATGGGAGATTTTTCATCCATTGAGGGAGGTTTTAGTTAACGAATAAAATCAGGTCCGGCCCTTGAGTACCGGTATAGCATTACTACTTGGTGAGAGCTCACGACAAAACACAAGGACAATTGAAAAATCCTCATGTCCGGCTTTCTACACCTCTAATGTCGCTGGAAGTGAAAAATGTGCGCTTGAGACTCGCGACAAAGGACCGCCCCGGCTGGCTCGAGGTGCCAACCCCGCTGTATTTGGAACATCTTCACACTCTCGGCTTGATCAAGGGCGTACTTCCGTGCTCGATTCATTGACGAGCAATTCTCTCTAGGGCTTCCAGCGGAGTTGTCGATGACCAGTGTGATGGACTGCTTAGCAAGTTGGAAGCACCGGGCAAGAACAAAATACAGCTCTTCCATGGGGAGAAACTCCAGTGCGAAAGCGCAGAATATATGGTCTACCATTTCAGCCCGCTTGGAGAGGTGAACCTCCATCCTGTCATGGACAAGCTCAGTATATCCTCCGTAATGGTAACAACGGTCCAACATTTTGCGCGATATGTCGACCCCAATCAATTCTGTGATTCCCTTCTGTTCTCGCGCACGTAACGCGTCTCCAACGTTTCCTATTCCGCAACCAAGGTCGAGCACTGTGCCCTGATACGTTATCTCTGGTAGGATCCACGAGGAATCTCGCATAGCCATAGTCATGGATAAATCGTCGAAAAGCGCGGCCACCTCATTGAAATGAGGGCTTCGCCGGCTTGGATTCATGAGGAAGTAGTTTGTGATGTAAGTGTTGACCACAGCGGGATAACTGCCTGGAAAGCCATACTTAACATCGGTATCCTCCAGCTGAGACCCCGGGGGATAGAAGAATACAGGCAATGGATCGACTTCAATCACGTAGGCTCTCCCATCTGACCCGATGCGCATGTCAACATCGCATCCCATGCGATTTGTGTACATCTTCTTCGCCGTGAAGGCTTCCACCGCGGTCTCCTGGAGATGCTTCCATAATGCTGGATCTTCTTCTTCTGAAAGAAGCTCATAGCCTGACTCTGCGTCAAACTTCAGCTCCAGTGTCAAAATTTGTGGCTTGTCGTCGATTTTCTTATACTTGGCACGTTGTGGAATTAGCGGGACTGGAGTTTCGCCCATCGCTATTACGACCACGGAATACTCCTCTCCCGGTATGAACTCTTGGACGACAATGTCGGAGCTATATCGCCCAGCGGATTCCATGTCTCTGACATACTCTTCTGCGTCCGTCCATCCCAGAGCCTGCGCCCGTTGGATACGCACTGGGCGCATTAGTCCATTTAAGCGCGCAATACATTTCTGTAGCTCGTCCTCGTCACGACAGAGGGAATGCTCATCAATGAACATACTTCCATAGCTCGACGCGGGCTTTACAAACAGTGGATACTTCTCTGTCCCAGGAACGAGCGGCCGCCCGGCCTTTTTGGCCGCTGCAAAGAAATCCCATTTCGATTGTTCTCGTTCAGAGCTTTCGACTCCAGCAGAGGGCAAATCGAGGGATTCAAAGTATCGAATCGCATCCACGCCAGCCAGAGAATCATCATGGGTTCCCCACATAAAATTCAAATAGAAATCGTAGCCCTCCGCTACTGCCTGGTCAATTTGCTCCTTTGCGGTCGCCTTGTGGATAGTCTTATGGACGACTGTGTGCTGCGTTGTAAATACGCCGGGGTTCATGCACAGTTCTTGCGTCTCGCCCACAGAAGCTTGTAGCTCCTCGAAGCAAGACTGAAACACGCAGATTCTCATTTGAAATGTTGTTCTTTGGCTTCTTATGGACTGCTGCTATTTCGAAGCGATTAACATAGCGGATCTGGGCAAGAGATCTCGATTAGGCCTGATCGCGTGTTCGCCTGCAGATTCCAAATCTACCCCCTCCTGATCCCCACCACCGCCAGCCCAACAACACCATGCTGAGCGTATAGTTTCACCCCCCATCGTTGATCCATATGCAGAATCTAGCTCCTCTGGCCACTCGTTTACACCGCCTCGATCCCAAGAGGGCAAGTCCCCGTGTCACCGTGGATACATTCCAAGCCTGCGGGGTCATTTTCAGATCAGCCACCCAATTCACATGCCGCGAATGGAGGTCAATCTGAACTATAATCTCCAGATGTGGCAATGATTGACACAGTTCACGAAGACGGGAAGACCACGGTCGCGGTAGCAAACGCCACGATACCCTCTTCGCGTCCCACAAACCCGATCTTCTCGTTTGTACCGGCTTTCACAGACACCCGGCTCGGGTGCAAACCAACAATTGCAGCCACCGACTGGCGCATCACGTCGCGATAAAGACTAATCCGCGGCTTTTCGCAGATGAAGCTCACATCACAATGAGTGACCGTACCCCCCCGCCTCGGCTACAAGCGTGGCAGCATGTTGTAAGAATTTATCGGACGACACCCCTCTCCATCGAGGATCCGTGTCCGAAAAGTGGCTCCCGATGTCATCCGCCGCGATGCTGCCAAGGAACGCGTTTGTCAGAGCGTGCAAGCCCACATCTGCATCCGAGTGCCCGAGAAGAGTAGATTTGTGGGGTATTTTCACGCCGCAGAGGGTGATTTCTTCACCGGGTACTAGGCGGTGCGTGTCATAGCCATGGCCAACTCGGATATCTGGCACTGGGGCTGGAGGAGTGGGCAAGAGGTTGGATTTGAGGAAACGCTCTGCTTGGTCGAAATCTTCCTTGTAGGTCAATTTGATATTGTCGGACTCCCCGGCGACAACTCGAACAGGGAGACCCTGTTCCTCGAAAAGAGATGCGTCGTCGGTATAGCTAGTTCCACTGACAGCGGCTTGTTCATGGACCTCTAAAATGGTCTGTAGATCGAAGGCTTGGGGTGTTTGTGCCCGGAAAAGACCATCTCTGGGGACTGTAGCTGTAATGAGGCCGTGGGAATCCGTCCTTTTCAGGGTGTCCGCCACGGCAAGACCGGGGATTACTCCTATAGAGGGGTCTTTCACGATGGAGTCGTAGACTTGGTCCAGCAAGTGGACAGAGGCAAAGGGACGGGCAGCATCGTGGATGAAGACATGTGATGGGCTGGCTTTTAGGCCTGCAAGAAACCGAAGGCCCGCGAGAACCGATGCTCCTCGTTCTGCGCCTCCGATTGTAGTATAAATATTCTCATCGAGGTCGACGGAAGCTTGGAGAAGAGAGTTATCATCTGCGTGGTGGACAATCACGATAGCACATGTCTGATCCCACGATCGGAACAGTCTCAAGGTACGGTTAATCACGGTGTCTCCGCCGAGGCGACGATATGCTTTCTGGCATCCATCGCCAGCGCGTGTTCCTCGGCCAGCCGCTGGAATCACAATTCCCACGGTGGGCTGGCTGTGGCTGTTCGCCATATTTGGTAGGGCATATGACTCCCAGCGATAGCAGCAACGGTGGGACTTGAACTTCAATGAATCACGTTTGTCATTGTGCGAAATTAAGGGAAGGGGGGTTTGACAGGTCCCAGTAGTACTTATACTCTTGCACCCCACACGGATCGGCACGAAGACGCGGCGATACCCTTCCAGTCCAAGCTGAAACCCTGTGGTCGATCCCCGCGCCTTTTCAAGGTTTGTGACGAAACCTTTCTGTCGTGTGACTTCTTCCCATTTCTTCTTCTAGAAATTGCGTACATCCGCCTTGGCCCGTGGCTACGACAGAGTCAATCCAACCAAACATGGCGAGCTCCCGATCGAAGCTCAGGCTGCAGGTGCCAGCAAAAGTCAATCCTCAGATCCGCGTTGGGCCCTTACAGGAAGATGGGTATCATGATATTACATTGGCCTACCAGGCAATATCGCTGTATGACGTCTTGACGGTTTCGTCTGATCCTCATGGACCATCCATTGAGGTCTCTGGCATGGACTGCGACCGAGTCCCAGCTACCGATCAAAATCTTGTTATCAAAGCAGCGGCTCTTTTGGCCAAATATGTAAGCATCGAGCCCACCGTTCATTTTGAGCTTGTCAAAGCTATTCCCGCAGAGGCTGGTCTGGGGGGTGGAAGTGCCGATGCGGCCGCTGCTCTGGTGGGGTGCAATATGTTGTGGAAATCAAACGTCAGTGACGAGGACCTGATGCATCTCGGAGCATACATCGGGGAAGATGTACCATTCTTTATCAAGGGTATGATGGCTATCGGTCTAGGACACAAACAGCCATTACGTAGCCTTGGTACAGGGGACCACACATGGATCTGGGTTTTAGGAGTGCCTTTTCGTGGGCTTTCGACAAAAGCTGTCTTTCAAGAGTATGACAATTGTTTGGCTGAACGCAAGTCCGGCCAAGAGGATTATCTTTCGAAGCGACAGGGCTGTCTGGAAGTCCCCTGGGGAAATGCTCCGGGCAGTCTACGAGGCGCGCTTGTTAATGACCTCGAGCAGCCATCTGCACGCTTATTACCTGATATCACGACCGCATTAGATGCCGGACGGTCAGTTGGAGCGTTTGCAAGCCTCATGAGTGGCTCTGGATCAACGTGTGCGTTCCTGGCCAGAGATGAGGACCATGCTCGTCATATGCAAGCCGAGTTCCAGAGAATGCAACTGTTTAGAGAGGTTTGTATTGCTTTCGGCCCTGTACCAGGGGTGACTATAATGAAAGACTAGATGTGCTTCTTGAGAAGTTGAGGTCCTAAGCGATAGCATCTAGTAGCCGCGGAGATTCCTCCTAATAACTGGGGTCTGGATATATATTGAACAACCCTGGCCACGTTCTCCAAGGCTTTAGGAACCTGCAATGGCCAGGGACCCGGCACTATGTCAAAAAAAGCGGTGCAATTATCCGATTTGCTATGATAATACCATGGAAGAACAGATCAAGGCACAGAAGACGCTCGTCCAGAAAATGAGCACTTTAAACAACCAGTTTCCTGGAGAGTCTGATAGTAGCAACGCGATGAAGAACTTGACTTTGGGCAGCCGAAAAACGCAGAGAAATTAGCTAGGATAAGTAAGCTGATATTACGTCTCGAAGCGAATCGCACGTTGGTCGCCGTTCACCACAATCAGAGTGATCTGAAGCTGACGTTCTATGGTTTGTAGCAACAATAACATCATTTACTCACTATAGTTGTAGAGGCTTTTGCTTCAATTTTAGGCTGTATAATATCTGCAGTCACTTTATTCAAACTATGATCTTACGAGTAGGCTACATTGTAATTCCAGGTCAACAGAGCTCATGGTGTCTAGGTGTTTATAGTTCCGTCCGATATGGACATCGGTGGGCGTGCACGCTATGATTGGCTGGCATTTCTCCAACATCACCGCCCGCATCGATCTGGCTTCCTCCTTCAGACAGGCCACGATGCCTATTTGCATCGAGTGCTCCTACCCGGTCTCACACCTATACAGTGCTTACAGTCGCGCTGACGATCGCTCCCAAGGGAAAGGGGTGCGATTGACTCAGTGTCCGCGTTGTCAGCGCTTCGCGGACAAATACATCGAATATGACTTTGTGGTCATCTTTATCGATCTGGTTTTGATTAAACCACAAGTATGTCTTCTCTGCGTCCTATGGAATGTCCAAAGCTCATCAAATGTTACATAATAGGTATACCGGCATCTTCTTTTCAACCGCCTAGGACGCGACGACAACCGATTCGATGTAAGTCCCACAACGGTATGCGACGCTGGATGAAAGCGCTAAACACAGATTCTTTCAGCGGTCAATCATTCGTCTAGGTGTTCTCCTTTTGCTATTTGACGTCTATCTTACTTGGGCCCGCCTCGAGAAAGACCCATCGTTAGAAACAGCCTTCATATCGCGCGCCCCAATCGTGGTTCAGTACCTCTTCTTCCTTACCCTCAACACCACGGCCACCCTTGCACACCACCTTACCGTACGCCTGCTCTCCACGATTCTTGTTCCCAAATCGCACCGGTATGGAGCCCCAGGGTCTACAACTACAAACACAACCCCGCAGCCTAGTGGCAATGGAAATGGCAATAGCGACGCAAGCGCAAACCCCATGCCGTCCGCGACTCCAACCCCAGCAATCAAAACGCCATCACCCACGCCCCCTGTAAACCCTCCAGGAAGAACCAGCAGCCGACGGAATTGACCACCGCTCAAGCAAAGCTCTCTCCCAATCCAGCCGCATCAACCCAACCCACCTCCCCCGAGCCTCTACCCAATGCCTCGGGTGCCCTCGCTACCACTCCTACAGTCCCAAACCCGCAACGACCACCGCCTCCTCTGCGTCGCGCGTCCACCGCGCCTATACACATCCAACCCCTCCCCCCACCGACAGCTGCGAGCCCAACCGCCATAAGCACAGCGCTGCTCGTCAGCAGCTGCGCCAAGCTCTTCCCCATCCTTCTGGTGATATGGGGCACCGACAGCAGCGGCAACCAACCCGCACAAGAAAGCGGAACTACGCACCGCGGCGGCAGCGTGCTCCGGACGCAACTGGATGGCGTCGAACCTACCCCCGTGCTCTCCGCCAAAGCGGCGCTGTCGTCTGATCGCGGCAGCAATGCGCGATACTCGTCTTCGTCGCTGGTGGAGTCGTGGGTTGCAGGCGCAGAGGCCCTGCTGTGCCCTTACATTCCGATGAGCTACATGTCATGGCTGTTCGAGCTCCTAGCGGCGTCGTTGTCGCTTGGGGTCGTTGATACGCACCTTGTTCTGCTGAGCAATACCGAAGCTCTGTATATTCTGCTTGGGTGCGGGTATATGCGGGCTGTTGCGGTTGCGGTGGCGGGACAGGTAGCGCGTTGGGTGGTGCAGAAGGTTATCTTGGGTGCTGTCGGGGTAGGGTAGCATTCAACAGGAGTCGAGGGCAGAGAGCGTAAAAGAAACATTGTGTTAACGAATATAACTTCGGATGTATCTACCATGTGAATATCGAACATTGGATGCTTATGCATTGAATCTAAATGTAAACATGAAAATGGACAGAAAAAAAAAAAGCTATACAGAACACCCGCAAACCCATGTGCATACAGTTCTCATACAACCTAGCCATATACCCTGGCAAACACCGACATATGAAGTCGAGCGGACCAAACACTAAATGAGTGGCATTTAGGAGTCGCATTTAGTAATAGGTACAGACCGCGTATAACAAGGCACAGTGTATTATGCTACCCAATCCAGTACCGGAGCGACACGCCTCGACTGGGTATAGCATAACCACCACAAGAGAAAGCAAACCCGCAAATGAAGATTTTTTTTTTAATTGGGTACTCTGCCAGGTCGAATATCAGATCTCTTTGGTGCGATGAGTGGGTGCAATTGTGCGAGGAAGACAATGGCTAGAGAAACCAAGTTAGCTTCCTTGCACCATCTTATGCTAGACCGCAGGAGGAAGGTTTTGACTTACCCCACATCAAGTAGCAGGAAATGACAGAGAGGATGATGGTCGTACGGAAGACACTTTTACCCAAGTCAGCGTTTCTCCCCCACTGGCGTGATCATATCCACGGGGCCGTCGGTATAAGATGAAACTCACGTTTGATTCTCCCCCTTCGGACTGAAGAACCAACCAGCTGCGCAAGCAGCCACAACAATAATGAGGCCGATGAGAAGACTCCAACTGTACAGCATATTGTTAGCCCAATACTCATCTGTCTCGAAGGGTCTGTGTGTCCATGAGCCGGGGGCAGGCGGTCATAACAGTCATAACCCTCAGAAGTAATTGATGGACCAGCGTATCCTCGTGAGGCAGCACGTACCTTCCAGCCATAATGTCGGTGTTTGTGCGATCCTTTTCCAAGCGATCGGATCGAGGTAGTCGAGTCTACGGGGATAGGTAGCTTTCCAACTCGGAGATGGCGTTGCACGTAGTCGCTAGCAGCATACACGCCGAAAGAATCACTAGACCGGATCGCAAGGTCGGGAACTCTCCGAGACGAGCTAGAGGGCTCTAGCAAGTCTTGTCAAGCGACTCTACTGTCTGATATGACCGGAGCGGCGTTCTTTCCACGGGCAACGGTCGGCGGGCGGGAGGGGTGAGCGAACAGTCGAAAGGGACTCGGCCGAAGTAGATGTCGACTTGCTCTGCAAGGCCTCTGGCAGCAGATGCTTCCCTCTCTAAAAAGGCCGTGTCTCGCGGATTGCAGGAAGACGAATGTCACGGTGGAGATGCGGGTTGAATCGTCGGAGCTCCAGGAGCTCGTGTTTCTGCCTCATACGGCCGGGCGGTCACCCGATGTTGGATATACAAACAGACCCATCGGTTTCGTCTGAGACGTCAGCATGATTCTGTCCAGGGGACAAGTGATATCCGGGATATTTTCGGCTTGCTCTAGAAATTTCACTCATGCTTCGAGACATCTGTTATGTTCGAAGTTCCCCGCTAGTAGAACAAGGTCTTGTCTACAACTGGGACACGCATTTGAGGTCTCGTAGAATTGACGAGCGCGTCCCAGAGCAATTTCCGTCCACAGAGGGAACATTCGAATGGTCTGACTAAAGCCCAACACCCGGTGTTGAGCAAGAAGCCTCGAAGCGAGCTACAAGATCAGACAGTACTGGATACGTGGTGCTCCGAAGGCGCGCATATCAAATAAATCAGTCCTACCAGACCCCCGACAAAAGCGTGCATGTGAGACAGACAGCGATAAGAGTATCCTACGGCATGTATCAAGTTCCAATCAATTCATTCAAATCCAAGTACGAGTATCGGGCTGAATCCCTTGGGATGACAGAAGCAAAGGAGGATAAATACAAAACTACCCAAAGACCAGGTAAAGTAGAAATTGCAAAACACTGAGAGGGAAGGTTGTTGGGGAGTGGTCTATGCGCCCTCACGGCTCTTGCGGTAGCTAGCCTGCACAATGATGTTAGACCGAATCATCAGTTGCAGGGTAGGCTCCTAAGCTTACCTCCTGCTCCACCTGCAGTGCATCGACGGATGGTGCAAGCTCACTCAGGATCTCGTATGCCTTCTTGTGGAACTCGAGCTGGGCGGCGATAAGGTCGGCGAGGTTGCGAAGGGGCTCAGGGGTATCAAGGACCTATGAACAAGGGATACCGCGGTTAGCCTCTTGTGTCATAATGGAGAGCGACCAACTTCTTCAATTCCTCGTTGTCAGGGTTCCAACTTCAACTTACGTTCTTCATTACGCTAACCGCCTCCTCGGTCTGGCCAACGAACTCATCTTCCGCTTGCTCGATCTCGGCACGGGCATCCTCGCTGAGGTTGTCCAGGTCACCCCGGGCGGCAGCTTTCTTGCTAGCCTTGATCGAGTCAAGAGTCAGACGGGCGTTCTCAACGTTCTTGCGCGCCTTGGCAGCGAACATCAGGTTGGTGTTGAGAGTAGTGTTCCAGCCAGCCAGGAAACGAGACTGGATCTGAGCATCCTGGGCCAGGCGGGCCTCGCCGACCTTTTCCTCGGCGAGAGCGTACTTCTCCAGGGCAGTAGCGAGAGGGTCCTCGCCCTCAACGCTCTGCGCTAGGATCTGCGATCCGGAAAGCGAAGCGCGCGCGATGGCATGGTTGAAGGTCTTGGGCTGGGGTTTGGCGGATGGGGGTGCAGTCAGAGCGGCCTGGGCTTCAGCGGGGGAGTTGGCCTGGGACAAGAGGGAGACCTTCTCATTGATGGTGCGACCCAGGTCATTGAAGGACTCGCGAATGTTGGGTGGGTAGTCGTAAGCCTCGTTGGAGTACTGCGAGCTATATTGCGCGAAAGAGAACCACCCCGCCTTGGTCAGATCTGTTCTCAGGCATGTGAAAACGGATAGGACAACACTCACGTCACTTGCAGCAGCTTCTGGTGGACGAGCTTCAGCGCATCGACACGCTTCTCGAGCTCGATGTATTCATCGGGGAGCTGGGTCTTGTCTTCGACTTGGCCGAGTTGCTCCTTAATCATCTGCTGGGTGCGCTGCGCGAAGGGCGTGAAGCTCGCGCTATTCCGCAACAGCCACAACTGTCAGTAAAAGACCGTGGTCCAGAACACGAGCGCCGGGGGGGGGTTCCTCCGGTCAGGGAATTGGGATGCCGCAGGAGGTGATGGCATACCTGAAGGTCTTTCCGAATGCCTGCACTCGATCCATGATTGCGATTTGTGTAGATGGAGAGGTAAACAAAAGGAGGGGAAATCGTTAAGGAGTAGGGAACTTTGGAGCAGCTACGGTGCGACGCATCCCGCTGCACCGCCCCACATTTACACTAGCCACGACGGCTTTAGGCACCAGAGAGTACAGGGAGTCCTGGGGTAGGAGGGATTGGCACGTGAGGTTAATTGATTTAAAGCCGGGAATATCATGAAAGGAAACAGCATAGAAATAACGCCAAATAACAATGCCCTTCGGTCATCGTCCAACCGTAGTCATAGTAATCTTGTCCGGTTCCAGCTCCCGAAACACCGCATTGTAAACACCCCCAAACGGGCCGGTTAGGTCAAGGTAGCAAACATAGCCCGCATAACCCTTGAGCGAGGTTCTTCAAAGAGGTTAGAATCGCAAGACATATATATGATGGAGGAGAACTCACCTGAGCGTTCTTGACGGCGAATATCAATGATTTCTTCTTCGTTGCCCCTGCTATCGATAATGTCGGTGTCCTTCTGCCGCGTGATTTCAATTCCCCCATGCGGCTCTGCTCGTAGTATCCGTCTCTCGTTCTCCAAGTCCACGATTTCTGCGGAAATGTCATGATCGCTACGCTTGGGCCGCACTAGTACCATCGACCCCTCATGAGGCCTGGATTCCACGTGTGTTCGGCTCTCGAGCACCCGGAGGGGAGACGATGGCCTGTGACTGTGGATGAGCACTGATCGTGGCCGCACAACAGAGATAGAGCGTGGCCGAGCCAAGCTGCGAACCGGTCGTTCGACCTCTTCATACTCGACATCGCGATATTCGACGTCACGATAGTCTACGTCACGATAGTCCACGTCGCGGTAATCCACGTCACGGTAATCGACCTCCCGGTAGCGCGAAGGACTTCTGGACGGCTCAACAATGAACATGTCATGACTGGACCGAGGCGACTGGCGCGAGTCTACCACAAGCTGCTCGGTGGTGACGCGCTCGCGCGGAGGAGAGCGAAGGCGCAGGTACTCCGCTAGAACGATGTTAGTTTGCACGATCCTCAAATGCGGCATTGCAGTGAGACTGCAACTTACTTTCAACATTTGCAGGCCGTCTGTATTCTCGACTGATGCTGATCACCTCGTCAATTTGCTCCTTCGACAGCGCTTTCTGAATGACAATTGTCTCGTCCTGCACAATCATTAGCATTCAAACCGGCCTTGAAAGTCTCTGGCTGAGGGAAAACCTACTTCTTCTTTGTAAGGGTATCCCAGATCCATAATCGCGTGAACATGCACCCACTTCCGTGGAATACGGGTTTTGCCCTTCCGAGGATACGGCTTCTCCTCATGTCTTCGCCTCGCAGCACTGCTCGACCGCCGGCTGCGGCGGTCCATTGTGTCTCTCCCACGGATATCTCGAAACTCTTCGTCCCCGTAGTAATCGGGCTCGGCGATGCGAATGTCCTCATACACTTCCCGCTCACGGTACCTCCCCGGGGAGGGGACATGCAATCGTGGGGGCGGAGGAGCGTGAGGGAGAGGACCTGCTCGGTCTCTTAACTCGAGAGACTCGAGTTTCCGCCGCGGGATGCGATCGAAAGTATCAAGAGACGACTGCCGCCTAATCAACCGGGGAGGAGCAACGGCGGAGCTCCCCGCACGACGGCGGCGGCGGTCAGGCGTGACTGGAGGCTCTGAGGGCTGAGACAGATAATCATCTTCGTAGTAGCGGCCGACCGCGCGAGCAGGGGGACCGTATCGGTCTTCTTCGCTGAGGCGCAGCTCGAAACGCTCCTCGTCGACTCGGCGGGGTCGTTCACGTTCGGCGACAGGAGGACCCCGCGAATATCGGTCGTAGCGATCGCGCGAGTCGAGAGTACCCGACGACGAGCGATAATCGTCATAGCGAGACATGGCTGGAGGGATCTAGGCAGATGCGCAGGAGCCGAGTCTTCGATATTTGTTTTGCCCAGGTTTGTTTATCAGCCTCGGGGGCAAATCGGGGAGAGAACCGTGGATGATGAGAGCGGCTGATGCGGGCCGCTAAAATGGTGGGGGTTCGCAGCCACAGAGCTGGAAATTCGAGTCGGATCAGAGAGCCTGACAGGATCAAGAGAGACTAAACTGGGTGTGCCTCCGGAGCAGAGATCGGCGGTTCAGCTGGTGCTGGACAGAAAGCTCCTGCGGCCAAGAATCAGGCAGACACCACTTTGTGACGACATCGCCTGACGTGGGTCACCCGGCAGAGAGAAATTAGGGCGTTGGGCTTTCAATACATGTGTCTATACTTCTCCAATCTAAGTTACCATAGCACGAGGCCGATGTAGCTGTCAGGTACTCGAGTCCGAGACAGTCACAGCCGGAACGAGTCCTGCAGCAAAAGCCCCACGACACTGCAGGTGGCTTGGTCCCTTCGCCTCTTTTCGGTCTCTTGCGCCGCAAGGCCCAGCGACTACAGGGTTTAGGGTGGCATTTGCTCACCATTTTCTGAATACCCATCTCCTCGCCCTGTGGACTAAGTTGTTATGGTCAGCCAGTGAGATCATTTCAAAGTTCCACTAAACCATGTACCACCAGCAGCGCCTCGTCTTGGGTACCTCAAGTACGAACACTCCTACTCGTGGACACCCTCTCCTAATCAGTGCAAGGAAAACATTGGCCCTGAACGCAGCATGTGAAATTCACATCTTTCGACAACGGGGTATGGCATGTTTCGACACCTGCAATCACTCCTGGGATACTACGTAGATTGTAGATCTGGCCAATCAACGCAAATCAACCGAGATCCTGAATTTCCCCCATGGGTACGTTATAGCTTGTCAGCACTAGTAGCCACGAGATGCCCATATCTTCAGTCGACCTCGTCTAATGTGTATCTGCCCTCCAAGGATTTCGGCAAATATTTGGAAGCTATCAGGAACTTGAACACGAAGCGAGAAGATTTCCGGGCGGAGCGCGGGATCGTAAGCGGCACGCAAATGTCGCGAGTTCTGCCTCATTGGCATGAGCATTTGAACGTGTACTAAGCGACCAACCCTACATGATATATCATCCCACAGCCCTACAAAAACCCAGTCAGAATGACTAACCGGATTCAATCTTAAACCGAATCGGCCCGAATGATAGACTGCATCCCGATCTCGACCTCGCCGAACATCCGGTTCGCCCGGTGGACTCACATAATTTGTCCCACCGTCCTCCGTAGTGGATACTTTTCTGCAGCTCTTTCAGGTTCCGAGGCTTTTAGCGCGGCCCATTGGTTTGATAAGCTGGAAATTCCAAGCACGGTTTGATTTCCTGCCGTCCAGACCGTGCTCGCCGATGGCCTGCCTTGCGTTGCGCCTATCAGGTCTTGTTCCCTGAGTTGGATACCAATTCGACGGTTGCACAATCCATGGATTTTTCCGTCGGGGCAGTAAGAAGCCCCAAACCTCGTATGCCCAGTCCCTCCTCCCTTCAGTTATAGACTCGATGGAGCTGTGGCGACTGCAGGAGCTCCAATGTTCACGTTGAAAGGAATCCTCCTTCTCGGCCCGAGAAAAACAGCGTGGGTGGGTCAAGCAAATTCCAATGATCCATCAAACCAAGCTTGGTCGAGTAAAAAGTGGCCCCTCGCCAGAATAAACATGCCTTCTGGAGACAGTGTACACTTTTGTGAAGAACATGATAAGAGACCCATCCTGACCCGGTTTATCTGGCGTGCATGCCCACCTGCTAGCAGAGACTTCCAAATTCTTCAGTTCAAGTACAATGGACCTCGACCACGACAACCGCGCCTTTTTCGAGGCCATTCCCGGCTTCGACAAGCTACTCCAAGATGAAAGCTTTGTGACAATCCCGACGATATCCCGCCAGGAAAAGACGCCCAGCACTGAAGATACCTTGCTCTGGCGTACTCTCATGACCCCGAGGACCTTTGCCAAATCATTATCGCAGTACCGCCAGCCACAAAGCCGATCAGATCTGTCTGTACGCTCAACCGCTGTCGCGGAAGAGCTCCGTATATTCTACCAGCTGGGCACAGACCTGAATGGGTTTCCGGACACCCTTCACGGCGGCATCGTAGCCACCTTGTTAGACGATTGTATGGGTCTGCTTCTGGTTCTCCGACGATCCGAGAGCAGAGAGAAGGTTGACATGGGCTGCGTGACGGCGTACTTGAACACCAAATTTCTTCGGCCTACTCGCACTCCTGGGCCCGTGGTGGTCCATGCGCGGTTGATTGAAAATAAAGAAGATCGGAAGTTCAAGCTCCAGGCGGAGATTCGGGACCCGCAGAACCAGGTTCTCGCTGCGGGGGAATCCTTGTTCATCAAGCTCCGGGCGAAGATTTAAGTGGCATTTGCGGGGGTAGGATCTAGAAAGGCTGCAAGTTAAGATCTGGTCAGAGAGGCGGATTGTATTTACTCACACCACGAGATGGGAGGCGCCGGGCTATTGCGCTCGAGGTTAGGAAAAAGGGAGCGCTGGACCGAGAGCAGCCTACAAGCAGCAAATCGAAAGCTTGCGAATGCCCTGATTCAATCACCTGTAACAGATTAGCGTCAGATTCACCAATGATCGATTTGAGCGAAAAGCGGGGAAACAATTAGTATCTTGAATCGCCTCGGGCCGAGCAGCCATCTACAAAGGCTAAACCGAGCCTCAATTCTCCCAGAATCAGCTCGAACCCTCCTCCCCCACAAAATCCCCCGTTCCCGATGTCAGAACAAGATCTAGCCGCCTTCAGATCCATCCAATGGGTTCAAGAACTACTGCGCGATGAATCTTTCATCATAGCTGAGCCCCGGTTCCGGGACCAAATAACCGAGGACAAGCTGTTCAAAACCACCCTCATTTCGCCCACGAGACTGGCTGCATTTTTACCGCAGTATCGTAAATGTCAAAATCTGGCAGGGCCCTCAGACGTACCGCCACCCGTTGAGGAGCTTCGTTTATTTTGGCTACTGGGGTCCGATCTAGATGGCAACCCGGGGATGCTACACGGAGGAATCGTCACGACTCTGCTAGACCAATCGATGGGCTTCATTGTGATGTTCAGAGGTCAATATTCCGGTAATGCACTGAAGGAGCCTGGCCGTACACCCACTGTCACGGCATATCTGAATACACAGTTCCGGCGCCCAGTGTTCACGCCTGCGGCTATTATGGTCCATGTCCGGTTAGTGGAGGTGCTAGAGGATCGGAAGTGGAGAGTGGAGGCCACGATTTACGATCATGAAAACCGGCCTCTAGCTTCAGGGGAAGCTTTGTTTGTAAAGACCCGTGCGAGGATCTAAAGGATAGAGAGCGAGAGACAGGCTATATGGATGCGAGGTTGTATATAATGAAGAGGGGCACAGCCCGTGGAATGGGAGAGGGAAGGGTAAAAAGGTCAGGAAAGGTGTACATATCGGTGTATCGTTAGACGAATCTGTGCAAGATCTGGGATTTGAGAAGTTCCTTCATGTTCTTGAGGCCTGTGGATCATGCGCCAGCGTCAAAGCTCTAATGACTCCATATCACTCTCTAAGCTCAACAGCCCAAATGCCATATGGGCGCGGTATGGCCGTTGTACTGTGATGAAGCGTCGGTCATCGCTATGTTCACTATCGTGGCCGTAGTCTCTTTGGATGACGTCGGGTGGCTAATTAAGAAGATCTTAGCATCTCCGGCACGGGACGATTGTGGAGAATTCACACATACCCCAGATTCACGATCCCGACTCACGGTAAATGATCGCTCGTACGGCGGCCCACGGCCATGCTTTGCAGCAATGACCCAGGCCTTCTCACACCCACCAGCAATTACCTCGGAGGTTTTCCAGCCCGCCAAGCGAGCGATCTCTCTTAATTTGGAAACCGTCCAGGATCTTTGAAGACCGTCAACATATTGCACTGCCCCGAAGAACATAGGAACCGTCATATCTGTCAACGAAGATCCGAGGGCGGGGCTCAGGCTACCAGCTTCGAAGTTATACCGCTGTGGGTAGTAGATACCGGCTAGAATGCGGCCAATGATCTGCGCATAGTCTGCCGTCGCTGGGGCGGCAACTCCTGCAGCTACCATCATGGCTGGGGGCATGCAAGGATGAAGTCGGTAAAGAAGGATACGGCCTGCGTAGTAGAACCCCCAAAGCAGAGCGATGTTGAGCGTGCGGTATTGGAGAGCGGGTCCGAAGGGTGAATCAATGGGGACAGTGACATCGGGAGGCAAGGGCTGAAAATCCGGCCCGACGGCTTGGAAAAATGCGTCCGTTGCCATAAGGATCTCCTCCCATTCACGCTCTGCCTCGTTGTAAGTGACATCGGCACTTTCATCAAGTACCTCGGGTGTTTGCCGCTGGCCACGGTGGTCTTCAACAAAAGCCGACGGGACGCGCGCAGGACCCTGGGGTGGGATCATGCCGTACATTGGAGGGCCTTCTGGAGACGGAGTGGGCTGCGAAGGGTTTGAAGACGGGGAGCCTGTCGGGACCCGACTACTTTGACTTGATGGTAAAGACTCCGACGATGGGGGTCCGGGGGCTTTGGGAGGCCCAGGAGGTCTTGCACCTCGGGCAAAACGAGACATGAATTGGGGGATCCCTGGGCCTGGTCGCCAATCTGTCCCTGTTGATCGGATGGCCTTGAGCTTTCGCTTGCGATCTCGGTATCCAAAATCAGTGATCCGGCTGAGCAAAAGCCACAGATGGTCTGCCGAGCCATAGATAGCGTCCAACCGCCCAATTCCTGCTCGTGGAGGACACCGACCCAGTTGGTCAAATGGTATACTGAATATAAGTTAGTCAAATCAAGAATGGCTGGAAGGGGGGGGGGTGGTTACTCACAATAGTGCATCTCCACTGATTAGACTATGGATGGTGTCTTGCTTAATGTACCACCAATAAAGATCGGTCTGGATGCGGAAATTCTCAATGTCTTTTCGAGAAAAATGTTTCTTCGGGGCTTGGGAATGATATCCTTCTACATGGCCAAATTGGTCGTAATCAATCCTTCTACCAAGAAGAGTACCGATGAACTCTTGATTGATAGAGTCCTCCTTGTCGGCGAAAGGGTCATCTTCAGAACCCCCGCTGCCAACAGGATAGTAGTACTGGGATGCAGCGGCCCATTCCATGTTTCTACGATAATCATGCATCCTGCGTCGGTAAGCTCTGAGGTCTCGAGTTAAACCGGGAAAGTCGACTTCACGGATCAAGTGGGCAGCACCCGCGACGTGACTGTTCCATTTGGAGTGATCCGCTGAGATAACTTCGTAGTAGGCAAGTAGCTCAGTGGCAGCCAATGTACCAATCTGTTTCCGTCGCGTTGGAAGGCTGACTGCACGACCGATCCGCTTCAGGGCGAAATGATAATGCTTCAGCGAAACAGTTGTGGGAGCATTTTGTAAGTATGCAATATGCAAGCTACTGATCGCAAGAATTGCCTGAAGCAGTGCTGGGTGCTCTAACGCAATGAGAGGAAGCGTGTATGACCAGAGTCCCTGCTTTGCCGGCGGAACAGGAGCATTGAGCATAATTGAGGAATCCGTTTGGTGTCGTTCGAAAATGGAGAGGGACGGTCCAGTCGAATGGATAAAATGAGCGAAGATTCGAGCTGTTTTAGGGTTATTGAGCGGGGACGAACCAAGCGAAGGGCGATAAGATGCAAGAATGTTCGGTTCATTCAGGTGAGTTGTGAAAGAACGCAGTTGGCTATCACGGGACGCTGAAGCCATGATGAGATTCAGCTGATTGTAGCCCTCTGCCTGCTTCTGCTCCACCATCTCGTCGTCTGATTCAACATCGTAGTAATCTTCTGCTTCATCTTCCACGTATATAACCTGCGGCATAGGCGGTGGATGGTATCGTGAAGAGGACCCTAAGTTGTCATGAGGCCGCTCGGGACGGTTTGGATAACGGTATTCTGTAGTCGGCTGCAGAGTAATCTATTAGAATTAGACAGGCTGGGCCCTCGCCGAGAGCTTGCTTTACCTGGGAATATAGCTGGTTATTGTATTGTTGATTCACTATGGTTGCCCAATCAGTGATCGGCTGAGGCATCTGAGAGCCTGCCACTTCATACTGCAATCCAATCTGATTGTGATTTGCAAATTGATTGGGATAGCTATTGTCAGTTGGGGCAGTAGACAAGGGCTGTTGTCCGTATTGACTTGATTGTACATTCCACTCGACCATGCCCTGTGAATGGGAGGGGTATTGGAAGGGGGGCATATCAACAGGATAAGAGGTACCGCCAGTAGCGAAGGGCTCAGGCTGTACGTAGGATTGCTCCCCGACCGGGGTAGTCTCTAGAGGACGCGGTGCCAGCATAGGACGCTGTGTCGCCGCCGCTTGTTGCTGCGGTGGAAGAGGGCCATATTCACTATACAGCGGAACCTCTGCCTGTTGCTGCACATGTGGATCCTGAGTATGTTCAGGTGGAGCAGCTCCAAGAATTCCCAAAGGGTTTTTGAACACAACCCTCTGTGCATATCCCTCGCAAACTCGTCTGGATTTCACACAGTTGCTACAAATCGGCTTCTCCTCGCCACATTTGATGCGGCGTTTCCGGCATGCTATCGAGCCAGACTTGGATCAGACACGCCATCTTCAGGGGAGCACATCTGGAGCCTCAACATACTTAGACATCCTGTTTTGGTCCGCTTCTTTGGGAGCCTGCGGGGTGGATTCTGAATCTGAGCCTCACCGGACCCTTGATCTCAGGCCCTTGCTCGGGCCCTGGTCAGTCGAGGGTTCGAGGTCCTGCGCGTCCATGGGATCTTGAGACGCTCCAGATCTCACTATGGCTGCCAACAGAATACCTCCACAGGAAGCATTTTTTTAAGGGGGAGGGAAAGGGTGGAAAAGAGCGAGGATTACCCGAAATCGCCGAAGGTGCGGTAATAGGATGGGAAAGAAAGTATCGAATGGATTAGATGGGCTGGACTCCACAGCATCCCGAGGGTAAAGCTGCCGAAGATCGATCATCCGAGATCGCCTCTGTCATGTGTAACTCTGACGTTTCGAGCTGCGTTTTTTGATTTTTTTTTTTCCCCTTGGCCTCTTCTGCAGAAGAGTTCAACCTTACGAGGTGGCGCTCCAAACCAAAAGCCTCGAGGGTCTCTCACCCGTCTTGCATATCAGGGAACACGGGCTGACGGTCACACCCCCGCCACGTTTCCACTCCATGATACGAAAAAGGGTCTACCGTATTGATCCAAGGTACACCCTAGATGCAGACAGTGTTCGCTCTCGTGGCGCTCTCCACAAGGTCTAGACCGGGCTCGATAGTACGTGTTTCGATTTCTTGCATGGATCCGAGTTGGACATTAGCGGTGAATTTGGAGGAGAATTGTGGGCGCAAATATTCAGTTTCTGTAAATGGACTGAGACCAAACCTGCCGCATTCCCAGCAAAAATTTGTTTCATAGATGGTGGACCCCAGGGCTATACGATTTGCTACTTTTACTGGGTGAAAAGTTGAGGGGTCATAGTAGAGGCCTTTAAATTTCACCCCACGGGAAGCACGAGAAGCACGAGAAGCCCCGATCCTGCTCGTTTTACCCAAAGTTCTATGTTCTCTTCATTGCGCCAGACCCAAATCCAACAGCCCCGGACACAGTTGTCACAAACACCAACGAAAGCAGCGCGAGGATTTTGAAATGCTAGGATATGAGCTCGAAGGCATTTGTGTGAGTGTTCGGGCGAACGGAAATACGGTCATGCTACTTCTCATGCTCGAGTCTGAACGCTCAAGTGTGCAGGCGTGAAACCAGCACCCTCGAATTTAGTACCCAAGTTATCCACGTCAGCTTATCGCCATTGGTCAGTTGGTATGAGTTAGTATAATCAAATGGCCTATATCTTGCTCTGGAATCTGAGCTCTCAGTGGCAAAGACCACTAGTATGAATTAGGAGCCCACGGGAAGTTTTCTATAATTATGCGTGTCTTGATTCAGCATCTAGAGTCCTTGAAAATCCTGATATTAAAATACTTCACACGGGACGCAGCCGACTGCCAGTGAGTAACCCTCTCTTGTCGACACAATTGAACTAATTGTGTGATCAAATTGTCTGGCATGAGATATTCGAGGTCAGCGGACTGAGCTGTTGACAAGGCTAGGACTGAGTGGACTAATTCAAGTATGCCTTTCCATAGCTGCCAAGGAGGATTTTGCGGTTGGTCAGCCCAGGCGAGATTTGAGCATCGATTTTCGACTAATAGCGTGTGGACTTCCCATTTACTCGACCTGGACTAGGTAGAATAGTCCGGCCTGAGGACATACGAAAATGCACATGCACAAGCCCCGCCCGGAAATAGAGTTATTCTAATGTGCTCTGGCTTGATGACTTGGTATGTGGATGGCTTCGATGTACGGCTACATCCACGGCAGCTGGAGTGCATGCTAACCGGAAAGTCGAGGATTGTTACCGTATCATATACCATCATATTACAGTACGCTTCACATTACGAAATTACGTTCGGTGGAGATTTGGGCGGAAACTCCATTTTCTGCCGCGACTTTTTTTTTTGTTAGGTCTGCAAGCTATGCCGACTCGCCAGCCCACGATCCCTCGAATTTTCACAGTTCCTCGTATCCGTCATGTTCGCGGTTCCAGGATGGTCGGTCCCAACGTCTGCTCCTAAGCAGGAGACCGAAAAATCGCAGGGTCCCAGCGATTCCAAATCAAAAGATTCCTCGGCTCCAAATGCGAAGAACAAGCGCAAGCGTGGCAATGACAATGTCAATTCACGCAATGTGGATGAGATGTATCGGAAGCATATCGTGGGAGAGAAACCTATCAAGCCATGGCAGAAGGAGAAAAAAGAGAAGCGGATCAATGGAAACCCAGAGGGTGCCAAAGATACTCAACCACCCAAGCCCTCCGACGAGAACGAGGACATAGCAGGGCCCAAGAAGAAGCAGAAGAAGAACAAAAAGAACAAGACTCGAGATCCTGTTACCACAGATAAGGACACTGCGGCTAAAGAAAATGCCCCTCCAGCATCTTCAGAGGCAACAGCGTCCGCCATCGATTCTTTGGCGCCTCCCCCACCTACGTCTGCGACATTGACTCCGCTGCAGCAAGCCATGCGCCAGAAGCTTGTGTCCTCCCGATTCCGCCATTTGAACGAGACTCTGTATACAACCGACTCCTCCAAGGCTGTCGAACTGTTTAACGCAAACCCAGAACTCTTCAGCGAATACCACGCCGGTTTCGCCCGCCAAGTGAAAGAGTCCTGGCCGTCGAACCCGGTTGATGGCTATATCCAGTTTGTTCGCCGTCGTGGCGCAGTTCCAGTCCCTAAGAGAGGTAGCAAGCCCCAACCGAACAGGCCTCAACCGCTTCCTCGCAGGCCAAATGGGGCTTGCACAATCGCTGATCTGGGCTGTGGTGATGCTGCCCTTGCACGCGCGCTGACGCCCTCCGCCAAGAAGCTGAACTTGAAGCTCCTCAGCTACGATCTTCAAGCGCCCGATCCATTGATCACCAAGGCTGATATATCCAACCTTCCTGTCGAAGACGGATCCGTGGATGTTGCAATCTTCTGTCTGAGTTTGATGGGAACTAACTGGGTTTCCTTCGTTGAGGAAGCCTGGCGTGTTCTTCGAGGTGATGGAAAGGGTGAGTGCTGGGTCAGTGAGGTCAAGAGTCGATTTGGAAAGGTCAACCGCAAAAAGGCCCAGATTGGAGCCCAAAAGCCGATGAGCAAGTCTGAGCAGAAGAAACTGAAGCAGAAGAAGAAGACGCAAGACAATGCTGATTCTGATCTGGATGATGCCGAGATCTATGCTGAAGATGCTCGGCCATCTGATAACAAGGATGAGACGGACATTTCGGCATTTGTCGAGGTTTTTCGCACGCGCGGATTCGTTCTTCGGCCCGAGTCTGTCGACAAGTCGAATAAGATGTTCGTGAAAATGGAGTTCGTGAAACAAGGTGGTGCTCCAACGAAGGGCAAGTATGCTGGTGTCGCCGCGCCTACGGCTGGAAAGAAGCGTTTTGTTGAACGTAAGCCGGAGGCTGATAGTGGTATGTCGCCGGCAGAAGAAGCCCAAGTCTTAAAGCCCTGTGTGTACAAAATTCGGTAGTCTGGCGTGTCGCATTGTCAATCTGCCTTAGGAGTTTGGCCCTTCCATCCTCAGATATTGGAATACCCATTTTTCGCCACATATTCGTTACGAGGATATTTACTTTATACTGGTCACACCGAGTCGATGCTTATCACCAGGCTCCAAAAATCGCATTGAAAGCCCTACATCGGGCTATACCATTAGTTTTCATATGCCAACATGGATGCAAGCCAGGAAATCTATTCGTAGGCTAGTCAGGACTTCATAGAGAGTTGTTTATTGGTTGCCACCCAGCTGTGCCACAGCCCGGCCCATATCCTCGTCATTGTAGATGCGGAATCCCTTCTCCTTGGTCACACTTGCGAGTTGAACGTTCTTTGAGTCCAGCTTCTCCTCCATGACCTGCTTCAGTGTCTTCAGAACCAGAGTCTCAGCTTCTGGCAGGGTCAAAGATCGATGGTATTCGTTTTGCAGCTCGGCCTGGGCGCCTTCGCTTCCGGAGCCAATAGCCTTAGCATCGTATCGGTAGAAAGTACCCGAGGGCTCAGCGTGATATCTAGAGGAGATAATTATCAGCCGCAGTCATTCTCAGGCAGACCATGCCGTCGGGAGGTAGACACGTACAGCTGAGGACCATCCTCGTCACATCCGGCAATTAACAAAGCCACACCGAACGGTCTGCTCATCACACTCTCCTCATCATCGCCGCTCTCTCCGAAGCGCAAAGCCAAGTCGCAAATAGCCTGTGTGGTACTCTCAACGCGCAGAGGCTCGGCGTAGTGGAAGGCATGGTTTTGGCATTCAACGCGGGCGTGCTCCACAAGGTTTCGGGCGTCGGCCTGCAGACCGGACATGGCACAACCGATATGCTGGTCAATCTCAACGATCTTCTCTACAGATGACGCTTCCAGAAGAGTAGATGTGACACGCTTTTCGACGCCAAGAATAACACCCTCCGAAGTTGCAACCTGTTAAGCCTGGTTAGCGGGAACTTGGAGGGGTTGAGGTGGTCGGGCTCAAGCGGCCATGAAAGACGATTAGACAACTCTCATAGTATCCCAGCCCAATGATCCAGCGGTAGTCTCGGGGAGGGGCGCATAGGAGGAAAGGAGGACGTACACCAATCGCTGTGGATCCTAACTTGATAGCTTCAAGAGAATATTCGACCTGGAACAAACGACCTTCTGGGGAGAAGGTGCTATTTGAGACATACTTGTTAGAGCCGAGAACAAGGAGGAGGCAGTAGGACAGGGCATTCGGATGCGTACTTGATTCCACGATCTATGTGAGAGCTGTTAGCGATGTCGCGCGGTGTGAGAGCACCGGAGCTTACCATATTCGGAACGAGCAATGAACATGTTGAGGGACCTGAAGTATGTCGAAACTCAAAAGTAGAAGACGGAAGTAGCGAGTTTCGAAATAGGGAGAGGCGGGAGGATTAAGAGAGATGGCAGGAGTGGGAGCAGGTCATCGATGGAGCTCAATCGAGGCGGAAGCTCTACGCAAGTCATCGTGCCTGGTGGGCGCCCGGTATTTAAGGCAATAAGGCTAACAACTGCTGCCCAAGGCTCTCCGGGTTTGTTGACGAAGTGGATCTTGCGGTTCCACGGGTTATTTGCTTCTGGGGGAGATTCAATTGCTTGTGGACCTTGGGATCCTTGATTCTCAGACTCTGCATGATTCACCTTACCCTCTACCCCAGCCGGGAGCATGTCCGTTAATGATCGCGCGAATTACATGAGTGCTCCACGACCCCGCGTTGTCTCTAGCCGCGTCGAGGCCGGCGTTCGCGGCGCATCACCGCTCCACGATAACATGGAACAATTACGAACCAGCACTTCGAGTCCAAAGCACAGGCTGTCGCGAGACCAGAGAAGCTCATCTGAGAGACGAAGCGAACGAACTACTGTTACAACGAGGGAGAAGGCGATCCGCAGGCCCGTCAAGGAGCAGAGCGCTAGTCGCGGTGACAGGGACAAACCCAGGCCCAAATCAAGCACAGGGACGAATGGTGCGAGCCCTGCTCAGCAGGTTGACCCTGAAGGTTAGTTATATTTCTTATCGAGCGGTCGGTCAGAAAAATGGAAGCTCATCATACCTCGATACAGGACCATGGCACCCTCAAGCACGCTTGATGAACCATTCCACGGCTCCGCTCGCATGTCGCGTCTCCGTTCCGCCAATTTCATTCACTGCGCCGCAATCACTAGAACCAGAGCCATTGAAGGCTCTATCCCCAGATCAGCAGGAGCGGGCAATCCTCGAAGACCTGCTGTTTGTGTTCATGGGATTCGAAGGCCAATATATCCAGTACCATGAATCCTACAACCCTAATGTGGAAAAAGACCGTATGACAGGACCGGTTTTTCGACTATCCTTGGGATTGGATCCAACATTACGAGATCTGACTCAATCAATGCTCAGAATGGCCACTCATTATAGCGCAATGGAAGCGTTTGTAGAGATACAAAGTCGTTCGGAATATGGCGCAGTGAGCCACGCGCTCTGCGCTTCTATCAGGAAACTCCTGAAAGACTATCTTATTTTGATTGCGCAGTTGGAATCTCAGTTGCTGAACAACCCTACGTTCACGTTACACCAACTTCATCTCCACACCATGCCTACCAGCGAATGCCTCTCCCAGCTATACTCGCTTGGGCAAGAGCTTCTCCGCCGGAACGGGTTACTCGAAGATCAAGACCAAGATGACACAATCGACGATTTCGACGATGTGGACAACATCCTTGAGCAATTGAAAGAGGGAGGAGACCTGGTCCCAGGTGCCATGTCGAACAAGAGAATTTGCAAAGGTGGGAATGTCCTTAGGCTGCTAACAGAGCGTCTTGCCACATTTTCAGGCAATCCATCGACCAAAGCGCTCATCCAAGGTCTCCTTCGAGATGCAAGCCGGCCTTACATGAATATGTTGAATGAGTGGCTACATCATGGAGGCATCAAAGATCCCCATGCTGAGTTCCTAGTCAAAGAGCAGAAATGGATCAAACGAGAGAAATTGGAGGAAGATTATACAGATGAATACTGGGAAAAGCGGTATACGATCCGTGATAACGAAGTGCCGCCACAGCTTGACAGTGTCCGCGATAAGGTCCTTCTCGCTGGGAAATATCTTAATGTCGTCCGAGAATGTGGCGGAGTCGATGTTAGCAAAGCTGTCAAGGATGTGCCAAAAACACTCGATGACCCTCGGTTCCTGGAGAATGTCAACGCTGCTTACGCCTACGCCAATGCTTCTCTGTTGAACTTGCTGCTCACGAAGAACTCTCTGACGACTCGATTTCGCTCTCTTAAACATTATTTTTTTCTAGACCGGTCCGACTTTTTTTCTTACTTTCTTGAGCTGAGTGCATCCGAGTTGCGCAAACCAGCTCGAGTGGTGAACGAAGGGAAATTGCAGTCTCTTCTTGATCTTGTCCTCAGACAACCAGGTAGTATCGCTGCACAAGATCCCTTCAAGGAGGACGTCAAAGTACGAATGAACAAGATTGGCCTCACCAAATGGCTGATGCAAGTGGTGAGCGTTTCTGGTATTGACCAGGATAACCCAGAGGCAGCTTTCGAGAAGCAACAAGCCTCTGCAGCTCAGAACTCAGACGAGGATAAAGATATAGTCGGCTTTGATTCCTTGGAGCTGGACTATTCAGTACCATTCCCTCTGTCGCTTGTCATTAGCCGTAAGACGGTTTTGCGATATCAGCTTATCTTCCGGCACCTTCTTTCGCTTCGTCACCTCGAGACCATGCTAGTCACATCGTGGCAAGACCAAAACAAGGTGACCGCATGGAGGCACAAGTCATCAGATCGTCGCCTAGAAATGTGGAAACGTCGTGCGTTCAACCTGCGTTCGAAAATGCTGGTATTTGTCCAACAGCTGCTCTATTTCTGCACGGCCGAAGTCATCGAGCCGAATTGGGTTGCATTGATGGATCGAGTCAACGGCGCGGATGCGGATGGCTCCGAAGTGACAGTGAATGGCACCAAACAAGTCAACAGAACCGTGGATGAGCTAATGCAAGACCATGTTGATTTCCTGGACACATGTCTGAAGGAATGCATGCTTACCCAAGCCAAGCTTTTAAAGGTACGCGCGGTAGTGATTAATGGGCCACTCCCGTGACTAACCTCTCCTTTCGACAGATCCACTCTAAGCTGATGGTCTGCTGTACCATGTATGCATCGTGGACGACTGCATCTCTCCCGGGCCCTAGCCTCCGCCGACTCAGACTTATCGGGAGAGAAAGCCACAGGCCCTGATGCGAGACCCTATGATCCATCGCGGATCGGCAAGCTTGAAGACACGCTCAGGCGATATGAGGAACACTTCAATCGGCATTTGCGTATCCTGATGGACAGGTTGGTGACATAGAGTCTCCGTTCCACAGACCAGTACTAACCACATGCAGTCTCAATTACTTTGCTGCCACTGAGAGCGTCGTACTCCTGAAGCTCGCGCATTCTTTGAGCTCGATTAGTAAAGAAGATTGAAGGGGCCCGAGTCGGAAAGCCGCCGATCTTTGGAACAACGAAAGCACATTGTCTACGCCACTGGACCCTTCGGTTGGAACCTCGTGAGATAGGACTGTCAATGTCCAGACGTGCCAGCGCATGACCTTGGACTGTTCATCGCCAGCTCAAAGGACAACCAGCAACTTATCCCTCTCTGCTCTTGGCCTATTCGGAGCCAACTTCACACCAAACTCCATACCAAGGTGTAGCAAGTCCAGATACGCAGTTGCGTGACCCGGAGCGTTAGAGTGGAATACACAGCGTTCGATCCACCAGAGGGGAATGAAATAGAAGATAAACCTCAATCTGAAGCTCAGCAGACTCCTCCAGTTTATTTACTTGATTCCACGCTTGTAACGCTCTCTTATTATCTCTAAATCTTTGAATGGACAGCCCTTTGCCCCTTGCGGAGATTCGAAACCGGAAGATCGGCGCAGTGAACGACCGGGTGGAGCTCTCGTCCTGCTACGTCAGCGCAGAGGTCCAGGGCATGTAAACAAATCATCAATTTGAATACAGGCTTGCTGACAGATATAACCTTGAGCTTATTCCAAGGCACCCCGAATCTTCCTTTGACTCCCCGGCACCTCCCTTGCGAGATCTGTGATCGAACCAAGCGCCTCCTAGCCCTCTCAAGATGTCCTACTCCTACCAAGTAACCAAGTACCTCCGCACTCTACGCGTTCCCCAATCACAAAACGAGCGCTACGCCCTCGCCCTTGGCGCCACAGCTCTGCTGAGTAGTTCCTTGTTCTTCCCAGCTGTCTATCGCGATTACAAGACCTTCATCTCCTACGGCCCTGGCGGCGTCCCGAGCAACCTCTTCGGGTGGCTGCTCGTGCGACTGGCTTTCCAGCCCTTTTCCAGAGAAATGCTTAGCACGCGCGTATACGACGAACGAGTGACGGCTGGGGAGGGCCACAGCAGCAACAACGAGGGATTTTTAACATTAGAGCCACACCAGGCCCGCGATGTGGAGGATCGTCCGGTTGTGGGGCCTCACGTTGTTCCCCAACGACAGCTGTCGCAGGTACCAGACGAGGCGGTTATGCATGTGAGTATGAATCCACTTCGCGGGAACTGAGCTAGTGTCTTCAATGCATGCGCAGGGGGCGGGCTCGTTTCACGATGTAGGGCATGTCTCCTAACTGTGCCGATACACATAGAGAATCGTCGTAGCGTTCCGCTCGTTCGAGCATCGAAACAGCCACCTCGTGAAGTTCCAGCGCTCATGGCAGAGGCACATGCGGACGGCCTTTTCCTGGCTGATAATATCCCGGCTAGCGGGATCGCGAAGCAAATGAAAGGCGAGATCGCGCATCTGCATACTGGAAGGAGAGCACTCTGCTCATATGACCCTTCACCCTGCCGATTGTGAGTTCGAGAAATGGAACCTGTAAGCCGAGATTCTACGGGCGGGCATACTGACAGTTTGACAGGCAAAAAGGTCATCGAGGCTGGCTGGGGCCAGCGCCATGGTTTCGCGGGAACATCTGCTTTGAAATTCTTGAGTTTTGGCACTAAGCCTGATATTCCAGCCGAGTTCCTCCTGGTGTATGCTCCCAGGGACGAGACCGAGATCGAGACTTTCATGCAAATTATGGCTGCGAGTGTGAAGTTTATGACTGGACGGGAGGATGTCCGCTTGACTATTTGAGCCTGGCGCGTAGGTCTCGGTTCGTGAATTCTAAAGGACGTACAGTTTAGCAATACCCCATTAGCAATAACCCATTGGAAGAGTCTACAAATGCAATTTCATCAAAGTTTCTCTTTTGTAGGCTATCGGGTTGACTTGTCAGGCCAAGAATGATGCCTGCACCATGACGAGGAGTACTTCCAAGCAGACTGCGTGGCTATCCATGTAGAACCCGTGCCGGCCCTTTTTTTCTTCTTATTTTTCCTGAGGTCATACCTGGAAAATGGGACGCGGGGTATGAACACTGTTGAACTTGAGCAAACGTGGTCAAATGGTAGATGTATTAAAGTCATTTCATCACTTTTAGTCGGAACTAAACGCACGTACAGTGTCAACCCCCCCAACGTCACCATTAAAACACTTCTCTTCCATTTATTTCAGCTACTAGTCCTAATTAGGGGTCACAAATCCTGGCAAATATAGTGGGATCCTTCCAGATTATGAAATCGTAATAGCCTATCTACGTTGTGGCAGTGGACTAACAACAACCAAAACCTGCCGACTTGAATGTACTAGTAGACTCTAGGGGGCAAGATGTATCAGGAAGCTTTGAAAATTTGAGCTTATTTGCCGAACCCAGCAGAGAGAGAAAAAGACTTTATGGTTTTCCATTGGATCCCCCAAGGGTCAGTATAAACAGTGAGCTCAGCCCACCGGTTCCCTATGAACCTGAAAGAGACGTCTATAGTACCGGCCAATCCATGGATATGGTGTCCTGGTGACATACACTGCACTAATCCCTCCCACAAGGCCTCCGAAATACAAGATACCAGTGCGTTTCCGCCGACGGGAGACAAGAATTCATATTGAATACAAAACGTATATTTCCTTATTACGGGGCACTTTCTCGTGCCCCGGTCGCCCTAAGGTTTCCAGACAGACTGCAGGGCCATAATTGCGGAAAGGTTGGGTTCCCTCTGGTGCAAATGGTAAACAAGACATGCCAGGCCTCTTCGACCTATTGTCATTGACTCGGCCTTTAGGTCCCAGTTCGCGAGTCTTCGTGGATACCTTGGAAAGCTGGGTGGGGACTGGTGGCTAGGAATGCGAAAGCTCTTCCATGTTAGTGCTGGGCAACGCTAAATTGAGAATCTGAATCCTGATATTCTGCCCTATTCCTGCATTGGCATGCCGTGTATTTGAATGAACATCGAGTCCAAATCCCACGATTCATTTCAGCATTAGGATGAACAGAATTTAGCGACAAGAAGAAGAATGAGGTACCAAACTTAAAAGGAAAACGTAATAGAAATTATCAAGAAGTTGCCCGCTGTCTTTTCAACTCGCGTGCCGCGGTTGTCCATGCAGAAAAGGTAACCGAGTGACAGTGGAGTCAGCACATGAATGATGGAGCATTGGAGTATTGAATGAAATGAGGGAAAGTAACACCACATGCTCACCCACTCCATACGGCGAAAGATCGGCGCCCTATTCAGCCCAGGGTTAGTACAAGGGCATAATACCATTCATATGGTGGGGATGGTGCAAATTGTGTACAGGGGGCCGGACCCGGGGAATGGATGCGCTAGGTCTTTGCTTACTTTGAAACTGGCTCAAAGCCCGTGTATGTGGCACCGGTAGATTGGATTGAAAGGCAACAAAGGAGTGGGCCGCATGGAACGGGATGGTCTTTTCCTTATTTGTGAAGCGAGCCGGATTGTCGGGGCAGGGAAGGATTTCGAAAACAAATCCTCCTTTCCGGGTCCGCCATGTTTTCGGGATGTTCCCAATTGTCGGGTCGAGATGTATCGTGGCCCTGAATAATTCCTTGTCTAGTTTCGATCCTGGTTGAAAGATTCTCCGGTCGATTAGTCCTAAGGCCGGGACGAGCCTTGTTGTAGAAAGTCTAAAACTTTCTAAAGCGTGCCGTGATGCTTTAGAGCCGAGCCCACCCATAAGGCCGAAAATGCTGCCAGATGTCCGTAATTTAATGAAAAATGGGACTTAGGGGGAAATCGTGACATTGCATCACTCAACCCAGTCCTCCAGAACAGAGCATTTCCCAATGTCAAAGGCAGTGGTTCGAAGTCTTGACGCGAGGCACCCGAGGGCACTAACGGGCCTAGCCGCTCATCTTCGTATGGTTGGGAAGCAGCTTCCCGAGAACAGAACCATGGTGTCGGGTCGAATGACAACAATCACTCACAAGACGCCGCCGGGGTGGGGTAAGCCTCATGGTCTTCTGGCGCTGGGCTCTGTTGGACTGCGCATGAACCTACATCTGCGGCTGGAAAAAGCTGGCTACACGACATGGTATTCGTCGCCGGAGGAGGGTAGGGCGCAAACGGCGACCACATGGCAAGAAGATCTGTTCGCTCTTAAAAATGCCCCTCTTCTCGGGCGTTGTACCAACGCGTTGGAGACAGGGTTTAAAGTTAGAACATGAATACCCTGGCAGCCGAAGCTGGTAAGACTTGGCCGAAGTCACGAGTAGGTAGATATTTCCGGTCTGAAAGACTTCGGGTATATTACTGCTTGGAACCCCTAAAGGTTGTCTGCCACCATGGTCTCTTCTGGCGGTTCTGCTCGTCGTGGAAATGGGGTCCATGAATCCCCATCAAGCAAATCTTACCCGCATCCAGCATGCAGCTGACTTAGTATGCACGTCTGGTTGGAATTGAAATTTCTAGTGAAATCAGCACCGCGAGTCTCCTAGGTAGGAGGAGACGTTGTGGAACACCTCCTTAGAAGCATCCACACGTCCCCACGGGCTGAAATTCTCGCAGGATATATTATCCGTCTAATGCTCAGACTGAGAGACTCGAAGTCAAATGGCAGGAATGAGTAAGGCAATTTGACGACACCTAACAAAGTGGCATGACGTACCTGTGTCAGACCTTCGACGAATCCCAAAAAGAAACATCTGCGGGGCTGAAGGCTTTTGGCCCCGGGGCATACCCGGTGCTTAATTATGATCACATTCGAACCAAGGCACAGAAGAAGCGGTCAATGCAATCAATCCACAAAGCGAACTCATCCGCCGCGGGCAATTTTAATGAGAACCCGACAGAATGGGTTCCAACGAGGGTCTTGCTGATCTTGACCTGACCCACTCGGTCTAAATAAGGAGACAGGGAGGCAGTGGGGGGAGGGGGCTGGCTGTCGTAAAACCCGACTGAATGATCCATCTGGTACGGCAATATTAATACATGCATGTGTACAGAGTACGGTTTGATGACCCTCCCTTGGACAGGAGCAAACACATTGTACTCGGCGGAAATCAGTACCGAAACACCGGTTTGTTCAGGGCTTTTGTAATCTCCAATTTGCTCACTCCAAGGTGACGGCCGGTCTAGTCCAGGCCACGCTTCCAGGTCACGCTTTCAGTCGATTTTGCGGGATCCGCAATGCAGGATTCCCGAAGTAGATTGGCTTACGGTGCGTCGTCAATGCTGGTTAGTTTAAAAACCCTGGGACGTACAAAACGTTATTCGGCACTCTTCCGTTTTGTCTTCCTTCCCACGTTCGCCTTGCTGACGGGTATCATATTCCTTGGCTTCGCCACCTCGAGAAGAGCATGCCTTGGGCACTGGATTTGCACCTTAGTGATTGTGGTTTATTAGTGGTCCTCGTTTCCATTACCTCATGCTGAGTATGAAAGATTGCACCTAATGTTAGTATAACTGTAGACAATCGCCTTGGCAAGTCTTTTTCAGAAGACCAAGAATTCGCGTTTTAAACGTTCTTGACAGACGGTATGCCGGGGTTTGTCAACTGCTGTAAACTGCACCGCTGAACCGAGCAACCTGGGACTGGCTCGATCCACTCTCGGGCGCTTTGGACCCTCAGGACAATGAAACCTCATCAGTGTTATTAGTCCATATGGCTGTGGCTTAGGCAACACACAGTTTGCTAGTGAGCTTGACCCTTTAAGCAACAGAAAGACTGTATCTGATCCTTGGTATTGCTGGTGGCGTCGCTGTCCTCCGTAACTTATCCCCTCGAGCGCTGGAGCGCGCTTTGCCCGGTTCTCGGTCCTAGGATTTGAAACGACCCAGCCTCCGGGAGGGCGTTCACCCCGGGGGAGAATCAGAATAGTTAGGAGTTCGTCCGGGCTAGTAATGGACGTATGATTCGCCGTAAATTCCCAACGAGTGCCTGGTGGGTTTGTGGGGTAGATGGACAGTGCAAATTGGACGCATCAGAGCGTTTGGTCATCGCTTCAAGCCCCATTCGCGAAACACGTCCCCTCCCCAAAAGGACGTAGCTATTCCACAGTGCTCCCAATCTGAAAGTTGAAGGCAGGCCCTCAAAACACGCGCTTGCTATACATGCGTTCATAGTCCCACACTCGTTCAGTACCTGCGTATGTGGCTCTGATGGGTCTAGGACTCCCTCACAGAAGGCCTGACAGGCGCCCGGGGCGTGAAATCATCCAATCTGGTTAAGCTATTGCCGCCGAGAGGTGCCGTTCATTTGGTACCGGATCCTATCCATGGAAATTAGGGGTGCTCAAATTTCTGCGTCTCCCCTCCGGTTCTATACCCTAAATGCACCCTTAGCCCGGAGAATTCAACCCCGCCTCCAGCACAATCTCATCACAACGCTTTCCATTTACCAGTTCGTGTTTCCAGGCAATCACCTCTTTCAACCTCTCTTGGATAACGAGGCACATAGTGACACTGTGACCCAATCAAGATGACGTACGGAGCCACTTTTGTTTGTTTGTTGTCCGGAAAGGATGCCATGAGAGTGCTGACCATCGATCTTCGGGGTAAAGAAGCCCCAATGCAGAGACGAGAGAGCTGGATAGTGAATTTCTTGACACCATACTTGTCCAAGGACGCGAGTATCAAAAATTCTCGATCGATCATCGCATTTACTTTGGGCCAGTGGACGATGTAAGTAGAGGCGAGGCGAGGTGAGCGTGACCTTCCATTCGTGCCGCTGACGAGTAGTTTAGGAAGAAGCACAACGCCTGGATGCCCAGCATCGAATTTTCCAGGCACTTTTCGATGACCGTTTGATTTTCCCACCGGTCCGGCAGCTTCGAAGAGTGTTGGATTGTGGGCATGGTGCCGCTTCATGGGCCGTGGAAGTGGCTGATCAGAATCCTCGTTGCGAGGTAAGTTTCGTCACGAATAAATTGCAGCTGTACGGTTAATGCTCAGTTTATCAAGGTAATCGGTGTAGACATTGCACCACATATGAGTCCGGATGATATGCCTGAGAATTTGTGGCTTCAGGTGGGTGGCAAACATTCTATCCGAAAGATGTGCCGGTGTAACGATCCAGGCCATCCTCGATGATGGCCCAAACAACAATTCTCTCCGTATGCCTTCACATCTGCTGGACTGCATTAACAAAGGAGACAAGCTGGATCGCGAATCGTATGGAAAATGTCGGAAGCAGACGGTCGCTAACTTGCACCACCATAGGTTGACGATCTCAACCGGGCTTTTACATTCCCATCGAACCATTTCGACCTCGTGCACTCCCGACTTCTTGCGACCGGAATCCATCATACCCGTTGGCCATCATATGTCCGCGACATCGTTAGGTGCGAAAGTCCCAAGTAGCCGCCTTGCTCCCACCCCTTCAAAAGCTTTCTCTCTTTTACCACTTCAGGCGCTGATGCGGGCGCTTTCATCTCTTAAGGGTGCTGACTCCTGGAGGATGGGTCCAAATGGTCGAGATATACTTCAACGTTCAGTCCGACAACGGCTCAATTACCGATAGCCATGCCCTGAGACGATGGAGTGCGCAGTACATGCGCGCCCTTGAGGATAGAAAAGACCTTCGGATTGGGTCGAGGCTGCGAGGTCTTTTTGTTGAGGCTGGACTGGAAGAAGTCGACATGAAAATGATTCCTCTTCCTCTCTCAGAGTGGTCGTCAGGTAAATTCCCCATTTTGAATACAGAAACCTTGGACTAACGTGACTTGCTGCAGACGCGAATATGCGATCGATTGGGCAATCCAACAGCCGGAACGTGAACGAGCTCCTTCGCTCATTGGCGCTTTATCCCATGACACAAAGGTTGCATATGTCGAAGCAGAATTTTGATTCATTGGTAGAGGAGGCGCAACAGGAGGCGAACGACATTTCGTTAAAAGCCTACTTTCCAATGTGAGTAATGTTGACAAAAGGGCCCTTGCAATGGTGTGGGTATCTGACAAGCTTCTTTGCCGAGAGGATATTCTGAAGGAGGCTCTATTGCCACTTTCCCTTCAGAGATTCTCAACGCGAAGGCATCATAGATATGTTTGCATTGGACGAAAACCGGCATAGAAATCGAGTTTGATACCTTTATTCGAATTTTGCTTTATTTTTCTCCCTTCAGCCAGGCATATTGGTATAACTTGTGATTTCTTTTCTTTTTCACCTCAGCTCAGCCCCACCCACAGAGCATCCCGACGGTTCGGCTTCAATCCAGATAGCATGGCGCACAATCCGTCACTGCCCAATTTCAGACTCTTATAAATGCTTTGAATTAGTCTAATACGGTTTATGAAATGGGGTCAGGTTGAATGCATGACTTTGGTTCAGGCTCCGTCATGTGCTCCTCGGTTCATGCGAGCAGTGTTTTCCAGTGCGAGCGGCAGGTCACGTTCAATTGGGTCTTCCAGGTGGCCGCGCCCACAAAGGAAGCCATTTTGCGAAGTCTGGTTGGTGGAGATCCGCTATATACCGGGTATCGGGATGACCAAAGAATACAACCTTGCGAAGAGCTTCTATCCGCCTGGTGAGCGTGTATCGGATTACCCTTCTCAAATGGAGCTCCGTGCAGCTCCGGACCTCAGGATCTACGACAATGCTGCGCATCAATCATACCGAATGGTCAAAATATCAAGGAATGACTGGCTCGCTCTTCTCTCCCTGACTGTCGGGTCCAGATCGCCGAGCTGATGGAGTCATGGGTGTGTCCCATGCGTTGGCCAGTGTCGAGGGAGCTTCCAAGGTTGAACACAAGAGACCAGGCGCGCGTCTGACCGAAGCGTCAGATCATGTCGCTCTGGAGGCATCCAAAGGCCCGGGAAGGACTTGGCAGTTTAGACAGGAGACTTCAGGCACAAGTTCGGAAGGGAAGTTGCAACCCAGAGAGGGGGAAATGGGGAACCAGGTTACCGGGAAAGAGCCGCCGAGTGCTTAAACCCTGTAGCCATTACGACGTTTCAATCTTTTTGTCGACTACATACTCGTGTTCTTCATCGCCGTAACTCAATTTCTCTCTACTCCAAACCAAAACTAACCTCATCATGGTTTCTGTTCTCTACGTTGCCATGCTGGCAGGACGCAAGATAGGCGACGTCCGTACAAATCTTTCTCGGCAACCTAGTGTTGACCTTTCTCCTGAACGAACATCCTGATTGACCGCGTTCGAGGTGGTGCCATCGGGCCCTGTGCATCAAATTCCGGCCTGACTTTGTTGGGAGGGGGGCAAAAAGGTCATCAGGTCTCGAGGAATATGGAAATGCAGTACCACGAGCATGGACGCCCCAAAAATGGCCGTTTGTCCCTCCTTTTGGGAAACGCAATACCGGCCCACCGCGCGGGGGCCTGGCGTCCTATGAACATCCTCCCACTCATCCCTGCAAGCTGCTTGACCGCGCATTGGGAATTGCTGTGTCCATCCAAGGCGGCGTATACGGCTAGATTCCATGGTTCCCTAGTTTCCCTGCAGAAACGGGCTTTCTTGATGCCCGATATTACCTCATGATCGCCTGAGGTCTTTCGAGGATGCAATGGGTCGAAACTTGTTCCGTATGCCGAGCGGAACAACAGTCCCTGTACGCAGGATGCAGAATTACGAGACCAACCGTTATCGGATGGAGTCCCAGTCTATTCCACCAGTGGTGGAGTACCAAGTAGAGATGGAGATAGACGACCCTCTAGTTCGCCCAATCGGAGACTTTATTTCAAGTATCAAGGGGAAGCTGTGCAACTCTCTCCACGCTGGCGGGTCCAGGAAAAGACACAGCTCATGCCATTGTATGACACTAGCAGCCCATACTCTCCTGCAAGTTAAATTGTTTCATCATTTTGTCCCGCTCGTACCCTCCTGTTGTCAAGCCTTTTTGGACTTGGAACTTTGTGGTAACATGCAAACGGCGGGAACGGCACCTTTTTTGCATACCAGTAACCGGGGAATAATTATTCCAAAAAGCGCTGTAAGCTGCATAATTTTAGGATCAAGCAGAAGTCCTAGTTATTTACTGTCAATAGTACGGCCAGATATTCTGAGCTGAAAAGAAAACCGATTATCTCATGGGATATTCCGACACCCGATATCTGAGGCATCAAATATCCCGATAAGGAAAGGCGGGGCAGAAAAAAAAAAGTTTGGCGCGGAATCAAAGCTTCACGCTGAGCATTTTCCTGTCAACTACACAACATTCACCATGCCTTCCACATACAAGAAGGACAAGCCGTGGGACACGGACGATATTGACAAATGGAAGGTAAGACGGCCCATCAGCCGTAAAATTCCCATCCCGTTCTTCAGCCTAACAAAACCTTTTGAAAAACAGATCGAAGATTTCAAACCCGAAGACAATGTCGCCGGAAACTTCGCCGAAGAATCCTCCTTCATGACCCTATTCCCCAAGTACCGTGAAGTCTATTTGAAAGAAGCATGGCCCGCAGTCACCAAATCCCTCGAGAAGCTCGGTATCGCCTGCACCCTAGATTTGGTTGAAGGTAGCATGACCGTGAAAACCACCCGCAAGACCTACGACCCAGCCGCCATCTTGAAAGCCCGCGACCTGATCAAGCTGCTCGCCCGCAGTGTCCCCGTGACTCAAGCGCTGAAGATCCTCCAAGACGACGTTGCCTGCGACATCATCAAGATCCGCAACCAAGTGGCCAACAAAGAGCGCTTCGTGAAGCGGCGCCAGCGGATCCTGGGTCCCAACGGGTCCACCCTGAAGGCATTGGAGCTGCTCACAAGCACATACATCCTGGTGCAGGGTAACACCGTTGCGGTGATGGGCCCGTTCAAGGGCCTGAAGGAGGTGCGCCGGATTGTCGATGACTGCATGGCCAATATCCACCCCATCTACCATATTAAGGAGCTTATGATCAAGCGCGAGCTGGCGAAAGACCCGACGCTGGCGAATGAGTCGTGGGACCGGTTCTTGCCCAACTTCAAGAAGAGGACTCTGTCTAAGCGTCGCGTTCCGCATCACGTTACCGACAAGTCGAAGAAGGTGTACACACCCTTCCCGCCCGCGCCGGAGAAGAGCAAGGTCGATCTCCAGATCGAGTCTGGCGAATATTTCCTTTCCAAGGAGGCTAAGGATCGCGCTAAGAAGGAGGAGGTTATGGAGCGCCAGCGCTTGAAGCGCGACGAGAAGATGCGTGAGCGGGAGAAGGACTTTATTGCGCCGGAGGAGACTACTGCTGTGGATGAAGAGAAGAAGAAGAAGAAGGAGAAAAAGGAAAAGAAGGAGAAGAAGGAGAAGCGGAAGCGCGAGGCGGAGACTGATGGAGATGCAGATGGCGCTGAGCGAAAGGAGAAGAAGAAAAAGAGGAAGAGCAAGTCCAAGGACGCCGACTCCGACGAAGAATAAAATGACTCTGTTTTAGTTCTGTTCGGATGACGGCGCTTAGGGCAGCATGGATTTGGCGTTCACTATCTTTTTTATCAAGTTCTTATTCCAATATATCAACGACTCGAACATTCCAATATACCGGCAATCGCCCATTCCTGTGGAGAACCATGGCATCCTTGTAGAGTGAAAGTATTAGGCATGCGGGTATTGTATATATGCCGCTGTCCTGCCGCTCCGTACTGAGATCGTAGTCATGAAGCTCAAGCCCCCACTGGAAATTCACGGCAAGGGCCTTGTAAAATTACGCTACCTCTTTTCGGATCAGGTGGGCATTGGTAAAAAATATGTCATTAAATCAGGTTCCCCAGCAAAACTCATAGTAAAAATTAAGCAACCTTAGGTTAAAAGTATCGCCTTTGATAAAGAGACACACACGGCGCATATCATATTGGAATGAACTGGCAGCATCCTAGAAAATGGATCCTTCAGTTCGACAAGTTGGTTGATCCGCAAGGAGAACAATAGATCATGAAGAAAGAGAAAAAAAAAAAAGGCAGAATCATAGAAGATAGGTGTCACAAGTTGCGAATATTCTCGGGGACCTTGGCTAGACCACAGGACCAATCGTTTCAGATGTTGCGGTAGGCTTATGATGGTGTTCGACGACGGTAGCAGCCGTTTCATGCTTGTCGGTCAATCCCATCTCATGAGCAAAGGTGTCATGCGGCTTCCACTTTGTGCTGGTCATGGGGGTCGTCTCCTCCAGCATTCTATCAACCTGTTCTAAAGTCAAGCCTTTGGTCTCAGGAATGAAGAAAAAGACGAAGAGGAGAGCTAGCAGAATCGCACCGCCCCATACGAAGAAGACCTTAGCACGCAGGTTTCCCTTGTCAGTGTCAACAATGTATGGAGTGATCACAGCGATAACGCAGTTCCAAAGCCAATTGGAAGCCGTCGCCAGACCAACACCTTTCGCGCGAATCGGGAGGGGGTAGATCTCGCCGATGACAACCCAGGCGCAGGGGCCCCACGTCATGGCGAAGGCCGAGATGTAGAAGCAGGTGAACACGATGAGGCAGATGTTTCTATAGTCTTGTTAATACGGAGTTGTCCAGAAGGAGATCCGGGAAAGCTTACGCGGTATGGCTTCCTTCTTTGCCAGTGCCCACGCCGGCGACAATGAATTCGCAGGCACACATAAAGGCAGCGCCCCAAAGCAGTAACTTTCGTCGGCCAACTCTCTCGATAGAGATCAACGATACCGGAGTGCTACACACATTGACGATGTTCATGATTGTCGAGATCAGGAAAGCATTCTTTATTCCCACTTGCTGGAAAAAGGTTGTGCCGTAGTAAACTAGAGACAGGTTGGTCTCGTTTCCATAGTTCCAATATCGACATTGTGAACTTACAGATAAAGTTAATGCCCGTCCATTGCTGAAACATTTGCAAGCAAACGCCGACAAGCACACGGCGAAGATTTCCGTAAGGCGACATTCCTCCCTTGAAACAATCAAACCAGGAATTGCTGGAGATCTGTTTTTCGTATTCGTAGTTTGCCTTGATTTCTGCAAGCTCGGCCTGGATAGCTGGATCAGATCCTGGCTGCCCACGCACGCGTTCCAGTGAGCGAAGAGCGCCATCCATATTGTCACATTGAACATAGTAACGGGGAGACTCGGGCAGAGGAAGAGACCACCAGCTAGAATTGCCGCCCATATGAATTGCATTCCGATGGGGATCCGGTAGGAAGAACGGTCCGTTCGATCTTTACAGGCCTGGACAACCCCAGAAGAGATCAACAACCCAAGAGTGATAGCCCACTGGTAAGACGAGACCAGGATACCGCGGACTCGGTAAGGGGCAATCTCGGATACGTAAAGGATCACGGTCGACGATACACCACCAGTTCCAAGGCCTGCAATAAAGCGACCCGCTGACAACCCGCCGACACTATCATTAGTTCCGATTTGCACCGCAACTCCAGCGGAGAAGACCAGACAGCACAGCATGATTGTCAGGCGGCGGCCAATACGCTCAGCAATAGCTCCGCCAAATATGGCTCCAAAGAAGGTACCGGCAGACATGATCGAGGTGATGAGGGACTTGCGTGAGCTGGGGATGATGAATCCACTTGGATCGACGGACGTTGGGACCTTGTGGCCCAGATGCTCTTTAACATAGTTCATGCCCAGGAGACCTGAGATATAGCCGGTGTCGTAGCCGTAGAGGATTCCTGTGCCGTATTAATTGCGTGAAAAAACAGGCTGATGTTCTGTTTCGTTCACCTCCAAAGCTGGCGAAGCAACACAGCATGTATGCATGCCAGGTGACTTTGGCCTCGACGAGGTTCAGATCATCAGTGCCGACAACGCGTCGCGTCGTGGACATGATTGCAGTCCTTCGTCCAGATATCGTGGGATAGAAAGTGTTCTCGCTGATTCACTGTTGTGGAATGGCAAGAAGAAAGAGTTGGAAAACGCAGAAGTGTTGGAAAAGGTGCAAGAAAGAAAGAGGTGGGAGTAGGAAGGAAGATGAAGTCGACTTATGGGTGGTCACCTGGACAAAGCGATTAGCTCTGAGAAAACACTGAGTTCAGACCCAAAATGAGATTCCAATGGAAAATCCCGTTTGGGGTCAGTGGCAACTTGCGTAGACAGTGATACTTGACGAATGGACACAAAAACTTCTTTGGACGATGGTCGTGCCTTCCTTTATGCTCGATAGGATTTTACAAGCACAATTTACGTCTACAGGCTGTTCTTACCCGCGCCACAAGCAAAAATCCTTAGTTCTTTTCCACGGGCGATATGATTGCAGGGTTCATGACTTCTCTATCCCCCTACTATAAAAACCAGCCCACGGCAGCCACCGAACTTAGCATAAGCACTGCAACCACACACATGCTGAGAATGGGTCCGATTGTGTTCCTAGGCCTGGTTTAGAGATGAATGACCCGAATGAAAAGTCGGGAAGCTGCCGTGTTACGCAGGCCAGAGTGGCGGAATGCGGGTGGTCCTTGGTGACACTTTCCTCCAAAGGATAGCAGAAGCCCCGCACGAATCAAATTACCCCCCCAGGACAGGCAAAGCCACGGGCAGATACTTCGAGTCCTGGTCATATCGGGGAGGAGCAAGAGAATACCATGCAGGGGAATCACCGGCCTGAGTAAACACGTTGTACACATGGGCACTGGTGAAACATGGTGTAAGAGGTGGGCTGGGGACAGACAAACCCTCTTGATTCCCCGGCGAAATAATGAGTCTGTATACTAGACAGGACGTAATATACACATGCGCAAATAATCTGTTCAAATAGACGGTTTGGGTAACTGCTCGATTGTCTGATCTGCCTGTATCATGATAGTATAGGAGGCATATAGATTGGTTCGTGAGCCCATAATGGAACATGGCCTCTCAAGCACAAAGGTAGATTTCAGAGTAAATAGTCGGACCATGTCGAGGATACGAGTACCAAAAGTACAAAGAAATGCCCTGTGGGCTGTGCATTTGTTTAAAATGGGTAGAATAATGCTCTTTATATCAAACCCCTCCCGAGGATGAAGAGGCACTGTCTTGCAGTCGACGCTGCTTGTCCTCCAAGAACTTGTCTTGTTCCACTTGACTCTTTTTCAAGTCAACTCCGAAGAACAGGATGACGAAACTGACGACGCTCAACGCAAATAGGAAATAGAATGGGGAAGACGGGTTGTGGCTGGGGCTTGCGTCGATGATGGCACTAGAAACAAGCGGACCAATGAACGAGGATGTCTTTCCGATAATACTAAAAAGACTGAAGAACAAGAACTCATGGCCACGCGGGGTGACCTCGGAGATCATGATCTGCGAGTAGCTGTACCATGGACAGATGAGCAGTCCGTAAAAAGCTTGGTATGCCCACACCTCCCAAGTGTTGTGGAAGCCGAACCGGAGGGTCCAGTTCCCTATCATGCCCCATCCGTCAAGGAGAATAATGCAAAGTGCAACTGTGTTAAACATGAACTTTGTCCCTAGGTTGAGGCGCTGCTGGATCCACCAGAATGCATAAATACCGATTGCCTTCCGAGTCAGAGGTTAGCATGTTATATCTGCAATCCGAAAAGCCCGTATTTTGGACTTACCTGCGCTCCGATGCCGACGATGAGAAGATACGTGAGCTGCAGAGTGTTATATGCAACAATGCTGTTTTGAAGGGTTGAAATCACGGTCACGGTGGTGTTCAGCGAGTCTCCGAGCAAGAAATAACCTGATCATGGCTTAGTATTGGGCTGGCTGGTGGAAGAGTGCTCTGTCTTACCAATCAAGTATAGCAAGCTTTGTTTAAGATGCCAGATCTGTCGCAGGGCATGCCACAGCTGCCACATTCCCGCGACAAAGATGGATCGATTCCCGGCGTCTTGCCCAGGGCGACGTTTCTCCAGGAAGAACCACGGCATGGCCACGAGCAGCCATACCCCAGAGACGAAAGCGATCAGTACACTCAGTCCCCAGTTATTATTCGCCTCGCTAGCATTCACGTCCAATCCAAACATGATTCCCACAATAATTGCCAAAATGAAGAGCTCCGCCACAGACTGAACGTAAAAAGCGATATTGGAAAGACGACTCCTCATCAAAGTATCCGCATGGTTATAGTCATCTCGAGTAATCATTCCAGACACATAGGCATCCGCCTTCTCTTTCATCTCGGTCGTATTGCGCGCCAGGCTCGGGAACGCCGCGGTCCAGAACGTCAGGGTCGTTTGATAGGCGATGAGTCCAACCATATAGAGCCCTACTCCAACATGCCATTTATCCGCCGTGTGAACGCCCAGCCAACCGAAGCCAATAGCCCAGGCCACAATCGAGAGAAAGATCAAGATGTTGGGTCGCCAATAACCGAAATCGGCGAAACTACCGATAACGAGGAAAACGACGACCTGGATCGCAAATGAGATACCGTTGGCCAGCAGCACGATGCTTTCTACTGTGCGCGCTGCGCCCATGAAGAACAACAGGCCGCTGGCTGGAGCCGCTTGGTAAAGCAAATTCTGGAATGCCGTGGGAGCGAAGTCTGCGGAAACATGCAGGTTAGATGTCCGTTTCGTCTACCCCGGATTTACAGCTGCACTCGCGCACGGCTCTGCGCACTCACTAAATAGAGACAATCCATTGTTCCCGATATAATAGCTAGAGGTCAAAAAAATTTAGTTCCCGTCCCAAGGTGAGGCCTCGTGACTCTCCGACAGAAACGCACGCATAATAAGCCCAGATCTCTGTCCGAGTTGTGCGGTATCTCTCATCGAACTGGTCGGGCGCAACGATCTCGGACGTCTTATCCTCCATCAAGACCGTGGCGCCGACCTCCACGGCCGACAGGTCAGTATTTTTATCCATAGTGCAGTTTGATCATGGACCGCGATCAGAAGAGTGTCGAAAGAAAAAAAAGCACGAGAGAATCAGACAAAAGGAGGGGAAACCCTAGACATTCAGGAAATCCACTGCCATTTAAATTCGCAAGCCGCGCCCCGCATGCCAAATAAGAAAAAAAAATGCGATCATGAAGGAAGAAACCAGTGGCAATGGAATATCGTGCCGATCGCGCAAGAGCAGCTTTAAAAATCCCCACTCAGTTACCCCGGATAGGCCTAGCGATTGCTTAGCGACTCGGCGGTCCCGGCATTTCTCCTATCACATTGAGCCTGCGCCCAGTCCTGTCAATGCGATGGCGGTGATTGGCTCGATAGGAATCAACCCCCCCTCGATGTGGTTGAGGGTGGAACCTCCGGGAGTGTCAGACCTGGGCAGGTTTGGTTTCAGCTCGCGTGGTATGCCTGTCTTTTGACTGGCGACTCGGTAGACAGCGCGATAAGGCGGACAGAAGTACTATCAGGGATAAGTCGATAGGCGATAAGGAGGATCGTTTTGCCGGACTACGTTAGGGCGTCAAGGGCGATACGAGGCCAAGAATCCTTATCAGTTGAGCTCAAGGGACAGTGCGCTGCCCATGACTGTTGACCAGAACGGCTAAAAACTCCATGCCACGAGCGCTGTGTTTGTTTCAACCTTATATCGGCGGGGCTTTTGATATACCTGTTGTTCGATACTCCGTCTGATTGCTAATATAAATCACGATCATGACCATGATGTTACTACCGCTATGATAACCGCCGGCACTGACATGGTGTCCATACCCACGGGAAGGCGTTTATTGAACCTACCAGTAGATATTTGAACTTTGAACCCTGCCTTATTTCAAATTGGATGAACGACCTTGCTAAGACCTCATGGCTATGATGATTGAAATGTCGATGTTCCAAGTGCCGAACATCGAGCGTACTAGTTGTATCAGCAGCTGCCCTTAGTGACTTGGATATGCAGAACCTGGGAGATATTTGGGTGCTGTACATCGTACGAAGCATATTCCGGCCCATTGAAGGTTTCAAAGATCGAGCGGAAGCCTGCCCCCGCTATCCTCCTTCGGCCCTCTAGGACTTAAAACTTTACTGTTTATACGCAGTTTATTGGACCGCAGGTACTCGAGAATGGGGAAAGCATAGCTCCCGCGCTCGGGCTAGAAAGTTTCTCGACCATATGGTAAGGGAACGCTATGTCGATATTTAAAATATAAAATCCCCCCGTGAAAAGAGGTGACCACCATGTCTTCGAGGTTATTTGGACAAAAACCGCTCAAGACAATTAGAATCTCCCAGCCCCAGGTCACAGGGTACCCATCAGAGATAATTCGCAACGAAGTCGCTGCCACGCGTTATATCCCCGATAACCCCCCATTCTGCGCTTTGTTCCCCATTATCCCGAACAGATGCAGGAGCCTGCGTCTTTCACAGTTCGAGCCATTCAGGGTCACAGAAAAGATCGATGGCGACCGGGCGACGGTGGACCTTTCGAAGAGCCCCCAGTAGCCAGTTGGCTTTCTTCCGTAGTACGAAGGGATACATTCTATGATGCCGGGTGTATATCTTCGGGAAAGATGGCAGAAAAAGCATGCTCCAACTCCTTTCCAGTTCATTCAGGCATAGATTGTCTTAATTCAATCGATAATCGCGCGTGGACTGGAAGACCCCTGTCAAAGAACATGAAACAGAGGAAGTGTGACCCTTCATTCGAATTACCAGACATCCTGTTGATCCAGCTGCTTCGTTTTCGGAAGCCCTCACAGGCTTGCACATGGAGAACCTACTCGGCGATGCAACATCGCCTGCCGAAGCACTGAAGATACCTTCAGCCGATAAATTATTGTTAATGATCGATTTCTTTCTTGATTCGCGGCATATATCTATGATAGAACTCGTCCAATGATTGGCCCAAGAAGGCAAATAGTTAGATCCTGCTTCTAACCTCGCGCGTTTCCAACTACGCTGCGAGAGCCTCCGCCTCCGCAAAATGCTTACCAAGAATGAGCAGATAACTAATTGAAGGTTGCCAGTTGGGATGATACGTATACAGCGCCTGTCAGATTCTCCAATGCATCTCCTTGGTGGCTTCTTTACGAACGAATCAAGTAGCGGCCCACTAGGTCTGACAACTATGTGGCGGCAGCGATTGACCAGGTTTCTCAAGACTACTCCGTATACTCCGTAGATACGCACAAATCGAAAGCGAGACCTGACTTCAACTGGCAACAGATCAGCGTCTGCCCGGACCCATGCACGCAAGCTGGCAAGGCGGGGGTCGAGGATTGTTTTATGCAGCGCTAGATTTCGTTGCATGTGCCGAGGTTTACTGGTGATGTATTGGTGATGAATTGATCCCCGATTTTCAAAAGCTGACAACAATCCCAAGCGTGTATGGCGGATTATCACTGGGATTCTTGAGAAGGGAAATGGTGTCGTTGGTGGCTGTATCTGAAACAAAACGATCGGTCTTTAGCGTACAATAGCTAGGATCGTGGTTGTATATGTTTGTGAACACTAGATCAACTCGACCGGGAGATGAAATTCAGGGGGAACGAGGGGGCAAATGACGCCAGCTGATAAGGAGTTGCGGTGGGATGGGCCTCTCGGAAGGGACTGACCAAAACTGGGAACCTCCGACCCATTCATGACCCATTCATGACCCATTCACGCCTGGGGGTTGAATCGTGGCAGGGGCAATGTAATCATAGTGGAGACCGAAAATCTTTCCATCTCATCTTCGGCAAGCCTCGGCCAAACAAGCAAGCCTCAATTCCTGCGAGTTGGTGTCATTTCACATCCTTCCCTCCACCGCCTCCCCCCAAGTCTTTCGCGACTAATGCAAATCACGGATAGCGCGGAAAGATATGCGATGACTTCCGGCGGAGCAACCTCTGGTTGGATGAGACGGAGCGTTGGCACCAGTGATATGAACTGCGTCTCAAAAATCCGAAAATTTCGTGAATCAGCCAAGGGGACGCCACGATGGAGGTGGTGGGTCAGGACAGGGGCTAGTACGGCCAAATCGTCTTCTCATTGATCGGGACTTTCATCCATCTTGCGAAGCCTTGATGGTGCCACTTGGATAAATTTATGCTCGATCGCCCATTGCGTCAATTTCCATGGCTCAACCTCCCATTTGTCACTCTCGTGGGTCGTAACAACGATGGCGGGTCTTTTTAGTGCAGAACCTTGGCCCCCTTGCCTGGCCATAAAGCTGCCAAAGACCCCCCACACAACGGTTCGCGTTCTTCAGATGCTTGGCCTCTTTTCCCCCGATCCCCGGGTCTTGGCATTCCTTATTTACGACTGTATCAGACCGCTGGTCTGAGCTAGAATTATGGCGGAGGGAGGCCAGGCAGGCCAGGCAGGCCAGACAGGCCCCAGGCGCCCTAGGGCAGAAGTAGGTCCGATTGCTAATCTACCAATGTAGTAATGTATCTTAATAAATTATTCTCTAGTCCAGTCCGCTTTTCAGGAATGACGCCCCAATTTCTCCGACCAGCAGATCTGCACGATTGGCAGACGACGACGCCATATCACCTACGAGACGCGTACAAACCGCAGGAGAGTTCACAGCCGAACCACCGCGGCGACGTAGCTCCGGGCTTCCTAGACGTACTGGCAGTGCAATAAGGTCCAGCATAGCTCCTCGAACTACTCTGGCACCGGGTGGGTTCGGTCTGGGAGGCCCCGACGAAACGACTCAATTGCATCTGGCCCACCAGCCTTTTGTGCAGCCAGGTTATGCCGACCTAAACCCAGCGTACGAGCAGCCTAACAATGCGAAACCAGTCTGGTCCTTGGCCAAGCCGTTGCCGCGTGTGGTGCGGCCTGGCATGGTGCCCACGAAAGAAGAGTTGCTTCAGAATCGCATAAATGCCCAGCTTCCAGCTGAGAACTCCCAGAGAGTGGGGTTAGAAGTCGACCCAAATGATCTCGAGCAAGGCCGGATTGAGCCAACTGTTGATCCGCGCAAAATAGCGGCTCAAGTCAAGGATGCTCGGCTGCAGAGAGAGAACAATTTCATGAACAGAGTTCTCACGGGCGATACTACCTCTCAGAGGCAAGGCTCACGGCTGTCCCGCTCCTCTTCAACTCGTTTGGGGCGTCCATCATATTTTGAGGAGCAACCCGACCAACTGCCCCCGCTGAGCGAGGGGCCCTCCCAAGCGACCGATGGTACAGAGACCGGACGCCCTCCCGAGTACACCACTGAGGAGCCTCTCGAGCCTGTGCCAGAGGAGCCACATGGTATTGCAGACGAGGCCGACGACAAGGTTGAGTGGCCTGCGCTCGACAGCTCAGCTTACCCCGAGGATCTACATCCTCTGATAAACGAACTGGTGGAAGATGAAGTTCACAACAACCATACTACCTGGTCTGTTATTCGCACCAAACATCGGGAGGCGTTAGCTGAGGCACTGGCTGTCTTTGTGCAGCTCACGATTGGATTCTGCGCGGATCTCTCTGTGACTGTTGCCAATGCTGGGAATCCAAACACCACTGCATGGGCGTGGGGCTTCGCTACCATGATCGGTATCTACATATCTGGTGGTATTTCCGGTGCTCATCTCAACCCTGCAGTTACTATTCTTCTCTGGTTCTATCGAGGATTTCCCAAGGCAAAGATGCCCGAATACTTTGCCGCGCAATTCATCGCGGCGTTTTGCGCTGGCTTAGCGGCATACGGACTCTACTACCACTCCATCGAGGTCTATCAAAGCAACCATGCCGACATTGCGGTGGTGAATAGTTTTGTGACTAGTCAGCGTGAAGCGTGGATCGGCCCGGCGACAGCGTTCTTCAACGAGTTCCTGGGTACAACACTCTTATCTGTGACTATCCTGGCTCTGGGTGATGACCAAAATGCTCCGCCCGGTGCTGGTATGAACTCTCTCGTCATTGGACTCGTCATTACCTGTCTCACGTTGGCATTTGCTTATCAGACTGGAGCTGCGCTGAACCCCTCCCGAGACTTTGGTCCTCGTCTGGCTCTTCTGGCTCTGGGGTATGATGACAGCTTGTTTCTCAACCCCTACTGGTTCTATGGCCCTTGGGCAGGCACAGTGTGCGGCGCCTTTATAGGAGGCTTCTTGTACGACTTTTTCATCTTCACTGGAGGTGAATCTCCTGTGAACTATCCTTGGGAACAGACGCAGCGGTCGTTGAAGAAGAGCCGCATGAAGTGGAAGCGTCGTCTCCATATCGGCAAACAACAGCCGGATGCGGCTACACAAGGTCCCGTCGGTCCCGTCGGTCCCATCGGCGGCTGATAGCCGGCTCTGGTTTCATGTCGATCAAACTTTCGAGATCATAGATATTTGCCTTAGAGGAAGGTTTGGGGCATAATACTCATGTAAGATAAGCATAGATTCTATTCGGTACTCGCGCGGAATGTTCGTGAACACCTCTACTCGGTGGGACAGACGTGCTTAGCAGTACATTCCGGTACATACATGTCATGAGCGACAGCAATAGCCAGCTCAGATCACATACCCTAGTATTTGTTTGATTTGCCTTGTAAAATAAGCAATCTCGGCCTTCGTCCCATCCCAGACTCAGTTCCGTGGGAGGGGGGGGGGGGGCGGCCTAGCCCACTGTCGAGTAATGATACAATAAAAAAAAAAGCTCATTCATCTTCCGATCCTCGTCCTGCACCTCTCGCCTTCAGACTCGACTATGAATCGTCGAGCTCGTAGGGAGAACTTATGCGGGCGACAACCGTCGGGTTGTATTTGTGATGGCCTTCGCGCCAATCCTACATTTCGTGCTTTCCAAATGCCGCGATGGGGAGATTCGCTGCTCCGCCTTGGTGCTATTCAAGTCAAGTTGTTATACTGATTCGGGATTCGTACATCCTGGGCTCCCTTTACAGGGCGCAGAAGGTTCATTTCAGAGTGCCATGAATCTGGGCTTGCCAATCAGATCGAAATAAAAAATCACATCACGGATCCCCTGATGAAATCAATAGAAGACAAGGATTTGAAAGATCCAAGAGCGGCCGTGGCATCAAATTGCAACCTGTGATATCTTGCGCGCATGTGGCACTTTGCGGCGACACTCGATGGGGCTTCCATTGGACGGATCGTGTAATACGAGAGCTACCAAAGAGATAAAAGACATCAGGCCAGAATTTGCATTTCCTCCTTCCATTTGTGGAAGTGATATAACGGCATATTGAGAATTCCCACACTGTTGACCAGTAAGGGCAAACCTGTCGGGACAGGGGATCGACGAACGTGGGGCTGGGGGCCTAAACAGCAGTAGGAAACAGTGGACCAGAGGCAGCAACTTAAATACATGCCTCTCACCCAAACGTTTGAAGCAGTACAGCTGGAAGCCATTCGATCCTTGTACATACGAGGACTAGGTAACATGAGCGGAGAAGATGTCTCAGCCCGCATGGGGCCTGCTATCGCTGCGCTAGCATCAGTCCCCATTTTTACCACCAGAGACGAAGGACACATCGATCTGGCCGATGGCGAGAACGTGCTGATGCAGGAGCACCTCGTTGATTTCTGCAAAGAGATGATGGCCAAAAATATAACAATCGAAGTGAGCTCACCGTCCTCCGAGTTGAATTCAACTAATGTCCGCAAGGCGTTTTCGAATCCCAATGGAGTCGAGGGCAACCCTGAAGTAAGAGAAGCCTTTGCAAGCTACATCGACCGATATTTCAACCCTTCAATTTCTGTCACCGCCGATCATATTGTTCCCGCCGCTGGTTCGAGCAATGCGCTTAACGGTCTCCTTCTGACGCTATGTGATGCGGGTGACAGTATCATCTGTCCGGCGCCTGCCTGGAGTGAGTTTATCACTTGCTACCTATAACAGAGAGAAGCTAACTCCCCGGATAGGAGGCTACAATATCCTGGCCCTTCTGAGTCCATCTGTGAATATACTTCCAGCTTGGGTTCCCCCTACAGAATCTTGGCTTGAGGATAGTCTATCTACAGCCATCATCCCCGCCCTTGAGAAAACTTATCTGTCGGCCCCTGAGCCCAAGCGGATCAAAGCTTTGGTCATCGCAAACCCGGCTAACCCGGTAGCTCAGTGCTATCCTGAGAACGTTGTCAGAGAAATGATGAATTTCTGTCACAAATATGGTCTGCATTATATCTCGGACGAAGTTTTTTGCCAACACAGTCTATGACCCCGAGGCAGCCCAGTTTACATCTGCTCTATCTCTTGTCAGTGGAGCCGATGCTTCAAATCTGGAATCGGCAAAGGCAAAGTCCGCCCTGGATCCAAAAGAGGGTACATATTGTATGGAGCATGACGAAGGATATGGGAACCTGTGGTGTGCGATCGGTATGTGTCCTCAACCTAGAATACGATTAAGTCAACTAACATACCAAGGGCTGTGCTGTTACATACAACCCGACCGTTAAAGCCGGGGTGACCTACGGTACTTTCTGGCAGATGTCATCGCTAGCGGCATTGTTCACCGTCGCGGTGTTGAGCTCACCATTTCTTCCTGCCTGGCTGTCCTCTACAAGGGAAACACTCCGAAAGCACAATCAGCTATGCCATGAGGTCTTGTCAGTTCCGGTTCTGGATGGAAGAATCAAGATACTTCCAGCTTCAGCAGGACTTTGGGTCAACGTAATAGTCACATTAAAAGAAGGAGAGACGTTCAAGGATTTCATCTCGAAGACGAAAGCAAACAAGGTTGACATTCTCCCTGCCCAGGATTTCAAGGTGTACTACGGGGAGAACCAAGGAGAGTTCAAGATAACATTCGCAAAGGCTGAAGGGGTTCTCCGAGAAGGTTTAGAGAGGCTGAAACAAAGCTTACTTTGAACTTATACTATACCCTCGATCGTTTGACCTACCCTCGATCGGTCAAACGATCACGGTAGCTCTATCATGTTTCACAGCTTTGCCCTTCCTTGCTCAATTTGGCTCCAACTCGGGAGGTCCAACCGCTCGTATCGAGTTCCATTGAGCCAATATAGACCGTCAGTCTGATTCTTTCCAGGAACCCACTTTCTTTTCACCAAATCCCCCTTCGCCTGTTTGAAGGTTACGCCCGTAGACACCCTGTTGATAACATTAACATATGCATTCTGGAGCCCAAGAAAAGAGACTTACTTCTCAATGAATCGGACCAGGCGTGGGAATGCATAAGACGGCACTCCTTTCGCCTTGAGCTCGCCATAGAGCTTCGATATGAAGGCGGATTGAGAGGCCGCAGATTGATCTTCCAGAGTAATTGCGGCAGCGCCAGCTTGTCCATCATATCTGTAATGCGGACAGATTAAATCCCAATTCGAAAGCACCGACCAACAATATCAATGACTTACCCGTCCAATTTGACACCGTACACGACCGCATCATGGACCCCTTCGATACGGCAGATGTGGTCCCGAATCTCACCCGCACTGACATTCTCACCCTTCCACCGGAAGGTATCGCCCATTCGATCCTGGAACTTGATCCAACCAGACTCATCCTGCACCAACAGATCACCCGTCCGCTGGAACACGTCACCCTTCTCGAAGACATCCCGAAGAAGCTTCTTCTGCGTAGCCTCCTCATTATGCAGATACTCCGTCAACGAGTGAATATCATGCACGCGTCCAATCGCCTCCCCTTCCTCGCCCAACCGAGCACGCACACAGAAGCCTGTCGCCGGATCCCGCCATGGCATCTCCGTGTCCGGGTCATACTTCACGAGGACATTGTCTTTCTCCAATGCCCTCGCCAGCGGCCCCGCAAACCCCACCTTGCCCGCCCCCCACACCCCAACGCCATGGTTATCGAACTTGGCCACTCCCTCCGTCGAGCGATAGAACTCGCGGATCTCCGGGACATTGAACCGGGTCTTGAAGCGCTCCCAGATCTCGGCCCGGAGTCCATTTCCAGAGGCCACAATGCAGTTGTGGTTCCGGTCATAGGGCGAAGGCGGCGTGGCGAGGAGGTACCGGCAAAGCTCCCCGATGTAGAGGATCCGCGTTGCGCGAGAGTCGTGCACGTCTTTCCAGAATTGCGAGGCGGAGAACTTGCGTCGGAGGCAAAGTGTGCCTGCGTTACCGACGGAGTAGCAGAGTCCTGTGAAGAATGCGGTGCCGTGGAAGAGTGGGAGGGAGGAATAGGTTCGAAGGGGGACGGTACTTGGATGGGTTGTTGGCATCTGAGGTCAGTGGTGTTGCTGTTGCAATCGCGAGGGAGTTTCGGACGGCGCAGGCTTTGGGCTTCCCGGTTGTTCCTGATGTATAGATCAGAGCCGCTAAGTCTCTGGGCGTGCGCTTGGCCGGTCCAAGTTGCAATCCTGTAGGGGATACTTGTTGTAGGTCTGAATGCGTGATGAGATCTACCGGGCTGCTGCTGTCTTCGAAAGAGCCCAAGTTTAGCGATATTTGTGGTAGGTCTGTGCTGACAAACCCCGATATGTCTGGGGTGGATATAATTGATGTCGCGCGAGATACCCCAAGGCAATGGAGGAATGTATCGTCTAGTCCTTGTTAGTACAGACTTGAGATTTTGCTGATCAGAACTTGCCTCTCAGATTGGTGTTGATCATAGCCGCTACAGCACCCAGCTTCGCAAGTGCATACAGCGTCACCACCATCTCTGGCGAGTTGGTGGTGAAGACACCGACGAAGTCTTCCGACTTGATGCCCCGAACTTGAAGCACAGCCGCGAACCGATCAACCACTGCTGCCAATTAGTTGAGTTTAGTATGAAGAATCGAATATACTGACAGTCTTTTAAATGAGCGTAGGACCAAATCTTTCGTTCGAACCACAGCGCCTCGGTTTCGCCTTCTCCTTGCTCAAGCACTCTCTCGAGCATTCTATATATGGTCGCAACATCGCCTAGCTGAGCAACATGATCCGCGATACGCTTTGCATATGATCGGCGACTTAGGAGGGCAGATACATCGGTGGAGAGGGAGAACTTCGCGTCCAAATACGCTGCCATAGCCACAGAAAAAGCCGAGGCAATGGCCACGGTAGGCATGCTGATCTCTGCGAAGTGATCCATCCCTCTCGAGCACCGTAGACCCTAGACTCGTCCTGACGGGGTCGAAGTTCCGGTAATGTGGAATAATGCCTGGGTGTATTCGACTGTTAGCGGGCAGAATCCGCCTTGGTTGTTTTGGTCGCAGACAAGGGAGACAGTCGAGGTTATAGAGACTCGCAGGTCAACAAACTCCCGGAAGCTGTCATGTCAAATCTGCCGTTCCTGACCAATCGACACTACTAGACTGCTAGGGCCGAGGTGAACCCCATCAGCGTCCTGTAAATACAAGGGAGCATTGTCCTCTGTATGCCGCCATTCTTACCCCAGCGCGGGGTTTTACCCCGGGTTTGGTTCGTTTGGGACTTCCAAGGTCGACCTACATTGGGCTGATTCTTCGTTCTCGAGCCACTCGGGGCTATCTCCGTATAATTCGAATTCATACAGCTTCTTTGCTCTCTATTCATCTAGAAGCATCTCGATCTTAACCCAAGTTAGACGCTGTTCTAACACATCTAGGAGTGGTGACGAACAAGTCCAACCGGCAGCCAATCATAGTGCGTATGTCGGGACCGAGGATACAGCAAATAACGGTATCATACGCCGGCGTACAAATGTCAACGGCACTTCCCGTCGGGTAGACCGTACGGGAATCTTCCCCCTGCAGAATGGCAGTTCCCAACCGTTCCTGTTTCTAGTTGAACTGGCAGCAGTATCAGTTGATGAGTTGGATGTTTCTCTGCAGAATGCCATGGCATTGCCCCCAGATGGGCAGCGACCCGCCTCAACACGCTGTCTGACGGCCAGGCCTCGCAGAACTTCAACTTCCCCAGCGGAATGAGCTATTTTTCTCTTTCCTCACTGGCCATCGATAGACCATTGGCAGACCATGTATCGCGTACGGCCTGCGAGGGTCAAGATCGGTTTGCGTAAACATAGTTGTTCTTGTCGCATTAGGTCCCCGGTCGCAACGGGCTCAGGCCACGAGGGCTGCTTTGAGTTCTGAAGGTCGAATCCGTTCAAAACCACTGAACACCGCCAGTGGATATTAAGAACTCCCTATTAATATCCCTTGGAAGCGACATGAGGTCGCAACGGTTACTCAATTCGCTAAGGGGGCTTTTCCAGCGAATCTCAGAACCCTCCATTTGTAAGTGGAAGATACAGCCGGCTTGATGACTACAGTAGCACTGATTTCCGCTTCTGTCCGTGCAACCCGGTTTTAGGATTCCGCCCTCCCACGGCAGGTAATATCACTTTCAAGTTCTTGTAGCCAGCTTGATATGGCTCTCAGGGGAGATTAAACCTAATTAAACCTAATGAATTTCCGAGTCCAGGTTGGCCGCCACCAATAATGGCTGGATGTTCCACAGGGCTTCGAGCCGTTCGACGCAGGTACCCCTGTCTGGCCGCAGCCACTGCTATTCTTAGAAATACAAAAGTCCTACTCCCTACTCGAGTTTGCATGCACTGTTGCCTGCACGACTGACGCAGATTCAGGGGCTTCCTCCAAGGAGACATGCACCAAGACGAAGAATCTTCGGCAGGGCGAGACAACCTGTATTTTGGGCACAGGCGATGACGATCTCGATCTGCGTCGGAACTGATGATCTGTGAAAGAGCCGCGTCAAGCCCAAATCTAAGAAGGCCTCGGCCGCAGGTTCTTCGAACGCTAAAAAAAAACTTTAACCACGGGCATTATCGTCATCTGGCGATGGTCGCTGATTCAACTGGCTTCCGTCTGTCTTGAGCCCAAGGTTAGGGTACGGATCGTGATTGTGCGCGCTTTCCGATCGAATACATCATCGCAGATTTTTTTTAAACAATAGTCGGCCGGGTCCGGTCCACTAGCCAGGGTTTAGGGTACGTAAGTCCACTGGGACCTGGCAAATCAAGATTTTGCCCCATTGATCGGCAGCAAATAGCATATGTGGCTTTGCAAGTCCTTCTGGGGGCACATGAAACAGAGTGGACATTGTGGCTGACCAAGGTAGTCCTCCCGGCGCACTATGATTGAATAATATGGAGATCCTGCAGATTTGGGCTGCAAGGGGAGCCGTCGACTAGTAAATTTCCGCCCCGAAAGGAACCAAACCCTCTGCGAACATCGAAGGTAACCCGACGCTTCCGGCGGCATTCTCCAATGTCTCCCAACGGACTTGAGATTCTGGATCGAAAGTTCTGGACCAGCAATTGTAACGAAGAACCGGAGTCCACAGCAAGAGGGCCCCAGGTTCCCAGCCTAGAACGTCCCCACACAGAGTTGATCCATTCGAACTGTACCCAACAACCCCCGGGGAACAAATGACACCGCAGCAGGCAGGTCGTAGTGTCTGCAACGACCTCATCCACTCACCGTTGACGAGTCCCTCATTTTACCCCACGTCTAGACGTTTATTGGTGGAGATATATTTTTGGACAAGATCTGGCCAATCGGGTGTGCCCTGCCATACACAAGCAAACGTGTCTAGCCCCACAGCGACCCACCGGTTTCCGGTGGCGTTTGTCTAGACCCAAATACCCTCAAATGGTCGGGGCCTGGCCGTTCAAATCTATCAAGTCTGACAATCTCCTTTCTTCCTTTCTTCTTGTCATCTATCTCCTTCTAATCTCCTTCAATATCTTCTTCAACTCTCATCCTTCGTGTGTCCTTCGCTTTACACACAGTCATTCTTTGCCCTTTTTTTCCTTCTTCTTCCCTAGGACACGCTCTTTGTCATTTTTCATAATGCAGCTCAACCTTCTCGCCCTCGCTCTGTCCGTTGCGACAGCCGAGGCCGCTTACAAGGGCTTCAACTATGGTGCTACCAACGGTGACGGTAGCACTCGTGTCAAGGCCGACTTTACTGCACAGTTCCAGACCGCCAAGGGTCTCGTTGGAGCCCCCGGCATGACCAGCGCTCGTCTCTACACTATGATCCAGGGTGGCACCACGAACTCTCCCATTGAGGCCATCGAGGCTGCCATTGAGGAGCAGACCACTCTCCTGCTTGGTCTCTGGACCTCCGGCGGTGGTATCGACAACGAAATCGCTGCCCTCAAGAACTCCATCAACCAGTACGGCGACGATTTGGCCAAGCTCGTGGTTGGTATCTCCGTCGGTAGTGAGGACCTCTACCGTAACTCCCCCACCGGTATCAAGGCCCACTCCGGTCCTGGTATGAACCCTGACGACCTGGTTTCCGCCATCAAGGCCGTCAAGGCTGCTGTTGCCGGTACTTCCCTCGGCAGCTCCCCCATCGGCCATGTCGACACCTGGAACGCATGGACCAACAGCTCCAACTCCGCCGTCATCGACGCCGTCGACTTCATCGGCTTCGACACCTACCCCTTCTACCAGACCACCGATGACAACTCCATCGACAACGCTAAGAGCCTGTTCGATGAGGCCATGCAGAAGACCAAGCAGGCTGCTGGTGGCAAGCCCATCTGGGTGACCGAGAGCGGTTGGCCTGTCAGCGGCCCCAGCGAGGGCGCCGCCGTGGCCTCCATCCCTAACGCTAAGAAGTTCTGGGATCAGGTTGCTTGCAGTCTGTTCGACTCCGATATCAACACCTGGTGGTACATCCTGCAGGACTACCCTGCCAGCCCCAGCTTCGGTGTCGTCGGCCAGCAACTCACCACCAAGCCTTTGTACGACCTGAGCTGCAAGAAGACCAACTCCACCTCTAGCTCCAGCTCCGGCTCTGGCTCCGGCTCTGCTTCTGGCTCCGGCTCTGCTTCTGGCTCTGCTTCTGGCTCTGCTTCTGGCTCTGGCTCTGGCTCTGGCTCTGGCTCTGGCTCTGGCTCTGGCTCTGGCTCTGGCTCTGGCTCTGGCTCTGGCAGCTCTACTCCTGTCACCAAGACTGCTTGGGGTGTCTCTCCTAGCGTTACCGGCTCTGTCTCCCGTTCCGCTTTCCGCACCAGCATGACCTCCACTCCCTTGGTGCCGACCGCTGCTGCTACTGGCGCTGCCGGCTCTGGTTCTGGCTCGTCCGGCGCTGGCGCATCTGGCTCTGGCTCCGGTGCTTCTGGCTCTGCTGGTGCCGGTGCCGGCACCGGCACTGACTTCGGTGCCAGCAGCTCCCCTCTGCTTCTGCCGTTGGCCAGTTCAACGCTGCTGCCCGTCCTACCGGCTCCATCTTCGGTGCCGTTATTGCCGCTTTTGCTCTTGCGATCATTGTCTAAGCAGGCATGTGACCAGGCGTGTTAGATAAATGATTAGAAAAATGCCGGAGTCGATGGTACACGGATCTTGTGGATATTTGCTTTTCTGACTTTCGTTGACGCACTATGTATATCTAACCAATTTAATTGGCTCCGGTAAAAAAACGGTTCTGTTCAGTCTTTCAACGCAATCATGCTATATACACCGGTTAAAGCCCTTTCCAAATCGACGTAAAATTCTCTTCTCTTGGAAAAGAAATAAGTGAGATCATAGTGAGACACCTTTGACTACCTGTGAGCGGATTTTCTGATCTTCAATGTCGATCCGATCTTAAGATCAAGCTTCAGTATTGGTGTCATCGGCGCTACGAAGAGTATATCAGCAAGGAATGAGCTTGGGCAGCCTACCAGTACCAGCATGTCAAATACACCACTACAGACAATTCCCCGTTTCGGCATCTGTGACCTCAATCCAGCTCTTCCATGTCAATAGTCACGCTGGCTACCTTCCCATCTCCAGCGCAAAGCTCCTTTCGAACCACCGAACCGCACTGAATACAGAACCGCCCACTAACACTCATCCCACAGTTCCTACAGAAATCCGGCGGGCGTTGCAGAAGCCACACCCTCCCTCGCCTCCGGCGTGCACGCCTCGCAAATAGACTGGCGCACGAATCAGGCTGGGTTATATCCGAGAGCCACTGGTCTTTCAAGACCCTTCCAGCTTCGCTCGACAAGTTCCGGTAGTCGATGATTGCTGATCAGCAGGGTCCCCTCCACCAACACGATCTATGGACCCACAGATACAAGCCTAGCTCGAGTCAACACATGGTTCAGATCTTTTTTTAGCTTCAAACAGCCTCGCATGGCTCCTGAACCTATGCCTAGTCACGGTAGATTTGATTAACAGGTCCCAGGCACAAACGACAAGACCGCGCTTGGAGTGATAACAGACGGCATGGACGATTTCGGTCTCGTTCCGGAGGCTTCTTCGTAGTATTTCAGGGTTTAGCAACATGTCGTTTGATTTGAAGTGTCAACCACCTAAACGAGACGGACTGAGCACAGGACGGCTCATGTTGCGATATGTTCCTCGAGCCCCAGCTCGATCGCTGTGGACTGCGAGTTGTGCCCTCTTGCCCACATATAATTCTATAGCTGACAAGGTGGAACTGCTATGGACGGAAGTAGACAGAGCGACGCCAGGAGGGGGGCCGGGCTACATGGTGAGGCCTGATGGTGGGGGGTCCGAGTCTAACCCGAAGAGGATAATCCTGATCGAATTATAAATCAATACGATTGAAACCTTGGAAGGATTTAACTAGTTATGAATAGCAGACTGCTTGCCCCAGTTCTGAGCTTAGAAACAGCACATTCTGTCGACTGAAATTTCGTCGTCATGGCATCTCCAAGCCCTGTAAAGGTTCTCCAGGCACTACATACTGGAATCACCGTGCGATCGCTCTCGCGCGCCATCCACTTATTCCGGGATATTTTGAACCTTCCAATTCAGCGCACCGCTCATCTGTGCCCCCCGGTCTCAACAGTCGTCGGACATCCAGAGGCAGAGATCGATATCGCTATCGTTGAACTTCCAGGGGGCCACCTTATCGAGCTTCTCGAGTACACATCGCCAACAAAGACCGAGCGGCAGGAAATGAAGCCTCTTAGCTGGGACTTGGGGAGCTGGCATCTGTGTTTGACCGTTGAGAATTTGGAGGACACACTACGTGCCCTGGAGAGTGACGACGCAGCTTGGCGTCAGCTTACTGCGCCGCAGACTTTGGAAAAGGGCCCGAATGCTGGCAGAAAGGTGGTCTACGTGCGGAACGAGGATGGCTTGACGCTGGAATTATTTGGATGAAGAACTCGCGGCTTGCCTGCTAGAATACACTATACAATATTCATTTCACCTAATGACGAGTTTATTCGGAATGTGCCTATATGGTTCGATCGGAAGATCAATGGTATTTCCATTGGTGAACGTCGCCGGGTTGTACTCGGGAGCCAATTGCACGCAAATAACGTAGTGTTGGAACTTAGGGGGTAGCGCGATGCTAGTATGTGTTAGGCGTCCTCTGTTAACAGGCGGTGATGCATAAGTGACCTTTCCTTATTGCGGGTTTGACTTTTTCCCCGGCTCCCATCCGTGGACATTCATGTTGCTCCAGAGCAATGGCCCCTTCCAATCCCCACAATATCAGACGGACCGGCACTGCATTGCTAGGACCTTTCGGCCGATGCAAACAGTTCGAATTATCCCAGCAACGCTGGATCTTGTGGCTTTCCATCTTCTCCGTCCACACAGCGTGTCCGAGTGGCACTCCCAGCGCTTACCCGCAATTTTAGAACCCTAGCAACTCGACAAGCTAACTGCACGGCCCTATCTACCAGATTCATACTGGCAGAAGATCCGAAATATGCTCAGAAGATTCAAAATATGTTCAGACGACCTATGAATTTCAGAGGTGCCTTCATTGGTTGCTAGAGTAGTATATTATTCTTTGAGATGAGTCTAGTGCGAATCAAGTATAAGACTTGTAGTGAAATTTACGTCTAATAGTCTAGCGCTGCTGCCTCCGAAAGGTGTCTCTCGGTTGAGGGTCTCACTTCCTTTTTGTCAATATGATCGAGGCCTTTTGTGTCAATAAATCTGTCAACGGATGTCCCTGAGAAAAAAAGCTAGGAGTTCTTTAGCTGCGGCATGGGAACAAGGTTTCCCTACATACGTTATTTTGTTTCCTCTTCTACTGGGATTTAGAGTTTACCGTTTTCTACACAATGAGACTCATACTCTTTCATCGCCTTATACGAGGCGGCAGCAGCAAGGAGTGGATGAAAAATTCAGCTCCATAAGGAACTTTGACGACTCCATCGTAGGCCTGCGCTTCGGTAGAGTCATCTAACCAGTTAGCCAGCAATAGGAAGAAGGGATGTAGAAGGTGTACATTTCTTGCCGCTAAACCAAACTCATAGCGTATTTGCTCAAAGAAATTGCTTGCTGTTTTATATTAAATGAATATTTTGTGATGAGTTAAGTGAGGAATATAGTGGCTCCAGAACCACAGTGGCTTTATATATTTACCATCATTCCATTCGCTGTTCTTCACGTATGCCTTGCCGATCAGTGGCGGTGAGACCTTCGCGTTATACAAAAAATATAGGGAAGTATTCTCCACACATCCTCTACATCAGTATCCATCGAATAATGAACAGAGATCGGTAGGCCCTCTTCATATACTCGTCCGTCTTCCTACTGGGACAGCTGGAGTAGTTTTGGCTTGTTAGGTCGGGTCTAGATATCTTCAGGGCCCATAGTGGGCCCGATCCCTAGGCCCACGCTAGACGCCGGATCCCCGATCTAGCCTAGTTTTAACAGTGTAATTCACGATCTGTGATCCTCCGGTCAGAGTCACTAAGCAATCACTGACTCTGCGCCCGGACTGAGTTCTACCCAGCCTGACTCAGAGCGTGCTCACTAAAGCGGCGGCAGTTTAAAGGGATCCCCCCCGTCATAGGAAATCCCCTTCATAGAGCTACCTATGCAGTCTGCGCTTCCAATATACACGAAACAAAAGGTCCGTACGGTTTCAGAAAAGCAAATCCAATACTCGGTGGCAAGTTCATGGGCCCTCGCCCGTGTGGGACCATCTCCACTAATGACAGCTGTTGCCATCCTGCATTCCGTTGGAGAAAATGACCCGAACATGACATTGAGAATTGACGCTTGGCATGTAAGTCGTATGTATTAGCAGGTACGATGCCTGCCCTACTGGTTGGCTGGGAGACAACTGCTCGCCGCAAATCGCCGTAGTTGACTTTTGCCTGGAGACGATCCGCAAGCCGCTCATAATTATGTCTCGGCTTGCAGAAACCAGCATTTACCGGAACCAGCTTTAGCTTCTACGAAACGTCTACTGGGGCGATGTTACGAGCGAAACTGTTCAGACACGACGGCTTGAATTTCACAGGATACTAGAAGTACATAACCGCGCAAGATCCACAACACCATTTGGGTATTCGAAACGCCTCGCAAACTCGAACATAATTCAAAAGCCCCCATATAGTATAAGAAACAGGCCGCGCCATGGCCATCTATCAAAACATACAACAAGCGGAAATAAGCCCCAGCATCGATAAAAAGAAAAGAAAAAGAAAAGAAAAGAAAAAAAAGAATTAGCGGATCATTGAACATCGATCATCATCTCATAAGACCGTCATGTTGGGACCATTTGTATCGCATCAAGTGTCGATAGGCTTAAGCGGTGCTTCGACGCTTCTTGTTTCGACGAAGGCTAAACTTCCTTCGCAGCTCCGTAAATGGATTGGAGATAGGGCGGTTGTAGAAGGGATCATTCTTGAAATCCTCATCGGTGAATTTCTTCACAAGAGTTAGTCGCATGCTCTAGGCGCGAGAAGAACCTTGAATCACTTACTGTTCCAGGAAGGCGCATGAAGTTGCCGTATTCGTTCATCATGTTCGTTCCTTCTTCGTAGTTGTACACCTGGCCATCGCGGTCGGTGGTGCCAGGTGGGAAGAATGCTGTGCCGTCGAGTGGGCGATGGCTGTGCAAGCAGTCGACAATCTTGTCGCGAGGCGTCGCACGCAGAGCCTCCTCATTCGACTCTTTTACAGCATCGAGCGGACTGAGGTTGCTCACACGGTTGCGCTCGGGGCGAGCCGCATCGTAGGGACCCTCATGGTGGTAGGAAAACCCTGTCGCGTCGTCCAGCTGATCGATGATGTCTGGCCTGACCAGCGGAGGGGCGTAGGATCGCCGAGAGCTGTGAGAATGGGGCTTGTGAGTATACCCGGAGTGGAACGAATGACGATGAGAGCTGTGGCTGTCCCGTCGCCGCGTCGAGTCCGAGGAGACTTGTTCTGAGAAATCGGATCGCCAGGCTGGAGGCAGGGAATCAGATTCCGCGCGGCGGGAGTAGTAAGAGGAAGGCGACGTCATGTATCGAGCGTAGGGGTTATTGCTTCCCACAACCGAGCCCATACTGGATCGGCGCTCCCGGGGGGTAGATTGGTTGTGTGGATGATGAGGGTGATGACGCGAAGCCATCGAACCCATCGAGCTCATCGAAATGCAATCGATGGCGGCCATATTAGGGTGCTGTGGATTTCAAAGTGGAATAGTTTGTGGGTTCTGCGACTTCCGCGAAGTCGGTTTTTATAGGGAACGAGGGGTGCCTTGCGGATCACGCGGTGGACTTTGTATTGTACACTCCGTAGATCACCCGATAAAGAATAGATTGGATCTCTTGGTCCTAACAGATGGGCGCGAGTAGTGGAAAATGCGCAAGTGATTTCAGTGTGAATTATGAGGATGGAAGAAGGGAGGAATCAAGGGAGAGAAGAAAGTGCTTTAAGTTCGCTCTCAATGATGACGACGTTCCGATGCTTCTTCTTTCCGATCTCCGCCCAATCCGCCTTAGAACCCACGCTAGAACTTCTTTCTGGGCGCGGAGGGGACATACTAGACCAAACGTGGCTAGTGGGGCAGATGTCTGGTCTCTGAATGGTTTAGGGCCGGGACTGGCGGATCCACCAGATTCGTTGCACGGTTATGACGACCACACTGGTGATATCATGGGGGGGGCAAATTTCTCATCAGCTTCGTTACAAGATATCTATGTGGCAGAGATATATGGCTCCCGATCAGGGCCTGAATTATTAGCCCTCTCCAGATTTGCCCAGGTGCCTGGGGACCCTGGTTGCACGGTGAGTAAAAAGGTGAGTCAAATGTTGAAATCTGAAGACCCCGGGGTAACGCCCCCTAACGATCCGTGTTCTTCCAGGCAATGACGCGGCGTTGGATGACTTGTCTGATCCACAATGCGTAATTCATAATCTATAGTCCATAATGCCCCTACCCGATAGAGAGACAGATGCAGAGTGCCAATAGACCGCCTCAACCGGCCCAGCTAGTCCTGAAATGACCAGCGTACCTACGCTGTGCGACCCAGGAGCCAATGATAATCGCAGGAGGTCCAGACTGCCCTCGAAACGCTTGTGGAAGTCTGTCTCTGCGCATGCAAGGGCCGGGAATTGAGTTTGTCCCCGAGATCTAGACCTTGCCCCTGTCGTGAATGTCACGACCTCCAAGGTTCAACCCGGAAGTCTTGGACGTCAAGCGCATCGTATCTAGTGGATCACATGATTGCGATCCTCCTGAGTCGTTCGATGGTCGAGCAGGGCGAGAAAGACGTAGCCCGGATAATCCGGCGAGCCCGGCCAGCCAGGAGCCGACTAGCCGCTCCAATGCTGCGCATTCCTTGCGACACTTTCGATCGACGCGCTTTAGTGTTCCAGTAACACGGCGCCACTGCCTGCAGGGCCCATCTCTGTCGAGTCTATCCGGTGATCGTGGAAATACAGCTTTGATGGATCTCCATCTGTGATACCCCAGTGCGGGCACGGGTTTCTCGGAACCTGAAAGTGACATAAGAAAGGTGCCGTGGTCGCTTGTCTGAGACTGGCGTCCAAACCTATCTTCTGTCAACAGTTGAGCATCCAAATAACGTATGAAGTGAGAATTATCGCTGGCGGATTCTCTAATGGTAGATGGTCATACGTTTCGCGCTCATGCAAGGTCAGATCACCCGCAGGAGATCACCTGCGGGAGATCACCCCATCGAGCGCGGACCCTCGAGGCTGAAGGAGTTAGCGCAGCCTGCAACCCTCGCGTGCAGATCTGGTGCTCTCGCGCACGTTGTCTCGACTCTGCCCATACCCCGCGTACTAAGAGTCTGTGCGCACATCCCTGGGCGATGCAAGGCGGAGCAACCAGTGCTACACACGAACATTGCCGGGCCAACCCCAAGGCAGAAACACAGCTTCGCTCAATAGAGGTGATCTAAACTTGGGGAGTTCGCAAATTATCATTGGGGAGGTCGTAAAGTCTTTCCTTGCTTCCCTTTGGTCGAGAGTGCCAAGCAACAGGCCCAAACACACCGAATGCCCCTAACTTGGAGACTATATTTAGTAAAGATGTCTTTCAAAATACCCTTACTGTAATGCAGTTTTTCTCATGGCATTGATCTCCCTCTGTTGGTATCCTATTCCTGGATACTAGCAAGGGGCAGGCTCCCGGGGACGCACAAGATTACAAGCAAAAGTGGCTCTGCAAAGGCTTGAGAAGGTAGAGTTGACTGTATCCAGTGAGGACATTGGAAATCCGTAAATTATGATTATTAAATACATTTTGAGCTCCCTTTAAGCATTATTTGCGCACGAGAAGCTGTCGCTGCTTGGGTTGTCGTGAATGGCTTGACCGGAGACCCAGAGTCCCATACCACACTGGGCAACTCGTATTAGCAAAAGCCAGTGGTAGAAAGACGATCACACTTACCAGAACACAAGCAATTCCCAGAATTATGAGGTTTGTGATGGTCAAGGCCGACTTCCTGTAGGAAGAAAAAATAAACGCCCTTGTTCATGAAGAGCCAGAAGATAGCTGGAAGGCCAAAGGAAAACCAACTAGCAAAGAGGGCAGTCTAAAACACAAGTTAGCACGCGAATGCGGAGACTGCCTGTAGCCTCGGGGTGTCCATTTCCACTTACAATTAAGCTGAGAAGATTACTGAACACTGGGATAGCGGACGAGATAACCCAGGCGAGAACCCAGAGGCCCAAGGCGATGCCAACCCAGGACCCGACCGCAACCCAATCGCGCTTGTGCATGCGGTCTGTACCCCGGTAAATACGAACATAAACGTATTTAAACGCGACATGTCCGTTGATGACACCGGCAATAATAATCTGTAACGTATTGGTCAATATTCGACAATGCTGCGCTGAGTCCATCGATAGACATACCGTTGGCAAGGCAATTCCGTACGCAACCTTTGCAACAACCGGCGACGCCGATCCTAAAGCGGGCGAGACAACTCCATCACCAGCGTAGCGGTAGATCACGACTGCTGCGATCAGATAAAGGGAAACGTCGAGACCCTGCAGCAGGCAAAGGGACTTAGTGAAATCGCGGGGATTGCGCAGTTCGGCCATAAGGCCGAAGAAAGCCCCGTGACTGCAGAACGCAAAAACGATGTTTGTTACAGCAGAGAAGCCGTGATACAAGTTGGTGTGCGCAACAGCCACCACTCCACTGCCGGGGCTCTCGATGCCCAGAGCAATCATGGTGATCAAGACAGCTGCCAGAATGCTGATGAACGACACGATGGAAAGCCAAGATATCTTCTCCAGGGTACGAGGCAAAGAGCACACGAAGGACACGGCCATGCCGACGATACCGAACACGATAGAGCAAGTTCCATGGCTGGTGATCGTATTCATCGCGACGGTGAAAGTCAAAAGATGGCTCGACATGATGAAAATGAAGAAGATTATCCATGCCGCGCCAACGAACTCGCGGCCGAATTTTCCTCCGATCACTTCTCCGGCATCTGCCATAGTGGTGATTTGAGGAAACCGCAGCTTCATTTGTCCCATGATATACCCGGTATAGGTGGTAATGACTCCGAGGCCGAGGAGGACAATGATGGCCCTATAGGATCGGTTAGTCCTCAGACTGATATATACAACAAATAGAGATCACGAACGGAACCAGACCCATGCTTGCGACAGCAGCAGGGAGTGATAGGACACCCAATGACACTGTTTCAGCCACCATGACTATAGTTTCGATCAGTTGAGTTCTAGTGTAAGCGCATGCATTCGTGGACATCACATACGTAGACCACATTGCCTATAGTTCATTAGCTATCAGAAGATTCTGTCGGAGCTTGTCACAGAGACTCACCACCACTTCAACACTTTGTACTTGACTTCTGCGAACTCTTCATTCCCAAAAGCATCTTCGTTATATGAAGGAGCAAGCTGCTTCAGATCGGCCTCCACATCCGGGTCAACAACAGTTGATCTGCTCCGAGTATCATCCTGCACTGAAGGAGCTTCTTTACCCCTTGAGGCTGACATTGTGAAATTCGATAGTCGATCTCGTATCTTCAATGGCGAATACTTCGATGCGGCTTGAATTCTTGCGGCACGAGGGCGCCTGCACTCCCCAAAAAGCTGTAGCTGCACGAGTACCTCTACAGGAAGATCTTCGCAGGCTTTCCGGCTTATATATTAAATCAAAACCAAACGTCCGAGCGAAAAAAAAATATCTTTTGAGTCAGTCTTCTCGCAAGACTCGCGACAGCTCCAAGTGGGGCCAAGGACCGGCCATCGGCTCCGCAGGGCGAATCACGGCGCGGCGACGTAATAAAAAACCGTCGAAACGGCACGATGGAGCCTCCCCTGGATGAGAAAACTGGGGAAAGTGTGAAAGCAGAGAAAACTTCGTCGCCGATGCCGGCGTGGCTAATTCGATCTTAGCAGTGGAATGTTCTGAAATTGCCATCGCAAAAGCTAGTAGTTTTCCTTAGTGCCTACTCGAATAAGCTCATACTCGAGGGTTGGCTGGGCCCAAAAGGACTTTTGCACACGTGACTCCAATCGTCGGGTATCCCAGTAACTTAACCCCGTCATGAAAGCCCACGTATTCGTATATCTTGTCTATCTGTCTGTATCTTCCTACGCGCGGAACAGCCGACAACTTCTCGAATTCTACGATTGCGCTTGACCTAGGTCAGGCGTTTGATTAGTACACTTGACAATGCCCGTAACCGAAATTGTCACCGACGCTATATCGAGGTTAAAGGACCCTAGCGCCTCATCGAAGTTGCATGATCTAGCTGAATGGCTCAAAGATGCCGAAATGAAGCAACAAGGGAACCTTCTGCAATGCGTGGATAAGGATACCTTCAAAAAGACGCTGCCTTTATTGATGGCCTTGGGATGTCATAAAATAACAGTAATCGATAGGAATCAGATGTAAACAACTGAATTTTTGGCTGAATTTGGTTTCACAGGGCTTCGGTTATGCGATTTATCGTACCTCTGGAAACTCCGAAGTTTCGAAATTGCCCAACCTCAAAACCCTTTTCTTCCCTCTCAATGTACCGGCTGGCGAGGTCGAAGTGGCAGGCGAGGCCCTCAAACGCGGCACATGCACTCAGTTCGATGAGACCGTAACATTCAATGCACAACTTGACTATCTCGTCATTTATATACCCGAGGAAAAGTGAAGAACCGATGTCCACCGTGTATCATGACGATGATCCACCTCAGCCCCTTCACATCTCACGGGCATAACCACCTTCAGAGTTCATCAAGTTTATCTCTTCCATCGTTGGAAAAGGTGGACTAGGAGAGGTAGAGCGGTCAGCCCCTAGCGATATAATATGTTGTTTTGTTGATACCAGTGGGTATAACCCCCTAGTAGCATCATTCTCTATATTAGCGTATTCTCACAGTGTTTGTCAGCTGGTAAATGGCCGAGGTGATAAGGTACCTAGTTTGTTCAGGCCAGTCTTTGATTCGCTTTAAGAATAACCACGTTTGGATTATCATGAAACATTCTGTGCTCTAGTCCTGTAGCGAGCGCAAAGTCCAATGCAACAATCGACAAAGGACCTCCTATTCGAATCCGACACTGAAGCGGGATCCTGTTTAAAAACCATTGTGTATCTCCCGGCTTGAATCGGATAACAAAGCGTCAAGGAACCTTTTCCTTCCATTCTTGGCAGTTCCCTTCCAAAGGCTGATTTCGTTATGAAAAGAGGCCTCTCCTAAGAGTTTTCATCGAGGCACGGTGAATAAGTATCATTGCTTTATCGCATTATTCTTTTTCTTTGTCCCCTGAGACGTCAGGTTCCTCGATGCGTTACGAAGACGGTTCTTGGGTATATGTACACCGTTTTGTAAAATTGTCTATATATATGAGGCACGAGACGTCGGCTTCAAGGGTATTCGCAATAGCTCACGACAATCTATTTAGAAAAGGTCAACGATCACACTGGTACCTTCTCGGCGCACGCAGCTTTGGCAAAGAGCACTACCCGAATTGAACTTGAACCATATCTTTTAGTACCCGAAACCTTGTGTACTTTCCAAAAGAAATGTCTAACCCAGGCTCTAGGTCTAATTCCCCAATTCCGGAATGGGGAGCTACCTTGTCAGACGCGAATCGCAGAGTTCTCGTAAATTGGCTAGCATATGGGACAATACTACAGGAAATGATTAACCTTTTTGAAAATGAAGCTTTCCTTGAGCATCGAGAGCGTTATCCCGATGGCGCACCAACTCGTCGTATTCCCCCTCACGTTCTACAGCAGTATTTAGACGATCTGGATAATGCAATCGGTTCTGCTAGGACCGACCTAGCAAATCTGAACATCTTGGCCTGTCTACCAATGACGGTGCATGCAGCATTGTGGCTCATCCCGAATTCTTCAATTGTAAGAGACCCGGCAATTATGCAGGGTTTCATCAATCTCGCCAGTTTCGGAGTAGAGGCGACTGACGCCCTGCCTGCAGGCACCACGAGCCCACCGAGCCAAGCGGACATAGCCGCTCGTTTGATCGTGCGTTTTCGAGAATTGGTTGCTCTTGATATCGAAGGTTCTCCTTCTCTAGAGGGTGTCTTCGGGGCAATAGTCGAGTGCATCGTGACAGGAAGACATATCCGCCAAATCCAGGGCGAAATTGTGGACCTGTTAAATCAGATAACTCTGTCTTTCATAGACGGAGCCTCAGACCAAGTTACAACAAGCGGATCCGAAGCAGAGGAGGGCGAAGACGGGGACGAAGGGAACGGGCCGGAATTTCCGTCAGAAGCAGCGACTAACACGGAGTTGTTCTATCTCGAGGCTGAACGGAGATTGACCGACGAAGATCAAAAATGCATGTGGTGTCTATACGACGTGCCAGCGGGCGAAGTCGCAACCTTTCTTCCTTGCAGCCATTGGTTCCACCCACCCTGCATTCGAGCTTGGCTCAGGTTCAACGGTCATTGCCCATGGTGCCGACAGACAATCAACGAGCGAATCTATAAGGCCAGATACGCCCGCGTGGAGCTGGACGGACGTGTAATTGAAGCAAGCCGAAGAGCCGAAGAAAGACGAGATGCAGCGGTCGCAGCTATGCAAGAGGCCATGTCCTCGGCAGAGACTGACGAAGAGAGACTGAGGATTCAAGTAGAATATCAAGCCAGGGTTAGACGACAGATCGAAGAATACCGGGATGAGCTCCTTTACGAAGACATAATTATACCCCCCTGGCCATTGATTAGCGCTGCCATTACTCGTGGGATTCCGCAGCCGCCAAGAGAAATCACCTCTGCTCACGGACGGCCTCGTTCTCAGGAGGAGGAAGAAAAGCAGAGGCGGGGCCACAGTGCCCCTGGCCGGACAAGCGGGCGCCCGGAATGGGGATCAGGGACCAAGCGAGAACGAGAGGAAGCTGACGAGCAGGGGAGGCCACCTAAAGCCGCAAAAGGTTTGCATGAAGGGACAGCTGAACATGATGAAGAAATAGGCGAGCATGGTGGTGCAACAGGCGAACATGATGGAGAAATGAGCGAGCATGATAGTGCAACAGGCGAACATGGCTGTGAAGGAGCAACAGGCGGCCGCAACAGTAATAACGGCTCATGTAGTAGCAGAGAGACGCCCACTAGGACGAATCGGAACACTCCGAATGAAAGAGCGCACTTAGGTTCTAGGGTTTCGAATTCTATCAGGCGGGTGAGAGACTCGGCTATGGCTCGCACGCAGTCCATCCGGCGGATGGTTCGTTCTATTCGAGATAGGCCGCGCAGGACTCGGACTCGAAGAAACCCAGACCAATAGCTCATTCCAGGCTTGATGCCGTTCCTAGGTCAGGATGTGGGAGTTTTGGGGGGGGGACACTTTTCTCTTTTCCGATTTACAATCTGCAATCACTATGAATTCATTTGCTTTCTAGTATGATAGACCAGTAAACGAACTTGGAATTTTAGGTGCTCCTACTACTATACACCTACAGCAATCCATTAGCCATCCTATACTTCAACGCCAAGTGCGAGCCATGCAACAACGCTGCCTCCTAATACCGTTCCTATACAGACATCGAACCCAACTTTCTCCATAATGCTGTATGGGATCAGCGTCAAGCGATCTTTCGATAAAGCTGTCTTAGGATGGGTCAAAAAGTAGATGTGGTGCCAATCCAGAAAACAATCTATAAATATCCAACCAGCTTGTGCCACAGGGGCGTTGGTTCCTCCTGCCGGATCCGCTGTCCAGATGAGACGCACTTCTGAAGACCTTGCACGCCATCTTCGATCATAATACCTAGAGCCTGAACTTGGTAACATGGCACCAGAGCGTTCCAGCGGGATGCCTTGTAATCAATTTGTGCCCAAATGCACCAAGCCCGAAAGAAAGAACACAATTGATATGTTTGTGTATCTTTCAAGAAGGGAAGGTCTAGGAAGTTGAAGGATGTCCCGGGAAAAAAAGCTACTGATCCCGGTAAATGCCTGGCGCGGCCCTTGATGCCAGAATTGCCTGTGAGGAATTCTGAATAGTCAGAAGACGCGCCAGCGCTGCGAGTAAGACTTGTGTGACTCACCCCCAGAACTTTCTGATCGTATATGATTCTGCCATCTTGCCAAAGGCAGGGGGCCAGTCGGTCGGATCCTCAGGCATGAGGCTGACGAAGCAAATCGAAAGCGCACGATAGTGGCAATCGAGTATGATCCGGCTGCCGCAAAACCAAGAGAAATTGTTCTCAGCTACACGGTCCAGCCATTTCGAGGGGGTAAGGTTCCAATCAATGGGCGTGGATCCTACAGGCGGGCCATTTGCCAAAGCTGCCTGGCGCGTCAACGTCTGCATTATATTTATGACGAGATACTACAGCACGAAAATGATAGATTGCCTGATTAACCACCGGGCTCGAGGGATGGTGGAGCCATAGCGCGCGAAGTACGCTGGCTGAAAGGGAATGCCCTTAACCTGCCGCAAAGTATGTACTGCGCGGCTGAAAGAGAAGAGCTGTAGAGTACGGCAGTACCGCCCATGGCCCCTGTTCAGGTGATCCGGCGTGTCGCGGGCGATAGCATTCTCATCCAGTGGATTGATCAATAGGAGAACCAAGCCCAGCCCAGCTTGACCCCCGAGGGTTGAAACGGCAATTATTCGAGTAATAGATGCATCTTCGACTTGATAACAGAAAAGAGCCATGATCCAGATCATATATGGAACGGTCAGGTATCGTAAAATGGCCACTTTACGGGTTTTGAGAAGTACCAGAGATGGGATCAAGTACTGGAGAATCACGGCTGCGAGGAACCAGGGGAGATCCGGGGGACAATCCATCCTGAGCAGGCAGCAAGACAAGACCTCAGCTAACGGTGAGCTAGGATGAGGGGCAAAAGCGTTCATCGTGGCCACGGAGCACGATTTGGGGGCGGTAGCGTATGTGAATTCATCAGGGCCTAAGCGGACTTTGACCTGGAAATGATTATACGGCAATCAAGTCCCTACTAACCAGTCGGGCAGGACAATCATCCGCATCCCTTGATGGAAAGCGAATGGCATGAATCGCAAGGGACGCATTTCTCTTCCTAGCCACTAAGCTATACAGAATCCCGATCAACCTTAAACCCCCTGAGCCCGCAATAACCCTGCAAAACACCGAACAAATGCCATGTCCCCAGCGCCATAATGCTATCATACAAAATCATACAGAGGAATTCGTTCATACTTGGACAGCACTATGGTGATCATTCAAGTTTCAATTTGAACCGATCAGCCACTGCTCTGCCTTTTCAAGTAGCGCATGTGCCGCCGAGAAGCCTTGATGAAGTCCTCGGTTAAGTACTCACTAGGAGGCGCATACTCCCTTTCCTCTGGTTCTGGAATATAATAGCCAGATTCCAGTGTGGTTTCTGACTGGTCGGCCTGTTCAATCGCAGCTGGGCGACCTTCCCATTGCATGTCATCCTCAACCTCAGCAGGTGGCGGGGGAGGAGGGGAAGGGTCGACGGCGCGAGAGAGAAATGCATCAAGGGTTTTTTGTTGTTTGGCAGGTGGTTTCTGTGTCTTGGGGGTGCGCTTTTCTACAGAGCTTGGGCCCGGGGCTTTCGGTTTGGCTTTCTGGGCACTCGAGAACGGTTTGTTCAATTTCGCGCCCGACGCTGAGCGAGCCTCCTGATGTAGCTGTCGCGCAGCCCATGCATCCACGTCGCTAGGATCTGGCGTGCTAGGGGTCTCTGTCCCAGGGACAGGAGAGCTTTCTGCTTCTTCGGCAGGCTTTGAGCGCTTACGTGACCGCCGGGACTCTTGCTCAGCGTCGGTGGCAGCGTGAGGCTTTTCCTTCATCAGCCTGCGGCGCTTCTCTTCATCCTTCCAGGCTTGGAATTTGTTGACCAGAACAACAAGTTCTTGGATGAGGATTTGTCGTTTTGGCTCGTAAAGCTTCTTGTCGCTCTCATGAACGCCAACTAGCCCCATAACTCTCAGCCATTCTGGGCTCCGCAGCTCTTCAAGAAGGCGCTCCAATGCTTGCTTCTCATGTTGTGCACGATCGCGCTCAATGTTCCGCAGTTGTTTCTCCTGGCGCTCAAATTTGCGGTGGGCTTTGAAATACAGCTCATCGCCCAGCGGATCGACGGCGGGTTGTGATTTAGATATCGGGAGTTCAATTGACTCGCAATCATGTAGGTTTAGAAGTGGATTACCGAAGGGCGTTGGGTTCGGGTTAGAAGGAAAAGGAAGAGGCTCAGACAAGTCATCCGCCAGAATGATAGTTGTGTTGCCCGCCAAAGTTTCAACTAAAATCAGTTAGCGAGAGGAGTAACATGAGCAAGAGTAGTACTCACTAGGCTGAGCCTGTTCGAGACTGATGATTTGCTCGTAGTTATAGAAATATTGAGCCAGCTCACTCTTACATCGAGAGCCGCTGTCTGTTGAACGCAAAGACCGTCTCTCTAAGCCACCCGACGGAGCAGCTGGCTCAGCTTCAGTCACTTCCTGGCCCTTGGTATGCTGTGACCTCGTTGGCCTCGCCGGGCTTCTCAACAGAGGCTGTTCAAGCTGTGAGGCGTTGCTATCATCCGTACCAAGACTGGCCAGCTCCGTTTTTGAGATTGTGTCACGGCGACGGGGCGGACGCGCTGTTGGGGATTCCAGGGGTTTAACATCGGCGCCAAGTGCCTGAGAGGGCTGCTTGGGGCGTGCCTTTGGGCCAGTGGTGCTGGCTACGGGCGAAATGGTATCCAACGGGTCCGGTGATTCGCGTGCATCGCGCAAGCGATCCAGTATAGAGGGCGTTTCACTGTCAGAAGGGCCTCGGGTCTTCAGACTCCCATTTCCATTCACGCGCGGATGGCCAGGGGTTCGAAATTGGTGTACGGACGCGATGGTGTCGACAGAAGAGCTGGATTGTCGACGAGCGCGCCGCGTCGAAGTGCGCGGTCGCGCCGCCTTCAAGGGGGGGGTTGGCCGGTCGAACTTTGGCGGCGACGGGAGGGATATCTTGCGTGGTAGTGAGGCAGTCTGGGGAGCTCCTGCGACGGCGAGGACGATGCTCGAACTGGGTGCGCTGCCTTTTCATTGGTGGTGCATGGCCGTCAATATCCGAGTGGTCGTCGGGGGTTCGTCGAAGAGAGCCACGGAGCAAAGGCCCCGACAGAAGAGCCATCGCTCGACAGATGGAACTGTGACAAGCTCTCAGTCTCGCATACTGCGACCAGAAGAGCAGGGGATGGCGAGCAAGGGTGGGTGAACTGGGCTGCAAAATCAGCGCGGTCCGGGAAGTCGTCAGGATCCGATGCGTAGACGAGGTTCTTGGCAGCTGGCGATGGTTGGAAACAAGATCGCAAACGCAAAGGGATATCACTTTGAACGACTATGGAAGACTACGAGATATTCCATATGCCACTTGAATCTACATCTGGTCCAAATATGTTTCCTCTTTTTGGCCCATCTGGTCAATATTGCAGCTACTTTCGTTCCTGTATCTCATCCGAACCTCGTATGTATAAGACGTCCGTGACTTCCTAGTCCGTACAAGAACCAGACAACGCCTCGTTACGAGACTCCCCAGGCATCAGAGTATGTCAATCTTCACTATTGACTTCAATTGACCTACGATCTGATCCATTCACGGCTTTTGTCTGGTAAGGACTGGATTCTGCAACCCCCCACGTCGAAACAGAGTGGGGGAATTCCTTCAGCCCATAGAGGGTCGAATTTCGACCAGGTCCAATGGCCGCCCTTGTTTCGTATGTAGGTGCAAGATTGAGTATACCGTATGCTCTCACCAAGATTATCCTGAGCACAGATGAAATCCCAAGCCAAAATACTATAGAGATCCAAAGGGCCCGTGTCTCCAACACGCAGCCCCGTTAACCCCGCATGAGGACGTGGGGGGAACGGGGTTCCTCCGCGTCAAGATCTGGCGAACAAGAGTGAGTAAATCCCACCAATTACCCAGCTTTGTCCCAGATGCGTGGGGGTTGATGATCCAGGATTCGTTATTTAGTCTGTACGCCGCCCCGGATTCCACCGCCGACCTGCTTGCGCTTTGCACACCTGTCCATGTAAGCGGTTGCCCACCCACTAAATAATGCGATTGACTGACTGTGAGAGGTGATAGAAATATCCAGGTAAAACCACCTCAAACGCACACAATGGCCACCGGAACCAGACGCAACCCCCTTCCTCAAGGGTTCTACGTCCCCACCGTGGCTTTCTTCAAGCCAGACGAGGAGGTCGACTTAGAAACCACAGCAAAGCATGCAGTCTTCCTAGCCCGCAGCGGGGTGACTGGTCTGGTGACCCAGGGTAGCAACGGTGAAGCAGTGCACTTGGACCGTGAAGAGCGCAAAGTCATCACAGCTGCTACTCGCCAGGCCGTGGATGCCGCTGGCTTCACCACGTTGCCCGTGATTGCCGGTGTTGGTGCGCCTTCCACGCGCGAGACCATCCAGTTCTCCAAGGATGCGGCCGATAGTGGCGCAGACGCGGTTCTGGTGCTGCCTCCCAGCTACTACAAGGGCTTGGTGAGCACCGAGGCTTTGCATGCCCACATCCTGGCTGTCGCTGATGCTTCTCCAATCCCTGTGCTCATCTATAACTTCCCTGGTGCCTCCGCAGGCCTCGATCTTTCGTCCGACGACATCCTGGCCCTGTCTAAGCATGACAACATCATCGGCACCAAGCTGACCTGTGGAAACACCGGCAAGCTGGCGCGCGTTGCGGCTTCCGCAAAACCAGGATTCTTGACCTTTGGTGGCTCTGCGGATTTCACTCTACAGACTCTGATTGCCGGCGGTGCTGGTATCATCGGTGGCCTGGGTAATGTGATCCCTCGGTCATGTGTCCGTGTGGGGGAGCTGTACCGTAATGGAAAGGTGGAGGAGGCGCAGAAACTGCAGGCGGTTGTTGCCCGTGCGGACTGGGCTGCCATTCACGGTGGATTCGTTGCTGTGAAGAGCGCCTTGCAAACCTACTACGGTTATGGCCTGCCACCTCGGCGTCCTACCGTTTCTCCCTCTGCGGAGTCTGCTGCGGCCATTAAGGAGGAGTTCCGCGAGAGTATGGAGGTCGAGAAGTCGTTGGAGAAGGTTTAAGAGGTCTGAGCCCACTGGGGCCTAAGGGGGTCGATTACGCAGTATGATACCTTTCTTTTCTTTAGCTGCTCTAGATCGAATCATAGAGGATTATCAGTATTATCAGAATACCCCACACTTTTCCTGGTCTTGGTAGATAACAGTCCAAGCCACTTGAGATGCCTCATGTCACGGTGGCATTCCTGGCTACCCACGTTCCGGGTAAGTTTCCCCTCGTTTAACCGTCGTGATAACGACCGTGGAAAACAAGATTACTGAGGCGTGTTTATTTATTTTTTTTTTCTTACCTCGACATGGAATCCCTTGCATCCGCGTGGTAATTCGAGCCACTTTATCTGCGGGAGATAAGCCTTTTTGGTTCCTGAAAGGCCAGTGGGTCTTTTGAGCTTACAGTTATGTGCAGAAAATGGCTAGAGCAAGGGGCCAAAACGCGGGATAAAGAAACACCAGAGGCGTCGACCTCATAAAAAGCAGCCAGCTGCCAATCGACCCGGGATGTATTCAGTATCTTCCGTACTTTAGATCACTTGAGATCACTTGAGGAACTCAGAGCAATCAGAACGTTATGGGCAGCCACCATCGTCAGATCGCAGCTTCCGATTGTTTAGGTTCTCGCCGTGTGGGGATCGATGTAACCTCTAGGGCGACGTTCCAGGACTAAGTGGCTGCGACAGGTGAAACGCCCACGCGTGCGGTTTGTTTACCGGCTTTCATTGGATTGGACTTGAGGCCGCAAGGATCTGGGAGAACTGGGGACACTTCGACATTTCGAATCTCTGCATTCCAGGAGATCGGCAGGGTAACGATCTGCATGTTTACTGGGCTCCAACTTAAGAACCCCGACCTCCCCTTCTTCTCTCACTTGACTCTTCTCTTTACCCACCACCTGATCGTCATGAAGTTCTCCTTGGTCCTAGGCGGCCTTGCTGCCTTGGCCTCGACGGCGGTGTCAGTTAAGGTGAATCCACTCCCCGCCCCTCGAAACATCACCTGGGGTTCGTCTGGTCCGATCCCCGTTGGGGACGTAATTCTCCGCACCTCCGACAGCCACCATCACAAGCACAAAATCGTCCGGCACGCGTGGGCCCGGGCCTGGGACACGATTACCGACCTAAAGTGGGTTCCCGCCGCCACCGAAGCGCCCATCGCCTCCTACGAACCCTTCCCGACCGGCGCCGGCCTCACCAAGCGCACCGCGGTCACGATTTCCTCGGTTCAAGTCTCCATTGTGGACGGAGATGCCGAATTACAGCATGGAGTGGACGAATCCTACACATTGGATGTTGCAGCTTCGTCTGGCAGCATAAAGATTCATGCGCAAACCCCTTGGGTGCGCTGCACGCGTTCACCACTCTGCAGCAACTGATCATCTCTGACGGCCGTGGCGGGTTGATCATTGAGCAGCCGGTTCATATCTGGGATGCCCCTCTCTACCCGTACCGTGGAATCATGCTCGATACGGGCCGCAACTTTATCACTGTTCCCAAGATCCTCGAGCAGATTGACGGCATGGCGCTATCCAAGCTGAACGTCCTGCACTGGCATTTGGACGATTCCCAATCGTGGCCAGTGGAAATGGAAACCTACCCGCAGATGACAAAGGACGCATTCTCGCCTCGAGAAATCTTCTCCAAGAGCGATATTCGGCGCGTCATTGGCTATGCTAAAGCTAGGGGTGTCCGTGTCATCCCCGAGGTGGATATGCCTGGTCACTCGGCCTCTGGCTGGCAGCAAGTGGATCCGCAGATGGTAGCTTGTGCACACTCTTGGTGGTCTAATGATGTCTATAAATACCACACATCCGTCGAGCCTAACCCCGGTCAGCTCGACATCATCTACAACAAGACATACGAAGTCGTTAAGGGTGTCTACGATGAACTCTCGGACATTTTCGAGGACAACTGGTTCCACGTTGGTGCTGACGAGCTCCAGACTAACTGCTATAATTTCAGCACCTACGTTACCAATTGGCTCACGGAGGATCCTTCCCGTACCTACAATGACCTGGTTCAATACTGGCTGGATCGAGCCCTTCCCATCTTCCGCGGCGCATCCCCGGATCGTCGTCTCATGATGTGGGAAGACGTATATCTCTCCGACCCCCACGGGACGGACGTTCCTCGTGACATCGTTCTGCAGACCTGGAATGGTGGGCTGACCAACATCAAGAAGCTCACCTCCAGTGGCTTCGATATCATTGTCTCCTCTTCCGACTTCCTCTACTTGGACTGCGGCCGTGGCGGCATCGTCTCGAATGATCCGCGCTATGACGTTCAGTCCAACCCCGACGGCGGCGTCAACTTCAACTATGGCGGCAACGGCGGGTCTTGGTGTGCCCCGTATAAGACCTGGCAGCGTATCTACGACTACGACTTCACCACCAACCTCACCAAGGCCGAAGCTAAGCACGTCCTTGGCGTTGAGGCGCCCCCTATGGTCCGAGCAGGTTGACTCTGTTACCGTCTCAAACGAGTTTTGGCCTCGTGCTGCTGCTCTCGGTGAGCTGGCATGGTCTGGCAACCGTGACGCCTCCGGCCGTAAGCGCACTACTTTACTCACCCAGCGTCTCCTCAACTTCCGCGAGTACCTCGTTGCAAACGGCGTTCAGGCTCAAGTCCTTCTTTCCAAGTACTGCATGCAGCATCCCCACGCATGCGATCTCTACTATAACCAGACCGTCATTACTTGATGTGCGTTTTTGGACCCTTTTGGACCGGAGTGCATCACTTCCAAGCTTTTTTTTTTTTCTTTCTTTTCCATTCTTATGTAAATAGATCCTTTACTGTTCGTGCGACCTTTGGATACTTAGATACCCAATACAATTGGAGGTCATTTTTTCTCTGAGCGAAGGCAAAGTCAAGTGACCCTACAAGGTCAATCCTCTACAATATGCCGCATCGGCTCTATCCTTCAACGTCCCGTCGTCACTCTGATCCTTATCACCCTCTTACCTGCACAATGCGTCAAGACGACCATTTCCCAAATTGGGACTATCGTCGAATCCCCCAATGCTGGTTCAGTCCTGGGATTCCAGCCACCATGTCCCACCCAAAAATCACGCGGAACGAGTAAGCCCTCCCAAAGTCAATTCGTTTCAGAATCGGTCCGGCCACTCTGCCCTATCATTGCTCGCCACTGATGTTGTGCGACACCCTGAAGCAAATCTCTGGGTACGAGGCTTTGCTCCCCATCGGTAGCCGACGTTGCACATGCGATCTGTGGCCCAGCACGTCAGATTTTCGCCACGGGATAGGTACCGTCTACAGAAAAGCATGGCCTGCGCGAGGTAGGACGAACCCCTGCCACTTTTCCCGTTATAGATGCCCCTCTGACAAACCCATACAAGACATCCCTAGGTATATACCTCGGCGCGATGTATTATCAACCAGTCCCCTTCCCTTCCTAGCTTTCTCCAGTTTCGCATTTCTTCGTATCCAAAACACCTGTCCAACGCCCTGGTTGCACCCAGGTTCCCAATTGAGCGACCCAGCTCGAGCAAAACCTCTCTTCGATCCCGCGTAGTCCTCTCTCTTCCATTCTGAACGCGCTGCACTCGCTTATTCTTCCCTGTCCATCCATGCCCCCCCTGAAGTTCTTGATGCCACCTCAACCGATTAGGTTGCATTATACTGGTATTGATTCCGCCCACGTTGTACGTAACCGTGGCCCGCCTAATCGTGTGCTACACGCCTCTGTTCGCAGTGATCGGATCTGAGAGCGCGATGTGCAGAACACGAGGTCGCTCCATCTGGCTTGAATTGAAGCTTGCCTGGGTGCGCCATGCAATTCTCCGACACTCGTGGTGGGCCCAAGATAGTGTATCGAGAGTCCTTGGTGTGGCTGTAGGACAGGCGTTTCAGTGTGATGACGGGGGTTTGATAGTTCATTGCGGTTGGTGCTGGGCCACGGCTTGTAGGGTAGGAATAGTGTCTAGTGGCCGGGGAGGCTAAGGCCGGATCATAAGCTTCGAGACTTTCGATATCGGGAATCGTTGCAAGGAAGCCTGTTCGCGATTATACTTCTCCCTCATGAGTGGACTTGCTACGGTGGCACGACATCTGGTTTTCTGGATTGGGAGTTACGGGCCCGTGACGATGTAGATGGTCCACCTTATGTTGGTTCTAATTCTAATGACTCTCACGAAACATCGACGCTTTGGCTAGGATGGGGGTCCAATCTGAATTCGGGTCAGAATCGGCAACGAAGGTCTCTGTTCCAGGTTGACTTCAAGTTGCTCACTTCGCATACCCAGAAATAGCTTCGGACCCGTGGATATATATCCCTGCACGAACCTTATGCGTACCTTCCCCTCGACTTCAGTGGTACTATTCAAGACTTTAAGAGTTCAGCATTTGGATATTATAGCGTAGACCTCGGGAATGTATCGATCTTCGACAGGAGAGATACTCCCCACCTGGATCGGGCTTTTTCGTCTGCGTCTGTCAGTGGTATTTGCCAGTTGGTGTTAACGATGTAGTAGAGTGAACCAAACCAGAGCCTTCAACTTCTACTCATGGGTTATCTAACTAATCGAGGGCTATATCAACAGAAACGTTGATAGAGAATAAGATTCCTATATTCGGAATGCTTTGTACAAGCTTTCCGTATGTTTCGCGCTTGCAACAATCTCTCTTGTTCTCCAAGTCCTGGGTGTCTATGATATCCGCACCCGCATTCTAATGTCTATTATTCAAGGTACCTCTCTGATGTCACGAGTCCTAATCGATACTGAAGCCTTCCATAATGATCCTGTAAAGCTACTGTAGCGCCTATATTGCTTTCCTCGTTCCATTCATATTGATCGAAGCATCCCAGGACCATTTCTTCGGGACCGGCATCTAAGTCCTGATAGGTAGACTTAATCGAAGCGATCACACCCGACCGCCAATAAGAATCTAGCATATTACTATCACACAGGGGACGATCAGGCCGATTTGGATCGAGTCCACAGACAGCGCATCGAACTATCACTTCCAGAAACACGACAAAAAAAGGAAAGAAAGCAAGAAACCAACCGCTGATCCTCTTGGGACGATTGAGCCAAAGCGTGCGCATTGGTCCCCTGCCCCTCGGCCTTCTCGTCCTGCTCAGCACTCCCGTCCCGGCGTGCATGAAAGTTCCCTCCCGAGGTCCCCCTGAGATCCATCCGGAAAGCAGAATAGGGGACTGCGGTTATCCTTAGGCCCCAACCTTAGGGCCTGGGGTGGCCGCTGTGGACCTGCGCAAGTTATGAGATGCACCTGGCATAACAGAATTTATGCAGTGTTACCTCGGAAATCAGGACCGATTATGACGTCTACCAGTAGGATCTGTCAATACGGACACCCGAACAGGAAAGAGCTAATCTGCAGGACCATGGCACAGCCTCAGACGAAGGGGGCCCAATGGAGCAGCCACGATGATGAATGCCCATAGGTTTAGCGGGGATCGGTTGCATTTTCCCCGGGGAAAGGATCTGGTGCTTTTCTGATCTGTGGCTCAGTCGCTGAGCCACAGGCTGTAATGTGACGGTACAGAACTAAATAAACACATGCGGAATCGGGCATGGAGCAGAGTGGGGAGTCCCCACGCGGGACCCGTCGAGGCCCAGAATTTCCAGGTCGAGATTTCAGGTTTGGATTCGGGTCGGAGATGCGTCATGCATCGATCGTATTTCCGGAGGGAGTCTTGTTTTACTTACTCCTATTGCCTATAGGAATGGGTGCAAAAAAAAAAGAAAAGAAAAGAAAAGAAAAGACTAGCAAGGATACCCATGTAGCGGGAGAAGCTTTCTTCCCGAAACGCGAAGCCTATTGTCACCCTGCCAAGCCGGCAGGTCACGTGGCAAGCCCCCTCTAGATAGCTTCTTAGCACAATACGAATAAACTATCATTCATCGCTCTAGCTACGGCCACAAATTGGTAGCATTGCCCGGTTCGTAAGCTCCAAGGGATCTCTGGAGCCAAAAATTCCTCTGTTTTTCTGTTTTTTCCAAAATTTTCGACAACAAGCTCAACTCCTCGAGTTTTCGGGAGCCACGAGCTGATCTGAGAGACACGTCGCGTCGCTCACCCCACCTCCACCTTCTATCCCCACTCTATACGCCCGCCTACCCAATCAGCTAGCACAGGCCCCTGTCGATCCGAATCACAGGATACCCTAACTATCAAAAAGAACAAGGCAAATAATTGATGACCACTACCATCGACGATCGTCAGCTTCGTCGAGTGATCGAGCTTGCACACCAGTTCCAAGCCTACACGGAAGGAGCGCACATCTGGTCACGCAAGTTCGATCTACGTACGCAAGCACGAATTGGCCACCTGGTCACTTCTTACCCCGCCCCACCCGCTACCAACGACCCATTCCCACCAAGCTGGGGTGTTGATCGTTCTAGCCTGTCTGGTACTGTCAAAGAATTCCTTACAATTACCGACAAGCTAGTGGAGACTTCACAGCTCTCGCCAGCTTCTGGGTCTGAGCCAGAAAATCCCCTAGGGAAGCGAGCAAGAACCAAACCCCGGTCACGCATGACATCCCTACCAGATCCAAAGCCAGGCCCAGCAACAAGTGACTCTTTCTCGGGCTACCGTGAGCCTCAGACAAGCCCCAGCCCAGACACCACTCCGCGTCGACCACGGCTAGTGATTGACCGTACTCACCGACCGACCTCCCTGTTCACTACACCCCCTCAAGCTACAGACACTACAAGCCAGGAGTCTGAGCGCTCCCAGGCACATATTGACTACCATCTTGCCCTACCGCCAAGTACCGGAAACACACCAAGCACAACCCCCGCCCTACAGCGCGAGATACTGGGAATGTCAAATCCAAGCCTCCCACCCGGCTTCCAAGCCACAGCAACAGCGAATGACCACTCCCAGGGTCCAAACACCCCACTAACCGCGGACACGCCACTCACTGTCGGCACTGCAATGCATATCTTCCGGCAAATCCTCCGCGAGGAGCGTACGCACGAGCCACAGCCCCGACAAGGCCGCCAAGGCCCAATGGGACCCCCTGGTGACATGGGCCCGCCCGGCCCCCCGGGTCCACAAGGCTCAGCCGGCATCCAAGGCCCAGAAGGCCAACCTGTGCTCGCCTCGCCAGACACTTCTTGGAAGCCCAGTGACATCGGGCTGTTTAACCCAGAAGCTAGAGACCCTAATGGCGAAGGGGTGGTTACAATCTCCAACGTGACTAACTACAAAGATGTCTTTATCTTCATCGACCGGATGAAGGACCTCATCCCTACCAAGTCCGAAGAGATCGTACGAGCCAACCTAGCAAGCTGTCTACGCGGCTCAGCGCTAGGATGGTACTCATCTCAACTCTCTGAGCTTGAACGTACCGCTCTACGCTCCAACCCCGTGGACTCTCCCGTAGGATGGTTCCAAACTCTCGAGGCTAAGTTCCGGCCCCCCACGTTCGGACCTTCTCTACCAGTTTAATACGTTGACATACACCAAGCGCGATATCCGCGACGGCACGCCAATCCGGGTATACGTTCAGCGGATGCTACGTCTAGCCAGAGGCCTGGGACACAGCTCCCTGTACGACCAAATGATCCATATCCGCCAAGGTATCGAAGGAGATCTCCGCCGCGACGTACCTCTCCCAACAGAGACAACGTCTATGGCAACCTTTATCCAAGGTCTCGAGATGACTTACCTAGACTGGAAGGACGCAGTAGAAGACCGTGCCAAGATCTACCGTCAATATCGACAGCGTATGTCGGACCCCCAACGCCAGCAACGACGTTCCAGTCAACCGCCGGCGGCCTCTAATCCCCAGGACTTGCGATACAGGACTGACATAAACCAGCGGCGACCTGCCAACCCACAGTGGAATCCTAGACAAAGGGCCGACCAGCCCTACCAACGTCCAACATATGGCTACCAGGGCCAGCGTGCCCCCCAACAATATGGTTACCAGAACCAAGTCCAGCAGTATAACCAGTCGCGCTATAACCAAGGCCCACAGCAAGCCACCGCACAACAACCACGCCAACCATGGAACCAGAACCAGCGCCAGCAGCCGGATCGCCCGCAAGGTCGGCAGAATGACCAGACCAATTGGCAACAGGATAGGAAGCCATGGGATAGCAACAAACCGCGCGCCTACATCGCAGACACACAGGACGCCCAAGCCGAGGAGGAAGCCGGAGAAGAATACCATGCCGACGACCAAGATATCGACTGCTACGACGAGGCCATCTATGGCGACGAGCCGGAAAACGACCAGGAAGCCTACATGGCTCATCAGGATGATGCTGCCTATGAGGACCAGAGCTTCGAGCCTACAGCGCAGAACTGCACACCTGAATTCTCAGTAACTTGCCGTCACTGTCAACAGGGATACACGTCTAACGCGGCTTTGCATGTCCACCTATCTACATGCAAGCCACAGGCGGCGGCCGACCTGCCGTTCGAAGCCACAGCATATATGGCTACTAACCTCCCGGTCATCAAATCCGACAAAACAACATACCAGGAACCTGGTTATGCCTACCGCTCATGGCGTTACGCAACCGCCGCAATAGGACTAAATACCCGGGACAATGTAGTGATGTGCTGCCTAGACTCTGGCTGCGTCATGACCCTCATCGACTCGGCGCTGGCCAAGGACCTCAACGTCCCTATCCACAAGATCAAGCCTATCCCCGTCAGCGGCATCGGATCACAGCATATTTCGGATGCATACGTTAAGCTAACCCTCCAATTCTACGGGCCTAAAGCCACAGCCGAAGTCCACGCAGAAGCCCACCTTGTCGACGGACTACGCGCGAAACTCTTGCTTGGAATCGATGTCATGGGCGCCGAAGGCTTCAAATTGGATTTCGAACGGAGACAAGCTACGATCGCCTCCTGCCAGGACACGGTTTTCCCTATAGGCCTGCAAGCTAAGCCAAATCATGTCGCAACAAGGCCAGTCTATGCGGCTGCCCAGGTTATCATCCCTCCATACTCCACAGCAAACGTCCCAATCCGCATCAAAACCAAACTCCCCGACAATAGGGACTACGTCTTCGACCCATCCGCTACACAGTGCTATGTGCAAGCATCTATCGTTGACGCCAACTTCACATACATCCCTTTTACGAATAAAACAGACACTCGACGAGTCATCCCCGTCGGAGCCGTATCGGAACGCTACAAGAAGCAGACTTTGCAATGGCGTGCCAAATCTCGCCCGAATTCGCTCCAATGGCAACTCGGCCCCCACAAGCCGAACGAAGAGTGAATATCTCAACCCACACACATAACCTACAAACTGTGCTCCCAAACGGCGTAACCATCTATGGCAAGCCGCGAGTAGTCCAAAAGCTCCAAACAGTGATTGAAACATACGATATCTGGGGACATCCCCAGCTGGCAGACATTCCGATGGAGCAATGGATGCGTATTCCAATGATCCCAGGATGGGAAGACAAGGTGCCGAAGCCACAAATTTACAAATGTGGCACGGCAGACCGCGCCGAAATCGACAAGCTCTTTGACTCGCTCCAGGCTGACGGTAAGCTCAAACGTGCTAAGTCACATACGCCAAGCGGATACCCAGTATTTGTCGTGTGGAAGTGGAAGACAGACGACAAGGGCGGCCGTCAGCGTATCGGCCGTGTCGTGGTAGACCTCCGGGCACAGAACAGGCTCGTTGTCAAAGACATCTACCCCTTACCGACCCAAGCCGATATTATCGCCATCACCCAGGGTAAACAGTACATATCCGTCTTCGACGCGGCAAAGTGCTTCTACCAGTGGCCAATTCACCCCGACGATGTGGGACAGATGGCGGTAATTACCCACCGAGGCCAAGAGGTATTCCAAGTCGCGATAATGGGCTTTTGTAACTCCGTTGCCTATGTCCAGCGAGTCATGGATAATATCCTGCGGGAGTTCTGCGCATGGTGTCGTGTTTATATCGACGATATAGTCACGGCATCTGACACCATCCAAGCCCACATAGAGCACCTGCACTTGTTGCTCCATAGGCTGCAAGAGTTCAACATCCATTTAGAACCCAAGAAGGCATTTATTGGATTCCCCTCCATTACCTTGCTTGGGCAACAAGTGGACTCACTGGGGATGACCACCAAAGCGGACAAGCTCCAGGCCATCACAAGCCTACAATTCCCCCGAACATTGAAGCAACTGGAAACCTACCTCGGCCTCACAGGCGCTTACCGACATTATATCGCAAAATACGCAAGCAAGGCCGAGCCGCTACAAAAGCGCAAAACGCTCCTTCTCAAGGACGCGCCGTCTAAGGGCGCCGCACGCCGTAACCTCTCTATGCGCACTATACTGGACGAGCCATCGAAGGAGGAGCTGGAAGCTTTTGCAACCCTCCAAGCTGAATTCACCAAGGCGCCCTGGCTGGCACACCACGATCCACATCGACGCCTATACGCCGATCTTGATGCCTCCAAGGAACAGGGACACGGGGTGGTGCTATTCCACATAAAGGCAGAATATGATCACAAGGACCTTGCAAAGCCCCCACCATTCACGGCGGTGCAGCCGATTATGTTCCTAAGCCGCCTACTATCCACCGCCGAGAAGAATTACTGGCCAACCGAACTGGAAGTCTCATGTCTGGTGTGGACCCTGCGCAAGGCCCGCCATCTATTCGAAGCCGCTCCAGCAGACCTCCCGCCAGTCATCTACACGGACCATAGTGGCACAGTCACTATCGCAACAAGCTCCAGCCTGAAGTCAGCAAACTCGGACAATTTGAACCTTCGCCTTGTCAGGGCATCGCAATTTATCCAACAATTTCGTGTCCTAATACACCACCGCCCAGGCGTAGGGAACAAGGTCGCAGACGCGCTTTCGAGACTACCAAGCTCCAAACCTACAAAGCCACGCGCTGACGAGGGCGATCTCGACTCGCTATGGTGCAATCCTAGACCACCAGATGAACTAGACGACAAGCTCACCTCAATCCCCGACGACGAAATGATAGCGTTCGCGGCGACAGTCCAAGCTACCGCGTATCCTGTAGACACAGACGGAGACCTCACGCTCACATCCTCTATCATGCTCCTGTCCGAAGAGTTTAAAAGACGGATCGTCCAAGCCTACACCGATGATACCCGTCTCTCGCGCATTGTCGAAACCCTACGGGACAATGAGGACGACCCGGTCCCAACGAGATTGCCGTACGAGATGGATGGCGACCTGTTATACATGCGCCAAGCCTCAGGAGAAAAGTCACTCTGCCTCCCGCAATCTATGACAGGCGAGATTTTCAATATTATCCATGATCAACAGGGCCACCAAGGCATAGATAGGTGTTGGGCGAAAATGCGCGGTGTTTGCTTCTATAAGGGGCTAAAGCTCCTAAAGGAATATATCGCTAGATGTCCTGAATGTCTCACCAACGCGGTACACCGTCACCGCCCGTACGGAAGCCTCCAGCCTATTGTTGCCCCCCCAATTCCATTCCACACACTGACAGTGGATATCGTCACTGGGTTGCCAACCTCGCATGACGACCGGGATGCCATGATGTCAGTTACCGACAAGTTCACCAAGCGGGTAGGCTACATCCCAGGCAGGGCGGACTGGACTGGCGAGCAGTGGGCCAAGCCCCTGCTAGACATGTTTATGCTAGGCGACTGGGGCCTACCGACGGTGATAATCTCAGATAGGGACCCGAAATTCGTGCAAGGCCTCTGGGCAGCCATATTCACCATCCTAGGCGTAAGCCTCTTATACACCACAGCATACCACCCTCGCGCCGACGGCCAATCCGAGAGATCGAACCAGGTCGCGGAGATTGCCCTACGACACTGGGTCTCAACCCACCCAGCCGAAATCTCCGACTGGCCAAGGGCATTACCCCACCTCCAAGCGTCAATGAACGCTTCTACCAGCGCGGCTACTGGCCATACCCCCCCACAAGTTGATGTACGGCATCGAACTGCGACAAGCCTGGGACATGATGCCCCAAGCATTTGACCACGACAGAAGCTTCAAAGCTCGTTTAGATGCGGAGCAATCGCTGGCATACGCGGCGACCCAAATGAAGTATTACTTCGACCGAACACACAAGCCGATATACTTCCAGCCTGGTGACTGGGTTTATCTTAAGCTGTCTACAGACCCCCAAAAGCCCGGGTACACAATTCCAGCCAACGATGAACGACCAAGGAAGTTCCGACAACGATACGTCGGCCGCTTCAAGATACTCCACCGAGTCGGCCGATTGGCTTATAAGCTCGATTTCCCTCCCACGTGGCGCCGCCATCCAGTAGTCAGCGTCGAGCACCTGGAAAAATGCCCACAGGGTGCAGACCCGTGGAACCGCCAAACAAACGACGAGAACCACCTACCTATGGAAGACGAAAGGTTCCCAGACGAGACGAGACACGAAGTCGAGCGGATACTCGCAAAGAGGACCACTAAGCCCCGTGGTCGCCCCCGTGCAGACGGAGCTGCGAGACAACCCACCACTAAATATCTGGTAAGGTGGAAAGGACAATCCGCGCGAGAGGACCAATGGGTAGCAGCAGAGGATATTGCAGCGGACGAACTTATCTCGGAGTTCGAAGCCACCCACCAACCTGGCCCTTCCAACACCTCTCACCAACCCGGTCCAGCCAGGACCTAACCAGCTCGACATCCTTCCTACCACTTATCCTTTCGACCGCATAGCGATAGTACATGACCTTATTTCTTAGCCACTTACCTGACCTTGTTTTACTTTCAACCTTACCTTCAAGCTATTTCCTGACCACCTACCTACCTTACCTTACCTCACCGGTAACTCACCATACTCTCACTCTGCTTTACCAACTCTCACTCTATTCCACTATATCCCATACAAGATGACGACCCAGCAAGAAGCCTTTAGGCAACAGATACAGAATCTCTTACAGAATGAGAGACAGAGCCAACATGAAATAAACCAGCAAGGAAGCAATGAGACGGATGAACCGAACAGCGAAGCGCAAGACTCGATAGTGCAAAGCAACGAGACAAACCCTGGCAGCGAAAGGAGCGACAGGACGCAGGAGAGAACCCGTAGGCAACGCTACAAGAAGAAAGCAGTGGCGTACAACCGCCAAGTCACAGACGCATTCTGTACACAAGCCGACCGACCGTCGGTCGAGGAATTCATTGCTAAGGAGATCGCTAGATGGCGTGACAAGCCTAACCGCGGCAACTCTGAGAACGCCCTCCCAAGGTGCACAGAAATGGTTTTTTGTTGAGGGGAAATACCAGTTACCCCCAGCCATGCACAAGCTCTCAGACGAGCACGTGTATATGGTGACAAAAACCCTTTCCGCCAAGGCGCGCTGCGCACGGCGCTGGACAGAGGATTTTAATGCAACTGGCGACATCCGGGCCGAGCGTATCCCGCTCGACCCCAGCCCTTTGTTTTACGTTTTCGGGGTCCCGTGTATAGCCCTCTATCGCGGCTATTACATCCTGGCCGGCTCCCGAGGTCCCGAGCTCTATGGCGTACTAGCAAATGTTAAAAACAACGCAACAATCAAAGCAGCGCAGAGGGATTGGTTATTAGGCCCGATTCTAGCATCAGAAGACTTCACCAGTGCCCAACGAAACCTGACACGGATATATCATGATGAAACAGGTGAAAGGATCACCACTAAGGTACAGGCACACGGCACAATCGTATCGACGGACGCGCTACTCCCAAGCGAGCGGACCAGTCAAGCGTGTAAAGCACGTTTCGACCGAATCATCACGAGCGTATTCGACCTCAGCCTTATTAGCGGTGGCGACGGCAAGCCCTCTTTCGCACGTATCATTGATCATCCAGCTTTTACCAGGAAGACGCATACGACCCATCCCTTAGTGACCGAAACCCCCCAAAGCTGACTACCAATCCCAGGGGCAGGCGCTCGCTATAGAGCTGCTCAGAGAGACAAACCCAGTACTGGAAGACCTAATCAATAAGCTCCAAACCGTCGCAGCCACCACCCCAGCGGCAGACTATAAGGCACAGTTCCCAGCGCTTACGAAAAGTCTCGACCTTATAGCAGGCATCCAAAAGGATATACAAGCCGTCGACGAGCGTTACAGGGATGCTTTAGCAACTTGGAGGGAAATAGAGGCTGAGCTTATGACAACGCAACCTGGGCCGAGAGCAATGGCTGTCCTGTCTACCATCGCCAAGCCAATACGCGACAACCTCGCCATGCTGGCAAATCTCAAGGCCATATATGGCACACCAGCAGACGTAGAAGCAAGCCTCTACAGGCCAGGGTATTTCAACGAAGAAGCCGAAGCGCCGCCCGGAAACACAGGCACCAACGAAGAAGCCGAAGCGCCACCCGGAAACACAGGCGCCATAAACTACGTGTGCTATCCTGGCGAAGAAGATGAACTTTTCAGGAACCGACAGACCAATTAACCCGTCGTTTCTGTTGCCTTCCCCTTCGTTTTCTTTCCTCGCGCATCGGGACGATGCTGTTTTTTGTTTGGGGCGAACTGTCACCCTGCCAAGCCGGCAGGTCACGTGGCAAGCCCCCTCTAGATAGCTTCTTAGCACAATACGAATAAACTATCATTCATCGCTCTAGCTACGGCCACACCTATCGAGTCCACTCACTAGACCGTGGGAAGGGAAAAAATATATGCGGTGAACACCGAGCAGTGATAGATCCAAAATGTCAGAAAAGCTAATCCCCAGTCCTCGATCGTGCAGCGCACATCTTCGGCGCTTATGCAGACCCCAACTTTTCGATTTCCGAGCTCCTACCCGATAGTCACAGCCAATGTGAGGCGTAGACAGGCTGTGACAGCGGCCGTCCCTAGTGCGCTGCATGATATGCCAGCTCTGATGATCCCCCTCAACACTGTACGATGGCTTGCAACTCGTGCTTCTGCTTTCGCACCTTTACAAGCCTTGGATATTCCCGAAGGGTATCTGTACAGAACGCTTAGACTCCCCTCTCTGAGTGGAGCGCGATCGGGAATCATCGGCTTCAAGCTCTGGCCCATTATCATCGCAGCATCACTAGAAATGTCTCCCAGGACCGGTAATTGCGTATACTCGCTTGCGCGGTAATACCTTTGTTATCCTCGAGCTTGCTGAATCTTGTGACTACTCGATGATTTGGGTCGGCCGGTTACACAGAACCAGAACAGGGTGCAAAAAGATGATCCGGCGATCATTTGGCTGCAACAGAGAGGCAACTGTGCCCGGCTGCAGTTGATGAGCCCCCCCCCTCCCCAATACCCCAATATCACCCACTGGTCTCATCACGATGCTAGAAATTACTATAGTTACAATACCAGCGCCCCCGCCCCCCCCCAACTCGCCATGGAGCAGCTCAAGTGCTCTGCTTTCCGCTTCCACCTTGGAACGTTTGGCGTCAAACCACAGGGCACGCTAAAGTAAGAGACCGGTGTTCACCCGGAGCCAGATCACCTTCGTCGATCATAGCTCGTGCATCGTGATGTCATGCGCAGCAGTGCCAGACATTTCCCAAGCATGTCTCAACACCAACCTGATCGGGACTAGAAGAGTAAGGCGGTACAAGAGAGGGGAAGCTGTCTGATTTGCCTTTCGTGGCGATGCACGCCCCCCCCAGATGCTATAGAGTGCATTCCCGAATACCTGTAGATCCCGACTTCTTTCTCCCTACGAGCCGGTGTTGTCGCGGCCAAAAGGGGGAGTCGACACATCCTGGAGCCTATCTTGCGTCAATAGTGCTGTTCGCCCGCATTGGCGGGAAGAATGATTGGGCTGCAGTGCGCCTCGTGGGGTTTAGCTCGACCCGGGTGACGGTCGTGCCCGCAGCTCCCGAGGGAAAGACAGCATGGGGGGGGTAAGGACAACTGTATGCAATAACGATCGAGGAATGGTCATTGGCGAGAAATAGCCGGAACCCTTCTCGATCACCATATTGACAGGCTGTGACTTGTACCCGCTTGTATCTGTACGCTGTGCTTTAAGCAGCACAGCGTGTTGGGTGTTCTAGGATCTGCACTCATTGGGGTCCCTGTACGGTTCTGAGATCATCCCGGTGCACTTGACGGGCGCAAAGCGTGTAACCTAATTTGGTATAACCACCAACATTCTATGAGATATTATTCAACTTCCCTGGTCGTGATTCTCCACCTGCTATTTCCGGGTCACATGGTTGGCGATTGGAAGGGTCGGTCCGCGATCCACAGTCCACGGCATCTTGTCTCATTCCATGGACCCAACAGTTTCTGTGCCGCTGCAATGAAACAGGGGAAGCCCATGGCGCTATAGAAACGGGGGGTGACGCGGTCGAACAGCGCCAAGGTAAGCAAGGCGAAGGTTCAAAGGGGAAAGGGTGGATGGCGATCGCGAATCTAGAATGGGCGGCACCCTGATGCTTCCCAAGTCTGAACAAGGAGGTAAAATTTGGGTTGCCCTCATGCCATTTTACCCGGGTCGCGCTCGTAAAAGTTCTCCAACGAGAAAGGTAGAAAGGGGGTTCGCGCTAAGTCTCCGTTCCAAGAAATTGGGCCGCTCCACCGACAGGGATCTTGTCCAGAGCAAGCAAGCATGTTGATACGCAGTACTCCGTACTTCCACCATGATGTTGGAGCTCACCGGACCTCTCCGCGTGGAGCTTTTCGTGATTCCATGGTCCAGTGGATCCAGGTAGTTCCATAGCGGGACAAAGCGTATCGCCGCTCCGTATCGCCGACAGACTTCTACCTGACTCGTGTAGTTGCTTGGACCCCGAATTAAGCCTCATTGTTAATTTAAGTCTTACCACGGCGGTGGGACAGGCTACACTCACCTGGGCATCTGGTCGGGGTTGTATGTAAACGCCTGCCAGCCGAGTGTCTACATCGCCGTGCGCGCATCATAAAAAAGAAAAGTAATACTGCTGGGACCCAGGATGAACTTGAATGAGGCAGGTGCCAGAATCTGAGACATGGAGGAAGGATTTGCTTATCGCTCTGCGAGTCATGAGTAGAGTTGAAAATGGAAGGAGGGAAAAAAAAAAGAAAAAAGAAGGATGGGAGTTGAATAGCGCCAAGGACTGCTTATCGGGGAGTTCAACGCACAAGATGCCTATCCTGGTATACCAAAAAGCAAAGGGGTGGCGAGAGCAATGAATGAGTGGGAAAGATAAAGGTGAATTGGCAGAACTTACCGGCTCACAGACCACAGTGTAGATCAATTTCGGCATGACAGTGGCTGAAAATAGGTTTTGCACCCCTTCCAAAAGCCGGCGAACCGCCAAGAACTGCCCAATCAATACCCACCTCAACTTTGAGTCTTTACATCGTAGGTCTAGAATTGCCGCCGCGTCATGCGTTTGAGTTTGAACCCGGAGCTCTAACTCTCTTGGGGCGAGTAAGCAAAAAAGGCCCCCTCGAATGCCAGTGTTGGTGTGGGGCGGTTATCTTAGGTAGCCTGTCATGTCAGACGTTAGTGACCGTAGTGCCTTGTACTAGCAGTGACACCTGTACGACGGTTGGGACGACCCCAGGAGTTTCAACTTGATTATGCTATCTCGAGTGATCGAAGCGGTCCTTTTTCTGACCGGGGTAAACCTGGAGCGTTCTACCTTAGGTTTAACGTGAGGTGTGTTTGAGATACATACACCGGGATCGCATCTTGAAACAAGCAAGCCTGCAGGATTACAATACTAAGCCCATTAAGACCACCCTCGGGTCCGGGGCAAGGGGCGAACTTGGTACGTGGCAAGTCTTCTGCAAACGCCCGTGAGGCTCTAAAGCACATGGGCGTCGAATTCTGCACTCCTGATACATCGCGCCCTCGGGTTTTACACAAATGTTGGGACCGGGGAGCGAGGCCACGTGTGCCAAGGAGATAATACTGCACAACCATGCAGGGCCCAGGATGAAACCACGTTGTCTGGCAAAGATGAGCATGGGGCCGAAGAGCATGTATCCAGGACCAGGCTGTCTTATTAGTTGAACAAGATGTCAAAGCTTAGGGTGCATGCCTTTCGCGACGCATGCAACCCCAGATGCCCGTGGAAAATGGGGTCCATGACTCTGGTTAATCATTGGAGCTGGGGTCTGAAACAGGCGCCGCATTTTGGTGGGTGTCCACGTAACCGTCGTTCTTGCGAATGAAAGTCGGCGGGCGAGCCAGTTCGGCAATAAGAAAAGCGTTGACCACTTGGTATACGGTCCGGGGATAACCACTAAGGGAAATGAGGAAACGAGTCGCGTTACGGTACGAACAGGAAAAACTTTGCGTTCTTGTGCCCAATACACAGCCAAAGACAAGTACTTTGGTTATAGGCAGAATCAAGTAAGACCCCGGAAGCATCAACTCCCGGGCTTGGACAAACCTGAAAAAAAAAAACAAAGAAACGAAACCGCATTCTGCATATTCCAGAACCAGCATCCCGGAGCCACGGTCAAGGATGCTATACGGGGCGCACAAGCCCCTGCCCGTTTCGTGTGCTGTTTTTAGAACGGCCACATGGACGACCGGGGAGTTTAGTTCAGACGGTATTTTGGTAGGGCTGGGAGCTTTGGGCTAGTCACGCGCATCACCAGTTTGAGGGCGTGTTCTGGCGATCGCGGCCTCTTATTTTGGAGACCCGAATGTTTAACTCCGACCTTGTATGCACCCGTGATGGGCAGCCGCGTCTGCCTTGGATCTCGCCCCTCCGTATATTCTTAGAATCATGGTGTCGGGGTGATTGCCATGGTGTAGGATCCTCTAAGAGTCCGGGGGAGGCAAGGACATGGCATAGTCCCACGTGGTGCTTGATGTTATTCTTGGCTTTTGCCCGCAGTGGGACCAAGGTCTGGTCCGGGGATAAGTCCCAGGTAGCCTACAAGACCCTGGCCTGGAGTTTAAGGTGTATCTCCGGATTACTGAACACATTCTATTCGCGGTTTAACTTTTTATTTTTATTTTTAAATTATTCTTGATTTGAGTTTACCCCCCCTAGAGATATCCGGAATTCCTGTAGGGCTGGCGCGGTAGCCCCTGAATTTTTTCTTCTCAAGGCCCGTGAGGGCGGGCGAAGCCGACCCCAGCGGGCTCGACATGGGCCCGTAATCGGACCGTGCTTCTCGAAAGCAAGCTTTCAGCCCTGTGGCTCCAGAGGAAATGAAATTACTTACAGAGTCAGTATGAAGAATGGAGGGCCTGATTAACATGGCTCGGGGAGGCCGATCCTGCAGGATCCTCAGCAGGACAAAAGGGCTGAATGGATGTTAGAAATTCCCGAGACCATGGCGACGGCCAAGCGGGAACTGACTGATAGGCCCGTTTAATCATCCTTTTTATTTTCCCACCCCAGCGACGACGACCCTATCAGGGGCAGCCGGACGGTTATTGAACGGGCCTTGCTGGGGGTGACGGGGGGGGGCCGGACAGCTGGCAAGACTAGCCTATCTGGTAGAGTCTAAAGCCGAAAGCCAGATTGGATCCTGGGGAGACTGTTCATCACACGTGCGTGCAGCGAGGGACAACCCGGACGAGCCACTTCTGGGACATGATTGGCCAATGGCTACCGTCAGCCCTGTTGTTTCAGGATAGGGACACGCTGCCAGAGAGACGGAACGGCCCAACAGTCTTCTCCGAGCCCGTAAGACGTCAAAATCCTCGTAAAGGGTAAAGAGAGCACTGCCACCGTGGATTCGTTGATGGAACGTCGGAAGCCGGTGGAGATTGTGTAAGTGGGGATGTTATACGGGTGAGATCAGTACGGCCACCCGTGAGAATTAACCATAAACTCTCTAGTGTAATTTGCAGCGGCCATAGGGCAGGGGGTTTAGGGGGCAAGGACCCGATGCCCGATGGCTCGAGACCGCCAGAGTCAGGGCAGAGAGAGATGATGGGAGTTTTTCCCCAGGGGACTAGAAGCGGGAAACAAGAATGGTTAAGCTCGATGCGAAGGACCAATGTATCAAGTTGCCATGATCTCATATTTTCCAAGCGTTCATAATCTTGCCGGGATCGCCGACAGATCGGTTTTGACAGCGGTGTATCACCCTCTGTGCTGCGCCTCAGTGTAGTGGCTCTTCGTGCGTCTGTCCAATCGCATCCCGACTTGGTCCAGTCCATTAGCCTAAGAGGGAATGTGGAGCACACTATATGTGGCTATGACGGGGGTTTTGGCGCTAATTTGCTCGCTGGCGCGCTCTTCTTCACCGACCTGGCCCTGGCCGTGACGGCGTCTCCGAACCTAATGGCTTTGCGTACTCGCTAGGGCTGCAGCATGGCGCAAGTAATTGAAATCTAAACCCACACCCCATGTTTTCTGTGGCTCAAGCTCACATCTGGGATTGGCTGTAATCGCCTTTTCCGGCTTGGCCTAACCTTTAGAGCAGCAAGGTTCTCTCGGAGCCGAAAAAAAAAAAAGGCACCGGGGAGTTTATTGACTTGGGGTATTATGGAAACGAGGTAAACCTCGAAAACAAAGTTATGCGGGACCCCCGAAATGTTCTCTGGCATGGATTTTTCCTTCTATCGCATACAATGACCCCACCTTCGTATATTTTTCTCTTCTCCATCGCAGGCCTCCAGAGCAAGAGGTCCGGGGGATGAGGCGGAAAGACAAGTACTCAACCCAATGGATTTGGGAGACCCGGGCTACGTGGCCCCCCATGTTGATGCAAGAGCCTGTTCTCAACACGCCCAGCGGCCAAGAATCTGAAGTGACTAGGGTAAAGACGAGGACGGTCCAAATGGCAATGGAACGAACTCTATGCGGCTCTTACAGCGTAACGACAGCGAGCCCGACCAGATGATCGCCAGCAGGTCGAGACCGAATGGGTTAGCGTGGCCCCAGAGAAGTCGCAAACCCACCCATCCGCACGACCCGTCTTCCAAAAGCCCCTCTAGCGCCTTCGATTGGTACGGCCTTGCACGGCCTCATTTGGTTTTCATTTGCCTAGATTGACCCCTGGCCCAATCATAGTGCGTCGTGCTCCATCCTCTCCTACCATGAAATCCGGGTCTTGTGGGGAACCCGACTACAGATGAGCCCAAGGATCGCCAACCAAAGCCGTGGGAATGACTTGATTATCTATGCCATTATCCCAACAGGGAAAGAGAACGATTTTCTTCCATTTTCTAGATCGCCGGGTCTCCCCTTTCTCGGATGCCCTTTCTGCTGCTTTTGATTTGATGGTGCGATTGGCGTCGGCCCATGGTGTCGGGTCGTCTTCTGAAGCCTCCATGTAACATTGTCAGATTCTTCACAAGAGACGCCTTGGGTCGGCAAGGAATGCGACTTCGAATCCATAGCCTCGTATTCGGAAGGTGGACGCCAGAACCCCGGGACTATCGACGATTGATCCACGATCCGCCGACGGGAACAACCATAGGGCTAGTACGCGGATGACAAGTAGCGATTTATCTGGTTGTTATTGCCTTATTGCCGCCTGGGGGCTCCCATACGCTTCGAGGCCGCAGGGACGACTCCTGAACAGAGCGTTTTGACAGGTAAAATGACTCGACTTTTCCCATCCTTCCGTGCTCCCGTACTTCCGTCCCCTGGGGATGTGGGGACTTGTACTTCTTCTTTACTCTCCAGCATAACTGGCCCTGTGATATTAGGTGACCGAACTACACTATACCGTTATGCTCTTGACAGATTTGACAAATGCTGGTCCTTTTTTTTTTTGTTTTTGCCCACTCCACCTTGGACACTATTGGCGACGATGCAGGTACTTTCGGGTGCGTGATGGGTACTTGGAATGACGCGGGAGGTCCGGGGGTCCGGGAATCTCGTAGGCAGAATTAAAAAAGAAAAGAAAAGAAAATCATTTAAAGCGAGAATAAGGAGAAGTGGATAAGATGGTCAAGAAGGGGAGTGCATGGCCGAGCAACGACCAATATTACCAAGATTACCGCGGGAGGCCTGACACCTGGCAGGAGGCTGAGCGTATGTACCATCTGCTACGCCGTAGAGCATCTAAAGTAGTTGGCGCGATATAGAGAACGAGCCGGGGAGGACAGATTGGCAAGCCCTCGGCCCGGGGCCAATAAGGGGGGGACGACTGGATCTCTTTCAACCGAATCTGCGAGTTTACCGTGTATCGTACTGGCCAGAGCACAGATTCCAATTTTGTCATTGACTCCACCCGCGTGCAGGCGCTAAGCCTGCCTTTCTCGTCCCTGCCCATCGCCCCGGCGGTCATCGGTGGTTCTTGAGGGACTGGTTCGTGCCGCAATAATACGTATTGTTCGTAATTTTGCCTTTTTTCCCATTTTCCATTTTCCATTTTCCCTTTCCTCTTTTCCCTTTTCGCTATTTCTATGATGAGTCAAAATTTATTATTCAACCCAGAATTATTATTATTATTATTATTATAATTTTTTTTTTTTTAATTTTTATTCCATTTTCTTTTAGCCTTTCGCTCGTTTCCCCCCCAAAGAGAATAAAAGAAAATACAATAATTCACCACCCCCGACCTGCACCAGACTATAAACTAATTGTAAGGCGCATTCAGAGTCTCCGCTATAATACTTCGTCCTCCCCCCCTTCTTCAGACCGCATGACAGATCGCTTTCACTCGCTGAGGTTCATTGTTGTTTACTATTACTCCATGTCTGAGTGCGGTCTGCGACACTATTAGCTTCGGCGTTCCCTCGAAGGTTCTTACCTCCCAGCCTCTACCCGGGGTTGTATATAAGACCTCACCTCCCCAATTCTACGGGATTAAAGTAATTCCCTTGATCTCCCCTTCCCTGAGTCCCTTGCAGCAGCCCGTCACCCGGGTATCCAGCCTGCGCACGTTTTGCCTCCCGTGGTTCGCAGAATTGGCGGCCCGCGATTCCCCCCCAAAAGCTTATCACCGGTTCGTTTTCCCGCCATCATGGATGCAACTTGAAGGGTTTTATTGTTTTAACATTTCCAAGGGTCTCTGAGGGACGAACTCCCTATACACGACCTCCCCCGAAGCCCGCCAACATGATGGCAGTCGAAACCCGCCCTAAGCATTCCCAATACTATAGCCCAATGGCCATGGACCCCAGCATGGTCGACATGTTTTCCTTCCCCGTCGATAACATGGCCTACCCACAACTCTCCGATTACCCGCGCGCTCCACAATCATACTTCGACCCATCTGGTCTCTATACAGAACACTCGGACCTGCCCAAGGGCTCGAATTTCCCTGCTATGCCTGCAACTCCCCCATCTATCGCTACATCGCAACCCGAGCCTCAGATCCCCACTGGGTCTGCTGCTTCTGGTCCTTCGATCGCAAGTGGGACCTCATCGGCGATGGGGTCGCCATACTCTGGGCGGCGCAAGCGTACCATGACAACTGGGTGAACACGAATCATGGATTGGGCCTCCCAGTTGCCGTGATGCACGATATCTTTCCCAATGAGTACATGGGAAACAATGTCGACTATGACGGCTTCTATCGGGAGAAACTCACAGACACTTTTGTCGGTACGTGCATGCCTTCAATGCCTTTCTAGGGATGGGTATCATACTGACTCGTTCTCCAGACCCCAATGTCATTCAGCCAGTGCAAGCTGTCCCTGCTTTCACCCAACCTCTATCATACTCCGACCAGACTCCCACATCCTATCCTATGCACAACTTCCTCCCCCAGTCACCCGCCACGTCAGAGCAGCAGCAGCAGCAGTCACCAGTCATCCACCCAATTCCACAGCAATCACCACAGATGCTGAACGGTGGGTACTCAAGGCCGGCCTCGGTCTATGACCGAAGGTCTTCCATTTCTTCCACTCCGTCCTGTTCTCAACAAAGCCCAGGCTTGAGCAGTGTTGACGCCGACGACGATGTGAAGGAAAAGGGTCGATGCCCTCACCCGGATTGTGGCCGTGTCTTCAAGGACCTGAAGGCTCACATGCTCACGCACCAGTCGGAGCGGCCAGAAAAGTGCCCGATCGTGACTTGCGAGTACCACACCAAGGGCTTTGCCCGCAAGTATGACAAGAACCGCCATACATTGACCCACTACAAGGGTACCATGGTGTGCGGCTTCTGCCCAGGTTCCGGATCACCCGCCGAGAAGAGTTTTAACCGTGCCGATGTATTCAAGCGCCATTTGACTTCTCTTCACGGCGTGGAGCAGACTCCTCCGAACTGCCGCAAGCGCAGCCCCGGCTCGTCTACCAAGAAGGGCACCAACTACAGCAGCGATGCCACTGGAAAGTGCTCCACCTGCTCAGCGACCTTCAGCAATGCCCAGGACTTCTACGAGCATCTGGATGACTGTGTCTTGCGCGTGGTGCAGCAGGAGGAGCCATCGGAAGCCATCAACCAGCAACGGCTGGCCGAGGTGGTATCGGACGAGGATGTGAAGAAGACCATGGAGAAGCATCACTTGCTGGACGTGGCAGGCCACGTTGAACAATATGATGATAACGACTCTAACGACGAAGACGATTCCCATGATTCTAACTGGCGCTCCGGCCGGGGAGGCCTCAAGTCCACCAAGGGCAACCCGGCCTCCTCGCGTCCCATCCTTGGAAGCGGGAATGCCATCACCAAGAACTCTTCCACTGGCACGGGGAAGGGCAACCGCCCCGTCCCTACTCGTCGCCGCAATAACCGTGGCAACTACCCTCAGTCATGGGGTTGCCCGAACAGCAGCATGAAGACCAAGAAGCGTGTTCTGTGTGTCTTTGACGGCCCTCGCCGGCTGTGGAAGGACGAGATGATGCTGAACAACGACTTCGAGGTCCGTCTTCGTCTTCCTGGTGGTGCCGGTGACGGGACCAACCGGGATGCCTATGTCACCGACCTGGACATGGAAACCATGAAGCGTGCCGAGGGTGTCCACAGCGCAAACGAGGATGAGCGTGGGCCTTGGCTGGATGGCCCTTCCACCCATCTCATGGGTCAACCGGCCAGGCTCTTCCTGACCCCTACCAATCCCCGGATGATGAGGTTTACGATCTCATGTCCTAGATGATACCAGATTTCTCAACTTCCTCCCTTTTTTTTTTATATATATTGGGTAATTTGGCGACCTGATGTCTTCTTTTGTGTTTCTCATTGGCTCTTCATGTTTGTTTTATTTTTGTTTTGATCTCTCCGTATAGCAGAAGCGTGTGGCGTCTTGACGAGCGTTGTATCTGTGTACGGATAGCGGGATGATACCTCGGGTGCGATTTGCTCTTTTTACCCCTACTTAACCCTCCCCTGCTGGACAGGTTCTTAATCAGGGATTAAACCCAAAACATTTGATTCAATGAAATACCATGATCTCATCATCTCCATCTCCAGATCAAGTAATTGTAAATCTTGTTGGAAGTTACGAGACTATGCAGCGTGTATCACGGGTGCCGCCCAGCCGGCACCGCCTTATCGATCTCCCCCGCATTGGCTCCTCCGAACTTCGCCCGCACCACATCCCAACCGTACCAGGCCATGCAACTCGGTCTTTCTGAAAACCTGTCGGCCCTTGTGGCGCGGCGCTTTAGCGCTGCCAAGGACAGCGGCCATCTTGTTTTCTCTACATCACACCTATCAATCATCACGGCCGCAGGGATACCGGTAAAGTCTCCGCGTCGCGCCTGAGAATGAAGTACTGACCCCTTCCCCTCCCCTCGCCATAGTTCCAATTGCGCTACTGCCCAGCTCTTGCAAAGAAACCTGCCAGTCTGAAACCCGAGACAGGCCCGACGCCCAAATTTGACCCATTCCAAGACCCATTACCAGAGCTCTTGCTAGCGCGGTTCCCGCCGGACAACCCTAGCCACGCCCTCGTCCTAAACAAATACCCCGTGATACCAAACCATTTTCTCCTCGTCACGACAGACTGGAAGGCGCAAACAGACCTTCTCGAAAGATCCGACCTGGAAGCCACCTATGAATGCCTACGGGCATGGAACGCCGGTCGAAACGGATCACCAGCACAAACTGACCAAGACGGGCCGGAGCGACTCTTCGCCTTTTTCAATTCTGGCGAAGAAAGCGGTGCAAGCCAGCCACATAGGCATCTCCAGTTCCTACCGGTAGAAGCCATGCGCCAGCCCGAGGCCCATTCCTGGAATCCCCTCATCGAGCTCTTGGCCGCGGACGCCCAGGTCCCGTCAGCCTCCTCGCCATTCCATCAGCTGCCGCAGCTCCCAGTCAAACACTTCGCACTCCCATTGCCCCCAAACCCCTCTCCAGAGACCCTCCACGCGATCTATCTCTCTTTGTACCGCGCCGCCGTAGCAGCGACCCAAGGTAGAGATACGCAGCAAGGCCCGAAAGGTACCGTCTTGTCCGAGGGACCCGCATTGATCAGCTACAATTTCGCCATGAATCTACACACCATGATGGTCTTCCCGCGCAGGCAAGGAACAGCGAATGTCCCCGTCGACTTGGCCGCGGCACGAGACATTGCCGACCTCGGTGTAGTATCGCTCAACGGGACCATCCTTGCCGGAACACTCCTGGTCAAGGCGGAGGCAGAATGGGATGCGCTACGCGGGAGCCCTGAATATCTTACCCACATTCTCAACACCGTGGGCTACCCTAAGGCTGACGCGCGGGAGGTCTCGTTGCTGTAAATACCTTACTTATGCGGAACAAGTTTTCAATCAGCCACTATCACATTTCCTAAATTCGCCACGATTAACAAGAGAAGGTTTGAATGGCCCCATTAAACAAGATTCCGACCCCCCAACTCCAGCCCCCGTCCCCAAAGCACAGAAGAAGCAAACTTTAAAACAACAAGAAGAGATCGAAAAAGAAGGAGGGAAAAAAACACTCTCCTCAACCGTAGATATTCACAATCGCGCCCCCCCCCCCCGGGCCATGTACTTCTCGCACTGTTCGCAATTACTCTGACAACGCATCCAATCAGGCCTCAGCCCTTGATCTTATTGATCTCGCACCACTTCTTCTTGCAGGTAGCATTACCAAACTGGTACGACCCCCCTTTTTCCGCAATGTATTGGGAAACCCCCTTCCAGGAAACCTTCGGCTGAGTAGAGTGGTCGGAGGGGTTGGACGTGCAAAGGGGAACAGCCTCGCAAAGCAACCTGATCTAGAAAGGACATTGGCATACTTGCTTTCGAACAAGAGAGAGGGGAGAAAAAGGAGATGATAGGCAGGAAATCCGAGAAGAACAAAATAGAATGAATAGCTTACATCTTGCTCCAGCCACTTGGGCTTGCGGACGCGGTCCTCCTTTGCCTTCGTCAGCGTGCGGTAGCGTCCTCGTAGCGTGGACTCTGCTTCCTTGAAGCCGCCGAGGCGCTTGATGTCTTTGTAGGAGAGCCCGCGGCGCTTGCAGTGGATCAGGAAGGCGTCCCGCTTGTCGCTGGAGTGGATGTCTGAGGGGATGCTTGGCGTCTCGTCCTGCTGCAAGGTTGGGGATGAGGAGCTCGAAGGAGCGGAGGGCATCGATTGGCTGGAGGTTTCCTCGGAGACTGGTGCGGCGGTGTTGTCTCGTGGAAAGTGTCTCGCTGGCCCGATGGAGGTCTGACCATTGAATGTAGGTGCTGTGAGACCCCGCTGAAGGGGCAGAGGGCGTTGGCTAGAGGTCAGTTGCTGGGTGACTGTAGGAGCTGGGTAGTCGACTCCAGGCTGGAAGACGGGCTGGGCCCCAGCTGGGGCACGGCGTGTATTGTTCCAGGTGTTTGCGTTGTAGCTCTGGGCGAAAGAGGTGCCGTGGGACTCGGTCATGGATGGGAAGCCAAAGTCTTGGATCCAGAGGTCATATCCTGACGCCGTGTAGTCCGGCATGAGAGGGGCATTGTTGCTGTCTGCAACCATAGACTGACGCTGATATTCCTGCAGCAGCCCATCTTTGTTTTGAGCCTGGATGAGCTGGGTATTGAGCTGAGAATAGAAGTGGTGACCCGAAAATTGATCCTCAGAGGAGGGGTCAGGCAAGCCAAAGGACGACGACAGCGAGGAGGTTTCTTCGTGTTCGGAGAGCAACGCGGGTTTTTGCCATTCGCTGTCATTGACCATAGAGTTTAGATATCCGACATTGCGTCGATGCTCTTGGGGGTAATAGCTGGAAGGCCCAAAGGACGAGGGAACTTGCTGGTTAGGGTTGGCCTCGGTGCTAGAAACAGCGCGTTTCGTAGCAGGAGGCGCCATTGTATTCGGTGGCAAGCCGACTGGGTGATCCATCACGTCTGCTTGGCTAACACAAGTCGCGTCTTCATTGACCAAGTGACGAGTCATGGGCGAAGGAAAATGGAACATGCGTCTGTGGTCTCGCGATCGAGGAACCCAAGTCTGCGTCTGCTGATGGGGACGCGAACTTGGAGCAGTGCAAGATGGGGAAGAAGAACTCTGGGGAGCAGCACGATGTGCAGATTTACCCACAGTCGGAGGTTTCCTTTCTTGCGAGAAAGCAGAGAGCGTGCTGGAAATGGGAAAACAATGCGGAAAGGCAATTTCCGTCTGATGAGGAGTCCATGACTTCGGACGAATTGGCACATCTACCATGGTGGAAAGGAATAGAAAGGTTGGATAGGTTGACCTGGATTCACCGCAATTGTATAGGGTTGTACACGGTTCGTTGCGCGAGTGGACTACCGTCCATATATGCCCTATTTGTGTGCCTCCAGACGCAGGACTGTCAATGCGCAACGGTTGGGCGGCAGATAGACGGGCGTCCGGCTGCAGGGCTAGGGTTTATATCAGGCGCCGGTGTCTCATAGATGGTGAGGTTTCACCTGCAGCATCCGGCTGGGCATTGCTCTGATTTGTGCACTCACCTTGTTTATATCGCGTGCATATATGTTTCCGGGGAGGCAGACTTCGTCTTTGGACATGCAAGTGGAAGCCTAGACTGCACCGTTCCCAGAATCTAACTGCAGATACTGACAGCCGTTATGCGGTCTCAGATTGGACGGAAGGAATTGGAGGTTGAAATCGTGCACTGGGATCCGGATGCCAGATTGAACTCGGCGAGCTTTTCGAAAAGGCTGGTTGTCTTGGAATGATAAGCACGCTGTGCTGATTGAAATGCCCCAGGATCACACCAAAGGTAATGGAACAGATCGGATGCTCTGGCGGGCTGAATCATGGGATCATGAAGTCTTCTAAAGCTGATTTAATAGTGACCCTCATGTCCTCGATAACCGTTAGATTAAGCCCCTTAATCCGGTGACGCCGTTGGGACCGTTTCTGCTCATCAAAGTCACTTACCCGGAGAAAAGGAGAATGCAGAGCGTGAGGTATGGCCAGAATAAGCTTGGAGTGTTCCAACCCTAGCCAAACCAGAAATCCCCGGGCCATCGATGACGGATGGTCGGTCCACTTGCCGTGACCCAGATCCTAAACATCCCGGATGTAATGGAAATGCGCCTCAAAGAAGCAGCTCTTATTGTCTCTGCACATTTCTGAGACCGTCGATGAGCGGTTCACTCTGAAACAGTTCCTGGGCAGAAACAACCCCAACGGGTCATGTTGGTCGGTTTTAATCATAGTAAGCTTAACTTGCACGATTGGTATGCTTGTATGAAAAGAGTGACTGTGTCAAGGCTCTGTGGCCAGCTCATTGGATCAGAAAGGATCTTCTATATTTCGAGTTCAACCAAGGCAGCCCCAGGCCAGATTTCATCCGTACCATGGACACAGCTCTCAACTGAACCAACCAAAGCCACAGGAAGCCAAGTCCAGGATTATTCTACTCCCTGTCAAAGTGTACGTAGACTCACGTATCTTTAGCGTGGGCAGCTTGACAATGTTCGATCCCGAGCGGATAGCCACAGAGGGTTTGCGAGCGAGAGTTTCTTCCATCCGCCCCAATCAGATGCAGTGAGACTGGTCCATCCCAGTCAAACGATAAGAAGATGCTCGGATCAGGGATGCTTTCATTCAGGGACATGTAGCCCTAGGGGACGGGGCCGTCCAGTGACTTATCTCCCCCAGGGATGCGATTTGCCGAGGACGCAGAAGGACGTGGCTATGTGCATAACTGAAAAATGATGCCTCACATGATAAAGAGAAATATGAAAGCCCCTGCCATACCCCAATACAACGAGGCTATGACTAGCAATCGACATAGATTGCATGCAGCCACTGGCAGAGAGTTTCTAAGGCCCTACGCTGAAGACCTTCCAGTCGAAGACTTGCAGACCGAGTACACCCCACTTTGGCTCAGACCAACGCATCCCAGCGATTGGCCCTGTTCCAAAGAAGCTTTTTTTTCCGGTTCATGCGACGAGCTGGGTGGCGTTGGAACTGGAAGACAGATCCGCCTTGAGACTGCGATCTCCGCCTGGGCTGCAATAGGCTGAAGCGCCTGAGTTACGCCTCCATCAAGAGCCTCCACCCGAGGTCGTCCGGGCTCCACCTGCTTGTCATTCATTTCTGGAGTGCCGTTGTTTTGGACTTTCGTTTATTTTTTGCATTGGCATATCCGGGATGAGAATATCGGCTGCATATGCATATCAGGCTCTAATCGTAGTACAGTGGCCTTTAGCGTACTGGGTTTTGGCAGGCCTGGACCCAATCCGAAAAGGAAACCTGGGGTAGCAAATCGCAAATGGAAAGAGAGACTTCAAATTGCGGTGCCATGCTAGCTGATTGCCAAACCCCTATCATGAGAGCCGCATTCTTCCTGCTACGATAGCCGTCATACTACTAGTAACCCATTCCCATGGTTCAAGACTGCAAATATGTCATATTCCTATTTTTATTCTTGATCTCTTTGCAATGGAGAGATTACCAGGGGGCTAGTAGTTGATGGACGCTGAATAGACCGGGACGAAGCACATTGTATTTGTTCACTGGCTGTGTCGGGCAACACGCTCCCTCTCCATCCGGACAGATGGGCTCTCCACCCTCAACCCTGGCGAAGAGGCGGGGAACTTGGCTTGTGTACTGATTTCCCGCTTCCGTCGGTCGGCTGCATTTCTCCGAGATGCCAGAAAGTCCAAAAGTCGGTCAACCAGTAGGACTATGCCCAATCAGCCTCGAGAATAATCGATTTCCAAAGAGTTCACATAGGACTGACCGGAGAAAAGCATCATGGTGAAGGCATATAAAATGACTGGCGAGGTCATGAAGGCGTAAGCTAGCGGGAAATGGCCCGCAAACGATATCAGGCTGGCCAGCGCTATTGCAAGGATGATGCGAAAGCTGCTGGAAAGGCCGAGGTAAAACCGCTCGTCGTGGCGGCGCGCTAGAAGAGTGAACGCACTGAAAAGGCCCATAGAAAGGCTGGCAACAACGAAAAAGTAAATATAAACGAAAGCCAACACTTTCATACACATCTGTAGAAGCTCCTCGCTGTCGAGCAGACTGATATCTCCCGCTCCCGTTGGAGTAATGCCCATGCTTGAAAAAAGGGCCGCCGTCACGTTACCCATGAGATCACCGAAGAGGAACTCGTTGTACTGAAGAGATGCGAGGCCGTGCTCGGTGCGGTCTGGACAAAGCGGTTGGTGGGCCAGATCTTCCAACAGGCTCGATATTGCCTTCCACTCTTGCGTTGCACCCCGGCTGAACGGGATTTCCATGTCAGCAATCGTACTCCTGATGAGGTCAATCGCCTTCTCGGGGCTAGGACGAGGTGTCTCGCACACAAACGCAAACGTTTGCGCCAGATATTTCAGCTTCAAAGTAATATCGAGGGTGAGGGCTAGGATCTGCGACCCCTCGAGTAAAAGGATTAATGCGATGTGGAACGGGAAATGAAGCTGTGCCCATATCTGCTGTGCAAATTCCCCAAAGCGATGCCGAGGGGAGATATCGAAATAGACCTGCCAAAGTAAATACTACTTCGATGTCAGCTGTACGTCAGGACCCTCGCTGGCTAGGGGATTGGGGGGAGCTCACAACATTGGTTGTCACCCCAAGGATATGAACAAACGACCACTTGGTCCATCCCCCCGGTCGAACCGTCTTGTTGACAATTCGAGTGACCGCAATGACCCCTTCCCCGATAATGATCAGGGTGAGGAGCTCCATCCGAACGGTGAGGTGGGTGTCTTGAAACTCGATCCCGGGGAAAACGCACGAAAGGCCCATCACAGTCCACATTTCAACTCCGAATAAAACGAACCAAACGGTCCAGATATGAGTCCCAGGGACTCGGCGGAAGGCAAAGAAGACCTGTTGGGATACGGTGCGTTAGCCAGTCGCCTTGGCCTCCCAGAGGAGAGGGTGGGACCTGACACCAATGTAAATCAATGCTGTCCCCCAATATACAGTCGCCGTGTAAAATACACCCTTCACAGAGCGATATAAGGATGGGTATGGGCGTAAGTATGCGGCATTGATCGTATACTGAACAGCCAGGAGTAGGCGGCTTCCTCCCAGGATCAAGCTGAGCGATTGGAAGACCCAGACATTGTCGTCGCGCACACGGGTTGTGAAACGAGTTCCGGCAGAAGCAAAGCCGACCATGGCCGCCAACTGGAATGCCTTGCAGAATCTCTCAAATACGCAGTCCTGGGCGAATCGTATGTCATACAAGGTGACTTGGAGCCACGTGAACCATATAATACCGAGAAAGCCGATATAGGAGCCGAGAGCTAGATACATATTCCGCATGTCAGCGCACCACACATCCTAAAGTCGTGGGAACATCCAAGGGACGAGGGCTCAAACACCATGCCGGAGGCGAAAAGAGCAAGCCTTGGGAATACAAACTCACCACTTATATTATTAATCTCGTGGGTCGCAGTGAAGGTTGACAGGTTAGCAACGAAGAATAGGTCGAAGAACAACTCTATCGGTCTCGCTTCCCTGTGGCGGCATAACCGTGGATTGTCTTCTGTGCTGTCGACTGGGCTTGTAATCCAGGGAAGACTATGCGGATGATTGCTACAGCCGGATGCAGGCTGACGAAAGCTCGAAAGGAAGGCAGGAGACATGACATTCGTATTATTGAGTCTGGGTATCGGAAAATTTGCTAAAACACTAGAATAAAACCGCCCAGGAAACTCCGAATGAGAGGGGGCTTTGCATGAGACAGGCCGGCAGGCTCGCGGAAGGAGCCCACGAAAGCAGGAACAACAGGAAGGCGCAGACTTCCTCAGGGCGAAGTCTCGCTGGCGCTCGGATACTCAATTGTCAGAGGCGCCCCGAAATTCTCCAATTCTCCTTCTCGGTTTGATTTCTCGTTCTTCAGGTCAATGCCGATCTCCTGCAGGAGCTTCTCGTATTTTACTTTCGCTTCGTCGATCCAAGCTTGCGCGGCCGCCTTGGCACCACTGAGGGCTTCCTTTCCCGTTCGCAGTTCATCCATTTGAGAGATGAGATCCATCTGGGCTGCTCTCTTTGCTGTCACACGCTCGCGGCCCTTTAGAGCAATATCGTCCATTGAAGGAAGATCGCTTTTATGGGGAGGAATTCTAGGGTATTCGGTGCGACCGGATCGGCTATTACCCATAGCCGCCTTGGTTTGAGTAGCTTCGTAGGCGGCCTTTTCTTCGAGGTCAGAGTCTTCGTGCGAAGCCCCTTCAGCATCATCAATGAGCTCCCGCATAGCCTCTCGCTCTTGGCGTGCTTTTTCACGTTGCGCTTTGGCTTCTAGAAAGAGTCCGCTATCCTCCGTGTATTCTTCAAATCCCTCCGCAAAATCTCTATCGTCCCGAACGAGCCGAGTATCTTCTTGCGCCTCTTCGTGTCGTGATTCAAGCCTCCAGCCCTCCTCATCCGACGCGTATTCATTTACGGCAATGAAATCTTGTTCTTCGGGTTGAGCATTGTTTGCAAGTCGTGCTCGGCGAGCTTTCTTTTCCTGAATCTCAATGTGGCTAGGTATGGCTGACTGGGAAGGCATGGTCGTCAATTCTCCAAATTTGGCCGCAATATCCACGGCTTTCTCCTCCACGGTGGCCGGTTTTGGTGCAGAGGGTGTAGAGGCCTTGAGCTCCTGGAGGTATTCACTGTTGTAGCTAGGGCGATCTTGATCTTGGCCCACACGAGCAGAGAATTTCTCTGAAGAAACGGAGGGTGTAATGTTGCGTTGTCTAGAACTTTGCTCCGCAGCCTTGGGGCCAAGCCCACGGCGCTTGGGGATAACAACCTCAGTCTTTTCATCTTCGTCCTCGACCATAGATGTGGCTCCGGCGCCGAAAGAGAGGGGTCCTTTAGATTTTGGTTTTGATTTGGGGCCGGGCCGCTTAACAACAGGCTCTGTAGATTGGATGTTAGATTTTGATTCACATGACGCGCGCAGCCACCGCGCAATAGAAGCAGCCGGAATAGAGGCAGTCGGAATAGCACGATGGGGGATGTAAAATACCACGGCGTTGTTCAATTTCTTCTTCCTCCTCATCCTCCTCCTCCCTTCCAACCTTCCTTGGTTTTCTTCGATTTACTGCTCTAAAAGCCATTGTGTCACGCAAAATGCCAGCTTCTGCGGTGTCGAACCGGTAAGTTTAACGTTCAGGCTGATGAAAGCTCTTATCGCTAATCCGAATTTCGGGAAAACGTTAGTCCGGCCGATAAGGTCGCAGATGAATTTCATCGAGCTTCTCTTCCCCGCGAAGCTTCTTCTTCTTCCTCAAGCTCTTTCGATACCCCAGGTCCTTACAGCGTCGCATCCACTGCTAGCAATACAGCAAGCTCCTCTGACTTTGATCTCTACGAACCGCTTCCCCGTCCCCGCGATTTCAGCCACACTGCCACGATGCCTCAAGCTCAGCCAGACCTGAAGCAGGTGAGAAGCAGCACCGTTACGCGTTCTTTTGTTCATCCCTCCCCGCTGACACGTTCTTGCAAATTAGTACTTGGACAAGCGCGTCCATGTCCAGATCAATGGCAACCGCCACCTCACTGGTGTCATCATCGGATATGATGTATGTTTGATCCTTCTTGCGCCAACATGCACAATACAAATCATGACTTGTGCTGTGGGTTCACTGGAGCTAATTTGATGCAGACCTTCATGAACATCATCCTTGACGCGTCGACCTGGGAGCAGCGCGCCGGTGGTGCTAAACACCCCGTTGGCGAGTGTGTATGTTTACGCTGTTCCCTGGCTATCATATTGGTGCAAACCCGCTAACCTTGAACCCACAGTTCATCCGTGGTAATTCTATTATTACCATTGAGGCACTCGAGCGCATCGGTGACCACTAGGCGGTCCCAAACCTGTCACAAAAGGCATCTTCTATGATGGCCGATTAGGTGACGCGATTTGCTGGGTGGCGTTTTTCTTGTGTTTGTTCTCGGCGTTCTCAATAATCGCGGTGAAAATTGATTCTGTTTGTTGGTTCTAAGCGTCCTCAGTCCGTAGTCTGTGACTCGGATGAGTGAAATTTGACACTGGGGCTCGGGATGGTGTTGCGGCCTCTGCTTTTTCCTGGTCATTGATTATCAACCATCTACAATCCTATCATGCGTAGTGTAGAGCGTAGACAATGGCTCCTTGCTATGATACCCTGATATTCAAAGGGCATGATGGAGCTATAGACTCTTTTTAATATCTGACAGTTGTATGGTCCATCACAGCAGAGGCCACTGGATCCATTCTCCGGTTTTCTCCACTCATGGCCTTATTCCTGTCACTACAAGGGACCCTCAATACTGATCTGCCTCCTATTCCAACTAGGTTGTCAGTGTAGGAAGCTACCATGAAATATATGCACCTTCTAGGAGAACAGCTTGACAGGCTCTACGGACACCCCACGGGCCCTTCCATCAGTACAGCCAATCCTTCTGATGGCATCCTATCCAACCATCACGGTCCATTCATCAGTTTCCGTAAGGAGAGGTTGAAGCTCAAGGCTTGATTTGCCTCAGCACAAGGGTCTTCAGAATGTTCTTGGTTCTCTCCTTGGATTTCAGGTTGCGATGCTCTTACAAAATCCTGCTTTCGAGTTGACCCAACTCGGCAGTTACTGCTACTTTGCATCCACAAGGTTCCAAAAAAAAAAAGTCCTTCTCTTCCTGTTTCTAAATCAGTCGGGGTGTCTCACAGTCATACCCTCTGACCTCGGGACCTCGGGACCTAACCTTCAGCTTACGAAGCTACCGTGCGAGGGCCCGAATTAGTTCCTAGAGCCACGAAAGATTGTGCAAGCACTAGGTCACTATGGTAGGTAAACAGAAGACACAGAAGTTACAAGTTATTGAAGAATAAATCTCAACGTAACGCATTGCCATGCCACGTGCCTTGAAGCCATCCTGAAAACTCCTCTCTCAACGAACCGGGTAACGTAAAATACATGTCATGAAGGATGTAGAAAACGCATCCCTATTTTGGTTTTGACCCAAGTTTGAGCTTCAGTTTCAGTCCACTGGCACTCGCAGGTGTGGATGGAGTGGACGCTGCAGCGGTAGAAGCAGCCATGGGAGTAGCCGCTGGGTTTGGGATGTGTAGTTTGGGAAGGCCCGACGCCGATGGGGTCCCTGGGGTGAGCCCAGTCTTGGTTTGTTTGAAGGTGATTCTTGTACCGGAACCCGGAGGTCCCATATCTTCTCGCTTGCGCTTTGAAGCGGCGGTTTTGGAGGCACCGAGGTTCGTGCGGACATTGCTGGATCTGTAGAATCGCAACTTGCCACTGCCCATGTTCTGGACGTTCCAATAACGAGGGTATTTAAGCTTCACAATCTTACTCCGAACTGGGTCATACATGACATGGCAAAGATCGCACAATTCTGCAACTTCCGCAACTCCAATGGTTTGAGAATTGCATGCAGCCCAGAGGTATTCTTTCAAGGAAGCGTCACCCGAAACTTCTCTTTTAAGAGCTTCAATCGCACCGGGGACAGTCTGTCGACGCGCTAGATCGGCCTGGCGAACCTCGGTAGAGGAATCCTGCTCGATGATCAGCCCCCCGACTTGGGAACTTTCGGTTTGTTGCGGGCGACCAAAGGCAATTTGTGCGAGCAACCGTCCAAACAGTCGTTGGCAATGATGTCGAACATACGCGGAGGAATCGCTTGTCATGGTGAAAACCAGCCAACGCACCAGTTCTGGCTGTTGAGATATGTCGAGATCAACCAGGCACTCGAACGCCTGTACCCTCAATAACTCGTAAGTACCAGAGCGAGTATAGGGGATGAATTGCATAAGATCGAGGTTTTGGATCTTGGCTTGCATCAATTGTACTTGGCAGTGCAATGCAGCCCTCGCGTACAGATTCTGGAAAGATCCCGACCACTCGTCCATTCTCCGATAGCGATCGAATTCGGCAACAGCGTCTTTCTCTAGTTGTTCCTCAGCTTGCGACTCGATCACACGGTCCATGTCAAAATGAATCAATTCGTCATCGGGGCGCGGCTCGTTTCGTCCAAGCAATGCATGGCAAAGAGAACGCATCAAGGAAGCAACGTAAAAGTTGTCAGAGAACTGTATTTGTCAGGTTGGTTAAAAAAAATCCGTCAAGGGGGGGAGTTCGCAAGACTGACCTCATTGTTTGAGTTGTCATTGAACTTCAGTTTGTCGAAGAGAAACTGCTTTACGCGAAGTGGAGTCTTGCCGCTGTTGTCCCGAACTTTCGAAATCGTGTCTGGAATTACTTGCTGCAGGATGTACGCTGCACGATCCGAGAAGTCATTCGACCGAGTCATAGGAGACCCTGGAAGGCAAAACAGTTCTTGGAAAGCTCGCTCCAGATGAAAGAGACCAATCCAATCCACTTCATCCTTTGCATGTTTTATCAGCGCTCGAGCCGCGGTCACGCGTATCCCATGAAAGTAGCGACTGTCCATGAGCGTGCGGACGAAGATAGTAGAAATCAACGGATGTTCACGTTGGGCAGCCATGTATTGGAGGGACTAAATCAAGTTAGAATCCTGAAGGAAAAGAATTTATGTTCGGATACTTACCTCCAACTGAGCAACCACATCTCGGTCCTGCTGGAGCTGCGACAGGTACATGTATCCCGGCATACCCAAGGATAACCTGCAGATCCATTCAAAATCGGCATCCATTCTGATCCATTCGTAGGACTCCTGGCCGATACGCTCCTCGTCCTCCTTAGTCCAATCGGCCAGGCGCCATTCCTGCGCATCCTCTTCTGTTTGGAGGACGTCGCCGAGACAGTAAAGTAAAACATCATCTTGTGTATCAGCTTCCCCAGAAGCGACAGCACGCTCACGCTGTTTCTTATTGCGCTTCAGCCGCTTGTACTTTGTGTTGTATGGAATGTCAAATTTGGTTGTGCCCTCTTTGATTTCGACAATGTGTTCGTATGGTGTTCCGTCAGCTTCGTGGATTCGAAGGGTCATAGAACCAGTAAAAACGGGCTGAATTGCTCCTGCGTAGACCTGGCGCACTTCTTCCTTTACGTCACGGAGGAAAGAATTCTTGTCAAGATCCTTGGGAGCCTGCGGGTCCCCTTGAACTTGTCTAATCATCATTTCGACCACAAGTTTCTTTTTGTTGAAGCGCTGCGTGGCCTGGAACCGAGGACAGCCTGCACCGTATACCCACTGCTGGAAGAACACGTCCAGCTTAGCATGACCAAGCCGTTCACAGGTCTTCTGGAACAGTGAGGAAGTGATTGCACCATCTGGTATGTCCCCCATACGTGAGTTCAAGAAAAGCCGGGAAATGATCCGGGACATTGTTGCCTTTCCGCTCGCTTTAGTGAGACGTCGGTCAAGGATAAAGAGAACCAATGGGGCCTTTAGCGCAATAAAGCGATATTCCGAGGGATCAATGTTAAGGCAATTTCCCATATCATAAATGGAGGGTCGCTCAAAGTCCAATTCGCAAACGCGATCGGACATCTGCTTTAGTCGAAAACGATATTCATTGTTTCCGCAGAGTCTTTTCATGAAGGTGTCTGTGATATACCAAGCAACGCCCACAGTGACCCAAGTATCACCTGGTTCATTTGGGATGATGCTGATTCCGGTCCATTGGCATGCCAACGCATGCACCAGTTCACGGGTCGAGTCATACATGGGATCAATGATCTCAGCTGGGAATAGTAATCGGCTGCTGCAGATAGACATGCAAGCCATGGGGAGAGTTTCCGCCGGGAGATCGTCGACAAAGCAGATCTTGTAGCTGGAGAAAGGGTATGATCCGTATGATAGAGAAAAGAAATCGATGGCTTGAGCCATTGGGAAGCTGGTGTTTTGAACTTCCTCTGCTCGGCCAGGTAGACAAAAGGCATGCAGAGGAATAGCATTTTGTCCAAGCTGTTCGTCTTGATCGCTTTCTCGAAAGTCCGCAAGATTCACATACTCAAATGGACCCACCGCAAATCCAATTTGGCGTGCCGAAAGGGTAGAGTAGCATGCAAATGACACGGTTTTGCGGGAGGGATCTTTGGGATCAACAATGTCATCAGTCAGCTCACCAGAGCACACGACTGACATGTCGAGAGCTTCGTCATCTGGTGCGATTTGTCGCTGCGGTGCCCGCGAGCGAGAAGGAAAGACCTCGCCTAGGGAGGACGGACATGTGATGGAGATCTCCCAAGAACATTGTGCCCTGGAATCATCTACACATGGGAACAGTGGGCACCCAACGTTAGACTCCAGAGAGTTTGTCGTGTATGCATGAGGATAGCGCCGGTCTCCACTGTCAACCCCGACAAATTGTAGACCATCGCGGATGCGCTCAATAACAAACTCGATATTGACTGTAATTGCCTTGAACCGTGGCTGGTCTGCGACGCGGGTGCTTGCCGGTCCATCCACGTCACCCCCGGCGCCTTGAAGCGCAACCTGAGCTTGAGCTTCCGCCGAAGTGATATCCAGTTCCTCTATCCTCACTCCCCTGAGCGGTATTCTGACCTCGGGATTCCGTGGAGTCTTCAGAAGGTCGTAGACGTGGGGCGCCAAACGTTCGTGATAATGCGCTCCATATAGGAGGATGTGCTCATCAGGGTCGTTATACTCGAAGGAGGGTGCGACTTTGTTATTGATCGTGACTCGCTTGATTTCGCCTTGCCGGAAATTTAGTGTCAGGGTCGAAAATGTCTGTTTTTGAGGGTATATCGTGATTTCGGTGCTGCCTTTCAAGCTCTTGTTCGCAAAATCGATCGCCAACTCCACTTTTTGATGGCCGATACTGAAGTCCGGCTTCAGCGTTGGCGCTACTGCGCCTGCTGGCACGTCAAGAATGCCAGGCATCGCGGGGAACCTCAGTATCGAGCTGCGCAGGGGGCGCTTCCGGGTGAATCAAGCTTCATAGCATTTGAAGCTCAATAGCTGACCATGCTGGAGATAATGAAAGAGCTGGTAGGCAAGAACGGCGGGTGCAAAGTTGGTGAAGAGCTAATGAACGCGTTGCGCAACAGTTGTCGGGCGTTGACTGGAAGCACGGATCACCAGTGGATTGACGCAAAAGTAACGGCAAGCTGTGTCTGCTTCGAAAGCGGCCGAATAGTTGCTAGTAAGAGATGAGCCTGGCAGAGGAGTGAGCAGCTCTTGATCCAGACGATGCAAGTGGATCGAGCTTCAAGATGTCTCGCGTTCGGACCCTGGACGGTCACGTGTCACCGCGAGGTAAAACCCGGCCGGAGCCAGGAACAATTTCGGTGCCTTCACCCCCGGACCTCACGTTGCAGCCCCTTTTCGTTGGTTCGTTCTGGCTTCCACGTTTTCCAAGGAGCCTGGGACATTTTGTTCCTGCCGTTTAATTTCGTTTCACCATTGAGCGTACCGTTATTCCTTCGATTTTTCGCAGTCAAAGGGGGGTACGCGCCGCGGCCAAGAAACTTCCAAGATGAATGTAATTCAGCGCATGGTCCAAGGTTCGTTCCCGTGTTATATCGAGGCCCTACCATAAAATTCTATACTAATTATCTTGAGTAACAGAGACCCAGGATTCTCTTTCAGATGATGCCCTTCTCCCCCTGAAGTCCTATAAATACTCCGCTGTCGACAAGTCTCCTATTTCAAACTACATTTTGCGGCACTACGTATGCAACCTATATCGCAATCATATATGCGCATAACTGATAGATGGCTACCCTAGTGGACTGCCTTCGTTGAACTGTTGCCAATGTGGATCGCACCGAACATGGTGACTTTACTTGGTTTCATGTGGATTGTCGCAAACGTCTTTCTGATCGTCCTTTTTGTTCCAGATCTCACAGGCCCGGTAAAACCTCCTCAATATTTCAGTCATAATATAAGCTTGCTAAACTCGTGAAACAGGCACCAGGGTGGTTATATTTCAGCTTCGCCTTGGGCATGTGGATGTACTCGACTTTGGACAACGTAGACGGCAAGCAGGCCCGCCGAACGGGAACCTCTAGCGGTCTTGGAGAGCTTTTCGAGTTCGTATCATCCTGGATGCAGTCATGACCACTTAACTGACAACGAGCCTAGTCACGGAATCGACTCGCTCAACTGCACCATGGCCAGTCTGCTCGAAACTGCCGCAATGGGCTGGGGTTCGTCCACTCTTGGTGCTTGGACGGCCATTGTGCCTTGCCTCGCCATGTACTTCTCGACATGGGAAACCTTCCATACCCATACCCTGTACCTGGGCTACATTAACGGCCCTACCGAAGGATTGCTCATCGCTATTGGATTCATGATCGCGTCTGGCATCTGGGGCCCAGGTATTTGGAGCCAACCCATTGTGAACTTGATTAACATCCCTCAAATCTTTGGTGAGAACTCCGTCAAGGATCTCTGGGTGCCATTTCTCCTCGCCGGGTTCTTCTTGGGTCACCTTCCGGGGTGTGTTCTCAACGTGGCGGCCGCTCGCAAGAGACAAGGCTTGCCGTTCACTCCTTTGCTTAAGGAGTGGATGCCCATGATCGTGTTCACCGTGTCCAACATCGCCTGGCTCTTCTCTTCCTACTCGAGCATCCTAAAGGACAACCATCTGGTTCTTTACTGCTGGGTAATCTCATTTGTCTTCGGGCGAATGACCACCATGATCATCCTGGCCCACTTACTGCGGCAGCCTTTCCCCTTCTGGACCGTTCTGCAAGTCCCACTTGTTGGAGGAGCTATTCTGGTGAACCTTCCTCGCATTGGCATTCCGGTGAGCGCGGGGTTTGAGCTATGGTACCTCCGCCTGTTCTTCCTCTTTGCCTTGGTGGTATACATGCACTGGGCAGTCTTGGTTATTAACCGAATCACTACCTTCCTCGGTATCAACTGCTTGACCATCCGCAAAGACCGGTCTGCTGCTCGGGACCGCGTCTACGAGACTTTGGCGAGGTAGGCCTTGGATCTAGCTCCACCGCCTCCTCCGCCGCCTCTGATGCCATCGAGGCCACCACTTTCAAACACCACTGATTTGCTTGATTAGCAATAGTGGTCGTCACCTCCCCGATTGCTTCCTTCTTTCTCCACACTCCCGTGCTTGTCAGCGCTAGAATTGTGAGAGATGATGTATTTTTGTTCATACGTTGCCTACCCTTATTGTAATTAGAACTCAAGCGGCTATGACGATGTCCCGCGTGAGCATCTTCATCATAGTGCTCCATAGCAGCGGAGACCTGCCTGCGTATATTCGTCATGCCACCCGACACGCTGAAATAGACTCGACCATAATCTGCATCAATTTCTGAGCAGCCAAAATGCATTGTACTTGAAGTGACCTCATTGAACTAAGCCACTGTGTGGAGCCACTAGAAAATAAAGAAGACCCGACAAATAAGATAAAGAACGTCAAGAAAATGAGGCGTTGGCCTGTGATAATTGTGGACACCACGGAAACGGTTCTCTGCCCACACATTTCCCAGCTTGGTTAACCTCGTGGGTCAAGCCAAATAACTTTTTCTCGCGCTAAACTGATCAGGGGATAGATCGACCCCGTTTTCCTGATACTCCTACCCTATTCTCCGCAATTTTGTGACCCTAGTCTCAGATACTGAACCCACGAGAACGGCCATGGCATGGGCTTCCTGGTCCGGTTTTTTCGTTTTTTTTCCTTCCCCCCTGAGGGATCTTCGTGCCATTCAGCATTCAACTACATGACACGCCCCTTCCAAGGGGAAAGGTAGGAATGGATTTCAAGAAAGACGACTACCAGCTTTCCTACGTCAAGCTGGACGATGAGCTGCCAGCAGAGAGTTCCGGTCCGAGTCCCGCCCCGCGGATGCGGCCATTGTCTTCGGCTGAGCAAAAGCTCCTGCAAACTGAGACACAGGGATTCTGGGGGGCGGGCTGGACCTGGGAGATCCTAAGTGCTATCAGTTCTGTTGCCTTTCTGGCTGCCATTATCATTGTGCTCTGGCACTTCAATGGCAGGCCCATGCCGGACTGGCCGTATGGCATCACGCTTAACGCGTTAGTATCTGTCTTCAGTACAGTCATGAAGGCTTCGATGGCACTTGTGGTTGCTGAATGCCTGGCCCAGCTCAAATGGTCCTGGTTTCGGGGTGGAAACAAACTTAGCGATCTCGCCCTTCTCGATGCCGCTAGTCGTGGACCCATGGGTGCATTGATTACTCTATTCCAGACTCTGCCCCGGTAAGATGAAAGACATTAGTTTGCCTTACAATTGATACTGATGATATGTCTTCTTCTCTTTCAAAGGCATCTGATCACTCTCGGGTGCCTTATTTTGGTAGTGGCCGCTGCTACGGATCCTTTTGTCCAACAAGTTATGAGCATAAAGGAACAGCCCATTCAATCCCCAGGCCACGCTTCTATTCAAGTATGCAATAGCAGCTTATACACAGACTATGGTGAAGGTGCAGGCCCTGGCATGAATAAGCTCTCACTGGGCAGCCTGGGCGCTCTATACTCGGGCATTTTCCAAACACAAGGACCGGGCAGTGAAAGTGCCATGGCAACCTGTCCAACAGGAAATTGCACTTTCCCCAAGTATCAATCTCTCGGGGTCTGTAGCAGTTGCACCAATATCACGGACTTGCTTCATCCAGCTCAATTGAACATGGGGTCTGGCTACAAACTAAGCAATGGTTTGTCCTTGGTCACATCATACACCATGCCGACTATGATGAACTCCACAACGGCCCTTCACCCACTTCGACTCGATGTGAGTGACAAGGCCATAATCACGAATTTCACCTCAATCACTTCACCAGGAATGGGAAGTTCGACTGGACTGAACGCAGCTGAATGTGCGTTATATTTCTGTGTCAAAACCTATGAAGCGAGAGTACACGAAGGCAACTTCTTCGAAAAGACTATTCCGATCGCAAGCTCAACAAATTTCTCTTCTTCGTTAGATGCGACGCTGAAAGACTTCACCGTGACGCCAGACACATGTTATTATAATGGAACAGCATCCCAAACCCCACACGTCGACAGTGAGAACTGTGTCTACAACGTCAATTACCTCAGCAGGATGGCGATAGCCAGCTCCATCCAGCCGCTTCTAAAAGGCCATGGTGAACGGCCGGTGATAAATCGGCCTGATTGGTCGTCTGACACGGTCGAAGCTATCTATGGCCAGGAAGGAAACTTTACGGACATCAGCACTGCCTTTGAATCGATCGCGTCCTCTTTGACAGTCAATGCGCGCTCGCAGGTGTGTAAAAATTCGGTAAACGGGGCAACATGGGCCGTGCAATCATTTGTCCATGTGAAATGGGATTGGCTCATCCTTCCAGCTGCGTTGGTGGGTCTCAGCATTATTTTCTTGATTGCTACGATGATCCACACGAGAAATCAGTATATATGGAAGTCCTCGCCTTTGGCCCTTCTATTCTCGGACTTACTGATTGATGATCCCGTTCCCATCAAATCCGCTCCTACTCTCAGAGACATGGAAGATACGTCGCGAAAGATGGAGGTTTGGCTTGAGACCTCAGCATCGGGGGTCAGGCTAAAGGCTGTGGCAAGATCATAATATTCCGAATCAATGATTTACCGGCATGTGAAGGCGGTACACGCACAAATTGGATCATCATCTTGTGACTGTTCTCCAAGATACCACCCCGACAAGAGTAGAGAAAATAAGCAATCAAGGTTGCCTCTGAACTATTATATTCTTTAGTAAATAGAGTCGTCTATCTCTACTCTACAGGCTGTGATTCATGTCCTAAATGCTAAGGCAACACTTGATAATATGCGGTTCCTCAAAGATCTTGATTTTGATATTGACGATGACACCCTGCATTATTATCCCTTCAACTATCGCGCTGCACCAATTTTAGCCAGGAGAGGAAACCCACTCAGCGACAAGAGAGAAGGGGGAGCTGTTATTCGGCTTCTGTGATTTGAAACAGTAATTCATAGTACTTGTATGAAGCTATGTCACCGGTTCATCCTTTATAATGTCAAAGGACTCCTCAAACTTCGCGCCAGCAGTCTCTCCACATATATCCCGGTACATATGAAGCCCTCCGGCGAAATACAGCATTCTCTCTTGTCTTCCCCAGGATGTTAGCCCCCATGTACCAGGAGTCAGCTTGGGGTAGCAAAGTCTGGCTTCCAATGGCATGGAGCTGGGCAGTCCATGCTTCCTGCACAGATTTCTTTGCATCTAACGACCGGATATTCTCCTGCTCGGCTCTTTTGATAATGTCACGGATAAAGCTGGCCTGGAAATCGATGAATATAGGACCGTTCGTCAGCGGTGTTGGGGCCTGGACACCGTAAGGGTAGAACATGTTAGGGAATCCATGAACCGTCATTCCCAAGAATGTGGCGATGCCTTCACGCCAGCGTTCTTCCAAATTAACTCCGTTGACATCTTTGATTCCTAGCTGGTATAGACTACCGGTGCCAGCGTTATATCCCGTGGCAAGAGCAACCACATCTACCTCGTAGGTCTCGCAGTCATCAGTCACAATGCCCTTTGGGGTGAATTCAATGATGGGATGCGCACGCGTGTTCACGAGGTGGACATTTGGCTTATCCATTTGTTCATAATAGTCCTGCTCCAGAGAAGGGCGCTTTGTGCCGAAGGGATGAGGTGGCTCGAGAGGGGCCAGCAGATCACGCTTTACTGGATCCTGGATGCGCTCTCGTGTTCGCTTGGCCCAGTAGTCGTAAGCTTTTCGATTTCCTTCGGGCTCTGCAAGAAGATCAAGCCAGCCTCCCGACCAATAACGGAAGCCGCCATCGGTATATAATTGATGCAGGATCTGTTGGATTTCATCTGGTGAGAATTGAGAATATATCTTGGGCTCTGGTCCCCACGCGAGGCCATTTCCAGTGGTCCAAGCAAGTCGGAAAAGCTCCTGCGCCTCTGCGCTCATTTCATCTTTCTCAGCTGGAGTGAGCTTTTTCTGGCGCATTGGCAGAGCCATGTTCGGGGTTCTCTGAAACACGAAGGTCTCTGCTGCCTCTTTTGCCACTTCCTGGATTAGCTGCACTCCCGTAGACCCGGTTCCGATGACTGCAACACGTTTTCCTTTCAGATCCACGCCCTGGGGCCATGTGGAAGTGTGATGGATTTCGCCTTGGAATAACTCGAGGCCTTTCCAGGAAGGGGTGTACGGTTGGGCTGCGAACCCCACGGCTGGAATAAAATACTTGGCGACCACTCTCTTTCCGTCTTGTGTTCGCAGGAACCATTTCGAAGATTGAGTGTCAAATGTGGCGGATGTCACCCGTGAGTCGAACATGCAGTCCTTGCTGATAGATAAGACCTCATCAACAAAGTGGAAATAGGCTTGGAATTCCTCTTGGGCTGGATATAGTTCCGACCATTTCCACTTTGTGTAGATCTCCTCGATCCCAAATGCGTAAATAGGGCTTGGACAGTCCACTCGTGCCCCGGGGTAGTTATTCAAATGCCAGGTCCCACCAAGGTCTGTTGCGGCCTCGAGGATCTTCACGTTGAGATTGAGCTGGCGCAAGCGATAGAGGATGTAGATTCCGGAGAATCCAGCACCAACAATAGCTGCATCTAACTCTTCCGGCGTATCATGAAGAGAGGCCATATTATAGTTTCAGCAACATGAGGAGTTGCCACCGACCTGAAGTACTCCTGCAGAGAATATAAGGGATGGTAAATAAGGCCATCACCCGGGCGGGGTAGATACTTATGCTCCACAGGCATTGCTCATCTCTGGGGGGCCTGACATCCCGAGATGCTGTGATAAGGTGGCTCTAGTATCTGTATCGAATCAATCTTCGCGTGCCTCGTCGGGTGTTCCTCGCTGATGAAGCATTCTGATCCCTTAGAAGTATTACGGAGTCGACTTACCCTCTCTTACAGTACCTTCCATAGCCTCGTATCCGGCCTTTTAGACCCAGCCCTATCTAAAATCTCAGCAGCCAGGATCTGCGCTTCACGGAACCCGAGGTCTAGTCCGCCTCGGCTAAACGTCCAGATGAGTCCAAGATCAACGGACCACGAATGCGTAAGCCCAGCTTCAGCAAATGACAAATACGCTAGTTAGTTAGTTAACTATGCAGTAGAACACTTAGTCATCATTCGGTGCACAGCAGTTACGGGACCTCAGCTCAGTTTGAACGTGGCTCCTTATGGAAGCGCACGAACAAGGCTCTTAGTTCCGCTCGAGATATACCCCGCAGTGGCTAATGCGGAGGGTCTCGAAATCGAGCCTAATTTGTAAGCTTATGCAGGGTCCCCGGGAGCCCTAGGCCCAGGAATGGTCTCAACTTCTTGCTGCATCATGCATGATTCTGGTCAAGCGCTGGTAGGGCAGGCTTCTAATTTATGTGATACGAGCACTTGCTGGATTTTGGGGAGATTCGGGCTGCATCTACTAGTATGTCTTCGCAGATGGATGTCTTTCCCCGATATGAAGTTGCTGGGCACCCCATGACCGACGGCTATTGGTATTGTTCCAAATTTATTGAAGGCAACACCGCCGAAGTGTATGGAACGCCTAACATTGCTAGAAGTACTAACAGTACGGTAACCGGGAATTCGGAGGTGATCTGTTCAAACTTGCTACTACTGGAAGAAGGCTACATGTATATCCACGTGGCATTTATAGGGTCATCCATGAACTTAGATTTGGTCTTAGTTTTGCGCCTAGACAGAACTAATATCTTCAGTTATGTACTCACCGAACACCGGTGTCTAAACAATATACGTATGTTACTATTTAAAACGGACGGTGTATAATGACAGGGGAGCAAACTAGGGTTCCGAAGCTACCTTCCGCCGCAGGGAGTTCTGTGACTGAGAGAATATTCCTCCATAGACAATCACAGCGCCTGGTAAGGCAGCCCGACAACGCGACCTCGATGTATTTTAAGAAAATCGACTGATCGATGAGTAACGATAACATTTGGACCATGCGATCGTCGTACGACATGGCATGAGGCGGATTCAAAATGCTCGGACGAAGCGGACCTTAGAAGGGCCCCGGATCAACCAGCCAATCATCGCGCGTTGACCTCGGGATCCCCCACTTGCTTATTTGATTATCAGGATCGCCACCGGCAAGGCCAGACTGGCCACTTTTTTTTCCCTTGGGTTGCTCTTTGAACAGCCTTCCTTCTCTGCGACTCTTAAGACTTTGAGCTGAAATTCTCGGCCCATTCAATCCGTCGGTTGTTGCGCGGTTATTCACGAAGAACCGCGACCTGTCTCATAACTACCGCGTCGCGTGGGCCGATCTCTCCCATCCGACAGACCTTCGTCATAGCTTGCAAGATGCGCCCTGCGGCGAAGCTGTTCTATACAGCTGTTTTCGCTTTTGCGAGCCTGACTAGCGCCGGTCGGAATGCCTCGCAGGAGCTGGACACCATGAAATGTGCTGTAAGTCGCGAATGCAATCGGACTGCCCAGATTCATCCATTAACTCTTCGTCTCTTTCTAGTTTGACCCGTCGGCGACGGTCTCCGACACCTGCATATCGTACGAGAGCATTAACGCTATTAACGACGAAATTTATACCCTCCTGCAATCCCTCACCATCGAATCCGACTTTTTCTCATATTATCGCCTGAACTTGTTTAATAAGGAATGTCCTTTCTGGAACGATGAGAGTAGCATGTGCGGAAATATCGCGTGCTCTGTGAATACCATAGAATCCGAGGAGGATATTCCGCTCGTCTGGCGGTCAGAAGAGTTGAGCAAATTGGAAGGCCCGAAAGCGAACCACCCGCCCCGAGACCTCCGGGAGAAATTGCCCAAGGAGAGCCCACTTCAAGGAAAGCTGGGAGCCGGAGTTGGCGAGAGCTGTGTGATAGAATATGACGATGAATGCGACGACATGGACTACTGTGTGCCGGAGGATGAGGGCTCGACTGGAAAGGGTGACTATGTGAGTTTGGTGGATAACCCCGAAAGGTTCACCGGCTATGCGGGAGAAGGCGCGCATCAAATATGGAATGCCATCTACAAGGAGAACTGTTTCTTGAAGCCCATTGAAGAAGAGTTCCAGGAGCAGTCACTTCACGTCCCACTCGGCGGGCTTGAAGCCGTCTCGGACTTCCGGAATGTCTTGCAGAAGGAGTCGCGTAAGGAGTCTCTCCGGCCTGATGGATTGCCGTTTGACAATGAATGTTTGGAGAAGCGAGTCTTCCACCGTCTTATCAGTGGCATGCACGCTTCCATCTCCACCCACCTCTGCTGGGACTACTTGAACCAGACCACAGGCCAGTGGCAACCCAACATGCAGTGCTACAAGGAACGGCTGCATGACCACCCGGAGCGCATCTCGAACATGTATTTCAACTATGCGTTGGTCTCTCGCGCCGTGGCCAAGCTCCGCAAGCACTTGAAGAGCTACACTTTTTGTACCAGTGACCCTGCGCAGGACTTCGACACCAAGCAACGGATGAACCAGCTGACTGATGTTCTTGCACGTCCGCCGAAGATTTTCAACGAGGAGATCATGTTCCAAGATGCCGCCGCCCAGGGCTTAAAGGAGGACTTCCGCAATCGTTTCCGCAACGTCAGCCGGTTGATGGACTGCGTTGGTTGTGATAAGTGTCGACTGTGGGGCAAATTGCAGACTAGCGGTTACGGAACCGCGCTGAAGGTGCTTTTCGAGTATGATGAGACCAAGAACGGCGAGAACCCTCCCTACGTCGGACCGAGCTTGTTGCTCTGATCAACACCCTTGGTCGCATCTCTCACAGCCTGGCTGCCGCGCGCAGTTTCCATGAGGCATTTGAAGCGGGTCATGAGCACGCCTCGCCACTACAGAACCATGTTCCTTTAGTAGCAGATGAAAGCCAAGCTGCCGATTCCACAAAAGCTAGCCAGGGGCGGTGGTACCATGACGGGATGAATGGTGTTTATTATGAACCCAACGAGGCGGAGTGGGAATATCAAGGTATAAGGGACCCCAATGCCCGGAAGCCATGGGAGCCTGTACCCCGCAACCCGGATGCCGGCATCTACGATGAAATGAATTCGGAGTGGGAGATCGTTCGAGATACCCTCTTGTACGTCCTCCGATCCTGGATGGACATTCCAAGGCTTGCGTAAGTCCTTTCCCCCCCTTTCCGTTGCAAGTGAATGCTTACTTACTTCTCGATGCAGTTACAGCATCTTTTCTCAGGAGGCTTATCGCCTTTGGGCGTTCTGGCTGGGCCAACCGGTGCCGCCGCGTCTTTGGAAGATCCAAGCTCCTAACACCGATCATGCGGTACCCCCTAATACCCATAGCGAACTCTAGAGTTTGCAGCTTTATCGTTTCTTGTACATAGGCGTTCTACACGGATTATCATTTCCTGGCGTTGTAAAGAGGCGGCTATGGCTTCATAATTGCATCTTGCATTTTGGTTTTCGTCGACCGTCATCCACTGGCTTGATATGCCACTTAGGGTCGGCATCGGTATTTTCACGAGACCTACAATAGTGAACTTGACCAGCACCATTTGGCTGGAATGTGTCTGAATTATCTCGATGCCAGACAGGTAGATAATGTGTATAATGCGGCCAATGGGAGTGATCCAGGTTTTCCTCGGGTTTCGGGCGGTCAGACCAAGTACACCGGGTTCAACGCCACCAAAGGGATTTCAGCCGGGATATACATTCCTGATTGGGACTCATGCGATAAGATCTTTCAAGATTTGGGACCCCATCGAATTGAGCGTCGAGCACCAGAAGCATGCGGGAATTCAGAAGCAAGAACTACAATTCGAAGACAAGAAGAAGAAACAAACAGGAGAAGAAGACCCTGACCCCGCAAGAGTCCTACGGAGTTTGGGGCACGGCTTAGTCATCCTCGGCCAGCGCCGATATCCTCGGCTTCTCCACTCCCGGCCACATGCGCCTTCAAGTTTTCCCTCTCGCTCCACCCCCGGTTTCTCTTCCCCATCTTCCTGATCTTCTCCCGATGCCAGGTCACTGAACCCCATAATGGCGTCGGTCTCGCCACCAAAACCATGGGAGAGAGCAGGCGCTGCTTCTGGTATGTCCCTCGTTTGGTCTCATCTGTCGCGTTAACGCGCTCCGACCGTTGGCTGTCCAGGGCCAACCATCCCGATCACCCTGAAATCCAAGTACTAACGCTTCCTTTTCGCACCCTTCACAGGAAACGCACTGTCAACCACTCCCACTGCTGGTAATCCAGTCTCCTCAACCGCGATGACTACCACCTCACCCGCCGCGGGCAACCCCGCACCCTCGGCAACATCCACTGCCCCCGATCTTCCATCACGCCCCAGCACTCTCAACTCCGTTGTCAACTCAACTGCCTCTAACTACAGTCCCTATGGAGCCTCTCGATTAGGAGCCAGCCCTTACGGCGGGTATGGCGGAATGGGGGCGTACTCTCGCCGTACTCCCGTTTCGGCTCCATGGGCTCCATGTACGGTGGCTATGGTGGTTATGGCGGCATGGGTGGGATGTACGGCGGTATGGGTGGAATGGGAGGCATGTATGGTGGTATGCCAGGGCAGGACCCGAATGACCCCAACAGCCTGACCAACTCGTTTGGACAAAGCACTCAAGCCACGTTCCAGATGATCGAGAGCATTGTCGGTGCGTTCGGTGGCTTTGCTCAGATGTTAGAGAGCACATATATGGCCACCCACAGTTCTTTCTTTGGTAAGGGATTTCGATCAACAAATTGATGCGAGCAACTTTATACTGACTGTGCCCACAGCGATGGTTTCGGTCGCAGAACAATTCGGCAACCTACGTAATACTCTCGGCTCCGCGTTGGGTATCTTTGCCGTCATTCGGTGGTTTCGCACCCTGATCGCCAAAATCACTGGGCGACCTCCTCCGGCAGATGCTACTTCTTTGACTCCTGCCGCTTTCGCAGCTTTCATGGGCGGGCGCTCTTCCTCCTCGGTCCTCCCAGATGGCTCTCCGGCACCTGCTAAACCATCCAAGAAGCCATTCTTCATGTTCCTCATTGCCGTCTTCGGTCTCCCCTACCTTATGGGTAAACTCATCAGATCGCTCGCTCGCTCGCAGGAAGAAGAAGCCAAGCGTCGCCAGCAGCTGATTGGCCCCAACGGGGAGCCCCATTCTGCGTCTATGGATCCGGCTAAGTTGGACTTCTGCCGTGTTCTTTACGACTACAGCCCCGAAACACAGGAGAGCAACGGTATTGACTTGGCTGTCTCCAAGGGTGACATTGTCGCTGTGCTCAGCAAGTCAGACCCCATGGGTAACGCCTCGGAATGGTGGCGCTGCCGTGCTCGTGACGGTCGCGTAGGCTACCTGCCAGGTCCATACTTGGAGACTATCCAGCGACGACCCCAGCAGGCTATCACTGGAGGTAGCGAGCCCGCGAGCCGAACCAGTACTATGAAGGACGGTGGCCATGACCGCACCCAGAGCCTCTCCGCTCTGTCGAAGCCGGCCGGTGACCAGCCCCCGGAGCTGAAGAGCAAAGTGGGAGATATCTCACCTGAGAGCTTCCAGAAGAGCACCTTCTATTCTTAAGTGACATAGACATGGGCTTATGGGCTCTCTATACTAAAGCAGAGCGAAGTCCGACCTTCTGCTTTCGGCTATCCCATTCCTTCCCCGTGTCAAAAACCATCCCCCACCCCCCATCTACTCATCATCTACGAAAACATCTGATTTGGATCGACTTTGAATCTCTCGCCCTTTCAATGATATCCTTAAGTTCCGGTATCGATGGCGATACCCCTGTTCCCCCACGCGGTACATACCGGCCATTTCCAATATTTTTATTTTTATCCTTTTTTCTTTTTGCCTCGGGACCTGTTTTTTCCTTATCATTATCACTATATCAGTATTCTACTCTTGATTGACTTATGGGTCTGGCGAGCGGGGTTATGTTCAAATATGTATCTTTTATTTTCCAATGCATCCATGGGTGCCCCATGCGCAACATCCCACTCGTAGTCCCGAGTTCATCCGTAGCAGATCTACATCCCTATCAACGCCACTGATCGGCGGACATTGCGCCTCTGCAGTGCACCTAACTAGTAGCGAGTCAGTTCAGGCTCTATCGAACCCCCTGATCTGCAAGGCCACCCATCCCTATAACACACTCGTTATAACCTTAGAACAGGGATAACATAACATCCTCAGGCCACCAACGCCCTCACAGTTGTAGTTTCAAGCCCGTAACCGCCAAAAAGCAAGCACTAATCCCTCCCGTTGGCCCGGTATCTGCACCGGCCCATCAACACTTTACAACGAGCCCGCAGTGTGGCATTTACGCGATTGAGGAGGGGGGAGTTCCAGGCACATGGGTGCACCCCTGCTCGACTGAGCGGTTGTACGTATCTCATATGTACATGCGTTGGTGCGTGTGCATGGCGGATTGTAACTCGTGCGGGCTTTGTGGTTCGTATGCGAATTTGATAGTCCCCGATTTCGGATGGGTTGGGTCTGTTTAGGTGATTTGATCGAGATGGCTTTCCCTCCCCTCCCTCTTGAGGCTGGTGAGAGGGAATGTAAGTGCTTCTTGTATTGATAGGGTGATTTGTGGTGAGCTACTTTACTGATTACACTTAGTACGTATTGGATAACCAACTCCGTTTATAAGTAAAGCGTGATCTATCCACATGGGTTCTGACTCATAACCAGTTAGAGCAGAGATTATACACAGAAGAAAAGAAGAGGCTTCAAGAAGAAAAAAGCCAAAAAAAAAAAAGAGGAACTATTCGATAGGACCAGCTGGCATGGAAAACAAGCAGGTCTAGTACCTTTTTTTTTCCACGGAACCCCAATCTAAGAAGTCAGTCAAACGAAAAGGGCCAATAGCCCACGAAAAGAAACGCCCTTGCTATGATGAACTTTCCCTCAATCACCTTATCATGTAGCGAAGAGTAAGGAGGGTGAAAGAAAAGGAGAAGAAAAACAGACGCTGATGATAAACGGAAATAAGCGTTCGATCCATGTACACGAATACAGAGACAGGCGGCGGAAGAAAGAAGGTGCCAAAAAGGTGTCTCCTGTTCACAGTCCGAGTCCCTCATGGTGCGGGACTTCTTGATTGGGATCCTGGTCCCGCGAAGAGGCCCACTTCGCCATGCTCTCCTCGAGCGTGGAACCGAGGCGCGTCAGGCGATTCTGGAAGACGTCCAGCCGGTTCCAGTCATCCGGATGCGTTACCTCGCCTGGCGCATCCACGTCGTCGTGATGGGATTGGAGGGGTGCCGAGGCGGGGATCTGAGAGACCACTGGGTGGTTGGGGGAACGGACTGAGGGATGGACAGGGTGGATTGGTTGGTGGATTGGTTGATGCATGGTCGTATGGATCATTGGTGGTGGGTGCACCGCCCGGTGGATGGGAGGAGGCGCCGGAGCGTGGATGGTGGGATGAACGGTGGGATGCGATCCCAGATGCATGGCCGGGTGCGTCACATGGACTCCCTGGTGAATGGAGTGGGCGACAGGATCTGAAGGGTGGTAGGCCCGGCGTTGCTGATTGTGCAAAGACATGGAGTAGGCATGGTCGTCGTCCATCACCAGATCGGGGATGGATTCGAGATGATTTTGGTCTGCCATGGAGTTAGATTGCGCGTAGGTCAATCTAGGCTTTGAGCACGAATTACCATAACCGATGGGGTACGGCGTCTCCCGCGAGGGAGATGCCAGATCGGGAGGTGAGACGGGCGTGGCTACCTCCTCCTCGGGCTCAGGAGTATAGCAGGACATGTCCGATGGGGTGCCTGCAGCTAGTTGCATGAGTTCCAAATTCTTGCGAAGGCATGAGAGTCGGGGATGAGCAGGTGATATTACTCACTGGGCTCCGGGCTCTGTAGCTCGGCGTCTTTATCGCGATTCTTCACCCATGTCGAGCCGTAACGACGAACAAAACGAGTGATGCGCTTGGGATCGACATTCTGGCCAGCTCTGCGGAAGGCTGTCTGCTTGCCTCGGGCAGCGCGTTTTTGCTTCTTTCGAATCATGACTTGCACCTCGGCGGCTTTGATGTTCTTGCGGACATTCCACGCGGCCAGGCGATCTTTATACTGCTTTTCTCTGGGGCTCTAAGTTAGGCATGTGGCTTAAGACTCTAGGGAGACGAATTGGGCCCATGGCCACCAGGGAAATAGAGAGAAACAAAAAAAGAAAAAGGAAAAAAAAGAAAAGAAAAAAAAAGAAAAGGAAAGACTTCAGAAAGATTCAATTCAGATGAAAAGGAAAGAGGAGTATTACGAGGCATAGAACTTATAGTCCTTTTCCATGATGCGTTTGACATCGCGGAGTTTGAGTTGGTCGGAGCGATACAGTTGCTCGATCGTCTCGCGATACTCGTGCCAGTCTTCGGATCGGCGGGGCCGGAAAACGCTGGACTGCGGAGTGACCGGTGATTGAGATTGAGATTGGGGGGAGAGAGTCATTGAGGGGGGACGATTGTAGGGATCCATCGTGAATGCTCATCCCAAGGCCACCGGTGATGGGTGTGGTGGTTTGGTTATGGTTATAGGAGTTTTTAAGATTCTGGGTTAGGACTTTCACATCGGAAGGGGAAAGGCAAAAAGGTGCCCAAAAATAAGAAAATCCAATAAAACCGAAATAAAAATAAGCAAACCAGAAAAAAGATAAAAAAGATATAAGGCTCAGAAACAACAAGAAGAATGCGATCACCAGGCAACTTGTGAGATCAGGACCGGGGCCAAGGAATCTCTCGACTACTCTTTGCGGCGAGCTGCGGCGCGCCGGACGCACGACCCCCTGCTTCCCCGGCCAAATCAGATTGCCCGGTGGCAGTTGGCGCTGGCTCCATCACAGTGCAGCACCTTGACAGTGCGATGATCGTCAACGGCGACAGGTGCTGGATGCAGACTGGTGGGAACCGATCTCCGGGGCGCGGGATTTGAAAAGGACGAAGGTCTGGAATCAAAGCGTCAAGGCCCGTGGTGGAACCCTCGACAAAAATACCAACTCAAATACGAACTCTATGGGAACCCGCGGTGTACAGAAAAGCTAAGACGCCCTCTGAAGGACACTAAAGCACGGACATGCAAACCCAGTAAACGAGTCCTGGACTAAGGCCCGATTAGGAAAGACTTGAAACTGCATAGGAATGGCCCTGAGTTTTATATCGGAGCCCCTCGAACCTTGAACAACGAGCTCCTGCGGCAGGACGTCCTGATCCACTGAATAAAGCCCAACACAATACGGGCATCCCCGAGGAGAACCCATCGCGCTGAACCCTATTTGTGGGAAAATCCGGGCTAAACAGCTCGACGGGCCTTCGAGGGGCCTTTGAGGGGTGGAGCTGAATCGTGTACCTTTGCGCCCACCGTGGCGGGAAGCGCAGCCTAACCGAACTATTTGTATGCAGTGCACTGGCCGCACATTGAATGTGGTCCCGCTGCCTTTTTTCGCGGCCGGGGTTGCCTTAATTTGATATGAGGACAACACCTGGGCAGCGGGATCGCGCCTGTCACGGACTAGTCGTATCCTAGCCCTCGTACCTATGTTGCCCTGCTCAGATCTTGGTAGAGCTGGGTCCAACCGGGAGCGGCCCGAAACCTCCTCTCCTGTCACTTCTTGGGGGGGGTTTTCTTCTAGACAAAGAGTCCCAGCCCGCTGGTTCTGATCCAAGCCACGGGCATTTGCTTCTTTGGACGGGGGTGATGATTTTCCTTTGTCATACCCACACTAATGCTGAACACCTCCAGCTCCCGGACTTCTGCTCTGATCTCCCTCGTGTCCAGACGCAAGGGTGGAGACCGACAGCCGTTAGAAACATGCCTCGCCGTTGAGAGCCAAGTGTCATCCCCAGAATGTGCAAAAAGACCCCCCCCATGTGATCCAAGGGGTGGCGAGTCGCCTCCCCCCCACGCGCACATTCTTTGCGCTTTGGTCTCTTTCTCCAAGTCGCGTACAGTCCATCCACTGGCGAAACTTAAGATAGGGATTGGGGCCCTTGACCGAACTCAGGCCTCTGTCTTCCGTGGGTCAGCTGCGCGTCTTACATTGGTATGGAGCTTCTCTTCATAAAGGGGGGGGAAGCCTCCCCACCCCCAGCATGCGTTGAATGACAAATATCCTAAAACAGAAGTACCACCGGCTCCCACCCCCCTGGACTAAAAATAAAGGATACGCAAAAGCAAAAAGCTTTAAAAAGCGGTGGTTGAGTTGGTGACGTTCTTTGCAACTACTGTGGACAAGCACCCTGGGTCTCGATCCTGGAGAGGGGGGAAAGCTACAAAGTACCTTTAGGTACTGGTACATGAGAAGAGCCCATCCTTCCAGGGCCGAGCCCATACCCCACTGGGAAGTAGTCCAAGTCTCAACGCCTAGACCGCACGCGTCGCTCCATGAGAGTGTCGAGTGGCAAGGTATCTTTAGCTGCATTGATCGACCTGCTCGGGCTCGCGGATGCTCTGCCTAGCCCCCGATCACGAAGGTCGGGAAAGTACCTCGTACTTGCGATATGATGGGGTGGAGAATAGGGGAGGGCCGGGAGCGCCCATCGGGCATCATCCGGTCGTCCGTTGAGGACAATACATGCATCGCTCGGAGACTAGGTCTAGAATTGGTATGGCTCGGTGGGTCTTAGCGGGTTTTGGGTGGATGAAAATGCGGGGCGAGGGCATGGATTGGCGGCTGCGCTTTTTATTTTGTTGGTCTTGACTTCTGGGTGTCCTGGGCTGAAAAGAAAATAAAATAGAATAAAATCAATGAAGAGAAGGGAAGGGAAGAAAAATAAAGGCGGTGGGGGGAAGCCTGGGGATATGACGCAGCGAAAGGTTGCTGCCATGATCGCAAAGGGGGATAGTCCGCGCGAAGCAGAAAGGGTCCCACTGGGCAAGAGCATTGACGGCGGTGATATTTGCCGCGTCCATGCTCTTCGAATGCCCCACGGGCCACCGTTCACCGGGTCGGATCGCATGCAGGTACTAAGTTGTAGCGGCTAGGGGGGAGAGTGAAAATGTACTAAAGGCTGTCACTCGAATGAGGTTGGTCGACTCCGTTGTTGGGTCGCGGCAGCGTATCGGGAGCGAAAGCCATCTCGTCCGCTTGTCCACTAACCCTTTTCCCCCCAACCCCTGTCATTTGGGGTCACTTTCGTTCAGTCTGAATGTAAATGGAAAGAACGGCCCGTGGTCCATGATCCCGAATGCAGGAAACTCAAGTCCGCGCCCAACCGTCGCATGACAGGTGAGGAGTCAAGGAGGACGGTGGCTCGTGCCTTGGCGATCGATCTAGAAGTCAATCAAGGGTCCGGAGACATATGCGATGCTGGGGGAGCAAGGTTGGGCCAAAAGTACTCCGAACTAGACTCGCATGGCCCGACATGCATCTGCACATCCCCCAACAATAATCATCGCTTCGGGATTAAGGGAGGCAATGGAGGCAGAGGTAAGGCTGCCTGAAAGCTTTCCTCACCGCATGGCCCTAGGAACTACTCCATGGAGTTCTGGATCCCTCTGGGTTCAGGGCCGGGGCTTGGTGGGGCCCTGTCGAGTCTGCTCCGCGGCCGCGACCGCTGCAGCTGCGACAGCGGAATTACTGGAACTTGTGCTGGCAATATTGCTCGCGTGCGCTAGCAAGAACTTGCAGCAGGTCAAGGTGTATTTACAGGCACGCGTCCATGTATCGTCGGAGGGGAACCCGATCCTGATGCTCGCATCGCCTATAACATCCTTGTTGATCGTATAGGGCAGCTGCAACCCTGACCGCGTGGTACCCGTGACCTCGTTGCCGCGGCGTGTGGATGTCTTCTCGACGAACTCTCCGAGCTGTCGTAGACATCCGAGGAACGCCACCATTCCGTTATCGAACCTACGATGTATCCAAGGAATACCGAGTGGCATATCTCCGCTCGAGAAAAGGTCCCCCGTAACGATTTTTGACGAAGTACCGTCCGAGGACCACTGTTTGTACTCAATCTGCGAGGTAGAGCCGAGTGGTCTCAAGCGGTAGTCCTTGGATTTGAATCCCAGTCGGTCGGCGATTGTAGCTACGAGAAGACACGTCTGGCCCCATGCTGCGTTGATCTCTGCCCAGTCGACCGACGGATTTGATCCTCTGCCTAGGCGCAATCCATTGATTGTCCCATAGTATCCGTCGTGCCCGATGCAAAACGCGTCATTGTAGACATTTGTCCGTTGCAGCCGCTCAAGTTGCTGCGAGTCATGATCGTATCGCATGTTCAGCGCATCTCGTTCTGTTTGAAACTCTGCCAGCGTCAACGCGAAGCTGTTGCGTGACCGCCAGAATGCTTCCTCGGTCTCATCAAGTTGACGAGATTCCTCTTCCAGCCCTGCTATTTCGTCGTCCAATGCTGCTTGCTCACGTTCCAGCGCCTCCAATTCGGCAAACTCGGCCTTCTCTGCTTCAAGGCATTCCTTGAGAGACTTTTCAGCTGACTCGAGGTCGTCCGCGGTCGGAACTGATGTGTTCAACGCTCTCAGGAACGATATGTATGCATCTCGCTCTCTCGTAGCACCAGCAAGACGCTTCTGCATTCCCTCAACAAGCATGTCGGTGCACTCGATGCAAATGGGATGATCGATATCAGAACGGGCCGACACGATCTCGAACAACTGCGCAGCCCTTTCCACCTGGTTGGAAAAGGTCGCATCCTCGTGTCCGTGATCCTGACCTTGCTTACTCGGATTTTTCGGTCGCACCGGAAGACTTTCGACTGGGGGCGGTGCAATTTGCGACTCCGTGAGCATCACGAAGGACATATTCCCACTATCGCCTCGTGGGGGGCCGGGCGGATTGGGGTTGGCCCCCGACCGTGGGGCGGGGATGGATCTTCTGTAGACTGGCTGCGTAGCATTTTTGGACGCTCGATCGTAGAGTTCGCGCCTTTCTGGAGGGTACGATGATCGTGCTGCGGACGACGCTGAACCATGCTCCGGAAGAGTCCTGCCTGTCGAGTCTGTATCATGAGCTTCGTTAGCATGAGCTGAACACAGGATTTTGTAGACACGGAGTACGTACTGACAAGCAACTCAAATGCAGCTGGATTCAACGACTCCAACGAGCTGTCGAGCTTCAACGGAGTCCGGCACTTCTGGCAATACATAATGCTCAGTTCATACTCGACGGGCGGATGTGGGGAGGTTGAAGTTCGGGTCGGGGGGGGGAGCTACGCGGGAACGTCATGTCATGCTTTTTATTTTTGTCTCTTGAACTCCACGACGCTTATTCTGCTGTTCACGTTCATTGCCAGGATTATTGTGGTATCACATAGGCCGCTGTTGAATTAGCTTTCAGTTTACGAGGTTTTCACCCTCCGATACGCATCTTGCGTATCCAAGAGATGGATAACTCAATTCAGTCATCGCGTCCGAACACCCTCGCCAAACGCGACGCGTCTGATCCCTCCTTCCACCGACTTACATCGACTTTTACAAACGAATGAAGAGCTCAACTAGCGATATTATGGAGCGGCCAGCAAAGCGTGCTCGAGTGTCATCCCCGAATGAACCACCCCATGAAGAGCTTGCGGACTGGGACCTGCAGGCAGCGCGCGCCCGGAACGATCTAAACCTTAAATCGATATTCGAAGGAATCTTTGCAAAATATAGTAAGGATTTTACAGAAGAAGGCGATGAGATCGATCTACAAACGGGGGAGATTATTGTTGACCATGGGCACTTGCTGGGCATGCATGAGGAGGGTGGTTCCAACGAGGCTACAGAAGCATGGAACTATGAAGCTGCCAGACAAGCCAGAAAAAGCGCAGATACGGACGCTGAGGACCAAGACGTGGGAGATGATGAGGACAGCGCGAACTTGTCTGAGGACGATGAAGATGATCTCGTGGCTTCAGAATCTGACAAAGAAGCAGATATCTGCCGACCGAGCGACTCTGCACCACCCGGTCCCATCTTGGATAAACCAGATGCGACCCCCGTCTTGCCACAGGATACTTTTGAACAATTCAACAAAATCGTCGCCCCGATAGACCCAATTTGGGAGGCCCCCGAATTGCCTGTGTTCTCCACCCCTACCGCTGAAACACGACGTGTTCAAGTTCCACCAAATCTTCCAAACTTGCGGCGGGAGCCATCTCCACCGGGGTCTGGATCCCTTTGGGCAATCCCGAAGCGAGGTCGACCCTTTACAGAAGGTAAACCAAGAGCAACCCCGAGCAAAACCCGCCCTCGGGCGAAGCGGAAGCACCATTCAAGCCCAGTGGCGTACGACTGGTCATTCGCAGCCATGACCGAAGACGATGACTCGGATGACCCACTACAGGAGGAACAACCGTCGCCATCTGTCTTAAAACTAAAATCATGGAATATTCGCGGGAAGACAACAAATCCGCCCACCCTTACATGCTCACCTTTGGCCCGCCAGCCATTACCAGGCCCGAGCAAGACAAAGCCGCCCGAACCCCCTCAGCACCAATCCACTACCGACGCCGCTCATAATCAAGAAGACAAGGCTAGACATAAGTCCTATTTACAGAGCTATGTGGCATCCGCGAGACCTTATTCATTGAAGTCAACTACAGCGCCTGGAACGGCGGGGGGTTCCCGCGGAGACTACGCCCACCAGGTCACGGCGGCCTTTATCACTCGATGAAGCGAGGTTGGTTGTTCGACTGCGATACGTGGAAAAAAAGAAATGGCATGAGATCAGTGATCAAATGGGTCGCTCGATAAATACGTTATGTGTATGGCATAGGAACCATTGGTTGGACCCGCGCGATAATCCGCCTAAGCTTTCGACTCCCTGGACCCAGCAAGAGCTCCAGGTCTTGGGCCACTTCACAGATCGGGCGGAGCTTTCCTGGGCTGAGATCAAGAAAGAAGTGCCCCATCGCTCGAAAGCCGAGATTGAGTTTGAACTCATCCGTATGTGGGTTGGCGATAAGGCCTGGGGTAATGAACGAGAATCGTTCAAACAGGTTGAAAATGAGAGTGGCGAGCCAGAAGCCCCTGCGCCTCAGCCGTGTGATAAACCCGCAAATGCCTCCAATAAGAGCCCTCGAGAACATGTGGCTGACACTTCGTCTATTTATGGTGAGATTTCGGAAGGCGCAGCATTGCCTGATGATGATTATGATCCTTTTGCCACTATCAGTAGCGCGGAATCGTCGCCTTCCAAGCTTTCGGCAATTCGTATGGATAATACCATTCAACTGAAAAACTGCCCTCCGAAGAGACATTCTCCAGTGAAACAGCTGGAATCCACCCAATGATGGCGCTCGTGGCTACAAAGTGTGCTGGAGGCACGATTGATTACCCGTAGATATTCCAAATAATGTCATGTCAAACCTATTGAAAATCTTCATCTCGCGCGCTCAGAACATCACTAAGCTTGGTGTCCACTGCACCACCCACGTCGCCCGCCTTTGCCCAGAAGCGAGACAAATGCCTCGACCCTGAGTCTGATAGCACAGTCACGATTCGATGGCCAGGGCCAAGCTTCTGCGCTATCTTCACAGCCGCAAAACCTGTACCCCAAGTTAATCAGTGCGTATGGGGGAATCAAACATATCAGACTTACAATTCACCGCACTGCTACTGCCAATGAAGATCCCGTCCTTTTCAACGAGCCATCGCGCCATGGCTAATGCCTGGGCATCCGTCACACGAACAGCATCATCCACGAGCTCCTTACCCGCTTCAAAGTTAGCCGTCACACGATTGATGCCAATCCCTTCCACGATGGTATCGACTTGACGACGGCGGCGAGTTCCCTCCCTCTCCTTCAAATCAAACATCACACCGAACCGCACGCGATTGTACAGGCCGCTACCTTGCGGGTCAGCCAGAACCACTGTGAGATTCGGCAACAACGGCTTCAGATATCGGGCGACACCAGAGATCGTACCTCCAGTGCCAGCACCGGCTATAAATGCGTCAAGTCTACCATTGCACTGAGCGTAGATCTCTGGTCCACTTCCGCCGTAGTGAGCTCGCCAGTTTGCCTCGTTCTCAAATTGATCTGCGAAAAAACCTCGGCCTCTGTTCATGCGGTTTGATAGCTGGATATCGCCGCCTTCAGAATCGGGAAGCGGGATAGCAGAAGAGCTCTGTGTGGGCTTTTGCAAGTGCTCGTGCACGATTGACAAAATTGTCCTTTTCAACAATTGGTGCTGGGGGCACTCGGTCGACAATGGCCCCCAGTTTGAGAAGAAGGTTGGACTTCTCAATTGCTTGGTCGGAAGGCATGCAGCTATCAGGTATTAGCTAGTTTGGAGAGCAAACATCAGACCATACCTACATATGAGCCAAGTAGCCCTTTGCGCGGGCCAACGTGGCTAACGATATCCCTGTCGACCCTGATGTGCCTTCATATATAGTATCACCGGAATATGGAGTCAAAATTCCCTGTTCTTCTGCCTGGGAGGAGCAAAGTCAGTAAACTATCAAAACTACTCGACTTGGATCTGCGAAGTCACCAATTCAATCATGCTCAAAGCCACTCGATCCTTGGAACTCTGACCGGCGCCGTTTAGGAACTTAACGGTGTTAGTTTCATCACAGAGCGTTACTTCTGGGCTAGGAAAGAAAATACTTCGGCCTTAGCCAGGATTTCACATCCCGTTTCATCCGAAAGTGACTTGATTCGGAAAAGGGGCGTATTTCCAATACATCCCTCAATGCCATCAACAATGGCCGGTGGTCCTGATCGTGCAATCAGTTGACCAGATATTGCGCCTTTGGTGGAGTCTTTTTGACGGCGCCGAGAGTCTAACAGGTCTTTACCGATGAGAGCTAGACAGACCCCTGCAGCGAAGGCAGTGCCGATATAAATAGTAGAATTATCCGGCATCGTGTGCCAGCAGTGTCTGTTTCCTCCAACAGTCTTCAAGTTGAATGTCGGAGTTGATGGGACATCGAAGGAAAACGCCGCGCCAAAACGCTTGGACCACTTGGATTTTTGATCAGGTAGTTGGCAGTGCCAATCAAGATAGTGAACCAGCTATATAAGACCCATCGAAAGAAAAGACGATATAAAGGATCTCAATTGTTCGTGAGCACACTCTTGATTCTAGCCCAAGCAAAGATCCAGAGCAAGTCGCAGTTCAAAATGACCAACGGCACGTGAAGTGGTGCCTCAGGCCATCGACGCGCTCAACCCGAAGCACCGCAACCTCCGCAGTTTTATCCGCAGCTTTGCGCTCCAGGCAATATGGACTCGCCCGTCCTCAACCGGTTGTTTCAACGAATCTTCCGGCATCCGACCTGTCAATCATTCCGTCGCTACCCATCCCCGATATCGCAGCAAACTCGCTCGTTCCTGACGCGACGCTCGGCCAATCGCAAATCGCAAGCGGATAGCTCACTCTGGAGGAAACGGGGCCATGCTCCTAAAGATATCAGCAAGGAGTATGAGACATATCCAACAGTCACGGCCAAGGACCTCCGCAGCCGCCGTGAGCGGCCAAGGAAGGTGAAGATGTTGACGCGAGAGTTCGTAGATGGTAAGTTTGAGGGTCTCACGAAAGAACCTCTTCCTCTTCTTCCTTCAGATTTGGACCTCGTATACTGACATTGGAGCTCCAGACAGCTTGTACAATCCGCATTATGGTTACTTTTCGAAGCAAGCGACCATCTTCAGCCCTGGCGAGCCGTTTGACTTCAACAACATTGACGATGGGCCGGCCTTCCACCGACTTCTAGGTCAAAGATATATCGAGTTCGAAGACCGTCTCGACGAGATCAATCCGAACGAAGCGCGGCAGCTCTGGCATACACCTACAGAGCTCTTCCGTCCGTATTACGGCGAAACCATTGCACGATATCTTGTCTCGAATTACAAACTTTCGTTGTACCCATATCATGACCTGATCATCTACGAAATGGGCGCTGGTAACGGCACGATGATGTTGAACATATTGGATTTCATCCGCGACACCGACCATGAGGTTTACCAGCGCACCAAGTTCAAGATCATCGAGATCTCACCCGCATTGGCCGATCTGCAGTACCAAAATCTGATGGAGACACTCGAGGCTCGAGGCCACCGGAATCGCGTTGAAATCATCAATCGGTCTATCTTCGAATGGAACACTTATGTGCATTCTCCGTGTTTCTTCTTGGCTCTCGAGGTGTTTGACAATTTCGGCCACGACACCATTCGCTACGATTGTCGCACCGAGCTTCCGCAGCAAGGTGGCGTTCTGATCGATGCCGAAGGCGACTTCCATGAGTACTACAACTTCCAGCTAGATCCGGTCGCTGCTCGCTTTTTACGTGTGCGTCAGGCGGCAGCTCGACGTCCTTTCCCTAGCCCGTTGGGCCCGAAATACCTTCGTGGTCTGCGGGTCGCGTCGCCGTTCATGAAGGACTTTACTCTTCCCGAGTACATTCCCACTCGACTGATGCAGTTTTATGACATTCTCAACAAGTACTTCCCGGCACATCGCCTGGTAGCCAGTGATTTTAACTCACTGCCCGATGCTGTCCCTGGTATCAATGCGCCAGTCGTGCAGACTCGTTATCAGCGACAAACTGTGCCGGTCACTACTCCCTTTGTAAGTTTATGTACGGGACCCTCCTCTTATGAGAGTATGCTAATTCGCCCTCCTCACAGGTCCATCAAGGATACTTTGATATTTTCTTCCCGACGGATTTCAATGTCATTGAAGATATTTACCGTGCGGTGACGGGCAAACTGACCCAGGTGGTGAGCCACGAGGACTTTGTGCGCCGATGGGCCTACATCGAGGACACGGAGACTCGCAACGGGGAGAACCCATTTCTGAACTGGTATAAAAATGCCAGCATGCTGCTGACGGTGTAAAAACCCCCCCATCGGAATTCTGTATTATAGCGCGTGAATGAATAGCACATAATCCCGGCCTATGCCTCGGTCCAAAAGATCCGCCTGAGAGAAAATCCCCCCAAGTTGTAGAGATCCGCGGCGTCACCAAGTGGGCCACCCCCCCCCGCAGTTTGATTGATGAGCATCCGATTCCCCCCACAAACAAGGGAAATCCCAACTAGAATTCCGTGTTGACATGAGGATGTTGCACGATCAGCGCCAACATGACATAACAAATAGGCCCGCTAATCTAATTACCTTTCACCGCCGCTACGCGGATTAATCGGATCACACATGACCCCTGGACCCGAGCTGGCGAAGAAAGACCTGGACCCGAGCAGGTTACCCCGCGTTTCTTCGGGCCCGGGCGGATCCCATGCTTCGACGATCGGGGCCTGGCATTGTCACGAACCTCGCTCTCATGTGGGAGCTCAGCTCGGGCAGTTCTGGTTGGCCAAGTTCCAGTGGCGCTGGAGCTTCTGCGTCATTCGTGTCACACGGCCCGTTACTTGCTCGGTCGTGGCACTGGTCTAGGAGGTGGTACTCGGCCGGAATCTCCCTGTAGCTTGGTGCCTGTGAGCTACGCAACCGTGGCTATGGTGGAGGCTCTTAGGCTCGCTGCTAGTCACGCCAGCTTGGGAGGGTTGGCGTTATCTCTTTCGGTATGCCTATCGATCTGTTGGGTCTGCCCAGGCGCTTTACCGTGTGCGTTTGATCTTGAGCATTGGAATAAGCCTATAGTGTTAGCCAGAAACGGCCAAGAGCCTTATGATCTTAGGTTGGCAGTACATACTATCTAAAATAGACCGTCGTTGCTATTATAGATGCTCATTCGAAGAAACGAACGCAGGATATGGACGGCAACGGACAGCAACGGACGGCATCGCTAACTTTGCTATTCATCAACTAAGACCGACAAAATTAATGACTGGCAGATGAGGATTGCACCTGGAATCGATCATCGGCTGATATAAGGGGTTTCGATTGGTGTCACAGAGGCTCTCTTTCTTCCCAGTTGGACTCTATTCTTGTTTCCCCGATTTGATTATTGTGTGCTTCGAAGTTGATCACCACGATCGGGTAGAGGCTGAGATGGAAAGAAACACTGGTGCGATTTAAACACCGCGTCCCATGACTACTTGGTTCAATCCGGTCGACAGAGCTGCAAGAAACCGGTCAGATTTATGGAAGCTCTCGTCTGATGTGTGCATAATGTCGCCATTGATTGGCTTTACAGGGGTTGAACCTCAGGCCTCTTTCATCCCGCTAGACCGCTAATGCAAAGACTATTGACTTTGTGGACAATGAATGTACTTTTGGCCATTGGCAGAAGCACGAAGCGACAGTCGAGACCAGCCTTCGAAGCCCATGGTGCCTCAGGACCGTGTCCCATTTCTGCTTTTGGCCGCCTATTGAACAGTGCACGAATTTCTTCGCAGGTACCTCACCCGTCTCCGGTCAGGTTTCAGGGCAGGAACGCGGTAAGTGGACAGTTAAGACCGCTCGCGCCACTGCAATTTTAATAGGCGGGCTTTGTGCGGCGCCACCGAGAAGCATCCATCAGGGATGCAGAAACGCAGGTACCCAAAGACGAGCATCAGACCTGGCCTTCTCCATTATGGTACTTACGGGAGAGTATTCCGGTGTTTTATATTGTTTTAAACTCTGCACGAAGGATCACCTTGATTATTGCTCGGATTCCTGGGTCCTTTGGGACCGGCCCACGGTATGGAGGCACCGTTGCTTAGCGGCTGCGAGTGGAGAAATTTAAGGATGCCGCAATGGGTCTCTTGAAATTAGCATGCCGCCGAGAGAGGCGCCCAAATAGGAGCTCTGGGGCTTTGGCTAGGAAAACAATGCGGTGGTGTTGATCACTACGCACGAAGCTCAGTGACCTGAGAGCCATTATACGGAGTAGCTTCACGGGCATAGACCCATTCTCAGCCTAGTAGCGGTATTGAGTTGAGACATGGTCCTAGTCATGAGTGATCAATCGATAAATCTCCGAAGATCCGAGGCTAAGACAAGAAGAGGAGATAAGCAGGAGTCTCGAGAGCAGAACCTTTTCCGCCCACCGCTAGACCTCCTCTCATGGTAATAGACTTTTGCTGGGTTCCACATGGGAAAGTGGTGAATTTGAGATCCCAGCGGCGACCGAGGACCAAGTGGACGGGGGTGGTTGAGGGGGGGGGGAAGGCGTGTTGCGTGCAGGATGCAGCACCGAGGGAACAGACGGCGCAGCGACGACCAAACCTGGGCCACTCAATTGGTGTTAGTCTCGAGACTCTGGCAGTAGATTGGAGGACACAAAAGGTGGATTCGAGTGATTGGACTGGACTAGACCTGGAAGGGTCAGGGCTGATCAATACTCCAGCGGGCAATAATCGCCCGAGAGGTCCTAGGCTAATGCATGGCTTGACATTGGAGTGACCAGGGCCCAAGCTACTCAGCTCTCTGAGTATCACAAGATAAACCTCTCGAGTACCGAGGACATTGAGCAGAAGACTTCCTTGGTGTCTACCAATCCCGTGGTCGCCAATTCCATTCCCCCGCATCGTGGCGCCGATCCAGTGGACACGAGTGGATCGAGTCCCACGGGGTTACCGGCGCGGATTGGACCAATGATGCCATCCGCGGTTCTGTCCAGGGAAATAAGGTCGTCTTTTGGGGTTTGGGGACTTTTTGAGTTCGGCTAAAGATTGGGTCCCCCTTTTTATACATAGCACACTCGTCCCCCCCCCGTCTTCTGAACCCACCCCCGGATTTTCGATCTTTGCACGTCTGTCCGCTCTGCATGATGCCGTCCAAGGAGTCGAAATTCGTGGTGGGCAAGCCCTGGGGGCCCTTTCTTACCCCCGGCGACCCTGACGACCAGTGGGCCTTGACCAAGACTAAATCCGCCGGTGGGCTCTCGTTGTCGCGCACCCCGAGTACCACACAGAGAATTAAGCGCCATTGGAAGCGTTTTTGGTTTGTGTATTGTGTTGGCAACGTCATCTTCCTTGCCATCTTTCTTCCAGTTTTGTAAGATACCTATGATTGCGCCTCGGGCAGAATGTGTGACTAACATCGCTCAGCTTCCTTGTTGCCATCCCCGCAATTGCCCAGCTGGTCGTCAATAAATCAGATCTAGTGCTGACGGAAGCCATCTTGACCCAACCAAAGCCTGATAGTGTGCAATTAACGCTCCAAACCAAAGTCGACTTGCACCTGGCACTTACGGCACGAATTGAAGATCTCCCTCTGTACTTATATCAGAAAGACTACGGGGAGAAATATCCCTACGCCTCTTTCACCATTCCTGGGAAAAAGATCAGGGGCAATACTACGTTGGGTGTAAACGACATCCACTCGCCCATCCTGAACCAGACCACCTGGGAGGAATTCGTGCACCAAATCATTTTCCAAAAGGAAACCTCATTGTGGGTTCATGGCCAAACAAACACATACTTGGGCGTGCTGAAGTCGCATGTGAAGTTGAACAAGGCCATTAAAACCCAGAGTACGTGAAATGATCCCTGTACCCCGGTCCGTTCCGTACTAACAGTCCCTGCAGGTCTGAACCAGTTCGAAGGATTCAGCATTGCTAATGCAGGACTCGTGTTCAATCAATCCGATGGACACAACTTTGAAGGCAACTTGACTCTGCCTAACCCAACTCACCTCACTTTTCAAGTGGGTGACATATTATTGAACATTCAAGCCGGCGGCGTCGTTCTCGGAAACGCCACCATTGAAAATGTCGAATTATTCCCCGGCACAAATGCCTTTCCCCTTAAAAGGAATCCTCGACATCTCCACAGCTATCAAGCATCTAGGAGGTCTATTAAAGACTGAGGCCAAAGCCCTGAAGGGCGGCAACCTGACCCTCGATGCAATCACCCAAGAAGTCCACTACGACAATGAATTAATCCCATGGTACACCAACGTGCTGCGGCAACTCACGCTCACATCTGAAATCCCGCTCAAGGGTCTGATCAACAACACGATTGCGAACCTCAAATCCCAAACCAACTTCACATCCACCCTGAAGGGGTTGAATTTATCTAGTCTGCAAGGGATGGGGTCGGACTCGGGTTCTGGGAAGGTTTCGCGATCTGAGGGCGATTCCGATGGGCCCGTGAGTGTTGCGACGCTGATGCGCCGCAGCAAGTACATCCAAGAAGCTTTTGAGGGTGTAGACCCTGTAGAGCGGGACTTCATGATTGACTCGTTCTCTGGCTTTTATTCCTAATGATTTTCTACGACTTAATATAATCGAATACCCTGGACTTTTACAAAGCATATAAAATTCAGTCCATGCTGGGCTTGTTTCTCGATAGTTCTCTCTGAGACTGATCATGTTCGAGAAGCTTTCATTTCAGCACCAAGCCCACAGACTGGTACCGTGAAGCTCTTGGCCGACTGTTCATGGTCAAACAATCCAAACACATAGAGGTCGTCAAAGGTCTTAGTATCGCATGGAAAGACAGTTATCAAGAAAAGTCTTGGATAACTGGTCATGTCTAATGTAGAACACCTAGGCATAATCAGACCAATAGTAATACTTGACTGCCCCATTGATACTTTCGATATGATGCCTCATTGCCGTCCTAATATGGTAGCAACAGTGAACAGCGCGAAAATCTGCACTGCTGGACTGTTTGGTCTGATAGGATCCTATAGATGTACCTACTTACCTCCCACCAATAATCTCAATGTGTTGTAGCCCCAGACGCTGCGCAGGCCAAGCTATAGGTATCAACAAGTTGCCCAGGTGATGATGGCTACAACATTGCACCGAAGCCTTTCAAGAGAGATGTCATCGAACCCGATCGGCGTCGGGTTTTCATGTCCCCAAACGGCCGATTTGTTGGATGGATAAACACCTCTGTCCCTCTCTCCGTGATACATCAGTTGAAGATGGTCAGACCAAAACTTTCCACGCAAAACAAATCTGTATGGACTGTTTTGTGGGGTTTGAATTCGCCTCCTTCTCAAAAGATGAGAATTCAGTGGCAATGATACAGCGAGATGGCATCATCCAATTGTGGGACACACAAAATTTCCGCATGAACTGTCTCATTAATATGAGTCGTGGAAAGGTCACATTTGATAAAACCAAGAAAGCACCATGGCTCCATCACCTAGCTGCGAAGTTCGAACCGACTGTCACCATTGTGGATTTCTCCTCTGATGGTGATCTTCTTTTTTGCGTCTTGAACGAGTCAATTTATGTTTGAGGGGCTACATCGGGGAAGCTTCGCAATGTGCTGGCTCATCCGCACATTGTGAGTTGTATCTCAATTTCACTCGATGGGCACCGCGTCGCTTCTGCATGTAAGGATGGCGCCATTCGCGTTTGAGAACTAACGGCGGGGACTCTGCAAAACACGATGATAATAAACGGTACCCAGTCCAGTACCTTTTTTGGCTGCGGTACTTTTGGACGGCCTCCATGCCTTGAACCAAATGGAGAGGAAGAGGAAGCCTCTAGCCGTGATATCGTGCCTCCAAAGCCCTTATTCGTATCTAACCCATGGGTCAAATATCGAATGGACAATCTCATATGGCTTCCCATCAAATACCGGGCTTCCTGTGTTGCTGTCCATCAATCTAGTATTGTGTTGGGACACAGATCGGGCGAACTGACGATGATAGAGTTTGATGTTGACCGCATCCCGTCATGATCTAGAGGGAGTCCGACCATTAGCGATATCCGATAGATCACGGACGCTGATTTCCCGCTTGACGTTTGACCCTTTGTGTTCAGGCTTTTTTCTTGATGGAAACTATGATGAATAGTAGTTAATGGTTAGGGAGCGGATTAGACTCTCTACGGAAGGTTGACAGCACCAGCAATCCTGCGGCGCATCATCCACCTGTCTTACAGTAAGCCGGAACTGCGGAATGTGAACTGAACTGCCATTGGATACGCGCTTGCGAAATGGTGGGCGAGGGGGGGTGGTACAAATTCAAGTTCTTGAACTCGAACCAATTTGGGACTTGATATCAGTATGACCTTTGCTCATGCCCCCTCCGCCGTAATAATACCTGATTATTAGCCGAGCCATCAAAGCCCAAGCTTATCTCGATTCCGCACTGAGATCTGCTGCGCTGCGACAGAATGATGTCGGAGTTCTTTTCACTAACTCCGATCCGCGGCAGCACGTTCTTCCTTTGGTCTTTCACAGAAGCTGGGGATGACTACTAAGCGTTCGCAAACATCCATATCGTCAGAAAAAAGTACAACACTCCTTACAGACTGAACCCATGGCCTGCGGAGAATGGCTCCTTTCCGAGACAGGACGTTTGTGTTGCCTCAATACACTGGTGCTGAGGCCCGTGCTGAGGGCTGGGGTAGGCGTGAGCCGTAAATTCTGTCAGCATGATGGCTCGTTTCCTAGAAGCTCGGTATCAAGTTTAGCTGAGGCGACAGATTCCTGTGCCATTGCAAAAGGGCAAAAAATACGCTGGCACACTCGGCGTGCTTCCATTCCCGATCTCCCCTCATCAACTCCCTCGTCTCTCTTCGAGAGGACGACTTGCCTCAAGCTTCTCTATACATCCCTCTTAGACCAAGATGCCCTCCGTAAACATTAACTCAGCGACCAGGCTGCATGTTGCAGATCTTTGCATTTGCTGGGAAAATCTCTTGCACATCCCATGTGATCGCCGCAAAAACAAGTCATAGCAAAGCCTAGCGTGCCCCGCTATGGGACAAAATGACTATCTATGATGTCAATGCGATCATGGCCTGTGGAGTATTAAAGAGATCACCCTGGAAGAAATCTCCGATCATTTGGAACCATCTTCAATCATATAGTTGCTTACCATGGCAAATCGCGACTACTACGGAAGCTTCCCACCGGGGCACGATTCTTACGGGCGTGGCCGCTATGGGGATTACCCCCCACCATACGAAAGCCGATCGCGAGATTCTAGCTACAGCAAGCGTGATCGCCCTGATTATAACGGCGACCTCGTTCCTGTCCGACGAAGCTACGAATCGGACCACGGCCCTCGACACGGCCATCGTGATGACGGCCATAGCAGACGCCATTCTCGACACCACGGGCACCATAAAGACCACGAACACCGTTCTCATTCTCGCAAGCACGATCACCATGAAACAGCTCAAGGTGCTATCCTTGGTATGGGCGCCGCGGAGCTTGTTCACCACCATCGCAAAAAGAAGGGCGACGACGTGAGTCATGGGGTAGGCCATGTCGCTCGAACGGTTGGCGCTGGTGTTCTAGGCGCTGTTGCTCTCCGTGAATTATCAGACCATCGGCGAGATCATTAGCTGTGTGCCATGTGTATGGATGTATTGATGACAACGACTTTCTTTCTTTCTTTCTTTCTGTTTTTCCCCCCTGTATATAGCCCTGGACAAGATGAAAAATTAATATGGGTACATAACCCACATAGATGACCTCTTCTCTTCGTATCACAAGGGTTCCCTAAGCGGATTATTACCATCTATGTAGAATTAGACATCTATTGTCCTTCATTCTCCCAAAACCCATGTCGAGTTAGGCCCATTGAAAAGCTAACATATTTCCTGTTTCCTGGAAGATTTCGCGCGAACGCTGGTGTTACCGTGAGATCTCACATACCCTACATTCTTAACAATCATCTTGTGCCTTTTGTCATCTCCGTATAAACAATATTGCACTCGGAGGAGCTACAAAGGTCAGATCCACGAGGCTCTGCTTCTTGTTAGATTCAATATCGATGAAGATTTTTGACGCCCTGATTCTCTAGCCAGAGCGGCCCTTGTGGTAGTCAAGGGCGTGTATGTGGAGCATTCTTACCATTTAGAATTAGGCTTGTCAAAGGCAAGCCACCTACGGTGGAAGGAAAAGCAGTAAACACTATGAAAGCAAGGCCTGAAGATATTAAGATCAGCTCCAACGTAGAGTCATGTCATTGCTATCGAGGGAATCCGTCCTGTCTGCTGGGGAGACATTCAGTCCTTTCCCTTCAAAATGCTCGGATGCAGCTGCGGCACTCAGCGGTGATTTCCTTTTCACAATAGAATCCGAGCATGAGCCCTTGATTTTCACCCAATTCAATAATTCTAGTAAGACCAGCCGCCAATGCGGACCGGAGAAGGCGATGGCGCATTAGTGCTGCGTGGGTTCACGTGCTTAGGCGCTCCACAGGGGCAGGCATGGCGAACGCCCTTATCAGGAGCTAACGAGGCCAAATGCTTGGTCCTCAGCTAAGCGTGCATATCAGTGGATTCGTCTACCGTGGACTCCGGCAGCCACGTCCGGTGTCCAATCAGATGGGGCCATCTTGTTTATCCCGTCGCGAGGAGAAGTGGGGGCTAATTTACTGCTTCCCAGCTAGTGCATATACATACTAGCTCACCACGCCACGATGTTACATTTGAAGCGTGTCTTGCCCCCGGCAGGCACGCTCGCTTTTGTGTTTCCGCAACTTCCCATCATGTTGTTGCGCCAGCTATTCTATGCGTTGACAATTGTGTCTTCAGCCGGTGCGGCTCCGGCCTCGGTTAAGCATGTGTTGCACGAGAAAAGAGGCAGTGATTCTCTCGATTGGATCAGAGGTGCTCGCGTTGATCGCGATGCGGTGTTGCCTGTGCGGATTGGGCTGAGCCAGAATAACTTGGAGAAGGGCGAGCAATTCCTGATGGAAGTGTATGTGTAACTGTTTATTTATTATTCTTGTTGTTTTGTTTTCCTTTGCAAGGGGAATTGAGTTGGGCTAACACGAGACAGGTCTCACCCAGGCTCTGCACGATACGGAAAGTTCTGGTCGGCAGAGGAAGTGCACGATATGTTTGCCCCCTCCACTGAGGCCGTGAATTCTGTTAGAGAATGGCTGGAATTGGCCGGAATTCATGCCTCGCGTGTTGTCCATTCTGACAACAAGGGATGGCTGGCCTTCGATGCGAAGGCTCATGAAGCCGAAGAGCTCTTCAAGACCGAGTTCTATGAGCACGAACATCCGAGCGCCCAGGGTATGAAGATCGGATGTGAAGAGTAAAAGAACCATGTCTCACTACATGCCCCTGGACTGATTCACTGACCGGATCTCCAGATATCACGTTCCGGAGCACCTCCGGGACCACATTGACTATGTCACGCCAGGTATCAAGATGAGCTCTGTGAAGAAGCGCAACGTAAAAAGGGCCTCTCATTTGGCTACTGCTCAACCGAACGCCAAGGCTGTGTCTTCGGATGATTCGTATCACTCCATTCCAGCCAAGGCATTGAACTTGCCCACCGAATTGCAAGACTGCGGCGTGAACATCACCCCCGCCTGTCTCAAGGCAATGTACGGTATTCCAGATGCCACCAAGGCCACCAAGGGCAACTCTCTTGGTCTCTATGAGCAGGGTGACTATTTCGCCGAGGAAGATCTCGACTTGTACTGGGCGAAGTATGCTCCTGGGTTCCTCAGGGTACCTACCCTATCCCGGCTTTGATCGACGGGGCCAATTACTCCGTTCCTACTACTAGCGCACTGAACGGTGGCGAGGCTGACATCGATATTGATATGGCGTACGTTGAACATGTCCTGCCTTGCTCGATTCAATTCTAACGTGAACCCCATAGCTATTCGTTAATCTACCCCCAGACTGTGACTCTGTATCAAGTCGATGACCAAATTTATGAGCCGAAGGAGATTGCCACAACCAACCTTTTCAACACATTCCTTGACGCTCTGGACGGCGTAGGTTGACTCTCCCCCCCCTATGGCTACCGCTGACACTTTTCAGTCGTACTGCACATACAGCGCGTACGGAGAAACGGGCGATGACCCCAACATCGACCCTGTCTACCCGACCCAGCTGCTGGAGGCTACAAGGGCAAGCTCCAGTGCGGCGTCTACAAGCCAACCAATGTCATCAGCGCTTCTTACGGCCAGGCAGAGGCCGACCTGCCCATCGCGTACACCAAGCGTCAATGCAACGAATTTCTGAAGCTTGGTCTGCAAGGGCACTCGATTCTCTTTGCATCCGGTGACTACGGCGTCGCATCGCTTCCAGGTGATGGGGGTAAAAGTGGATGTCTGGGACCGGAAGGCAAGGTCTTCAACCCGCAGTACCCATCCAACTGCCCCTACGTCACTTCCGTGGGAGGCACCATGCTCTACCCCGATCAAACCGTGGAAGACCCTGAGAGTGTCATGCACGTCGATCTCGGTGGCACCGCATCGAATTTCAGTAGCTCGGGTGGGTTCTCGAACTACTTCCCCCAGCCATTCTATCAGAAGCTTGCCGTGGAGGAGTATTTCAGGAAGGCCAAGCTGAGCTACCCTTACTACGCCGAGATTGGTGTCGATGTGAACACAACTCAGGGGTTGTACAATCGTATTGGTCGTGCTTATCCGGACGTAGCTGCCAACGGTGCCCACTTCTGTGCCTTTAATCAGGGGAGAGATACGCATTACTATGGTGCCAGTTTGGCGTCGCCTCTGTTTGCGTCTGTGCTGAACCTTGTAAGAGCGTGCTCTGGAGAGAATAGCTCAATTGAGATACTGATTTGTTTTTTTTAGATCATTGAGGAGCGTTTGGCCGAGGGTAAGGGTCCGCTGGGTTTCATTAACCCGGTCCTCTACAGTCATCCTGAGATTCTCAACGACATCACCAACGGAACGAATGTTGGCTGTGGCACCGAGGGCTTCAGTGCTATTGAAGGGTAAGTGGATGCAGCCAGAGCCCTATACCCTGGTTACAGCCAGACGCTAATTGACCGCAGCTGGGATCCGGTGACTGGTCTGGGAACACCCAACTTCCCCAAGATGAAGGAACTCTTCCTGTCTCTGCCTTGAATGGGGATACAGAGGAGACTAGAGACTCGGTTGTACTGCACTCAATACCGTACATACGCGTGTCATGTTCCTGGGGACGTTGCCTCAGTCATGTCTATATGCGACAGTTGTATATGTTGTAGGGGGGGATTAAAACTATGTACATATCAGAGTGGTATGCAAGTAACGGAATATCCACATCCATGATACGACCTATCAGCAGCTGACATCTTCCGGGCTCAAAATTTGTATACTTGGTCTTTGGTAAACCCCAGCTGGGACAGAATACCAGGAGTCCCTCTTGTGCCCACCAGAGCATTTTCCATACTGGGCGGGCCACACACAAAGACCTTGGTATCCTCGCCGGTCGATTTGACCACTTCTTTGAGAAGCTCCGCTGTGACATATCCCTTGCGCAGAGAGGAATTGTTCTCAACCGGGCGGCTCACTGTATAGAGGTAATTGAAGCGATCGGGAAAGCGGGCATGGAATTGCTCCAGCTCGTCTCGGAGGAGCAGATCCTGCTCCGTGTTGACCCCAAAAACGAGGTTGATCTTTGTCTTGTCATTTGGATTATTCAAGATCCCTTGAATGAGCTGGTAGATCGGAGTGATTCCCGCGCCCCCAGCAATGAGATACACTTGGGAGAACTTGTTCGGAACCCACGGGAAGGCTTTTAAAGTCGCGATGAATGACAGGCTGTCTCCAGGTTGAAGAGAGTGGAGGTGAGTGCTGGCTGTCCCATTCGGGTATTGCTTGACCATCAGTTCAATAGAGCCAGTCTGGTCTGCTCGGCGCTGTTAGCACGACTTGCGCCATATGAAATTATATTTTCGTGGGTTGCATACCTAACGAACTGATGGGGGTGTATGGACGGAGGACGGGCAACCACCGTCCTTCAGGCCTTGAAAATGTCAAAAGCGCCGCTATACTGTAGTCAGTACAATGTTCCTCCCTCGACTCTATCGTTACGTACCCGTCAAAGGCAGTCCGCTCTGCGCATTCTCGTCTGGGAATTCAAATACCAGACGTTTAGTATTGTGATTAATCGCTTCGGAGCTTCGTAAGCGTAAGGTAGTAAACTTCAAGCCACCAAAGACCTTTGGGGTCTCAAGGGACTCTGCTTGCGCTGTGGGGAGGAGATTTTGGGTGCACCAGTAAGCACCAGCAGCGCCAGCCGCTAAGACTGCAGACGCGGCTACAGGTCGTGCCTTCAGAGTTTGCCAGGCCACTTGCAAAGCTGCCATGCTTGTGATATAGAGGTTGAAAGAGTAGATTAACTATACGCAGAGCTTTTGATGTGCCATGTCAGAGCGAGAGCATCATATATAAACTTCAGACCCTAGCGAGTATACCGGCGAGACGGAGTCCGACCCCGAGGTGGATAAAGTGGCCCCACCAGCAACTCAACTGCCGTGTCCCCCGTTCCAGAGCTTGATTGAACGTAGTTTTTGCAGGGATCAACGAACGGTTATATAGTAGCCTCCGTTTCTTTGGACTCTTCTCCTTATCCTCAGCCTTCTTCTGACCAACGCATACGAGTAAAATTGCTATGAAGCCCTAAAAGGCCCCCAAACCCCTCACCCCGAAAGCCCGACCTGCAAAACCCGTTAAAGGCCGACCGGGTGTCATGACGCATTTCAGGATTCCCCAAACATCATGCCATAAGCTGTAACGGACATTCCTTATTTCCGCTGAAACCGAGATCGACCCTAGTAAAGCTTATAAGTGTGGTTAATCCTTTTCCCCGGCTGCATCGAACGAACTACAATCGCCAGTCCCCGTCAGCCGCAATCCACCACCTCATCATCCAGATGACTTCCTACCCCCCTCGGTTTCCAGATCGCGCGGGCCGTCGCTATCACTGGCGCAGGATGGCTAGGCGGTATGTAATTTGGACTGGAATGTGGACAATCTCTTCGGCCCTAACAAAGTCCAGGAAATATCGCGTCTCTGAGCCTGATCGCAGCCCCAGCGATGGTCGAGTCATTCCAAAAGGACAACGTGCCATCGGCCCAAGTAGCGCGGCAGTGGAAGAACCTGTATGACCTCGGAAAGTCTCAGAACCCCCCCGCTCGCAGCCGCCGTGGGCTCTGCTTTCTTGTATCTCGCGTGGGCCGTTCGGTCAGGAACGCCGTTGTTCAAGCAGACGTCGATTAGCCAGAGCGCGCTCTTCTCTGCGGCTGCGGCTCTCTGTATCAGTATTGTGCCGTACACCTTGGTGGTGATGAAAAAGACGAATGATGCGCTTGCGATGAAGGGCAGTTCTAAGTCTGAATCCGACTCCGATCTCGTGGGCTTGCTTCAGAGATGGGGCACCCTGAATCAGCTTCGGGGCGTTTTCCCCACAGCTGCCGCTATCTGCGGGCTGGTCGCCGCTTTCCTGTGAAGGGCGACTTTCTCGACCTCGAGATATTTCACGAAAAGACGAGATGAAAAGACATGTCTTGATTATTGTTGTTGCTATTATTGTCATTATTATTGTTATTATCTGTTTTCTTTTCGGGGTGATTCTGGCGCAGGCCTGAGGGCCTCGAAGCACGGAAACTGCCATTGAAAAGTGTACCAACAAATGTCCTACTAGCATTCAAATGATAATGTTGCCCCGGTGCATCCCAAATGGTGGATCAATTCAATTTCCCCACCCCGTCCTATGAGAGCTAACAGGCCGAAACCACCTCTGACTGGTGGCAAAAGAAATCCCGGCCCTCACGCAGGCTCGACCAAACGGCCCGTGCCCGCCCAACGGTCCAACTAAGCTACGCCTCTATACCTCTATAGGCTAAGCGCTGGTTTCTGCTGGTTAAAAACGGCAAGATTTTTCCTCCTGCAATGTGTCTTGCATTGTGCAACGAAACGTAGGAGGTTCCATTGTAGTGAAGAATTCCTATTCGTCCGGCGCCCCTACGAAGAACCGCTCGCGTATACAACCGTCTGACTTACCCGCCGCTCCTGGTTTTACCATTGACTCGGTAAATGGTCTGGGGTACTGACACTAAAATGTGGAATCAAGGTTGTCATCTCCTTTCTTAGCTCTGTAACAGCTAGCTCGGGCCACGCATTCTCCTTAATCAAACTGATCCCTGGGCCCCAATACTCGTAGTACTGCATGCCTAGAAACATATATAAGGATGGAAAGACGTTCGGAATTGTGGATAGAGCGTCCCAACAATTTCAACTCTAACCGGGACCCCGAGACTTGAACAGGCGTCGCCATGTCGCGGTCCACGCTAACGTTAGCCCTCGCATCTGCCTTCCTGGCATCGTGCGTCCTCGCTTCCCCGGCCCAGCCATTGATCACGGAAGCCCCCAGCTTGGAGAAAAGAGCCACAAGCTGTACCTTTTCTGGCTCCAACGGTGCGGCCAGTGCGAGCAAGTCGCAGAAGTCTTGCTCCACCATTATTTTGTCAGATGTCGCCGTCCCATCTGGAACTACCCTCGACTTGAGCGATCTCGAGGACGACACAACTGTGAGACACATAATCCTAGCCCTTATTCGGCTATATCCCATCTCCTAACTTTTCATGGGACAGGTCATCTTCGAGGGCGAGACAACCTGGGGCTACAAAGAATGGGACGGGCCTCTCCTCCAAATCTCCGGGACAGGCATTACCGTCAAGGGCGCTGAGGGCGCTTCGTTGAACGCCGATGGGGCCCGGTGGTGGGACAGCCACGGTAGCAACGGCGGCAAGACAAAGCCCAAGTTCTTTTATGCCCACGGTCTTACCTCCTCGACCATCACCAACCTGTATATCGAGAATACGCCCGTCCAGGCGGTGAGTATCAATGGTGCGAACGGACTGACGATCACCGACATGACGATCAACAACCAAGATGGCGACAGCTTGGGCCATAACACCGATGGATTCGATATCGGGGATAGTACGAACGTGGTTATTACGGGCGCCCACGTGTACAATCAGGACGACTGCGTCGCAGTGAACTCCGGTACCGTATGTGCCATCCATTCTTGATACAAAAATTCGTATGGGAAAACTGATCCCTTTGCCAGAAAATCACCTTCAGTGGCGGTGTCTGCTCTGGTGGCCACGGTCTCTCTATTGGCAGTGTGGGAGGCCGAAGTGACAACACTGTTGACACTGTGACGTTTGAGAACAGCGCGGTTAAGAACTCCGTCAATGGTAAGTGCCGGTGTCGTCTCTACTTATGTGCTATGGTCTCATCTGCGTATAACCAGGTATCCGTATCAAAGCCACGTCAGGAGAGACTGGTAGCATTAAAGGCGTCACGTATAGTGGGATCACTCTTGAATCGATCTCTAAGTAAGTTTCTGGGAGGCCGCAGCGTCTAGGATAGAGGAAGTACTGATCCTTGTTTCTTTCCTGTTAGGTACGGGATCCTGATCGAGCAGAACTATGACGGGGGCGACCTCCATGGAAACCCCACGAGCGGCATCCCCATCACTGACCTCACCATCAAGAACATCTCTGGCAGCGGCGCTGTTAGTTCTGGTGGATATGATGTCGTTATTGTATGCGGTAGTGGTGCCTGTCCTGGCTGGACTTGGAGTGATGTGACGGTGACTGGTGGCAAGACTTATAGCAGCTGTCAGAACGTTCCCAAGGGCATCTCGTGCTCTTGAATCTCTGCACGTTTGAGGTCGTTCACCCTCGAGTGGCATGCAAAACGGCTGTTTCGTTGTTCCGGCGGATTCATTATCGCATGTATGCGCTGGTGCTCGGCTCGCCTCCCAAGATTCCTCACCAATGTTCGAAAACTGGTCAGACTTTGCGTGCAAGTCCATGCATAGTAGGTCTGGAATGATTGTTCCTCAGGCTAGCTGTAGTGTTCAATTAGTAGAATCGTAGACTTTGACTTGGATTCCAACGTGTTATTCACAGATCGAGGAATATGATGCGTCTTGATATTAACCGGTCACCGCAATGCAAATACATGTATATCTAATACGTCGTATGATACAAGTGGAAACTATAGTCCCCCCAAAGCCGAGCCTAATATTGCTGCATGTTGTTCCAGAACATGGTACCGTGCTGAACCTCGCCCGTGGCCTCGGGCTTCCAGCCCATGACCAGACGAGTCCATTCAATCAAGTGACTCGCAAGCTTGATGTGGCCAACGTCCGTGCAGTGGTTCATCGGATTGATATCGTTGTGCTGGAGGACTCCGCGAGTACTGAAATAGTACACGAAGCCCTTATCCTTGTAGTGCTCCTGCACCTTCCGAGCCTCTTCTTCATAAACCTGGGTGGCCTCGTAAGTCAGGCCCTTCTTTTCCCAGATTCCCCATTGGCCCTGCAAAAGGGTTCGCGATTAGTTCATGCGGCGGAACGGCAGGAATGACGGCTTACCATAATCATGACCTTGGCGTTGGGCCAGGTTGCATGGATGTCATCGATCAGCTCGATATAGGCGTGGTAGAAGTTCGCCGGCGGGATCTCGTTGGGGTGGCGGTGGTCATTGCCACCCAATTGGATGACAACCAGGTCAGCTGGTTGCTCAGCCTTGTTGTCCCAGAATTCCATAGAGTGGTCCGGGTAGGCTTCACGAGACCGAGTTCCGGGGTCAGAGGCGCGATGCCAGTACCATGTCTGGGAGGGGGTTAGATCTGGGACCTGGTATATCTTGCGTCAGACTCACCATGCCGTGGGCTGAGCCACCGTAGCATTGATTGTCCACCAGGCACACGCCGGGGTAGGCCTTGTAGGAATTCTGTTAGTTGGGCGTGACCGGTCACGAGCTCGAAAGGGCGGGTGCTTACAGTGATGGTATGCTCAACATTACCCAGGCCGGCTACGAAAAGATAAGCCCAAGATGAGAGCGTCTCGTAACTAGCGAATTGCCCGGTGGCCAGTCTAGAACATCCGTTAGTTGATGGAAAACAAAAAAGAAAAGTCCGGCCAATTCACTTACGATGCTCCGATGATCTCGACCTTTTTATCGAACCGGGGGGGAATAGAAAGGGCCGCACTGCTTGCAACGGATACGCCGGCAATCTGGATTGTGCCAAGGATGTCAGTAAAGAGATGTACCGAACGCAATCGAGGGAGACTTATCCCCGGCCCCAATTTGACACTAAACGAGGGGTTAGATATGGACTCGAATGCATGACCGAAGGGACAGGATTGAAGACATACCTCGCAGTTCAAAGCCTTTCTTGACATCGACAAGCTCAGGCGCTAATTCGGACCATGGACCAACAAACTGATATGTTGAGTCGGCAGTGACATTAGAATACTGCCAGTCCAGAGATCCAATGCTATGAAATAATTAGATTGGCTGGCTCAAAGGATAGAGGACTGGACAACTTACCGGTAGGCAACCAACGTGCCTTCCGATGTAGCGGGACCGAAGCTAACTGCAAGCTAAAACAAACCCACTTCTGTCAGAAATCACCTTAATCTGCGGAACAAAGAACAGCTGGATCCCTACCTTGTCCCCAGTGAATTCTAATTTGATTCCTGGTGCTCTAGATTTTGCAGCGGTTCCCAGTTAGTCTTTGCATTCACATCAGCGGCGGGGGAGTCCGGCCGCTTTCCAACTTTGCCTACGAAAGAAGGGGTAAAAAGAAAAGGAATGACGAACGACCACCCTGGAGGTTGCAAGTTAGGATATGTCAGACCGGAAGAGGGTCATCGATGGGGGTGTTATTCACATACAAGAAACGTGCTTGCTATCCCAGCGGCCCTTGTATGCAATCTCAGGGGCACCGGCCTCGTAGGTCGCCCAGGAGTTGTCTAAAGCGATCTGGGGAGCTTGGCCGGGCCATGGGTCTTCTTTCTCCTGGCCATTCTGCAAGATTGTGGCCGAGGCCAACGACCACAGGGCAGCCAGGCCCAAATATCCAAGTCTCATTGTTTAAACTGGTGAAGTGGACAAAGACACGACTCCAGGAACAAGCCCTGATGCTCCTGGGATGATGTACAGGGGGTGGCTTACGTTACGCGCTGTTGTGCCTGGATAGCGGGGTGGCAATAATGAAAACGCCTGGATGGTCGGGCTAGACCCGAGCAGGAACAGAGAGAACGGCCCTCGCGAGCGCGCGTCGCCTCTCCGGGCAATAGCAACGTTAACTTTGGGGTGATGGGGGCGGATCCACCCCGGCAACACTCGAAATTCAGGTTGGGCCAATCACGAGGGTGGCCCGGCCATCTCCTGCGCTAGCCCGTATGACTTTGGATCCTTTCCTTTTTTTTTTTTCTAAACCCCCCCACCCTCTTCAGCAAAAATGAGGCTTTCTTAGGGCCAGCACGCTCAGGGACGCCCCGCCAATGAACGAGCCCGCGATGGATCCTGCCAAGAAGACGCCAAGGCTCGATGTTCCAGCGCCATCTCCCGAAGGGCCCAGGGACCAGGGGCCACGAGCGCCACTCAATCCCCGCATGAACCAATCACTCCAAATCTGCGCAATGGAGACATCCGAGGCTCGGGATCTGGTTCTACCTCGTTCCTCTCGTTTGAGTTCCGAGGAATTACCTTGTCGATACCTACTAACCCTGGAGTCTTGGCCGCTGAATACCAGTTATTATCTTCTGGTCAGGACGCCTGAAGCTAACGTCCTCTCCAGTGTCGTACTCATGGGCTGATAAGGGTCTTGTGGTTATCTGCAAATTCCCGACCATCTTTCCACAAGTGCGAGAGAAGCCCCCGAACCTATGAGAGGCTGCGCTTCACCCTTCTAAGGACTTGAGACCGCTCGGGGCCCGAGAAGTCGTTTAGGTTCTTGGACTCAGCATTCGTACCTCGTAATCTGCTTATGACCTCCTCCGCGCAATACGTGTACGGAGCACTGCGTGGATACTCCATGGATACACCGTCTGATACACCTTACACCTGCGACACCGATCGCGACATCTTTCCTCCCAGTTTTACATGCTTATCATACCGGGAAGGAAACGAACACAGGAGAAATCCCTCAATGCCATCTTATCCAGCCCCGGGCCAGATAGAACGAGGTGGACTTGTCGTAGTTTGTTACAGTACAGACCAATGGAGGGCGGGCTCCGAATTGGCCTCGTATTAGTATACTAGAAAGGCTGTCATAATCAGGCGCCCTCTGTGCGGAAATTGCTTCCTACCGTGATGTCAAGGATTCCTCTGTGCCAAGCAATCCTATTATTGTAGTGCAGGTCATGGGCGCTCCGGGGAGGGGACAAAGGCGGCCCATGTCTTCTTGGCGGGTGAGACAATTCAATCAGCCGGTAGGAATCGAGAGGAGGTTGTTTGCAGCTGCGTCTCTTCTGCAGGACCCAGGACATCGGTTTCAGCCTGCCTCAGCCCTGTAGATCTTGAGGAATTGGGACGTCGGGATGGCTCATATGGACGGCAAGAATCTGCCCTTCCAAGATTCCCTCCTGCATTCCACGAGTTATTCAGACACCCGGTGATGCCAAGATATCACGCCCCACATCGGTGGCCACGATTGCTCCAGTGAATGTTCGCACGGTGGATCGTGATGGGTCCGGTCCCGCCAATCGTCGGGGGGTTCATAGGGCTCAGAGTCTGGTCCTGCGCCGATTTGCCCCTGATCCACCCAACCTTCCTTCAGGTCCCATCCAGATGAGGACAACAAGTGGCCGTTAATGACGCGATCCCAGACTTTGCTGCCACCATCAAGGTCCTCCTCACCCGCCATTGATTTGCCTGAGCGGACGAGATTCGAGTCTCCGTACGATACCAGTTTCTGCAAGCCCTCTCGCCCGGGCCTACCAAACCCATCCGTCGTCTGTCCATAAGTCTTAAATCCTTTTGCTCTCGGCAACTTCGGAAACGAATCAGGGACTTCGCCAAGTCCCGAGCCCTTTTTTCCAGCTTGATCTTCCTATTTGTTGTGGTACTCCGTTGGGCCCCACACTGCGATACCGCGTCAATACCAGCACGTGTCGTATCCCTCGCCCGGACTCCGCTGCATGTATTACGAGCTCCCGTTTGGCGTGGTATCGAATAACAGTGATCTGCACTACACTCTCACGCAATTCCGGTGGTTTTTGTACCATCGCGGCAGCTTCAGGGGCACCTTTTGATTGGTACCGGCCCTTTAGGAGGTCGTCAGCGCATTGCCAGCGAGCTTTACACTCGAGTCATGCTAGGGAGCGCGCGGCAGGATGTCAGGCGCTTCCTGTAGATGTACGGAGTAGTACGAACACTGATCGAACATTGCGGCTCCTCGAGAAAACCCGCGGGGCTAGTCCGTTTCAAATACCATCTTTGATCGGTGAAGAGGATCGAATCTAGATTTTCTTGTCTTGGTGGCTTCATTGGCCGCCTCGACGGAGATCGTCCTCAAGGGGGACCGATATGGGGACTGTTTGGACAGAATGCAACGTTCCATATGGAGTATAGAAGGACAGCAGTATCTCGTAGGGCAGGAGACTCGGCCGCTTCAGATTGAAAGCGCTGATTCGTAAACCCTTAGCTGGGAAGCGATCAGCTTCCTAGTGGAAGGAATGGAAACACCACAACCCAGAGTTGGCTGGGGGGGTCTGACGATCCGACGCACCCTAGGCCCGGCGCAGGCTGGGCAGAATCCACTCTTATTCGGAAGTCTCCCCTATCTTCCGCTGGTACTCAAGTCACCCGAGCATTTGACAGGCCCGTGGGGGAATGATTCTTAACCCCAAAGGCACCCCTCCCCACTTGCTTTTCTTGTGAGGTCCGCTCTCAGCTGTTTCCAACATCCCCCCCCCCCTTTGGTCTTGGCGATTTTCTCTCCCTTTTCAACCGGCCCTCCCCGTCACTCTTTTGATTGTTGATCTGCTTTTGCGACTTCGTCGCCACCACACTCTCTTGGACCCGTCTCGACTCTTCTGGTTTAAGAGACGGACACTGATTCATGACCCTGTTTTGAAATTATTCCCGGTATATCATAATTCATGAACTTACAAGTCCCCAAGATGGACTACATTCAGCCCGGCCACCTCTACAGCCGAATTTTGGACAACATCCCTTGGAAATCCGGTGATCCCAACCAAAAGGGAGATCCCCGGAAAAGTGTGAAATGGATTGATGTGAGTATTTGCCAGTCTCCTCGACCCCTTGGGACGCCTGGAGGAACGACGCTGATGTGGTTCTTAGGGATTGAGAGGAATTGCCTCGTTCCTGGTGGTCCTTACTCACCTTGCCCGAGCTTGGGACTTTCTACTGTTCTCTCCGCGCGATGGGCCAGATGTGCCGCCACGTTTTCTTCAGCTGCCCATTTTTCGCATTCCCTGGCAGGGTCGCATCGGAGTGACCATCTTCGCCTTTTTGACCGGTTACGTTTGTGCGCTGAAGCCTCTCAAGCAGCGCCGCAATGGAGACGTCCTGGGTGCTTTTACCTCGGTGGGTAAGAGTGCGTGGCGCCGCCCTCCTCGTCTTATTTTCCCCGCCACGATCGCCCTGGTCATTTCGTGGACGATGGCCCAGTGCAAGGCTTTCGTGGTGGCGAACCGATCCGACTGCTGGTGGTGCCGCTATGCTTCCCCGGACCTCGCACCCACTTTCTGGGAGGAGCTGCTCCGCCTGCCGGAGAACTTCCTAAGTGTCTGGACGAACGGATATATGGCATACGACGATCACCAGTGGGCTTTGCTTCCTCTGTTGAAGGCCGCCATGCTGGTTTACGTGATCCTCGCGGCTCTGATGTTCGTCAAGTTCAAGTGGCGTCTGGTGGTCTACTTGGCCATGTACCTTTACTTCCACCAAGACCCTAGCAAGGACACCGGTAAGTTCTCACTGCTTGATTTCTCCGTACGGCCTCCAGACTAATAGCGAACAGAAACTTTCCAAATGCAGGCGATCTACGGTATGTTCTTGAGTGATCTCTCCTACGAGGCTGGCTTCAAGGAGTTCATTCAGAACCACAAATGGGGCCGACGGATCGTCGCCTTCATCCTCCTCTGCGTTGGTCTTTTCGTCTGCGGATACCCGGGCAAGCATCCCGAGTGGTCCACCTGGTCCAACTACATGCTCAAAGCCGCTCACTATATCTTCCCCCCGGAAGTCAACATCGGCAAGCGTTACTCCGCTCTCGGTGTTGATATGATCATCTTCGCGATTTACATCTCGCCTTCTACCAAAGAATTCCTTGCCAACCGCCTCCTCCTCTGGCTCGGCAAGCAGAGTTTCGCCGTGTACCTCGTGCACGGAACTCTTCTGCGTACCGTCCTGTGCTGGATGCTGTACGGTATCTCTGGTCAGCCTTACCAGGACGCCCCGACGGATGGCAACGGAAACCCCCTCTTGGATGACAAGGGGGAGCCCATTCCTCCTCATTACATTCCTCTCCGAGCCCCGTGGGTTGTCGCTATCTCAATCCCGGCATGGATCGCCTTGGTTTACGTCTGTGCTACCCTTTGGACTAACTACGTCGACCCCTTCTGTGCGAAGATGACCCACAAGCTGGAGAAGGTCATGTTCGAGGAGGACGAGAAGTCCGTCGAGGCACTGCCTCTCACGTCGGTGCCAATGCCAATGACCTCGGCATAGTGTACTTGTTGCACCTTTTTTTACGTTTCATGCATCGAACTACACCTTGTTTGAGTGACTATTGCATTTGAAGCCTTTTTTTTTGAGATGACTGGAAGCGGTCTGGAGTTAGGTTTTCGATGTACATAATTCTTTTTTTTTTTTTTGGCCTTTGCTTACCTCCTTTTCTCTTCATGATCAAATACCATTTGGGAGATCTTATTTGTTTGAACAAAATATACGCACTCTTTACATACTGCTATACAAATGTGGAACACCCCTAAATCACCCTTTATTCCCAGTATTAGAGACTATTAAAAACGACCACACTTTTTATGACCGGAGCGCCCAACTCCTGCATTAGGAGTGCATAAAAAAGCTGCATATTTTCGCGCCAGAGGCTTGCCAAGACTTGGGAAGAACGCTTCTCGCCGCCACCCCTGATGCATGAGATAGGGGCGTCAACGTGGCGCTCTGGTGCCTTGGTTCCCGGTACCTCGCGGCCACACTATCAAGGTGGCGTAAGCGCTGGTCATTGCCAGCCAGTAAGCTGCCACACTTGATGATTGAGAAGACAAGAAATCAGGGAAGTATTCCTTTCCGGCTGACAGTCATTTCCAGCCATTCGTGGTCCGCCTTACACTAGTGCACCCGAGAAGACCATGTGGGCCACCTTGGCGACCCCCATATTTCCGCCCTAATCTCTTGGCTTCGGAGTGAATCTGGTACTGGTACGAGCCGACGTTTACGAGGCGAGTCCGCCGGCGAATTCCCATTTGGCATAGTCTGAAAAGGTTTCATCCGGCTTAGCCGCCCAGCAGTATAAGAAAACTCGTAAGATATCGATCTATCCTCAAGATGACTGGCACGGTATTGACCTTTGCCGGACTGGGAGGATCCAAGAGATAGCTCGGTCGGGGCAATCTCTTTCCTCGCAATCAGGCAGGCATGCATAGCGAGTCATACTGCTAGTACTCCGCACTAACGACTCATCTGTATGGATCAGGGGGTGATGGGTATTAGCCGGGGGCAGGGCGCTAGTCCAGGACCCGAAATTAGCGAATAAGACCAACGCCGGAACCGGGACTGGGGCCGGGATTGCCCCTGAACGGTGTCGGTACTTGCATTCTGCTAGTATACACATCACATGTGGATATGCATGTTGCTCCAAGGACGGACTTCGGAGTTGCTGGACGTCTGTACTCATGCCGTAAACCCGCGTCTCTTCCCTAAACTTGGACAGCATGATAGGTCCTTTACCGAGTAGCGGCAATTCTGTACCATTTGAATTATTTCCAGTAGCTAGATATATCCCTGGAGTCGAAGTCGCTCATCTTCCCAGCGTCGGGTACCAAACTGATAGAGCTCCTTAAGTTTATTGAGCACTGGACATCCTGATTGCTTTTGCCAACTTTGCCTAGGATTTTTGCTGAGCATTTATTATTCTCGGGATATTCCCATATTTGTCCGAATGTCTCATGGAGAGAGGCAAGTCAACTTGTAAGCGCGTTGGATTGGGTGCCTACAGGTCAATCTATCCACGGTAGTCTACCGACAGGCACCTTACAGCCCGGTCATCAAGACTACTAGTATCTGTTGAAAGAAAGAAAAGGAAACCCTCCTTTTAGCCTGGTCCTATTGAAGATCTGGACAACCTGCGCCTCTACTCAGACGTATAATTGAAGCTTGGCTCTAAATCAAGTACGTGAATCCAAGGTTCGCTTCATTGGCCGCGATATTTTGACTACTAAGTGCTCACCCTAGGCAAATGATCAACGCGATTAAAAGGCTATTCAAGAATTCGGCCCTACTTGTTCTCCCCTCAAGTAACGCGACATCTCTAATATAGCCCGACCTACTTTAGCCGCTGGCTCTTCAACGACCACCGTGGACGCAAGGGCCAAATCACTCCATATGATTGATTCTACAGACGATCCGAGACCTCCCTGCAGTAAATCCGAACATGGCCTGATATCATGGCGAAAACGCCTCCAAACTGTTCAACTTTTGATTCACACTATGCGAGCAATGAGGACTTGTTCAGTCCTTTGACTACAGGGGCTTCTTTAGCGCGTCCACCACCGCCAGTGAGGGCCGCAATACTCTCCTCAAGCACACGAGTGCCGGCTGTAACTTGAAGACCTTCCCGGTCTTCATCATCATTCGCATCACCCTTATCTGCCTCATCCGGAACTTCGAACACCTCGTCACGGCAATCCGAGCACATTTTCACCACCTCCTCTAATGCCTTCTCAACAGCCGCTGCGCGCTCGCGCATACCTCGCCGCAACAGTGCATCCACCAGGGCCTCGGCTTCGGCCACAGAAGAGTTGACCCGTTCAATGAGACGCCGAATACTGTTGACCAGATACTCCTCTTCGTAGACTGTACCCTTCTTACCCCGCGCGCGCTTTCGCTCTTCACGCCGACGCGTACGCGAGGTTTGATGCGACATGCCCGTCTTGCCGGTGTACCGCGTAAACATCGTTCTCCCAGCTAGCGTCGATGCGTCGGTGGGAGCGAGGGAGACATTATCAGGAATATCGACACCACCTTCGCCCCCAGTGGGGTCCCCTCCAAAGAAGGCTAGGGGATCCGCGGCGCGAAGTTGGCGCAGCTCTCTGACTCGAGGGACTTGGGCATTCAATTGAGACTTGCAATCGGCAAGAAGATCCGTCATGGAGCCCATAGCCTCTGCCAAACCCGAGTCCACAATTTCTTCCACCCGATCCTTCTTGCCGTGGAGTGTTAGCAGGCGCGCTGCGTCCGCAAACTTCGAGCCCCGGCATAGCAGTCGTGCCGCGGTGTCAATGTCGTGCAAGTGCTCGGCGTAGATGGTTGCCGCAGAGACGTAGTCGCGGGTCTCATCGACTAGCGTCGTCGCGAGTTCATTAATGAACATGACAAGCTCTTCTTCGGGTATGGACGCCATCATTGCGCAGTACAGAGCCTCGCGCCACATGTGCGCGCGATTGTAGCACTTGTATGCCTCTTCATATACCGCAAGGGACTCATACGCTGAAATTCCACGTCAGTTATGAGCCTTCCCTACAGGCTGTGGTTGTTCTGCACGTACCAATGGCGGCATCCTTATGCTTGGAGTGGTCTTGGAGATAGTCTGCATAGAGACGAGTGATCTCTTTTTGTTGCTCTGCTTCGTACCGGTAAATTTCAAGGGCCTCTTTGAATAGCACATGTCTGGTAACGTAGGCTAGAATCTCATCATGGGCACCAAGCGCGTGGAGATGCTTCAAAGCTTTATGGAAGCGTGATAGATGATTATCGATCTCAAACCGACGTCGAAGTTCAGGTAGCTGCTGCAGCTTCCTGAGGAATGGGAGATACTCTCGCGGATCCTAGCGAGACATCAGCTTGTTGTCTTAAGATTCAGTAGGGTAGCATACCATTTGTGCCTGCTGTGCAACCAGGAGAGTGAGCTCAAGGTCATAGAGACCGAGTGAATGAGAATAAAGACGATTAGCGTCAGTCAGAAAGCACATATGTTCAATTGCATCCTCGGCTTGTTCAGGGGTATCGCCTGATTAAGATATTAGCTTCTTTATATGAACGAGCAAGGAAATTATGTATAACGCACCACGTAAGCGAGCGGCCAGCCCTAATCCAGCTTCCAAATCAGGAGGTGACTTGCAGACGTGTGCCGTGATGAGATTTTGCAAGTTGGTATCCAGTCGATTTTGAAGAACTGCTAAGAATGCATCGCAGATCGTATTGACCTTGCTCCCCTTGGTGGTCTTGCCACCGGGGATCTGAGGATCAGGCTGAGCAACAGCAGCAGATTGATTCTTGGAGATCTTCAGAGTGTCTTTGTACAGAGTCTGTGAAACATCATCCTCACTTCCAAACAGTTAGTTCTGACGATTCACGTTAGTCAGAGTCTACGTACCTTAAGCGAGAGAGAAAATCGTCAATAAAATCAACCTTCTTCACTTGGTCGATGAAGAGGGCGACATTTTCCATGAATTGCTGCGGAGCGTAGTCGTGTAGGATATTCATGTCAACCATCTGGCTACGACAGGCGTTGAATGCGGACCGGTACTTTTTCTGGTCAATAAAAGTACGGATCCCAGCCAAAACCAATGCTCGAGGATAGATCGTTTCAATGTTTCCTCGAGGAGCTTGTAAAACGACGCCGAAGATCGAGGGAATAACAGACACTAGTTTTGATCCACGCTCGATGCTTCGGCACCGCTCATCTGTCTCAGGGGTATCCTCTGGTATCTCCATATCTATATAACCATTAGCCAAGAAAACTTCAGGATTTTGGGACTTGATCATATTATTTACCTTCGACGCGGTTCAAGTGCACAAACTTTAGCAAATGCTGAGAGGTTGTGTAAAGAAGATGTGCCGGAGTTACCAAAAATGAGGTGCAGTTCTTGGCAATAACTCGTTTGTTTGCAAACAAGCCTCCGGATCTCGTCAAGGTGATCAGAACTCGCTCATCATTTGAGATTGAAACCGCACGGGCCCAGTGAGTATCAATAGGAGGACCCTCGGTCCAAGTACTGACGTTGTTTTCCTGGCCTTCAACCAAATTGATGCTTGAGTACGTCACAGGGTATCCGGGCTCACGCGCACTGGAAAACCATAAGCCGTGATGGCCGATTCCGGCAAAAATCGAAGAGAGCTGCTCTAATTCTCCAGCTTGGTAAACAATTTGGGTTTCCCGGTTTTCCAATGTGGTTCGTTCAATACTGCTGGTATTTGGGGCGCTGTCCTTGAGCACATACACCTCATGGTCTTCCAAAAATGCAATCTGTCTCGGGCGACTGGTTGGCATTTCTGACAGAGGATAGCTTGATTCGAGGATTGGAGCGGGGACAGGGCGGCTCTTCAGAGACCAAAGGAAAACCGAAAAGCTCTTTTGCAGAAGAACCGCGATCCTAGTGCCCGTTTTGCTGAAAGCCACGTCCACGACATTCGAATCCAGCTTCAGCTCGTTATGGGCCATGGGAGGAGGCACACCAGCCAGCCGGAGCGGAGTAAGTTTCAACGTTTCTGGCGGCCAGTCAGTATCGATACTCATAGCTCGGTGGCATATACATCAGTAACTCACTTCCGTCGATGACTGCTACGGCACCAACATCATCTGGAACGGCAGTTGAGCCGTGGTTAGTATCAAACACATAGTCCATATCCAGTATGGAACCTATAATTCATAGATCAGTATTGATATCTACACGCCATTAATACGGCGACATACCTGAGGACCCTGCGACAACTCGCAACGCTTTTTCTTGGTGCCACTTAAATGAGAAGGGGACTGTAGACTGTGCGTCAACAAGAATAGGGATTTCTTGTTTTAAATAGTAGTGGTAGTTTCCCGTCGTCCAAAGTTGAACCCTGTCCGTGAATCGGACAGCCAGAACGGTCGAGTCGATATTCCAAGATAAATGAATGCGAGAAGCCCATGTCTGTCGTTCTTCCTCGGATAGACGAAGGGTGAACTGGCCATGGCGCAGACCATTTCTTTCGAAGAACACAACGTCAATCCTATTTTCAAGGCGTTGGATGCCAGCAATGAGGTTTCCCGAGGGACGCCAACTAAGAGCGCCTTCAAGCCCATCCACAGGCTCACTCACGCTATCCAGGGCACCTTCTCTTGAGTACACCCTGATGACTCGTCGAATATCTTCATCGATCGTGTTGACAGCAACATAGGCACCATCTCCACGCCAGCTTATTGTGGTACTACCATCATCATGGCTGCTTAGCTTTCCTTGGTCGATCTTTTCAGGCACGGTGGGATCACGAAGAGCCTTGGCTCTTTTACCGTGAAATTGGGTCTCCTTTTTACCCCATCCAACTGAGACATGCTGGGATGCTTGCAGGTCGGCTTGGCTGAAGGTGATTTCGGCCACATTCTCGAACTCTCTAGTCATGTATAAGAACGTTTTAGCTCTGGTAGTGATTGCCAAAAGCTCTTCATCTGGCGACCAAGCAGCTGCCGTGATCCCGACATCAACCGATCCTAGAATCTCAATTTTGTCTTCTCCTGGAAGAGGTTCCTCGCGCACAATGATAATGTCACCACCCTCTAGTACCAGACACGCACTCAGGTTGTCAGCAAAGTAATGCAGAGAGAGAACTCTATCACAGGCCAAATCGGGCAGGGGACATGGCGCATCCCAGGATGCAATACACTCGAATGCAGCGGGGCTTAAGGGATCTGTCGAGACAACTTCAGGGCGTTTCCTTCTCAACTCGATGACTGGGCTGTGTTCAGATGGACCAAAAGTGCACACCACAGAGTCAGAAGAGGTATCCCACGCAGTAGCGGTCAGTGGTAGCTCGCCGCGAACCTGCGTCTCCTGTAGGCGCACACTCCTCAGGTTGCGCATTTTGGAGGGCAGGTATCAAATTTTTTTTAAAAAAAAATCGGTATCGGTTCCCTACCTACCCCGCCATAGGACGGTGAGACAAGCTAGGATGAGAACGAGACCAAGACAAAGCAGTACCACCAACCAGTGGAAGCAATATCGAATACTGAGCTAGTAGTTGCCAAATAAGTTGGGGTTTTGGCAAGAAATAGTTGTGGCTCCGCGGACGCGATGTATCAAACTCCGAACCAAAGATTTTTTGATTTTCCACACCCGCTCAGCCAATGACTTCATTCATATTTCAACGTCGTTGGTTCTCCGCGCTACGGCTTCTACACAGCTACAATTGGGATGGTTTTAGGTGGACTAAAGGCCCAATATCATTCTCTAGCTTTACAGTTGATATCCAGCTGGCTCAAGGGTAGATCCGAGGCCTCTACCGCCGCGGCCGATTCATCCCCCTTTGATTCACGATCGCACAAGAAATACAGCAGCGAATTTAAACGGTCTTGTGGGTTTGCCAGTCTAGAGGGAGGAATTTTGTTAGAAAGACTCTCCGCATTTAAGTTGTTGAATAGGAACTTACAGCCAATGGCAAATGGAGCACCGAATCCAGCCACTAAAGGGAGTCATATTAGTCGAGCAGCAGCAAACAAGGAGATTGATAGGATACGAACCCATGAAGCTCCAGTATCGGACGGCGAAGAACTTGGTCTTGGGGTTGAAGGGAATGTTGGAGCGAGGACCCTCAGCGTAGTGGTAAGGGCTGGCAAGCTGACTGCGGGTGGTAGAGAAGCCACGGCGGGCGACGGTGGCCAGGCGGGCGCGAGCTGCGGTGGTGTACATCTTCAGAAAGATTAGTTTGTTGGCTGGTAATCCAATTGCTGTCGAGCAAGACGTACTGTGGAGGACAGAGGAGAGGGAATGAGCGATCGGGAATGGACGGACGGAGCCCGCGAGAACATCACCAGATGCAGGAATGGGTCGATTCAAGTCACCTGATCTCTATGTCACGTGCTGATCTATCCGTGTCTACTCCGTAGTGTTGCTCCAATCTTGCGCTCTCACCGCCTTCGTGATTTGCGATTGTCCTCGAAAAAAAAGTTGTTCCACAGCGCTTGCTCTCCGCATACAGACACCATCTTCCTCACGCTGTGCGCGATGGACGAGCTCTTTGATGTCTTCGAGGCTCCGCCTCAGACAAAAAGGGATTCTGAGGATGTTCCTCCGCACCCAAAAAAACAGAAGAAAAATAAGAAGCGCCAAATAGATGGGAACGTGAAAGGCAATGACAATGTTAATGGTAATGCGCCAGCAAAGGATACCGAGGCCACTTCCGAAGAACCGACTGCAGCAGATGCCATCACAAAGACTCACTCAACCTCTCCCACGGAAAATACTTTGCCTGATGCAAAGCGACTTCGACTCGATGAGGCTCCAGCTCCTGTTGTTGCCGATTCTTTCGAGACCGAACAGGAGCAACAAGTTGCAGGGACCGGTGATGCTGCTAAGCCGCTGATAGTCTCCCATCAAGTGCGCCACAAAGTTTCAATTCCACAGGGTTACCCCTACGTTCCCATTACCGAGCACAAGCCGCCTGCAGATCCCGCGAAGGTATACTCGTTTACCCTTGATCCTTTCCAACAACTCGCCGTCCATGCGATCCAGAGGAGCGAGAGTGTTCTGGTATCAGCCCACACTAGTGCTGGAAAAACAGTCGTGGCAGAGTATGCTATTGCGCAAAGTCTGAAGAACAACCAGAGAGTGATCTACACGAGTCCCATCAAAGCGCTATCTAATCAAAAGTACCGTGAATTTGCGGCCGAATTTGGCGATGTTGGTCTGATGACCGGTGACGTTACCATCAATCCTACTGCTACTTGCCTTGTCATGACTACTGAGATTCTCCGATCAATGCTTTACCGTGGCTCAGAGATTATGCGTGAAGTTGGATGGGTCGTCTTCGATGAAATTCACTACATGCGGGATGCGAACCGGGGCGTTGTCTGGGAAGAAACCCTTATTCTGTTGCCTGACAAGGTCAGATACGTTTTCCTTTCAGCTACTATTCCCAAATGCCCAGCAGTTTGCCGACTGGATCGTCAAAATGCACAATCAACCATGCCACGTCGTCTACACCAACTACCGTCCGACACCGTTGCAACACTACTTCTTTCCAATGGGTGCTGAGGGTATGCATTTGGTTGTGGATGAGAAAGGTGTATTCCGGGAGGAAAACTTTCAAAAAGCCATGAGCAGCATTGCTGACAAGAAAGGTGATGATCCCGCCGATGCTCTAGCTAAGAGAAAGGGTAAGGGCAAGGATAAGAAATTAGACAAGGGGGGGTCAGAAAGAGGCAAGCGACATTTTCAGACTTGTCAAAATGATCATGCTGAAGAGCTACAATCCCGTCATTGTCTTCAGCTTCAGTAAACGAGAGTGTGAGGCGGGTGCTCTCCAGATGAAGAAACTCTCCTTCAACGATGATTCGGAAAAAGAGATGGTTTCGAAGGTGTTTGACAGTGCCATGGAAATGCTGTCTCCAGAGGACCGAAACCTTCAACAGGTTGTCAACCTCCTGCCCCTTCTTCGACGAGGTATCGGTGTCCACCACTCTGGCCTCCTGCCTATCCTTAAGGAGACCATTGAAATTCTCTTTCAAGAAGGACTTATCAAAGTTCTGTTTGCGACGGAGACGTTCTCAATCGGCCTCAACATGCCTGCAAAAACAGTCATCTTCACCAGTGTTCGGAAGTTCGATGGCATAACCCAACGTTGGGTCACGCCCTCAGAATTCATCCAAATGTCTGGTCGTGCAGGGCGTCGAGGCCTTGACGAGCGGGGTATTGTCATCATGATGGTTGGTGAAGAGATGGACCCGGCTGTTGCCAAGGAAATTGTTCGTGGTGAACAGGACCGACTCAATTCTGCCTTCCACCTTAGCTACAACATGATCCTCAACTTGATGCGTGTGGAAGAAATCTCACCTGAGTTCATGCTCCGCCAATGCTTCAAGCAATTCCAAAACGCTAGTGACGTTGGGACTTTAGAAGTCGAACTGAAGGAACTCGAGGACCAAAAAGCCAACATGAGTATTGAAGACGAAGGCACCATCCGCGAATACTATGATCTGCGGAAGCAGCTCGACGGCTTTGCGGATGATATGCGTGCTGTCATCACTCATCCTAACTATTCTCTGCCCTTCCTTAACCCTGGTCGGTTGGTCCATGTGAAGTGGCAAGGCGCAGACTTTGGTTGGGGCGCTATTGTTGACTACAAGACCCGACACCCACCAAAGGGGTCGAGGGAGGAATTACCACCGCACCAAAAGTACTTTGTGGAGATTGCCTTGCAGATCGCTGATGGTCCCGCTATCGGGACGAAGACGTCTTCCGAATTCCCCCCCTGGCGTTCAGCCACCCACAGAGGGAGGCAAAGTTCGTGTAGACGTTGTCCCCGCCATGCTCTCTTGTATTCACGAAATATCCAACATCCGACTCCGCTTGCCGAAAGATCTAAGCCAGTCGAGCGGACGCGCCGCTCTTAAGAAGGCGCTTGACGAAACGATGAAACGATTCCCTGATGGCGTGTCTCTTGTTGACCCGATTGAAGACATGCGCATCAAGGATGACAGCTTCAAGAAGCTTCTTCGCGTATGTTCACGCTTAGAAACCCCCTTCTACATTAGTACTAACTCCTACATCTAGAAAATTGAGGTCATTGATTCACGCCTCCTAGGCAACCCATTACACAATTCGCCACGCTTGCCTGAGTTGTGGGATCAGTATGCAGCTAAGGTGAAACTCGGCGATCAAATCAAGGAGAAGAAGCAGAAGATCGAGGAAGCGATGTCTATTATTCAGCTGGACGAATTGAAGTGCCGCAAGCGTGTGCTCCGGCGCTACAACTTCATCGATGACAATGATGTTGTTCTACTCAAGGCACGTGTTGCCTGTGAAATCAGCACAGGCGACGAATTAATGCTAAGTGAGCTGCTGTTCGACGGTTTCTTCAATGAACTTACCCCAGAGCAAGTGGCGTCTGTCATCAGCTGCTTTGTATTTGAAGAGAAAGTCAAGGATGCCCAGCCTCTTGCCAAGGATGAATTGGCCAAGCCGCTGAGAGAAATCCAGAAACTTGCTCGTCAGGTTGCCAAGGTCTCGCAGGAATCTAAGATTGCTCTGAACGAAGAGGAGTACGTCAAGAGCTTCCATTGGGAGCTCATGGAAGTCGTCTATGACTGGGCCCATGGAAAGTCCTTTGGCGACATCTGGTAAGTCACACTTTTCCACCAAACCCTTTCATATTCCTCATTCCGGAGCTAACATGACCACCAGCAAAATGACCGATGTCTACGAAGGTAACTTGATCCGTGTCTTCCGTCGTCTAGAAGAATGTCTACGACAAATGGCTCAGGCCTCCAAGGTCATGGGCAGTGAGGACCTGGAGCGCAAATTTGAGGAGGCTCTTCAAAAGATTCGTCGCGACATTGTGGCCGCTCAATCTCTGTATCTGTAAAAATGATGATGAACGAGCCTTTTGATTGTATGGAATAGAGAAAAAAAAGATTATGAATGTTCCAGATTAGCCCGTAAGAAATTTCCTGTAGGTCCGTCCGTAGATGGAAACGAGGGCCCAAGTGGCATTGGGGCGGGTCACCCGAGCACTCGTCATCTTCGCCCGGACCTTTGTAGTTGTCTTTCTATGGTTTGCTCTTTCAAAGGGAATTAAATTTGAAACGGTCAAAGCCAAACACCTCTTTTTTTCCTTGGACAATTTTGTATAAAAGTCGCAGCGGTCCCGTTTGCGACGCTGGAAAGTCACATTGAAACCTGCGCGGCCGGACTACGTTGCCGCCCGCAACCTTCTTTTCTCCACCGCTTCTCTTTCACTTCCTCCCCACCTCTCACCCTTTTGGGCACCGATTTCCCCCTTCTCTTCCTCACGCTCTCTTTTTGAGGCTCTAGGGGATCATCTAGTATATTGCCATCCGGCTGTCATCATGAACAGTCTGGTGGCCACGCCTCCTGTCCCACCTCATTTCTACGAAAGCCCCCGATTCTCTCCCTCCCGTATAAGTACGTTGACAGACTCCCTCTCCCAGGGAAATGGAACTCCTAGGAGAACACCATTCCTGACCCCCCCAGAGGACCAAAAGACAGAAAATAGAAGATCCTCCAACTGACAAGTTTTGTGCAGTGTCTACGCCTTCTTCCTCCTACACCAGCCGAAAGCGGAAAGCTGACGATGATGGCCACGACCATGACGGTCGGATGTCTGCCTCCCCAACGAACTCGCCGGCCTTCACTCCTCGCCAGCTACCGTCCTTCCGAAACATCAAACGGTCTCGGCCAAACGTCTCTGGTCGGCCTCTTTCTCTCCCTCGCCTCCTCGAGACATTAGACACGGATGCCTTGCGGACTGTTGTCCGGACCATGTGTGAACGCCACCCTCAGCTCGCCGACGAGGTTGCACATACCTCGCCCCGACCGAGCGTTTCTTCTACCCTCCAAGTGCTTCGAAACTACCAAGCCGCTCTTCAGTCATCTTTTCCTTTGGGTGGCAATACCGAGTCTGACTACGCATACAACCGAGTTCGCCAACCGCTCACGAACCTTCTCGAAGCACTGAGTGACTTCACCCCAAATTTCCTCCCTCCTAACGAATCCCAACCTTCCGTTTCTCTGAGCTACCTTGACGGTGCGACCGATATCATCCACGCCTTACCTCGCTGGAGTACACCACAGAATAATCTCGAGCGGGACTCTGCTTATGATGAGATGGGCAAGGCCTGGGTCCTGGTGATCCGTGAGGCTGCTAAACGAGGTGGAGGTATTCAGCTTCAGTACGGGGGCTGGGATCAAAAGCTCGCCAAACACAACCAGACTTCAGGTGGCAAACTGCAAGGCGCAGTCAATGAGTTGGGCTCCAGCCTTGGATGGATGAGTGACTCGCCCGCTCACAGCCCCGGGGGAAGCGATATGGGCTCTATACGCGAGCAACTCTTCTCTGGGACCTACGGCCTAAACACGCCCGTCAAAGTTGGCCCCTGGTAAAGAGGCAATTTGAGATACGGTACCTTGTCCACCTTGATCCTTCATAAGATCAGGATCACCTCATCCCCGGCCCTATACCGCACGCACCTCTCTCGCGCTGCATCTTCGAAGTCCGCACATGGCTCTCTTATGGGCCTTACCGACGGTCAACCCGTACCGGCCGTACAAATGTCGACGTATGCCACGATCACGATACCTCCTGCATGACCCTTAGAAAACCAATACGGTCAGAGAATGGCGTTTACAGTATGCAATGGCGAATTAGCTTACTATTTACCTGCTTTATTTCTTATATTCTTTTTGATTCTTCTCCTGTCCTTGTCTTTTAAAAATTGGGTACTCGCGGAGACAAAATCTACGTCGTCCTAGAGGTTTCGTCTAACCTTATTTCCCTCTCTTCCTCCTCCAATTCTCACTGGCTCTCTTATGCTTTGACATTCTTTGAAGCATGCAAAGCAAATTGACAATTCCCTCCCTTCCATTTCTTTTGTCCACTTGCGACGGCGGCGTGCTTGTTACTATTTATCTTGGAGTGAGTTGGGGTTTCACACATCCGTTCGTCTGCTTCTTATTCCTTTCTTTGCTGCTTTTCTGTTTTTCTAGCATTGTTTTGCATACCGCGGTTCCTCGGTCTCGGTCTGATTTATCTTCGTTGGCCAGGTATGCAGCTTTTTCGCCATCTGACTTGTCTTACCTCTTGCTCTCAGAGAGGGTTCTCTGGTTGGTACAAAACATCAGGCCTACGAAGAAGCAGGGATATAGCTGTCTAATAGTTATATTGGAATAGCAAAATATCTTATGGATGACACAGCTTACTTGCGCTCAGATATGACGCATCGAAGGTCACCTAATTAGTGCGCAGTTGAAATTCCGTTGCTCATACACCACTTTTCGTACTCGTACGTGTAACTTAACACTTCCAAGAACTTGTCTTCTCGTCACTACTATAGCAGTCCCACTAGTAGTCTTCACCGTGGAGTTCGAATCTCTCCCGATCTGGTTTGCGACCATTACTGAGATAAAATAAACACTCAACTGCCGCTGCAGGATGACCACCATCGCCAGTTCTTGTAATTTCGACTGACTGCAAGGCTTGCTGATCATGGATTAGGTAGAGACGCCTATGATAGGAGAAGGTATATACAAAATGAGAAAGATGCAATTGAGCCCGCCTCAGATGAGCGCACGTTTCACAACCTGGAATAACCAACTAGCATCTTCCCAGCCACCCAAAGAACCCGGCTTCTCGATCGCGACAACCGACTCGCCGTCTGTTTGCGACAGAGCGTCCGCCTCATCATGCATGGAGCGCCCGTCTTCAGAAGCCAATGACGATGTCTCATTCTTCTGCGCGCCCACAAGGCCCGGTTGCTCAAATGTTACAGTGGTAGTCGTAGCCGCAGCTCCAATCCGCGTATCTGCAGCAGGAGTCGAGACAGCCACCGGCAGCTCGTCGACACCAAAAAGTGTCCATTCAACCAGACGATCGAGCCAAGTCCCCAGCCCGAACCCCCGTTCCCGCGTAAGCCTCTGTAGATCGGCTTCATCGAAGTCGTCGGGTGTGTCGTCCGAATACACATCGGAATCCGACTCCTCGTCCTCCACACCGTAGTCTGCCGATCCTTCGTCGGATAATGCCCGCTCTCGCTGCAGCGCGGCCATTTCTGCTCTTATCCGCTCGTCCACGAAGTCTGGGATAAGACCATGTGGTCTTCCCCGAGACTCGGCTGGACTCGACGCGCCAGTGCCAGGGCTGGACGCCTTCCCCGCCGTAGTGGAAGAAAGAGGCGGGATGGTCGTCATTGTGAGACCAACACGACTGCCACGCCGACTTTGGCCTCTTGAGCGAGAGGTGCGGCGGGAGAGAGCTGCAGGCGTGGAGGCGCCGGAGCGCGATTTGCGGGCTGAGGCGCCGGACTTGGCGCGCTGGTGGTGGCGGTCATGGATTGAGGCGGTGGGGTCATTGGGGGGTGTTGAGACGAGGCTTGTGGAACTTTCGCGCTTGGACAGCCAGCTCTGACCTTTTTCTTCGCGGGTGGACGATGCCAGGGCTATTCCAGCGCGGAGCATCCATTCTGTGTCCGATTTGGTGGCTGCTGGGAGGTGTCCGTGACGGGAATGGAGATATTTTTTCTGGGGGAAAGCCGTTTGTGTGTGATGCAGGGGGAAGCTCACATTATGGCTTTGCAGGTTCGTATCGCTTGAGGGTGCGGCGCGTGTTGAGCTCTTGCTTCGAGCGTGGTGGCGGGTTCTGGAAGTGCTTCGCGAGTGCGACAAGATGGGTGGTGTGCTTGGGACTGAGAGGCTAGACAGGTAGGAAGTCCTCGTCGCACTATTTTGGTCGTCATGAAGCGTTTGGCCGAAGTAGTCCTCTGACTCTAGGTCGTCATCGTCAATGGGAAACCGCGGTGTAAGTGGAGCAAGGGAAACATGATTAAGGTTGGGGTAAGAGCGCCGCTTCGAAAAGCTACTGGACGAGTTATGAAACTGGGGTTTGATCAGTCTAGTGTCTCCTCACCCTCTGGTAGAGTACATACCTCCATGGCTTGGGTTTCTCACGTTGAGAGGGAGTCTGGGGAGGAAAAGAAATCGGGGCAGGATGGAATGCGGAGTTGTTGCATGTGATTGTCAAGAACCCGAGCTACGTTATTTCCAGCCGAAAACAGTTTAGTCGGTAGACTTTCAGAACACGATCATGATATTGTTCGCCACATCATATGATGATGGATCATCATACTACATGCTCCCTCAAAAGTTATGGTACTTGCTCTGACTTCTCGAGAAAGCCCTCGAAGAGCCACTGACGCAGTACTAGTAAGTCATGGTAATGTGAAGGTACACGATGATCTACACAAATACTAGTGCTTTACACTATACCACGACTCAGAGAGATAAGCGGCCCAGGTCCTACGGATAGCTGGATAGGTTATTCAACTCAGCTAAGTTCAAATCGCTTATTTGTATTCGTTGATTCGGAGGTTTAAAGGTCCTACAGGAATCTAGACTACTCTCTTTAGATCCGAGAATCCTGGAAATTCATGTAATCAGCTCCCTGGATCTTGAGATCGTCCAGAATGCTGTACTCCATGATCCATTTCATGCGCTCTGATAGAGCCTCGGGGTTGAAGTTGGCCGACATCTCGCTGGGATTATCCGAGCTGGCCAGCTTACCCGCCTCATAGCTGGTCTTTGTAACTCGGTCAGTGCGAGGCTTGCGCACGTCTTGGTAGAACTGCAGTGCATCTTTCAGATTGTCGGTCTTCCAGTGACGAAGGATGGTTGCCAGTGCAATGCCTGATTCAATTGCCATACAAGTTCCTTGTCCTAATTCCAGAGTTAGTTGATATACAAGAAACGAAGCTTAACAAAGCTCTTCTTCGATCCTAATGTTCAGATTCCACAAAGGGATTGTAAAACTCACCTTGATGGGGTAGTGTAGAGTGCACTGAGTCACCAAGAAGGACAATTCCAGCATCCTTGATGGGGCTCATCTCAAACCATTTGTTCAACGGATCCCGCACATAAAGAGCCTGCTTCAGCATACGGCCGTCAGGGGATCCCTTGCGTAGACCTGAGATGATATCCTGAACCTGAGGGCACCAATCACGCACGTGCTCTTGTAGACTTTCAATGTCAGAGCGTGACATCCAACTTTCGGACTTCCAAGACTCGAGGGGCTCAGACATGAAACCGATGATTCCGGCACGGTCGGTCCCAGTGGATTGGTTCCCGATGGGGAGGATCAATACATGTCTCTTGGGGCCCCGGAAGTTAACCAGCTTCGGTCGTAGCAGCTGGGCAGTTTCTTCTTTCAGATCCTTGTAGTCGACAAATCCACGGTATACGACCTGGCCAGAGTAAATGGGTTTATCGACTAAGCCCATTTCTTGTCGCACCTTGGATTTAATACCATCACAGCCGATGATGATATCAGCTTCGGCAGTAGTACCGTCCTCAAAATGAATGGTGTATGGTGGCGCTCCTGCTTTCTCTACCTCTGAGCTCCCATTACGGTCGATTGACAACAGCCGTTTGTTCAAGTGTAAGCGGTCTTTTGGTACTCGTTCCTTGAGTGCATCTAAGAGATGAGCCCGGTGCAGGAGACGGTTATGTGGCGAGGAGAACTCGTTGATATGACCCAGGTAATCACCGGTTTTGTAATTGCGATACTCCATATAGCATTCCAGTTGCGGGGAAGACTTGCGAAGCAATGATTCCTTGAGACCGAAAGCGTCAAGAACACGGTTGGCATTGGAGGTAATGCTCACACCGGCGCCAACTTCCCCGAATTGGTGGGCTTGCTCGTAGAGCTGCACATTCTTCAGACCAGCATAAGATGCGGCGTTCAGAAAGGCCATGCCACCCAGGCCCCCGCCAATAATCGCGATTCTCTTGTCCTCGAAGCCCATGGTGTCGCTTAAGGTGCGTGAAAGTGCTGAAGAACTGCAAGAATTCCTTGACCTCTTCGATCTTAGGAGGGAGTGGTGAACAGCCCTGGGCGATGGGTGCTTTATTATAAGTAGGTCTGGAGGCCCAGAATCTCCATGTGTGCGGGACTTGGTCTATCCGATCCACACGGACTTCTGACCCCTGTGCTCTCCACAGTCTTGCGAAGATAGGTGGATCCGATATACGTTGGGCCAGGGACGGGAATTGTCGATCAACGAATGAAGGCCCGCCCTATTTAGACCTGTTCTGCATTAGGCTATCCCCGCATATAATTGACCATTCCATGAAGGAAGGTATGGTGATTATTGCTTCTGTAGTGCACATTGGTCGTATCCCCCGTCATGACCCAAATATTGGAATCGGAACCCCACAAAACTCATATCCGAAGCCCCACATTGGTATCGGGTATACGCAGTTTAGCATCTGGGTTCGCGGATGGCTTTCCAAGGTTCTGCGCTGAGTGAGCCAGATGCACAGCATCCTGCCTTTTTGTTACTTAGAATAGAAAGAACCAGAGTACTTTGAGGTAGAATGATTGGGAAATTTGAACAATACCTGGGTATCAAGTTCAGGTGTTCTACTAGCGTTATAGTTACAACCTCCAAAGCCTCCCCCCCCCCCAAAAAAAACTCGCGTCTAAACTGGGCCTCCATGCTTACTGGCTTGGCAAAATATTGCCTTGTTCACAACAAAGCCTTCGAGGGCTGAAATAGCAGCCCAGAGTCGGTTTTCGGCCTCAGGAAAAACGAGCGAACGAGGGCTGTAGAAGACCTCGTCGCTGACCTCCTCTGGGTGTCGAGGAAGACAGTGCATAAATTTCCAGTTCTCCTTGGCGCCCTTTCCGAGCTCGCTCGTAATCTGGAAGCCGTTGAAAGCCTTCAGACGCTTGATTGACTCATCCTCCTGGCCCATTGAGACCCAAGTGTCTGTGACCAAGATATCCGCATCCTTGACAGCCTCCTGCGGGACATTAGTTTGGGTAAGTTTACCCTGGCCTGCGCCCTGGATAACTCGAAGCATGTCAGCGGGAATCTCATAGCCCTTCGGAGTAGCTACGGCCATCTCGACGCCCATCTTGGAAGCGCCAATTGCCATATCAAAAAGAACATTATTAGCATCACCGACCCATGCGATCTTGAGACCTTCTAGGCCTAGACTAGGGCTGCCGTGGGCAGTGGCCTTGGGTGCGAATGACTCATAGATTGTTAGGAAATCGGCAACGGTCTGAAGGGGGTGGTAGGAGTCGCAAAGGGCATTGATAACGGGAACAGTCGAGTGCTCCGCCAGCTCCTTGACATCAGAGTGCTTTGAGACTCGTGCCACAATGCATGAAACCATGGAAGATATCACCACAGATGTATCATAGACCGATTCGTTTACGCCAAGCTGAATATCGTCCTTGCCCAGGAACATAGGGTGACCGCCCATTTGAAAAGCAGCAGCTTCTGTTGACACGCGGGTGCGGGTACTGCGCTTGTTGAACATCATGGCGACGGTCTTGCCAGACAAGGCGCCTTGCAGGCCTCGTGGGACGACACCTGACTTGATTTGCTGTTTATGGGATGCTGCATTGCGTACGAGAGTTGCAAACTCGGTAGGGGTAAGGTCCGCAATGGACAGGAAGTGTCGCGGCGAAGTGCTTTGCGCCTGGTGGGCAAATCGGCGGAAGCCGAGACGAGTGGCTGCTGCTAAGCTGCTGGCCATGACCGATTTCGTATTAGAGGGACTTCCAATATGTTATGGCGTTTGGCTAGGAGAAACAAGTAGCGAGGGATATTGGGTGAATCTCACCGCTTGGAAGAGCCCGATTCCTTTGAAGATCATCCCCACAAACAGTCTCAACAAGTCCGGAGAAGCTAAATTTGTTGGTGCCAGAATCTGCCATAATATGCCTGATATTTCAGGCTCATAAATCTCCACATTCCGTTATCTCTGCTTATCGTCATCGTCATCTTCTCGCTTCTCCGCTCCTTCTCTTCTCAAGTCCGTTGGAAACCAAGACTGGAAGGCAAAGGAAATATAAGGCTCCAGATTACATCTGTATATTTCTCCCGCCACAATGGCTGATGAGGCGAGCCGGCCGTTGTTGGATGACCAGACTAGGTCTTCCTCCGAGTTCGTAGTCACGGAGAGGACTACCCACCAGACTAGCCGATCGTTCGAACTGTCATCCGAATCCACACCCTTACTCCATCGCCGCAATGAAGATATTACAACATACGGAACTGAGAGAGGGAGAAGCTCTAGATCACCGTCAACGATATCTCGCAGGTCGGGGTCTCCCGAGAGCACATCGACCAAAAAGCAGAGTCACCTCCGATGGCCGAGCATAGTATCTCTCGCTTTATTAACGACCGGAGTCCTCGCCATTTTGCTTTTCGCATTCTTGACTCCGGCCGTTGTTAAAGAATATGCAAACGAAGCTGCGATCTTCAAACCCACGGCGCTATCAGTTGACTCCACCACCGCCGATGGGGTCCGAGCGCGGGTACAGGGCGAATTCGTCATGGATGCAACTCGCGTGAAGAACAAAGCTATTCGAGGCTTTGGACGGTTCGTCACTTGGGTTGCCACCGAAGTTGAAACAGGGCATTCGGATGTAGAGGTCTATCTCCCGGAGTACGGCAATGTTTTGATCGGAACTGCAACATTGCCATCGATAATCGTGAACATCCGCAATGGCAATATCAACGAAATTGACTTCTTAGCCGATTTGGCTGCTGGTGATGTACAGGGGCTGCATGGCATTGCTATGGACTGGATTGAAGGAAGACTTGGTCGACTGAGTCTCAAAGGAAAGGCGACCTTACACTTGAAAACAGGTCTGCTGCGCCTCGGAACTCAAGTGATGACGAACACTATCACATTAGAGGGTGAGTACTTTTATCCCCGACCCACTGAGTATCCTTCGTCAAGATTCTAACACTTTGCGATAGAATCAGACTTTCCAGCTATTCCAGCGGTAAAGGTCTCGCAGCTAAACGTGCACGACGCTGAAGACGGTGCCATGCAAGCTGAGGCTCTGGTATCTTCGATTGTCAACTCTCCTGTGGCTTTGACTGTTCCAGCTCTTGGCTTTGAAATCCTTGTGCCAAACTGTTCCCCTGGTGACCCCAATATCATGGTTGCAAAGGCACAGACGTCCCAAATCAGAGTTGAACCTGAAGTGGAAACCACAGTCGGTGTCAAAGGGTTTGTCAAAAACCTCCCTGACGAATTGACCAAAAATTGTCCAGGAGAAGAAGGATCACCCTTGGACTACTTGGTCTCAAGCTACATACAAGGGAATGAGACAACCATCTTTGTCCGTGGCTCGGATGCACCGACGCCCCAGGCGCCCGCATGGATGGTGGATCTTTTACGCAGCGTTACCATCCCATTGCCTTTCACAGGTCATGCGCTGGATAACTTGGTCAAAAACTTTACCATGACCGATACCCATTTCTCCCTCCCCGATCCCTTTTCAGAGCCTGATACCCCGGCAGCTCAACCCTCCGTTTCTGCTTTGGTGAAGGTAATCATCAGCCTACCCAAAAACATGAATTTCGAGCTTGATGTCCCCAAAATCCGGGCATTGACCAATGTTTTCTTTGAGGGCAAGGAACTGGGTACATTGAACATCAACGATTGGCAAGAAGCAAACTCAACGCTGGTGCATGATGGCCAGAATGGATCAACCTCGCTACTCGTAGATTTCACCATCAAGGATGCTCCGTTAAACGTGACAGATAGCACATTGCTGTCTCGCATCGTGCAAGGCATACTTTTCGGTACAGAGCCCATCGTCTTGCACGTCGATGCCACTGTGGACGCGAAGATCTCAACTGGATTGGGTCTCTTTGCTATACGGGGCATCCCTGCCGATGGAAATTTTCCTGTGAAGAGTATGTTTTGAATTAGATAGTATAGGTTTATCAAATGATCTGCGATTTGGCATTGACATGCTATTAGCTCCCACAAACAACACACTCGACCTGATCAACCTGATCGACCCGAATATTGTATCGATCCACATAGATGAGACAACAGAATCCTCACTTCAGGTATCCGCTGTGATGAACTTCACGAACCCGACAGAGTACACCGCCGAAATTCCTTTCGTCGATTTCCTGATGCTGTACAATAGCACACCTGTCGCGCATGTCGTTGCTCGCAATTTCTCTTTGGGCCTGGGGTCTAATTCCGACGCAGTGTTGCAAATCACATGGGGGCCGCTTGAAATTGGAGGCCCGAATGGGACCAAAGCTGGACGGTCTCTGATCTCATCGTATATATCGGGTAAGTTCCTCTGGGCCCAACTACCTATTCAGTAAATTGACTAAATCAGGATCAAATACAACTGTCACAATCCGAGCTCATGAGGGTACTATTCCTGCCCTTCCGGAGCTTGGAAAAGCAATGTCGGATCTCGAGATTGTTATCCCACTTCCCCCTTTTTCGGGCCCAGGCTCACCAGACGATGATGGAGGCGATAAGAGAACACCGCTACTTCAAGATGCAACGGTAAGTCACTTAAAGTGTTCCGCAACCAAGCCATTTTGGCTTTAAGTGTTTCAATAGTTTGCAGTCCGAGCTAATTCGCTTGATAGCTTCATCTTTGGTCGTCCACGGCGGATTTCTTACTTTTTTCGCCATTGGAAGAGAAAAGCATCACAGTGACCTCAATACATGCGACAGCTTTCTACAAAGAAGATGAGCCCCTTGGAAAGATAAGGTGGAATCAGCCGTTCATTGTTCCGCCTGGCCTCTCGCGAACGCCTCGTCTGCCTGTTGATTTGGTTCTTGGTGGCGGCGCGTACGATGCCCTCCGAAAGGCTCTCGGCCAGTCATTAAAGCTTAACACAGTTGCCCAGATCGGTGTACAGGTGGACAATTATCGCGATGTTGTATTATATACGGGCAAAGATATCGATGCCAATATTAGGGTATAGGCTCATTTTCAAGCTATCGAGACGTCAATGATATCTTTTTAAACGCCCTTTCTCATGCAGAAAACAGTAAGTTCTAGCTTCCATCAGTATCAGTACTTGGTGGCTACTAACGAATATTTTAGTTCTCGTATACAATACATGGACATATCAGTATAATGCAATGATATAGTCCAAGAAGATAGAAGCGGCAAAACAGGGCGACTTCGATTCAACTTAACAATTAGTTCGGAGGCACGAGACAAGTTCATTGCATAGTGGGGACTATAAGTAGCTCCTAGGTCCATTTACGAAAGAGGCCCCTCGTGTTATTTTCAAGTTAGAGCTCTGCGTCTCAACCTTTCTCTTTTTTCACCTTCTGTACTACAGCCAGTTGATCTTCCACCCTCCCATCTTGATACGAGTGTTGTTAGTAGTCATCGATATTGCATCACCTCTTTTCTCTTGATCTCTTCATCCTTTCCATTTGACGTCCTGCCAAACATCCGGTCCTCGTCAACACCTAGATCTATCAAGTTCCTGTCCATCTTGACGCGTTATCAACCCCTCCAACGGGTATCCTGGGGCTTGCTTGAGCTCCTGCTGTTTTCTAATCCTTTAATTCCGTGGGAAACAGTATGGCATCTTTTGAAGACCTTGGCCCGGAGGCATATGATAGCAAGGAAGTGCAGGCGTTCGTTGATCGTCACATTATGTACCTCCTGGATTATGTGGCTGACGGCGAACTATTCGCTCCCGCACGTCGCTATCAGCCAAATGTTGATAATGATAATGATGATGGCAAGAGCGACGCTCAGCAGCAGAAACTCCAACAAATCGTCACGGTAATCTGGAAAACTTTGATCGAGGAGATTTCGCTTACCCCTAAGGACGACAGCGGAGACACCACTAGCGACAAGCTCTCTCGTGACCAGGCCGCTACTGAAGAGCTCCCCGACGAAGACCCCATCTCTGCCAACAAGCCCCTACGCCTTGCGTCTCTTCGCAGCCAAGTTCCTGTCAAGCCACACCTGCAAAAGGCCATCGCTCAAGGCCACATGAACTACGATTGGCTAGGCGTCCATGTCCTCGCTTTATGGCGCAATGTACTGAGGAGTCGCCGGTGCAAGCGCCTACGCATGGCCAAGAAGAGACAGGCGGAGCTGAAGCAATTGGGAGAAGATGCGAAAAAGCGGTTGGAGGTTATCATGGCTTCCCAGGGCTTGTCCGATCACGATTCCCTTGTCGAGAATGATGACCCTGCTCAGGGAGGTGCCCCTGCTCAAGAGAATATCGCCACTGGAAATGATAGTCCTATTGCTTAGGATCTTGGATGCATTTCTCTGGCCAGGCAACGTTTAGGCCAGCGGCATCTCAAGACCGATTTTTCAAATGCCTTCTAGCACACGCCATGACCTCAGTTTCCTGATTTTTAACTTTCGCCTACCATTCGAGCCGAGATGAGAACCATAGCTCCTAGTAATCCCACGTGTCTTCCTTCAAACGGTAAACAGTATGTCGTAGGCCCTAGCCTCCTTGCGACTTGAAGTGGCTCTGGAGTCCACAGGCTACGACTGTGCTTGAGGATTTTATCAGGGGATTGGTATTGTCGCTATGAGCACTTCCAAAAGTCTCTGTTTCGGTAGAAATTCAAGTTAATTGTGTGTTACTAGCAAAACTTGAGAGTGACTTCGGTGGGGGCCTAATTGCCGTTTTTGGATGGAGGGCCTGAACATGAATCAGGTCCATCACCCCCTAATTCTTTGATGCCATCCACATAGGTAGGGCGAGGTCACCAATCCTAGCAGCTACATGAGAGTCTTATGAATAGGCTCCTCCGTATATTCGCCTCTAGCCAGCGCTGTGATCGTCGACTCCTGTCTCAGGTTGCAATCCCGCGAACCATGGGTCAAGGCGACCGAGCTGTCTTGTATGATATCGTCGTTAGTGAGCCGGCGCCTCTAGGCAGAGTTCCAGACAATACAAGTGAAAAACGACACTGGGTGAGAGATGCAAGTGGTCAGGGTGAGATCAAGAGATTTGTGAATCCGTGGGAAAGTTCCTATGATTTCTCTTTCCCCGAGATCTTCAAGTCGATGGTTCGGTAAGTCCATATTCCAACACGAACACTTCGAAACATGATCCCTGGTCACAAATTATAAGATTCTAAGTCAAATTTCCATGTGCGCTAATCGAAATCCACAGGCATAAGTTCCTATCAGGAGACAGTCAGAGGCCAGATACTTCGCCGCCAACAGTCCCCGTCACAAAGCCTGACTTATCCACATCGAGAACAGGCTCACAGGCTCTACGCACCACTTGGCTGGGCCATGCGTGCCATCTTGTCGAGTTCCCCAGTGGGCTTCGGGTTCTCTTCGATCCGGTGTTCGAGGAACGCTGCTCCCCGTTCTCCTGGCTGGGCCACAAAAGGTTCACCCCATCCCTTGCCAGATCGCCGAGATCCCGATTATAGATTGTGTAAGTCTAGTTCTTTGACTGGTCATCCATGATAACTCAACATCAGTTCGGCAAGTAGGTTGTTATCAGCCACTCCCATTATGATCATCTCTCCTATCCCACCGTCCTTGAAATTCACAAGCATCACCCTTCTGCCCAGTTTTGTGTCCCGAAAGGCTTGAAGAAATGGTTCACAGAGAGCGGTATTGAGAGAGTCGTCGAACTCGATTGGTGGGAAGATGTTGAAATCGCCCTGACCTTGTCAAATAAAGAGACCTCGTCCGAGACCTCGGAACCCGGTCCTTCCAACCCTTCGATCACGGGGATAATATCTTGTCTTCCTTGCCAGCATACATCTGCACGGACTCCATTCGATAAATCGCATACGCTGTGGGCATCTTGGTCGGTTTCGTCCGGGGGCAAGTCCGTCTATTTTGCAGGTGATACAGGCTACCGGGCGGTTCCGCTGGTCCCAAAGGGCGTTGACGATTGGGGCTCGGATTTCGACCATCTGCCTATCTGCCCGGCGTTCAAAGAGATTGGGGAACTACGCGGTCCATTTGATCTGGGGTTGATTCCGATCGGGGCGTATAAACCTCGCCATGTATTGAGTTCTGTGCACTCGAACCCTTACGACTCCGTGGAGATATTTAAAGATACCAAATGTAAGAAGGCGCTGGCAATCCACTGGGGCACATGGGCTGTGGCAGAAGAGAATGTGCTGGAGCCACCTCAATTACTCAGGAAGGCGCTTATTAGAAGCCAGCTCCCCGAGACTGGTGTGTTTGATATTTGCGATATCGGCGAGACGAGAGAGTTTTGAGTCTCGTATGCTTTGTATTCTTAAACCAGATTCACCGAGCGGATCCGGATTTGAAGGGATTGGGCGTCGTCCTCGTGTTATACCGTGATTTATTTTACATCTAAAATAATCAAATGCACAAAATTGTCTCAAATATTTCATTTTACAAATGGTCGATGTAACACTCTGGACTGGAATTAAAGGAGAAAGCGGCAAAAGCGAGCTGATTATGCGTGGCAGAAGTCCAAATTGTATTAAGACGGGGCATGAGTTGTTTTCTGAGGATTGGTGTTGCGTTTAGCCGGGAGGAAGAGTGCTAGCGTCGACGACGTCGGCAGCGTCCTTCTCGATGTCTTCGCTCTGCTCGGACAGAGGGGAACGGGGAAGGGCCATGAGACCAGTGCGAGCGGACTCAAGAATACCGAAGGGTCCGACCAGCTTCAGGAAAGAGTCGATACGGCTGGGCTTGGCAGACCTGTGTTTGGGTTAGTCTACGTCGGAATGCAGAATGGGGAAAGACCTACACTTCGACAATACAGTTATTGGTGCTAATGTCCAAAACCTTGCCGCCGAATTGGTGAGTCAGGCGGGTGATAGCATCCAGATGCTCGTGCTTTTGACGCAGAGCTTGGCTGGTAGGCAAATTTCGGGGGTGGTACTCCACGGGCTCGGGAGCCTGATCCTGCTCCTTGCCCTGGTTCTCCGCGGTGGTGATCTCCCGGTGGTGCTGGAGAAGCTCCTCGAAGAACTCTGGACCCAGGATAGAAATCTTGGCAAGCAGCAGCTCACGCTGGACCAAAGCGGAATCGGTGTAATCCAGCACAGCCCAGACAGGGACGAGATCGTCCAGCTGGCGGCGAGCCTGCTCCACGACACCATTCTGGCCCTGCAGCACAATGGTCATACGGGAGAGATCCTCAACCTCAGTGTTGCAAACAACCAGACTGTCAATGTTGAAGCCGCGGGCAGCCAGAATTCCCGAAACACGGGAGAGCACACCAGGTTCGTTCTGGACCAGGCAGTTCAGGACATGGCGCTTAGGAGGGTTGGAGGGGGCACCGGAGTCTCATAGAGAATAGATGAGACAGCAGTAGGGGCATCCCACTGGGGTGAAGACTCATTGACCGGCAGAGGAAGTGGAGAGCGGCGGTGCAAGGCCTTGTAGGCCAGCGCGGAGGTCGAGCTGGACGAGGCCCGAATGGCGTTGAACTGGGGCAGCGCAGCAGGGGTGCGAGACCGAGCTACAGCTGCTGCAGAGGACAGCGGCGAAGCCGACACTGCGGACAGTGTCAACGGGCGCCTGAAAGCCATGATGGGGTTCAGGAGCACCAATACTTGTGCGATGAATCACTCCAGGATCTCCAGGTTTCTTTTTTGCTAGTTCGAAAGCTCCGACCTCGGTGCTGACTCATGACCGATCTAGTCTTATTTAGGGAAGAACTCTCTTGCGATTTGTCGATACATGGATTGCTTGATTATAAGCCCGAAGAAGAGGTGGACTAGTGGAGTTCATTCCTAATGAAACAAGTTATCTGCAAGTAATGGCTTTTATGTTATTCCCAGAATGAAATCTTAATTTTACTTGATCAAACAAAATATTCTTTCCCATACTTCCAGTGCTTCGGCGCTAGGCCCAATTGAGCCTCCCTGCTTAGTAACAGTACGATGCTGCGCAGAGAAGTTCCAGATGCGAATATTGAACCAGATACTTTATAAGGCATTGACGTTGTTAGATACCTCTGAGTGTGCACAAAGAATTAATAATCATTAGTTCTCCTCATTCACTGCAGTGTTCTAGAATCCGTTTGTCTTTGGGGCTCTTTAAAAAAAGTTGAATTTCGTTTTGCCTACGTTCGTTCGCCGCCTTCCCTAGACACTTTTATCAACTTTTTTTTCCTACTGCACTCAACTCGCCAACGCGCGCTACCTTCGTTCCAATCTTGGCATCATGGCCGACGACGACCGCCGCACAAAGCGGTCTCGTTTCGACCAGACTGAGCCTGAGCCGCGCTCTTCGCGAATTGACCGTCGTTCTCGATCCCCGTCCGCAAGACAATCCGAGTCTGTTCGCACGCGCAGCCCGTTGAGTCGCGAGGCTCGCAGCCCCACTGCCACTGATCCTGGCCTGGCAGGCCACGTCAATCCTGCTGCTGCTGCAGGTACGCGTTTCTGCTTCTTATTTTTAGTCTCCCCTTGAAGTCGCAAGGAACCCCAATCCTGGCTAACCTAATTGCTTCCCCACAGCTGCCGCTGCCGCGAAGATCAATGCACAGCTCAAGGCCAAACAGGGCCCCAACGAAGCCCCAGTGATCCGCGCTGTAGGTCCTAACGGTACTCAGTCTGCGCAACCCCCTAACAGGATAACAGAGTGGTAGCCCCGATGCTCAAAACGCTTCCGGCGATCGCGATTCTTCGAACAAGGATATCTACATCGCTGGCGGAGACTACATAAAAGATATCGAAATCAACGATCTGCGCAACCGCTACACTCTCACCAAGGGCTCTACACAGCAAATGGTAATTTTTCCCCGCTGTTGCTGGCTGATTGGATCCATCGGATTATGCTTTAAGACCAAGTGTCTTTTGTAAATCCTACCCTTTCATATTGCTCTTTCACTCCCTCTTTGGTTGCTGAAGGGGGCTTATGCCAGCTAAACACATGATATCCTACACCCCTTCTGCTGCATTTGCTAACCTGAGCTGCGTTGTTCATAGATTAAAGATGAAACTGGCACTGGTATGTCTTACTCTATTTCGGTCAACAGGCGCATTGCTGACTTCTTTTTCAAGACGTTACAACTCGCGGAAGCTACTATCCCGACAAGAACATGGCGACAGCAGCGGTCAGTTAGGATCAAGCAAAGCGCTTCAAGGCACTTATCTAACTTCATCATCTAGAACCCTCCCCTTTATCTTCACCTGACATGCACCAAAAAGGAGGGTCTCGAGAAGGCCATACAGCTCATCGAGGACCTCATGTCAAAGGAGCTTCCTAACCTGGTTGACGAGCGACGTTTCCGTCGACGTGAGCCCGAGCAGTCTGTGGATCGCGATGAACACGGTCGTGTACGGATTGGAATTTTTTTTTCCCCGATGTATAGGAAGGCAATGCTGACTTTTCTAAATAGCGCAAGTGGCCGGAGGAACGTATCCCAGTCGACCTTGAACCTATTCATGGCTTCAATCTGCGTGCTCAGGTAGTGGGCACAGGCGGTGCCAATGTGAAGCACATTCAGGCCAAGACTGGAGCCCGTGTGCAGATCAAGGGCCGTGGCTCTGGCTTTCTGGAATCCAGCACTAACCAGGAAAGCGATGAGCCCATGTATTTGCATATCGCGTGAGTATCTGACGTATCCCCAACTGGCGTCCACCCAAGCTTACATTTTCACCAGAGCTAGGAACCCGGAAGATGTTGCGGCTGCTAAGGAGCTTTGCCTTGATCTTCTTCAGAACGTTCGTCAGGATTATGAGGAACACAAAGCAAACCCTCGACCCCACTACGGTCATGGCCGCGGCGACAATCACTACGGCGGCCGTGGCGGTCGTGATGATGGTCGCGAAGGCCGCGGTGGCTATGGCGGCTATAACAACCGACACAACAACCGTCATCAATCTGGTGCAACTGCCAACTCTGCTCCAGCTACAGCAAGCTCTATCGCAGCCGACTACTACAACCGTTACTACGGCGGTACTGACCCCTATGCTGCGTATGGTGGCTACAACAACTATGTTGCTTATTACCAGTACTATGTGCAACAGCAGCAGCAGCAGCAGCAACAGCAGCAGGGGGCTACCCAATACACACCCCCTCCCCCAGGTAGTGACGGCTCCCCTCCCTCAGGCTCTGGAAACCCTCCACCTCCTGGCGGAGGTGGCTACGGTGCAGTATGATGACCCTTTCGCCCCACTTTTTTCAAGCTTTTATGAGACAAGATCTTAATCATGATTAACTAGGTCCCTCCACCTCCTGGCCTGTAGGTGAGCTGCTGTGGATAATGTTTTCGAGCTCACCAGCGTTGATCGCCAGTGAAACCAACGGGCATGTCCGGCTCATCAGCTTTGAGTAAGGGAGACGTTTGATTTATTGCAACTTTTGAGAAGATCGTGACATGTTGCTACATGACAGCCTGGTTCTAATCTTTTTTCGTAATCTTATTTGTCTCCGGATACACCTGGGCAGTCGGGTCATTACAAGTGCTGAAGGACAAATGAAGGGAAGTTTTCTTTGAAAAGTACACTCATAATTCAGGCAATGCCAGTTCTCGACGAGCCGACCCATCAGCTAAGGTGCTCTGTACTGAACCTTCCGGGATCTACATCACGGGATTTAGAATTGAGACGCAGCATACAGCATCCTAGTACGTGGCAACGACATACAAGTTTGCTTATTGCGCGCTAAAACTCAGATAGCATGCGGAGAGGCTTCGTGCCGATTTAAGTAACTCAGGCGCCTCACGAAAAGGGTATCGTACATATCGCATAACTCAAACATAGCCCTCGTCAATCATATAGGATGCAGCTTCCATCTTTCGCTTCCGCTTTGCCAAAGCTACCCGGCCCTCTTTGCAGAAATCACAGGCATAATCACAGGGCGTCGTGCACGAGGCTGCGAAAGAATCACTCCGAGCCACCTGCGAAGAAGGCGGTTGCTGTGAGCCCATCTCCTCTAGCTCAAAATCCCCAAACAGATCCTTGATCAAGTCGTGTCGGCACCGCGTAACACTTTCGCAGTACCGGACAACCTTCTTGAAACTGTCAACCCGAGCCTCCTGGTTCTTCAATAAGCCAGCAATGTGACTTTTCGAGCTGCCGCGGTTCCGAATATTATCGGTGTCCCTGACCATGCGGTCGTAAATCCGGTCTCGCTCTGCCTTGCTATAGTACACCAGTGAAGCTGCCGCCCGACCGTCACGACCTGCTCGGCCTGATTCCTGTACAAATCCCTCGAAGCTGCGAGGCGGAGTCCAATGGACAACAAAGCGTACGTGTGGATTGTCAATTCCCATTCCAAAAGCGTTGGTTGCTACGATGATTGAGAATACAGGAGCTGGCTTTCCGTTGTCGGGTTGCGGCTGGGATTTGGACGATGTCCACATCGCTTGGATATTCGTTCTGTCTTGCGGTGCTAGCCCGGCGTGGTAGGCTACGGCCGATATGCTCTTCTTGGTCGCCAATTGATTGGCTAGCTGCTCAGCCACTGTACGCAGTCCCACGTAGATGATGCCTGACATCGGTGGCAGGCGCGCTGCTTCTTCGCCGAATCGGGCTTGTCGACGCGCTCTGATGGCGTTGAGATATTCCATTAGGTCGTCTAATTGGGGGTTGTCGTATGGCGTATCATCTTCACCGAACTCATCAAGGTATCGGACTTCGTAGTGGATATTCGGACGGGCAGAAGGCGTATTGAAAAGCCTAAGCTGGTTAGAGCTCAGTCCGAGGATATTGATAATATCTGTCCGAACCCTCGGGGTTGCGGTCGCAGTCAGGGCAGAAATAGGAACAGGAGGGTTGGTTAGGTTTTTCTTGAGCCATCCTAATTCTTGGTATGCTGGTCGAAAGTCATGGCCCCATTCGCTAATGCAGTGAGCTTCGTCAATCGCTATTCGGGTCAGCTGGCCTTGCTTATGGACCGTCTGAAGGTTTCGGCGAAAGCTGTCTGTCTGGCATAGCTCTGGGGTGATATAGAGTAGACGTGTCCGCGGATGCCCAGAAAGCATGTCGTCTAGTATCATGCGTCTTTCTGCGGTTGGCGTATTGGAGTTGATTGTTGATACCGAGACGCCTATGGCTTGGAGCGCATTGACTTGGTCCATCTACTACAATGTCAGGACGGAAAATCGTCATCTTGAGTGATAACTTTACCATCAAGGCAAGAAGCGGGCATATGACGATAGTTACTTCATTCATGGGACATTCAGCATTGAGCAGATTCGTACCAAATCATTAACGGGTGGTTATCTTACAGCCATTGCTGATGACCGCTGGCAGCTGAAAGCACAGACTCTTGCCAAAAGAAGTAGAAGCCTGGAGGAAGACATCATGGCCATCAACTGCCGCCGTTATCACCTCTCGCTGGAGCGGCCTGTCGCTGTTGTTAGTCACGGTCTTCTTTTGAGCGCAGGGAGAAAAGCTACCGAAAGGCTTGCTTGCGGAATACGCGGTGCAGGTAGAACTCGAGATCGGGCCTACTAGTACGCCGCTCAAGCCTCCTTCGGTCAGCCATCTGGCAACATAGCAGGAAGTGTGATACGAATATGATCGTGAGGCTTTGAAAAAGGGACGATTGATAGTCGCGGGTTCAAGAGAAACGCGTCGCCACGTGACTCGGCCATTCTAGTTAAATTGGTATGTAAAGCAGAATTTGCGAATATTTATTACTTAGCTCTCACTCTCTTAATTCTAGCAGGCTCATTTCATCCATGGATCGCATTTCAAGCAAGTTTGAAGTAAGAACAAGGGAAGATCCAGATCTCCGTTGTGTATATTTGGAGCTCGCCTTCGACTCGTTCTCACGAAGTCATAAGGATATACATCCTTGGATGCACCCAAAGACGGAGAAGCAATAATGGAGGGTCAAGGTAGAACGGATGACAATTTCAACATGGAACTCCAACCTGACATCGAAGTTGGAACATTCGGAAGGTTAAATGGGTATATATCCAACTTTGGAACCTGAGAATGGCAATACTAGCTGAGCATTAATGGGCAGGTCACCATGTCTTTCTTCCCAACTTCACGGTGCTTAAGAATACCGATAGCTTATAACTTCGAGTAATAGTCCTGTTGACATCGAGGATCTATGCTGGTAGTAAGAAATAATGTACAAAAATGAGATCGCAATGGCGATTCACTGGATCCTTCCAGGGATTTTATGTAATATACATCTGGAGTTTAGCGATGCTTCCGGGCCATTTGGTCTTCGACCACTTCCCGCATAATGAGCATGTCAAGTGCAGTACGTTTCGAGGGCGGCCAGAGTTCTTCCAACTGAAGCCATGCTTCCATAACTTCGTCAGGTCCACAGCAAGTTCCAAAAGCTTGCAGGATTGCGATGGAGATTCGTCTTCCCACAAAGACTCCATTGTCTAGGCGGGAGGAAGGGGACTCAACATTCTCGCGAGTCGAGCCCATGTCTTGCTCAGTTGGCAGTTCAGGCACTTCAAAATTATTCTCCAAAGTTTCGAGCGGCCCGTCATTGTTCTCTGGGATTTCGGATGCATCCGAAACTTCATCGTATTCGAAGTCATCCTCTGTGAAGAACTCGCTACCCTCAGAAAGTTCTTCCTCTTGATAGCTCAGATCCTGCTCTCCATGATTCACTGGCTCCATGGATGATTCGTTTGCTTTGGCTGGGTCCTCAACGGCGGAAGGGGCTTCGGATAAAGTAGATAACAAAGGAACATAAAGATCGCCGGGCTTCGTAGAGGAGTTGACTGTAGCAACCTCAGCCTCTGTATCCAACTCGAGATCCGATGCAGATCGCAACGGGTTGTCCCAAGTCATGGTAGGAGCATTGCGATATAAACCAAGATGCCTTGCCCTCGAATCACGCACCGCTCGTATGAAGCCCAGCCAAGTTAGACGAAGCCTCTCTCGAGTCCACTCAGGCGTCGTCTTGTGGGCGCGACCATGCAAAGCAAACCCCTCGAAGAGAAGAATATAAATCATGTGACGAGGCGGGACGGCAAATGATCGCTCCATGTCTTCCAGGACTTGCATGAACATTTTGAGATTACCGCTTCTACGTGCACAATGTTGGAGCCAAATGTAGAAGGTGCGTGTGTCGGGGGTCATTGGAAGCGAGTCCTGTAGGGCGCTGTGAAACGCGGGGAGGCGAGCGCGAAGGTGCTTAGACTTCTTGAGCATGCTGCCCAACTGTTTGGTTTTGGAGCGGTAAAATGGGAACTCCGCTGCAAGGGAGGGCAACGGGTCTTGTAAGTTGGCTGGGTTTGATGGAGCGGCCTTTTGCGCAGTTTGAGCCTCTAGCATTTGTGCGTAGATGGATTTGGCAGTCACAGTGTCCCCTGCACGAAGAAAAGACGCCATGACGCAGTTGAGAACAACCGTATCAACCAGCTCCCCGGAACTGACGAATTCATCGAAAGTCGCTCGGACTCCTTCTGCGTTCTTGCGCACTCCATATGAGAAGATTTTCGTGACAAGTCCCCAGCGCTCGAACCGAAGACCTCGCCTCTTCATCTCTTGCTCAAGGCGCTCGGCAACGACAAATTGATTTGCCTTCACCGCTATTTCGAATAGAATGGTGAATACGACATCATCTGCCTCAATGTTTGCTATATGTTCCATTTGTTGCCAAAGGCCAACTGCCTCAACCAACCTTTGCTTTGAGACCCGACCATTACTGCTTCGGCCGGCCATATATATCGCGCTCGACCATAAAGACCGTGACATGGGGAGACCTGCCCTCTTCATATCCTCCACCAATGCAAGGTATCGTCGCGCATCAACAGCTCGGCGGTCGGGGGGGGTTTGCAAGGCGGCGCAACAGTGTACCACGAGACGCTTTGGACAAATATGCCACTCCTGGAGACGGAAGATCTCTATATAAGCGAAAGAGCATTTGTGTACTGGCCTTTTGTTCGCTGGGCAGCATTTCGACAAGTTTCGCGACAGAAGGACTTTCCATTACATCGCGTGTATTATCGTTTGCTCTCAAGGGCGGCGGATAGGTCATCATAGCTTCCACAGCATCATTCGAGTCATATTCACTCCCCAATAGACGGCGGAGGAGGTGAGTCACGGCCCTCTGCACTCTTTCATTGTAGGTAGGGGATGGCTGTTTGTTCGGACGAAAGTCGGCTGTTGAGTCAAGGTCATCGCTTGCGCTCTGTTTTGTGTCTAGGGGTGGGTAATCGTCCTGTACTGAATCAAAAAATCTATCTTGAAATGGTTGGCGCATGGGGCCTTGTGTTGGTTCGGTCATCGGGTGACCATTTTCTTTCTTCTCTTCCTTCCGCTCTCTTATAGGCCTAAACCTAGAAGGCCTTCTTTCTCCACTCTCATCCTTTGCATGTGCTAGACCGTAGCCAAGCCAAGGTCTCGAACGCGACGACTGTACCAACGGATCAGGCGAGTTCGAGAATTCTCGCCGTCGTCCGTAAGACAATCGACTCCGATCATCAATGCACTGTACTCGTCCACGGTGGAGATAGCCCTGCGAGGCCCTTGAACTCAACGTACAAAAGCCTCGGCTCCGTGGTGAATGGTCATGGCAAAAGCCTGCCAAAACCAGCGAACTGACGAAGAGATCTGCTATTGATGCGACCGACGGTCGAGGCCGGCGAACGGGCATGCATCGGAAGGAAGAAGATCGAGAACCATTGCCCGAGCAAGGCATTGAACCGGATCGTGGGAGGAGAAGCTCGTCGGCAGCTCGCTTGGGGGTATCTCGCAGGCTCGGCGAGCTGGGGGACCTATCGGGATGAGGCATGAGACGACAGGCATTGTGGCACCGACTCAGCCATGCATGTCAAAGGAGAGAGTCGACCCGCCCGCACAATAAGTACAATAGATGCCTTGCGGCAGTCGCAGGTGGTAAATGGAAACGAGAGGAAGAAAGCGACGGGGTTGAAGAAGCTGGAGTGTTTTTCTGATGTCCCGGCGGACTTTCTGGCTTTTGCAGGCGGAGTCGCGCCGACCAATCGGGGCCGCGCATTGCCAATGGCCATCTTTTTCGACTCCCGCTCTGCTTTTCTCGATCCAACGACCCATCAGACCCTCCTTGACTCGCTGTCCTCCTCCGTCTGTCCTGATCCTCCGGTCTCCCAAGGGCCAGATCCTGATCGCGCTTATACCGGCTGTGCTCCCCAGCCACCATGGGGAAAATCAACCTCACAGCCTTGCGGGTGCGAGAAACCGCGCTCAAGCAGTTCGCCAGCGGAAAGATCAAGAGGCTCCCCCAATGGGTTGATGTCGTGGGCGATGTTCCTCCGCCAGAAGCCCTTATTCGCAAGCCTCCCATTCAACATCAACTAGTCCGCCAGCGGATGAAGACAATCCCCGGATCCTCGCAGCCGCAGACCGTTTTCGAGGTTCAAGAGAAGCGCCGGAAACCTAAGAAGGCCAGTCGTATGTTCCAGCCCGTTGAGCTGAGATATGAAGAGGATGAGTTGCGACAGGAATTTTTCCGTGATCATCCCTGGGAATTGGCCCGGCCCCGCGTGCTTGTGGAGCCTACAAAAAATCGCTTTCAGCACGACTGGAGCCGCATGAAGCAGCCAGGGAAGCGATTGGATGGCGAAAGGTAAGTGATCAGGGGAGCTTCTAAAGTGATGTGTTAGACCGCTTGGCTGATGTCTGTTCTTATAGTGTGGTTCAACGGCAGCTGTGGCTGCTCAACAATGTCCCTGATATGACCAAGAGCGCGGCTTACGACATCGCTCGCCGAGAGTTCTACCGACTACGGCTACAGGAGGATATCGAGCGCCGTATTGCTGCCGAAGAAGCAGAAGCCACCGGCGCCCAATTTGGTCCCTCAATGCTGGAAGTTGGTATGGAACTGGAGAACAAGCAATATGAGCTATGGAAAGACTGGGCCAAGAACGAAGCTCAAATTCTCAACCAAAAATTTGCCTCGCTGTCTGGGGCCCCTGAACTTGCCAATGAGAATGACGAGAAGGAGCCAGTGAAGAGCTTTGAGAGCGTGGAACCAGAGGAGTTGAACTGAGTTGCATGTCTCGCATTGGTTTAGATATCCCGGAGTCTACAAGGGTCGACCCGGTTGACGGTCATGTACATTATATTTACCATTATTCAATGTATTCTCATAGCTTTCCCCATTTAGGTATCCGAACTAGGCGTGACCAGTCTGAGTCGTTCACGACAGTCCCGGATAGCAGGACGTAGTTTTCGTATCAACACAACGACACCTTGAAAGCGGTGCCAAGTGTGTAAACTTTTTTTTCGTGCTATTTTCCTTTTAAAGAAACTAAAGTCAATCCTCGTATTTTCGATGTATGATGGATAGCACGTAAACCTGTGATCTCTCACGTATTGTGGCATTGGACTGATCCGACGTTCAAACGAGTGGGGCCGTCCCAGACAAGATGAAACGCGTACAAGAAGACCGTTGGTCGCAAACCCCGGGCGCCATCTGCCCAATCACATCATTTCCACTCAGGTCCATCACTTCCTTCCAAGCCTGAAGTTGGGAAGGCATCAAGACTGCTCTCCTGCGACTGCTCTCCTGCCCCTGGCCCAGCACCGACCATTCCAGCATTCCTCTTCATCGTGGCCGATTGCCGCCACGAGTGTCCAAGCTTCGAACGCCCTGCCGGACTCCGGATCATCATCTTGCCCCGGACTGAACAATTCTCGGACTTCCGACCTGTGACCCCAGACGAACGTGTCTCCTGCTTGTTCTGTTGCTAGAGCACTGGATTGCCCTTCTTTGAAACCACTGCCTACATCTCGCCCCGCCCCGCCCTGCCTTCCTACGATCCCGCGAACCAATCAAACCCAAAGCATTGTGACGATGATTGACCAGGGTAACTCTGTGGTTCTTTCGTAAAGGTTGAAACCTTGAGTCCTGGGTGAAGGATCCCACTGCCATACTATTCGATCTCCTCTCCGATAACCTCCCAAGGGTCAGTCCGAGATGCTGTCCGCGGTGCCGCGCCCCGAGGATACTGTCCGAGGACCACGATCTTATCCCAGTCCAGCCGAAGAGGAAGAGGGAGAGAGCCGGCCCCACGACTCACTAGTTCCGCCACCATTGTCGTACGGGGAGGGCTTCCCGAACATGGAACCGGAAGGATCAAGGCCTGGCACTGCAATGGGCGATTCCTCAAGCAAACGAACATCGGGCCCGAAACCCTTGACACCTGAAGAAACGATTGAGCTTGCGAGGCGTGCTGTAGAAAGCGGAATACAAGACACCAAGCGTTCTTTGGCAGGAAGTGAGGCTGTCACAGATGTTGTGAAGCCAAAACTCACCATTGATCTCGGCCATTCGCATATTGTGCGGATACCAGAGCCCGTGGTAGATATCATCAAGGATGAGGTCGAGAGGTACGTAAAAATTTCGCTCTCTGCCATACTTTTTGTCCTATGAAATCCCTTTGGATCCCAAATTAACTCCCCACCCTTTGTACTGGTCGCAACTCCATTTGGCTGACTTTATTCCAGGCTATCCTTATCGAACAACCACCTTTTCCATATTCCGTATCGCTTCGCCGAATGTTCTCACCTCAGATATCTCAATGTCCGGGCAAATAACTTCCGAGAATTTCCAAAGGGCGTACGTCAACTTTGCACCTGTATGTTGGAGTATTGACCATGCTGATAATCATAGGTCTACAAACTACCCCTGCTGGAAATTCTTGATCTTAGCCGCAATAAGATCAATACTTTGCCGGATGAGATAAAGAAGCTGAAGTCCTTGCGTGTGCTTTCTGTCATGCAAAATCGACTGGACGAATTGCCTATCGGGCTCTCAGACATGAACAAATTACAGATTTTGAAAGTAGCTGGCAACCCTCTACGGTGGCCGCTTCGGCGGGTGCTCGAATCTACGGAGGCTGAAATTGCTTCCTCGGGGATGACTGACAACGAGAAAGAAGTAGCAGTGACTGCGGAACTCAAGATTTTCCTCAAAAATCGGCAAATAGCTACAACCCCGGAGCCTGAAACTAGTGCTGACACAAGGTACGCAACCCTTTCATCGTGATTGATTTTGAAACGAAGCTAACTAGATGATCAAAGTGAGGGCTCCTTCGAAGCGCCTAAACCGATACCGGTTAAACGCAAGCTGAGTGGTCGATTCCCGGTCAAACCAAGTACCGGGGACAGTTCAGCTTCCTCTTCTCGCTCTCCGTCTATCTCAAGAGCACCAGGACTTCCGTCCAAAAATCATTACCGCATGGCATCGGGGCATCAAGCAGCTGCTTATCATATGAGTGGCATCCAGCGGCCAGGTATAGCACCCTACGCAGTCAACGAGCGCAACCGGAGTAATAGCGAGGGTATCATACAAGCGTCATTTGCCGCGCGGAACAAGCGCATGGGTGTGATCACTCGCAAAAACACTGATTTGGGACCTCTAACCGAGACAAGAGCGGACCGAAACAGTCATCTGCGAGGGCTAAGTCACGGATCCGTCCTTCGTTCTCGCCCCGTGCCAACTGCTGTTAGTGGCAGCAGCTCCTCGAGTCCGAGTAGCCCGAGGGACCGGCGACGCCAGCGAGACGGCTGGGTGAACCGGATGTCTAGTCTCCCAGAACACAAAGGCGAGCGGGGTTCTGATGATCCAGTACTAGAAAGCGCGAAGGGGATTCTGTTTGCTCTCTTTCAAATACATTCCCATATCTCTGCTTTGATCAACGTGATCAAAGCTGATGACACGCGACGCCATAGCTTAGAACTCGTGTTCTACAATGCTTCTTCTCATGTGACTAAACTCAACGAGGCGCTTGAGCATGCGGAAACCGCCGTATCCGAGGACCTTGAAGCTGGGCGAATGGCCACTGAAGCGGTTAAACGAGAATGTGCAACCTGCATCGGAGCCTATACCCACGTGGGCACTCAATTGCGCAATAGTGCCGGGAAGATCGTCTCTAACGGTGATTCAAGATACGTGCGATCGCTGATGCTGATGATGTACGGCAGTCTCGTGGAGCTCCGGAATGCCTGTAGCAGCCTCCGGATTCCGCTTAGCTCAAACCAAAAGCGAACATCGGCGCCTAAAGCCAGTATTCCTGATGTTGCTAGGCCTCCCCCGCTTGAGCGCCCTCCTCGTCCATTGGTTACCCCTACTCGGGACACGACTGCGGCCACGAAAAGATTTCGCAGTGATACTACAATCCGGCACCCTCAGCCCGTGCCACTAGCAAACAGTAATCAGATGACAAATTCCTCCCCCGGGTTTGCGACACCCTCTTTCAATGCCTCGCGAAGCCGGTCTAGCAGTCGATCAAATTTGATCAACACTTCAGTGCCGTCCTCCTTGGCAACGCCTAGATCTGGAGAGGCATTTCCACCTATTCCGCCTGGTGGCCCATCTCGAATCAACCCTCTCACCGGTTTGGACGAGAATGAAGAAGAGCGGATCTTCGAAAAGATCTTCCACCAGCTCACCTCTGCGTATAGCGCTGCTTTACAAGCCCTTCCATTAGCCCGCCGGCAGCTCTCTCGGTGTCTCGAAGTTGCAGAGCAATCGCGAGAGTCTGATGGAATGCGAATGATTTGGAACAACTTGATCCGCCGATGCAAGTTTTGCCTGGAGGCGTCCGAAGCATTGGGTATGCGGCTATCGAGCATGAAAGTCAAAGAGCCCAATGGGGGATTGCGGAACCAACGCGAGTTCTGGCAGCTGTGTAAGACATTTATGCAATCATTCGTGGATCTCGTGACAGACATGAAGGAGGTACGAAGTATGCAACTTCTTCCTCAAGACATTGTCATTATTCTGCGCCCGGTTCAGAAGGCTAGTCAACAAGCCGGCCGCTTGATCGAGGCATCGCCTTGGTCTTATCTCGCCGATATGTATGGACCTCCCATGCAACCACCACATATCCAACATCAAACATCCGTATCCGCTTCCGCCATCACCTCTCACCCTTCTCCATTCCTCCTAAACACCAACATGTCTCCCCAGTCAGTCACGGTACCCGCTACTCCGCTGAGTGCGGCTCTGGGGCCCGCAGCACAGGCCACAGTCCCCACGACTCCAGCAAGTGCCTACAGCGACAGGTTCTTCGAAGGGGATGTGTTCCAACGTGCAGACTCTCTGCTTTCCATGCCGAACCAAACCCCGTTTTTCGGACGACGCTAAGGGCGTGGTCCTGTCGTCGTGTCGAGTAGCGTTGTCTCTGGGATGTGTCTTCTGTTTTGCATGCTCATGATGATGAACAAAAAAAAAAGACTCAAGCATCGATATACCCATCATTACTAGCGGAAGAAGTCGGATTTGAAGAGGGGCTCGAGATGCCCCATTCTATGCGTCTGCTTTCTGTACTCTTTTTATTCTTTATGAGTTTTAGCGGGGCGATTGGAGGGGAGGCTGTTTCTAGTTGTGTATTGGTTTGTGTACTCTAATGGGAGCATATTTCGGTAGATTATCATGGCCTCCAAGCGATGTCTCAGGAGCAACTCATTGCGTTGGAGCATGTTATTAGTACTGTTCAGCATTTGGTCTCTAGGATAAGCTGTATCTGTAGTCCCTACGGAGTGACCTGTAGGATCCTGTTAAGTAAGTGACAAATGAAAGTTCACGTAGATAGACTCCCCATTAAGATGCGGAGTCTGATTCGCCCCTACGCAAAACCTCGATGGAGGTTGTGCGTTGGCCTTGATACATAATGACTCGGGAGAGATCATAATGAGCCCGGAATAAAAAAGATGAGCACAAACAAATTCGCCCTGACCAGCTATTGCAAGGATGCTATAAAGGGTTTGTCGAACCATATCATTATCATGATCTTCAAGGGGTTCGTTGTAGACTGAAGGAATAAGTGCAATCGGTGCGCCAAAAGGCCGGAATAGGAAGGGAGAACAGCGCAGCTAATACCAGAATTTTTACATACTTTATCAGTAGTAAAGACGTCTCACTATATAATTAGAGGATAGTCCCAAGTGATTCTTCCTGAACCAAAGTCTATTCTGGTTCTACTCCAACAATGTGATGTACAGAACTTATCAACACCACCTGAAGCTGATCCCTGGCTGAAAACCATTTCCCCAAGTGTCCTTACCGTCTTAGGAACAGAAGATTGAATTTGCGAGAATAGGAGACTAGCGTAAGATAACCATGCAACGATACCCTCTACTCTCCCCTACGCCCGACTACAACATCCCGCACAAAAGAAAACATCGCCCGCTGCTTGGTCGCAAACACACTATGCCTGCGCCTTCGAACAAATGATATGACAGCCCACGCTCAGAACCCCAAGTACCTACCCGCTCCCCGGACTCCTTAGACTCCTTCGTCCCGGTCATTGGTGCCGCATCATCTGTGAAGAAGACCTGGGTGGGCTTTTTGGAAAAGCCTTGCGCACCACCCCAAGTCATGTTCTGAATTGACAGTTCCGTTCCGAGATGGTTGATCAGCATATCCAATTCCCCATTGTATATGTGTAATGACAAATTGTGCTCAGTGACCAGAGACCCAAGCAGCCCATATGCGGGCGGCACAACCTCGGGCCCGGAAAGCAGAGACATCATGATATCCGGGCTGCAAGCCGTGAACGAGCCAGAGTTCTTCACATGAAGTGCAGCCTGGACATCTGAGCGGCTGAAATACTGCTCCAACAGCGGGAGAGGAATCACGCTGGAACAATTGTGCGTGATGTCGTAGACATCGAAGCAGGGCGGTCCCGTGCCCATGGTTGAAGCTGCGGTCATATAGTCCACAGCTGTGGAGTATGTCGAACAAGGGCCATAACAGGAGGAGTTGCGAATCGAGTCGAGCACTGCCGACGGGGTTGAGGGGTAGATGTCGCATGAGCCATTAAGAATGTCGGCAACGTCACGGCGATGGTGATAGTTGATATTCTGTGGATTGCCGGGGATGTGGATTTTACCTTCCGGAGGATACACGTGTGCCTTCTCCATGACGGCATCGAAGCCACATATTTGATCTGCTGCGGCGAAGGCAGAAAGGATGTCCTCCGGGACTTTGAGGCGAGAGGACTGCGCGTGCAGGTAGGTGCCCATGGCGACGGAGGACATTGCTGCCGCATTGCCCATGATCCGTCCCCGATCGAAATCGAGCGCAGGTCAAGAGGAAGCGCGTATGTCCCGTTTACGATGGCATTTGCAAAATATGGCACATATATCCCTGCGTACGATTCACCCATCATGTGTACCTTCTTCGCCTGAAGATGGGGAAAGTAGGTATAGAATGTGTGTAGCCACCGAACAAAGTCCGTTGTCACTTGATCATTGGTGCGCGCGAATCTGCCCGCGGTTGAGAAGCCGGTTCCCACAGGCTGATCAATGTAGAGAACGTGGCCGAGCTTGGTCCATGAGTTAGGGTTTCGGATGAGCTTTGTGGAGTTTCCGTCGAAGGAGATGGGGCCGTTGCCTGTCATCAACCCTATGAGGGAAGAACAGCCCGGTCCACCGTTGAACCATACTAAATGGCAGTCAGCGAGTATCCCACAAAACATCCCTCATACTAGGGACACTTGCTGATAAGGTTTTCATCATATTCCTTGTCCTCAGCATCAAAAAGCCAAAAAAATATCTCACTGCCTTGTCCAGCACTTGGAACCGCAAGCCGACCAGCCCAGCTGGGGGGAAGCGTCGGGCTGTCTGGTAGGGAATTCACTTCAAACTGGGAAGTTCTGGAGAAATTTTCCTTTGGAAATAACAATATGTGTGGAGTCTGCCATATCACTTGGAACAGATAGGTGAAAAGGGAGAAGTTCATCGTCAAGAACACTCTGTATCTTGAATTTTCAACAGAGACGAAGCTGTTTTAGTCAACGAGCGAGCTTCGTGATCAACTTCTTACAGAGAAGAGATCTCCTTTGAACTGATTTAACAGAAGTCATGGCTGAGGGGTTGATGTTCGTAGTGGGCAAGTCGACTTCCTCATTCTGGTGCCAATAGATCCTATTGACACCCAAATCGGGCAAAGGGTGTAAGAAGCCCACATTATCAAGCTGAGCCTACTGTTTGTATTGGTCTGGTCGCTCTGTCAATCCCCTGTCTTATTTTTATCTTAATTGTCTCTACTGCTCTTCTAGAAAGGTCCTCCTTCACACCGACTGCATCACCAACCCTGGGAGTATCCCACGCGGACTGCGTATAGATCGGCGGGTGAGACCCACTTCCGCTTCGGGCTCGACGCCTGAGAGACCAGGCAAGAACGCTCTAGTTAACTAATCCGAACGCAACCACTGCAACACCTGGATCCGTCAATCCTTCTCAATGGCAGATCTTTGGTCAATTGCCAAATCGGCTCACAAGGAGCTCTTCAGCATTGAGGGAGGCGTGCGTGGCCAGTGCGCCTTAAAAAAGTGAGGCGACTGGAGCGGAATCTGGCTCGGGGGCGAGCCCCTGTCCTAGACCGCCACTGTCAACCTTTTCTTTATCAAGTCTGCTCCGAAAAGAAAAAGGGTCGCCCCCCTAGACGCGAGAGAGGAAATACACATTAGAGCTCGTCATCTCCTCCGTTCTGGGTTCGGGTAGCAGCAGTTGGAATGTGATGGTTGCGTATGGTTGCGTCCACCCGAATCCGTCTGGATTTGGAAAACGTTGCGCTCCCGTTCGAACTCGCTCAACTATATCAGGCCAACCCGGTCGCTTTCCCAATTGGACCTGGCTCGCTTTTGGGACTTTTTTCTTTTTCGCGCTTTTCGCTGTCTAACTCGCTGTCATTTGTTCCCCTGGCCTTGAGGGGTTCGATTTCAGGGAAACTAAGCCCTACAACCGTGACGAATTGCTTGGTGTGACGGGAGATTGTCTCGGGTTGAGCCAACAGGATCATTTTGATGCGAAGTCCATTTCGCATTCTAGTCGCCTTACTCTCTGAACCGGACCACGAGGATCGATCATCCGCAGATCCAAGCTTCGGTGGCTCCACAACAAATCGACAGCTCATTTGCATCACTTTGGCCGCCAGCGCGGATTGGCTGCCTGCTTGGGGCAATCAAAAACATCCAATCCCCTATTTCACACGGTAAGCTAAGACCCCGGCAAAAAAAAAAAGGAAAAGGAAAAAAAGAAAAAAAAGAAAAACAAACATGGTGCAGAGAAAAGGCACGCTTCGTCTTTCCTCTGGCTCGTCAATCTCCTCCGTACCGGGGAAGACGAAGATGATGGAACGATGGCGGTAACCTCGCCACCGTCCAGAAAATCCAAAGAATCCCGGAAACCCTCTTGGACCGTCTGTTCTGACTCTAGAATTCTAGTTCCCGGTCTTTTGACTTCTCTCGCGATGGACCTTCAGGGGACTAAAGAGGCGCGCACGCAAGAGGAGGGCGCTGACGGCCCGTTGGATCGCTCCAAGGAGTATCACAAGAACGAGGGGCGCGATTCACATAATCATGACAACACATCGACCGTCCATCCGCTTCGTCGCCAGCCGCAATTCACTTATCCCCCGGGCCCTCATTCTCCGAGCACAACCCGCCGCGCCCCTTCACCGTCGCCAGAGGCTGTCATCATTCCCCAGGCGCTCGGGTTAAGCTCCCGCGATGTCCGGTTACTATGCAGAGCCCGCCGACACCCACCCGTCACCAAACGGACTCTGAGTGAACTCGACTTGCCTTGCATCATGAGTAATATCAACCTGCGCATGGACGCCAATTTTGACCGAGACCTGCATTTCAAGCCCGACCTCGACGGCGAAAAGGGCAAACGGAAACGGAAGGAGGCTGCAGACTATTGGGACTCCATGGCCACGGAAATCGCCGTCTATGCTTTCTGCGCAGCGTATCCCGATGCGGAAGCCGACAGTTTAACGGCAGCCAATAGTTCTAATCATTCACCGCGTACTTTTGAGCCCCGATTACCCGCCATGTTCGAGACTCTACAGGAGATTATCAAGACTTTAGTTCCCGAACGGGACCACCCGAGCGTGATGGAAAACCTGGAAGTGGCTTTGCTCATGCAGCAGATCCGAAAGGGGGTTCTCGACATGGTGGCGTTAGCCAAGTGGATGGCCGCTTTGTTGAAAACGCACTGTGCGCCCATGCGGGATGATTGGGCGGATCGCATGGTTGAGCAGATCACCCAGGGCTCTCAGTCGCAAGAACCTAAGGAGGTCGTCAATGGGCTCCAAACCCTCTTCGCTATCTTGGAGGCCATGAAGTTGGTAAGTAATCTGTCTATCTGTTGTTACTTTCATGTGTTATGTTCGTTCCGAACTAACTCGCGTTCTGCCCAGGATGTGGCCAATCACCAAATACGTACTTTCCGGGTCCTTCTGATCGAAGACACCGTGCCTTTCCTGCATGAGTATTTCGAAGGTAAAATTAAACGCGGAAGCTTTCAAGTGGAGCCCTCGCGGCTTTGGTACATCGCCGCGCGGTCTCGCCTGGAGGAAGAGGATGCAGCGAAGGATAGGTCATCTGCGCAACCGGATGACAGCCTCAAACCCCTCGAGGCCATGTTTCGCGGAATCCTCGAACTCCTCCTTCAGTTCAACGCGCCTAATGATTTTCCCGACACCTTCCTCTTCGACTCGGATCGTCTGTGGCAACTCAGATCTACCGTGCAGAATCTGATCAACCTTGAAATTGCATGGTATATCTTCGAGTCGTACGTCCACACGCAGAAACGTTATCTTTCTGCGCGGGATGAGACGTACTCCACCTTCCGATCGCGGATATGGTCCCTGATGGAGGACGGATTTGAACCCGACAACCGAGGCAGCGGGCGAACGACCGCGAAGATCCCGATCTTCGCGGCGGGACACGCTGGATGCAAAATATGCGCAGCATCGCTCTGGAGATTGCCCGCTTTGCCTGCGCTGCTTGCTGCCTCGACTCGATCGTAGCCGATGAAGTCATCAGCCCCATCGAGGCAGCCCTAGAATGGCACCTTTCCAACGACTCGGATCTTTTCCGGTATTTCCAGAATATCATGCGTGAGAAGATCCTCACCGCGACACTTGCCTTCACTCGCCAGTATCTTCCGCTCTCGCCTCTTGCGATCTGCGAGTCCCAGCGGGTCCCTCCGCAAGTGGCATCGACGTCGCTGACACCCCCCCTCTACCTCCTCCTCATCTTCCTCGGGGACCTCGACCTTGTCATCTCAGCAGGCCCTCACTCCACAGCAATATGATATTGAAAGAATTGGCATGCGGCTGGCCCACATGGGCGTTTTGCACTGGCGCGTTTGGGCTCCGCTTCTCTATTTACGGGATGAGATAGCAGACCTCGGCGCTCCAAGCTTCATATAGTCCCGAAGCCAACACAGCCAGTCCTGCTTAATTTCTATCTTTTCAGCAGGAAAAGTCTGTTTTGATCATCACTGTCTTTGCTCTTGATTTACCTCCTTTTATTTTGTCTATGTCTGCTCTTCAGCGCGCATTGTCTTTTCTCTCGGCGTTTTATTCCCACCAGAGGTGCAAAACCGGCGCTGGAAAACATGGGTGGGTGATCTATTATTATTTTTTTTATTTTATTTTTTTTTTCTTTTTCTTTTCCTTTTTCCTTTCTTTCCCTTTCTCCTCCAGAGTGCCTGTGCTATCTGGCTTATGTTCGGACTCTTAGCTGTTGCACTTGGGAAAATAGGAAGTATAGACCGGCGTTGTGGATCTTGGCATTCGGTATGGGTTACATCAGTGTTCTGCTGTTTCGAGTATTGAGCAGCCTGTACAAGATCAGAATAACATTACAGCTATCATATCCAGAGAACCATGTAGCATGTAACATCCCTGATTGCATCTTCAACAGATCTGTTAGTATAAACTCAATCCAAAGTTGCTGAATCGACGAGAGCGGCGAGGGTGGCCCGTGCGGCTGATCGACATCGACTTCATCCGGCACCGTTCGTCGTGCTCCCAGCAGATCAACATTTCCCAACTCATCCAGGGGAGCCCCACAAAAAGCCAGGGTTTCAATCCCCGTAACGCGCCAAGCTACTCTAATTCCACGGTCTGCCCCGCACCCTGGACCTGCGCTTCCCAACCAGGACGCAATAGACACTGTACTTTCCGCGTCCAGGGTCTCCATTTTCCTGGGTCGCAGTAATCAAGGCCATGGAGAAAGCCCACTAACGTGTCCACAGAAAAAGCAGAACCCGGGAAGAATAATGCGAGTGACCCATGCATTCCGGTTGCCCCCAACCCCATCGTCTCTGCAATGGCTCGCACCACTGAAATCGGCCCAGCTACAGCATGTGGCCCGCGCGACAGGAATCCAGTCATCAGGCACTAAGGCCGCTCTGCTAGAAAGGATCCAGGCCGGGTTAGCGAACAGAGCGCCGCCGCGAAACCCCGGGCCCGATACGCACCGGAGCCGAGATGACTGGAGTATCCTGAGCATTGATATGGGGATCCAGAACTTGGCGTTTGCGCACCTCCGGGTGCCCAATCCCCGTGCGTCACACCATGGGGATGGTTTTCGGGATAGCGCGCTACCAGAGCTCACAGCGTGGCGACGACTTGCCGTCTCGGAGATCTCAAGTTTAGATCTGGTCACGGAGACGGATCCCGCGTCGGCCATTCCTTTGTTTGCAGCTTTGTCTCATGCCCCGGAGCGAAAGTCCGCGGATGCTTTCTCGCCGGATATCTACGCTGTAAATGCGTACACGCTTATCACGACGCTGCTCGCAAATTATAAGCCCACGCATGTGCTGATCGAGCGCCAGCGCTTTCGCTCGAGTGGCGGCAGCGCGGTGCAGGAGTGGACGCTGCGGGTCGGCGTCTTCGAGGGGATGCTCTATGCAATTCTTCACGCTCTGCGCCAAGAGCGTGGCGGGGACCTCACCGGCGTACAGGTCCATGGGATTGAGCCGAAGCGCGTGGCGAGGTATTGGACTGAGATTGATGGGGTAGGGGTTTCAGATCCTGATCAAAGTGAGAAAAGGAAGGTCTCGGCACGGGAAGTCAAGAAGGCTAAGATTGATCTGGTTGGGAGGTGGCTCACCAGCTCGCTGCACTTGAAAGAGAATAATGAGTCTGTGTCAAGTCCCGAGACGGACTTCGAGACGATGCCAGTTATGAACAGCGACAGGGTAGGGCAGAGGAAGTTATCGCTCGGGCCAGGGAGTTCTGTGGAACTCCTCGCCAATGCATATGTGCAGAAATGGCAGAAACAGAATGGGAAGAAGAAACGGTCATCCGCTGCGGCGAAAGCCTCTGATATCGGAAAGTTGGATGACCTCGCGGACTGCTTGTTACAAGGGGTGACTTGGGTTGAGTGGCAAGTGATGCGGGAGAAGCTTGCTCGGGAGGGATATGAGGCATTAGATCGACTTGCTTAAGACATGGCAGAATAGGTGGAATAACAGAATTCAAGCCTACAAGGTTTCAACAGCTGAGATCTTTCCGAGAAGAGAAGAGAAGAGTAATCGTTCAAAACATGATGTCGCCTGACGTAGGATACGCCCTAATGCACAATTCTGAATCACATATCAACATTGAAAGAACCACCCCACGCCCTCGTGCAGAGGGGTACGGTTCTAAGGACTCTTTAAATGGCACATGCACTTTATCCAACAATTCAATGATATGATCAGTACAACCGGGACCTCACAGCAGCCCAATGACCACATCACCGTAGATCTGAGCATCCAGGTCCAGGCGGACCTTCGCCGCAAGGTTCAGATGGACCTTGATCTTCAAGGCACCCTTTTCATCGGGGTCGTTCAGCAGCTGGCCGGGCATCTGGAGGCCAGCATTGGAGATAGCGCCGGCACCGCCATGGACCAGCTCGCCACCGCGAGTGGCGCCATTGGCCTCGTCATCGGACTTGTTACGGCGGCCGCCGACGGGGCGGGCTTCAGAGGGGGTGCTAGTCGCCGGGGGAGAAAGATTAGCGGGCTTGCTGGGAATGGGTGGCTCGGAGATGGTTGGACCAGTGGGAGTAGGGCTCGGCGGAGGAGAAATAGAAGCAGAAGCAGGAGGAGCAGCAGGAGCAGGAGCAGGAGGAGGAGCAGCAGGAGCAGCAGCTTCAGCAGCAGGAGTAACAGCAGCAGGAGCAACAGCAGCAGCAGGAGCAGTAGTAGGCTCCGGGATATCAGTGACAGTAGGCTTTGGGGGAGTAGCAGGTCGTGGCTTGCGAGGGTGTCGTCTCGGGGTCAGAGAGCACTGGCGCCTCGGGCTTGGACTCGGGGTTCACCAGGGATGGAGTTGATGCCATGGTCGCCTTCGAGCTGGTTGAAGTTCGGACGGGCAGGGTATGGGTTGAAGAATCCTTCGTGCTACTGTCTCCCTTTGAAGACGAGATTGAAGACGTCCGTTGCTTCTGCTGCTTCTGCTCCTTCTTGGACTTCTGGGACTTCTGGGACTTGGTTCTGAACATGGGGAGTACAAGAGAGAAATCAAATACCTGGTAACAGGGTCAGACATGGCTGAAGTATGCGGAGGCTCGGATATTTAAGAGGTTCTGCTCAGGCAAAGAAGCAATGACCGTATGATAGCTGCGGAGTAGAGAAGAGAACTGGTTGATGAACGAAAGAAATAAGATACTGGGCCCGGTTCGAGGGAGGCTTTTCTATGCACCGCTGAGCCGTCATTTCCAGGCCATGCAATCTGCAGTTCGGAATTGTGGTTGCTAGCTTTGCTTCTTCGAAGGTCCACCTGGCTGCAGTTACAGCAACCATCATACGATTCGGCAATATCAAGTGGATTCTCTAATCCTCCTGTTTTGAAGCCCATCAACATATCTCCACTTGGCAGTGTACATTAGCTGCGTAAATTTTTGCGTCTGCCCAAGTCTTCCTCGCTCCCCCCTTTCCAATTACTCCACTCACGCAGAACCGCCTTTGACGCCGAGTGCAGCATCTGTACGACTAAGTTCCGGCGCCTGATGGTTCTCGGCGTGATAATGATGGCCACAATGGTGCCAACCATGATTGGTCTGAATGAGGCTACGCAGGGGAGCCGAGATCAAGAGGAGGCCAGACGGAGTGAGGCACGGAAACAACGTGGGCATCTAGTGGCCACCGTCTCTCTGACACAGGGGACACCGACAATGCGCCAGCAGGTGCACAATGCGAAGGTTCAAGTGGGTCTAGACGGGCGAGTAAGTTCTGTCAAACGCGCATTACGAGGGGTGCACCTGCTGATTGCTCCTTGCAGCTCTACATTACGAAGCACCCCAGTGCTTCGATGGTCCCGTTCAACGGCGGCTTCCATACACATCCTGACTTTGCCCCGGATAACACATCGGGCCTAGTGACGGTTAGTGGCGAGAAAGCGCCTACTCTGCGCTGGGTCTTCCGAGACGCTAAGACCCATGAGATGCGTTGGGGCGGTCGCCTTGATTCCGAGGGCCACGTCTGCGGGCCCTTTGACTGGACGCCGGATGAGCAATATTTGACTATGGAAGGCTGGGAGGGTTGGTTGGCAGTCCGGCTCCCGGACGATGAGATGCAGGATTCGACCAATGACGTGGGGGGCGTTCAGGGGCATGAAACATGGCGATTATATTTCGATGCAAATGATGACGGCGCGAATTTACCGCCAGGGGCTCAGGGATTGGAAGTCCGGCTCAAGAGAACTGTGGCGGAGTCATGATATCGTGGCGAGTTCCTCGGTTAGTACTTTTTCGGCCCCCACCAAAAGTATGAATTGAAGACATAAACAACTTCATGAAAGATTGCGGCAGACTCCGCATCGTGTATAGTTTCCTGTTTGCAAGTCCCCATACGGAGTACTCGTCTCGATGCAGGCCACTGCGCATTATGCAAGCCTCGAGTCCATAATCCGCTTACAATCCTAGTCATCCGCTATGCATCTTTTGATTGCGCTGTAATGCGAAATCAAGGATTGAAGGCGCCAATGCAGGCCGATCTTGCAGATCTCTCTCCACTTTATCGCTCCGGATCGGGCGCTTGTGCTGTATAGATCGTATGATCTCCCGGTTTCCACCGATCAATCGCAAGAACAGCTTCATTTGTGCTGGACTATTGGGCTTGCAATGTCTGCGGTTGTGTTCTTCCAGATTTGGTGATGCCCTTCAGATTTACTAGTACCATATGATGACACAGGCGACAATCATCCTCGGCTCGTACGAGATATCCGGGTATTGAGGTACTTCATCGAGCTATGCGTATCGTGGGCAGTAGAGATGCGACTTCTGCTAAAGCCGCAATCTACCAAGTTTAGGCAGATCGCATACCCCAGATTGGACTAGTTCAGGTACCGTTCACAGGATCTTGCTCTGGGCGTCGATACAACACTAGCTGCTTCCGATTCGTCAAAAATGCCAGTTTGGGAAAGAGGAACAGTGACCACGTTCTCAATCTAGACTGTTCTAGATGAGCAAAATTCATGGATCCTGCGAGTAGCTTAGCTCGCTGTTTGAGAATGGGACGCCTTCAAGGGAAGATGAAACCGATGCTTGCATATGCAAGCATATGCAAGCCCCACCCTTCTTCCGACCCCCGGTAGATCTGACACGGTGTCATCGTTAATTCCCGGGGTACAATGCGAGAGACCTTCCCTGTTGAGCTTCCTTACGGCAAATCCGTGCCTGCCAGGACCGGTTTATGCCAGCCGGGGCCCGCCGAAGGATTGGACGGTGGGCGATGCTAACGCAGACCCTGGCGTGGACAAATTGCCTCATATCGAGCCCGGTGTAGGCATTGCAGGCATGACAAATTCTCGGGTGGGACGTAATATCGGACGAAAGGAACCCTCAGTAGTATTGATCTTCTCTCTTGCCTCTAGGGGAAACCGTGAATCTCAACGGACATGACATCAATTGATATCACCGAATCGGGTTAGAGGCAAATCGCCATCGGAACTCCCCCCAACTTCATCGAAACCTATGGCAGGTAGGCTCCCCCCGGAAAAGTCCCAAATGTGAACGCTTTAAAACTTCGACACTGGGCTGAACCTCGTGACAATATTTCTATAGCAGGCGCATACACAACGGAGATGACAAACGCTTCAGCCCGTCAAGGTTCTCGAGATATTGCTGGACGAGCGAGCGATTGAGCCTCCTACGAAGTGCCTGGGTTCGTGTCCCAGATTGCAGCCAAGAGCCTACAGTTAACGACCACGGATTCAGATTGGTCAAGTGTCCAAAGATACATGTACGACTACAAGGAAATCATACGTGCTGAAAGTCGAAGAGATTTCATGGGCTAAAAAAAAAATGCTCTGATTCATTAGAGGTTCGGTCTGATCTCAAAGACCATAGGTATGATGAACTTTTCCTCGAAGTCTTATTTTGCCTCCTGTGGCAGAACAAGCGGGTATTGACTTCGACTCATAGAAATAAAGAAAAAGGACGCTATAAGAAAAAAAACAATCCATGCAATACTTTAAGCCCAAGGACCGAGCTCCTTGCCGCGGGCTTTGAATCGCGAGACCATGTAGCCCGGGCTCCAATTTGGATCCCAGTCCTCATCGAACCCTGAGTCCGGGTTGAGCGGGTTAAACGAGTGTGCGTTGGCGGAGAGGATGGAGACACCTCGGGGCACCTGGTCTTCAAGACCTGGTGACCCGGCCTCGCTGCCATCTTGACTGCAGTCACAGGTCAAAGTTGTCCTCGCGCCCGGGGTAGTGCAGGGGCAGAATCCGAGGACGCGGTCACAAGGGATACATTTGTAGTATGCGCGGCCAGAAGGATTGGAAGGGGACTCAGTGCGCAAGCGCACTCCAGGAAGTCCACACTCGCACCGCCAGCTGTGTGGTGATCGTTCTGGAGAGGAAGACATTGTGTGAGGGATTTGAATTGAGTTGGATATTAAGGCTGGAAGCGATTGTTAGCGACAAATTCGTCGTCTCCTTCTGGATATGGGGCGATCGATCGTACCTAGAGCGATATATCGCGATTTATCACACAGATCAAAAGAGATAATAGATGTCGATGCGTCGATTGCTCGAATTAATTACTCCTCCCGAACTGGGGATAGCCTGCCCCTTATAAGGCTTCGAGTTTTGCGGGGGGGCGATCATCATGACGCTATTGGAATCCAATATAGAAACCACTGACCCACGTGTTGCATTTGCGTTGAACCAGACTGCGCGATTTCCTGGGGAATGAGGAAATCACGCAAAAACAAGACGAAATCCGGGGTTCCAGAACGCTCCACTAGACCGCTTTAGGCAAGGGCTTCCCCGTTGGGGGAGGGCAATTAGGTAACATCACGTAACACAGTCAAGTGACCAGAGCACGCCTTTACGTTTCTTGTCCATGAGTGGTTCCGGGGGCAGGATTGGGCAGTTCTCATTATTAACAGAACCGTCGTGTCTGAGGTATTATTATCCAATCTGCAGCGGGTGACTTCTCCACATTCCAGCACTGTCTAGATGCTGCCGGAACCAGGTACCGTCTGATTCTTGAGCCAGGGGGACTTGGAGAGTTTGGTAGTCCAGGAAAATCATGGGCGGAAGATATCTCCTCCCGATTCGCAAAACTAGCGAGGAGTACTATCAGCTATCAATTGATAGATTGAGACCGGTTCAACGTGAAAGAATGCTAACATGGAATGCGCCGATCCCTCCTCGGCCCCATACTAGGGCATGATTGGCCCCAAAGGCCGCCCTCGGTGGGTGCGTCATGCATACAAATACTCATCGTCTGTTTGTGGCGAAGAACTCGGAGAGACGGGATTGTAGGTGAAGAATTTTTTTTCACAAGCTGACTGTTCACGGTGGAATCATAGGGTAAGGTTTCTATTTGCAGCAAGATTCCCATCCAGCTTTAGAACGCACCGTGGTTCCAAGGTTATCTCTGATTGGTATATAATATTGACTCATGTATGTGTTCTATAACAGCCTGTCCTCAGACTGCTACTTGCTCGAAAGCCTCGCATGATCTGATGGCCCGTACCGCGTCAGCCAAGCTCTGCCAAGATCAGCATTACTCCAGCACACTTCATCGCTGCGGCTATCTTCGGCTTCAGAAAACTCAAAACATCCTAGATTGGGAACCTGCTGATCATGGACAGGGTCATGGGGTGTGCTTCCTTGAGGGGTTGGCAACTCAAAAGCAATCCCATATGCCAATGGCACGTATTAAGTCTCATGGTCGTCTGCGGGAGAGCATCCGACGTGGAGCCCGTGCAAACACTAGAGCGAGCATTAGGAGCGGTGTGACTGATAATCAAAACCGCTCCAGGGTGTTCAGCAAGCCGCTTCCAAAAACCAACGGCTTGCTCTGAGGATCAGCTTCTTACATTGACCGTATTCGTTTTCGAGGTCACGCTCAGCCAATATAGAGGTCATGCTCAGTAGTTTAGTACTCCGACGACAGCTAGGGAATGAGAGATTGGTTTAGAATAGCAATAGCCACTGCCTCACATTACACTGCGCATACCGCCTAGCTTACTCGTAAATCGCAATCCTCCAATCGCTTGTCGCAATCCCCGCTCATCGGCGTTTTCGAAGTGATTAAACACGACACGAGCTGCTCTTCAGGACGGCCTGTCTTTGTGACGATAAAGCCCTCGGAAGCATCATATGGCTTGACTCTCCACATTGACAGCGCTCGAGTAAGACTATAATTCCCTCAGGTCCTTTAGGTAGTGATCCGTTCCCCATTTTCGACACATGGAATGGGGTATTTCAGTCACCCGGAGAGACGACTCCAGGACTGGAAGGCTTCTTATCAACTGTGGCTTAGAGCAATCGGCGTCAGACGGCGATTTCATGAGGCAGAGCAGAGGCTTCCAGGATCCCAGGACATCAGCTGACACCAGAAAGGACGGGTTGCCACGGAAAGAGTCCAAATGCATTGCATACAACTTCTGACGTGTTAGCCTATGAGCTTAACGGTAGTTCGAGTTTCACCTAATCCCGACAACTTGAAATGCTGATAGCGTGCTCAAGAAATCCTCAAAACCTTCACGAGTAAACTGGGCAATGAGGACTTCAGTTTGGGGGATTTTCTCTTTATCTCATAGTGGTCTCCAGGGCAGCCCAGCTTCCTCCCGTATGCCGTTTCGAGGGGGCAAAGACCCGCATGAAGGCTTCTAAAAAGAAGCCAGCCCAAGAATGTACCGCCAGCATACTACCATTTAGTGATTTAGACAGCAGCTGGTCACACCCTCGGGAGTGGAAGTATTCCAATACCGGGCGTGGGGTCTCATTCCTGTAGCGTCGACAGCTAAATCATGGCCACCTGAGCCCCTGATCAGGGACGTGTATAGTACGGGGATTTTTTTATTCGGTCTGTCTAAATCGCCAGTCCAAGTACGTAGCTAGACTACGCAGCACATGTCTAAACTGCGAGAGATCAACCATAGGCGCTACTACGAGCCTCCTGCGAATTTTACAATTTTACAGTAGACCCGAATGTTTGAAGTATTGTTCGCTTTTTTTATTGAACCTGGGAAATACGTAACACCACCGACGAAAACATCTAAACATCTCAAACCTCGGTGACGAGATCCTTCTTGAGCGTACCCAGGAAGGCCTTCTTCTCCTCGGCGGTCTGGAAAGCACCGTGACCGAACTTGGAGGAAGTGTCGATCCACTTGAGCTCGACCTTCTCGGTAGCACGACGGCTGGTCTGGGGGTAGAGAGTCTTGCGCAGGGTCAAGACACGCTTCTTAACACCGGGAACGGAACCCTTGAGGAGAACCCAGTCGTTCTTCACCTCACCGTAGTGGACGAAGCCACCCAGAGGGGTGATCCGCTTCTTGGAGATGTCGAATTCGGTGGAGGCGGAGCCCTCATCGTCGGCCTTACCGATGCGGAAGACCTTGTGGTTGCAGGAGGTACGGTGGTGGTAACCGTCCTGACCGGCACGAGCAACGGTCCACTGGACGTGGTTAGGGTGCCAAGCACCAATACAAGCGACCTTACGCAGACCCTTGTGAGTCTTGCGGGGAAGCTTGGTGGTACCCCAACGGCTGGTGACACCGGAGAAACCGTGACCCTTGGTGACGGCGATGACATCGATCATCTCATCCTTCTCGAAGATGGAGTCAACATCGATGGTCTTCTCGAAGAGGTTCTTGGCGAAGTCGACCTTGTCGGCGACAGCACCACCGTTGACCTGGATCTCCATAAGGTGGGCCTTCTTCTGCTTGATGGGGGTCTTGCGGATCTGGGTGTGGGCGAGGATACGGACAACGGTGCCTTCAGAAGATCAATTAGCAAAAAGGATTCTCAAAAGGTCCACAAAAAAAAAGGAGTAAGCCGCTAACTTACAGTACTTCTTGATACGCTCAAGCTCACGGGTGACAGCGGCACCACCCTCGGCGTGCTGCTTGGCGTACTTGGTGAAAGCCTTCTTCTTGCTCTTGTACCAGTTCTTGTAGAAGCGACGCTTGACTTCGTCGCTCAGGTGCTCAGCCCAGACGGTAGTGAGCGAGCGGAGACCACGGGGAGTCTCGATGTAACCAACAACACCGACGGCAACGAGAGGAGGAGTCTCGATAACGGTGGCAGCCTCGACAATCTCTTTTTTCTGTAGCCAGATATTAGCATCTCAGGTGTCCCGAGGAAAACTTGTGCGTCCAAAGCTGCAACTTACGTGGTTCTTGGCACCGGGACGGTCAAGGTCACGGACGACAGTGCTCATACCAGCCTTGTAGCCCATGAAGGCAGTAAGGTGAGGGGCCTTCTTGGGGTCATCCTTGGGGAAGCTGCGCACAATCGTATCAGTATATCATGTCCCACTATCCGCAAATTCTTCAATGGCAAGATTTCCAGGAGAACGAACCTCTTGACCTTTCCGCGGTGACGGGCAGCACGCTTGCGCGGCAGGTAGGCCAGGGAACCTGAGGTGGTGAGTTAGTATGTCGCACATCTCAAGATATCGAATTTTCAAATTCGAGGAATAGATCGATCACGAACCGTGGCGAGGCGCTTCGTACTTGCGGTGACTCCTGTAGGAAGACGATGATTAGAGATTGTTCTGAAGACAAAGCCTTCATATCAGGGGAATCAACTCACATCTTGACCCTGGTGTCGTTAGTTGGTCGGCGGTGGTGGGAGTAGCAATCAAAGTCTAAGTCCGAAAGTATCGCTTAACGAGTGTGTGGGCTGAGTCAGCGAACTTTTTCCTATTTGGGACTAAGCGACCCGCGAACTTTGGGTACGGCAGAAAAAAAAGCCGTTTTTCACCGCTCATGCTTAATCAGTAATATCACGTGGGAGCACGTTTTATTGTGCTCCAGCATTTGAGGATGCCAAGACGGCGTATTACCTTAGGAGTTGCATTGGACTTTTTCAGGGCCCATGGAATCATGAACTATTTCTCTCTGCTATAGTTGATCCTACATGCAAAGCTACTGAAGGCTATATCATATCATCACATCAGAAGTTGTTAAATTTGGGAACGTAGGTAGCTTATTGCACCTCGAGGAAGCATTCACAGGGAAAGGAAAAGGAAACAACAAGAATCATCGAGTAGATAAGAGAACGAATACAGGCCAAACCTCTCCGCCAAAAACAAAAAAGAGGCCATTGGAGCACAAGAACATTCATACCATACATCACGCGGTAGAAAAGGTGGTAGGGAGTAGAAAGGACATAGAGGGAAAGTAGTAAGCCAAGAGGTGCTGAAAGCGGGAGTCTTGACAGCACAGGTTGGGAGAAGGGAGGAGGGGGAATGATTTCAGGTTTGAAATGGTCTGCTTATGCGGAAGATTCAGTCTTTGAGGGCGTGCCCGCGCGACCATTGCCGTTGGCACTGTTACCGGCGGCACTGCCATGTGGGCTGCCTTTGCCTGCAGTGCCAGCCTTCTTGTCCTCGTCCACATCGTCATCATAATCCTCATCTACGTCCATCTTGCGAGCAGGGGGCTCATGGGAAGGAGCTTCGGTGCGGGGAGGCTCTTCTTTAACGGGTGTGTTTGCCGAAGGAGGGCCCGAGGGAGGGGCATTGGAGGGAGGAGCAGAGCCTTCGGCCATGGGGGGCAAACCAGTTCCACCGGGGGTACTGGGAGGCATGTTCTGGATTGAAGGCAGAGTAGGGGGGTGGTGAGCAGCTTCGGAGGGATGGTAGTTCTCGTTGGCACGGCGAGCATCCTCACGACGGGCCTCCGAAGAGCTGCGACGCTGCATCTCGCTAGGAGATGGGATGTGAGCAGGTGGGCTCGGACGACGACTGGTCTGGTCATCCAAACGAGCTCGACTCTCCTCGTTCGCTAGCTTCTTCACTGGGACATCGCTCTCCCATTCACGGCTGCGCTTCATTGCAGACGTGGGGCGGTCCTCGCGCTCACGAGCAGCAGCTTCGGCAGCCGCAGCCGCAGCCGCAGGAGCAGGCGCCCCAGAAGCGATGCCCTGGCTCCCAGGTCCTGAAGGAGGCTGAGGCGGCGCAACGCTAGCGGTAGGACCATGATGGTATTGCCTGTGGGGATAGGAGGACCCGGGAGAGGAGGGACGTTCATCCCTGATAGGACGTATCTCGGTCGGAGGGGAGAAGGGGCGATTGGGGTAAGCACCAGCAGCACCGCTAGGAGGCGCACCGCCATTAAGGGGAGGTGGTGCGCCGCCGGGTGCGTGTGAAAGAGGGCCTCGAGGAGCAGATCCAAAGCCATTCCCCCCGCTAGGGACACGCTCATGGCCGGAGGCCGGAGGCGCATTACCAAGCTGAGGCAGAGTGTGAGGAGGAGGGTATTGACCAGGAGTCCCGAGTTTAGGAGAACGGGGATTGCCACGAGCAGGATCGGGGAAAGCATGACCAGGCTCCTGGCGGGGACTGGCTTGGGGACCCATGCCGGGGATGCGGATGGCATCACGAGGCTCCACCCCGTTTACGGGCGGAGGCTGCGACTGGATATCATTGATCCCTCGGTTCCATTCGGGAATCTGCCTAGGAGGAGCTGGATTCTGAGGAGCTGGTCCACCGACTGGAGCAGGAGGAGCAGACCATTGAGGTGCTGGGGGCTGGCCAACTCCTGGCGCTTGGTATGCTTGAGGGTGAACATCCTGCGGCTGGGGCGCGGGGGCGTTGGTTTGCTGCGCTGAGCCATTCATCTGGCTTTGGAGCAGCTGCAGACGGGCCTTGATATGTACGTTAGACGGATCAAGGTCCGCTGCACGACTGTACGCGTCCAGCGCATCGGCGATTTGGTTGTTGCAAGACTCGTACAATGTGCCCAAGTCATACCAGACCTCGGAGATGTACGGGTTCAAGCGAATGGCACGAGAGTAAGCATCAAGAGCATCACGGTACTGGTTGATTTGGTAGTAGAGGACACCAATCGAGCACCAGAAGGTCGGGTTGCGGCCGTCGCGATAAACAGCTTGCTGGTAGGCCTCATACGCCTTCGGGTACTTGGCCTGCGACATGTAACAACGACCGAGCAGATACCAGCTTTGCGCATCAGAGTTATCAGCACCAACAGACTTCTCCAGGTACTCAATAGCCTTGTCCTGGCTGGCGTAGCTGTTGCTCTGCTGATGGTATAGCCAGCCGAGCTGCTGGAGAACCTTGGCGTGGTTGGGGTCGCGTTCAAGGACCCGACGATAAGCAGATTGGGCAGAGTCGAACTGAATGGAAAAAGAAAAATAATTAGCTTCGTGCACATTGACCACAGGTCGCAGAGCTTTTGGAAGCAACTTACATCTTTCTGCTGCTCATGAACGTGACCGATCTGGAACCAGATATCCTCCTCCGTCAATGGGCGCGGCGGGTCGTTCACAATGTATTTGAAGCACTGGAGTTGAATGATATTAGATTGGAGGTGACGCTCGGGGATCAGGTTTTCAACAAACCTCGAGACTCTGGTTGAATTTTTGTTGCTGTTTGTAAATTATGCCCAGGCGGAAATAAATCTCGTTTGCCTTTTCAAACTCTGGTGCCATGCGCATAACCTGCGAGAAAGCCTCCTCGGCATGATCAAGCGATCCGTATCGGTCGTACAAGATACCAATGCCGTACCACAGCTTGGGTTCCTGGAAGGTATGAGCCACTAGACCTTGAGTGAGGGGAGGAGATTACACACCTTGGGATCACGAAGATGATACAAAGCTTGCTGGTACGAAGTGTAGGCTTCTTGCAGGTTGTCCATCATCAAATGACAATGGCCCAAGCTGCCCCAGGTCTCTCCGCTGGTTGGATCAAGCTTGAGGATGTTTTGCAGATATTCAATAGCCTTGGGGAATTGCTCCTTTGTGCGCAAGATACAAGAGATCGCATTCATCGCTGGCACTGACCACTGGTTGTGGCGCAGAGCTTGCTCATATGCATTCATTGCCCCATCCAGATCACCCATTAGCTCAGTCAAACTGCCTACACTGGAGTTAGCAAAGGTCACGAGGCATTATCCTTTCTGTAGAAACTCACCAATTTGCAGCCATACTTGTTCATTCAGGGCACTGATCTTTTGAGCAGTGGACAAGGAGACTCCCTTCGGGCCTTGTGCAGGAATGGTCGGTATATGGCCGTTGACTTGGGCATGCTGCGCGGCGGCAAGGTGGGCATGGTGCTGGGCAACCCCAGCGGTGGGGGAGGGTTGTGTATGGGACATGGCTCCACGTGTCTAAAATGCTTGAATATGGCTCACTTGCACCTCGCGATGCGACCCAACTGTCGGCAGGAGTTGCGACACGATGATGCAATCTGCAATCCCAAACAAGCGCGGAGACCTATCCCAAGCAGCGATGGTTGAATTGCGCGAAATGACCAGAGGTGCGTGCGTCGATATCGCAAACGGGCGCGACGTGATGGCAATTCCAAAGGCCGTTAGGAAGTGGGTGGCCGAAGATCGGGTTTACACGGGTCGTGCGCTCCTCCTGGCGATGGGCTCCGGGGGATGAGAGCGCGCAGGAAAGTACGTCGCTCTGAGAGGGTAGGGTGGGCCAATATAGCCCAGTGGAGGGAACGACTAAGATGGTAGGGGAGATGGGGAAAGGGAGAATTGATGGGGGGGAGGGGAAGAATGGAAAGGGACAGCAGCCTCAGAGAGGGAGAAGGGAAAGAGTCGAGGGGCTGGCAGGAAAGGTGTGAAAACCGCCAAGCCGCGCTAGTGGTTGCGCAGCTGTCGACCGTCACCACAGACACGAAAAAAAAGCTGGCATCTAAAATTGGACTAGCGCAGTGGGGCCGATCTGGAGGCGGTTGCTCTGCCGTGGATTGGACTTTCATCAACGGTGTGGGGGCATTACATAGCCGTACTGGTACATTCGGAAATGTGTATATTTGGTACACACGGTACTTTGGGCTCACCAATCCCAAAGAATTGGTGTGATATGTTGATCAGATGAAAATGGTATGATACATGTAGCTTTGCTCCTCGGAGGCCTCCCGTCTGCTAGGCGCTGGAGCAGGAAGTACTATATCTCCCAACAGAGACACAAACCTACCCCCGGTTAGAGTGAGTGGCGCCTGGGTGGGTCCTCCCCCCGTGGTTGCTCTCAGATGCGTTAGTGCGACTGTTCTCCGCGCCACTCCGGGCTTAGCCTGAGCCGGACCCAGGGCCTAAGCTAAGGCCCGGTATGTTGGACCGTGCGTGGCCCAAGCTGCTAAGATCCCTGCCCCTTGTGCCCCCACCCTATCTTCCGCAGCCCAATCCCGGGTGCATGCACTGGATGGTGTTGGGGGTTTTGGGTTGGTCTCAGCCCGCTTTGCTGTCCGAGTTTATTTATTCCTAAATGGAGTCTCGGGCGTCCGCTCAACTGATACAGTATAATCAAGCTTGAAGGTTCTAATGGATCCACCTGACTCCGGTAGAACCTACACACTTGCGCCGGTACATCGTCCTAAGTTTCCAGACAATACGGTCTATTCTCCGGCTCTCCCTGCAGGGTTCCCTGACATGCATACCACCCACTCCTCTCCAAAGTCTCTCTAGCGGCTAGTGCATTTCGCCCCTTCCGTCATTGTTCCCGTAAGTCACTTACTGCTTCCAGACTAGCGGCCCTCTCCAGTTTTCTTTCAATCCAATTTGCTAATTTTATTTTATTTTATTTTATTTTTCGCCCCTATTTTTTGGGTCGTTTCCTCATTCTCGCCCGACCCACCTAGTTCCCACATCCTTCCATATCTCTCCAGCCACAGCCCACGAGCCACACCTATTCCCGCCCGCATGCCAGTGGATGCGCCATGATGATCTTGATACAATTATGGCCCCCGGTACTGGGTGGAGCCTGCCAATGTGACAATGCACCTCAATGCTTCCCCCCCCTTTCTCAAATTCAAGTGGCCCCTCTCTTACGGGGCCTGTCATCCGCACCCAAACGCCCGATTCCTGATATTCTGTTCCCATCCCTGCTGCATCCAGCACAATCTACGATCGGCACTCGTCAGCCTGGAAACTCGGTGGAAGGGCTCCACCCCTCCACTGCGTGGGTACGCAACACGCCCCCATCCACTTTCCTACCAGCTCCTCCCCCCAATTTCATTAGTTCACTAGGGTTCGACTAGCCGAGCCGCCGCTCCCGTTACGTCGCAACCCATAGGCGGATGTGTGAAACACCCTTTCCACCGTCAGGAAGTCTTTTGCCCAATGGTCTCGGCCGTGCACTAACTGGGGTTATCACACTCGAACTTACGTCAATGTGCTCCGTAGTTTAGCGAAAAGACTGCGACTGTTAGCTTGAAGATCCCCTCACTGGTGCGTTACACGGTCGCTAGCGAATTCCAACGGGTCTCCCCTTCCCACCGGGGCCTGTTTTTATGGGTCTTGTGTGAGGAGACCATCGGCCGAATCCTCCTAGGCTATCACGAGCCACATCATCATCTCTACTGTATCGGATCTGGTGTTTCCCTCTCCCAGAGCCCTGCAGCGTCATTGGCCTCGATCATTATCCTTGTGATATAAGGCCTCTCGTTCAGCCCGAGGTCTTTTTCTCTTCCCCCTGATGCGCTCGGACTGCGCCGTTCGGAAATTATGATTATGACTTATTGTGATTAGGGGCGATTTACCGTACTCCACGTAAGCATCAGCCGCGCGCATAGCACGCTCTTCCCATGTCCACTGTGGAGAACTCAAACTGCGGCGTGAATTACTAAGGGGGGCCCTACCAAGGGTGCTTGTCCCTCCTCTTCGGAGGTGAATACCGTAGAAGACTCACAGAAGAAGGGAACTTTAGTTCACAAAACATTAAATGCCACATATGCGATAGGAAATTAGGATCCCACAACATGGTATCACTGCAGTGTGTAACACGCCACAGGATCAAGGTAGGTATACAGCAGATCAAGGTTCGTTCACAAGCCTAGGTTTCCCAGGGCGTCGGCAGTGGCTTTCCGATCGACAGCATTATGCTCCAGCATTATACTCCCCAGGGGGAATTATTGCCTTTCCGAGTCCCTCGTACTGGACCAGGTTCCTGACGCCTTGCAAGAGCCTAGGCCTCGACGTGACTGTTCAAGAATACACTAGTACCTTAGTTGCTCGAGATGCCGGGGCCCGGTGGACACGCTTGAGAAATGGCCCATGGCGACAATTTGTCCTAGCAGCTTAGAGCTGCTATCCTTGGATTGTGGAGTTCTATTGCAAAGGATGATAGTGAAAAGAGCAATCAACGTGTTCCATAAGGTGGGCAAGCGCGCGGTTTTTAGCGCACGCGACCGACGCCAGGTCAGCTTCAACTCCGGGCGCGGGCCTACCAGTCCCGAACGCCCATGCAAACCCTTAGCTACGAGCCAGGAAATTCCACTCAGCAAAGGAAGGAGATATCGTATCAGGAGGGGAGAAGTAGAGAATGATAACAATTATGAGACTGGTGCGTTCAGCCCCTGATATACGGGAACAAGTAACGGCGGGTAACTAGCTCATGGTTACCCAGCCACTATTGTGATTGACTACGAGCATGGCAGATAAGCAGCCATAGACCAGGCTGAGCAGCTGTAGAATCCACTCGGTCGCATCTGTTTCTCTATGCCCCAGTGGCTGCTCAATGCCCGCTACAGCCACAAACGAAGGGATCAAGCTCAGCGGGCACGGGCGGCAAATCAGGTTGGACAAATGACAGTATTTTGTTTGCCTGGGGCAGACCAGTCAGATACCTGCATATCTGACATATCCAAATCTAATTTAGGTGGTCCAGTACATTTTATCTCATCAGTGTGCAGCCAATGGGAGCGAGTAGTCGTCCGCCTTTATTGTATCCGACTTCAGCTCCTCGGTCGAGACTTTGATCTATCAACAATTGAGGCTTTAGACTGCAGGTCTGTCAACCATGGTTGCCATGCACCGTGTCTATGCGCACGGATAAGAGGAGGCTTATTTGTTCATATTTGTAGGCTTGGTTTTTTCTTTGTCTGAGGTTCTCCAAGTGCCATGGCTCGCTACCTATATATTCCCGGAGTGGCCACAGGAAATGCACCCGAACTTCCAAGTATCAAGTCAAGCTCCTCTCCAGCGTTAACCAATCCAGCACTGGCATCTGCACTTTTTCAGGACACTAGTCGCCACACATGGAGACAGATTGAGCTTCAAATGCGCACGATAGAAGCTTATAGCAACCACACACCACTCGCTATGGCTTTTTCGTTTTACTAGCAGCACTGAAAACTCGCACCCCTTCTATTAAAGGTAGTAATCGCTCATAGCGAAATGGATGCTCCAACAAGCCTGACTCGAACTCAACGTCGCATAGCCCTCAGCCTGAGGCCGAGTGTCAAAATGAGGATGATGTCGGTGAACTTCTCAGCATCTGCTGCCCGCAGAATTGGCCAGTCTGAGTACCCTAGTCAGCAACTGTCCGCAGAAAGCCCAGATACTGGCTGATGTGTCCTGCGATATATGTATTCCCACCTTTATTTTAAGCCTGTACTGAGACATGCCTGTAGATCCGTTGTACCCGGCATGTCTGACAGAAAGTAGGGGGGTTCCTGGTCTTGTCCTATGCCGTAATGCATGCCTCGGATCTCTCCCAGGTAATCCCTTACCGCGTGCAGCGTCAACCTAGTCCGCCCAAACCGCTCTTGATTGAACTCTATGCACACGAGGGCTGATTTGAGACCTGCTACGCATGATAAACTAGCATGCATACCTCCCCTCCTTGAGTCCATGTGCTCATCTATGATGACCGACCGCCAAGACAAGGACTGACTTGACTGGTCGCGTGGTCCTCGTCCAGCATTGGAAATTCCGATATTGTATACAAGCCGGGCGAGCTCCCACGGACTACGTTTATGTAGGAGCTATCCGCCTATTGACCTCGGTTACTCCACCTCATACTCGGCTCTTCAAAACCTAATCTGCCCAACCTTGGGTGGCAGAGATCGCCATCGCCAACATGGCGGTCGGAATCCATATAGCTCGTGAACCAAATCAACGAACGAGTTCACCCGAGTGTATCACTAGATCCCTCATTGAAAGAGCCAAAAGGGAATGCAAAAAAAAAAAAACTGTGACCAATCTACACTCCCTATCTATATCCCTTCCCCTCTTCGACCGATTACCATCTGGACGAAGGGAAGCGCCTTCTCTCCGACAGATCCAGCAACACGGACTATCCAGACTGGAGATTGTTAGCCGAGTCATTTCGTCGGAACAAAACTCTTGGCTGCGAGGCCAATAGACATCTACAGGGACAGGAAATCTAGAAGCGAACGGCACAGTCGAAACGAGATGAAAGCCACGCAATCATCTCGTATTGCGCCAGCCAAGCACGCTGCCGCGTCCCCGGGCGGCCGAGAAGTCTCAGAGTGAATAGTATGAGAGAACATTCTGTGTGAAGCCAAGAATTCGAGCGCGTGAAAACTGGCGGTGATTAATTGCCGAGGACCGATGTGGACTCAAGCGGGACAAAAGCCAGAATCAAACAGGCTGCATGGACTCTGGGGAATCTTCTTGGTGACGAGACGTGCAGGCATCTAAGGCAGTTCCGCTTTTCCCTCCTTTATTTTTGTTTTCGAACCAGGGAAAGTAAGGGTCTGCAAGAAAGTGGAAGGTTCAGGCCAATATTGGGAGGGGGTTACCTAATGTTTATTGGAAAAGGCAATGCCAATGTGCCCAGATTTTGCAGTTTTTTTCCTCACCTCGCTGATCATGAGGTTTGCCAATTCCTCGGCGTCTGGGCACCCTCGGCAGGGAGGAGTGGTCTGCCCTGGCACGTTGTATAGGTGGGGCCGCTGGGAGATAAAAGTCCTTTATAGAGCCCACTTTTTTTTTAACGTTATAGTAGACAAATCGCATGTGGACTTGACCTTGTGGAAAGGATTTTGGGGGGCATGAAATGCCCGAATGGACTGATGCTTTTTGAGCCTTGTTCGCCGCAGATGCAGCAACCACGTCGCGCCAAGCGGGCCCAGCTGCGGATCACAGACGGGGGAGCCAATCAGGGGGCGCAACCAAGGCTGGCCGTCTTGGCCCGCTTGGCAGATTGGAAAAACAGGCGTCGAACTGCGCATCGTGGGACAGAGCTTGTCCAACCAGCAGTGGTGAAGGAGCAGGCGATATAGGTAGCCTGAGAGCGAAGAAGGTGCAACAGCATCGTCCGACCAGGTGGGAAAGGGGTTACGGGCGATCCCATCCCAGAACACGGCGAGGCTTGACCCTTTCAATGCCAAGGGCTCGGCATCTTGGGCGTCTTGGCAAGCGCGCTGCAAACAGCAGTCAGAGCCATGTTACCTCCGCTGCCATGGCTTTCCCAGACTCTTCCGCTGGTCTTTCCGTCCTATAAGTCCCCCTCTCCGCCCCTGGAAGCATGAGAACTGTGTGGAAGCTCCCGGGCTAAGCCATGCTGTGAGTCCTCTGTCTGCTTTGCGCCTGTACGACTTCGGCCGCTCCTTTTACCCACCATGCCGGAGATGTCATATAGTCCTGCCTATCACCAGGCGAAGGACAGTACGGCTGCCTCCGCCCCTCGCAACTCCCGCCCTATGGAATACCCCGAGCCCGCTCATCAACGCCCACGCCCTTCCTCCGAGTGGAGGACCAGCGAGAGTCCAAGGACTTCTGGCCCCGGGGGCTATCGGACATACTCTCCACAAGCAACCTTCCCGGAAGGGAATCCAACAGTGACCCAAGTGGTGCTGGCGAATGGCTCCTCATATAAAGAACAGCCTTCGCGGAGTAGCTGGGCGGACCAGCCCTCATTGATGTCGCTGGAGAACTCCGGAACCCCTCGTGTGCGTAAGCGAGGTGTCTCCAGGGATCGAGAGACCGACCATTGCCCGAATGCACTTTTATTGCTGGTTCGTTGCCCTTCCTGACTGTGATATCTCGAATACGTGGGTCTGGTTGATTAACGCTGCGTTCCAGTTCCGCCTGTCGGTCCCCGTGCCCGTTTTCTCATTAATTGCCACGATCTATACCTTTCTCGCCTTATTATTCGCCATCCTAACAACACCCCTCCGCCTATGCTCAATAAATACCTATCTCTCCAGCATCTCTTTCTCCGCGCAAATATGCGATCTCCTTGCACCAGCTCTCCACACCCACGAACGCTTGGTGTTGATGGGGCCACCCTCAAGCCGATCTTCGTCAACACAATGGATTCGATCTGATCTAGATGCGGAGACTACGGCCGGTTCGAGCCAATACTACCGTGTTGGCATGTCGATCATAGTCCTGATTCTGGCCCCGTTATTAAGCATCGCCATCCTACTTTTCGCTTGGACGGCTGCTTTCTTCTGGGTATTCTCGAAAGTCATGGGAAACCCAGATGGAACCGAGCGCAGTGATGATGGACGAGCCGCAGTTCTGGGTGTATGCAAATGGTGGCAAGCCTGGCTCGCCAAAGCCCGAAGACCATCATAACAATTGTCTTAACCCTGAGGACGCATCTTTTCCCACGGGGATAAAGCAGAAGCCTAGTAACACCTGGCATGTTCCCCATGCGTATTGGGACACCATGTCCGATCTTTTTGACCCTTTCTTCTGCCTATATTTGCTCGCCCATTCGAAGGCTATGACTATACACGGAGTTTGGACTGGGGGGCGTTCCGCCCATATTGATTATTGCTTTTTGGAGGCGTCTACTGGCGGGTGCATGAAGAGCTCTCTTCCTTTTGTCTTGATTGGATTCCACCTCCATGTTTCATGCAGGAGCTCTTCTGCTTCTAGATTCCCAGGAGGTACAGTGTTTCGAGTTTTTCTTACTACCGCACTGTACTTGTATTTATGCGCGAAAGAATGATGTGTATGTACGTACGAAAGGTTGTGAATTTGATACCCGGATTGATTGATTCCCCAAAAGAATGCGCCACAAGTAAAAGCAAATACCTGTAGCTCGTAACCTAGCTGGCATACTACGCTCAGTTCAGGGGCTTGTACAGAGGTCCCCGTTTGACATGTCTACCCCAAGTTCGGGCTCAGAGGATATCGGCTATTGGCAGCACGCTTGTGGCGGGTTAGCCTTGCATGCAGCAGGAGACGCCAATTATGCAGGTGAGCTTGCAGCCCGAGGTCTCAGAGTTCACTACGTGAATGAAGTGGCCCCATCCAAGCTTGGATTATCAGGCTGGCAACTCTGGTACAAACCAAATAGCTCAAGTGCGGTACGTCTTAGTTACTGCCCGGGGCGATGAGACTGACATTCTGTTTTATATCCACCGTATTCCAAACTCGGGCTTCCGTCAACTCTTCGGTGTCCATCAGCCTCAGTTCTCCCTCATTGTGCAGTGTTACTAGTAGTAATAGTGTCTACGCTAAGGATTCTCTGAGCATTCTTTGCTATTTAGTACCCTATCAATATTCTCTATCCTTATCGTAGTTTCCGACCACCTTGATAATTAGTGGTCTATACCAGTTGCATCGGATTAAGAGCCGCAGCAGGGAGTAAAGAATGACTCAAAACAATATCCATTTCTATGTGCAATGCCCTGACAAACTTTTTGCGCGTAATTGAATCATGACAAGACCAAAAGACCGAATGAAATCGAGTTCGACCCCCAACACGGAATCGCCATCGAGAGGGTATTATGAGAAACGTCTTTAACAGCCCGCAATCAACTGAGATAAGGAGGAGGAAACAAAAAGCAGAAGAAAATACTCCAGTGACCGAAACACAAAGCGAGTCATGTCTCACTCCAGGCCAATTTGCGTGGCAATGAAGCTCCTTTACCGGCGACCACGACCACGGCCGCCACCACCACCTCCACCACGCCGAATACCACCGCGGCCACTCTTCCCGGGGCTGCGACGCTTTTCAATCCGGCCTCCACCAGGAGCACCAGGAGTCTTCGCAGCGCCGAGACCACGCCGACCAGAGTGCTGGCCCTGGCTCTTCCGCACATCTTCCACGTCATCCTCGTCCAGATCCATCGAGTCACCGCCCTTCTTCTTCGCCTGGCCCATCTTCACCTTACCCTTCTGTCCACGGCGAACAGCATCGGGCCCACTCACAGCAGCAAGGTAGGCATTGATGCCAGCGGGACCGTCAGCAGCACCAGCCATCTCGACATCATCGCCATCATCTTCACCGAGCAGCAGCTTGCCGTCAGCATCGACCTTGGCCGCCCGCTTACGCTTCGAGCCAGGCATGTTGAGGAATCGGAGATTGGGCTTGGTAGTCGAGATATTAGCCAGCGCATCAGGAGCCAGCAGATCCAGCGGGTTATCTTCGGGGAGGTCTCGCGGATATACTGGCTGCCCTGCTGCTGTTGCCTCTTCTTGCCAGCCTTGCCCTTGACACGGGCCACACCCGCATCGTCGACGTCGATCTCGCTGGCGTCGTCGTCGAAATCGTCATCCGAGTCATCCGAGTCGGAGCCATAGACGGCCTTGTCGAAGGCGTTGCTAGGAGTTTGGTGCGTGGGTTTCCCGTCTTCCTCGTCCTCATCATCGGCTGCGCCCTCCTTCTTCTTACGCTTGTTGCGCTCGCGCTGCTTGCGGATGTTGACGACCAGTTTGCGATCGTCCTCGCCGACAAGGCTCTCCATGAGTGGAGCACCAAAGCGGCGGACAAGTCGGTCAATGATACCCTTTACCTTGCTGCGGAGGCGGCCCTTGTGCTCCTTGTTCCAAGCCATGAGGTTGGGGACCAGGCTTGAGAGACGGGGACGCAGGACCTCGTCGGGGAGAACGACGACGGCAACCTTGACGAACCCGAGGACTGAGCGGACAATTTCACGGTTGTTGCTAGTGAGGAAGAGCTCGATTGTTTGGACGAGATCGCTGACGACTTCAGGACGTAGGCTTTTCTGGAACTCAAAGAAGAGTCGTGAGAGCGCAGTCACCGATGCAGCAACCATATGTGGGGAGGAACCAGCAAGACCAGCGGAGACCATGGTGAAGAACTCTTCGATGTTGGCTGGGGCATCTGGAGAGTCGTCTGGCATGTGCGGAACAAGGGAGTTGCGGATAACGGTGCCAGGTGGGTTACGCTCTTCGTCGATGGTACGCTTGGCGAGGTGGATGAGCAGGTCGAATGCAGCAGTGCGCGCCTTTTCGTTGCTCTCCTTGCACCCTAAGACTACCTCTGAAAGGATGGATGGAATGAAGTGGAGATCGGAGGTGGGTAGGTGAGTGACGAGTTCGTGAATGGCCAGCATACGGTCTCGGCGGCCAGACGCAGGGGTCTTGTCGGTGGTGGCAAGTAACAGAGCCTGAAGCTCTCCACTACGTTCCTGAAGAGCAGCGCTTCCGGTCTCTGTTGAAGCAAGACGGGGAATAAGCTTGTAGGCCTTCTTGATAAGCTGTTGGTCTGGGTTGGCGGAAGACCCATTGAGAATAGTTGCTGCCATGGCGAAAAGGCCGGCAAAGCTGGTACGAGGCAGGTAGATTGACATGGCAATAACCAAGTCAATCAGTGTGTGAGACGTTGGTGGCATCTTATCATGTGCATCTTGCTTCACTGGGTTGTTTTGCTCGACAGCCAACGATGACTCGAGCATCGAAGTAACGCGAGAGAAAGTATCATTCAGTTCCTAAATTGATTATGTTAGCTGGCTTGTCTTTTCCTTGTAGATGTGGACTGGATTCTTACCTGCTCGGGTGTGATGCTCAAATAAGCATTGATACACTGCAGAATGTATCCACGGTGGTGAGGGAGAGTCTGGCTGTAGACGTTAAAGAGCACAGCAAGCAGGTTGCTGGCAAATCCAGCCAGATGAGCAATGTTCTTCTTGGCAGCAGCCTTAGTGATACGGCGCTGCAAGATCAAATCATCCTCATCAGCCTCCACCGACAGAATTGCCTGGTTCGACTCTACAAGATTCTGCAAGGCACGGCAAATATCAACACGCAGCTCAGTCTGCTTGTACAGAACATTAGACAAGAGCTCCGCGAAGGATTGATCAAAGGCCTCAACAAGATCAAGAGGCAGCTCACAGTAGCCGGGAAGAATACCCCAGGTCTGCTGAACCAGGGTCTCAAAGATCTTGACTTCGACGGCCTTCTCGGCAGCCTTGAAAGCCTCCATTTTCTGGTACAGAGCCTCGCTGAGAGGTACAAATTCTGAGCGGAAGTGGCGCAGATCAGTGTTCGTGACATTGTCGCGCAGAACAGGCAGCATCCAGACACGACCAGGCTGACCGTTCTTCTGATCGATGATGTTCAGTGGCAGGATTTCGAGCACGGCAGCCGGTCCCATGGCCTCAATGGCACTTCCAAGAACAGCATCCGCCTCTTTCTTGCCGTGGAAAGATTCGTTGGTACGCAGTTCGCCAATAGTTGACGCAATACCCACGAGGAATGGGCTCGATCGCCATTTGTAGCAATCGAACAAAGCGGAGCAAACATTGAAGACCTCCATCCAAGCAGCCTGGTACTTGACGGACAACAAATCCGCAGCTGCTCGAGCGATCTTCTCCAGGGTCTTTTCGTCATACACCGAGGGCTCCAAGATGACACTATTAGGAATACAGTTGTGCAGGAACGAGATTAGGCACTCCGAGGCTGACACACGGATGTTGTGGGAAGGAGAAGCTAAGAAACCAGCAATCAGATTAAAAAGATCCGGCAGCTTCTGGAATGTATCCTCAGGGCTAATCTGGGCTGACACATCGTATCCACGGGAAAGCACGGCAATCCAAGGGGGAAGAAGCTGTGAGTCGTTCTGCGCAGGCTTGAGTTCCGAGATAGCCTCCAAGAGGCGGGGCAGCTTCGAGGACGAGAACTCGTCCGCCATGCCCTCGAAGATGACCTCGAAGACCTCGAAAGCCCCCATTGTGATATACTCGTTGGTCGAGCGCGAAGCATTCATGAGCAGCTCACAGAGCGCTTCAATCTTCTTGCTCGGCCATCCGCCGGAAGCAGACGCAATGGTCTTAACAAGCTGCAACGAGTGAATGACCAGAGGCTCGTGGTTATCACGATTGTGCGCATCATGGCGGCCCTTCTTCTGCTTGCCCGCAGCAGTGATGCTGTCGCCAAGCGTCTTCATGGCAGATTCAGCGCACATATCTGCAGCAGGGTGGTCGAGAGAAGGACTGGGCGGGGGTTCCTTCAGCACCTTGATCAGCGCCTCCTGGGCGCGCTTCCGCACCTTAGGCCGGTGGTCTACAGATAGACTGAGCAGACCAGCCGTGGCACGGCGCGGGCCAATCTGTGTGTGGGGGAGGTTCCATGATGCGGTGTCTTGGGCGACCAGTAGTGATTCGAGGCAGCCAATCGAGGGGCGAAGAAGCGGGGCCTCCACCTCTGGAAGGGATAGAGCTGGGGCGAGGCTGGTCAAGATCTGAGAAAATTTAGATCGAAGGATGGGAGCTGGCACGTAGGCGGTTGTGATGTCGAGTAAGTAGACAACGGAAGTGGCCAGGTCCTTGTTGACAATTCCTTGCTCGGCTGAAAGCGATTGTGAGAGGAGTGCAAGTAGAGCTGCGAAATAGGCGGTTGGAGAAAAGTCGGCCTTTTGGTCGCGAAGAGTATCCTCTACCGCAGAAAGCACCACAGCAGTCTTGCATGGAAAATCGATTAGATTTGGTTTGAGCGGGGCGGCAGCGATGAAACCTACATGGTGCTGATTCTGCAGCTTGGGGGACTTGATCTTCTCAAGCTTCTCCGCCAAAGTCGCCATGCTGAATGAGGACGACGACGAGAGAAGAGAAAGCGTGCGGGGGAGGCAGTTCTGGCGGTGATGCAGAAAAATCGTGGGAAAAAAAGGTACGCCGAGTCTTGGCAATCTTATCGATAAGCAGGAACTACCAAGAGAATCTACACCATCAACGGCCACGATCGTTTTTCTTACGCAATTTATGCCCGAATTTTTGAAATATTTCAATTGAATCTTATCCACCAGTTATTGATTTCTGTTGTGGTCGTAGCTTTGATTTAAATTCAAGACATAGACTGTGAGCGACTCGAGCTGAAGCGCGTGGCGACTGTGCACCGCATCGTGTGTCCCACATCGTTATGCAGCAATTGAGCACGAGGGACGAAGACAAAACATAATAAGTGCCAGACCAGGGTATCATACCGCCATAGGAGCGGGTGTTTTATCGGTCAAGGGGACCCTCAATGTAAGCTGAAGTGCACTCCGTCATCGCTGCTAGAATCTCAAAACCTAGGGGGGTTCCCACCTTATTATGGTTATTTTTCAAGGCGCATCCCTTAGTCTCATGGTAATTGCAGGAAAGCTATCCCTAGAGGCTCGATCTTTCATGCTCCACGGCTGCTGTCATGCCAGGTCGAAGAACACCTTTCCAACACGGAACAAATGGAGAACCGCGCTACGGGGTATTCAAGCCCCTAGAACAAGATCTCACCGCTATGTTCAGGCTCAAAGCCCATGGTCTGCAACTCACGGTCCCGCTTCTTGTCGGAGGTCTTGCGCTTGTCATCCTCCTGCTTCTTCAACTCCCAGACCTCATCGTATGGCGCCTTGGTAATGCCGGGAGGGAGATCATCTTCACGGTCGAGGTCCTGAGAAAAACAAGGTATGAAGTTAGCGACACAAAACCGCCAAATTGAGCAGGTGCACATACAACTTCACCCAGCAACAGCACATTTTCTCCTCGCACAATGAAGATGCCTCGAGAAATTTCAGCGTAAAGGTTCCCGGCATAGATCCGTTCGATGGTGTCCTGAAAAACAAGGTTTGCTATGAATTTCAAGGTTAGAACAGGCTTTTGTGCAGGCTACAGTGTGGGCTTCATACCAAATTGATCCCAGCTACGCAGAACACCAATCAACTTGCGTCCATCACGTAGAACCAGGACTAACTTTTCTGCCGGACAAACACAATGTTAGCAAATAAGCACATTGGAATGGAAGAGATGCCTGCCATTTCAACTGAAGTGGGGCATGATTCGATCGAACATACTATCCGTGAGGTCCAACAGCTGGGCGGCGGTCGTGAACATCTGAGGTGGGAGCTGGGGGGGACCAGGAGTAGGACCCTGGCCAGCTGGTCCAAGCGCATTATGGTTCTGCTGAGCACCCTGCTGCGGCTGCTGCTGAGCATTGGCAGGGCTCTCGTTGAGAGACAGACGTTCCATCGCGCGGGGGTTGGAGATAGAGGGGTGGGAAGGCGGAGAAGGGAAGGAACAACCAGGGCGGTGAAGGAGAACGAGAAGTTGAGGGGGGGAAGTGGCTGAGGACCAACAAACGCAACCGTTCGAGACGAGCCCAATCTGTAAGAAGTAAGAGATTAGGCTGGGCAGAATTATCGCGATGCGGCGCCTGCGAAGTTCTCCGAGCTGCGAGCGCAGGGCGGAGTGTTTGTCCTGTTTGCTTGTGATCTATAAATTCTCGGCAGCTCATTGCTGCTTATTCTCACTCCTTAACATCAAAGACAAGCCAAACTAACTGATAATAGGAACAGTTCATCAATTATACACAGGATTGTAGTGAGACCAAAAGGCCTAATGAATACAAAACACGAAGAAGCAAACTGAACACTGAACAGGGGGGAATATTTTCAAAAACCACTTGAGAAACAGAAAACAGAAACCAGAAACCAGAAATCAGAAACCAGAAACGCATGAAAGACCCTCCTGGGATCTTGACACGTGGAACTTGGAACAGACATCACACAACACTGACCCCCCTTTGCTGCCCTCTTGCCCTTTCTTCTCTCCTGCGGCTATACGGCGCACAATAGGGCTCATCGGACGAGCCAATATTGGCACGCACCCCATCCTGTGAGCGATGATAAGCGGGACTCGAAGGGGCAGGAGCAAGCTGTGTTGCCTTGAACTGCGCATCGGAGATAATGCGGCGGCCATACAGATACCTCATGAGCTCGAAGTCCGGACGACTGCCCGCCAGAGTATGGCCATGCTGATAATGCGCCGAGGCAACATGCTCCAGCAACCGATCCCACGCAGAAGACTGCCCTGGCTCCTGACTCGAGGCCTGGAGAGTTGAGCTGCGCCTGCGGTGGCTGGGGTCACTGGCATCCCTGTCCGAGAGCGGGGTTGAGGGAGCAGAAGACTCGTTGTCTCTACTGTCGGTCTCGTCGTCCATGCCGTCGGTGAATTTGGTGTTCGGGCAGATGGGACAGCGCGCTGTCCGTGGCGGCGGGTGTGTCCGAAAGTGGCTAAGAACATGGATCTTCCATTCGGCTACCTCGTCGAATGAGTCGTGGCAATCCAGCATATAGAACAAGCATGCATAAGCCCGTTCTTGTGATGAGAGGGTTAGCGACTGGATGTCTATTGTCTCTGTGGCTGGCTGCGCGGCGGTTGCTTCCCATCTTGATGACGACGACGATGTCCGTTCACCCGTTACAGCGCTATGTCTATCGGCAGACGCCGAGGGTGGGCCCGCGATCGTGGTGATCACTGGTGCCATGATACTACCGTCGTCGATGACCTCGGGGCTATAGGGAGGGCCGTAGTCAGCAGCGATGGACTCGGTGTTTACGGAGTCGGTGGATGGTGAAGACGATCCGCTCGAGAGACCCGGTGGGACAGGCGAGGAGGACGGCATTGAGCAGACAATCCTCACCTCGCCTTGCTTCTTGCGGCTTTGATCCGGGGTCCGGGTTCGGGATTGGTGGGACATCGGGGCGCGAAGACTATCCGGCCTCTTGTGGGGAAGGAGTCTTAGATGAAGATCGTGTCCGCCAAAAAGGCTATTCTTTGCAGATCCACTCCGACTTGCAGGTCTAGAGCAACGCAACTCGAGAACGTGAACAAGAAAGACCAGGTTGCCAGATTTGCGGCCTTAACATGCGGCAATTTATCCAACGGTCCGAGCTGCTCCGCACGGCGCGATGGCGCGGGGAATTTACGGGCACGAGGGAGAGCCCTGGGGCCTAGAGCCTGGGGAATCGCGTCAGAGGGCTACTTGGACCATGGGCGGGGAGGAGAGGGGGTTGTGCGAGCTGTGGCAAGTGCGGTACTGATATGGAATCGACGGAGCAGTACCGATCCCCAAACACCTATACATTGCACGCTCAAGGCGAAAAACATACCCTGGAATTCGAGGGAAGGACAAAGATGCGAAAACGCGCCAGAGCTATATCGCCCAATGGGGCTAACGCTCTAGAGTCTCTTTGGGACCAGCGCCGGTCAAAGCGACTACGATATCCCAGCCCTCAACAGCCTTGGACCTGAAGAAGGGAGATCGTGTACTGGTGGAACCTGTGGCCTGAGCTGTCAGCATGCATGACACACAGTGCCTAATGTAAGTACCGGCGTAGCCCGACGGGTCCTGAGGGTCGTACCGCGGAGGATTCCCAGTACAAGCGTCAGTAAAGTACACTTCCGGCCAATCGTACCAAAATGTACTTTTAGTTGGACTCGGGGTTGTGGTCCTGGGCTACCTGTTTTGGAAATGTGATACCAATCTATTGGGGCCTGGGATGCCCTTTCTTAAGGTACCGCTGTACCCGACTGGTACCTGACCCAGACTATCAACTCGTGTAGACCGTTGACCGTTGAGGAACGATTATCATCCGGTCGTTCGCTCCCCGCTGATTGCAAACTTTCCCTGGAACTTGTTCAGGCATCCATCTCGAGTACTTCGGGGTAAGCAGACTCTCGGGGGTTGGTGATCAAGAACTTTGGTCTAAGAAACATGTGAGTATCACACATAGGTGTTAAGAGGTTCATCGTGCGGTTACCCAAAAAGAAGTGTGTCCGTTTTTTTTTCCCCTCCCACGCTAGCATTTAGAGCGTGAGCGGGGACGCTCGGGGGCCAACGTTTGGTTGCAGTAGTGCAAAGGGCTAATGGGGTCGAAATCCCGAGTTTCAAAGTTGGGGCACAATTGCGGTCTTTAGAATGAAGTCTAAGTATAGGTCAATGTATGCACCGATTTGCGAAGGCGAAAGGGAAGTATGTTGCAGAGGGACAGGCATAGCGGGGTAAATTCTACGACTTCAAGTGGACTTCGACAAGTTCCACGTATTCGAAAGAAAACGCTATGGATCAAGTTGGCTTCGAGACATTTGAATTGTATTCAGCAGAATATTAAGTAGAAGGGATTTTGATTTTTCCGTGCAAGCACGGTCAGCAAATTAGAGAAGAATTGAAAACAGGTCAGAAATGAATAAGGCCACAGGCCTTGAGGGGAGAATGACAGGAGTCGAGGACTCCAAGACTTCGGATTCGAAGGAAAAGCCACAAATCCCGAACCGTCTATAAATAGTACGCCTCACCACGGAGGAAACCACAAAGGTAGAAGAGGGAAGAAAGATGTATCAAAAGTCAAAATGAAAAAAAACCCGTCCACCGACACCTTTGATGCCCGCAAAGCAAAGCAAGAAAATGCACAAAGTCTATATCGTTTCGTGGTGCGCATAACACAAATTCTCAGAGGGGGATGTTGGGGTGGAGAATTAAAATCGCTCCGCAAGGTCGCCGCCAGCAACGGAAGTACTAGCAGACGATGAGATTGAGCTGTAGCCAACGGCTGGGTTCAGCATATCCTGTACCGCGACCTTGGGGACTTGAGGCACCGGCAGCTTGCGCTGAGTGCCATCAGGCTTCGACATGATGTCCGTGATGCTAGGACCCATGTGGCCTTGCCCGGGGCTGTAATAATTAGGGCCCTCCGGTTGTGGCTCCATGGGAGCCAAAGCGGGAGTGTGTTGCAGAGTGAGATGGCGGATAGTTGGCAGGTGCAGCTCGTTGGCGCCCAGTGGACGCAGACGAGGAGAATGTGCTGGAGTTGCCAAAGGCGTGTGATCAGGCGTAGGTGAAAGCGAGTCATGGGAGAATGTGGGGGAGGAAGGCGCAGTAGAGTTGGGGGAATTGGGACGGGAACGCTTTACACGATGGTGCCCATAATTCTCGTCATCCTCGTTGGAATGTGAGCGGGTCATGTTCTGGGAGATCGCATAGGCCGACAGAGAAGGCAGACCACGTCCGCTAGAATGACGCGATCCGTAATAATTGTGACGAGACCCGTGGAAGCCCATGTGATCATCCCGCTCGACCTGCGAAGCGGCAGTAGCCAATAAGTTGATGTCCATGCCGGAAGAGGCGCGTTCGGTGTTGCGCGCGTATGGATTTAAGTTGGTGCGCATGTGATTGGCGTAGTTTGAAAACGAGTGTGGAGGAGACACATCGGGGGAACCAACCTGCGACACAGGCGCAGAGCGGGTAATGGGCTTGCTGGGAGGAGGCATCATGTTGGCGGCATTGGCCATGGGGGTGTCCTGTCCGGCAGCCGAGGCGGCAGCTGCCAAGTGCTGGGCCTTATTACTTCGGCGTGAGTTGGGATTGTTGTGAATGCGCGAGTGACGAGTAAGTTCGTCGGACCGGCTGAAGCGCTTAGTACATCCGGGGAATTGACAGGCATGGGGCTTCTCTCCGGTGTGGGTGCGAATGTGCCGAGTCTGGTGCTCCAGACGGTGGAAGGCGCGGTCGCACAGCGGGCACTTGTAGGGACGAGGCAAGTCCTGGCGCACCTCTTCGTTCGCGGGGCGGGCGCCCTTCATCAGAGGCGGCAAGAGGCTCACGGAAGACGCCATGGTGGAATCGGAGTCGGCGACGCTGGCCTGGGCAGAGTCGTCCGGATTCAATAGATTAGAGAAACCGGAGGCAGCTGGGGGAGGCATGAGAACCCTCTTAAACAAGGGCGGGAATTTGAGACCGAGGGTCGAAGTCGTGCAGTGGACTTTTCCCAAATTCAAGGCAGGGCTCCAAAGCTGGTTGTCGATCAGTGGGAGGACGATCGAGTCGAGATAAAAACCCAATAGGATAGACCAGCTGGGGTATGGGGTGGAAGAAAGGGAGGCGAAAGGAGGAGGAATCTGGAGATGACGATCTGGGGAGCAGCAGATAATATAAGAAGGAAGGGGGGCAAACTGAGGAATGGAGGGGAAAATGAGGAAGGGAGAAATCGGGGAGAAGGGGTAGCGGGAATCGGATTGGAAAGAAAAATGGGAAAATGCGTAATTTAGGAAATCAAAAATAAGAAAAATGGGGAACTTAAACCAAAGGGGAAAGCGAGTCAAAAGGCGGGAAAAAAAAAATCTTTTTTTTTTTCTTCTTTTTTTTTTTCGATTTTGATTTTTCCACCCAGAACTTATCGGACAACAAAGGTAAGGGCGTGTGTGGGGTGAAAGGAGGGTCCAGCATTTGGGGCGGCCTTGGGTCACTTTGGGGGACAAAAAGGGTGCTGCCAGAAAAAGGGGGAAAAAAAAAAAGAAAAAAAGAAATTTCAGCGGAGTAACTCCATTTAACTTGGAGAACTCCAGGTGAATTAGTGGCTGAGTAGATTAAGAAAAGAGCTACGGAATACCGGGAACACGTTCGGTGTTGTTTTTGGCACTTTAACCGCTGGTCGACCTTTAGCCCTCGATAACATTGAATGGGGAGACTATATATGTGCCGGTGTTATTTCAAGGTCAAAGATAGATACTCCGAGATATGACCATTGCGTAGCTTGCAACTTGATCCAGCTCTGAAAGGTCTGTTTTACATGTGCTCGGGGAAATGACATCGCCCGAAACGTAGAGAAGAAAAGGCCTAGGTGGGAAAAGGGTTTTTCTAAAAAAAAAAAAAGGGAAAAATAGAAATAGGAAAAGGCAAAAGGCGACGTCCTCCATACCACAGAATGTGGGGACCGGGCTAGTCCCGCTACTCAAAAGGTCCTCTGATTATCTCATTGACGAACCCCGTGTGGCGTGACAATGGGTGCGTGGCTCTTTTTACCCTTTCTCCAGCTTTACTCCAGACGCGCGATAGCCGTCTCTTTTAGCACCCCACCTCCTTATCTTCCATTTCCCCTGCTGACCTTGACTCTTATCCGGCCCTACGAGGCTCCTTATTGGATTCTGCACGATGAAGGGGTCTACTAGTCCCTATATTCTAAGATGTTAAGAACCGAAGAACCCAGAAAGTGAAGAACAGTCTAGACTGCAGCCGGGTAAATCGCGAAATACAGGCGTAGATCAGGGTAGCCAAAACTCTCAATATGTACTAGGCAAAACCGCTTGGCCATGACGATAGACGGAGTCATCTATGATGTCGACGCATGATACATGGTTCGAGCATGATTTAGTCATGGGGAAATGGAGAGGTCATACAGCACCAAAGGTGAACTGCCCACGAAAACAAGCCGGGTGGCATTTCAATTGTTTCCAAATGGGAATCCCCCCCAAACTCTGTCTCTGTTTTTGGGTCCTGGTTACGCAAACCACGATGATCAGCCATTGCAAGATAGGATGAGACACCCCGGATTCTATCATGGGGATTTCCTCATCGATCAGGACAAAACCGGATAAGGGGAGACTGATAGGCATCGATCGTCCAATTATCGACGATGCCGCCTGCAGCCGCAAAAGCCGCTCTGCGGTAGACTGGATTAGAATTACTTGCCTTTTCTCTGCTCTTCTGCTGGGTTGCATTTGCCCCGGAACCGAGCCCGGTTGAATCGGAAATTGTGGAGGAGGGTCTCTCTCCCCATTCTTCGATAACACCGTCCTGTGCCACAGGTTCATGTCCCCCAAATGCCCGAAGTTTCCCCCCCCCGGCCCATCATTCCCTTGGCCCGCTCCAGATAAGGCCAGATAGGCACAGATAGGGTGTAGACCAAGGTTGGCCCTTGATTAAAAAACAATAACCCCGGGTAAAATGCCCTCCCTTCGCCCCCTCCCATGTGCGGTCATGGTGTGCAGCCCATGACCAGTCTGGTTGGATCACGAAAGCGGCTACGCGGGCTGAGTTTTAATTCTCTATAGATGATCGTGGGTCTCCGTACACAAGGAAGTCACACCTCTTTTCTCTTTCTTTTTCTTTTTCTTTTTTTTTTGGTCGCTTACAGTCCAAGAGCGCCCCCCCAAAAACCGCCTTGCTCTGCCTCGAACCCCTGGTTCGTCTAAGACCCGGGCGGTGGGAGACCTGCATACAGCCGTGACACCAGGGGATCCCCGTTAGTGGGAGATCTTAAGCATGAAGTTGGCGGGTCTGGAATGCCTGACTCTTGGCTCCTAGCGCTTTGCTACCCCGTACTCCAGACATCCATGCCATTTGTGATGGACCACAAGCCGGAACACATTCCACTGCTACATTCCAAGGTATTCGCGGGAAGGAGGCTGCCACGGGGCTTCAGCCTCGGAAATTTTTGCCCTCCAATCCCGAAACTCTGTCGTCTCGTAGCATCTGCCATGGCCCTTCCGGGGCGTGGAGGGCGGGGGGAAAGGAATAGGAATTAGCTGAATCAACTTTGAACCGGGAATGCTACCCGGGTACTTTTGCCGAGGCTTCGTAAGAGCAGATCACTCGAAAGGCCAAGAAGAGCAGAGAAAAAGAAATTGACGGAAATCCGGATGCGGGCGCGGCAAAGTGGGTTCGCCTCTCCACGGGGAATGGCACCATCACTCTGGAGAAACTCCGGATTCGTCGTCCGATCTGCAGGGGGCGTTTTCACTAGTTAGTGAGTAAGTGTAAGAGGGGGGGGAAGGACAACTTGAGGTTTCTCCAAAGAATAACCACGTCCTTCGTGAAGAGGCCGCTTGAAACACCCTAGAACGGATCTGGCATGTTTCAGCCCCGGTTTCTCAGGTGCAGTTGTAAGCTGGGCTATTATGGTCAGCATCCAGGTCCGGGGCCTCGAACGCCACGTATACCTCGAGGATTTCAATCATTTCCAGGTGTATCAGCTATGGGAGGCCTGGGATCATCAACTTATCAGTCTATCATCACGCACCAGCAGTTGTCGACGGAACTCGATTCCCGACCCGCTCGTCTCACCTTCCTTCCTGTCCCGTCTAAAGAGATTCCTTCCCCCACGATCGTGGAGGTTCAACTCGTCCGTGGGGGACACAAAGACACGGGAGACCCCAACTGCCGAGATGCGCAGCGGTCAGCTTTAGGGCAACGTAACCCGGAAAACTCTGCGATCTCCACAGCTTCTCCAACCTGGGCTTATCACCTGGGAATGATATGATCGCTAGGGTCTGGGACTACCCGAAGATCGTCTCCCAGAAAAATGGGCTACCCCGCAAATCGTCAAAGGATAGGGTAATAGCCGGCGATACAAAATGATCACGCCACGCCTTCACCGGACATGGATCAAAGCCTTGCAGGAGCCGTGACGACGTGCATGATCCTCAGGCCTAGCAGAATTCTAGTATAGACTATTATGAACCGATTTCGTGATTGAGGTTCCCAAAGTCCGACATCGCAAGGTTGCTCCCTACACTACAGCACGCCATTCCGGACAAAAATCTCGAGAATAAGGCCTGGAACACACCTCATCCAGGATGATCGAGTTTGCCACTATCTTTGCATATTCTCCATACTCTTGCCCCGCTTTCTATGGTGATCGCTACAAGGTGAACAGGAGCTTGAAGCGCTAACGGCGGCGATTGGAGTAGATAAGCCAAAGTCAAATTGGGGGGAGCAAGCAAGCATGTATGTACATGCAAAAAGCAAGCAAGAAAACAAGAAAATGATCAAATGCGTAATATGGCAGGGTCCAGGATCCCTCGAATAGGATACAGCCCGTTTTCTCTATGTATATATTTTGCAGATCCTGCTCGAATGGGCGTTCGTTCATGACCGCCACCATTTATTTATAAATATATTTTTGGATCCCGTACCGCCAGCACGATGTCAATCTGACAATAAAACTACGTGATTCGAATGGTCATTCCTCCGCACACACCTCTCCCAGACCGACTGATCAAACGCCAAGGTTTACCCACGGGGAGATCCAGACTAAGACATCCATAGCCATGACAACATCGTGTTGGAGTTGCCAGTACCCAATTGGGGGCCACATCCAACTCATTGCAAGGTGTCATCATACGTAGAACACCCCAGACCTGGGCGCATCACGAAACTCTCGGGCCCGCACACATCAGCAAGTGGGCACCTCCTTGCCGGGTGAGTCATGACGTGCTCCGTAACCAGTGCTCAGCTCGCGCCCAAGTCAGGGTCCAAGGGGCGCTTGATTCGAGCCAACACTCGTGATTGCGGTTCCGCTGCCTGAAGATCTCTTCAGGTTTGAACTCCATTGCGCAGCCCAGGCCAGCCTGCTACACAGAATACGAGGCCAAGGGGGCTACTTCCAAGGTACAAGGCTTCTATTGCCTGATGGTTGGCTAGCGGATGCAGCCACAGCTGGCGAAGCTGATCGACGCTTTCGTAAGCGATATCATCCGTGGAGTAACTACTCCGTATCAGTTGACTTATTTCCGTACTAAGAATTCACCCCCCATTTACCTAGATAGGAGAGATGGTATGGGAAAGTTCGTTACTATCCAGAGTACCATCCCAGCAAGTGTAACATTTGATTTCTCTTGGCACGTCTCAGTTGCGGGGAATGGCAAGATCTGGGGTAGTCTCGCACTTCCCCGTTGCACTTTGAGGGGAAGTGCTCGCGAACAGCTACTCAGTTGAGCGCGGGGAAAGGGAGGCTGCATAGACCTTGGAGTAACGCGATAAGCATTTGATAATGACATTGATAACGAGCTCCTAAGACTTGCAAGATTCCAACCTTGGAAGGGAGTTTAATGATTAGTAGTCAAGCAATGGTGTGACCCCGGCTCAGGGTTACCTAAGACCGTAAACCCGAGCCTGGAGTCCTGGAAGGGGCCCGGTTAATTCCGCAAGGGCTTTTGGGAGGCCGCTATTACCACGACCCATACCTCCAAATCACCACGCACGCCAAGGTGGCCGATCCGCGCTCCACAGCTTCTGGAACAGATTCCCCACCCAATGAATCCCTCCTATAGGCGCATCATGCTGATATCACCGCCCCCTTGGCTATGCGGGGCAGACCTTCCGGAGTCCGGTGCTCGGACGCTTCTGCAAAGGACTGGGGAAGACAAAGTCCAGACAAATCTAGATAAGGATAGAAAGGGACCCAAGCGATGAGTTTTGCAGAAGTTCCCATTACACATGGAAAATGCTAGAGCCCCGAACATCCCCCTTTCGGGACAGAAGGGAAGTGAAGGGAAGTGAAGGGAAGTGAGCTTCGACAGGTCTAGCTCTCGGTGAGGCAAGCACGATCTCCCCCCACTGAGTGAATTCTTTGTGTGCTTGATTACCCCATACTCTTTTCAATAGAGTAACCATATCCACTTCCCACCACAAATCCACCACTCTAGTGCTCCTGCGAGGCCGCTCTTGACTGGCTGGCAGAACGTACTCCTGTCCATCATTTCATGATCGATCTTGCAACACTTGCATGTGCGAAGTGTTTTTTTCACACGTCCTATCCTCCGTATACAGCAATTACTCTGGCGCCCCCCCCCCCCAAGTCCTTCCGTCCCCAATTATACCCCAGCCCGCTTATCTGGCGGACGCGATAAGGAGACGGGGCAGAAATAAGGGGGATTCCCTCGTCGCACCCCCAAACGGAGGTTGCGGAATCAAGCTAGCAGAAAGATAAATCTGGCGCCACTACGGAGTAGGCGAATTGCTACCGTATGTGGTAATTATATCGTGTAATCCAATGCCCCCCCCAGGATACAAATCCTGCTAGCCTTGTCTTTCACGTGTTTGACAGTGAATCACCTGTACCACGGGGAAGACCCTTAACCTTCACGAGCTGACATGACAGCTTCTGGTTGGAGGGAGCTTTCACATGCGGAGGGGGGGGGGTCGCTGTAATCACATGCGAAACTGGTAAGCTTGGGGGGAAGCCACAGATAAGGATTCCAAGAAAAGCAAAACTCGATCTTATCAGCATAACGTCATAAGGTGGCTTGCGGCTTTGACAGGCCCCGGATGCGATCATCCCAAAAGTATACCCGCGGTCTAGCCCCAGCCGAGGCTTTCAGCTTCCATGTAGCCGGACTGTCGACAACTGAAGGTTGATGTGATTTTCAAGGGATTTTCCAGTCTATGCCCGATTTTCACAGATCGCCCGAGCGGATCCGCAACCCGCAGCGCTGGTCCGCTTATCGTAGTACTGTCATAATTCCGGTTTTTCTTTAGCCCCAGGAGAGACAGACGGAGTTGATGCCCCCCCAGGAGCACGGCTGAAGGTTACGCTAGCTACCCTCGCTCTTCCCCTATGGCGAAACGTCGGCGCAGCTCGGTAAATTGGCCTCTGGTGCTGATGACAGGTTTTGACCAGCGAAACATCTTTCAGGCTCGTAAGTATGGTCCCAACGCTGCCCGAGTGTCTCCAGTGGTTGGAGGTACCTCGTCGCAAGCTACTGTAAGCTGAGGGATCTTCGCAAGCTCTGTGCGAGCTAGCACATCTTGCATGTATCTAGACTGTCGACATGCAGGTACCGTATACATGGCACCCGGGACTCTTCGGTCCAGCCTTTGGAACAGAGGTGCCCACTCCCCTCTCGTTCCATAGGGCTGGGGTAAACCCATCGGGAGAAGTCGGAAGAGTGGGATTCGTGGAGGGCCGATTGTGCCATTCTTGCATTGCGGGGCTTAGTCACTTTGCAAACCTTCTTTTTTTTTCTTCCCTTTTTGTTTTTTTAACGACGTGCACGGGGAAGGCGTGGCGTAGGACATCTCCATTAGGAATGACGGCTCGGCATTGAGAGCAATATACAGAATAAGACGCACATCCGAGGTTTGGATTGAACCCACCAATACGGGAGGTGCAGATCTTGCTGGTAGTCTAAACCAGGACTGTACATCGGGACAAAATTTCCCACGGTTCTATCAGAAAACCTCGGGGATGAAGAAAAATTTTCACTTCTATGGAGCAGGTACTTAGTAACGTTCGAAAAGGGGCTCGGTGAGGCCCACGGGGGTTGTCCGCGGTGGCACAGACTGGTTAGAGGCCCCCTAAAACGCGACTCTTCCGTGTTGGATCCTTAGAGACGCCCCCGGGCCCGACTTTCGCTCGGCCTGAAAACTCGGCATCCCCGTGCCGACTCGGGCACGCTTGTGCCCATGGGCGCTGTTGATTGGCTGGTGGGCGGTTCACTTTGAGAACGCCCCTCAATCCCTGCTTGGGGAGGTTTGGGATCTCCACACTCGAACCCGCCGAATTTCCCCCGACACCGCTTTGCCACGGGGTCTGACCGGCTAACTTGCTCCATTTGGTGGGAAGGGGGGGGGAGGGGGGCTCTCAACAGCGATGGAAATCGTCCAGTCCAGATACGGCCTGGTTGAGTCGGTATCAGGTCCCACTGGTCAATTGGTCAGTTGGTGTCGAGGATCGCCCATCTATTGACAGTTCTCCCGAGCCTCGGCATTCACTGCCAGGAGCACCTTCAGTCCGGCCCGGTGCTGAGCAAGAGTACATGTGGTCTCGGATGACTGCAGTCGCGGGTGGTCCGACTGGGGTTCCGACTTGCGGAGGTTTCGAGAGACTTCTCCGCGTGGAGCGGTGAGATCTGTTATGGAGTAGAGGGCAATTCGTGGAGACTGCGACACGGCCGCTTCCCAATCGGGGTTAAATTGACGGTATGCAACTACGGCGTACGTGACTGTCCCTACCCCCCTCCAAAACTTGGGTCCTGGGAGAATGTACAAAGCTAATCTTCTGCCTGGACTATAGCAGACTATCATACTTTATTGGCATACCATATGCTGTCTACTCATCGTCTTTTTCTACCTTGTCCATCCGTCCACTTCATCTACGCTCCAATCTCGGACCGAAATCCGCCCGCGCCAGAAACGGAAGCAAAAATGTCCGTTCTGCCGTGTCTGCCCGCCCGCAAAGCGGAGAAACTTGTCGAGCCAAAGTGCGTTGCGTGCAGCATAGACAGCATCAAGGTGACTTGATTGAGATCAGCAAACCACGATACCTGTCCTCTACTACCGCTACGACGATCCCACATCGACACGTTCGTCGCTGTGCCAATCCGCACCCATGGCACCTCCACGCCAGCGCGCTGCCGCGCTCGTGGATGACTCCAGATCTGAAGCTTCCAGTGGCACTCGAGAATACAGAACGACAGCTCCGAAGAGCCGCAGGCCTGCCAATGCTTCGAAAGACAAAGCTGCAGTGACCAGTGCCCCAATCACACAAGAACCGGTAGAGGAACTCCCCAATGTACGTACAGCCCAAAGAAAAACTCTTAGGGGTTGAGGCATCGAGAAGGCAAACGACGTCACTCTTGACGAGTAACACCCTGAAGCCCTTCAACATATCTCTCTATGCATTCACCAATCTTCACTATGGATACCTCACATCCTCCCCGAAAAAATGGGAGAAAAAGAAAAGTGAAAGACCCCCCCACTAACAATCCCAGATCCCCTGGTCCGACCTCCCCCTCGAAATCCTCAACGCCTACCGCCACGCCCACAAACTCCCCACCCCCTCCGCTTTCTCAAACGAATATTCCCGTACCCTCCTCTCCCAAGGCATTGGCCTGCGATCGCCCACAGCTCTCGCCGCCCGCCGCGCCCAATCCCAAGCCTCCCGCCGCGCCGGCCCCAGCAACGGAAATACCTCCGGCACCGCAAGTGTCCCCACAGGTTCCGGCAGTGCTACAGGCAGCGGCACCGGGAGCAGCAGCAGCGAACACGAGGCTCCGCTGCGCCGGATCATAGGTCAGGACCGTGTGAGCAAGGAACAGTTTGCGCATGTTGTGCGCAAGCATTTCAATAGCGCGGGGTTGTCGGAACAGGAGGCTATTGCACGGTTTCTGTATACGGTGCGGGAGGAGAGGAGGGGAGACGGTTCCGGTTGCATTTCCAGCCGTAGGGCTCTTACAGTCTTACCTTGCTGAGGTTCCTCTGTTAAGGCTGGCCCCGCTGGGAGGTTGCTGGGATTTGTTCGGGGGGTGTTTTTACGTGCTTTATCTCTTTATGATACCCATTGGCGTTTATCGGGGCTGGGTCGCTTTTGTCGTAGATGGCTGGGCCTTTCTGCATGTTGTCAGAAAGGCTTTCTGGATTACGGGGTTGATATGTGATATCTTAAATACATGGATTATATAGTGGGCTTTATCTTCGATTTGTTCTATTAGTCTAATCGAATATGGTTTGGCCATCGATAAAGAATGGATTTTATTTGATAGTTTAAGGTATTTCCAGGCGTATTCGAGGTTGTATGGGTCACGCACCTAAATGCGTCTAGGCAGGAATCGCAGCACGGAGGTAGTAAGAAGGGAAGGGGAGGCGTAGAATCAACCAAAGCAAGGAGGACCCCCCCAAAAAGGATAACAAGAGTGATATCGAACGATCAAAGGAAGATGAACTATTAATGTTAACGTCAACGGATGGCTTCCCCTCTCCGTATGGACCCGATTTTTCCGCACCGAGAAGGAACATCCCTGGCACTCGTCTAGATACAGCAAGTCCTTTGTCTATTTCCAGGCATTGAGGCCTGCCCAAGGATCCCCGCCCCCAGGCTGGGCCTGTGGCTGGGACTGAGAGGGTGTCTTGTGGTGCCCGTAGGGTCTGCTTTGGGCATATCCACCCGGGCCAGAGGGGTAAGCACTACCAGTCGAGGGTGGGTAACTCGTCTGCTGCGGGCGTGGGGGAGGCGGGGGCGGGATGTAGCCCTGGGGTGCAATGTAGTGAGACGAGGCTGTTGAGGCAGCAGTGGGGGCGGGGCTAGCGCTCGTGTAACCAGAATAGGGCGTCGGCGTGTGAGAGAAGAACTGTTGGTTTGGGGGTGGTGAGACCGGAGTTTGGTAGGGATATGCCATCGGGTTGTAGCCTTCTGACAACGGAGCAGCAGCGCCTTGCTGGAAAGACTGCGGCATATAGGGCATGCTGGGATTACCGCCCATGCTCATGTATTGTCCGTAGGGCGCTGGGGAGTGCGACAGAGGCACGCCATGCGGTTGTGCCCCAGGCATGTTAGGTGGGTATCGAGGAGACATCTTTGGCGATGGCCCTGTTCCATATGCAGGGGTCTGAACTGGAGGTGGAGGAGATTTGACTTTAGCTGGGGGAGCAGCAGCAGAGACTGACGAGGGCGAGACTGAGGGTGGTTTGGGCTCAGTTGATAGACGCTCCATTAACTGACGAAGCTTCTCTCTCTCGCGATCTTCCTGATCTGAGATGCCGCTGGCCTTGTCGCGCTCGATCTGGCTCAGAAGCTGGGCGCCCTCAGATCGGCGGTTGCTGATGAAAGTCTCGACGTTCTTCCGCAGGCTTTCAACATTTTCGCTCATTTCTTTGTAGAACGTCCGAGCTTGCATTACTCCGGAAGACAGATTATTGAACGCCTCGTATATCTTTTTATACCTGGCCATTACGGAGTTCCTTTGCCGAGTGACACCCTCGTATTTGGATTGTTCAGCTTGAACACGCTTATCCTGGAGCAGATCCGCGTATGTCTTTGTGAGTTCCTTCATCAAAGATTGTTGCTTGTGCGTTGCCTGTAGCAGACGGTTCTGATGAGGGCGGAACTTTTCTAACTCAGCCTCGAATAATTGGGTTTCTTGACCAGCAATCGACTTCTTGTTCAATATCAGGACGTTTGAGATGTCATCAGTGTGGACCTAGGGTATTTTAGTGGGTCTGCATGATGAAATGGATGAGGAACGCGGTTCTACCTTCTCCTTGAGATCTTTGAGAACTTGTGCTCGGTCCCGCTTGACAAGATTGAGTTTCTTCAAGATTTCCTCCACCTTGGCGATCTGATCTGCAACAGATGCGCTACCTTCGTCGTAGACATCGTCCAAGAGACTACCCTCCGCAGGACTGGTGGCTCCGTTTTTGCCTTTATTATGTTTAGCACCGGCCTTGATCATTGCCTGCTGGAAGAGGACATCGGCTTCGTCTGTTTCGCCGGCAGAACGCATTTGATCGAAGTCTGCTTCGAATTGCCGGAAGGAGGATAGTAACTGCGTGTCACTTGTACTAGCCTCAGCTATGGTATCGCGATACGTACGAATATCACCGCGAAGCGTAGTATTCAAGCGAGCACTCGGTTGTTGACTCCAATCAGCTCCGTATTTGGACCGCATCTTCTCGCACACACTTTCCTCCAAATCCAGTTGCTTTGAACATTGGTCCAATTGAGCTGTCACATCTGCCTTGCGTTCCTGAAGCTCGTCAAAAGCCTTATTAAATGGTTTGTGCCCTGCAAGCTCAGAGCACCAGCGGGTAAACTCCTCGTCCACGGTCATTTCCTGATCCATGCCCCCTTTCAAAATGTTCAAGCTGCCTGGTAATTTGAGATAATCCAGACTAGCCGCCATTTCACCGTTGGCGGTCTCTACTTTCTCGGTTTCAGCGCGTATCAACTTGGCTTTCTCCTCGTCGTACAGACTGGCTGTTTCCGTGACTGACATCGGCACTAGCTTCTGGAAGATATCCGGCCCAATAATGCGCTGAATGTCTTGCCCTTGATATAGTTCACTGACAGGAATCGCTTTGGCAGCCGGAAGCTTCGCCACTGCTGAAAGCCCTGCCTCATTTGGGACGGGTTGGTGGTATATGAAGTCATTGTCTTTGATCATGGATGCAAGCTTTGTCTGGACGTTGGTTTGGTTATGTTTGACAAGCTCAACAAGCGCAGTTCCAGACTCAGCAGTCATGTTCGAAGTTGCTGGGGCTGATGAAGGGAACGCTTTGGCCCAGGTAAGTGCGGTAGTGGCTTGCTTATCGGCCAGCTGCAGCCGAGCGATGGCAACACCGTGGGAATTGGCTTCATCGTCGGCAATCGCTTGGTAGTACGAAGCAACAGAGCTTAGATGGGCGGCCTTTGCTTGCACAACAGTTGACCACACCTTGTCGAAGACATTCTTACTTACAAACTCCTGCATTGTTTCGCCTGCCTGCTGATACAGATAGGCGGCTTGACCAGCCAATTTAGCGAGAAAGCCTGGTTTCTTCTCATCCGTTATTTGCTTCTCGAGGAAAACCTCCTGGGCTTGGGCAAGTGTGACGTTAATCAAAGTCTTGACCGTATCCCGGTTGAGGTCGGTTGAGGGAGCATGCAGGAAGTTCTCGTTGATATAGGTGAACATGCCCGCAGATGCCTGGAAAGAGTGATAGGCCGTCTTCACACCTGCATCCTCGGCCCGGTTTTGGTTGGCGGCATGGCAGGAGAGCACAGCGGAGATGTTGAAGATAATGGAAGCTTTTTCGAAAGCTAGCGAGTATTGAGATGTAGGTTTGTGAGTGAACGCGTCGAACCTGAAGGGAGATCAGGGTGATGAGCAATTTCCCCCCTTAAGGTATAAACGTTGATCTTTGGACTTACCATGTGAATGAGATCTTAATATGGTTCTCGTCGACTGGAAACCGTAGATCTAACAGTTCCAGCTGACCATAGTACCGGTATAAGAGATCGCGACCCGTAGCGCTATCTTTCCCAGCACCTCTCATGTCCTGTCTGAGACGGTTGAGGGTTGCGCATTCTTGGCTGTAGCGCTCGGGGTCCTCGCCATAAGTCTGCCTGATGTAGTCCTTGAGGGGCTGGATCCAATCGATTTCGTTGGTCTGCTTCAGCGGTGCCGAGAGCATAGGTGACTGAACCATTGTGATATGGTCGTCAGGAGCGGATTGCTCCCATCCACAAGAAATCGAGGAAAAGGAAGGAACGAAGCGCGAGAGCAGGGGTGGGGGGGGGTAGTAAGCGGGGGTCTCAACGGTGCGAGGGGACCAGAATCGAGGCTGTGGGGTAAAGACAGGAAGTCCAGCAGTGCTTTGTCACTCGGGTACTAGTAATGACGTAGACCCAGAAGGTGGATCAACTCGAAGTCGAGAACAGTCCAAGAAGCACGGAGGGGAGAAGGAAAGGAGGGGGAACCGGAAGTAGCGGGCGCTCTAGACGGGATGTGATGGTCTTGGTGACGGCCTTGTTGATGGGCGCCAAAGAGCCAAACAGGACACCGCACGCGGATAATGTAGATCTACCCGTAACGCTAAACGTCATGGATATAAGGCTGGTTGATCGGGAAATCTGAGGAATTAATCAAATGAAAACACAGGATTAGAGGAGATTGAGCTGGGATTCATTTTGTTCAAAAGATTTCTTGAATTCTAGTCTATGGAAGTAGAGAGCTTCATGGCAGCCTAAACGCATAGTAATACAATCGCCCGCCATACATCCTCAGACCCTCACAGGCAGAATAGGTCCCATCTCGCCAGCGCTATGTGAAAATAAATACTAGTAACAGTCCAAATGGTATACAAATACACAGATATACACGTGATCAGATCACTTTTTCGAGTCGTCGCTCTCGCTCTTGTCAGCACTTTGCTCCTCGTTCTTCTTGGCGTTTTTGGCACCCTTGGCATCTGCGGGCCCGGACTTCGTAGGATCATCGGCCTTGTTATCCACGAGTCGATGCCAGACAGACTTGAGGAATCCTTCGTTCTTGTGCGAATCGGCATCGGCGGTGTCAGTGTTGGAAGAAGCACTGGAGAACAAAATCAGTTAAAGCGACTATAGTTCGGGTTTATGGAGCCTTACCTTTTCTGGTTGACATTCATCGTCCGCCGAGCAGTCTTGTCGTTCATTTCATCGGCGAGAACTTCCAAAATAGTCCGCTGGTTGGCAGAAAGGTACTTGGGCATAGCAACCTTGAACTCAACCTTCAGATCACCCGTGGGAGTGAAGCGCGAACGACCGGCACCCAACTTCTTCATGCCCATACCAGAAAGGGTGATACGATCACCAGTGCCAGTACCTGTAGCAACCTTGACCTTAACGTCCTTGTCGAGGGTAGGAATCGTAACCTCACCACCCAGGAGCGCTGTCGTAAGGGGAATCTGGGCTGTGTACAAGATATCCGAGCCGGAGCGGCTAAAGCGGGGGTCTGGCGCAACTCGAATCGTAACATAGAGATCGCCAGGTTGGGTACGGGTTCCGGCGGCAGCAGTGGCGCCCGTTGGAGGGGCATCACCCTCGCCGCTAACCCTCATGCGCATGCCATCTTCGACACCAGCGGGGATGTCCACTTTAAGTGTTTTGCGCTCTCGAATAACACCGTTTCCGCTACAGGTACCACACTCCGAGCCACGGGGTACAGTCATACCAGCACCTCCACATGCATCGCAAGTTGCAGCGACCTGGAAACCACCTTGCATGAGATGAACACGAGTTCCTGTTCCATTGCACTGCTTGCACTGGGACCGTTTGGCTCCTGGTTTCAAGCCATCACCCTTGCAAGTGCCACATTGAGTCAGAGGTGTAATGACGATCTCTTGAGTTGTGCCCTTCGCAGCATCCATAAATGAGATACTGCTCTGAACTTCGATGTCCTCGCCCACAAGTATCTGCTCCTGGAACGGGTTTCGTCGACCCGGGGGACCACGACGTGCACCGCCTGTAAAAGCGCCAAACAGATCTTCAAAGTTGATATCCTGAGAGAAGCCGCCGCCAAAGCCACCTCCTCCAAAGCCACCTCCGAATCCGTGGAAGCCACCAGCACCGGCGAATGGGTTTCCTCCCGCGTTCGGGTCGAAACCGCCATTCTGGTCGAACGCAGCGGATCCAAATCGATCGTATTGCTCTCGCTTTGTCTTATCCGATAGCAACTCGTATGCAGATTGGGCTGCGGCAAATTTGTCTTTTGCATCGGGCTCCTTATTGGTGTCAGGATGGTACTTCTTGGCCATGCCGTAGTACGCTTTCTTGATGTCGCTGGCCGAGGCGCTCTTGTCTACTCCGAGGGTCTTGTACGGGTCGGCGATCGCGAGAGCAGCAGTGGAGTGAAAGGGCTGTTGATGGTCAGCAACTGATCATCTCTTTGAACATACCTGTTTCCGTCATTCGTAGGAGATGGGACCTACCTTGAATAAGAGCACATATGAAGCTCTCTTCTTGCCGATTCCATCCCGCAAACGACGTGCGGGAGAGAAGGAAGTCGGATGATAGCCTCGTTTCTGACCGGACGAGCAAACACTAGGACTGGCTGTATGCTTCGAGCATTGGGGTTGTACCCGCAGCAGGCGCGCGGGGAGGGCCGCGGCCTTCGGGAATGCTGAGGGATTCATGGATACGAAGAGTAATCTCCGAGCGGTAGTTGGACGACGTTAAATCCAAGGGGTTTCGAATTGGAAAGCAGGAACGTCTCGGACAGGGAAAACAAAGAGTCGAAGAGCGAGAAAACTTTATCCCCAGATAGCAATGGACCCGTCCGCCAGGCGGCTTCTTTAGAATCCAGTAGTTCCCCGAAGAAATTCGCGACCTCGACTGCGGGAATTGGTCACGGGACCTCGTCCGCTCATTAGTGATTACAGAGCAAAGATCCGGCTTCCGATTTCGCCATCTCCTACCTCCTTCTCCCTCATTGTCCCAGCTAAGCTCTTATCACTCTCTAGAGCTGTGCGGCGGGCTTCTCCTCAGCTTCAAAGCCATACCAATTTCCTACACCTCCTTTTCGTCTTATATAAACCCCGACATTACTTCCGACATACTGTCACGGACAGATACTTTGATAGCATGCTCCGCGGCCAGACCCTCCCCTGGAGAGCTGCGCTCCAGCAGACACCTCGCGCATTTCTCCGGAAGCACCCCTTGTTGACCCCAAGGTACAATGCAAACGTTCGATCAGCATTAAGCGCCGGCTACCTCAGTCGTGCGACTCCCTCGGTTCCCCGCATGTTCTCGTCCAGTCCCATCCACCGAAAAGACAAACCGCCACCAGAGGATCCGAAAGATGAGGAAGTGCAGAACGAGGAGGAGGGTGCAGCCGGGGAGACACAGGATACCGACCTGCCCCCAGAGGCCCGCAAGAAAGCTGGCGATTCAGGGAAGAATGCTGCTGAGCAGGGTTCTTCACGGCGGAAAGACAAGTTAGCCAACGAAAAAGAACAGCGCGCATTAGAGGAAGAAGAAAAGAAAAGCACGAGTGCAAATGAAGGCAAAGGCGACTCAAACCAAAGCCCATCGCCCATACCACCAAGCGGTGGCGGCTCCGATCCAAAGCCTAGCTCCGCAGCTGGCAGCGGCAGCGGTGGAAATGATGATGGCGGCAAAAAAGGCAAGAGGGGATCATCTGAGAAGTCATTGCAAAAGCCCGCTGTCCCAGATGTGTATCCACAGGTCATGGCCATTCCTATTGCGAAGCGTCCGCTGTTCCCCGGATTTTATAAAGCGATTACTATTCGTGACCCGAGTGTTGCTGTTGCGATCCAGGAAATGATGAAGCGTGGTCAGCCATATGTCGGAGCGTTCTTATTCAAGGACGACCAAGCTGATGGTGATGTGATTGAGAATTTGGATGATGTGTACGAAACTGGTGTATTCGCTCAAATTACTGCGGCCTACCCTCTCCGCGGCGAGGCAAGCGGTGTGACGGCTGTCCTATACCCCCACCGCCGTATCAAGATCTCGTCCCTTCTTCCACCCAGTGAGACCACCAAGGGAGCTCCTACTGAGGAGAGGACAGAAAAGCGAGGCGATGTCGTGGCTAGTTTTGAGGAGGGCGCTGCGGAGCTTGTGTCAAAGGATCACTATGAGCCTACCTCTTTCCTCAAGAAGTATCCGGTCAGCTTGGTCAACGTGGAGAATCTAGCGGAGGAGCCATATGACAAGAAAAGTGGTATTATCCGAGCCGTGACCAGTGAGATTGTCAATGTGTGCAAAGAAATCGCCACTTTGAATCCTCTATTCCGCGACCAGATCTCGGCTTTCTACACCGATCAGTTCCCTGGAAACCTCAGTGATGAGCCTGCTAAGCTCGCAGACTTTGCCGCTGCGGTTTCAGCTGGCGAGCTCCATGAGATGCAGGATGTGCTAGAGACTATGAACATCGAAGAGCGTTTGCCTAAGGCTCTCGTCGTCTTGAAGAAGGAACTGATGAACGCACAGCTTCAGTCCAAGATTACCAAGGACGTTGAAGCCAAGATCCAGAAGCGTCAGCGTGAATACTGGCTCATGGAGCAAATGAAGGGTATCAAGCGGGAGCTTGGAATTGAGTCAGATGGCAAGGATAAGCTTGTGGAGAAGTTCAAGGAGAAAGCGGCGAAGCTCGCCATGCCGGAGGCTGTCAAGAAGGTTTTCGAAGAAGAGCTCAATAAGCTTGCGCATCTCGAGCCAGCTGCCTCTGAATTCAATGTCACTCGCAACTACTTGGATTGGTTGACCCAGATCCCCTGGGGTCAGAAGAGCGTGGAGAACTTCGGAATCAAGAATGCTGTTACAGTTCTTGATGAAGACCACTACGGTTTGAAGGACGTGAAGGACCGGATTCTGGAGTTCATTGCTGTCGGTAAGCTTCGGGGCACCGTGGAAGGAAAGATTCTCTGCCTTGTTGGCCCTCCCGGTGTGGGAAAGACTAGTATCGGTAAATCGGTGGCTCGTGCTTTGAACCGACAATACTACCGTTTCTCCGTGGGTGGGTTGACTGACGTTGCGGAGATAAAGGGTCACCGACGAACCTATGTTGGTGCTCTCCCCGGACGTATCATCCAGGCTCTGAAGAAGTGCCAGACCGAGAACCCTCTCATCCTCATTGATGAAGTGGACAAGATCGGACGTGGGCACCAAGGCGACCCATCATCTGCCTTGCTTGAATTGCTCGATCCCGAACAAAACTCCTCATTTTTGGATCACTACATGGATGTCCCTGTCGATCTATCTAAGGTTCTTTTCGTTTGCACGGCTAATGTCACCGATACTATTCCTCGACCATTACTCGACCGCATGGAATTGATTGAGCTCTCTGGCTATGTTGCTGACGAGAAAATGGCCATTGCTGAGCGATACCTGGCCCCTGCTGCTCGAGAACTCACTGGCCTGAAGGATGTCGATGTGACTCTGCAGCAGGAGGCGATCGAGGAGCTCATCAAGTCCTACTGCCGCGAGAGTGGTGTTCGAAACCTTAAGAAGCAAATTGAAAAGGTCTACCGAAAGGCCGCTTTCAAGATCGTGCAGGATATTGGCGAGGATGTCTTGTCGGAAGAGGCTGCTTTGACTGATGAGGGCAAGGCTGCCGCTGAGGAATCTAAGGAGCATGAGCCATCCGACCCGGCCGGCACCCCCATCGAACCAGAGACGGCAACTACCGAGACTCCTCGACGTGCACTCAAGGTCCCGGAAAGTGTCCAGCTAAGCATCGGCAAGGATACCTTGAAGGACTATGTCGGTCCTCCAGTGTTCACTGCCGACCGTTTGTATGAAACCCTCCCACCCGGTGTGACCATGGGTCTGGCATGGACCAGCATGGGTGGTGCCGCGCTATATGTTGAGTGCATTCTGGAGAATGCATTGAGTCACAATTCTCGACCTGGTCTGGAGATCACCGGCAACCTGCAAAATGTCATGAAAGAGTCGTCGCACATCGCCTACTCGTTTGCCAAGTCAGTTATGGCGCGCCAATTCCCTGAGAATCGATTCTTTGAGAAGGCGAAGGTCCACCTGCACTGCCCCGAGGGTGCTGTTCCGAAGGACGGTACGTAATATGCGCCTTCATCGCGCCCACCTCTAACTAGGAAACCTGCTAATGAGACTACGCTCAGGTCCCTCTGCCGGAATTACCATGACAAGCTCGCTTTTGTCGCTGGCGCTTAATCACCCGCTTGACCCAACCGTTGCCATGACTGGAGAGCTGACTGTGACCGGCAAAGTGCTTCGCATTGGAGGCTTGCGCGAGAAGACCGTGGCTGCGCGCCGGGCGGGAGCGACCAAGATTATCTTCCCAGCAGACAACACATCTGACTGGCTTGAGCTGCCTGAGGTGAGTCATGGCAATTTGCTCATGATTTTATGACTCGAGAAATGACTAACCTCTTTTTTCCAGAACATCAAGAAGGGTATTGAAGGCCATCCGGTCAGCTGGTATTCTGAAGTGTTCGACCTTCTCTTCCCAACCTTGGACCGAGAGGCCGCTAGCACCATCTGGCAGCAGGCGCTCCGCAAGCCCGAGGGCAAGGACGAGGAGAGCCGCGACGAGTAGATGGGCGTTTGAACGACTTCCGTGGTACATACCTTGTAATTTCCTGTATAGTTTGTGGGCACATGGCGTCTTGTCTTTTTCCGCCATGGGAAATGCATGGGGCTGGCGTTGTGAGTTCTAGATCCTTGCAACGGTTCCTGCACAGGAATCATTTGCAAAGTTTTCTCTTGCTTGATTTTTTTTTTCTTTTGCCTTTTTTCTCTTTGTTTGGGCTAAGTAATAGCCGACACTCCTCTCAATGATAGGCCTCGTCACATCTCCCTCGGGGCATTGACTCGATATGACTAGGCTTGGACGCCTGCATGGATGCATAAATAAGCCCTATAAGTAGCCATCCAGGGAAAATATCACCTCCAATATCTACCTATCACAGAGGATCCTCCCTGGGTTAAGTATACCAGCAGGTTGCTATCGTGCTGCTATCGTGCTTCTGGCATAGTTCGGTGCCATTTAAGGGCGGCTGTCGTGTCCGCTCTGCCCACCAATCAACAAAGTACAGCTTCGTCCCTATCAGGCATGAAGAGATCAGGCCGCAACGCACATGGGCAGCCTCACTTTTTTTAAAAATCTATTTTTTAAAGTGCGATGAATCATATCCCCTTTTTGATATTCTTGAATTCCTTTCTACATAAGAAGAATTTGATTGATTCCCTGCAGCGTTCTTTTGCTCCGCTGTGAGACATTGACACCTTGCAGTCGATCGACGCACAACTCCCACTAACGTTAAAAATTTGGGTTGCTTTTTTTTGGTTTTTGCATCTTTATGAGCATCGCGAAAATTTCGTCCAAGCTCTGACCGACACTCGTGCACCGCCTTTCCCTTTATGCTCTGACAGCCTCCCAGCCTCTTCTATTTGTGACTCGTTGATTTCCATATACCCCCTTCCTCTTCACCAATTTCGAGTTAATTAGACGCCAAAAGTTCCAATAGGGCGCAACTAGTATCTAATAGGAATCCTGGGGGCCCGAAAGCGCGTTCAGGCTTCTGAGTTTTTTTTCTCTCTCTCTCTCTCTCTTCTGGTCCAATTCTCCTCCAATACATCTGAAAATTTCTTTCTCTTCGATCTCGTCCTATCCCTCCCTGCCGTCGTGAAAACCCTCCCCCGACTTTGGCTCAATTCTTATGGCCATCGGGTCCTCGAGCGGGGTGATTGAGTCATTCCTACTCCCGACGCATGGCCATCTCTCTTGCCAACAATAGCCCAACTCGGCTGGGTCTACCTCCGGACGAAAAGGGGCAGAAGCTGAGCATGTGGCATCGATTGGGTCTGCGGCGATGGCTGGGCCGAGACGATCGAGATGGCCAGGACTTCCCCCACCGACCCTCCAGCCCTCGCAAACAAGACAACCTGACTCGCCGTCTCTCGCGCCGAGTGGGCGTTGGCCTGCCTCGATCTACTACCTTCAAACGCCAGATCTCCGAACGCCGGGACCATCTCGCACCGCTCGAGCCTGAACACCGTCGAGCACACTCGGCCGACCGTCGCACGCTGAGTGCCCAAAGGACCCGGTCTCCACCGCCCGTGGATCCCCGACTCTCCCTGCCTGAGGTTCAGTGGCTCGGCCCGCCCGCAACCACGGTCGACGAGCCAGAGACGAGCTTGAACTATGACCTAGAAACCGATTCCCTCGATTGGACCCCGGACGTGACAACCGCCCCGGAGGCACCCACACAGGACACCCTCGAGATGGAGCTGGAACGTCGGTGGATTCTGAACCTGAGCATGCACTTCCGTGATCGCTCCGAGCGGGAGAAGTTCTTTGTGACCTACGCCGAGACGCCTACCAAATGGCGCCGGGTAACGATCTCCTGCGATTACAGGGCTGCTCCGCCGGATTCGCTGGAGCAGGATTTGAAGGAGCTCCGGTACCAGCGGGACAAGTGTGCCCGGATCTACGAGTCCATCCGCGAGTCCCTTTTGGAGATCCAATTCTACGATACCGTCACCAATTTGAAGGTGGAAACACGCGACGGCCGCCTCCATGTCCATGTTACCGAAGACGTCAACGAAACGATCCCCTATCCTCCGATCTCGAGTATCGGCCACCTGCCCGGCGCGCGGTGCGTCCCCGAACAATTCCTTCATTTCGAGTCCCATTTGTCCGGATTTGTTTATAAAGTGAGGCTGGGAGGTCACGCGTATATAAAGAAGGAGATTCCGGGCCCGGATACCGTGGATGAGTTTCTCTACGAGATTAATGCTCTTCACGCGCTGAGCGGGGCTCCCAATGTGATACAGGTGGAGGGAATCGTGGTCGATGAACGCCAGGAGGTTGTGAAGGGCTTGCTCATCAATTACGCCGAGCAAGGTGCGCTGGTGGATATTTTGTATGAACAGAGAGGACGGATTGCTTTTGGCAGGCGTGAACGATGGGCCAAACAAATTGTTCAGGGTCTTTGTGAGATCCATGAATCTGGCTACGTGCAGGGCGATTTCACGCTGTCGAATATTGTGGTGGATGGAGATGACAATGCTCACATTATCGATATCAACCGCCGAGGCTGTCCTGTGGGATGGGAGCCACCGGAAATTGCTGCCAAAATTGAGAGCAACCAACGCATTTCCATGTATATTGGAGTGAAGACTGACCTTTACCAACTCGGAATGACGCTCTGGGCTTTGATCATGGAGGAAGATGAGCCTGAGCGTCAGCCTCGCCCCTTAATGTTCGACATTGACTCAGATGTGCCTGATTATTACCGCAGACTCGTGGAAATCTGCCTCAGTCCAACCCCGCGGCATCGATTGGCGGCGAAAGACCTACTGAGGCTTTTCCCGCCAGACTTACTATCCCGTCCTTTCCCTCCCCCAGGACGCCGAGTGAGTGGATCGGAATTGAGGCCTATCGTCATCAAAGGAAATAGTATCGGCTCTCCACTCACTCGCCTTCCGAACCGAATCCCCTCGAAGACTTCCTTCGACCGGAATTCTCTTAAATCTCATCCGTCACAGCCTATTTTCTCCGAAAATCACGACCAAGGAAAGGGATCGACTCCCACTCTTACTGGCTCTAACCGAGGCGCTTGCTTCCCTTCTCGACATTCGTCAGCCTCGACTTTGAACCACCACGAACACAATGAAGTGCACGGTGAGATCAACAAGGGCTGGGCCAATTATCATCAACTAAATTGCAACGCTGGAGAGCTCGCAAGAGAAGTTTCCTCAGAAATTCAAACCAAAAATGCAAAGCCACTTACCCCAGCCAACGACTGCGGCGTTGACCCAGTTGAGCAGCAGCAAGCACCACACTTGGAGGAATCAACCATTCCTTCGTGCCGCTACACGAAAGAACCGGTGCATCCCGCAGATCAAATTGAGCCGAGTCCAATGCAGCCTCTACATATTCCGGCAGTTCCCCCGCCGGTAACGAATGACGGTTATGAAGACGCTGCAGCTTCAGCGGGAGAAGAGGAGTGTCAGTCTAGACATGATGCTCCTGACACCGAGTCTCGGCCAGTGGAGGGCTTGGAGTCACCATCTCTCCTTCACTCTGTTCTACCGATCAATCCCGCGCATACTCTCTCTCGACGCAGGACTTTCCCTGCAGTTTCACAGGATGTCAAAATGTCTCCGTCACCCGAGAGATTCGAATTTGATTCACCTCCTCTCGTCCAACTTTCTGAGTCGCTGCTCCCCATCAATCCCGCCTTCGGGGCGCCCGTCTCCAAATCACCCCCCCTCGCTTTTCGAGTCCAAACTTCCTATCAATCCCGCCCATAGGCAAAAGTCGGCGAGATTTTCGTGAGCTTGTCTTTATAAATTTTCCAGCGCCGTACGATGGTCACTGAAGCGTTTCCGTACGAGAGCCAAATGCTTTCTTGATAATTCCCTTCTGGGACGATGCTCGATACCCCTTTCATTTCCCGCTTGTATAGTTCACCTCGTCACAGTCATTGTTGCGTTCCTAGTCCAGCTTTCAGGCCTCAGCACCGATGGCGCATGTCGGCGAACTTTTGGCGTCTTAAAAGTCTTTCTTTGGTGGGATCTATTTTGAGCTTCCTGCGTTGATGCGACTCGTTTTTATTTTGCAAATCTAGCATTCTTGTTGTTGCCTATATGACTCGGAGGTTACTCGGCGTTGACGGTCTCTTCGATGGTATTCTGTTCTCACTTCTCACTTTGGGCCATTTTGGCTGTATTATTCTTTTATTTATCGGACTTTAAAATGCACGATTCGAGATCGAACTGTTTGCCCTTGGCAGTAGCCTACTTTAGCCTGCATGCTCTAGAAAGACCCGCGAATGAAAGTACATATACGCATACATTAGTATTCAATCACTATCCACGTACTAGAGCCTCAAAGCTTTCTCTCCAGGGATCTGCGCTAGCTGTGAGTCCACGTCCAATGAGAACAATCTTGCATTGAGACACCGCCGCCTCATCCCCATCGTCCGGGCGTGGCTGTGAGTCCCGAATTTCAAACGTATCCCTAACAGCCTGGATAATCTTGCTCGAGCCATCATCAAGCGTCAAGATACCCTTCAGCCGATGAATCTCAAATCCGATAGGATGACCCTCCGGCGCCGGATCTACCCCAGTGGGCAGCGTGGACTCCCAAAGCACCGAGCGAAGCCACTCATCCACCTTCATCACCCGATCCGCGGGGATCGGCGGCGTAACAATAGCCGTAGTCGAGATGGCCGGATCCATATGGCTATGCCCCTTATTACCGAAGTCCATATCAGCAAGATGGTCATAAGCATGTAAATCCAGCACAACGCCCTCAATCTGTGGCGTGCGGCTGTGGTCTGTGACATGGATCTTAGCCGCACTGTTAATCGCCGTGATGCGGTCCCGCACGCCCTCCAGCTCTGCGGGCGTGACGAGGTCTGTTTTATTGAGAATTATCACATCCGCATGCGAGATCTGCATGTGGGCCATGGATAACACGGGCCCAGAGCCGTGGTCGTGGTCTGGAACGTGCGACTCTGCTTTTTCTTCGGGGGCTGGCTCGTCGAGAAGCTTGAGAATGTTCTTAGCGTCGACTAGGGTGATGATTCCGTCAAGGTAGATTGAGCTGCCCAGGCCTTCGTCCATCCAGAATACCGGGGCGATATTGCCGGGGTCGGCTAAGCCGGTGGTCTCCAGGAGGATGTAGTCGAATGTCCCTCGGCGTTCCATGAGAGATTCAAGAGCCATGACACCGGAGTCTCTGGGTTTGTGTGTCAGTGTTGGGGGTTCTCTTTGTAGGACATATGATGGTTGAGATGTTCGTACTTGACTGAGCAGCAGATGCAGCCATTGCCGACTTCCATCCATTCGGTGACTTTTTGGCCATCTTCTTCGTTGACAGTTAAGGGCTTCTCAATATCAGATGCTGGACGGTTATTTAGTTAGGATTTGCATCCGAGTCTTGTGTTCGGACGGGACTTACAATCACCAAATTCTAAATCGTATTAGCTTGATTAATGTCAAATCTCAGATATAAACGTACCATTCATGATCACAGCAATCTTCTTGCCATGCTTCTCTGTTAGAATGTAGTTGAGGAGGGTGGTCTTTCCTGCTCCCAGGTATCCTGTATTGAAAATTAGTCTATACTTACCAGAAGGACAAAATTGAAAGCATACCAGTGACCAAGGTGATAGGAACCCTAGTAGTCACCTCCTCTTCGATAAGTGGCTCTGCTGGTATTGCAGAGACGTCCACCAGGTCTGGAGGAGCATCGTCTTCGTCGATGTCCGCCATCAGGTAGATCTGTTTACCTGAAAAGGTTGTACCCCGGAGAATCGAGAGGTTCCACTGCGGACAATAGATGCGGATGACGTTGACTTCCTAGAGCGGACAGTAGGGCTTAGGGCATTGGGCGGTCATGCTGTCCCTATCTCTGTTGCTCCGACCTTAAAGGCCTAATCTAACTGTTTAGTTCTGGGGTGAAAGGCCAGGGCATGCGGACTTTCCCTTCCACTCATTTGTTTCTTTATCTTTCTCTCGTTTAAGTTCGCGCTTTCTCACCCCTTCCCAAATCACCCTTTGTTTACCCGCAATGACTGCCGCGGGAGTGTCGCCGTCAAGCTCCCCACGCCTCCCAAGTCCTCCCCCGTTCACGGAGGTCCAGATCGGACCGCAATCGCCTTCTGTGGGTGAGACTTTCGGCAAGGATGCAGAGCTTCTGGGTTCCGCTGGGGACGACGATGCTTCGACGCGCAGGATTCGGCCTGGGACTCGGGCTGCAGACATGGCTTCCGGACCTCCGTTAATTCCCTTGTCGCAGGTGAGTTGGGACCTTATCCCTTTGAAGCCCTTGTCCAGTACCATCGTTGCTAACAGAACTAGCTTGATTCTCCCTTCCAGCTGCAGGAACATCTCAAGTCCTTATATCATCACTTCACGAAACCCGAGGGATCGGACACTGTGGTCCCTATTAACCGCCAGGTTGCGATCCAGTTGACTGAGCCCCCCCGAGGGCGTTGACCGGTCGCTCTGGCTTTACGAGTTATGCCGATTTCTTACGATGAAAGTTAACAACCTGATTATCGCCTTCTTTGCCGAAACCCCTCCATGCTCTGCCCAGACCTGCCCTGAGATGCGCGCCTCCGAATGGCAGTATCTTTGCGCCGTGCACGATCCACCCAAGTCATGCTGCGCCATTGATTATTGCTGCCACACCCTCGACTGGGCTACCAACACCCTCACCTCCCCAAATACTTCCCCAGCCGATTGACCCTGGGTTCAGAGGCCGGGGGCGGCCCCCAGGCCAGTATGCGACATTTGACCAACATCTTCCGCCGACTATACCGGATTTTCGCACACGCTTGGTTCCAGCACCGGGGTGTTTTCTGGGAGGTTGAGGGTCACGACGGTCTCTATGTCTTCTTCAAGACGGTTTGCGACCTGTTCCACCTGATTCCCGAGGACAATTATACCATTCCTCCGGAGGCAGAGGGCCCCGACGCAACTCAGCTGAAGGCAGAGTGGCCTACAGACGCTAAACGGTTGACTATTCTTCGAAAGGAGGATGAGAGCCCGTTTAGCAGTGAACTTGATGGAGTAGATTCTTCCCTCAGTACAGGCGCTACGACTCGTCGTCATAAACATAGCCCATCCACCGGCTCGCGGGTTACCACAATCGCTGAGAGCACAGAGGATAACGACGAGGCGCCACGTGCTCCAGCGCCATTGCGTGAGGTTACGAAGGAAATACTTGAGCCACATCCTCCATCGAGTGTAGAGGACCGCCCCGCCAACGAGGAGCCTGCCCCTGAACCGATGTCGAACCCTGTGGAAGAAGCGTCAGCCAGAGAAACTCCAGCTGAAGCAACGCCAGCCATCGCTGAAGCGGCCCAGGAAATTGCCGAGAAAACAGAGGATACACCTGTGAAGACACACGAGGAACTGTCCGAGCCTCCTGAAGAGCCAACGGAGCAGCCCAAAGAGACGGAATCTACTGAGCGAACTGAAGCAGCGGAAACCGCAGCAGAGCCAAAGGTCGAGGAAGAGGCAGAGCAGACAGAAGCGAAGGAGGATGGAGAAGCAGAAAAAGAACCAGAGAAGCCCCTGGAGGGCCAGGATGCAGAAGCTGCCCCATTATCCACAGAGGATAGTCCCAGCGAGTCTCCCAAAGACCTGGCAGCCGAAGCCGCTGCCGAAGCCTGAAGCCAAGACAGCAAAAGAGAGCCTGTCCAGATTCTAGGGTCTTATCCGCGCTTAATTTCTTTGTCCTATCTTTTACTTCTCGATTTTCTTCTTTCCATGTCGAGATGGTCTGTTCATGCTTGTTGTTGTGTGACATTATTCATAGGTTGTAATATAGCTCAGGAATTTTTTTCTAATGGTCCAATGTCAAAGATACCCTCTCTCTCCTGATGCAGCGCTCTTCATACAAAGCTACCACAAGGGCAGGGGTTTTTCCAAAGATATAAACGAAATACAGCTGTAGCATTGGCTCCAATTCTAATTAAGTAATCGCATTTAACTAACTATTAGAATTGGACTTACACTAGACGGAGCGATAAGCTCTAACGGCCTTGTGGGTCCATTCACCCTCTATACTTCGTTTGCCGACTCCATCTATGAAAGGTATTGAACCTTGCTAGTAGGAGACTGGGATATGCTATGGAGCACCGGTTCGTACTATTGGAGCTAAAACATATATTTTCATCGACAGCGAAGTTCTGACTTAGAGCTGCCTTGTAAGCACTGGGTGCTTGAGACAGAAAACATTTATCTGTTGTCTCATAGGAGCCATGGGTCTCGCTATCAATGGGCAACAAGCCCAATGCGATTCGACAAGCTTACACTCTATCCGCAAGCCCTTAGTTCTCAGCTCAGCGGCGCAAGATGCTCCCGGGGAATGATAACCATAATCTAAAGTACGTGTATCAGGCTTCATTGCACAGCTAGCATGTCAGCTCACACGCATGATGTTCCCAAAGCGGACTAGTGGTGACAAAGGCTCCCACCTCGATCTATATCGAGTCAGCGTTCATTCCTCAGCCTGAACTTCACGTACAGAGTCTCTAAAAACTGCAGTCTACCGGGCCTGTGGAGAATGCTTGTGATCCCGGGTGTCGCTGCTGGGATCCATAAGGCTGCTAAGGAGCGGTTTGTTTTAAGTGTAGGGTGTGGTCGGCGTTCAGGCTTTCTTGATGGACGCCGATCCCGATAAGGCTTGATTGAGGTTTTGGAGCAGGATTGGTTAGTAGTGTAAGGGGTGGTTGTTGTGATGTCTGTAACATTACGAGTTTCCGAGACGTGATCATTAGCGTTAATAGTACATGTACACTGGTTACCGTATGTTATGTACAGGCTGCTTTCATCACCTGTACCGCGGAGCAGCTAATGGAGAATCTACATCTCCTACATCTTCATCATCATAGCCCAACCCAAACTCATCCAATTCGTCAAAGCCGGGAATATGGACAGCTGGAGAAGCAACTGGACTCAGTGCTATACGTGGCCTTGATTTGAAGACGCTGGAGTACTCCGCATCTTCTTCGAATAGCTTGTCTTGGGGTGTTGTGGACCGAATAGGTGCAGATGATTTTCGCGGCGTTTCGAATTGGTTGGTAGGAAATGAAGGCCGTGGGCCTCGGCGAGGGCGAGGTGCCGGTTCGCGAGGTAAGGGTGGAATAAGAGACATTGATTTTCGGGTGCGTTCAGCTAGAGTATAGTTTGTGTTTGAAGTAGTGGTTTTGACAGGTTCAGGATCTGGAGTAAGACGGACAGTTGGAGGCGATGATTGTCTGCTGGCCGGCTCCGAGCTGTGGGATGTATCTGTCAAGATGCCGGAATGTTCGTTGTCAAAGGGAGGCGATATTGTTTGATAATTAGATGGGCTAGGCTGACTAGGTATATTCATCGCCATGGCTGGGGTCTTCCTCTGCGGACTACCAGACCGTGATTGAGGGTTGGTCTCGCGAGGGTTGCCATTAATGAGAGAAATTGCCTCGGCGACAGTAGACATGAATGATTCATCAGAGTCTGAAAGTGCCCTCCCATTTTCACTGGATTGTCGAACAGCCTTCGAGATGCTTGCGACATTCAGGGCTTGATGATCTCGAAAAACCAGACGGGTGTCGTGCGTCTCTCCGGGAGAATTCTTTCCATCCGCTTTGTCTTTAGCAAGCAAGTCGTTGAACTCATTCCATCTGCGTAAGCGGCCCCGTAGATGTAGTATGCGTGCTTCCAGGTCCACGACTAGGTCCTGCTTGCTGCCGTTGGCGAGAGAATCCACGTTATGCTCCGCTACCTGAGCCCATGCCTGCGAGAACGGAAGTTCCAGGAATGCATCGGTGCTGCTCTGGGCACCTCCATCAAGTATTGCGGTAGCCCATTCCTCGCTTCCAAGCCAATTTGCTCGAATCTCACGCGTCAATGTTTCAGCATCCGCACTCAGCTCGTCATGTTCTCCATTGGTTTCTCTCTTCGCTCGCTCCGTCAGTTCAGCTTTTTTTTCATCCAATAGCCGCGAAAACTGGTTGTAGGCTTGGTGCGCCCGTGCGCGACGTGCCCCTGACGTGCTTAGCGAGTTTTGGTGGGCAATAATGAGCGGAACCATGTTTTGATAGTCCACTGGGGATATTGAGCTGGCCGAAGCTATTCTCATTGCAGGATTCCACAGCATATCTCCCGTAGAGACTGTGACTAGCTTGCGAAGAACGGCAGTGGAGAACGTTGCCAGAAGCTCATCAAACTTCTCCCCTTTGCAGTCATCCAGCATTGTTTTGCGCAAGATGGTTTCCCGACCGAGATCTCCATTTTTCTTCAAATCAGACAATGCGCGGAATAGCGCAGCGCGGAGGTTGACGGATTGGAGCGGCTCCAAGGGTGGGAAGAAGGGTCGTAGTTTCTAAACACTTGTCAGCGTATCATTGGAGTCGTCTCTCCTTCCACATACATTTTGAGCTCCTTCTGGATCCCATATTGTGAATAGGTAGTAAAGAGCCCATTCTACCAGGCGGATGCGCTGGCGCTGGTTCTGCGAGGACGGAGATAGGGAGCGTAGAGTGATATCGGGCCAGTCCTCGCGATGGTCAAGGTGAAGGAGCTTGAGGTTCCGGATGAACACCGTCAAATTCGATGGACCCAACCACTCCAAGGGCTTTGGCCGCGCTGGCCTTGGAGCAGCCATGTTGTCAGCGAAGAGCTTGAGGTCCAAATGCCCAAAGGTGCGGTGTAAACAAATCGCGATAACGGGGGTTTGCACTGTTTGCGTGGGGGTGCGACCCACCCGCTTCCATTCGTTCCAGGCGAGTCTGCAGAGCTGCGTTATTGTGCGTCAAGGTAGTTTTTGAAACACCAGTACAGTTGATGGTAGCGCACTGGGCTGGATGATGTTGGACGCAACGGCAGGTCGTAGATCGTAACAAGATAAAAGGTCCCTGACATGTCGACAGTTCTACTTTCCCTATACTCTTTCCCGCGCTGACTAGATGCCAATAAGAGAACCGTCAGTAGCTCTAGTGATACCGTGGCTACTGTCACTCATAGACTCTATGCTAGTCTGGTTCCCACTGGCTGCTAGCCGTAGAGAGCGGGCTATCTCGTATGTCTACTCGCATACAGAAAGACGATCCGCATTGGGATGAGAAAAAAGCCCAGCTGTACCTCTGGGCCTCAGTGGGGACCAGGACCGAGATACGACCAATAACCGTACGCTTTTGCGGTAAGTGATGCTTCTTCTGAGGACAATCTCTTCCAAAAAGCAAAAAAAGAAAGGAAAGCAATCGAAAGGAAAGGAAATAGAAATTAGAAGGTATTATAATGTAGCTCGCAAAGGACAGGTCAAGATCTATGTTTGTAGAAATTCAGGCCTCCCCCGGCTTACCCCGCAGAAGAAGATCGAATCATGGAATCCTGAATCCTTTCTGCATATAAACAAGCCATTGACCGCTACCAGTTTAGTATTTTATTCTTTATTCGCAAAGAGTCTCGTCATTCATCTTAGTACTCCCCAAACTGCCTCCTTCACAATGACCTACTCTTTCTACGACGGGACTATCCCAGTACTCAAGAGCATCCTCACCTCCCTGAAGAATGTCCTCAACAAGGCACAAGAGCGCCCTGATTACGAGTCCCTAGTTCAGGCTCGGCTCTATGAAGACATGAAGCCATTGGAGTCCCAAATCCGAATTGCAACCCAGTTTTCAGAGAACCTTATCGCAAAGTTGACTGCCCGCGAAGCTGTTGTATTCGAAGACAACCTTACTTCCTTCGCCCAATTCCACGAGCGCATTGACAAAGTCCTGCAGTCACTGAAGGGCATTGACAAGGATTTCGTCAACAAACAAGCTGAAGTGAGTGGCCCCGTCCAGCTCGGGCCCGCTAAGAGCGCCGATATGACGAATGCTGCGTATGCCCATGGTATATGCTTGCCCAACATCTACTTTCATCTTACCACCGCCTATGGCATTCTGCGGAAGGAGGGTGTCCCACTGGGCAAAATGGACTATTTCATTGGATTTGCCGAGTTCATGATCCCCCAAGCAGCAGGGAAGTATTGAAGCCTAGAGATCTACGAATGTGGAGGCGATGATCTGGGTGTCTTCATGGTTGACAATTAGTCCAAAGGTACTGGCATCTTGACTCGGGTTTACTTGACGACATGACGTTAAGTTCACTCATTCATGTACATATATTCCAGCAAAAGCAAATAAAATGCGTCACGGATCATCTGTGTCTGACAAACTGATAGTGGAAATCACGCTAGAGTACTTGCTGATGTAGTAGAAAACCCAGTCTATAACGCTGAGCAATAATACAACTTTCCAAAGCTAAGGGCTCATATTATGCAGCCAGGGAAACTTCCCGTTCATTGGCTCAGCTTTGTTGATGTAGTCAAGGACTCGAGCCTTCTGAAATTGCGGCGAGATGGCGAAATCCAACACCACATTATCCATGAAACTTGGAGCAGTCAAGTATCTGGACAAAATCCAGTTGGAATAGCTGCTCCAGGTATGCATTCGTGTTTCGAAGCCCGATGTTTCAAGATCGAAGATCAACGATGACTGAATAGGGTCCTTCCGCAACTGTTCATACGCCTGGAATACTTCTTCCAGCGAAGAAAGACCTGGGCTTCCCTTGGTTGATTTCCCCAATAGCCTTCGAAGACCATTGCACAGTACTACTACGTCTTGAATACCCTCGTTACAACCGAGGCCAAGATGTGTCGTGAATTTATGACAAGAATCGCCAACCAGAACTATACGGCCGATACTCCAGTGCTGCACTATCCCTTCATGGAGATCGGTAATGCCTTTCACTTGCATAGTCGGCCAGACATCTTTGACTCGCAAAGTTTCGGTGAGATGGTAACCCGCGAACTCCTGGGCGAGGGATTCGGTATCGTCGCTGGTGTATTCCGTTCGTTCGCAGGTAGGCTTCGGAAGCTTATCATACATGAACGCCCATCCACGCCGCTTGCCGCTGAAGTATGCAATAGATTTATCTTGTGAATGAGTATCGTAGCCCTGTCCAGGCTCTGAAGCTGTCGGGAAAGAGCCAAAAAGAAGTCGATAGCTCGCGACGAACGGATGCTCAGGGTCCCAACATCGACTGGGATCAGACGTCAATGCCAGACTGCGCATTAGCCTTCGTGTTTTGCTGTGGGCTCCATCTGCTCCGATGACCATGGAGCCATGATATGTGCTACCATCAGAGCAGGTCACATTGACCCCTCCTTCATTCATCTCGATACCAGCCAAGTCTTTGCCTGTATGGATGTTTTGCCGGACCTGGAGAGGAAGAGCGTTATACATTAATTCAAGTAGTTCTGATCGATGAAAGGCGAGAGCCCAGTGGCCATGACTAGAAAGGAATGAGCAAAATTCGTCCGGTATTCCCGTCTGATGTGTACATACTTTAGGCGAACTCGCTCCCATCTCCTGCCAGCGCTGAAAGCGTGCCCCTCCGCGTTGAATGTCAAGTGATGGATAAGCTCATCCCCTATCTCCAACGCCTGCTCCAGGATGCCAAGCTGGTGTAGAACCCGCAAAGTATGTGGCCAGACAATAATGCTTGCACCCGAATCCTCGACAATCTTTTCTCTGCGCTCGAGAAGCACGAATTCGATCCCGGCGGCGTGAAGTGCATGAGCCGTGGCTAACCCTATAGGACCGCATCCGATTATAATGACTTTGAATGCGTGGGGCGTGCCCGAGTCCGCCATCATTCACGGGATTGTAATGTTTGTACTCAAACAGACGATTGGAAAGGCTGTTGAGGGCCAGTAGCCTTTTAATATTGGATAAGGAAACTTAGACCACATGGCGGAAGGCTCAGCTCGACCACACGAGCCATGAAACCTTCAGGACTCTCGTCAAAAAGCAAACCCGTGCGCCAGCTGCAGCTGGAAAGTTTCTCTGAAGACAAGTTTAATCCTAATCCCGGTCTAGGTGCATAAGTGTTGCTCCAAGCCTCGTTGATTGGGCCACGGGCTCCGTGTCAATATCCCGTCGGAAATCAGGCCTCGGATCAAGTGGCATGCCAAAGCACAACTTCGTCTACGAATGCCGATCTGCAATATGGAGTCAACTAGCGGGCAAATCTCGGCTAATCGGGGCAAACTTGGTGTCCGCTTGTATTTTCCTGCCATTCGCTGCGACATGATATCGCTCAAGCCTCGAGGGTGGCGTTCATCCAACCGCTTCTGGGCCATGAGGTTTGGAGCACTTGATTACACGAGCTCTAAATATGTGTTTACAAATTCAGGCAGTAACGATGAGGGGGACTGCAATTGGATCTAGGATAGTGGTTTCACGCCGTCTCGACTAGGGACAGTCCTTGGAAGCAACGCCCTTCTTCGATCTTGGGTGTATCAGTTGCCCCGTTTGTGCTACCGCTCAAGGTATCCAAAGTTACTCATGCAATGCCGGTAGTACAAAAAGCTCTAACGTTGTTTCTCCTCCTAGTAAAGCATTCTAGTGCACCGAAACCTTTAAAAAAAAAAACCTCTATATGACGGAAGATTGTTGCACTCAGAACATTACACAGAACTGGATGCAAGCCCACTATCATCTCCACATGTGCAGGAAGATTGAGTCTGAGAATCTGTCCCATAGAAGGAAATTTCGTACCATCTCCTTCGAATTTGCTTGCTTTAATCTCCAATACTCCTGTCCTCAGGCAGCCGCGTAATCAAATGGTTCGGGGGATCTAGGCGTATAACATGCGTGCGTTATAGCTTTTGCAAACAAAATAGCACTGGGATTCAGAGGAGGCCCAGCGATTAGTCCATCAAACTCCTCCAACCACTTGAGCTTGGGCAAGTTCGGAATTGGCGAGATTTCAAGTCAAATGCCACATGTGTCTACAACCATCTTCACCATAGCTGAGGCTTTCTCCCTCGACGCGTCTTAGCGATAGTCGCAGTCTCGATACCCTTCAAGCTCTAGTGTCATCTTATCCAGTAGTGCCATTCTCACGAAAAAGAATCTCTGTAATACAAGCACTACCAGTAGTAATAGGAGCTAAAAAAAAAATGTTCCGGATTCTATTGATGCGATAATTTAGTGTTACTCTTTGGAAAAGTGTCGCCTAGGGAGGGAACAAAACCCAATTACGAATTTTGAAGCCAGATTTGAATTATATCCACCAGGAAGCAAAACTCCAGCTTTTCCCCCAAATATTACCAAATTCTTCTTTGGATTTTCCTTTTTTCCCCTCCGCAACTCCCCAACCCTTCCACCCGCGTAAACACACTCCCAAGGCTTTGTCTAATGTATCTCAGCCTCATGAGCACGCCGCCAGACTGCCGTAGGCGTGTTCAACCTGTTAAAGTAGCCTTGAGCCCGTCACACGCGCATTAGACTTCATATCCAGGGCCTTCGACACGCCGGTACAAACCACGCCTGAGGCTTGTGCACCCTCTACTCGACATATATCGCATGGGTTATATACAAAGTGGCCCCAAATACTAGGACGAGGTTACCGAGGACAAAGCTGCGGGCAGCTGCGGAGCTTTTACTGAAGTCGAGGCTGAGCGCAATCACCCCAGTGCCAATGCCGCAGATAGACGAGAATCTCTGGTGCGTGCCAAACCTTCCCCTTTGGCCCTCTTCGACTGCCTCGGTGGCATCTTTCTCGACCTTCAGATCTCGCCAATCGCCACCTATAACGCGGACGTTCATTACGTTCACTTCCTCCGCGATAATTCCCACCCGGTCGCGGGCAGATCTTCCAAGATTCTCACCCCGGTGTCTGGCTTTTAGGTCTTCTCTGGAAAATGCAAAGGCTGGCTTGCTGTTCAATCAACTTGATCCTACCAAATTATCTACCAGGAGTGCCGTTGGCGCGAAAAACAGCCAAATGGCAGGCCATGCGGATGGGACTTTTACCTGCAACATCGTAGTACTTCTCTAAAAGACTATGTTTGAATATGCCATGGTCTAGGAGATAAGATGAAGAGGAAACTAGAATTAATAGGGATGAAGAATAATATGATCACAACCTAACGATATGTGATTTAGATGTACGATTTGGGCAGTTGATGCAACGCAAGCTGCAAGCATTAAGCTCCGGTTCCAGGAGATGCGCGGCGGTGATGTGATCGAGGGCTGCTTGGCGGATGCCGAGGTCGTTTCTCTCCTCTTTTCAACCTCATTGTCCAATACCACAACCTTGGAAGCTCGCGATCTTTTAAGAATCAACTTGTCAGACCCACACTCACACCCCTGCACCTGATCTACACGATGGCGGCGGCTGTGAAGCGCTTCTTCTCTTCCCCGCGCTTTGCCGTGGCGGGCGCAAGCAATGATACCCACAAATTTGGATACAAACGTAAGGCAAATGAGGCTCGCTTTCTGCTACGATGATCTCACATTCCTCAGTCCTCGCATGGTACCATCAGCATTCGCTGCCCGTAACCCCGCTCAACCCACGAGCGGCACAGATCAACCTCCCCTCGCGTGCTTACGACACGGTACCTTCGCCGTCCAGCCTGCCCTCGCCCACCCAGACTTCCCTGTCGGTGGTCACCCCTCCCCGGGTGACTATTGAACTGCTCAAGGAAGCTCATTCGGTGGGGATCCCCGCAGTTTGGTTACAGCCCGGCTCCTTCGACGATACAGTGCTGGAGTTCGCCCGCGGGCACTTTGAGGCCGTAGTTGCGGGGGATGGCGGAAATGGCGGCGAGGGCTGGTGTGTGCTGGTGGATGGGGAGGAGGGACTGGAAGCAGCGGGGGTCCAGTGGACGAACCAACGACTTTAGATGAACGAATGATATTAGATGAGAGGGAAGGGGGGGGGGGGAGCTATTCGCTGTACATAGAATCCCTGTGTTTGTCTCAGGCTGGGGTTTGTTGTTATAGAAACTGCGCTAGGCTGATCGCGGTAATCCAGAGAGTTTGCTTCCTGCACCTTTTTTTTGGTCCAGAGACTCCAACCTTCGGGTGAGAGCTGTTTTCTCTCCGGCGACTTCCATCCCGGACTTGGTCCTTTCCATTATTTTGCTCGCAATCATGCCCGATATGCCGGCTGTCTTTCAGCAGGCGTCTTCGCCACCCAAAGTAGATATCGCCAGCGCTCATTCCCACCTCTATCAAGTCCCGTCACCAGCCTCCGCCTCCTCCTCTCTTTATTCGCTCTCTGTCAGTCGCAAGCGCCCTCGTCGTGATACAGAGAAGCTCTCCTCGACATTCGATCCTGATATCCGCGGAATTTCGCCGCTCATTCTCTCAACCGACAACCAAACAGCCGCCACGGACGATCTACACAAACCTGCAGAGCTGGACTGTCGTCCAAACCGCTACCGAGAATCCTTTCTTCCGCCATCGCTAGATGCGAGCGTCGACTCGGTCGGTCCCGGCGCCCCTGGCACAAGCCGCAAACGCAGTCGTCGTGACTCGTGCATCGCATCTCCAACAGAGGAGACTGCAACTGCCCCCGAGAACCCACCAAGCTGGGGCCGCACAGTCATAAATGCAGTGGGCAAAGTACTAGATATCTGCTGGTCCGGCGCGTTCCGGGGTTTCTACGCCGGAGGAGGACAAGGCTACGACATGGCCCCCGGGCCGCCAGCACACTTCAGTCCCAAATGGCGACCAGTCGAAAAGGAACACCAGACCATGCACACCCCCATTCCCGGCCAATTCCCAGAGGATGATAACGATATCGATCGGACCTGGGTGGTCGTACCGGAGGGAGCAGCAGACGAGTACGAACGAGATGACCTGGACGCCAGTCCCTCGATGAAGGTGCGCCGGAATTACCAAGTCTCGAGCCCTCGACGGCGATCAGCAGTGATGCCTCGTTTGGCGAAAAGGTCGGCTGGGCAAATGAGGCCATCGACGCCCTCGAAGAATCTGGGTCCTGCGTCGCCCCGGGCAAGGGACGGGCCAGGGTCTGCTGATATGCAACGATACGCGGCGAAGATGCGACGCAAGGAGCGAGAAGAAGACGCCAGTATCCAACGGTTGAACAAGCAGCTCCAGGCGATGATTCGTGAGGGAAGAGAAGCCTTGGGAACAACGGTGGAGGTGGATGATGTGGAGATGGATTCTGACTGAGCACAAAAATCTGATCTGTGGCTTCTTTTATTTCCTTTTCTTTGTGCTCTGTTGGCTGTTCGGCTTTCTGCGGCTCGACGAACCTGATGTTTGGCCCTCTCTTCACCTCTAATGATTGATACCCTAAGGGCGGACATTTATCTGCATGTGGCCCAAATTTGTGATACGATTTATGACCCCTTTTTTTAACGATTTCTTTTGTCTCGCCGGTGCCGGTAGCATTGCTCTTTCTATGGCTAGATTTTCTCTTCCAGACTTGGCACGATCTTCAATTAAGGCATCAATTCAACGTTAGCTTGGAGCACTATTACATTGCTTGTTGCAAATCGGAATTGGAGGCCAACTCCCTTCCAATGCATTTAAATAATAACTTATCCAAGGCAATGCAGTTGAAGACGAGAAAACAAATAATATTGACTCTTGAAAGAGGTATGTGCTAGCTATTTGGCGGCTGAAGGACCCAGAAGCATTGGAACGCATTGACACGCATCGAAAGACACCAAGATATCAAATCAATCCGACGTACAATTTAGATACCTGACACGATTCGCAAAGACCTCCGACGCCAAAGAACTGTCTGACGCTTCAACGTACCCTGGCGCTTACTGGTGACCAGCCGCCGGGGGCGCCTGGGCAGATCCCTTAGCAACGCCCTTGTAGCCTGGAGCCCCCTTCGGAGGAGGGGCCATGGTCGTACCATCACCAACCTTGGTGGGATCAGAACCAGACTTATGAGGCGCAGCAGGAGAAAGAGCCTTGGTCAATTTGCCGAGGGCACCACCCTGGAGCAGGACATCAGTCAAGGTGGACCCTTGAATGGGAGGAGCCCCACGAGCCTCGTGCTGGGTGGCGTCACGGCGGCCATGCATCTATAAAGTTCGTTAGTCCTGACGGTCAATGAAGCCAAGTGAACTTGTTTCGGGGAAGACTCACAGGGAAGAGGCCGAGACCGTGGTGGGCGTTCCCAAAGAGGGCTCCAAGGCCACTCTCGGTGGCAAGTTCCTTGAGTGGGTTGGTCTTGGTCTTGCTGTCGTCCTTCTTACCATCCTTGCCCTCGCCCTTCTTGCCGTTGGGATCTTCCTTGCTATCCTTCTTGCCAGCTTCTTCTTCCGCGGCATCACGCTTGCCCTAAATTGGAATGAGTACGAGAACCACATGGCGCCAGGATCTCTGTTTTCAAAACTTACAAGCATCTTTCCGACTCGGTCAATGCCAGCAAGTTTTTCAGCACTGCTAGCGGCGTCCTTGATGTAATCAAGACCCTCACCGATCATGTCGCGGCGATGGCTCTGGGTCGTGGCCTAATAGATGTCAGTAGTCGGACTTGCTTCTGTGATCGAGTGAAACTTACACCACCGCTGGTCAATTGGTGGACGAAACCCAAGAGTCCATGGACCTCACCGTGGACCTCACGGGTCTGGTGGTGACCATTAGGAGGACCGGGCTTCTTGGCCTGACCACCAAGCAGGGAACCGACGATAGGAAGGTTGCTAATGGTGCTGGTCAGGTCTCGTTTCAGGTTCTGACCTTCATTTTGACCGTCATTCTCGCCGTCGTTCTGTCCATCGTTTTCACCAGCATTCTGGCCGGAATTCTGGCCAGCGTTCTCGCCAGCGTTCTGACCGGCATTCTGTCCCTCATTTTGGTGGGCGTTTTGACCGGCATTTTGACCGGCGTTTTGGCCCTCGTTCTGATGCGCGTTCTGGCCGGCGTTCTGCCCAGCATTTTGTTTCTACGCATGATTAGGAGCAACCTCGGCGTCGGTGACAGGGGCACTCACATCGTCAAACAGGCCACCAATAAAAGGGAGGTAGCTCAGCTCTTCATTGAAAGACCGAGCATGGTTTTGAGCATCCTGGCCCTTGTCTACATTCGCGGGGTGAGCTTGGTCCTTTGTTCGATGTTAGCCCACAGAGTATCTAATCTTGGCCAAGTCAACGGCAACATACTCCTCCAAAGAGTTCGCTTAGCAGAGGGAATTTGCTTAGATCTCCTGTGAATGATCGCTCTTCAACCGAGCGCTCCTGCTTTCCCTGCGGGTAACCGGTCAGCCCTTCTCCTCGTCCCTGGTCGATTGAACCGACTTACTCCCAGAAGAGAGCCGATCAATGGCAATTTGTCGATCAAGTTTCCGTGGCCATTCTGCTGAGTAGCCTCGGCACGAGGAACCAACTTTCCGAGGATGCCATTGACGGCGTCATTCACGACGCCATCTGCGGTGCCGGCACCAATGAAGTTTTCCCCGTCACCACGAGGGCTCTGCCGCAAGGGGGCAGCCAGGCCTGTCGCCGTGAAAAGCGAAATGGCGTAGATGGTTTTAACCATGTTGGCAATTTTTGTCTTCTCGCTGCTGAAGGAGAGTAAAGTCACTGCCGCCAAGCGACGGGGGCGGAAGCAAGAAGGGGGCGTTAACGAGAGTGTTGGAATGCGAAGAAGTCGAACCAAACGGGGGATGGGGCCAGGTTGGCGCATTATATACTGGTGATCCCTTGGGTCACATTCTAGGGCCACTGGGATGAAGGGGCTGCTGGATAGGAGCAGGACTTGTTCCTCACTGGGTGGATCGGTTGTTTACCTTCTTGGATTGTCTTCCCCCGGGGAATGTCAGGCCTTGGAACTTGCGAGGCGCTTGTGGCTTGATGGCTTTGCCATATGACAAGAATGTTCCGATGCTTATTTGGAGACATTACTCCCGTCGATCCTTGTTTTTGGAAGGGATGTAAGGGGCAGTCGCTCACCAACAATATTCCTTTATCGGTTTACCAGACATACTTCTACAGATAGCATCCGCGACAGGTACCGAATTCCTGGCTGGCAGGCCTGAAATTATTAGTGTAGTATCACAACGTCAATATATGGTAGTTGAACCGTACTGAGGGGTCACTCGTAGGAATACTGTGATAACTAGTATTACGGGAATCAATAACTGATACATGAGCAACTTGTACCGAGTGTTAGTAAAAAGTAGCTAAGGGTATTCGGAAGCAGTAGCAGGTCTGAGTGGAGGGTATACAAAAACGGGGAGGCGAAGGGGACCTCCGGGCTTGGGGTATTATTAGCTGTACAATCTATCAGGATATCTAGATTGGTCCAGGTTGTACAGTCTTCGGCGATGAATCGTCTTGATTGAATTTACTCTGCAGATCGCTGACCTTCTATGTGCATCAATCAACGACACTTTTGTTATCCGCCCAGCTAGGCTGAATACTCCGACACACGGCCTCGTAGTCCTGGAACCGACGTGAATCTTCCGGGAGATTCGGTGTAGTCCAGAACATAGTCCAGTTACTGTCAGACAGTTTCCATGTGCCAGCAGACCGCTCGAAGTACCATTTGTTGACCGGGTTATCCTTGCGGCTGCGCCAGCAGACTCCATTGGGAAAGCAGGTGCGTACCATCGCGTTAAAGACAATATCGGCAACGCCGCCCGCGCCTTGACTCCGCTTGAGAACAGCAAATTTGTCCAAGTATGGCACCATCCGAGCAGCACTTTCTTCGCTGCCATCGTCGGCCACTCCAGGTGGTGTCTCCCAAGTAAGAATGGCTCCGCCTTCATATTCCCCAGCCACGATAAGACCAGCGATACGGTCATTTACTCGGTCAAGGTAGTTTTGAACATCAAGTTTCCGGTCAAAGGAGTCCTCGATAAGATGAACAAGCCGAGGGAGGTCAATTGACGGATGGTCCAGTTTTAAGCGTGGCTGATTACGAGCACTCCAAGCCTGCACGAATGGGTCTGGGAGAAGGGTGAGAGGCATGCCGCGTTTGATGAATGTAGTATGCGGGGTATGTGTCTCTATTTGGTTGAGTTTGGAAATGGCATTCACGCGCCGTGCAGGGGGTAAAGATGATGACAAGAGGGGCTTGTCGGTGAGGAGATTGTGGATAAGAGGGTTGCGCTGGCGCCGGGTCCCTACTGCCGACAGCTCCGACGCAGCATGAGGTTGCCGAGAGGAGTTGGCAACTTCATATGGCGAGGTGATCACGCCAGAGGCGGTCGAGGGGAGCAATGCAAGTGTCTTTTGAGCCAACTCCAGATTTTGAACATGGCCATCAATTCTAGAGAAAACACTGTTATCCAGGAGCGAGCGAGCTGTTTCGAGATCCTCGTTGCCCGTGTTTTTCTCTCCAATGAATGCATCTTTTTGCCGGAGAAGCTCCTCTCGAATATCGTTGAATTCTTGCTCCATGTTGATAAACACGTGCGACGCTTGCGGCCCTCTGAAGGAAGGGATGCCCCCCCAGGGGATGCAGAAGAATTACTCGATCCAAAGAAACCTCCTCTTGCAAAGCAAAAATCCGCTGAGCGGTGACTTCTGCATCTTCGTCCGGATCCGGGCGGATTGACAACCCAGCAAATTCTTTGGTGAGAGCGAGAACCGCGTCATCTGCAGATACCAGAACAGCCTTTGGACTTTCCTCGGTATATGCTATCGGCGGTACCACCAGCACGTGTGAATCACGGAGAAGGGCTAGGATGGTTTTACGAGACTCGATCTCGAGAAGGTTTGGATATTTTGTGGGGATCGTCAGAGCCGAGTCCAGAACGAACGACTTTGAATCCGGCTGTTTATCAATTGCAGTCGAAATACGGTTGACCTGGTCCATAGCCGTTTGTCGTACTGCTTTTAGATCTCCTGCTTGCCCGGGGTCTACCACAACACAACATGCCATTCCCAGTCGGACAAGTTGTGACAATGTTTTCGCAACACCATCAATGATATTGTCATCTCAGGGATTGAGGTGTCGTGAGTTTTACCAGAGCCAAGTGAAGCTGCTCGGGGGATTCCTCAAACTTTGGGGCGGGTGTCGTATCTTGTCGGAATACAGGGCTTTCAGACACTGCTCTGGATGCACCGTAAAATGAACCGAGGTTTACCCCAGTGGGTGATGGTAGAGACGATGAGCCCTTCGGGCTTCCTTCGGTGGCCGAGGCTGACTTCGTCGCATTTTTAAAGCGAGATAGATATTGCTTTGCCTCTCGCTTTGTCGACGCCGAGCTTAGCAGGCTTAAGAAAAATTCCTGCAATGGCTGTTAGCTCCACCGTAGCTTCGCCTCATCATCATATGCAGCCACTGACTCGGTCCAGCTGCTTTTCCTTTGCCCGACGCCCAATTTCCTTATTGCATGAGCTGGAGGCCGAGAAACCAGCAACTTGTCGCCCACCATGTCGAGACCGCAGGCGCGTGGGGGAAAAGTCGTTGGGACGTGCGGCAGGATGCTATGCAACAATCAGCGGAAAGGTTGCCCAACAATCGTCGCAAATACTCACCTTCGCCAGCGAAGTGCGCAGCCAGCTGAGTGCCCGGGAGCTCATGGCCACCAGCTCCCAGGCGTCGCAAGAAGCCTGGGCTAGAAAGCAATAACAGGGCCGGTCAATGGAAGATTATCCAAAGCTCAAAGAAACTGGCATGACGCATCCCGTTCACAGCTGGACCGTGCGTTTGTTTGCCGAGTTTGGCCGAGATCGGCGAGTCCCGTCCAACTTCGGCCGCAACGATCGCACATGAAAGTTGGTTCCTGTTGCGTAACCATTGGTCCGTAGAGCCATACAGTATAAGGTTATTCCTCTCACGTGTGTGATTCTGCACAAAAAATGCAATTTTTCGTCTGCTGGATATAGAAGACAGGGGAGCATGCGAATCATCCAGTCAATCAGTTCTACATGAGGCTTAGTAGTGTAGAATGTCATGAAAACTTGGAATGATCGAACGTCCTTGAGCCAAACCCTAAGGAAATCCCCCTTAGTGTGCTCTGCTTCACTCGCACTACGGGGAGAGCAGCTTTTCCCCTACAGGACAACACACATCCCCGCAGCCTACAGAATGGACATCGGACAAAGATGTCGAATGCTCTACAATGCGTAAAGCAACCCCACTGGGTGGATGGCCCCTCTTCGGTTTCATGTCTATTCAAGCCATCGATCAAACTAGCGCTGGCCCCTAAAATTTTTCTAGAAGCCACCCAATCGCGATCCACCCTTGACCGCCTTTGTGCAATACCTGAAGGTACTTTCTGTAATAGGGAAAGCATCACCAGATAAGAAGTATCGGTACTTAAGAGGATCACTTAAGCCCCGCCACTCGACCCAAGGAAGGATCTGGGCTTTCAAGATTCTCATAAACTAACGATTGAATGCTCCCGACATTTTTTGACGCTTCTGGCTGAGACCCCAGACCCATTTTGAGCGACATCAATTACCGCAGTAAGTCAGAGGTTCCTTCATTCCTCCTTTCCCTGCCGCCCCTGCTTCCGTCCACACCTCCCTCTGCCCCTCCTTGCCGCACACTGAAAGTCGCAATTTTCTCTTCTGCCGTGATCGCGACCTCACTCCGATCAGGAATTTCCTTGAAACTCTGCGGCTTGAGGCGTGTTGAAATTCCTGCTCCGTTTGCCGCGATTGCCTGCAGACTGATCTTTAACCCCACTGGCCTAGATTCGCATCCCCCGATCTCGATTAGCGCCAGACAGCCGGGTCCGTTTCCCTGCAAAAAATACCCCAGCCGAGTCAAGCGCGCTGCACACGCGATCGGTTTCCTTGAGCTCTCTACATAACATTTCACCCTATCCCCCGATCCCTCCTGCGACATTCTTTCATCTCCGCGCCATGTCAGACCCCAGTGACCGCCCTTCCGAGTCTATGCCCGGCCAAGAGATCCCGGGTCTGAAGCCTTCGTCGAACGCGGACGATCTGTCTTTGGACAATTCTGACAACAATGAGCTGTCGCGAATTATGAACCGTGCCTCGATGCCCAATGGCTTCCCCCTTGACGACGATGAAGGCGACGAAGAAGGAGACGAGGACTACGTCTCGGTGGATCAAGAGGATGCAAACGACTTCCCCTACTGGTTCCGCCGTCCCCCCACCCATCACCGATCCAAGCTTGATGAACTCCACCCATTTGTTCAACTTCTCTCCACGTCAAACGTGGATGACTGCTGTAAAGTAGAACAGGCATTCCCGGGAGAATGAACGTTGCTCTCGTGAGAAGGTAACCCAGCCCTTCCTACCCTTTCATCAGATAAGCAAATGGGCAAAGGATTCGACGACTCGAGATGACCACCATACACTTTTCAGCCCTATTGTTCTTGGCTAATTTTTTGTTCTCTCTTTTGCCGTCGCCTATAGTTTGTCTACCGTCTGTCTCGATGCCCCGAACTCAGTCTTGGCCTGTTCACATTGCCTCTCAAGGATGATACGAAGCCCAAGCCTCGCCCGACGCTCGTCGGACACATCATCGCTACCCGTACTTCGGAGCCCTGCGTGACAGATCGATCGATGCGTCTGCCCTCCAATTGGCAGAACGAGCGTTGGACATTCGAGGATAACCAGGCTATCGGTCACGAAGAGGGTGGTAGCACTATTGCCATCCATTCTCTTGCAGTTTGTCCTGAGCACCAGGGCAAGCAAGTTGGCAGTACCTTGATGAAGTCTTACATTCACCGTATCCGTGAAGCCCAAATCGCAGACCGTGTCGCTATCATCGCTCATGACCACCTGGTTCCCTTTTATGAATCGTTCGGGTTCGAGTCTCGTGGTCCTAGCAAGTGCCAGTTCGGAGGTGGTGGCTGGGTGGACCTTGTAAGTGGATCTTGAAACATTTCATAGCAACCCCCGTGTATTGACATCTTCAAAGGTGCTCGAATTCGGCAGTGAGTCGAATTAAGGTGGTGGAAGTAACTTCTTAGGCATCCGTGTGGGCGCAGACCGTACGGGGTCACTTAGCCTGTCTGCCGTTTGAGTCCTTTGTCTCAATCTTCTTGTTTGTTGTCCTCGTCTTACGCCCCCGTTACGCAATTTCATGCCCAATCATCGGTTTGGTCCTCGGATTGAAGAAAATGGAGTTTGTTTTTACCTGGTGTGGAATTCTGCTCAGTCTCAATGGATCCTAATGGGCAGCAAGAAAACGAAACCCCTCAAGTGCTAGTGGGGCCTCCTTCTACCATCAGGACTTGTGTAACATAATGGAAATACAATGTACATTAAGCCTGTTGTGTCACGGATTCCAGCTAGAGGGTGCACTATATAAGGCGTGCCAGGGCATATCTGCACTCCGTATGCGGTTTAGTGGTCTTTTGGTCTAGTTGGCGGGACATCGGCCCAGGGATGCTCCTTCACAGTTGCTTCCAGCCGAATAGACCCCATTGAGATCCTCGGGGTTCCAGAGCTAGTAATGTATCATTCGTCATATCTCTATGCACTGAATAATTCCTCCCTACATCTCCCCACGGTATGGCCAGGGGCCCAGGCGCCCACCCTTTGCCTCCGCTTATTCATACCTATGGACACCTGACTAGTGTAGCAAAGCGATACGGTGTATTATTATGCTCGCAGTTCTCCTGCATGCCATTATCATTGATCGTTGATCTTCCATACTATAAAGAAAGCATCTCCCAGTCATCCCAGAGGGGTTGAAGAAATACTATATGATGCGAGGCTGAACGCATTACTAGGATCTATGCGCAAAATATTTGGATGAAAGTTTCGGGTCAAGTCCAGGTTACTGTGCACTACAAAAGTGATGAAATACGTTGTTCGGATCTGAGGGAAGGATCCACGCATATACCTCATATTACGGCCCAGAATAATGCAGAACCTGCTTAGCATTTATCCCATACTTTAATCTGAGATGGTTTTATCTCCGCCTAGTGATTCCAGCAGCATTCGACCTGATATGTGGGTCATCCCAAACACATAACCTTTTGTCTAGCATTATCAATTCAAAATCCGAAAGTAAATTCACGAATCCGGCCAGCTGGCCTAATGGCTAAGGCACTCGTGAGTATCATCCAATCATATCGATGCACGCCAGTGCACTAACAATATCTCAAAAGGTTTCCGGTGCGAGAGATTGCAGGTTCGAGTCCTGCGTTGGTCGAATGTGCTCACTTGAGTGTTCCATTTTTTTTTCTTTTTTCTTTTTTATTGTTCAATATCCCGAATCACAAGTCGGTACGCATTCCCTTTTGAGGAATTGCTTTTTCTCTCTCTTTTCTTCCCCCTTCCGCCGTGGTTCTCCTTCGTTCTTTCCCTTGACTTATCGCCCCTTCCTCATCTCCCGTTCCAGCCTGGCTCCATACATATCATGTGATGGGCCTGTGTAGTCCTCCAATACATATTTAGATAAGGGCAATGATAACTTGAAATCGTATCTGAGGTCGGAGCGGACCTGGCTAGCCTCTGAGTCTAAACTTGGCATTTAACATCGCATTTGTGTGTGATATACTACATCAAAACGTACTTGGTTCATGCACAAACTGCTGTTACATTAGAATGATCTATACCAGATGGAATGACTAAAAAGAATATGCAGTAGGGCCACGTCAAGTAGAACTTGAGCGTAACTTGGAATTGAAGAAACGAAAGCACCAGAAGTAGAATTGGGACTTGAAAAATGCTGCGCCGAGATGAAGATTCGTCTAAAGGACTGGTGCTGCCTGAGATTTGCTGTGGCATCTGCGTAAACGCTAATCGCTTATGATATGACAATGAAAATTGGACTCCTGCTACCTAGAAGTCCCGAAGAATGAGGATTTCCCATCGGTTATCGAACCCATGGTCTTCCACTTCTTCCACGCCCGCTAAGAAACGCGTGGTGCGGAAGAGTAATTCTGGACGGGTTAGCTGGGATCTTTACGATCGCATGGGATGTTAAATCACCTTGTAAAGTAATCTCATACTGCTCTGTCTCTTCGATCTGCGACTGCCCTGACGCTCCAGGCGGTGTCGGTAGCCTTTTCACTCGGACTTTGAGACCGACGGTCTTCCCCGGATCCACCCAGCATATCCTATCTTGGTCATCAAAGGGCGGTGGATATGTGGAATTGGCCTTTGTGCTCTGAGCTGGGTTCAGATCAAATCGAGAAAAGCGAACGATGCTATTCTCGACCGTCAAGAGCTTGGTGTGCGAGTGTTCGGGGTTACATATTGTGACTAGTTCAAGCTTGACGCAGAACTGGCAGAAGCTCTCGAACCAGTCTAGAATTACTCGCTCCGTGGGGTCCGCCATATCTTTGGAGGGGTGTTAGCCTGGCCAGAAGCTCAAGTATCCATCAAGGGCGTACCCGATAAGCCCAAGAACCCGACACTCGCTTCTGGCTCGAAGCGCGAGTACATCTTGGTCAGCCTCCCTGTGTCAGCCTCGGGGTCCATTAAACAATTGCTTGCGTCGCAATATGCAGCCATGCCGATGTATTTCATTTCAAACGGGGATCTGATGATCCCGTTGGCCGGGGTATACCATGTCAAGCGCAATTGTATATCTTCGCGGGCCTCGGTAGCGCGACCACGAGATTGCAGAACGTTCAGGGCCACGGCCTGGAAATGATATGACACACGGGTCAGTGTGATCAAGGATGGCGTTGATAACTCTACGAGGATCGTGCTTAGGATCTTTGTCACGTTAGAGACCGTCTGGAATCATAGCTGTTACCCGTGGGCATACTTCATTTGGTAGCGCATCCACCGTGAGTTTCGGCGGAATTGAGTGCGCAGGATGCGCACAAACTGGCTGGAGTGATAACATGTTGGCTTGAGGATAATTTAGAGATGGGAAACGGTCAGCATGAAATAATGCAGCCTCTGGGTTAGCTGATATCGTAAGATTCGCGGTGTTACTGTGCCTTATCGCATTCCCCCCTTATCGGGATCAGGAGACTAGACGTGACGTCATTCCTGTGCGAACTTTGGAAGAGGAAGATCCGGGTGAGGACGTACGGAGTACAATAGCCAGCAATAACCCCAGGAAACTGCTGGCAAACTTCCCAGTTGCAGAGAGTCACGAAACGAACCCTGGTTGCCGAGCGCGGGATCCCGAACGATTCCTAGACGGCTCACCGAGGCTTGAGGGCCCAGCAGAAACGGGGTCCAACGGGCCAATGACAATTGGCATTCCTTACTTTACTTGATATTTATAGTGCCCTTAGCAACTTGTCCATCTATAAATCGGGGAAGCCAATACCCTTGGGGCTTAGCGTAGCAGTGCCCTGTGGTTCTGGAGACCCCGCGTCCACCCCGCCGGAGGCCACTGACCCTCTTCCCGGTTGGCGGTTGGCGGGGGCGTTTTTCTTCTTAAGGCTCTATGCGCGCTACTTGATTACTGAAAATTCTTCCCACAAGGTACCCTCCATCATAACCCACAATGGCTAAGGTTCTGGACGACATCTCTCATCGGAGATATAATCCTCTGCGCGGCTCTCATATCCTTGTTTCGCCTCACCGGACCAAGCGTCCCTGGCAGTAAGTGCAGACATGCCATGGCAATACTGCCCAGACCCTGGCTAAGCAATCTGTTTAGAGGAGCACAGGAAAGCCCCTCGAAGACTACTCTGCCGGCCTATGACCCCAAGTGCTACCTCTGCCCCGGGAACCAGCGCGCGCAAGGCGACACCAACCCTAAGTACGAAAGCACCTTTGTTTTCGTCAATGATTACAGCGCGGTGAAAGAGGAGCAGGCAGCCTATGAGGGCAACTCGGGAGATGGTATGTAACCCTATATCGCCGCAACTCCTTTCTCGCATAAGCTCACCGGCCCTAGAACTTGAGTCGCGATTCCTCAGGGCCGAGCCCGTCACCGGCAAATGCTACGTCTTGACCTTCTCTGCGGCACACAACCAAACGCTAGCCGACCTGGCCCCCATCGAGATAGTGCCGGTCATCAATGCCTGGACTGAGATCTATGCGGCCCACCTGTCGCCCAAGTCCCCGCTCGCACAGAACGCCCCGCCTACCACCATCCAGCCTACCTCGCCTCACGCCAGTGTCACCAAGCCAAAGGAGCAATACCGGTACATGCAGATCTTCGAGAACAAAGGCGCTGCGATGGGTTGCTCCAACCCACACCCCCACGGCCAGGTCTGGACCACCAGCACCCTGCCCGAGGAGCCTGCCGCCGAGCTGGAGCAGCTGCGCCGGTACCGCCAGGAGCACGGCGGTAGCCACTTGTTGGAAGACTACGCTACACTAGAGAGCAAGAAGCAAGAGCGCGTGGTCTTCGAAAACGAGAGCTTCGTTGTTGTGTGCCCCTGGTGGGCGACCTGGCCCTTCGAGACCATGATCGTCAGCCGAACTCACAAGCGCTCGCTCGTCGATCTGACCGAGGCCGACAAGACTCTACTCGCCGAGGCGATTGCGGAGATCACGCGCCGCTACGATAACCTTTTTGAGACCCATTTCCCTTACAGCATGGGGATTCACCAGGCGCCCCTGGAGGGCACTGATGAGGAGTTCGAGGCCTCATACTTGCACTTGCATTTCTATCCACCGCTACTGCGTAGTGCCACCGTGCGAAAGTTCTTGGTCGGGTACGAGCTCATGGCGGAGCCTCAGCGCGATATCACCCCGGAGCAAGCTGCGGCCCGTTTACGAGGTTGTGGTGGGGAGTTGTATCGGAAGAAGCTGGAGTAGTACTGCGTATGTCCAGTGGAATTAGCATTACGCCAGAATCTCCCAGTCCCGGGGAACCCGAAAATGTAAAATTAAATTTTGTATGGCCGAAATGTAATGGAAATCCATACGAAGTCACCCAAGCCTATGTCAACTGCGGCCTGGCTTCAGTTGTATATTTTGTAAGGACTGAGAAAAGCGTAGAAACGGGATAGAACATAGTTTTGGGGGGATGCAGTCAGGTGAGATCGCTCCAGGAGCGCACTTATGCACCCAGGTAGAACTCCCGCTGGGTCAGCATCCAAACCAGCGAGGAAGACGCCACAAGCAAAGGGCTCATGGCACGGCCCTTTAAGCTGGCATTGCCGAACACGAATTCTCCCAAGAAGTGCGTCAATGCAATGCCATAAGTCCACATGGCGAGATTGTACGCGACCGGGTTATCGATGTTGTAGGCAGCGGTGAAGCGCACGACAGCTGAGAGGAAGGTCCAGGTACCAAAGACGCGACCGGACAGAGCCTCTACGGGACGAGTGCCATTGGTGTAGAGCTTCGAGGTGTAATCGGCGGAGGCGTAGGCTTGCAGACTATTGACCGCGGAGACGACGGAGACCTGAAAGGAGTAAGCAGAGATTCCGTGGTAAGATGGAAGGTCCCACGCACGATGACCAGCCATTTGGGCAAAAGACCCTCAGAGGAAGGGAGGGATTGAAGCAACGCGTCCATGTCGTGGGGTCTCGTATGCGGCGTTCTCCAAGGTACAGAAAATGGTGGGCTTGTGAAGGAAACGACCGAGGTCCTGGGGGCCTTCTTGGCGTTGATCTGCCCCAACAAGCTCTCCCTAGTAACCTTTTTTTCTTCTTTCCTAGTCACTCCCCAATCCCCTCACCATCTGCCCTCGACACAAAATGGAGATTTCAAAGCATATCGAATGCCTCTCGAAATGGCCCGAGCACTATCCCAGCGGGTCTGCCTGCGCTGGGTGCTCTAGCACTTCTTGCTACTGGTGGTCTAGCCATCGCGTTCAGGGTCTGGAGCTTCTTGCGTGTGATCCTGAGTTTATTCGTCCTCCCGGGGAAATCGGTATGATACGTTCTTGGATTCATGCGTTTTACTTTTCGGTTGGATTCTAATATGTATGCTGTTCCCTAGCTCCGTTCTTTCGGTCCCCCTGGTAGCTGGGTCGTGGTCACTGGCGCATCTGATGGTCTCGGCAAGGAATTTGCGCTGCAACTGGCCAAGGCCAGGTTCAACCTCGTGTTGGTCTCCCGTACCGAGTCAAAGCTGGTTGCCCTGTCAGAGGAGATCACCAAGAAATTCCCCAATGTAGAAACTAAGGTCTTGGCCATGGACTTCGCCCGCAACGCCGACGAGGACTACGCGGCCCTAAACAAGCTGGTTTCTGAGCTGGACATTTCCATCCTCATTAACAACGTCGGCCAGAGTCACTCCATTCCCGTCCCCTTCGCCTTGACCCCCGCCGAGGAGATGAACAACATCATCACCATCAACTGTACCGGAACCCTGCGCGTCACCCAGCTCATTGTGCCCGGCATGATCCAGCGCCGCCGCGGTCTGATTCTGACCATGGGCTCGTTTGGCGGCCTCCTCCCAACTCCCCTCCTGGCCACGTACTCCGGCAGCAAGGCATTCCTGCAGCAATGGTCCACCTCTCTGGGCTCCGAACTAGCGCCCCACGGCGTCACCGTCGAGCTGGTCCAGGCCTACCTGATCACCTCCGCGATGTCGAAGATCCGCCGCGCGTCAGCCACCATCCCGACGCCGCGCGCATTCGTGCGCTCCGTTCTGTCCAAGATTGGGCGCAGCGGTGGATCTTCCTCGTACGCATATACCTCCTCTCCTTACTGGAGCCACGGTGTCATGGCCTGGTTCCTCACCTCGGTGACTGGAGTGATGGGATCGTTCGTTGTTTCCCAAAACAGGTCTTTCCATGAATCGATCCGCAAGCGTGCGCTGCGCAAGGCAGAGCGTGAAGCGCAGAAGAAGAGCACTTAGACCGGCAATGCCAAAATCTGTCAGCATTATGTGATACCGGCAAGGGTCTGGGATGCAGGGCCGGAAGTTAGAAGGAGGGGGAAGTGGAGAAAACCCAAAAATTGTATAGCCTTACGGCTCGATCGAATGGCATGCTTTAAAAGATCGATCTTCAAATAATGGCGCTAATCCTTCTAAAATCGTCTCATCCCGGATTCTCCCCGAACCTCCTCCCCGAACCTTCTCAGGTGGATTAGCATGCTTCGCGTTTAGAGGTTAAGCAGTCCTGGTCCACAGACCCTTGGCATATCCATCTTAGCGCCAGAGTGGCTATATGAGATGAGTCCCTGGGCGTGAGTGGGGTGGTTGTTTCAGGGTTTTGGTTAGTGATGCCGGATAGATGCCGTACCCATCTGAGGTTCGAGGCCTTCCTTGTCAGTGACGCTAGAAGAGTTGCACGTCCAGAAGCCCATCGGCCCATTAGCCGGTTTGGGACTTTGAATTTGAGAATGCTCCCGCGAATTGTATCCGCTACGTATCCTTGGCAGTTGTAGCAGAGGCCTTACCCCGGGGATCTTGATCTTGTAAGGCTGTCAAAAGGATCCCAGGTAGATTCCTGCATTCAAGATCGCCATCTAGAGATCAGCATTCTGCGGGTAAGCATCTTCCATTTGGAGGAAATAGTAGTTGTGCAGTCCTTGGATGCCAGGGAGGAATATCCCGGAGAAACATAGTCTGGGATGATGCATGGAGGCGTGGTAGCCCTCGGAAATTGTGGCATCGTAGACCATGCCAGACTCCATACGAGATCCTGTCACCGTCTCACGAAGATTCAAGTCCATTCCAAATAGAAGTCTCAAAAATGGACCTGGGGAACGGCTGCTAGTGGGTGAGTGGGCACCACCCAAAATCACAAACTCCATTGTTTTCAGTGGCTGCGGCGTTGCAATGGACCCGGAGGATCTCAAACACAGTAAGGGCAACAGCAGATAGCTCAGCCGTGTCGGGTGATGTGCCCGGCTAAACAGAGGGACTCATCGGAAGCGCTTCAGGCGCCAGGGCTACGAGCTCCACCTCGAAATCCTGTATGAAGCCTAGGTTGGTATCGAAAGACGGGCAGTTGAGCACCTGTTGGAGCCCACGTCCGAGGCCCACGCGGGAAAGGGATCTAGATCCGTTTCATGGAGAACGAATCGCGGGCGAGTCTGGTCGTCAGGCCCACTCCGCATGAGGTGTGGGATGCTGAAACGCGGGTGTATCAGATACACGGCTCGACTGGCGCAAAGTGGATCTCGGGTTGGTCGACCGTTGTACATCGAGTGGGCGTTGGCCCAGTGCCAAATCCCAGACTTTTTTCCAGAAGATTGTTGTCTCGACCAACGGCCAAGCCTGGTTGATTCAAACTTTTAATTTGGATATCTCCTCCGCTTCCCGGTTTCCTGCTGATCATGGCTTGGGTGCCTCACGCTTTGACGCAGAAGACGTGGGAACACGAAATAGCACACGAGCCCCTTCAGGAGCCCCTTCAGAAGCCCCCCTCCTCGCCCTTGCCCTGCTCGTCTACTGGTGATCTGCATGTATTTTAGTAATGCCCTGCCCCGCGCCTCTTCGACCCCCATCTGGTTTTCCCTGATCAGACTCCCACGGGTCAATATATGGCTAGGCTGGTCCCTGCGGGACAAATAGGTCGCTGTGTTTCTAGTTTGTCTCGTCATGTCGGCTCTTCGTGGCACGCCTTCACATAGCCTGGACCAGAATTGGCTCGGCAAGACAGATATTGCTGTGCAAACTGTCTTGCTGGTAGTTGCCCTGGTCACTGTGGGATTGAGACTATGGTCCCGACGCTTGATGTGCTGTTGGATACAAGGGAACGATTGGTTCATTGTGGCTGCAGTGGTAAGGATCGTATTTTGATATCTATGCTCCCACTTCGTATTTTTGGTGTACTGACTTCCATCCCCGTCTCGGATATAGATCGTGGCGACTGGTCGCTACGTGATAGAACTGTTGTTGGTTCTATCTTGCGGCATGGGTCTACACGAGGCAGATGTGCTGTCTATGAGAGGCGCAAGGACCATCGAGAAGTTTTGGCAGGTAAGCGTTAACCCTGCAGAGAAGCCTTTGAATATCTCCTGAAGATAGTAATAGCTGGGGTCAATCATTCTAACACTTGTCTAGCTTGTATTTGCCGGTGATCTCCTTTGGATCTTAGCCGCTACTCCGATCCAACTATCTATTCTGCACTATTACCTCCGGACATTCTATCGTCGGGTTGTCAGGTGGCTTACCTATGGCCTAATCGGACTGAGCTGGGCGCTGGGGCTTGCAAGCCTCCTCGCACATATCTTCCTTTGCAGCCCCGTGGAAAAGATGTGGCAGCCCAAAGGCGATGGGCGATGCGGTAACCGCCAGATGCTCAATATTGGCTCAAATGCTAGTGAAGCAATCTTGGAGGCCTTGATCTTCCTTAGCACTATCCCAGCGTTATGGAACTTGGAACTGCCATGGGGTAGAAAGATGGCAGTGGGAACTACCTACATCCTGGGTATGATGTAAGTGTTGAACTGGCTTTTGCTAGGCCGCTGTTCCGTTGCAAGAGCGTATTCTAATGTTGAAAATAGGATTATCGCCGGCACTGCCGTCAACAGCAAATTCGGATCCGACATCGATCGACAGGATCTGACTTACAGTTCGGCCCGCACGTCCCTCATGTCATGTGTGATTCTGCTCTTGGGAGTGATTGTTGCATGCATCCCCTCACTGGAGCCGGTGGCAGTGCATCTCTTCGGATCTACAGGGTTCCCTCCAGCGAGAGACCCTCGTTACAATAGGAGTACAGTCTTCGGTACAAGCAAGACCTTCAGGACCACGGTGTCTGGGCGCCAGGTCGAAGAGCTTGAGGTGCCTCTTGTTTCCATAACCCAGCCTCCGATGGTGAAAAGACTGGCCGAGGTTGAGCTGGCTCATGGGTCTATCTTTATCACCTCGGACTGGGAGATTCATTCTACACGGAACTCTACTCGTAACTCTGTACGGAACTCGAGACGAATGGAAAATCAATATGTCCGAAGCGGATAATCCGCGCTCGGCCCAGCCTTTGCAACGACGCTACGTATATTCCAACCGAACGCCAACAGATTAGACGTTGTTCCAATAGTAACTTCGGGTCCGGGCTCTACTCCTGCTGAATTCATTGGGCTGATTGTGGCTGATAAAAGTAATGCTACAATCATGTCTCGTACCCTATTGAAGCTGAACACTAGTGTTGGGTTCCGGGCCTCTAGATAAAGATCAGGTGCGTCTGATAGCCATTACCGCATTCACTTTGAGCATAACTTTTATACAAGATACGCGCGTGGATAACTACCCTGCGGTAGAAGAAAACGCCGTGGCCGTCTTATCCGCAGTGGAGCCATGGATGCTCACCGTATCAGTGGGTGGCTCGCGGATTTCTCCACTTGAAAATCTTGTATCTCCACTGAATATTCAATCGCGGCCAATCAGCAAACTGTGATTGTTCCTGTTTCCTTCGCCAAGAAGTGGTTACAAATAGACCAGTGCCGACAGCCGAAGCGTCGCTGTCGTATCGGATTTTCTTTTGTTGGTCTAGTTGTGCTGGTTCTTTCCTTGAGATTTTACAGGAACCACGCTCGCCGCGACTTCCCCCCTGACCTGCGCGCATCTTGCACGCCCAAGTCTTCAACAACGGGCATCGCAGACTTCTTGACGTTATAGAGGGTCTACCGCACCCCCGCAAGCGTGGGCATCGGTATCAACGGGGAACCCGGGGAGAAGCCATGTCAGCCCTCAATGCTGGAGGCGAACTGCCTAAGCTTCCTACCAAGATCTCATACTGGCGGCTCCTGTTTGACCAGAAAGTCATCACCGAAGATGTCGCTCGATACCCGTACCCCGGTTCAGGGACCGAGGAGGATCCGTTTGTTGTAACTTGGTTGCCGGACGACCCCCGCAACCCGATGAACTTCAGCAACTTCAGGAAATGGTACATTACAATCCTCGTTTCGATAGTGACGCTGGCGGTCGCATTGGTCTCATCTGCGTATTCCGGGGGAACCAAACAAATCATTGAGGAATTCCACACCCAACAGGAAGTCGCCATCCTGGGTGTCTCATTATTCGTGCTTGGATTCGCTATTGGGCCTTTGATCTGGGCGCCGCTGAGCGAGATGTATGGCCGGCGCCATATCTTCACTTTTACCTACATGTGCCTGACCGCATTCAATGCTGGTGCGGCGGGCGCCCCGAATATCCAAACCCTGATCATCCTGCGCTTTTTCGCCGGCGCCCTTGGCTCGTCTCCCTTTGGAAACGGCGGTGGCACCATCTCGGACATGTTCAATGCTTCGCAGCGTGGGATTGCCGTGAGTCTTTTCGCCGCCGCGCCTTTCCTTGGCCCGACGATTGGTCCGGTGGCGGGAGGATTCCTCGCGGCCGGCGCAGGTTGGCGCTGGGTGGAAGGGCTTCTCGCCGCATTCTCCGGTACTCTGTGGCTTTGCGTGATCTTCTTTCTCCCTGAGACCTACGGTCCTGTTCTTCTTCGCCGCAGGGCCGCGCAGCTGTCTAAAATGAGCGGCCAGGTATATCGCAGTAACCTCGATATTCAACGCGGAGATATCTCCACACTCAAGACTCTTAAAGCGTCCCTCTCTCGCCCTTGGAAGCTTCTGTTCCGGGAGCCAATTGTGATTTTATTTTCGATTTACATGTCAATCATCTACGGTACGCTGTACATGCTTTTCGCAGCTTACCCCATTGTCTACCAGGAGGGCCGAGGCTGGAGCGAGGGAATTGGCGGTCTTGCGTTCATGGCCGTTCTTGTGGGGATGCTTATAGCCATTTCACTCACATTCCCCATTAACGCGAGGTACAGGAAGAAGTGCGCCCAGACAACCGATCGACTGCCGCCAGAGGTCCGGCTGCCACCTGCCATGTTGGGAGGTGTCGCTCTGCCAATTGGACTCTTCTGGTTCTCATGGACCAACTCCCCGAGCATCCACTGGATGGCATCTATCGCTGCCGGTGCGCCGTTCGGCTTCGGCATGGTCATGGTCTTCCTGAGCGTCTTCAACTACCTCGTTGACTCGTATACGATCTTTGCGGCGTCCGTTCTGGCTGCCAATTCTCTGCTCCGATCTCTATTTGGCATGGCCTTCCCGCTTTTCACGACGTACATGTACCAGAACCTGGGCATCCACTGGGCGTCGTCTATCCCGGCCTTTTTATCGCTTGCATGTGTGCCATTACCATTTTTGTTCTACAAATACGGTGCCCGAATTCGTAAGCACTGTACTTTTGCAGCCGAGGCAGACGCGTTCATGCAAAAGCTTGCGGAGAAAAATCAGGCTGCCAACCGACCAGAAGAACGATCGGAAGAGAAAGCAGAAGAACGACCGGAAGAGAAAGCAGAAGAGAAATCAGAAGGGGATAACGACTCTGGTGATATCAGTGAGACCGACAGTCTGTCGACTGTTCCTTCGCGTGTTTCGCTTGGCCGCCGTGCGTCGCGAGCGTCGCGTCAATCCGGACGCTCTATGCGCCGCACCGTGACTGCTACACAGTACGAAGAAAATCTTTTTGACCTAGATCTCGTCAACACTCGGAACTCAGCGATCAGCGGTCACAAGAAAAATTGATTCAGCATTCTAGATGAGGTGGCAAATATGATGTGATGCAAGAAAAGAGGCATACTCGTTTGTGATAGGCAAGCAAGCAACTGAGGTTGACTCCCTACTTAGACTGAAGGACACTGCCACAACCCTCATGAACTATCTCTGTTTACTCTAGATTATTCATATATATATATCTATTTAATAATATTTGCCCTTACTACTACTGGCAATGCCTGAGTCTAGTAACATGCTACTCTGCGTTCTAGGATCGAGCGGCGGAGAACACCAAAGGTCGGACTGAGTCCCATTGCATGGGTTTACAATCGGGAATAATCGCGCGTCATATCGACCACTAGCTCTAGGAGGCCATGCACCAACCTATCCAGGACTTCAAACCGCTCCAAGGTGATGCAAATGCAGCTAGTCCTTCGTTAACTTAGTTCCTTGATCACTCATCACTGAAGACCCACAGCCTCGGCCCACCTCCGCCTCGGGCCAACCGCAACGCGGTATATACAGCCACCAAGACCCTTTTAATCTGTCATCACACTGCAGGACATTGATAATTCATAATTCATCCTAGAGGCCCCTCAATTGATCAAGATGGCCGGCAAGATCGATGCTTATGTTGACTGCGGTACGGTCCCGCCTGACTTTAGAAGCCAGCCTTGGAGAGCTTTAGAACCCCCCCTGCAGCGAACACTAACCCATCCCCAGTGTCCCCATACTCATACTACGCGACACAGTACCTGCGGCGTAACCGCAAAGCCCTAGAATCACATGGGGTCGAGGTCGAGTAGGGCCCCCCCCCCCCTGCTTCGCTCAGGTCACACACATGACACATACTCACTGCGCCAGATTCCATCCGATCTTCCTTGGCGGCGTTAACGTTGGATCTGGTAAGATACGCTTTTGTGCCGTATTCTCGCGAAGCTGCAATTCCTAACGACCTCATCCAGGAACAAACCCCCGTGGACCCTCCCTGCCAAAGGAGCCTACAGCAAGTTCGACTCGGAGCGTGCCTGCAGATACTTTGGGGTACCACCGATCAGACCCCCAGATTTCTTTCCCATCCTATCAATTTTGGTAAACAGCTCTCCAAATTCCCTTCCGGAGTCTTGTGTGTCCCAGAGCTTACAATAGCAGCCGCAACGGTGCATGATCTACATCAAGCGCCACTACCCGCGCGAGCGCTACGAAACGACCTTCCTTCTCCTCTGGAGTGGATTTTCCATAAGAACATCGATATCAGCAAGCCCGAGAACCTCGCCGAGCTTCTCCAGAGCCATGGCTACTCCGACGACGAGGTGAAGAGTATCCTGGGCGCAGCATCAACGTCCGAATTTAAGCAGGCATTGACAGATAATACGCAAGCGGCCCTTGACAAGGGCGCGTACGGTGCTCCGTGGTTCTGGGTCAGGAATAAGGAAGGGAAAGAAGAGCCATTCTTTGGCAGCGATCGGTATGTGCATTCCCCCATAGCTCGGGAGTCATCGGCAATCTGACGTGGACAGGTTCGCATTCATGTGGCAATACCTGGGGTTGCCTTTTCAAGATATTGCGATCTTGGAGAAGTCCAAAATGTAATGGGACCACATATTTTGAATCCTGGGAGGGGTTATCGAACTGGTCGTGTCATTGCTTTCTATTCGAAATCAGATGGGGTCGAGCGGACCGCGAGGACCGCACGGCCCGCGGGAGTTCCACGTTCATCCGATCGAGGAAGCATCGAGCGAGACAAGTCGACGAGTCAGTAACCCAGTGAGCCTGTCTGTCTGTGTATATAAAGGAGCCTGTGCACATTCGTAGCATCAATCCATCCATCCACCTCTGGGCATCCAACCTTCCTGTTAAGCTCGGATAAAGGAACCTGATATCCGCTCCCACCCGATACCGACAGAAACCCCACGTCAGCCCCACGTTCTAAAGCTTGAGATAAAAAGACTACTATAAAAGCTCCACCTGCGTAATCCTCACAAACCTGCTTTCCAACTACACACTACACCTCGACTCACCCAATTGAAACCCCGTCCCCCCCAAAATGCCTGGAGAACGCGTCGCCTTCATCGGCCTCGGCAATATCGGCCGCGTACGTCTAGCCCTAAAAAACCCCCCAGTACCTAAGAAAAAGAAACCCTCCCCCCCAAACTGACCAAAGAAACGCAGGGGATGGCCCTGAACATCGCCCAGAAAGGCCCTCAATCCAGCCTCACCCTGTACAACCGCACCACCGCGCGCGCAACTGCCTTCGCCGCCACTCTAGACAACAAAGCCCGCGTCGCAACGACACTCCCCGACGCCGTCAGCAGCGCAGACATCATCTTCACGTGCGTCGGCGACGACGCCGCGCTCGAAGCCATCATCGAGGGCATCCTGGCCGAGGGGGCGGACGTGTCGGGCAAGACCTTCGTGGACTGCTCGACCGTGCACCCGGATACCTCGCGGAAGGCGGAGAAGGCGTTCGAGGCGCGCGGGGCCGCCTTCGTCGCGAGCCCCGTATTCGGGGCGCCGAATATGGCGGATGCGGGACAGCTGATTGTCGTGCCGGCGGGCAAACGGGCGGCGATTGCGCGCGCGGCGCCGTGGTACGAGGGTGTCACGGCGCGGGCGACGATTGACCTTGCGGAGAATGGCGGGGATGTCGATGTGGGGAAGGCGGCGACGCTGAAGTTGTTGGGCAATACGTTTATTTTGAATACGGTTGGTGTGCTGGCGGAGACGGTGACGGCGGCGGAAACCTCCGGGCTGGGGGTGGGGCCGTTACAACAGTGGATTGAGTTGTTTGCGCCGGGCCCGTTTGCGAAGTATGCATCGCGGATGGTGTCGGGGGATTATTATCAGCGGGAGGAGCCGCTTTTCGCGGTGGATCTCGCCAGGAAGGATTTGAGGCATGCGTCCGGGTTGGCGAAGGCGGGGGGCCAGCGGATGAGGAATGTCGAGGTGACCGATCATTTGCTGCAGATCGTGAAGGCGGAGAAGGGGGCGAAGGGGGATATTGCAGGTGTCTATGGGGCGGCGAGGAAGGAGGCGGGGTTGAAGTATGAGAATCAGTGAATCAGTGATGGTGGTGAGATACGTTGGTATTGGCATAGAAGAACCGGGGGGGGGGCAAGAGATGGAAGATAATTAATATGCAAGTAACATTGGAGTGTTTTTTGAAAGCTATTTTTTCCCCCCCAAGCCATGATTATTACAAGCCCATTTCCTTTTCAAAGGTCTCCCGAGGCTAGCTAATTGGATATCCGAACACAGGCAAAATGCAGGGGAGAAGGCAACGTTAGACGCGTTAAGATATTTTGTACAGGGAAAGGGAAAAATAAGAAAAGAGAAAATGGAAAAAAGTGAGAAAGGGGCTCATAAATCGCGTTGGTTCAAAGCAATCACAAAGCAACAACGATTACTCCTGCTCAGGGATCGAAGCAGGAGGAGCAGTCTCGGCAGTCTCGTGCTGCTGCTCCTCCGAGATCCCCTCCTTGGGCTGGGTGGAACCCTTGATGTCCTCCATGATGCCATCGGGGGCCTTCCAGCTGGAGCTCTTCCAGGGAGGACCCGCAGAACGTACATGGTATCGACCTCCTCGAGAGTGCGGCCCTGGGTCTCGTTGACGAAGAAGAAGACCACGAAGACGGCAGCCAGGTTGCAAGCAGCAAAGACATAACCGTAGTTGAAGTCGATGTTGCTGTTGATGAAGGGGGTGAAGAAGGAAATGAGGAAGTTCCAGGTCCAGTTGGCTGCGGTGGCGATACCCATGCAGGTGGCCCGGTAGCGGAAGGGGTACATCTCACCACAGATGGCCCAGACAATGGGACCCCAGGTGGTGGCAAAGCCGACGATGAAGAAGCAGGTGAAGACAATCATCGCAACACCGGCAGGGTGCGAGGTGGGATCGGAGTGCAGGACCTGGTGACCGACACTGGCCCAGATCAGGAAGCAGATGAACATCCAGGCAGCACCAACCATCAGGGTATTGCGGCGACCATAGTGCTCAACGATGTACAGACCGGGCAGAGTCATGCCGAAGTTGACCGCACCGAGAATGATCTGAGTGACGAAAGAGTTGCTCAGGCCAACGCCCTGGAAGATACTGGTTCCGTAGTAGAAGATGAAGTTGGCGCCGGTCAGCTGCTGCAGCGACTGCAGAACAATACCAAGCATGGTCCGGTAGAACATCCGAGGTCCAGTGAAGATCTCATACCAGGGGGCCACACCCGCGTTGGTCTCCTCCTCCAGCTTCTGCTTCATGTCGTTCATCTCCTGTGCAACCACCCGGTGGTTGAGAGGGACACCGTACAGCTTGGCCATGACTTCCCGGGCCTCCTCCGTGCGGCCGTGACGGTAAGCGTAACGAGGGGATTCGGGGAGGAACAGGGTACCGATACCCAGGATCAGAGGCCAAGCAAACCCGATCCCCATGGTGATCCGCCAAGAGCCCGTGTTGTTCAGACGCTCGGTGCCGAAGTTGACGATGTAGGAGATGAAGATACCGAAGGCAACAAACAGCTGGAACGCGCTGACCATAGCACCCCGGACCTGACGAGGAGCAGACTCACTCTGGTACATGGGGACGACGCTGGAAAGGGCACCGACCCCCAGACCCATGACCCAACGACCGAGAGCAACCTGGTACCACTTGTCGGTGGCCGCGATTTGCACGATGATACCGACGATGTTGATCAGAGCCCAGAAAGAGATGGAGTATTTACGGCCGATGCGGTCCGCCATAGGAGCAGCCACAAGAGCGCCAATCATGGTTCCAATAGAGAGCTAAGCAATCGTTAGTTTCACACTCTGTTTTTCTTTTTTTTTTCTTTTTTTCTTTTTTTCTTTTTTCTCCCTTGCGCGTGATGCATAGCAGCTTCGGCGACTCCGGGGGAGGGGGAAGACATACCAGACCAACAATGAGACCGTTGCGAACGTTGCTGAAGAAATACTGCCCAGTCGTGTGGTTATACTCGGCGAAACGACGTTGGAAGTCCGTCATGCTTGTGAAACCCGCGATTTGGCCTATTACAAGTCAGTTCGCGCTGTTCCCCGTGAGGCAGTCAGGGCTGCAGTGCAACCATACCAGTAGAGTAACCGAAGATGAATCCACCCATGGACACACACAGACCGAGGATGAAGGATCGCCATGTCAGATACTTCACAGGGCTATCGTCGATGATGGCATGGTCCTTCTCGACAGCGGAATTCGAGCGTGCAGGAGTAGGGGCTTGTGAAGAGAAGTGCGAATCTGGGGAGGCCTTGGCCCGAGTAAACACCTTGGTAACACCCATGATGAGCAGCAATGAATGGATGTGGGATGAAGAAATAAAAACAAGGAAAAGAAAGAAGAAAAGGGAAAAGAAAAAGGTCGTGAGAGCTGAGGGACAGCGTTTATTAAATACACCAAACCAGCATGTCCCCCTTTGGGGGGAACCATGGCAAAAACTTACTGGGGGCCCGGATCTGGTGTCCCACGTTTGTCCCGGTATGGGGCAGAGGAAATTGCATTACTCCATGGGCACATCCGACTCCGTACTGCCTGCGAGTTCTACCCGGTGGAGAAGGTGGAGCAAAGGGATTCTAGCGCTGAATGGGGTTGTCCACGTGAGGCTGCTCAGCCCGCAAACAGTGCATTCCTGGGCGTGGCTTCTATATCGGGTGCAACCAGCTCTGTTTGAGGCCATGCTGGGTTGTTTGGTGTTGTGTTTTCGACGTTCCGGTTTATTTAGAATTTACCCTTCTTGATGTTTTTGTTTTGCAAAATTCCCCAGAGGCCAATGCTGGGGATGTTGGGAGCGTCGAGGGTGTTGTGCTACCGGCCCATGTCTGAGATCTGCATGCCACATTTGGAACGTTGGCATGCCCTAGACGACTGAGCCAAGCTGCCATTGCCACCTTCTAGAAACCTTCGCGATTGAGAAGCCGCCCACTGAACCATGCAATTGCGGTCCCTGGACCCAGCCAGGATGTCTTAACTCGTGGAGTCTAGAGCCCAAGACCCAACGACCTCCACGTATCACCGCGTCATGGTGACCTCTCGGCTCGAGTTAAGGAATCACGTTACGCAAAGACTTTTTCCCCTTTTGCCGGCGCCACTACAAAGGGTGGGCGCACTACGTACAAAAAATTTTCTGTTAAGCAACGCCGCTCTCGGTGGGTCGAGCTACGGATTCTTTGGACCCCACGATCACCGAAGCTTAGAGGGATTCTTTGCCCTCTAGAATAGAACTAGACACAGCTCAAGTTGCAGAAACCTTTCTCAATCTCTTGGAGAAATGACCACCCCTTTTATAAGATGCTCCCACACCCCTCGTGCGACAACTGATAAGAGGAAAGTTCCAAGCTCCAGTCTTCGGCCGTCTCCCGTGCAGAGATCGGGCTTTTTTGCTCCACTCTAGCCCAATCGGCACACCGAGTCTTGCTACCAACACATCCCGAGCCCGAGCCCACGACAAGGCAATGTTTTGATAAAAGGCCATGCTCTGATCACAGGCTCAATTGCGAAGTAGATTGGCAGCGTGATCAATACCAACCCCTAATTATAGTCCGGGTGGCATGCCCTGAGGCGAATTCGAGTTGAGAGCAGCTCGGCATCCCGAAGACGGGGATCTGCGCGCCAACAAGGGATGGCTTGGACTGGATCGACTGGGTCCAATGGCCGAAACCAGCCCATTTCTCGACCCACAGGGACCCCTTTCCATGCTGAATGGTCCAGGGTTTTCAAGTCCTCGAAGGTATCGAGGAAATTTTCCCGCGAACCAGCAGGATGCTCCTTCCTCTTACGATATACTTTACCTGGGCCATTTTGACACCCGCCCAGGTACACCTTTATCTTAGCCTTAAATCCCATCCCGACAGTACAGGGTCTCTCCAGAGGAAACCTTAATCGACGTCCTTTCGACTCTGATCTTGGCCTGCGCATTCTCCCTCATCCTCTCATCCTCCCAACCCAGCGCCGGAGACTGCAGACCAGCACATCAATGCAACCTGGCGCAGAATAATCTCAGTGGGTCAAAATCTTAGATGTTTTCTACTGGCCCCGCCCACGGAGCGTCCAGCCCACTCAGCGCACATAAACCCAGACCCACCTGGGCCGACCTCACATAGGCTCGGTCGACCAAGTTTCCTATGCAGCCAAAGTTGCATGGCATGCACGTTTTGACAACACGGAACTCATACTTGGCCCATACTCGGCGAACCAGAAATCCCCGGGCTCGCAGGGACCCCCCCCCAGATCGGAGTAATGCGGATGCCTTCATGTCATGTTATTCCTCACCCGATTCGCGCCCTCTCGTCACGCAAGGCTCTCCCCCGACAAATTCCCGAGCAGAGGTCCATGGAGACTGGTCGCAACCAGTGAACCTTGTCTAGCGCATAATACTGGATTAGAACCCTTAGGGAAAAAAAAGAATCTAGTGGCTTGACTGTACAACGGGTTACTGGCAGCCCTGGTCGCCATTTGTAAATATCGCCATGGTGGAAAGACGAGGCTTTCCCTATCCGACCGTATGCATGCAAGGTCCGTAGTGACTGTGGCGGCTCGAGCCCGTTGGGGGGGGGAAGAGGGATGCCGATGCAGCCACTGAGCACGAGAGGAGTTCGAGCATGCGCACCACAGACTCAGAGACGGCCCTTGGGTATTTGCCGGAGGGACAGCTATTCGAGTTGGAATTGAGTCCATTCCAATTTGCGATCCATGAGGCTCTCGCTTTCCGAGAACGATCACGGCCGATATGGTGAGTGGCCTAAGCTTGGCTTTGGATGTCGTGCAGCGGGCAGCTGTCAAACTCTACGGGCTCTGGGAGCACGCACGACATGGGTCGGGGCAACGCCCACGGTTTACGTTTCATCTTATCAGAGGCAATCAGGGGGGGCGGATCCACCTGGACCTCGTAAACACTTGCGAAAAAAAAAAATAGCTTCATCTGTATTTGGTATATGCAGTATCATGAAGTCAAGAACTTTTTGGTCCTGTTGACTAGGAGCTGAGCCCCCTAATATCATAAAAAGCGGGTTCACAACCAGGGTCCACCAAACCCAGGGTCGGGGTGAACCGCGTAATTGGACGCAAAACAAACAAAAGAAATCTCGAACGCCTGACACCTTTGTGCACCCGGTATTGAACCCAATCGACGAGATTATGAATGGTCGTATCATCACCCGCAAAGGAAAAAGACCTTAACGGCGCTGGGTCTTGCCCATACCACGCTTTCCGGAGAACTATGAGATGATTAGCATAAATCCATGCAAAGAATAGAAAAGAAAAGCGAAAACGAAAACGAAAAAAGGTTCAAGGGGCGAAAGAAACATACCAAGTGCTTGGGAAGCGCGGCGGTGGTGTGACGATCAGCTTCGCCCGCACGAGCCATGCGGTTCATCTGCTTCTGGCCGAGCTTGAAGAGACGCTCCGCCTTGCTACGGTTAGTCTCGTCCACAACACCATCATTACGACGATCAGTAGCAGCCTGGCTGCGGGCACGGCTCTTGGCGCGAGCGATCGCCTGGTGAGGGTCGTCCAGGTCCATCGCGTCATTGTCACCCGCATCGTCGCGGGTGAGGGGCGACCGCGCACCTGGCTCTGGGAGCGGGCCCGCGAGCCAGCAGCATCCACATCGTACCCGGCCGAGTCCAAGCCGCGCTGCATCTCGGACAGCTTCTTGGCCTTGGCGCTACGGGGGATTTGTGCCCGGTTCTTGAGGGACTTGCGCATCTTGGCCTCGTTGCGGAGCAGCACCCGCTTCTCCCGGATGAGGTCGGCCTTCATGCGAATGTCGGCATCCTCGGCATCCTCCACACTCTCGTCCGAGTCATAGTAGCCATCGGCCTCCAGCTTCTCCTCTTCTTCCTCCAGAGCAGCAAGCTTGGTCTCGATGTCCGGGTCCACGAAGTCGTAGATGTTCTTGCCGTTCCAGACTTCGGGGATCTTGTCGTATTTCCACTCCGGATCGGCCAGCGTGTAGTCACGCTGCATCGGGAAGGAGTAGACACCGGCACCGCCTTCAGCCTGCTCACGGTCGGTCTCGAGCTCTCGTCGGTTGGGGTCGTTCTTGTCGTATTTCTTCAGGTTCTTAACAGCCTCAGGGATATGAGTCTCCCGCACACCGCCCATGGGCTGGGCCACGTGGATCCGAGCGAGGACATCGCCCAGACGACCACCGGGGGTCGCGGACGCAGTACCCGACTTGAGTTTCTGTGACACTCGCTCCGCAAGAAGCTTGTCACAGGCAGCATTCTTGACGGCGGTCACACCCTCGGTGGTGGTGCAAGAAACCTGGAGCATCTCCACGTCGCCCGACTTGAGGATTTCTTGGATCGCCTGCTGCTGCTCGGGGTCCAGGTCCTCTGGGCGGCGGACATCGATCTTGTTAACAACGAGGTACACAATCTTGTTGGCGAAGAGAGGCTTGATGCTGTGGAAAAGCTTGATCTGGTCGGTGACAGAATATCCACACTGCTCAGACAGATCCATGAAGTACAGAATAGCGGAACGCAAGTGAGCAACGGCAGTGATGGACTGCATTTCGATAGTGTTCATCTCCTCCAGGGGATGGTCAAGAATTCCGGGGTATCAATGGCCTGGAAGCGCAGGTATTTATAGTCGAAGTGACCGACGAACAGGGACTTGGTGGTGAAAGCGTAAGGCTGGACATCGACATCTGCACGGGTAATGCTGCGCAAGAAGCTGGACTTGCCGACGTTGGGGTATCCACAAATCAAGAGGGTTCGGGTGTTGGGGTCGATGGAAGGGAGACGGCCCAAATGCTGACGAACCTGCTCAAGGTAGACAAGGGGGTCTTTCAGGCGACGGCAGATGGTCGCCATGCGACCGAGGGCGGCGCGCTTCAGTTGCTTGCATTGGAAGAGCGACTGTGCGTATTTAATCAAACGGACGTAGTCACGGCTGACAGTCTCGATCAGGTGCTAAATCACTATTAGCATATACTTAACATGTCGTACAGATTAGGTCGCAACAAACCTTTGCCGTGCTAACTTGTCCAAGCGCGATACGAAAATGATCGGCATCGTAAAGAGTGTTCATCAAATCCTTGTCTGTGGAGGATTAAACCCCGCTCTGAAACAGTCAAACGACAAGAACTTACGGAAGGGATGAATATCTTGCAATCGAGGGAATCCATCGAGAATGGCTTGGAACTTTTCGCAAAAGGTCTCTTGGGTGTATTTGACCTTACGAGTATAGAAACCTGGCGGGTGAAATTTTTGATTAGCGATGTTGCTTTATCGATAACCGCGATAAGTGTGTGTTTTTTTTTCTTTTGGGATCGGACTGGCCACCCGATGAGAAAGGAGGGGAGTTGGCGTTGAATGGAGGAGCGTATGTTTACCTCTAATACGGCTGATCTTGAACCCAGCCCGGATTTGGGTGGGCAGCTGGCGCTGAGTCCGGCTGAGGACGATATCCAAGAATTCCGAGCTGCTGGGCACAGGCGCAATCTAGCGGTGAAAAAGAATCAGCAGGCTATTCGGGGAGGACAGAGACTGGGGAGACCGAGAAGGACAGGGGAAGACTCACATCCTTCCAAGTGGTCTTCATGATGGGCCACGGGAGTCAGGAGGTGTGTTGACTCTGTAGTGGAAGTTGGTTCGAGTGTTTCTTCTTTCTCCACAGGAAAAAAATCATCGGCCTCCATTTTTTTCTGCCGGGCGGTGGAAATGCGGGGCCCAAGATTGGATAGCCGATACTTTAAAAAAGGATACCCAGGGCCGTACGATCTGACCAATCAGGACTCCCCACTGCGCAGCTTATCATTCCAGTCCTTCAGGGCTGCAGGCCTCTGTACCGTTTGTGTACCGTTTGTGAAGTCCTGCTACTGTGCACTTCAAGCTAGTGTTAACATACCGTATATCAATACGTATATCAATACTGTCATGCTATCTTAATATTCTAAAAATTGAACACCTCGTCACGATTTGTAGATTGAGCATTCCACTAGGATTGAGTAAATTGAGAATAAACGAACTCAAGGTATATCGCTATGCCTATAGATTGGGTAAGATCTACTGGCAAAGGCTGGAACAGAGGTAAATTCTGCTCTTCTAAAAATCTCAAGCGTGCCAAAATCACACCTATCGGCCACGAAACTCCTTAAACACCTCCTGGACAGAGCGACCAGCCTTGATACCCGCGGCGCATTTCACGTCAGCATCAGCAATAGCAGGAACCAGATCAAGGACTTTCTCGGCAAGATCCCTCGGAATGCGCACCACACCATTGAGGTCTCCAATGATATAGTCACCAGGGGCTACCCATGCTTCCTGGTTCTCAGAGTTGAGACGGACAGGAACATTGACCTCAGATGGACGACAGACTTCGCCTCCAGCAGTCGTCCCAACGGATTTGGCAAAAACAGGAAACTTCAAAGCGCGGTGCTCTCCTAGATCTCGAATTCGGCCGTCTACTACCACACCCGCAGCATTGAGAATCTGCGCCCGGAGGCTCATCAACCCGCCGTATATAGCGTTAACCTGAGGTAAGGGCTGGGAGATAAAGACGACCGCACCGTTGGGGATTTGATCAATCTGCGATTCGAGGTCTGTCAATGAATATTCTGCAAGAAGCCTTTCGCGGACAAGAAGGCTTTAGAACCCATGCATACGTAGTTCCCCTGGAGCTTTGGTGCATCCTGGTCCGACTTCGGAACAAACTTGACCGTAAAAGCCTGTCCAACAAGTTTCGTTTCTCCGGCCTGGAACTCAGGCGAGTACATTGTCAAGCCCTCAAGGAATCCTCCATTGGGATAGTTGAGCTTGGATAGGCCATCTGCAACCTGCATTCTGGGTCAGTATGATGATGCGCAGCGCCATATTTGAGTCTTTCAACTACATCACATGTACCCCATTTAGAGAGACGCTCGATGATGAGTTTCGGGTTGGACTCCATTATGCCAGTAAATGCTATTTGGTGTAAGAAGTAGCCTGTGCGGATCCAAAGTCGTCTGATTTTATAGTGTCCGTGTGATTGTCAGCCGGTCCGTTGTTCCGTCGGCAAAAGGCCGAAAGCTCGACCGTGGAGAGCTATTCGGCCTGCCCCCCGATTTTGCGTCTTCAATTTATTTTCATCGCCCATGCAGATGTTTCCAGTTGGTGAGTCACCGGTCGGTGGGTTTGGCAGTCATGGTGTCAAGCTTTGCAGTAATTCCGAGGGATTTAAACAGCACGGCATAGCCTCCTCGCCGAATCCCCACTGGTCATGGTTGAAGCGTTACTTGATAAAGGGAGAAGCAATGATTTCTGTGCTACCTCCTTCAGCGGAGACACCAGAATACTGGAGCTTGGCTCTTGCGATACGCTCCAACCACGCTAATAGCGTTGCCGCATATAGCGGTACGGTAGCTGTGTCTGTCAATTTCCGGGCCGTTACTGGAAGAGGACTTTGTAGTCCAGTCACTCCAACATTAGGGACGAATATATCAATTGCCGGCGTTGTTAGAGAAAATGCCCCGGCCACGTTGGCGGCCGTTTACTGAGGGCTTTAAATTTGCCCTATTTGATATCGATATGACACAGGCTACCTCAGAGGTCAAGATTTCGATACTAGAAGGCTTTTGCATCTATAGCCTCCAACACGCAGCTCTCTGATAGAGGATGACCTGACCTGAACGACCCGGACCCGAAAGTCAAGCGAGCCTCAGAGGGATCGCAGCTTGAGCACTGGGACGAGATTCTGGGACTCTTTTGAAGAACATCATGGCAACAGCTCAGCCCTTGAGGGAATTTGGATGTATAGGACGGAGCAATAGTGCAGTCAATACACTCCCTTTGAAGGCTAACGCTACCCTACAAGTCCAAGGGCTTGCGGAGACTAGTCAATTGAATTTTGAATAGATCAGAAGTGATGCTAAGCAGGTCTTTCATAGACTCAGTAGCTTATATATACGACTAGCGATATGAGTAGCTGTGGCACCACTCAACTTGGGGCACCAGCGTCATTCATGCCAGCAATGGGAGCAAAGTTCCACATGTATTCATCCTCCGGGGCAACTTCGAAGTCAAATCGCACTAGATCCTCCTTATAGGGGAACATGAATGTGCTGGTTACCCTAAAATTATGGTCAGCCTTTTTCGCTTCACAGGGTCGAAATGGACAGCCAACTCACCAGCGGTGCGCCTTGCTGGCTTGATACGCTTCTAACGCCTGGAGATTTTCATGAAAGCTAAGAAGTGCAATCTCGAAGCCCTTGCTTCTTTCAATGGGGTCGGTCAGAGGCGGGCCCCCGACGACCAATCGGTGCCCCTTGACGCAATCCAATCCCTTTAATTTTCTGAGCTCTCGGACGAATGCATCTTTGTGTTCCTGGGTGATTTCAGGCCGGAACTTGAACATGACTTCAATAGAGCGTTAATATGAACCTTGCCATCAGGCTCTAGAATATGCTACCCACCCATATGTACAACCGTCATTTTGAATGCGGCACTGTAGACACTCAACAAGAATCAGATCGAAAGAGATCCAAGAGGAAAATTGTGAACGAGGCTTTGTACAGACCGAAGCGTTCATTGCCATCGGCCGAAATCTCCATCGGGGCGGGGCCGACGGCGTTCTCCGACGTTCTCGCAGACCAACGACAACCAGGACTTGTGGTCTTCATATTGATTCTTTTCTATAGACTTGAACTTGAGGATGCCATTTCGTGGTATGAACGCCGAGTTCGATGGGTCCATGATGCTGGAAACCCCTTCTCCATCTCTGACCTCGCCGATGACTCGCCGACACGCCGCCTGTCTTCGCTGCCGGCGTCGGAAACAACGATGCGACGGGCAGCTCCCCGCTTGCGCCAACTGTTCTCGGGCCGGAGCCGATTGCCTCCAAGGAGTGACATCTCATAGCCTATCGCGTAGGTAAGTAAAGCATGGCTTGGAGCCTGCTACGATACCCCATTGACCTGTACCCAGTCGCATATACTATCTCGAGAACCGAGTGAAAGAGCTCGAGGGATACGAACAAGCCCGCGGTAGGAACGTCAGTTCGTCCTCTGAGAGCTTCGTGGGTAATATAGATGAGAGCACGGCTGTACATCGCCGCACATCGCCAGCCCGCGTGGTCGAGAGACCGGACTTGTCTTCGCAGCATGTTCAAGTACCAGAATCATCACCGGTGACTCAATCACCACCAGGATCCGTCCCTGGAAGCATCACTAGGGACCAGCCAATAGCGCACGAAGTCGGACTACTATCTCTGGCAAATGCCACCGACCCAAAATACCTTGGACCCTCGTCGGGAGTGGCCTTCGCGCGATTAATCTATGCGGGTGCCCCGCAGTCTCAAGGGCTGCCCTTATCCCATATTGACACGTTTAATACCTCCCAAGCGCAGAGATCACTGCCCCCTCAACCAATAGAAGCCGTTGATCTTCCTCCGCTTGCTGAATGCCAGCAGTATGCGGAGGCCTCTTTTGAAGCGATTCTTTTTCTACCATTTCTAGCGTACGATGATGTCTTCACGCTCTTGGATCACGTACATGCCTTCAACAAGACCGGGTCATGGAGCCACGATATGCCGATAACCATCGCATTTGCCCAAGTATTCTTAGTGCTGTCTCTGGGCGCTCGGTTGCTCGAGACGAAATTGAAAAGTTCATTCAATTCAAGCCCGTTACTCGAATCTGGCATGCGGTATGTCAACCAATGTGATCTTCATGAGAGCGTGGAAGGGATTCAGACTCTGCTCTTGGTGACGGTGAACAGCCTTTATCATCCCGCTGGACTGAATGCATGGCATTTAGTACATATCATAATCGCAAGTTGTCTGGATCTGGGTCTTCAGCGCCGGGTCAACCGTACGTCAGCCCTCAGATACCCCTTCTCTATCGTTCAACAATCATAACTCAACATAGGACCAAGAACAGCTGAAACAGAGGTACAGCGCAAGCGACGCTATATTCGGAGTGGTGTATTCTGGTCCGCGTATTCACTCGATCGGAGTCTTACAACCATTCTTGGCCGTCCGCTCACCCTGAGAGATGAGGCAATTGATGCGGAATTCCCTGGTATGGACCAAGGCTTTGAAGCGGAAATGGGCGCGCTCGAATGGCCTCACTCTGGAATCAATGGCAAAGAAAACGGGATAGGTCCATATTTGGCATGCATTTATTCGCTACGATTCGACCGCATTGTGGCTGAAATCAAACTGATGCTGTATCGGGTGTCGCGTTCCCCCAGTCGATTTCCATGGCCCACCAATATGGATCATTGGCAGAGTGAAGTGGAAGCCTCGTGCCATTCTCTTCTTGAGGAAGCTGAGAACCGTCAAAGGGGCCGTCACAAGGGAGATGCAGTCTCACTGTCGCTTCTAGCTGTACAGAAGCTGCAATTGAAGCATCACCAATGCATGATGCTGCTTTACCGACCCAGTCCTCAGATCACTCGACCTAGTCGCCAGGCAACTGAAAAGTGTTTCAACAGTGCTGTTGAAATTATTCGCACATCCGCCGACCTTCATCGCTTTAAGAATATGGATTGCACGTGGTTGTCCGCGCACTCAATATTTGTAGCCGCAGTCACCGTGTTCTATTACATTTGGGCGAAGCACGAAGGGATAGCTTCTATGGTTTCCCCGCGGTGTCTCGAGGTATTGGAGACCGCGCCCCAATTACTCCGGTCTTTGAGTGAAACATGGCCCGTTGCAAAGGAAGCGTCTGGAAAATTAGAAAGTCTGATATCTGCAATCAGGGACAGTCCAGACTTGCTTTCTCAACAGGGTCCATCCAACGATAGGTCCCAGGCTGCAAACGGCACGGGGTGTCATGGTGCTAGCGCTGAGGATAATATCAGTAACAATGGAAACCAAACAGACTCCTGGTCCCAGCAAGGCGCTCACTCTCTAGTAGATGAGCTTGGAATCTTACGAGATTTCTTTGACCTGGGCTGGTTGGATACTGTTACATTGGATCCTCTGCCTTTTCCTGTCAGTTAATCTACAACTCCATACGTTTTGCAAACGAATAGAAATCTCCATACGACCTCCGAAAGTCGAATGCGCCAACTTACGACAGCTGGATAGAACAGAAAGATAGCCCTCTATAATAGACCGGGCGAGTTCCGGCAAAGAGGCGGCTCGACCTCCCGCCCAGGGTCACGGGTCAATGGGAAAGCTTCAAAAGTCGGATCAAGACAAGACTCCTAAGAAGCTGAGGAAAGGCAAGAGCACAGACTTGAAATCCTGGAATGATTCCAGCAAGCGTCCTCACAAGAGCTGAAAGAACAGTTAGCATAGGCGATTATGAATGTGGAGTTGAGAAAAAAGACGGAGGTGGGATAAGCTCTTTGGTGGAATGTCAGACTAAAGAGGGAGAACGAGAGAGTCTAGATTGATCCCAAGGCTTAGGCCTGGTTTTCCAAGTCACTTTACACGAGAAGTGAAGACTATCTGGAAGTGTACCGCACCCGTATCTCTTGGTCCGACGCCTATTTCTACAGAGTCATCTCTCTCGGACGATTCTCAGAAGCCCTACTAGAGCCAAGACGTCACAGGCTTACGAAGAAATACCAAATGGAGGACAATGGTTCGTAACTGATCAGCAATCCGAGGGATGACTACGGGGTATTACTTAAAAGCCTGAAATTGAAGATGGGGATCAAAGAGAGCATCCCCTGATTGTCGAACCCCTACAGTCTGAGAATACTGGGCTATCTACCCCGTCTGACGCAGTAAGCCGAGCCTACAATACGGATGGCTCGACCGTCTCAAATCCTTATTCATCAACCGGTACAGACGAAGAATAGGATGGAGAGCCAGCTAAGGCTTCGGAATAGAGTGACTGCGATGTGACAGGACGCCAACATTTGGAGAAAGCTTACGAAAGTTGCACCTCTTATGGGCAGTGAATAGATTGCTTGATTATTACGGCGTTGGTCAAGGAGTGTGCTATAGAAGGCCTGACCCTATTGCTACCAACTGTTTTCTCTCATTCTTTATGCTTCGCAAGATTTCGACAGGAAACCTGGGCTCAGACCATTTAGTTCAAAGCTACGCACGATTTAAAATGCTCCACCAGAGAACATAATCGCTATACTGAATGGATGGCGCTGCCGAGATGAACTTTGGTAGACTGGCCGGAATTCAGATCCAATCGACCAGCCAATTTTAGAGAAGTTACCGAGCTGATACGCTTGGACAGAATTCTGCGTCATCACCTGAAGAACGTTTCATGAACACGTCTAGGCCCAGATGGGCCGAGCCCACTCCTTGGAAGTCAAATGTCTACCTTGATGTTCTTCAATAAGTGAAAAGATACGCATAATCAATCGAGATGCCAGGAGGCTGCAAGAATGGAAAGGGCTACTGACTCTCTTACTTGGATGGCTAGGTGCATAAATACTGCCTTCTCTTTGGCTGAATGTGCTAGATCGAAATTGATCGACTTGTCCAACTTTTGGGGGGCACAATCGAGGTATTTCGTAGCGTTAATATGATGTGAAACAAGCTTTCTTAGACCAGAGCCGCCTCTAGAGACTCAGCCTATTCAACCAAAGAGTTCGATCAGATTGATAATGTTCAACGGAATGATCTTTCCCCAACGTCCTTTCTTCAATACTGTGAATTCGTTTTGGTTAGTATACGTATGGATCCGGGCATAAATAGCCCTGGAGCACTAGTGAAACATGACTAAGCCAAGGCATAACCTACCCAGGTACGTCATGGGGCTCTGGATCTCATCTCACAGATCGCAGTACTCGCCCACTTCCACCACACCCCAGTTTCACAATGAACGGGGACGCCCAATCAGGCCACGGGCCTGCATCTGGTCCCAGCAGTACCAGCCAGAGAAAAAGGTACGCCCCGATTGACACAGCATCCCCAGACTCGAACCCCAACTCACCCCAGCAAGCATCCACTGGGCACCACTCAACGTCGGCCTAGAACGACGACTCCAGACCTTCTTCGTGCTCTGCCACACTCTGACAATCGCAATCTTCCTAACGATCTTCTTCTTCACCTGCACAATTCCACTCTTCTGGCCGCTCCTGCTCCCCTACCTCGTCTACATAACCCTCTTTTCCACTGCCGCAACCTCCGGGCAGCTGAAAGGCCGCAGCCCATTCCTCAAGTCCCTCCCCATATGGAAGCTCTACGCCTCATACTTCCCCGCCCGGCTGCATCGGGAGCAGTCTCTCCCCCCAACAAGAAAATACATCTTCGGCTACCACCCACACGGCATCATCTCGCACGGCGCCTTCGCTGCCTTCGGCACCGAAGCGCTCGGCTTCTCGAAGCTCTTCCCGGGCATCACAAACACTCTGCTCACGCTGGATGCGAACTTCCGCATTCCGTTCTACCGCGAGTACGCGCTTGCGATGGGGCTAGCCAGCGTGTCGCGGGAGTCGTGCGAGAACATCCTCACGAAAGGCGGTGCGGATAACGAGGGGATGGGCCGGGCGATTACGATCGTTGTGGGCGGGGCTCGCGAGTCGCTGAATGCGCAGCCGTATCACATTTCGCTGGTGCTGAAGCGGCGGAAGGGATTCGTGAAGTTGGCGATTCACACGGGGGCGGACCTGGTGCCGGTGCTGGGGTTTGGGGAGAATGATATCTATGACCAGGTGGACTCGGATCAGCATCCGTTGATTCATAAGTTGCAGATGCTGGTGAAGCGTACGATGGGGTTTACGATTCCGCTGTTCCATGCGCGCGGGGTGTTCAATTATGATGTTGGGCTGATGCCGTATCGGCGGCCGCTGAATATTGTGGTTGGCAGGCCGATTTCGGTGATGCAGCAGCAAGATCGGAACAAGGTCGATGATGCTTATATTGATCAGCTGCATGAGCAGTACGTGACGGAGTTGCAGCGCTTGTGGGATGAGTACAAGGATGTCTATGCGAAGGATAGGGAAGGCGAGCTCGAGATTACGGCGTAGGAAGGTAGTGGTGCTTTTGTAGGGAGCCTGGGGGGTTTCTTTCATCTAGTGAAGTCTATGTTCATACTGCATTCTCATTCTGACGTAGGTACATTTTTGGCATTCTATCAAGGCATCCTCAGATACCCGGGTAGCATATGTTCATCGTGAAGGGAAAGATCAAGGAAATTTCAAACAATACAATGCTGCTAAGATCATAGGGCTAGACCAACAAAACAAAGCATTTCAAACAAGAGCGTGAACATGAATGGTATATACAAGATGGAGGGGTATCAGATTAATAGAGAAGCGTCAGTATAAGCACAAGAACGAGGTAGCTTCAGACCTCGTGGAATTACAGTGGGGGGGGAATTCGGGGCAGTGGCGAAATTGGGGGTGATAGACTCTGAGGGAGCAGGAACCGGAGGAACAGGCGCAGGCATCTTTGGAGTTGGTGTAGGAGTCGACCTGGCTGCATTGAGAGCAGAGACCTCGGCAGTAGAAACACGTCGGCTGTCGATCGAGCCGCGCTTCACATGCCCGATCTGAATCATTTCGTCGAGCATTCGGGAGACTTCATCCATATTCTTGGTACGGTCTTCCTCCTTGTCCTTCTCCTTGTCTGTGGCCTCGGTCTTATGAGGCGCGGAAACGGCCCGTGGGCTCGAGATCCTGGGACTCGACACTCTGGGACTCGACACCCTGGGACTCGACACTCTATGCGTTCCCCCACCGGATTCAATTGGGCCGTGAATTTCCGATGCAATGGACTCTCGGGGACTCTTCATCTCGGGAGATTGGGCCTCGTTGGTAACAGCGGCATCACGGTGTCGGGCAGCGGATCTCAGAGCAGAGAGCATGCGATCCTTGTCATCAAGCTGGATCCGGAGCTCGTTGATCTCGTGGTCCTTCTCGCGCAGCAAGGTTGTCATGTCCGGATACTCAGCAATGGTTGCGCTGGAGGGTGTCTTGACACCCATGGACGACGCGCGGGAATTGCTCGACCGTCGAGCTTGAAGAAGGCGTCGCTCAAGGGTCGAGATGTATCGGTTCTTGTCGCTCAAATCGGCCTGCAATGCTGCGACTTGGCGCTGGAGACTGGCCCTGCCATCGCCGAATTCACCCATGTCCTCATCCTCGTCCTGAAATGAGCCACCGGGGTATGTTGTTGCGGTGTCGGTGCTGTTCGTGGACATAAAGGACATCGGCCGAATCGAGGATGTGTGGGCACCCAGGGTAGAGTGACTAGCCGACGACCGAAGGGAGCGAGTGCCAGCATCAGTGCCGGACATTCTTGAAAGACGCCCAAAGGCAGAGGACAGACTGTTATGATTGTTGACTCCAGTGGATTTGGAGCTCAGAATGAGACGGTTGAGATGCTCGATCCGTTCCTTGAGGGCCGTACGGGCCAGTTGCATTTCCAGTACCTGCTCCTCATGCCGAACCTGGGCCTCTTGTTCAAATTTCTGCTCGTCCCATTTGAGCTCCTTCTCTTGCTGTGCCTTGGCCTGGGAATCAAGCTGGGTCCGGAGGCTCTGGATCTCCATGCGATAGCGTTCGAGCAGAACACGGCTGCCATCGCCGCCGCCGGCACCATATGCTTCCTCGGCCTTCTTCGCGTGGCTGACAATGCTGTTTTTGGCTCGCGCAGCGAACTTGAGAGTGTTGATAGTTTCGCCAGACGTGGCGTTCACTCCAGATACCAATTGGATCGTACAGAGGATACTAACAAGAGAGTTACCGGAAAGCGCGCCCTGGAGCAACCTGGTCAACTTGCTATCTCGATAAGGCAAGTGCCGGCCTTCTTTATCGGCGGCGTTTCCTTGCTTGTCCTTCGCATCAGATAGCTTCGAGATGATATTGCCCAAAGTGAGCAAACTCTTGTTAATATGCGCACCCTCGGTTCGGCGCTCCTTATCATCGGCTGCACGCTCGGAGCCCGCTAAATCAATCAGACTCAGAGTTGATACGCGAACACCGCCAGGCGCGATTCCAGATCTTTTATCCTGCGAGTTGCTGGAAGGCACACGCTCTCGACTTTCGACGACGATTTGCACAACAGCGTGACTTCGAGAACTGCGCGCGTTGAACTGGGTGCTGCTAGTCCGCCGGGCATGGTCTCCGCGCGCGATAACTCGCAGAAGCTGGGTTGGACTCTGAACAATCTCTTCTTTCAGAGGCGTCGCATATACGCCTCGCTTGCTGTCCTCACGGAGCTTGATCTCCTCCTGGGGTGCAGGAGCACCTCCGTTCGTATTGGGAGGAGCAGAAAGCAGATCATGGATCTTTTCGTTGTAGATTTCAAGGTAACTGACCCGCAGCAGAAACTCCCGATGCGGAGTTTCACGAATGAACGAGAAGATATCGGTGATAGCGAGCGGGATAACACCGGGCGAGCTCGCGGTGCCTTGCATCGAGAAGGTCTTTCCAGTACCGGTCATACCGTACGCAAAAACGGTTCCATGGTAGCCCTCCATGACCCGCCGAACCAGCCGTTTTGCCGCAGAGTCGTAAACTTTGGCATTGTTTTCATTTGCCGTAAAGACATTATCTGTCCCACCCCGTTAGCAGTGGCCCATAGCCAGGAATGCGAGACGCAAAGCTTACCGTAATAGTAGTCACCTCCATCCTTCGCGCGGTGGGAAATGAGACTCTTCCGTCCGTCTACGGACCATTCGCCGTGATTGCGCGGGGTTTCACCCGCATTGCCATCCGGCCGCACACGTACACTCACAATCACATTCCCCTTCGACTCCTTCGGTCTGGAGCTCGACTTGACCGTGCTCGCTCCACTGGTCTCGTTATCATCTTCGAACGTAGTCGCACTCGTCGAAACAGAGCCTTGGGCGGAAGAGCTTCGGCTGTGAGAAGGGGATCCCTCAGGGTCGCGCGCGTTCATGATGGAGTTCCCATCTCCGTTGCCGTTCAGCAGGGAGGGTGTCTTGGAGCTGCGGTAACTGCTAGTGGTGCCGGTGGAAAGTCGCGAGCTTCGCTTCGGCTTCGCGCTGCCGCTGGAACCAGATATGCCCGAGACAGTCGAGGCAGTCAACGGGCGCGTTGGAGCTTTGGGCGGCTGTGGAAATGAGGCGATGCTGATCGTCCGGCGCAGAGTTTTTTCAGGGCTCCCCGGCGCGCCCCCGCTGGAGGCAGAGCGCACCGAGCTGAGATTGGAGGTGGAATTGGAGGTCGAGAGGGGGGAACGGGCCGCAGAGGGGGGTCTCGGGCTGGATGGAGAGCGCAGTTTTGAAAGTTGTGGTGAAGCCGCTCGGGGCAAGTCCCCACCCGACGACAATACTGAGGTAGTGCTTTTGCGAGGCTTGGGATTAGGGAGGGTTGGTAGAGCACTTGTTGGTGGCGGGTTTGGAGCCGCTCGCGAGGGAGTAGGCAGGGCCGATGTGGAGGCCATGGCGGTGTTCAACTCGCACGAGGCAGGAGGGCTGCCTGCACAGGTCGGCAAAATAGCGAGGCAGTATTTCTTTGGTTGTTTAGGTCGATTTCATGCAAGAGAAGGCGCGACAGCCATGCGGGCAGGGATTGCCGGAGAACACGGGCGACAGAACCTGACAGACTCTGCAATTAGTCAAGCCTGCTCAACACAAACGGTCCAGAGATCTCAAAGAAAGACAGTATAGGGTTCGCCGGGTACCTACCGGTTTTCCACGCTCGTTGCGATCGCGACGGGAAACGTGAAAGTCGGGGAGCGCCACTGCCGTTAGGAGAAGTTGGAAAGAGGACGGGCTTGAGATGCAAAAAGGGACTCGACAGCAACGACGAAAGGGAAGGTTGGGGCCACCGGAGAAAGCGGGAATCACGTTGGAAGCACTAAAGGGAGATTGGACCCGATGGAGTGTTTTCACTGGAGATACGGGAAAAGGCCATTGTTATTTCAATGTTATTTTTATTTTACAATTCGAATCTGGACGGGTATCCTTTCTCCCTCCTTAAGTTGCGACTTGCATTATGACGCTGTGGTACAGGCTGCCCCGTACATGATATGTCCGTATGGATTGCTGGGAGCGTCGATGGTCTACTCCAGGGCTAGAATCCCCCCCCCCTCCTCCTTCGAGCCCCTCCTGAAAAAAACGTTTCAGTGATGCGGCTTGGGACCAATGCCGGCTATCGGCCCCAAGGTCTGGAAATACAGAGGGAGAAAAGGGGGTTCACTGGCTTTCCCTAGCTCCCCAGGTCCGGGAAGGAGTTGATGGCGTGGTGCTAAACGAGTCAATCACGGTCTAAACCTTGAAGGAGTCAAGGCGCGCTCCTTCCTGGGAAGCTCAGACCAATGGCAGGAGTAACAGGAAAGGGAGTGGAGGGGGGAGTTGGTCAGAGCCCAAAAGCCAGGAAAAAAAAGGGGGCGAATCGAGTGGCTTTCTTCAAAGCGCAGTGGAGTCGAGCCCGATAGTCGGGCTACTGAATGGAGGAGCAAACAAAGGAAAAGGAAATTGGGGGTGTTCGTGTATTCCCCATAAAGAAAACTAAGGGGGGTTTTAGGCTTAGCGCCGTGTCCCATGTGCCTGCAACATCGACGATCCTTATTCCCTAAATCTTCAGCGATCACCGTACCTGAACTCTATTCGTCGACTGGGCCGTGTGGCTTTGTATTGCTACAGTCCATTACGGAGTAATCCGTACTGATCTATATTAGTGATTCACCTTACCCTAGTCTCCCTCTGTTCTTCTACATCGTGCTTGATCCAGGTTGTATCCGACGGCTACCCCTCCTTATCCATGGGGGCTTTCCTTACCACGATCCTGCAGTAGAAGATGCAAGGGACCCCGTAAAATACCATTGTGCAATTCTACCCAGATACCGCATCAATATGCCATCATGAGGGACCGGAGCTATTGAACAGTGCAATTGGACCGTGCAACTTGACAGGTATAGAGGCGATAGGGTCGTGCGGGAGGGGGCTTGATATCTCCTGTGTACGAGAGCTTGGCACTGCCCTTGTCATCCTGCAGCTATTCCTCACTACGACAGCGGCGCGCCACGATCCAACGCCTGAGAGGTTGGCAAAGAATAGTTCCCCAGCCCTGCATGCATCGCGCAGTTGCTTCCTCACATATGCCAGGCATAAATCAAGTGACAGAAATTGGAAGGAGATTGAGGCGAATCAACTCGTGGGCAAGCAATCAAGATCGAGTCCCACCATGCCCGCCTTCCGTAATGTTCGAGTAGAGGGGAGGGGGAAAAGGAAAAGAATGACTGTTATTTTATCACGATAGCTGATGGGCCATTGACTATGCATCTAAACGTGGTCATTATTTCATAGCGCCAAAGTCCAATTGCCGAGCCGCGTTCTTGAACGGTCCATCGTCGATCTGCCCGCCACGTCGACTGAGATCATCGCCCATCTTTTTAGCCCCCGACTTCTGCTTCTGCGGGAGATCCTCATTTCGAGTCGGACGCGGATCGATCGTCCACCAATGGTGACGTAGAGCCTCGACGGCAGTGATCCGATTGCGCGGATCCAGCGAACACATAGCCATCAGCAGGTCGGCACCCACCGGGCCTGCGGTAGGGAACTGCCGATAAAAGAACTCGCGGCCCTGCAGGGGGACTATGCTTGCGGGATCGGTGGGGATGTAATTGGGTAGTTTAGAAACTCCTGGCCAATTGGCTTCTGTTGGGGTTCCGAACGCATCGCAGATTTTGGAAATTTGATCTAGATCAGTGTTCCCCGCGACAAAAGGTACGCGGAGGAGTAGCTCGGCAAAGACCATCCCCATCGACCATACGTCCACGGCACCGGAGTATTGTCGCGCCCGTAGAGCAGCTCGGGTGGACGATACCAGCGAGTGATGACTTGGTGCGTCATGTTCAGGTATGGGTCTGCAAAGGATCTAGCTAGACCAAAATCAGCCAGCTTGACCTCACCGTCCGAAGCAATCAACAGGTTGTTTGGCTTGATGTCGCGATGGAGCACAAAGTTCTCATGGCAAAACCACACACCGCGGGCTAACATGCCCATCCAAGCCTTGATATCGGCCAAGCCGTATTGGATGTCGGAATCCTTGATCAACATCTCGAGATCTCCACGAGGCAGGAATTCTAGAACCAGATTCAGGTTCTGATCCTTAGATGAAAATACATCATGGAGCGCAATGACATTGGGATGGGAGAGCTCCTGCAAATATTTCACCTCGCGAATCGCGTCCATGGTGAGGCCGTCTTTGTATTCGGCATTGACTTTGATCTTCTTAATGGCGACCTTGGAAGCGGGGTCATTTCGGAGGTAGCCTAGGAATACGACAGCGTATGTGCCTTCTCCCAATTTTTTATCTTGGAGTGTGTCTGTCAGTACATCGCGCCAGTCGATTTTCAAGAAACCAACCGTTACCTTTCACATATTTCTGTCGCACGTCCTCATTTAGCTGTTCTGTAAGCTCCTGGTCTGCTTTCGCCAGTGGCTTTGATGTGAACGCAGGGCGAGGTGGCCAGTCTGTAACTCCCGCTCTTAATCTGAGAGTATTCGGCGACGCAACAGTCATAGAAGGTGATCGAGAGGCAAATGGTGACGCCGCCATGGCGAAGATGGGGAGATGCTGGATCCGCCTAGTAGTCGCATGAAATGTCGAAGTGGAGAGCGAACCTCCCGGGTTACAGAAGGTAGCACCGAAGCATGCTCCTCAGCCCAATGAGAATAATTTCATGGAGCTCAGCGCATTAACAAGGGAACTTAGATCCCGCCCATCGATGATGTACAACGCGACTTCGGGGAGAAGGTTAATCCGGTCGGCCGGCGGAAATTTCTCAGGAACAACATCGGGATCGAGTTGATCACCGTTCAAAAGGGACCGGCTGCCTAGGACCTTTGAGCGCCTCGCCCCCATCAATTTAAATCTACAAGAACCATTGTCGACCAGGGCTACACACCATCTACCCGCAGGAACCACCCTCAACCCACAATTCGAGAGCAACGCCCCCCCTCTCTCTCACCATGGCCATGCGCACCTCACAGCAGCTGCGCAGCCTGCCATCCCGGCTCCTCCAAACCGCCAGCAACCCCCGCCACTGCATTCGCAGCCTTCACAGCAAGAGCACACCCGTTGTGCCGCCTCCAACTCCCTTCGTCCCGGACGTCCCAACCTTCCTCACCCTGATCGGCCGCCAAATGTCCAAGCACGCGAGCAAGATCACCTCATGGGACCAACTCTTCAAAGCCTCCTCGCCGAGCTACAGGAGCTCGGCATCGAGCCTGCCCGCCAACGGCGCTACCTCATCCGCAAGCGCGAGAAGTTCCGCAACGGCATCTACGGGCCCGGCGGTGACCTAGAAACGGTCGTGGACGGGGTCGCGCAGCTGCGGGTCGTCGAAGTTCCGCGTGAGGCTCTGCCTTCGGCCACAAGTGCCGAGGCCGTGGCGGGTGACAGTGAGAGCGCGATTGCTCAATCTAAGCCTCTTGCTTCTGCGGCCGTGACGCCTGGTATGAAGAGGGCAATCGTGAACCTGCTACCCGGCGTTACGGAGTATAAGCACGAACCCAACACGGTGCTGAAGAAGTTTCTGGGAATGAAAATCCACCGAGGATCGCAGATTAAGGGTCCTTATCTGTTGCCTGTGCGGGGGAGTCATGGTCGTGCGGCGACGATCTCTGTCCAGGAGGGTATGTGGGAAGACAAGCGGGGACACAAGATTGATGGTGGTGAACGCCGACAGAGAGAGGTTCGGGCGAAGAAGGAGCTTGAGGAGAGGAGGAAGCGGGCATAGGTGTGATTGACTGGCGTTTCTTGCATATCCTCAGCCCATGGCCGCTATTACTTCTTGTGTTTCTTATCTACTGTACTATACTACCATCTTCGACTCAAGCGGTGGGGTCTGTACCCTTAGCTGCTACTGAATAAAAATGTAACAATCTGAACTGTGGACAGGGATTATATACGCTGGTATCAGTAGTCTGTCTACAGCTGCTATAGTAGTATTGTGAACTCGTTGAACTCGTTTTATTAAAAACTGATAACAATGCCAACACAGCGGAAGAAGGGAGCTTACACCCATGAGACCCGAAAATTAAATAAGTAAAGTACATAAGGTACAATCATTGGAAGACGTCGAGACGGGGCGGCCACCCGCGCATAATCCAGTACGACGGAGTCACCTGCTAACCCTCTGCGAACGTCGAGGGAAACATTAACATAGTCAGATTCTAAACTTGAAATGGCTCTTTCTTTTTGGTCTCTCCTGTCAAAGATGTGTTGCTGGCCCGCAGTGTTTCGTTTATTCCTTGGTACCGCGCTTTTCATATTGCACAAACGACTTGCCCAATGGCTTCGAGAAAAGGGACTAAGACAGGTGTTAGCCAAAGCCTTGATGAATCGATGAGGTGGCAGGGTTCTTACCGAGTAATCTGTGTCAGGGATGTCTGTGCGACCAGGAGGGTTGGTGAACTTGAATTTGCGCACTAGCGCGGCCAGGATCGTACCCAGCTGCACGTAGGCAAATTGTTCGCCAATGCAACGGTGACGGCCGGCACCGAATGGCAGGTAGGGACTGTTGGCTCCCTTGCTGACCATACCATAACCGTAGTCAATCTTCTCCTCGTCCTCCTCCTCCTTGGGGGTGATATCCTCGTCCCAGCGGTGAGGATTCCACTTGAGAGGCTCGGGGAAGAACTCAGGGGAGCGAGCAGTGACACCGGGGGAAGAGAGAACGTTGTGAGTGGTAGGAATGACATATGGCGTTCCGTCCACGGGCATGGGGTTCTTGACGGCACGGATGATAGAGTGGATGGGGGCATGGATACGGAGGGTCTCCTTGATAACCTTGGCGTGGAGATCCAACTTCTGCAGACCCTCGTAGGTGAGAGGAGGGAGATCTTTGCCCAAGACACGGACCTGCTCCTCGTATAGCTCATCCATGATCTCAGGGCAAGTAGCCATACGCAGAACAATCCAGGCCATGGTTGAAGACGAAGAGTGCTGGCCAGCCATCAAGAGGGCAATCATCATGTGCGCGATTTCTTCCTCGGGGATGGGTGTACCGTTCTTGTACACGCAAGACATCAAGTTCCAAACCATATCCTCGGAGTCCTTCTCACCGCCAGTCTCACGACGCTTGCGGATGATATCAGTGTAGGTCTCAGTCAGTTTGCGCTGAGCAGCATCACGGCGGCGGTTGTGGGGGAGAGGAGCCCAAGGCAGCATGAAGTTGATTGGCGCGAACCCCCTCCAAGTCGTGGTACATCTCAGCGAAAGTCGAGTCGAAGCGGGAGCGCACCTCCTTTCCTTGGAGGGAGCGCGAGGCGGTATAGATAGTAATCTCAGCAACGGTCTTAGAGACATCGAAGGTACCCTTGTTGTCTTGGAAGATTGGGGAGTTCTTCGTGAAGTCGTCGACCTCATCGGTGATCAGGTGAACGTAGGAGCGGAGTGCTTCCGAAGTGAGGCCGAATTTCACGAACTAATCCAAGTCAGAGTCCAGACCAAGCAATGCGATGCTGGAATTGTATCATATACCTTCTTTTGCTCCATGAGCTTGGAGTTAGGGCAGTCGTAGACCACATGGCGGCCGAAGACAGGGGTTGTCAGTGGCGAGTAAACCTCCTCAGCGCAAACATCGCGAAGCTTGCCATTGAGGATGAAGTCATTTCCCTTTGTGCCGAGGTAGACGGTAGTCTTCTTACCCAGAAGAACGAAGGTGAAGATATCGCCGTACTACACGAGACGAATCTGGTTAGGAATGATCTGCAAGAAAAAAAGGGTATTTCTCGGGCAGCGAACGTACCTTTTCGCGGCACTTGAAGAAAAAGTTATACGGGTCAATACCGTAACTAATAGTACTTCCGACAAAGGGGAACCAGTGGAAAACCAAAGGAGGTTCGTGGGGGCTCTTGAAGAGCAGCTGGCGCAAGACGTTGATGACAACTGCTAGAGCGATAAAGGACAAAGTACCGACGGCAGCCAGGGTGTAGATGGACTGATCCGAGCAACGCTCGCAGAACTTGTCGACAAAGCTTGAAAAGAGACCCATGGCGCGTGAAGTGAGGAATAACCCTCGTGTAGACGATGTGGGAAGTTGTAAATCGTGGAAGGGGGAGGGACCTGCACACTTATTGGATAATCTCCGCTGCGATTCGACGGCGCGTGGAGACCCGCTTTTTGCCCCTGGAGTCTGCAACTTTTTTTTTTAAAAGGAGAAATGGAAGGAGAGGCTGAGCTGGAAGCCGATCCTTGCGAAATGACCAATTGAATCGGTAATTCAGCTTTTGACTTCGGATTATTCGCGATATTTTGAGTAATCAAGGCTTCGAGGTTTGGGATCAAGCAATTCTGTATCACGCCACGTCGGTGAACATCTCTTCCGGGAGACGGATGGCATGATCCAAATACCATGAATTTCCTATGAAACTGTGAATGGTACCATTATAGTCAGTACTCGACGATTAAATGTACATGATAGTTGCAAGGCCTTTCCCTTCCCAACCAAACCCAGATGTCCAACCCCCCCACCCCCAAAAACCGTGTAAACAGTGCCTTCGAAGATACCAATCAGAGTGATGAGATACAGTTTTGGCTCGAGTTCCACAACTCGCAGTTCGCAGTATTAAAGATGTGACTAATCGTATAGGGCGGGGTCGCCTCGCTGGCCGAGATTGACAAAGTCCTTGGGACCGCTATTGCTGTCCGGCGACGGCTCACGCTTTTGATCCTTGGCAGGACGGTTGTGAACACGCTTTCCGGCGTCGTTTTTATGATAAACCTTGACGGGGGTCCGGTTTCCAGCGGCATGTTCACTGAATCCAGTGTCGTTGATACTGCTCAGCAAAGTTCGCTCACGCTCAACCTTGCGCTTGGAGAAGTCCAGATTACCCATAGCGCCCGTCATGCCATCGAGGCTGTCGGTAACGCTGGGGTACTTTTCAGTCAACCACGGATGCTCAAGGCATTCGTCAACAGTGATTCGCTTTTCCACGTCGACGGTGAGCATGCGATCAATCAGATCAAGAGCGGGATCGCCAACGGAATCCCAGTAAGGTGAGGGGTAGTTGAACTGGCCCATCTTGATCTGTTGCGCCAGCGTGTAGGGTTGCTCCCTCGACCACAGTTCGTCAGAGAAGGGAGGAAACCCGCAAAGACAAATGTAGAGGACCACACCCAAAGACCACACATCGACGGCCTTGGTGTATCGTCTTTTGCGGGTATCTTGGAGAATCTCTGGTGCGACATCTATCAAACGTTAGCTCCCACCCCGGCCTACTCATTTCCACATGATAGAAACATGGTCTGTAGTCAACTTACAACTGGGCGTGCCACAGCTAGATGAAAGTTAGTAACCCAATTTCCGTTTCCAAAGGGGGTAGAACCTACAGTGTTGTAGTAAACGAGTCTTCGCCAATAATCTTGGCAAGCCCAAAGTCGCCTAGCTTCACCGAGAGTTTCTTGTCGGCAACCAGAATGTTCTCAGGTTTGATGTCTCGATGGACGATGCCTCGGTCGTGCTGGGAACGATTAGCCTCTTCGCTGTCTTCCACGGTGAAGGATTGCTTACCAGGTACTTCAATCCTTCGAAAAGTTGGCGGAATACATGGCGCGCCTCTGGTTCGCTGAGCTTCGACTTGCTCACAATCAGATTGAAGAGCTCGCCCTCTGGTGCCAACTCCATGATCAGATAAGCTCCGTCGTTCTCGTCGAACGTGTCTTTCAAGCAAAGAAGATTAGGGTGGTTGACACTCTTCAAAAGAGCAATTTCCTGCTGCAAAGTCTCCGACTGCGACTTTTGCGAATCACCAGGACGCTTTTCAAAAACCTTGACAGCAAACTGCTTCCCCGTAGATCCTTCCACGCAAAGGTAAACCGTGGCAAAGTGGCCTTTACCCAGTTGCCGTTGGATCTGATACTGTTGGCGGAAACGGTTCGTGTTGCGAGTACGGGGGTAACGGAAGACAAACCGGGCCTCGTCCAGAATAGAGACCTCGTCCCCATCCTCAAGCTCACGGTGCTTATTCCGCCCGACGATGGCATCGTTGACAAAAGTTCCGTTGCTGGAAAGGTCCTCGAGGATAGCGACCATGTCACCCTTTCTCTTCTCCTCGAATAGTAAGAAATGACGGTTCGAAACAGTCGGGCTCTCGATTATCAAGTCTAGTTTCCGATTAGCTCAAGTATATGCATAGCAAGCGAAATGGGAACGACCCGGACGCAAAGAGCATGAAAGCCCCCGGTATATCCATCGGATCCAAAGGGGCAGCTTACCGCACTCTGGGTGACGTCCAATTAAGTAGCCACCGGGCGCCCGGCCATTCGTCGATTTACGCGATCTCTTCCCATCCCTTTCCTTGCTTGCGTCCTGGCTCTCGCAGTCATTCCGCTTCTTTAGGACGAAAGCCCCGCTAACTTTGTCATCCAGCGAGATGAGGTATCCCCAAACGCCCTCTGCGTCTTCATCTGTCACATCGTCTGCAAATGCCCGCGGGGGTAGACAAATTGCGAGAGAGCTTGTGTGTCACCCGGAGGCGAGGAAATGGCTTGCGAGAAGTCGACATTCGGAGAAGAAGCATGGTGTGTACGACTGGGGCTTTCGGGAGGAGTAGCGGTGACCTCCTGGCGAATATCCGTGGCAGTGGAACGAGCGTGGGTCATGGGAGTAGGAAGGTATTCATGGTCGATCGGAGTCTCCTGGGGCTGGCCGGAGATTCGTTGAGAGCGACGGGGCTTCTTTTGGTCTTGCGCATCGGCCTCGGCGGTGGCCTAGAGATAGATGGGGCTCCAATTAGCAACGGAGCCACGACGTGTATGTGCATGTCACCTCCAGACTTACAGGGCCTCGTTTCAAGCTCTTCTCGCGAGGTGCCATGTTGCTTGGTCAAACCGCCGGGGCTATGGCCTCGATCCACGAACCAATGAAGATTGTTGGCTGACAGGTCTCAGGACATGCGCGGTGATGATTGCGTCGAGAAGGTGCGGGAGCTTAAGAGCTGTACTGCACCGAATATAGCATGCACTTCAGATCGCAGAAAGAAGAACTTCTGATGAGCAGATCCCTATTAGCGGGGGAAGAAGTGCTGGCGAGGAAGACTGGGGAAGCCGGGCGGGTGTCTGTTTGAGGCTCAGCGATACTTTTTCCATTTCGAGGGTTCGGGGTTTCGCGTCACCCGCTCCATTCGAGAATAATTGCCAAAATTTCCCTAACACTTTACATATGATGGCGGCCTCCTTGAATCAACATAAGATGAATATGACATCGTGTCAACGAGTATGAGCCCCGCCGTTTGTGAGGAAGCCCCATGCTATCCTATCTTGTATGTCAAGCGAGCCCTGTTATGGTTCAGGAACCCGTCCCGGGTGTCCAAAGAACCCACGTCTCTCAATAGCTTTCAGAGATATTTCAAATGTTAGCGCAATATTGGTGCTGCGGTGTTTGATAGCCCTTCCTTATCAGACATGACCGGCATTCTCAAGATACTAACCAGAGGCTTGGACCGTGGAGGCGGCCGATGGCAAGCTTCGGTATGACTTTAGGGGAATCACGTCTTCAATGGGTTCAAGCTAACTTAGTACACCGTACCTGAGGAGCCAGTAGGCACGTAAATGCAGTCGGTTCGATGCCACGAATACCCTAGTTTCGCAATACGAGGTGGCACTTCGTTTTGGAGACAGGACGAAGTATCCCGTGATTCCAATACAAACGACCAACCGTCGTCGAAAATCCGGTTCAACTTATCCATGGTTTGGACGTATAGACGAGCCGACTCCATTTGAGCCTCCGGTAGACTCGACACTTCAGCTCTAATTATAGACCTATAGGATAAACCTCCGGGATCCGAAACATTATCGCCGTTCATTCACCTTCTGACTCGATCGACTTTGCTGCCCAGTTCACCCGCGAGGCAATGAACCTTTCCCGCCTAAGAGCGGGAAGGCTTTGACCACTGGTCTCAGGCTTCAGGCTCACAATCTATTGATCCATGCCGCACTATACCGATCTGGGAGAGCTGTTTGAAAAAGGTCAGTGGCAAAGGAGCTGAGCTTTGCTGCCCAAGGGCGCTTCACTTCCCGGGCTCTAACAGCGGGGATACGAACGCTGAAGTCCCTTACCCTAGGGTTGTTGGGAGAGGCGCAGCCAGCAGTCCTGGATTGGGTATCCTGCCTATATTCTCTGGCTTATTCTAAGCGCCAGTTGGAAATCCCATCTCTTTCTCTCTGATAGTTACACCCGGATGTGATATGCTGTAGACCCACCTCTCCCAGGCCGAGATATTGAGGAATCGTCGCTTGACGCGGGCCCGATCACGATTCAGCCATTTAGAGCTAATTATCTTCCTATTGGAGACAGTCCCTATAAGCCGTATATACCACTTTTCTATCAGATCCATCAAGGGTGCTGGATCTGCCGCGGCATTTGTTATTTCTGGTAGTTTGACGCAGTTTGGCGCAGTTTGGCGCCACACGGATCACGGCCTGCACATCGTGATGGTCCCAACTCGAAGCCGGCCAATTATTCTTGCATCAGCAGGTCCACTGTATAAACCGCGCCAACGCGGCGACCCACTACCCCCGACAACCGCAAGTAGTCCAGATACGTGCCCCTTTCCTCTGCGTCTCCGTCGCATACATCGGGTGGTCGGCGCCTGAGCGCTTTACCCGGGTCGGAAATGCAGGACACGGAACTTGGGTTGAAAGTGATGGCAATCAGGGCGAATGGCCACCCAGTGGTCACTCGGGTGAACTTAAACTCACCGATCAATCAACGTATACTTGACCAGAAGTCCTGGGAACCTCTCCTAGCAGCTTTGCCATGCCTCCCTCTCCTTACGATTGCCAGCTTTGTCTCATAGGTTTACTTGGAGAGGTATCTCTAACATATATGATGGCATGCTTTGCTCTTCAGCATATTGTTCGTAGCCAAATCCTACCGGAGAATTGCTGTGGCAAAAGTGAATTGACCAAACCCATTGTAGTCAATATCATGTACTAAGTACTTCATCTGCTGCTCTGCCCGGGGCCACATCCATGGATAAGCACTTCTCCATTGGTCAGCACGCACACACCCTCCAGGGCTCCAGCTGATCACCCCCTGGGGCTTTCTCCAGGTGGATTAAATGCAGTCACCCCATACTAACTTTACAAGGGGGCGCATCATATCTAATCAAGCGGATTCGGATGTTGGGCATCGGGCTTGCTGATTGGCAAGGCAGCTTTGGTACCAGTTTATAAAAATCCGTCTTCCCCATACCTAAAATCGATTGACTGTATCTATCTCGCACACGCTTCCGTTCCTTTATTGGCCGACCTCTCAGGTCACTCTATGCTATCCTACTGTTCACCTTCAATTTGCTTTGAGGTTTCCCTCATGTCCTGTTAGTGTCTAGACATCCATCCCTCTTGTACTATTTTTCCAACTGTTCTGACTGATACCCGCCTAGATTGCTGTCCGATTTCCTATCACCGTCGATCCTCCCCGCCGAAACAGCTATATTACAGTCGTGAAGAACGTCATAAAGTGTAGCCGTTGGACGCTCCCTACTGCTACTCCTCAATACGAAGCCCTGGCTCATCTGAATTGACGCAGGGTCCTGGACCATCACCCTCCACGGGTGTAAGAGCGTATAGCTTACTCTCTTAACCAGCAAGATCTAAGTTATCTCTTGGTATAGAGCGGCAAGTTGCAAGACAGAATGCCTGGTCTTCACACTCAACAAGCGGCCACGGGAAATAAGAGACGACGTATCCAAGCTATGAATATTGATGGTTCGCCAATCCCTCGGAATACCCCTCTCCCTGGGACTGGACTAGGAACCCAACAGAGCCTCTCTGTCAGATATGCCACAGGTCAAACCAGGCCACCACCAGGACTCCAAGAAAGTTATGTGTTTGATGAGGTGCCAACATCTCAACCTGCCCAAGGATTCCAGGGGGATTATGGATATTCCGTTTCCCAGGATTTTTCTTCTACTTCTCTTGATACGAGCCAAACCTGGCGGGGCGCTACTATCGGATTGAACTTTACCCCGGATAAGGATTTTTATTATGATGAGAGTTATGAGCCTGTGGACTCCTTTGGAACAAGCCCCCGTCGAGGAACTCATGACCTGGATACAAGCTTTCCTGCTCACGATGCATTGTCAGCCCGTGGAGATTATGCACAGGATACAAGCCACTATACCCAAAAGTTATTGAATAGAGAAGCATCTTACGGCCCAGTCTTGGGCCGTGGCATGCAGATTTCTATACTTCAAGGATCGTCAAACGGCCACGCAATTCCCGCTCACAGCCAGCATGTCTCTAATCAAGCATCTGGTACGCCTGGCTCATCTCAGAGCGAAGGTGACTTTCAAGGGTGAGCATCGAAATAGCAGGCTGCACTGCCGAGATTTTATGCTAATCTCGACCAGTGTGGAGGGTCTCGAATGCAAGTGGGAAGGTTGCACTTATAAAGGCAACTTCGGGTCCAGGGGCGCCCTTGAGCGCCATGTCAAGGCACTACACACCAACACCCAAGAATTCAAATGTCCCGACTGTGATTTTGTGAACGGCCGTCGCGACAAGCTACAGGAGCACCAACGACGCAAAAAGCACGGCAACTACATCCGCCTAAGCTAATGTGTAAGCCTTGGACTGCGGCTTTCTGTCTCTGGCATTTATTGACTACTTACGACTGCGCACTACATGTATATCCCCTTTTTCAACCTCGTGACCTGGTCCTCTCCTCCATCGCTGCTCTTTTTCTAATGACGTTCTTCATCGCTGTCTTTTCTTACTTGTCTTTGTTGGAGCTATGAAACTTGCCATGGAGGAATTGGACATACTGGATATACCCCGAGGATACGGAGTTCTTCGGAGGGCATCTTTGCCTCAAATACCCCTATGCCTGATTTTCATCAATGCTTTATTCTGGGCGTGCACCCTTTCATTGCTTACTTATTTCTGACCCTTGGGCTGATGGGCATGCTTATAAATCTTTCGCTCGTCAACTTGAATGCATCAATTCTTCTTCCAACCCTGTTTGGCTTAGTGATCCAAGGATCAATGGCCCCGGGGGTCTTTGCGTCGCTCACGAGGCTTTTGGTAGCCGTTAAAACCTACCCTGGCCCAAGCTGAGTCAATCATACTTTCTCACTTGGACCGGTAGGGTGCTTTCTTTCCACAGCCCACCGAGACCTGGACCCTCGGGCTCGCGTTGAACAAACTGGCCAACAAAGACACAATAGACACAATGTACCATAGTAGTCAATTTTAGCCCTGGTTCAATTTGCCACTACCACGTATATAATGCAAGGTCTATAGCAGCCTCCTTAATTCATATGCTAGTACAATCGAAGAGGTATACGGAATCACGGAACTCCACTACTTTCATTAGCAACCTCAAATTGTCCTTCAACGGCTTCTAGTACTCAAACTTGAATCCGACATCTGTCCTATAGCTATTAACACGTACCATAATCATGCAAATTCCTGTACTGTTCGAAACCCGCCGTGGTCGCTGCAGCGAACCAGATGCCGACGAAGAGCCCTCCAGCCTCGTTTCTGGCGTAATACCGAGTAATTCCACTAAAGTTGGCAATGCGGTAGAAGAAATATCCCGATCAGGGGCCCTCTCCAATCCTGCCAATACCAGTGACCGGGGAGAACCTACCTATGACGCCGCAGCCAAAGGGTGCTCCAAGCCATTGGAGATGCCGCCTCGACACCCGACCTCTGCGGCTGGTCTGTCCACCAGGCGGCACTTTTTGGAGCTGACCTCGGAGGCAAGACATCCACATCATCTCGATGTGCCGTCCTCTCAAGTGAATCAAGAACCAACGGGAACAAGATCATGATGCAGGAGAGCGGGCTTTAGAGCTTAATAAAGGGGGGCGTTCCGACAAGGCTTGATTAATGCCATGCATCATCATGGTGGTGTATTCCAATGGAGGTAGACTACTGGTATACGAAGACCAGCAACGCCGCTTTCCTGCGTGAAACATCCTTCTTTGCAAGGTTGTTTCTATTCACCATTTAGGTCAAGCTATCTATCATTTGACACCGTGTTATGGCCTACGTACGTCCTCATGTCAGTCGAAATAGTGGATGAAGAGACCCGGTATACAAGTTCATTTCGAAGCCTAGGATGGAAAAGTCTGACGCAGATCGGGAATTTCCCGAGTCCGTAAATCTACATGTGATTATGAGTGTCATAACTGCCGGGCCCGCAGGCCCACTGAAAGAAAAGGGTGGGGATGAGAAGTAGGGTCCACCATGGCATGTCGTGCAGAAAATGGAAATGGAAGATATGAGCCTTAAATAGCAACGCCGGTAGATGATACACAAGAACAGCAAAAATTACTTACGAAGTCTGACGAACAACACTGTCCACAGCCTCCGCAAAGTAATCTATGTTATTCGTGTTCAAGCCTGCCATCGATATCCGACCGTTTTTGGTCTGTCGAGCTCGTTAATATATAAAATCACCCGAGCACGAAGAAAGTGCGGGGGTAGAAAACTCACCATGTAAACATGCCACTTGGAGCGCAGGGTTTGCACCTGGGCCTCGTTCAGTCCGGTGAAACTGAACATGCCGATTTGGCTAGTAATGTGATCCCAGGTACCAGGTGTCCCACGCGCCTCCAGGCGCTCGCGCAGACCACGACGCATCTCCTGAATGCGACCGCTCATAGTCCGCAGGTCCTCTTCCCACTGGGCAAAGAGAACAGGATCATTCAAGATACGGCTAGCAATCCGGGCACCGTAGGCAGGTGGGTTGGAAATCTCCGAGCGCTGTAGGATAGCTAATTGACTAGCGATGTGGGCGTTGGCCTCGGAGGCATCGGAGCCAGGGGCTGAGACGAAATGGAAAGCGCCAGTGCGCTCACCGTAGAGACCGAAATTCTTGGCAAAGGACTGAGCGACGCACATCTCGAAGCCCTGTTCGACAAAGTAGCGGATGGCCCAGGCATCGCGATTCAGGTCACCGGAGGCAAAGCCCTGGTATGCGGTGTCGAAGAAGGGGAACTGGTTGCGCTCGCGCATGACGGCGGCGATGGCGCGCCATTGTTCTTGGGTGGGGTCGACACCCGTTGGGTTGTGGGCGCAGGCGTGCAGGACGACGACGGAGCCGGTGGGAGCTGCCTGCAGCGCCTGCACCATGCCGTCAAAGTCAAGACCCTTGGTCTTGGCGGAGAAGTATGGGTATTTGGCAATGTTCAGACCGACATTGGTGAAGATCTGGTTGTGGTTGGCCCACGTTGGGTCGGAGAGGTAGATGGTGGGCTTCAAGGGATGGAATTTGGAGAGGAAAAGACCACCTAGGTGGACGGCGCCGGTACCCGAGATGGTTTGCAGGGTGCAGATCTTGGGTCACTTAACGTTAGTGCTTGCTGATGGCCAGCGGTGCAGTGGGGGTCTCGGCTAGGATATGCATCCTAACGGGAGAGCTAAACGCTCTCGGTTCGACATACCCGTTTTTCGCGAATCGCGGGGCTCTCCGCGCCCACAACTAGCTTCTGGGCTGCAGCTGTCAGATCAGGCAATCCTCCGATGGCGAGGTATTCGTGATTGAGGTTGGGGTCGTTGTGAATGGCGTCATCGGCCTGCAGAGGAGAGATTGTGAGATTCTCGATGTCTTTTACAGCGAGCGAGGGCATGCGCGGAGAGGCTCACCTTCTTGACGACCGGTAAAATCCAAGGTTTCGCGTTATTGTCACGATAAGCACCAATGCCCAGATCGATCTTCTTATCAGAGGGATCTTCGCGATAGGCCTTGGCCAAACCAAAGAGAGGATCTTCGGGGGCCGCAGCCACCCTCGAAGCAGTGAAAACAGACGGGTTAGGGGAACCCATGATGTGCGAGGAGAGGTGAGAGAGACGAATGCGCGCAGTCTCGGGGGGGGGAGAGGGGTTTTGATGTTGACGGGTCGCCATTGTTACGTGTTAGCAAATTTGCGTTCCGAAGTTTCGAAAGTTTCGCAATGCAAATTTCCCCGGAAAGGTGACCGAAACCTTGCTGCTTGCGTTCACCGGATGAGGAGGAATGAGGGGGTGGAGACTGGCGCGGTTAAATCAGGGTGCGGCGATTGGCATCCAAAGGAGGAAGCCAAGTGTCGATAACTGGGTGCCTATCTAGGCAAAAGAAGCGTGTCTACGACTTTATAGCTTGGGGTCTGGGAGCTTCTGGCCTCGGGAGCGCTCAGGAAAGCCGAGGAACCTTCCGTGTTTTGTTCGTCGTATGACGAACCTCCCCTTCACGTGTGGCGCATGTGCTCCTTGGTTCTTAACTCTATCCGCCACGGATAGATAAGTCGGACACTCAGTGATTGCTGTTGATTTCCTTTCGCAAATTTACCAAGGACTAATACGAGCGCCGTGCCCCGAGAACATCGCCGTAACATGCTACACCAACTATTCCCGAGGGTCCGCTCGCCTCCAGAAAACTGTGTGTCATCGCCGAAGCATGGCGAAAGAAAAGACGCAGTGGAGCCCAGACTCCGGGCCCTTACATGGGCTGATTTGATCGCCTGACAGATAATCCGCCTGAGACTCATTGGCCCGTATTAGTTCTAATCTGTGCTCGCCATTTGAGGTGTCCATTCCCGCAAGGACGTGCCCGGGTGCGGAGTCCGTTTTATGCTTCGGTGCAATGCCAATTATCAGTTCGTCTGGATGGGTTCCGTTATCGCTGTATCACGTATAATGTCTATTCTCGTGCTGATATCGATTACGCGTGATTACCATGATGCGCATATCCTCCACACTTCAATCCAACCCCACATTGAGCTCGCATGGAGCCCATGAGGGGAAAGTTCCCGGACAAATTTCTCCAAGCCCTAAGCAACCCCAGAGAAGAACAACCCGGCCCCTCCGCACATATCGGCTGGAATCGGACTTGGGCCGCTTCCCGCCGCTTCCCCCCACACCCCGGAAAAACGAGGCCATACAGATGCTTCCTCGGAGCTTCGGCCTAGAATCCGGCGCCGGTACGGACACGGTTTGCGGGTTTCGAGCCGCTCATCTCTTGTCTCGTTACGACGACAGGCCTTTCTGCTTTGTGATGCCAAGTCGCAGCCCACCCCCACATATTACTCTGAGACATCGTAACCCCACGGCTACGATCATGTACGTTGGGCAGTGGGGGTGGGGGGAACATCTACTATAAGACCCAGAGCGCTAGAGTGGTTTGTATGCTCATGAATCTGAACTTGAGCCTATTCTAGTACTACTGCAGAGCCCTGGGAATCGGCTTAATTGTGGCATTTTGCTGAAGGTTAGTGGAGAGTTGGTTCAAGTATATATTTGTCCGAAGTCTCCAGGGTTCCAAGGTTCTATAAGGCTCTTGAGTAAGGCTCGTCACCGGGACACGCGATAAGGCTGGAGCTTTCCAGGGCGCTATCATAGACAGCCCTAGACTCGGAATGGTCTGCTACTGATGGTGCTAAATACCAGTCTCTCTTCAAGGCAGACGACACCTTCGAACCTTGGGGATTTCGAGTCTCTGAGTACACCATCATTACTATGCACAGAGTTGTACCACTATGTACACATGGTAATCGAGAGTTGGGACCTACATAGCCCTATATTCACTATACATGACGCATATGCAAGACCAATGACAAAAGAGACAAAAGATGGAGAGAACACGCACGCGCTTTTCCACACTTTCTTAAACGCCGAGTGCCAAAAAAACCAGACATTCCAATGAGCTATAAATGGCCCTCTTAAATCCAAACGCCGTCGCCAGATGGTATATATTGTATGACCATCGAACCCATACCCTCAAAAAATGAATCGTATACTCGTCAAGCCAAAAAAAAAGGAAGATATCAAAGCCAATGTTGATTACGGATGTGGCTGGGGCTGTGGCTGCGAGGCTTCCGGTGCAGCCGGGGCCTCGGCATCAGTTGCATGTGCCGGGGTGGTCGCTTCAGGTCCCCCAGAACTGGGGCCCCCGATGGGAGAAACGGGGGGAGGCTCGAGGCCGTGAGCACTTGTGCGAATGCGGAACCGGTCGCGGAGTCGTGCGCTAAGACGGTTTCTGCTGCGCTGCGCGGTCGCATCCTCGGTCGCAGCCTGCTCATCTTGGTTGGCTTCTCGGACTTGGCGCAAAGCAGCGAGTCGTTCTTCCACGGTGGCATTACGCATGCGTCGAACATTCAGGTAGCTTTTTAAGCGGTGGTGGGAGTGACGGGCAGGTGTTTCGGCCGCGGTCTCTTCGGCTGTCTCTTCTGGGTGCTCGGCAATCTCGCCTTCTTCGGTGTTCTCGTCGGCCTTGGATGGGTTGAGGTCGATGCGGCTGTGGTGGAGTTAATATTCAGATTCCAGACGGATACGTAAACGAAGATCAGGGGTAAATGGACGTACCACAAGGGACAGGTTCCCGAGACATTGACCAACCAGGGATCGATACATTCGGGGTGGAATTGATGGTTACACGGCAACACGCGAAGATCCTGGCCCTTGATAAAGTCATCGGTACAAATAGGACAAGAGAAGTTACCCGTGTCGTGCGTAGTTTCGCCCTTTGACTCGGGGGTTGGGGTAGCAGGTTGCTTGGGCAGCTCCGCGTCCGCTGGGTTGGGAAGTTGCTCGATCTCGGCATTCTCCGAACGAGGCGGCGAGTGCTCGCGCGATGGGGCTTCGCTGCCTTCCATCTCAATGTCTCGCTTGGCACCATCGACGCCATCTGCGGGTTCGTCGCCGAATTTGACGATCGGAATCGTTTCGAGCATTGCCCTTGCTATACCTCGTGCTCTACTCTGCCGCGGCCGCCCTGCCACACGGCGAGGACCATATCTCTCTGGGTGGCGGTGGGCCCGAACAGCGCCCGTAATGATAATGCCCAGGAATAGAGCAGTGATAATACCCGTGATACTATAGAGGATTATCATGGCTAGATTACGGTAAATGGGTTAATTGAGCACGAGTCTTGAGGCAATGGCCGATGAGAGCTGCTACTAACCAGTATTGGGGCTGCTTCCACCCGAGCTGGTGGGGTCGACGCCGGCATTGGGAACGGACATCTCGTCAATAGTGACAGCGGGGTTGGTAGATTGGAAGAGGGCCTGGAGAGCAAAGGACGCATGCAGACTAGTGACGGTGAAGATGTTGGCGAATCCCTCCGCAGTCGAATTAGCCGATATGTTACAGTGGGAGGACGACGAGCTATATAGCACGATGGCAGCAGGTGGTGGATGGGAAACAAGTATGTTCTGCACTGTATTGTCGACTTTCAAAGGCCCGGGATAGTCGGATGGATCGCACGGGACGCAGGCAATTGAAGATGAACTCAGCCCCAAAGAATCGGTCGCGACCACTCTGGTGACGTTACCCGCGACGTGATACGCCTGGGGAGCGTAAATTAGGCCTTATTACTGGTCGATGGTGATTGAGCGGCTACGCACCTGTTTCTGGCTGTCGTTTAGATTATCAAGGGTCTTGGTCAACGGGGCGAGACGTTGGCCGTTGAGCGGACCGGAGGCCTGCAGACGAAAGTGAGTCGAGTTGGAAGCGGACAGATCCTGGGTACTATTTGAGGGCAGGACAGTGATCGCCTGCACAGTGACGGAAAGGAGGAGGAGTAAGGGCACCATGGCCGCTTAGTTTTTACGGGTGACGGCGGATACGCAGGTGGGGGGTTCATGGACCAGCAGCATTAGTCAGGGCCTGCAATCCACGAAGATGAGAGGATGAAATGGAAAAAGATTCAGATGATGTGGAGTTCCAGATGACGAGCCGGGAAAACAGGGAATAAAAGCACAAAAAGAGGGGAGAGCTAAAGCCGATCGCAGTATGGATCCCCGTGGAGAAAGCAGATCGGTCGGATCATGACGATAACGGGGGAGGGGGCCTTGAGGGTTACCATGGGTTGGAGTTGTCCCCATTGGAGTACGCTGCGTACGTCGAGCCACCTGGGCAGATACGAACAGACTGAATAATGGAGCCAAAAAGGGTGACTTGATATGATAATCCATTTCGTCGTATTCGCTATCCAGAAGCTCCCTACAAAATTCTCCCTGATGGGATGAGCCACCGCCTCCAGGGCGTATCTCAGCCTAAAACACGATGGGAAGCGTAAGCGTTTAAGCGGTGGCTGACGGGGCACCAGTCGAAAGAAAGCAGTTCCCACCCGGAACAGCGCCAATCGTCAGCCAACCGATCGCCGTCCCCATCTCCAATGTGTTGCATGTCGATCGCATAAGACATGGCCCTACGCCAAGTAGATGATGTAGATGATGCCAATGGTGCATAAGGATGCACTTTTGGTGACTTTTGACCTCTAGCTGAGAGTATGGCAAACTCTATCCACTGCGGACGAAGTCCCCCTCTGGTCGTCGGTAGGATCCGAGGTCTTTCATGGGCATGCGACCGGGGGGGGGGGGGGGGGGGGGCGCTCCACTCCGAGTGCGGCCTTGCAGAGAATTTTCTCCTTGACAGATGACCTGGTCAATTAACTAATAGGAGCAGTCCAGATCCAATCGATCCAATCTTAGAGCATCTAGACCTAATTAACTAGTTATTTTATAGTTATTAGTTATTGAGACCTGCTTATCAAGTCCAATGTCTAACCACCACCAATGACCCAATTCAGTATTCGACCGGTCACACCCGGTTCTGAATCCATGGATGTCACTCCTGCATCAGACACTGTCCTTGCCCCCCCAAATTCTTTTTATCTATAGTGCCCGAATTTTCAATCCTATGCCCAAGATAAAATGATAGATGAGATTCTTCCAAACTTGTGATCATTGAAGGGGAAAGGGCCTCGGGCCCTTATCGCCTGAGACATCCGGCCTTTCCTCCGCCGTCGCAATTCCTTTTGCGCGCTGATCGTTGTTAGGGTTGGTTCCCCCGCAGCACACAGTGATAGGTGCAGGCTAAGCGAGTGCAAATCCGAAGAAAAACAGAAAGGATCAATATTTACCGCAGAGGGTACTTTTGTAGCAGGTGATGGTTTTGTGGGCAGAGCTTCCCCATTCCCCCATGTTCAGGCGTTCGAACGGTTCTGAGGAACCGCTGAACCGCCCACTGTTCGTTAAGCGCCCGAACTTTATTGGGAGAGAGAGCGGACTTGCAGCCCCGGCAGATTTGCTGGGCCTGCTGGATACCTTATACGCTTGTGATATACTGGTGACCCCTCACTCTCTCCTTTCGTCCTCATGCTTGCAGCAGGCATTTCTGCCAGGGCCACACATCACACGCTCAAGCCCCGGCAAGGTCTTTCGGATCTGATTTGCGGAGGTTCCAAGGTGGAGAGGTCGAGGCTCCCATAGACCGGCGTACGAAGGGAGAGAAGGGGCAAAAATAGAAAAGAAATCAGCGGTTGGAAGAGTGCCGTGATCACCAAACAACGGAAAATTCACCCTTGAATATTAATAGTTCTGTATTCTGGCGTCCCATTTTCCCGCCCGAAGCTTTGGCGCGGCTGCACCCGCACTTCGGTCTTTTTCATCTTTCCTTTCCCCCCTCTCCTGCGATCGACGCTTTTGATCCACGGGGCCATGAAAACTTGATCGTGCTGCATCTTCTTCGAAATCTCCATTATCCTATCCGGGCTGCGGGTGCGTCGCACCATGCCTTCTAAGGAACCCGACGTCCGGTCGGCGTGGGAACGTCGATTTGATCGCAAACCCGTTTCTTCGTACGTATTTGTCTTATTTTTTTTCCTTATTTTTTTTGGGGGGGGGAGGTCTATCGGCCCCCTTTATATCAAATTACTGACTATGCCAGGAACCCCGTCTACGCTGACCTCGACGTCGAGCACAATGAACTGGTCCAGACCTGGAAAGCCTTCATCCACCACCTACCCCCAGAAGACCGCGTGCAATGGGAACCGCGACCGCAGACCGCTACCGATGTCCACACTCTCATGCAATCCCTAAAAAGCTACTGGATGGAGCGTCCTCGACAACGCGTCTTCCGCCGTGCCATCGTTCTCTGCGATAAATTCCTCCCAACTGTTGACACCCATGCCCTCGTGCTTGTCGCTCTACCCGATGGAGCTCGCTATTATATTCCTCTACTTTACGCGGTCCTACAATCTGTGATCAAGGTGGGTTGTGCCGGAGCACGAGACCACACGTACAACCCGCTAACAGTCCACCGCGACCAAATAGGCTTCGTCAAACTACCCCTTAGTAATTGAAGGATTTATTACAACCATGCTCGATATCAACCTTGCCCTACAACTCCCCGGGAACCCGAACTCCTCTGATGTAGAACCTATCGCGAGGACCTATGCTTTAGTTTTCTTGCTTCTCACCGAGTTCATGGATTGGTATGTGCGGAGGTCGACATGTCAGTTATTAAAGAGTCACAGCCAAGATGCCTACGCCGACTTCCACCCTTGGTGTCTTGTATCCAGCGGCAAGCTCGGACATTCAATGGAGCGGATGACATGGAAATCGATAATGAACGCGATGCAGCCTATACCCCCCGCTCACTCTGGGAAGAGTCCCAGTTGAGTCAAGTGGGACGTCATGGGGACCGTCGCCGCCATGCGGCTCAAAATACCATGACACGGCGGTTGATCTGGGATATTCAACAAGACGCCGAAAAGCGAGATCGCCTCCGAGAGACTCGAGAGCAGCTTTTAGCTCAAGTTCTCCGAGCCGTGGACGGCAAACTCGACCCTGTTAATGAGAAGAGCAGCGATATTGTGTGTCTGACCACAGCGGCACCGGACTTGGGTAAGAGGCAACCCTCGGAAACTATAGAGTTCTTCAATTGACCCTGATCCTTGCGAAAAGTCACGCCTCATTTCGAATGGTCCAGAGGGTCCAAGCGTCGCCTGGCTCGCCTGGAGCTCCAGAGCGAATCAAAGCATCTCCAACCGTTCTTCGACAGTGACGACCAAATCGCAGAGTTAGAACCTGATGAGAAGGTGGTGGTAGAGGCTAGTGTAATCACCGCCCTGCGAAAATGGGTCACCAGTCCTCGTTCCCAGGCATTGGCCGTGGGCGGGTCGGCATCCACGACTTTCCCCAGCCCAGTAGGTCGTCTCTCGGCGTGCTATGCTTCCTTTGCCCGCGAGGCCCGCCTACCCGTTCTTTCGCACTTCTGTGCACTTCCAACGCAGGAGACCCCTGGACAAACCCCCCCACCAGCAGGGTCTCATCGCTCTCACTTACAGCCTAATCCGACAAATGATTGATACCCTTCCGACTGTGGTGGACAGCGACTCTCTTCTCGACTTGACTGCCGAGCGGTTCCGCAAAGTGGATGGGAGTCTCGCCAGCTGGACAGCTGCACTATCACTAGTGGACACCCTGTTGCATTTTGCACCACCATTACTTGTCTGCATCATCGACGGAATCGACAAAATCCACGACGAGTCAACGGATGTCGCCTTGCGAGAGCTGCTTCGAGTGCTACTCACTCACACCCGGCACCAGCCCCCCGTTAGCGGGGACAGTCCAGGGCCAGCATTTCTGTTCAAAGTCCTCTTCACAGTCGCTGTCCGACCCAGCGCGTTGGTGGACACCATGTCTGAAAATGAACTGGTCCTCAGTGAAACCGCCTTGCCAGAAGAGCTTAACAACCCCGATGCAGTCCTGGCATCGGATCTCGCGCAGTCGCAATGAATGCTTAATGTGGGTTTACCTCCGGTCAATCTACGCTTGACGAATTTCCTTCTATGGTTTGTCCTGTCCTGTGGCGGCCATTTCCTCCACCCTCTTGACTTTCATCATCTGTGCAAGAAAAACAAAAGTAAATACATGATGAAGGGCCACCTGAGGGTTCTTATGATTGCACGAGGTACGAAGCAACGGCGATACTTTCAGCATACTTGTCTTTCTTTGTTTGTGTGACTTCTGTACCGTCATCCTTGCTCTTTTGCTGGGGGCTGCTGCAGGGTGATACTTTCTTCTCCTGTTTCTTCGACCTTGTTGTCTTCCAATACTTGCTTTTCTGTTGGCGTCCGGAATAACCTGGCAGTGGATAAGGGCATTCTCCCTCCCATGGAGAGACACGTCGCCTTTCGCCTTTCGCATCTTGCTTCTTGCTTTCCCGATGGTAGACACTGTACTATACTGCTTGGCTGTGATACCCACGTCTAGAACTAATACGACCGAAAATCGTCGGAAATTGAATTCCGAGCCCAAACATTGGACATCCAAGCTGGACGCTTTCGAGATGCGGGGCCTTGATAGAAAATGCGGGGCGCAGATGGAGACTGAATTCCGTGCACTGTATACTTCAGTCTATTTCCTCAAAGTGGAATCTGCACGATCGCCCTTTTAGCTCTGGATCTTGACCCCTCCCACCTGCCGCGGCCCATATGCCAATTATGACTGGAACAAACGGACGCACCAATGGCCACACGGCCATCCCATCTAGACTCTACCCGGCTGCATCTATCCAACTTGAGGATTTCAAGCGAATCTGCTCACGCACTGTCGACACCTCCACATACCCACTGTCAGCCTCAGTGGAAAAGAACATCCCAATTTACGACCTTGCCGCCCTTCAGGCAAACCTTACAGGCACCACGATCTCCCAACTCCAAGATGAATGGTACCACATCCTCTCCAACGGCCCCGGCGTCTTCGTCCTACGAGACATGTATGATGCAACCCGCTACAAAGCAACTCTCTTGGCCTCCAATGCCTCCTTCAACCGCATAATCGCGCACGAGCGCGAAAACCACACCGCGCGCGGCGACCACTTCGCCTCCGCAGGCTCCAACGACCGCATCTGGAACTCCTTTGGCAAACATGGCCTCTACGACCCCTCTTCCTTCCTCGACTACTACTCCAACCCCTGGCTCGCCGCCGTCTGCAGCGCCTGGCTCGGCCCCGCCTACCGCGTCACCGCGCAAGTCAACGCCGTGCACCCGGGCGGCGCCGCGCAAGAAAGCCACCGCGACTTCCATCCTAGGGTTCTTGGACGCGGACGCCTGCAGCCGCATCCCTGCGGCCATGCAGCTGGCGTCGCAATTCCTGACGCTGCAAGGCGCGGTCGCGCACACAGACATGCCGCTCGAGAGTGGGCCAACCCGGTTCCTGCCCTTTAGCCAGACGTATGCGCCAGGGTATATGGCGTGGCGGCGGGAGGACTTCCGGGCGTTTTTCCAGGAGCACTACGTAGCGCTGCCGCTGAAGGTAGGCGATGGGATATTTTTCAATCCCGCGCTGTTCCATGCGGCAGGGGCGAATGTCATGGATGCGGCGACGGGGTTTAGGCGTGTCGCGAATCTGCTGCAGGTGAGTAGTGCGTTTGGGAAGCCGATGGAGATGGTTGATTCGCTGCCACTTGTGGCGGGGACGTGGGATATGCTGCTTAAGAAGTTCCAGGCGGCTGGTGGTGTGGCGGACCCTGATCTTGATCCGGAGTCGGCGAGTGTGCAGGCTCGTGAGGTTCGGGCTTTTGTGCAGGCTGTTGCGGAGGGTTATCCTTTCCCGACTAATCTGGACCGTCGACCGCCAGCGCCGAGTGGGATGGCGCCGGAGAGTGAGCAGGATGTCCTGCTGAAGGGCCTGCAGGAGCATTGGACGAAGGAGCAAGTCATGGCTACGTTGCGGCATATGCGAGACGATTCACAGGCGTGAGGGCCGAGGGGCGCGTATATATATTTCCCTGAGGCGCAGATTGTGTCTGAAATAGGCTTGTAGCATCTCACTAAACGGTTATGCGCGTTTAATCGTCTCTTTCAGAATGCAATTGGGGTTGATTGGATAGAGGTCTATATTGTATTAGTTCGCCTTCGATGTTACAAGGTTCTCCGCATCGTACGCAATAGCCCGACCAGGAAAGACAGCCACATGCATGTTGATTGGAAAATCAGACCTCCACTGCCAGTGGATCAAGTGGGACTCGTGTCTTTCATGGAAAGTGGCGTCTGCTCAGTGGCGAATGGGACGCGGCCAGGTCCCGAAACCAAGGTTTCATGGTCCCGGTTCAGGGACGCGCATATACAGCAGTTTGATTACTAGGGACTCTCGAAGGAGGAGCGTAGAACTTCTTGAATAAACCCTCAGCTGCAGTACTAGGCTAGCTAATAGCATAAGGCTGAAAAAGTCCAACGGGCACGCAGTGATCGTCGCGTCTACTGAATAGCTAGTCGCGGCCATAGAGAATGCGGACACTGTTAAGGTGGAGCTTGCTCCTGCAACAGGAATGGGCGTCTCACATTTTTTGATTGCGCCCCTCGCCCAAACAAATGGTGAAACATCGCGTCCCAGGGTCTTATTTCTTCTTAGCATTGTCTCCAGGGCTGAAAAGTTTCGTTAAATCTCCGACGACCCCTTACACTCTTTTTGCAAGGCGAGGGAAACCATTCTTTCTTCCCCTCCTCGACCCCCCAAAACCTCGGCTGCCGATCTCGCTCCACTTGCACAACTGGTCCTTGATCCTGGTTTGTGGGAGAGATTGACGAGCCAGTGTACGTGCTCCGATCGAGCAGATCGAAGGCCACCCAGGCGAACTCTGGGCCTTTTAGCAGCCTATGATTTTTTCCACTCACAGTCTCCACCGGATCTCCCATCGAGCCAACCAGCTCCAATTTGGATCTACAGAAGGACCCGAACCGGGCACTTAATTCCAAGTTAAAGAGCGCTTCTCCCCGCCCTCCTCTTTTGCTTCGCGATGGGAACCAAGTTGGGCCACACCACTTCGCGACGTTCTGCCAACGGCTTCGAGCAGATACCCGATATCCCATACGACGGGATGACGCACTCCAATGACGCTACCATTGACATTCCCTTAACGGAGACCACCAGTCGGAAATGGGACTCTAGTAATGAAGATGAGAAACACGGAATCAACCCCGGGCGCCGGCGCCGCGTGGACTCCGACATCAACGACGTCAGGGGCAAGGCGGCTGCTGCCCCAGACGATGGTACCATCAACACCGTTGGCCGTATCTACCAGGCCATCTATAACTTCTCTCTTATCACTCGCTACATGATCTACGTTCTGCCCGTGGGTTGCCTGATCGCCATTCCTATCATCATTGGAGCTACTGCCGAGCCCAATGCGAAGATTGGTGGTGTCCATATCACTTGGTTCTTCGCCTGGTTCGAGGTCGTCTGGGTCGGCCTTTGGGTGTGCAAAATCTTCGCTAAAGTCATTCCTTACATCTTTCAAACTCTGTGCGGTATTGTCAGCTCCGGTACCCGCAAATATGCGCTCATTCTCAAGTCTCTCGAACTCCCTCTCACACTCGTTTTTTGGTGTATCGTGAACCTGGTCACTTTCCTCCCTGTCATGAGCTACAATGCCGACAAGCAGGCGTCTGGCAACACGAGCGTGGCATCCTGGGAAAAGAGTGTCAAGAACATTCTGTTCGCCCTGCTTGTCTGTTCTCTCATTTACCTGGTCGAGAAGGCGGCGGTCCAGCTGATCTCGATCAGTTACCACCGCAAGCAATTTGATCTCAAGATCAAGGAGTCGAAGCACCACGTCTTTCTTGTCACTATGCTATTCGAGGCCTCTCGCAAAATGTTCCCGATGTACTGCCGAGAGTTTGAGGAGGAGGACATTATTATTTCTGACCCTGTCCTTGCTCAGGTCACTCACAAGAGCAAACGCAGCTCCATGATGCCCTTGCGTATGGTTCAAAACGTTGGACGCGCTGTGGGTCAAAACGTCAGCCGTATGGGTGACAGGGTTCAAGCTGCCGTAGGCAATGTAGCAACTGAGCTCACAGGAAAGGCGATGTTCAATGGCAATGCCGCTCACTCCATTGTCATTGAAGCGTTGGAGCGCAAGCGCTGTGCAGCTGCTCTTGCCCGCCGTATTTGGATGTCTTTTGTTGTCGAGGGCCGCGAGTCCTTGTTCATTGATGATATTGTCGAGGTCCTTGGTCCGGAACACGAGGCTGATGCTGAAGATGCCTTCGCCATGTTGGATAGGGATGGTAACGGTGATATCAGTCTCGATGAAATGATTCTTGCTGTCACCGAGTTGGGTCGTCAGCGCAAGGCTCTGAACCACAGCATGCACGATGTCGACCAGGCTATTAACGTGCTGGACAACCTGTTGCTTTGTTTTGCTGGTGTTATTGGTGTTCTCGTCTTCATATCTTTTGTTACCACTGGGTTCGGGACCGTGATTGCCGCTGCCGCTACTTCCCTGCTGTCTGCTTCTTTCGTGTTTGCCACCACTGCCCAAGAGGTTTTAGGCTCTTGTGTCTTCTTGTTCGTCAAGCATCCCTTCGATATTGGCGATCATGTTTGCATCAGCGACAAGGAGTACGTCGTGGAACGGATCTCTCTGCTCTTTAGTGTCTTCCGTACTGTTGCCGATTCCCGCATGACCCAGGTCCCGAACAACATCCTCAACAGTCTGTGGATTGATAACTTCACCCGCGCCAATGCTATGCACGAACAGCTCACTGTTGCCTGTGCCTTTGACACCAGCTTTGCTGAGATCGAGGCTCTCCGTGGAGAGATGGAGGTCTTCGTTCGTGACAAGGATAACTCTCGTGACTTCCAACCCGACTTCAACATCGAAGTTGTCGGTGTCGGCGACATGGATAAGCTTGAATTGCGTGCCGATATCCGTCACAAATCTAACTGGTCTAATGAGATTGTACGTGCTGCCCGCCGCTCCAAGTTCATGTGCGCTTTGGTTCTTGCGATGCGCAAAGTTAAGATCCGTGCTCCTGGTGTTGCTGCCGAGGAGGAATCTAAGGACGGTGATGATAAGGATGACAAGGACGACAAGCCCGCAGAGGATGGTGGCATCAAGCCGGCTGCCGCTGCGAATGGCGTTGCTGCCGCTGGTACCATGTCGCCCGATACTGCTCGCGCTTCTGGCTTCGACCAAAACCAGAACACTGGAAAGTTGACTCAACGTGGATCTGCAAACAACCCGGACCTGTCTACCGAAGCTGCTATTGCAAGCCAACTAAACGCCCGCCCACCGATACCGATAAATGACATTATTGTCCAGGAGAGCGGTCTCCAGCGTGTTCCTACTGGTGCTTCTAGCCCAGACCGTAACCCGGACATCTCTCGTGCTCTGTCTACTGGACAGCGCAAGGCTGGCACTCGTGCTTCTCAGCAGGGCGGCCCGTTCCCGTCTCAACTGCCTGTGCCAGCTGGTCTCACCCAGTCGAACAGCAATGTCCCTATCCTCAATGACCCAGCTCCTCCCGGTTCCCGTGGCAGTGCTCGTTACGAGCCTCCCGCCCATGCTACCGGTGCCCAGTCCAACCCTATCATTGGCTCGCCTGACCCTAACACCTACAACACGTCCTATTACTCCCAGACCCAGAACCACCAGAATAACACCTACGAGTCTATCCCACTGGGGGGGATTTACTTCCGTAGCTCCCCACGAGCAACCCCCTGCTTCCGGCCAGACTTCCAGCAGCCACTACCCGGAAAGTTACGACCCCGTCTCCCCTCCTCGATCTACTCGCCACCACAGCCCGATGCTTCTTCTCACGTCACTGAACAGCCTGCGGGACGTCGTCAGTCGCTGCTGGCCCGGACTTTCCGCAGGGGCAAAGATCAGTCACCTTATGCTGAGCACGAGGCATGATTGACTTTGATGAGAATCTCTTCAATTCATTAGTGTTGATAATACGGGCTATTCTTCTCAGTCCACTTCTCATTTCTTTTGATCGTTTTAAACTGCCAAAAAGTTTCCTTGCATCTTTGCGTTGGGGTATGACAGAATCCTTGTGGTCATTCTGTTTACGATTGCCCATGTACCACCATGTTGTTAGCGACCAACAGGTTACTTCGAGTACTCTGCATTTCGATTCGTGTTTTCCCCATCCATTAACCCTGTAGGCTGAAACTCGACCAATGTAAGCCTCGCTGTGAAGTCACAGCTTGGCAGGACATTAGCCTGTCAGCAGCCCTAATACTGCTACTACTACTGCTGCTGCTGCTGCTGCTGCTGCTGCTGCTAATACCTTGCGCTGGCGCAAGAAACCTTAGACGGGAGTTTTTGGACACTATATTCACGTTCGTATGTTTTAAGATGTAGGATTATGAGATGGCCATATAATACATATTCGATTCCTCCCAACGCAACCATTGAGCCCGTACGCAATGCCTAGTCAAGATTCCAAAATCTCTCCAGGGCTATTTGCTTCCCGACTCTTTCCATGGGTAACTGACCACATCGTCCTTGCGCACCCAGATCTTCGACTTGCGCTTGTTGACCACATGCTCCACAAATACCTCACGAGTGTACTTCGCCTTGAAGTTGCGAATCCACCTAGGATCCCAAAGCTCACTCGCAATCCCCAGATCCTTACAGCAGCGCATCAACGCATTAGACCGACATCCCTCCGTCGCCGTCGGGATCCCATCCGGTGAAAAATAGTCCTGCTCGCCCCGCGCAACAGACACAAGTCTAGAATAAACCATCAGGACACGACTCAAGCAACATCCGATTTCAAGATCTTCCAACTCACCGTCCGTGGCAAACGAGCGCATACTCCCTCGTAACAGTCTTCGGCGTAACGATACTCTCTCCCCGAGGTGCCAATCCCCAGCCCCCAGGCCCAAACGCCCGGTTCAGAATTCGCCGGTACTTGATCTCCGGCAGGTACAGGATCCCATCCGGCTTCACCTCCACCTCCATGGGATCCGTCTCCGCGAGCAGAATAGCAGCAATTTCCTTCGAGAACGGCTCTGCGGACAGCCCGTGAAATGAGCGTGTCCAATCGATCTTGTCTTCCAGCGCCGACTCGATCTCTAGCGGTTTGTCCTCGAGCCCGCTCTTCGAGATGTTGTCGGTTGTAGCGCGGTTGGGCGGTGCGGCTGCGCGCGAACCAGACCCCGGATTTGGGGCTGCAGTCGATCGAGCCGGCGCGGCTGGCTTCGCGGCAGATGAGGTTGTGCTGCTGGATCCATTGGTTGAATCGGTGCTGCGGGAGCTGCTGGAGCTGATCGCGCGCGACGCGGCGCGGTAGGAGGTGATTCTCGCGCGTGGGGCTTGTCCAAGGGCTCCCGATCGCTGGAGCATTTCTACAGCCCTCCAGGGCTGACAGCGGAGGCCTGACATTGTGAATAGCTATTTTGGTGTGGCTGGGATGTTGAGGTGCTTTTGGCTTGAGGTCGGGATGTGATTCCTCGAATAGTCACGTGACAGCATATGATCTATAAGCCGCACGCGATTACAAGTGATATGAGACCGAGATATAAAATATGAAGAGAAGAGAATGCAATCTTTCAAGATCGTTTAAAAATACAAGAGTTGTCATGATTTGTCATGCGTCTTTGGTTTCCGTGCGCTTGTCGTTGCCCTGGCGTTTCCAGCATTCACGAAAAGCTTCCATCTAGAGCAATTCGAGGTCAGTTATGGGATTGCCTCCAATCTGTGCCAGAAGCAAAAAAGGTGGGAGGTCAAAAGACGGGGTATATTGGAGCTGCTCCGGAGCAGTTCAAGGAGAGCTACTCACCTCGTCCTTGCATGCTCGCCAGTCTCTCTTCGCGTAGTAACAGTCATTCATTTTGTCTTGCTCGGCTTTCATAGTGTTAGAAGATACACGAATGGCGATTTTCTAAATCGTCCCAGCTCACCATGGCAGCCAGTACTGAAGATGCGCTTGTTCCTATATGACGGCCATTAGCACCAAAGCCACCGAAGCTACAAGGGGGTTCAATTACCAGTCATCCGGCTCGTCGTCATCTTCCTCCGGGACAACCTGATCCTTCTCTGCGTTATTTGACATGATCAGAGCTCTCCGCGATGCTTAAGCTCAACCAAAGTAGTCAGGAAAAGAAGAACCGACGGTTGGCCGCGGCAAATGGAGGGCTATCGTTATCTTATCGCCCTCCGAGCCCACATCAATAATTCAACAGCTCAACAATCCACCGGACGCGCTGCGTCAAGTAGCATTGAGCCATGGCAACACCGACAGGCAACGACGCCAACCTCACAGCCAAGCGGCTTAATGTCCTCGTCTATTCCGGTTCGCTCACCCGTGCCTGGCATTTTGAGCCGATATCTGACTCCCCTCGATACAGGAACCGGAACTACAGTCGACTCCGTCCGCCACTGCCTCTATACTCTCCGTCGCTTGCTTGCGCCGAACTATGCTGTTACCCCCGTGACGGGCGATATGCTCCTCAAGGAGCCCTGGCTGGGTACCTGCGCGCTGCTGGTGATTCCCGGCGGCGCGGATCTGGGGTATGGCCGGACGCTCAATGGGGCTGGGAACAGGCGTATTGCACAGTTTGTGCGGCGGGGTGGGAAATACCTGGGGTTTTGTGCGGGTGGGTACTACGGGTGCAAGCGGTGCGAGTTCGAGGTCGGGGATAAAACTATGGAGGTTGTAGGGGACCGTGAGCTGGGGTTCTTCCCTGGGACTTGTCGGGGTGGGGCGTTTCCTGGCTTTGTTTATCATAGTGAGGCTGGAGCTAGGGCTGCTGAGCTCAGCGTCTCGAAGGAAGCGCTGAGTGTTGGTGTTCTGCCGGAGCAGTTCCATTCGTATTATAATGGCGGGGGTGTTTTTGTGGATGCGGCTAAGTTCAAAGAACAAGGCGTTGAGGTGCTTGCTAACTATGCGGAGAGGCTTAATGTAGATCCTGGGGAGGAAGGTGCTGCTGCTGTTGTCTACTGCAAGGTTGGTGACGGGGCAGCTGTTTTGACAGGGCCACATCCAGAGTATGTACTTGATGGAAGCCACGAACGTTATGCTGCTAACGCTTCCACGAGGTTTGCTGCAGTAAACCTGGACCCGAAGGCTGGAGGGCCTGAGTTTGCAGACGTTGTGAAAACAATCGCTGCCGATGACAAGGGGCGCGCGGACTTTCTCAAGGCTTGCTTGTCGAAACTAGGGCTGCAGGTTGCTGAAAACGACAATGCCATTCCTTCATTGTCATCTTTACATATCTCAGGCCTAAAGCCTGAAGGCCCGATCGAGACCCTTGCACTTCTTGCACCGGACCTTGAAAAAGAAGATGATAACGAATACTTGCGAGATGAGAACGACAAGTTCAGAATAGAGCGGCCGGGGGCTTGGAATCTGGATGATCTCGCGAAGTCGCTTCCACAAGAATCATCGCCCGGCGAGGGAATTGTTGACTATCAAGCGATCATCAAGAGGCTTGTATTTCATGACGACCTCCCATCATCGAAGCTGACTCCCTACTTCAACCACGATGCTTTCTATGCTAATTTGCGCCATTATCAATCTGAATCACGCCTGGGCGCCTCGGAGTTTGGTACAAACCTCATGTATGGCGAGGTAGTAACGAGCACCAATACAATTCTTGAAAAGTAAGTCTGAATGAGCAAAGCAGTTTAGTCCGTGTTCTTAATTAAAAGCTATTAGAAATACGAAGCTCCTTCGCCGCTTGCCAAATGGGTTCACAGCCACAGCCACAGTTCAGGTTGCTGGGCGTGGACGTGGATCTAATGTCTGGATCTCTCCAGCAGGTGCTCTGATATTCTCAACGGTGGTGCGGCACCCGATCGAGAAGATTCAATCAGCCCCTGTCGTCTTCATTCAATACCTAGCGGCTATGGCGATTGTGAAGGGTATCAAGAGCTACGCCAAGGGCTATGAGCAAATTCCAGTCAAGTTGAAGTGGCCAAACGACGTTTGTAAGTGACTCACTTGTTTCTTGCGAATATCTTGTCGCAACCATCGCTGACCTTCTCCACAGATGCCTTGGATCCTGCAGACCCCGAGCAGAAGCGATACACAAAGATCTGCGGCATCCTAATCAACTCCCACTTCATGTCAAATGAATATATTTCCGTCGTTGGAATTGGTCTGAACGCCACAAACGTCTCTCCCACTACTGCCCTTACGGCCCTGGCTGCCCGCTATGCTGCTCCAGGTGCCGCTGCAGCTTTCCCAGTTACTCTTGAAAAGCTCCTTGCACGAATACTCACTACATTCGAAGACTTGTACACCCGTTTTTTGCGCACAGGATTTGATCGCACGTTCGAGGAGATGTACTACGAAGACTGGCTCCATATGCACCAGATAGTGACGCTGGAGGAGGAGGGTGGGGCGCGCGCTCGTATCCAGGGTATCACGCGCGACTATGGTCTGCTCCTTGCTCAGGAGTTGGGATTCGGCGACAGACCGACAGGCCGAGTATGGCAGCTCCAAAGTGACAGTAACAGCTTTGATTTCTTCCGAGGATTGGTGAAGCGGAAGGTGTGAACAAGCATACAACTCGATTTCTTTTGTGCATTTTATGCATGATGCTATGCGATTCCAATTTAACTCAACATGACAGGCCTTGCATTGACGGCACGATGATGCCAGTGGCTCCGTGGGACTTTTGAGTTCGAGCCGCCATGGAACAATTCGGTCTAGACAGTATACGGGTCAACCTGCATAGGAGGCTGATTGAGCCAGTGTCTGGTTATCTACAGTGTTTGCCTACCATAGTGGGTACCTCTTAAAGACTCGAATATGTAGGATGTGCTGTTTGTACACCCGGAGTCGGTCTCGGGATGAAAATGAAAGGGTTAGCGCGTATATTCTGGCTCTTCGAACGTTTTGTTCCATGCCTCTCAAGTCCTCCATCTCCAAATCTGGGGCATTGGCCGCAGAATCCGTTGCTTTGCGAATTGCGTGTTCTGGGTAAATCTAGGGTATGGGGGTTTCGCGCTGTCATGGTGTCTCGGAGTAGAATTCCTGTTCGGAGTCGCCTACCCGGAGAGTCTCAATCCATCCTGCCTGTTACCCAAGGGTTAATTTCTGCCAGCGCATAGACTTAAAAATCCGTCAGTTGGTCTTCTGTACTATGTCAATCAAGAAGACACACAAGAGGCCTCTCCTAGCTTGATCATGTTTACTAGTCCATCACGCTCCCGGTGCTGATTGCAAATTCTGTGCAAGATTTCTCATAGCAGACGACCGTCATCAATTGTTTCCCTCAACATCGAGACTTGTCATGCGATAAGAAGTGGAATGAAAACACGCTCAATAGCAAGCGATCTGGTTTCAAGATCTAGGAAATTGAAATATATCTTAGGCTGTCGGTTCTACATTATTCATTCTCGTCGCGTACTTGACCCCTACAACTTGGTGCCCATGTTAACATGAACGGCCTTAACTTGGCTGTACGCTTCCAAGCCAGCTTCACCAAGCTCTCGCCCAATACCACTCTGCTTGACTCCGCCAAATGGAATCCGGGGATCACAGTCTTGGCTGCTATTGACCCAAACCATACCAGACTCGATTTCCGCCGCCACCCGATGCGCGCGCTCGATATCCCTCGTAAACACAGCAGCACCGAGACCGTAGGTCGTATCGTTAGCACGGCGAATAGCCTCATCCTCATCATCGAAAGCCAGAATCACCACCACCGGACCAAAAACCTCTTCTTTGACAATACGCATGGAATCTGTAACATCAGTAATGACCGTCGGCTGCACAAAGTACCCATTCTGGTTTTCTGCCTTCGTAGGGACATGCGCCGCACCCCCGGTCAAAATAGTAGCACCCTCACTCCTGGCGGTCTCCACATAGGCCAGCACGCGCTCATATTGCGCACGCGTTACCTGCGGACCCTGGAAAGTGGACGCGTCCCACTGGTCGCCAATGGTCACACCTTCCACGGCCTTTTTGAAATCGGCCAAGAAAGAAGACAAAATAGACCTGTGCACAAAGATACGCGAGGTCGCAGTGCATATCTGACCCTGGTTCGACATGATACCGAAATGGGACCACTTGACCGCCTGGTCCAAGTCCGCATCAGGGAAGACGAGCAGAGGTGACTTGCCGCCCGTCTCCAGGGTGATGTTTTTCAAGGTGCCAGCCGCCATCTTCATAATCTCGCGGGCGGTGCCGGTGGAGCCGGTGAACGCGACCTTATCGACCAGCGGGTGGGAAGCCAATCTGGCGCCGGCGTCACGACCGTAGCCGTTCACGATATTGATGACGCCGGGCGGGAAGCCAGCCTCCACGATGAGCTTGCCCAGGACCAGGGCGCTCAGCGGCGTCTGCTCTGCGGGCTTGAGCACGACGGTGTTCCCGCATGCCAGCGCAGGGCCGAGCTTCCATGTTGCCATGGACAGGGGTAGTTCCAGGGGATGATCTGGGCGACTACGCCAATTGGTTGGCGGATGGTGTACGCGAACTTTTGCGGTGTGGTGTTGATGGTCTGGCCGAAGGTCTTGTCGGCCCAGCCGCTGTAGTAGCGGATGGTGCCAATAGCCTCGGGGAGATCCTCCTCGTAGGCGACATGATACGCCTTGCCTACCGTACCGAAAGGTTAGCTGGAGGAAGCGGTGGTTTCGAGTCTGGAGTCGGGGCTCCACTGCAGCCAGGCGTGATGGCCCCCCGTTCGATCGACGATGTGCCGCAAAGATCCAAAGCAATTAAAAAAAAAAAAGAAAAAAAAAAAGAAAAAAAAATTGGAAAAAGACTTACCGTTATCCCATGCGTCAATGGAGGCCAGAAGCTCCCGATTTTGCTCGATCAGATCAGCCAAGCGGGCCATCATCTGGCCCCGCTCGGTGGCAGACAGAAGTTTCCATGAGGGATGCGCCAGGGCGGCTTTAGCTGCATCGACGGCCTTGTCGACATCTTCCGCGCTCGCCGCATGAACTGTAGCAATTGGCTTGTCGGTGCTGTGCGGACATTAGAGAGGATGGCTAATGCATGGGCAGCGCAGTTGGGACTCACGCGGGATCTAGTGAGGTGATAGTCGCTCCCGTGGCGGGCACGAATTCATTATTGATGAACAGCCCGGTCGGCTGCTCGTAGCTATGCCCATTGGGTATCTGCAGGTCTACGGAGAGACTCATGGTGCGCGAGAGGATTTGACTGATCTTCTGCTTGCTCTCCCCCACGTTATTAAAGGGTTTCTTGACGTTGGAGCTACGAAGTGGGACCGAGTCCGCCAAAGGAAGGTTTTTCCTTTTGGGCAGTGCAGGCGAGTACTTCACGAATCTAAAAGTCCCGCAATTAATCATTTCTTATCTCATATCACGTAGATCTCAAGCCCGAACCTCCTGGGCACAGCTGGCACAGTCAAACCGAAAAAAAAGAAAAAGCAAGAAAAGAAAATCACAATTTCTAAACTTTCTAATCCACCTAACGCCCAGGTGGTCCTTTCTCCAGTCCCGCCTTCCCAATAGGCCCGCCTGCACAACCTCATGCAGTCTGTTCTCTCTTAGTGAATACCAGGTCCAAAGTACCGGGAGTAGCAGTAAACTGGTCGCGCATCTTTCCCTCGACCTCGCCAATTGCCTTTGTTTTCCCCTCCACAAAGTCAAACCGGTACTTTGACACGAGGAGCGTGATGAGCACAAGCATCTCGTTCATAGCCACGTCCTTGCCAAGACACGTGTAGCGGCCTGGAAGAGAATTAGCTGGAACCCAGGCATCTCCATAGCGACTTACCTTGGGCAAAAGGCAGATTGGCCCGCGTGTCCTTGACCAGCTCCGGCTCTGTATCCCACCGCTCAGGGATCCATTCGGTAGGTCGAGCAAAGCAGCTCTCCACTAGAGCGCCGTCAGTCACTGTAGATTAAACCCACGGAGCCTTGGGGAACCTCAAAAACAGAACACACGAACTTACGTCGTCCCAGGGTGTATCGAGGGCAAATGACCGTGGTGTTCCCGGGGATATATTGGCCCGCGATCACCATTCCTTCCGGCGGCGTATCGCGGTTACCACCCGTGGGCACCGCTGGATGAAGGCGAAGAGTCTCCGTAATAACGGCATTGAGGTAGGGAAGCTTCTTGAGAGTTGCGAGGTCCTTGATGTCCACGTGGCGGATCTCTTCGTAGAGCTTCTCAGCTTTCTCCGGGTGGAGGGCGAGCTGGTAGAAAACGAAGACAAGAGTTGGGGCCACCGTATCACTTTTATCATGTCAGCGTTTCCATACGAAAAAAGTCAAGCAGGACGTATACCTTCCAGCGACGATAGCGACGATAGCATCCCCCACTAGAGGGGGGGTGTCTTCCTCTAGAGTTCCTCGCTTCCTTGAATCATCGATGATTCCCTGTGCCACATCAGGGGAATCGGGTTCCTGGTGAGATATTAGCACAGGACTGTGTCTAAAAGAAATGATCCGAGTCCTACCTGAATACGATCGCGCATCCGAGCGGCGCACCATGCAATCATGGTTTCCCAGTCTTTGACCACCCAAAAGCCCTTGAGCAGCCAGAACCCAACCTGGGCCACCCAGGGAACACAGGACATCGGGCCCAGGAGTCTCATGGCCTTACGCAAGTTCGTAATGGCGTAGTGCCAATGCTCCTCGCTCAACATATTGAAAGAGCGAGAGAAGGCAAAGATTCCCATGATATCGAAGGAGAACCAGTAGATATAGGTTGAGAGCGGCACAGGCTCTCCTTGCTTTACATGGTCTGCAATGATCGCATCCAGCTTTCGGGCATGCGCCTCAATATTCGTCTGATAATTGGCCATAGCCCCAGTCGAGAACCCCTTCAGCCAGAGCCGTCGGCGCTGATCATGATGCTTCCGGTTGCGAATGGTCGTCACCCCGTAGTTCGGAAGGAGGAAGTCATACCAGTCAGATTTACTGGTCTGACTTCCAGGACCGTCCAGAACAGGCAGACCGTGAGGGTGGAAGATGGTGATTTCGTTGGGCCCAGTCCGCACAAAGTCGCCATATTCGCGGTGCATGCGCTCCAGCACCAGATGGTTCTGTCCATATCGGTTCTGATACATATGCCATAGCTTGCTCACACCGGCCAGACGAGGGCCTGGAAAGTGACGAGTGCGATGAGCAAAGACACGGTACACGCCAATACTCAACAGCAGAGTGAAGGCAAAGCTGCCTAGCATCAGGACGGCATCGCCCATGGCGGTTAATGTCGAGTGTCGTCTGGCCTCAAGAAGCATCAAGAGGATGTAGGAAGCCAGGCCGGCTTTGATGATATTCGGGCCTTGCATATGCCATTCGTTCTTAATGAACACGCCATGGTGCATTACGATGCCAAACACACTCATTATGGCGCAGCGTACCAGGAGCGGCCTTTCGCCCAAAAAAGCCAGGACTAATTTGATCTGTGTCGAGTCCATGATGAGCCCAATGGTGGATTGAGTTGGAGCAAAATGAATGAAAGGTCAGAAACAGGAATTCAGCTATATATCGGAAAGTGCGTGGTTCATAGAATCTCAGACCCCGCTACAGTACTGCATAGATCCAAGGTTCGGCAGGGTAGTTCGAGCACGAGGCTCAAAAGGGAAGTGTGGGTAATGGACGAAGAACGGGGCTGCCGAGAATCAAAGAAATGGAAATACTGAAGGGAATACGAATATTCTTGGACGAAATCAAGTGACGTGGTTCGTAATGAATGGTCACCGACTCGTGCGATCTTCCCAGGCCAGTTCGGGTCTCAAGCGAGATCAGCGGCATGGACAGCACTATAGACCGTCCTGGAGAAATGGCTTCAAAACATAAATTAGGCCTTTTCCACTTCTTTTGGCTACTTTTTAGTTTTCAAGCTTCAAATTTCAAGAATACCATGCTCTTGAAACTCTAGGACATAGATCAACCGCAACTCCCAAAAACTGTACGATGTTTTCTTCCAAGAACCCAAATATTCCCTTCCAGGAAGACATTGTGTGGGAAAAGGATCTATCTCTGCCTATCCAGAGATTCTCATGTCTAGTCGACACCATCGTGGAAGCGCCAGGTCAATTTGTTCATGGAATGTGGCTATTCACATACAGTGATCTCAAGACTATTATTGCCACGAGTTTTGGATTCGCACTTCTGACATCCCTCGGAGCATCAGCATTTGGGGTAAATCCCGCTCCTGCATGGGCCGTATGCCTCCAGCGTGTGCCAGTCGTGGTCCTGTGGGCATGGCTGAACCTTCTTCCATTCACGATCGACAATCAGCGCCAAGACGAGGCTATCATGGAGGATTCCATCAACAAACCGTGGAGGACTATGCCGCGAGAGTTAATGACGCCGCAGGACGCACAGTCGGTGATGTTCATATTCTACACGATGGCATTGGGTACCAGCTCCCAGATCGGTGGATTGTTCCAATGCATCTCGCTGATCGTGCTGGGGTTCTGGTACAACGACGCCGCCGGAGCTGATGTGAGCTGCATCACGCGCAATTTGATCAACGGAATCGGCTTCATGTGCTATACCTCCGGTGCTTTGCATGTTGCATTAAACCCATACCAATGGCGCCAATTCATCCAGGAAGACGGCCCCGGTCTCCCATGGTTGGCGATGATTGGCCTGATGGTGTTTACGACTGTGCAGACACAAGACTTGTACGATCAAGCTGGGGACAGTGCCCGAGACCGGAAGACCCTCCCCCTGGTCATCGGAGACGCTAATGCGCGCTGGGTGACTGCGGCATTGATGTTATTTTGGGGCGTCTTGACTCCTTCCTACTGGGGCTGGGCACAAACTGGGCAGGGTAGAGTCTTATTCTGGGGTGGGTCCTACATGGCAGCTCTGGCGTGCATCATTGCAGCACGTACTCTCACCTTCCGGTCTGTATCCGCCGACAAGAAGACTTTCTTGCTGTGGAATCTATGGTTAGTGTCGAACTATGGCCTGCCATTGTGCGCTACTCTAGGAACAGCTAGCGGAGCATGAGCTGTCACCAAAGTCTAAATCGTCTTATGATATTCGACTTCTTTTGCCTTCTTGTTACCCCAAGGTTGAGAGTTGGAAGAACTGTCATTCCCAATTGTGGAGACATGCTTGTTACGGTTTCATTTGTTTCTTATCGTCCGTTTATTACGCGGAAGATTGCTCGGAGGAAAGTGTTGGTGTGGAGGTGTGTGGAGAGGAAAGACCTGCATGAGAATTTGCGCAGACGTTCGTGGTCGTGGAGCCAATGACGATTATATTTCATAGATAGCGCTTATTTCATGTGTTTTAGCGTAAAAGTCAGCCTCGATCAATGTGTAAAGACCTTTGGTCATTCCTATTTGCTGCTTATGCGAGACGTTGGAATGCGTCGAGTACGCCGCAGGAGCTTGGCGTTTCGGTCTACTGCACGTACTAATGCACGGCTCGGACTAAGGTTGAGGTCTTGAAAGTAAAGTACAAATGCAATCAAGGATTAACGCCACACTGCGGAGTACTTTCTGGTGGCAGAAGACAAAGAATGTTTCTCCTGCAGGACGCTAAGGTATGAACCCTGCTAGCGTATGAACCCTGCTAGCCACCAGAGATCGTACAGAAGCGGGCATAGATCGCTCGGCCCCTTCCAAATGAAGCGATGCTCGTATGGCTCCTAGGGTCTTTAGATTACCGCTCTCGGCTCTTTTTGGTTCGTTCTTTACTTGAGATGAGAGGTGAGAGGATCAGCAGGGCTAGACATGGATACCGAAAGTTTAGGCAATAAAGTCCACATATCAACGTAAATATGGTCAAGACCGTGGACATCCGAAAGTGGAGCATTGTCTCCACTGCCAACTCACCCATGCCACTGATCGAGCGCTATGCCGAGACCGTTGGTACCAGGAATATGGCTCTGGAAGACCCTTCCAGGCCATTTTTTTTTTTGGAAAGTCTCAGCCGCCCTTTGAGCTATGGCGTACACAGTAGACATGATGCTGGCCGGAGGAATCACTAGGAAAATACCCTGTCCTTGCATCGCAGACCCGCAGATTAGGGATACCATACCCTCGCAGCTGTTCATCCATAACACCCCCAATCCCCTTGGATTTAGAGGGGCCGTTGCGCACAGATGACAAGTTAATGTGACAATATCGCGGAGGCATTTCTTCGGAGATTCCAGGTCGGTCAGGAATGCATTAGGGTGATTAGACGCCCCCCTGAGGTTTGGAGAACTTGGAGAAATACCGCGGATTGATGGTCGGCTAAACGGCCGAACTCTCCGACCTGATATGGGCAATGCCACGCGCAAATGGCAGACCGTCGATGATCCCTAAAACTCACAAACTTCCCGGGGAGAAGACCTTGCCTCACCAAGTTCTCTCCAGTTTCATGCACGTTGACCTGGGCGAGGAATATACCCATGAACGAGGCGAGTGCGTCGCCTAGCAAGATGTCGCGAATGGCCTGATCTCACCCCGTCGTATTGCTCGTATTCAGGATTGTGTATCCAGGTGCTTTTTGATCCCGCTCCGTTTGTGGGGGTCTGGGACTCCCTCACAGGCATGAAGGATCCAGATTGCACATCCCCGGCCGCTAATGGCCCCGCTTGGTAGGCAGTGTACACAGTAAGTGTACATTTGCATCGCGGCCTGTTAGTGCTCCCGGCTCTTACCGCATCAGCCATTTCTCGTGTGGACTTTGTCGACGACTTCCAGACTAATTCCCCTCATGAGATGATCCTGGAGGGTTTCATCCACATTGGGATTAGCCATGATGACAGGGATGTTAATTCGGCGAAGAATTCTTTCATCTTCGATTGCCTAGGAGCCCGAGAAGCTTGGGCGTGTTGCGGGTCTCCTGCTGCAAGGAGGGCTTCCTCATTTGCTCGTACGGGGTAGGTCGGGCCTTTGACATGACCTCGACGCCACTGGCTGTAGTTCCATGAGCCGGGCTCCGCGGAGAGTATTCTTTGCACCAATGCCTCGGTCACGATTTGCACCCCTGACCGCTGTGCTGCTGGGAAGTCCGTACACCGGTAGCTGCCTACTTGCGGGTCTTGGTGTCGGCCAGGGTGGCAGTGTTGCTAACCCCCCGGCCCCATTGACTTCCTTGAGGAAAGATCCTCAGTCACCCCATACCCAGTTTCTTTGAACGCCTTGACCCAGGCCTTGGAGAACCTGTTCTTGTATGATCGCTGGGAAGGAGATCCTCAGAAATCCGGACCAGCCACGGTTCTCGGGATCAACCCAGTCTGAGACCGAGATGCTCTTGAGTAGCTGCGTCTGGAAGGTGGAGGGTATACGATTTCTTTCTACGGAGGAGAAAGGGCGTCGCTGGTCCCACGTCCAGCCGGCAGCTCCAAGCTTAGACCAAGCATCGATCACGGCCTCGGAAGGAGCAATAAAGTCTTGACCGTTGATTTCTGAGGAGCTTCCAGATGGGTTTCCTTGTGGTTGTTGGATCATCCGGGTTCCCCCAAACCCCCCTAGTCATGATCAGCTTCTCTCTTGGGGGATAACCGGAAAATGCAAAAGTCCATGTGGCTTACTTTGGGGGTTGTACGGAGCTGCTAGTCCACTTCTGAGCCCACCAACCCTGTCCAAAGAGCAGGGTTTGTGTTCTTGGGTCGTAAGTTAGTTCAGTCTGTCCCCAGCCTCCAATACGCCCACAGCCTTTGAGGGGTGCTCGGTCGGCGTGAGGCCAGGACTAGCTCGGTTGTGCCTCCTCCCACGATACGATAGTCTGCCTCTGGCGGAACGGCTTGCCCATACCTGATTTCTCTCAATCGGAGGTTCCTACCGTGAGGAGGAAAAAATTGAAGGTCAGGGTGCGTGAACTTATACCAGGCATTCCGGATGTTTCACCCCGCGGCCAGTGGGCGACTACGCCTTGTACACGTATCCATAGGCAGCTGTAAGGCCCCCCCAACTAACTCACTTCATGATGAAGCCTACCATGGCGTGACACTACTGTAGGCTTAATTCCTCGATCTTGCATTTCAATCTAATCTCGCATGCGATAGGTACAAGTATTCCCACATGCACTGAAATCACAGAGCATGCGGGATCAAAGGGTCATTTGGCATGGATGACCTGGTAGGGATGATGGTGATGAATACATAGGGCCCAGCGTGGTAAAGAGAACTCTCGTGATGCGTGAACTGCCATGATTCCCCGCCATGCTCAAACACAAGAGGGACTGGACAGTGATCGACAGACTGATACCTCGAAGCCTGGGGTTCCCACAGCATGAGGCTTTACGGAGTTCACACTTCACACCCTTTGCATGCAATCAGGAGCCGTTCATCGGAGAGTAAACGCGACGACAAAGGGGCGGACCATCCGGAGACCTCATTTGCATTGCCGAGTCCAACAGGATACCCAAATGGTTTTGGTGCCCACAAGAATTTTACCGCTTCACTTTTGGGCACTAGTAACCAATGAAATTGATCACTGCATGGGGCTTTCCCTAGCCAAGTGTGGCACCATAGTGCAGGATATCCACTTTCAAGCCCACTGGGATTTGGGGTAAGCCCACTGTGCGAGTGAGCCAAACCGTCTCTGGCGAAGATCTGCCGCGGAACACGGGCAGGATCTTTTAACCATTCCTGCCGCTATCACGCTTTTGGCGCCGCTGCTCTCGCCTCTAATCGCCCGCTTACCGGATTCCGAGTGTGGCTTCTCCATCCCCCCTTTCGTATCTGGAGGTCCACTATACCCACTGTGAAGCCGAAGGCTGCCTACGGGCTACTTCCCGCGAACCTAAACCAATGAGCTCCAGCAGATACGTTCCTTGTGAAGTCATTCTTGGCACTGAGGGCTAGGCCCCCTATCCCTAGGTGGAAGTTCGCTCGCAATCCGCCAGACTACTCCGACTGCGGAGATCATCGCGGCGTACACGTGTCAGAGCAGCGCTAGGCGTGCTGATGTCGATCTGAAGCAAGGGGAAGAGGGGTACTTTTAACCCTGTACCATGACTGGAGGAAGACCATTGGACTAAACCCAAAAAACGAAGACCTCAAAGGGTAACTATACAATTCCAGACCACCGGGTCGGGATATTTTGCCTACACGAGCATCGAACCATCACAAGGCTATCCATCACTAGTTAACAGTCACAAATCCCGTGTCAAGTCAGCTTCTTTGTTCGGCCATCATGGGGCGAAATTCCAGTGGATCGTCAAGGCCTCCAGGAACTTCGTTCAGGCCACATTGTAGCCCTAGCGTCAAGCGATCTCGATTCGAGCATCGGATCCCCAGATCCTCAATCGCAGCAGTCAACAAGTTTAGTCAAAGGGCATTGACCCGTAGGATAAGCAGACTGGAATCCAGAATCGCCCATAGCGTGGCTCAGGAGGGGCATTGGTGTACGGGACACCCGCGCATTAGCGCTTCCTGTAAAGTTATAGTGCTGACCCGCTTCAGGGCTGGTGTCGCAGCTCCTGGTCTTTTCTTGTCAATCCCTGTCAAGTTTTGAACCGCGTCGGTCATTATCCGGAGTAACCAGGCCATGTCATGACCAGTAATAGGCTTTGTCTCCCTGCGCATTTGAACTCCTTGCCTTCAAGTCCTCCCCCAAACCACTCGCCATGGCCGCAGAACGACAGCCATGGGCTGAAGGCGCGGAGGAGAACAGGGGACGGCGGCTGCTTCCTCACGTTGTCGACTACTATGCTCATCAGGAACCTGATCGTGTTTTTGCGGCCATCTCCACGTCGGAGAGCGTTCCTAATGGATTCGAAGATATCACCATGAAGGCCATGGCAAGTGCCGTGAATCATATGGCCTGGTGGCTGAGTAAATTATTGAAATCCAGACCATCTGATAAACAACGCACTTTGGCTTTCATTGGCCCTGCCGATCTCCGATACGCTGTCATGCTTCTGGCAGCTATCAAGACCAACTGGAGAGTGAGTCAGCCACTGGCAGCATTGTGAGGCCTTGTATACCGAGAGACCCGATTCCTCTGACATTGGATCGAACGAATCAAACAGACTATCTTGATTTCTCCACGTAATCCAGTGACCCTGAATCTGGGGCTCTTGCAACAGTCCGATGTATCGGCACTGTTGTACGCTGATTCCTTGCGCTCCATGGCGAAGGGGTTGCAGAAGTTCGACCCTTCCATGGCGTGTAAGCAAGTGCCTACCATGGCGGAACTTCTCCAGGCCGAATCGCCCGAATATCCATTTGAAGCGGCATGGGCAGATATAAAGGACCAGACTTGTTTAATTTTACATTCGTCCGGGTCCACTGGTAGGCGATATCAAACTCTAGTCCTCAGATCTCGCGGCCTAACTTTTCATCGCCAGGGCCGCCTAAACTGGTGCATATGACGCATGCTGCTCTATCATGCACCGATAACGACACGAAGGTGCCTGTCCCGGAAGGACGCCAGGCGCAAAATGCAAGCCAATTCAATTTCGATCCCCCAGCGCGGTTCTACTCTTGCTTCCCGCCGTACCATGTAGGCTCCCTGGCTCCTCCATGTTGAAGATCCAAAGAACCTCACGCTGACCTCTTGAGAGTTTGCCGGCCTCATGGCCTTTACTCTGCTTCCCATCTTTAGCAAGACCGCCACTGCAGTCATGGGGCCCCCCATGATGCCCCCGAGTGGTTACTTGGTAGACGCCATCATGAAACAACAAGACGTGAAAGCCCTATACTTGCCACCTTCTATTATTGATCAGTGGGCATCAGACCCCGAGAGCTTGGAGCAGGCCGAGAACCTAGACTTTATTCTTTATAGCGGAGGCCCATTGGCCCAAGCAACCGGAGACAAGCTCGACGATGTGACCGATATTTGCCAGATTTATGGCGCTCTTGAGATGGGACAGATCCAAGGTCTCATGCCCCAGGCGGGCGATTGGCAGTATATTGAGCCCAATCCAGCCGAGGAATGCCAGTTCGAGGAGGTTGATGATGGCATCTATGAACTAGTCTTAAACTGTGATAAGAAATTTATTGGGCAGAGAACTCTAGCCCATACCTTCCCAGATGCATCGGTCTGGCGGACAAAGGATCTGTTCGTCCCCATCCGTCAAAGCCCGGTCTCTGGCGCTTTCATTCTCGAACCGATGATATCATCGTGCTGGCCAGCAGTCACAAAGTGTGGCCTATCCCCATGGAAACTATCATTGCTGGACATCCCCTGGTAGCTGGGGCTCTCGTCGTCGGGAATGGGCGCCCCGAGGTGCTCTTGCTTGTGGAGCCGAGACCAGGGCCGGAAACAGACCGCATGAGCAAGAAAGAATTCATCGACGCCATTTGGCCTCGGATCGCCGAGGCAAATACGCAGTCGACCGAGCATGGCAAGATCAGGCGGTCACGGATTGTTCTTAGTCAACCTAACCTAGGGTTCTTCCGGGCACCCAAGGGGACTATATCTCGCAAGCCTACCGAGTCGTTATATGCCGAGTATATCTCCGCGGCGTTCCTGGATGGGACGACAGACGAAGAGAGTGAGATCGGTATCCTGGAAAAACATTGGATCGACGAAGCGAAGCGTTTCATTGGCTCCGTTGTCCATGACATGCACGCCGATATCACATTGAGAGACAGTGATGACTTCTTTGTTTCCAAGGCCATGGATTCCTTAACCGTGCTGGAGCTCGCCCAGAAAATTAGGCTGAGTCTCTTGAAACGGATGGACAAGGAAAAGAACACACTCAACTTCTGGCTCCGCACTATCTTTGAAAACCCAACAATCGAAGACCTTGCAAATGCTACGCTAGACGCAGTATTCGGCCAGGGGGATTCTTCCAGAGACTCCGATCCTTTCCGTGCAACTGACCTATTGGTCGAAGAGCTCGTCTCCGAGTTACCGGAACCTGTGAAAAGAGAAACTATCTCGGAATTCCCGACGGCAAACATCAAAGTCGTCCTTCTTGGAGCACGTGGACGCTTAGGTCCATTTATCGTGAAAGACCTTTTAGATGATCCGCGAGTCACAGGCATCAAATGCTTAGACCGAGGCACCAGTGGGCAAGAAGCATTCCAGCGTCGTGCAGATGAGCTGAAGATTGCCATTGATGCAAAGGATCCAAAGCTGCAGTTTGTGTCCGTGGACATCTCTGAGCCAGATCTGCGTCTGCCACAGGAGGAACTGAATGAAATTCTCAACCATGCAAATGTTATAATTCACAACGTATGGGCAGTCAACTTTGCCTTTTCCCTCGCTTCGTTCGAGCACGAGATGTTGAAGAGCGTTTCCAGCCTCATTGAAATGGTCAACCGAGCCCCGGCCCGGCCTCGTCTAGTTTTCATATCAAGCGTGAGCTCGACGCAGTCCTGGTCGAAGGTCATCTCTCCGCATACCCTCGTGCCAGAAGAAGTGATCAACACTCCTACTGTAACCGCGAAAACAGGTTACAGCCAATCCAAACAGGCTGCAGAAAGATTGCTCGCTGCCGCCGGGGCTCGACTGAATATTCCAATCTCGGTCTTGAGAGTCTGCCAAGTCGCCGGTCCTACCAACATCGCGGAGGGTGGGAAATGGGAAAGCCACGACTGGATGCACTCACTTGCCATACTTTCCAAGGCCAGCGGCTTGGTCCCCACCGATCTGGGTTATATTGACTGGATCCCCGTGGACAAAGTGTCTAGTATTGTGCGGGACCTTAGTCTCCACGAGCAGAGCACAGCCTCATCTAACTTCCAATTATACAATGTCGTCCACCCGCAGCCTATCCCATTCTCAAAATTTTCAGATGCTTTGCAAAAGTCCATTTCTTCTTCAAAGCCCGTGCGCTTTAAGGAATGGGTAGAGCATTTGGCTGGGCTGGCTCCCAACAAACTATCCAAAGACGCTGATACGGAGAAAGCCCGCATCCTGCCTTGGTTCCAAAGCATTATCGATCAGGAAGCCTCCCATTATTCGGTTGAGAAGGCCAAGGCTGCCAGCCCGACAATGGCCGGTTTGAAGCCTATTGAAGAGGAGTGGCTGGAAAAATGGTGCCAGCATTGGGTTTGAAAAGGATGATACCATGGGCGGATATTTGGTTTGAATAATATATTAATGATTTATGAAGAACACGGTTCTGGCGCTATAACTATGCCAAATGAAATCCTGGATATCCTTCGTCTATACCAGCATATATGATATTTCCGGCAGACCACGCTAGTGATTCGAGGACTACTCGTCTCGTTTCGCAGATCCAGCCAGCCATATTAAGCGGATAGAGGCGTCGAGGACGGTCTAAATAGAAAAAAGTATAGCGTCCGATGAATCACTTCCAGGAAATATCCTCGGAAACAGATTCCCCTTCGGAGCAACAAGCATATCGCGGGAGGTGGGTCATACAGATTGGGGAGGCGACTCCTCCATCTCCACCCTTTGATCTGCATATACATTGAAACCCGACGACCGTTCGAAGAAGCCCAAACAGCAAGAATCTCCGTGCAAAATCACTATATTTAGCCATGAAGAGCTCTAATACAACGACCTACCCCCCGTTCTCTCCATCGCCAGCCCTCCCGCCATCCTCAACCACCAAGCAACATGGCCTCTCTCCACGGGATCATGGTGGCTCTGATCACCCCCTTCTCAGACGACATGGCCAAGATTGACGAGAACCGCCTCCAAGCACACATCGAACACCTCATCGAAGCCGGCGTCCATGGCCTGGTGCCCGGTGGCAGCACGGGAGAATTCACCACCATGACCACAGCCGAACGCAAGCAGCTCACCGAACTCTCCATTAAATACGCCGCCGGCCGCATCCCTGTCATCATTGGCACCGGCAGCACATCCACCGCGGAGGCAGTCGAGCTCTCCGTCCACGCTGGGCAGGCCGGCGCTGCAGCCGTCATGGTTGTGCCCCCCTTCTATGACCCCGTTAGCCTGAACGAGCTCCACGAGCTCCTGGGGGAGATCCACACTGCCTCCAAGCTCCCGATCATGTACTACAACATCCCTGCCGCATCAGGCCTGAAGCTCAGCCCGGCTGAGATTGCGGGCCTGTCCAAGGTCGGGGTGAAGTACGTGAAGGATACCTCCGGAGATGCTCCTGCGTTCAGCGAGCTCGCATTCTCTGCTTTGTCGGAGCAGGTGACTGTCTTCAATGGCTGGGATACGCTGACTTTCTATGGTCTGGCTGCTGGGGCCCCCGGTGGGGTGTGGGGAGCGGCTAATTTCATCCCCGAGCTGGCGGTGGAGTTGTACGATGCTGTCTCAGTGAAGGGGGATCTGAAGCGTGGACGGGAGCTTTGGACGAAGATCTTTCCTATCTGCAAGTTCTTGGAGTCACATGCTTACTCTGCTGCTGTGAAGACTGGGGTGGAGCTTATTGGTCAACCGACTGGCGGTTTGCGCAAGCCTTTTACGCTGTTGAAGCCTGAGCTTCAGGCAGAACTGAAGCAGTTGCTGCAGAATGCTGGTGTGAAGACTATTTGAAGAGTTGAAGGATTTGGAGGATATTGAGATCACGACTGTTTATATTGTGCAGAGTGCCCATATTATTGGGAGAATGACCAGTATAGTAGGCTACTTTGAATCAGACAGAGGACAACTAGTTGCAATAGTTTGTCTGGACGCTCCGAAGATTGTAGTAGTATTCATAAGCGTACATAAGTGATGTGGGAGATTAGTCAATTCCTGTAAAACATATTGCAGAACTCCGCACTTTCGTCATAACATGAAAAAGGGGTATCGTTGAGGCAATGGGAGCAACTAACCATAGTCTCAACAAAATAGAGGCCATATCTGACCTTGTTTGACAATTTCGATCCATGAAGGCATCGGTTCGCCCCGGTTCGCAACAAGGATCTCATCCTGCTTGTTCCATACTTCCGTCATAAGACTCCTCGCAGTGCTGAAAGCGATCAAACCAGATTTCGAGCTTGCTTTATCAATAATCCTGAGGATTGCTTCCCGTCTTGCAGATGTGGTAGCCTCACAACCGGCAATGAACACCGGCCAAGCAGTGCCAGGTCCGGTAGGGTCGCCTTCAGCGAATGCGGCGCTGCACTGTTCTAAAGAATTGATGACGCTGTCAACATGCCCTTGCAGGACAGCCGGATGAGCATCTCGGATCCGGCGGTAGAAGAAAATCACCAGAGCAGCGCTGAGCGCTTCCAGCATGCACGCGTGGGATTTGGTGTTGACCTGCAGTTCTGCCGATCCGCCGCGCGCCCAGCCGAGATCAAAAGAGCATATCATGTTCTCCAGCCTCATGCTGCGGCGTTGTAAGGCCTCCCATGTTTCAAGATGCACTGTCTTTCTCGATTTTCGGGCCACGATGAAGGTCTGCATGGCATTGGCTAGTCGAGTGGTTTGAGACATGAGACTAAGCCATGTTTCGGGAATGCCGTATATTTGTTTATAGAGTGTCTCCGAGAATGTCCGAGAGTCTTGGAGGTGGATGTCATGTAACCCCGAAGCCCGGTCTTTAGGTTCGTCAATATTAAGGTCGCTGTCTGAAAGTTGCGTTTCGAGTCGAAGAAAGTCATCAAGACGAGAATGTGGCTCACTGCCAACAATAGGATTGCTCATAGCACTGGATGCATGTGACCTTTGTGAAGATCCGATATGCTCGAGACAGGAATATGAGAGGCTGTAGTTGTGCAACACAAAAGTGCTCTCTCCTACAATCCGAAGCCACGTATAAACATGATGTAGGAGGCGCGCTTTCTTAGAGATTCGACTTTTTGAGAGCCCTCTGAGTCGCAACAAGCGTTCAGCGTCGATTAGAAAACACCGTGCGTGTTGTTGCTGCCCCGATAAGATCTATATAAATCATTCCGGTCAATAAATTTCCACCAAACAGAGCACACCCACGGAACTTACGGCATATTGGGTGAGGATATTCGCAGCCATCAGTTGGTCTTTATATTTAGCCTTCTTCGGGCCTTCTGTTTCATGCTGCAGTGATACCTGCAGGTGGTCTTTGGCTTGTTGGTACGTTTGGCTAGCGATTTGAAACCAATTCTCAGCGGACTGGAATGTCCCCAAGTGTGGCCTCCGCGCTAGATCGATTGCCGCACATGCAAGCAGGCCATATAAATTAGCAAGTCGAGCATGGCTAACTCCCTCTGTTCCAAGAAAAGTCGTGTCCCCGAAGGCCACTACTGCGGCCGGGAGATTCAAAATTCTCCATGGGGATTTGAGGCCAAATGGAATTGCCATAATCTGAGGAATCACCACATCTTGAAAATGTTTGAGCAGGAACTGTGCGTCTTTCAGAACATCCACTGTAGCTATTTCTAGCTCCATTGGTGTTTGCTGTGGAGTCACCGTTCGCATCGTCTCATGAGCTGGCGTAGGTAGAGATGACTCAATTTCTTGGCCCAGGTCAAAGGATAGATCGTATGGCATGCTTAGGGAAGGATGTGATGCGAAGCCAGCTTGATCTGGACTAAAACTCAAAAGATCAGACCAATGCAGGAACTCGTCCATGTGCGACAAAGAATCAATTATTGAGCCGGGACTACGGTTTGATATGTCCTCGGGCATGATGGCGTTTGTTGCTTTGATGGTCTGGTGGAGGCTAGACAATGTGTGAGCATCTCCCTGAATCACGTCAGGGTGCTCATCCCGCTTCCCAGTCGGTGCTGTAAAGTCCAAGACAGAGAAGGGCCCAATCGCGACCTCCCCCCTTGACTTGAGCTCAGAATCTCGAGACCGTAGGTCGACTTCCGCCAGTGACGCGTCAACTGAGCCTGCCAATAAATCATTCTTAAGAGCAGCACTCATTGAAAGGCGATATTTCTCTGAGTCGACGATGAGCTTATACCTTTCGCAAAGTAAGATCTTCGACGTGGCTGCTTACCTGGATATAGATGGCGCCGAGTTCCGCGACGTCCTCCTTGGGAGTCTTCAGGATCATCATCTCCACGCATCCATACCACCTGGTCAGAGAAACCCTCGCAGACTACACCAAGAGACCTGCATGTCTTGCACGCAGGACGGTTTTGGTCGCATTTTACATGTCGCCGCCTGCAAGTGCTGCAGCCTCCAAGTACATGGGATCGACGGGCGCGCGACCGCAGCGAAGTCACCATCGTATTGAAGACATTCGGAACTCCTTGACAACATTCAAGCCTATAAATGGAATTGGAAGGCAATGAGAACCCGGGGGGCTCCCCAACTGATCAGATATCCCCGCACACCTAGACGCCAATAGGTAGTCGGAATGGCTTTCCCAACTGCTTCTAGTCACCACTCCTTATCTTATCTTATAGCCAACTCCCCCTCCTTCTACTTTTGGAACTCCTCTGCCCGCATCTTCCAATGATGGTTTTACATCCTCTCGGAGAAATAAACTCGAGTCGTTGAATTTTTCTTTTTCTTGTCTATTCAGGTGATCTACAGCGACCCGGCGTGAAGACCCAGTCGAGAAGCCTCATCTTGTACCGTCAATGGAATATCCTCCTCAATCGAGTGTTCTTTCTGTGTCCACCCCAGAAGCGTCGAAGCTCGCGAAGAAGATTGATGGGCGTTAGTGCCCCAGAAGATGCTGCCTTTGCCCATGACGGCATCGGCCTCACTGGCATTGACACTCTTGACGGAGCTTGAGTCGGTAAGGCCTGCCTTGTGAGCGGCATTGGCTACGAGCTGGGAGATTTGCCCAAATGTCTGCGAGAGTAAGCCGTAGGACATGAAAGACGTTTGTTGATAGAGGGATACTCACAATTGCCTTGGAGTTGCCCACTAAGTAGAGACCATTGTGATTCCACAAGTCTTCTTCAGTACCCGTAACAGCCTTCTCGACAAGTTTTACGAAGACTTGAGCTAGGTCTGCGATATGGATGTTGCTCCAAATACTCTCACCTTTACCCACTTGGATAGTTTGTCGGGTCTCGAGGGCATTCCTAGCCAGGTTGGGGATCTGAATACTGCGCTGATTGACAGGGCCGCTGCCCTTACCATAAATGATGGGAGGGAAAACAATGGCAGTCTTGGTGCCAGGGATATTGAGCAGATATTCATCCACAGCTCGGGCAGTTGAGTTCCGGTGGATGATATCGCGCAGCTCACTGGCATCCTTGACATCGTCATAGCACTTCTGAGGCGCTTCTCCGTACCGGTTGTTTGTGATGTCAGGTATTGAGAGAACACTCGCGCCGGATACTTGAATCCAATGTGCTAGAAGCCATGTCAGCTACTAGTCAATCTAATTCCTTTATCAGTCCGTGCAAGTGTGTTACTCACCGGGCTTAGATCGGTTAGCAAGGCCGCGGGATATAGCCTCAACGCTGGGAACATGTTTGTAGGTAGCGGCGTCTAGGGCTTGATTAATACGGGGGTTTCTCATAATTAACTTATTTCATTTACGAGACGTACGAATAACCACATCTGCCTGGCGCGCTTCTTCTTCGATCAAAGAGGAATCATCGAGATCACCCACCACGACCTTAATATTGGGATAGGCTTTGGCTACCAAAGCAGCTTTGTCATTGCCTCGAACCAAAGCACTGATATGGTACTCGGGGTGAGCTGCGTGGAGGTGATGGAGAATATCTCCACCGATGTAGCCAGTAGCGCCAGTCCTTTGAGGAAAGTCAGTGCAAACTCAACCCACTGCTCTCTGCTACTTACAAAAAAACGTAGGCCATGTTAGTTACGCTGATTTTAGTCAAGTGCAGAAGAAAAAGGTCATGAGTTCAACTTGCATCTTCAAGTGTCCTTTAAAGGCGCCCCGTTGCGGGGCTCATGATCGAACAGGAAGGCGACTCCGGCCCCAAACAGTCCTTCGCCCCCCGGGGTCCGCTGCGATTCCGATTAGGAAATCAACGTGCACTAAAGTAAGAGCGGTTTGGGGATGTTCATTTTTGGGGGGGAAACACTTGCATTATGTAGATAGGCTATCAGTGCTTGGCGGATACTTATTCACCTACGCATCTTCCTAACCCAGGATTCTCTTCTGGTTGATCGCACAGCGGGTATTCTTTTCTCATCAGATCTGCAATAAACACACATTGAACATGTCGCACAGAGGCGAGACTTTGCACAAGGATGTCTGCTGTATTGCAGACCTGAAGGAGATGGGGAGCAAGCGACTTGCGCCCATGGTCCGAGGTAAGTGTGTGCCACCTGTACGGCACACGAGCTCTGACTTGAGACACTCAGACTACTACAATGAAGGTGCAATGGACTTGCTCTCGTAAGTATACTCTATATCAAAACTTGCCCAAGCCCAGCAGCTGATAACGTGCAGGCTGAAAGAGAACGAAACAGCCTTCGATCGCTACCGCATCCGACCACGCGTCCTGAGGAACGTGGAGAGTATCGACACCTGCACAGAGATTTTTGGCAGCAGGGTATCACTTCCATTTGGATTCAGCCCAACAGCTTCCCATAAACTCGCACATGCTGACGGAGAATTGGCGACGGCACGTGCAGCCTCAAAGTACAAAATTTGCATGGGTCTGTCGTCGTACGCGTCATACTCGCTGGAGGACGTAGCCGCGCAGGGCATGGGAAACCCCTTTGTGATGCAGATGTGTGTGTTGAAAGATCGGTCTATCACAGTTCAGTTACTTGAAAGGGCGGAGAGTAAGTCATTTCCGTGATTCAAGGCCAGATCGATGTTGATAGATCAACCAGAGGCTGGATACAAAGCTTTGCTCCTGTCCGTCGACGTCCCTGTCCTGGGAAAACGATTGAACGAATATCGCCATGGATTCCGCATTCCAGAGGATATGGCATACCCAAACATTCTCAGCGGTGGTGGTGATACCTCGGATAGAACGAACTACGGTGGGTCTTGACCACGGTCAGTTGTCTGCTCAACAATACTAACAGCCTCAGACCCAAGTCTCGACTGGGATTCGGCAATCCCATGGCTCAGAAAACACACTTCGCTCCAGATTTGGTTGAAGGGAGGTGAGTACTTTGTTCGAATTGAGGAGAGACTAAGGTATATCATGGTAATAACAAGCCTGTAGTGTGTTCCCCCTGAAGATGTCGAATTAGCCATCCAGCATGGCATCGACGGAGTGGTCGTTTCCAACCATGGCGGTCGCCAGCTAGACGGCGCCCCATCAACACTTGATGCGCTAAGGATCTGTGCACCGGTCGCCAAAGGGCGTATCCCAATTACCATAGATGGTGGTATTCGCCGGGGTTCGGATCTCTTCAAGGCTATCGCGCTAGGCGCAGATTATTGCTTTCTTGGGAGAATCCCTATTTGGGGACTGGCTGTGAGCTTCTCTTTCGGCGGGGTAAATGAGCGCGCTAACTTGCGTTCCAGTATGACGGCCAAGACGGGGTGGAATTGGCTATTCGGATACTGCGCCAAGAGTTGATGATCACAATGGCGCTGGCCGGGTAAGTCGCAAGGCAACCGAGGCTGGTGGGAGCCAATCCAAGCTGATTAATCGACAGGTGCCGGACTATTAGTGAAATTCAGAGCTCCTATCTGTCAATCATGCAGCCGGACGGAATCCTAGCGAAGTTGTAATCCCGTCCTGTCGGATCCCTGCGAGGCTTGGCGCTCTGGTCCAAGGGCAGGTCACCCATGTCATGTTGTTCGAGCGTGCGGTTAGAAGATGGCTGAGTCCCGGGAAAGTGGTGTCTGAGAATAGAATCTAGGTGAGACGCATAATCCAGAGCCATTGCTATGAAGAAATGGGAAAAGGCGTACGAAACAACGTGGCTGTTCGGTGGCGCAGCCTTACAGCCCTAGCGGTGGGTTTAGCAGGCAGCATCATTCCCGCTCTCCACTGCACTCTCCACACACACTATACTTAGAAAATGAATTAGGTTCAGGGACCTTTTGTTATGGTAAAATATGGTAAAATATGGTAATTTATTCCGAAATGCCGCACTATTCCGTTGTAATTACCACTCTGGGCTTTCGGTTCATGGCTGGAGCTGAACGTCTGCGAGAGTATTTAACTACCTTCGGTCTGCCCATAACTTCCTCCGTCTGTCACATTTCGATTTCAAAGCTCCATCCAATAACGAATCCTATCCAAGACCTCTCAGTCCAGATTATCACATTCCACAATGGCCGGCTTCTTCGACTTCTTCAAGTTTTCCTCCTCCAAGGAGTGCGAGCACTCCTCTGAGAACAACACCAACCTCACCGCCCTTTCCAACCAGCCCAACGAGCAATCAACTGGCCAAAACCTCCAGCCCGTGAACCTCGGGGCTTCTACCATGCGAATGGAGCCACAGCCTGAGCAACAGCAGATGAATCTCCGTGGAGGTGGTGCCGGCGAGTGCTGCTGCGGAATGTAAGCTTCCCCACCTTGATACACAGGAACTAGGAGAGCGCATACTAACTCCACCTTTCAGCTGCGCTGGTCTTGCTTGCTTCGAGTGCTGTGAAATCTGCTGCTAGTGGCTGTTCAAATAATGACTCGAATGATGAGAACCTTTGAGGAACGCTTAATGGCTTTTTGCATGTGGGAAGATTCACGGCGTATTATTCTTGTATTAGGCGTCTACGATTATCGTAGACCAAATGATGGCTTCTATTGAGATATCCAATCACATCCAGATTGTTAAGCGCTCGCCAAGTTCATTGAATTCTCCGTTTCCAACAGTGGGCAGGTTCGCGCCATGTATTGCATTAAGCTCTCAAGTAGATAATCGCCTTTGAATCGACGCTCGCAGTGCAACGTCCACATCCCAAAGGCGAAACCCAGGGGCTCGTCCTAAGAATCTGATGTTGGCCAAAAGTTCTAGCAGTTGTCAGTATCTTCTGTCAATCCTAGATAACATGCTGATAGGTGCTTACGGTCGAAAAAGCACTCCACGTCCAGAACGTAACTGGACTGGCTCGGACATTGCTGCCCACCCAAATCACTCGGAGAATGCTCGGCCGAGGGAAGGTAAAACTGTGCTCCCGATTTATCAGATGAAAATCCATAAAACGACTCTACTGCCATGTCAGGGACATCGATCCACACAGACGACCCATCTAGCGGTAAGCCTTGTTGCTTCAAGTATCCCTGGACATCGCGGCAGTCGAACCAGTCTCCCTCCAGACCGAGTGCTCGGAGTCTCTCTTCCCTGCTAATTAGTTTCTCGGCAATTTCCAATCCTTGCCCTGCATCGGGCTCTGCATCGCCGCTCCAGTCCTCGTCCCAATCCTGGATGCCACCCCGTCGCAAGATTCGTACTAAGCGCCGCAGTATTTTGTTCGGTCGCCGCGAATTCTCAGGGTAGATGGGCCTGCCATCCAAGTCAAAATCGGGGAAGTGCGTGCCTGCGCCACCGAGAGTGTAGAATTGCATTTTCTCGGCTGACTCTAGCGCCCCACCGACTTCAGCGTGCAAAGCCCGCCGAAAAGCTCGTCGAACACCTGCCATATCGTGGATGCAGGGCATTAGACCGAACACACGGCTCATGAAGGCTGGATCAGGGTGGGGGTCTGAGAGCCAGCGGTGGACGTGTTCAAGACAGAAACGCTGGAGGCGACGAGCAAGATTCGACTCTTGGTTGCTGTATGTGAAGATGGTGTTTGTCGGGAAAAGGCGATTCAGCAGAGGCGACGGGGATCTTGCATGGCTCTGATAATGTCCGTATGGCTCCGTAGGCTCTTCAAACCCCCAGGAAGAGGACACATCATACCCAAAGATATCACGGAGAGACACGGTACCTGAGTCCATTGGCTGATCGACCGGTTGAGGCTGGTTGCCATCATTGGGCCTGGATGAGTTGATCTCAGCCAAAATTAGACGTCTGGCCTGAGCTATGCGTTCCGCGTGGAGAGCTGGATGAGCGACGGCATAGGAATCAGCAGGGCCAATGAGATCGGACACGTTCTGCAGGGTTTGTTCAAGGACTTCTACACGTGATTGGAGGGTTTGAATAGTTGTTTCTTTCTTCTGTCTATATGTGCGCTGGGCACGGCGAATCTGGAGTCGGCGTGCCTGCGACCTGATCAGCACCCAGCGTAGGCAGAATGTAACCTCGGTGGCATTATCTAGTGTACCTCGATAGCAGCAGCATCTTTGGCTTTCTGAATCCTCGGCCTGCCCCGTTTGCGCACGGGACGATCTTGTGAATGCGGGGCCTTCTGGATCATCTCGGTCATCTCCGATTGAGCACGGGAGGTTGGTACTTTGAGGGAACGGAGACGAGGGCCCGAGTTGCCCTGAATCTCCGCCGGTGTGGCCGGAATCGAGTCCTTTGGGCTTGATTGGATCTCCTGTTTGTCTGATTGGGGAATACTGCTGGTCAACTCGAAATCATACCTCGCGGGAGAGACTCTGGTGCCGCTTGGCTTGATGAAGAGTCCTCAGATCCTTGCATTAAAGCTAAAAGAAAGGGAGGGGTATTATTTAGATGATGGATCAAATAGTTTTTCTCAATGTGCACACACGTCTAAAACGAAACAACTCCTATCAGATTGGGGGCTCAAATGGGTATTCATGGGCCGGGAGGCAATTTTTGGATCAGTCATCGAATATTAATAACCCACGCTCGGGGGAACCGAGGTTTTGCGGGCGCTTACTGAGCTGGTTATGCATACTATATACACTTAGTAATTTATGTATCTTATACCTACCTGCCCAGCTGGAATGCCATGTTTATCACGCCCAGCTAGATCTGGGCATGGAAGACTAATAGTCCCTCCAATATTCCATTACAAAGCTGTAATACTCTCTCCAGGGCTTCAAGTGTTGCTAGAAGGTATGTACGTATCCGTTCCACACAAACTCCGGTGAAAATCTCCAAGTACTAGTGCCCCTGCCTACTAATCAGACTTCGTCGGCGTCGAATGTGACGGGTTGAAACGCAAATAAGATCCAATCTAGCTATCTCAGGTAGGCCACAAAAGGTGCCCAGAAAGCTTAGAGAAAAAAAGGGGCAAGGCGCCCCACCAGAAGCTGACGACATGGCAAGGCCATATGTGATGAGACCGTAGCACCGAGTGCCTAAATCGCTAACTACGAATACCTGTTCTTAAGCAGAGTACAGGTGAGTATCTTGGATCGTCTGCAGAAGCATGCATAACGATGTCATGTTTCACTGTTGCAAGCCTTCGAGCTGGTTTTGTCGGGCCTAACCGCATCGGGTTAAGTCACGATCTGATGCAGACATGAAGACTTGCTGCACCAATGCTCTTTTCGCGAGCCAATTCGGAGTCAGCCTTCTTGAATGATTGTGGGCCATGCTCCGTGGTGAAGGGTGGGTCATCGGTGGAGTCGCTTAAATTGATCTTCACCCTGAGGAGTCATGGCTGGAGGGCGTCAAAACTTGAAACTTCTGCATGGACTTGGAATATATCTGCATGTTTAATCGGCTCTCATGTCTATCATGTGAACCATCAGTTTCTCGCCAGATGTCAGGGATGTCCTACCCGGTAATAAGCCCATTGGAGCAATCTATCATTTCCCCAATGATTTGTGGCTGCTACAAAGGCGTAATGTGGAGCATTGAAGAAATTCTAGAAGGATTACCCCTGTCCTACACGGCTCTTGCTTGCCGGCAGGATAGGTCCACTGGCGCCTCAGGATGGATTAGACTGTCAGGTCAGCTCCGACAGGATCGCGGCCACTCTTCCCGCTCCAGGTTAGGTGGCATAGCAGATCCGGCTCTTGAGTTGCAACCAGTTCGATCTCCGACGCGCGGATCGATCCTGACCTTCATGGCCCCGCGCATTGGCCTGCTCCCTTCTCCACATATTCCTGTCCCCCACTCGGTCCTACCGAGGTTCAATCCTCTTGTGTATAAATAATACTGCAGGGCCCCCGTTCATGTGTCATTGCAAGTCAGCTTTGCCATGATGAGCTTCACCTTCGTCTTGGGCTTCGCCGCCGCTGCAGTTGTCCTGCAGTTGCTCCGTCTCGTCGTTAACTCATGGTACCACGCGCGCAAGGCCCAGAGCCTGGGCTGTGGCAGCTTGCCACGATACCCGTGCAAGGACCCCTTTGGAATCGGCACACTCAGAGAGTCAATGGCAGCCGACAAGGAAAAGCGCATTCCCGAGCTGTCTGAGCAGCGTGTTCAACTCATGGCTGACCGTGAAAACCGCTTTGTTACTACCTTTATCACACGTAATCTGGGAAACGATATCATCTTCACCATCGAGCCCCGAAATGTTCAGGCTGTCTTGGCCACACAATTCAAGGACTTTGAATTGGGCGGAGTGCGCCGTCTCTCTATGCACCCTCTCCTGGGTACCGGCATTGTAAGTATCCGTCAAATCAAGGGCTCCTATGCCCAGCTTGTGTACCAGCATTAACCAGCCTATTAGTTCACTGCTGATGGTGAGGAATGGAGCCGATCCCGCAGCTTATTGCGCCCTCAATTCACTCGCGATCAAATCAGTCAACTAGATTTGGAAGAGGGCCACGTGAAGAAGGCTATGCAGTGCATGCCTGTTGCCGACAACGGATGGACCGCCGAGACCGATATTCAGTCTATTTTCTTCCGCTTGACAATCGACTCCGCCACAGAATTCCTCTTCGGCGAAAGTGCAGAGAGCCAGCTCGGTGTCCTAAATGGGCGGGAAGACCCCAAGGATTCATTCGCCTATTATTTTGACAAATCTCAGCACACTGCCTCCGTTCGCACCCGCTTCGAGAAACTCGCCTTCCTCGTCGACAACAAGGAGACCCGTTACTCTGACAAGCGTGTGCACGACTACGTCGACAAATTCGTTGCTATTGCCTTGCGCAATGCCGAAAATCCCAAGCACGACCTCGAGAAAGGCCCCTATGTCTTCCTGGATGCCCTCGCCGCTACAACTCGCGACCCCATCGAGCTGCGCTCGCAGCTGTTGAACATCCTTCTTGCCGGACGTGACACCACCGCCTCACTCCTAAGCTGGACCACCCTGATGCTGGCTCGCCATCCCCACATTTTCCAGAAGCTGCGCGAGTCTATCATCGAAACCTTCGGCACCTACTCCAACCCTAAAAACCTTACCTTCGCCGATCTCAAATCTTGCCAGGCTCTGCAGTACTGCATGAATGAGTCTCTCCGTCTCTACCCGTCGTCCCATTTAACCGTCGCTGCGCCACGCGCGACACTACTCTTCCTACCGGCGGCGGCCCTAACGGCACATCTCCCGTATACGTTCGCAAGGGCCAGTCGATCATGTACAGTGTCCACGTTATCCACCGCCGTAAGGATATCTGGGGCCCAGACGCCGACGAGTTCAAGCCCGAGCGCTGGGCCAACCGCAAGGCTGGTTGGGAGTACGTTCCTTTCAACGGCGGCCCGCGTATCTGCATTGGGCAGCAGTTTGCGCTTACAGAAGCGGGTTATGTTCTTGTGCGTCTGCTACAGCGCTTTGATAAGATCGAGGATGTCTATCCTGAACGAAAAATTCGATACGGTTTGACTTTGACCAGCTGTCCGGCTGATCTAGTGACTGTGCGCATGCACCAGGCCGATGATGCTTAATGGAGTACCGAGTGTGCTGTACATTCTACTGTATAGTGTGGATGCTGATGCATTTTGGTCTTGAATTTGCTGCGACCTGACCAGGTGCTTCGCTTTGGTGGAAGCGTGGGATTTGCATCGGTCCGTCTCGGTGCATTTGTTTGTAAATCAGCTACGAAACGACTCTTATGAATTGAACTATACTTCTCAAATACCATTTGGGGACCTTTTAGATATATTCTCTCCTTCTGTTATCGTTTGTTTGCCACTAGCAGCCGTACTTTGAGTGAACGTTGGCGCGGAATCAAATACCGTACCATTTTATGTAGTTTACTGACCTCCAAGGTCTGTATTTACAGATTGGGTTGAATGGCTGGCATAGTCGATTGATCGAATTTAAGTTCAAAATATACAAAAAAAAGAAAAGAAAAGAAAAGAAAAGAAAAGAAAAGAAAAGAAAAGGTACAAGCCTTTCAAAGAACGTAAAGAAACTATCAACCAAGCGCTCCAGCCACCTTTTCCTCAAACAATCGTCCCATGGATCGCAATGGCTAGCATCCTACAGGCATTGCGAGTAGTAAGGGTTCTGCACCTTGCATGTATAAGGCGCCTGGCAAGTGGTGGGACCAGTCCAGTTTGCGCCACCACACTGATAGTACTGACGAACCGCACCGCTGCTAGCAGAGGGGGTAGCAGAAGGGGTCACTGAAGAAGAGCTTACGAAACCGGACGAGCTGGAAGGAGCAGGGACATAGACTGGGACAGAAGAGAAGGATGTTGGCTGAGCAACCGGCGCAACGGGCACACTGGAAGCAGTCGAAACGGACGGACTAGGAGCCTGTGCCTGACTGTTAGGGGTGCTGGTGGCTGGAGGAGCGGCAGAGGAAGAAGTACTCTCAGAGGTAGCCGACGGAGACGCCGACTTTGGGCCGTCAACGAAGTACTGCTCCAGAATGGGCAGGTAGGTCGAGTAGGCAGGGCCGTCAGTGGGCTCCAGGCTGTACATGTAACTTCCCCACCAAGGTCCAGCAGCCCACCAGGAAGCGCCGGTCCAGACGTCGCTGTTATCGCTTAGAGATAGGAGAGCATGCCCTTGACGGCAGTCTCACAGACGGAGTTCACGCCGCCCGCGAATTCGCCGATGAATCCCTTCTTGTTGTTGGTCTTCAGCCACTTGGTGGCAGACTCGAGGCGCTCTTGGCCGATGGTCGTGCTGACGCAGTTCTCCGATGTGCCGGAGCTGTCGGAGTCGAGGTACTGGTGCATCTCATAGATCAACTTGTCGGCTGAGTCGGTCAGGCCCTTCATGTTGTCGTTGTTGTCGGTCCATGACCAGGCACCCGTCCAGGCGTTGCCCTCGGCGAAAATGTACTGACTTGTGGCACCAGCAGCGCGGATACCGTCAATGGCGGCCTGATTCAGGTTTAGAACGAGGGTCTGGTCCATGTCATGGTATTCATTGTCTAAAGAGGGGATATAAGTATACTGATGTTTGCTGGTGGATGTTTTGAGGTTGGTTTACTTGTGTCGAAGATGACCTTCTCGTTGCTAGAGAACTCTGTCGCGAGGTTCTTCCAGAAGGTCTTGAAGTCACTGGTGGAGGAAATGATACTTCCAGAGCTGGTTTGCCTTGTAAGTATCTTCCAGCAAGCGAAGAGCTTCTTGGGATACTCACTATCTTCCGTAGTTGTGAGGGTCAATGATTGCATAAGCGCCACTGTCAGTAATAAAGCTGACAACCTGCAAAATATCTAGCTCAATATATGATTTTCATAGTTCTGAAGGACCCTCATCTGAGTTACCTTCTTGAGAGCAGCAAGATAGGTCGCATCAGGTGTTCCAGTCATACTGCCGGGCACCAGACGCTCCATCAAGAATGGCACGCGGAAGATATTCATGCCTGCATCTCGCAGGACTTGGATCTTCGTGGTATCGGGCCAGGTATAGTCTTTCCCGAGGGTTCCAGGAAGGTTGGTTTGGCCAAACTCAGCGCCAGATTCACTGACACCAACCCAAGTCAAGCCATTTGCGCGCTTCGTAGCGACGCTTTTTTCGGAGGGGGCGACAGGTCTTCCACGAGGGTAGGCTGCCGCAAGGCTAGCAGTGCTAGCAGCGAGAATCAAGTTGCTAACCTTCATTTTGGGTAAGGGGTAGAGTGCGACTTTTGAGCTTGCCGAAATAAAAGAACGAGCGTAAGAATTGAATAAAAGGCCAAGATACCAGTCTCGACGCGAAAAAAAGAAAGTGTTGGGTAGGAGAAAGAGAATACATCAAACGAGATCTACAAGTCTTTATAGTAGACAGTATTAGGACGGAAGAGCAGTCTTCTGATACACGTCGGCCATAGTACGAACCCACCCGTGAGGATCGTCTGGGCTTTCCGTGAACTAGCCTAAACCCATCGTGGAGATGAATTTACCCAATTATCCGGCCTAATGAGCGCAGATTTGCGCAGCGGCCTAGAACATCATTTGTTACTGGTAGGGGACAATGCAGGGTGGTTCAGCCAAAGGCGGATTTTCAGACGCATGCCATAACAAAACTTGCTATTGGACACCAGCAGGCTATACACTACTGCGGGGCTCGAAAAGACATGGGATGAGGTTTAGCACTGGATCCACAGTGGTTCAGACTCATCTCGCTTCTACGTCAAGCTTAACTGGGATGGGTGGAAATAAGGTCAAGAGATTATTCCGAGTCAGAAGGGGTCGCGACGGCTATTCCATCTTCGGACAATGGCCGAACGCCAAAAGGCGCCGAAGGATGAAAAGTCGTTAAGCTGAAACGCCACGGGGTTTTAGGATTCCAGTGGATCGCCCGGTGGGGTAAGATGGGATTTGGCTGAATTTCTGGACGTGACAGGAAGATCATGTTGAAGTTGATTTTGCCTATTTGCAATTCTGAAGAGATAGCTCTTGTACTTGCGCTGAGGTTATCAATAATGGGGAGTTGAAAGTAGAGGCTCAGGAATCCGAGGATGAAACGACCAAACCGCAGGCCATGCAATGCAAACCCGCTTTATGCCAATATGCCGCATCGAGCCTACAGGCCACGACGACAAACTCCAGGATATCACTCTTTAGATGACTCAATATGGAACTCGAATGAGCGATCACCTTTGCCAGCGGGTATCGCTTGCAGGTTATTATCATAAAGGGTTCGTTCAAAGTATCGAACACGGCCGTCACGTTGAGCGAGGAGAATGGTTTGTTTTTCAGTTCCATACGGGCCACTCAGATAATCTAGCTTCGGGGTGCCATTCGCTGCTGATTCTTCTGTTTCATTCTCCTGTGGTGTATTCGAGCCGTCTCGCGGGAGACGAGGAATCAAGATGCTCTTTCGCATATGTGAAATGTAGCAGCCAATGTTAGTGGCCTCGATGCTACTTTCTTCTTCCTCTGACAGCGGGGGGAGACGGTTGGTATTTAGCACTCCGAGAAGGCGCTCAATCAATGATTCTTCATCCTCCTGAGCTTTTACGTGGTCTTGAATGGCAGATTCCATGAGCGATTCACCGTCTAAGATTTTTGGCCATGTCCGATCATCCACAAAAGTATTGCTGAGCCCCCAAGTCTGGCCGGTCTCCCCCGCGACCCAAGTGATTTGGTCCATGTTTAAAGATCGATTGGAAACGATGGCTAGTGGCTCATTGATATAGCCACATACTAAACTGAAGCCCCCCGACCTGTCTTGCTTCCGGGCTGTTGATCATAGACTGCACGAAGTCATGTGTACTTTCGTCATGATTTGGCGGGGTGGCCAGCCACTTATTGACTATTAAGCCTCGGCTAAACGCACCAATGGCTTGAGAAGACTTCTCTTCTTGATAATTCGTCAGCACGGCTACCTTGCCCTGTTTAGTGACACCCATCCAGGTGCCATGTGTTGCGCGGGCAAGGTCGCGTGATCCGAGGACGTGGCTATGAGGCTCTGGCCACCAGTCTGGGGCTGATGTTGGTCGACGGAGGAATTCCTGCAAATGTCAGTACTGGCCCAAGGGGTCTGCATAGGATTGGGCCTTACATCACGGTTGTCGATAATGATCAATGAATAATCCGGGTGAGCGGTGGAGATGAGGGCGATACACATGATTCTCAGGCTCCGGAAAGCTCTCAGATGGCTTTCGCGCAGTAGTAGATGGAGGTCTCAAATTTGTAGTTGGACCGAGGTGGTCGCCGAGTATCTGGGTGGATTGGAAGCGGCCTTGAAATTTGTTCCGAGGGTTGTGTAGAAGGAAGGAAGCTCCCGGGCTGTCATAGAGAGAAGAAGAGCCTTGGGCAGCGGGGTGATTGGGCCGAGTTCAACTCCACCGGAATCGAAGATCTCGAACTTACGACGCGTCGACCAAAGTCGGCTCTTTGATCTCCCACGGTTTTCCTCGCATGGGACCTCATGGCTAAAGTAAGGGACGGGTTCCCGTGACGTCAAGACGAATCTTTGACAAGCGGGCCAGGCTTCAGCTGATGATGAGAAAGTGCCCTCCCGCACCTGCGCTTCCTCATCACTGAGCCAACTCGGAGCTCCCAGGGTCTGTCCAGCAACTTCCAGACAAGCGGGCAATCATTCAACGAATTCCATCTATTTTAAGAGCTGACACCCTTTCTTTCTTTATTGCCCTTCAACCCTGGGTTGGAGGGAGCCTGATCATCTCTCCAGCCCCACCACCGCCAGTTCCCACAAGTTTAGATCCTCACACAACTTACGCTCACACGCTCGTCATCTCGCCAAAATGTTCGGAATCTTTGCAGACCTCCTGTCGTACGTGTATCCTCGTACCAATGTGAAACGACCTTCTTGGGAATAGGGCGAGTGAAAGCTAATCTGGCATCCGACAGCTCCGTGATCACCATCTTCTTCCCCGTCTTCGCATCCTACAAAGCCCTTCGCTCCTCCGACCCCTCACAGCTAGCGCCATGGCTCATGTACTGGGTGGTTTTATCCTTGATCCTACTGGCAGAGTCTTGGACAGTTTTCATCATTGGATGGTGGGAAGAGGTTTTCTATACCAGAGGACTCACGAGCTAACCAGGCAAACACATACAGGTTCCCGTTCTATAGCTGGATCCGGCTATTCTTCATGGCCTACCTGGTTCTCCCTCAAACCCAGGGTGCTCGACTACTCTACCAAGACTACGTAGCTCCGTTCCTGGAGCACCACGAGCGTGAGATCGAAGAGCTGATCGGGCGCTCTCACGAGCGGGCCCGTGCTTTGGGGTTGCAGGTTTTCTACCAGGCCATCGATTTAATCCGTCAAAAGGTTCTTGGGCTTCCTCCTCAACAGGAAGCGCCCCCTTCCCCCAGCGGCCCAGCGGCGTATGCGCAGTCGCTCCTTTCACGTTTCAATCTTCCCAGTGCAGGTGCTGCACCCGCGAAGGCAGGCGACTGGTACTCGTCACTCAGCAGCGTCTTGAGCTCCGTCGCCTCTGCAGGCACGTCGCGCGAGGCTCGAGAGGCCGAGCTGTCGCAGAGTGGTGTTCTCCTCCAGCAGCAACTGCAGTCGATGACGGCCGCCGACAAGACAAACTTTATCAAAAATCAGCGGGAAGCGCTCGATTTTCTGCGACAGAAACTCGCTGAAGAAGAGCACGGAGCCAGCCGGGAGGAAGCCGACGCAGACGGCCTTGCTATATGGATCATCGCTGCGCAAGAATACCAGCGACAACTCATTTGACCTGGTTGATGAGGAGGATGTTCCTAGGACGACCCGTCGAACCAGTGGTTGGTCTTCCTGGTTAGGAACAGACCAAGACTCTTCCGGCTCATCGGGGCCTGAATACGGTCGATCCACTGGCTACGATCGGCGTGGTTGAATGCAAGAACAAAATGAATGACAAGGACATCCTACCCTATAGGCCTATAGGAGGGGCTGTCAGCTACTGTTACCAAACCATGGGCCGGGCCCGGGTCCATATCTCTAAGAGTTTTGCTATTCATAAAAAGTGAACATGCGAGAGAATTTCTTCCTCTCTACTCTTTTCCGCTATAGAAAGTAAGCCAACTGATTCGACCAAAGCCCGAAACAATCCGATCGGAGGGAATTCGGGCTGCAGCTGCAAGGCGGCTGTCGGGAGAAGTCGATCCTAGGAATGCATACTCCGTAGTATCTATCCCTTTAATACGATTCAAAGGGGCTTTTTTATCTATCCCTAGGGCCATGTTCACAGCCACTGGCTCGACTAGTTTGTATGGTTATGAGTATACACAGACAGCTCTGGAGATACTTTCCTAGTGCAAGTGCTGTTGTCACTGTTTGTCCCTATATCAAAGGTCCAAAGTTGCGGAGTATTATTGTGTGGCAAACGGGGAAGACGGGGGGGAAACTCTGGTCCCAGAATCGATCCACTTCATTGTTCTAAACCTCGAATACCAGAGAAATGAGATCAAGACAGAGATGCAATAAGACTTAGCTTGTCTATATCACCCGTATCCGTATAAAGCTGCAGTTTAGCCTTGAGACATTACTGCCGCGAACGATGAGGCTCTCCTAGGAATCCCGCAGATGTCATAGTGGCGGATTTTAGTATGAGAAGAGGCCCCTCCGTGCAGGTCTTCCACACCAGAATCAAATATTTTTCCCTTTCTCTAAAAGCTTTCACTAAACACCTTGTGGACTAGTGAGATACTCTGGGGCCATCAGATCCCACCTACTGTGAGTTGCGCGCGCCCGAGTGTTCGTCTTCCTCCACCCCCGATTTTTTTTTCCCACCGAACACCAACTTTTTCTGCTGGATTTTTCCCTTTCCTTTTCCCACACACCACCTTGTGTTGAACCCACACACAACACCCAACCCACCCCAGACCACACGCTTCTCCTTTGCGTTGTTGGTCGTCATTTCAACTTATCTGTTGATCTGACCTTTTTCCTTTAGAGTCATCCGACCTAATCCCCCGCGTTCAGATTTCCAGGTTTGGATGCGGCCTTTGTCAAGCCTCTTCCACATCTTGACATCACCGTCTGATTTTCGCCATCGTCGCGTCCTGACGTGCATCCTACCTGTCTAATGACCTCGATCCCTCCTCAGTCGGGCGTTCAACAAGGACAGAGCACCGCTACTCCAGCCTCTACCCAGCCCGCTTCTACCCCTTTGGCTACCACTGCCCCGGCAGCAGCCAAGTCCTACGCCAACGCCACGAAGAAGTCCGCGACGGACCCGTCCGCCGCTCCCGTCACTGTGGGAGGCCCAGCGCAACATGGGAAGTCGACTTCCGTCTCTCCTGTGAACGGCAAACCCATGCAGTCCCAACCCACCCAGCAGGCGGGCCCGGCGCCCACTATCGTGAATGGCGGCGCTCCGACTGCTTCGCAAAATGATCACTCCCGCAAGCCCTCGGTGACTATCACATCTGCCGGTACCTCAGGCTTCATCCCTAACGGAGGCCCTGCCAGCCGACCCAACAGCCTTCAATTCGGCTTCGTCAATGCCCAGAGCTCTCCCAACATGGGCAATCCTGCTGTGCTTGCCTCCAACCAGTCGCAGTCCGGCCTGGGTGCCCCGTCGATGAATCCGCGTGTCACCTCGCCGCAGACCTCCCCCTCACCCATCCCACAGCCTGCTAACAGTGGTGGCCGTGCTCCACCCTCGACTTACCAGGCCCAGGGCAACGTTCCTAACTTTGGAAGCTTTGGCGAGACCGGCGACAACAATGTAAGTAGAAAATATCTTGTCTTTTCTTTGTCTCCCTCGCTCTTTTATCCCTCCATCCCACAATGTGCCTCGGTGCGTTCGGGGATATGTGTCTGCTCCATGTGCGTGGTAAAAATGGAACGTGGGACCGCGCCCGAGAAAATCAATTTCTCTCTTGTACTCGGCTTCTTTACTCTTGATATCCGCCTATTCCCCACGTTCTAATTGGATTGCTTACATAGATGCGTCCAAATTTGCAGACTCCCCTTGCCCCCGGTGCCCAGCATCTTCGCCGCGAATCCTCTCAGTCGACGCACAGTGATATGAGCAACCATATGGGTGGTCCGCCCGGACGCGGTGGCTACCACCATCAGGGTGGGCGCGGCCGTGGATACTCCCAGTCTGGATACCAAGGACAGGTCCCATACTCGCCAGGGCCGAGCTTCCGTCCTACTCCTAACCAGCCTCGTGGAGGCCACAACATGGGTCCTCAATTTCACGGACCCAACCAAGGCCGGCCCATGCCATTCCCTAACTCCCCCCCATCAGGCAACTCGCAGCCCGGCTCTAGCCAATGCGCACCCCACCACTCCGCAAATGCATCCGATCAACCCTGCTCCTATGGGTCAGATTCCGCCTCAGCCTTATGGATACCCTGGACAGCACATGGCCCCCCAAACTGTGAGAACCAAACCTTTCCTTCGTCATAATCACTATCCTGCCCGGCGTGGCCATCCCAAGGTTAATGGGACCCGGCAATCACAAGTTCCGGGCCTTCTTCCCCCAGCTCCCATACCACAACCTGCTCCGGCTCCTCCTGTTCTGGATCTCGCGCCCGAAGGTGGTCAATTCGAAAAGTATCTAACATTTGTGAAATCCCAACAGGCATACCCTCCCAACTACGATCCGAACTATGGCTATTATCAACCCCAGTATGGGATGCCGCCTTACATGACCCCTCCGTCGCCGCAACCTCGTCCTGGCATGCCCTTTAACCCCCCAGGCTGGCTTCATGCCCGGTGCGCAGTATCCTGTGCACCCTCCGCAAACCGCCACTCCTCTTTCACGTACCTCGTCCCAAGTTTCCACGGACCGCCCCGGCTCTAGCCTTGGACAGGGCCCAGCTACATCTGGCGCTCCCGCTCCTGGCCATGCTCACACAGGCAGCAGATCTTCTAACAGTCCAGCTCCCGCGAAGTCGCAGTTCGTTATCCCCCCCCAAGAAGAGCCCCATCGTTATCAAGGATCCCAGCGGTAATGTCAAGAACTTCAATGCTCCCGCATCGCCTGCTCGTGCCACACCTTCTCCCGTGAAGATTACCACTCCCTCTTCAACTCCGCCACCCCGAACCGCCAGTGCCAGCGACCACAGCCGCTCAGATAGCAAGGCCGGCGGTGCCAAGACGGATGACGAGAAGAAACAGGAACTGAAAAACGCCGTCTTGAAGAAGGTCCAGGAGGATGAGGCCGCCCAAAAGCGCCAGGCCGAAGAGGCTGCTCGTAAGCCCGCTGAGGCGACCGAGCCAGCTAAGAAGGACGATACCGAGTCTGCTCGCGCTGCCCTGGAAGGCTTGAACATCAATGAGAAGTCCGCTCCTGCCGAAGAGCCCAAGAAGGTTGAAGAGCCCAAGAAGGCTGAAGAGTCCAAGAAGACCGACGAGCCAAAGAGTACCCCGGCACCTGCACCTGCTGACGATGACGAAATCGACTTCGATGCTATCGAACGTGAGATGGCTGAAATTGAGGCCAAGGAGCGTGCAGCGGAAGAGGACTACTACCGTAAAAAGCAAGAGAAGAAGGAAGCCGAGGCCCGTAAGGAACGTGAGGAACTCGAAGCTTACGAAGCCAACATGAAGAAGGCCGAGCGGGAGGCCGAAGAACGCGAATTGGCCAAGGAGGCAGCCCGTGCTAAGGGCGGCGACGCCAGTGAAGACGAAGCCGCCCGAAAGGAGCGCGAAAGTCTCTTCTCGTCTCTTAAGAGCGGATCAGGCTACCAAGCAACGCAATCCACGCCGGATGATAGCGGTGCTGCCACTCCTGTTTCGTCGGACATGGGTCCCCCTTCGAAGCCCGCCAGTGCTGCGGCTAAGAAGCCTACGGGTCTTAAGGTCGAAACCATCAAGTCTACCGAGCCCACTGCGGCCATGAAGGCTCTGCAGAACGCCAAGTTCCTGGAGGATCTTAGCAAGGTCACTTACCCCGCCTCCATCAACCCTCCCGATGCATCGCTGAATGCAAACTCTCCTCCGGGCCGTCAATTCCACTATGACCGAGACTTCTTGCTTCAATTCCAGACCGCGTACAAGGACAAGCCCTCTGCCGACTGGGACCTTCGTGTTAGAGACACTGTGGGTGACGCTGATTCTTCTCGCCCTCAATCTGCGGTTCGCACTCCCAGTATGGGTGGACGTAATCCCTCACGCACTGGCTCCGGACCCATGGGAAGCTTCGTAACCCGTCCTCCTTCAGTCGGTGGCCCCGTTCGCAACCCTTTCGGCGGTGCTGGCTTCCCCAACCCCATTGGTGGACGTGGTATGGGCAACCCACCAAGCCGCACTCCCTCCGGTGTTGGTCAGTTACCACGTCCCGGTGGTAGCAAGGGTCCTCGCGACGGTAGCCGTCGTGGCAAAACCCCCCAACAAGCGTGACGACGAGCAGAATAAGACCATGCCTCTCACTGCTGGTATGGAACTGAAAGCTATTGTTACTACTGAAACTGGCTGGAAGCCTCGCAGTCTTCAACAACAATCAGGACCAGCACCAGGAGAGGCTGGCGGTCTTATGGATGCCACAACCGTCCAAAGAAAGACTAAGGCGGCTCTGAGTACGTAAATCACAATTCTTATATGCATTTCAAGGCTCGGATACTAACGTGAACTGATTACAGACAAGATGACTCCCGAGAACTTCGACCGTATCTCTTCGCAAATCCTGGAAATCGTGTCGCAGTCCAAGGATGAATCAGATGGCCGCACCCTCCGACAGGTCATTCAGCTTACTTTCGAGAAGGCTACTGATGAAGCTCACTGGGCTCCCATGTACGCCAAGTTCTGTAAGGCCATGCTTGAGAGCATGAGCCCCGAAATCAAGGATGAGAACATCCGTGACAAGAACGGCAACGTTGTTTGTGGTGGAAACCTGTTCCGCAAGTATCTGCTCAACCGTTGTCAAGAAGAGTTCGAGCGTGGCTGGAAAGTCAACCTTCCCCCGAGGCCAGAGGGTGTGACGGAGGAGGTTGCCATGATGTCTGACGAGTACTATATCGCTGCCGCTGCCAAGCGTCGTGGTCTTGGTCTGGTCAAGTTCATTGGTGAGCTTTACAAGCTGGGCATGTTGACTGAGCGTATCATGCACGAGTGTGTTAAGAAGCTCGTCGACTTCGAAGGGGTTCCCGAGGAGGCCGAGGTTGAGAGTCTTACATCTCTCCTGCGCACTATTGGTGCTTCTCTGGATGCATCCGAGAAGGGCCCTGCCATGGTAAGTCATTACTGTCTTCACTGGGACAAATCTTTCCCTTTTACTAACTTCTTTTTACAGATGGATGCATACTTCGCCAGAATCAAGATGATCATCGACCTTCCCGAGCTGAACAGCCGTATGCGTTTCATGTTAATGGTACGTCTTATTCCCTCCCCCAAACCCCCCAAAAGTCGGATTTAAACTAATGTGGGACCTCTTACAGGATATCGTGGATCTCCGTAAGAAGCGCTGGCAGTCGAAGGACTCTGACAAGGGTCCTAAGACTATTCAGCAAATCCGTGAAGAGGCCGCCCGTGCTCAGCAAGAAGCTGATATGGAGCGACAACGCCAGAACTCCAACCGCGGTGGTGCTGGTGGTCGCCCTCCCATGGGCCGTGGCGATGCTCGTGGACTCAGCGGATACGGACACCAAGCCCCTCCTCCCGACTATGCCTCTAGCAAGGTTGGAAGCGATGACCTGCGCCGTTTGCGTTCCACCCGCAACACCAACCAGCCCATGTCCTTTGGCCCGTCAAGCCTGCTGGGCTCCCGTAGCGGCAGCGGTCGTAAGGGCCTCGGCCCTGGTGGTAATTTGGTGCGTGGCAGCGATGACAGTGCCGCTAGCAGCCGCACAGGCACTCCCCCCGCCGGCAAGAAGGAGGACAAGGATGCCTCCTCGTCAATGAATGCTTTCAGGTAAGCTTTATCACATTCTTCTGTCTCTGATCTTTGGACTGACGTTATTTATTAGTGCTCTCGCCCAACTGGAGGACCGTGACAACCTGGCGACTTCTCCTCCCTCTACCCACACTTCCCCCGTCCTCACCAAGTCCCAGCCGGCCACCGAAGAGCGTCGGCCCTCAAAAACCCCATCTAAGGATGGCGAGAACCCAGCATAGAGAGTTCTAGGAGTAATGATCAACGTTTTCCATTTCACGTCTCGAGGTTCCCCAAAAGATTTCCTTTTTCACCTTCTCCCTTTTTCTTTTCCGACTTTACTTTCATGTGTCCCCATCTTGCTCCATCACTTTGCGTGTTTTACATCCGTACGAAGTCCCGTCCTTGCATGTTCCGACTGGGTCGGTTTTCCTTGGGGGCTGTCTTTCCAACTCTTCATAGTGTACAATTTTCAACTTTTCTTCGATCTTGATCAGTCAAGTTTTTTAACCCCTTCAAAGGTTTTACTTATTCGGTGCGGAAGAGTCGAGCAGCAAGTGCAAAAGTGATAGCAAAAGCGAATCGGGCAGTGGTAGATTCAAATTCCAGAGCAGATCTTGCTTCGTGCTCTCTTCCTCCTGTAGGCTTCCTCTTGTAGATTTAGATTCTTTCTATTCAGCGCGGATGCGTGAGCTGTGTTAGCCTGTAGCCGTGGATCCATCTTCACCATCGCGTTGGAGCTATCGGACTTGCCCGCCGCAGAATAAGTTCTTGGCTCGACCACCCTTTTCATTGGCGACGTGCAAGTACAGACACGACCACACTACATCAACAATCAAATATGATAGCTTCCCCCAGCCCAGAAGAACTGCGAATACCCTGGCCCAATTCAGCAGTTCCCGTGCCACTACTGGCAGTACCACACTCACCACAATGCCAATCAACCGCCTCGACGCGGAATCCAGGAGAAAAGCACCGAGAAACCCGGGCTTACTATTGGGAGGAAGGGTGCGGCGGCGCCTGTTGTGCGGCGATCTATGCGCTGTGGACGTGGATAGGTGGTGAGCAGGATTTATCTAGTGAGTCGACTAGAGGAGGAACGGAGAGCGATTATGGCTTTGTTCCGGGACCTCGTCTTGGGGCAGCGTTGGTTCGGGATGGGTCTGTCAAGGAAGCTGTGGCTCTGGAGACTATACTGGTAGTGGTTGGGACGGTGCCTGATTTTGCGCCGTGGGAGGAAGAGGGAGATCCGAGCAAGGAAGATCGTGTGGTCCATGGAAAGAGAGAAGAGAAGAGGGTTATTCTCGAGATGTATTATCATCCGAAGCCGCCGTTCTATATTCTCGGGGAAGAAGCTGGGCAAGAGGTGCTGTTTGAGACGGAGTCGATAATTTGGCAGAGTATGGCACAATAAGTCCAGAGGACGGAGCTACCTTTTGATAGATTCAATATGGGGAAGGCTACTAGGCTTATCGCAGAGGAGCTGGAGGAGGGATATCAATTATAGAGCGATTTTATAACTACCGGCGGTCCAGGGACATTCAATGCATTTTTTGAGTGCTAGAAATAATAATCTTACGCTAATGGGTATTGATGTACCAGGCAATAGAAAAAAAAAATGGAAAGTGCCTGGCACTGTGCATGAAGGGCAAGTGCAGTTAGATGCATAGATCAGAGGGATTCGCCATACACTGACTGGCCCGTGGACACGATCACGTATTTAGGGAGCAGGAATTGCAGGTAAGGTTTTACGGTTGCCAGATAGAGCAGAATGAGTCCAGCTCTAGTCCTCTTCTGGACCAGTTTCACCCCTATCCTGTGTTTTTTCGTTGTCATGGCTGTCGTCGGCCTTGGGTTTGGGTTCGTTATCATTGGACACCTCGATCACGGGGATTGGCAATGAGGGTGACGCCTCGGGCGTCTTATCTTCTGCATCTTCAACAGGTGTGCTCGCAGCACTCTCCTCCGTGGTGTCCTCTATTTGATTGCTAGACGGGTTTTCATCATCAGGATCATGATCATCCACGACAGAAGATGTCTCATCGTGGGGGAATGGCGACGGTGCCCTCTTCGGCACGGCCGTAGAATCAACACTTTCCACTGAACTTGCCGGGCTCTCAGCTTGCGGGCTCTTCATTAATACCGTATCCAGGGATTGAAGGTTCTCGCCGTCCCCGGCCCCTATACTGCTGCGATCCGAAATGGAAAGAGAGCTGCGTGAATGGTTGTTCGAGTAGGTTGCTGGAAGCCCCAGTGCTCGCGCCACCGCTGCTTCTTCGTCTGGAAGCATAGAAGTACTGCTTTCGGTGCTAGAGCTAGGATTGAAGATCCGCCCACCACGCCGGTCGCTCATCTCCAGTATATGATTGTAGCTCTTACGGGTTGGGTCGGCACGGCGTTTCTTCTTCTTCTTTTCTCGCTTCGGGGTTGGGCGGACAACGACCACCGGGATCGGTGACTGTTGAAGGCAATACTTGGACACGGATCCGGGTAAGAGACTGTGGACACCCTTCAAATTCCGGCCTCTGGTACCAACGATCAACATGGCGGGCTCGTAGATCCGAATCTGTATCTTGTTAGAGAAAAGTCGTATGAGAGCCGGGATGACACATTACATACCATGCGCTGGATAATGTCTTCAACCTTCCCCACCACCATTTCAACAACCAAGCTTATTGACTTGTCATTCTGGCTGTTCATCTGAATCACTTGTTCGAAAAGCTTCTCCGCCTCCTTCCGGTATTTGCCCTCTTCGATAGAGGTATCGCTTGCCATGCGCGAGTCCTTCTCGACCGCACGCAAACAAACGATCTCATCGCCATCATCGACAATCCCATCGACAAGCCATTCCAGGGCAAAATCAGAGTAGTCGTTCGTGTCGGTGCCACACAAGAAAGTCCGGCTTCGACGGGTGCTCTGGTAGCCCTTGTGCTTGTAGTTGAGGGTCAAAGTGAAATCAGCAGCATCGCGGTTGTCGAACGTGTTGAAAGACACGCCTCTCTCAAACGTCCTACCCAATCGATCAGTCGGCATGTCTTGCAGGCGGGTATGTGCAGTGGTGCGGGGGATGGAGGGGAGAGCGCGGATGTTCCAGGAAAGAGAAAAAAAAAAGAAGAAGAAGAAAATGGAAAACAGGAAATCAGGAAATGATCAAAGGGGAAAGAAAACTCACTTTGGCGGTGGCGGAGATGGGCCTCGAACAGTTGATAAGGGGCGTTGTTCTTTCTCCACTTCCAAGTCCTTGGTTGACGCATCCACGTGGGATCGCCGCTTATCTTTGAAGCTCACTGAGCGGGTAGGTAGCTTCGCCTCAGAACCCACTTGGAATTGGATTGACTTCCGGCGTGGTCCGCTAGCCAGGTTATCTTCGAATGCCACGCTCGGGAGATGGTTCGATCCTGGGACCTGAGTGGTAGTTTCACAGGAGCCGGGGCGATCCTCAGACTCAAAAGATGGTTTAGGGGATGCTGGGGCCGACATATCTCGGTGGCGGGGGCAATTCCGGAAGGTTCAGCCCGGGCAAATTGTTAATCAGTCCGGAAAATGTCGCTCTTTTCTCTAACAATAGGATCAACGCTGTTTCTGCGGTATGAACGGTCGCACGGTCCAGGCAAATATCGCGTGCTCTATTCAGGCGGTTCTCGGAGTGTCTCGTAATAGGATGCTGGCAAAGTCAAAGGGGACGTTCAGTTCATGCAATGCAGCCAAAGGGTATAATCATATCATCCAAGAGGGCCGTATTACTCGACAGGCTCCACGCATCGGCCGCACTGTTAGGATGGAAATAAAGCACATGCCTGGAGGAAGTGACGCTTGCGGAGGGGTTGGGGTCTCGAAAGGGCAGGCGGTCGGGCCTTATCGATATCGCAAGGATCTACACTGAAGTATACCGAGGATTGACAAGCGTAGTAGACACCCGTGGACCAGGTCGAGCAGCTTTATAGATGGGCACTAGACCTACGAGGCCATTACCACACATGGCATGTCTGCCGGTGAAGCCCTCGCCGTGGAGGTGCCGAATTGCACGAAATCAGATCACCGCTTGAGTTAGAGGATCAGTTACCGTGAAGTATATAACCAGGTCCAAATCAACTGTTAGCTCCCTTACATCCTTCTTTGCATCCGAGAGGCCATCTTATCTTCCCGCCCGATCTATGCAATTCAACTTTCCGTCTGGTGGCCACAGTCAGCCTGATTCTGACCCACGGCTCCGCAGAAGGCATGGTCCCACGCCCATCACCCATACAGCAACCATCTTTCGAAGCGGCCTCGGTCCTATGGTCCTATTCGAAAGTCATGTATCGCTCATACCTACTCCCACCGAGATCAGGACTTCCTATGGCAGTTTTCACTGGGCACCGGCTTCCACATGGTGTTCATGTCAATTTTGGAGATAGTATTGCCTCCTGACCAAAGAAAACTTGATAACTTTGGGGATACTCCACTGGATTTCTGGAAATGGTTACCAGTGATGGTGGTGGTGCACTCTATTCCCACTCCCCTCTTCCTCTCGGTCTCACTGCTCTATACTCTCGCTGTACTGATAGCTTGGGGGGAGTCCACTGGATTCCGAAAAAGGATGACTAGTGATGTATTCTACTCTTACTCCCCTCTTACTCTCTATGTTATTGGTCTATGTTCTCGCTGTATACGACGCTTATGCTGTACACAGTAAAACCAGTAGCAACTATTTCAGAATGGCTTGTTGTTTACGATAAAAACCCAACAGAAGGACAAAAATTGAACGAATGGAAGATTTGCATAATAAATCGGTCTGATGTTGGCCGTAGAACTTCTCTCCTCCAAGATTATCGATAGGGTGAAATGAAAGAGGCAGACCACTAGAAGATCAAAATGGAAAAAGAAGCACCCCCCATACGCCAGATGTCTCCTTTGTATGGGTTTCCCGCCCACCCCCCATTTCCTCTCCGACATCACTTCAGGCTGGGTGCACCCAAAGTGACGGGACTGTACGGCCGGTTGCCAGAGTGGCTAATGGGAGCATCCTCCCACTAGACCATCCTGGAGAGTTATTGCAAATAAGACCTGTTAATTCTCTTATAGCCCTGCCCTGTCCAGAGGTACCGCAAAACACGCAGACCATCGACTTCTCGCCTTCCACCCTCCCCTTCTACGCTTCGAAAACTTTTCCCTATATTAGAAACATACCTATCGATACCTTATGAGAGAATTTACTCTTAGCTTAGATAGCGGTTATTCAAAGGCTTGTCATAATTAGACTTCTAATTAAGCCGTTGTGGTCACACAGGGGAGTCGGAATAGCCAAGGGGCAGGTGAATATAATATTACCCTATCTTGATAACATGCCATTAAACAACTCAGAAATTGCCCCTCAAGAAGACCTGAAAAACTAATCGATTTCAGAGGAGACGAACGCAGCAGTCCCACCGCCAGAAAAGATTTCTCCACTGTGAAAGCTTAGGCTTGCGGCCAAGGTGCGACCAACCAAGGAAGCCAAATCGGACTTCCGCCCCAGACACATCAACGCGCGTACACAAAAGGAACAGTGTTCTTGTAATCTCGCAAGGCTCACGTCCTCCGTCCCGTAATTTGAGCAAGAAAAGCTTGAAATCAGGTCGAGGAAGATACACCCTGCTCGCACAAAAGTGTTGATGAGAAGGACTGTAAAGGGTTCAGTGAGGAATGCCGCCTCAGCAAGCGAGTCATGGAACTGGCGAGGCTGAACCGATTTACCTTGCTCATATAAGGAGCATTGAGCCAGCGAGGCAACAGCGACTGCATTGTCTCTCCTCAGCGTAGCCACAAAGCCCACGGCCTCGCGAGCCTCCCGCTCGGCAGCTGAGCTGGTTTGCCTTTGGTCGATGGTTTCAATCACATCAGCTAACAGCATGGCACCCAGATGCCAATGTGCTGCGAGGATCACATACCATGACTGGATGCGGGGCGGGAGGGTGATATGGTTGGCGATGCAGTCGCGAATGAAACGATCGTAGGTGGTGTGCCAGTGACGGTACACAAGCACAGCTTTACGAATGCCTTCTTCGAGACGCTCGGGAAAGGCACCCCGGTATACAAGTGTCTGGAGCTGGGTTACTCGGCGATAGAGCAGTACTTTTACAGGCGCTCCATCCGACAGTATAGTGGCAGCTTCCTCGTAAGAGCATGGCCAGCGCCTGGGCTCCTTATGAGAATCGCAGCGGTTGGGGCTTTTGTGCAGGATGTAGTCCCCCCAGAGGTCAGTGGGGTGATTACCGCTGTTTCTTGTTGATGGCATGTTCCAGCCGTCCAAGTCCAGTGGTCTCTGGGCCCCGTCTGGTAAGCTCCGCAGAGACTGGACTAATGAGACCTCGCTATCCTCATCAGAAACAACTGGAGGACGCTGGTGCATGGCTGCGGTTTGGGTATCGAACATGAGCCCGAGCCAGAAAAGGAGATTAAGTGTGTCACGATGTCCAGAGTTAGCTAGAATCAAGCTGGCTTCTGGATTGCCACTCGTGTCATTTTCGAAGGGCGCTGCCCTCGCCTTTTCAGGCGTACACGCCAGGGACTGTTTCTGGTTTCTTCCTCTTGATAGTGAAAATTGATAACGATAAGAATGGAGTTGTCTGAGAGCCGCCTCCAAGAATATAGTGGTATCGCCCGCTTGAAGGACCTCTTCCAATCCAACCTCTTTCTCGCAGTCCAACGGGCGCTGTGTTAGAGAAAATATGATGTTCGCAAACACAATTCTGAATGACTTCATTCCGCTCAGGCACTGCAGAGCATGCCGCGCTTGGTTCCAGACCTCTCTTCGCATGGAGCGTTCATTCTGTGCCATCGGTGCTGTGGTAGCACATGTGTCATCATTCGTGTCCAAATTCTGTGACCACTGCAGGGCAAACGCCATGATCGAAAGATGCAGAGCGCGAGCCGCAGCTTTGTCTTCTGCAGCACTCAGGCCCACTTCTCGGACTGCTGCAGTCGCTTGGTCGAGTCGACAAACCCGAGCGCATATCCGATTTGACCAATCTGGGCCCCATTCGAGCCTGCTGGCCGCATCGACCCCATTGCTGTAAGGACAATTACGCTCGGTCAACCAGCATGAGAGGGCATTTTCCATACTATCATGGTAAATCCTGATCAGATTTTGCGTTATCTTGATTCGAGCATAGTCATGCGCCGTCTTATCTGAAAGCAAACAGACTCCATCTCTGTCGGATACTTTGGGGGAAGCTCTTCGTTTACCATCTCGCTGAAGGCTTTCGGCTGGGGAAAGTAGATTGGGCTGTACCTTCCGATTATTAGTTTCATCAGCCCTGTGTTCCTCGAGTTGCTGGAGATAATCCAACGCATTTTCTAGAGGTCCATGTGTGCTCGAGTCTCCCTGGCTGGTCATACTCAATGGCCAACCCTTGTCACTAGAATTCCCTTCCAGCTGACTCGGGTCATTGGCAAGTTGCCCTTCTGCAGAACCATTGAGGTTGGGGGGGCGTTATGCAATCACTGCGCAGGCTGCTTGCTTGCCACTGCGAAGGCGTGGCAACCTCGGCCAGCAGAAATTGCTCTGAGGGGACTGTATATGGGCTTTGAGAGCCGCTTCCAGTTGCAGCAGGGCGTTGAACAGCGAGTCGTCTCTGCTGTCGCTTCGATGCTGTCCGCATAGAGAGCCATTTGAAAGTACATTCCTTCCTGTACTTCACGCAATTAGAGCACACAATAGATTTCATCTCCTTGCTATTCTTCTAGGGCATGACATTAGGTCCTCAAGTCGCCACAAAACGGTATGATTAACGAACCGGTGCATCGCAACGCCTTTTGCCTTTCCGACATTGATCGCAGCTATGATCCTGAGATCGACGGGGTGCTCCTGCCGAAGAGGGCATATTTCTGGGAACCTTTTATCCTCTGAGGGTGATCCAGAGGCGCTGACTTCGCATGAGGAATCTCAGAGAGAAGGAGGTTCGAGGTCAGCTCTCCTGCGACCCCCGCTCTGATCTGCACCAACTAGCCTTCTTGCGGGGAAGGTTACCCCATGGGGCACTTTATCGCGGGCCCCTTCAGGATCTCCAGCCAACTGGTTAAAGGATTCTTGTGTTCCAATCTTCGACACGAAATGCCGCGCATAAGGGAATCGTACACTCTTTCTTTGAGTACGAGCCAACGCCCTGAACACAGCCCCATGAGCTTATCTTCCCTGTTCCCCCTATCTCGCGACTGCTGAGATCCAGCATGGGAATCAATCGGCCCTTGATGCCTTGCTCACTACTTACAAGTGTTTTGACCCGACCATATCCATGTTTGTGGACGACTTGAACACCAGTGTCCAGCTGCTCCGGCAGCCCCACCATAGACTACCGCCGACCCGATGGGGGATACCGATACAATAAGACAGAAAATAGGAGGTAAAAATCGGAAATGCCTTGATGCTCTCAATTCATGTCGTCTGCTCGGAGAGAGCGGGATGGAGATGTGTTTGATGTTGGGGTTTGCACGGTCATCGAAGATTCTTATTTGGGAAACAACTTGTACTCCGAAGCTCCGATTCTCCTTCCGGTAATTCTCCTTAGAATGCTTCCAAATCCTCTACTGGGGTTATTCTTGGCGCCAAATTGAGACAAGAAAGGATGAAGGCCAATGAACGATGGTAGTTTCAGTTCATTGGCGACGCATCCTCTATTCCTTACCGCTATTGATGTCTCCGAGCTTGATCAGCCGGTAGAACATGCCCCCGGTGGTTAAAGCCGAAGGAACTAGAATCATTAACCTGGTGAAGCCTATTTATTTGGGTCATTCTTAGAAGGCAGCTGGATTGATAAAACAAACTCCTCTAAAGAAGAAAGATCACGGCCGTCTTCCAATCTAATCACCGCAAGGTCTTTCCTTGAACTTGCCGTCGTGGATTCTTTTTGCACCTTCGGACGTCACAATTCACCTCAATTCCACACAAAATGGGGCCCCTCCCTAAATTCACAGCTCGCCAAATCCTCGACGCATTCTACTCTGCCGAGCGCGTCTACATGAGTGCTCCCCCCGAAGAGCGCGACTTTGCCGGGATCGCAGCCACCCTGGCCCCAGATTTCAGAATGGAACAGACCTCTGCGCTGCCATATGCCGGGGTCTACCACGGACCCCAAGGTATGCACGACTGGGCCGTCCGCATGGCGGACTACTTCAGCGTTGTTGACGTGCGCAACCCGGAGATTTTCGAGCTGGCAGGGTCGAGCCGCATAGTGGTTGTGTCGAATGTCCATTTCAAGGTGCGCAAGACGGGAGAGGAACTGGAGTACCCATTTGTTCAGGTCATTACTGTGGATCTGGAGCAGGGCCTGATTACTGAGATGAGGCCTTTTTACTGGGATGTGGCCGCGTTGAATAAGGCCTTGGGCTTGGTATGACTGACGGAAGCGTTGCTGGCATGCACCAGTCTTATGTCGTCGAATAATGGCAATCTTGATAGAAAAAATGCGCTCGTTAGATCTGCATGTTTTTTCGAGGGCTTGCTTTTAGTGTTTTGGCACTGATAGATTATCCTTCAAATCAAAAGGCATAGAATCAATCGCTCAGCCCTTTGACAAATTCAAACGTCCGATCAGAAATACGAATCTCCTCTAGACCAAGTAAATCACTGCCTTTACAGAGTCACAGCTTCTTATCACTGCATCCAGGTCCCCGATCGCAGCGCCGCAGATCAGATCTCTAAGGGGATCCGCACGTATGCGGATCCGGTCGGTTATGAACCCTCTGTGGAGACCACTCATCGAAATGCGGGGAATCCGGGGTAGCCTGTCATATCCCACAGCTCTGAAGGAGAGAGACATCGGGTCCAGCTCCTAGCATATCCCTGAGCAACCGTGCTCGCCATGCGGTTCTGCAGCGTTCCCATCTATGATCCGCCCGGACTCCTCCCCGCGAGGGGTCATGAGGGGTTGTTGCACAATGTCAACTCTGTATTTTAAATTCAACGAGGGTCTCCAGTGTCGAGAGCGATGTGCATCCAGCTTCGGGTGTTAAGTCTCAGTCGCAGGTTTTCTTATTCTCTCCAAGCCGAGGGGGCTTTTTTACTTCAATTTCTCTCAAGTATAATCAGCCCTATACTCTATATTCTATACTCCCAGCGCAAAGATGCCTCTACGAACCAGCCTCAACGAAAACACCAGCCCAACTGCCCCCACCCCATCGCCAACCCCGAACAAGCTCCAGACCGACGTTCTCATCGTCGGCGCCGGCTTCGGCGGCATCTTCTGCCTCCACGAGATACGCAAGCTAGGCCTAAAGGCCACGATCTACGAAGCAGGCACCGACATCGGCGGCACCTGGCGCTGGAACTGCTATCCCGGCGCAGGCGTCGACTCGGAAGTGCCCGAATACGAGTACTCGATCCCCGAGATCTGGAAAGACTGGACCTGGTCCACGAACTACCCCACCTACGACGAGATCCGCCGGTACTTCGACCACGTGGATGCCGTGCTGCAGGTGAAGAAAGACTGCGCGTTCAACAGCGTCGTCGTCGACGCGCAGTTCGACACGGAGCGGGGCCAATGGTGCGTCACGACGGCGGATGGACGGACGGCCGTGTCGCGGTACTTGATTATCGCGACGGGGTTCGCGGCCAAGCGGTATGTGCCTGAGTGGGCGGGGATGGAGACCTTCAAGGGAATCGTGCACCATTCGTCGTTCTGGCCCGACGAGCCCGTCGATGTGCGCGGAAAGCGGTGCGCGGTTATCGGGACAGGCGCGTCGGGGGTGCAAGTTACGCAGACGTGGGGGCCTGTGGCGGGCTCGCTGAAGGTCTTCCAGCGGACGCCGAACCTGGCGCTCCCGATGCGCCGGCGGGCGCTGTCGGGCGAAGAGCAGAGGAAGAACAAGGCGGTATATCCGGAACTCTTCTCGTTGCGCGAGAAGTGCTTTGGCGGGTTCCTGTATACCTTTGATGAGAAGAGCAGCGCGGATGACAGCGCGGAGGAGCGCGAAGCGTTCTTCGAGAGACTGTGGGAGGCGGGCGGGTTTCGCTTCTGGCTGGCGAACTACAAGGACTACCTCTTCGATGCGAAGGCGAACAGGCTGGTCTACGATTTCTGGTGCAAGAAGGTCCGGCAGACGATCGACGACCCGAAGCAACGCGATATCCTCGCGCCGCGGGAGCCCCCACATGCATATGGGGTGAAGAGGCCGTCACTGCAGCATAGTTACTACGAGCAGTTCAACCGGTCGTCCGTCGAGGCGATTGATCTCCGGGGGAATCAGATCGTCGCGTTTACAGAGAAGGGAATCAAGATGGAAGATGGAACCGAGCACGAGCTCGACGTCGTCTGTATTGCGACGGGCTTCGACATCGCAACGGGTGGCATGACGAGCATGGGCCTACGAAGTATCCACGGCACGAGACTGGAGGATGAATGGAAGCACGGCGCATACACCTACTTGGGCACAACGGTCAGTGGGTATCCGAACATGTTCCACCTGTATGGGCCGCAGGGCCCGACGCTGTTCAGCAATGGGCCGACGACCATCGAGATCCAGGGTCGCTGGATCGCGCAGGCAATCAAGCATATCGAGCGGCAGGGGATCCGGTACATAGATGCGACACCCGAGGCAGCGCAGGAATGGAAGAAGCGCATCAACTTTCTGTCCGATGTCTCGCTGTTTCCCACCACCAAGTCGACGTACATGGGGGGTAATGTGCCGGGGAAGGTGTTTGAGCAGGTGAATTATGCGGGGGCGAATATGCCTATGCACAAGATATCCGGGCTGCATTACCGGAGTTCACGGGGTTTCAGGTGGTGCGGGCACAGAAGCCCCGGCAGACATCGAAGATCTGATGGTTATTGGCGGGGCGGGGGGGGAAGAGGGGGAACATCATACGGTTACGAAAGTCTCCTAGTACATACATATGTAGTTATAAGCAGGCAAAATGGACAGTCTGGAACTATGACCACCTGGAGGGATGTAGCGAATCAGAAGGACGGACGTGTTGTCCCGGGTCGAAAAAAACATAACCAAACTGAAAATCTAGACTTGAGGGCATGAGGCGAGTGGATTCGTTGCGGGAACAAAACTGGCGCATCTTACCCACCTTCTCATCCAGCGCCAATCATCACCAGCCAACCGACACACGAGGGTAGGAATGCATGCGCACTAGGCTTCCCGACGGTTACGATTTGGCCTCCGGGACTCGCCGTATGCGCACCGCTTTGCAGATCGGTCATGAGGTGGGGAGCGAGATAAGGAACAGACTCCAGGACTAGATGGCCAGATCCGATTACGGCATGCACAAATGGTGGTCAGAGCTTTCTGTGATGAGCGGGGTTCATCGAGCATCAGGGCTGTCACTGCCGTCACTTCCGGCAGATCCGTTCGAGGCAGCTCAACCCCTAAAGCGAAAATACAGCGAATGCGAATACTCCGGAGAAAAGGGGAATTGAAAGTAGCATGGAGCACCTCCGGGTGATCAGATAGAGCCTGGATCTGAACGGGGTCTGTAGATAATGTTCACGGTACCTGGCAAGCCCTGAACCCAGGCCGACTTAGCCGCGTAGATCGAGCGCCATCGCAGTCTTGGCGGGGATCCAGCGGTGAAGCGAAGGACTTCGGGACGAAACGCACCTTCGTACAGAACGCTCGGGCCGCCTGCAGCGATCGACCGGTCACATGCACCGTTGGGAGATGCGGCGCGAAATGATTGGTTGCTACGATGTCGGCACAAGTAGGAATGGATTGAACTACTGGACTAGGCAGAGGAAGTTCGGACTGGCACGGTTTGGAGATTGTATGACATTTTTCTCTATGGACAAGTTGGTTCAGTTGCCAATGCCACCGACCAAAGCGGGGGGTAGTAGTCTCGACCTTGATCAACAGAGGGAGAGCTGCTTATTTCAAAACAATGTGTGGGAGATGGGAGATATATATCGCTGAGGAAACATGGGGATCGGATCATGGGGAGTGTAGAAATAGGTATCAAAAAAAGAAGCTCGCTAAGATGGCAGCCAGGTCATCGTCAAAAACATCAGGGTATCACAGGCAATGGTATCGTCGAAAGTGGTGTACAAGAACAGGAAGAAGTCGAAAGACCGGCGAGGTCAGTATGCCTCGATGATGGGACTGGCGTCTTGTGAAGCAAAATACCCTGTGTCGAACAATGGCTGGGAGTCCGTGAGCGAGATCGTGGTTGTGGTGGGTGTTTTTTGGTCGAACGCCTCCAAGGTAGGCTGGGGCGGGGAAATGGGAAGAGCATCGTCCTCCGACTCGTCATCGGAGTCGGCAGGCAGGAGCTCGGGTGGAGATTGGCGAGACGGTGATCGAGTGAGGCTGAGGTCCTCGATCCCCTCCCCATCGTCATATTCAAAGTCGGAATCGGTATCATCGTCCTCCTCCTCGAAGAGAGCGGGCTCAGGCATAGGTGGAGGAGAGACGGGGCGGCGGCGAGTGGAAGGGTTGATCACAAAGCCAGCTTGAGTGTAAGCCTCGTCTTCTTCATCGCTGTCACTGTCGGAATCCAGGTCGGAGTTATCGTCGGAAAGATCGTATTCCTCCTCGGTCTCCTCGATCATAGTAGACGCCCATTGGACGCGTCGGGTCTCTTCTTGGGCCTTGGTGGCGCCGTGGACGGTCTGGTTAAACCAACGTTCTTGCTCGCGCTCGGCCTCGGCGAGGTCGACCATCAGAGAATCCAACAGATTGGCATGGCCTACCAACAATCGCAGATCGTGGTCCGCCCGGGAAGCTTCGCGGGTGAGCTTCTTGCGGGCGGTGTGGGCCAAGTAGTATGTTTGAGTGATGCTCATCTTCTTCTGCTGGCGGCGACGGAAGAGAGTCTGGAAGTAGGGGCTGTTTGGGGAGATAGACTCAGGAGCTTGGGAGGTGAAGGAGGAAACCATGGTGGGCAATCGAAATATTATTTGTTTTCGAATGACTCTATCTGCCAAGGTGATGACTCAAGGTCATGCTCATCCAATGACAAGTGGGGACTCCAGTCGAGGCGGTGAGCTGCAAGGTTGCAAGGTCGCAGGGTTGCAAGGCTGTGTGGTGCGCTTAGGCCAGGTTCGATTATGATTCTTGAGGCTATTCGAGTAGTGGTTGGAGAGCTTGATAATAGGCGAGCTGAAAGGGAGGCGGGGGGGGGGGGGTCAGCAATGATTTTATAAAATCAAAACATGGAAACGCAGGGTCTGCTTACAATGATTTTTTTTTTTTCTTTTTTTCTTTTCTATCCCCGAGCCGTGTACCCGTTACTCACCTAAATTCCGACGAACCGAATCGGACTTTGATCCACCCGGTGGATCGGACCTTCTGGGAACCGCTGAGTAAATGATTTTTTCTTTTTTTTTATTCCCTATTTTTTTTTCTCTTGGCTGTGCATAACTCCCCAACAGGTGAAACTATACACCGCCATGATCGCAAGGCCTTGGCTTGGCTGCCTCGGAGCCTGTCGCAATGATTGCCCTCTGTTGATGCGTACACTTCCCCCCCCCAATCTTGTGTCCCTAAGGAGGTCCGGAGTTACAGAGGAGATTACGGGACTACAGTGAGGAGTGAGTCAATATCCCCGATCACCCGTGGTAGTCCTTTTTTACCCGATGCGGCGGTCGGGCTGACCTCCGCGGCGACCGGAGCTTCAATGACCGAATGTCCTGTAACTATTACTCAGAAAGGCTTTATGTTTCCGGGGCTCTCAGCATCAGCCGCTTCATAAGCACTTTGGAGCTCTAGTTAGTTAACTAAAGTTAAATCTTCTTGATGACAATTCCTTTATCTTCGAATTCATAATCCAATGGCGTGCTTGCTACCCCAGCCTGTAAACCCGAGTGCTCGGCCATGACAGGTCGCCTCTTACCAGGATTCCAGGCATCGGTCGCATCACCATGACTTAAGGCCAATTCCCCGGGAAACCGATTTCAGCCTAACCCGTCAATTAGTGGCTTCCAGCGCAGCCTAGCGGGTTGGTCCCTGGGATGCCAGGTTAGGGGCGGCTGTGTCGGGTTGGGGGCTGCAAAGTCTGCGGAGGCTCCCCAAACACCCTTCCGTCACTGCCTTGTCCCACGTCCTGCTTACCCAAATAGGCTCCCCCCTCCTTACTAGTCCCGCTCCTTACCTCCAGCTGTCCCGCGCCATCAACACGAAGAGGCGACCGACGTGGAGGCCATCGCCCCCAATAGATCCCAGGCGGCGTAACCCCCAATCCCAAGGCACCCGGAAACTCCCTCTCGTGTGACAGGGCCAAGGCTCTTGGAGCTTGGCTGATTCAGATCTTCACAATAATTACGGAGTACTCCGTAGTCTTTGGCACCATCATACGGTGTGGAGTCCCCAAAGGGTCCTCCTCTATTGCCTAGCTAGGCATAACTTGACGACTTTTCCCCACCCGGTCCGGTTTCCAAGGTTGGGGACCAGCCTTATGACTAGTTGACTCGAAAGATTGGCTATTAATAATAGGCCCCGAGGGAACCCTAGAGAATCGGTAATCTGCGAATATGATCTGGATTAGGCTACCCTCGTAAATCCCACCTGGGCCAAAGGCCTACCCTATTCGAAGACCACGAGAACCCCGCTATGAGCACGGGCTTGGGTAGTTCTAGCCAGCCATGGCTTATTCTCGGTCCTGGGCCGGCGACAGGACCAGATGCCGTCACGACTAGAATTGTTTACATGGAAGGAGTTATGCAGTGGCGAAACGGAGATACCAGACGGCCATGGACTCTTCAAGTGCGAGACGGGAAGATGTCATCCGTGCGGCTCGTCCAACGACCGACCGGCGATTGGGATCAGGACCCTTCCAGGCCCCACGTTTTTTTTCTGCCGGGATGACTTCAATCACCCTGGTCCTGTGCTGCCGAGTATGTCTAATGCTAAAAGGTCTTCAGACGTTCGCGATATCGCCTTCATTTCAATATTGTCGCTCGCTCGCATCGGGGGGAGCACTACAAGGTATGACCCTGCAGCTGCCGCGGTCCGGGTGAGATCCGAGGATCGTGTCAGCTATCTGATGATCAGTAATGCATAAATAATGAATCATGACCAAGGGGCATACGGGAATCCTCTGGCCACTAGGAAGCTCCCTTGTTAGCTAAGCGGAAGAGCACAACCCTCGGGAAGGTAAGCTCCTGGACCCATACCTTTGGAAGAGTCATGGGTGGCAAGCTATCTCCGGTATATCCTCCAAGTCCGAAACCCGCTTCTTCAGAAAGTTCTTACCTCAGCTACAGACGGGATCGGAGTTGGTGTCGCTCCGAGCCTCGGGACTTTCTCGGATTGGACCCAGAGTCCAGCTCACTTGCTCTGCACAAATTTTATGGACAAAAAAAATTTCAGCATGATCGACGTCCACGTGCGGCTCCCGTCGCGCTCCATCGCTATCGCTCGCTTCAATCCGGACTACGGATGGGTGAGTCATCGGTAATCCTAGAGATTGACTTTAGGGCTCCGATCTTTTCCTCTCTCTACTCGGTTCACGCCTTCGGTGCCCGGACTGTATCGAGATTGCAGGGAATCGCGCCTACCGAGCAGATATCCATATCCTCAAGATCCGGCGACAAATGATCCTTTCGAGGCTGGAAAATTTGGATGTTCAAATCGGTCAATGGGTCTACAGTGGCAGAGAAGGCCATGGAAGGGGAGAAAAATCTGATTTTTGCAACTAAAAAGTGGAGTTGTAGGTATACAGCTCCACCCGGCGATGCCCGCAGCGCAAACAAGGCAGAATATTATCCTCTCGTCCCATATGGTTGAGGTTGGGCTGAACGCGCTGTGGGTCTATCGCATCGCCCGCTTATCCCTTTTCGGGGGGGCCCCTGTAACCGTGGCTCTCTTCAGAGTTGCCTAGGCCGCCCGTCGCAAATTTGACCTGCCCCTGTCAGCGGGGCTGTGCTTGGCTGTGCCTGGCTGTGCCTGGCTCGGTGGGAGCAATTTAAGCTACATCAACCCTAAACGGCGTTTCTTGCGATAGGTGCCTAACAGCGTTTTCATTTCCAACACCTAGCAACCTCGATGCAAATTTCCACTAAACCAAATATCAACCCTCGGTGGCAGAGCTCGCAATTTTTAACCAAATCCAGAAACAGACAATACTCTAAATAGACAACGCCTGCAAATCTCCATCTCCAATGCTTTCGGCCTGGGGCCCAGCCCCAGTTGCAAAGCTTCCTCCCCCTTCAAGCACCACGCAAATTACCTCCCAGTATCGTAGCATTCCACTTCTCGGCCACATCCATCGGCAGATCATTCCAATCATTAACATTCCCAGGCAACTGCTCCCTCTCCACGGCCGAGATCTGGAAATACCAATCCTCAAGCGCAATGAGCAACTCCCGCGCCCTGTGCCCCAACATCCACTCCCCCGCATCGCGGAAGACATCCTCCGCGAAAGCCCTCAAGGCCTCCGCCGGCTTCCCCCAATCAAACTTTTCCCCAGGATCAACCCGACAGAACTGCCGCTGAAGCCTCAGATTCCCTCGCCCAGGCGGCTTCCCCGCGCGAAGCTCCGCAGCAGTGCGCAGGTCCAGCATCTCGTGCAGCGCCTCCCGGCTGTCCCAGGCCGGGGTCCTGGTCGCCCAGTGGATGTGGCGCTCCAGCTGCCAGATGACAAGTTTCCTGGGATCCCGCGTGTCCCAGGTGCATTTGACCAGGAGATCGTCTTTGTCCTCGAGCGAGTCGGGCTCCGGGACGGAGCTGGATCGGTGATGGTTCATGCGTGCGGTCAGGGCGGCGAGCTGTTCTGTTTTCAAGGCGGCTCTTGCTTCGTATTTCTTGATGGTGCGCCTTGTGCGGGTTTTCATGCGGGCGAGTCCCTGCTTTTCGTGGAGGATGCGCAGGTCAAGTTTGCGGATGGCTGACGAGAGGCGATCGATCTCTTCTTCTTCAGCTTGGAGCATTTGTTTGTGATCCTTTAGCTTTGGAGGAGCCATGGTTATTGAAGGTTTAGGTCTTGGATGTTACGGTGAGGAGTTGAGGATGGGAAAGGGTTCGAAAGGCGATGAGTATAGGGAATGCTCGATCGAGTGGCTTTATACCAAGCAAGCGGGGGGGGGCCGTTTGCCCTTGCTGGGCGGGCTTGTGCCGGTTCAAGTGCCAAGTATAACATAACCTGATACTAGGACTCCAGAGCTCCAGAGTTAGTGTCTCTCAGGTATTGTGCCGGGGGGGGAGATGCCCTGGGTACCCAATGCTAAGCGCGTCTTATCAGAACTAGCCCCTAAATTTTGGCTACTACTGCATTGTACCATGATGTTTCTTCTATGGGGTATTGAGGCTGATCTGTCAACAGGAACACTAACAACAGGCACACTGGCAGGTCTACCAAAAGCATGCGCGCCTTATTCAGTTACTCTTGCCTGGATGAGGGCACTAACTTCACCTGGGCAGCCCAGGCGCCACGTGCTTTCGTTATTAGGTATTCTAGGGGACTTGGTTTGAAACATATTGAATTTCTAAATCGTAAACAAAAAGCTTTCATCATCATAACTATATATATCTTTTGGACCCGAAAGGGAACTTGAAACTAACACGAGCGCCTAGGATTCAATCTAGTGGTGGAACAGACGGACCCCCTGCTCAACAAAGGTGATACCCAGCTTCTCCGCGGTCTCGAAGACAGGGGTGTCGTTCTGGCTACCAGTAGGAGCAGCAATGTACTTGACGCCTGAGCGGGCAGCACGGAAAACGTTGTCGATAAAGGGGAACTAAAAAAAAAGAAGAAGAAGAAGAAGAAAAGATTAGCGAATATTCTAAGAAAGAAACTGTTCAAGAAACTTACGAAAGCGTCAGAGGACACAGCGACCTCGCTGAGCTTCTGGAGCCAAGCCTCTCGCTCCTCTTGAGTGAAAGGAGCAGGGACCTCTTCGAAGACACGCTCATACTCGACCTTCTCGGCCTCATTACGGGGAGTCTGGCCTGAGCAGAGTAGGTCAATAGCGTTGCTCTTGTCCGCACGCTTGGTGCCCTGCTTCCACTTGATGTTGATGACACGGTCGTGGAAGCGCATCCACCAGTTGTCGGCCTTGTCACCGGCAAGACGGGTGCAGTGGATACGGCTCTGCTGGCCGGCACCGAGACCGATGACCTGGCCGTTCAGGGCGTAGCAGACGGAGTTGGACTGAGTGTACTTCAGCGCAATGGTAGCGACGGTCAGATCGCGGAGAGCAGCCTCGGGCAGAGCAGAGAGACCCTTGGGGGTGATGATGGAGTTGAAGGTCTTGCTGGGTGAGATGACGATGTCGTTGCGGTGCTGGGTCAGCTGGACGCCGTACACGGTGCGGCTCTCCTCGCCGGGGGGCGTGTAGTCCTCGTCCATCTGCAGGACCAGGTACTTGCCGCCCTTCTTCTTGGACAGGATCTCGAGGGCCTCGGGTTCGTAGCCGGCGGCAATGACACCGTCGGAGACCTCGCGAGAGACGATCTTGGCGGTGGGGACGTCAACGATGTCACTGAGGGCAAGGATGTCACCGAAGCTGGACATGCGGTCCGCACCACGGGCACGAGCGTAAGCCTGAGCAAGACCCGAGGATTCGATGCCCTTGATGTCGTCAACCATGTAGACCTTGCGCTCCTTCTCGTTCAAGGGCACACCGATGGCGGCACCAGCGGGGGAAACGTGCTTGAAGCTAGCGGCGGCGGGGTAACCGAGAGCTTGCTTCAGCTCCTTGACCAGAGGCCAGGCGTTGAGAGCATCGAGAAGGTTCACGTAGCCAGGGGAGCCGTTGAGGACTTTGAAAGGAAGCTTGCCTTGAGGCATGTAGGCCGAGGCGGGCTTCTGGTGAGGGTTGATACCGTAGCGCAGAGAGAGCTGCTGGGCGCCGTTGCCCGCGTATTCCTTGCGGAAGAAGCCAGAGATGGCAGAGTCGTAGTCAGCGGTTTGCTCGAAGGCCTTCAAAGCATACTGCTTGCGACTGGCCTCACTGATCTGGCCGGCCTTAAGCTCCTTCAGGAACTCAGGGTAGTCGTTGGGGTCGGAGAGAATAGTGACACGCTTATGGTTCTTGGCTGCGGCACGGAGCAGGGTAACACCACCGATGTCAATCTCCTCCACGGCCTCGTCGATCGTCACGTTCACCTTGGCTACGGTCTCCTTGAAGGGGTACAGGTTGCAGACAACGAAGTCAACCTTGGAGATCTTCTGCTCGGCAAGATCCTTCTCGTCGGACTCAATATCACGGGCGAGGATACCACCGTGGACAGCGGGGTGGAGGGTCTTGACACGGCCACCCAGCATCTCGGGGGCTTGGGTGATGGCAGAGACGTCCCTAAGTCATGTCAGTATGGAGAACCCTTCAATGGATCACAAGAGAGTTGCTCTTCGGGAGTTCTCGTTTGGTTTTTCTTTGTACTCGAACCACGAGAATCCGTTATTGATGATACTCACTCGACAGGGAAGCCAGCTTCACGAATCATTTTGGCAGTGCCACCAGACGCAAGAAGACGGACATTCTGGTCCGCCAGACCCTTGGCAAGGTCCAGCAGTCCAGTTTTGTCGTAGACAGAGATGATAGCTATGGGTCAAAACCTTTGATTAGTATAGATCTCTCGAAACACCAAGAAAGCACGTAGTCCGGGGAAAGAGATCAAACAAGCGCATACCGGACTTCTGAGACATGATGTCAACACTACTGATGGTCAGCGGGCGAGATCAACCAAGAAGGCCTCCAATTGATATAGCCAAAGGACCATTCGGGGACATACAGACCTGAATCCACGGGACAACTGGGTTGGAATGCTTGAAAAGGATCAAACAGAAATAATCGTATCCCACCGCGGGGCTCTGAGTTTGGCCGCAATCGGCGTGACTCCCCTGGACGGTGATTGGCTCGTCCTGCAGATGGGGCTGATCCCCGCCACTAGCAGCTAGTATGTCACGTGAATAACACGTGACGCGGAAGCTCAAAACAATTTTTGCTTTTCGAAAATTCCCTCTCTTTTTTTTCTTCTTCATGAACAACGCAAAAAACAACATTCTACTCAAAAAGCGTTCCTACGAGGACTTGTCTGATGAAGTACGGAAATCGTCATAGAGAATGGAGATCGAGTGCATGCACAGAGTTAATCTTGGGTGCAGTACCTTCCTGACTTCGGTCCAGTGGGAGGAACTGCAATGATTGACCCTACATATCCGCGTTTGTTCGTAATATAATTCGTAATCCATATCTACGAGGTCACTTTTGCCGGTGGAAAAAGGCTGGATAAGGGCGTCAAGAGATCAGTCGCGTCCTGTCATCGTTCTCAGCCTTTATGTGCAAATCATCAACTTTTGCACAAAGATCTGCGAGCAAATTGGCTCCACTTTGGCTCTCATTGGTAAGGCTCCTCGCCTTCCTCGGACCGCCTGCAGAGTATTCCTAAGGGACCGTGGGCATGATCTACAAAAGAACTCAATGACTGGAAACTTTCGGCCGTCATGGGCCATTCTATTAAACGACACTATCGTGGTCCAATATTTGTATCAAAGTTGTATCAAAGCCATGCGCACATAGCAAGTCATTCTGTCCGGCCCCTGCCGATGACCTTGACGAATCTTCGTGATCTCGTGATCTCCTTCACGCCCTAACACCAGCTCTGTGCTGGGCTCCAATGACTAGTTGGCGACCAACATTGCCAAAGCAAACGCATGCGCAGAAAATGACACTGGCAACCCAGGTGCGGACTGCAATGCTCTCCTGGGTAACCTCCGCCCCCAGGGCGTTTTCCAATCCTGTTCCGTTTAGGATAGCGGCACCCACGGACGGGCCCGTAGAAGTTGGGATGAGCTCGGGCTTCAAGCCTAGGATTATGCTCATTCCCGCTAGGCTGACTGTGGTCGCAAGAACGAAGCCGGTCTGGGTGCGATCGATCAGGTACCATAGCACGGGGTTTGCGAGGGCAAGGGTGAGCGAGGCTTGGGTGGTGGATTCCCAGGGAAGGCGACGCTGCAGGGTGGGGGATAAAAGCATTAGAAATCTATATGCAGAAATATAGTAGGTAGGGTAATAAAAAGAAAGAAAGAAAGAAGAAGAAACGAAAAAGTAAAAGAAATTTTGTAAAGGTGAGAGAAAGGTCTGCCGACTTACCATCGCAAATGCGATACCGACGAAGGCACCAACACTACGAGCGACAGCAACCCACGCAGGGGTGCGGTCCTCGTTCTCATGCTCGTCCTCGCTCCGCGCGTGCTTGACCTGCTCCTCCCGAACAGACTCCCTCTCGCGCCAGCTATCCAACCACGGGAGAATATGCCCCAGCGTAATGCCAGAGATACCCCAGAAGCCGAGATACTGCCATGAATCGTAGTAGTGAACATTCTCCAGTTTAACAGGGGTGATCCAATGATTGTCATGCAGATGCACCGTGATAACCCCGTAAACAATTCCAAAGCCAAAAAGCAGAGCACTGCTGAGCAGCTGAGGCAGGATCACGCCACGCACCAGCCCATGACTGAGCCGGGAGCGTGTCCGCTGCACTGCTAATGGCCGAGGGTGAATGGCCGAGTTCAAAGCGGCAGCTTGTGAAAACTCTGGAGGAAACTCTGCTGCTGGGGTATTGACTTCGGTGCCCCAGGGGCTTGACTCATCGCGAGATCCATCGAATGCGGTGGGTTGGTAGATTCCGTAGAGGGTGGAGGACGTGAGGTTCAGGATAGAGCCGGTCCGGCTCACATTGGCAGATGTGGTTGTTGATCCGGCATCCTGGGCACTGAGTAGATCCGCTTGGGCGCTTTCAGTTGGGGTATTAGGGCCAGAGGACTCAGTCGATGCTGCCAGCTCGAAGGGCCGTCGGGGACGAGGCCGCAGAACACGAGGCGAATCCACCATCGTATACGGGTGGCTGCTTGTGCTCACGGCAAGAAGCGGAGAAGTTGAAGAAGCTAAAGAAACCCCTTCCGTGTATTGAAATGGTAATTCCCTCCTGCCTTTTTCCGGACAGTGTAACTGGGCGACCCGAAAAGGAGGTCAAAAAATTAATTGGGCGCGTCTGCGGGCGGAGAGACATGTGTCAGCGGGATTCGCAACGTTGTACCAAAAATCCGATTCTGCAGATCCTTAGAGACAATTATACACCTACCGGAAGGAGAATTCTTTGGCCAGGTGCAATTGACGATTTTCCTATGGCGAGATATGGCAAAGGAGATCGGGGGGAATGAGGAAAGGAAAATCGTTGGGGGGGGATAACGTCTGAATGCGACAGTTTGCAGGAGCTTCGCGGGGGGCCAGAGCAGGGCGGAGTTCGGGGGTTTTTCAGGCCAACAATGTTTAAAATTTCACTTCAGGCCGTTGATTCAATCTTTGACTCTGCGGTGAGTGTTAGGTGCTGATACCCGAGGTCGTAGAGGTCTTCAGAGCCAAGAGGTCCCAATGACGTTAACACTGGGAACTGGAGGATCTGGAACTCGTCCCCCCTCATGAAGTTTCTGCAATGACCATCTTTGACAAAACATCAAGTCGCCTCCTTAAATACCAGAAACGAGGGGTTCTCAGTGCAATCACATGTCTATACGAGTCAGGTGAGTGGCACGACAAGACAGGCCTGGGTTCCCTCCGCAATGCAGATGGCAGAATGTCAGACATGCGTGGGGCCTATAGAGACCCCTCAGCAAAGCCTTGGTCTCCATTCAACACGGGGGGGTTGTCCTCCGATGCAGGATGGTCCACAGACGGCCAGAGTGACTCTCCGAGGATCCTGAAGGTGGGAATGCGGGAGAATAGTGGATCTGAAAGAAGCATGCTTTGATCTTTGATGACAAGTGCTACATTGCGGCCCCAAGGTATATTGAAAATGCCTAGACGGCGATTTAACCCTTATGTCCAAGGCAGCTTCAGCTCTAGCTTTGCTACTACCTCATAGAATGGTCACGCGCAAGATCCTCCATGTCTGAGGAATCATTTGTCAGACAATGCATAATGATGCACTACTTACAATCAGGCCCTGCATGAAACGCTAGGCAGCAAGGATACGATTCTGCTTGTGCTCTGCATATAGACGGAAAGGTCCTTCTATAGTTGCATGACGCCCGCACGACATGATAGTATCCATATCATCATTCGACTGATACTCCATGTACTATTCTCAATCCCTTCCCCCCCCCCCGGCAACCCAATAATTGTGGATAAGATCTTATGGAAGCCGTTGTCAGATAACCAGGGATCGCAACTTAGAACTGAAGTTGCAGGTCAAGGTGGATTTACAGTGTATAAGACAAATATGATTTGTTCTAATCATACAATAACTTTCATTGAGAATCATCCGGTGAAATGTCCATAGGGTAGCATAGGACCAGATCGAGCTAAATAAGTAGAAAGATACCAACCTGGTCCACAAGAATAGCCTCCACATCAATGCCAATACATAGAAAACCGCGACCCTGGCCGTGAGAGTAACGCCATTTTAAACAGGGTAAAAGAAAACAAAAGTACGGGCCACACACTTCGGTCCGTGATAAGAACTAAATGGGATATGTCATAGAGGAGGAGCGAAAAGAAAACCAAAGAAATGGGACCAGGTGATGAAATCAAAGTGATATCTTGCCTATTCTTCCATCGCATCATCTCCGCGCTCCGGACGTCCTAGGGCAGGAGATGAGCTTTCACGTCGAGCGTACCCGCCGGGTCCACCGTACGCAGAGTCAACATCGTCACCCTCACCCTCTACATCGTCGTCTCCGGAAACGTCAGAGAAGTCACCCGGGGCTGGACCGTCTTCTTCGCCTGAGCCCTCGCCTAGCAGCTCTCGATCAAGATCGTCCAGCTCGCCTTCGACTTCCCCATCCCGAGGAGCAATATCCGTATCCCATGGAGCTGTAGCATCGGCGCCAGGCGGGGGAGCGCGGCCACCCTTAGTGCGCACAGCGTTGACCTTCTTGGCATTTCCAGAACTCGAAGGAGGACCCGCGAACTTGCGCTTAGCGCCAGTTCCGCCACGAGAGGGACGGGGGCGGGATCGAGCATTAGCCGCACGCACGTCGGCTTCAAGCGCAGCCTTGGCTTTCTGGCGTTCTTCGCGTTCGGCCTGGCGGTCTTTCTTGGGACCGTTGGCATCGTCGGGGTCCCAGCGGTCCAGACGACGTTGAGCCTTGCGCACAACGGAGAGGAAGTGGTGGGCGCTTTCGCCGTAGTCCTCTTCTTCCGCAGGATTGGGGAGAAGGCCACCCTTGCCCCAGGATTTCTCATCTTCAGTGTCGTAGCCATCTGGTACACTTGCGAGTAGACGCGTATGGCGAAGCACGGGGTCTTCGCTGTTGCGCTTTTTGGCAAGATCGCGGTACTCAGTAGCACGTCGCTTTGCAAGAAGGTAATCGATGCGTTGACGGCGGTTCTGCTCGACGGCGATTTGATGCTGGGTCAGAGGCCGGGGGCGACGGCCGGGGGCCTGGGAAAGTGAAGGCTCAGGGATGAACCGGTTCATGACAGAGTTACTTCCAGAGGGCGCTGGGGACGCATCTGGGGAACGGTCCTTCGTTTTCAGAACAAGACGTTGTTGACCAGCGGCTCGGTTCAAGGATGAGTCGCGTTTGCCTTGCTTGTTGCGGGGCCGGGAGGAACCTGGCGTTAGCTCGTCCTCGTCGTCATCAAGGCTTCGCTTAGCGGATGGATGAAGAGGCGTCGACATTGCGGAGCCACGCCCTGCGAAACCGGAGTAGTCTCCGAAAGACTCTTCGTCGTAGCCGAATTCTGCAAGGGTTAGAATGAACAGCACCGCGTAGTACAAGGGTCACAAGGGAAGGGAAGGCTACCTTTCTTAGAACGTTTTGGGACTCGGGGGGAGAGGCTCGTCCTCCTCGAGAATACCTGGCTAGATGTCAACAAGTCTACATGAATTCAGGCGTAGTGTCAACTTACGCTTGCGCTCTAACCTCTTTGACTCTCCATATTCTAATTCCTCAGCAGTGTCCACGTTTTCTAGGTCTGCTTGCTCTTCGGTCAGGCTTTCGAAAGCAGGGACCTTCAGAGGCAAACCATCAGTACCCTCGCCCTCTAATCCCGGTCCGAATGGATTGTTCAAAGCAGCCTCGCGAGTGAAATCGCTCTCCAAGTACCACCACATGAGCCAAAGGAACGCCTTAGCGCGACTCCTGCTGCTTAATGTGGATCTCATCACAAGGTCAAAGAAATCGCGGGGTGGGAAAAAATGCGCTTCGGAAACTTTTGGTGCGTACTGGGCGAGTACAAAGATTAGGTTTACAGGATTCGTGCGCGGAACAGGCATGCGCTTGATCTTCTCAAGGGTGTTCGGTTGATCTACGTCTTCCGAAGCACCTTTCAAGATAGATTTCAAGCGCGGGGCATCCTGCAGTTGTTTGTAGGCATTGGAGTCTTGGTGGGCTTGTAGGGAAGGGATGGAGTGGTAGGTTCGGAGCTGGGCACGCATTTCAGGGAAGACTAATTGAAATCAAGGAGTCAGTTCGGATGCTGCGAGATTTGACTAGGGCATTGTATGTGTATGGGCGCAATTTGCGCTAAGAATCGTATGGGACGGAACGAAGTAGTGCTGGATCGAAAAATCAAAGAAAAACAAAAGCACATATTGTAGCACTTACAGTTGAGAGTTGTGTTCATGCGACCAAAGTTAACCAGCAAGCACACCATGGCCATGCTGATCGCGGCCGGTTTATCATTCTGCAATTTGTCTTTCAAGATCTTGCTTGTCTTGCTGCTTCGTGCCATGGCGTCAATGTAGATATCCGCAAAATCGAGGTTCTTCTCGCCATCGGGGTATCGCGTAAAGGCAGGTGTCTTATCCTCGAAGACAAGCTGCAGGAATTGATGTTGGATGTCCTTGCGCCACAAAGGGATTCCATCTTCCTTTTTGAGATGCCTAATCTTGTTTCCCGAGTAGACAGAGCCGATGGTGCCGTTTGGCTGGCGTCTTGTGCCGACTGTCGCGCTGGCGGTCATGCCATGTCCATCATCTGCGACCTCCGAAGCAGCAAAAGATTCATCAACTGGAGGTTCGACTTCTGCCATTATGAGAGTTCGACTCGACAGGACGAAACGCGGGGAATCGAGGCTCCAGAATCGATTGCGAGCAGTCCGGGGTCACAGATCCTTTGCGCAGAAACAAAGACTCTGGGGTAATGAGTGTGAACTCCCCTTTGGGGGGGAGATGAGATTACGCGTCGATACGATTGCGAAATGATAAAAGGTGAAGAGGAAGGGAGGGAAGGAGGCGAAAGTTTCAAGAGGGAAACGAAACGACAGGAGAAGGGGAAAGGTCCGGAAGGGCTAAAATTGAGCAGCTGGGAAGTTGGCCATTTGTGATAAGTACCCGGATCCAGTATCCGCCCAGAGCGTGCTCCAACATCCTCTCCCATCGCCGGGTTTCGACCTATGGATTCATATTTTTGTTTTCAATTATTATTATTATTATTATTATTATTATTATTATTATTATTTCTTATTTTCGGATTGACTAGATCTTAATTCCCAGGTTCTTTACAAACTCTTATTTTCCTTGTGACTCTACCAGGAGATTTTAGTGTAGAATTCTCTCATCTCAAGGAGATAGTAGTAGATCTCGCAGGCACTATATATATCGAGCTGGAGGATGCTGCTCAACCCCCGTAGGTCGTCTTTTACACAGCGCGAAATTTGCATAACGCGTAACAATATACAACCCGTGTATTTTCAAGTTTATGGCTCTCCAACTTGAAGCTGCCACTGGTACTCCTAATGAGAGGGATATTCTAATTGAATGCATCCTAGTGCTTAGTCCTAGCACAGACCTGCTGTTTCCAAGGCTGCAGTTCAATAGCAAAAGCGATTCCCAGGGTACTAGTCCCATGCCTACTAGTCTACCATCATACGTGGATCTGCATGTGTAACATGAGTTATAAATCTTCAGATAGCATTGAATAAGGCTTTCCTTCTTAGAATTCCAGGCCTCTCCGCCTTTTTTTAGTCCTCCCACGTGAAACCATGATGCCTGTGATTCAAGCGCCGGCGACAGCATCCCATCCTCGACGGATCCGAGCATTGAAGCAAAGAAAAAGAAATTCGAAATCGCCTCCACGGACCCAGAGGACTTGTTGCCGGTCAAGCCAACGCCATACAGAATGCAAAGAATCCCGATGCGAAACCTCCACAGAAGAAAACGCTTTTTGGTGGGCTGTTTCCGAATCGACCATAGAACACACGAGACAGGGGGCGCAGCAAGAAAAAACATGGAAAGTAGTCCGCCCCAAGATACCGACGCAATGGAGTCTGTACTGCACAAGAGGCAGCCATAAGATGCGCCGAGTAGATGCAAGAAAAAAGCACTTTTTTGTCGCTCGGCGCGAGCGCGTCGTGTTCGAACGTTATCCTGACGGCGAGGATAATCCGAACAAAAAAGGGGTATCTGATAAAAGCGGACAACACAAGAAAGAGAACGCATTCTATGGTTCATGCAATTCAGACCGCCGGTTGCTCCGTATGGAAGAAGCAACACCGATTGAACTGCTCGAACGCCCCGTGTCTAAACAAGGCGTGATTGAGATAGCCAGGAAGAAACCGTATGAAATGGGAAAGCAGATAAGACAGATACAGGAAAAAGGAAGAAGAATAGGAGAAACAACCATAGATCAGAACACGGGTGAAAGAAAAGGGGCGATGGGAAGAGCAAAACAGCAGAACACGCATAAAATCTAGGACGCATAGGAAAGTCGTGGCAGTCGTGACAAAGCCGTCCCTTAGAAAACTTCGACGAAAGAAAGAGAAATAGGAAATGGGAGCCAATCAGACAGCCTCGTCATCAGACCACGACTGGTTAATTTACCACCACGAGGAGGGGCCGGTAGGGCCAGAGGGGTTGCCGTAGCCACCACCGCCGTAACCACCACCACCGCCGCCGTAGCCAGGACCACCTCCATAGCCGCCGCCGCCGCCGCCCCCGAAGGACGAAGGGGACCGCCCATACCACCGCCGAAAGAAGAGGGGGGACCGCCCATGCCACCACCGAAGCGACGCACATCGCGGGTAGCGTTGTTGCTACCACGGCCACCACCACGGCCACGGCCACGACCGCCAAAGCCACTGCCCTCGCGAGCAATGCTCTCCAAGAAGAGGGGACTTCCTGGTGGGCCTCCTTGAGGAGTTCGAGGAGGTCGCGGACGACACCACGGTTGCCGCGGTTGAAGAAAGCAGTAGCAATACCGGTGTTACCGGCACGGCCAGTACGACCGATACGGTGAACATAGTCGTCAATGTCGGTAGGCAGATCGTAGTTGATAACGTGGGTCACGTTGGGGATATCGAGACCACGAGCAGCAACAGCAGTAGCGACCAAGATGGGGCAACGGCCGTTACGGAAGAACTCAAGGGCACGCTCACGCTCACGCTGGGTGCGGTCTCCGTGAATAGCTGTGGCAGGGAAACGCTGATTGATAAGGAAGTCAGACAGGGAGTCCGCCATACGCTTGGTTTCGACGAAGATCAAGGTGAGACCGGTGGTGCCATGGGTGTGGAGGATATCCAACAAGACAGAGCGTTTGTCATGGTCCTCGACATACTCGACTTTCTGGGTAATGTTCTCAGAAGTAGAACCGACACGACCAACAGAAAGGAAAATGTAGTCCTTCAGGAAATCGCGGGCGAGCATCTGGATGTCACGAGGGAATGTAGCCGAAAACATGAGGGTCTGGCGGTCCTCAACGCGGGGCATGTCCTCACCCTCAACAATGCGGCGAATTTGGGGCTCGAAACCCATGTCCAGCATGCGGTCAGCCTCGTCAAGAACTAAGTACTTGATATTGACCAGGGAGATACGACCACGCTCGATCAAGTCGACGAGACGGCCAGGGGTGGCAACCAAGAGATCGCAGCCACGCTCGATCTGGCGGAGCTGGGAGCCAATGTCGGCACCACCGTACACGACACAGGGGCGAACCCATGAACGGTAGGCAAACTTCCGGGCCTCATCGAAGATCTGGGAGACAAGCTCTCGAGTGGGAGCAAGAATCAACGAGGTGGGGTAAGCCTTACGCTGGCGTCCGTAGCTGAACTGACCGGAGGCCTGAGCAGGAACGGCAGAGGGGCCGTTCTGGAAAGCCTGGGAGAGGATAGGGAACAGGAAACCACCGGTCTTTCCGGAACCAGTCTGGGCACATGCCATGAGGTCACGGCCGTTCATGACAATAGGAATGGAGTACTTTTGGACGGGAGTAGGGGTCACGTAGCTAGCCAGCTTGATGTTGGAGATCAGGTGGTCGTCCAGAGGGGGGTTGGTGAAAGTGTTAACGGGTTCAGGAACCTCATGACCAGATGCCTCGACAGGAATGTCATCGTAGTTGGCGAAATTGATACCAGTTTGTTGCTTTGAAGGGTCGTTGGGGACTCCGAAAAGCTCGCGCTCGACGCGGGCATTGGCAGGTCCAGGGATGTGCTTACCATCGCGCCACTGGCCATCTCCAGAGCCGCGAGCCTGCGCGCCGCCGCCGCCACCATAGTTGCCACCACTACCACCGTAGGAGCCGCTGCCGCCGTGTCCTGGATGTCCGTAAGCTTGGGGATCGAAAGGAGTGGCCTTCACGTTCGGGGTCCAGGGAAATTTACCGTTGGCACGAGGCGCGAAGTCGGGAGCGTTGGCATTAGCCCAGTTGCCACCACGAGGGCCGTTGTTGCTGTAATCAAATATTAGCACAGAACTTGACATTTGAGGGGGAAAAACCCTTTACATACCGAGGACCACCAAATCCAGGGCCAGCAGGAGGGGCGGCAGAGTCACCACCACCGCCGCCACCTGGTCCACGTTGACGAAGGTGAGGAGGAATGTACGCAGCACGACCAGGGGAGCACCGCCCTGGGGTGCGTGTTGGGAGTCATTAAGGGAAAGGTTTCCCATCTGAAGACCGTCGGCCATGTTGGCGATAACTTTTTAGAAGAATCCTGATACAGTATGTTGGTTAGCGCGTAGTCCTTGAAGATGCTTGCGATGGAGGATTCGAGGAAGGACAGTTCTGGGACGCGAAGAAGATTTTATTTCGTGTGTGGGGGGTTCAGCACCGCGCGAAGTTTCCACTTTGTATGTAAACAGAGCAGCGAAAGTGTGCTGAGGTCGCAAACGGAGTGCCTTACCTTTTTTTAAGAGCACAAGAGAAGGACGAAGAAGATTAAGATGCCGCTCTCGCTTTTTTTTCTTCCCTAGAAAAAAAAAGCACCAGTGACAAGAAAAAAGGATGGGTAACAAATGCACAAATCTCCCTCTAAAGAACTCTATGAGCACCGAAGAAAAGAGAAGGGATGAGTGGAGTGAGGAAAAGGGATGAAGGAGGAGAATAAAATCCGCAGGGCAGGTTTTCTCTGTGGGAGGCAAATCGAGTACTTCTTGGGTACTGCTGCCCGTGCTTGGGTCTGTGTGTTAGCCTGGGTACAGGCTGGGTATCGTTGTATCGTCTTGGTTTGCACATTTCGCTGTATGTTAGGTAACATATAATACCACTGATGTCAGATCGAACTGAGAGCCAGAATGAGGACTCGTCGCCTATGCTTGCTTTAGATTGAAAATTACTAGATTGTATTTTCAGGTATATACCAATACTAAACATCTGAATTTTTTTCGAACCCTTCCGGTGCCAAGACATTATCTAATCCGAAAAAAGTTGCCCGCCACCTAGGCGGGCAGTCTGGGCTCGATCGGTTGGTAAGAAGCGGGAGTAGATTGAACACATCCGGCTAGGGAGAGGTACAACTATGGTGGAATCAATTCCTACGTGAGAACCCAAAGCAATGACCAAATTCTTGCATGGATTTGCTTTGCTATCTATACTGCTTTTGAGACCTACCTACAGATAGTCCTTGTAGTCATCATCAGCATTCTGCCCCTTGTTGCGGCGGCTACGAACGTAGAATCCAACAATAGCAACCAGTACCAGGAAGACAAGCACAGGTTGGAGCGAGAAACTGGAGGTTGAGTCCTCGGGGAGGATGGCTCAATATCGTCATCGTATACTTGGGAAAGACAAGCACCGTCAGCCCTCCATCCGACGACCTAAACAGGAGAGTTTGCTGCAAATTTACAGCTCGTCGCGGGTACCTTGTTCCTCAGTGCTCTTGTCAAGCTCGAGCTCTCCGCTCTTAGCAATCTTGACTGGCTGGAGGGGTTTGTCGCCGGAGCCCTTGGGGACGTTTTGGATCTTGTCGACAATGTCGTAGCCCTCGAGAACCTCACCGAAGACGACGTGGCGGCCATCGAGCCAACTGATCATACGAGTTAGAAACACAAGGTGAAGAAGAGATATTTTTAAGTATTGGGGCAATCGGCACATACGAAGTGACGACGGTAGTAATGAAGAACTGAGAGCCGTTGGTGTCCTTGCCAGCGTTGGCCATGCCTAGAGCTTGTTAGTATCGAGGAGAATCTGGCTCGAGCTAGAACATACTCAGAAGGCCGGGACGGGTGTGGCGCAGCTTGAAGTTCTCATCCTTGAACTTGTTGCCATAGATAGACTTTCCGCCAGTGCCATCGAAGTTAGTAAAATCACCACCCTGGATCATGAAGTCCTTGATGACGCGGTGGAAGATAGACCCCTCGTAGCCGAATCCCTTCTCGCCGGTAGCCAGGGCACTGAAATTGTATGTTAGAGACAAAACTGTGGTGAAGCCGAGTGGTTATTTGGGCAGTGCCATACCGGAAGTTCTCCGCAGTCTGTACAAGCACCAATTAGTGAATATTCATGCAATTGATTGACAATCGGCCCAATTACCTCAGGGACGGTCTTTCCGTAAAGACCGATTACGATACGGCCAAGTGGCTCATCGCCATGCTGGATATCGAAGTAGACCTATCTCGACTGCTTAGTGTTTGTGTGGGGATGCTCAGCTTCGTTCACTTACCTTGCTAGTGATTCTAGGGCCCCAGGGTTCCTTGGCACCCTCGGCTTGGACCAGAGCGAAGCCGACGGCGAAGACCAGGAAAATGGAGACAAAAAGGTTGCGGAAATTCATGGTTACGAATTGCCACTGCTCTGGGGCGTATACAGTGATGAAGGTGAGGAAGGGAGAGGGGAAGGCCAGCTTGCAATGGCGTGCGGAGAGAACGGTACGGTTCTGGTAACATTACGGCTTAAATTGGGGAAAGCAGTGGCAATGTGGATAAATTACGCAAGATACGCCTTTTCGAACAAATTACAGACATCCGGAAAAATATTATTGCCGGATGATTTCTCCCGCGGCCAGCATCGAAAGTGCCTCGAGCAGTGGATAGTATCTATTGTCTACCAAGCGCCTCTTCAAAATGGTATGTCATTGTTCCTACTCATTGTACCTAGTCTAAGCTTCTGACTTAAATTCAGGTCTTTATTCTCGGCGTCAACTTCCCTGAGCGGAACCTGCTCAAGGTAAGCAAACCCTCCGCATCGAATCATCTCGGCAGGCTCAATCACGAACTAACGCGCACCTCCTTGCTGTAGAAATCATTGCAGTCGTTCTTTGGCATTGGAAACGATACCTCCTCTCGTCTCCTCGCTCGCTTCAACATCCACCCAACATGCCGAGTAGGCGAGTTGGCCAACAAGCAGGTCCTTGACCTTACAGCCGTTCTTTCCGAGATGAAGATTGAGAATGATCTCCGCCGAGAAGTCTTGAATGATATTAAGCGTCTGAAGGAGACTGGAACATACCGGGGTCGCCGACACGCACTGGGCCTACCCGTCCGCGGTCAACGGACTCGCACTCAGGTTCGTCATCATCTAGTTTGATCATTCTACCTGCCTTCCCAAACATCAATTCCGCAATGGCAAATCAAAGCCGATGCATACGGAGGATGCTCAGGGCGTCATAATCTTCTGAATACAAGGACTTGGGCTAATGAACTCCGTAGATCAAAACCCCTGTCAAGTTGAACCGCATGGAGCGTCGACTGTGATCTGGTGCTCGATATCACGATAATTTGGAGATTATCTCGCGTCTTTCAAGGGAGGCATGGGATCGGCGTTTTGTCTTTGATTGCTGGCATTTTATACTCACTTTCGCCTGCCCGCACTTTGTGAAAGTATCATCTTACGTGTATTATATTTGACGTGAATAAGAAAGAAGGTGTCGTGGAAATTACATAAAAAGGATTCGAGATAAGTCAACGTAGTCGGATAAAACTTGAGACTGGGCTCGAAGTGATGGTTGAATGGGGTATTACCACAGTATTCTCATTCATCTAACTGGATATTGAGACCGAGAAAGACAACATAAACGAACAAACTTTTTGAGATATCACTTTATAACGCCATGCCGTATGTGCAATCTACTTTCTTGACGAGAGAACACCCTCGCCCCGGTTTATCTGGATCCGCTTGTCCTCACCAGCGCTCACAATGCCTGCAGTTTCATCCCAGCACACACTGAACACCTTGACACCCTCGCCGCCGACACGCTTGCTCTCGGCTTTGCCTTCTTCCTCGAGGCTCTTTCGAGTAATAGAGTAGATACTCTCACCAACGACGCCATCCTTATCGGTCTTCGTAGAACGGATGTCCCAGATTCTGCAAGTACCATCATGACTACCACTGATAAGACCAAAGGCACTGTGGGGATCACGGGCCAAGGTCACAACTGCATTGGTGTGCCCACGAAGAGTCATTGCGGCAACAGTCGTAGCTGATGCACGAGGGTCAATGAGGGTGATATGACGGGCAGAAGTTCCTGCCGCCAGAAGGTGATGTTCGGGGAGATGCTCCAAGGAAAGAAGTGAGTGGGACGTTGTGCGGGTGTCGACTAAAGATCCAGTAACCAGATCCCAAGTACGCAGAGAGTGGTCCCAAGAGGCCGAGTAACCGACGGTAGAATCCATCGCGTCAAAGACAGCAGCAGAGACCGGACCAGTGTGAGCCGAGAGGAGGGACAGAGGACCCCGTTGGGGAGCAGTCACGGAAGTATTGAGCTTCCTTCGCTTAGAGTTTCGGGGATTGCTAGATGGGAGAAGATTCTCAGGAGCCGAGGGGGCATCGGCCTTCTTTGTTGACCAATATCCCACAGTGTGGTCAGCGGAACCGGTCAGAAGGCGGTTGGATGGCGCATGCACGGCTAAGGACTCGATCCCGGCCTTGTGTCCATACAACTCTAATTGAGGAGAAAATTTCCCGGAAAATCCACCTTCCTCTTCAGTGTACTTCCACAGGCGGACCGTCCGATCAAGACCAGCGGATGCAACTTGATTTGGCGAAACAAACTTGGCGGTTTTGATGGATGCAGTGTGTCCTCCCTCAGCGGGCCCAGGAGATGTCGCGATGATCTCCGAGGACATATTCCATATCCGCAGCAAGCCGTCATAGCTTCCAGACAAAATCCTCTCTTGGCCTTTTGAGAAGGTGGCACCAGATGCCCAGGACGCAGCGGGAGAGGTTTTCGAGAGCACATCCGTAGCACTGACCCAGTCGTCATGCTGGAAGAGGCGATATGAAGAGGAGGAATGAGGGCTCGCACATACTCAATTTCGAGGGTAGTTTCAGCCGAGATACCATTGGCAGTCAGATATTCATCGATCGAGGTTCGCAGAAAGGTTCCGTTGATCAAAAATTCGAACGGAACAGGCTTCTCGCTACCCAGGAGGTTGTTGACCAAAGTAGACAGTGCATATCGCCGAAGCCCTGTTCAAAAGAAAATGTTAGAAAACCATTGGAATTTGGTTCTATTAGACCAACATGAGGATTCTCCTACCTGTAGGAACGAGGATGGGACCGGTGCTATCAGGAAGCGCAACGTCTTCCTCCTTGCTTATAAGTTGCACACGAACCTGCCTCTGCGCCGAATCAGCAGCCGAAGTTGCTTGTTCTTCACTCATTATGGTGAGAAATTTCCAGATTAGCCGTGGTAGACTTATTCCTGGTTGCTGTCGCAAAATTCAGAGGTCTGCGCAGGTGAAGAAAAAATACGGTCACCGGTGCGGCACATCAGCGCAAAGCGCGGAGATGGCCCCGCCACCAGAGAAAGTACGCAGTACAAGCAATACAGGCCTACTCTTCTACGGACATTAATATTGACCAAATTTTTTCTAGTCTAGTCGCAAATAGTAAGTTATACAAGGATTTATCAGCCACGAGGTGCCCTCCGAATCTCTGCGATAGCCCGCCGGCGGTGGTCAGACTCTGCAAACAAGGCCTCAATCAAATCAATAACCTCCTCGGTCGAGAACTCTAGGCCCAGTTCACCCTCAAGCCACAGGAATTTGATATCAGCGAGAGAGCTTTCAAGGATGTTGATCAGGTACTGGAATCGGAGCCAGCCAGGGACATATAGAGCAGTGACGGGAAGAGCCTCCGCATCACTTGGAGTTTCGGGTTTGAACAAGGCCTCTAATTGAGAAACTTGATTGCAAAAGGAAACCAGTTGCTTGGACTGGTCTTCCGAAATGTCTCCCAGATCTTCAATGTCAAGGATTATCTTGTTAATCACTGATGACAGGAGAGATCCGATGGACTGGAGTAATGCAGAGTGCGACAGGATGGGCTGCCACTCTGTGTACACTTCCCGGATGCGATCTACAGTCGCACTGACTGCATTTTCGCACTCGGATTTGTAGGGCTGTTCGGCACATTGTCCAAACCCCTGAGCACCGTCAAGAAGATCGGTCACGATGGTGCTTTGGGTCCGCATCTCCTTGCTGTAGGCAAATTTTCCAAAATTCTCCAGAGCTTCCGCATCAGGGCTGAGCCTGGAGAGTCCATCCTGGTCCACCAATTCTCGTACACGACTCGCAAGATACATACTATCATTATACAGATACATTTGCCCCGATTTGAGCTGTAGTGAGTAGAAAGATGACGAGGTGGCCTTGAACATGGCTAAGATTAGCGTCGGTAGAGCCAACAGACCCTGGCCTGATGAAGCGACTCGAGACTTGGCATGTCTGGAGACGAATTAGTCCCAAGCTGTTCTGTAGAATATGGCTCAATATACTCACGGTGGGTTTGAAATGTCCCTAGAGTCAGATATTTGTTGCTGCACAATATTAAGGATTGAATCCGGGATGTCGGTGATGGTGTAAAGCTCTTTCAAGGTCATCTCCCTTGAAGATGCTGGCTGAGAAGTGGCCATGTCCTTTGGTGCCTCCGTTGCCGCACTGGATGAGGGTTTCATGTTCTCATCGATTTTCTCGACCTCATCGTCCTCGTCCCAACCCCAGGCATCACCGTCTTCGTCTTCGTCTCCATCATCGCCTTTAGTGGAGTTGGAGGCTTCAGGCTTTGATTCAGGCTGTTCATCCTCATCCAGCCCCCATGCACTGACGTCCTCCTCATCTTCAGCCTGGGCTGCTGCTGTACCGTCTTTCTCGTCATCCCAGTTTGCATCCCAGTCATCGGCGGTAGCGTCGGCAGCATTCTCTAGCAAGGCTTCGTCTTCTTGCGACACGTTCTCTTTCTCCACTCGTTCGACCTGTTTCGTGGTCCTTTGGCTTGCAGCAAGAGCTTTTCGCACGCTATCCAGCGAGTCAATACGACGTCGAGTTAGCCACAGCCGAGGGGCCTGGTTAACCCAAGATACAAGCTCTTCCTGACCTGTCCACCCCCATGATTCAATAGTTCTGGTGAATTGCAGCACATGTTCTAATGTAGTTTCGAAGTCGTCAAGGCCATCCAGCGTAGTTGGGATTCTGGGTGATAACCGTCCTTTTATGGTCTTAGAGGAAACGGCGGAGATGAAGGAATGCGGAAGAGTATTCAATATGGATGGTGGAAGGTTCTGCCGAAGATAGTTCAGGACATCTATCATGCGACTCAGAGTCTCCGAGACGGTGAGTTTGGAGAACTCTGGGTCCAGGCGAATCCCTGCCTCCGTAATCGTCACTACACGGCTGCAGCCGTCGGGGCGAGGCAGAAGAAAAGGGTCAATTATAGTAGCGGCCAAGTTTTTCTGGAAATTTTCACTTGCAGACTCGAGAATGCCCATCTGTAAAAACGAAGCGATTGTCTCGTCCAGCGAATTTGGACCGTCTCCGTTGACGATACGGAATTCCCCTTTAGATCCGTTTATTTGCAATTGCTGGTTCCATCGAGCGCGTAATGCTTCCTCGACCTCATTCCGACGCTTAGCCGCTTCTGCCAGGAGAATATCCATCACATTAGTGTTCGAAAACGAGGCATTCTTCGAGAGACCAGCCTGCGCAGCCTCCAGATTCTCTATGGCGATGGCGATTTGATGGCTTGCTAGTGCAGCACGTACAGCCGCTAACTGCTGGAAAAGCTGCTGGACTTCCTCCAGCGTCTCTGCCACAGCTTGGTTGAAGGCGATTTCCGTTTCGATCAGTCCCACCTTGGCGCCAGCGTCCTCCACTTTCGCTCGAAGAGGTTTTGTCTGCTCATGCTGGGCGACAATCTCACGGGCCGTGACCCTTGAGCGCTCGATGTCGGCGTGCAATTGCTTTGCTTGGATTATCCAGTCATCGGCGTCGAATGTATTCTCCCGGCTGAGTGAGCTGATCTCGGTCTACCGTGAACACTAATTAGCCAGCCGTCGGCGCCACGCCATAATCCCACTGCATAGCGGCCAAGTCCTGGTGCGCCGGGCGGTGGGGGGAGGGGGGCCATAAAGGGCTTACTTCGACCCGTTCGCGTGCTTGTGAAATGAGTTCCAACTGCTTGGCTGAGAGCTTCCGCTGGGAATTTGGCGGCGACGATCCTCTCCTCGGGGTAAGCACCGTCAGTGACAAACCCCAGCACCGCCTGGCTTATCTCCATATTTTGCGACATGGTTACGTCTGCAGCGCAGGAGCGGGGGCGCTGAAGGTGGCCTGGGACGCTGAGGGCGGAGAAGCAAACTGTCAACAAGCGGTGATTGTCCTTGGGCGTCACCGCCCCGCAGCCGCGGCGTCACTGTGCGTCGGCTACGGTTGCTTATAGGGTGACACTGGCAGCTCATGAGCTGGTTCAGCTCTCATGGTAATGCTGATGGCGAATATTACCGCTAGTAAGTACCTGCCTTAGTATGGAAGTATGCACCTGACGCTGGAATGGCTCTACCAGTTCTTTTGGTATGAGCCTCCACTCTGTAGATGTCGAACTACAGCGTGGGCGATCTAGCAGTCTCGCCAGCAGGTCTCCACTGCCTGAGTTTAGAATAAAGAGTGTCTAGCTCCAATTGAGTTGACCTTGAACGAGGTATTCTTCAGGCGGACAAAGCGCTCCCCCTGGTAGCAGCCAATCAATCAGTGATCTCGTGAGCGTCAATGCCGCTATTCACCACTATGGGGAGATAGAAGCTAGAAGATCTCCCCCAGCTCATTAAGAATAAATCAGCATGAAATAAACCAGGAGCGAGTGATTGGCCACCAACATACTGCCGTCGCTCTCCCATCGGTCGCCGCGTATAACATATACACATGCCCCGGTATAACAGCACACCGAACCTCTCTCGCTTTGTAAGGATACGGGGACCCAAACTTTTTTCCGTCTGGGTCCAGCACACGAAATCAAAACTTCAACGTGTCTCGGTTTGCTCTGCATCGCCTGAATCGAGCGCCAACGACTCGATTCCTGTAAGTTTACTCTGCATGCCCTCTCTCTCCCCTACTCATTTTGTCTTACCCCGCTCCTTGTCGCACATGCTCGCTAGAGCTTAGGATGCGTCCCTGCAGGGTCCCTCGTGGACCTTGGTCGCTCTGGTCGCTTGCTCTCCTTCCGCTGGCATCGGGCTTTCTGTGGCATCGGTGCATATCGACCCTTTCCTCTCCTTGAGTACCAGCTTCTAGGGCATTGAATTCCACCCCGCAGTGCCGAGCCATGACTTGAGCGGTTGGGACAAAGCTGCCCCTGTTGGGCCCAACACCCGCATCGTACTTGGTCCGTAAGCTAACGTACACGATAGATTGTCAAGTTTCCGGCGAGGTACATTCTCCGGTCCCTTCACTGGGCAAGCCCCCTTGACCACGATGTCGCACTTCAAACTGCTGCAACAGTTCAAGCCCGACTACTCGCCCAGCGAATTCACCGAATATGAGTCTCAACGTACCGGCATGCGGGTGGTTGTTATCGACCAAAAGGGCCCCAAGGTCAATGGGTACTTCGTGCTGGCCACTGAGATCCATGATGACTCTGGAGCTCCCCACACTCTCGAGCATCTGTGCTTCATGGGCTCTCGAAACTACCGATACAAGGGTTTCTTAGACAAGTTGGCTACTCGGGTCTACTCAAGCACCAATGCATGGACTGCGACTGACCACACAGCATACACCCTTGACGCAGCAGGCTGGGAAGGATTTGCTCGTATCTTGCCGGTCTACTTGGAACACGTCATTGCTCCAACCCTGACAGATGAAGGCTGCTATACTGAAGTGCACCACATCGATGGTGCTGGAAATGATGCTGGTGTCGTTTATTCAGAGATGCAGGGAGTTCAAAATAATGCTGCTGAGCTGATTGATCTGGCGGCTCGTCGCTTGACCTATCCTCCAGGAAATGGTTTCCGCTACGAGACTGGCGGCATGATGGAACAACTCCGAGTTTTGACTGCAGAGAGGATTCGTGAGTTCCATAGGGAGATGTATCAGCCCAAGAATTTGTGCCTGGTGATCACTGGTGAAGTGGATCAAACAAACATGCTGGATATCTTAGACAAGTTTGAAGATACTATCTTAGATGTCATACCTAGCCCGGAGGCCCCTTTCAAGCGGCCTTGGGTGGACTCTATTCAAACACCGGCTCTGAAAAAGTCTGTTATCGAGAAGATTGAATTCCCCGAGGAAGACGAGTCATTTGGTGAAATTGAGATCCGATTCTTGGGTCCAGACTGTAATGATCCAGTTCAATGTATGTATCCATTGCTCCGGGCATTTGAAAAAAGTTTACTGATTTTGTTTAATCCAGCGGGGGCTTTGAATGTGGTTCTACTATACCTGGCTGGTTCATCTGCGTCTTTATTGGAAAACGTCCTTGTTGAAAAGGAGCAGGTTACCAGCGCAGTCTATTATTCAACCGAAGAGCACCCCAACATTGAAATCCGATTCACATTGACCAGTGTTGAGACGGCGAAGCTGGAGAAGGTCGAGAAGCGCTTTTTCGAGGTTCTGAAAGATGCCATGAACAAGGACATCGACATGAAGTATGTGCAAGAATGCATTGAGCGTCAGCGTCGCACCTGGAAGTTCTCCACTGAGAACTCCGCTTCATCATTCGCAGAGTATGTTATTACGGACTTCCTATTCGGTAAGCGAGATGGCTCTACCATGCGAGACGTTGCATCCTTGCGGGAGTACGATGTGCTTGAAAAGTGGACACAAGATGACTGGCGCGGCTTCATTAACAAGTGGATCGCCGATGCCCACCACGTTACTATTTTGGGTGTCCCATCTAAAAGTTTGTCTGAAAAGCTCAAGACAGATGAAGAGACCCGAGTCGCTGCCCAGAAGGAACGTCTTGGCGAAAAGGGCTTGAAAGAGCTCGCCGACAAGCTTGAGAAGGCCAAGGCAGAGAATGACAAGGAAATTCCCCAGCATATCCTTGCTGAGTTCCGTATCCCCGGTGCCGAGTCTATTCATTTCATGGATACAGTGACTGCACGTTCAGGTGCCGCTTTGAAACTTGGCCATCCCGATCATGCAATTCAAAAGATCATCGACGGCGATGCCCAAAGAGCCGATATTTCTGCGTTTATCCACTTCGAGCATATTCCCAGCAGCTTTGTCCAGCTTTCCGTCCTCCTTTCCGCTCAATCAGTACCTATCCAGCTGCGTCCCCTTTTGTCCATCTTCACCGAGGCATACTTTAACATTCCGGTGCAGCGTGGTGGCAAGACCATCGACTTTGAGCAGGTAGTTGTAGAACTGGAGAAGGACACTGTCGGCTATGGAATGGAGAATGCTCGAGCTCTTGGAAACTCCGAGATGCTTCGTGTGACCTTCCAGGTCGAGAAGGAGAAGTACGAAACAGCCATTGCTTGGATCCAAGAGCTGACTTGGAGCTCCATTTTCGACGTGGAGAGACTGCGTGCTATCACCACTCGCTTACTTGCCGACGTGCCCGATTCCAAGCGCAGTGGTGACGATATGCTTGGTGCCGTGCACATCATGGTCAATTATGCCCAGGAATCAATCTCCCGTGCTCGGTCTACTCTCGTCAAGGCCCGCTATCTCAAGCGCGTTAAGAAGCTGCTCGCGGAAAAGCCAGAGGAGATCGTCAACCGCATGGAAGAGATCCGAAACTCCCTCTTCCAACCCGACAATGTCCGCATTGTCGTAATTGCAGACCTTGAGAAGCTCCCCAACCCAGTTTCTGCCTGGAAGCCTTTCTTCGATCGTCTTGGTAAAAGCGACGCTCTCAAGCCCATCACCGACCGCCGTGCCCTCCTCAGCGATGCTGGTAAGAACATCGGTGGTAACGCGTACATTGTGCCCATGCCCACCGTGGACTCGTCTTTCGCCTACGCTTCTGGCCGTGGCCTCGATTCCTACGACCACCCCAAGCTCCCAGCCCTGCTAGTCGCCATTGCGTACATGAATGCCGTCGAGGGCCCTCTCTGGGTCGCAGTTCGCGGGAAAGGTCTGGCCTACGGTGTCAACTTCTCCCACAACATCGACACCGGCTTCGTCAACTTCGACGTCTACCGTTCTCCCAATGCGCACAAGGCTTTCGAGGCTAGCAAGCAGATTGTTGAGGACCACCTGTCTGGTGCTTCGCCTTTCGATCCGCTCATGTTGGAGGGTGCTATTAGCAGCATTGTGGTCGGTTATGCCAACGAGCAGATGACGGCTGTCAGCGCGGCCCAGGGCAGCTTCATTCGGCAGGTTATACGTAACTTGCCATCGGATTACAAGGAGAAGATGCTGAAGCGCGTTCGTGATATCGGTGTTGAGGATGTTAAGGGTGCCCTTTCGGGAGATTATTCTTCCACTCTTCGCCCCCGAGACAGCCAACCTTGTTGTCACATGTGGTACTGTTCTGGAGGAGGTAAGTCTCTTAATTATTCGTCATGTTTTCTGGGTTACTAATATGTTTTCATGTAGCCACTCAAGACAGGCTTCGAGAGCGTTGGGTTCAAACCTGTCGTTCAGCCTCTGAAGGAATTCGAGGACGATTATGGACTGAAACTTGGCGATGATGCCGAAGACGAGGATGACGAGGATGATGATGAGGATGAAGAAGATGACGAGGAGGAGGACGACGATGATGACGAGGATGACGAAGACGACATGAAAGACTAGACATACTAGCAGATAGATATTCCCACGCAAGAAAAAGAGACTCTTCATCATATCCTGCCAGTTTATTAGGGGTGTATCAGAGTTAGGGTGTGATGTGAATGATACGTACCAATAGGTATACTAGTATACAGAGGATGAGCTAGGCCTAGAAGACCACCACTAGCTTTCAACCCTCGAAGGTTACTCACTACTGAGGTCTAGAAAAATATGATCATCATTCACGGTTTATGCGAAGGGTTATGAACAATTCCAAACAATATGCTTAATTGAGACATAATCTGACACTCTCTAGGATCCGAGAGACGACAGTCCTATATGATACAAGGCCGTGCTAGAGGTCATACACTCCCTCTTTATCTCCAACTTAACATCTGATGCCTGGAAGCCCTTCTTGCCCCAGCGCACACCACTTGGCCCTCCATGTACATCGCAACAGCCAATGCAGGCTTGGGGATCCCCAATCCAGTCTCTCCCTTAGAGCATTCACCAGCTTAAGTACTTCCGGCCCTTTTGGCGCCGATACGAAAGGGTCTGGCGGCCCTTGGTGGTCTTACTGCGAGCCAGGAACCCAGATCGCCGCTTCTGAACGCGCCGCGAAGGGACATAAGTGGAGCGGCGGACACCGAGTGAAGCAGAGGCAGAGAACGAGCGGGCCTGCGATTGCGATGCCAGTAGAGACGGGACTGACGCAGATGGAGTGACTGTCTGTGGTGATGGAAGACGGGAGATCGCGTGCAGGTTTGGGCGGTTGGGCGTGGAGAGGAGAGAGAATGGTCGAGAGGCGAGCAGTGATGACGGTGTATGTTTTGGCTGTGCCGCTAATTGGGGGATACTACATCCAGGTTAATGAGTAAGGGCTGACTTTTTGGCTTGGTCCGTGGGATAGAGAGGTGTTGGCGTACCTGTTCATTTGGACTCGAGTACTTGACACAGCGCTCCGTAGGGTGGGCAGCGCCCTGCAGCGGAGACACAGCATTCTGTGATATCGTGGACCCTGGGAGGGGCAATCAGATAGATGTGGGTGGAGAGGTGAAGTATGGGGAGGGAATTCGAGATATCGGCGATGCGCGGTGTCGAAGGCGTCGAAAGAGAATTAAGCGCGGAGCCGCAGGCACGGACCCGCATCGAGAGAGACTTCAGGTCTTTTGGCCGTCACGTTCGAGTGGTAGACCAGTATCGGCTGAAATAGTACGTGCCTCGATTTCTCTCTGTTTTATTCCTATATAATTCGGTATTGACAAACCTACTGCGGGCCTATTTGTGCAATGCGCGACAGCATCTAGATAGAGACGATTTCCTAATCGAGCCTAGCGCCAGTGAACTTTTTTTCCAATTGCGATGCGCCGAACTACATTTCCAATCTCTCCCAAGTCTGCTGGGGATTTCTCTGTTTAACCAGCAATCCGTCTTCTTTTGCTCCGAGCGCCTGATAAATAGTCCCTTTCAGTCTCTCTTATATCAGTTTTCACCAGTCATCTACACACCGAAAACCTCAAGATGGCCCATCACGGCCCCTCTGCCCTACCGCCAACAACGGTGCTCAGCACTCAGACGATCAGCCAATCGGCCGCCCATGAATTCCTTGCCGCATACCTCGACCGTGCCACAAATGATCCCAGTCTCCAGCCCAATGCCACTATCAGCGAGACAGGTCCCGTATCTCGGACAACGGCCGCCGCACCCAACCTGACCCTCCACAACCTGAAGCGTGTGCAAGCTGGTCTCGCAGGCGAGTTTCTCGGTCGCGACTTGACCGTTGCAAAGCAGAATCCCGGTGAAGACTACCTGGATATTGCAGCCGGTGTCGTGCCCGGAAGCAACCAAGAGAACGAGGGTGACGAGAACGATGTGCAGATGAAGGAATCCGGCTTCGAGGGCGAGGCGGAGGCCTTCGAGGACCAAGAGGCTCAGCAAGCTTCTCTCGACAAGGAAGAGCGAAAGAGAAAGAAGAAGGAGCGGCGTGCAGCGGAGAAGAAGGCCAAGGCCAAGAAGGCGAATGATTCGGAGTGATGCGACCTGTTCCATGCTTTTTCGCGAGCTGTAGGCGTTGTTGCATTGGGATGGCGTTTTTGTTACTCCTTTCTTCTTGTCCTTTTCTACTTTGGATACCCTGCCTACTTGGAATGCCCATATGGGTCTAGGTCTGGACCAATACCGTTCTTTCACACTTTGGATATAAGTGCAATGCAAGTAAATAAAAAGTGATTGGCTCATTCCAACACATTGCTAGACGAACAAGCTATTTTGGCTCGAGCCATTCTTGTCATCTATCGCCGTTTCAAGCAAAACCTCACATGACTAAACATAAGATCAGTTCCGGCAAATTCATAGCCACCTTTGAAGTCTAAAGTTCCCGGTCTCCGGCCTTGACAGGTGTGGCGCTGTCCTCATCCTTCAGGTCCGTGACCTTGCCCCCCTTCCAGCCAAGAGCACCCAGGCGCTCTGTGAGGATGGGGTGTGAGAAGTGGTAGCTAGCATACATCCAGTCAGCATCCATGGTGCTGAGGTTCTGGATCTGCAGCTTCAGAAGTGAGGATGCGAGCTCGGCGAGTATCCCAGACCTTGAGCAAAAGCATCTAAGGCACAAAATTAGTATAATTTCGCCAATATCTCAAGATAGAAACATACCAGCTTCGAACTCGAACTTGCGGCTAAGAATGTTCATAAGGAGCTTAACAATGGCATCCATAGGGGCCAGAGCATCGGAAAAAAGGAGGAATCCAATCATGATAGGCTGTTCCTTGATGAAGCCGAAAGACTGATAGAGCGACTTGTTGTTGACGAAGACCGAGAATAAGGCGAAGATATAGAACATGTGGAACTAATACAACTTATTAGCGAACCAACTTGAATAACCTCGTTGAATGGCGCTCATCGTACCTGTGCAATGCCGAAAAGCTTGGTAGTGTGGTTCAATTTCCAGTGACCAAGCTCGTGGCTGAGCACAGCAACAACCTCCTGAGGCTCACTCTTCTCCAAGAGAGTATCATAGATGACAATGTGCTTCTTCCAAGGGAGACCGTAGAAGTAAGCATTGCTGTGAGCGCTGCGCTTGCTACCATCGATGACATGCAGTTCGGACAGAGGGAATTCCAGCTTCTTAGATAAGTTCTCAACACCAGTCTTGATGTCGCCGGGTTCTAGAGGAGACAGCTTGTTGAAAAGAGGGAGGATAACGATCGGGTAGATAGTGATGGCGAAGACCTGGACGAAGATACCAAAGAGCCACAAGTAGTAGAAGAAGCCATTGCCGGTTTTTTGGATGATCTTGAGGACAGCACTGATGATCGGGGCTCCGAGCACGATTCCCAGGAACTGGCCCTTGATCATATCCGAAACCCAGAGGCCAAGAGTCTGCTTGTTGAAACCAAACTTCTCTTCCAAAACAAAGGTGTTGTAATAGGAAATTGGAAGCGAGAGGACCGTTGAGATGATGTTGAAACCGAAGAGGAAGAGAAGCGTCTGGGAAATTTCGCCTTGGAATTGGCTTGGAAGGTACCGAGCTAGGAGAAAGCCACTGACTCCCCACAGCTTTGGGAGCACATCACCGTAGATAAAAGCGAGATTCTGGATTTGGCCATATAGACCCGAGATAAAACTGAACTTGGACTTGGCGCGACCGTATGCCTTGACATAGCGTCAGTAGGCTGCATACCACCTGTTCAGCTAATCCTCATACCTGACTCTGGTCGTAGACCTTCTGCGAAACTTCGTTGGCAAGGACCTTGGGAGGGGTCTTTTGCTGAAGAACCCTATACTGCCGGAATGAAAGAATGCCTTCAAGGACAAACTGGCCGAGTGAGAATCCCACCAGCACGTTCTTCCATGGGAAGAGCGGCCGGTCGAGGATACGCGCAAGTTGCTGTACGACAAGTAAATAAGAAGCTTCAAAGGGAAATAGTCAGGGGGCAGGAGGTATTTGAAGAGATTAACTCCATTTAAACCTACCTCAAGAATCCACATGTTACAATGCGCAACGATGCGGAAAGAAGGATATGTAACTGGAGCTCGTTCCACGGTGTTGTTATTGCCCCCCGCGGGCCTGGGGAGCCTTAGTCAGACTGGTCAGGTTGCCCTCGGGCGGCTCAATGTGGTCGGAAAGGCTACTTGTACTTTAATCAATACTTGAAGGTGTGAAGAAAAGACTGATTGTAATACGAGCGTTTTTGTTTTGTTTTTGTTTTTTTTGCTAGCCCTCCTAACAAGTTTCCATACATACATAGTAGGACTGGTAAATCAAAAGATGAGTGGGGTGAGATGAAAATGCGTTAAGAACTTCTATAAGGTGGATGTTTGCGCGTACATTCAAATATATGCCGCGTCAAGAGACACCAATTGGCTGCACGCATTCTAGCTGAAAGACTAGTATTGCCCCATCCATTGATCTATGGATGAATCCTTCAAGTTCAATTTGTCACTTGAACCCGAACCTTTGGAAGCTCCAAGAATCAATCCTTCAAGGTTTACAGGCGATCCGTGGAAAGTAAAATAGATCATTCAATAGATTTTTCTTTTCCTCTACCCCTTTGGGATCTATACCGATTTACATAGGGCTTATCCATGCACATGAAAGACGAATAGAAACAAGTGTTACTTCTTCACAACTCCCTCGGAAACAAAAGAAAAATATCCATGGATAATCGCCCCTCGTCTTCATCGACGTTATTCATACCCCAAACATTCATCATTGAAACAGGCTTCGAAATTCTACCAGCTTACCCTGATACGGGGTTCACGGTATGTGCAGGTGTGTACTAGACCAAGATGACAGAGTAGGAAAGACGTTTCCTCTCTATCCAGCAGGGGAATCTTGACATCATGCTTTCACTTTTTTTTGTTGACTCATCGTGATCGTAAACTTTTGCGACTCATCGCAAAACGTGAGCCCCGAGAACAAGCTCGAAAATCTACTAGGAGCATGAGCACGTCGGCTCTTCCGTAATTGGCTCACGTGATAGCGGACTTTCTATCCTTGACCCCGGGGTGGACTTCATTCGAATAGGGTCGATCTAGGACTGAATAGGCTCCACGGTGTTTCCGCTACAATCAATATATTAGCTTCAGAATTTCAATATGACAGAAGGCATCGAAGGTGAACTTACGCCACGATGTTGGCCCATCCGATCAAACGCCAGTGCTTCATTGTGTTAGCCGCTTGTGCCTAATTGAAGTAGTGTACGGACACTTACCTTGTCGACTCTCCGTGAGATGGCGATCTTTTCGTTGATCTCAGTGCATGCAGGGCTGGTCAGGCTGAGCTTGGCAGCATCAGCCTTGACACCTAGAACCTTGGCACCAGTGGCAGTACTGCCGATGTTCACCATGAGAACCTCGTTCTTAGCAAGCTTGGCGACCTTAGCTTGCTTTCCATCAGCGGTCTTGACACCGAGGAGGCGACGGAGCAAGAAGTAGTTGACTTCGATCTCGTTGTAGATAGCAGGGAGACGGCCACGGTGACCAAGCACGAAACCAACCAGACGGTCGGCTATATGGCGATATTAGCGTCTATTAATGATAATTCATCGAAAGGCAAACAAACCTCGGCAAAGAGTAGGATCAATTCGAGTTCCCACACCAATAAGGCTGCAAATACATTAGCATTATGTCGGAGACTCAAAGGGCTCAATGGGACGAATGAAACATACCCTCCAGGAACAGCAAGCTTGAGGGGGTTCTGTTCAGCAAACAGCGATTCGATCTTGCTCATGATGGGTCGGCACTGAATGTTTCTGTTTGCGCCAAGTTGTTAATTAAGTACTCGAGGAAAAAATACTGATATTTCGAAGTGACCCACCCGCTCTCGTCCTTGGTGACCAGACCGGGGCGAATCTCGATCTCGTCGCCCTCCTTGATAACACCGTTGAGGATAGATCCACCAGCAACGCCTCCCTTGAGCTCTTCCTAAGCGGGCATTAGTTCGGAACATGATCCATCATTAAGGTAAATGTATCATACAATCTCGGCACCGGGCTTGTTGACATCGAATGAACGAATGATCTTGAGGAGACGAGTATTAGTAAGAGAACAAGATATAGTCGACACAAGGGCTATGCCCGGCAGTAAAAGGATGCCTGGGGTGTCCATACCATCATGTGGGGAGAAGCCTCGAAGTTGCGCAAAGGAACAGGGATACGGGAGATAAGAGCTTCACAGACGGCATCAATGTTGTACTTCAACTGAGCAGAAATAGGAATAATCGGGCTGTTATCGGCCACGGTACCACGGATGAACTTGAGAATCGACTGATAGTGCTGCAAGGCGTTGTCCTCACGCATCAGGTCGACCTTGTTCTGCAGAATAACAATGTGCTCGAGCTTCATGATCTCGATAGCAGCCAAGTGCTCTGAAGTTTGGGGCTGGGGGCAGGTTTCGTTTCCGGCGATCAAAAGCAAAGCGGCGTCCATGACCGCAGCGCCTGACAACATGGTGCTCATCAGAATATCGTGCCCAGGGCAATCGACGAAAGAGACATGACGCTCCAGGCGGTATTTTCCACTGCAGCCCTCCCGCTCGCAAGGCGGGTCAACCTCCTTCTCACTGCCATAACTCCTGTAGCAAGTTGGACGAGGGCATTCGGGGTTGTCACACTTGTAAATCTTGGCGTTGGCGTAACCGAGCTTGATTGTAATGTTGCGCTCTAATTCGTTCTTGAAGCGAACTGTCTGGACTGTGGAGAGAGCCTTGACAACGGTACCTATTGATCAGTCCGTTAGATATAACCCTGCGCAAGGTAAATGGAGTAAAAAAGACAAAACATACTTTTCCCGTGAGCGACGTGTCCGATGGTACCGATATTGATAGTGGCTTGACGGGCAATGATTTCGGGCGACAGAGGAGTCAACTTTGACAGATCGACAGTGGAGGGCTCGGGCTGCTCAGGGAGCTCAGGGCGCTTCTTCTCAAGCACAGGAGGAGCGGACTTCTTCATAGCTGATTTGAGGGGCTTGTCCAAAGGTTCCTGATCATCGAAGTCTTGAGCATTGTTGCCATCAAGAATAGGCGAGCCGGGTTGGCTCTCGTCGGAGAAATCCCCCATTCGCAGCCATAATGTGAAATTCGGACCTTGAGGACGCAGCAATAGGACGGTTTGATTCTCGGGTTAATCGAGAGGAAAGGGATGTGGTGGGGGTGGAAGGTGGAGAGTCGAAGAGCCGGATGAAAATTGCGTGGGCGATACTGACGGAGAAATGTAATGGTGGGGTCTTTGTGCAGTGGAGTGCGAGAGCGGTGTCTGCCATTGCCCCCGTCCGCCTGGACCAATACTTGCAACTCATACTACAAACATACTACACGAGGATTCGTTACTATACATCTGATTCTCTAAATGAAGTATTAGTTGAAGGAAATACATGCTAAAAGTACTAAGGCGCGCGGAATTTATGGTGGTTTCTGGGCAATAGTATAATTGTCTGTCGCGAAGTTAGCATGAGTCATTCATGCAGAACCTTCTTCTTGTCTGGTCTCGAACTGGAAAGGGCTATACACTCGTTATACTACGAGAAGAAGCCAGTAAAGGACTATTAAAAATAGAGAACGATAACGTGATTATTTGCGCTATGCGAAGCTTTTGGGAGTTTTCATGGGTACATCATTCTAACTTTACATTGGGTATAAGTGCCTGGCGTCAGGGTTCACTCCTCGTCGCTATCATCACTCTCTTCCTCCTCCTCCTCCTCTGAGTCTGACTCTAGTAGCGTAGCTGGATCTTCGGCAGGCAACATGATGAAAGAAGCCAGACATGTGATTCGGTTACCAGTCTCGTATGAGGTCAAAACATCGCCTACTTGGTGAGTCTCTTTGCCCTCAGATGCCAGAGTAAGGTCTTTGCCGGTAACTCTCCAAATGCGCACCACGCCGTCGCTATTACCCGTAACAATCAAGAATCCATCCCGCAGCTCCTTCGCTTGATTTTCCAAGCTCAAGATCTCGAAATCCTTGATTCGTCCCGGGAAGCCGGCCTGCTTGCCGCCAATCTGAGAAACCGGAGTGGCATGAGGAATAGCGGAATCGGCATTTTCTTCTAGCTCTTGGGTCTTTTCCGTTGAGTAGAAGATGAGACGCCCATCCTCAGTGGAAATGGCTAGAAGATCAGTTTTCTGACTGTCTATTCCAGGGACAGAAATATACTTCATCTGATGAATCTTGCTTCTGGGAGCTGGCACGGCTCGACATTTAGGCGTAGAATCAATTCCAAACACCACCGCGCCCCATTCAAAGGCGACAGCAAACTCTTCTCCAGCCGCGTTCCATGCAATGCGACGCCCCTCGCCAGAGCTCCACTTATTCTCATTGACACTGGTTAACAATTCACGGTCAAAGTTCAGCACTCCTGCCTTTTTTCCAGTTACCAAGTTCCACAGTCTCATGCACTTCTCGCCCTTCCCAACGCTCAACATCAGTTTCATACTTGGGTGGACCGCAAAGTGATTGACACCTGATGGCGCTGCTCCTGGGGGCGCAGTATCACCGCTCGGGCGACCATACACCTTGGGATGTGGGGCTTTGATCGTTGAAACCACTGTCCAGTCACGAGTCTTTGATACAGAAATGGTGTTATCTTCGGCTGCGGCCAGAAGCTTGCTGCGTGAAGGAAAGTTCAAAGCGGATATACTGGCGGAATGGTGCAATAGTGAACCCAACTCGCGGTTTCTGGGGTTCTCAAGGATCTTATTTCCAGCCAACGTGGGGACAGAAGGGAAGTCGTCATTGTTTGCAGGCGGGGCAGCTGAGATAGAGTACAGATTGATGCGCTCATCTGTGGCACCGCTGGCCAAAATGACTTTTTGAGCATCAGCAGTGTCGGTAGGTCTGGGCATGGGCGACAGTGCAAGGCAGCGGATAGCAGATCCGTGGGCCTCGAAGAGAAAGGTATCGATACATTGAATGGGCGAGGCCGAGTCCTTGGAGGGAATTTGTTTTGCTTTCAAGGCAGATGCAGGAATCCCCGCTGTGAAACCATGCAACACACGCTCATAGGAACCAGTGATCACTTGGACCGTTAGAGCTGCATCGGGGGTTTGGGAGGGCGTATCAATAGATTTGACGGCCTTAGACGGAGATTGGATGGCAACGTCCTCCTTGGGAGGGTCATTCCTCTTGCGTTTAGCCATTGCAGATTCGCTGCTGCTGATGGGATGAGTATTCAATGTTAAAGAAAAGCCCGAGCTGGGAACCTCGATAACTATTTTTTCCGTCGTTATCGATAAAGGACTTTACCTTAATGCCTGAATTGACAGGCCTGAAAATATTTCCTAAGGTGTTAAGGTGTCGGCACGCAAACAGGCCAAACGCAACGGGACAGAACAGAACATCCAACAAGAATGCGGCAGGGGATTTGAAAATTACCCTCCTTTTCCGTTGCGGATACATAGTACATACAGGTCCCAGAAATCTTTATTTTACCATGTGTCTCACGCTCATTGCTTGAAAGACCGCTGTTGGAGTTTCATAGTGCATCTGCATTAGGAGAAAGTTTTGCCCTGAGAATCCACTCTGGGATAGCAGATAGATTAGCGACTAGCTGCACAGCTTGCTAGAATCTATATATTTTCTATAGACTTCCCTATGGTCATCATTCCTGGGAGAAATGACTGCTGGTGGTGGCCGGCTTGGGTGTAATATTACGGTACGGTACTGTCTCCTTCCACCACTTCGACTTGCGATTCCCTTTTTTCCCGTGCCAACCCGTAACTGAAAAGTCCTCCCTTCCCTGCCATCCATCGCTTCACGCGACCCCCCCACCCCTTTTTCATCATTCGAAGCGATTTTTCCGTTCTGAATGACCCTGGTCGTCCCTTTCCCTTTCTCCCCGTGTTAATCGGATGCTGTGTTCCCGAGATAGACCTCATGCTCCGCGACGAGCTTCTCCGGTCTAAGAACGATGAGATCGCGTGAGCATTAATTATCAAAACCTGCTCGACGCGATTCTGGCGAGCTCGGTGATGTCGTGGATACTAATATTGGCCCAGAAACTGTGTGTCGTCGCGCAAGCGAAAACTGACCGAGTTGTATTATGCGACCGTGGGTATTGAGGCCGCGACCGCTGATTCCCTCTACCCTCAAAAAGAAGCAACGTTTCTCGACGCCAACGATATCGAGAAGTAAGTACCATTTCCGTAAAACTTCTTCAGGATTTTTTTTTCTTTTTTTTATTCACAGCAATTTCTTTTCCACCTCAAATTACAAATTACTAATTCCCCACGCAGAGGTCGTTACTTCGACGAAGCTACTTTACCGTTGCCCGCGCATGCGCAAGCGCGAACCTCACCCTCAAAACCTGTCGCGTCTACAGCGCCCGGTCCAACAAAGTCGCAATCGGCCGCTGGTGCCATATTACCGCCAAAATTAGACAGAGACGCCGTCTCAGTTTCTACAGGACCTATCGTAGCGACTCCCACGACCCAGCCAGGAGCCGCAAAGCCGGCTGTCGCACCAGCCCCAGCATTATCAAACGTACCTTCTGTACCGGCATCGAGTCTCGGAGCTACACAGGAACCTGAAGCTCCCGTTCCTGCCGTATCAGCCACGGGTGCCGACCCAAGTGCATCGGTATTAGATACGCCCCTCAGCGCGAAAGGGCACGATGGAGCAGAGGTCAGGTTCTCAAGCGTGAAGCCTAATGCATCGAATGCAACAACCTCTCTGGATATCCCTACCGCCTCCACTCGGAGGAAATCTGAGAGTCGCCCATCTCTTACTATAGGCGCTTCTAACCCAGAACAGCCGCTTTCTCCCGCTTCTTCCATCGATCCTTATTCTAATAACACCCCCGCTCCCGTTACTGCTTCACCTGTTACAAGCCCCGGAGAGGAAACTACCGAAGTTGCGAAGAGTGGCCGCCTGAGCCCGAATCATGATCGATCAATACATACTCGTTCAGGTCTGGTTCCATCAACTCCCGACGAACAATTGCTGTTGGAGGAGGCGCAATCAATGCGACAGGCCCAAGATGCGAAGGCCAGCGGGCCATCGTCAAATGAAGTGATCCAGGAGAAGGCAACGCCAAGTAAAGATGGAATGGAGATTGATGAAACACCTGCGGCTGGACCTTCGGAAACCAAAAATATCAATGGCACAGCCGCTCAAGGAGGGGATGCGTCGCCCACTGAGAAAGTACCGGATGGGACAACATCTAATGAAGTCGAAACACCGAATAAGAAGTTGGTTTCGAATCCTCCCACTCCGCTCGGATCTTCTCAGCCAGAGCGTATGACTACCAGAGTCTCATCTGGAGCTATTCGCCACAAATCAGTGTCAGAAATACTTGGGGAAACGCCAAGAACATCCCACTCAGCTACAGAGCAGGATTCGCCGGATAGTGTGGCCCGCATGCGTTTCAAGGATCGCAAGGATCGCGAGAAGGAAAGAACCAGGTTGTCGACGGTTGTGTTCCCTAAACAAGCGACTTCACTCCAAGATAAGGCAGATTCACATGATTTTATTCACCGTGAATCAGCCGACGTGGTGGCTCAAGTGAATGAGGAGCAGGACTACCTCTTCACTCTATTCTTAAACAGAGCCTTCGCTCCGCCGCGAGGCATGAATATCAGCACCCTCCTCACTTCTGCTCACAAGACATTGAGCACCGCAAATCACCTTCTCGAGTACCAAGAATCCATGGATTGCCGTACGCTACGCCGGATTTACGCCCTTCAGAACGCTAATAGGTGGCCTCTCCGACAAATGAAGCGAGCGCCGGAACCTGCCCGCCAGGCCACACATTGGGATATTCTGCTAGACCACATGAAATGGATGCGGACTGATTTTCGTGAGGAACGAAAATGGAAGATTGCTGCCGCCAAAAGCTGTGCGGACTGGTGCGCTGAGTACGTTAATAGTGATGAAGAGCACCGTGCTCTCCTTCGTGTCAGTGTGAAGGCTCCGCCAATTCAGACCGGTCGTGTGCAAGATGACATCAAAATGGGAATACCATCCCCATCGGAAGACGCTGTGGACGACCCATTCCCTGTCTCTCACCCAACACCCGACCTTGTTCCTTCGGCTGAGGAGGAGTCAATCAGTGATGGGTATCATGATGAGCCACGCCACGATATCATCCACGATACCGTTGCTCCCGCAGCAATCTTTTCATTGGGGTCTGATGAGTTTAGTTTCTCTGTTGACATGACACCCGCGACTGAAAAACTCCTTGACGAGCTTCCTATCTATGAACCCGTCCGGCTCTCACATGAGACCAAGCAGCCAATGTTCAAGCAATTGCCGGATTCAGTCTGGAAGACAGAGCTTCTTCCTGTCTCCAAATTTGCCACGACTAAAATCACCTTTCACAAAGATGAAATTCCATGCAAACGAACTCGGTATGATTATTCTCAGTACGGCGCTGAGATTGAACACGGGCTCGCAGATATTCCACCAGAGCAAACTAATGTCGCGTTGTTTCGGCCTGAAAATAAGCCCATCCGTGACCGAATTCACCCTGGGCATACTTTCAGACCCCCAACTGAACACCCCATGCCCACAGTTGGGTTCTTCGAATCGCGGCAGTCTTCGCAGTGGACGATGGCTGAGGATGATGAACTTCGTCGCTTGGTCAAGGAGTATTCATACAACTGGTCTCTCATCTCCAGTTGTTTGACATCCCCATCTATCTTTACCTCTGGTGCCGAAAGAAGAACTCCTTGGGAATGCTTTGAACGTTGGGTTGGACTAGAAGGGCTACCGGCTGATATGTCCAAGACCCAATACTTTCGTGCATACCACCAAAGACTTGAAACAGCCCAGCGCACTGTCCTTGCACAACAACAGGCTGCCCAGCAACAGCAACAACAACAAGCCAACAACGGTCAACCCCAGCAGCCCATACGCCGGAGGACAACTCAACCTCTGCGCGTGGATAGGAGGAGGTCCTCTCGGCATCTTGCTCTACTTGACGCCATGCGTAAGCTGGCCAAGAAGCGAGAAACAATGTTGCAAAAACAACAGCATGCTTCTCACCTAGCGTCGCTTAGGAAGGCCAACGAGGCGAATCAGCCCAAACCTCCTATCACAACTCCGGCAGAGTTTAGTCGCTTGAAATATGACCGTGAAATGAAGTTGGCCGAAAGGCAAGAGCAGTACCGGCAACAGATGATTGCTCAGCAGCGAGCTAGCCTTGCAGCTCAGCGTGGTCAGGTACAAAACCAACCGCAGACACAACAAGCACAAACGCCACAGCAGACAACACAGCTGCAGCAAGCGCAACAACCGCAGCAGCCAATGATAAATTCGCAAGCTCGTCCGAATAACATGACCCCGAATTCTGGGAATGCAGCCTTGTCTAATGGCACGCCAAATGGGATCTCGGCTGGGTTACCGCAAGGTACTACAGGTGTGAACCAAGGACGGACCCAGGCCATGCAGGGAATGCCCGCTGGTGCGGCTCCTGTCAATGGTCAGATGGCGTCCAATATGCCTATGAAAATGATGCCCCAGGGACAGATGCAGCAATCGGTGGGTGCCAGACCTGGCATGCCAATGCAGGCATCCCCAGACAATGCTCGCGTGATGCGAGAGGCCAATCGCTTACAAGAGCAACAGAGGATGCTGCAATCTCGTCAACAACAAGTTCCTCAACAAGGCCAACAGCAGTTCCAGAACCAGCAATTCACCGCTCAGGGATCGCACTCTCCCAATCTCAACATGGCAAATGTGAATGGTCCCAGTAATCCTGCAATGATGGCTGCGATGCAGACCCAAGGTGGAATGCAAAGTCCTTCATTTCAAGGCACTTCTCAAGGGGTTTCAACGCCGTCTCCTCGCATGGGTCAGCCGAATCCTCTATCAAGCGGCATGGTTCCGACAATCAGCAACTACCAAAGTCAGATCCAACGCGCCAATCCTAACCTGCCTGCGGAGCAAGTCAACAAACTCGCTACGGACCGTCTCATGCAACATCAGCAGCAGCGCATGTCGCAACAAGCGGCTATCAATGCGGCCGCTGGTAGTATGAATAATACCCAAGCGAGTTACCAGGTGCCCCATGAAGGGAACTTCCAGGCTCCTCAGCAGCCCGCGATACCCAACGGCAACTCAGCAATGCAGGTTCCCCAGAACCAGGGCTTCTCTCCTATGATGCGAGTTCCTCAAAACAACCCCCAGAACCGAGTGGCCCCTACCAGTTCGCCTGCTATGAATGGTGCCGGGCCTCAAAACAGCCGCAGCGCAACTCCTCAGGCGCAGCGTAGTGGCAGTGCTCAAGCTGGCGCGGTCCAAGCCGCAAACAAAAGCCCCCATCCACCGGCTGCCCAAACGGCGACAAGTTAAAGCTCCGCATGGCAGCTGCTATTACGCCTTAATACCTCCATGCACCTACCTCATCCTTCTCCCCTGTACATATTGACATCTTCACACCCCAAGTACTTTGATTTAGTGACACTTCCTCTTCTACTTTCTATCTGCGTTGGTGGTCTGGGATCTGGCGTCTACCTCGCTTTTTATTCCCCATTTTTTACCACCTTTATGACTTTCCCCGACTCGCGTCATGTTCGATGTCCAGACCCTGAGCGTTCATCAATATCACGGAGCAGTAGTGTCTCTGGCTCCTATGTACCAGTGATACGATCTTCAAAGAGTTGGGCATGTATTATTCTTGGGACGGCAAAACCTCTCGGTCGGCGTTAAGAACCCAAGAATTAACGAACATGAAATGTATGATTAGTTTTTAAGACATTCCCAAATGACCTTGGCTCTTCGTCGAGAGTAGTTCCTTTGTGCGATAATTTCCCTTTTGCCAGTGGTAATATTCATCGTCTCACAGCACCAACAATTAGGCTCGACCAATCTAGATGCAAGCTAAGCGTAACCGCGCGCCTACGTCCGCTTTTGCCACCGCCCAAGCTCAGGCGCTCATCGAATCTTTTGACTCGAACTTCTACAAACCAAAAATCTCACTTCACTTTCTTGTACAGCTACTCCACTGTCATGTCTTCATCTGGAGGCCCTGGCGACCCGAGCCATGGCCCTTCAAAGCCATTCTCCCTCTCTTCCAAACAGAACGGCGCGTCCTCAGGTAAAACCGCGTTCAACTTCCAATCCAGCCGCAGTCGTCAAGACTCTCAGAACCGCTCCCTCCCACGTCCCCATCAATTTGGCCATGACGATGATTCCGATGAAGAAGATAAGGCTCCTGTCCATGAAGCGGTTGCCGGCTTCGATACTCATACGGGGGGCGCCATTACTGCCGACGGCAAAGCAGTGGCCGAAAAAGGCCCACTAGTGATCACGGTTGCGAGCAAGAATAACTGGCGCGACAGAGCAGGCACAAATATGAAGAGGGGGAAGAAAAATCTTCTGCCGAAAGAGGTGCAAGCCATGCGGGAAGCTGAGCGGAATGGTCAATCCTACGGAGACAATGTTGAGGTCGAAGGGCCAAGTATGGCCTATGGTCTAAGCTTTGCGAAGAAAGAGAAAGGGCCTGATGGAAAGGACCAAGACCAGCCGATGGCTGACGCAAGGCCGGATGTCGAGGCTCCGGAGCCAACGAAGCCGCTCACGGAGGACGAACTCGCGATACGGGAATTGATCCGGGAGACTAATGGGGAGGTGGAGCGAAGAACGGATCTCGTGATCGGGCCATCAAACAGAGGAGATGGAGAGACCCCTCGATATGACGAGACAAGCTCTTTCAGAATGGACTTTGAGACTCGTCCGGAATCTGCGACGCTGGATCAGTACAATGCTATTCCCGTGGAAGAATTCGGTGCCGCGCTTCTCCGAGGTATGGGATGGAAAGATGGTCAGTCCGCTGGCCGTGGTAACTATGGCTCGGAGAAGGGCGTTAAGAAGCCTGTTGTACCACGGCGCCCAGGTTTTCTGGGTATTGGAGCGAAGGATTCTTCGGGAGGCAAGGGTGCCGAAACCGAGCTTGGGGCCTGGGGAAAATCGGCTATGCGCAAGGCGTCTAGGAAACAGGGCGGGGAGGGTTCCAAAGGCCCCGATACCGAAGGTGTCTACTTGCCTGTGATGATGCGAAGCAAGACCACTGGAGAGTACATCACCGAGGAAGAGCTAGCAGACATGAAGAAGAAAGCTGCTGCCCAACCTGATAAAGACGAATGGCGTGAGCGGAGAGACCGAAACTTAGAGAAGAGCGGTCGAGATCAAGATCGTGAATACCGTAATCGAGACTACCATGGAGATGATCGTGATGATCGGAGGAGTGGCTCTTCACGTCGTGACCGGAGTCGATCCAGCGGCCGTCATTCTTCCCGGCGTTCCCGCTATGATGATGACGACGATCGTCGAAGAGATGATCGTCGGGACAGAGACAGGGATCATCGACGAGATCGCAACAGCGAAAAAGATTATCGGAGGGACAGCGATCGTGATCGTCGGCATAGAGATGACCCATACAGCAGTTCACGACACTCATCGGGCTCTTCACGACATGATCGGCATGACCGAGACCGCTACTCCCACCGCAGCCGGCGAGAAGATTGAACATTGAAACAAGCAGATCGTGGTCTGTCTTAGAACCATGTACTCGACGACGCGAATACCTAAAGTTTTGCAATAATGATTACTCGCGCATGATACCCTTGCTTCTAGTGTAGGCTAGTCAGCTCTTGAAGATAAAGAGGACTCGGTCCCGAGGCATATGAAATCAAATCCATTTCTATGAAAAATAAAGATGGCTGTTGTTCAAGTTTGATCCATTCCCACAAAACTCCCACATAACAAGCGCCGATGGATATACAAATGCATCCTACCTTTCACCCAGAGCACGTGGACGAATACAAATACTAGCTTTCAAGCATGATAACGTCTTTCTCATGCTCGGCAACATTACCATTGACTTCATCCCCATCCAGGTCCAGACTCATCATTCCGCCAAGTCCGACACCACCATCCATTTCTCCAAGAACCCACTCAACGAGATAAGAATCATCAGAAAGCTCTTCAACACGCTTGTAGTGGCGCTCTGTATACGCAGCAAGAGCAGCCAGTATATCCTTCAAACCCGCTGCAGCACGTCCATTCTTACCACCACGCACAGACTGCGTTGCCAGCTCAACAAACGTAGAAGCAGGATACGAGCGGAATAGGGCATAGAGAATACGCTGAGCAACCCGCGAATTGCGCGCATTGGTATTCCAGTCCCGGAGGCGGAGTAATAGGGTGCGCAAATTCGCTGGGTCAAGCGACTGTAGAACCTCATCGATAGAGGGATTGCCGGTCAGACTGTCCACTGCACGCTCCCGATCCTCGGTCGAGAGAGTTGGATCGTCGGCAGCATCGATAGCGGAAGAGAAGAGCGAGAGAAGGCGGCCAGGATGATTTAGTTGTAAAGCGAGGGTGATGGCTTCACGGTACGCGCCGGCACGGATGTAGTTTTGTAGCCGCTGATCTTGCTCAACACGCTCGGAGGTAGCGTTGACTGCAGCGGTATAAGTGGCGGATGTGGTGTCAGTCCAGAGAGTGACAGTGGAATCTGCGGCACCAGATGCAAGGGCGAAAGGTGTGGTATTGAGTTTGGTAGAAGTGGTCTTAATGTCGGAGCGGGAACCGGATGGTGTAGGGGTGGCGAGTGCCCAGACCCGATCTTCGTGGTTATCAAGTGTCGCCTCACATTCACCATGGGTACCCCAGATCTTGACAAGGCCGTCTGCAGCAGCCGAAGCAATGAGAGGCTTTGTTTGGATAGCATTCTTGGGTGAATTGGTTTCTTCATCTTCATCATCATCGCTAGACTGGCCCTTGGAGATTTGAGATGGCGGAAGCCAGACAACCTTCAGGACAGAGTTAACGTGCCCCTCAAATGTCATTAGGCAGCTGTAATCAGCAAGACTCCAGAGCTTCACAGTCTTATCACCAGAGCCAGTTGCAACTAGTCCGCGGCTCGTGCTGGTTCCAGCATCGGTGTTCACGATTGGTGTGCCCTTGGGGCAAACCGAACAGACCACACACCACGCTTGTGCCCACGGAGAAGACCAATTGCTGAACCTTCGTCGGCATCCCAGATCTTGACAGTTCGGTCTTGGGATGCACTGGCGAAAATTGAATTAGCGTGGTCAATATCAAGGGCATTGATATCTTTCTCATGAGCCTTGCGGGTGAAGATGGCCTTCGGTGAATGGGGCTTTTGATCTTTTAGTGGACCAAGCTTGCTTGTTTCCCAACGCTTGATCGTGCGATCAGATGACGCAGTCATTATGAATGCTGGCGGGTGGTTCAGAGGGTCATTATATGCGGGGCTGCCAGCAGCAGGTGGCACGCGCGGTAGAGCAATCGCTCCCACGGTCTCCGCGTGACCAGTCAAGACGGCAAAACATGTGTATGATGAGGCTTTAGGATCAATTCTCCAGAGGCGAGCCGCGTTATCCTTTGCTGCAGTTGCTAGCCAGTGTCCGGACCAGTCCACATCAATGGCCATGATGATATCCTCGTGACCTTCAAGATGGGCAATATCTGCGCCAAAAAAATCCTCAGTTCCTGTTGAGGGTCTGTCCTCAGATGGTGCGACTGAAAAAATGCGAATAGTTTCAGTATTGGTGGCCAGGGCGAGCATTGACCGATCTGGGCCAACGAAGGCAAGATCAATGATCTCATCGTCGTTACCAGAGATGCGGCGCGTAATCCGTAGTGGTTCTAATGTAGATCCAGGAGTGTAGCTGGATAATGAATCGAGAGAGTGGAGACGGATAGTCTGGTCTGCATGGACGGTCATGACAAAAGGGGCACCTGGGGAATATTGGATGCCCACAATTGTTTCATACTCCTCCCCAGCTTCCTGCTCTTCAGTAACCTCACTGCCGCGGTTGCAGTCCCAAACTCGTAATTTCGCATGCTCGCCTCCAATAACGCAGAGCTCACTATCGCCTAAGAAAGCCGCGGCTTCGACGCTTTCAAGCACGGGAATAATTCTCCTCTGCTTCCACGTCTTCGCGTCCCAGATGATAAGAGTCTTATCGCGACTCGCAGAGAGTAGCGCATTCTCAGAAGGAGAGAAAGATAGGCTGCGCACCAAAGATACGTGCGAATCTAAAGAAGCAATTGGCTTCCTCTTGTGCAGGTCAAACACACGGACCTTGCCCTCGTCACTGCCACAGGCGAGTCGGAATCCAATTGTGGAATCGGCGTTAGCATCCTCCATCTCATCATCGTCTCCGGAAGCCTTGCGCTTTGACTTCTTTTTGGAGGATTTGAGCTCGGCCTCTGCGGAGACCTCGAAGAAGCATAGGGCGGAGATAACCCCACGATCATTGAAGGTATGGGTCACATAGCCTCCTCGGATATCCCATACTTTGATGGATCCATCAGCAGCGCCTGTAGCAAGCAGTGTACCTGTATGATCGATTGCTGTAGTCACCACGGGCGCAGGGTGGGGTTTGAGGGTTCGAATGAGCTCTGCTGTGACGAACTGGGAATCAGGGTCGAAAGGAGTAAGAGCATATATCCGCATAGACATCGACCGTGAGCAAACGATAGCGTGCGACGCAGATGGAGTTACTAGAATTCTGTGAGACCGCGATTTTGGTGGAGGGGGTTTATGTAGTAAACATACTGGCCAAACTGGTAATTATCTCCCCATCCTGTAGGAAAAACTCTGTTAGGAACTGAGATTATTGGAACGGAAACCTTATTTAACGTACTCCTTCCAGACTAGCAAGCTGGTCACCAGTCTCCAAATCCACGATTAAGGCATCTTCGCCAATGCATGAGAGTAAGATGCGGCCGGAGGCATCTAGTGCAGTACTCCCGCCCGTATATATCGGGCGAATCGTACGAGACGCCTCAAAGGTTGTTTTGACAACAGCCTTCGACATGATTGATTGCGTGGAAACTCGTACTGACGTTTCGGAAGAACTCGATTAGAATCGCAAAATGCTCGGACAACTTTTTTTTGAAGATGTTTGTAGTGTTTGCATCCGATAAGATAAACCCTGGCCTGTGCATCGTTGCGGCACGTGGATTGTAGCCTCGCATATCTCGACGTCGAACTTCTCTAATTCTTGTCTCATCGTTTGTGAAGTGTGACTATCCGGGCCCTTGAGTGATGTAACTCGGCTTCTTTATTTGGGGGTCCTTTGATCATCATGGGTCGACAGGCTTTCTTGAACCGGCTCGCCTTGGTAAGACCACATCCCCCTGTGTCAGCAGACGGTTTTATGCTTGAGTGTTGAAAAAGCGTCTTGGATCCGTTTTGTGTCTCATTTACAAGGGGCATTTTAGATTTGCATCTATGGATACATCTTCTATATGTTGAATAAACTGAAGTCAACGGCACTTCATCGTCTTTGCGCGTAACTCTCTCTAATAAACAGAATCATTGACTCTTGGCAGGGCCGATCACCTTACGAGCCACCTGAGATGGCAACTGTGGATCCATCTAGTACGGTGCACAGGGTCTCAGCTGTACATGCGGATAACTACATGCAGCAATATGATGCACGAGGGCATCCGGTGAACCCCGATTCCAAGGCTCTGGGACGGGGACTGCGCAGAGCTAAAAACGATATTCTTTCCACCATGGGGATTGTGGTCAGTGGAGAAGACCGTAATGTCAATTCATCCAGTGAACAGCAAAAAATCTGCCAGATCGCAGCCGAAAACGACTGTGGTTTGATAATCACTACCCTGGACCAGTTTTTCGTCTTCTTTAGCACCTGGTGGTCTTCATCCCTTACTGGACGAATCCTGGTAAGCTTTTTGCTCAAAAACAAACATGATCGAATGTATTAGTCTAATGGGAAGGGGTACACATAGGCCTACAAGCATTACACACATGCTCCGCTTCTTGATGTCATACGGGCTGAACGCGATGCCTCGGGTCTGCTCAGCTTCTATTGCGCCGGAATACCGGCGTGGGCAGCATCCAGCGCTCTTGCAATAGCCCGCGATAACTCTCTCAAGCGAGTTTTCGTTACGGCCCGGGAATATGCCTTGGAATTTACAGGGAAAGGAAACTTTTCTCTTTTCCTAAGGTCTCTTTTCGGAGTGTTATACTCTGCGTAAGTTGCCTTTTCTTTTCCTTTTCTCTATGAATATGAGATATTGGATTGCTGACAACATGCTACAGCGCAAGGGGCTCAGTTCTTATCTTGTCCGTGGAGGCTTACATGTGGTCGATGCTACAAACGCTCTCACTCGTTCCTCCGAATGCTTTCCCCAGCGTTTCTTCATTGATTCCATTTGGGGAAAGATCTCTCTTTCGACTTCCGGCTCTGCCCTCTGACTTTTCTCCACTCTCCGTCGTGGGATTTATCCTACAAACTCTCGCCTCTCCAGGGATGCTGACAGTCATATATGCCTTCTTCCTACGCCCAGAACTGGAAGAACGTATTTATAGGCTGGTGCGACGTCAACTTCCAAAGCCTACTCTAGCAGATGAGCTATCAATTCGTGTTGCCTTTGAGGAGAATCTCATTGAATGGGTTGTGCCAACTCTTGGACGGCGTGCGGAGGAAGAAACTCGCCGTGCAAAGCTCACATTACTTGAAGATATCGGACAAGAGCTTCTTCTTCTGCGTGATTGGGTCTTCTCGGGCTTTGGCCTCTTTTCAACGAAAAGGCAAAACAGGGCTGAAATGCAGCGTTATAATCAAGAGGGAATCGACAACTTGAGAAACTCGATCGAATCTTTACAACAAGAGCTTGACGATGCTCAAAGACACAACTCACGTCTTGAAACCGAGTCATTGCAGCGAGAACTCAACGATGTTCGAAGGCAAAATGCTCTTCTTGCAAGAGAATTAGACGAGCTAGAGGGCCCTCGATCGGTCAGACAAGAACCTGATGAAGCTCAACGAGAAAGTCGCGCCGCCCCGTCTGGTTTGAATGAGGTAGAGGCCTCACCTCCGGAGAGCGCTCTGCCACCAGCATCTTCAGCTGCCGAGCCACGCAACCTACGCTCACCTGAGCTGGAAGTTGGTACTGACGTGGGCCAAGTGCTCACAAACCGGAGTCGCTCGTCTCAGTCACCCGGGGAGATGAGCAGTGACTCCTTCTCAGGAGTGGCGACTAATGGACGAAGAAGTGCACCTTCCAATGCTTCTCGCTCTCAGAGCCAACCCAGCAATGCCCAGCAAGTAGACGCCTCCCCAGATAATCGGCACCTCTCCCGCTCAAATACTCTATTTTCTCGCCCATCCTCCCCGAAACATCTCCTCCAACATCTCCCCGAGTTAGAGCATCACTGATTCACCAAGGCTCTGATATAATCACTATGCAATTAGAGCTTTTGGGTAATCGTAACTCTAATTCCCAGCCTCCCCGTCCCGCTCCCCAATCAAATATCCCAAGAGTCCTTCAAGACCCCCCAGGGCTACGTCCACCTTCTGTGGCATCTGAGCGCAGGTCAATAGCCGAGTTTCTTGAGGCGCTTATCTTAAGTCGCGCACAGAACCAGGGCACCCAACAGCCGCCCGCTGCAGATCAAGATGACCTGTCTAGCATAACCGCGGGTGCAAGCTATACTACGGGTCAAGAATCCCAGCCAGCCGAGGATAATCAGCAAAACACAGCTCAAGAAGCGCCGACCTCTGTTGTAGCATCGCAACCAATCCTTTATGAAGAGCCTCAACTGTTAGGCCCGCCACCCAACATTCTGCCTGACGGGTTTGAAGAACCAACTGATGATGAGCCTGACGCTCGACTTCCTCCTTATGAAGAGACTGGGCCCGTCGAACCCCAAGACGACTCTGGAGAACCAAGCCCGTATCCTAAAGGCCCGGGCCAGCCAACCACCGCACATCGGGTCACTCTTCTATCCGCGCATCCTGTGGACTCTCTTGCATCCCACGTAGCAGCGATAGTGACTACTATCATCCTATCTCCCCTCGAATCTCTTTATGTTCGGTCGTTGGCTCATGCCTTCCTTGCCATGAATTCATCGCCGCAACTCCAAATCGGCGACCTCTATCCTGTTGGGTTGTGGCTGGGTGGCCGCTCTTGGAAAGATGTATCTGCTTACTGTGGAAGAATAATCCTTATGAGAGGCATGCAGGCTGCTCTTAGAGCGGGTGTTTGGGGGTTTCTAGTTGGCTCAACTATGAGGATTGGCAGGAAGTTCTATGGCTGGGGAAGCCTGTGAAGTTCAGCAAGCCCAACCTTTCCGCCCACTTCAAATAAATAGGACATAACTAATCAAGCAAAGCATCAAGAATTTACCAGTTACATCAGGAATTATACTATTCAGATTATTCTTAAGATCATTTGACTGCCGCAGGGACTCTGGGCTCCTCATGGAAAACTGGATTTTTTAATGTACAAAGAACAAGAATAGAAAGAAAGCAAAATGCCTCCACCTGGATTTCTTCATAAAATTCGACTTCACTCTGCGGCGGCCTTCTCCTTGCCCTTGGCCTTTTGGGAGGGGACCTTGCGACGTTCCCATACCATCAAATACCCCTCTCGGGTAAACAACAGCTCACTCTGAAGAGGCTTGATGAGCAAGTCTTGAACTTCAAGCCACTCTGGGCCACGGTACTTGTGATCCCCAGCAGCTCGATGACGGGCATTCTCAGCAGTCATCCCTTTGTCATGGAGTTGAATGAGCCACGAGACCTTCTCACTGCCGGCGCCAGCACCTGACGTGCTTGTTGCACCTTCAGATCCTGCGGCGGCTTTTTTTACCCTTCTCAGCAGATTGATCGTCTTCACCGGGAATGGCGATTGCGGGATCGAGGATCACGTTTGCAACGAGGTCATACATAATAGGTTCACCTGGCGGCCATTCTTCGGGGTTGGGCTCAGCATAAGGCGACATGTCGAGGTCTCCGGTGCTGCGGTGAGTGACGATCGTATGGTTCCGTTCGGAGACGAATTTATTCTTGCTAAATCGTTTTATGTGGAACAGGAGATAGGGTGGGAGGGGGTGGACCAGACGATGTCGGACTCGTTGAGAGAGCTTTTCGGACGCAGTCCTGCCATTGTACTTGGCAAGGAGCTGGGCCAAGGAAACCTGCGGGATGATAGACTCTCGGTCGGCGGATTGGAAAAGAGGCGTTGGCGGCAGATCCAACGTAAGGATAAGGAATGGCTGAATGGTGCTTTCGATATTACCGGATTCAGTGAACACTAAACGAGCATTTTGGGTATCAGAATGGGCTGTGATGTCTTGTGATTCGACTTTGACACGGCCTTGAAAGGCAGCATGAATAATGCTGGTTGGTTTTTTAGGGTCCGATGGCTTCTTAGATCCCCCGAGAGCGAGATGAAGGTTGTTAAGGAACCATAACAAAAAGACGGAGGGGTCTGCTTGTTTGGTGAGAGTAAAGCGCTTCGAAGACCGTATGGCAACTTCCTGCAGCAATTCGTGTGGAGACACGTGAGCGCGAAAAGCCCTTGGGTTCCATAACTTGCGTATGAGTGTACGAAAGCGCAGAACAAGTTCTGGAGTTCCCGGAATGGGGAAATCTTGCAGCAGAAAGAAGTTTCGGACAGGCGCAACATGAGCGAGTAGTTGGACGACCACATTCAAATAATCATTGGCCTTGATATTGTTCATACCAACGTACCCTGGTGCATATATTAGGCCTTGATAACAGCTTCTGTATCCAGGAAAGGAGCTTACCTGGCCTGTATGGGGTGCCTGCGATATCCCGTGCATTCGGCACTTCTTTGTCGAGCTTGGCGACTTGCTCCTTCGAAAAATGAGGGTCAACCACATATTTGATATCGTCCAAACTCTTGCTTTGCACTTCGTATCCTTCTGGCAAAACATAAACCTTCCTAGTGGAGAGATTGATGAAGACATGATGCGCGACGTCAAGCGCATGGAAATATGCGTGCGACTTGGGGCCGCGTCCCTGGAAGTACTTGCCACAGACAAGGCATGCATAGACGTTTATGTTTGAGAGACTGACAGAGCACAGCTTTTCGAAGTCGAAGTCTAAGATGACGCGGTTGATCGTATCCAGGTATAGGTCGTCATAGCCTTTCACAGGTTTCGATTGACGTTTGGGAACAGAGACGGCTGAGAATTCTTCGTCGATCTCAGAATCCCTTGAATCTTCTTGGGGGTGTCCGTCAATGGTTTCTTGTCCTTCATCTGCCGTCCCAAGGATGTCAGCACCGTTGTGACGGTTTCGTTCGTGACCGTTGATTAGATCTGGTGCTGTACCATCACTTTCGACTTCGTCCTCCACGCGCGCCTTCTTTGCCGCGGGGGAAGTTGGCAAGTTCTCCTCCAGTGGCGCTTCAGCTGGCCTTTTCGACATTGCGACTGCGGTGGGAAGGTCGGTAGGTCCGTGAATAGGGCGGCGAGGTGCTTGAATTCCCATGTACCTTCTGCGGTGCAAACAAGACAAACGTGTGCACTAAGCGCGTCATCTGAAGACCAGGCGGTCAGAGGCTCTTTCAACTGATCTACTTACCAACTACGAGTGAGATTATCGATAGAGTATTGTATTACTACCAGGTGGAAAATCAAATCCTACGAAATTTTATTTTCAGTGCTAAACATTTGATGTCATACCGTGAACCATTGTTAAAGCGTCATAGGATATGATACAACGAACGCCGCCGCAAGTTGACCATTACGCACTGCGAACGACTCTATCGTTATCAAAATCAATTACTTGCACTCCATCCTTTGTGACCACCTTGACCAGCACCTGCAAGGATCAGTTAGCGAGGCCAATCTATGAATAATAGATTCGTCTTTAAAACATACTCCTTTGTAGTCAATTGGTAGTCGGCGCTTGAGCTCATCTGTACATCTCTCAAGGAGCTTCAAGCCTTCGTCAAGGGTAATTCCGGGGTTATGATGTTTATCGAGGAGAGAAAGGCAGTAGTATCTGGGCTTGTTAGTACCAATGATTCTTTCGATCATTATCGGCGAATTATGTGATTAAACATACTGAGCGTAGCCGTGGGCAGCATATGGTACCGGGCCAGAGACGCAAGGTAGTCGATCCAGTAGAGATGGGGTGTAGCGGTCTCGGGTTCCACGCCTCCTAGCAACAAGTTGACTGTATACGGACTCCGTGATCGCAAGCTGCGGGCCAGTTCTCCTCGGACAAAGTTGGCAACGGCGGGGGTGCTGAGCTCGACATCGTTACGTTTCGTGTACAGCTGAATATTTGCTTGGATATATTCGGCGAATTGCACTATTCATGAGGCAATATGAGCATTCTGTTGATGTAGAGCCTTGGAACGATGAAGTGGGCACTACTGACCTGTATCTCCAGCCTCTCCCGAAAAAGCCATGAGTGTGTGGTTGTTGAGCTCCCGTGTCTTGTCATCTTCGGCTTTGATGATTGTTGGGCCTCGCATTATAGCCTTCGATGCGGCAATAATGACAAAGTCCTTGCCAGTGATACCCAAGAGAACCTCCCTGAAAACAGGCTGTCAGTAAAGGGCAAAGCCAGGGCAAATGGCATACAGCAACATACATGATTGCGGTGAGAATATGCGGAAAGAAATAAAGCAAGAAGAGGTTCAGGAAGGCGATAAGTGGGAGACGTGGATGGTGATGACCGCGCGGCGAGCTTGACGCCTGGAGCTGCCAGCTCCCCGCTGACTCAGCCGCCGCTTGGAGATCCGCTTTTTTCCCCGAAAAAAAAAAAGTTGTATCCAGAGCACTTGACCAGGCGCTGTTCCAATTCAAAGAGGCACCGCTGCACTACAGAGCGTTTTCGAGCCCATAGCGCCCCGGATAATAGCGAAGAGATCGTCCTTGTGTCTCGTTCTCTGAGTATATCCATTTTCACTCCGTACCGCGCATAGGTACCTTCCAGCCGTCCTACGCTGGGAATCTACGAAAACCCGCAAGATGTCTTCATTTTTCACGGTACCTGCATCGCAGCGCAAACGCAAGAGAGACGATCGAAATGCTGCTCCGGCAACCAAAAAGCGAGGCGTCGACGCAAAGAATGATACTCAAAAAGTTCAACGAAGCCAGGAACGAGAAGAGTCCATTTCTGGAAGCGACATTGACGAGGATGAAGATGGACTCGAATCCAATTTTTCAAGCTCTGATTCGGACTCAGACGAGGGGAAACCGCTGCAGACCGCCGTTTGAAACTTGCGGAGCGATATTTGGAAAACGTGCGCGAGGAAGTCGATGAGGTTGGATTTGATGCAGCAGAAATTGATCGGGATCTCATTGCCGAACGATTGAAAGAGGATGTGGTATGTGAGAGCATAGTATATACTTTATATACATGACGACTAATTGTGCGCTCAGGACGAATTCAAAGGACGGACCTTCCGACAGATCGCCTCAAAACTCTCTTTCTCTACAGCCTCGCATTCTTTTTTCCGCTCTGATACCCAAACGATCACTTCCGTTGCCGTCCATGCGCCTTATGCGTATACCGTTTCGAAAGACAAAGTTCTGACCAAGTGGGAATTGGCTACACCCAGTGTGCCTGGAGCGAGTGACCAAAATGATTCTTCTAAGCGACCACGACCGCAACGTAAGAAGCCTAAGCGTGTTGCATATGCGCGTGGCTTGCGGAAGGTTGCTGAAACGGGCGAGGAGCATGGACATACCGCTAGTATCTTATCTGTTGCCGTTAGTGCATCGGGAAGATTTGTCGCTACTGGTGGCAGTGATAAAAAGCTCATCATTTGGGATGCCGAGACACTCACCCCTATGAAAACATTCACGCAACACCGGGACTCCGTGGGAAGTCTCGCTTTCACGCGACACATTTCAACTATGAGCTCAGGCGAGCAATTATTTAGTGCCAGTAACGACAGAACGATCAAGACCTGGTCAATCAGCGGAGCTGGTCATGCATATGTTGAAACGTTATTCGGTCACCAAGATCATGTCACCGGTGTCGCAGTGATGTCCCTAGATGAGTGTGTTTCCGTTGGTGCCAGAGATCGAACTGCGCGTTTTTGGAAGGTCGTCGAGGAGTCACAACTCGTGTTCCGAGGAGGCGCTTCCAAGCATGCGCCTTACCATGAAACTACCATTGACTGCATTGCTCCTTTACCCCCAGCTCACTTCGTCACTGGCTCCGATTCCGGATCCATCTCACTCTGGTCTATGCACAAAAAGAAGCCCTTATTCACAATCCCTTTGGCTCATGGTCTGGACCCGATCCCCCCCTTTAGATGAGCTGTCTCCCGAAGTTGATAAGGAAACTGCTGCCCATAATGCCCGCCACATGCGCCCAATGCCTCGCTGGATCACCGCTCTTGCCACGCTACCCGGTACCGATGTTGTTCTGAGTGGAAGTTGGGACGGATTCATCCGCGCTTGGCGCATCTCGGATGATAAGAGGACTATCATTCCGTTAGGGCCAGTCGGCACTGGCTCTCTTGGCCAGGGAAGCCCAGAAACCCCGTCCAAACAGCTTAACAAGTCTCTCAATCACGAGAACACCCCTGATGCTGACGAAATGGATGCCGAGACATCGACCTCTCCAACTGATGAATCACAACCTCTTATCAAGGGTGTTGTCAATAGTATCGCTGTTTTCGAGCGCCGACCAGAAGCGCCCGAGGCGGGTCAAATCGGCACCAAGCCTTCCAAGTCTGACGGTGTTGCTCACCAACCTCGTGGCCTCTGCATTGTTGCAGGAGTCGGCAAGGAACACAAGCTGGGTCGTTGGCACTGCTACGCAAACAACTATGATAAGGGCACCTCGTCTGGTGGCCGTAATGGTGCAGTGGTATTCGAAGTCCCATTCACCTCCGCCTCGGCGGTTGATGTATAAAGCCTACGGAATGGCACTTGGTCAAGTTCTCAACTTGACCTGTTCCCATTTGAAAGACTCGTGTAGCTAAAAATGAGGTGTTTGCGTGTGGTGGTGTCTCGGAGTTGAACTGTTCTGTACTTTACCATCTAGAACTCTTGCATACATATGTGCCGGATAAAAGCGGCGTTGAACCTTTTCCATATCTTGTTGAAATCGATGAATATTTCCACGATCAATCCATGGCCTTCAACCTCTGAGAATTCGGGCCTCGCACGCGTAAGTGAGAGAAATGTACTAGTTGTTCTCCCAACGGACAGTCTTGATCATCGTCAGTTGAACTATCAGAACACAGATTACAACCTGATGTTCTGCACACATGAAGGCCAGTCATAAAAGAAGTCAATAAAGTTCCGATACGTCTGCACAGTCTGGTTATTGAGAGGAGTAGGGTATGACAGGCGAGGCTGATAATCCGGCCGTAGTGGGATGCCCTCGGCATTAATCTTAGCCGAGTGGTCATATAGCTCCGGATAAGTTGCAAAGAAAGCTGGATCGATCTTGTAGTTGGATACTCCACGATCCATATTCAGCAGATTGAATGTCGCCTGGGCGTAGTCAGATGACGAGAATAATGCTGCCAAATCAGGCGCAGGAAGGCTGACAGCCAGAGACCTGTTGTCATGATTGGGAGTCGACTGGTCGATATTTGGAATGAGATCGGTGATTCTGACATAGGCCTTGATCATCGGTGCCCCCGCAATTAGATCTGACATCCATGTTTCCACAACATAACTGCTTACAGCATCGCAGAATATCCTGTCAATCTGCGGATTTGCTGAATGAAGCTTAATCAGGCGGTCTCGTATAGACGGGAAGGGGATCCAATCTATGACCTTCGGATACTGCGATTGTAGCTGGAGGGCCGTGGGCTTATATTGTGGATGGATCGCATTGAAGGTTTTTGTGCAGGGATACAGTTGCCAAACAGTCAGGTTGACGATATGATAGAAGCGTGTTTTGGCGTACCAGCGCATGACGTCTGGTCGGGTCATGCTGTTAAAAAGAGCTAGGACCATCAATACCTCTTGGTAGAAGCTATCCTGAGTTAGGAAAGGAGATGGGCCTGTATCAAGGTGAGGAGAGACTTACAGACTGATGGTCGGACGTGCTGTTCGTTCGATCTTACTTTTCATGATTCCTTGAAGAACATTAATGTGGTCCGAAAAAGGAGAATTGGACTCATGCCATCCTCGACCAATGACTGCACTTGACTCTTCAGTCCCGGCTAAAGCAGATGCGTACGGATCAATACCCATTTGGTACTCAAATGACCAGATACTCGGTATTTGTTGCGCCAGACTGTCGAAGTTGGCAGCAAGCTTCGAGGCTGGGCTGGAGAGACCAATCGCAACCTCGGCAGTCTCAGTATCTTCAGTCGGGAAGGGCTTTGTTGGAACGAGTGTGTTTTCCAAACCATGAATACTTGTAAAATCATCCGTATCCAAAGTGAACGCATCCTCAAGGCTAAAATCTGCCGAAGGCTTGCTATTTTTCTTAGTTTGCGGTTCGGGTCCAGGCTCAGGCTCCGCGGAGGCCGTCTCCTGATCGATAGGTTCAGTATCGCCATTTGAAGAGTATTTGAGGGCATCCGTCACAGTCCCCGTCAAGCTCTGCATTGTGGCAACGAGCCGAGCAAGTTTGGTCTGGACCTCAAGGAGGTTCTTCCGTAGTCGACTATTCTCATCTTGCAGCATCTGAATGGTCTCATCTTGCGGCCTTTGAGTTGCATCGGCCCGATCTAGGAGCGTCCTCAAGCGATCTGCTTGACGGCGGCGAAATGCACGCTGTGCTAAACGATTCCGGAGTCGTCTGTCGCCAGCTATAGTTAATGTGTGTGGCCTATCAAAGCTCAGACTTGGAGCGGTACTTTTTGTCGAGATCCTCACTTGGCTTGCCGCTAGCATCTAGGCTAGCAGGCATGCGTTCCCTTGAAGCCATGGCTAGAAAGTTACGAGAGGGTCACATCCGGAGGAGGAACGAGAGTAATTGTAGCCATGAATCATGGGCCCAAGTGGAGTCACCGCCCGTGGCTTATATCCTTGCGATAACGAGCCCTCTGCCGTCATCAGGTATCCTATAACTAGTTAGGGTCTGTGTCCCCACTCCGGTCGTAATTTTTAACCCAAGCTGGGAGAAGTGGAGCGGGTGCCAAGGTGCGCTTTTGCTGACAATCGGGGTCTGTTAGGCGAAAAGATAGACTTTTTGTACGATAGTCGGCCCCGCTCCGAATCCGGCCTGGTCTGTAGTTCGCCATTCGTAGTGACTGTCTACTTGATCTACTCGGAAAAAATTGGGTGGGTTCTAGCTCCATCGCGGCAGGTCTAGACTGTATTAGTTAGAGGGAAGGGACCTCTGTACGAATAGGTGAATGATAGAAATCAAAGGCGTGAAAGGACTCAGACGCTCTCGTAGATTAGTACGCTCTTATAGCCTCTATGGTCACATCAAGGTTGCATTGACTTCCTCTCGAGTCAGAAAATTGATACCTCTGTTATTTCTCTGAGCCTTCACGTCTTCAGATATCTTCGTTCTTTTCTCCTCAAGAAGGCGGGCTATTCGACTTCTCTTTTCCTTGGGAAGGCTAGAGATCATTCTTCTCTTCCTTAATAGACCTATGTGTTCTTGTACTTGTAGTGGCCGCTGTTTCTTTATTTCGATTGGCGCCTTCGAGTTTGTCGTGTACATTTAGCTTCTGATGATCTAGGACTAACTAGTTAGAGGACTTGTCTGACAAAGAAAGGATTTCTGTCTTTAGAATTCCAGTTTCATTAGCATGCTTATCCCTTGGACCATAAAAATCAGAAGTCTAATTGAAGTTCATGGAGCTCGGAATCATACAAGTACCCTTAACAATTTTTGTGTTCCGAGTATTAAAGCACATCATGGCATGCGAGATCCTGCAACGGTCAACGTTCCAGTCTTCGAGATCAGATATTCTTCGATTGCCACGTCCTTGCCCGCCTCTTTTCCATATCCACTCTCTTTTATCCCCCCAAACGGAGACTCCGCACATGACGAGTTTCCTAGACAAGACAAAGATGATAAGCTGACCACCAAGATCGCCAATGAGATCGTGGCTCTTACCTGTGTTCATGCCAATCATTCCAGCTTCGAGGCTCTCCAATAACCTCCATGTGCGATCTACATCCTTGGTAAAGAAGTAAGAAGCCAGACCCATCGATGTGTCGTTGGCCATCTTGACCACCTCTTCCTCCTCTTCAAATCTGTAAAGGCCTAGGAGTGGGCCAAAGATCTCTTCGCGGGTAGTCAACATCTCTGAAGTCATGCCGGAGATGACGGTGGGCTCAAAGAAGTATCCGTTCAGGCCTGCTGGCCTCTTTCCACCGCACAGAATCTTTCCGCCCTTTTGCACCGCATCCTCAACGTGACGTTCGAGCTTCTCAACTCCTCGGCTCGTAGTGAGTGGGCCCATGGTCGTCGATGCTTCCATGCCATGACCGACTTGAATCTTCTGTGTAGCTTGGACAATCATCTGAGCAAACTTATCATAAACTCCCTTCTGGACGTAGACACGGTTTGCATGGGTGCACGCTTGTCCAGCAGTACGCCACTTGAGAATCATCAATGCTGCGAGGGCCTGGTCAAGATCTCCGTCATCGAAAACAATAAACGGACAGTTCCCACCTGTGAAGTCACTCAAGCGTCAGGTTATTCCTCTTGATGCCGATTCCACGTTCGATTGATGTTAAGATACATACCCAGTTCCATAGTAATCTTCTTCAGTCCTTTACTGCAGTGTCGCGCCACAATGCTTCCAACCCTGGTACTTCCGGTGAAGGTCACTTTACGGACCAAGGGGTGCTTGCAAAGCCTTTCACTAACGGAAGGGGTGTTCTCATTATCAGTGGATATAACATTCAAAACCCCCGCTGGGAGGCCAGCACGAAGGGCCAGATCGGCTAAGGCATTGACACTTAAGGGAGTTTCCGGAGAAGGTTTCACGACGATCGAACAGCCTGCGGCGAGCGCAGCGGCAACCTTCCGGATAATCATCGCCACGGGGAAATTCCACGGAACAAGGGCAACGCTCACTCCGATAGGCTGCTTGATCACGAACGTGCGTCGGTCGGAGACCGAGGGTTGAGCGACGGAACCTCGAATGCGCTCAGCTTCACCTGCAAACCACCAAGCAAAGCCAAGTGCATAGTCAACCTCTCCCAAAGCCTCAGCCATGGGCTTACCAGTCTCATATACCATGACTTTCGCGATGTCTTCGCGGGCGTTGGTAATCAGCTCATGCCACTTCAGCAAGATCTTGGCTCGCACTCGTGGGTTGACATAGCGGTAGCTCTCGAAGGCTTTTTGGGAGGAAACAATGTATTTGTCTACATCGGACACATCATTCGTGGGGCAGTATGCAAAAACCTGACCCGATCCAGGGTCTCAAATGTGATTGAGTTCAGTTCAAGAGCAGTCAAGGTCCTTCGAGATAGACGTACCTTCAATTGGAAATCGTTGGCCCGACCCAGCCTCGATCCATTGCCCATCTAGAAGTGAGGCTTCGTGTAACAAAGACGGTTCATTCAGCTGGCACCGGTCAACTTTTGCTATTCAAGGCCGGTAGGTAAGGGATAACCTTCAGCTCACACGTAGTCATCGTGTCAGTGGAAAACCCTCGCTAATTCCTGGTCAAGTTCTCAAAGATCGAATAGTATGATCTATATTATAGCAGGCCGTTGATGAGAAAATAAGAGCAAATATAAACCTTTGAAGCCAGGTTCCAGATGCCTTATGAATACCTCTTATTAGTCAATTTGGTATAGAATAGTGTTATCATGTAATGGTCCGGAGGGTCTCCCGCCGGCTTCCCGCCGGACTTGAGCCTCGACTGTCCATCAGATTATCGGGACGGATGTTTACATGACTGAAGATTGTTTTGTTCCTGTCAGTGTTCAATGCCGTAATATTTCAGAATTCCTGGCAGCATAGACCCAGGATGACCCCCAGCGAGGACCGAAATTTGGAGAAGGTTGGCTCTATTGGCTAATCAGCCCGTGAGTGAGGAGATCTCCACACGGCTCTGGAATAATTCGAACTAAAAGACCTAATCGGTCAATTATCTAACTGTTTTGGCCTCGACCTTGAGAGGTGGCCGTCGTTCCTTTCTCCTCAGGGGTGACATAGTCTGGCACCCGATGCTGGCATTAGTCACATCATATGGCGTCCGATCGGCTTTATTTACTATAATGGCACCTGAGTAGCATGGATAGCTGAATCGGAGTTATATATGGACAGCTCCCTTGGCAATTCAAACCCGAATAAAAATTGCTTTCAAATACTTACTATTTTTGTCGCGATGGTGGCTCCCAAGACAATTAATATCGCTGTAATCGGTCAGTACACGTCCGTATGGCTCTGGCAACTGAACAAGCTCTGACTATTTATCATGCAGGCGCCGGTGGTGTTGGATCCTGCTTCCTGGAGCAACTCGCATGGCTTGCAAAGAACCAGCCCATCCATATCAGCTTGTGCTATCTCGCTACCATTGACGGGGCACTGTATCACCCGGACTACTCAGAGCTCAATATCGAGACGGCACTCTCTACTCTTGAGAAAGCCCCTTCTCCCTTACCTTCAATCCCGGAAACGATTGACTACTTGGCTGGCACTCCCCATAAAGTCATTCTTGTCGACAACACCAGTGCTACCAGTCTCGCCGAGGCCTATCCTCAGTTCCTAGCCAAAGGCATCAACATCATCACCCCCAACAAAAAGGCCTTCTCGGGAAGCTACCAACTATGGCAAGAGATCTTCGGCGCAGCCAAGTTAAGTGGGGCTCTAATTTATCACGAGTCATCAGTTGGTGCTGGTATGCCCATAATCTCCACTGTAAAGGATCTAGTTCAAACCGGCGACGAGGTCACCAAGATAGAAGGTGTTTTCAGTGGAACGATGTCCTATCTTTTTAACACTTTCGCGCCTCCTTCCGGCCAAGGTGGCGGAAAGTGGTCAGAAATCGTCCTCAAAGCCAAAGAACTTGGTTTCACTGAGCCTGATCCCCGGGATGATCTCAACGGTCTGGACGTGGCGCGGAAGTTGACCATTCTGGGTCGCCTCTCGGGTCTGCCCATCGAATCACCTTCGTCTTTTCCTGTCCAAAGCCTGATTCCTAGGGAGCTCGAATCAACAGCGAATAGCCAGGAGTTCCTCACAAAGCTTCCAGAATTTGACAGCCGTATGGAAGAGCAAAAAGCTCTCGCCGAAAAGGAGGGTAAGGTTGTACGCTATGTGGGAAGTGTCGATATGGCGACCAAGGCTGTCAAGGTTGGCATGGAATGGTTTGATCCTGACCACCCCATTGCGACGCTCAAGGGAAGTGATAATATCATTAGCTTTTACACCAAGAGGTATGGGGACATGCCCCTGACCATTTGCGGTGCCGGGGCTGGTGGGCCTGTTACTGCGATGGGAGTGACGGGCGATCTGCTCAAGATCTTATATCAACTTGGTTAAAGTGATCTGGGCTCATGTATCGACCCTTTCCAATCATGAGCTTACTTACTATTTTTCATGGGGATTTTGCTTTGAAAATATAAGGAGCGGAACAAGAAATAACTGTCATATCTCGATCCTAAGGTTAAAAAGTCTTCACTAGTTCAAGGCCAACTGCAAGGTGCAGTGTAGTCAGACAGACTGAGGTTCAACCGTGAAACCACTGGCGAAAAGTTCTATGCCGGCGTCATGTTGTGTTTTGCTCGATTCCAGGACAGCGATCAAGTCAGATGGCGCTTCCACCACTCCTCGGTCCGCACGAAAGACTCGAGAATAGCATCTTCGCCTTCCCAACCATGACCTTCGCCCTCGAACTCAATGACTTCTGCTACCCGTCCATGGGTCTTCATAGCGTCTGCCATCATTCTTGCCTGTGCCACAGGTACGCACACGTCTTCCGTTCCCTGCAACAGCAGGAGAGCTCCCTGAATCTGGTCCGCGAAATTGCAGGGACTACGATTCGTGAGCTCCTGCTCTCGCTCCTTCGGCTCGGTCTTGCTCAGCAACAGCCGATCCACGTCCTGGCTTTCAAATTTATACGAGTCCGCCTGCAGTGCCCGTACATCACTGATACCATAAGAGCTAACGCCTGCGGCCCAAATCTCCGGGTACATATGCAATGCCCGGAGAGCCAGATATCCACCAGCACTGCCACCGAATATTCCGACTTTGGCCTTATCAATGAGGCCATCGTTCCCCAAAAAGTCTACTGCACTGACCGCATCTCCGACGTCGACAAGACCCCAATACCCAGACAGTCGCTCTCGATACTCTCGTCCGTAGCCGGTAGAGCCGGTATAGTTCACATCGCAGACCGCATAGCCGCGCGTAGTCCAGTACTGGATTTCGAGGTTCAAGCCGGGGTCGACGTTCGAATTCGGGCCTCCATGAACACTAACGAGACATGGCGGACGGGTGTCAGTCTCGCCTCGGTAGCGAGGATTGCGAGGTTCGTAGTAGAACATGTGAACTTGGCCATCGGTCAAAGGCCCATATTTCTGAGGAGCGGTCATCTCTTTCGCGATTGATATGTAATTCGACTCCAACGGGTTACTTGCTGTGGAACGGAGGACACGTCTTGTCACATCAGAGGATGGCGTGATTTTGATTACTGCTAGTTCTTCGGGGAACGTTGTTGAAGCACCGACGACCGAGAATGAGTCTGGCGATACCCGACGGAGCTCATATACAGAGACGTAGGGAAGATCAAGCTGTCGGATTGACATGGAGGCCGTGTCTATGAGCACAAGCTGGCCTGTGGCACGTGTGATGACATGAGCCACGATCGTCGTTTCGTCTAGAAAGATATATGTATGTCTGAACATTGTTAGTCAATTTCATTGGGGCTGAAAGCATGCGAACTGACCTTCCCAGTTCCCATTCAGCAACTGCAAAGCCGGACTGCTTGAATTGACCCAATGGCAAGCGGGTTATGTTTTGTTCTGTTGGATTGAAAGAATAAAGCTGCCAAAAGCCAGTACAGTCACTGGCAAAGTACAATTGCCCGTCCAGCCCCCATCGAGGCTGAGCAATGCTTTCTTCCTCGGCTTTTCCTGCAATAGCCCTGTCATTCGCCAGAGACCCGTTATCCCACTCAGCGTAATGGAGAATCGTCCCCGTCCAGGGCATATCAGGATGCGACCATTGAATCCAAGAGACGAATTTACCCGACGGGTCAAATCGAGGGTGGGAGTAGAAATCATCCCCCTGTGCGATCGTTGTTTCCTGTCCAGATTCGGCATTGAATGCAACCAGAGTGTTGTGAACATCGGTTGCCTGAGTCTCTGGAGTAGCTTCGCGATGATCCTCCTTGATGGCTACAATCCAAGCGGGACGCGTGGGGTGGGAGCTGAAATCCGCATACCGGACGCCTTCCTCAGCTTTCCGCACAAGCTCAGTCTCGCTCGTAGTTGGGTCCAGCAGGTGGACGTTGCAGGTGTCTTCATCGACAAATATGATTTTGCCATCCCGGCGCAGTTCAATGGAGCCGCCTCCTAGCTCTTGGACCGTACCGGCAGCGCTGAATTCGTTGGGCAGAATATCCCGCACTTCGCCGTTGAGGTGCTGCATGATCGCATGTCGACCATCTTCGGTTGGATGTAGTTCGACAGAATAGATCGCACCAGTTGGCTCCTAGATCTGGTCAGCGGATCTTCATGGTTACGGAGAGCATGACGAGGTGGCTACAGACATCGACGGCTGTTTCATAGAGTGCGATGTTTTCCGTAGCCATGCGCTCTGCGGTAAGTGGGCTCTCCCAGCGCCCATATGGCGCAGTCTGGACTTGAAACATGGTGTGAAATATGAGTCTTCTATTGTGTGGGATATTCAAGCTTCAAATTCTCTAGCAAGGCGTTGTGTGAAGTACTCCGCCGAATTCACCATGTGAGTCATCAAGCGTCAGCCATTTAAAGCTTCCAGTACTACTCCTGAAATCGAGGATATTGCGTCCTCAATGACAATCGGATGACCGTCTTAGGGAAATGAAGGGACACCTTGGGGGCGAATGGTGATGTGTCTGCGCCCTCAGCTAGGCAGCAATAAAAGAGCTTGAGCCAAAGAGAGCTAGTACAGACTGGAAGGATCAATTCGCACGTAACCCCAGATATTTGCAGGAATATGGATTGATCGCATCTCCTTCCCTATGGGTAGGCTCTATTTTGAGCACGTTGACCGAGAGTCTAACTCCCATTGTGATATCATTGGATTCAGAGCAGCTTACAACGCCGAGTTCAACCAACCCCAGATCAGTCATGGTTACTAGGGACTCTCTGGCAGAGTCCTAAGCCATGCATATGCACAGGAGTCCAGAGGTGTGAAAGACAGGTGACGCAATCTGAACAGCTGTAGGCACAAAATTATTGCTCAATGGTGGGCAGTTGACCAACAGCTCGGCCACCAATAGATCCCTTTTATCCTCAAACCCGATTCAAATCCGATAAGAATGAAAAGAATCTTACGTATGCAGAGTGAAAACTAAAGGTCTTGGACAATGAGATGAGGCTGATTGGCGGCTTGCGCGCAAGAAGTCATCATGATTAGAAGAAACAGATAAGATGGTATCCACGGAATAGTCAACGAGTGTGCCCTAGAAAGGCTGAAAGAAAATGACGAGAGAAGAGCCCGTATCTTGCGCATCAGTCGAGTAGGAGAATATCTTCAGAAGCAATAAAAGAAATGGTAAATGCTAGCCTAGGCTCGACCGTTTTCTATCCCATATCCCACCCACAGCGCCACGCTATTTTAGTAAAGAGTTGAAAAACAAAAGCACAAAAAAAAAAAGAGATAAAGCGGCGCCAAGAATGCATATCGCTATGAGCCTGGTTTTGAGGCGAGATCTAGTATGGAGAGAATCGGACATGTCGCCGTTGGCCAGCTCTTCGCACAGGGCCAACAGGCTGTTCATCATCGGAATCATCGATGGTGATGGCATTTTGCACAGTTGTGCCACCATTGGCCCTCGCGGGCTGTCGAGGTCGCGGCGGTGAGCTAGAGTCCATAGACTCGCTCTCCTCTGGTGCTGGGCTTATTGAATCAGGGACATAGACACGACGGCGCGCATGTGATCGGGTTGGTTCTTCAGAGTCGTACTCATCGTCGTCGGTACCATCCTCACCCTCATCTTCGTCTTCATTCCAATCTTCTTCAGCTTCCAGAATATCGTGATAACCCGTTGTTTCGTCGTCCTCGCTCGAGTCTTCATCGTCAGAGATTGGAAAAGGTGTATCCCAGTTCGCTTGTGGACGTCGTGCCGGTTGCACGGTAGGATATTGGACTTCGGGAACCTGCCGATTGCGCTCACTGCCCACTATAGTAGAGCGGTCAGAGGAGGACTCCACATCCAAGCCATCGATATCTTCTTCCATGTCTGCATTTTCTTCGTCGTCGATAAAGGAATCAACCTCATAATCATCGTCTTCTTCCTCCTCCTCTTCCTCTTCTTCATCTTCGCCGTCAAAAGTATCGAGAAAGGGCCTTGGTCGGAATGCAGCTGGGAACCCTGCAAGGAAAGATTCGATCCCGGGCACCTGCCCACTCATAGATGGGAAGGCTTGCCAAGTGTTTCGGTTCTCTGGTCGACCGTACAATCGAGAAGCCGCCATGAGACCCAACGAATCCAATGGCAACATATCGGCATCTTGGCTATCGAAAGGGTCGTCCTCATAATCATCGGCATCAAATACGGAGTCGTCGTAGTCGGTGTCGGTCAAGTCTGAGCCGCTAGTGTCTGTGCTCAGTTCGTCGCCCTCTTGGTAGCCACAGGCTGTGCACTGCATTTCCGAATCCAGTTCCCAAGAGCACTCAGGACAACGAGTGACCCCATCCTCCACATCAATAATCGGCTTGAGTGACGGGCCCTTTTTGAACAAGCCACCAAAAAGCCCTCCATTTGTAGGGTCTTCGTTTGCCTTGTCCTTGTCCAGCCTTTCAGTCTCTTCTTGATGGCATCGCCTGTGGTCGTCCGTCGTTTCTTCTTTGTCTAAAAGCTCTGCGCGACTCGTGAACATTTGTACAACAGCTCGGACCTAGGAGAAAAGAATCAGATGAGATAGTTAATACAAACAGCGGGAGGCTTGTGCTTACCAAATAAGCAGGCGCAGGCTGTTGCTTGACAGGCGCTCGACAATCAGGGCACGTTCTCTTCGATCTCCCGCCCGAGAACCATGATGAAAGACACTGGCAAGTTAGAATGAGTGCAGACTGGGGATCTCATGGAGGACGTACGGAATAGCAGAAAGTATGACCACAGGCGAGTGTAAAGGGTTCGTACAAGGGTCGCATGCAGATACCGCATTGCAAGATGCTCCGAATGTCATCGACATGACCTTGCAGCGTATTAACGAGCTATCTACGCGTCAGTATGATTTTCCCCCGGGGTGGAGGGGGAAGAAGCTCACTCCCGCGGCCGCGGCAGCGACACTGCCATCAGCCATGTTGTGTCCAGTTGTAGAGCGTCCTTAAGCCAGTAACGTAAAATTGGGTATCGACGACGTTGGTTGGGGGATGTGATTGAGCGGGGGCGCGCTTCGTTCGAGATTCGGCGGGGGTCGGATGGAAGGGGACCAGGTCCAAGACCTCCGCATCAAACGGAATGGAAAGAGAGGCAACAAAGACGGCACCGAGGTATCAAAGACACAATTTGTGTCTTGAAAGGCGACAAAGGTTGCAAGTCAGAAGAGCAGTGCCACCGCGCGAAAAAAAAAAAAGCAAACCAGAATAATGGTGTTGTTCACTGCCTCAGGCAGAAGTCTAAGGTCACGTGAATAGTAGATAGATCTGAATCTGATGTCGACATCTTTCTTTTCGGCGGTAACCGCCCTTTGATTGATGATATTCGAGACCATTCACTGATTACTAGTCCCTGCACAAGAACTCTAAGGAGCAAATCAGATACTAGTAGCATGGAAGATCATTAAACCATGTTCCGTACGTTCCTTATCTACTCTTCACGGCGTGGATCACCCTTGCTGCAAGGCATTTGCTGTATACCAAGAATGACCATATGTGGCTCTAATAGGATCTCTCGTAGAAAAGCAAGTCATAAATCAGAACTCGGGGGCCGAATAGGCCTCTTCGATCTTTCGGATTTCATAGAGTATCTTTGTACGACCAGCTTGACGTGCCAGACCATGGTAGCGAAGTTTTATTGAATCATAGTAAAGCTCACTCTAGGTTCTATTGAGCAGTGAATCTTTTGGGCTATTAAAAAAAAAATGCTCGCACTGACTTCTAGCATAGGACAATTAGTAGCATATACAGGGAGCATACGATCTCCATCTTAAACTGTTCCGCCAAGACTTGACCCACAGCTTGTCTCGGAGAAACACTGGCCGATCTCCAATCAAGTCCAGCTCCTTCCAAGCTCCAACAGCTCCGGCTCTATCTCCTCGCAACAGCTCCGACCTTCTTCAAGGGCTATCCTGACCCTCCCACAGCCATGGCTTCTGACTCTGCTGAGACGGGAGGCCACGATAAGGCCTGGGAGAAAGCGCAGCGGAAATTCTCACGGTAAATCCAGCCTGAACACTTCCTCGGTGTCGACGTCTTTCCCAGCCGCTGATTCATTACTCCAGCAAGTCTGCCAGTGAATACTATGACCCTTGCCAGGATTTTGCGGATCGGAGCCTGAAATGCATGAAGCGGAATGATTTCGATCGTGAGATGTGTCTCGACTACTTCCAGTATGTAAGCTCTGAATCTATGTCTTCCCTAACACTAAAGTTCATGGTTGCTTCATGATTAAGATAGATCGCTAATTGATTCTTAATAGAGCCTACCGGGATTGTAAGAAGAACTGGGTAAGTTTTGCTATCTATCCCCTTATTGAAGCTGTCTGCCCTCGGGGCTCAGCCGCGTTTCCCTCGTAAATTTACAAATGGCGTTGGTGGTGTGGTCATTAACATTCATCGCAGACAAAGCAAAAGCAAGCTGGGCCACCTACAAACTAAGCAACTGACCTTATGAACGAGGGGTTTGTCCTCCCGTTTTGGGCTATGGGCTGGGCCTGATCCCAGAGCTGTATAATATCATCCACATTTACATCATGCATTCAACTCTGCCATATTGAAATACCGGGTCAATCTTTGTATGTTGCCTTAGTGTAAGTGTCCATATTCGGGCCACTTCTACCCGTAGAAAAATATTTGCTACGGAAATTTTCGGCTTCGCATGACCAGTCATTGTACTCGGTGTTCTTATTGTGATATCTCAGATATACTAATTCCTTGGGATTGCAGAGACTCCTGCAGTATCATTGGGTTTGTCCTACGTGCTTCAAGTCTAGCGCAGTAAATCATCTCCATATCATCTCAATCACATTTACGGCGCTAAGGGTTGGATCATGATAGAGACGATAAGAAACTCCCCTCATATCGCTGCTCACCGCCTTCATCGCCTTCGCAGTGCTTCCCCACCACCAACACCACGAAGCATCCAAATATTCACTCCTCAGGTGCATTGCGCGCGTTGCCGGAGAACCTAGCTTGACTGAGCTTCGCGCGTCTCAAACTGGTTCCTCACGAGCTCGGTGCCATGGCTTCCAACAATGACGCCGTTTTCCTTCGGCGCAACAATCAGATTCAAGATGCCATTGACGGGCAGAATTTGAAGCAGGCCTTGCAGCTGATCGAGAAACGCATGAAGAAAGGAGAGAACACGCGTTTCCTGAAGGTTAGCTCCAATCCTCGAAGTTATCAATTAATTGATGCGCTCTTTAAGGCGTCCCATGCTCCTTGATTTCTCCTTACTATTTCCTCAGAACTCCGCTAACCGATCTCCTCCTAGGCCTGGAAAGCCAATATTCAGGTTCGTATGCTAGATGAAACCAACCGCAAGCGAGGAATTGCCGATACTCTGGAACTCTGCAAGTCTGAACCAGCAATTACAGACCTTGAAACCCTGGATATCTTGATACAGACACTGAAGAAGCTCGAAGGACATGACGAGACTCAGAGTGCGTTGTGGGAAAGGGCTGCAAAGGCCAAACCGCAGGATCTTGAAATTCAGTTGCGCTGGTTCTCATCTTCGTTTGAGGAAGACAAATGGAAAGCAGCACAAAAGGCAGGTTTGCGCAGAAAATATGGCTGTGGGTTTGAGCTACTTTTGCTAACTGGACATCGTTATATTGTAGGCAGCAATGAGTCTGCAGAAGAATTTCCCTCGCGAGCGAAAGTACTATTTCTGGGCTATCTTCACCAGCCACCAGATCTCAGTCGATGAGAAAAGTTCTGAGGCAGACTGCAAATTATTCGGCACATTGGCATATCGCATGATCGTGAAGGCTGCAGAGGAAGTTCCAAAAGACCCGGTAAGTGTTACTAAGTATCGTTCCACAATATTCAGCCTTATTCATGTTTACTACTACAGGCTCAAATCTTCAGTCATCCTCGAGGTATCCAAACGTCGGAGGAGATGATGCTGCTTCTCCAAATTCTCAAGTCGCAAGGTCGTTTTGCGGAATCAGTCAAACTCCTGAACAGTGAAACTGTGGGCATAAACTCTGCAATAATCAACAATGACAAGGAATTCACCCGCTTGAAATCGCTGAATCTTGGAGCTGGTAAGCTTTGGGAAGAGTCGTTATCTTTCGTGAAAAGCTTCTACACTATGTCCGATGATGAGAAGAAACAGAAAGAACTACTTGAATATGATGACTGGGTCATCTGGAATCTCCTCATTGAGTCTGCGCGTCACATTGGTACCCCAGAGTGAGTTGCTTCGTGTATTCACAGGAGAGTCTAAAAAACTCACAAGTCTAACAGGGCTATCAACGACGCACGCACCATTGCCGAAGACTTTATCAATTTCAATCCCAAGTCTCGTAATGCATGCCTTGCCCTTGTTGACATCGCGGAAATTGACCTGCAAAAGGGAAATATGACCAAGGACGAGTACTTCGAGTTCTACAAGGGTTACGTCGATCGACAAAGCCACAGAGTCTTCGCCTTCGGTGATATCCGACGTTTGATAGGTGACGACAAGGACTCCATGGCAAAGATACTCGAATATCTCTGCGAGAAAAAAGATCAAAGCCCAAATGTTAGTCCGAGAGTCGCACATACTTCTCACGATGGAATATCCTATTGACAATTCTCCAGCCATTTGTGTCTACCATCAATGCGTTGAAACTAGAGTATTGCCTTAAGATCTCTGGTGCTGACAGCAAGCCCTCTAGGCAGCACATCGAGGGCTTCGTTACTCGCTGCTTGGAACTCTATCGTGAGAATGTGAGAGAGCAGGATATCGAGAAGACTGAATCACCCCCGCGTGACGACTTGCCTGTCCTTGCCATTATGGCTATATTGAGTGAAGAGGGAGACCTACGGCCGTCCGGGCCTGCTCTCATTCGTTCGGCTGCTATTGTAGAACGTTTCCTACATGACTCACCACACAACTCAACTGCACTCCTTGTGCTAGTGCGTTGCTACATTTTACTAGGAGCTGGATCTCTCGCAATGACCACCTTCAACAGATTATCTGTGAAGCAGATGCAGTGGGAGACCATTGCTCACAACCTGTTCACTCGTCTTTCTACTATCCATCCTCATTCGGCCCCGCCGGTGGAAGGGACAGAGCGTAGCGAGTTTGATCCTCAAGCAGGGTTCCTCAAAGCCCTCAACTTTTACCGAAATGCCGACATCACCACTATGAAATACCGGACCCGTGGTCTTGAGGAAGGAGCATACTCTAATTTGGGTGAAGTGATCGAGCTTCGAAGTCGTTTAAATCATAGTATCTGCCGCAGGCTATGGGCTCTGCATATTCGACAGGCCCAACGAATTGTAGGTGGGGATTCTACCGCACGTTTCGATGAAATCGGTAAGTCGTTGACGCTTTTCACTCAGTCCATTTATACATGCTTACCCAAACACACAGCCAAAAACAATCTGCCATGTGAAGACTCACGAAACTATCAAGCCTTTATGAGCTGCGAGTTCCCTGGGAAGCCTATCTTTGAGCACCGGCTACGGGTCGGGCCCTCGCCGAAGGTAAAATGCTGCTATATTTTCCATCAAAGTACTGTTTACATTCCATTTACTCACGCTTACTTAGGAGGGCTGGATGCGTTCAGCAAGGATTACCGACCAACTTTTTGCCGTGCTGAAGAGCGTCGCAATTCAAAAGCCGCTGGCCCCAGGTATGGACTTGCCAGACCTTAGCTCATTGTCTCTTTCAGATGATGATGATCGAACCGAGACTGAGAAGGAGAATGCAAAGATTCACTCTGAGCTTCTCAAAGTGGCAACATTCCTGGCTGGTTCAAAAGCCATAAATGCTGAACAAGTAGACGCAGCCTTCGCTGTGGTGGAGGATTGGTTGATTGCAAAGATCAAGACTCTTACTCCTAGCGATTCAGATGGGAATAACAGAACTTCGCCAATAATAACCGACACTGCTGTACACCTCCATGTCGGCCACCCTACTGGACCCACATGGACCTACCTGCACGCTCTATTCTCGCTTCTTGAGACTTTGAAGGCGTTGTCGCAGCTTGTCATCTTGGGCAGCAAGAAGGGTCCCAGCTCAGTCAAGCTTCCTAAGGAGCGACTGGATCGGCTTGCAGCTATGGTTCCCGAGGTTTATGAACTTGTGCGCTCCAACGCGAAAGCTTTAAAGAGTGCTGTCTCCGCCCCAGGAGTCCTCAGCGATCTGGTTGACAATACCATCCAAGGGGATAGTTCCAAACCATACGGCCAGGAGGTGCAAAGCGTTATCGAGGAGTATGTTGGTTCATCCGAACATGAACTGTTTTGTGGCTCCTTAATGGAAAGCTGGGAAGAAGCACTTTCCGGCATAATGGCGGTAAGGCTGTAATTATGGATGGACAAATGAGCGTTTACAAGGTATCTGCTTCTCCTAATATAGGAAAGCATAAGATTATTTAGATAATCTTCAATCTGAGCACCATTCATCATCCATGCCAAGTGTGTGCAGAAGTGCTTCGTAGCATTGGTTTCCATCGTAGTATACTTGGCCGCCAAGACCTGAATGGAGCAAAGTTTATGCCTCAGGCAACAATAAGCTACCTAGGTAAGACATTCGTACTAGTCCGAATTTGGGTAGCCCTAAGCCCTAGAGTTTCGCTTCCGCACATTTCATGCCAAGACCGGTTTGTGTGGTTCCCCAGTACTAGGGGATTTTCGTTCGACTTTCTTCTTTGCTTCGACAACCACCGCCAACCCCCCCTCAACAAACCGTCGAAATGGCCGAACGCAGCGGTATCGTGCTTGGCAGCAACAAGGGCCACGTACGTTTTATCCTTTTTCCCCCCATCGATGTCGCCTCCGAACGTCTGTTGTGATGTCAGTTTCTTCGAACCAACCCGAGTTGGGGTATGTCACCTTGGTCATGTGTGAAGCGCGAATCATCGGTCATCAAAATATCGCGGAGGGAGTCTTGACGCCCATTGTATATCCCACGCCCAACATCAATGAGGAGGAACCCGTCAACAAGTACCGGATCATGTGTGGAGGAAATTTTCGGACCACGACTTACATTCCGCATTCAACCCATGACCTTGCCTGTGAACCACCCAACTCTTCTTATAATTCGCATTCGAGAGACAAGACATTTGCAACAGACATTGCGCGGGGTGGAAGCGACGGGGGAAATGCACAACCCATACAAACAGACATGCTGACTAGCAGGCTACAGAAAACTACCCCCCTCAACACCCCCAAGACCAAGATTAGCCGCACCAAGGGCAAGTCTTCTCACCGCACCAAGTTCGTGCGTGAGATCGCCCGTGAGGTCGTTGGTCTCGCTCCTTACGAGCGTCGCGTGATCGAACTTCTCCGCAACGCTCAGGACAAGCGTGCCCGTAAGCTCGCTAAGAAGCGTCTGGGAACATTCGGCCGTGGCAAGCGGAAGTCAGTTTTCCTCCCCACATGAATTTCCTACGTCCTACGTATATACTAACGTCCCACTAGGGTTGAGGACATGCAGGGTGTTATCGCCGAGGCCCGCCGTGTCCAGGGTCACTAGATGCCCCATAAATGGACCCTTTCTATTTCGTTTAACGACTCGGATACCTGGCGCATACGAACAAAAAGCAAATTCCTCCGAGGCCTTTGTACCCCACGCTGGTTGATCCCCGCATAGCGTATGGCTCGTGGAATCGGAACATGGGAGTTTTTTTGTAACTACCGGTTGCTGATGGGGATGGCAAAAATGGGATTCTTTCCCTGTGGAGAGAAACCATAATGAAAACATTCATCAATTCATGGAGTTCTTTGTAGCATAGCACTTTCCTATCATCTCGTAGATCACGGCAACATATGGTTTCCCCGGACAATTTCTGATAAAATAGATGTCCGGGGAGACCTAAGAGCTGCATTAGACTGAGTCCGGCCCTCAATTGGAGGCATTCTATCTATCAGGCGAATCCACGCAATCCACGTGTGCGCCACTAGCAAGACCAGTCATAACTTTGGGACCCTGAAGCTTCTTCATAGTACGGACTCGGGTTGGGTAGGGTAACTCTTTACTGTGAGACAGGCAAGCGCATATTGAAATCAAGGCATAATACACCTGCATGAGTGGCAAACAGAATCATTTCAGCGATATTTGTATGGTATTTATGCACCCCGAACATCACATAGCTGAGTCTATATTATCAAACATATCATTTCTTTCCAGGCAGCTTGAGCCATTTCGGCACGCCGCCATTCTTTCGTAAACCACCCGGCTTTTTGCCATCACCGCTATCACTTGGACCCGTCTGCTCTGCAACAGACGGGAGAGGCTCCGCAGGTAAATCCGGTGGCTGCTCTACTTTCAAAGCACGTGCTTGGCGACGAAGCTCCGGCCGGAGAATGTCTGATCGCTCTCGCTTCGGGTCGGCCCAGGTGAAGTTGACCAAGACGCGGCCAGCCAACCCCAGATCTTTGATAAGAAGAGTTTTATCCGAGTCTGGAATGATATTGGCGTTACCGGGGCGAGCTGACCCGGAACTGCCGAACACATTGAGGGCGAATCTCTCGCCTGCAACTTCGGGCGTGACGCACTGGCGCACGAAATCGTAGAGCGCCTGGCCTGTATCTGCGGGCCCGAATTTTGCAACTATCTGGCTTTGGTCTGGGAAACGGATTTTGACATCAACCTCGCGGATTTGTGATCGGCGTTTCTCCTCTGCGGCTGCCTTCGCGGCAATTTCGGCATCTGTTGGGAGACGCTGCGGCCGGGAGGACTGATTAAGTTGTCTCTGGTGAGCTTTGGCATGCTCTACAGACGGGATATAATCTTCTTCATTGTAGGGTATCTGTGCCGATGATGGTATGCTTTCAACAGGTGGAGAAAATACTGTTATTGAGCGGCCACCATCCAAGGTGAGTTGGTCTGGAGAAGCCGATGCTGGCGCGGTGTCCTGGTCAGATGCAGGTGCGGCAGGTTCTTTCGTTGGCTCGGTCGGCTGAGAATCTTGCGTATTGCTCGCTGGCTCTTCAGCAGTAGCAGCTGGTGTGGCTGAAGAAGCTTGGACGGGTGCCGGTAATAGCATATCTTCTCCCACTGATTTGAAATACTCTCCAATTTTCTCCATTGCCTCTTCCATCGGCTCCTCAGTTTGGCGAAAGCTCAGGCGGATCAGGACATTCCCACTGTTGAATCCTAGCTGCGCGAGTGACTTTTGCAGATCCGTAAAGCTTGAGAGCTCTCGTTCGAGGATCTGTAGGACAGGAATTTCGTAAACTACACGCCCGGAGCCAGAATCTCCAGTTGTGGCAGGAACACCTCGGGCTGTGAGATTTCTGACCGGACCACCTCCAGCTACACCAGCTTCGAACTTTCGCAGGACCAACCAGAGGGTGGTTGTGCTAGGAAATTTGTCAAGAAGACGTCCGTTCGGAGCCCCGCGAGCTTCGGATTCAGGTAGTTGGAGGGCAACTGTGACGACTGATGGAGAGCGCGAGAGTTGGACAAGCTCTAATTTGGCGCCAGAGCTCAGGCCTGAGAGGCGGAACGAAAGAGAAAGATCCAGTTGCTTGCGATTGTATCTGAAGGTAAATATCGTGTCAGCCTCATTACTATCAAGTGGGGTTGGGCTGATTTACTTTAGGCCATATTGGGTGGGGTTGTATCCGAACTTTGTACATGCTTCATGTAGAATATCTGTCAGGTGCTTGGATGGTGTCGTCTTGATCGTTGCCCGCCTGGCCGTGGAGTCGATCACCACGACGTGGGCGCTCATGGTGGCTGCGGAGGCGGACGCGCAAAGAAACAGTGACGAAGTGCGATCGTTGGGTACAAACTCGACTGCGTACTCTGAAAAGGAGACTGTAAAGAGCAAGAATAACCCGATAAATATTAACCAGCACAAGGGCCGAAAGATGCTGAGTAAAAGGTTGAAGAAGGTAGTCGAAGGTCGAAGGGCGACTAAAACAGGCAGCGGTGCGGGCGTCATCCGAGTTCGCGTACCTCACAGCTTCCCCGTCATCAACTCACCTCCTCCCATCATCCATCCTCCACAGCCTTCCAGCCTCCCACCCCTTCCATCCTGCCAGAGAAGTATCTCTGGAGCTCCAGAATACTCCACGCAGTCCATATTGAACAAGATAATTTGCAATAATGGTGAGAAATTGGGTCTCCTGCTTCCAATCGCTCTTGGCCGGATCTCAAAGCTGACCTCCCTTCTTCCATCAGAGCAATCCCTTCGACATCAGTATGCCGGGCCCTTTGACCTAAACACCAGACACCTGAGAAGCTAATCGATTCATAGATGGCGGTGCCTGTGTCGCCATGGTGGGCAAGGACTGCGTCGCCATCGCCTGCGACCTCCGCTTGGGTATGCAAGCCCTGACCATCTCCAACAACTTCCCCAAGATCTTCAACTACGCCCCATCGACTTACCTCGGTCTGACCGGTCTCGCTACCGACGTGAGCACTGTCTCCGATCTCTTCCGTTACAAGGTCAACATGTACCGACTGCGCGAGGAGCGCCATATTGCACCTCAGACCCTGGCCAACTTGGTTAGCTCATCGCTGTACGAGAAGCGCTTCGGCTCTTTCTTCGTCAGCCCTGTGCTAGCAGGTATCAACCAGACCACCGGCAAGCCATTCATCTGTGGCTTCGACAGCATTGGCTGTATCGATTTTGCGAAGGATTTCATTGTGGCAGGAACCGCCAGTGACCAACTGTTCGGTACCTGCGAGGGACTCTGGGAGCCAGATCTTGTACGGACGCATTTTTCCCAGTGATATTCCTTTCGTTCCAAGCTAACTTTGTACCAGGGTCCCGAGGATCTGTTCGAGACTATCTCGCAAGCACTCCTAGCCGCCGTGGACCGAGACGCCCTCTCTGGTTGGGGTGCCCAGGTCTACATTATAGAGAAGGACAAGGTCACCCAGCGGTTACTAAAGGGACGACAAGATTAAAAGGGTACAATACTGGTTGAGCTGTTTATTTCGGCTTTCTGTTTGTTTCAAGTCGGAATTAGGCGTCTGCAGTTTTCACCGGATGACGGGGCGCCATGGACAGCCTGGAGGAACATCACAACAGTGGCATGAGGACGGTCACCGGTCGAAGGATAAATTCATTACAACTTCAAGTTTCCTCTTATCTATCACGACAATACAATGCTCCATCACCAATGGGCACAGCAATATTGCATATCTCTTTCCTGCGTTTGTTATTAACAAGCCTAGTGCCGGTTTTCAATAGCCTGCTTTTCCTGCTATCGCCCCATAAGCTGCGCCTTCTTTTCCGAGAAACTCTTTCAGGTCCGCTACCAGCAACTCCGGCACTTCCCAAGCGGCAAAGTGGCCTCCGCAGTCAAATTCAGTGGTTCTGACAACATTCCCCATGGCTCCATACCAAAAAGTGGGCCACTGAACAAGTTCGTCTTTAAATTGTGCGACAGCGAAGCGTATATGATCTGATGCCGTGCCCCCAATCGACTGTTCCAGGCTCGTCCATTTCGTAGCATCCCCGTCCTTGGACTTGGCACTTTCAGGGACGGGCGCCGACGCTTCATAGTAGATTCTAGTAGAGGCAGTGGGTCCGGCCCGTGAGAAGTAATAAATGCTCACCCAAGTCAAGATCTCCTCATCTGTCCATTGATAGTCACTTGACCAGGAATGGAGCTTATCGTAAACCCAAGCAAGAAGTCCGACGGGACTATCATGCAAGCTATATCCCAGCGTTTGGGGTCGAGTCTCTTGTACCTTCATGTACGCATTGCCCTTCATGAGGTACTCAAAGGTCCGAGCGATGTATCCGCGGTCCTTTGCGGAGAAAGGGACACTCATCAAAGATTGGAGGAAACGCAGAGGAGCGCGCCATGGGTAGGGTGGTGGGACGGGGGCGAAGTTGACATGGATCGCTTGAATGTGTCTGGAGTAGTATCTTGCCATCGTGCGTGAAATCATGCTGCCCCAGTCTCCTCCTTGGATCACTTTATGGACATCAGTAGATTATACGTTGACGAATAGACGGGTCCAAACTGACCATATTCTTCGTATTCCAGCGCCAGCATAACCTTGTGTAGAGTCTCCGCATACTGTGCAAGACCAAATCCTTTCTACAAAGCTTATTAGGGATTGCGTAGCGAGAATGGACCCCAGATGGATCATTTCATACCTTCTGGACACCTCGTGAAAACCCAAAGTTGGGCAATGACGGGGCCACTACATTGAAGGCTGGTCCATCATCCCCTCTAGTTAGAAGGGGAATAATCTTGGTCGCTTCCAGGAAATTCCCCGGCCCTGGTCTTATTTAGTACATCAGGCCGAGTAAAGGGTCAATCCAGAGATCAGGAGCGTACACCCATGAATGAATAGCAAGGGGATGGCATTATTTTTTCCTGAGCGATGATGCACAACATGAATATCCAACTCTCCGAATCCATCCACGGTAACAGGCACCGTGTACTGGTTCAGTTGGTCGTTCAATGTCTTTTCTTGGGCACGCCAATCGAACGTTTCTCTCCAGGCCGTAACCAAACGTTTCATGTCCGCCAGCGGGACCCCCATGTCCCACCCCACTGCGTCGATTTCATCGGGGAAAGTGGCAAGCTGCAGCTTCTGGTTCAGTTGATCAAGTTGCTCTTCCTGCACGGCGATTGTAAAAGGGGTGATATCTGCCATTGCTTCGTTTCTTGCCAACTTCAAGTCGAAAGCAATACTAGATGATGTGAAAGGAAAAGTCTGTAGGGCATGTGCGAGCTAGTAGATAGTTTCTCAAGCTTTGATCGATTGATTTGTATTCCCACTTGACATCATGGCCAGTTGCACTGCGTATTCTGGGCTTTGATTGGTTGGACCAGCCTCGGCTTCACGATTTCAGTTCCACGGTGGGCGGGGGATGTTCACTGAGCAGTCGAGTTGGTATTCAGTCTATTGTCGAAATCGAGAGGTCCTCAAAATGGACGGCTTTTCAGGTTGAAAGTACTGTACCCTCAGAGTTTTCCTTTGAGGCCCGCTCAATACGGATTCAAGGATTCCTTACCGTCCGCAGTTTACATTAGTGACGACCCGAGTTGAAAAGATATATATCCATGGACTAAAGTTTCCAGTTGAAGTGTTTGGTCACCCCACAGCTCTGAATGCACATCCTCGGATCATACAAATTTGAAGGAAGTAAGTATTCTAGACTGGATGCCTAGGTAATTCATGCCCCAATGGCTGGTGCAGGAAAGATCAATCCCAGGGCTTCAGGGTCCCAGGGCCGACAATGCTTGGCTTATAAATTGACTTGATTTGCTAGTTAACTGTTTGACCTGTTTGTATCACTGCATTCAACATTCTTATTGGACAAGAAGCTCTCCTGTTGCAGACATCCTGACGGTTTTCTGCGAAGCCTACAATTTGCTCACGGTGGTTGACAAACCAGCATATGTTTACTAACTAGCGGCGCCGCTACCAAGTTAGTTTTTCGACTTCCAAGGTGGTCAGTATATACAAAGGCTAAGTTTGCTTGGCCTTCGAAAGGGAAACACTCGTTCGAAATTTCGCAACTTGATACAAAATTGGAATCTAAGAAACAATTCCTTCAGAATTTAGAGAAGCTCTGTTCCAAAGCATACTGCCGTGAATTCTCGACAATGTCATTCAGGGGTACCGTTCTGGTTCTCGGGGCCGGTCTTCGGGTTGGTCACTCAACTGCCGCACTCTTCGCGCAGCATGGCTACAGGGTTGCTCTTGTCGCACGAAGCCTGGCCGAAGGTATGCTGCAGACGGTACCTTGATGATTAGAGCAGACTTAGCGGACTTGGACAGGATTCCCTCCATCTTCCTGGCTGTAGAGCAAGCCCTCGGTCCGCCCAATGTCGTGGTCTTCAATGGTGGGCCATGAAATGTATGCATACTAGTATGGGATGTTCCTGATAACTTTAGGAGCGCTTCGTCTTTTGAATTCCCCCGAAGACCCCCTAGCAGTCCCCTTGGGTGACATACGTAGATCATGGACGGTGGGATTCGAAGCTGCATATGTGGCTGCACAAGAAACCGTGCGAGTCTTCAAAGCTTTACCATCCTCGACCACAGGGCGTTCATTTACACTGGAAATGCACTCAATCAGATAGCAATTCGGGGAGTCATGCCTTTTGCCATTGGAAAAGCATCGGCGTCGACTCTCGTTGAATCTGCTACCAATGCGTACGGCGTGGATGGAATGAGGTCAGTCGGCCGCTTCTGAATAAATGCATTACATTGCGGATTGCTCAAGCAATCAGATTCTACTACACCGATGAGCGGCATCCGTACAGCGGGCCTACCGGAGCAGATGTCGATGGCTGCGGACATGCTGATATGTATTGGCAAACGGCCAATGAGAGAGAGCAAGACAAATGGCTGGTAAGCTTCACAAAAGATGGAACTCGCTATGAATTCCCCGGTGTTGATTTCAAAGGGAAGCAGCGATGGGAATGACGGAACACGTAGAGGATCTCCTATTCAAGAGCTTGGGCGGACCCAGCATGTAGTCTCTAGCACGTTTACTGTTAACGATAGGAACATGCTGATGGGCCGCAAAAGCGTTGAGTAGCACCTACGGTCGAGAGGTATACCACGCGATTATCGAAGGCTAGACTCAGGCGGGGCCGGAATTACCTAGTCGGAGCTGAAAATGGAGAGCGCTGGAGAGAATGGCCAGTGCTTTCTAGAACTTGGTGGCAAAAGATGGGGACGTAACCTATCTTAGTGCCTGCTGATAGGCCCGATTTAGTGGGCATTCTTCTAACGTGACCAGCACCAGATTCCTAGTTTGCACGGATGCATCGTAAGGGCGGTTCTGGTAGATTGAGATGGCGCCCAGACTAGATCAAAAGCTGGGCATACTAATTTCTCCTTAATCCAACGAGGCTGCAGAAGCAAATAGTTGCCTTTGTGATACATCTCGGATCTCGATTGGCCCGATGCAATGCGATCGATCTGCAAGACAAACAATTCTGAGCGGGTTCTCCGGTACTAGGTACCTTCCGGTGTACCTCTCAGGGCTGGATACCCAGAGTACCCAGTACGAGAACGAGAGGAGGGGGGGGGGTAAGCGGCGCTTGGTCTAGATCCGCCGATCAGTAGGATTGTCCGTGCATCTCCGTAGTCCAAGCATGACTAGTTCGAAAAAACCAAATCAAGGTCAAGATCCTGGGAAGAAATTGAGGAAGTTTCTGTACAAACAAGAATCCAACCGGCTTTTTTTTCTTTTTGAGTTCCAGCATAGTCTGAGTTCATGGCTCCCCGGTCCCTGACCCACGAACCTCCTGTTTCAGCCTAGGAACCACCAGCTTCTAGACCGCCCAGTAGCCCCATCGCCAATTCCCGAAAATCCCCTCTCTGGCTCTCCGGTTCCTTCTGGCTTTTCCGTCTCGAGTCTCCTCCCATATCCATACGGGGAGAGCTATGGTGTCAGCCCACCCCCATAACGACACGGCATTTTTAGTACATGGATCATGACCAAATCGACCGACTCCGACGCTCCTGCCCTTCACCAGCGTACCACCGGTCCCTTCTCAACCTGCAAATCTGAGTGTATGGCAGATGGGCTTATGACAGTACCGGCAGACAGCAATCTCCAGTTCGACCCCCCCTGGCGCCTGGAACGATGGAGCTCAATCTACCGCCATAGAACAACTTGTCGGACTCAAGCAGGGTTTGCGCACCTCAGACACCGAGCTCTTCTGGCAAAGGCTCATGGAGGATGTGACCTCCATCAGCAAAGCACAGTATGGGTTCGTGGCAAGACGAGTGCACGGTGCCGAATCCGTGAAGGAAGTTGGCGACCGTCGCCCCTCGCTCTTCGGCGCGGTATTCTATTACAACGATGGCTACGGGAACGTCGGATTACAACGAGACCGATATTTCGCCGGCGGAAACCCTCTTTTGTATATGGATTATGACCGTCCGTGTGTGATTTCCGAGAACCTCCAGTCAGTGTTGTCTTTCGGCGATGGCCAGCTTCCGTTCCCCGCCGAAGCCTACATGGCGATCCCCCTCTTCTCCAACGGGAAGTGCTTGGCGCATCTTGGATTGATGTGGTCTCCAGAAGGTGCGGGACAACGGGACTTGTCATGGTCATTTCTGGAAATGCTATTACATTCTCTCGAGGACATGATCGTCCAGCGACTCCTTCTGGACAAAGTGTTCCCGGAGCATCAATTGACCGAACCTCTAGCATCCAACCATCCCACTCCGCCAAAACCAGTTGAACCCTCTCAAGATGTTCCCGACTTCACATCCCAGCCACTCAAACCGTTCGCTCGCAGTTTGTCCCACGAATTACGGACCCCTATGCAAGGCGTTGTGGGGATGTTGGATGTGATGCACGCTACTGTACGGGAGGCAATGGAGAGCAAAGCTCCTGTCAAACCGGGCGGTATTTTCCAGACCCTCAAGGAAGGTATTGAAATGGTCCAGGACAGCGCCAGACGTGCTGTCGAGGCTGCAGATAACGTTGTGCATGCATACGATCTCAATATGCAAGTTCCTAAAACTCCCCAACGAGAGGAAGAAAACTGCGATCTGTCGCAGATAGCAGAGCATCCCACCGAAAACCGACCGAGTGTCTTTATCGAGGGGAACAACATCGCCGTAAACCCTTACAAGCGACGCCGAAGTCTTCCGTTGGATGTCTCAGCATCCGCGCGGCCGGCCCGGCGGCAGCGGCTGCGGGCGGCTACATCAAGACAGGAACTTTCACCCCGCAGCGAAGAAGTGAAGAATGCGGTCCACGAAAGCGATAAAATCGTTCACGCCACCCCTGCCCGCCAGATTGAAGCAGTCATGGCCAACATGGTGGACCCGAGACCGTCAATTGCGGTCCGCCGATCGGCACCGCATCTGCTTTTAGAGGGTATCAACACAAATTTGAGAGGCCCAGCTCTGCGGTTTACCAAGCTCCGAGATCTTCTTCGACTTGTTATCAACGAGTCTCTTCACGTTGGTGGCCGACCCGAGTCTGCCGAGAGCAACGTGACGGACTGTGGCGAGACAATTGAGATTCGATCTCGATCCTCGAACGGCCAGGTCTACACAAAGACGGTTGATTGGTCGGTTGACCCGGCACTTCCAGAAACCCTGTTAGCAGATGATAGGGATCTTGCCAAATTGATTTCCTGTGTTTTTCCTCAATGCAATCAAGTTCACCAATAATGGAACCATCACATTATGGGCGACACTAGATGCTAAGAAGAACGATGTATTGATTATGGTGCGAGATACTGGTCCAGGAATTCCGGCTGCGTTTCTGCCCAATCTCTTTAAGCCTTTTGCTCGCGAAGATGCATCAATCACGCGAAGTAAGGACGGCTTGGGACTTGGCCTTCTCGTAGCCAAAGGTCTGTCCAGAAAGATGGGAGGTGACCTGATTTGTGTTCGCTCAGCTACCACAGGCCCTGACCACGGATCGGAATTTCAGATCAGAGTACCTGTCAACCAGCGCGAAGCCTACAGCCGCCTCAGAAGCCCGTGCGAGAGGACCATGACCCCTCCATCACTCAACGGGCACACACGCACCGGAAGTGGCAGCAGCTTCGTTTGGGAACCCGCATCTTTGAGCTCGCCGGCCGTATCGCAGAATATTCAACTGCAGCAACCGACCCCTAGCACTGTAGGTGAGACTCCATCTCACAATTCTCCGTCTCAAATCGCCACCCAGCCTCAGATCACTACTCTCCCCATCTCGCAAGACGCCTACGACAAGAAGCTTGGGGAAAAATACCCCTTGCGATTTTTGGTTGCAGAAGACAACCGAATCAATCGCCGTGTCCTAGTCAACATGCTACGGAAGCTAGGCTACCGAGATGTGCTCGAAGCCGCCGATGGTAGAGAAGCTGTTCAGATAGTCAAAGATACTTTGACAGCATCAACGCCAAGGCATAGTTCAACGGCATTTCCCAGTCTCGTTTGCGGGTCACCCGACGAACCCCCAGAAACTCACCCTGGCGAGATCAGACCAATCGACATCGTGCTCATGGATCTTTGGATGCCAGAGATGGATGGCTACGAAGCCACTACTCGCATTCTGCAGATGGTTGATGATTACGGGAAACCATCTACTTCACTGGAAGGATCCCCTCGGATAGATTCAATCAACTCAGACAGCATGGAAATGGACATGACACCTCGCACCCCTCAACCTCCTACCATTCTCGCCGTCAGTGCCGATGTCACCGATGAGGCATTGGCACGTGCCTCCAAAGTCGGAATCAAGGGTTATATGACGAAGCCTTACAAACTCACCGATCTGGAGAGGTTGATTCTTGGATTCTGTGGAGATCGTGGGGACATGATCATTGACAGTTGATCCCTTATTTTTTGAGATACTTCGTCGTCCCTCCTTACGCTTTCGTTTAGCCTTAGGAAGAAAGGACGGCTTGCATATACCCATAGAACTTTGTGTTCTTTCTCGAGGCTACAGCACACCTCACTTGCATTGTCATATCACGTTATTTTTGGTTCCTTTGGAATGCGATTCAAACATCATCGTCCGGCGTCTTTCGTTTTGGGTCATTTACTTCCTCTCCTGCCATATACCATTTCGGCTTTCAATGCTCTCCACAGCCTCTTATACACTGTTTACTACCATTTACCACGGACATGATGAGTAATGCATAGTTTGAATGCTTTCAGGAATGCATATAAATGATAATTCGTTTCTCATCTCCATGAACAGACCCTAAATAGCGACAGAAGTGATCGAGCAGTAATGTTTTTATTAAAAAAGAACAATGTGAAAGAAAGCTGTCATTACATCCGTTATCAAATCCGACATCGCTCTGACCATGCGTTCCACCGTTTCTTTTTTTTTGTTTGAAGCAGGAGATAAACTAGTCGTAATGCCTGCGCTGGACTATCGCTAGCCATGCATAACGACAGAAGGCCATTCCCATCATGAGAATGCCCTCTATCTTTTTCGGTCATGGCTGAAAAGAAGGGGGAAAAAAGTCAGGACACTCCGTTCAACCAATGATCAAATCCGCCTTGGGCGTGTATACTGCGGCAAAAACCAGAAACCCCACAGATGCGACACGTAGGCTTGATAACACATTGAGCATGCCATATATGAAACAACACCCTAGGTCAGCTTCTGCTTGATGAAGAATGACCGCAGGTGCGACAGCTGCCAGGCGCATGCAGCCGAGAGGACAGCCAGCTGGATGAGGGTCCACCGTACGACACGACTGTTGGTAGTCTCGGACTGGTCACGGAATTCAGCTTCACGTTCCTAGGAGAAGGGGAAGAAGTTAGTGGATAAGTCCAAGAAAGTAATTGACAACCCAATTCATCCAACTGTGCTGTGTTACAGGCAGTCAGGAACTTACCCGCTGGTACACCTGCTCGCGGCGAATATCGTGCAGGCGACTGTTCAGATCCCGAACACGCTGGACGATATCCTTCATCTTGTCCTTGTCCTCGGTCTCGATCTTGCTGGTCTCGCCAATAGCCAGGTCGAGAGATACCTTGACGCCGCCCTGGCCGTTGGATAGCCAGCCGGCGGTCGAGACGTCGGTGTCGGCCATAAAGCAGATACGGTGTTCGCCGGCTTCGGCAGCAGTGAAGGTAAAGCGACCAGAATGGCTGTCACGCTTGTTCACAACACGGTGGTCATTGTCGAAGGTCTCGTCGACTGTGATCTGGACCTTGAGGGCGTGGTCGATGTTGTAGGTGTTGGTGTTGGGATTGATGACATAGGTGGAGTAAGTGCCTGCAAAATTGTCGATCAGTATCGTGTCAGTCAATTGCAGGAAATATGTCCTGGGAACCAGTAGTCGTACCAGCTACCAAGGTGTCCTTTGGCAGATCCTCGTAGAAGCACTTCGTTTGACGCCCGTCCACGTAGAAGTACAGGGCATGCGCGGGGAGCAGAAGTGACAGTAAAGAAAAGAGAGCTAGAAGGACTGTGAGCCCCGGTGAGGATGCCTGGAAGACCATGGCGTGTTGAAGCGAGAGGTGTAATGGGGAAAGCAAACACCTATGAGTCTCCTATCTACTCCCGCATCAACACTGTCTGGCATCGGAGACACCGCTTTCCATTTTGGGGCGGCTTCCCTTGCCCGTTGCAGCATCGCGGTTTCCCTTTTTCGCGGAAAATCAGCATCGCAGATCAGACGATTCCATCTATTTGCTTTCAGATATTGTTTTCGTGCGGCAGTATATAATCTCCCCTTCTACCTTGCCTCATCTAGTGAGGCCCCACGATCATTATGGCTGCCGCAGCTGATGTCCGTGATATGCTGGATTTGCCCGCCGAGGGCCAGCCCCGACCGCATAAAAAGCAGAAAGTCGTGGAGAAGCGACCAGGTATGTGAGAGGTGGCTTTTTTGGACCAAAAAAAAAAAAGCAAGAACTCATTCACTGACGCGTCTTTCCTTGCAGAGGGTATTACCCGTGAACTCTACGCGCTTCTAGGTGAGCGAGCGCCGCCGATCGCTTTGAACGAGAACAAGTACAAGGGGCGCCCAAGGTGGATGAACAAGTTACGCGTGCGACCATGGTACGTATATATGTGTGGCCTCTTTACCAAAGAAAATACTTATTAGATGAATATAGGCGCATGACCCCCTTCACCAATAACGCTCGAGACGATGGCCTAGTGCTCTACCACTGGCAGCGCAAGCATGAATCAACCCGTCCTCCAATTTCGGATGGGGCTCAGATGGACACAAACGAATCTAGTGCAGAAAACAGAGACGACTCAGTCAAGCCGCTGGATCAAGTGTACCCGTTCGCAAAGTACAACATCCAGATCCGGATGCCCAAGCGATATACAGATGACGAGTACACCAAACTTCTCCAAAGCAAAGACTGGTCCCGGGAAGAAACCGATTATCTCGTGGATTTGGTACAAGAGTACAACCTGCGGTGGATGATAATAGCAGACCGATACGAATACCAGCCACGGGTGAATTCAGACGCAGGCGCAGACGCCGGTGCCAACGCGTTGGTCCCCGCCACGCACTACCGGACGATGGAGCAAATGAAGGCTCGATATTACTTCGTCGCGGCGAAGATGCTCGAAATTGAACACCCACCCGCCGAGATGTCGGAAGCCGAATTCGAGCTACACGAGCGGATGCTCAAGTTCGATCCAGACCGCGAGCGCGACCGCAAGGAACTCGCCGCCCTCCAGCTTAACCGCACTGCCGATGAAGTCCGTGAGGAGGCCTTGCTTCTGGAAGAACTCAAGCGGATCACCAGCAACGAGCAGAACTTCATAACTGAACGCCGCGAGCTGTACGCCCGCCTCGAGGTGCCTATCAGCGTCGGCAACACTACCATGTACCAGTCCAGTCAAGGCCTTTCACAGCTCCTGCAGACCCTCCTGCAGGCCGACAAGAGCAAGAAGCGCCGCTCAATACTCGGACCCGAAGGCTCGGTTGCTAGTCCCGCCGGCCAGACCCCTAGCCAAGCCACAGCAGCCGAGACTCCGACCGCCAGTTCCGCTGCTGCAAATAAGAAGGGCGGTATCGCCGCGCAGGCTCAGCCGCAAGTCCGTACCCTGACGCCAGCCGAAGAAGCCCGTTATGGCGTCCAGCATCACGAACGTGTATCAGCTGGCGTGCAATTCCGGAGTGACCGTGCCCAGAAGCTGACGCAGGCGAAGTCGAATGTGCAAACTCTCAAGCTGGCTGGCGCATTGGCCGAGCTGGAAATTCCTGTCCGCCTCTTCATGCCCACTGAACGGGTATGCAAGGAGTTCGAGAGGCTCATCCAATCGGTCAATCTGCTTCTGGATGCTCGCAAGGTTGCCGAGAAGGTTGAGAGCGAAATTCGTATCTTGGAAGCTGCCAGGGCTGATCGGGAGAAGAAGGCTGCCCCTGATGCTCCGCACCCGGAAGTGAAGACAGAAGCAGAGGAGGGGGCGTCGGGTGTATTCGATTCCACGGCTGCTGAATCTGGAGGTGCGGATAATTCGAACAAAAAGGACGATGGTGGTGACAACGCAGCGCAGGACGGAGAGGGGAACCACAAGCGCTCTGCTAGTGTTTTGAGTGGTGCTAGTGACAAAACCTCCAAACGCCAGCGGAGATAGACTGACTACCACTACTCTCAAGTCCTTTTAAATGGGAGCGTGGAATACCCCTGTATCAATACGCTTAATCGCTCGGTCTTTTCTTTTCTGTATGACCATAATGAAAATTGACTGCGGAAAACCTGCATTTATAATTCCCTCCAGCTTCTTGTGGTTGTTAATAATAGTACAATTCCCGTTGGTAAACAATATAAGAGCACAGGGGATTACACCTGGGCTAAGTCTGGGGCTCTCTTCATGCATAGTGGTTGTCTCCTTCATTGCTCATAAAAACCTACTCAACCGACTTGCCCAACGACTTCCCTCAAAGGAGCCAGGCATATCCAGACAGTTCTCGTCTGGTGAATTGCTTTTTGTGGAATTGGCTCGTTTGAGGCTGGTTGAATCACAGTCATGATAGGAATTGCCAGAGGATGATTGTGATATCTCCTGCTGATAGCGTGAAAAGCGTCTGCCTTCCCAGTGTCGCGAAAACCGGCGCACCCAACGTCCAGGCCGTGACACACTTGCTTGAAGCTCAGTGCTTCGGTCTTCAGCTTCGTTGTCGAATTCAGCAGTAAGTTCTGCGTCAATGGAACCCAGCTCAGCTTCATCGGGTGGATCAAGTCTGTCGAACCGATCAACAGAGGGTTTCCCATCCTGCGCTCTTCCACCGTGATGCTCATTCCTGCGCTGGGCTCGTGACTTCGCCTTCGCAGATTGACTGAGTCGTGCCCATTGGCGAGCAAATTTGCCATTCGCTTGGCTGGGATGGTGAGATGGCGGGATTTCGCAATGATCGACTTGGAACATCGGGGTCAATCCTGGAGCACGAAGACCTCCGTTCGTTGCTTCATCAGTCAGTATAATTGGGGCTCCTTGCTCTCGGCTGGTGCGGTTTTCCAGAGAGCGTCGCATATATGGCGGCACAGGAGAGCCTGCTCGGCGTTGTGACGAATCGCTTGGTGAGGGGAAAGTCGTTGTCTCGTTTGGACGGGAAGGTGTGTATCTGGCGTCAACGGCAGGATCCTCATCTGATTTATTATATGGAACGTTGTTCGCCGATTCAACAGGGGTCCGGGAATTCGATGGCTCTCTAGGCTCTTGTTGAATGCTCGGGTCCACGAGCTCGATTTCGGCCTTCCAGCCTGCCGGCCTGTTAAACTGCGGATAATAACAAACATCTTGACTCCGGTTATTGCTTCCAGTTTCTGGTACAGCACTGTAGCCATAGCCAACGCGTCTACCACCCGACATCCAGCCAACGCTGACTTTGCGTGGCGAAGCTGAGCCACTGGCTTGACCTAACTTTGATAAAAAGGAGGAGACGCATGAGAATTGCAGTGTTCCTTAAATCTGCTATAAACCTCTGGTTTTGGGTCCGGAATGTCTATTATTGGTGTTTGGTCTCCTAATTCCCCAGAAAGGTCATGCTTGAACAGAACGTCCTTCTCAATGGTCTGTTTGCATGTTTTGGTATCCTGTGGTGAACAATCAGACGAGAAACTCACACCACGGGAGTAACAAGAGGATGCGTTATGGGAGCCAGCCATTAGAGCAGGATTGGCCGGGATCGATGTCATAGAGTTCCCTGGCCCACGGGGAATCTGGACATGTTCTTGAGAGGGTGCCATTAGAAACCCTTGTTGTACTTCGTGGATCACTTCAGCTAATGACGGATGGTCCGATATGAGGGCAGATGATTGAGCGGGCGAGGCCTCTCTCTTGGAAATACTCAGCTCGTTGAAACCATTCAGATCGGGATCTGTAAATGATCTTGTTCCTGAAGATAGATTCCTGGCCTTGGGGACCATGAAACCCGGCGACGGAACTGACAGCGAGCCCGATGATGCAACACCATTCCCATGACGGCTGGTCAGAGCTTGCTTCATGCTTGGGACCACAGATTGAATATCCGAACTATTCAGAAGATCAATTCCTGAGAATTATTCGAAGTTGACCGCCCATGCTCTGTGGCCGTTGAAGATAAAGACGGAAGAGATCTCATTAACTTAGGTTTCACGTCAAGAGCCAATTGATGTCTTCTTCGCTCCGAGGCTTGTGAAGGCTGACCCTGGTATTCATTTGTGCCCTGAGGGGTGTGGAAAGATATGGGCATACCCCTCAGTGAGGTTGGTGGTGTTGGTATAAAGCGCATGCCAAAGGCCGACTCTTGGGATGCTGGCGCAGCCGAGTTTTCACTCATGGCCCACCGTTCTGCAGAAGTCCGCTCTTGGCTTCGCTCAATGAGATCACTCAATTCCATTCTTCGAAGCCCATGACCTGCCAGTGGGGGAGGTTTCCTGAGGAGATCGGGGCGACGTGGAGTTGTAATACACTGCGCATCGCTATCGTATACTCTGTCGCTCATGAGACTGCTTCCATATTCTTCCAGTGTAGCAACGTCAATGACAGGATTTGTCCGAGCGGATCGGGATGGTCTTAATGAGAAAGGAAAACCACCTTTCCCGAGTTCGCGTGGATCACTGGACGACCTGGAGGATTTGGATTCTTTCGAGAACCGACGGCGCAGCCTGCGAGAGAAGCTCTCTGTTTGTATTTGCGAACTTGAGTGGCTTGCAGACCCTGGCCGATCTTAGTTAGAATTTGCCACTGGAAAACAAACAAGACACTGAAGTGGCTAGTTGATGCAGGGCATACCGTGCGGTTGGGCCCGGCCTGTTTGTGGCTCTGGGGACTGAAAGTCATTATATAGTCGCACAACGGGTGCCGGTGACACGGGGCGCCCCTGTCGCCAACGGGGACAGACCAGGAATGTCATCTAGAATGAGATTGAAGGAGAGACGAGAGGGAGACAGGAGGAGGGTTCGGAGATGGGATGCCATGTTGGTGGAGAAGCAGGTGCTGGAGCGCACCTTCCCGATCTATACAGCTGGGGAAGGAGATGAGCTGCACTACTGGCCCTTGGTGCCCCCAGGTCTCTCCTTAGAACATCATGGAGTCTTTTCCAGGTTGCGTTGCTACCACCGTGGCTGTGCCTTTCGTTTCTTACGCGTTCGACTTACTATAGACGCCGTACCTATGACTCCGAGTATCATCCATGAGCTTGCTCTATACTATGTGGTAGTCCTATCGTAGGAGCAGATGATATGCGGCACAGAGTCATGTATTATGTGCCCTATCAAGTTACATGTCGCTGTGCATTGTGCATATCGAGATTATGTTATTATGGAAAACTGCGTATGTTTTGGGCGATGGGCGTCTCCTATAATACCTTAAGTGTTTGCTTGATATAGTTATACGAGGGTGACAATTGTGATGCGATGTGATGCGCTGAGCGTTTGGGAGGTCTCCCCGTATTGAATCCACCAGAGCAGAGTCGCTGATGCGGAGCTAACAACATCCAAGACAGGAGGCGGGTAAGATGCCTGTGGTATAGGTGATGTGATCACTCCCACTGATAGTTGTCTGTAAGCAAAACCTGCACATACGTGATCTTGGCGAGAGCGAGTGTCAGTGCCCTCGAGGGAGAACATAAGACGAGAAAATGATCACAAGGTAGGTTCTCTTACTCAACGCTGACTCCCCCCCAGTCATTTCACTTGTCGGGTTACCAGATATCGCCAGCAAGGGTGTTCATGTTATATCCAATTGTCATCATCCTCGGATTCTTCATCATGGGGAACATTGGTTTAAATATGGCCTCACCCTCTTAGCGGTGGTCTTGCTAGTGTTGGTGGAGAATGCCGAAAGTGATGGCTGGGCAATATGGTGAGAAGATGGATGCAAACTGGAAAGGCGGCAATGAGGCAGTACCTGGGCGAAATGACGCGAAGTAGGAAGGCTCATGAACCGCTCTTATTGGATACTTGGAGACCGTGGCAGGTTGTATAGCTATCGTTATAGTTACCACAGGTCTGCCCTCAAGGCAGACCTGAAGGCTTCCAAATTCCTCTAGACCCTTCAGTGTATTTGCTTCACTACGTGACGCCGCCATGCCCCAATTCTTTCGGTGGTCCAAACAATGAGCCCTAACAGTAAAGGCAGGTTAGTCCCCTTTGTGCTTCGGACGATTATAAGGAAGTCACTTAGAGTAGTGACATGAGGTGGTAGATTTGTATACTCGTGCGAGATCAATGAGTTGAGAAAGGATAACTCATCCTAGCGGGAAATATCCAGTCATCGATGACGGTGGCCCAACTGGAAGGGCAATGAGAGATCTCCGTCATTGAAGGTGAGGGGTCATTTCATAGAGTTCTCTTTTAGCCCCGCACGAAGGATACAGCTCGAGCTCCTGCAGACCCATCGGCTTTATGGATCTTGGCTGGTCGGCTGGGAAGGGCCACCACAGAATGAACTAGTGCTTTACCGTGGCGAGTTCGAGATACAAGGGAATTCCAATCCATGCGCCATTGATGACCGGGGATTGATCACGGCCCTAGAGCTTCCGACCCCAATAATCCCGCCCCAGATGACATTCCTGAATCTTCAGCTTCCCATGGCAGCTTGCAGCAGCGGTGATTGGCTCGGGGCCATATATAAGCTCCTGTCGGGATCCGAACGTTGCTGAGGAAGAATCGGCCCCCGTGGCCTGCAGCTCCCACGCGTAAGATTGGGGCAGGTCCTCTCCCTGTGTCTTTGATTCGCTTGAGTATGACGAGGATGACGAGGATGACTATAAGCTGATTCTGATCTTTAATTCCTATTCTATTGCATACGGCCGACGCAGACGGTCATGACAGCCCCCAAGTAGACAGTAAAAAAAAACTTTGTTATCGAAGCTTATCGCCCCTCATCCAAAATGGCGTGATTTGCGCCGATCGCGGAGTCGAAAGCAAAATAATTAGTGGGGGCTCTTACACCGCGTATGGGCGTCGCTGCGCAACAGTTGGTCCTGTACGGGGTTGTGACAATGAAATTACGGACTGGAGACACCCAATTTGCCCTTTTCCCCGTAACGCCAGCATCCAGTACAGGAAGGGGGCCAATCCGTGCCACGTCCCTCTCTGCCCCTCTTATCCCAAAAAGGCTTAGACTAGAACTCCCCCTCCATTTTTCTTCTCGCCCTTTTCCCGCTTCATCTCGCTGTTTTTCTTTTCTCTTTCTCTTCTTCTCTTCAAAGGCTGCGGGTTCTTTATCTTATTCCTTTGTTGAGATCCCGTTCAATTCCTCTTTCACCCCCTTTTTTCTTCACATATCCGACAGAATGGTTCAATCGTATGTGCTCCTTTGCTCCTCTTGCTATTCATGCTAGTACCAGTCTAACATCTCCTCCAGCGCTATTCTCGGCTTCCCCCGTATGGGTAAGCTACGTGACCTGAAGAAGGCCACTGAAGCTTACTGGGGTGGAAAGATCTCCCGCGATGACCTGCTCGCTGAGGGCAAGCGTCTCCGTCTGGAGCACTGGAAGATCCAGAAGGATGCCGGTGTCGACAGCATCCCCAGCAACGACTTTGCTTTCTACGATCAGGTCCTGGACCACATCCAGCTCTTCGGTGCTACCCCCGAGCGGTACTCTTCCCAGAACCTCCACCCCCTTGACACCTACTTCGCCATGGGCCGTGGTCACCAGAAGGATGGCGTTGACGTCCCCGCCATGGAGATGGTCAAGTGGTTCGACTCCAACTACCACTACGTCAAGCCTAGTCTGGTGGACAACCAGGTCTTCAAGCTCGAGGCTGACCCCAAGCCCGTTCGTGAGTTCAAGGAGGCCAAGGAGGCTGGCATTGTCACCCGCCCTGTCCTCCTCGGTCCCGTCTCTTTCCTCGTTCTCGGAAAGGCCGATCGTTCTGCCAGCAAGGATCTGAAGCCCATCTCCCTGCTGGAGAACCTCCTCCCCGCCTACGTTGATGTCCTTACCCAGCTGAAGGCTGCTGGTGCCGAGGATGTCCAGATTGACGAGCCCGTCCTCGTCTATGACCTTGCCCCTGAAGCCAAGGCCGCTTTCAAGCCCGCCTACGAGAAGCTGGGCTCCCTCGGTGACAAGGCTCCCCGCATCACTCTTGCCACCTACTTTGGTGACATTGTCCACAACATCGATGTTCTCAAGAACACCCAGTCTCTCCACGCCATCCATGTCGACCTGGTCCGTAACCCTGAGCAGCTCGACACCGTCCTGGGTGCCTTGGGCCCCAACCAGACCCTTTCTGCTGGTGTTGTCGACGGCCGTAACATCTGGAAGACCAACTTCAAGACCGCCATTGAGAAGGTTGAGAAGGCTATCCAGAAGCTCGGCAAGGACCGTGTCATTGTTGCCACCTCCAGCTCTCTTCTCCACGTCCCCCACACTCTTGCCAGCGAGAAGAAGCTCGACCCTGAGGTCCGTGAGTGGTTCAGCTTCGCTGTCGAGAAGGCCACCGAAGTCACCATTATTGCCAAGGCCGTGACTGAGGGCCCTGCTGCCGTTGCTGACGCTCTTGCTGCCAACGCCAAGTCCGTCGAGTCTCGTGCTACCTCCACCCGTACCAACAACCCCAACGTCAAGGCCCGCCAGGCTGCTGTCACCCCTGAGCAGCACGACCGCAAGTCTCCTTTCGCTACTCGTATCGCTGAGCAGACCAAGACCATCAAGCTCCCTCTCTTCCCCACCACTACCATTGGTTCCTTCCCCCAGACTCCTCTGATCCGTCAGACTCGTAACAAGTTCACCAAGGGTGAGATCACTGCCGCCGAGTACGAGAAGTTCATCGAGGATGAGATCAAGGAGGTCGTTCGCATCCAGGAGGAGCTTGGCCTGGACGTGCTCGTCCACGGTGAACCTGAGCGTAACGACATGGTCCAGTACTTCGGTGAGCAGCTCTCCGGTTACTGCTTCACCACCCACGCCTGGGTCCAGTCCTACGGCTCCCGCTGTGTCCGTCCCCCCATTATCTACGGTGACATTGAGCGCCCTGCTCCAATGACCGTCAAGGAGTCCAAGTACGCCGTCTCGATTGCCAACAAGCCCATGAAGGGTATGCTTACTGGTCCTATCACCTGCTTGCGCTGGTCTTTCCCCCGTGACGACGTCCACCAGTCCGTCCAGGCTCAGCAGCTCGCTCTCGCCCTCCGTGACGAGGTCATTGACCTCGAGGCTGCTGGTGTCCAGGTCATTCAGGTCGACGAGCCCGCTCTGCGTGAGGGTCTTCCTCTCCGTGCCGGTGAGGAGCGCACCAACTACCTGAAGTGGGCTGTTGCTGCTTTCCGTCTCGCCACTGCAGGTGTCCGCGATGACACCCAGATCCACTCTCACTTCTGTTACTCTGAGTTCCAGGACTTCTTCCACGCCATCGCCGCTCTCGATGCCGATGTCCTCTCCATCGAGAACAGCAAGTCTGACGCTAAGCTCCTCAAGGTCTTCGTCGACGAGACCTACAACTCCCACATTGGCCCCGGTGTGTACGACATCCACTCTCCGCGTGTGCCCTCCGAGCAGGAGATCAAGGACCGCATCAACGAGATGCTGGTCCACCTCAAGCCCGAGCAGCTCTGGATCAACCCCGACTGTGGCCTCAAGACCCGTGGCTGGCCCGAGGTCAAGGGTGCTCTCACCAACATGGTCAACGCTGCCAAGTACTTCCGTCAGCAGTACCAGAAATAAGTCTAGCCCCCCCAACCTTTTCCTTTGTTATTCCTATAATGTGTTAATCTGGGGAGGGCCGCAATCAACCTGCGGCCTCCAACACGGGGAGTTTTGTTTTTTGATGAGTTATGACGATGATACCAAAAGTTCAACATACGGGTTTCAACGGGTTCTGCTGATTAGAGGGCACCAAAAGCGGGTTTACGGAGTTTCAACATGACTGACGATTTCAACATGGGTGCCATTGTTTCGGTGCCGACTATTTCAACAATTCTTTCGGATCCCGTTCTCTGCCTGGCTGTCCAAGCTGGGCACTGAACCTGGAGACGAGAACTACTTGGACAGCTTCGCTGTCTATTATGTAGAATCAGATGTGAATATATTCTATTTCTGCCTTCCTGGTGGAAAGACTGAACTTTCTTTTCTAGAGGCCTGACTTGTAGGATGTAAATGAATATTGGTAGATGTCTTGACATGTCATGGAGGACCTACTGGTGCCAGTAGCATATGCAACATCTCCTCACCAAACGGGGGGGGCCCTTTGCCGCGTAAAATGACGAGGACTGCCATTCAGAATTAATCGTAACTCAGCGGGGGGCCATGGAGCACTTTTACTACTAAACTGAATCGAGATAGCCGTGCTCCACGGATATCTCTCCGATCGCAGGGAGGCAATTGGGTAACAGACGAGTCATCTCCTGGTAGATATTGAAAAGATCAGTGTCAACCACGAAGGATAGATCATTGGAGAAGATGTCTAAATCCCTGTCTTTGCCGTACGACGGAGGTTTGGTCTTGAAAAGTACAAGTAGACTAGTAAGAACCAGAGACAAGTTGATGGCGGTTGGTGTTTCGGTGAAAAGTCTACAGACACCACCCAGTTTGTTCAACTGTAGATAGCAGTCAGGACCAACCTTAAAGAATGTAGTTTCTTTCAAGCAAATAGGTTTGATACTATATCTGTTCTTAAGGGGAAATATGCTCTCTGAGATAATTATCACTTCCCTCCACCAATACGACAACGAACACCTAGAGTATCAAGCCCAGGCCTTGATGTCAGACAGGCAATATTGGTGAAAAACCCTGTATACCACTCTTCCTTCACATTTTCCGTGCCAGTGGAATCTTCCCACTTCACAGCAGAGAGCACCAGGGAACGACCGCCCCTCGCCCAGCAACATCCTTCTCTCCAAACTTCTCCACATACCACTTACGCCCCCATCGAGCATGCGGCAACATATTCGCAACTGCATTCACGACGAACATAACCGCCGGCAGCGGAAGCGGCACGCCAAGTCGATCCGAGGCCCAGGCAGCGGGCAAAAGCCACGGCGCGGGCTTGAGGGGAGGCGGCGTACCAAGCCCGGCCGACTTCCCAAGGGGAAAGACAGCGACTCCTGCGAGAGCAAATCCCGCCCATTCGAGCCACTCGAAGGCAAAGTGCGGATACAAGATTGAGCGGAAGACACCCGTGGGAGGCGGGATGACATAGACCTTGCTGTACTTGTTGCCGGTGGGCCCGGCATTCGTGTCGGACTTCTTGGCAGCACGGCGCTCTCCCTCTTCGATTCTGAGGCGGAACAGCGTTTTTTCGGAGTAGATGTTTCCTGCCATGCCGATGCAGAAGAGGAATGCACCAATTCCTGAGAGCACCTCGACTAAGGTAGCGCTGGTGGATGGGGATAGTGCGGCTGCTCCATCGGTGACGAGGCCGACGATGGGAGTGGGATACCCGCGCAGCCATCCGGCTAGACAGGAAGAATTGAACCAATTGAACGCGATGGCGCTCGACATGATGAAGAAATGGATGGGTGACATGCTTGGAGCTGAGTAGAAAGGGGAAATGATGGCCCGGTTAAGATAGTGGCAGCAATACATCCCTGCCAGAACTTGGTTGGAAAGGGGCAGCTGGGTCAAGCTTGGAGATGCGGCGGCCAGGTTGTATATCAAGTTGATCGGGCCGACAATTTCCATGGCGCACCATGCAATGCGTCCCGGTAAATTGAAGACGGAGCTCTTGAGAGAGGTTTTGCCTGCAGGATACCATGATAGAAGCCATTGGAAGATAGTTACCTGTTGAGTGGTTTAGGTTCGAAACATTGGAAACGGGAAAGTGGGGGGCATGTGTTTGTTTACCAGAGGGAAATATTGAAACACAGTGATCAGGAGGGCGTACGCCTCAGGGGTCGGAGGAGCGAAGTCGCGAATGGAAGGTACAGAGCCCCAGCCAGTGGAAAGGGCTGAACCCATGGTTGACAAAGTGGTAAGGAGGAAAATGTGCGAAAATAGCTGCAGAAGGAGATCGAACAAGGGATGCGATCACCTTCTATTTAGGGTTACTCAAGGATCGCGGGGGGTGGACTACTTCGAATGCTCTGGGACTAGTGAGCACTAAGCAAAACTAAATGCTGGCAGCGTGGCGCAAGCTGCACAAACCTGTCTGGGGCTGGACGCGAGGTCGGTGAAGATGCAGCGATCTGATGTAATTGTTCCCTAAGTAGGAAGGCGGTCATGGTACAAGCTACAGTCCTTGGGAGGTCGAGGCCGACTAGCCAGCCGACACATCCATTGCCTCCGTCCTTTTACCGGTCCTTTCAGCCTTGAACGCCTCGATCTTGCTCTTGAGATCGGTATCTAAAGAGGCAGTCAGCTCTAGTGAAGTGGTCATTAGCGTCACATGCGTTCCTACCTGGGATCACGTTCTCCATAGTCAAGGGGACACGGTTGAAAGGATCATGCGGATCACTGAGAAGGTGCGAGCGAATAGTGGCACGGTCGATGGACACACGCGATGACGGCAGGATGACTGGGTCTTCCATGAGCGTGTACATAAGAGGGTCTGCCAAAGAGTCAATCACAAGTCTGATGATAGCTGAATGGTGAGTAAACATACCCAGGAACTCGTCAGGGATCTCGCCCAGGTCCTCCTCTGCTTGCTCATCAAGCTCCTTCGCTGTCTGGACTTTCTTCTGTAGCTGGCTCCAGCGGCGTAGCTCCTCCGGTGACTTCAAAGACCATTTTTGCAGGATCTCGGCTGCTTTTTCGAAGTTCGCAGGCTTGTAAGATCGTCCATCACGAGCAACGGCGGTAATGAAGTTGTCCTTGGACATCAGGTTCAGATAGACATCGATGATCTCGCTCAGGAGGGCGCGAGGGTTGAATCCATACTCTTGGAGGTTGGCGACACGCAGGTTAGAGCTCTTGGGGCCAACCATCGCGTCCAGATTGTAGTCCAGCATGTCTGCCAAACGCTGGACAATCTCCGGCATTGTGAATGACTCCGCTAAGGCATCAGTGAAGAGCTTGAGCATAGCAACCGTTTCATTAGTTAGCTGCATGTACGATTTGGCACTCCGCTGAGCAGATGAGAGGTGCTCTTCACGCTCTTGCCGGGTGGTGGGGTCCATCGAGTTGCCCTCCCGCGCAAGTTCTTGCTGGAGGTTGTTGATCGTCTTGAAAGCACCGAAAGATTCGTCAAGAACATAGGTCACATCATTCAGAAGCAGATTGACAAACTGGACGAAGAAGTCCAGGTTCTGCCTTGCTTGATAGGATAGCTTTTCCCGATAAAGGGTATTGGGCCAGATGCACTTGATGATCTGGAAGATTTCATAGCGAATGTTGAATTTATCGAAGAATTGAGAGTGAGTACCAGTGTGTTCTGCCTCGATATAGAACTTCATGACAGCATGCAGAAGATAGTCATTCGCAAATTCCATTGAGTTCAGCAAGTCCACGAGAACACCCCGGGCGCCTCCTGGGCGGTTCCAGGTACCACGGAAGAGAATTGAAACAAGACCGGCCTTGAGGTAAGGGTTTTTGATATAGCTCGAGCTCTCTAGGAATGCAATGCAAAGCATGACCAGTTCATCACCTTGTGTGGCAGTGATGATTTGTGGCATGCACCACATGATGAATTTAAAATTGCTCACAATGTCATCGAGGAAATACTCGGGTAGGCACTTGAATACCTCGGGCTGCTGCTCTGGAAGAGGCAGGGTGATCTTTTGCTTTGGGAAGTTCACACCAGAGACAAGTCTCAAAAGCCAGACGGTCACGTAGCGCATGAATAGCATGGATCGTGCCTGCCAGGTATCATCAAAGAGCACACCTTGCAAACTGTACTTCAATGCCATTCCGAGGTCGAACTTATCCTTGTACTTTTTGAGCGCCTGTTCGAAAGTTCGGAGTTGCATGGGATTCCCAGACCAGCGGGGTCGCTCAAGTTCAAATTTTGTGATGGTAGATTCCATGTGCTTCAGATCCTTCTCTAGTTGCTCAAGTTTCGAGGTTAAGGATTCGCTTCCATAGTGATGAGCAGCGACTGTCAAGAAGAATACTTCGGTAATGAAGTTCGAAGTCCCTTCCGCCTTCTTGGAATAGAATGCATCTGCGGCATGCTGGTCGGCATTAATCTTAGTCTCGTCGCGCATATCGACCCGGGAGTCGCGGTGGAGGTACTCAGCATCAATGCGGTCGATTTTGGTGAAGGAAGCATCCATGAAAGGCTCGCATAGCTGGTCCAGGCACGTTGTCAAATTGAACATAAAGCCATCACTGGAAACTTGCGCCGGATCAACTTGCATTGCTCTTCGCTTGTGATTGATGTTCAAGGCAGTTGCAAACCAATCCAAAACCCGGTCTCGAGCTTCCTTGGAAGCGCGAATCATGTGGTTGATTATGTCCAGAAGATCCGTATTGACAATCTGCTGCGTCATACGAAGTGACCGTTGGGCATTCAAGATGTATGCTTGGTCCCGGGTCTTGGGACTGCTGAAATAAGACATTGTAACATTGGCCTGTAGAGGAAAAAGACGAAACCACGGGCCTAGGAGGGTGACCTTCTCAAATTGAGCCGGATCTCGTGAAGCATTGAAGATCGAGGACTCTGCGATGGCCGAGGCGATAGTGGCATGGCGAACCAGATTTCGCAAAGCCGTGCAGTACGGCTTATAATCGTCGTTAATGTCCTTCCGAGACAATTCCGCGCTAAGCTCCTCTACAGCAGCGATGAAAGCCGGCTTTACACTATCATCCTCATCGAAACGGCGAACAGCTTCGCTGATGAATTCAAAGTCAATGCCCTTGTCGTCTTCCGGATCAAGCAACAGATATGGTGCCAAAATGGATCGTTCAGGAGAGTCAAGCCTATCGGTTCCCGGTTAGTTTATCGTGCTTATGTGCTCATCGCCTGTTGCAACATACCCGAACATTTCTGGCATCGTAATGCCAAAGATGCAATAGCTCATACACAACCGTCTTGCTTCCGAAAGAACCTTGAATTTAGGATCACTGTCACTTGCCTTCCGGAAGCTCTTATGAAGCTTTGTGATTCGTTTCCAGCATGGTAATAAGTAGTCGAGCGGTTTTCCATTCTCTGCTTTAGATGCTGCCTCTAACAGCGCTTGATCGAGCAAAGCTGTCTCAATGCGAAGGTCTTTGCCCTCGTCTTGGAGTTCGTTCCGCAAGCCTGGGAGAAAGATTCGTCTGCCATGATGGTCCTGCTGTGCGTCCTCTTTCAGGGTAAATCTGAACACCGCGCTCAATGTTCGGTCTTCAAAAGCTTCGATGCTCTCGGTTTTGACGGGCTGAGGGGTACCTGGTGTAGAAGGAGCACTTGAGCGAGCTACGTCTGGGGTCACAGTAGCCGGTGTGATCTTGATCCTCTTCCCCTCTTGTTGAGTTGGAGTCTGTGCAGCGGATGAGGGGGTAGACGATAGTTCGCTTGGAGGCTGGGTCAACGGTGTTTGGGATGGCGACGATATATTAGAGGTAGAAGGAGCATCACTTGGGCCATCGTTTGAGGGAGCAGGTGTTGGGTTTGAGAGCTTGGCGAGGCGCTTGTTACGGATCTGAAGCGGGACACTGGATCAGTAATTGCGAAGTAAAACCAAGGGCATAACTCAAGGGTTGGTGGCTGTCCCACATACCTTGTCCGCATCTGAGAGCGAATCTGCCATGTTAGACCGTCACTTCGGGTCAGAGGAGAGGATATGTGGTGGCAAGAAGCAATGCGACCGCGCGTTGTCGGGAGTGAGGCGGATATGGATAGGTGCGGGCACCGACCAAGGTGTAATGAGGGAGTGTTTGACGAGTCAAATGTGTTTTCCCTATTACAGCTGTGGCTCGTGTATGATCGACGACAATAGTGTGGGCCAGATGTCGATTGCAGTTTCCTCCGGTATCCAACTCCTATACTGGTCTAACTAAGAAAGCAAATGGGGCAGGGTGAGCGCGGAGTTTCTGTCATGATCGCCGAGATTCCTTCTGCTCCATATGATGCCACTTTACTAAGCATACAGCGCCTCCAACACTCATCTAGCGCATGCTACTTACAAGCTCAACGAGTAGCATTCATCTTATGTTGAGTCACTAGATCGAACAACATAAAGTCTCATTCAAAGCAAAGCCCTAAATTAACTACTAGTAGACAGAGGGAGCTCTTTAAACATCACCAGTGACGCCAAGATCTCGATATAACATTCGTGAAACCCAATGCATTTCGAAGGAATCCTATACACAGATATGCAGGGGTAGAAAGGAGAAAGCCCTGGGTAGGGACTGATATTAGGAAGCAAAGGGGCCCAAATGATGCCGTCCATCCCAGATGAATAAGACATATGCAAAGCTAAGCCTGCAAAGGATGGAAACCTGCAACCCTGGAAACAACCTTAAACAATCCCCCCTCAAGGCATCAAATTTGCGGCAACTCTTCAGCTCCATGGCTTGTGCTTGCTTCATCTTCTCAACGTCTGGGAAAAACCAACCCTGTGCCTCCTGTATCATTCTCTCCCGCTGACGCACTTCCGTCTCGCACTGAAATCGGACAGTGGTCACGTAGTCTTGCTCAACTTTATGGTCTAACTGACGAAGTTTCTTCGGACTCAGGTCCTCGACATCCGCAGGATTCACAAAGTAGTTGAGGTTGAGCCTGGGTGTGGTGCGTCCCAGAGTGTGTGGAGGTTTCGCAGTCTCAAATCGGTAGGCCGGGGAAGGATTGCTCGACCCTGAGAACAGAGATGAAAGGAGGGGGAGGAGGAAAAGAAGAATAAGCGGCAGTAGCTGTCGGACAATATGCCAAGGGTCCGGGCGTACGTCTGATTGACCAGCCGCCGTCGCGCGAGGTCTTCGCCGTGGTTGGGCACCACCGAACTGGTGCACTCGGAATCCCGGTCCTCCTCCCATGTTGAAGATAAATTGGGGTCCGCCTGGAGAGCATTATTAGCAACGAGGCTTGAGCGCACATTTTCTCAAAGTCATACCAAAACCACCACCGCCGCCAAATCCACCACCAAAGAACCGCTGGAAGAGCTCTTCTGGGGAGATTTCTTCATCAAACCCCGGCCCGGCACCGCCGCGGGGAAACCACCTCCGAATCCACCACCACCACCGAATGGCGACGAGCCGCCTGCTGCACTGGGACCAGGATTGAATCTACTATCAGGGTCTCCGCCAAATTTGTCGTAGCGAGACTTCTTGTCCGCATCGGAAAGAATCTGGAATGCGCGGGAAACCACTGAGAAAAGAGGTGTTAGACGCGTATGCCTCATCCGTCCAATCCTTGCATCTACTCACTTTTAAAGGCCTCATCGGCACCTTCGTAGCCGTTCTTATCTGGGTGCGTCAACAGACTCTGTTTGCGATATGCCTTTTTAATCTCATTATCAGTCGCCGAGCGCTCGATCGATAGGATCTCGTAGAAATCAGTGCTGCCGCATTTTCGTATGCGAATCACAGCCGCCTTCTGTTCCGGTGTGTATTTTCGATCCTGGTTGCCCTGTTTATGTTCGCGCGAGCGAGCACCTCCGTTGGCATCGCTGCCTGACGCTGAGGCCGAGGGCATCGCGATTGGAGAGGTTTGTTGACGTGGGTTGTCAAATCAAGCGGAGGAAGCGGGCTGGTAGCGTGAGACCATAGACAAAGGGGCAGTCTCCCCAAAGAGGCCGACAGAGAAGCCAAGCCCTTAGAGACACAAAGTGTCCGAATATCAGCCTAAACAAGGCCGGCGCAAGTTCACGGATACGAGGTGGGTGACTCGGGAGGCGATAGAGGGAAAAGATGCCAATCGATCTTAGGTGGCTTTGCCAAGCCGAAGCGACGTGCCCTTATCCGGTCGATACGGACGTCCGCCAACTTCTCCCCACGACACCAAGAACTTCGCTCTCCATCTCTTATAGAGCACGTGGGTCAAAGGGCCTGTAATTGCTTGAAAGTCTTACCGCAATAACACCAACTTCCACTGATCCCGTCCGCAAGCGTCGATCTTCGATTTGGGCAAGCATGACAGACAACAAGACTTTGGAGAATACCAAGCAAACGCTGGTGCAACGCTTTAGAGCGTGGGGTGGTTAGTCTACCTGTTCCTGCTGAGGAAAAAAGACATCCGATCGTATAACATTGCTGACAGGCCTATCAATCTAGAAAATTCATTCCCGCCAACTCTCCTTGCCTCCCTCATCTTCGCACAGCATGCGCGACCATTCCAATTCTTTCCTATGATCTTCCCACCTGTCCTCCTCCTCACCAGCTATGCGAACCTCCAGGGCTACAAGAAGGATACCGCCGGTATTAGCGCAGCATGGTCAGGATTATATCTGCTTCTTGCTAGCCGGCGCCGGCAGCCTATGATGAAGAAGTTCGGAGTTCGCGGAGTTGTGCGTGGTGGAACAATGGCCTTGTGCCTGGTCAATATGGTTGGAGGCGGGCTTGCATACACCCTTGGCAAGCGGGAGGAGGAAAACTGAAGTTTCTCGTGAGAGTCGCGAGAGGCGATGTAATCTTACAACCTCGAGACTGTACGATATATGCCCAATCTGAGAGGTCTTCTTCGGTGTTCAAATAGGCGGGTATGCGGCGTTACGTTGACACTTTGTTAATCTGTATCAATTCTGTCAAAAAAAAAAAGAATTCCAACAGGATCTCATATTCTATTGTCCGGTCAGCGATTACTGATGGATCTATGTAATGTCTTCTGGTACAGTGTTCGTATTTATCGGTGGACTCAGACGACCGGCTCCGCTGAATCAGTCGTGTATGGCTTCTCTGACAGCATAAACTGCCGCACATTCTCTGGAACTAACCACTCCAAGTCTTGGGTAGCCGACTGTGCCGCCTCGCGTGCCTTGGTTGAGCTGACTGGAGGATCGCCCGGCTTTTTACCTTCGACAAGGCGGATGCGCTCCGCCCATTCCTTCTTTCCACCCTCGCTTTCTCGGTCCCCTCGAGCGAGGCGATGGAGGGATTCCTCTTGATCGGCCTGGGTCCCCCATTCATCTCCAGTCCTCATAGTGACGCGGAGCCTGTGCTGTGAAAATAGGGGAGCGAGAGCCTGAAGTGTATGTTCTGGAGGATAGTATTTGGTGTTAAAGATGCGAATCAAGGTATCGAATCCAGTGAGATGGATCTGCTCGAGTGAAACTGGATATACACCTGACGAGGCAATGGACGAGGCTTTATCAATGAAGTAAGGCTTCTTCGTCACCCCGACGTCAATTGCGGGAATGCTATCTTTGGCCTGTGCGTCGTTGCCAGTGGCTCCGCTCATGCTGGCTAAATGAGAGCGAAGGTCTTGTGCAAACAATTCCATCATTGCAAGTCGGTCCTCGAAAGAGGCAGGCTTTGGTGGCTTGTCTGCATTTTGGGTAGCAAGCAGAAGCACGAGGCGACTGCTTGGTTCGAGTCGCTCCAGTAGCGCGGTGCTTGCAATGCGAAGATGTGCACGGGTTGGAGGATTGAAAGACGAGTCAAGCACATAGAGGACTTCAGGTGGAGTGGCATGGCCGGCAGAGACAGTATTCAATACCTCGAAGTCTTTGGTAGAGGCATTAAATCGCGGCAACAGTGATGCATATTGTGCTCGCAGGGTTCGAAACGAGGCCATTGCGATAGTTGTGATGTTGAGGAGGCACGAAGATGCGATATGGACGATAAGAAACCGCCCGCCCCACTTTTATCTTCGGCAGTCTGCATACTAACTTAGCTATTGCTTCGCTAGTCAGGATATTCGGTCATCAAGTCCTGCGTATTTGGATTAAGGGGCATGTTGACTCGTTATACATGTCTCTTCGTATTCAGAGTACTGGACTATAGTCTATGTCATATTATAAAGGGCTTTGTTCGGGTTTCGAAGACACCGGATTTTATTTCCCCAGAAATTTGAGCGGAGATAAAGGCTTCCTTATCCGGTAATTCTATATCTCCGCTATTGACTTCTAACACACCATCTCCAAATTCAACCCCTTGAAGATCTTCTCTTCTCGTGAATGTGAAGATGGATTACCATGGATCGACAAGCGTTTTCAGGGCACTCCCAAATGAGGATGCACGGCGTGGTACAAAGCGCAACCGCCAAACTATATCCTGTACAAGGTGTCGAGCACGCAAGATCAAATGTGACCGCCAGAACCCCTGCATTTCGTGTATCCGCAGGGGTCACCCGGAGGAATGCGAATTTTCCAAACACAGAAGACGCAAAGTCTCGGATGGCAGCCTCGAGACGGCCTCTCAGAAGTTAGAAAGACTAGAGAAGCTGGCTTACTCTATGGCTGGCTGCTCGGAGCCCTCAACGAGTGCAAATATCGGAATACCTCCCCCAGCACCTGAGGAGCGAGATATTAATTCATTCACAAAGCTTGTCGGCGCTCCTCCAACCCCTTTTTCTCCGGCAAGTCACACTAAAAATGACGATTTGAGCAAGTACCTCGGCGCAACGCATTGGAAAGAACTCATTCAAAGGATCAAAAAGGTAGAAGATTCTCTCGGCCTTGGGGTAAGCCAAGCCCCAGAGCCTGAATGGGAAGAAATGAATAGCGAAGGACCCAGCATGATTTTAACTGCCCAGGTCAAGCCGTTGTCGCTGCGGGGGGCTCTGGATGTGCTGCCATCATGGCAGACAACTGAGCGTCTCTTGGCTATCTATTTCAGCAAGAAACTGATGGCGGCTCCATACATTCACACGATAAAGTTCGAGCGTGAACTCAAGGCCTTGTCTTCTGAACCCTCGTCGACTTCTTTTCTATGGCTCAGTATACTCTTTTCTATCCTCTTTATAGCTTGGAAAACAACCTCGGACGGTTCAAATGTACCCGATCTCTTGTCATCCGACAGACACCCATCTCAATTCCTGAAAAGAGCTGCGCAATGTTTAATTTCAGGAGACTACTTGAAAATACAGCCATACAGCATCGAGTCGCTTTTGATGTACTGTTCTGCTTGTACCATGCAAACTGGCGATGTCAATCCTGGGATTTGGTCTTTATTCAGTCTCGCTACAAGACAGGCGCAGCGAATGGGATATCATCGAGATCCACGACGTCTAAGCCGTACAATGTCTCCGTTCGATGCTGAGATGCGCCGTCGAGTATGGTATTGGATTGAAGGATGTGATGTACTCTATTCTTATCAACTGGGAATGCCTTGTATCATTCACGAAGATGAATGCGATACAGATATGCCGAGCAGTGTGGACGATGAAGCTTTGAGTGAGGACTGTCCTATTCTGCCTGCGACTGTCCCAGGTGTACTACCAGGCAAAATGGAGTTTTATCACCATAAAGCAGCTCAAACTCGTTTATTCCGACGCGTCACTCGTCTAGTGCTGTCCACAGGGCCCCCGGACCATGATGCGATCCAGCAAGTGGACCGAGACCTCCGCACACTTCGCCAGAACGTTCCCAACAACCTCAAGTGGAGGCCTATCACTAGCACAAACTTTTCAGATCCCAGCTATGTGATCATGTTTCGCGTCATGATAGAGCAATTCCATCTGCGATGTGTTTGTATTCTCCATCGCATATATCTGACATTTCAGCGGGAGAACCCTCAATATGACCTACAGAGAGCAGTTTGTGTTGCAGCAGCCATGGAACTTCTTGATCAACAGGCCTGTGTTGAGTCAGAGCGCCAGCCCTTCGGACGCCTGCAGCACGAAGACTACATGCTTGCCGGACTTACAAAACACACGTTCTTGTTCGCTGCTATGGTGATCTGTTTGGAACTATCACTTTCGAGTCCAACTACGACGAACGCATCTGATCGTCAAGCCAAAATCCGGGCGCTTGAGATTTCGCATCATATCTACAGTTCCAGCAAAGATGCCCGCGATCATGGCCACGCCGCGAATGTTCTGGGGGCGATCCTCGCCCAGACAAAGCGCCGCGAAAGCCCAAATAGAGTGATCTCTGCCAAACATGAAACAGAGATGCCTGGTTCCTCGATTTCAGCCCATACCAGTCTGCTGATGAATAACCCCCCATCATCTGAAAATGACGACGGAATTATTACGAGCAACACCTCGGGGTCTGATATTGGAAGTCAAAACTTTCAAGGCTATCTTCAACCCCTGGAGAACCTTTTGAACATGCCGCTAGAAGAAGGAAGTATGGATTGGAATTTGATAAATCAATATCTCTTCTATCCAGAAGAGGAAGGTCCTTCGGATAGTGGCACATGTTAATAATGTCACATCTCGTGGCGGATTCAATTAGGCCGGCATTTGTACTAGCAGGATATCCGTATTTTTCTTGGTATTTACTGGTAGAAATTCTACTCGTGCGACACGCGATATTTTCGTGGAGCTTCGCGATAGGTCATCGATAGGAGATCTAAACGGTGATCCTATTATTCTAGTATCAATGCCCCAGTACTAGGAATTGGCCCCACACCATTGAGTCATAAGTTGAGATACTCATGAAGACCACCATACCTAGTTTTTCATCGCGTTAAGCTCATTGTCTAAGTCCCATCTTGGTGAGCCCGCGTGATCGGAGGGTAACGGCGACAGGGTCGAGACTGGAAACGGGAGAAAAAGATCTGTATCTAACAAATGATGCTGAGCAGCCTCCTGTGTTATTTTTTCGAAGCTGATGTTTTGAAAAAGATCAACTGGCCGAGGCGGCGTCATATAGGCAAGGTTGATCTCTTCCAAATCTGCTGTTGCGGTTGATCTGAGGTTTCCCATCCTGAAAACTGGGTTTAGTGGATCCATCATTGCCCAGTAGTCCACGATTGATCTTAGGATTGAAATTTCGGTCTCTGTTAGTTCGGTAAGAAGAGGGAAAGCCGTGCAATAGTATGCTGCTGTAGCGGGAGCATTGGACAATGAAGTATTTCAGTGCGTTAGACTAGCAGAGTTTCATCAGTCACATAATGGCAGGGTCTTGATGTATCCCTGATTAGTCTTACCATGATCTGAGCATTGTCCCATAGCTCCGACATCTCTGAAAGGTAGCTCAAAGACATCTTTAGGTACTTAGCGGACCCTTCTCGCGTGGATGTGGCCTCACTGTAAATGAAAAGAGCGTGTACTGTACTTGCCACCAGCATGCAATAGCTATAGACAGAAGTTATGGGCATGTACCCTGCAGCTTTTGCCTCGACAAGAACCGTGATGAGGGATCCAGCATGTTCAACGCATCTCGACCGGGTTTCTTCTAGCCAGGTCTCAGGTATATCAGCGGATGGGATAGACTGAATTTTCAGTGCAACCAAGAATGGATGGGCCAAGATACAATTGGCAAGATGATAAAGCGTATTTGAGAGGATCATATGCGCAATCTGCTCGCGATCTGGATTGGGAGGATCAGCCATCGGGCGTGCTTGGTTCGGCTCGGCAAGCCCAGGTCCATTCTTGACTGCGATCTCTTTGAAGTACTCCAAGTCTTGATATATTGCACGGTACGTGGATCCTGGGGTCCATGGCAATTCCACTTGGGGATTCCTCATCATACAGCTGATAGTTCTTCCAAGGAGGGCGGCTAGCCCGGTACTGACGCCAAACATGCCTGATGAGGGGAGCTCCTTTCGATTTCGAGCTGTAAGTAGCTTCGCCAGGGTTAGAGGAGGTATCATCTTGCCATTGCGGTGATGTGTGGCTAAATTTAGGAGGCAGTCGGAATCGTGGATCGCAGGCGGTCGTTGAAAAGAGCAGCAAACGAATCGGTCAAGAAGATATAAGGACCAAAAGAGATTTCTGCGCTCATCTTGTTCCAGATCTGGAAGCTCGGGACTCGGTTCAAACATCATCTGCATATCTTGTGCAATTCGAATTGCCATCCCAATTTTCACCCAGGCATGGCGCCGTCGCCCCGCTGCAATATAACTCAGCGCTGCAACTATCTCTCCTGGGACGATACAGCTTACCTGTTGCGTCGATTACACCAAGCAAGGCAAGAGATTGTATCACTGTTACATCGTCACTCTCGTCTATGACATTTGGTGCTGTGATTATCTTCCACGAGCCCTCAGCATAGCCATCGATCGTGCTCTGTTTCCTTTCCTTCCACTGGGACGAGGATGAGTAGCGAGTGGCTGATGCAATCAGAGCTAATCGCAGATGGAGAGGTGCTTGGTTATTATGAACCTTCTGGTCAAATAGAATAGCATTGAAGAAGCTGAATGGTTTGTTGTGACAATGGCGAAAGTAAACAGTACACGCATCAAGAAAGACCTGATCTGGTGAGGGCGACGCACTTTTTATGGTCCAATCGATGAGCCCTGGTTTTCGAGGATCCCAAATAAGCCATGTCACTGAAGGAGGACTAACCTGGAGGAATTCTTTCGCGAAGCCATCGTCTCTCTCCGACTCGAGAGGGAACCCCTGGAGAGTGACTGGAAGGAGATTTCTGTGAGGAAAGAAAAGCCAACCCTTTTTTTTTGCGTCACAGATGACAAACTATAATTATAGAGGACCCCACTATTGGGTAATGGTCACTCAATTGTCTATTTGCGTAGTCATTGAGAGGCGGGGAACAATTTACGGGGGCGGAGGACCAGGCCCGCATTCTTTGCACTTTGGCGGGGCTGCGGTGGCTTAGCCGCGGTTATCCTTCCTGCTTTGGAACAACACGTAAAATACAGCGAATTCTAGGTGAATCAACCTATCATTCTCTTCCAATGAACAGCAAGACTATGCGTTTAGTTATTCCAGCATAAAGCTTTAAGATTGACCAAGTTTTTGGTGCGGCGACCGAAGAAATATTGATCCTCGAAGCTAGAAACTTTCAGTTGATGAGACAGAGATCGAATACGTACAAAGAGAATGATGCTGTGTACTCAGAATTTATTGCAGCTCTAGTACAGGTATTGATCCTTATGAGGGAAAATTCTTGCCTAAAGTATCAGATAAAAGATGATGAAATTTGAGTTCGTGGTTCGTACGATTGCATGGAGGACGCCGGATCAGGATCATTCGATGTCGGGATTGCCTATACCCTTGATGTGTGCGCCATAAGTTGGACCTAAAAGGATAGCAGCGGAAGATTCGATATGCTATCAGATCAAAGGACCCCACGAACTACAAGGTCGCAATCGTTTAGTGGGGGCCTGAAATGCCCCGCGCTAACCACGCCGCGTTTTGGCGAAGTGATCCTACAAACATTGTATACATTTGCTGGAAAAAGGCCTTGTCATTCTTCCTCCAAATCAAGACAAAAAGCCGTCCCTTTGTCCCACAGCAGTCCGTCCTCCTCGCTATGTCCGTCCGAGCGGTGGTCTACGCATACCGCAAACCCGGTCTTTCACCGGATGAATTCAAAAGGCATTACGAAGCTCATGTAGAGCTCATAAAAGAGATATCAGGGCCTGATTTCCCGCTGTCCCACAGACGCAGCTACATCGCCCGCAGCGCCGTCGACACCTCCCCGGAGGGCGCCTCTACCCGCAATGCCACCACGCCCGCTGCGGTCCTTGTTGGCCAGCAGTCCGACTTCGACTTTGACGTGTACGCTGAGCTGACATTTTCCGATGAAGCAGAGCTCAACGCATTCAGTGCCAAGGTGTATGCGCCGGAGGCAGCTGCCCGGATTGCTGCGGATGAGGAGAAGTTCCTCGATAAGTCTAAGTTGGTTATTGCAAAGTTGGGGGATGTGACTGAGACTACTAGATAGAGATGACTACCATCAGAGGCATCCCTCTACTTCATAGAGACCAGAAGTGATGGAAGAGATTGAACGACGCAGAGGCAATCACATTTGAATCTCGCCAACTAGAAAATCTCCTTATCAGAACCGCGATCCTATGGAAGTTAATAAAACAGTATACTGTACGTAGACCATCGGACTTGATCCCGATTATTCCTTAGTAGTGTCTACTTGTCTCAGTATATTCGGGGGGGAAACCCAGGCCAGCATCACTGCTGCACTGCTGTCTCAGTCGTGCGAGGGCCAGTCGTTCGCGCCAAAACATAAACGCGACTGCATATGCAACAACCTGGAACGCGTTTGTGCGGCCTGGCTGGGTTCGCCCCTGGCGTTTCAAGTCAGAAACTTTTTCCGTAAATGTGGATAGACCTCGTCGATGACGAAATTTGCGCGAGAAACTACCCGTATCACACTCTTATCGTTGAATATCTTCCAAAGTTTCCCGAATCAATCTCTGACGAGTTGCCAACTCGAGCAGACGAGTCGTAGAACATGAGTCGTAGAACATCGCCGTGGCGACAAAGGGAGCCATACTGCATAAGCCTGGGCAACTGGGCTAGTCCCAGCCTCATGAAATTATTAGGACTCGCCTCGACATGTCGATACGGGCTCCAGCCTTTCGATCTGCGAATCGTGACCGCTAGGGGCACAGGTTCTGGAATGCTCTCCGTGCGCTATATGCGACCGCTGCTATCATCTCCACCCGGGGCTCCGAGGGTGTGGTACTCGGGCTTCCGAGAAGAAGGCTTTCTTGGGACTTCATCTACATGCCGAGTCTAGACAACGTCCTGGCTTCGTTACGAGGCACGAGAGCTTCACTCGAGATGAAGGGAAGTGGGACCCCCTTGATACCCTGAGGGCGTAGCAATGTGTTCAGTGGCGGGGGATTCTATGTGAAACACTGACACCGCCGCTACCTGTAAGGCCTGGTAATGATACCGCCTGATTACCGGCAAGCTGAAACAGTCCGAGGGATCGGGCGAAGAGAATAACCTTCCGCTGATATCGACCTTCTCTGCCAGGAATGTTGAGCCCATGGACTTGACGGTGCTGATCAGCCCTTCAGATCATGCATGTCGCGGATTACTTCCTGCGAGGCCTCGCGAAGTCTTGCGAGGTGCGGATATCTCACCCGGGCGCTCCAGAGACGTTCGCCCTCTTGTAATGTTGATCAGAAATTTTTGACTTTAGCCCAGAGAGCGAATGAAATACATAGGATAGACTAGTATCGCATCAAAGAAAAGGAAAGTAAACATGGGCCCAATGAAATCAGTGCTGGGGCCACACTGTGATGGAGACTGTGCAATCGCTAAATCTCCGGCAGCAGTTGGTTAGGCGAGGGTGAAATTAAAGGTAACGGGTGGCGACTGATTGGTGGGCGGGTCCCCTGCGCCCAGTGGATCCCAACCAATCACCGTATAGTGCCTGAAACGGTGGAAGAGTGGAAAATTGAGGCATTCGAGTTATCCAGACGCAATCAACCAGCTTGAAATTGAGGTCCACTCGGCTTCACCCGGTAATACCGATCAATACATGGTGTACCGACTAGACTTGGGAGTGGGGGTGGCACGAAATGATCTTGGGCGGTCATTTATTATGAACCTCTCGCCTGTTTCATCTCTTCTTTTCTTCTAAGCTTGCACCACCTTCTCTTGATCTCTGGGAGACTTCTTTTCACGTTCTTTTCTTTTCAAGTCGCGAATTGACTTCGCCTCTTCACGCTCTTTAGCACTTGCTCGCTTCACCTTCGCTTTCGACATTGACTGTCATTTCCATTCTCAACAACATGCACGCCAACACGTTCCTTCTCGGCCTGGTGGCCTCTCTGGTTACTGTTAGCAACGCCGAGGTCCACAACCTGCACGCTCGTCACTTGAACCGCGTCCGTGGGGTCAACGGCACTGCACCCTCCAGCTCGCTGCAGACCTCGACTTACACCGTCACCCCCACTCCCCTGCAATCTTCCTCCAGCTCTATTGTGTCTTCGACTCCTATCAGCTCTATTCCTCTGGGCCCTGGCAGCAGCAGTGCTGGGGTTGGTTCCACCGAGTCTGGTACCGGCAGCACCACCGATCTTACCGTCACTTACACCCTGGGCACCGGTACTTCCACCAGCGTTGTGACCACCACTATTCACCGGACTGCTACCGATGTCCACACTGTCACTGCTGTTCGTCCCACCTCAAATGTCTAACTAGGCTTTCCCTTACTAATCATTTGATAGTCTGAGACTCTCAATGCTGGCGGTGAGAACCGTGTTCAACAGACCACTACTGTCGAAGGCACCTCGACTAGCACTCTGACTATTACTGTGGTCCCCACTGTGACTGCTAGTGGCAAGGATACTGGCAGCGGCTGCAACCCCGCCACTGTCACTGTCACTGCCACTGAAACCGTGACTGTTGTACGTATTACCAAAAATCCCGATTGATATCATATCCTAACCCGAGTCAGAATGCTGGTCCCACCGACGCCGCTGGACAGAATCTCGAGCAGGAGGATGGACATCATGGACATGGCGATGCGCCCACTGCCACTGTCTCTACAGTCGCTCCCACCACTCCCACCGTGACTGCCAACCCCCCTCCCTTCGGCAACGGCACTCACACCATACCGCCTTTCAGCAGCTCGTCTTCGGGCTTCCTGACTAGCTCGGTACCCGTCTCGGGCTCTGCGAGCCCCAAGCCTTTCCTGAGCTCCTCCAGCAGCTTGAAGGCTTTCCCCACCAAATTCCACCGTCGCTATGTCTAGACTCATTAGCGACGACTACAATAGAGACGTCTCAGTTGCTGTCTGACATACGGGCCTCCCTGATGATTCGAAAGAGCATTCTTATTTTGATTTCATTCGCCTAATTGCGCGCTGGTTTTGTACCTATTATTTTCGTGGGGTCTGGTCCCTGTGGGCTACCTTGACTACCTGATCTGCTCAACATTTGTTGAGGATCTTTTGCTCTGCTAAAAATTTTCACTTCGTTCGACGCTGGTTTGTTTTCGTGCGGGTTGCTCAGCCGTGATGTTTGTCTCAACAAACATACCGTCTGCTATCTTCAAGCTCGTGATAATCCGGGTTTCGCCCTTTTGCTGAACCTTCCATTTCTACTTCTTCGATTTACCATGGGTCGTGGCATTTTGTCATGCTCCTTGATTAGGAATATGCTTTACTGTATCACTAGGTCCCGTGACTCATTAACGATAAAAGAAAATATTTTCCTCAACTGTTCTATCGGTTGTTCTCTTTTTGCTTAGGATTCCGAGGTAGCAGTATGAGTAGCATTGCAGTGTATCCGCTTCTTTGTACAACATTCCTAGGCACTACTGAGCGAGGCCCCAAGGGTCGTCCTGGGGCCGTACTTCTTAGCATGCTAACTCGAGTCTGCTCAAAGTCTTAAAAGTTCTCTTTGGATTCCGGTTCAAAGACAACATCTCTCTGCCTCATGCTTTGCCAAGTATTCAAAGAACCCATGAATGAGATGTTGTAGGACTTGTCGTACCGAACTGTCTGCTTCATTGTCTCAGTAAAATAGTTTTAAGCATAGGCCATGAGTTTATGTTCCGTAAGAGGGTCATTACCCATCCCCCTATTCTAGTAATACACGAATTTGCGCCGTGATGATCCACTATCGGTGAAAAAAAGCCCCTGAGGTTGCATTGGATTGCAAATTGAATATTGAGCTGAATTTCTTTTTTTCTTTTTTTTTTTCTTTTTTTTTTTTCTGTTTTTCTTATTTTTTTTTTGCATGAGGCACCGGTCTGAGTAGGAAGACAATGAATATCTAATGAGTAAGCTGAGGAACTACACGTAACATGCCCTCCGGCTCCTGAGACTTGCTTATCAACCAGATATTGGTACAATCGCGCGCAGTGCGGAAGGCAATTTCCGTGAGTATTTCAGACGTGTCGCCCCAGTCCCACGTCTGCATGCGTTGGATACCTTCTAGAATCCTCATCTGATAATCTTGTGTGCTTTCTTGTTGCAAATCGCCACGTGCCTGGTCAGCAAAAAGATTACGCAGGGCACGCGGCTCGTCTTGATGAATGTAGACAGAAATAAACATCAAAAGGTCACTCTCAGGCCGGATACGAGGCTTTCCTCCCATTTTTAGCTTGAAAAGATATTCAATCAGGGAACGCATGTATTGGGGGGGGCTTAGGGCTGAGGATTCGAAGCTCTGGAGCAAAGGTCGAGGGCACTTCAATTGTCTCGCTCAATTTGAGGCCGGATAGAGATAAAGGAACTAGTTGGATACGTGTGAGCTCTGTCCCCTCAACGGCATGAGTCAGGGCTCCTTGCACACGGTCCCACAGCCCATGCTCGGTTGGGAAGAGGATATGAGGGAAATCGTGTTCGAGCAAGATCTGTGAAGCAAAAATAAGACTCTCGTCGGGAATGAGCCACTCCACAAGCTGACAGACATGAGCAGGAAATATTCAAAAGCACAGCCACAAGGCCTCGAGAAGGCCCACTTACAACGAGAGGCTCTTGACTTCCAAATCTGTAGAGAGGTTGGGCGCCATATTCCACGACGGTTATTTTCGCGGCCGTGAGAGCTTCTAGTGCCCTTTCCACTGAGGGATGGTGGTCTTGCACTCCCTCTGCGCTGTCATTACCCGTTTTCGATTGGTTTGGCTGTTGATTCAGGCTTTGAGAGGGTTCTGGCCGAACCTTGGAAGGTAAGGCATATTCATCGGCACCAGAGTGAGCCGACTGGGATAATGGAGGCGACTCTCCCGTATTGTTCTCTATATCGGCCATCAAGATTGAGTTGCCTTTGTAGTAGGATGATTGGAGGGAGAAACAAGAAGGCGTTGGTAGCGAAATGCGAGAAGCTGGAGCAGGGAAGTAGAAAAACAACTGAGAGGGGGGGCCCCTTCAGTCACGGTTCTCCCATGCCTATCCATAGTTACTTGCTCGCCTTCCCTTCTCCGTCTTGCGTCTGAATCGGGGCAACAACACGGCGGTCGTTGATTTACCGCTTCTTTTCCTTCTGTTTTTGCCGCGTTCTTCCTCATGAAATTGGACCACGCGCTTTCTCCCCGCGCCTGTGCTGAGAAACTGACACCCCATTTTGAGATCCTCGTGTTCTAAGGCTACTGTATCTAGTTGATGGAAACCGGGCCTCAGGCAACATCTGATCTGCAATTTTCTGGTGTCATACTTGATCTTTTTCTGTTTCCCTCAGAAACCTTTTTGCTTCTAGCCTGAGCTTGATGAATAGAGTCATGCCCGGGCAGCACGGACAAACCGTACCTCCCGCCCCGGCGGTTCTGTACTCAAGGAATTTCTAGCTCCCTTTATTTTACTGAACAGAGGCTCATTTTCGGGAAGCCTGTGGCGATCTGATGCGGAGGCATCTTCCTCGTGTTTCCAAAACAACTTGATCGGCGTATGCTGTAGAACCCATCTTTGCTGTACATGGGAGCCATTCTGCGCCATTGGCAGATCTGGCGGCGAATTGATCACAATGACAAGTTCATCGAAGTGTGCGAATTCCTTCACAACGGTCTCGATTGGATCGGGATATTCGTCAAAGCTTTCCAGAACCGACAGTGGTAGGGCAATACGTTTGTAGCTATGAGTCCGGATCCTGAGAATTTGCGTGCCAATGTCTGGATCAAACATTTTGTCAAACATCTCAGAGATGAAAGACACCCATTTCTCGTGTGGAACATAGAGCGTGTCCACATCTCGGTCAAATCGACGAACATAGGGTGGCTGTGGAGCTGCCGGCGATTCTAGGCGCCCCTGGAGAGCCTTCCTATGAATCCAAGATTGGGCTACTTCTCGAGCTTCCTGATTCACCGATAATATATGAGGAGTGAAGTTGACAGGATCTAACCTCTCGTCCAAAAAGGTTATTTCCATTTCTGATGGGATACCTTCCTCGGCGTTGGGCAAGTTCCGAGCATGCCAACATCCCTCTTTGTAGAAGAATAAGGCCGAGTCCTCTGGAAGGCATTGGTACCAGATATTCAAGCGAAGTTCAGTGGGAAGATCTGGGAACCGAAGGAAGCTAGAGGTGCTAGCCATGTTGTCCATGGTTAAGGTCACCGTGACGTGGATATTCTGGTGATCCCATACAGTGGGCTCGAGGTCAGGCCACTGCTGTAGAAATTATTATTGAGCTTAAATGTATCAGGATAGATCCACTCGGTTATAAGATGTATGGCTCAGCTTGTAGACAGTGCGAAAATGCTTTTTGTGAGATGTGAGAGATTTGAGAAATTCATGTAAGCCAACGATTGACGTCACTATTTACCCTCTTGAATGGCTAAGGGATAAATAGCATCCATCAGATGACAACCCCCAGGTCCTGGCTCAAGTTATGGAAGACTGCCAGTGTGACTGATGATGGTTCTGCGTGTGAACGATGTTCATTTTGGACGTCGCCACAGAACGAGTGGATCCCTAGATGCCCCACTCGTGTTTAGACATGGTCAGTGCCACACTCATCTTGAGCTTCCGTCTGACCTTGACGGCATTTCCAGGCATATAAAAATGTGAGCAATGATGATAAGTCGCGCTAACTCTCATCTGAGCCGCCGTCTTTCAGCTTCAAAATAGATTCATACCTTAAGAAAGTCCGATAAGAAAAAAAACAATACTCGAAAATGGTAGCTTCTCATTGATCGCGCGTGTCATCCTTAGTGCAGGGGCCATGCTAATCATCTCTGAATTTCCTTTTGACCATATGTCCCGTAGGACGAAATGTAGTTAAAGTTCTCCGACATAATCTCGCTTTGACTTGTTGGGATGGTTGGGATGGTTGGGGTTGACTGAGCGCCTTAGGCCACCAGCGTTAACGGCTCTCTAGCTTGAAGCGGTTCTTTCTCATATTCCATGAACTGCCAACTACTGCTCGTACTACTTAACAACTTGAAGCATTGCCAGGATTAACTACTCAAGCACTCCTTGCAGGAAACGCTGACTTGGCGCAAGACAATTCTTAGGTGTATATATACGAAGCCGACCCAGAGAGCAGGCAATATGATAGGGTCGACGCATACGACAAGGCGCAGATGGAGATTCGTGAAGCCCCTTTACCAGATTCAACCCAGCGAGGGATTGGAAACCAGCAAATACATGGGTGCATCACAAAATGTACCGAGGACGGAGCTGGAAGCGGAAGGGCCCCGAACTTCCGACGTCCGCCGAATGGGCTGGTACCGACACGCTTGGCGCTGCGCCCCGGGAATTATCGTTGAGTCACGTTTGATGTCGTGGCTTTTAGGGGTCTGGCCTTTTTCAGGCTGTGCGATTTGTTCCGTTGTCCGAGCTGCCTCTCCTCTGCAGGGGGTTTCTATGTGTCAACGCATATCAGTAGCATGGCGGTCTGCTTAACGATTATTATTACCAGCCGTACTGGCGAGTCGTGCCCAGGTGTAGTCCTGACATCGTACGTAATTCTGACACGCTTATCCGTAGCTAGTCATCTCATGGTGAAGCTTGCGTAAAATCGGTAGTGCTAGGCCCCCTTCATACAGACACGGAAGGCCTTATCTGACAGGAGATCTAACCCTGCGCATAATCCATATCCAAAATCCCAGCATCATTGCGTCACAGCTCGGCTATCGTGAAACAAATGGTTCGAAGTACGGAGTACTACGTATACGAGGCACGATCGGGAAGATAGATGCACCGAGAGGGGCGTGGCAGCCCTGCGGAGTGGGAGGCTTATCTGATGGGGACCAGTCACATTGAGCCATTAGCGAAGAGAAACTTTGTCCACTTCCATAAGCCGGCAGGATTCGCCAAAAAGGGAAATTGATGGTTACGGAGCTTGGACCGGGGATGATCTCCCAGGATCTCCCGCTGACTCAGCGGAAGCGTGGTCAAAGACCGCAAACGACGGACTTTGTGACTTTGTCGCCGACTCGGGCCTCCGATCATACTAGGGTTCTGTTATTTCTATTTGCAAGATGTACGATATTTGTTCCCTAGACACGTCCTACATGTACTAGTATGAAACGGGAATATAGCTACTCGTATATATCCTTATTGGAATGGGCCTTGAAACAGCCCTGAGGGGCTCCTAGTGTAGTGGCTTTTAACTTAATCCGCGGATGGACGGACTTTGGAGAACGCATGTGTCAGCGGGAGTGCGCAACCCGCTAATTAACTAACTAAAAAGATGTCTCCAGTTCCGTCGTGCCAGATCCACAACGGGTCTTTAAACGTGGGTCGCTTTGGCTCGTCAAACCACATTTTGCCAAAGGGGCAGATTTTAGTCTGCTGGAATTTTCACCCGGTGTTTCTCTGGTGAGCAATTCTGATCCGCCCCCAAAGAAGGCAGTTGGTAATCTATTAGGCGCCCAGATAGTCCCGGAGGCTCGGAGGTACTGACAACTTTGCTGATATTTGAGGGCCCGCACCCACCTGAGAACGAAAACTACAAACGTGAACTACAAACGCGTGGAGGTCGGGTTTTTTTTTTCTTCCTTGAACCTCTCTTATTTACCACCCTCTCTTGTTTACCACTCTCGTTTACTACTCTCTCGTTACTCACTTTCTTCTTCTTCGTGTTCCCTCTTCAACGTTTCTCTCCCCACACTTAGGATACCTGACCTGACAACTCTCGTTGTCATGGCGGGTGCCACAACTGACCATGGCCAAGGCCGTGCAGCGCGTAAACCTTCCGTTGATCTGATCAATGAGAACGAAAGCGCGTCCACCATCCGGGGAGACGAGTCTCCTCCCAAACAAAGCAAACAACCCAGCGCGACCCAAAGCACCCCCGAAAGTATGAACGACGGCTGGAGTCTTCTTTCAGAAGTCAAACAGCGACACCAACGCGACCTGGATTCTGGCTTCAAGAATAAGCATCTAGGCGTCACTTGGCAAAACCTCAATGTCGAAGTCATCAGTGCCGAGGCTGCTGTTCAGGAGAACGTGCTCTCGCAGTTCAACATCCCAACCAAGATCCGTGAGTCTCGGAACAAGCCAGCTCTGCGCACCATTCTCCACAACAGCCATGGGTGTGTTAAGCCCGGTGAAATGCTCCTCGTTCTCGGCCGTCCTGGATCCGGCTGTACCACCCTCTTGAAGATGCTCGCCAATCACCGTGCCGGGTACAAGTCGATTCAAGGTGACATCCATTACGGCTCCATGGATGCCCAGGAGGCCAAGCAGTTCCGCGGCGAGATCGTCATGAACACTGAGGAAGAGCTCTTCTTCCCTACTCTTTACTGTCGGTAACACGATTGACTTTGCGACCCGTCTGAAGGTCCCATCCGAGCTTCCACACGCCGTCGAATCCGCTGAAGCATCCCGTCTGGAATCCAAGAAATTCCTTCTCGAAGCCTTGAACATTCCCCACACCACCGACACCAAGGTTGGGGATGAATATGTGCGTGGTGTCTCCGGGGGTGAACGGAAGCGAGTATCGATCGCCGAAACATTTGCGACTCGTGGATCTGTGTTCTGCTGGGATAACAGCACCCGTGGACTGGATGCAAGCACAGCCCTGGAGTGGACCAAGATTGTTCGTGGTCTGACCGACACCCTTGGTCTCACCTCTATCGTCACTCTCTACCAAGCTGGTAATGGTATCTATGAACTTTTCGACAAGGTGCTTGTTCTCGACGAGGGAGAGCAGGTATACTATGGGCCCAGGGCCGAAGCCCGCCCTTTCATGGAAGAGGCCGGCTTCGTTTGCCGTGAGGGCTCTAATGTTGCTGACTTCCTCACCGGTGTGACTGTTCCACACGAGCGTCGCATCCGTGATGGCTACGAGAACCAATTTCCACGGAACAAGGCTGCGCTACGAGAGCTCTATGAGAATTCGCCTATTCATGAACGCATGATCGCCGAATACGGCTACCCGACTGAGGATGCCACTCGAGAGCGCACTGAGGAATTCAAAAAAGCAGTGGCTTTCGAGACTTCCAAGCGTCTTCCCAAGGGTAGCCCCTTCACAGTTGGGCTTCCTGAACAGGTCAAGGCTTGTGTCATTCGTCAGTACCAGATTCTCTGGGGAGATAGGGCTTCTTTCACTGTCAAGCAAGTTGCGACTTTGATGCAAGCCTTGATTGCCGGATCACTCTTCTACTCTGCCCCTAACAACTCTGCCGGTCTGTTTGTCAAATCCGGCGCATTGTTCTTCTCGCTCCTGTACAACAGTCTGTTAGCCATGTCGGAGGTCACAGATTCCTTCAGTGGTCGTCCTGTTTTGATCAAGCACAAGGCTTTCGCATACTTCCACCCCGCGGCATTTTGTTTTGCTCAGATCGCAGCCGACATTCCTGTTCTCCTGTTCCAAGTTAGCATGTTCTCGGTGGTCGTCTACTTCATGGTTGGCCTCACCATGTCTGCTGGAGCGTTCTTCACTTACTGGATTCTGGTGTTCTCCAACGCAATGGTACGACAGCGAGCCACCAGCCCCGCTATTTCCCACCGTTCCCTACTAATACATTACCCTAGACCATGACTGCCTTGTTTCGTGCAGTCGGTGCCCTCTTTTCGACTTTCGATGGAGCTTCAAAGGTTTCTGGATTTCTCATCGCAGCTCTGATCATGTATACCGGTTACATGATTCACAAGCCAGAGATGCATCCGTGGTTTGTCTGGATCTACTGGATTGACCCTCTCGCATACGGATTTGAGGCGCTCCTCTCGAACGAGTTTCACTCCAAAATCATCCCCTGCGTTTTCAACAACCTGATCCCCCACGGTCCCGGATATGATAATTTGGCCCATGCGGCTTGCTCGGGTGTTGGTGGGGCTTCTCCTGATGCTACATCACTCACTGGCGATCAGTACCTGGCGTCTCTTTCCTACAGCCACTCCCACCTCTGGCGCAATTTCGGTATCAACTGGGCTTGGTGGGCTCTTTTCGTTGCAGTAACGGTTCTTGCCACAAGTCGATGGAAGAACCCCGGTGACGACGGAAGTACCTTGGTCATTCCCCGTGAGCGCTTAGGGAAGCATCTTCAGAATATCAAGGCCGATGAAGAGTCTCAGTTCGATGAGAAGTCTCAGAAACCATCGAATGGGGATGCCAAGGATACCCAGCATATTGACAACCAGCTCATTCGTAATACCTCTGTCTTCACGTGGAAGGATCTAACCTATACCGTTAAGACCCCCCTAGGTGATCGTGTTCTTCTCGACAAAGTATTTGGATGGGTCAAACCCGGCATGCTCGGTGCTCTGATGGGATCTTCCGGTGCGGGAAAGACTACCCTGCTTGATGTTCTTGCTCAACGAAAGACCTCCGGGACAATCACGGGTTCCATCAAGGTTGACGGCCGAGACCTACCTGTGATGTTCCAGCGCTCTGCCGGATACTGTGAGCAACTCGATGTGCTGGAGCCCTTTGACACCGTCCGTGAAGCCCTCCAAGACTCCGCTGCACTTCGTCAACCTCGCGAAACTCCTCTGAGTGAGAAGCTGGAATACGTGGAGACCATCATTGACCTTCTGGAACTCCACGATATCGCAGATACCCTCATTGGCCGCACAGGGGCTGGGCTGAGTGTGGAACAACGGAAGCGTGTTACTATTGGAGTTGAGCTAGTCGCCAAGCCGAGTATCCTAATCTTCTTGGATGAGCCAACCTCCGGTCTCGATGGACAGTCTGCCTTCAACACGGTTCGCTTCTTGCGAAAGCTAGCGGATGTTGGCCAAGCCGTTCTTGTCACCATTCACCAGCCTTCTGCCCAGCTTTTTGCCGAGTTTGACACATTGCTTCTGCTCGCTGCTGGTGGAAAGACTGTTTACTTTGGTGAAATTGGCGACAACGGTCGAACCGTGAAGGACTACTTTGCCAAGTATGGAGCCCCTTGCCCGGTCAACTCTAACCCCGCCGAGCACATGATCGATGTGGTCTCTGGCCACCTGAGTCGAGGAAAGGATTGGAGTGAAGTGTGGCTCAAGTCTCCCGAGTGCGAGAAGGCCGTCCAAGAACTTGATGAAATCATCGAAACCGCTGCTTCGAAGCCGCCAGGTTTTGTTGACGATGGCCTTGAATTCGCATCCCCACTCACGTACCAGACCAAGGTTATCACTACCCGCATGAGCCGTTCGCTCTTCCGGAACACCGACTATGTCATGAACAAGGTTGCTCTCCACATCGGATCCGCGCTTTTCAACGGTTTCTCTTTCTGGATGATTGGTGACAGCGTTGGAGACATGCAGCTTCGTCTCTTTACCATCTTCAATTTCATCTTTGTTGCCCCCGGTGTCCTCGCCCAGCTACAGCCCCTCTTCATCGAGCGTCGCTCCATCTACGAGCAACGTGAGAAGAAGTCGAAGATGTACTCTTGGAAGGCATTTGTCACCGCTTTGATCGTGTCCGAGATCCCATACCTTTGCATCTGTGGTGTCCTGTACTATGTTTGCTGGTATTACACCGTGGGTTTCCCCACGGACTCGAACAAGGCGGGCGCGACTTTCCTGATCATGCTTCTGTATGAGTTCGTGTACACCGGTATCGGTCAGTTCGTGGCTGCGTACGCACCCAATGCGGTCTTTGCTTCTCTCATCAACCCTCTGATTATCGGTACCTTGGTCTCTTTCTGTGGTGTCTTGGTGCCATACAGCCAAATCCAAGCATTCTGGCGGTACTGGATCTACTGGATGAATCCGTTCAACTACCTCATTGGTGGTATGCTCGTTTTCACCGTCTGGGACACCGACATCCATTGCAAAGAGAGCGAATATGCCATTTTCAGTCCTCCGAACGGATCGACCTGCGGCGACTACCTGGCCAACTACCTGCGTGGCATGGGTGCCAGTGCCCACCTGGTCAATCCAGAGTCTACTGACAAGTGCAAGGTCTGCGAGTACACCCACGGAAGTGACTATCTCAAGACACTCAACCTCAAAGCGTACTACTACGGATGGCGCGATATAGGGATCGTCGCTATCTTCGCCCTCAGCTCGTACGCGCTCGTCTACCTTCTCATGAAGCTACGTACCAAGGCGTCAAAGAAGGCTGAGTGATTGCCATATCTCGCTTCAGGCTTGCGTTTAGCAGCTGTAGAAGGGCATACATGGGGCGTCGGGGATTTTTTTTTTCTTTATTTCTTTTATCTTTCTGTTTCTCTAATCATGTTTCATCTAACGCGTATCGGGCCCCTCGATGATATCCCCAAATCTCCACTGTTGTTTGAATTTCGATGTGCCCCTGTATCGTTCTAAGGACTTTTATCGCCTAAGGAGTTACTTTGAGAGGGGTTTGCTGAAAAGCTACTCTGTTGCTAATATTAATGGAGTTGAGATTATCTTGAAATTATCCTGTTTCTTGACGTAAATTGCTAGTGCCGCTTTGACTCGCAGCAGAATTAGTCCTTTTCCGTCTGCATTAGAATCTCTCTATTTTCTCGTATCAGACCCGGCCTCTAGTGTTTTGGCGTCCTTCTACTTTCTGTGACTCTCATAGATACCCCTCAGTGTATTCACGCAGTAGCGAGTCTAAAGAACGATCATCGCTAAGGGCTCTCTTCCTGACTTCCACTGCGCGTTGAATGTAGCTGCTCCTCAGCTCGTGCATGTCGATCTCGGGCTTTTAACGCTGGGTATATTTCAAGGACGGTCTAGGCCGCGCAGTTGTGGGTATCGAACCACGGCCACCCGAGGCGTTCGTCCTCTTCGTTCTTCCTGTGTGTCACTATTGTCTTGGATATAGCAGTTAGAGCACCTGCACGCATCTCTACCTTCTGTCGAGGAGATCAGCGATGCGTTTTTCAATTGAGCTACCATCTTGAGGCCTTGCTCTAGACTCACCTATGCAACCGTGTAGATGTTTAGAACCTTCTGGAAGCCTTGATTGGAGGAAGGTTGAGAATTCAAGTTCTTAATGGATCCATTGTCGTGTTCAGGGCGGGTTTGTGATTGTAGACATCCTCGGCATCATAGCGTTCCAGGCGATGTTAGTTGGCTGGGATTGCCGAGATTGGAGCCCGTAGCGCTGCTCCGGCCCCCAAACACTCTCGTGCGCCTTGGAAGGTGCAAAAGTGCCAGGTCCGCAGGCCCGCAGAGCTCCAATTACGTCTTTAGCAAGTATTCACGGTATCAGGTTTCAGCCGGCGTGATACTGCTAGTATCGCCGATGATGCGATGAGTCGTGGTAGCACCACTGGGGTCTAGCTTCAAGTGGCGGGAAATCGGAATTGGCGATTCGATAAGGCGACCAAGGTTCGTACGCCGACACTACTAGGGCGAATTTCCAATGGGGAAATCCTGTGTGGGCGATTCCTGCAATCAAGGTCATAGTCGTAAAGTATGTGCAACTGCCGTAGGCAATAGGAACACACATCCTCTGTAGAATTCACAGGACAGAGCACCGTATACGGACCACGGGCTGTAGGGGTGCATAATGGCAATTGAGCAATACTGAGGTACTGGGTGGACACTCTTATTACAAAAACTCCGATCTTTCTATCTAAACTAGTGCTCATAAGATTGCTTACTTCAGGACTGAAAATACTGGCGTGTTTGTTGGGTGGTCGCCATCCTAATTTGAAACATAGCTGTAGTCGAGAGCCAATTTGGACATCGCAATCAGGAGCAACACTTGAGATAATGGCATCATGGCCCGAAAGGACAAGCGACTCGGTGTTCAGCCTTTCTAGACAGGAGGCATTGTCAGGAGCATGGAAGCCGACCACATCCCGACTAGGGCTAGCCTTTCCGTCTACAGACTTTTTTTTCCGGAAATCCCTGGCTAGTCTCTTTTCGGAGAAGCGCACTGGAAATGATTTGGCGGTCTCATTCTCGCTCTCTCGGATCATTTGGCTACAAGAGGTTCCTGTTCGGGAGCACCCCCTCTACTATAACGCAGACCCGGCACCCAGGCCCCGGATCAAAGTAGCGGCCCCTCCTGTCGCATTTGCGACTTATCGCGAAGGAATCCACTTCTCAGTGGGGTCGGCTTGGTGGATAGGTTGGGCAGCAATCTCGGATATTACCCTTGGACTAGGATATCAAAAATCGTAATTATAATGACGAGAAAGAGAAAAAAAAAAAAAAAAGGTACCGCCATAAGCGCATTGATGAAACAGGGAAAAGGGGTTAGCGGGAAAAAGGGCGCATAGTAAGTAGCTCACAGGTCGAGGATATCATGCAGGGATGCAAGTGGATGTGATAGCAAGGGTCATCCAGCGCTGGCAAGGTTCTCGCGCACGAGGTTCTTGCAACTTAGGGTCCACTCCAATTATTATTGCCTGTTTAATGAGGCGCGGTTACACAAGGCGGTGGATACAAGGCAGGGATCGACCGAGATTAAGAGTTCGCCATACTCTCGAGGACGTTGAACTTGACATTTAGCTGTATCCCATGCAGGGTTTAATCCTGCAAAGAGGTAGGATGCCCCCTGCGCGGGTTTTCGGGGGATATGACCAAACCCCCCTCATTAAGATCGTCGTGGGACCAGAACCGGGAAATGCGTTGAGACCGCTGGTGGTATCCCGGGGTCGTACATGGACCCTGATGGAGCATTAGAATCAGGGCAGAGCACAAGACTATCAGATGGGTCCATGCGTAGCAGTAGTTTCATGCAGCAAGTTATGCACGCTTGAGATGTCCGATTCGCCCAGTTTCCTGGAGGGGGCAGTCCGGAGAGGTGATAATACAAGACGTCGTAGCCAACGATCCCAGTCATGGTCATGGTCGAGTCTTTTTAATGAGACTGTTTGGGATTGTGGCAGTGCTCTGTGATGCAGATCTGCAGCCGCGCACTTTGCGTTTTAGACTCGGTGGATCGTTGCCGAGTCCAGTTATGCTCAACCGCCAATCCAGCATCTAGTTCTTTTAGTTTCCGGCCCTAGCAGTCACCGAGTCTTTGGTAGTTTCCGAAGCGGGCTTTGACCTATGCCGCGTTCAAATCACCCCTGATAGGTAAATCACGGCAGATATTGGTGGGGCCCAACAACCAGGAGCGCGGGTGTTTGATCTCTCCTTTCCGCGTGGATTCTGGCGTTGGGAAGCTATTGAGTCGACGAATCAGATACTTTGATGACTGCCACCATCTCAAGGGTTATATACCGTGTACTCTTTTGGATTTTATTTATTTACTTTATTTACTTAACGGCCCTTCCGCCCCGGGAAAATTCTGCGTCCGTAACATGATCCGCCATACCTAGGAGGCAAAGTTCGTGATCTTCTACCGTGGCCGTCGCACGAGAGGATCAAACCTAGCTGCTCAAGAGGAACATATTTAGAAATCCTTTATTTAGAAAAGGCAGACGCAATTAGTAATTCTAGACTTTGTGGTTAAAACGAGGAACCGAGGATTGTGCCAAGCGGTCGGTGACGTATGCGGACACAGCAGCTTGACAGATCGCGATCGATGCGAGAAACTTCATCCGCCGGGGCCGCCACCTCCTCTTTCTCTCTAGAACATATACTATAGACCCTCTCGAGTCCAACCAAATACAGGCCATTCCTCCAATTCCGATCTTCTGACATCACAGGATGCCGTGGTCCTTTGTGCTCCCTCAGGGGGTGTTTACGTCGCCGCTGCTGGCTGTCGCCACGCCCGTGCTTGGCGGCAACAACGGTCGCGCTGCTCGTGAACCGTAAGGTAGTCAAATCAAATGGACTGAATAAATCGCTCACGAGGGACCAGGACGTCAAACCAAGGACACCTACCGCGATCTCCGACAGCCCCCTTTCAACCCGCCGGCATGGCTCTTCGCGCCCGCGTGGACTGTGCTTTACGGCCTAATGGGGTATGCGTCCCACCACGCTACTAAGGTTGCAGCTCAATCTCTGTCTGCAACAGTGGTCCAGGCCAACGAGAAGGCGCAAACCTTGTACACCACCCAGTTAGCGCTGAACTTCCTCTGGATGCCTCTGTTCTTTGGGGTGGGGCGACCGGCCGCGGCCCTGGGCGATATGGCCCTGCTGGTCGGGAACGTGACGGTGCTAATGGCCGAGTGGTGGTCGGCAGACCGAACAGCCTTCTGGCTGATGTCGCCGTATCTGGCCTGGCTCGGGTATGCGGCCTATCTCAATATTGGGGTTGGGCATCTGAATGGATGGAGGCTTCCGGCGAAGCAGAAGCGGAGAGATTAAAAAGCATCACGGGGCCGTGGGACTCGGGATGCCGGGCCGTAGAGGGTGGGAATGACCCAGAAGAAGCAATCATCGTCCGACTGGGCTGAATATCAACGAGCAACGGCGTTTGATCAGGGCACAACAAAAAGGGTTGTCGGGTGGGGGCGTGCGTGTGGTGAAGCTCCACTTCCTGCGTGGCGTTCGTCTGTGCTTTTTCTTCCAATGCGATTCGTAATCCTTGTTTCGACTCATTTGTGTTACTCAAAACAGTGGGGCACGTTTCTATCTTAGTTCGGGGTTGTCCTCTGGAGGTTGCCAAAATCCACCGCTCCTGGCGTCGTGGTCTCGCCCCTCTCTCCCCCTCTCCGCTCTCCGCTTTTCTTTCCTCGGCCAACGAGCAGCTCGTAGAGTGGATGCAGCACATCACAGTGGATCATGGCGCTGTCATATGAAGATCAACAGAGCTCAGATTCAGGAGGTGGCTCAATTGTCGTCAAGGGGGAAGAGAGATCGTCGGGAACCTGGTTTTAGTAGGACTTCTGGGTTAGCTGTGATGGAGCAATGATAAGGGCACCCACCATGTCACTTTCATACACCCCCAGCTTACTCCGTAGGGAAACCCACCGGCCATTGGCATCGGCTAGAGAGAATGGCCCTGAACCTATCTGCTCTTTGTCTCACAAAAATGAGAGCTAACCACTAGCCATGGTTCGCACCAACAATGGCTCTTCCCGAGGACAAGAGCTGGATCGCCACTCAAGACCCACCGAAGAGCTGATGTGTTCGGTACGTACGCTGAGCAGCTTCTAGAACCTGAAAGGCGCTTGGCATTAGGGCTTCTTCCCCCCTCCCTCTTCCCCTCCATCTGAAATTTGCCTTCCTCTTGGAGGGGCAAGAGTGACGGCAATGGGGCTCTCTCATAGGCGCTTTTGTACCTGTAACCATTGTTAGCTTTGTGTATCGTGCATGTGGCTTGCGGAACAAACCAAAAACTCTGCCCTCCGGAGCGAATCAGCGTCAGACCTAGTGTCATGCATCCTTATCGATGATCCCATAGTGGGTCGCCAGAAGATCGTGGATCTAGACTCCCGGATTTGGCCTAAAGGAGAATTTCAAGTCGGAAGGTGGAACGGCTGCGTCGGCTCTGGGAAGACCCATGGGCTCTGTATTTGGTATTTTTTTTGGTCTTGGCTGCTTTTCTGAACCACTGATTTATTTTTTATATTTTTATACATCGCCGCCCCTGCGATGTTGGAATTTTTCCATCTTCATCTCATACTTTCGTTGACAAACCATCTTCCCTGCCCTCTCGCCCGCTTGGGCTCGTGAGCTCTAATGTCCACACCAACGGTCCCTCACCCTAGTCCGAGCGATCCTAATGAACATCTGAACGAATTCCCCTTTCCCGACCTCGGTAATCGTCAGAGTCTCGAGCGGCAAGTCACCGCTGACGCCCATCAATACGAGGCCGACCTGCATCCACCCGTCCCGCCCGCTGCAGAGCCGCCATCCGAACCGCATGACGAACCTCCCATTGAACCGCGACTGCGGTCGCTGAAAGTGCGCTTTCGCTCGATCAGTCACCTGGCCGACCGTCCCAGAACCCCAGCCTCCCACGATGCCTCGGAGTCCTCTGATCCCTCTCATTACCCTCTCCTGCCGCCGCCGGGCCTCGAGAACATCCCACTTTCCGGAACCGTCACCCCGCCCGCCCCTGCACATTCCCGCCGCAGCAGCAACCCGGAACATGCGTCTGAAGGGGTCTCCGAGAAGGGCGCCGACGTCGAGCGCATCTCGTCTGTCTCATCTGCTCGCAACCGGTTTCGCAATGCTGGTCAGATCATTCGCCAGAAGACGGTCCGTCTGGGCGAACGCCTCGGTCGCCCCGCAGACGAGGGCGAGGCGCTCAACGCCACTTTGATCCCCGATGACTTTGATTCGGGTGCCATTCACGGTCTGTCGCTCGAGGAGATTCAAGCCCGCAATGCTCGCAACGACGCTAATCACTTGCGGGCGTTGGAAGAGGGCGAGGAGCCGCACGAAGCTCCGCCCAGCGCTGAGGCGCACCGGCTGGTCCGCCATATGACTATGGCTCACGAGCGGAAGCGGAAGCCCCGGGGCGCATACCAGCGATCGGGCCATACTACCCCGGAGGGCTTACTGCGCGACTTCAAGGCGCGTCGCCGCTCGAGTGGTCTCGGCGTCGGTGGGAGTGGTATCTTGTCCCAGCTGCTGAAGTTACATGCCGTTCAGACGGGAAGCTCGTCGCGTCCGGAGAGCGTCATCACCGATGACTCGGATAGCGAGACCCAGGTGTCTTCGGGCACGCCGTCGGGCGCTACGACCCCGAAGAAGGGCTCGCTGTCGCCCTTGATCCCGCCATCCATGCCCGCGTCTGGCGCGGCCACGCCTCGCAAGGAGAAGATCAAGTGGTACAAGAAGAACGCCCACCGGTCGACCTCCTCCCTGGTGAACGCGTCGATGAACCTGAGCACCCCGACCCTTCCTGAGGCGGCTGAGCTGGCTTCGGGCGGGAAGCGAGCGCGCCGGAGCAAGCGTAAGACTCGCTTGGAAGATGAGATTCGGGTGACGGTGCATATTGCCGAGATCATCTCCCGTCAGCGGTATATCATGCAGCTCTGCCGTGCTCTGATGCGTTACGGTGCCCCCACGCACCGACTGGAGGAATACATGCAGATGACCGCCCGCGTGCTCGAGGTGTCTGGTCAATTCCTCTATCTCCCCGGCTGCATGATCATGTCCTTCGATGACCCTGTTACCCGGACGGCGGAGGTCAAGCTGGTGCGGACGGTGCAAGGTGTTGATCTCGGTCGACTGGCGGACGTCCACAACGTTTACAAGAACGTCGTGCACGATCTGATCGGGGTCGAAGAGGCAAGCCAAGAGCTTGATGATATCATGCAACGCAAGCCGCGCTTCAACAAATGGCTCGTGGTCTTGCTCTACGGCCTCGCCAGTGCCGCCGTTGGCCCCTTTGCCTTTAGTGCGCGACCGGTCGATATGCCTATCATTTTCATGCTGGGATCACTGGTCGGACTTATGCAACACGTGCTCTCCCCTCGCTCCGTCCTGTACTCCAATGTGTTCGAAGTCACTGCTGCTATTCTTACCTCCTTTCTCGCCCGTGCCTTCGGCAGCATCCAAATCACCCGTCACGGTCACAAAGAATACCTGTTCTGTTTTTCGGCGCTTGCACAGTCTTCTATCGCGCTCATTCTTCCGGGGTTTACCGTCCTCTGCAGCAGTCTGGAACTGCAATCCCACCAAATGATCGCTGGTTCGATCCGCTTGGTCTACGCCATCATCTATTCTCTCTTCCTTGGCTATGGCATCACCGTGGGTCTCACGATTTACGGACTCATGGATGGCAACGCCTCCTCCGACACGACATGCCCCAATCTCGACGTGTATGGCTCTGTTTATGTGCAGAAATTCCCATTTGTCGCCATCTACGCCTTCTTCCTATCCCTGGTCAACCAAGCCAAGTGGAAGCAGATGCCCGTCATGATTCTCTTCGCGGTCTGTGGCTACATCACGAACTACTTCAGCACGACCAAGTTCGGGTCCCAGTCCGAGGTGGCCAACACCGTCGGTGCTTTCACCATCGGTGTCCTGGCCAACTTCTACAGTCGGCTGTGGCACGGGCAAGCCGCGCCTGCCATTCTGCCTGGTATCTTCGTGCTTGTCCCCTCCGGTCTCGCCTCGAGTGGTTCTCTGCTTTCGGGCTTGCAATATGCGAACGAGGTTCGACACAACCTTCACACCTCCGGAAACAGCACCGACATGACCTCTCTCACCGACGGTTCGGTTGCTAGTCTCGGCATTGGCATGATCCAGGTGGCGATTGGTATTACGGTTGGCCTGTTTATTTCTGCTCTCATCGTCTATCCTTACGGGAAGAAGCGCACTGGCTTGTTCAATTTTTAATCCTCTCCTTCGCTCTTGTCGTCTGTTTTTTACCATTTGCATTTCTCATACCCACCTTCATGGATATTTCTCTCATTTATCACGACTGCTGATTTATTCTGGAACATCTTAGCGATTCTGGCAGCGGGCGTCACTCATTATCAGCGTTGGATCTTTTACTTCATTTTCTTCTATTTTTGCATCTCGGATCTCTAGGTTTTCATGCACGTGTTCAACTGCAAATACATATTCGATGATTTTCCACTGCACATCAACTTTCTGTGTCTCTCGCACTATTATTAGTAAATGATGGATAACCCCCGCCCAGGTGCGATAAGTCATCCATGGATCCATGATTCTGGAGAAGGCGATTGTCCGTAAGCAAACGCATTGTTGTTCTCCACGGGCTCCATGCGTCGTTCCCGTCAACCCAATCCGGTTAGCCCCCGGCCCCTGCATCCCATTTCAACCAATCACTGCAATCGCCAGTACAAGACCCGAGATCAAGAAAACATACAATAAAACGCCTCTATAATATCCCTTCCCACCCCTAAGGCATCGCACAACCTGCCCCCAAAGCCCCTCTTCCTCAAATTTCCCCGAGCCATGAGAAATTTCATCTCCAATGACTATGTCTTCACTGACCGCGGCGGCGTCATCGAAAACCGCCACAGCGGCCACGCCACCGACTTAGCCCTGATGTGCGCCTCGCACAGCAGCGAGGATCGACACATCCGCCGCGCCCGCACCATCCTCGCCCGCGCCGGCAGCGAAAAATCAGATCTCCGCTGCGGAGGCCGTGAGGTGCGCATGGATCAGAGCGGGGTTTACCCCGGGAGGCGTGTGCAGCAATTGCTCAAGGATGCGGGGATGATAGCAGCAGCGAGAGCGCTGGGGAGGCCGAGGGGTGCTATCTACCGGAACACCCTGTGCAGTTGCGGGTGCGGCGGGTGGTGGAGGAAGTAGCGGGGCTGACGGACGGCGAGGGGGTCTGGAGTGTTGATGGGAGTAATCTGCCCGCGCTGGGGTTTGCGCTGCATCGGCTTGCGGGGATGTATGCGCGGTTTGCGGATGCGGGGATGCGTGAAGGGGAAAGGGAAAGGGCTATGGTGCGGGTTTTTGGGTCATGGCTTCGTATGCGGAGTTTGTGGCGGGGGAGGGCCGGTTTTGTACACTTCTGATGCGGGCTTTTGGGGATTCTTTGATCGGGTAGCTTGGGGCGGACGGGTGCTATGGGATTGGAGTGAGGGCGTCGAGGAGGACGGAGGAGCTGGGTGCGGAGGAGGGTCAGGGAATTGCGGTGAAGATTGAGGATGGCAATATTGGGGCTTTGTATGCGGCTGTGGCTGAGATCTTGGAGCAGCTGGGGATTGGGAGTGCGGAGGAGGCAGCTGGCCGGGTTTCATTGTCCGGAGATTCGCAATACGGTGGGTGTGGTGGCGGGGAGAAGCATCATTTCAAGATCCGGCCTGTGGACTGAGACTATAGTCACTTGAGCGTGAGCTTGTATGACCGCTCTAATTTCCTAACATCTTGTTACGTATGTCCCTTGTCCTTCTTGGGGGAAAAATACCATGCTACTTGAAATCATGCAGTAGAGGAGCTGCTCTTGTCTATTTGGATCTACTTGGATCTCTACTAAGAAAATAGAAGAAGGCAAAACTCCACTGGCAGATCACAATCTTTGTCCAAAGACACAAAGGAGAACACAGAAGTGAAGCACACCGGAATGTCAAAGCAATCTGAAAGTATTGCAAAGGCAAGAAAATCATCAAGCCGAAGATAATAAAGACACTCTTTGGAGTCAGGGCGCAGCCACTCAATGCGCAAGAATCAGATAAGTCATGATACGATCGGCCAAAATGTTATAGCCGGAAGTTGTGCAATAGAAAAAGATAAGCCCAGTGCAAATAGCAGCGCTCAAGGAAGGCAATGCACCAGACTAGTCGACTGGCACCAGGATGTGAGAGACTTGATTCAGGTTGATGGTCGAATCCGGTGTGCGGAGGAAGAATTGCCTGTTCTCTTCGACACTCCTTCCAATGATCTCAATGACAATCGTCTCAGTATCCTGGGATATCCTGGTAATAAAACGCGAAGAACGATCATGGCGGATTGAAAGGTCGGCCTTTGCCTTTGCCAGGGAGAACAGGTTGAACCGGACGGCAGGTTGGAAATAGCATTCAACAACAATCTCATGCACAGTTCCATCTTCTTTCTGCAAGGGGATCTTGGCCTTTCCTTTGCCTGCCGCTTTGCAAACAATGGTTTTCTTTCCTGTATTCCAGCTCCATTCAAAAGACTCCCCACATCTAAATTCGTGATACTCAACCAAGTAGGCTCGATCGCCACAGACGTGCACAGGCAGGTCGTCGACTATGAGCCAGTCCTTGTGCGAGGCAGTGAACAACAGCAATGGGTCAAACGGAGTGCCTTGCACCTTCAAGAAGGTGAAGAAGCTATCATCTACCGGCTTTGTGATGACGATCTTATGTTTCTTGGAGGGACCTGAATCAACCTTCTTTGCTAAGACTTGTTGGACCCTCGCCAAACCGGGGGAGGATGGGGCAACCTTTTCTACTGCAGCTGGGTCATCTTTGTTGGGAGTTGGAGCTGCCTTTTGGATCAGAGCCAGGCCGGCCTTCGTGGTGGGAGGTAGGTCGGCTTTCTTGGCCGGGGCTGGATTTGTTTTCTTGGTGGCGGCGGCAGCTGGACCTTTCACAGCAGCAACGGTTGCATAGCTTTGCTTTTCGGGCATGGGGTCCACGGCGGGCGTCGTGGCAGGCGTTGTTGCGGGCTGGTCCTGGAGATTGCCCTTGTGCATCATGGGTTGGTACACCCAAATTCCCTCCAGGGGCCTGAACCAGTCTGGTCTCCATTCCACGTTCAAGTAAAAGCATTCGTTCAAGTCATGGGTAAGGCCGCAGTAGGAACATTTTCCATTCCTTAGACGCTTGGGAAGGGCCTGGAACAAGTTTTGAACAAATGCTGCATCACCCACGCCTGCAGGAGGGCCATTCCGGATAATTTGCTCATCGACCATGTCGCCCTTGTTGGCAGTCAATTTATGTAGGGCCTTCTTGGATCGAGAGTGCGAAGGGAAAGATACCGTAAAATCCTCGGGTGAAGGTGCTTCGGAGCGCAGAGCGACTCGCCACTCAGGCTCTTTTTGGAGAAGGTTGATCGCTTCAAAGCAGAGGACATGAAAGTGGGAATCGGTGAAGGTCTTCCAGGGGTCTGTGACCTCGGCCCGCTCAAGCTTCCCTATCATGACAGCATGGATGTGCTGGAATCTGGGCACGTCAAGGGCGTTCAGAAGCGAACAAAACGCGAAGTATGGTGAGATGGCGATGTCCGCTTCAAGCATGTCCTTGAACGAATCTTTGTAGTCCCAAATAGCCTCAATTGCCCGTTCACACGTCATAACCCTGATGGATTGGATATCCGTGATGATACGGACTCCAACGAGATCCTCGTGAACTCCTTTGTCATGATTATCAAACAACGCCATGGTCTCTCCCATAAACTCGTGCGCGAACTCGATAGGTGAAGGTCCTGAATTGATTTTCGTTGCAAGGAGTTTGGAAACAGATTTGGTCAGCCACAGCTTCACGCGGCGTGAGAATTGTACCCAGCGCGTGTAGTTGGGGTTGGAAGTTTTTGGATGGGGAAGTGAGATGTCAACAAGGTTCTCCAGGTGCACCGCTCTGAGCTGCGAGATGACCTGTTTCTGCCAATACGGGAAATCCCGGACCTTTATCAAAAGCGGTCGGGCGTCTTTCAAGTCAAGGTCGAAGCTTTTTGGGAGGCCTGTTCCCTGGTCAACAGGGTCATCCAAAGGACCTATTTCCATTTTCCCTCTGATCTCCATTGTGCTCTCAATATACTGCCCTCTGTATGCCATGGAATTGAAGATGGGTATCTTAGAAGGATAGGACCAAAATGTAGAACAAGGCCAGAGATTCGAATTATGAAAAGCTATGTTTCGAAGCCTAGAAAACAAGTGCAGGCCTGAGGTCAATAGCCCTGAGTGAAATGAAAGAGAGAAGAAAGTTATACTATAGGAGAAGAGAGAACGATTCAATTAGAAGATTTTAGTAGAACAATTGGGCCGTGGAGCGAAGCAATACACTTGAAGCTCCTCTTCGCAAACTCCATATCGGTTTTTGTTCTCCCGCAATTTAGGTGTAAACCTGACGATTTCTTATGCTTTATGGCAATGGCCCTGGGCAGAAATTGGCCATATGCCACTTGATTGTATACTGAATTGGTCCTAGCATAGCCTGGCTGGTCCTCTGGGTTGAAGATATCGCCAGAATATAGAATAGCGTTCGGTCGTGCTAGATAATACGAGTAGAAGTATAGGTGTAAAGAGGGCCCGTACCTCTCAAGTGCTCGTGACCATGGAAGCTCATATGTTAGCTAAAGCTTATTCCATTTACTAGTAGCCTTTGGGCTTGTGTGGGGGGGGGGGGCATAAAACCCATTTTCCTCAAGTTCATTGACATATCTTGTCTCATAAAATCCCTTCTTACGAAGTGCCCATTATAAGGTATGGAGTAAGCATACACAGTGCAGTCAAAGCTTTCTGCGCTCAGTAGAAAATATCTAAAATCCGGCATCTAAAATTCTATTTCTTTCCTTCGTAGGGTCATAGGAAGCGCTTCAGCCCTTAGTTGGGTGATTTTTTTTTCCCTCTCTAGGATCACAGTGAACAAGTAAAGTAGTATGAAATATGGCTAGACCTATATTTGTACTTGCATTTTAACTTTTATAAAAGTTGCATAAAAAGTTACCGTATTTTGTCAATGTCAACAATTGACACACAGTGCCTATAAGAATATCTACACTTGAACGTGTTCAGGGCAGTACTCTAGAAAGCTTGATTTTACAGAGATCAATGTATTGTGGCTACACTATACCCTAAATGGACTAGCCCCGGAACTTTAACCGCCGGATAGTAAAAACTTGGACAGGCTCACGGCCCACAAGAACCCACAAATCGACGGCCAAAAAAACACGAAAACATACTAAAAAGAGAGGGCAAAAAGGTAAGTGACCAGACCCGGGCTCGATCCGAGGACCTTATCGGTGTTAACGATACGTGATAACCAACTACACCATCCGGCCAACTTGTTGTGAAGGTTTGCATATTTTGAGATCATCAACCAGTGTGAAATTTTTTCAGGGAAACCCTCGTTTTCCTTGCAAAAGCTAGAATTTGACGTAGCAGGCTAAAGGTTCTACGTTACTTGCTAAGAGCGTTCCACGTAGATCAATTCGAGACTCGTTTCCCCCGCACTGGTCTAAGAGCATTAGTGACTTGCAAAGACTAGGAACGCTGTAGCATCCACAGGGCCTGCGATGTTGTGGGTATCTCGAATCTGGGCCCTGTCTAACTCCATTGTCGGTACTGGAAACACCAAGCCGGATGTGAACCGTGCTCTCGCATTAAGGTATGATGAATACCAATTCCATGGCTGCAATCTTACAGGGGCCAGGCCAGTCTATCAGGCTTCGTGAAAATCCCGGATCGACTTTCGGAGAGCAAAAAGTGCTGAGAAGAAGCTGGCTGTATGCTGGCTGTATAATTGTGTTGAATCATCGTACTAGTCATGCATTTTAACAAGCTTGGTTGCCTCTTTTCCGTCTAACACACGGCATATTGCTCCTAAGGTTGACCATTGACATTCGTGGCCACATCATATGCCCATATACCTCATAATCCTCCTTGATATCAAGGTCGTCCCCATGAACGATCTCCTAAATATTTCTTTTCTATTTTGCCACCCACAACCTCCTGATACTTTATAGTGTAGGCATCCCGAGTCCCTTCTCCCAGAAAGAGGTCTTCAGGATATTCTCCAAGCGTACGGCTACTATCATCGCTCTTAACGTCGCTGAAGGGCCCATTCTTCTGCTATGGCTGCTGGTATGGTTTGAAGCTATTAGCCGAGTCCAATGTAGACATTTGCACAATTGAAGCCTTCAGTCTCGGGTTCGCTCCACTAGCAAGTGTTTTTTTCTTCTTTTTGTGCGACAAGACAAGCGGGGTCCGAAGATTCTTTGGACCTCAACAATCAGTGGCGATTTGCCTTCTATGCTGTTCCTCCGGTTCTTGCTGACATATTTATGGTCATTGTAGGAACACAGCACTATCAGCAATTCGCATTTGCATACTTTCACCTTTGAGATATCTCCCAAAAAGATTTTGTAAGGAACGGAAAGAGGAGACCTAAGAATTAATAAGGAAGAATTAAAGCCCCACCCAAAAGAAGAAAAAAAAAACTAAAAAAGGAAGTGACCAGACTCGGGCCCGATCCGAGGACCTTATCGGTGTTAACGATACGTGGTAATCTATATGAATCAGTGGAAGGGCCATGATTTGCATGGTAGCAAGCTTCAAAACTGTGGTAGAATGTTATAAAACCATGGACTTTCCACCGGTGACTGCGGACCCACATGGCCGGTGGGTCCTGTATTGATCCACTACCTGGCTCAAGAGAGTTACTATTTTGGTATAGTGCGATCGCTCTAGGCGCTGCGGTAGTATCGTAGCCGGTTCACAAGACCAAAGTTCACGCCGTACTTGGAGGGACCAGGGTAAAGAAAGTCGGTAATGACGGGAAATACTTTCTCCGCCACCTACGATTAGCTCCAGTGATCTCGGGAGCACTTAGTATGACGACTTATGCAGTATCTAAACCCCAAACTCAAAAACAGTCCATCAATAAAGCGGCCGGATGGTGTAGTTGGTTATCACGTATCGTTAACACCGATAAGGTCCTCGGATCGAGCCCGGGTCTGGTCACTTTCTTTTTTGCCCCTTGCCCCACCTTAGCGATACCGCTTATTTGGGTGTATGGTACGACAGCGTACCCTACGAGGAACACGAAAAATAACAAGAACAAATCAATGCATCAGAAGCAGTGTCACCGCAAGAAGAATCTGATATAGGCTTGGAAATATAGCAAGATATGCAACACAGATGTATGCCTAAGCATACGTCTTCGGAGAAATGATCAAGCGCTTTTTAGGATAGAAAATTGATTTGTTGCTGATTAGTTGGGATTGGTGTTCGCGGGTGAAGGGTTTTCGGCAGAGAGGATCTTTATCTGGGTGAACTGTGCGGTTTAGCTGGCCTGAACTTCGCCACTAAGAGCATTTCGATATAATAATTGGGGAGATCTCACTGGAAGCGGCGAGATCGGCGAGATCTCATTGCAACTCCGAGGACGCGGTGGAGAGTGCTCTCCTGCGGGACTTGCGCTGGCCTTTCTGATAACTAGAAACATAACTAGTCGGATTCCATCTTATTCATGCAATCAGAAGACTGACCTTTATTTTGGTAGAATGAAGCAAAATTCTTTAGGAAGTGCGATCCAAATTCTTGTGTTATTTCAATTTGACTGGGAGACGGACTTTCGCCGCTTCTTACAAGATCAACATCATTCACTTGCAGTAGGAAATGATGATATCTGTCTCCTCTTATTAGCTTTGGACATGACTGGTTGTCGTGGCCTATTCACAAGACCAAAGACATATTCAATCCGTTTAGCTTATGAGGTTTGATCGATTGGTCGATGGATAATTTGGGATTGACTCATAACTGAACAGTTTGAATTGTCATGAGGATCTTTGAAAGCTTCGTCGAGAGTGAGACCATGTGTCTGCCCTCTGACTATTTTCTAGCATGGCTACTTATGCCAACCCGCGTGAGGAAGTGTGAGAAACCATGTGGAAATATGTTCAACAACTATTATCTTTGACATGATCTTGCTGTCAAGCCACCCACCAAATGGCATTTCGCTGTGATTGGGTCGATTCCCCGCAATCACTAATGCTAGTATGACAAAGCCTGCAGTTACATCCTGCATGATAAGGTTTCAAGTGGAGTTGGCCCCCGTTTTGACCTCGTAAAGTTAGTGATTAACTAGTGTATTTCCTGTGTCTATACTCAGCCTTGTAGTAATGTACGGGCTTTTACATCGCCTGTAGTTACTCTTTGTGACATGCTAGCCTGCCATATCGGCCTTCCCTCTAACCTATTAAGGCAACATGTAGCGGAGGCAGCTTTAGGAATTTTCGCAGGTTGACAGGCAAAGGACGGCAAGATAAGACTATAAGATATCACTAGATGGAGCCCTTGACTTTCTACTTAATACTGACTGAAGATCTTGGATATCCAAACCGTATTTTTCCTGTACAATTATAAGTATATCTATATACTAAGAACAGTCGCACAGCTAATGGTCCAGAAACCTTATAATATATCAAATCTGGGTGACTACAACTGTTTTTGTTTGTGGATATCGTGAAGTGAGATGTGAACCATATCCTTGCTCAGAGAACCATGCTGAGCCTTAACCGGAAGTGCTTATGGGGAGTTCTCATAACTGACGGGATGTCTGTTCTTGGTGCCGAGGAGTGTTAAACGGCTACTAGTACTAAGCTCTGTGAAAGACAAGAAGGGTTATATGAGTGATTATTATATTGATTATAGCTTGGGATTATAAGTTTATGAGTTATTGATCTTCTTATTTCGGGCAAAACTATTGATCCTCTTTCAGACTCTCACGTTCAAAGACTCGCCTATATCTTTGAGTATTTTCGCTCTATTGCTGCCGATAGGGCTGGTAGCCTGTGTGGTGGCCCTTCAGTTGGCTTGCTATGGCCAGACACAAATGATTTGACCATTAGCAATGTCCAGCAAGTAGAGGAGTGGTTTAACAGCCGGCTTTTTCCTGGAGATGGTAAAGTTCATTTTGATGCTAGCCCATTGGTGCTATGTCATTTAGACATAGCCCCACGAAACGTTATCTGGTTAGATTATGGCCGTGTTTGTTTACTGGA